AAGGTTATCATTGAAAACATCAGATGTAATACGCCGACATGGAAGGGATGAAAGCCTCGCAAATAATATGAAAGTAATGGTCATAGCTCGAATATGGACATAGTTCTCTATCAGCAACGTTTGTGATTGATAACGTGTCATTCAGATCAGTTTTAATGGATTTATAGATTAGCACGGACACATTTAAAGCTCTTGTGAGTAACTTTCAGGTTTTCTAGACTTTTTGGGACCCTTATAGGAAAGCAGTGCATATTTCTAGCTGTTATCTCATCTGCTTTCTATGAAAACCACCTGTCACTCATAGAGAACCTCTGCTGTGGGACTGTGATAAAGTCTGTTTTGACAGCATGCTTATTGTCACCTCGTCCACTGTTTCAGGCATTTAACAACACCTAGAAATGATCAGTCTTATTGCTCATGCTCTCACTTCCTTTCTTGGTCATAAAGACTCACCAGAATTAATATCTGTCTGTTTTGTAACTGTAGATTGTATAATACATCGACATAATCTCAGGGATTTCACCTATTTGTCTCTGAAGCAGAGATTTGAAGCGGTCGCCGTATTGGAAATTCTCCCTCAGCATTAACTTTCAGTTCAGGGCGTTGGCTGTGTGATCACAGACAACAACTCGGTACTACTTAGTAGCAGCACACGCCCCCCGTAATAACCCCCCGTTCTCGTCTACCGTTGTTCTCGTCTACACACAACATTTTTTTCTCAGGTCATCCAAAACAGGGACTGTCCCCGGAAATTGGGGACGTGTGGTCACCTTGTTTTGCGTCTTCACCAACAGGTACCGTATCCTCGCCTGTCAGTCAAGTCAGCCGTCCCTCTAATGCTGCAAAACTCGCAACTCTGATATCTTCAGAATAAATGCGTTAAAATTTTGGCCCTGGGATAGAGAAATAAGCCATTTAAAACAAATATTTGTTGTAACAGGCTGTAAACATATTTATTTTTTGCTGTTTTTTAGAATGAGTGTGTATGTGGTCTCAAGTGCTTTTGCAGCCTGCCCCAAGTGGGCACTCATGGAACTGCAGCTTCCAATGCCAGTGATGGTGCTAAGTAAGAACATGTCATGTGTCCCTGATCTATACTTCACTATCTGGCGCGGCAGTAGCTCAGGAGGTAGAGCGGTTGGTGGTTCAATTCCCTCCTTTCCCCAGTCTGTCCGTTGTGTCCTTGACCAAGACACTTACCCACCTTGCTGTATCCTCCACTGGTGTATGATTGGTGGACGGAGAGGCTGTAGGCACGTTTCCGTCAGTCTGCCCCAGGGCAGCTGTGAGTACGAAGGTAGTTTACCACCACCAAGGTGTGACTGTGTGATTGAATGAATCATGTATCCAATGTAAAGCACTTTGGGGGTCTTTGATAAATATTCCTGGGATAATACTGATGGACCTCTATTGTGTTATTTGCAAGTTCAATGTATTTTTGGTTAGGAGAGGAGGAATGGTGTCAGTACACAGATAGCACAAACAGTACTTATATTTCGGCCTCATTTTTTACTGTGGGTAGAGATGGAGGCATGTCATTTTTAGTTGTTTACAGTCAGTGAATCAAACAAACAGTGTCATACTCCCTCAGTCATAATACTTTAGATATAATGACTACATAAGAGTAGTCAGTGTGAATAAGTATTTTGGTCTGTTTGAAGCCCCTGTGAGTATTTTTGTGACTGTAAGTGTGATGACATTTTATGACCTACAAAAGCAAACAACACCAACAACAGCATGACTGATTGTTGCTGTAGTGTAATTCTCAGCGGCTGTAACCGCTGTGAGGAAGGGGAGGTGTCAGACCTGACAAATGACAGCAAGCTGACAAAACAGCCTCATTTTCATTTTTCCTCTGCACAGATTCACAGTGAGTCATAAATTTCACTCTTAGAGGAAATCACAACCCTTTTTTTTTACTTCCTCATCTAGAGGACAGAACTAGCAAGATGTCCATAGGGGGCGCCACAATTGGTACACATGAACTTCAAACTTTAACTTTTTTGTTTTGGGTGAAGCAGAACAAACTCTAACTGCTTTTAATGTCTGTTGAATTTCTAAAAGTCAAAACACAAAACAAGTAATTTTTATCTGGATACTTTTTTTCTAAAAGAAACCAAATGTTTCTTAACCTTAAACTCGACTGCTTCGTTTAAATCAGACCCTGTAAAACTTGGCGAGCTTTGCTGCAGAACCCTCCGTGATGCTGAACAGTCTTAAAATTGTTTATTTCACTGAGTTTAATTACTTGGCAGATAAATTCTCTTTATGATGAACAAAGTTTCATCTTTTCTTAATCTTTTCAGTTTGAAAACTCTTTCTCGAACAACTTCTGTCACCCTCGGTTGACGTTTCCTTTAGGTTACACATCTTTGCTCGCTGACACACACATACGGTACCTGACAGGATGACATCTGATATGGTCATTTCCTTCCTGGGGGTTCAGCCTCATGATAAATGATGGATAGCTGTGGTTACCCATGACTACCCAAGCAGCACCAGTAAAGTGTTTCCCTCTCAGCCTGAAGCAACTTTTGATCAGTGGTCCACGTCTGCACCCCTCCTGTCTCCTCTCCCTCTCTCTCCTCCTGCTCCCAGGGGGCTGCTGTTCACCGCAGAGTGCCCTCTACTTAATGCTGGATATGACAGAACCCACCACACGATGAGATTTCAGGGTGAGGGGGGATCATGGGCTTCACTTGGGCTGACACAGTTTGCAGGTTTGATTGCAGGCATGAGTGACCGGACCCCCTCACCCCTTTTTTTTTTTTTAAACCTGAATGATTCATGATGGGAAATGCAAGGGGTGGGTGGGACAGGGTAGTGAGGTGTGTGTGTGCGTTGTGTTATTGCATCATTGCTGTGTCTGGGCCTCTCTTGTGAGTACTGTGTTCTTAACCCTGACATGCAAGAGGGAGGCTGGGGGAGGAGGGGGAGGAGAAGAGGGGGGCAGTGTTTGCATTGGAGGCGAATAAGCACAAACACACAGGACTGAAGGAGGAGGCAAATGTTAATAATACAAGCAATAAATCAGTATTACACATGCACACACACATGCGCACACACAAGTCTGGCTCCTGGCACAAATGGTGACAAAGACAGCTGGGTGTGGCTGTGGGTTCGGGGAGGGTATCCCCTCTGGAATAGCCCTGAACACAGGCTGCCCCTCCCCCTCTGACACCTTATACATAATTAAGACACGTCTAGAGGCGCTGTGGGTCAAAGGTAAGATCATCCGGCGCTGTGTACGCTTCAAACTCTGAACAGACTGAGCCGGGGAGATTGTCAGAGGTTCTCCTCAAATTATCTGCCAACTAAGCAAAGCCGGGCGCACAACTCTTTTGAAAATTAAAGATCAATTCTTTAACAGCTAGAAGACGCTAATGGAGAGATAAGAAGTGGAGCGATGCGTGTTATAGAGGAGGAGGAGGAGCCATCCTTTATTGATTCAGGCATTAACGTACATTACGAACAAATTGGTGCAGGGTGGTCCCTCATGTGAAGCCTGCCTACCGCTGCACAAACAAATCAGAGGATTTGTCCCAGTATCCACTCATGGGCATACCAAGGTGTTAGCTGCAAATCCAACTCACTGATGAGAACGCGTTTTTTTGGGGGGGTGATTTCTTTTTGCTTCGTTTGTAAAGCGCCATGGGAGAAATGTGTGAACCAGGAGGGCGAAGTCTGACTTTCTTACTGACAGCTGAAGGGGAAAAAGATGAGGGAAGGAGGGAGGGAGGGATAGATAAACAGAGAAAAGAGTTGTCTAATATATCACACAGGTAGCTCATACCTTGACGATTGACTCTCTGTCAGCCTTTGCAGTACAGCAGGGCATGCTCCCATGTATTAACATCTCTGCTTAAACCTCACAATGTGTGTGGATTTTGTGGTTTCACATGGATAATGATAATGTTTTATTTAGACGGTCATATTTATAACCTTCTGCAGTGACTGCTTGTGCTGTTTTAGTGTGTTAGAAAGACAAACTGTGTGTATTTGTTAGTTTAATGTGCTCTGCAAGCAGAGTGTGAGCACAAATAAGCAAAATGTAGAACCCAAGTGCAGACTGCTCAAGGCCTGCCTGTGTAAGATGCACTCTCAAACACAAACACACACACAAACACACATCAACACACAAACACACACAGTCTCTCTTTTTCACTCCCTTTCCACACATCCAAACACACTTGACACATGCGTGTACCGTGTCCCTTTGTGGATGGTTGCCATGCAACATTTCTCTGATTGGGTTAGTTGAGCTCTGCTGTGTGTGCACTTACACACACACACACACACACACACACTTGCTGGCTGATGAGGATCGGATCACACACACACACTTCTTTGCCACACCCATCCTCCTCTCCCGTGGGACACAGCTGCACTTCCAAGGCCAAGGATGGAACGATTGAGGAGGGAGAAGCAGCGGATCCTGGAGGACGAAGCGGCGTTCGGTACAGGGTCGAAGCTTGTCTTGATGATCTCCTTGAGGCGTTTGATCACTTTTGTTTAGACTTTTGGAGGATCTCTTTGAATGTTTTGGGGTTTTTTTCCTACATTTTTATGTTTTGAACCAGTTACTTGAAGTTCCTTCCCCCCTATGTGTTTAGGATTGATCAAAAACGAACCCAAAGTGCAGCTATCTTTTTTCATTTATGCTGATTTTCAGATTTGGTTAAATGGCACACTTTTGGGGCTTTTAGTTTCCTAGACTCTCTGTCTGATTCCTTCTGAGCTCGCCTCAGAAAAGTAAATTCAACCTGACCAGACTTCAGGTCAGTCTAACCTCTTTGAGGTCAGCAGAGTTGGTGCTGCGGCTGCTGGTGGATGTTTTCCTATCGTGTGACTGGATGTTTGTTCGACTATAGCACGGCTCTCTCTGGCCCAGCAAACTGGATTTTTCCTCATTTAAGTTTCAAAGACACTACATTTGAGATGTGCTACTCGTTTCATAATACATGTACCATCTTCAAAAATGATCAAACATTGATTAGAAAAATGTTGTTGTTTACAAAAATTTATTCATACAAATCTTACAACACTTTTCATGACATTGAGAAACGTAAAACCCCATAGAAGGACTCCTGTGTGGATAACGATGTCACTTTGTACTAAGGTTCACTTTTCAAACACATAGTTTTCAGATAGATAAGAGATTAAACATTGAAGTAAGGCGTTTGGCGCTTTCAGAAATATCAACAACAGGCATTTTCTAAGATCTGAACAACATCTCTGTCATGATCTCAAACCCTTGAATCCTAGATAGTGATGCACAGAATATGTTCGGGGCTATTTTTCTGATTAATAAGAAGTTACTGACCAATATCAAAATAATCAACAACACCTCATAATCAACAGGAACAAACACTGGTCATTGTTCACAACTCGCACAGACACTGAACACCCCAAACTCATGCACACGCACGCACACTTACACACACACATTGCTTGCTCCATCAACATATACATTCTACTCATTTTTTTGACATTTTATTTTTTACTCCATGAATCATTGGCCATGCTTCAAAAAGAACGCCTAATTCTACTACTCTCTGGGCAGACTAAGCCGAGCGATTAAACAGACTTAAAAAAAAAGAAGGAAGTTTCGATGTAAGCTAATGGACTGCAGCATTGTAGGGCCACTAAAAATTGCCATCTGTCACTTGTGGCGAATTTTTTTTCATGTTCTATTTTTATTCTCACGTCGAAGCAAAGGCACCAAAGCCAAAAGCTGTTCCCACCTCCACATGCGCATTCAAACACTCGCTCATTCACACACACACACACACACAAACAGACACGGAGCGCACGCACACAGACACAGACAAACTACAGTGCAAACATCGACACTTTCACGCAAAGCCTGAAAGCCGAATTGAAAGGTGTGTTGATAGTTTCTATGTGGAAATGCAAGCCCTCTGGTTGGACTGCAGGGCCGCAGAAAGCCTCGTCGAAATTAAAAGTTTGTTAGGGAGGGCTGGATTATCAACAGCCACTGTAATCTGAGGTTTTTGGGGGGCTTTGTGTAATCTCCATGGTCTTGCCCAGCTTCTCTCACACATCTTGGTGTTTACCCTCAGGCTAAGTGAAGGGAATTCAACATCTGATAGTTCCTATCAGACTCATTGACCCTGATCTCAGTCTGCCTGTCCCTGCATCCCAACTCTCTCTCTCTCTCTCTCTCTCATATTTAACAGCTTTTTTCTCTTTCACACACATTAAACTAATAACTACTTGTTTCCTCCTCTGTCACCTCAGACTTCTATCTTAGTTACATCCTCGCTGCACACACTCAAGCTTACATTGAACACGTATCAGCTTCTTCTTACTAATCTACAGCACTAAAGTCAACGAGTCAGCACGGCGATCTAGATGCAAAAGAAAGCGTTTTTCAAAAATACCAGGACGAAGGCAAAAAAGGGGGTCCAGTGTCTCGTCTTATATGATCCACAATGACAGCAGCAGAGGTTCAAAATATCAACAAGTCAGTGCAGTACCAGTTTCAACCACTTCTAGCCCTCCTTTGCTTTCATTCCCAGCACATCCAAGGAGAGAGGGGAGTGGTGATAAAAAGGCCTAGAGCGGCCCACCTCCCGGATAGCACAATCCAACAAAAAAAAGAAAGTAAAGGGCACGATGGCATGCAGTCTCTAAGCAGAAATGATCCAGATGTCGGTCTCCACATGCACCAGTAAATATGAATTAAATAATCCTAATCTTATGCTACCTTTCTTCTCCACTTCTTCATTATACAGTGCTTCAATTCCTGCATCCTACATGGTTATCTGGGTCCTTTCAGAATAAAAGTCCCGCTGCTGAAATACAATCAACAGTTGGAGCAACATTCTTCCAGATAATCTGTCGACTGACAACATGAAGGTGTGTAATTTCTACTGCACATACAAACACACACACGCACACACATGACATTCTTTACACAAGCATGATTAATCTCCTGCAGTAATATGACTTTGAGGCAAGTGAGCAAGCAGTGTTCACCGCATACTGTCAAGAGCAACTTTAGTGCTTCCTCTGTCTTTAGTAACGCCCTTGAAACAGCCTGTGAGTCAATTTGTGTCCAAAAACAAAGAGGGTTGGATTTTTTTCTTTCTTCTTTTGTTTTTTTTTTTTTTTTTTTTTTTGAACCACCATTTACACCAATCACTGTAAGTCAATCAGTTATCCTTCAAATGAGAGGCTGTACATCTAAAGCCATCTGGATTTGCCCTGGAGGGGGCAGCAGGCTCTACTAACCCACAGAGCTCCCATGGAGGATGAGGAGGACGAGGAGTAGGAAGAGGTGGAGGAGGAGGAGGAGAAGGAGGGTGGAGGAGAAGGGCAAAACATCTATCATTTGGGAATAAGCCGGATATGCCTCACAGAGCATGCTCACTGCTTCTTTGGGCCTGTTTTTTTTTTCTTTTTGGAAAACAAACAACACTTAAAAAAATAGAACGTTGGTTACAAAAATAAGTATAACATTCAATACTTTGATTGTCTTTTTAAAATCTATTTATTTTCTGCATATGTAGATGACTTTTTAAAGATTTCAAGCGCATAACGTTGAAGGTGCACAATTATCTTTTTTTTCTGATTCATTTTTTTTTCTTTTCTCTTTTTTTTTGTTTTGCTTTTGTTTTCAACATCTTAACATGAAAATAAAATATTGGTCCACAAAGTATAACTGTGCGGGTATCAAGTGCTTTTGTACAAAAAGAAAAAAAAAACGATATTATTATTAAAATATTCATTTTAATGGCTTTACTTCATACATAAATACATGTTGAAAGAACACAGGCGCAATCCACTGGTTGGTCAGATATATCTGAATGACTTTGATTTAACGACTGGATGTATTTACACAGGAGGGCAGTTTGGGCGCTTGAACGACGCTACAAATAAGCGAGCCGACGTCCTTTGTTCCTAACTCTCTGTCTGTACCTTCTTCCCAGAACCGCTGCCAGGTATTTCTGCACCGCCTTCTGCTTTCTATAGCGGCTGTAGCTGTCGGTGAAGATCCCATCTGAATGTCTTTTGGAGAGGGGCTCTGACTCTTCCTCCATACTGGTGTCTTCACTGTAAAAAAAAGAAGAAAATGTAGACAAAATTAATCAAACCTGCAACCTTGCAACCATCCACAAAAATGAGACTTTAATTTCTACGCAAAAAAAATCCACGTTTCCATGATCGAATTATGCGTAAAGGTGCAAAAACTGAATTTTTAGGCCTTTTACGCGCCAATTTTCTCCTTAAATTTATGCAAAAAAGCAGAAAAGTGTAAAAGAAACAGTGATTTCTGCGTTTTAGAAAACGTATAAATTATTCATCCGCAGCCTATTGCATATTCTGACGCATGACTCCTCATTGGCGCAAGAAAACAAAAAAAATCAATTTATGGATTGATCACATATAAATCGTAGTGTATTTTAGTCTCAGACCCTTCATTCCCTAAGGGAGCACAGGAATCATGAAGGCAGAGCCACGCCACAACAAAAACACACACAAACCATGAAAATGTCCACACGGTTTCTTTGATATATAGAGATATACAGAAGGGTAGAATAAAAATAGAAATAAAAATCCACGCACATAAAAATGACAGACAGCGATGCAGCAGCAGCCGTGACAGAAAACAGGTGATGATGACTGCAGGTGAACGCGTAAAAGAAATGCCCTTACCCTGCACGAATTGTCATCAGAGAATGCAGATAATGTCTCGCTGTTAACTGACCCAGGATCTCCCTCAAGGCTCTATCTAATTCTTCCTCAGCATGCCTTTCTGCTCTGAGATGATAAAACGCCAAAACACATAGATCATCAGTGACTAAAAAAAAAGCGCAGACAGAATGATCAGAAGTAGCCTAAAATGTCCCCCCAGCCCTCCCCTACAGCTCCATAACCGCATCAGGTGCAGCTCAATCTGCGCCTCTTTTTCCCTCACACATTAATCTGGATTATTATCAGGATTTGATGCAACATTTTAGGCTACTCGGTATGAAAATAACACTGAACAAATAACATGAGAAACTCTGGGATCAAACAAAGCAAGCCAACATTATCGCAGTCATTATCCAGAGATGTGAGGAAAAGGCACATTTACCTCTTCTCTGGCGGGTAGTAGAGGGTGTATGCGTCGTCGTTTAGGGATGGGGGGCTTCGTATAGCAATCTGATCGCTATCAAAACCCATGTCGGATAACGAGTTGCCATCCTCATCGAAGGCGTCGTTTTCAAGTCTGCAGGAAAAAAGGAGGGAGAGAGAGAGGGGAGAGCATTGATCTCAAATCTGATCTGTGCATGAGCGGGACTCCCGCATGAGTGAAAGAATGCCAAAATGTCTGCGTCCCTTTCTGGAAACGGTGGGAGGTTAATGCGCATTGGAGGACGGGAAAGAAAACGAAAAAATAAATATGACAGCTGATTTATTTTGTTTTTAAACAAAGCTAGAACGAATTATTAAAAATGAAGCAAAAATAAAAACGTTTCAAATATATGCAGCTTTATTTTTTTATCTCCTTACATTATTTTTTATTCATCGGGGAAAAACCTGTTTTTGATTCCAACTTGATGCTGCAGCCTGTAACATCCAGCCTCATTAATTATTGAAGACTGGGGAACAATGGGTGTGAAAATGATGACATTCGGTGCAGGCGCCGGGCCAAAATCTGATTAAAAGAGAGCTGCAATTAGCGGCGAAAATGTAGAATCGATAAGAACCACGCCCAAATTATGGATATGCTTTTTACAGAGAGGGAGGGAGACACAGGGAGAGAGATAAAGTGAAGAATAAATCTTAAATGGGTAGAGCTCTTCTATTCGTTTGCCTCGCCTCTCCTTGGTGACGCCAGTCCACCGTCATCCCAAGAGCTATCCATTGCATTGACTGCACTCTCATTTTTAATAAGGGGAGTTCTGTGTAACGTCCCACCGGACAAACAGCTCTACGCAATTTCCAATGCAATTTTTTCCACACAAGCCTATGTGCATTTTAAAACCAATGAATATCCTTTTCTCCTTCCTTTTTTAAAATGATGTTATTTAAAATCTGCGCGCATACTTTTTGTGCGCAATTACGCGCAAGTGCCAAAATCCAAATGTTCGAACGAGAATCACAATTTAACACATCTAACTGACATTATTTTTAGAACAGATTTTATTTCTGTCAGGGTTCAATGATAGAAAAAAGCGCGTCTACTTACCTAATCTTAGGGTAACTTAGTCCGAGAGGTGTGCAGAAGACGCTGTAGTGCATTAAGATTCCGTAGATGAGCAAGATTAAAGTGGCTTTGCTCGAACTGGCCATGCTGTTAGAACATGAAGAAGAAGAAAAAAAACATGAAACAGGTTAGTCACTCCTATAGAAACAACATGCTCACTCTTTGTTCTGTCTGCCTCACAAGACGCTCTACTTCAATCATTTAAAAGTACAGGATCAGGGGGGAGAAATTGATCATTCACCGCGTAAAGAGACGATTTCTTTCAGTTTTTTCATCCAATTTCGTGAAAGTTTAAGTTTTTTAACAGAGCATCCATCGCATGCAGCGCTAAAGTAACCAAGCTCAGCAAGTCTCCACGCAGCGCAGGACGAAAATTAGAATAATTTCCTTTACTTAAAAAAAAAAGAAAAAAAGAGGGGGGTCTCCTGTTAAGCATTTCCCGAGTTTTAAAGAGATTCCGCAGACAAAGCACGTACCTATAGCAGGGGGAGCAGGGAGAGCGCAGTGCTGTGCAGGAGGATGTGATCCGGGCGCGGCTGTGGTGCTAGTGAGTGAGAGAGAGTGCGTGAAAAAGAGAGAGACGGTATCTTTCTCACGGCACTTCTTTCCTGGCTGAAGCGCCTCCGTCGTCTCCTTGTGTTTTCCCCCTTCGTGCAGCCTCCTCTCTCACTTTTTATACACAGATAAGAAGACTCAAGCAGCCGGAACAAAAAACTCGGGTGGAAAAGTGCGCCGTGTCCTCGTCTACATATCGGTGCTCTAAACTTTTTTGTCCTGCGCTGTGATTGCCTTGGATTTTTATCCACGTCTCGCAAGCCTTGCCTCCCCCCTCCCCTCCTCACCTAACCCCCCCACCTCCTCCTCTCTCCAATAAGTCACATTAAGGATGCTATAGACGTCATCAAGTCTGCCTCCCGGAATATAAAAGTACAGTTCCTTCCTCATCGACGCATCCATCAGACTCACCCCCACCCCTCCTTCTCTTACCCACCTCCCCCCTAAGATGTAAGTTTACTTCTAAACTTTTTTAAACCAGAAAAAAAAGGTGGAAAGAGGTGGTTTTGACTGCACACACACCCATTAATCACCGGATTTGGTGACAGCAAACACAAATCAATTTGTCCCACAACACAACTGATGATTGTTTTTCCCCTAAGCGTCACCAATAAGTCCAATTAGGCTTTTATGATTATGACTATGACTGGGAAGTGTCCATCTCTGCCTGGTGATGGTGGTTTCGTGTGACTGGAGCGTAGATGTGGAGGATGAGGCTCCTGATGACCAAGCTGAGGCCTCTGGGGAGTCAGGAGCTGTCCAGTGCTGAAATCACTCCTCTCAGATTGCGGCTTCTCCTTTTGTATTTACAGTAACTTCTTCCCTAATCACTTCCAATAATTGCTTACTGCGTGGATATTGGCTTTAATAGCCGTGCAGTGACAGAGCTCAGGCCTCTCTGCGGATCTTGTTGGATAGTTGAAATATAAACGAGGCACGTAATCGGATTTGAACACGGGCTGGTGACGCAGGATAGCGCTCCACGGAGATGTCAGAGAGCTCTCCGTGGCTTTTTTTGAAACGATTCTCGCATTCTCTCAGACATTAATCTGGGCGTTTTAGGATTGGGATAATGTGCTGATTGGTGCGATTGAACGAATAAATCAGGAGGAAAGTCCCAAAGTCAAATGTAAAACATGTGGCAATCAGAAAAGAGGCGTTTGGGCCTATTCTCTTGATCTGATCAAGACTAAATTGGATTTTTATGTAACAAGTCATTCCCTTATTTCACGTTTGATTGACCTCTTATGAATTTGCTGGTTATTTTACAGCATCTAAATATAATCTAAACATTTCTACTGGTGAGTAATAAAACTGATGTCTGACAGGAGATTATTTGATGCAAATTCAGAGGCGTTTTTTTACAGTAAGGCCCACGTCCACGTACGAATCTAATTTTATAATCCCAAGGGTCCGAGGCACAGTCACCAGCACGAGGTCAGATCGCTGTATAACACTGATTCAGTCCTATAGCTCATCAACCAATTGAGGAGTTTGCCAAAGAGGCGCGAGATCCACGTCAGCGTTTTTGTTTACTCTGACGCAACACGACGTACAGGGCCAGTCACGGCACGAGGGGACGAGGAGGGGGGCTTATCCACAACTTCTTCTTCTTCATCATCTTCTTGCTGGGAAGAGAGCAACTTAAACCTCATCTGTGTTAACAGGGGAGGACTGACAGCAGATATGAGAGGCCTGTTACAGCAGGTGGTGGAGGGAGAGCTTTGTAGGCTGAGCAAACAGCGCCATCATGAGGGCTGAGGAGGAACATGCATTCATCAGGCCGAAGAAAGGGGGGAGGGGAGGATTGGGGAATACTCGTAAATGCTCAGACTCACATGTGAGGGTCGTGAAACAAACAGCAAGAAAACAAGAGATGCTTTTTATGATATGAGAGATTTCATTTAGATTTACAAGAGTTTGCTCTCAGAAATATTAAACTGATTTATAATAACTTTGATTTATGAAGAAAACGTCAATGAGATTCAGAGCTTGTGGAAAAAATCTTCTACACTCTAAAAACCCCTGGGTTGAAACACCAGGGTTGAAAAGGGACTGACTACTTATTGGGTTATTTTGACACAGAATAAGAATAAGAAGAACTTTATTGAGACTCAATTGTCTGTTGTCTCACATAATATGTCTCCAAAAGTCATCTACTATTTACACAATAGTTATAAAGTCTGATGGCTGTTGGTACAAAAGATCTTCTGAATCTTTCTGTCCTGCAGCTAAGAGGGAGGAGCCGTCCACCATCATTGGCCCTTTGGTCCATCAAGGTGTTGTGAAGTGGGTGATCCATGTTCTTGAGAATAGTCTCCACCTTCCTCAGTGTAGATCTCTCCACCACATCCTCCACTGAGTCCACCTTAAGTGCAACCACAGAGCCAGCCTTTTTCACCAGTTTGTTAAGATATCTTGCATCTTTGCATCTTACTACAGATGTCTATTGATCGGAGTCTTCTCAGGCTAAAGAGGCGGCTCTGCCCCTTTCTGTAGATGAAGTCTATATTCTTAGACCAATCCAACTTATTATCCAAATGTACACCTAGGTATTTATATGATGTCACCACTTCGATGTCCACTCCACAAGTGTTCACTGGCTGAAGAGGGGGTTTGGATCTACAGAAGTCTATGACCATCTCCTTTGTCTTTTGGGTGTTGAGGAGGAGGCCGTTTTTGTGACTGTTGGGTTATTCAAATTAACCCAAATTTTGGGTTGACTCAATAACTCTTTTTAAGGGTCAAGTTAACCTAATCTTGGGTTAAATTGATATATGCATTTGGGGAGCTTTTTTTGGGAGCTTTGCTTTTACAACCTGCAAACCTACCTCACCCCTCTTTTTCACAATTAAGTGTTCCTCTTGCAGTCTTTAAGAACCTTATCTGTTTGCTCTCTGTTCGTGTAACCCCGCTGGTTAGGGTTACTGGAGTAGGAGCCATCTTCTCATCTCGTGTCCATTGCCTTCTCTCTGTTGTTCAAGAAGCCCATTTCTCATCTCAATGCCCTGGTTCCTCAGCATGTGACGCAGATCTTGTTAACACGGGCGACGTCAGAGCCGGTTTGACTTTCAGTGGTAACGCACTTATGTTTATGAGGTAGGCCATAGCGCTAAGGGAGAGTGCAGTCAATGCAATGGATAGCTCTTATGATGACGGTGGACTGGCGTCACCAATATATATCATATTGTATACAAAATCAAGGTCAAAGTTCAGAAAGAAAAAAAAAAGATAATTATTAACCCATTCAAAAAACCCTCAAACTGGGTTACAATAGAATCCATATGACCCAAGAAATGGGCTGGATCTGAAAAATAACCCAAAAACATAGCCCAGCACATATAACCCAGGAGTTTTTAGACTGTACACTCCAAAAACACTTGGGTTGTTTCTTCAACCCAATTCCTGGGCTATACATGTTGGACTATGTTTCTGGGTTATTTTTGGCAATTAAAGTGACCCGGTGACCTTGTTAACTTTGACCTTGATTTTATAAACAATATGATATATACGATAATTGGGTTAGGTTGGGCCAACATTTTAATCGTACAGCATTATTTGCTGCCATTTTCCAATTGAAATGGATTTTGGAAGACTATTTGACTCAATCCAACGATAGACACATGGCAAGTTTTAAAAAACTAAATGTTGTTTATTGTGCATCAGTCTGACAATGGCACCACAAGTCAAAAAGCTGGATCAGACGTTGCTATCAAGAGCACATTCTCTGACTCATCATTTTATCTTCCTCCTACATCGCATCACCATGTAGCCCCGGAGTTGAGTAAGCACTGTGCATCACCACGAGTAATTTGAATAACCCAACTCACTGGGTTAAAATAACCCAAGTAGTCAATCCCTTTTTAACCCTTGATTTGAGTTTAAAAAAAAACAAGTTCTGTTATTTTTAACCCAGGGGTTTTTAGTGTGTACAAGAACAGGAGGGAGCCAGACTTGATCAACTGTGGCATGCAGCCTAACCCAGTGGGGATGAGTTCAAGTCCAAACTAAGTGGCTTTTCCTCTGTAGAGAGTGGCAATGTTAGGCAGGTTCTGTTGCAGACATGATGGATGATGGGAAATAGAATGAAGGAGGGGTGGATCTAGGACACCAGAGCTAATTGTTCAGCCTCGCTGACATGATGCAGACCTAAATGAACAAAAACAAGTGAGGGGAGGTGCCCACTTGTTAACCCTCTGATGTGCTGGCTCTTTCTGTCCATGCATCCCATTTAGTGTGGGCACTGGGGGGACATGAAAAGCCATGTGATAGGCTATGACAGTCATCTGTAGAGGACGTAATGAGGTATAACAACTTTAAACAATAAAAACACAACAAAGAAATTAACATCTAATTATGAGGAGCTTCGGTTTGTGCCAATTTTGGTGCCCCTTGTCTGGTCCTCTATGTGCTGAATTTATGCCCTCTGATTAAAAAACCTTATCCTGCTGACTTTTAAAGGTCGAATGTATTATTTATTGCAAACATTTTACAAGTAAAGTGTAAAAACAGGACTGTTCCTGCAGCTGATCGGCTGACACCTACCTCCTCTCAAAGGATTTAAGCATTTAAATTGACAAAATAAAGAATGTCAGTCTAACTGGAGATGGTTCTTAAAACCATTGTCCTTGTGGAGACAAAACCTAAATGTTGTCACAATATAAAATACCAACAAAACAAAATATGCAATAGCTTAATTAAAAGGGAAAAAATACAGCAGCCCTCAAAGTTGACTTCAACACAAGTCTGTGTAGTGGATCCTAGCACACTGGGATGGCCAATGAGGTTTTCAGGGATGTTATTGAATTTCCCCTTGGGGATCAATAAAGTTCTTCTTATCTTATCTAACTGACACATTCCTGTATGTGTCTAGTCTGCTTTGTATGTATTCAGATAAGCATAGAGAAGGTGTTAGGCTGTCATGTGTCCATTTATTTCATTGAATTTTGTGGATCAAGCACAGGTCTTTATGAACCAGTGGTTACTATCCTTGAAGTGCTTTTCTATTTTTTAATAAATAATGTAAAACATCTCAAGATTGTGCAAGCATTGATTAGAAAAAGAAAGGCAGACAAATAGACATCAAATTATTAATACAAATACCTGTAAAGAAGAGATACATGCTGACAAACTCATGCAAGGATATTAGGTCATATAAAGCAGATGTTGTAATATTTTCTTTATATTCTTAATTTTTGGATTCACAGTATCTCATGGCAGTAAGAGCATCAGTAGCTATCAGTGTAAATAATAAGGTATTTGTGCGTTTCCTTCTTGTTATTTTATGTTTTTTGTGTCTTTGTTTTGGCAGTCTTGATCCACCACAATATGGTGACTCATCAAATTTGTCTTCTCTGTTTTTCAGAAAACTCTGCAGCCCCCGGTCAGGAACCGAGCTCGACTCTGCACACCACCAGCGTCACCCCCCTGAGGAATCTGTTGTAATCTATTTATTATACCTGCTGACCAGCCTTCAACCACCGGCAGCAGCACTACAGGCACACACAGGGTTTTATTAAAAATGAAAGTGTCTAACCTGACACCTCATAAGATTCACTGAAGAAAAGACCTACAGTGAAATAGAGCAACAAGCTCTGAATTCAGAGTATTTTATGATGTGTCAGGATAGTTGTAAGAATGAAAACACAGAACAACATGTCTTGGATGGAAACAATACTGGCAGCATTGCTGGGGAGTAGGGGGGAGGGGGTACTCTATTGAGCCTCTTTAGTTTGTTTCTCACAGAAGCCTTTTTTTTTTTCTTTCAGGAGACCTCCCTCAGGGAAACTGGAGCTGTCTGCACACGCACAATGCAGTCAGAGTCAGTAGGGGTCAGCAAATACCTTTAAAATCTCAGCAGCAGATGGTCTCATACATACTTAGCCTGCGGTCCAACAGATTTGTGGTTATTGTTGTAGTTTTGGTTGATATTTGTTTAAAGTGTGATCCCAACATTATATTACACTCTTCAAACACCACTTTTCTATTTGTTTACCTTACTAATAACAGTGAAGAAAAATATTCCACTCCTTATATGACATTATAGCGACAGAAAAGTCAATATTTTTTCTTGTTCACACATCGCATTTACTCCAAGCTTTTTGTCTTATAGGAACCTAATTGAAGTTAAGTGATGCTTTCATGACCCAGGGGGCGCCATAAGCCCTCCTATTGTGATTTAGGATCAAAGGTTAAACGGGACGTCTTTATTTGGTTTTAAAAGTTGAACTTAAAAATGTTTTGAATGTGAAATTGATAACTTAATAAGTGATAACTACACAGCAGCTTTTTCTTCTTCTTCTCTTTTTCTGCCGGGGCCAGATGGTGGATTTTATCTACAATCTGAACCACTGAAGTCGGCCATATTGGGCACAAGGGAAAACCATTCAATAGCAGATGATGGGACATTCAAGGGCTGTCGGAAATCTGATGAATCTAGAAAGGACATGTACAAACCTTTTAAAAAATAAAAAAAATCTTTTTCCTCCTGGGTTCACGAGCTGATGGTTTGAGATTATTGGATTGTGTTGATGAATTAGGATAAAAAATGAAACCATTTGAAAACTGCAAGAATAGTTTTCTGTTACTGATTCCTGCCTCTGGCCAAAAAGATCGATCAAAATGCAATCTGCAAACATTTTGATGATTGTATTTTGTCAGAATAAGTTAAAGCTAAAACATGGACTTGTGAGTATGGACTTGTTTCTTTATTGTGGTCTGGTAGATTATAAATGCATTGACTTCATGTTTTTGAGTCTTGCTTCTTCAAATGAAAAGAATTTTGCTGGCTGATAAATAATAAGTAAATGCAACTTTCATTTTAAATACAAGCCAGAAAGCTTCAGTCCACAGTAGTGATAAACTGATTGTTGGGGGTTCTTAAAATGTACTTAATTATCTTTTCAGAACTGAAGAAGCTTCTTGGATAAGTGGTGAAATTTCCTCTCAAACTCTACACAGTCCAGCTGCCTGATTTTGGAGTCTTCAAGAAAACTATGACCTGGATGAATGAGAATCTACGTGGATTTAATTATGTTTTCAGAGCCTGTGAATTTTTGCACTCTGCATTTTAGCTAAACTTAAATATTACAATACAATATTTGTTTGCAAGTTTGAACCACAAAATTTATATGAATTTTATATGAATAAACTTGCCTTGTAATTACAGTTATCTCTGCAGCAGAACTTCTGCTTGGGTGAAAATTTTGAGCATAAAAAAACATGAGCAATTGTACAATTCTTTAGTTTTACATAAACAGTAAAAGGTGTTCAATTTTTAGAGATAAAACCTCGTATTTGTTGCTTTTGCACATATTCATCAACACATTTTGTAGTCTGAAGTAGCCCGTTTTTATTGTTATTGTTAATGCATTATTTTGGCTCCAAACACCGACTTTAAATCTCGTTAACTACTCATATCAGTATCGGTTTCGGACCTGGAAAAATAACAATAGCAGTCGACCCCTAATCCACAGTATAATTTGTGTTCTACTGGGAAAGCAAGATGTACGAGTCTTAACATGTGTACGTGAACGCATCATCATTCCTTCTTTGGCCTCGTCGGTTCCTCGATGCTAGTCCGGCTATTGTTGTGTGTCTTTCAGGGCAGCCCTGACCTATCAGCGGGCGGTGATTTGTGGATATTTTAACTGTTTTGCTTAGCTCTCACCCCGCCATATTAAGCAGTCTTTGTCAGCTGGCGGTGCTTTTTCTTTGTGGCGAAATATAAAGGATAACAGCGGAGGACTTTGGGGCTGCTGAAGTAGTAAATCGGTATGGGACAGACGGAAGACTGAGATTGTTCGCCTTCCAGACTGCTGCTTCGGTCGGCTGTGTCTACTTCTCGGAATTTCCTACGTGAAATACAAAACGTGGGGGGGAGAAAACATCACAGGACGCATGTAGCCGAAGAATAACACTGCAAAAGTCGCTTTTAAGGTAAGAAATACAAGTCTGAGAAAGTCACATTTTGTCTTGAAGTGAGTTAGCAGGGCCTCGTAGTTTCCCCCTGTGACACTTGGGAAAGTTGGGAAAGAGCAGGAGAGTTTTCTCTGTTTGTGTTACCTTTTCTTTAAAGTCTTTGTCTGTGATTATTCCGAAACAAAACACAAATTCAGTGACTATTTGCTTTGATAGGTCGATATGAGATGAAAACTTAGGTGGAAAAGCTCTAAAACAGTCCCAGGACAAGACCACAGTGCATTATTTTACCTACTTATCACAAAATGAGCTAAATGACAAACTAAACTACATTTCTTTCACTTAAAGAGCCTCTTTATATGTGTATTTGAGCTACACTTAAGTGAAACTATCTTTCTTTTTCCCTTGCCTCACCCATTTTCTCTCTCTCTCTCTCTCTACACACACACTATCATATCAGCTGCTATGGGCCCCAGCTGTTAAGGCCTTTATTGCAAGACATATTGCTTTACAACAGCAGATCATGATGTTGAAATCCCTGTAATTTACGTCTTTGTGGATATATTTTTTTTACTACTCCCATCTTGCATACTTTTTATTGTAGCAGTACAGCTGTACTCCCCACGGTTGCAACATGTGTGAGAAGATATGAAGTGCATTAATGATGATGTTGTGTTGGTGTGTGTCTCATATTCATCCCTGATGGTGCATGTGTCTGCTGGTGTGCTTATACACTCGGGTGCCACAGTAATCCTCCTCCATGCTAATCCTTCTGTTAGTGCAGCCTCAGTTGGTTGGACAGTCGTGTCTCCCTCCACACACAGACAGACACACACACAGCTGGAAGGAGAGGCTTTTGGCAGAGGAGTGAGGAGCACTAACAGGTGGTGTTGGCCAGGGTTCAGGGACTTGAGTTTAACTGCAGACATGAAGGATCCTCACTCAGTCCTGAATTGTACTCATGGCACAAATGAGACTCTACTGTGTCATTATAGTTCGCTGATTAGAAGCTGAGAAGTCCGAGTCATTATGTGACACACACTCTCATGTTAACAAACTGGATGAGTGTTTGGATTTTTGTGGACAGGGAGAATCGTCAGAGGAGCAAACCTCAGACTAAATCCTGCAGGCAGTGATGAGGGCGACGAGAACAAGAGGAGCTTTTTTTATTTTATAGCTTGAACATGGCTCATTCTCTCTCCGAGCCTCACTCTAGTCTTTGACAGTCACAGCAGGTGGCCTCAGTGGTATGAATGGATTCGGAAGGAAGTTCCCCTCTCTCCCTCCCCTCGGAGCGCCCCCCTCCTCTCACTGTGATTGGCAGAGATGGCAGGCTGCCCTGAAGATAAGGCCAGGCTGCGCCTCAGAGAGTGTGCCAGGGAAATTACTGAGTTACGCTTTGGTAATGGTTTGCAGTCCCGGGGTAGGATCTCCTTCTCCTCTCTGTGCGATCGAGGAAAGTGTTTACAGTGTCAGTGTGTTAAGTTAGCTCTCAGGCTTACACACTGAATTTATCTTACACAGCAGGATCAAGATCGCTCTGTAGATTTCGCACGCTGCTGTTTGGCATGCCACGGACAGAAATTCTCACGAATGATCTGATAGTGCAGAAACGGTTGAAGGAAATTCTCCTAAACCCACACCAGCAGACCAACAGTGATTGAAATTCCTCTGAAAGTTGTTTATCGAGCAAAGACGCCAACAGCTTAACTGGTTACAAATTTTTATAGGGGAGCATTAGCTGTGTTTCCCCTGCGAATTAAACATTTCAGAAAGAAAAATAAGAAATTAACCACAAATTTGAGTTGGATAATTCAATATTTCACTCCTGAGATATTCAAAAATAATTGTATTCAGTCTGTTTAGCCTGCCTACTCTGCTAACTCCCCGTCTTATCCCTGGTCTTTTGTTGCTGTGAAGTATAGCAGAACAATAGTATTGTGCTAAAAGTGACCACACCTGACCACACCCGGCTGTGATGTTGATCAGTTCCTCAGTTCCTGTTGCAGGATCCCCAAATTTAAAAGGCTACAACAGACCTGGTGTGGAGTAGACTGGGGAAGTTGTTGAAGGAACAGAGATATATTTGTAGAGTGTTTAAAAACTTTAACCTGCATGTTAACATGTCAGTCTGGGTGAAATCGAACTAATTTGACTGACATGCTGCAACAATCCAGTTGGTTATCTTTTTCCTCTTGCATGTAAACACCTCAATCTCACCCGAACTGGCCTGTGCAACAAAATACCTGGTAGCATCCTGCTAACTTGTTTGTTGATTGTGTTGTTAAGTGACATAACAGGTCAACCAGGGACAGCCCAGTCGCTAGCTGAAAATCACCTTATAAGCTCCAACCCTAGCTTGACTTAACTGTGCATATATGTGTGCTGGATATAGGGATGTCCCAATACAATATTGATATTGGATATCGGTCCAATATCGGATTATATCAGCCTGCCTCTTAAATCTCTGATATCAGCACTCCGATACAAGTAGTCCATTCCAGATACTACTCCAGCACCTCTATCTAGCAGTGCCCGGGTCCAGCATCTAGAGCCCATGTAATCACAACAACAGTGTGTACAAAGGTTCTAACAAAGTCGCAAAGAGTATGAGTGATGTCGGCTGTGTGGCAGTATTTTCCGTTCAAGTCAGAAAGAGTTGCCGCTGAGTGCAAAACTTTTCATGCACAAGTTTGAGCCAATATCGGATCAATATAGGTATCAGCCAGTACTGAAGGCTACAGTATCGGGATCGTATCGGAAGTGAAAAAGTTGTATCAGGACACCCTTAGCCGAATATCAGGAACATTGTTGAAATAAGAGAGGAACGAAATGAAACAAAAACACTGTTTTTGGTTTAATTCATCGGCTCTGTAAAATCAGAATAACTTCAAGTTTATCATAGAGTTAAAGAGGTGAACTGCTGCTTCACTGGCTTACAGTAAGTCTTTTATCAGAAAAGTTGAGGTGCAACTGTTCCGCAGACGACTTTGCAGTGTTTTGTCAGAACCAGCTTCGAGTCTATGCAGATGACTGCATGCTGTTTGCCAAAATCCCCTAATAGAGTCCCAACCCATGAGGAGTTGTACCACTACCTGATCATGACTTTTCCATGTAGCAAGCTTTATTTCTGCTCATCCAATTATGATGAAATGCAGCATCCTCATCCTGCACAACACATCCTGGGTATATAAACCCTGGACGTGGGCTTCGGTCTCATTTCCATAGTGATTGCAAAGGTGACACTAGTCAGCCGCTCAAAGGTTGCCGGGCCTCTCCCTGTATGTACTCTCCTGAATTGCATCTTATCTGATGAGTCACACTGATAACCAGAGTCAGGAGCTGTGCCGTGTTTGATCAATAGCGGTCAAGAGAAGTCACTGTTTTCTGCGTCATCTTGAAATACCAACATTTAACCTTCATGTACCCTCATTTTTCTCTCGAAGCACTTTGGACTTTTAAGTTTCTTTTATCTTGTTTGTTACCTTTACCTGTTTGTCTCAGTACCACCGAGCAGATTATAAGTTGCCCTTCTTCATAAAAAGTTTAACTTGGCTGTAACTTTTCTGAGAGCAACAGTCAAGGACAAAAACAGCCCCTCACTTTGAGTTCTGCATTAGGACTGTGTAATACGAGAGTTTTCTGTCAAATATTGAATCTCTCATCACGCAGTTCTCGCACAGTATACTGATCCATCAAGACCAAACTTTCCAGTGTACTTCTGAGACTTTTTTTCCTCCTCAACGCTGCCTGCATGCCAGCCACAGCTGAAGCTTCCCTCCTGCAGCTCTGCAGCATTGTTGTATTCAGGCCTGTGGGAAGCAGCAGTCTGTGTCTCCTTAATCTGACACGGCAACACTGGCAGTCTGGCACTCAGCCTCGTGTGTCACATGTCTTTGGACGGGGTCTGGCTTCAGCGTTTGTTTGAACACACACCGCCATCGTTTGTACTCTCTCGTACAGTAAAGCTGAGAGCACAAACATGTGAAGGAGTATAAGAGTATGAATTTCCATATTTGAAGTATTCGTACTCAAACTCAAGCGGACTTGGATGCGACTTTGTCTCAGTTAATAATTGAGTATCTTAAACTACTTTTTTTTAAATGGTCTGTGTGGATGTCGGAGACTTCACGGTGCGTCATCTCTGTATGAGCTTGAGGCGGTGTTTACTGCGTTCCCTTGGAGATCCCAAAAGAATGGCAGATTTCTCCTTGCTAATCCCATTGTGTGTATAACAGCCTCATTAAGGAAACCATCTGAGAGAGGACACAGTAATCTGCCTGTAATATGTTTTGCTCTCAGTCAATTTAAAGCGTCATTAGTTTTGGTGAATTTGTCACACGAGGAAGAAGAACAATGGCTTTGGATGAGTCATTTCTGCTTAATTACTCATCCTCGTACTTTTATGATTTTTTTTCATGGAACATTTTCTTTCCTCTTCAGGGATGGAAACGTGTCTATTTGGTAGAGTGAATATGGATGTTAATAATGTGAAGCTTTGTGGATTATCCAGGACTGATGGGCTGACGTTGGTGTTTGCCCACATGAGTAAAAAGTGATGTATTAATCTGTTCACTAAGCAGCATGTGCTGCAAACATAGACACTCTCTAGCTTGCTGCAGCAATCAGTCAGCACCGACATGAACCACTGTGTTATATTTCCCCTCTATAGGCGCATCTGGTGGTGTTGAATATTTAATTTTAGTTTGTTAGTTTGATTGATTGTTGGGTCGGCGGCTGTAACGGTGGCGTGCCTGTGTGCCCTTATTAACATCTCAGCAGTTTGGTGTTTGCATGTGTATGGGATTGTATAGTTCAGAGGGATGTGTATGCTGTGCTCTCTAGGGGGGCGGCAGCATAAGGTACTTTCTCTTTTCTCATTACAAAAGGAAGATGGGACTGACAAAAGAGTAAACAAAAAGCCTTTCACTGCGGCGTGAAACCGAGAGAGGTGGAAGATCGCTTCTCTATGGGTGGTTTTGGATAGATCTATTGAGCAGGATTGAAACATTTGGAGGAGATGACTTGATGGTTTGGTGGAGTTAAGAAGACGAAAAATCTGTTTTTCTGTTACCAAACTTGTTTATTTTTTTCCCTAAATAACCCGTTGGTCTAGTTTTTAGAAGTTTGGTGGTATCAGTTGTATAATCCTTAGTTTTTGCTGCTGGACATGTCTAGTATCTGGAGCCGGAGAAGAAGCGATCCAAAGTACAATTCAAGGGTGTTGAAACAGTTCGACACGCCGGATCATGTGCCGACCCTGTGGGCTCGCTCAGGCTTGTGATCCAGTCATGGCCTTTTTAGGAGCGAATCCTCCCAGTGCATGATGGTGCAAACAGGAAAGACTGAGGAGAGGAACGGTTTTAACGTACGACTCGGGCTGTAATTACACGACAAGATTAGAGAATATAAATCAAAGAGTGAAACTACAAGCCGCAGACTTAATGGTCTCGGTGTTTCTTGCCTTACAGGATGAGACTCAGAGTCCTCCAGGCATTGATCCACATTGAATCCGAACTACTTTGTACCTCCTCGCTCTGGTTGTTTATCCTGTAAGTTGGCTTTGATTTAAAAGCAGTCATAAGGTCAGGCTCTCTCAGCTGACAGTTAAAACAGAGTCAGTGTACTTACTGTCACAGTGATCTCTTGTAGTCTGGTTCATCAGGATTAACCTCAGTCTAGGAAACAGCCGAGGATTTGAAGCATTGATACCCTCTTTTGAACTACACAGGCACTCCTCCACTACACAGGTTAGCCGTTTGTTTGCTGAAGCCTTAGCTGTGGGGTCAAGCACTAAGTGTTGTGGACGTTTGAACACGTGCTGTGTTTGGTAGATGAAGGTCAGAGGTGACGGCGATGTTTATGTTGGCGTCTGTGATCCTGCTCTGTCCATCCTACTTATTTATGATGCAGAATACAGACAATGTAGCATAAAACGGGGTATTAAACCCCTTCAAATTTATCCCACAAGTCGGAAACAACTTTTTTCAGTCAACATTGAATATGTATAGATGGCTGTACTTAAATGATCCCAAACGAGGACGTGCTGCACACAAATATTGCACTTACTGGAGTCGATTGTTGCTAAACCTCTACCTCGTCTCGTATGTTTCAGTTGTTCTTTGCACCAACTAAACGCCGATGAGTCAAGCTGTGAGAAACAGTCATTGTCTTCAAGGTCGAACGAACATAAAGAAACAAGCAGCCCACAGATGGCCCATTGTGTTTTTCTTTCTAATTGTTATTCAGGTTTCAGATTTCTTTCCTGTCTTTGGTTTGTCTTTTTATGCGCCACACGTGTATAGACTTATTTTCATCTTAATGTGCGTGCATGTTTCCTACAGCCACCTGCAAGGACATCCGGAGGTTCATAGATACGAGTGTAGTATCTGTTTTAATTGGCTGAAAGGTGAATAATAAACAGTGTTGCAAACTATTCAGTAAGGAAAGTTGTTAGTGGCTGTCGTAAAAGTCGCTAGAAGTCACTAGATAACGTCATCGCCTAATTCGCATGTTTCTGATGCACACTGGCTTTATGTTGAGAAGAGTAACATCGATACCTGCTTTCATGTTGGAGTCTCTGAACTCCAGAAAAAGGTGCTTTTTAAAAAAATAGGTTGCTAGGGGCGTCTTAAAAGCCGCCAAATCTAGTGACAAAGTCGTAAGATTTAGATTTTGGCAACAGTGGTTGAATGTGTGTTTATAAATGTGTGAAATTTGTGTGTTAGGTTGAGTATTTCTAATAACCAACATGAAGCATCAGTCAGGCCAAGCCATGCAGATGATCCATACAGGTCACATGCTGTCAACACCAGCTGTTATTGGTTATCCTGTGGTCTGTGGTAATCCAGTGCAGGATTTCTGATTTCCTGAGAGCCTTAAAGCATGAGCTGGACTGACATTTATATTATGATCTGGTTCTTCATGCATTTATTGGAAAATATCAGCCTCATCTTCATCAACTTCTTCAGGATTTTGTATCCTGCATGTTCACTCTGCAGCAGGTTGATGTGAAGTTGACTTTTTAAGCATCAGTGAGCCTCTTAAACGGTCCCTCTTGCTCTTTAAACTTTACCGTTTCCTGTACGATAAAATAACTCTGTCCATCTGTCTCTATCCATCATTTCGTCTCTCTATTTCCGCTGCCTCAGCCAGCGTTGGCTTTCAGTCAATACTGTTGATGGTAGGAGCTCAATACTCCATTCATCACTGATAAGAACATCCATAGATTGATTCTCGACTCTCTGGTCAGGTTTGGCTGTAGCTCTGCCTCACAGAAGCTGAAGTCTAAGGTTTATTTTCTTCACAGTCGTAGTTTCAGCTTCAGTCTGACTCTGACAGCAAACCCTTCTGCGGCGGGGGACGACCCGGCTTGGCGGGGTGAAAATATACTGATATCAGGACTCACATGAAAGTTGAAACACTCAAAATAAAAAAAAAACATTCAGCAAACCACCGGACATTGATTAACGTGGACGCTCTTTAATCTTCCTGTCTCCACTCGGTCTCCGGTGGGTCGGGCGAATCCAAAATGGTGAAAACAAGGGCGATGTTCTCAGACAGACTGTTACCTGTAAAATGGAGATGCTATGAAAACACCCTCATTAGCACTTGGTATGTTCCTCCTGATGAAATTAACAATAGACTGTAAATTGACGCTTGACAAAAATCGAGTCGACCAATCAGAATTTTGGTCGACATGGCACGTATCGACCAATAAGTCGACCAGTGGATTAGGACTTTACAGCCTTAGAGGATTCTAGTTGTTGAAGGTTCCTTTTCAAACTATGGAGTATGAGTAAGCTCTTCTAATCCACTGAGATTAAACTATAAACATTTACCTCCAGAGTATTAATGACTTGAAAAAAGACATGTTGTGTTTTTGTTTCAAACCTCATGTTCCCCTTTCCTTGTCTTTAGTTTTTGTCTGACAGCAGCCCTGACCTGTGTCACCCTGTTACAAACCCCTGTGTGACCTGTCTCTGACGGACATTCGAAACTATGCTGTAACATTTCCCAAGATATGAGTCACTGACTGTGGATCAGCCTAGGAGCTGTCCTGCAGCAGCAGCAGCAGCGTCTTTATTGTGTACACAATACACATACGCGCACTCAGACCCACCTTGACAATGAGGCGAAAGGTGACAGAGCGCTGAGTAAACAGAGACGGTTGATGCTGTCAACACTTGGAAACACTCCTACAGCCTTAAACTGACACATATTCATTTATACTCAGATATACATGCGTTAGGATGATAACTAAAGTGACAACTTCTTAAAAGATTGAACAACATGTGTCTTAATTAAAATAAAAAAACACTATCTGAGTAATAATATCATGTCTATGTGAACTGATGTGGACTTTCCCACAGAGATCCACCAATCCCGCATACACAAGGGCTCAAATATCAGTGAGAACAGTGGTATAGAGCAGTGAGGAACAGAAACACCTCAGGCTCTCCCACTCATTTCTGTGTCAGTGATGGTGTGATCACAGAGGGCAGAGTTGAAATGGCCAAAGGCTGCAACTGGATCCAGTTTTTAGCTGCAGTAGCTTGTTCAGCTTTTGTCCAGACTTGTGAAGTTGTGTTAGATCATCGGTTGGCTTGAATTATCTGTTTTATGAATGGTGAAGTCCAGCCGCCCCACTGACAAACTCCAGGCTGTAGCTCGATGACGTACCGTGCACTCAAGCTTTTTTGACTGAAACGTTGATTTTTGGATTTTAGGAAAGTTGGACCGGATCTGCTCCACCCTGGGCAGGTTGGCAAGGTTTTTAATCACCATGTTGGAGGAGATACACTAATTATAACAAAGCTGGACTTAATTATTCTGCACATATGTGTTTGCAATTTCCACGCAGAGTTTGGAATCGAGTAGCAGGAAAAACTGTGAAGATTTGAGACTTACAAGGAAACAGCGTGTAGCATGTGTTCTCATAGGGGTTCATTAGTGAGGCAACTATAAACACACACAATATTTGTGTGTTTTCAGCACATGTTACACTGGCCTCTAACTCTCCATTTCTCCTCTTCAGGCTTGACCATGGGTTGTGTCAGGAGTAAAGAGGACAAAGGCCCGGCCTCGAAGTACCGACCCGACAACACAAATGCCACGCCAATCAATGCCAACCCAGGCCGCTACGGGCCAGACCCCACCCTGATGGGTCATTCACCTGCCATGAAGACACACAACAACAGCTACAACAGTCATGCGGCCTCCCTGACGCCGTTCGGTGGAGCGTCTTCCATCATGACCCCGTTTGGCGGGGCCTCCACTTCCTTCACCTCTGTGGCCGTGAGCAGTCCTTTCCCCGGCGTAATCACAGGTCAGTTTGTGAAGTACAATAAAGATGTGACTCCAGATTTATCAAGAACCCTGGATTTAATAAAGCTGTAACCACCTATGAAATCAAGGAGGTCCAGATCGCAGAGGCTAATCTGCTGGTTTTAAAAGTATATTTGAGACGTTGTTGTTATTTTCTGTGCATGACTGCCTGTTTGTAACCCAGTGGACAGAAATAACACATCCCTCCGCCTCATGTACAGGTACTTGTGAGTGTTGCCATGGTTATAGGCAGCTTTCTTCTGACCACCCAGCTCATCAAAATCAACATGCAGTGACCAGAAATGCTGCTTAAGTTTTTCTGTTTAAAATGCACAAAATGCAAATTCCAGTCACATTATACAGCAGTAAATAAGCTGTACTTTACACTTGCTAACTCTGTATTGTTGCAAATGATTATAACCCTGCTTATCACTAATCACCTGGCTTTGTTTAATACTTGATATTAGCAAAGTCTACTGTGTCTTTATGATAGTGCCAGTCGACGACATGGAAGATAGCTTTGATAATATTACTCTTAAAACTTTGGGTAGGGAGTGAATGACAAGACAAGAATTGGGAAAACAAGACAGAGATGAGCAAAAGGGGCTGGAGAGTAAATGAGACATCTAACAAATTAAAGAAAACAGACATAAAGCGAGCACAAACTGCGACACAGTATTGACATTGGCATAAGCTACAGACTTGATAAGGTAAAAGGGTTGGTTCTGTTATTTTGTGCAGCTGTTAAGACTTTACTGTGAGTGATAGATGAAGATTATTGTTAATTCAATCCATAAGTGAGTTACATTAACATTACGTTATCCGCGCTACTAGCTATTTATGCTGCGCTCGAGTTACCTGTGAAGTCAGATGTCCAAGCTGGGAATGATGTCACACCCGAGTTACCAGCGTTTCAGTTACAAAGTCAGAAAAAAGCTAAATCAGAGGCAGAGACATTATGGCTAAATCTACGAAAGTTATTTTAGCGCTTGCCTTGTCCTTGCTTATAAGGCTAGGCTAAAATAACTTTCGTAGATGTAGCCATCTTGTTTCCGCCTCCGATTTTGCTTTTTCCTATTCAAGATAATATCTCGGTTGTGAGTTGTGACGTCATTCCTGCATATAAACTTGAACGTTTCCCCTCACGTTGATGGAAGAGGGTCTGACAGGATTTGGCGCGCTCGTTGATGACTCTAAACAAGTCGAAAATTACGTTGTGTGTTGTTGTGCTCACACAGTGCGAGAAGGGCAAACACTAGACTGTGTATTCATCAGTTTCATTTTACTGTGTCAGGATGTTTGACTACATTTTAAGTTAAACTCTGTAATGTATTAAACAGAAATATCAAAGCTTCATCTTTTTAAATAAACCGGAATCAAAGGATTATAATTTACCAGAAGTGTTTACAAAAATTCAACAAACCATCGTCTCCCGATTCTAACTTCTAATCGTGTTTCCAGTCCTTGTAAATGAGTGTAAAACTTCAAAATAAACTCTACTGAACATTTGTAATGCACATGAGGTTCAGAGCAGCAGATGTTACACAAAGTCGACATTTGAGACGACTCAGCCTAAACATCAAGGCCGGAGAGGAACCGAAAATAGTTCTCTGATATGGGAAGAAACACACGGCGTCTCCAGAGCCAAAGACAACAATTATAAACCCTGACTTCATTAGATCTAGTCAACCACATCCAAAGTTATCCTGTCAGCAAGAGTTTGACTTTCAGCGACTTTCCGATGAAGGATTTGCTCGTAATGAAATGACGCCTGGTGACATGAAACATAATCCGGCGCTCATTTGCATAGTTAATACATCACAGATTAGATGGATGAATTATGCAATAAACATTCACAACACTGAGCGTTGTTTCCACTTCGAGCACACACACACACACACACACACATGCTCATGCACACACAACCCCAGTCTCTGCCGTGATCTCTCAAGGAGGATAATCTTGCCTGAGGGGGCTGCTGGAGATCTAATCCTGCCCGTTCAATTTCCTCCTGCAGATAAACATATCAGAGTCCTGTTGTCTCTCTGCACTCTGTCACTTCAGACCCGACAAATCAACTCTTTTCATTATGTGGGAGAGATTAAGTGACATCAATTTGATTCACTGACATCACGAGATACCGCCCAGTCTGAGAGATGGTGTTTCTCTTGTGTGTTTCCTTCAAATAAATCAACAGTAAAGGAGCAGTCTGTGTTTTAAGTGCTGGCTCAGAGGGTTCTATTCAAAAATAGGGTGTACTACTTTAAATAAAAAAGGAAGATTAATGTCGTCATGAGTTAAATAAATAAATCTGTGTATCATATTGATTTGATTAAGACTTGATGAAGCTTTGAATTAAGTATGAAACAATCAACGCAGCAACCTAAAAAAATTCGGTCACCCTTTTTTGAATGCTAGTGTTTTTTTTTACGTGTAATGCAGCTTTAAATAATTAGATTAAAGAGTGATGAAATATCCACACTCATGCTCAGTCTCTCTTGTTTTCAGGTGGTGTGACATTTTTCGTCGCCCTCTACGACTATGAAGCCAGGACGTCTGATGATCTGTCTTTCACAAAAGGGGATCGCTTCCAGATCATCAACAACACGTGAGTACATTTGCTTTTTAAACTAGCAACCTCCTGCTGAGGGGATGTGTGTGTGTGTGTGTGTGTGTGTGTGTGTGTGTGTGTGTGTGTGTGTGTGTGTGTGTGTGTGTGTGTGTGTGTGTGTGTGTGTGTGTGTGTGTGTGTGTGTGTGTGTAATCCCTCATTGTATTCAAGTCTGATATTAAGGCTGAAATCTGTCTGGGTTAATGGCTTCCTCTAATGGGCCATCTGTTTCGCCCCTGCCGCTTTTCTCCTGCCACACATTATTCCACCAGCGCGTTTTTGTCAGAGTGATAACCACACAACGCTGAGAAGTTTCAGTAATGCACATCATGTATCAGATTTATATATTCCTATCACTTCCAGGCTGTGTGCGAAGCCGCTAACAGTGCATGGAGAAATGAGCCTGAAGGTGAAACTCATTAGAGGAGAGTGAGATTAGTTTACATTTTAGCAACATCATCATCGATTTATTTTGTAAAGGCATGATTATGGTGGCCCTGAGGTGCAAAACACAACAGTGAATAAGAAAACACAACAGAAAAAGAGAAAAGTCTTCGACAAATAGGAAAACACAACACAAAATGAGAAAACACAAAACAAAAGAGAAAACACAAAACAAAAAAAGAGAAAACAAAAAATGAAAGAGAAAACACATCGACAAATAAAAAAACACAACACAAAAAGAGAAAACGCAACACAAAAAGAGAAAACACAAAACAAAAAAGAAAACACAAAACAAATAGAGAAAACAAAAAAAGAGAAAACGCATCAACAAATAAGAAAACACAACACAAAAAAGAGAAAACACAAAAAATAGGAAAACACAACACAAGAAGAGATAACACAATGGCAAATAAGAAAACACAAAGACATTAATTATGTTTTCTCTTTTTGTGTTGTGTTTTCTTTTTTTGTGTTGTGTTTTTTGATTTGCCGTTGTGTTTTGCACCTTAGGGCCACCGTACATAATACAGGGAGCGATTTCCCTCGTTTACAAGTCAGTGACTTTGCTACAGATAGTGAAACTAGTGATTAATAAATTCATGCTCATCATACCAGCATTAAAGGAAGTAGAAACCAGATAATGAGGGATTACTGACTGTTTATTCTTCAGCAGTGGCAGCAGCTGAAGCATCTTTTATTGAACAGGTGTGAAAACAGGCAGCCTCATACTCGATGTCGCTCTCCTCTTTCATCACACACATCTCCGGCTACCGTCAATGAACACGTTACATATGCAACGATGAAAAGTCCATCTGCTTTCATAGAGGTGGTGGGAGGAGGACAGAAATACAGTTTTTAGAAAACGCTGCCGAACAGTTTCGTCTTAGAGACAAGTTCCTGGTCTCTCTGTGATTCACGCTCGCACATCTGCTGTTGTTGCTATAAATGGAGGACTAAAACGGGGGAGTTTGTTTTATAACCTTCTGCAATGTTGTCATTGGTTTTTTTTTTGTAGGCGTTGTGTTCTTCGTGGTAAAAGTAGCACAACAACAAGAGAGATACTTTACTGAACTCTGCTCAGTTGTGTTTTTTAAATATGTGCGTTATGAGCATTAGCACCGCTTAAACTGCGATAATTCAGGAGGAAACAGATTTGTTTTTTAATCAACTACATTTCAGCTGCAGCAGATTTGACACTTGTTGCATGAGACAGTCAACTTCTTAAAATTTTGAGGAGTTTTCCTTCAGTTTCCTCATGTGCACTTATTCATGTCACATACCAGAGTGTTATGATTGTGTTAATGTGTGTTAAGCATCCACCCGTGCTTGTCATGACTCCTAAACCCCTCCTTCAGCGTGTTGACACGGATTACTGACGCGTTTGAATGACGCATAATGCGACCTTGTTACTTCTGTGTCTTTTTCTCTTTTTTTTATTTTTGGTGTAGGTGGACCTTCCAACCGTTCTTTCTATTTTGTCTGTTTTGTGTGTTTCTGATTTCCAATTTTCTTCTCTCTTCAGTGAAGGCGACTGGTGGGAGGCTCGCTCCATCAACACCGGACAAAAAGGTTACATCCCCAGTAACTACGTGGCTCCTGCCGACTCCATACAGGCTGAAGAGTGAGAGCTCATTAACTTTTCTGACACTCTTTGTCTGTCTCGATCTCCGTCATCCTCTGACGTTCGTTTCTTTACTTGTTTCATCTTTACTTCCCCCTCATCGTTCCCTTCTGCTGTCTCACCCTGCTTACTTTGATTGAGACAACACGATGCGGCTGGCCAGTCACACACTGAGACTGACCCATCGTGAACCAACATGGCAGCACCGAGTCCAAACAATAGAGCCCTGTATTTGCTGCGTGGCATCCACATTGCTGTTCATTCACTGTGACTGAAACATCAAGGGACTGGGCTGCTTTTAGACCAGTTTGGCCTGGTTTTGGATCGGTAGTAGCTGCGTAGACGACTTGATTAAAATCTGGGAAACCTGCCTCTTAACTCTATTTTCATTCTAAAGTGATCACATCTGTTTTTGCTTTGCATTTTATCCCAGAAAAAAATATGCCAATCTTGTGAGAGTGTTTAGCAGGACAGGACCTTTTAAAAAAGATGGTGTTGTCTTAAAGTCCCACTCCGATTGTTTTTTTGTTCTCTACTTTAAGTGTTCTCGGTGGTCTTTAAATTGTGATTAGGAAGTTTTTAGCCAAAATCACGTTAAAGGGCTTTTCTTCTGCAGAGCTCCAGTTGCTCATTAGCAATTCGCCGCTGAGTTGTGGGCGGAGACAACGCTTCTCTGCACACTCCTCTTCACGCTAGCTTGTAGCCTAACATTGCTGATGAAGTAGAAGTAGAAGGTAAAATAGGAGCTATTCAACTCTTGGACACTGAAGTCTTAAGGGGCCTGATGAAAGTTAATATCATAATTAGCTTTCTTACAAGCATTGCAAACCGCTAACGCACACACTTGTTCCATGATTTTTCTCTCTTATTTCTTTGAGCTAGGCTTGCATAGCAGGGCTCTGGGGGCGGAGCTTGGAATTGTGACATAGGAAATCCAACTGTGTCTTAGTCTGCCATTTGATCTGCCAGAGATTCACAGCAGTTTGGATGCAGAACTACTTAGAAATGCAATTCCGCAGTTATTTTTCTCATGATATGTCCTGTTCCCTCAGAAAAATGCCATATGAACATGTAGACAACAAGAAAAACATGAAAGAAACATTTTCATTGTGGGTCTTTAACTAGAATGAGATCACTTGGAGCTGGTTCTTGGATGACATTTGAGGCTTCCTGGTTTCCTCTCAGATATGAACCGAAATATAAAAATCATCATTGATTTGATTTTTCTCTGAGCAACACAAAATCTAATTTCCCCGTCACCCTTTTCTGAAGGTAACTTTACAATATGAGATGAGATCGTGTCTGACTTGTCCGACTGTCTCGCTTTTGGCAGATGGTACTTTGGTAAAATGGGTCGCAAAGATGCGGAGCGCCTCTTGTTGGTTCCAGGGAACCTGCGGGGCACTTTCTTGGCACGAGAGAGCGAGACAACCAAAGGTATGAGTGTTTTTTATTTATTTATTTTTATTCGAGCTGTTTTAAAATGTAAAGAAATGAACTCATGTTTCTTTTATTTGTTTGTGTAACTTCACAAAGGCGCCTACTCTCTGTCGATCCGGGACTGGGATGAGGTGAAGGGAGACAACGTCAAACACTACAAGATCCGCAAGCTGGATAACGGCGGTTATTACATCACCACGCGGGCCCAGTTTGACACACTGCAGAAGCTGGTGAAACACTACACAGGTATGCATCCCATCAACAAAGTCCGCTTACACATCATCATCATCTCACCAAGGCGGCATTTAGACTGATTGTTGTTTACAGCCGGACTGCTTCTCTTACATGGAAGAAGTTTGTAATTTAGTCTCTTTTTCAGACTCCTGATTGTAGTGTGTAATCTGGACAAACATGCCCGTGATTTCTCCTCATTCCTACAATCAGCAGTTGTCTGACTCGCTGCTGGAATATGTATTAAATGTACGATAAAACGCTTCTGCTCTGATGATTCTCAGGCTTTTGCTGACACGGCTGCAGCTCAGTAATCACGCCAAACTCCCCCGAAAAAGCAAAACCATGTGACGCTTAATCCGAAAGAGGCGTGAATATAAAAATGTCACATAAAAAAACACTGAGTCCTAAGCCGGCTGTAATCTCTCTGGAATATTGATCAGCAAGCAGCTGCTCCAAAAATCCCTCTGAAAGTGTAGGTGACAAAAGCACACGCAGGATGAACTGTTCATAGAAACTTTGCAATAGTAAAATCTATGAAAATAAGGTTGAAATGTTCGATTTCTCTTTGTGTTTTTGACCCCTGCTCTGCTCGCCCCACATAATTCCTCTCACGCAGTCGCTGATCAATTCATAGCTCTGCGCTTCCCTCGTGTTCCTGCGAGCGTGGAGCTCTGAGCTGCAGGAAAAGTCAACAACAAGTGCAAATTCATGCCGGAGAAGCTCGCAGCTCCCTACCTGCTCAGTGGTTTGAAATAACAGGCTTATTTAATATCTGTGTGCTGAATGTAAGCGAGGCTCTCCATGACTGCTAGCTCTGGTGTCGTCCACCACTGTTTGCTTTCGCTGTGTCTTCAGTCCAAACAGAGACCTGTGATCTTCCTATTTTCTGACTCAAATTGGAGGAATTGAGTTCACCGTGCTTCATGACTGTGTGATAAAAAAAGATTATTTGTGGAGAGGAAGTATTTTTCCAGAAATACCTAAAAAGAAGGACTGCTGTTGTGTGATGTTCTACGTCTGTTTTGTGTGTCTGTCCCTCACCAGAGCACGCCGACGGTCTGTGCCATAGGCTGACGACTGTTTGCCCGACGGTGAAGCCTCAGACTCAGGGACTAGCGAAAGACGCCTGGGAAATTCCACGAGAGTCTCTCAGACTGGAGGTCAAACTGGGACAGGGCTGCTTCGGAGAAGTCTGGATGGGTAAGAGATGCCGTAACTGCTTTCGTCTTTCACACTGTTTATGTCTCAGAAACAAACGTAAGCTGGGTTTCCACAGTAGGAACTTCCCTTAGGGGCTTTGGAAAAGAGACTCAGTATATTCCCTCTGCAGTGGTCAGGGTCTAAATGAGGTCTAAGGGGCCTTTCAGAAAGTCCCTGCTCTGGAAATAAGACTCTCCTACAGCACAGGGACTTTGGGATGGGCTTTCCAAGGCTGAGCATTGATTGTTTTATTGTAGGTGCGGCTTCTTCGCCCAGCAGGATACTTGCGTAATCTTGACAGACTTTAGTCCACGGCAAAAACACAGACAACATAGCTGGAGGAGCTTGTTAGTGTCTTTAAGAGGGACTCTTAAGACTTGAGGTCCTGGGCTCTTAAAAGATCCTGTAAAACCTGGAATATAAATCACACACTATATATAAGACACTGTTGGTATTTCAGGGGCTGTAAATAGATTGGAAGGCATGGCAGGAATGTAATGTGACACATAATGAGGCTGCAGCTTCCTTTTATTTTAAACAGTGATTAAGCTGTAGTTTTTATTTAAGACAAAACTTTTCTATAACATTTGAATTAAAAAAACATCATTTTCAAAATCCAAGGCCGAAATACTGAAATCCAGGAATCCAGAAAATGAACATTTTTTAGGGTCTTGAGTCAAATCATGAGAATTCATTAGATTTTTACTGACATAAGTGTTATCATCAGTAGGGGTGTCCCAATACAACTTTTTTTACTTCCAATATGATGCCAATATTGGCCAATACCGATATTGATCTGATACCAGCACAAACTTGTGATTGACAAGTTTTGCACTCAGCTGAATAACTTTTTTCGGACTTAAACGAAAAATACTGCAACATGGCCGACATCACTTCTACTCCTTGCTACTTTGTTTGTACCCTAGTTCACACTGTTGTTGTGATTTTGCGGGCTCTACATGCTGGATCTGGGCGCTGCTAGATAGAGGTGCCGGAGTGGAATCTGGAATGGACTGCTTATATCAGAGTGCTGATACTGGAGATTTTAGATGCAGGCCGATATAATCCGATATTCATTTTTTTGCTGGTATCAGACCGTTATCTGATATCAATATTGTATTGGAACATCCCTAACTATCAGTGAATTCATGTGAACTTTGATAGTATAAGGAGCAACACTGTTTATAGAAAATGTAGAAGTTCTGTCTTGCAGTCGTCTCCTTCCAAAAAGGACAGACAAGCTTCCGAAGGCTGACTCAGTTTGTGGTTTTAGTCTACAGCCTCACATTGTCCACTCAAACAGTATGCAGCATTCATATTTCCACTGATCATGAATTAGTCAATGATACGAACACAAATACACAAATACACTCTTGTGACAATTAGTATGTTCAAGAAAACATCCTCTGTGCATTATTAATAAGACATGTAAGTTTAATGTAAAAGGACTCAGGAGCAGTGAAAGCACGTACACAGAGTGAGTTTATAGAATGATTCACGTTGGCTCGAGGCTGAGTGGGTCTGACCTCAGTAAAGATCTGGTCTCGCTGCCTCACTGGCCCACATACTGATGGAAAGACTGATCGCTGCATGCAGCTCAGTAATGACAGGTCACCTCCTACGCTTCAGTTCCCTGGGCCCGCATGTGAGACGGGGGCCTGTGAGTGAGCACGGCGCTCCTCTTTCATCACTCAGTCTTTCATTAAGCGTGGCCTGCAGCAAGCCTCGACCTGCGCGCCTCTGCTATGCAATCCCAGGAATCCCTCTTTCTCTCCCTCTCCTTGTTCTGTGTGGTCTTGCTCGCCTACAACTTCTCTCTAAAACTCGTCTAGACTGTTCAGCGTTTCACTTTCAAATGTCTTGCAGTGTGCCAGTTGATCTCTAACACACATGTTATTAGTAGATATGATCACTGCCCTACTTTGTCCTTCGGCTCCTGTGTGTGTGTGCGGTTGGAGTTTGTTCAGTATGATTCATTCATGAAGGTCAGCCACATGACGGAAGCTGCAGATCTCCTGCCTCAGCTCATTGTATGTAAGCAGGGCGTGAGTAAGTGGCTCTCGAACCAGGAAGTGGCTGATTATTTAAGCTGTTGTGTTGCCCAACTCTCCCCCTGAGCTGCATTTGCGCACGGGAACGCTGCCAGGGATCACTGGCACGTTGGCTGGTTTTCAGAGCCCACTTTTTTAATCACTTAAAAGGGGTCAAAAAGTCCTAAATGCACCTGCGGGCTTTTAGAGTTGCAGATCGGTTCATTTCATAAATTGGACATCTGTCAGATTTATTCATTCCTCTTGCTCGTGCCGTTTAATGCAACTCAGTTTAAGGAGATGACCATTCTGTTTTCATCTGGTGTTTTTATTCAGGCACGTGGAACGGCACGACTAAGGTGGCTATCAAGACCCTGAAGCCCGGCACCATGTCCCCAGAAGCTTTCCTACAGGAGGCTCAGATCATGAAGAAACTCCGGCATGACAAACTGGTGCCTCTCTACGCTGTGGTGTCAGAGGAACCCATCTATATCGTGACAGAATTCATGGGCAAAGGTAAGACGCACACAGACTTCTCCATGACTACTCCTTAATGTGACGAGACAGAAACAAGCTTTACTCAGCAACCCAATACAAAGATACTTCAACCTGAACCACTGACTGTTATTATAAACTAGTGTTAGTCATTCATGCTGCAATACAGCAAGTGGTTTCCCTCTGCAACGTTAGATAAAAATAAATATAGCAGGATTCATTTGCATCATACAGTATGTTAAAGTGTTCCTTATGGTCACATCTTTATGTCGTCCATCTAAGCATCGTGGTTTTTGAGTTCCACTGTAGAAGAGACTTACCCCCAATTTCTACCGCATCTGGAACGTCTACGAAAAGGCCGTATCCGCCGATCGTAGCTGATTGTTACGTTGTCAAGTCAGTGTGTCAATTTCCACTGGTGTCTTTCCGTTCCACTGTGGATCGCTGGACTCCGCAGCTGATCACAAGAGTTCTGTTTTTTCCAGACGCTGGAGGGTGCCAGATAAATTCAGCTCAGATTAACCCGTGCTGGAAAGGAAGTCGGGCACAGACACAAAATAAAACATCCGGTTTCTTTTTATTTTCTTTTATTGCACGTAAATCTGCGGGTTCTTGTGAGTTCTCGTGATTCCTGCTGTCCGTAATCCGCCACGAAATTCGCCTCCCAAACGGATCTTGTAGGAATTGGTGGATGGCGAAGATCACCACCGTTCCAGATTGGAGCCGATCCGGATTTGGTGAAAATTGGGGGTTAACCGTCTTTAGGGGCAGGTGGTAAACTACATACACACACCAGCAGAGGTCATCTTGAAGAGAGTCCTCTGGACCTCTTCTGATTTATCTACTTTATTTATAGAGCACCTTTAAAAACAGATGTTTACAAAGTACTTTAACAGAAGAAGCAACAAAGGCAGAAACAGTCAAAGTTAAAATATAGACAGTTAAAGATTGGCGGTTGGTTGGCAGCATCTCATCAGGATGGTGAAAAGGAAGAAGATGGATAGAGGAGAAATAAAAGAGGAAGAGAAATAAATACATAGGTAATAAAATAAGAGTAATAATGAAAAGGAAGGGAGTTTATTAAAATATGAGACAATGTCAAAAACTAAAAACGATGATGATAATAATTTAAAAAACTGACAAGGTTAAACAAGAGGCAGCAGTCAATCAAATAAATAAATAAGTCATTACATCATCACCTTAAGACATACAAGATCTCTCAGCTGCTTTAATTTGTTTAATTTTCTACTCATTTACCTGTGAGGCCTGGTGCTAGCTCTGCTAACATTAGCCACTCTTGTTATTCTGCTTTGTTTGCCACTCCTGTATTTCTTTTTGCATTTTCCCCCCACATGCAAACCAGTCAGACTGTGTCGATTGTTCCTGACTGTGATCTTCTAACTCCCACAGGCAGTTTACTGGACTTCCTGAAGGAGGGAGACGGTAAATATCTGAAGCTGCCCCAGCTGGTGGACATGGCCGCACAGGTAGGATGGAAACACCGGCGTGTGAATGCCAACATTTTGCCTCTTAAGCTCCTCGGCTGCTGTTTCAAAGTCTGTGTGAGGGACGGCTTATCATGCATCATCAATAAAACAAAGAAAGCTGTGGGTGGGCTCTCTCAGCCGTGTGTGTAGGTGCGCATGAGTCAAAACATTCAGAATAACGGTTTTCAGTTTCCTCTCCATCTGGCTGCTGTATTTATTCAGTGCCCAACCTGACATCTCTACGCCCTCCTCCTCCTCCTCTTCCTCCTCCTCCTCCTCTCTGCTGTATGTGACTCCCCTCGCTCCCCTCCACTTAACCGCCTGTAGCACTTAAACACCGCTCATCAGAGGCCACTTGAGCTGACTGCTTCACTCACCTTCTGTGATCTGCTCTTAATTCTCCTCCCCACGCTCCCAGGCTTCCTTTTTCTCCCCCTCTTCTCCTCCTCGTCTTTACTCAGCTGAGTGGAAAAGGGTGTGAGTGTGACTCCAAGGCAGGCTGAAACCTTGAAGAGCCTCTGAGGGACTCGAGCAGGGAGATGATAGATAGTCAGACAGCTCTTAAACATCATTTTTATTTTACTATATATGTCTGGGTGAAGAAAAATAAGTCCTACTTTTAGTTTTTTTCAAGTTCTTGGAAAAAGCTTTCTTGTGTTTTCCCTCGGCTTCCATCAGTACATATGTCTTCTCTGATTGGCCCTCAGATCGCAGACGGCATGGCCTTCATTGAGAGGATGAACTACATCCACAGGGACCTGAGAGCTGCTAACATCCTGGTGGCTGATAACTTAGTGTGCAAGATCGCCGATTTTGGGCTGGCAAGACTCATCGAGGACAACGAGTACACAGCCAGACAAGGTGTGTGGAGCGATTTCACAAATGCTGTTTCACTATTCTGGGAAATATGAATAAGGAAAGTGTTCTGCACGTGTGTCCTGTTTGATTCATCTTTGTTTTCTCATCCCAGGTGCCAAATTCCCCATCAAGTGGACCGCTCCTGAAGCAGCTCTGTACGGTCGCTTCACCATCAAATCAGACGTCTGGTCGTTTGGTATACTACTGACTGAACTGGTGACCAAGGGCAGAGTCCCATATCCAGGTGAGGAGGAGAGCGGCGTTCACTTCTGCCTCCTGTCAGAAAAGTTCCCCTGCGTCTCCTAAAGTCGTATTTATAAAGTTTCGACCCTGGAAAGGCAAAATGATTCATCAGTCAGTGTCTAAGGATAATCCCTGACTGCTATTTTGATTCTTCCTCATCTGAATTTTTAATAGACTTTTCTCACACATGCGGATCATAATAGAACCGCATGTAGCTGACGTGAGTCATCGCAGATGTCTACAGATTTATCAGAGCATGGGAAAGTACCCCTCGCTCTCTTCATGCACGCTCTCCTTCTCCCTGTCGTCTGTCGCTTCATCTCTGCCCCCTGCTGTCAGAAAGCAGTACTGCTGCCAGCGCGCCCCGATGGTGGCGACTGTTGGAGTGGCACTGATTACAGAGCGAGCCATATGGCAGACTCAACCACCATCTCTGCTTGGGGACCATCTGGCTCCCGTGGCCCTCTTGGTTTTAATGCAAACTGTTGGGTTTGATTAATTCACATCAGTGCTGCAGTTTCTGGGGGCTGAACTCCTCATTTCCTTTTTTTATGACTGAAGTGTGACTCACCAGACTCTTTTGGCCTCCCTCCTGCTGTGCTGAGGGTTTTATTTTTATTCCCTTGCTTGGTAGTGTAGAGCAGCGTGAAGCAGGTATATCAAGACCATGTGGCAAGTGTCTGCATAGGGAGACATCATCGTTCTTCTATTTCAGCCCGTGTTTGTATAAATAGATATATAGCTATATGACAGGCATGTTAATAGAGCTGAGGCTCTGAGATCCAAGACATAAATCATGCGAACACTTGAGCATCCGACACACCAACACCACCACATATCCTGCTCTCAGCAGTCACTCTCAGCCTTTCCTCTCTCCTATTGTGACATAACCTGATCCCCACTTCCCCCCAAAGAGAAAGAGGTAGGGGGTGAAGAGGCATGGAGGGGATGGAGGGGGGAGGATGCATCTCCAACCATGCCTCTGACTCTGTGTCATAACCTCTTTTAGCTGCAGCGGAGCTCCCCGCAGAGCTGTGATCGGGTTCAGGATCTCTGCCGTTCCTGTGTTGAGGAGGAATCCACAGCTTGGGTTATTCTAGTCGAAGAGACAGACGCAGCAGAAGTTTGACTTTTTTATGGATGCAGTTAAAAAATAAAGTTACGAATGATCCCTCATGTTCAAATTCAACTTAATTTTTATGGCACTTTTCAGACAAAAAATGCAGTTCAAAGTGCCAACAACAATTAACAACAATAAAACCCAACATTCCCACACACACAAAGACACACACCCACACTCTCTCACCCACACATATACACGCACAGAAGCGCACACAGTGTGAGAATTTAAGATATATTGTTTAAGAGACATGGCCTGACACCGAGGCATCACGTGAGGAAAGAGCCACCTTTGGGAACACTGGAGATAAAAATAAAATGATAAAAAGAAAAACTAAAACCTGATGGACTAAAACAAGAAATATATTAATATTTATATTAAATGAACAGATAAGTAAGAGCTCTTTAATGTACAAAAAGGGGTAAAAGAAGTAAAAACCTGTGATTGGAATTAAGAAAAAGACTTTGAACAGAGATAATTAATAAAATAAACAATAAGAACTTTGATTAAAATGAACATTTGCAATAAGAGAAATTTAAAAAAAGGCAGTTAGTGAAAAGTCTGGTTAAAAATGTGATGTTATACTGCCCGGCTTTGAATATACTTTGTGTGAAGACTAAAACATACAGGATTGAGTGAGTATCGGCAGCGTTGCGTTTCCATTCCAATCAATGCAGCATCGTATACATGATGCGTCTCTGCTCTGTCGCAGCATCGTATCAAGAGCAGCACTGCTAAAGATACGCAATGAGTCTATTTTTGCTGCTCTACACTTCCAACAGGCGTCAACCCACACAGAGAAGATCGCTCTAGACAGTATGTCAAGCACAGAAATTGCGCATGTCATCCAGTATTTCAAAATAAAACACCATATGCGAACTCCCGACTGTTTATCAGTTCATATAGATTAGAAGTACTTCCTGGTTATGGTTTTATCAGTTACTCAGAACAATCCCATGGTCAATCCCGGATCCATGTGGACCCAAACCTGCAAAAACCAAAACTGTAAAATCACGTTGCTTTTTCACATGTAGTAGAGGCTCAACGATCACTGAATTTTATCCAAATTAGCAGGAAAACTACCACATAAAGGCGAAATAACCTGTTGTGAGCATGTTGGTTCCTCTATACTGAGCCCAGCTGACTGGGGCTGCACCACACAGCTGCTACGCTCCAAATACGCATCCTGTATCCTGTATCCTGACTGAGGAGGAACAGTGATAGATTTAAAAGCACTCTATGATTGTAGCTCGTCTAGATTATTAACACCGTATTTCTCTCTGCTCTCCCAGGTATGGTGAACCGGGAGGTCCTGGAGCAGGTGGAGCGAGGTTACCGTATGCCGTGTCCACAGGGGTGCCCCGAGTCCCTCCACGAGATGATGAGGCAGTGCTGGAAGAAGGAGCCAGACGAGAGACCCACCTTCGAGTACATCCAGTCGTTCTTGGAAGACTACTTCACAGCCACGGAGCCGCAGTACCAGCCGGGGGACAACCTTTAGTTTAGATTAGATTTTGGGATCAAACTTTGACATCCTGGAGAGATACACGAGTGGAGATCAAAGCTTTGGGAGAACTTCAAATAAATGGGAGAAAAGCCTTGAGGAGGCTGGAGGGGGAGAGAGAGGTTTTAGTGTTACAAACTAGTCCACACCCACGCCGGTGCATCTGAAAGTATAAGAGGAACACGTTTGGAGGAAGAGGTTTGTCCCTGTTTTGTACCGGTGGACCAAACGCTTGGGGAAGCATCCATTTGTGCAGATTGATGCTGGTACGTTAAGCTCTGGGAATAATCTGAGTAATGGACGGCCACGACACTGTGATCAAAAAAGACAGGGCTTTTTTTTATCATTTTAATTCAGTGACTCCCTTTTTAGATGCAGATCTTTTTTTTTTTACTTTTTAGATTTTAAATTTCCCCTCACTCCTCTGATTTTTTAAGATTTTATTTCACAAACAATTCTTCGATTTTGAGAGTAAAAGATCTTTAACATGTTCAGGAGTTTTGTTCGAATACGTAGGGTGATAAGTACGTTTTTATAAGCGACCAGCAACTGTGGTTTGGTCGAGTATGAGCTGTGACTGTTATGTTTGGACGGAGAGGGTGGAGAGTAAAGTAATGGAGGACTTTATGGTTGTGAGAATGTACAGACGTAAGAGGAAGAGATGTACATACTGTATGTGCAGAGAGATGTATTGTAGCAGGTGTGATCAGGTAGACGAATGGAAGCGTGAGAGGATTTGTCTTTTTAACTCAGTCACTTAAATGGCAAATCATGGGATCCATTTGCTTTTATTTAAGCAGGGACTTCAATGACAAAGAGGTATTTTGATAATGTGTAATAACATTTTTCCTTAACGTTATGTAAATGGTTAAAAAAAATGGACATTTTAGCTGTGAAATTTATGATTTGGTTCATTTTTGTTTAAAAAATCAGCGTCTCATCTGTCATTTGGGGAACAGTTCAGGTAGCAGTTTAAACATCGACCAATACCAGGGATATATTTTCCTCTTCTTCATAGTATCCAAACATGCCTTCAGGGTCTTCACCCATGTTCATCCAAAGCCAACAACACAAAATGAACCTTTTTAATGTGTAACTATGCAACGTCAGCTGTTTTTCTGTCGATGTTTCATGGAGTAAAGAGTCAAAAATGTTAATTTACAGCGTCTTTCTTCTCTGGGTTTCTTATTTCAGTTCCCCACAGTAAAGTATCACAAAACAGACAAAACCAACACTTTCCACACACTTTTGTCACGCCCGCTCCAAAAGGTACTTCCTCGTCTCTGCGGTGGTGTGTGCGATGGGAAATCTCAAAGTTGTAAGAGCTGTCATTCAGTAGGTGAAGCGAACAGTGGGACAAAGATGTGAACTTTTTTTTTTGTATTTCTCTGTGCGTCACTCATGAGAACCTAACGTGACTGTTTCTAAAGATTAAGAGGAACGATGATGAACTTCCTGAATGATGGTCACTAATATGATTTTGTACAGAAAAAATAAAAGTTTTACTGAAAGCTTCTCCTTCAGATCTGGTGTTTTTGCCATTCAAGAATGATCCTCAGTCGTCACAAAGAAGTCCACTCCAGATTTTCTGTTTCACGTTTTTTTATTTAGGATTTCTCCTGTGGAGCGTCATCAGGTACCTCTTTCTTGTATTTTTATTCAATTCTTGATTTACACCCTTGGAGTATTTGATTGTTTACAGTATACTGTATTTCAGCAGTTTTACATTTATAAGCAGTTATTGATCCAGGTGTATTTACATTTCAGCTACAAAACAGAAACACAGTCTAGATGTGTTCCTGGAGAAAAAGCTGTAAGAGTCTCCAGAGACGAGGAATCGCAGTTTTACTCATCCTCAAACCTGTGAAGAGAGAGAAACATTATCAACGTCTGCAAAATATTTTAACATTCATGTGCTGCAAGAGAGATTGAGCAAATATCTGCAGAGTTTTAACCAATTTATGCGTTTTTTAATAAGGATTTTATAGCAGAAGTGCAAGCATGTCAGTAAGAGGAGCTGGATTTCTCGTGTCTCTCGTCTAATCTAACACAGTTCAACCTCTCACCTGACCATGTCCTTGTACTTGTTCAAAGCCTCCTGAGCCACATACTGGATGAAGGCCGGGTCCTGCAGATCCAGCTCCCCAGGGACAGAGAGGATCAGAGCGGGTGAGTTCAGGATGTTCACCTCCACTGTGGTCTCAGGCTCAGACAGATTCTGCTCATCAGGGATCTTTGGCGCCACCTGGAGGAGGAAAAAAGTCAATTTTAACACCAAACAGCCAGCATCTGTGGTTTCATGTTGACAGTTTCTTATTTATCAAAGTGTGATGGAAAGTATTAGTAAAGGAAACATAGAAGAAAGGAAGCACAGTACGTATCGTATCTTATCGTATCGTAACCTTGGAGGACTTACTTTTAAGACAGACTCGTGAGGATGTACAAGAAAGGATGATATGGAAGCAAATCTGTGCCACCTGATTTTGAATTTGAATTTCTAAAGCTGAATTTTTTTTGCATCAAAATCAGACTTTGAATTTCAAAACCATTGAATTTCAAGCACGCATTTTTGTTTCTGACACTTTTTTCACAATGATGAAATAAATTCAGCGTAAAAAAATCGGTGTCTCAAAATTTTCGTGTGGTGAAAATTCGACTTAAAAAATGTAAAAAAAAAATAAAAAAAAAATCAACATTAAAAAAATTTCAGTGTCAAAATATTTGTCAAAAATTTATTGTACACATTTTTTAAGTTGAATTACTATTTTTGAGAGATTTTGTTTTAACACTGAATTTATTTCATCATTGTGGAAAAAAAATTGTCAGAAATAAAAAATGCATGTTTGAAACTAAATAGTTTCGAAATTCTGAGTTTGAATTTGATGCAAAAAAAAAATCAGCTTTTGAAATTCAAATTTAAAATCAGATGGCACAGATTTACTTCCATACAATAATGCCAAACAAGAGCTTTGAATTTTGTCTGACAATCCCACATGGAAAAAAAAACAAAAACAGGATGGAGACGGCGATCAAACACTCCCTCAAACATGCACCTGAAAACTATTTCAAGACGCTGTTCCCACTCTTCATCACTCCCCTGATTCCCTCTTACCACAGATACACGGAAGATGTTCTCTGGAGTGCTGCTGTTGCTCACAGCCTTCGCCACCCAGCTGAACTCAGACGCCATGTTCCCGAGCCAGCTCACAGTCTCATCGGTGTGACGCTGCACGATGGACAAGATCTCATCATACTGCTCTTTGGACACGTCCAACAGCTGAGAAACTTCATCCAGCTCAATGTGAAGCTCTCTGACACCCTGGCACTCTGAGGAAGAGGAGCAGTCGAAGGAAGAGGACTTAGAAACATGTGGAAAAAGATATCGGAGTAAGTTACAGAGAGCTGGAGGATGTGGACCTCACCTGTGAGAAGAGCTCCCTGGCAGGCCTCACACTGGCTCTGCAGACGCCAACACTCTGAGGTCTGCTTGCGAAGGTCTCGGCACAACTTTCTGTTCTGCAGGAAACGAGGGAAACTCTCCCTCTCTAGCAGAAAATCAATCAGTGTTGATTAAATATTTTTATTTGTAGTTCTGAACAGTCAAAAAGACAACAAATAGCACGTATACAACTGCTGTAATGAGGGATTCTTTACCTCTCTTCTTCTCCTCCTCTACTGTCTCCTTGATGTCATCGAACACCTGTGTCACTACAGCTCCAAACTCCTCCACCACACTCTTCCCAAAATCAAAGAAAGAGTCCAGCACCTCCTCCAGGCCCACACCCTGCAGGAAGCCGGAGTCCCTGGCGGGGTCGTAGGGGTCAGAGGTTTCCTCCTCTTTCTTCAGGATGTCGTCTGTGTTATTGAGGAAAGCTCTCTGGAGGGCTTTGTCCAGCCGGCTGCTCATCCTGGAGACCAGGGTGACGCTGCGGTTCACAAGAGTGCCCACTTTGCTCATGAGGCGACCGAAGGACTCCTCGATGCGGGTGACCTCTGTGTCTGTATCGTCAGAGTCCTGATTTACCAGGATGTCTCCTGACTCAACGCGAGACTGACGGGGGCCAAAGCGCCGGGACACTCTGCGGAACAAGTTCTCCACCTAGATTTGGACAGTAGGGGAGAGTAAGTTGAACCACCCCCTTTTGCCTGAGTTGGGTTTTGTGGTCTGTCTCCTGGAGGCTGCAAACCGGAAACTGGTTTTCACAAAATTCTACAACAAAAAGTTGTCGATGCTGCCTCTTAAAGCTAAAACTCCAACTAAGGCCAAAGATCTGATTCTAAAAAAGGTCAAATTTATCTGAAGGCCTCACAGTTTGTTAGTTTCTGGAGTTCGGATGTCAGAGTCAGACGCACAGAGGTTACAGGTGTTTGTTTTTTTTTCTGTACCTTTGTCTGGAAAGTTGCGAACCCCCTGCGGCAGGTGGAGGTGTAAAAAGTTTTGCAAGCATCCTCAAGACAGGGTCTGCACTCCTCCCACTCAGCCTGCAGGGAGTCTTTGCACTGCTCCTCCGCCTCCTTCAGTTTGTCAGTCACCTCCTTAGCGAGCTGGACCGCCCCCTGGTGGCAGAATAAGGGACAGTTTTATTTACCTCCTTCTCATTTTTGCCTCTCTCTCTCTCCTTTTAGAAAAAAAATGACTGCTCAGACCTTCTTTTTGTCGCTGCTGTGTTGGAGAGACCTCATGAGGTGTTCGTGCTTCTGCTCGTTCCTCCACATCACCTCCTTCATCTGCTTCACCCCGTACAGAGCCCTCTTCATCTCCTCATCCACCAGCTTTTCGCCGCTCAGAGACAGCTCTGAGAGAAGCAGAAAAAGGTACAAAACCATGACTGGGATGTTTCCATAAACACAAACTAATACACTTTTTCACAGTCAAAACAGAAAACTGTTAAAAAATATTTAAATGAACAATAAGCAACTATAATATCTTAAATGTTAATGTTTGACATCTGAGTTGGTAATAAGATGAGAATATCCTTTAACAAACTTAACAAACAAACTCTTTGTTAATTGATTTGCACAATTATACAGGCAGGAAAAATAGCATAAATATAACAAACCGGATGTGCAGGTGAGATTAAATGAACCCAGGAGGTTTAAAAAGGAAATCTTACTTCATACAAACAGTATATAAAAGACCAAAACAATAGACAGGACAAACAAAATAAAATAAAGAGTTTGGTGTCTGTTGACTCACGTTTTAAAGTGTCCTCTGTAATCCCTGTAAACTGGTCCTCTGGCGTGGAATAAAGGACCCCCAGAGTCCCCACCAGGACAGCCAAATGCAGCAGGAGCTTCATTGTTGAGCTCAGTCTGTTCGTCACAGTCCAAACTTAATCTGGAGGACATTTCAAGTGAAGTCATGAAGGAAAAGGTAAACATTTGCACATATTTGCCTTTAAAATACAGAGACGATAGTGAAATATAGTGAATAAGAGGAGCAGGGACACCAAAACAAGGTGTGCAATCTGGTGTGATGCAGCTTATCTGATCCAAGTGGAGTCTGATTTAACATGCTGTGCGTGGTCATAATAAGTTCTTCCACTAGATGGTGCTAAACATCTTTTCATTCAGCAAAAAACTGGAGCCATTTGTACTTTGAACATAAACAAAGGTTACATTACACACATTTAAGAGCTATTTACATTTTTTTAAAGTTATAATGTTAAATGAATGTTAAAACCTGTGAGACAAAAACGAATATCCTTCGATTCTGATCTCTGCAGCATGATGGAAGTTACAGGGGAAATATTTAGACTGCTCGAGTGTTTACTCGCAGGTTATCACGTCTCATTGGTGCTTCAGTCTGTTTATATAAGATGCACACGGTCAGAAACTCTCTCTTTTGTTTCTCCTGTGGACATTTACTGGCACACAGACTCATAACAGCCTTTAGAGAGACCATTAGGAGATCAACAGTCGAGGGTGAGTGCTAAATACCTGAAAGGATACCTCACAGAGCTCACCACAGCTTGAGAAGCTGCCAGTCTGTGTTCATGGAGGTACCATCTGCTGTGTCAGGAGGTCAGCCTCCATCAGAAGAGTACAACAAACCCAGAGAGGCTCCTCGTATCACCACACGTGTTTACATGTTACTTTGTTTTTACGGTAAACTCACTCCATGCATCACTTAACTGGAGACTTCTTTGCCCCAGTTCAGCTCTGCAAGGAGTTACACAAGTAGACATCCAGAGTGGATTTACAGTAAATGAGGATGTTCTTGCTTGACTTAGTTCATTACAGATAATCAGAACTATTGTAGCTTCATCATTAGATTTTAAGTTATTTTCTTTTTCAAACAGGAATCAAGATAAGAGCAAGAAATATATGTGCATTTATGAGTGATATATATGTTTTAAATTGACCCAACAGATTTTGCACCACAAAGAAATTGACTGTATAGTGACAAGCGAATAAAAAGCAGCTGAAACCAACTTTTTAAAATGTTAGAATTTTTAAAAAACAAAATAAAAAACATTTTCTGCAAAAAAAAGCATGCTGAGTAGTAGAATAAAACACAGCGTATGCAAATTAAGCGCTGATTTTAAATAAAGGGTCCAAAGTTGTCGTGACAACAGAGAAACTTACCAGCAGAGCTCTGAAGGTGTTTTCTCCTCTGAGGGGAATAAACAAAGTGTTCAGTGTGAAGAAGTGGTGCAGTAACTTAGAACCGATCAGGTCTATTTGTGCTCTTTGCGCTCCAACTTTATCCTATTACAGACTTTACTTGATGTTGATCCTGTTAATCCAGCATTCAACACACTGACAGAGAGGCTCACTTTGCATAAGAGGCTGCTTAGTCATATCATACACAAGCTACTGTTGACTATAACACCAAAATGAGTGAAGATACACAGGTAACAAAAAACATGGATTACAGATAAATCAATTCTCTGTGCACCGTTGAAATCAATGTTAAATTTTGTGATTAAAACACAGACGGGTCCTCCATATTACATTTTATAGTCATACGTTTAGTTTTGTTGAGACACAAAGAAAGAAAAATAATAAAGTTAAAAATAAGGCTGATACTAATTAATAGATTCATTGATTCTGAGTAGCAGGAGTTACTGCAACCAGATCTCCAACATCAATCTGCAGAAAAGAATTTAGCACATAAAAAAAAAAACTACTATTCGCTCTCTTCCTGTTGACAATGTGGCAAAAATACTGGCTCCCAATGACATTGAGAGTTCGAAGAGTTCCTAAATTTGGATTGGTGCTGACAGACAAGATGAGAGGATGGTAATAGTACAAAAACAAACAATGGAAGTGGAAAGAGATGTTAGAAAACACAAGGAACTGAGTGAAAAGACATGAATTAAATCGAGGAAAAAAGACACAAACCGACAGAAAAACACTACTGTTCAGACTTAGCTGTGAATGAAAATGTAGCGGGCTAATGAGAGACTTTAGCTTAACGTTAATTCGACCCACAAACAGGCTGGTAGTGTTGGCAGTGAGGCCGTGGACTCACTGCCAACACTACCAGCCTTTTTCAGCTGCGTAAACAAACCACTTTTTAACCAATAGAATAAACTCTAAGGCTGTACCTGGGGTCAACTTGTTTACATCATTAGTTTGTAGCCTGCTAACAAGTGAGAGAATATATAGTGAGTGGGTGATTATGTAAAATAAGATCCCACATGGGTGGACAAAACTCCTCCCTCCATTTAGGGTCTTATCCCACCCTGTCAGGATTAAGTTTTGCATAATCACCCACTCACTATACACGATTTATTCTGATGAGCTCAGATACAGAAGAGCCTTAAACAGGCACTTTTTTGCAGTTTTTGAGCGCTACTAAGCTATCTATTTATTTACTGAGAAGAAATTTGATTGAATTTAAATGAACTGATACAAACAGCTCGATAACATCTGCTACAAATTTAGGTCAATCATCACTCCAGTATCTTTAAAATGTTGTTGCCTCAGTCCTTCAGTCGCCAACGTCAGAGCTAAAATTATCCTTCAGTGGGAAATCCTCGATGCAACGCACCGACACGCACCGCAGTGTTGTTATTGTACTTTTTACCACATAGTTTCTGTTGTTTGGAGAAAATGTCATTGAGGGATTTGGTGTTCATTAGTTGTAATTATGTTATAAGAAGATCTAATAAGGGTCACATGATTTAAGAAGTCTGTTTGATTGGACGCCAGCCATGTTTTGAGCCACCTCCTTTTAGCTCACAGGTTAGCTGTAAGCACGCAACTCACACACACACACACACTCTTATTTTGAAGGGAAGTGTAACTTAAATCTCCCAGCAGCTATTATTAGATCTACACCCAGATGTGGATCTGTTGTATTTTTAGTCAAAAGAAACATTTCTCACAGCAGGACCCCCCTTTTAGTGGAATGTGAGGGTCTTAGGGTGAGAGAGTTCCTCTGTCCCCAGCTCTTCACTGGTGTGCCCCATCTACCTCAAAAATGTGCCCTCTTTGCATGCTGTGACCCAGAAAATAGGGTCCTCACTGGATAATAATCGAAACCAGGCAGCTCTTCTGCTCAGTCTGCAGCCTCTCTGACACCTTCAGCACCTGGATCCCATCAGACTGCGCACGGAGACGCACTCTTCCCATGTTCTCCCTCAGCTGACCTCAGCATGAAGCAGTTGTCAATAAAAAAGGCATGTGATCACTTATACATGAAGAAAAAGAGAGTCCTAGAAGTTTAACCTCAGAGATATAAAAAAAAAAGAAACGCTGACTCACTTTTATGTGTGCACTCTTTGGATGTTTGTGTGCGGCGCGTCCATATAATCAGCTCTCAGTGGGGGTATTTGTGTTAAGTTTTGTGGTGCTGATCAAAGCCTGGAGTTCCTGGACTGAAGAGATAAACAGGTGCAGGGGGATAAACTGCTTCACAGAGACCTGGAGTAATGGATGAAACAGTTAACGTGGGAACACACGAGTCTGAGAGCTGTGTGGATTTAAGTGTGATGGGACTACACTCGTGTAAATCATGCAGCTCATTTCACATGAAGACCTTCGACAGGAATGTGCAGCTCATGTAGACTAACAGCAGATGATATAAAAGTCTTGAAACAAACCCTCAGTTGGCGCTCTGTGGTCATTTCTATGTCTTCTATTTCTACGATGATCCTTTCAAATTAATAGAGAAGTTGTTTTCTCATCCTACTGTCTTTCAAAATCTTAATGTAAACAAAGGCTGTCCTGGCAGAGCATTGAAAATGACAATATTACTTTCATAAAAAAGTAAAGTTGCAGCTTGACAAACAAACGGAAGCCCTCAGCGGACATGTTTTATTTATTTATTTATTTTTACCCCCGTTTTCTCGAGATCACAAATTAAAAATAATTTTGCGGTGGATTCGAAACACTGGGCTGATCACTGTACGTGGTGCGGTGTCCGTGGTGTCTGCTTTCTGTAACAGGACGAAATGCACAGGGCAACCCGGGATTTCCACCGCATCTGGAACGGCGGCAAATTTCACTGTACGCCACTACCTACTGGAGCAACAAGTTGTCTCTCAGACACATAGGCTAACCATATAAGCAGATTGTGTCCTTCTGGAGAGGGAAATCTACTTCTAGACTTACAAAATCAGCATCTCCTCATCCATGGTGTCATCGGGGTAAAATGCTGTCTATAACCTTTCAGTTATTCATAGTCACAACAACTATTAGGCTGTTGCTCCGGTGCTTCTTGGTACGTACAGACGAACTGTGGCATGTAAGACATCTTGGGAAAACGAAGCCTTGTTTTCTCGAGAAAACTATCTCGTGATCTTGAGAAAACAAGGGTAAAAATATATATATATAAATCATGTCTGCTTAGGGCTTCCGTACAAACCTTGTGCTTTTCTTCTCACTTTTATAGAGAGTTTCAAAAGACTTCATCTCTTTGTTTTGGTTTAGTTTTCTGAAACTTCTCTGTTTAAACTCACTCCTGTTGCTCTTATCATTGTTGTGTCTTTAGCCTCGTACAACAACAGCTGTTTTTAGTAAATGTGCTCTACCTATTTACTTAAACAGAGACACAGAGTATCTGGTGAACAGAACAGAGCACTGAACATGTTGCTCCTCTTTCAGAACACAATATTGTTTAAAGGGTTACATTTAAAAGCTCATGTGTAATTTCTGAAAAATACGGACGATAAAAAACAGAGTACAGTCTGTTTTTTTTTCTGCTTGGTTACAATTTTTTGTAGCCACCAAATCAAGACAATATTTTCAAAATCATAAAACTGTCTAAAACTGCAGGATTCAGCACAACTAATCCAATTTTATGACATGGTTGTTTTGAATTCGCTGATCATGCCGTGTGTGTGGCTTTCATGGGAATATGTTGATATCTGTGCTGCTTTATTTCAACTTTAAACATCAACAAGTTGTGATCACTGGAACTTGTCTTTGTTAGTCAGAGCTGGGCCATCCAAGTCCACAGAGATCAGCTTAAGACTGTTAGACCACACACACACCCACATATATATGGAAGTAAATCTGTGCCATCTGATTATGAATTTGAATTTCTAAAGCTGAATTTTTTTGCATCAAAATCAGACTTTAAAATAAATTTGGTGTTTAAAAAAAAATCAGTCTCAAAATATTCGTTTAGTGAAAATTCAACATTAAAAAAATCAGGGAGAAGCAATTAATTGGATTCAATCTTCCACTGGGGTCTTTGCCACATGACCAATCTCGCATTAATTGATTGGCTGGACGATGGATGATTGAGCCTGGAATCAATTGCTTCTCCCTGGTAACCCAGATGTTGAGACGGTCTGTGTCTGAAATGAATCACTCAATCCAAAACCCCTAACCCTCATATGGGGTTTCACTATGTAGCGGACTATGTAGCGAGCTCAATCACCGGAGGTTTCGGACACTATATGGCGCACCGTTGTGACTTCACTGCTCAGACTGCCACTGGAGACGCAATGCATGACGGGATGCCCACCACCGGAGAGTGACCATCGGATGGTCACAACATTTTGCAATGCTCCATGGGAAATTTTAAGTCGTCACTGGAATGGGGCACTGGAATTGATCACTCAGGTTTCGACACCCCTCAAAATGGCGCTAACCCCCATATAGTCGTCTATACAGGGGTTAGGGATCCATTTCGGACACAGCCTGTTTCTTTTGCACTGATTTTTTTTACACTGAATTAGTGTTTTTAAGTCGAAATTTTTACTAAAAGAATATTTTTGAGTGACCTTTTTTTTTACACTTAATTTATTTCATCATTGTGAAAAAAAATAAGTGTCAGAAATAAAAATGGATGCTTGAAATTTGATGGTTTTGAAATTCAAAGTCTGATTTTGATGCAAAAAAAAAAAAAATCCAGCTTTAAAATCAGATCATTCAAAATCAGATGGCACAGATTTACTTCCATACACACACACACACAAGAGCAGCAGCCAGAAGTGCAAACGGTGCGCACAGATGTGGGGACACGTGGTTTCTCCCTGCAGCCCCGCGGGCGCACCACTTCCTCTCACGTTCAGATTCCTTCACTTTTGGAGTTTCTCTGGTTGCGGCTGCGGGTACCACCGGAGTGCTGAGCTGGTCTACGGTACACCCCCACCTCTGCATCTTTTCCAAATAAATAAGAAAAAGAAGAAAGTTTTTTTTTTCCCTCCTGCTCTTTAAACCCCTACTTACTTTCTACTCATGCAACAAACTTTATTCCTGTTTCGCTGCAGCTGCTGAGGTGTTGCACTGAAGTTACCTGCGCTCTAGGAGATCGTCCTCCGTGTCGAGAATCACGGATGGAGCTTTGAATTTTGGACTCTGGGTCTCCAAAAAGAGTAAAAGAACATTGTGAAACCTGCAAACCCAAGGTGCCGTGCGCTCAAAGGAGCTTTGGGGCAAAGCAAATTGCGATGCAGTGGATGTGACTTCAAACGACCACGGTAGAGTCCCACACCACAATGAAAGGTAAGAAAAAGTTCGTTTTTACGCACAAATACGAGAGAAGTTATCCGCGGACCACTTTGCAGAAACAGTGATGATTGTTTGACTTTATTCCTGCTGCACTTTCTTTGTCACTTTTCTGCCTCTTTCTCTGTGTGAGACGTAAGGAATGCGTGGGCTACAACTCACTACGTCTGACATCTGGCTTCAATTAAGGCTCTCTGTTTGGGATTTTTTGCATCTGGCCGCTGCATCACATCAAACATAACCTAGACTAACACTCACATCGGTGCCACAAAAAACACGAAAATAACTCCACCAAGAGAGCATGTTTTGATGAAGTCTTAATAAGACATAAAGGAGTGAATAAAAGAGTTTTGGTACATTTTGAACCGCTTTAATTTCACTTTTATGTCCCTTATGCAGGACTTGAAAGTGTGGGTTCAAAAGTTTTTCTTGGCTTTAATGAAACAAAATCACTTTAGGAAATTCTGACTCAGACTAAACTCTAACATGAACTGCTTTATTGTGGTGGGACACTTTGCGCACGCACACGCGCGCGCTCACTCTTATAATCCACGCTTTTTTTTTTCAACACATTAGATGGACAAAAATAGACCCCCAAAAAAGCATGCGTCATTGTGGTCAGAGGGTAACAAAAACAACCAACAACTCGTGATTTCTAAAGCTTTATCCACAGATGTGTTTCGGAGGTAGTGCACGTCACCCTCACGCACACACACTGAATGGATCAGGACAGGAAGCTGGTCTCTCTTTATAACATTATATAATCTCTACAAGTCTCCTGCCACCTTGTGGTTCACTGTAGCATGAGAGCACAAAGCTCCTCATTGTGGGCATGAGTGTAAGCTGCTCACTGTAAGACATGAGGCTGGGATGGGACTGGCAAGTTGACCAATTCTGGATGCTGCTGCTGTAACTCAAGTGAAAAGGGAAGGAGACTTTACTCAAACACCAATAAAATCTTTGTTTTTAGCACTTTCTTGGTCTTATTGTACCCGAATCATAGAGAAAGAGAGAGAGTCAGTCTTTTGATTCCATTGCAGACTGCAGCATAGCGTTTTGTTTTCCTTATCTTTATGCAGACACCTCAATTTTAGTTATGTTACCTGTCAGGTTTTTCTTTAGGAGCTATGGAAGCCCAGAGTGGTCATTCAACCATACATTTTAATTTGTTTGTTTTCCGATAATAACAAAATTTCCACTTGACTTAATTTTTTAGACAACTTAGCATAACAACAGCAGTTTTCCTTTGTTATCAAGTTAATTTCAGATATTTTCTTCAGATCTTTCTTTGAAATTTTAACTTGTTAATGTAGGGCTGTCCCAATACTATTTTTTCACTTCTGACACGATACCGATATTGCAGTCTTCAATAACAGCCGATACCGATATCAATCCAATATCAGCATGCCACAAATGAAACATACTTTCAGTACTTATTTTGCAGTGTGGAATGTTAGAAAAGGCTGCATCAGGTGATTTGATTCAAACAGAGAACAACAGTCAGCAACAGTAGTTTGGGAAAACTGACCCATTTTTTATGAACAAAACAAATAGAAGAATAAATAAAAAATTTATTAGGAGGCCCTGAATAATAGATAATAGAATGTAAACAAAATAGACATATCACTCTAATAACAAGTGCTGTAAACAAAATAAACATATGAGCACTAGCACCAGCGTTGGTTTATTACTGCCACCTACTGTGTTGGAGTGTGAATCACAGGCATCTGTTTGTATAGGGCAGAAGCACTGGAGCAGAATGGACTGCTTTTATTTTATGGAGCATTTATATCAGAGATATGCAGTCCGATACAATCCGATGTTCTTTTTTTTTTGGCTGATATCAAACCGATTTCCGATATCAATATTGGATCAGGACAGCCCTAGATTAGTGTACTCTCATTAAATAGAGATTTGAAAGCCTTTCTTCTTGTTAATAAAAATCTGGTGTTGTGGAGAAAATCAAATAGACTGGTCACTATCAGTATGTTTACTTGTTTTTTAATTAAAAAAAAAAGATGTACAGACTGAAATTGCTCGAACTCTATCTTCTCTGAGTCGGACTCACGTACTTACGAAAGAGGATTAGGTCCACAGGAAGAGAAAAAAATAATTACAAATTCCCATTTCGAGTTTAAAGTCGAGATTTCAACTTTATTCATGTCGACTTTAATCTCAAAATTTTGATTTTTTTTTCTTTTCATGTGGCCCTAATCCTCTTTCCTACATACCCGTATTAATGTAGTTGGATTGTAGTTGGATCTATTTTCTCTTCCGTGTGTACGGCACAACTGGACCAAAACGGGACCAAGAGCTCTGTGCATGCCTTAAGTTTTGCGCCGTAAATTAAAGAGCACAAATGCGTTGCTAGGAAGCCTGGAAGTTGACAGAAAGGATGTAAAAAAGACAGTATGACTGTAGTTTCCTTCACTCTACTTGTAAATGCTACCATTGCCAACTAAAGCTCAGCTTCTTTCTGTGGTTGTTTTGAGTTTATACCACTTTGGAGTTATGACTTAAAATAATCTGATGTTGTGTTAGTGAATCTAAAACCACCAATAGGAGATTATGAGATCTTGAAAACACAGAATAGAGTAAATAAAATTTATTAATAGAAATTCATTTAGGGCTTCAGTATGGATGACACCTGTTGGACAAGTTTTTTCAAACCAGAGCCTCTGATGCAGCAGAAAGCTTTATTTAATAGTTATATGTTAACATCATTATACAAGAATGGATAATCTACAAGGGAAACAGAAAACCATGTCTGGGCTCCGATGTTCACGCTCGAGTCCAAACTCACACGTTACACTTGGCCCAGAGAAGTGGAAAAGATTGTGTTCATGTCGACCTTCAGACGTGGCTTTAGCACTGCAAAAGGATGTTTAACTCCAAAGATATTATATGTGATGTTTTAACTCGGATGTGAAGTTTGAAGAACATTCAAATAACTGTGTTCAAAGATGGATGAGGTGCGACCTGAAACTTGAACCGTAGTCACTGATATTGTTGCTCAACTGAAGGATTCAGTGAACCGTTGGTTTTCCAGTCAAGTTTAGTCCACTTTTATCCCAAAGTGCTCAGACTGGCAGCAATATTTACAGCATATTTTTTTATACAACTCCAAGTTGGACTTCTTTTTCTATTTTCCAGTCTGCTGCGTTTTCAGCCCTTTGGGGTAAAATGTGATGAACTCCATTTCCCCGAATGGCTCTTGAAAAGCCAAACACACTTACGGTAACATTTCCATTGTGATGGGACACAGTGTTGCTCGGTAACACAAACAGGAAACAGAGTATTGGGGGTATTGAGAAACCCAAATTCCAAAAGTAAGATGTGGTTTTCATATGTTTTACAACTGCTTAGGCTGTTCCTGTCACATCTTATCTCACTCTGCTCTTTCTCATGAGGCCAAGGTAATGCTCTGCCCTTTCTGACCCCATGAACAGTCATTTCTGAACATTTCCAGACTACATGTTGATCTCAAGGGGAGACATGCAGTACATCAAGAAAAAGACATTGTCATTTAAGCTTTGTATGTTTCATTTTTCAACTTTAAAGCTCATCTGAAGGGCTCCAAGCTGGTTTACAGACATCAATTTTTAGGTAATAACTCTATACATCCCACCAAAGTAGAAAAGACATCAGCATGGAGAATGATAATATCTAGATGATTAGTTTAAATGTCTCTAACCTCTGCTGCTGGGTAAGATTTCTGTATAAATCAACGGATATTCACAGTAAATGATTAATCTGATGGTTTAAAGAGAGCAGGATAAGATTTTTACTAAACCAAACTGACACGTACACAGGTTAACATCTGCAAAGTCCAGAAGAGTTGGCAAAGTCAACCCAACCATAGGTTTGCTTTGAAGAGCATCTTTCTGCTCCTGGCACTCTAAATCAAAAGATATTCCCGGGACACGTAGTGTTTTTTTGTTTTTACCTGCCATGATTGATGACATGGAAAATGCCTGAGGATCGCCAACAGGAATTTCTTCTGCCCAAAAAGTGGCGCCGCTCCGGGTTTTTAAAGTCATACCAGATTGGAGTTATCCTAAGAAAGAAAAGAGGGTTCATTGACAGCTAAGTTTAAGAGAGTCAGAGTTTATATGTAAAAAATACAGTAAAACTTCCTGCTAAGTTGATTTCAGTGGATCTCAGACTTCATGTACAAACTTAGCATAACCTCAGAGAAGAGCTGTCAAACAATCAATACTTCTAATTAATGTTAAATGCTGAATTGCAATAGTAAACCACACGTCTTAATAATAATAATAGTGCTCTGCTGGCCTCTTAGATGCAGTCACCTGCTAAAATCACTCAGATTAACCACACCTGTATGCTCTCAGGTTATAGGTGCTCGCTCGGTCTCATAGTACTTTGGCGATGTTACTTTCCATCCATTTCCATTGCAGCAGGAAGCAGTAGGTTTCCTGGAAGGGACAAAATTACACTTTTTAAATTTAACTTTTGCCTTATTTGGGATCTTAATGTCATTGCTATTGAAAAAGTAATGCTGACAGCCTTATCTCTAAATACTGAATACTAGTTTAATGTCAGGGAGGAAACTCACTCTTAACGATGGAAACAGAGGTTTTATTTGATCAATGCCTTAAGTTTCCCTCTTCACATTTTTACTGCGGCTTGGATGATCGTTTTACAGCCATTATCATCAGCAAAAATATTTGCAGTTATATCAAAACAAAGTTATTATTCAGTCTCTTTTCCTGTTGTTTAGCTGAATCATAACCACTCTCATAACTTTTTACATCTGTAAACAAACATTAATAACTGTTTTTATGTCTTCTCCTCCCAGACGACTTTGCTGATGAGGAGGAGGTGCAGTCCTTCGGCTACAAGAGGTTCGGTAAGTAAAAAGTGACCTCTATACTTGTTGTTGTGAGCCTAAAGGACCACCTTCAGTTGTTCTGTCCCTTATGACACATCAATGATGTAAATTACTACATAAAGAGTATTTTCTTTTAATGCAGAAGCTTTTCTTGGCTGTAACCCTCCTACAATAACCTCCAAGGTTAGAGGAAGGCCACACCTCGTTTCCCAGGAACTTATTTTTGGCTGCAGCTTTTATTTTTATTTCTCTAATACAACAACAGCAGGGTACAGGGGAAAGGAAAACCACAGCATCCTGGGTGTTCCTGACCAGTGGAATAACTTTGCAACCTTATCAGCATCTCGGTGTACTTTTCTTCTTCAACTCAGCAAAACACAGCGTACAATAACGCCGTCTGAAACCAAAGGAATCAGACTGGAAATGAGTCTGCTGCTTCTCTCTCTGTGTGTGCGTCTGGCTCTCTGATCCAGCTTTTCCAGACAGGTTCATAATCTCACCCACTCATCAGGCGATAAAAATTATACCCTTCAGCCAGATGTTGGTAACTCCCCAGCTGAGTGCAGCACGTTCAAGAAATGTTGTATTAACACATTCTTTCAGAGGAGCTCCTGATAGCCACAGCCATTTCCTCTGAGATTTTAGCCAAACCTACAATTGAAAAGTAATGAACGGTTTTCGGCTGAGATATTAAACTAAGACTTAAAGCGTCAAAAATCACTACAAAGGTTTAAGATACATTAGTTATGTCTGATCATGTGACTAAAGATGAAATTAAATGTTTCAATTACTCACTGAGACGGCTAGTTTCTTTTTAGACCTAATTTCAACCGTCAAGCAACTAACGATTATTTTTTTGTCGACTAATCTATCGACTAGTCGTCCGATTAGTCACGATTAATCACTGTCTTCTTTATTTATAAACACCTATTTCCGGGCTGTCGGCGTTTCAGGTGCTCATGCATCGCCTTGGTGCTGCCATGGTAGGAAAGCTGAGCTTTGATCGACGTGTTTTTTTGGTTTGTTCTCCGTAAAATGTTCCCAAACTTTTGAAGTTTTGGGTCGGAGTTTTGGAGCGTCTTCTTCAGTTTGTTCTGCCATAATGTGTGCACTCTTCTTCTGTGTTTGCTCGCCGGATGTAAACAGCGAGCGCTACTGCCCCCAGCACATCCTGTAGTGCACTGCAGTTATAGATGAGCATGAGGCGCCGGCATGTGATTCTTAACAACAATAACACGACACGTCGACGCTTCGTTTTCGTGTCGATGAATTTGTCGTGTCGACGTAATCGATTACGTCGACTAATCGTTGCAGCCCTATTTATTTTTAGACGGAATTTAGACGTTGCACTTTAACCCATTATTTGATAACTATTTATCTAAAAAGCAACTGTGAGTTTCATAACTGATCTCAAAGTACTTAACCAAAATAATTATGATTGAGCAATATACAGTGAAGTCAAGTATAGCCGGTTAGTCTGAACTTGGTCTAAATTTAGACGTCTAAAAAACTTTCATTTTTAGACCTGTGGTAGCCTGATTTTAGACCAGTCGTCTAGGCTATATTTAGACGTCTACTAGACCTCTTTTAGACCAATAAATGCTCATTGTGTACTATTTAACACTGATACTCAGGCCCTGTTTTGTTAGGAGCCGTATCTCTTCCAGTGTGAGAACTCTGTCAGAATTTGCCTTTCTACTATGACGAGCCTCAAACTGTCTTTGTTTTATTTCATATACCCACAATTCAAAAAGTCAGGCTGGTTACTGATAATTACGACAGCCACACTGGGTAGCTGTTTTCTGCAACTATAATGCGAACAGAGTTTTTACAGCTAAATACTGTAAATCTGGATTATTAACAAATATCCAAGAGTGACCTAATGCTGCTTGATCCAATGAAGTCTGTAGTGATTTTAGTTTTGACTTTAAAATATGCAGAAGCAGCAAAAAAGGGGAAAAAAACTTGGACAACATTCAGACTAGAAACAATGAAAATGGTTTATATAAACAGATTTGTTACGATCCATATCCAGGACAGAAATAACTCAATTCCCATACTTGCAGTTCAAAAGTACAGAGGCGTTCATTCACATATCTTTTAGGAAGCATTTCCTGCCAGGAGTTAAATAATGGCTGTTTTCTTAAGATGCAACAACTTATTTTTGTTAAAAAAAACAACGATGGAACAAACTGTATTTCTGTCAGTCCAGAAAATAAAACAGTTAGTGAGTCTCTGTGATAGGAAAGAAAACAGAGAAAAGAAAACAGTGGTTATTTTTTTACTTTCAACACAATTTTCAACATGTTACTGCTGTTGTAACTGTAGCTGCAACACTTCACATGAACAAGTTGAACATGATCCAGAACATGAGCAAGTTTACCATCTGCAAATCATCCCAATTACCAAACTCAGCAAACTATGATAGATGGAAAAAAAACTGAAGTTAAACACATGACGTGTTAAACTTTGTGTAACACTCCAACCAAAAGAGCTCCCGTTTGTTGCTGTAATCTAACTTTTTGCTTCTGATGACAGTTCCAGATGTATAATCTCAGCTGCAGCCTCAACAATATTAAACCTGGTGTTATGCAGATAATTAAAATCAAGACGAGAACATGATTAAAAGCGCTAAGCATGCATAGGTTTTCATCTTTTCATCCAGGCCAAGTGCAGCAACTTAAAGACTCTGATGTTTCGCCTGCAAAGTCATCCAGGTTTGCTAAGCGACTCTCCCGGTTCCTCCTCTTATTCCTCTGACATTCAATGAAACAAACTCATTGGTCAGTAAGCAGAGATTTCCACAGACTTTTTGCCCCCTGCATTCGTCTGCACCAGTCGTCACCGTCCCCATTGGCCAGTCACTGCAGCACCTAATTATCACCGGTGCCCACACAGGTCACTGCATAGATAGTTGGGCCACAAACTGAGAGGCTGCAGCTCAAGGTTGACGAGGATATAGTAGGAACAACTAAAAACAGATGGGACCTGAAAGCATATCTCTTTGTTTATTTTGGGCTTTTGCAACTCTAGGAATCGAAGTTATGATCATCTGACGTTAGGTAAGAATCAGAAGATACCAAGTGAGGTCAACTCATGTATGTATGCATGTCTGCTTCTGTGCAAGAGTCGCAGACAAAAGTTTACACTGTGTCAACAAACCAATAAATTCACAGAGCACCAAGTGAGAAGTTCACGAGATGTGCTGTTGACCAGAAGATAAAATGATTTATAGACATCGTGCACACAGAGATTCCTTCCTTTATCGTCAGATTATACACCAACAAATCTTCACTGAGCATTTGTTTAAACTCAGTAGGTCCTGCACATTCCTAGACTCTGTAATTTGCTGCTTTCACATATATAGTTTTCTCTTTGATTGCATAGCTGTGAAGAACCAGACCTTCAGTATGATGTATGCATGTCTCCACATCACTCTCTCCTGCTCCCGTCCCAGGACAGAGATCGGGTTTCAACACTTTGGGGGTGAAATGGTCACGGTGATCCCTCTGGTTTAAGAGGTGTTTGACAGTGTGTGTGTCCTTAACTCACTCAGCAGGCAAACGTCAGGAAGCGTGGGCGCTCTGAGTGTCATCACAATCAATTTTCACATATGCACACATCTTTTTTGTATAACCCCCCAGATCAGTGTATGAGTGTTTTTCAACTTTCTGTACAAGCAGGGGAGAGTTTAGATTTTCCGATTTTGGATTTTTCTGGTTTGGGAATTTACATGAGACTCAGACAGGATTTACTGTGCACATTATATGATTATGAGAGTCGGATTCTCAGCTGCTTAACTGATCACTGCCAAGCATTTGCACAGGAGAAAACCACCCACATGGGAAACTTTAGGAATAAGTTATTGCATGAAGGGTTAAAATAAATCAACATCTTCATAAATACCAAAAACATCATAATTTTGCTTAGTAAACAAACGGATGAAGAAGGTATCTCCATCTTAGCAAGCATCTTGACTACATATTGTGTCTCTTGTCTTCTCAAACTCACCACATGCTTTTGGGAATTCACTTATTCGCTCTCAGCCAAATGCACTCCTGAACATTTCTGGAAAAATTCAAAGAATTTTTGAAGCTCTGGCCTCAAAAATGTCCAGTGTTGCTTGTTCACACATGCTCTCCCCTACATAAATGTCAGATGAGGGCGGTGGTGGGGAGGGGATGACATTAAAAGCACACTGTGGAGGCCAGAGCGAGATTTTCAGAGCCCGTCACTATGATGGCAGTTTTTATCCCACCTTATCCAAAACAGGATAAGGTTGGCTGTGTGTCCTTAAAATGTGGAACCGAAATACGCATTCCTTGAAATTTTGGGGAGTTTTGTGCATGTGCAGGGTGCCCAGAAACTCAGATTTTTACAGGATTTTCCATATTTTAAGCTCCAGTGTCCCATGTCCTGTCAGACCCTGTCCTGTTTTTCATCAGTTGGATTATCTAAACAATGCATCATGCTTGTAACACTGATTTGTTTACATGTTGTTGCCAAGGATACTGCTGCTGCACAGTGAGCCGCATCATATATTTTACTATACATGGACGACTACAGCCTATAGTTGTCTAAATTATGCAGTGCTGAATTATATACTACCATAACTTCTTGGCTAAATGTCTTAAAAAATATCAGAAACATATGCCTACCATTATGATATACTGTAGCACTTGTGTGCATGTGCATGTGTGAGGCGGGGATTTGACTGCTTTTTCATCCAGGGCCAATTCAATCCCAGATGTGAGTTTATAGTAAAATTAAATTGTCCCTATTTTAAGGTTTAAAAATATAGTTCAATGAGAAGACACTCTCCTGTCTCCTTTAAAGGGATACTCCTGCGAAAAATAAATTTAGGGTCAAACACACTGGAACACAGAGTTAGACACCCCGTCAAGAGATGAATGTTGTCGACCGTGTGCTTCTCTAGTTATACCAACATTAGTAACGACCACAGGATAGCAATACACAGCGGTCTGAGGAGCCATAAACAAACCTCAACCAAAACGCCACTCTATAGACACAAATAATGCTCAGAACAGCACCTAACTTCATCAACAGTACATATAGGGTCCCAGCCATAGTACTAGCCACCAAACATCTTTTTAACTTTGCCTAATTTCTTTAACAAAGAGACCAAACACAACTCACCGACTCTCTTCCAGCAGCCGCTTGTTTGTAGCGAGACCTGGAGGCCTGGAAGAGAGTAGGTGAGTTGTGTTTAGTCTCTTTGCTAAAGAAATTAGGCAAAGTTAAAAAGATGTTTGATGGCTAGTACTATGGCTGAGACCCTATATGTACTGTTGATGAAGTTAGGTGCTGTTCTGAGCATTATCTGTGGCTATAGAGTGGTGTTTTGGTTGAGGTTTGTTTATGGCTCCTCAGACCGCTGTGTATTGCTATCCTACTAAAGTTGGTATAACTAGAGGAGCAAGCGGTCGGCAACATTCATCTCTCGACGGGATGTTTAACTTTGTGTTACAATGTGTTTGACCCTAACTTTATTTTACGCCAGAATATCCCTTTAAATTGTGGTTTACTCTGCTTGGCATGAACTTGATGAACACAGGCCCAGCCTCTCCACACAGTAACAACAAAAGTCCTTTAGACAACAGTATCTTACAGTTTTTTTTGCCCTAATATAGTTACAGCATGTTTCCTGTCAGTGATCCAATCAATGAGAACTCATAAAATATGTCAGCTTGTGGTTTTGTGGTCACTTTAGACAGACCAAAACTCATCAACTACTTGCTCCAGGGACAAACCGTGAAAGGTACCAGTCTTCCTCAGTCCCACTCTTAGGATCAAATGCAAGAGTTAATTAAAAAACTGTGGTGCTGTTCCTTCTCTTTGTCACCGTCCACAACTTCCACACATTTTTGTGTACTGGCAGAGGTTTCTGTTGTCGTGCTTTTTGTTTGTCCTGCTGTGAAGAGGAATGAGGCCCTTGACTCATTTTGACATCTGCTTTCCACAAGAGGTCTATTATTCCACTGAGAGTGTTTCCAAACCTGAGAAGTTGCTGAGCCACTTCCTGTCTCCATACTGGAAGTTTATTCTGTGCAAACCTGAGAGTCTATAAAGAGGTGGAGAGGGGAGTGGGCATTGTGGGCCTTCGGGGTCTCTGCTCAGGCTGTGCTGTGTCAGCACTTGTCAAAGAGAGGGGGGTGGAAAAACGGGAAAAAATAAAGCGTTGAGTAGATTTGATTTCATAAATGTTTGTTTACTTCCAGGTTTTAAATCTAATTTCTTTATTGTTGTGTCCCTCTTTGTCACTGGTTGTCAGATTTTATTAAAACGCTTTATGCTCTTCAGAGAAACAGTTGGATTTTCAGCTGAGGAGTCACATTCCTCTCCTGGCTTATTTTTGGGTTAGGGTTAGCAAGTGGTTTCAATTTACAGGGACTTTATTAGCAGAAAAGAATGTTTTCAGGATGCCTGCCTGTTACTTAAAGCCCCCTCCAGGGCCTGCATGCGTGCACTTCGGGGTTGTCTCGTCCTAATGAAAGATTACTCGCTCATGTTTTCAATAAAGTGCAGAGTGAATGAGAGGAGGCTAAATGATCTCTAAGAAGCAGATAGAAGTTTACAACACTGTCACAAAAGGAGAGAAAAGACAAATAAAACAACACAGAGCAGCGCTGGGTTGACTTGTTGATCTTATCTCTGGCTTACGTAGTCTGCAGGAGCGGTCTGTAACTGGTCGTAAGAATGATGGGTCAATCCTGGATTGACCAATGATAGGCAGGCAGGAATGCATCCCAGACACAGCACAAATCACTGCAGCCCAGCAGAGGCCAGTGAGACGCATGCCACGGGATTTCTGCTGAGGGTATTAGTGAAGAGACAGGCGAAGGTCAGCAGCAGGTCGAGTAAACCTTACACTGAACAGGAGTCCAGCGTTTGACACTGAGCTCGATGCAGCTGATTGTGGCTGTAGATGCGTCTGATGTTTTCTAAAGTACAACAGTGTCAGTATTTTGTATTACAGATACCTGAAGCTTCTAAGAGTTTCACAAAAATCAGATTAACTAGAAGGCAACTGACACCGACACACACTCAGTAGAATTTCACAACAAAGATGTCAGTTGTGAAATTTAACTTCTTCTAAAAGCAACAAATAACCAATTCAAACTGATATTTGGAGAGAAAATAGACACATAGACATTAGTAAGCATAATAAGAACTCTCTTCAATGAAAGTACCATGTTTTGACCTCTGCCCCATCAGGGTCATAGGTCTAACATCAACCAGGTGGGCCGTATGACCAGCCCTGCATTCAGTCAGTGGTAGGGGCTCCTAATTCTTTGGCTTCACTTTTGGAGGCGGTCATTTTGTCCACCTTTTAAATTCAGTCTATTGGCTTTTTTTGTTTGTTTGTTTGTTTATGTCCTAAAAGCTTGTAAGAATTAACTTAGCAAGCAGCTTTTCTTCATCTGGATCAAAGGACTCTGAAGTAGACAAGTAGAATAATTTACAAGTATCTGGTTCAGTTTAACTTGGACATTAAAACCAGGAAGACTGTTGTTGTCCGTCTGTTGGTTATAATATAAGACATGACCAGGATAAAGTGGAATCCTTTTTGGTTTTCCAATTTTTGAATAAAAGTTGATAGTTTTTTTCATGTAAAACAGAAAAACGGAGTAGAATTAAACAAATTAGATAAAAATAGAATAGAATAGAGTGGATAAGAATAGAAAATAAAAGTAGAATAGTATAGAACAAAGTAGAATAGATGAAAAAGAGTAGAATAGAATCAAAGGAATGGAAAAGAATAGAAAAAGTAGAACGATAGAAAATAATAGAATAGAATACAGAGGTATAGAATAACAGAATAGAATAAATAATAGAAAATAAAGAGTAGAATAGTATAGAACAAAGTAGAATAGATGAAAAAAGAATCAAAGGAATAGAATAGAAAAGGAAAAAGTAGAGTAGTATAGAATACAGGGGTATAGAATAGAGTAGATAAGAATAGAAAAAAGTAGAATAGAAAGAAAAAAGTAGAATGGAAAATAGAATAGAAAAAAGAGGAATGGAATACTGAAAAGTATAATAAACACAAAATAATAGAATAGAATACAGGGGAATAGAATCGAATGGAAAAGAAAAAAGTAGAATAGACACAAAAAAGAGTAGAATAGAATACAACAGAATAAAGAGGAATGGAAAAGAAACAAATAGAATAAAGAGGAATAGAAAAGAATAGAATTGGAGTATTATATAATAGAAAATAGAACATGTAGCGCTAGCTATAACAAAACTTCACACAAGCTACTTGTCAACAGCCTACAGCTATTACAGTGATGACATTTTCTGACTTGTGATCATTACCGCTCACTATTTCCCTGTTTTTAGTATCAGTCTCCTACTCTGCCCTCTGACCTGTCTTTAAATAAGGCATAAACAGTGTATAGATACAAAGTCCTGTCAGGGTATGGCGGTGAACGAATCAGGGTGATTCGATGGAACTTGAGTGCAGAAGATTTCCTACACAAAAACAAGTTGTGCTTTGTCACTGACCAACAACTGCTGTTGGAATCCTGCAAACCTAACTGTAATTTCAGTCACCAAACCTCAACCTCGTGAAGCAACCACACTTCATCCATCACTTTGTTTCTGCACCCCCCTCAGTGGAGCCTGTAAAATTACTTAGATTTAAATCAACACAAACTGAGGTCAAGGTTCATAAATTGCATAAATCTAAACACAAAGGCAGCTATGAGGGTAGAAAGAGTCATAAACGGATGTTTGACTTCAAGTTGGTGAGAGCAGACACATTAGTGCCATAGTGAAATGAATGCATGTCTTTAAAAGGACATATTTATAGATGATTGTAAGGTTAAAGAGATCATATGACTAGAAAGCGACTTCAGTCTGGCTGATTTACTTTGTGGCTCCATTTATTATCAAGGCTCAAAATCAAAATGTGTTCCAGCTGCCCTGACTTCCATCTTATCTTTGTAGGAAGCACTTATTAGATTCATACAGTGCAGACAGAGCTATGCAGACATCAGAGGAACGGCTCCTGGAACGCCCGATGGTTACAGTGCATGTCACAAAACTGCTGTTCAGTTTCAACCAGGGACCTGTCAAACCTCTCTCTCTCTCTCTCTCTCTCTCTCTCTCTCTCTCTCTCTCTCTCTCTGTCTGCTCTCTTTCAAGACTGTTGAAACAAAGGAGGTCCTGTAGGAACAGTATTGTGACTCTTGTTTGTTAGGAAGTCTCCTGCTGTATTGCCGTAGATGTTCTCAGTGTAATATTCCTAACCACCTCGCCATTCATCCTAACATCCTCACACCAGTCTTTGCAATGAGACCTCAAGGGATGCATTGGTCAATGGTAACAACAGGCCTGCAACCGACTGTCATCTGGTGGGGTGTCTCTTTTCACATAATGGATGTTTGTTAGTGAGGCTCTCCTTTCACAGCAGGTTTTGGCTCAGTAACAAGAATAACACACACGAGCAGCGGAGGTGTCTGACTCCATTTTCTGTCTGCAGTCTCTGATAGGCTGCCTGGAGAACTTCTACATATGGTTCAGCGTCAGCATTACATTTGATGGAAGTCTTTTGGCTCCGCAGAGAGCCAACATCAACCTTGCAGCTTCCTCACAAAGCTCCGATGAAAAATGTGTGTTTTTCTTTGTTCTGCTGTGAGTCACAGTGCTGCTCACAAACCCACTCGCAGACCTGGCTGCGCTGCGTCTGTAGCCCTGGCTGTGATTACCTTGGCCCCAAAACCAGCCCACCACTTGGTGTTTTTCTTGTTTATCCGTTAGTACTTGTATTTTTTAAGGATGCTCAAAAACTGTCTGCGTGTTTTGAGTTTCCAGTGACTCAGCGCTCAAGTGTTTCAGATGGCTGCTCAAAGTCAGGCGTGTGTTTGTGTTTTCACATCTGTACAGCTGCTGCAAAGGAAAATATCAGATCCCCTCAGTCTGCGCTGTTTTGTACCAAAAGCAACTTTTATTTGTTAGTAGAATTAACCCCACAGCATTAAGTAATTTAGTACAATATTTCATCCACTCAAAAACAGATGTTTTGAATTGCCTCTTAAAGAAGATTGATAATATGGTGTTATTTGGCCAAATGTTCGTAGTTTTGACAGAACTACAAAACAATTTTGGCAAATGATAATTTATGAAGCTTAGATTAGCATCTTGGTTAGTTCTGTTTTGCTGTTTGCACTTCCAGTCCCTTTAATGATAATTGATAAAGTGCGAAAGAACAAACAGTACATCCAAATGACAAAAAACTCAGGATAAATCTGAAAAACCAAGTCAACAAGACTCGTAACTTTGCAACATAGTTCAGTGAAGTTTCATATGTTAATAACTTTTAATTGCACTTTTAATCCTATGTTTAAAATCGATTATTTTGCACAAGTGTATTAACAATGCAAACCTGTTCTCATCGGTGTCCTGATTTGGGAATCAAATGAATGCAGTCTTCAGGAGTTCCTGTTTGGTTGCATTTCCTCTTTCCCACAGTTTCTGTTTGACAGTAACACAGATAACTGGTCACAACATGTTCACCTGAAGACCTCATTTGGACCCATGCATTGACCGTGCTGCAGTCAGTTGACACCCATTTAGCAAGGACTGTTCACTTCTTTGGTTTTATTTAATCCACAGGTTTGTGGTGGTTTGCACTCAAAGCCCAAACTCAAAGTGAAACTTCATTCGACCCAAGAAGCTTACCAGGTTGGCTCTTACAGGTATCTTGGCATACACCTTAATAACCGATTTAGCTATAAAGATTATGCAAACATGTTGTAGTATTGTCACCTACAGCAAAAGCGATACATGCAAGAAACTCAAGTGTACTGGGTGGATCGTAAGATCATGTCTTTATTTTAACCAGCTGAGTATAATCAGGTGTTAGATGATAACATCATATGGAAACCTTTCTGCACAGTTAAAATCTAAGATTGTCTCTCCTTCCAGTCGGTCAATATATGAGCAAGTACAAAGAGTGTTTTCTGACCCATCACATGTCCCCCACTCTTAGTACAAAGCTCTTACCTTTGAACAGAAGATATAGGTTCCCCCAATGTAACCTGAGCTGCTTTAAAAGCTCCTTTGTCCATCTCGATGTTGAACTTTTGAAAAAGCTTCTTGGGGCTCGTGCAACAATGTCATTATGGGCTATTTTTTTTTTAAATCTTTTATCTCAACCTTACAGTGCTGTCCTCTTGTGCAAAATATGTCACTTATTTGTGGGGTGACTTTGGTGTGGGTTCTCAGATAGCATGTTGGTAATTGCTGTTTTTCAGGATGGTTTTTCATACTGTTGTGGACGCAGTTTGGCAAAAGCAGCTCTTGAATCCAAGAAGGTTATTTTACAATATTGTATCGTATCGTTTTGCATCTTATCATATCGTTTCATATTGTATCATTTCGTATCGTTTTGTATTGTATTGTATCATATCGTTTCGTATCGTATCATATCATATTTTTGTATCGTATTGTATCATATTATTCCGTATTGTATCATTTTCATATCGTACTGTATCATATCATTTTGTATCGTATCATATCGTATCGTATTGTATCATATCATATCGTATCTTATCGTATCGTATCCTGCTCAGTAACAGCCTGGAAGATTTAGCTCTCAGACATTTAGAGATCAAGATTTACTGAGTTTGGAAACTGCCAACTCTTTGCATTAATCCACAGCCATCGGTTTTACATTTTCAGCTTTATGGTGTTCATTTTCAGTCACTGTTTTTCTGATTTGCCACAGGAATGACTTCCCCTCTCTCAGTATTTGGTTGTTGTTGCTAGTTCTTCAGGAAACTTAGAAAACAGCTGTCCGTGGGCATGTCAGCAGATCTATTTGAATGAGGAATATGAAATGTTCAGCACAGAGACTTCAAACAGGCTGTACACGCTCTTTGTTTCTACCTAGTTTTTGTTGGATGTGATGCCTCAAAGCTTTAGCATGTGAAATTGAAACTGACTTCATCACTAACTCGTGCCAGCAGTAAGTGAGAAAATGTGGTGTTTTGTACTTTAGTCGACAGGAATTTACATTATGTAACTCCAGGGCCTTAGCCGGCAGTCAGAATCCACCTCTCTGTGGTTGGCATATTTCCCCAGATGTAAAGCCAGACTTGGCTGTATCTGCATTGTGTGGTTTTACGGGCCCTGTTTGGTGATGAAGCTTGAAAGTGGTGTCCAGTGATGGGATTGAGCAAAACATAAATCCATGATGGAGGGGATCTCTGCACTGGGTGATGATTGTTGCTGATTCAGTCTCTTCAGTGCGTCCACAGTAGGCCACCCAGCCAGCGTGACCACACAAAAACCCCACAGCACAGATGGCCTGTGAAGGCAACTCCAGTTCATCTTGGCACCCCTGCAGCGGTTTGGGGCTCAAATGAGTATGTAATGAAATATTCTCAACCGGCATGACAAAACAGGCCTCAGTTTGTTTGTATTCTTGTTGTTGTGGTGAGGACGAGATCAGGAAGAGTCCAACTTTTGGGTTTATTGCGCTGAATGAAGTTTGAGATGTCTGCCAGGGCACAGATAATTCTCTGAGAGGCTTCACTTTGGGAGCTATCATTTATAAAACGGCTTTTCTTTGCACTAAAGTGGTTACAATTAAAGATTTTGTTTCATACTGTTCCTTTTTTATATAATCCGAATTACAAAAACAAAATGAAGAAAAACATACTGAACTTAAACGGGCTCTTGAGGGGTAATGACATCATGAGTGCAGCACATTTCTACGGTCCAAAAATACAGCGTCCCATAAATTCTCCCTTTACTAGAGCCTCTTGTGCACTTTGCCTTACCCTGAAAATGACTTCACAGAAACCGCTGTATTTAACGCGGCTTTTTGTCACTGAACCGAGTGCTTGTCCAGTGTGTCCTTCTTTAGAACAACCGTGTCTCATGAGTCGGCCTGGCTGTTATACCAACAATATTTAAACTTCTTAAACTTTTACACTAAAGGGCCTCGTATCAGACGGGGGTCTTCAGTCATTGCAAGACCTGGCTGAACTGATCTGATAAGATGTTTTGGTAAATTTTAGGATTCATGATCTAGTTTTTTTAACCCAGTCTTTTTGGAGTTGTGGTGAAATCTGGATCCCAATTACTTTGTTTAAGCACATGTATGAGAAAAATGTGACTATTATTGACAGTTGTAAGCTTGTTCGTCTTCTGTTTACTGCTGGATATCTAATCTTGACATTAGCTGTCTGATGCTAATATGATACTCTGGATTTTCAAAGTTGAATTTTCAGCTTTTCCTGATTTGGTATTTGGCTGATTATCTTTTTCATCGTTTTATTTCACCAATCTCTAATATAACTAATTAACTAGCTCCACTGCTGGTTAGTCTTTTCCATCTGCGTCTGTTTTTATTCACTACTTTATCTCACCTTAGGCCCCGCCCACAACATTAGCTGATTGGCTAGATTTTACACAACTAAGCAATGTAAGGTTAAAAGTTAGGTTTTTTTTCTTCTTTTTTTAATGGTTGATGCCGATACCAATAATGAGAGAGTTGCTTAATTTGAAAAACATGACTGATATTCCTGTCATGACCAATATTAAACTGCATTATTCTGAACATTATAACAGAGTTGTAATAAACTAGAGCCAGTGACTGTTTTAGATGGAATATGTCATCACTGGTGATGGAAAAAATATGTTTTTTATTTGGAAAAGATGATGGTGATATCGGCCTTGGAGGGGCTGATGCTCACATGACTCTGATTATTTCAAAATGTCATTAATCGTCCAGACCAATACATCAGTCTATCTCTAGTTTTGATTAAACAAAGTCTTGTAGTGGAGTTTTTTTTTTACTACAAAAACTAAATTTAGACATTAAGTTATTGGTATATCAGTTCCAAATATCAGTTATCGGCCTCATGAATTACTCAGTATTGGCCCTGAAAAACTGATATCAGTCGAACCCTGATTAATAGTCACTCAGGATTAGCTTGTTTTGGGGCCTCACATTTTGCAGGTGACACATGTTTACTGGTGATGTGTGTCGTTTCTTCTGAGGGAGTTGGAGCTTGTTGCCCACTGCCGCTGTCACAATTTCACAGCCTTCACACAAAACATGCTGCACTTTCTGTACAGGAATAAATCTTCAGGTATGAAGACAGGAGAGTATGCAGGCTTGATGGAAATCCTAACAAGTCACGGGTCAAAACTAGATAAGAGATATACATGCAATCACTCATGACATGATGAAAGTGAGGCTCAGTGACCAACCCCCTCCTCTTCTTTCCCTTTCTCTGAGGTTCACATGGTCCTGGTTTACGTAAAATGACCTAATTCCAACATGCCAACTCTGCAACATGAGCAGGAGGAGCCAGGGGGTCTGTAGTCCTCCACTTAGGCCAATAAAGTTAGTTTATGGTTTCCATGTTTCTCTAAATTCATTGGTGGCAATGATGGTGATAAAATGTCCAGTTTGAAAGGAGCCATTTATGGTATTATAGATGTCTTGATATTAGCTGTAAATACAGTTTTACACACATATGGATGACAGCTCTGAAATGGAAAGTTATCAACACTTCATAGATCAGTACGCTGAGCAGCTCTGGGGGAACTACTTAGAAAGTGATAGCTGACTTTTTTCTGTCGTTGCTCTTTGAAATAAGAAGACAAAGTTTGACTGCTTGGATAAAAACAATCCGCTTCTAAATTGCATAATCTTTATTTAAAATGACAAATATAAAGGAGGAGTATAACAGTGTAAAGGCATCATTAGTGAGTGCAGTAAGTATATTTTTATGTGTATACAGGAGTGTACATACTGTTCCTGCATGTGCTTGCATTCCTTTTTTAAAAGCCTGGATGCAGGTGCTGGTTTCAGTTGTATTTTATAGCTTTCCGTGGGAATATTAATTCTCAATTACATCAAAAAAGTCAAACACCACCACCTCCTGCCAGCTCACGTTGGGCCTAAAACACATGCTGTATATCATTCACACAGTAAATAATGTGAATTTCTTGACCTCAGCTCCAACTTTTTATCTCCAAGTCTCAGATCCAAATTCAGACACATGCGGTGAAGCTGGCGTTCAGTCTTAAATTGAAACTGCTGACTGGAACGCATTTTTTAAAATTTTTTATTGATATCCAATCTTGGATACAGTCCCACAAAGTCTCCTCAATACGGTGGCCCAACTTTGTTTATGAGGCACACTTGCGTGCCTAAAAGTCCCTCTCATGAGATGAAGATATATGGGCCATTTGTCATAGTCTGTCTTCTTTTAACCAAGCACAGATGGGCTGACAAAACCAGATCTAATCAACTCCATGTCCACTGCTTCACTGGATCTCAATCTCTCTTTTAATAGGTCATCTAACTGTTTTCTCTACCAATTAGGGTCCGTTAGTGCGTGTTATTACCACAAAAATCATGCTGTGTACAGTTTAAAAGATATCTTATAGTTGAGCGATGAAACTGAAGGATACCAGGTTTCATAATCAGCACAGGTCTGTCCATCTGTTTCCTTTTCACCAATTCCAAGTGTTTTCTCTTTGTACAATTAGACAAAACTAACTTTGTACCTCAGTGCTAGCTTCATTTTTCAACACTAGAGAGGTCTAACATAGATTTTAACAGCTTTGGGTCGACGTCTTACTTTTGAAGAATGAGTCTTGGAAATTAAAACTGTCTGCTCCCAAAAAAATGAAAATCACATTTTTTAAGTTTGAAAGATAAACATAACTCTTAACCCTTGCATTTCAACACTCTCCTGCAGATCTATATGGTCCTAGACATGAGAAATGATAGCATGCTGAGGAGGATGTTTACCCAAGACGCCCGTCCATATCGTACTGTATATCTCAGTATAGTGTTTATATTATGGTCTGCAGCCAAAGCCTCAAAAGAAGATGTTCAGCTTTGTCAGCTTCAGACTGTATGTGTGTGTGAGAGAGAGAGAGAGAAGTGTGAGAGTGTGTGTCAGGGAGCATCTCGTCTGATTCAGAACAGAAGGGGTGCACATGCCTCCAACATACACATCTTTGGTTCTCACCTTACAAATCATGAGGAGGCCGAGAAGGCTTCATAAAAAAACACACAAAATAGCTCCCTGTAAGCAAAGCTCAAGTCTTCTGATGCTTTGGCATGAATAGATGATGTATCAGATGTTTGCATGCATCCTTTGATTGGTCTGCTTTGTAATGAAGTCCAGATGTTTGAGGACCGGTGCCCAATTAAGAGCGTCATAAACCAGTGAGTGAAAGACAAACACGGCGCAGGCATGCTAGGCTAACTCAGCAATTTAAGGACCCTGTCTCAGTGGAAACATCTCATGATGGAGAGTGTTTACTTGTTAACATTCCTGTCGATGAGTGTTAATAGTAAGGGTTCGCTTTAAGGGCCAAAGGGGGACACGACAACTCCATTGAGTGTACCATGGTAACGTTTTTAAGTTTTCACATCATCTCTGGAGCGATTTCTGTCACACCGTTTTTAATTCTACCACCCGAAGCCACAGTGAACAAAAAAGGAAATACATTTCTATAAGTTTGAGGTGTCTTTGTTACTGTTCATTGTAAAAGACCACTTTTTTTATGGCATTTAAATTGTGTATATTGTAGAAAGCTTTATGTTTTCTTCTCCCTTTTCTAATTTTTTTTCTTAATTATTACATTTATTTAAGTTCTTAATATTAGGACCCTCATTGTTATAACTGCATTTTTGCACTTTTTGTCTTGTCTGTGATGCTGCTGTGACAAAAAAATTTCCCCCATGGGGGATCAATAAAGGAATATTCTATTCTATTCTATTCTAAAAGAAAAGACCATCTGTCAAAATAGGACACTGTGTTTACCTAAAGTCAAGTGTAGGACATGGATACATCTGCAAACAGGAAGTAGCCTAGCCAAACTGAGCTCTGCTGTGATACACAACATGTCTGCAAAACACTGACAAAGTGAGCAGACTATAACATTTGTACCTAGAGTATACACTTGTGCACTCACGCAGTGTGGAAATATTGAAAAATACCTGCTTAATATAAGCACCAAAAAGGGTTTTTGGGTTAAATTAGCCTTTAGCTTCAGGCACTGCAGCACAGTCAAAGCTCTTGTTTTCCTTTCTCATGGTTTGTTTTCTCATTTTCCTCTGGAGGTACTGGATTCTGTCACCTCTCCAGGCCTCTAAACAACCTCTAAATAACAGGCTATAAACTCAAGCAGCTAAAATCTCTTTGGTTGACCTGTTGAGAGGTTATGTTCCCACTAAAGCCGTAACCTGTCACAAGATGACAAGTAGAGAGTACATCATTTTAACAGAACAAAAAGAAAAAAAGAGGAAATAACTGGTTATGTAAGGATTGCGAAATCAAATTGAAATAAAAATGTGAACTGGTTATGGATGAGTCGTCAGGGATGAGGATCATGGGTAATCATGTAAATGGACACCACTTAATTCCGACCACAACAATAAAGCCAACAAAGCGCACATTTTTTTATTACACTGTCATGAGTCAGTTGCTGTAATGGTGCAAAATGACTGTTGTTGGCTTGAGATGGGGGGAAAAATAAGATTTTTCATTTATTACGTTTTGTTTTTCATCCTCAGTAATCTATTACGTGCATTTGGAGTTCGCAATTCTTGAGGGTGCTTGAGTGAAACAATCATTAAACCGAACAGTTTCAATCCAAAGCTGATTGAGGACATTTTAGGCTGTAATTTGAGCTGCACTCGGATGTAACAGCCGTTTTGACACTGTGAATATTTACAGTAGAGTAAAAGAGAAAAAAAAAAGTCTACTGTCCTGAAATATGGGATGAAAATCTGCATTTGACAGCATTATAAACTGTCAAACTCCCTCCTGGAGGAGTGTGACTACTGGCCGTATTCAGCGTTTACATTCACCGAAAAGGAAGGCTGTGAAGTGTAAGAATTCCTGTGGTCACCTCCCTGTTACTGTATATAACATGGTATTAACACTCTGCACAAAGAGTCTTCACACAAAGTGAAGTTTAGTCTGTACAGAGTTTCTTTGTGTTGCCATGGAAGTTTCCACTGCCAGCCAGGAGGGAGACAGGGCATGCGAGCACGTCTAATGGCAGGTACATGGAATAAGGGAATAAGTGTTGAATTTTTTTTCTCTTCGCTGGACTCTGAGTCCAAATGAAATACAGCTGTTTTACAGACACTACAGTGGACTGCCTCCTTTTTCTCTCAGTTCGGCCTGATCCTCTGCTTTTCCAGAAGTGTTGCTCTAAATTATTGTGTAAATATATATAAAAGGACCAAAAGTGAAGACTGGTGGTTCTCACTTGACAGCAGTGTTAGGCACAGCATCCTCCATGTTTTAACTCGGCTCTTTCTAGGCTTTTCTGGCATTTATGTTCCTCTGGGGGATAATCTGGCAGGACTCCAGCTTGTTGATTGGGGCGTCCTGGCTGCCGTCCACCTTTTTTTGACTCTCTACAGGCTCGGTTCTGTGTGTTCTGCACCAGGCCGTTCAGTCTGGCAATGTGTTTTCATTTTCTGGTCTGCTCATGACATGTATGTGTCAGCATGTTTATGCACTGTGGTTGTATATGTGTCAACGGCAAGAATTCACAATGGCGACATGAAATGAGGCGTCTATCCTGAGCGGTGTGACATAAATCTGAATAAATAGTGTGTGGATGAAACGAAAGAAGGTTATTTTTATGTTTGCCGCTGTGTCTCAAGTTGGAGACGAAACATGACACTCTGTTTTCGCTTAAAAAGTTGTACATTATTTTTGTCTGTCAGGGACGTTGTTGTGACTGGTGCTCAGGATAATAAACTATTTAAGTTAATAAAGCTACACTATACTAAAACATAACATCCTCTGCTCTTATTATGACAAACAAGCCATCATGCATGCACAAGCATCACTTGTCACACACCAATTATTGATACAGAGTCCCGGTAGTCTTTCCTTTCAAGTTTCCATGTAACCGAATCCTGCTGCTGCTGCTGCCGTGAAAGTATTTGCCTCTCAATACTGACAGAACTGTTGTTTAAGCAAAATCTCTTAAAGGGGAACTCTCCTACGACATGCTCTTGGAAAATGTTGTGACTCTGGAAGGAGAAACTCGCTTCTCTGCCCAGAATGAATTTCCACGTTGGTTCACTGGAAGGATTGTTGCTCTCTGAACATCATTTTTCTGGGTTTGTAACGCAGCAGAGTGAAGGTGTTAACTCCAGGAAGTTAAAGTTTACACAGAGACCAAATGTGCGTTTAGATTTAGCAGTCAAAGCGCTTTCATCTTCGGGTTTGATTCTTCTAAAAAACTTTTTGCATGATGGAGAAATTGCTTGAACATGTGTTCCATGTTAGCATCCAAACATGATTCAGCATTTTCCATCTCTAGCCCCTCGCATAAACACAGTTTGTAAAAATACAGTTTTTCAGATCTTCATAATCCGTTGCAGTGTGGAGCTGCATAACTCACCACAGGTTCAGTAATTTACAGCTGTAGCATGTTCTCTCTCTCTCTCTATGGACAGTTAAACACAGTTTCAGAATTAACCCTATAGAACCAGAGATTCTGGTTTTTATTCTCTGCTTTATCTCTGGACAAAATGACCAGTGATTTGATGCATCTTATCTTCCAAGTCAATATTTGGAAGTTGTATGGAATAACTGTCTTTTAGTTAATTCAGATTTAATAATTGGTTTTATTCTCAAACCTGCAGGCCCAGTTCAAACTGAGTCAACTGACAATGAAATGGGGATATTTAGCAATACCCAGAGGTCAGGTATTACACTGAAATGCCCCCTTGCTCACCCCTGATAGTGAAGCTCAATGCATAACAAGTGTTATTTCTTCTTCTTCTTCTTCTTCTTCTTCTTCTTCTAAATGGTGCATTTTGGCCACTCACCAAACACAAATATGCACATAACTTTTACTAGTTTGTCCATTCTGTGCTGCTGTAGAAACAAAATGACAGCCTCCATAGAAGAGGACCCGCTTATTTAGCCATATTTTACATACAGGTTTCTATACCCTAACTTAAATACACTCATTAATGTTGTATTTGATTTCTACAAAGTCTGCTCAGCTAAACACGCTGCATCTTTAGGGCAGAATATCCGACTCTTCACTTCTCTCCAAGGACACAAAAAAACATCCTTTAAACTCTGAAGGGATTGTGTAAATATTTTGAAGTGACTCATCCCATGAGTGCTTTTTAATCTCCAAAATTTATCACACTACATTAGGTCATAGTTTTTATTTGACTTTCATTTCATGTATAAACTCTTGGATTTGTCTTTCAGATTTGAAATGACCTCCAGTTGATTTATACGGTGTTTTGATCAGCATACTTGACTTCATGTTCATTTTTCAGTGGTTGATTGACTTTATAAATGCCCTCACGGTAATTGAAAGTAGTTTTAACGGTGCTGAAAAGTTGTTTCAACTCTGTACAACAACTGTGACAACACGCTGAAAAGTCATGATGGATTCAATCAACAAACAGGTTCAGTTTGACACTGAGTCCAGGCATCAACACCCTTGTAAGAAATGTTCATTTAATAGTCTGTGTTTATGATTCATGCTCTGGTGTCTATAACAAAATCTGTCACACTGTGTAGTAGGTTTGTGTCGTGGGATCTGTGTAATTAGTGGGACGTTTGGAGTAAAATTCATTATTAAAACATCAAAAGTAAAAGTAGCCTGAGTGAAAGGGTTTGAACTGTGAGAAAGTATTTGAACTCCAGTGACCCTGCACGCATGAAGAACACACATATGAAGCAGCCACCATGCTTGAGTTCATACTCTAATGAACACACAAACACCAGCCCTGCTTTGCTCTTGACCCAGAACCTGCAGACGGTCCGCTGCTTGTTTAAACTGTATGATGTTGTGGTCAGGACCAGTGGGGAGGGGGTCTCTGATGCAGGCCTCCATACTGGTTCCCAACATGAGGCCCTCGACACACTCAAGGACAACAGAGCCCTGCATATCCATGTCTGGATCCTCGGCTGGGCCTCTTTGAGGTGGTCAGATGTGATGTTTGGACAGATGTGTAAGTCCAAGGCCTTCAGGGCCAACCCCCCTTGCCCCTATGGTGGTCTTGCCCCACCCCATACTGGGAAGATGGAGCCTCTTGGGGCTGCACGTTGAGTCCCATCATGGGTGACATGACTTAAAGAGACAGAGCCGGGTCTCCGATACTTTTAGTCACATGAAGATGTCCGTCCAGCTCTGGGAGTTTGGACTGGGACCAAAAGACGTTCAGAAAACAATTTTTTAAAATATGGCTCAGCTGTAGTGTCCTGTACTTTTTCCTCTAGACTTCAAGATATCAAAGGGGCAAAAAAAAATTGTGGGTTCCCAATCCTTAGTGCATCTGACCACCACCATAACCAACATCGATACCTATGATACAGTGGCGATTGCTCTAAGACTGCAAGGGAAGCTGGGCTTCCCTTAAAATGTCACCCCCCCAAAAAAAAGAAAAAGTGGTGAAATACGTACGGCTGTGTGTACATTTCATTAACTAAATACGCACTAGAAAGCCTTCAACTTTTGTTCAGACACTGTGATAAGAAGCTGATAATCACAGGTAACCGGCATAACTTCGTTCTCATTCATCCTCGCAGCGCCTCAGCGCTTCAAACAGCCGGACGCTGGGCTTCTGCTGACTTCAATGTGGAAGCTTAAAGTGGGTTGTTCCAGCAGCGAAACTAGACGCTCATTGGATAAAGGCTGGGCTTTGTCCCGCCCATCGGAAGCCCAGCTTCACTGGAGTTCTATGGCGAGAGGGCGGTCCCGACTTTCTCCCGGACTCCAAGCTTCTGCATTCATGATTGGATGAGCTGTCTGAGGCGAAATCCTTTTTTGATTGACAGCTAAACAAGCGAATCAGCGATCTTGAAGAATAAAACATCTACCAGAGCATTTTCCAAGTCATTCACTCCGTTGTTCTTAACTGCTCCAGAGACTTTACCGATCCTCAGCGACTTTTGTCTTTGTTAAAAACGACTGCCGTTGTGTTTGGCGACTCTGTTCTGTTACATACTAATAAACAAATACAATTATGATGTAGGCCAGAAAAATGAGCTTCCCCTCCTTGAAAGACCAGCAGCCGCCACTGCTATGATAATATTTTTTGTAGTCAATGCTCAAGTGTTGGACCACACAGCACCAGTTTACCGTAAAGCTCCCAGTGTTTCTGGCAGTGACCAACCAGCTTCTCCCTCCTGGATGCTATTTTCTCACTCACTCTCTGTAACCCCCCATACGGCGCCTTGATGGTGACATAAGCATCCTAGTTAATGAATAGAACCACACAGGGGTGAAGCATCTATTCAGGGATTTCTGCAGGGTGGGCTTTGAGGTCCAGTATTCACATTGGTGTTGAAGAACTGATTCAAAGATTGCCAGAGCCTTTCTCAATGTAATGTTCTGCTCTTGAGCTCTAAACCCGCAAAGTCTAAAGGTGTTGGCCTCTTTCGGGTTTAGAGCTCCAGGGTGCAGGGCCAAGATGAAGGAGAAATAATGTCTTGCTCTGTGATAATAAACCAGTGGCAAGATCATGCATGTTTAATTGTGGTGGGTAGGTGGAAATTAATGGATTTCTTTGAAGGAAGCATCATATTTGAAATCCTGCATTACTTATAACAACATTTTACTCCATTAGATGAATTGCCAAATCTTCAGACTGACAGTAGCGAAATTTCTGCAGCTAAGACAAAGTGAGCTGATGTTATTCATACATTAACACTGACTATCAGGTTCCCTCAGCCAGCACTGACTTTAAAAAGCTTAGCTTGGCTCCTTTGGTGTTTGTAATACAAGTGCTCACTTTTGTTTAACTTCTCTGGGAAAGATTTTGAAAATCAGGCCAAACTCAAGACCAGTCTGGAGGGTCATTTGACTGTTGCTGTAAACCTATTTATAGCTGTGTTGTGTTTTTCACCTTAAGATTTTGGCAGGAAAAAAGCGTATTTTGAACAGTTTTTCAGACCTTTGTTTGATAAAGTGATACGTGGTTTCCAAAAATTCCCTTTCCTTTGTAAACCCATTTCACAGTTACTTCTATTTCCAGAAAGATCTTTATTGCCTGTTGTGAATAGACCCCAGCTGCCCTCTCGCTCTGCCTGCCAGAGGCCGCTCACTCACTTCTAATGAAGTCATGTAAACATCCTGTCTGTAGTTGGATGTTTAGCATCATATCACATGGCGAAGGCGGTTTCCAGGACGTAGTGTCAAACCAGTGAACATCTGTGACACGAATGACCAAAAAGTTCACTGCACCGAGTCTTTGGGTTGGATGGTGATGAGGAATGAGAGAAATGAAATGAAACTGTTTTGTTTATAGCTCTGCTTGTCATATGGCGAACACATGTTTTTAGGTTTCATTGTGAGTAGTCTTGCTCCTTCATGGGGGGAGATGTTTTCAATCCTCTCTTGGCTGAGGACAGGCACAGCACGTCCCATTTTTAGACATGCAATACTAAACCGAGTTATGAAAAGACAAAAACATTTCATCTTTGAATGAAAACCTTAGGGCTGTTTATTTGACTCACTGCTCCAGCCGCACAGTATGCGATTACTACTGTTTCCCATCACGTATACTGTTACAGGGATGAAGCAGACTTACTGTATGCTTTACACTGATTTGTGACATAATGTCTGCTGTGTGTTGCAGGAATTCAGGAGGGGACCGAGTGCACCAAGTGTAAAAATGACTGGGCTTTGAGAGCAGCTATTGCACTGCTGTATGTGCTGTGTGCCCTGCTCACCATAGCGGTGGCTGTCCTCGGCTACAAAGGTGAGTCAAAACAAATGTCAATCTTGAGTCCCGAAGCTTTTCACGATTCTGCAACACAAACCTTAGATTCTGCAAAGTCTTAAAGCTGTATGCCGATTACACAAACTCAAGTCATTAAAGGGATATTCTGGCGTAAAATTAATTTAGGGTCAAACACACTGAAACACCGAGTTAGACACCCCCTCAAGAGATGAATGTTGCTGACCGCTTGCTTCTCTGGTTTTACCAACTGTAGTAACGACCGCAGGATAGCAATACACAGCGGTCTGAGGAGCCTCAAACCTCAACCAAAACGCCACTCTATAGCCACAAATAATGCTCAGAACAGCACCTAACTTCATCAACAGTACATATAGGGTCCCAGCCACAGCACTAGCCACCAAACATCTTTTTAGCTTTGCCTAATTTCTTTAGCAAAGAGACTAAACACAACTCACCTACTCTCTTCCAGCAGCCGCTTGTTTGTACAGAGACCTCAGACGAGTCCATTACGGACTACAGCGGGGTGACGCAGCTCAAGGAAGAACATTTATGATCATTACTTTTTCATTTCCTTAAAGTAATAATCATCATATTAATCATTTTGTAGTTCTTCTGTTCAGGTAGAGACCACACAAGGAGATATTTTTTTAAAATGAGCCTCCTGATAAAGATCGATGTACAGAAGGAAGTCAGTGCAAGGAGTTTGCCGTCACATAGGGAGTGACATCAAGTTGGTGTAGTTACTGCAGGCATTAGACAATACAGTATAGAGACCAGTTTGAAACCCTACTGGAGCTCCACGATAAATCCCTGTTCTTTATTTTAATCTAACAAGTAGTATTGTGCCCAAACCATCTCACCATCATAACTGGGCACGAATGTGATTGTTGTACCTGGTGTCGGGTGCCTTCCCCTTAAAATATACCCACCATGTGGCATGTTGGTTGTATATGCTCACTGACATTGTATTTATCCTGTTGTTTCTGAGGACTTGTTGGCCATGACAGTTGAATTAATCTTAAGCACTGTAAATCTCTCTGGCTTTGTTATCACCCAACTTGTTTTAAAGGTCTATAATCCATCAATATTTTAATTTGTCTAATATTTTGGTTAACGACCGTCAAATCTCTTGCCACAGAATGTAAGATTCTGACTCCCTTGACAGAATCCATTGTTTACTCTCTGATGAATTGATATCTTTTGGATGTAAGCCATAGTTTGAGATTATTAACACATTTGTTGTGCAACATTGTCCTTAATGCAACCCTTTTGATCTGTCATTTCTCCTCGTTTAAACCAGAACGATGATTTTAAATAGAAACAGAAAGAATTCCAGTTTTCACAGATGCCATCAATATGGAATGCACTTTGTGTATTGTCCAAACTTACACATTTTTAACCACTATCAATCAAAGACAACCTGTCAAAACACCCTGGAGCGAAACACTGAAGCCTCACCTGCACAGGCGGTCTATAACCTGATACAAGAGACAAAAACTGCACTTGTCCATCAGAGAAGGACTTAAACTGCAAGTAAACATGTTGACAAATAAAACCTAAATCTAATGCAGGTTTTGCAAGTGTTGTCAGGAGTGTTATGTGTTTCCAGATTTAGGTCTGTGGCAACCTGGGGTCTGTGATTTTGATGGTTTGGCTCTAATGCCAACCAGATGACCATGAACTGACTACCCTGGCTTAACAACCCGGAGGAGATTTTATGGCTTGGTAGCAATTTGTTGTCTCATGAACCACAGGTTGACTCACAAAAGTCTGCAAGTGTTCAAAATAGTTAGTGAGTGTGGGCCGGATTCTTTGTTTTTGTTTGTTTCTCTTTTACACCCTTTTAAAAGCATTTACTTGAGTTAACCAGTGTACTTCAGTGAGTGTTTCTTGTTTTTTTTTAACCCATATTCAAGAGTAAATTCGTGTTTCTATCTGTGTCAGTGAGTGTTTGCGGCCGCAGCATTGATCGGTGTTAATCTGCGGGGCCTCATGTTGGGTAACAGCCTTAGCACTGCTCATAATTTGGGTCATAATGAGCCGTACTTAAATTAGCACTCTTGTATAACTTGTAATGCTTTTTCAATGCAGAGCTGTGAGAGGAAGGAAACGATTACCAGACAGGGATTAAGGGGCGGTGCGAGATCTCATGGGGAAAACAGATACCATGATGGGAATTTACAAAAGCTGCGTGTGAATTGGCAGATGTATTAAAATTTTAGTGTGAGGTGTTTGTTGTTTTTTACAAGCTCAGATTGTGATTTTGCCCACCTGTGCATTTATAAATGTAAATGTCTGTTCTGTTTTTCTTTAATACTGTTTTTTAACTGTTATGAAGCATCATTGTGTCTGGTTTCAAGGCATCTTTGGTGCTGTAGCAATACATAAGTGGTGAATGCAGTAAGGCATATGCAGGGTTTCACAGTTCCTCAAAAAGATAAAGAAATGAAGGAGACAGAGATGATGCTTGTGCTTCAGTTGACCAATGGCTCACTGACTGGGCTCGTCTGTTTTTTTTTCTAAGTGCATATTGTTGTTTAGTGTTTTTGTCACGTCTGGAATGAAAACAGCGAAAGCGTAGGATGTTTTCCAGCGAACTTTTCAGACGCCCACATACTGACAGAAAAACAAACCTTGGAGGAGAGGAGATGAACTCTTGTTGCAGATGTGAGTGGGGAAGAAGAGAAAGTGGAAACAGAGTTGTGGTGTGGAATTCTTTATTTGTTCAACAATATTTATTTTCATGAAGTGGAATTTATGAATGTACTCTGAAAACGGAGTTCTGTAACAACCAACAGATGCTCAGTTGCGCTCAGTTACAGAACACTGGAAACTCTGGAAACTCTGTTCAGCATCCAGAGGTCAGAGCAGCAGTTTGAGTTCCCAGTTTTTCTGAGGAGAATGAAAACAGCAGCGCCATCTGCTGTTCACATTTAGTACTGCATTTTTTTATTCAACAATGACAATAAAGAATCATTTAATTTTGTATCATCAGAAAACTCTATCCCGTGGACAACCCATCAAAATGCCCTCTGACTGAGCTATCCAAAGACCTCTTAGGGTCAAAATCTGAGGAAAATGAAACATAAACATACCGTCTGTGTAATGCGAATTACTGTATTTAACTGTATATGATCATACTCTATGAACCTGTTTACATTAGACTTCCTCTTTCCTCTTTTTCAGTGGTCCAGAGAATGGATAATGTCACAGAGGGCATGCAGAATTATGGAGGCAAGATCAATGCGGTGGAGACAGACTTAAAGAAACTAGGTACGTCTTATTCGATGTCAAAAATGTGTTTTTAACTTATAAAAAGCTCTGGACGAAAGATTCAACACAATATACAGGGAGGGTTATTCCTCTCATCAAGTTTTTTCTCCATCTTTTCAGATTATCAGACAGGAGAAAAGTCAGTAAATGCCACAAGTGCAATCAAGACTTTCAAATCAGATCTGGAGACTCTGCAGCACCAGCTCAATGACATTGCCATCAGGTCCACCAAAAACAGGGACATGCTGGACGAGCTCCAGATCACAGGAGATGATATACAAAATGGTCATGTCTCCCTGCAGAGTTTTCTGCAAGGAAACACTGCCTCAATGCGTGGGGTCAACCAGACACTGGCTATCTACGGCAGCATGATTGACAACCTCCAGACAGACACTGCATGGCTTCAGTCAGAGATACAGAGCCAGGTCAAAGTGCAGAGCCAGACCCAGGTCACTGTCAGCGCGCTAAACATCACCCAGGCCCAGCAGCGCAATCTTCTCAGCACGCTGCAGAAGACAGTGGAGGATGCGAGCCAGGCAGTGCAGAAACTGAAAAATGACTATCAGGGTCTACAACAGATGGCCAGGCAGACCAAATCTGACACAGAGTGGCTGAAGGAGAAGGTCTTGAACCTCCAGGTTTTGGCGGCTAATAACTCTGCCATAGCTCGGACCAACGGGGAAGCTCTGGATGACCTGGGGGCTCAGCTCAGCACGTTAGCGAGCCAGATCCAAAACACATCAGCTCTGACTGAGGGGCATGACCAGAGCCTGCGGGAGATGATGGACCACCAAAGAGACCACGACAACACCACCTCGTCCAGGTTTGATGAGATGGAAGCACGACTGGACCGGCAGGAGAACGACATGGACCGTGTCACAGGGAACGTGAGCTTTGCCTCACAACTCCTGGGTGCCATCAGCTCAGACTTGAACGGTATGAGGTCCTGCGCTGAGACCGTGCTGCGACATTCAGACCTGTTACTGGGACTGAACAGCAGTGTGACGGAGGCCAGAACAGAGGGCCAGGAGCTGAGAGCCCAGCAGGATGAACTGACAGCCAGACTGGACAGAGAGGTCAGCAACCTCTCCATGGTGATGGAGGAGATGAAGCTGGTGGACAGCAAGCACTCCCAACTCATCACTAACTTCACCATCCTGCAGGGTGAGAACAACAGATACACTTTGTGAATGACATTTCAGATCATGTGAAGATTTTCAGACCGTCCTAAATATCACTAAATTTGTAATTGTATATGGAGTTTATAGGGCTGCATAATTATGGCCAAAATTATGATCATTATTATTATTATTATTATTATTAGCAGTAGTAGTAGAAGTAGTAGTAGTCGTAGTAGTAGTAGTAGTAGTAGTAGTAGTAGTAGTATTCAACTTTATTTCAGAACCACCACAGGATGGTCCATATCACAAAAAAAATAAAATACAATAAAACAAAATAAAAAATTATAATCATGTTTATTCAGATCAGTATTGAGATTGGGGTTTCTTGGAATGAATCACAATCATTTATTAATTTAAGAGAAAACTTTTTCCTTGTTTATCGTTGGTTTGAAAAACAAATCTACTCTGCAATTTTTTCCCACATTGACCCCTAAATACGTCAACTTGCTTCAAAGCTGCTCTTCTGTAAGAACCTTGACTTTGTTTTGATGATAATACACTTTAGCTAAAACTTATTACTGTGATGGGCTATTTTCAAAGTGTGGTACTGAAAAGACAATGGTCTTAATCTGCATTCACTTCATAGCAGTGCAGTAAAAGGCGAAACCTTTTGCACAGTCTTTTGATCGCCATTCTCAAAATCGTAATCCTTGTTGTTTATGTATCTATAAATCAAAATGATGGGAGCCTACAGGTTGCACATGTGATTGTAGTCTGATTATTGCTTGTAGATACCAGAGCTTTCCATGCTCAGTCCGTCCCTTTGTATTACTAACACACAGCTAATGCTTTTCCTCTTATAGTCAATAGTCAATAACTGCTTTTAGTCCTAAAACTTTGATTGCCAAAACCACGATCATTGGTTAATCTCTTGGGATGTTTATTTTGAACAGTTCTACACCAGAATTTCTAATAAGCCCCTAAATTAACCCATCGCAACATCATGACAAGCACCCCTCTGTCTGGACCATTAGGTCTTTAGGGTCTGTATCCTCTTCTGGTAAGATAATGTGATGTATTCAGGATGTGTCTTTGCAGAGCCTCATTTGTGTGAACATATGGCACAGTCACACCTCAAAGACGAAAGGAAACCTCTTCAAACGTGTCAAAACTGTTCCCTCATGCTCAGTAATCAACTCATGAAACCACCAAAACTTTGTTGTGACTTGGAATAAAGAGGAAATAAAAGTGTTTTTTCTGAGTGTCTGTGTGTTTCAGATGTTTGCTCACAAGATAACTCTTCAAGTCTCCTCCAACGTAGTCATAACCTGTGGGCTCTAACTCTGTTTCAGGTCCACCAGGTCCAAGGGGGGTCAAAGGTGACAAGGGTCCCCAGGGTCCAGTGGGACAGACAGGACCAAAAGGCGATAAAGGAGACAAAGGAGTGCCAGGGGCGGTGGGGCCCAAAGGAGACAAAGGTAACCCTGGACCACCTGGTGCACCCGGTCCAAAGGGTTCTTCCGGGGCTCGGGGTCTTCCAGGAGCCAAAGGATCAAGGGGGTCCGGAGGTCGACCTGGAAGCCCTGGAGAAAAAGGTGACCCTGGGGCTCCAGGGCTTCCTGGGATTGATGGAAGGCCTGGGATGCCAGGTCCAGAGGGGCCACAGGGTCCCAGAGGAGCTGCAGGACCTGCAGGGCTTGAGGGGCCACGTGGGCCTGTTGGACCCATCGGCCCTTCTGGCCCTCCAGGGCTTCCTGGGCTACCTGCTCCTGTACCTCCTCCAGTTTCAAAGGCAACCCAGAGTCCTCAGCCCACTCAGCCAGCGAAGGCCCCGGTTTCCCCTAAACCACCTCAACCCCCCAAACCAGCAGACAGTCCACAAGGGTCCACGTCCCCTCAGGTCCAGCCCCCTGTCACCATGAGTCCATCACCAGGTGGGTCAAATGATGATTTCATGGTCAATATCAGAAGAAAACATCTCCCCTGGAGGTGACAGGGAGCTTTCAGCAGCTCCTGGTGCAGCTTGAGGTCTTCATCAGTTTATCTCAGCTCATGTTTACTGTTTGATCTGCAACCTGAGACAGAGAACGTCGTTTTCACTTGTGTGCAGATATCTGTCTAAAGGGGAAGCAACTACAAACTACTCTAATGCTCATTGTGATATCCTGTAAATGATCTATTCCAGGCTGCCCACCTGAGTTCAAAAAGTTTGGAGACAGCTGCTACTACTTCTCCTCGGGTCCTCAGAGACTCAACTTCGACGAGTCCTTCCAGTTTTGTTCCAACATGTCGTCTCATATGCTGATTATAAACGACAATGATGAGCAGGTAAACAAAACTACAGTGAAGCATTTCTACAGAACTAAAAACTTTCTTCCTGTATTTATCCTACATTTTATCGTTTACTCCACTGTAGACATTTGTGAGAAATGCAATCGCAGGAAAAGGCTATTTCTGGCTGGGCCTCACTGATAGGGAGGAAGAAAATGTGTGGAAGTGGGTGGATGGGACCATACCTGTTTTCAAGTGAGTAAACACACCCACTGTTTTTATGACATATTTTTGATATTAGATAAACTGGCTAATTTCATGCTGTTTAAAGAAATAAGAGCTTCTGTAAATGTAAAAACCAATGACATGTTATTGCTAACAGGAAGTGGAAGCCTGGCCAGCCTGATAACTGGACTCATGGCCATGAAGACGGCGAGGACTGTGCTGGTCTCATTCATAATGCCAACTGGAACGATTTCTACTGCACTGACCGCATCGGTTTCATCTGTGAACGAGCCTCTGACTGTTAGTACTTTCTACATATCAGTGTTTTTGTACACATTTGGACTGTGTTTTACTTGTCCTTTAGTTTTCTTAGTGGACATGATTCTAATGTGTTCAAGACTCAAACTTTTTCGTTCAACCTGTTTTGGTGTGTGATATGCTAAAACTTAAAGAAATAATCCCATGACTCAGTCAGAACTGTTGTAAGTGCAGGGGACTACTTTCTGTGTTGCTGAGAGGGGTCATTGTATGTGGAAATGGGTTTGATTCAAAATGAATTGTAGTTCACTGGTGAAACATTCTTATCTTCAAGTCGTCTCCCATCACGAGGCTGAATGATATGAGTAGACATGGAAATGGAAATCCTCCAGTCTCTACACGCACAGATTTAAGGCACATTTCTGCCAAGTGTGTGAATGCTTCGGTCTGTTCTGCAGACCCCTTGTCTGTAGACTTAAGTGAGAGACTTGCACAGAGTTTACGGTGGACTTGGTCATGTTAAGAACAATTTTGCACAGGGTGTAAACAAATGTCTGTGTCAAGTAAAGTCAAGCCAAAGTTTATCTATAAAGCACCTTTAGAAGACAGCAGTTAGATAAAGTGTTGTACATAGGATAAATAGAAGAAGTAAATAAACAGATAGATAAAAATAAAAAATAAAATTAAAACCAGTGGAATAAAAGACAGACAGTAAAAGAATGAAAGCTACAGTGCCTATGATTCCTGTGTGCTCATTTATTACACGCAAGGGAGAAAAAGTGAGTCTTTAAAGATGATTTAAATGACTCTAAGGTCTGTGAGGCTCTAACATGGCCAGGTAAACTGTTCCACAGTCTCAGGGTAACCGCTGAAAAAATCCATGTCACCTTTAGACTTGAGCCTGGTTTTTGGGACGCTCAACAGTAACTGGTCAGAGGACCTTAAGGCTCTGGCTGGGAAGTGGTGATACAGGGGCTCTGACAGGTAAGGAGGGGCGAGACCATTGAGGACTTTAAAAATGATTAAAAGAAGTTTAAAATCAACCCGAAAGCGGACCGGGTCACACTTCTTCTTGCCAGAGAGGAGTCAAGCAGCAGCATTTTGGATGAGTGTGTAATTTGACAAAATAAGCATGGACTTGATTGATTGCAAATGGGTAACCACTGTTGTTTTGAAGTCATTTTATTTTTCAGTTTAAAATTAACCACTGTTGTTTTGAAGTCATTTTATTTCAATGCTAGGGCTTACACACTGCAGACTGGGATATATATATGTGTATGTGTGTGTGTTCATTAGCCTTTCTATAATGCTTTGTGTTACAACCTTTTTGTCTGTAAAGTCTCAATCATTATGAAAAGGTTACTTAACAATGTCATTTTTGTTGCTATAACCGTGTTTATATCAGCCTGTAAATGCATCATGAAAGTGAGTCTAATGTGTTTTATGTTTGCTCCCTCCACAGTGAAAGATCCAGCTTTATAGCATCCATCTAAAGAAGCATGAGCTGTCTCTGGGAGAGAGGTGAAAGGGCTGACGTTGGGATTGAAGATGCTGAAGGATAATGAAGGACACAAAGAGCTCTAGATGACTGGAGGACTCGGATAAAGCCAGCTCAGTGAAGCATCACTGAGCGTGGACTGATCTTTATCTTGAAGGCACTTTACAACACAGCGTGGTGCAGAAGACAGAGCATGAAGGGCAGACACAGCCCGCTTTTTTATCGATTTAGTATTTGTACTGAAGGAAACATGAGAATGTAGGTGTTTATTTGGGCTGTACTAAGTCATTACTTGGTGCAGCCAACCTTGTACAGGCGTAAGTGTAAATAATCTTTCACAAAAGACACGTTTTTGTTTGGGATGGAGTTTAACATGGTTTCATTTCTTGACTTTCTTCCTATTCTTCATATCTAAACATTTACAAAGAAATCTATATCAGAGGGTTATGTTGTTAGGAAGGGGAAGCTGTTATTATACTGACAAATACAGAATACACTCAGAACTGTGATCACAAATAAGCTCCTGGGAGAATGAAGAGCAACCACTCATCATCAACAAACTGACTGCAAGATCAGTCCATAAATCAGAGTAAATATATTGTAAATTTTACCTTTCCACAAGCTAAACATGAATATCATCTTTATAATGTGTCTGAAAATAGATGCTCAGTGTGAGCAGTGCTGCTGTTTTATGAAGGACAGTATTTCTAGCTATTAGACTGCCAGTATGAGTTTTAACAAATACGAAGCACATATTAACAACATGTACATGTCTTTTGTTTTGTAGTCTTAAATGATTTATTCAGTATGAAAAATACAGTATGTGAAATTTGTTACACGAGTATAATTTGCATAATCACTTGTTATTGTTGTATGATTTACCTGTTACAATTCCTATCATGCTTAGAGACTGAATAGCAGTTTGCAATCTGGCTCAGGGCTCATTACACCTGAATTGATTAAATTACAATTTTCCCATGAATCACAATAAATTGGACAGAAAACATGTGTGGAGTCTGTACTTTTAGCTCAATAATGTAATGAATGAATTTGCTGGTAGGGCATGATATGCTTTTTGTGTAGTTTTTGTGTTATGTAGCCTAGTATCTTATGTACAGTCTATGGTCTCATCTCTGACCCAATAACTAGCCTTGAGACAGTAAACTTTGTAAATCCTGGAAACTTTGTTGGTTAATTAAAAGTGAAATTGTGTAAATTAAACTTGAGTATTATAAACGTGACCATTTTGCTTGTGGAGGGCGCTGAATCCCTATGGAGCGAATAGTTTCCGGACATTCACAGCTGAGGCAGTTACCGTGGACAACGCGATGAGACAACGTCACGTGATCACCATCACCTGACGATGACATGTTATTTTTTTACGGCAAGGACAATTTGTAGCCAGCCTTTCATTCCCTCTCATTAAAACTAAAAGAAGAGGCACCCACAGCTCTGCGTGTCCGTGTTTTTTCACTAATAGTTGCTGGCTGCTGTTATTGTCATACACGCGTCTGTCCGCTTCGTCTACCCAGAATGCCTCGCTTGTTGCCGTCTGGCGAAGGAGTGACTGTGTAGAAAAGACTCAGCTTCAGCTCACAGTTACAATTGACATTCATGAAGTTGTCGTTACTATGCATTTTTATTCTATGAAATAAGGCTAAGAGGGACAGAAAATAACAGGAGTGGGCGAAATTAGTTGTTGTCAATCCGCCAGCGATGCCTCTCTTCACGACCAACCCGTTTGACCAAGATGTTGGTGAGTAATCACAAAACTGGGGGCTTTTGTAGCATGCTAGCTGAAGTAGCTTTGTTTTTGTTCTCAACCTGCCTCCTCCTCTAATGAAAGCCTGTAGGAATACCGTGATACTCTAAATAGCTGCCTTAGAGCTTATTTACCGGGTAGACATGCGGAAAAGCTGAGGTCCGTATCGTTGTTTTTGTGTTTGTTGTTATTCACTCAGTTAGCTTGTTAGCACAGTTGGCTAACTTTACGCTAGCTTGAAACCTTATCTTATCATTTTAATGACAGGGGCGCACATACTTTGAACATTTACGTTAATTGCCAGATGTGTCTGCCGATTTAAGTGTTTGTTTGAGTCATATTCGATGTGAAAAATGTCGTTTTGGTCGAGGTTTGCTGTCACCAGGCGAGGAGCAGCGATGTTGTCATCAGATAATTGAAATGTCGTTAGCTTGCTAACCATCTGCCTCCTCATCATGGCTCCTCTCTGTAGCACTTGATTTCTCTCTCTGATCAACGATATGATGAGCTTTGACATCTTTATGTTGCAGAACTGAAAGAGGATGTGGTGCAATTTGAAACCACAGACCCTCCCCGTGTTTCCTCTTTGCTCTTTGATCTGTGTCGAGAGGCTAACCATTGCATTTGCATGTAACAATGTGATAGAGGTCGACAGACAACACCTCATTTTACTGTGAAATCTAAACTGTAACCCTCTAAACACACTATAAATGCAAATGTGTTAGGTTTGTGATGCGTGTGTGGATTGGCAGGTGTTCTCTGGGCTGTTGGTTAAACAGGTACAGTTGAAACCAGAAGTTTACATACACCACATAAAAGGCACATAACCTTTTTTTTTCTCACCGTCTATCATTAAATCAGATTAAACTTTTCCTGTTTTTGGTCAATTGGGATTACCAAAATTATTTTTATTTGCTAAATGCCAAAATAATAAGAGGGAGAATTTTTTAGACAATTCTTTATTACTTTCTCGAGAGTCAAAAGTTTACATACACTAAGGGCGCGTTCACACCACCCTCGTTTAGTCCAGTTGAACCGCAGTTCGCGCTCGCTGGCTAACAAGCCGTTCATATGCATGATCGACTAGCGTCTTTTGATACACGCTCCAGGTGAGTAGCAAAAGCAAAATCAGCCTACGATGCTCCATGACAGGCGAAGACAGCAGAGCGAGGTTTGTATTCCCACATAAACTAATGACCAATAACTGAACAATATTTGTGGTCACATGACTTCTGGTTCCGTTTTCTGGAGTGATTGAGTTTGTCCTTTGTGAACGCAAACCAGACCAGTTAAACAATCAAAACAAATGTATCGTCTTGCCTTGGATTCGAATCAGGAAGCGTACCTTTAGGTGTGAACACGACCTTGCTCCAGGGTTCGGTTCAACCAGACTAAACAAGGGCGGTGTGAACGGGCCCTAAGATGACTATGCCTTTAAACAATTTGTGAAAGTCCAGATGATGATATTGTGTCTTTGGAAGCCTCTGATAGGTTTATTGACAACATTTGAGTTCATTAGAGGCACACCTGTGGATGTATTTTAGGGCACACCTGAAACACACTGCTTCTTTGTGTAACATCATAGGAAAAATCAAAAGAAATCTGCCAAGATATCAGGGAAAGAATTGTGGACCTACACAAGTCTAGTTTTTCCTTGGGTGCAATTTTCAAATGCTTGAAGGTGCCACTTTCATCAGTTCGAATAATTGTACGCAAGTATAAACACCATGGGAATGTCCAGACATCATACCGCTCAGGAGACGGGTTCTGTGTCCCAAAGATGAACGTGCTTTTGTCCAAAATGTGAATATCAATCCAAGAACAACAGCAAAATCCCTTTTGAAGATGCTGGCTGAAGCTGGTAAGAGGGTGTCGTTATCAACAGTGAAACAAGTCCTGTACCGACGTGGGCTGAAAGGCCACTCTTCCAGGAAGAAGCCATGACTCCAAAAGAAACATAAAAAGCCAGATAATACTTTTATGTGCCTTTTAATATATTGTATGTAAACTTCTGGTTTCAACTGTATCTCTAATATCTCTACGAACACCTGCTTCTTAACATGCACTAGGAGTTAAAATAAACTTATCTGTTATTTATCCAAATGCTCATAAACTTTATAACATTGTACTTTATCAAAGGGCAAGTGACCTCTTTTTATAGGGATATAATTGTAAGTAGGGCTGGGTGATATGGGAAGAAGTTTATCATCATGTGTTTTTTTCATATCAGTCAATATCAATCACAATGGTATGCTATCACAATATGGATTTTTTGGGGCCGATACCGATAATCAGGGGGGAAAAAATCTGATTACCGATTACTCGGCCGATTTCTTAAATTTTTTATGACGTTTTAAAATTTTGTTGATTCAAGTAATATATCTACATATTTACTTTTTTTTAAAACAAATGGCTGCTTTTGAGCCTTTCAAACACTTCTTCAAAGAATTGAAGGCAGAAAACTCATTTCAAATCCTTTTTATTGCTAAAAAAACTGAAAAGGGATGAGGTATTTTGTGTAAAGTACAGCGGGGAACATCGTGAAGTGGGTTAAATCGAAGCTTGTTGACTTATTGTGTATTTCACAAACTAGTTTATTTGCCGTTGAAGCGGACCACTCTCCTCCGCTGCCTGCTTTAGATTCATCACTCTGCTGTGCTGTGAGGTTGTTAGTCGATGAAGATTGTCATGAGGTCGCTGCGCCATCTACAGGATAAGTCGGGGGATCTTTTCAAATGGTGGAACAATTTTGAAGTGAAACCGAATGCTATCTCCGCATTTTATTTCTGAAACTATCAGCGACAATCGGCGTGTTTTGGCAGATTACTGGTTAGTCTCAAACGGGTGCAATGGCAACAAAGAAATGAACTCCTAGTCATACCAAAATGATAAATTGTGTTATCTCGTCGAGTTTGATTACTAATCTGCAAACAGTTCTAGTAAAGAGGATGTCACAGAACACAAAACGACATCTGACAGACTGTTGATAGTGACGAAATGCAAAATAATGGAATTCATCCCGCAGAGAAATGCTGAACCACTGTCAAGACATTCCCTCTGAATCATGATTAATAACCCATGAGGAGGTGTGTGGTGGTGTGTCTATCTTTAGAGTGTCGGTCTGTCTGTCTGTCTCTGAATTCTAATTTTCTGACTAATTTGGTCATTTAATGGGCATCAATCATTATACAGCTCCCTTTTTAACAGTCCACAGGGCGAGACTTAGAGTAAACATGTAGAGATCAGGTGGTGTCACTGTGTCACAGACACACACATAACATCTTTCATTTGATTGATGCTCAAAGACTTTACAAAATGTAAGTATTTGCTGACCTGTGATGGAGGAGAATTGGTGATAGTGTCTAGTGGCGGTGAGCATAGCAGAGACACGCAAATCAAGCAGCAGAATGAGTGAAACGTAAGCTGTAAGTGAACCAAATCCAGCACTTTCCTGCAAGATTGTGGCAAAGTGTAGACAAACTGATTCATTTTTTCTGCACTGTTTGTCTCCCTTGCAGCAGGCGTATAACTACTTAAAATCAGGCTTTGGTAGCCTTGGAGCTTTTTAATACTATCAAATAAAAACAAAAGATAATGGATATCTTATCATCGCAAAGCAGCCAGTTGGTATTAAAGTTATCAGCAGTGTTGGAAACTTTGACAACCTTTCCAACGACAGAAGCTGCAATGGCAAAAAAAAAAAACAAAGCTGGAGTCTCTGAGATTTTTGTAAATAAAACCTCGAGTACGCTTAACACAACCCAAACATTATGAGATTTACAAATAAGTGTTTACTGGGAGGCATTTGAAGTGTATGAGTGCTCCTTTCTTTTGTCTGAGTTGCTTTGCTGTTAATGTCTGTTTGCACAGGTTGTGAACATACCTGTTTGCACAGATTTAGGAGCTGAATATGATCAACAGAAGTACTCACTCTTTCAAAAACATTCAAAACTATGCTTCCTACTCCAAGAAGCTTTGTTATTTCTCATTTTAGCTGCCGCCCCTCTGAGCTTTACCTCTTACCTGCTTCGGAAACAGTAGCTTAACAGATCTCAGCAATCGTCTCACCTCTGCTCTCGAACACAGATCCCACAAAAGCTTAATGTTGGTGCAGAAGCATGTGAGGCATGACATAGAAACACACATCAGGGGCTTCACACTCAAACGGACTCAGACTTGGACATGTATCCACACTCACACTGCGCTGTTCTGCTCTGCCAGTTCAGAGTGATCCCATCTCACCCCCCGTAATGCTTCTGTTACCACTTTTAATGCTGGCACAGCAGTGGGATGAATATTAGACCTCCATGATATATATAGTTATTGGAGTCAAGACGTCATAGGGGGTAAATATTTGGCCTTGAAGTGATAATATGAGGAAAGCCTTTGGAGCTTTTCTTCTTACTTTGTTTGCTTTTGTCTTGCAGAGAAAGCAACCAGCGAGATGAACACAGCTGAGGACTGGGGCCTCATTCTGGACATATGTGATAAGATAGGACAGTCACGCACTGGGTAACTCGACCTCACACACAAATACTTTTCCACAAGTCAAGGTCTCTCAGTTTACATCACATTCCTTGGCAGCAAAATTTCATGGACTTAAATTGGTTGATCTTTTGTAGCAGTTAAAAGTTGTGACACCTATCGTTCTGTTACAGGCCTAAAGAATGTCTCCGCTCTATAATGAGAAGAGTAAACCACAAAGATCCTCATGTGGCCATGCAGGCACTGACTGTGAGTAAACTAACAACCTGATTTGTTGTAAGTGCGATTGAATAATTTAAAGAGGAGTCGCTTTAATTTTGTATTTTTGTCGTGGATGAAGTACTTCTAAAGTTTTCGGATCTCTGTCACCACAGCTCCTCGGTGCCTGCGTCTCAAACTGTGGGAAGATCTTCCACCTGGAGGTTTGCTCCAGAGAGTTCGCTAGTGAAGTCAGTAACGTCTTAAACAAGGTAGGTGCGGTTATTTTTACTTCCAGAGAGAGTGTGTTGTCAAGACGAAGCCCATACTTAAAAATTAGGTCATACTGCCTCCACTTCCTTGCTCTCATGATATGCCTTATTGTGACTGTCCCCAGGGCCATCCAAAAGTGTGCGAGAAGCTTAAAGCACTGATGGTGGAGTGGGCAGAGGACTTTCGTAATGACCCCCAGCTCAGTCTGATCTCAGCTATGATCAAGAATCTACGTGAGCAGGGTGTCACTTTCCCAGCTGTTGGGTCCCAGGTGAGTTATAATTTACCTTTAGGTAACTGAAATTTGCTGCTTTGCTTGGACATCAAGGTCCAGAATTGGTCTTTCATTCTTCTGGCTTTGATTCACCTGAGTGTGTGGTTTTTCTGCAGGCTGCAGAACAAGCAAAAGCAAGCCCTGCTTTAGTGGCAAAGGATCCCTCCACCTCAACAAACAAGAAAGAGGAAGAAGACTTGGCCAAAGGTGAGGAGATTTCTCAAGTCCTCATTGGAGAAACATTGTTTACGAAACACCAAACTTTGAAGTGTTTCCTTGCATTGCTTAAATCGCTGTTTATGCCGCATGAATTCTTTGTGAATTTCGTGCTGCTTTTAATGATTCTCAGGGTCGAACTAACAATTTTGCATATCTGTCTCATTTGTGTGCAGCTATTGAGCTGTCACTGAAAGAGCAACGCCAGCAGCCGCAGACCTCCCTGTCGAGCCTCTACCCGAGCACCTCCAGTCTGCTCTCCTCACACAAATCCGATGGCAGGAAGGTCCGGGCCATCTACGACTTTGAGGCAGCCGAGGATAACGAGCTCACCTTCAAGTCCGGAGAGATCATCACAATCCTAGACGACAGGTGAGTTTTTGCACACAAATAACAAGCAGGTAAAAGCAGCCTGAGGAAATCTGTCAAAAAATGGAGAAAAGGGAAGTGAGGTGGTGTTTTTAGTACGCAGAAGTGAGAGTTAGTTCTTATTCTGATTGTTGTCTGTCATTTTCAGTGACCCCAACTGGTGGAAAGGAGAAACATATCAGGGAGTCGGATTGTTTCCATCCAACTTTGTCACAGCTGACCTCACTGCAGAGCCTGAGATGAGTATGTACACACAAACACAAATACACTTACACAGAGCACAGCCTTACTTGGCTAATGACATCTCTGGTTCTTTGATAGCCCATCAAGTCCATTAGCAATATTGCTTTATCGATCCTAGAGAGGGAGATACTTTGTCACTTTCACATAGCTGGCAGAACGCAGCACGATTAGGATGTTGGTTTCACAGACTGATCGTGTAAGTTATCATCACCGGCAGTAAACACAACAACACTTCTAAATCCTGTTAAGTCATTCAAGAGTTGCAGTGATGACATTTTGAACACATTTCCTCTTTTTACTACTCTACTCTCCAGTCTGTGTTACCAACACAAAAGTTTCAAGTGTTTGCTTCGTTAACATCTTCCTCTGGTATTTGCTGACCTTCATTTGGTGCCTCATTCTCTTTGTCATATATGTTTAGTCAACCACAGATTCATCAACTCCATCATAATACTCTTGAGTGCAAAACTCTCTGCTCTGATGACAGAAAGTTTGAGCTTTATAATGAAACTGAAAAAATCACTAATTATTGAGAAGGCTTGTCCCGTCTGTTCGTACAGAAAGTGTCTGATTTGCATGTGTACGGATGATCAACACTCAAAACAACATAGAAAGAGCTTGATCATCTGGCATTACATCGATCCGACAGCATTCACTGTTGTTGTTGCAGTCAGGTCTGTGTTTGTCAAGCATCCTGACTACACCAGAATACTTTCTGCAGCTTTTCTCTTAACACGCCTCTTTGCATGCATAACTTCATCCTATTCTATGTACCTCTGCAATTGCATCATCCTCCGAAACACTTTGGCTGCATTTTTGCTCGATTCTTATCTGATATTCAGACTTGATGCCAAGTCACTGTTCCCGATCTTTTATATACCATTCATATATCTGTTATTGATTGCCATTGTTGCGTTGTTTTGCTGCTGCCGCATTCGCTGCTGACTTTGGGACTACAGTGAAAACAGAAAAGAAGACAGTACAGTTCAGTGAGGACATCCAGGTGGAGACCATAGAGCCTGAACAGGAGCCTGTATTCATAGATGAAGTAAGTCCCTCATACTGTGCAGACTTGCTATCCCGTAAAGATCTCACTGCTGTACCTGCTGAATAAGTAGATAAGAATGAATGAATAAATGTTTAAAACTTCATCACAGTAACTTCACTGATTCTTTCAGGACAAAATGGACCAGCTGCTTCAGATGATCCAGAGCGCAGATCCCACAGACAACCAGTCTGACAGTGTCGAGTTACTACAGTTGGAAGGTAAAGCTTTTGTTTGTTTGTGTTCTGAGTGTTGTCGTACATTGGGTGCTGTTTCAATTGATCAGTTTTATCATGAGCTGTACTTTTCTTCAGGTGCATGCAATCAAATGGGACCTCTTATTGACCAGAAGTTGGAGGATATAGACAGGTACAATGCGCTGATGTGATTTGTTTTACTTGGTGAAACTATGATTTTTTCAGATTAAATGATCCATAACCATTTCTGCGTGTTTTTATAAATCAGGAAGCACTCGGAGCTGTCAGAGTTAAACGTGAAGGTGATGGAAGCTCTGTCTTTGTATGCTAAGCTGATGAATGAAGATCCAGTCTATGCTATGTATGCCAAGCTGCAGAGCCAACAATACTACATGCAGCAGCCGGCCAACGCAGCACAACAGGTACAGTCATTTTGTCAAAGAGGTAAGAAGGAGCAAAACAGAACAAGACAAACTGATTCAACCATGAAAAAACACTTCAGTTTAAAATGTTTTGCCCTTGAACAAAAATTTTAATAAATGTACCAAGCTTTAAGGTCTTGCCTTCCTTCTGTTGCGGTGGATATGTTATTCACTTCCCACCTTGTAACAAACTCATTGGTAATAAAAGCTGTTGATCCATCCACAGACTTTGTCCTTCAGGAACACTCAAAATGCTTTGTGTTTTATTTTTTGATCGCAGGTGTACCCCGGTCAGCCTGCATCAGGTTCTTATGCCATGAGTGGCACAGCGGTGCAGGGTTACACTGTTCCTATGGAGCAGCTACCAGGTGCAGCCCCCATACCTGGCCAGCCTGCTCCCAGGTGAGGCTCAAGTGACCAATCAGATCCTTCTTTGGATACTTTAAAATGCTGACAGAAGCTCTGAGTGTTGAGTCTATCAATAAAAACATTACTGTGCTCATCAGGCTCTCAGGGTTTGCAGCTAGTTGCCCAATGTGTAACCTTTGTTACAACACTCTTGCAATGATGTTCAGATTCCGTTAAACTGTTCAGTGTGTCTTCTGTGCTTTGGATTATAAATGTCGCCTCTCTGTTTGCTGTAGTGACGTACACATGTACATGGGCCAGCCGCCAGTCTACACAGCAGCTCCAGGCAGCATGGCCCCAGCAGAGGTACAGTCCTACCAGAACCCAGCCAGCGCCCCAGGCCCCGCCCCAGGCCCCACTCCCACAGGCATGACACAGACGCCAAACTACAGTGCCCCCTCTGGGCCTAGCATAGCACCTTCCTCAGACGGCTCACAGGCTCCTTACTCAGAGAAAGCCTTGCTATAGGGTACACTCATCTCACTGTAATCCACAAACAGAAATGCACTAGACGTGCTCAAACAGTGGTCATACGTCATTTCTTTTATCATCATTTTATAAAGTCTTTTATTATAAAACTTGAGAAGGATGGAAACAGCTCAAGAGTAGCCCAAATTTGGAATTCGGCACCCTTAATTATGTAAACGATTAAACGGTAACGGTCTTGTTCCAGGTTGAGAAGTGATCATAACAGGAGTAATGAGTAACGAGCTCTCACTAAACACCACATGCTCTGAAAATAAGCACCTGGCGTTCTATGACTATATTTATTTAATTCATTATGATTTTTCAGTATTTTCAACCTGCTTCGTCACGTCTTTATCCAACACAAATATGAAGACATGAAGAAGCTTTTAACTGCACTTCAGGTTTGGTCTGATCACTTCTAAATCTAGATCTGATTGTAGTAAATGCACGGTCTGTTTTCATATCATAGACCTTGTATTTATTGCTACAACAGAACTTTGGAAAATGTGGTAATTCTTGAAATCCTTACCTGGTAAGGACAAGATAGTGTTGAAGCAGCTTTCTGGGAGAGAAGGAAATTTCTTGGAAAAATGACTCAGTTAAACCAAGTTAATTTTCATTACTGTGTCATTCCAGAAAACCCTAAAATTCAATCTGATTTTTTTGGATGTAAAACTCACCTGTTTTTTGCTGACTTCAGACTTTTAGCTTCATTTTAAAAAACACGCATATAATCTTAAAATATTTATCAAATCTAGAAGTTGTCTTATTTAAATTTGCCAATCGATTATATTTAAAGTAGAATTATGTTAAATAATCACAAATTATTTTGAAAGAACAAGTGCAACTGAAGCCCCGTCAACCTAAAACCAGTAAAATGAAATCAAATGTATGCAATTATAACATGAACAAGTGTAAAAGAAACACTGTAGACAGGTGTACTGCGGTGCACAAACATTCACACGCTGTTGCACCACTTGGTTCACATCTTTTCAGCAGTTTGTCAAAGTTCACTTTCACACAGACGCTAACACAAGCTAAAGATCCACAGCCTGTTCACCCACTAAAAGCAGCTACAGTGCTAATCATGTCACACACACACACACAGAAAAAAAGGTTGTGGACTTACATTTATATTTCTTTGTATAAAAAAAAGGAAGTGTTAGGCTACTACATCCTGTATATGTCATCAACTTTTAGAAGTACTGAAAACTGAAGCCACTTTGTTTATTTCGGAGGAGTTGAAGCATGCACATGACTCTTGTAAATACTGTAATGATCTCGTAGTGTAGCCACATGATGACCTCATGAGTGGGGCCGTATGTTAGCACAGCTCCAGGTGTTCCTCTCAGCCTTAAAGGTGAACTCTGCAGTTGTGATTGCTCTTCCCTTTTCCCCCCTGGTGTAAAAGCCAAAGAGAACAAAGTGGATAAAACTAACTCGCAAACCAGAAAAACACAAAACTTTCTTCTTTTTTAAACCATAATTGACTCCTAATTTCATGCTACGGAGTTTTCCTTTTTTTTTTTAAAACAAGTTTTGTCCTCACACGGGGGCTGTACCAACACACCGGCTGTACCACACACTTGGCTACTAAAGGGGGGGAGCTCTGAACTGCCCCGGTGTCTTTGAAGCATCTCTTTAGTCAGTGTTGAAAATTGAATACAATGTTTTTTGTAGTGCATTTTAATTTATGTTTCGATTTCTTGTTATGCTATTTTAAACGGAGAAGCAGTGCAGGATGTATGTATTCAGAGAAAAGCAGAATCTGTGACGTTCTGCCTGACTTAGTTGTATATTTAAATCGCTCACATGAGAACATGGACTCTTCTCTCTGTGTATGATACATGCTTATTGTACTGTAGGGTCAAATGGTAATGTGAAAAACCGATACCACCTACCCCCTTGCATTTTAAACCTGTCCATCTCCAACTGTCAACACTAAAACAAACGCTACCTGAAGCAGATCTGGTGTAAGGTTTCTGGAAAAGTTCCTTGTCTTGTAAGGTTTTCAGTTTCAGCGACACTTTCAAGACATTCGAGATCAAATGTTGAACAAATACACTTCTCACACCGTTCATTTTTACTTCATACTACCTGCTAAAAGTTTTTGGGAAAGACTTGATGTTCGATGATTCTGATTCCGTTGTTGAAAGCTAATGAAGCAAGAGATTTATTTATGTTCTGTTGTGTTGAATGATGCTACATGAAGGAATTAAGAAGTGGATTTTTTTTTGTCTCTAGATTTTCCAATTGCAGGACAACTTGGTATGTTGATCTAACTGTAAATCTGTGTCCTTTCAATTTCTCATGAACTGCTATGTTTGAATTGTGCTCCCTCTGATCCCTGTGCCACCTGAAGGCTTTAAAGAACCCCAAACTTTCAACGTGGACCTGGGACTTGGAAGAAAAAGAGGCCATTTTGTTTTCTATAACTGGATCTAAGCATTAATATACGTTTTATTCAAAGGCCAGAAATCCTTTTGGCTGCCTTTGACTAATTTCTACAAGTGGAATAATGTTAATCTTTGGATGGATGAGGGCTGAAAATATCAAATGTATAAATAGTAGCAGCTATTCTGGGACCAGGGAACCAGGAGCCAGTTAATCATGACGTGACATTTCGTAGCGCCACATGTTGGAGCTCAGCCCCGATGTAACTTTATTGCACAGGATTGAGATGCTGCCTGTTTTTAAGTTTTAAACCAACATCTTTATTGTAAAGGTTCTGTCTAAAACTTGTACCCTGCTGTTTGTATGTATTATTTTAACCATACTTATTAATTGATATTCACAATAAAACCAGGCCAAATGTACAGAATAATACCGACAGCACTGTTGCATTTTTTTTTTTTTAACTTTCAAACTAACCAAAAATTTTTGCTTCTGGAAGTTCTGGCAACTTTTTACCTTCAAGGATTTCATACCAGCCTGAAGTTAGTTGGATCTGGTCAAACAACTCCCACATAGTCCTGATTATTCAACTCTTTGTAAACAGTCATTTTTTTAGTTTATAAGGTACACTCGGCTGAAACTTGTGCAGGTTTAACACATCAGCGCAGCAGTAAAGTGTATATGTGAAGCTTGTAATGTTCAGTTTTTGATAAAAATCTGTTGATGCAGACTGAGATAATCGTATATGCAGCAGTAGACAATGTGCAGGTAAGTACAAGAGCAGGTAAGTGTGTGCAATTGCTTTCTACACTTGAGTTGTAGTTGTTGCTTTATTTATGAAATTTGGTGTTATAAGGCAAAACCATAACACCAGTATTTCAAGTAGTCAAAAGCTTGAAAAGTTGTGTTCTATTCTGCCACTAGATGGCGTCAGCGTAAAGAGAGATGTGGGAATAATAGATGGAAAATATTTGTAAAGTTGCCCAACAGATCAGGGCATCAGTTCTGCTTCAGTTATTGAAAAACGTCTACCTCTTATTATACTATGTTTGGTCTGAATTTCACATTGGTTTGCATGTATCATGTCAAAAATCTGCTTTTATCTTGTCTGTAATATTATGTTGATTTAAAGTAAATCACAGTAAAATCAGGTCCGGGTGTCAAAGTATAAACAGACTTTGGTTTGAACCAGTCGTAAGCTCACTGTAGCTTTCTCCTTGAAATTATAGGATGGGAGTGCTCCTTTTGTGAGCCCATAAAAAGACAAGCATGACCAGCTCATTACCTCAGCAATAAAAGAATACAGCCTCCTGTGCAGTGTAAGCAATGTCAGCGTGCAGAGTCCAACAGCTCCACTGACTCGTTTCGTGGGAGATGATTGTCAAAGTCTTTAGCTCCTCCAAGATCAGACCAGCAGCCGGTGTTCAGGGACCACCATGCCCTCAGGGAAGACAATTAAACTCATCCTGTATGAGCTGCTGCAGTTCGCGGCCCTTGTGGTGCCAGTTTTTGTGATCATGGAGAGGTTCGCCGGCCTCATCCATGATGTTAAAGGACGGGATCTCACTGCGTACTGGCTGGTGGTGGCGGCCTCCATCGCATATACGACCTCTGTGACCCTGCTGGTGTGGGTCCCCCTGAAATATGTGATCATCAAGAAGAGGAGGTTCATATCAGAGATCACAGAGTGGTGAGTACAAAAAGTGACTTTTTTATTAGTGGCACACAAAGGATGAAGATAAAGCACCTGAAACTCAAGTTAGACACAAAGGGGGGAAAAGGCAAAATGGACCGAGAACAAACCTTGTTTCAGATTTTATTTCTTATGCTTTAGATGGAAAATGTAACAAAAAAGAGTGTTCTGGAAAAAAAACAGCTAGAAATGTGAGGAAATTCTGGAAATGCTCATTATTTATTGCTCATTTTAACCACCTTATGATATTAAATTTATGGTGTATTTGGCCAATTTCAGCTAATTTAATCTCAAAGGGTCCTTTCATGTAGCTATATTAATATGTATTTGCATAAGGTTAAAAGTAAAGCCATGAAACTGTGAAACTATATATTTTTTTATAAATTTAATGTTAAATTCACGTCCTTTACACCCCTACAAGTTAGCAAACACATGCTTTTATGGTAACTTATTTTTGTAAAGTAACATGTGACAGGCGTTTTGTGTTTGCTAGGCAATGTTGGCTAACATTAACAAACTTTATATGAGTCAACTGCACGTGTGGTTTTGCATATATGGCTTAATAACCTTCATACCTGTCTGCCACAGTAGGCCGTAGTTTCGATATGAAATATAAATAAAGTACTAACCACTGTAATGATACAACTCTGAATGTTAGCTAAGTCTTACAAACATCATAGTTCAGATATGATGTGTTTTAAAATAAGATTATGTACCAAACAAAATTCTTATGATTATTGTTCCAATATGAGCCGAAATGATGTATTTTTGTTTTCCAGGAGACCCACAGCGCTGGCGTACATCCTCCTGTGCACATTACCCTGCTTTGCTATTCTAATAGCTAGCTCCAAGGTAAAGTCATCAAGACAGATTGTCCCTGTCTCTGTGAAGCACCTGTTGACGTTTTGTTCCGCCACGCTCTGCCGGGGTCCTTGAAGAGCCTTATTTGTTGTAAACAGTCCATTTGTGGCACCAACTCGTTTTATGACCCCCATGTGTAAGAGGATGTGTTTAGAGCACCATAATTATTCACTCAGTGATGGTGGACACGCCACATTGCCCCACCGAGAAAGAGAAAAGATGGCCTGTCAACAATTCGGCTCACTCTCCTGAGATCTTTTGCTTTTTAAGATATCTCAAAATGTCTCTTTCTCGCTGTGCGCTTAGAAGGACTTTGGCACAATCTTGAGTATGAGGAAAAGACAGGAGGAATGTGCACACTGTCACGAGACTGCACTCCAAAGCTCAGGTATTCAGTAACCCACAGAGAACATAACAGGTTGGCCATTAACCCAAACTTTAATAACATTCTCCACAACAAGACGAGAATTTTTACACGTGACAATATGTCTTCAGTCTTTTTATTTTTTGACAGGCACGGTCATAAATATGAACAAGAACAGCCACTAAGACTTGCCACACGTGCTCATACATCTAGTATGTTTTATTCTTGTGTTGGGGGCGTTCAACAGCATCTCAATACCCTTGATGATGGGGTTATAAAAACCTCATTGCTTCATAAAATTTGAAATGCAGGAACTCTCCGTCTCTCCTCATGAAGAGTTTCGATTTGACTTCTCTCTGCTCCATCTCTCATCATTTTTAATTTTCAGAGCACTTCTTTTATAACTGTTGACCTCACACTTAGGTTTGCTTTATTTGTACTGCAGGTACAAGTGGATAATGGACAATGGCGTGATGCTTTCACTGAGTTGCCTGTTTCCTTGGTGCTTGTATGTCTAATCTGTGTGGACGTCATAGAGAGGATTCGACCCTGCAAGCTCACTGGGAGATGTAAGTACAGAAGTTTCCTGAACCGAATAGTGTTTAGGATGCATTTTAATCCATTGTATTTTTTGTCAATTTCTTCTTTTTCTCATTACCAAAGTGACTCCAGCAAGCGCTCAGATCCTCGGGGTCCTCAGACTGTTTGAGCAGAAATAAGCTTATGGTCATTTGAGTTATTAAAATAATTTTAGTAATATGCTCCACAGAAGACGGTGTCCCTTTTCACAAACTTGAGGCAGCTGAATTGAAGGCACCGCTGCCTTTAACAGAACAGTTTAAATTGAGTTAAATGGCCCTTTTTCTCATACAAATTCGTCCTTAAATCTGCGACATGCAACTTTGACAGAATAACAACAACAGTTTACAGAATTTTGGAGGCATCTAATCCTGGAAATATGAACATGAATGCATCATCTGTAGTGCAGGATGAGAATCTATCACAGCCATAGACTGCTCAAAGCTTAGACGCAGTCATAGTGATCTCACCCACTGGTTTCTAGAGGGTTGTTATCCAAAGAAATGGAGTTGAAAACACAGATTCGATGCCTGTAAACCAGCTTTTTACCTGCCTGTCAAATCAGCCACACCCTTAGTTATGTGTAACTCTTAGACGTGATGTCAAAACAGGTGAGTTAGAACAGAAACACCTCTGCACAGTTTGAACCAATAAGGAAGTAAAAAGGATCAAAGCTGTTTCCAGTACCAGGCTGTAAACATGTTTAATTCAGTAAAAATGGGCTTTCAGTGCTGGTGTAATTGGGATCTCCTTGGCTTTTGGAGTCAGTCTCAAGGGGACACTTTGAGAGCTGTAGTTTTCTGCACTTGCATTTGTGTTTGCTTACTGCACCACACGACCTATCTGCACCATTCTTGTGCAACTGCCCCACTAGCTTTGGCTTGTAACATCTGCACAGGCTGAAGGCATGCAGGTAACCAATCATCCCAGTTCGGCTTTAAAAAAATTACATTTTCTCAGTCTCATAAAAGCTGAATTAAAATATTTTTCCCAGTGCCTTTTTTTTGATGCGGCAGGGATTTCATTACTGTTGGATATCATGAAAAGTCCCCGTTTCCTTCACATAAAAAAACTTCTCATATGAGCTTTAACATAAAATGCTGTGTGTTATGAAATCTCATGTCAGGACAGCAACGTCCAATAACCATTTGGACTTCAAGTTACGGAATCATGAACAGCACTTTATGTAACAGCTGGTGTTGTGTGGGCTTTTGTTACTTGCAGCAGACAGCCTTGACCCTGACCTTGACATGCCTGGCCCCGTCCTCACCCACCTGGAGCAGGTGACCACGGTATCAAGCCAGACGCACACTGATGATGTCCCGAACGGTGTGGCTCAAGTCAACCCAGAGGTAAGGAACGGTAGCGCCCAAGGGAGATGGCAGGACCCCCCACGCCCACCCAGCAGCTTGACAACCAGCTCACGAGCCACCAGTGCAACCTACCTGTACTCCTCATCCTCACGGACTCGAGCCCACTCTGGTACTCTGGGCTTCCTGTGGAGGAGGGATGCAAGGGCGGAGGTGCTTGTGGATACTTTTCTGTTCTGGATGGACACAGTGGAGATGGTGAGAGTGGCAGGAGTGCCGGCAGTCTTTTACTCTGCCTGGGTGTTCCCTGTCTACATCCTGGCCCTCATGTCCACCCTCCGCATGGTCATCACTCCTCAAAACCCTCTGCTGTCTCTCGCAGGGGTCGCTCTGCAGGACTTTCCTTTCTTTATTCTGCGAGTGGCTCTGATTGTCGTGTTCGGCTATGTTACCCCTGTGTTGTACCCTCTGAAAAATGTGCTGGTGAGCCTGACTTTTATCTACTTCACATTCCTGACCAGGCTGAAGGTTTTCAAAAGGCAGAGCATGTTCTGAGGAGGAGTGGCTCGTTCTGTTGTTAATGAGAGATCTGCTTTGATTGTGGATGGTGGAACAGTTGGTGTATTTATGTGTGGGGGGCAGGCAGCACCAGGAAAACATGATGAAGGACAACGCGTTTCGAATCGTAATGGCTGCAAATGTGAAAAATCTGAGGCTGTTCTTCCAAATCAGGGTTCACGAGTGATTCTGGAGTGCACCGAACGCCACCTTTTCTCAGTTTTCTGTACTATATTTCAATCCAATTATATTTATTGATACTTAATTTTATGTTTACCTGCTACAGTTTGTATTTTTTATCTGTGCTGCACATGTAAACAGAACACAAGTGAAGACACAAACAGAAAATCTTTGTAAACACCCCAAATGTGTGAAATAAATGTAATTTGTTTTTTATCTGATATTATCTTTAAATGAATCAGAGGTCTAGCTTCGATCCTTAAATAGTGTATGAGATTCATCCCATCTATTTTAATTTTTCCAGGGTTGTCCACTGATCAGATTTGCTTTATTACAGTTAATTACTGAATTTCAATAGAAAATCTAAGTTAATTGCATTTGATTCAAATGTAATTATACTTACTTTAAAAAAGCCTTTAACGAGTCTCTCCAGTGTGGATAATTTCCCATCATCCCCGGTCAATGTGACAGCCTGTGCACTTTTCAGGAGTTCCACTCAGGTTTCTTTATGTTTTCTACAACTCCTGTTTGCATCAAGCTATTGTTCCCCAGGACAGTGAAAGCATATAACTGACCATATTAAATACCAGCCTAAGGACATCTCTTAGACCTGCCTCCCATTGATGCTGCTCCCCGTTTAACAAATGTTGCATCCACAGGTCTGCAGCGAGGTCTGTCATTAGCTGCCCCTGCATGCTTAGCTCGCCGGGTGGTTCCTTCAATACAAGCACTTTGGTTATTATTCTGTTTGGTTAAAAGTGCATGGGCAAGTCTAAATTATGTTAATGAGTCTAACTTTTGTAAGCTGCCAAGATCTGTGGTAATAGATGGCTCATATAGACAAGAGGATTTTGCCCCAAGATTCTCACATTAGAAGATTTCTTTGAGATCTGTGCTGTAAACAGAAAGGAACTAAAATCTACATTGTTATAGTTCTACACACAATAACATATTATTTTGATGGAATGTCACCTAAATAATCATGCATACTTCAGTGAAGACAGATGCAGCTTCTTCACAGTTGCATTTTCACCTCTGATGCCAAATCTGTGTCGGTACACAGTAAACCCTCCTTGTCTTTCCCCCTGCTGCTTGCAACATGCTGGTTTATGTGCTTTCACGGCCATATTACTCACAAGAGTATAACCTTGGAGCGTAAGTGCATGAGTGTGTGTATGTATCAAAACAGAACGGCAGGGAGACACTGGTGTGTAAGCGTAGTCTTCCTCCAGCACAAGTCTGACAGAATTACACCCCATGGAGCCCTTGGTCTTTGTCCGTCTGATGGATGAGTCGGGGCAGCAGACACACTGTTAAAAGGAAGTGCCAAATCTGTGTCTCTCCTGTCTCTGCCAAATAAAAGAAGAGGGGTAAAAGAAGGGAAACAGAAACAAAATTCTCACTGCATCTGTGGAGAATAAAGAAGGCGAAACTTAGAGATAAATTTAGATCAGTTTGAAACACACGGCTATCACAGGAGGCATTATAAATGAGGAACACACAGTCAATGACACGACATAAGACAAGCAGCAGTAATTCACACCGAGGAGCAGAGCTGGCCTGCTTTCATTTACTGCCACCAAAACTAAAATAACTTCTCTTAATTTCAACACGTCATCCTCCTCCTCCTCTTCCTCCTCCTCAGTGATTCATACTGTAATCTGCAAGACAGCATTAGAGCCGCTTGACTCATTGTAGCCATTTAACGGTTCCTCATGTGTTGGCAGGCTCGAGACAACTTTTTTATGTCCTGTGACACAGAATAAATGCTTCGATTGATCAAAGAAAGAAAAAAGAAAGGAGCAGCCTGCATCTCTTTCTCTTTGTATGAGTCTGTGAGATCCACGTTCTACTACAGAGCTCTCCCAGACAGATGCTTTCATTTCTTTTTTTTCCTCATCAAAAGAACTTTTCATGCATGCTGAGAGGGCTTTGCATTCATATGAAGTCAAATTAATACACTGCATGCAAAAACATCCTGTTATTTGTTTTTCTTCTAACATGGAGGTCTCAGCTTGTTTCTGTTTATTTGTTTGTGAGCAGGACTATTAATCACTTTGGACCTCATTTTCATAAACCTGGTGGAAGGGCATAACTGGGCCAAGAAACCGTGAATAAAAGCACCCTGGAGCCACCCTCGACAAAAAGGTATCTCTAATAACCTTTCTTAGGAGGGGAAAATGAAAAAAATGCTGTTTCTGCAGAGTGATGTGACACTCTTTGTCTGACACCACCTAACAGTTATTATATTCAGGCATTTGTGAACTTTAGTCTGTTTTATTACCAGACCAAAACTTCAAATAGTAACCGAAATCAAGAACTGGATCTGGATCTAAATCAGGAATTATTGAGTTATTTGCATCTCTTCAGATCATTATGAATTCAGGTTTGCTGGTCCAATGTATTACTGGGATAACAATGGGGTCAAATGCAGGATTTCACATGATATAATGGCGTTGCAGAAGCACAAGCAAAATACACACACACACAGTCTGAAATGCACACACAATTCTGTTCTGCCCTGCCTGCTCCCCTGGCTATATGAAAAGGCTCATAACCCAAGCCATCTGTTATTATTATCATTATTATTATTATTATTATTATTATTATTATTATTATTATTATTGTTACAACTATTATTGTTATTATTATAATTATAAATATTAACATTATCATAATTCTTACTATTATTGTTATATTTTATTATAATAATTATTATCATTATTATTATCAAAGTGTTTTCTGATTTCTAGTCATTTATTTTGTGAAATGTTTCTGATTCAAGAAGGTCAGTCATCTTTCAATCGCAAGGTCGGAGGTTCAATCCCAGGGCTCGTTGTCCACATGCCGAAGTGTCCTTAGGCAAGACACTTGACCCCTCCCACTCCCACTAGTTGCACACAGTGTGGCGCATGAATGGGATTAGTCCAAACTGATGGTGCAGCCTCTGCAACAAGTGGGTGAATGTGGTGAATGTGATGTAAAAGGGATTTGAGTGGTCAGAAGACTAGAGAAAGCGCTACATGAACATTTTACCATTCATAATTACATGTTAACATCCTATGTATTAATTACCTTCAGAATCTCATCACCAATCATCTGGATTTTGGTGTTTTTTCTTGATTCTTTCTTGAGCCCAAGAAACCAAACCAATTCTGTGTTAATGGTGAGGTGAAAGATTTGAGTTTGAGGTTGAAAGATAACTCCTATTTTTGATTCCCTCATGTCAGATTAATATCCCAACAACTTCAGTCTATGATGGGGTGCTGGTTTAGCTATAGTTTTTTAATCATGTACTGTATGTAAAGAGGAGACAGTTGAAAAGGGAGTATTTGGTTCAAATCTGATCTGTCAATCTTTGCTAAACGTGTCTGACCCTGTTCACTATCTTGTCATCTGGATTAAGTAATTAAAACCCTTAGTGTAGTATTAAAACTGAGCTTTTTACATGTTTATGGTCAAAACAACATGAATCTTAATGAACTTAATCTTCATCTCATAACATTGAACTAAATCTAGCATCACACTTTTTTCAATCAATCGTCATTTAGACAAATTACAACATATGTTATCTCAATAAAAGAGCAGATCTAAAGTAGAAAACACTCTTTTTTTATGATTCACTAAGACTAACCACGCTGAATGGGTTTTGCCTGTAGTGCGGTTTCATAATATTGGGATTCCCCTGGCTTTAAATCCAGCCCCTCCTGCAGGTTTCCCCTTACTGAGTGAAATATACCTCCATCATCAAGATGGACGGGCTCATAATTTTTTGCACAGCTTGCAGGGTCCCCACAGGACCTTGTTTCATTCTGTCTTTTCCTGATATATTTCAAAAACAAATGGAGCTTGTGAAATTTGGTACAGACACTCATTTCCCTCTCAGGACAAATTAGAATAACCTTGATAATCATTAAACCGCCTCATACAGCATCAGTTTAATTTCAGATCAGAACTAATGACAGCCCAATCAAACCTTAGCTGTGCTCAGCTCCTGTGGGGAGCAGACGGATATTCATGTTCATGTCTTTTCATGATCTACAAAAACAAGACTTTACCGGAAACCTCTGCAGGGGGTGAACCAGCCTCTTACATTTTCATCAGCCAATATTGTTGCTGAGTGATACTTTTAATTGGTTAAATATAGAGGGATGTAATTTTCTTTTGAATCTGTTATTTTTTTTGGAAAAAAAGATTTGAAAAAAGAGAAAGTTGTTATAATTTAAAAGGATTTGAAATATTTAAAAAGCCAAGATTCAGAACTAAACTGAAGGAGCGCTGTGTTTCAGTGAGAGGAATGAGTTTGTGGAACAATCTGAACAAAGAAACTGAAGAAGCGAATCTTCAAAAAAGGTGTCAAAGCCAGTTTGTTGAGTAAATACAGGGACATATGTTCATCTAAGTCTTGGTTTGTTTGTTTTGTTTTGTGGGATAAAAAGTGAATTAACGTCGTCTTTTCTGTTTGTTTTGTGGGTTGTTTCTGAAAATAAGAAATAATGAAGTGTAAAAAGGCATGTTGGCCTGCAGCTCATGTTTATTTTTATTATGTTTGTAGTTGATTAATATATTACGAAAGAGAGGCTGACTTTATAAGATTTTTCCTCTTTCTGCTCCTTTTCATTCACTTTGAGATTTTTCCTTCTTTGTATTGAATGTTTTAAACATTACCTGAATCAAATTAAGAATGAAATGAAATGAAATTTTCCACAGTGCAAACCTTGCACATGCCCCATGGTGCTTGACGTACCATTTTGTCCACAGGGGGGCACCACAATCAACACAAACTAAAAGTTTCTCTCAGGTGCTTAAAGTTTTTAAAGATTATTTTCTGGGATTTAAGCTTTTATTTTGATAAGACAGAGAGAGGCAGGACATCAATCCAGGTCCTGAATCAGTCCTACAACCGGGGCAACAGTAACCTAATCCTCTGTGCATGGGGTGCCTGCTCTACTGACTACTTTAAGTTTCATAATGTTTGAGTATTTACATGTTAACATTTAAATTGAGTTGAATTAAGCATGCTAATGTCTGCTTTTTGAGAGATGCATCACCATTGGTGCAGCATCACAGCTCCAGGAGAGGCGGTTGACTCTTGGTCTTAAGGAGATGAAATTCAGAGAGGAAAAGATGACAGGAACTCATCTGTACTCCTCCAACTCCAGTTGATTTCTTTTGGAAAATATCCTCACTGCACTGAGGGATTTCCTTCACTATTGTTGAGAGGTTTTAGGACTTCATAAGAGATGGAAACGGTTTGAGATTTCTTTCCTTCTTTCTTTTTTTGCAGTTTTAGCAGAAGCAGAATTATCCCCATCGCCTCCACTGTCAAGGTAACGTGAAAAACAAGCGAGAGTGACACTAAAAGAAGCAACAGTGGGAGGAGATGGAGCAGACACTGTGGTGTGGACACAGATGGGGAGAATAAGATAGAGAGGTGGAAAAAAAAGGGAGGACAGATGAAGAGATGACAGAGAAAGAGGAGGAGGGAAGATTTGGGCAAAGGATGGGGGGGTGTTGCTGTTAAGGATGGGTGGAGGCTTTGTAAATCTGTAGAGGCTGGAGGCGCATTTAAATTCAGGCTGTGTGTCTCCTGCGCTAGCTGAATGTTACCTGCTCTAGCATGGCAACAGAAAGAGAGAGAGAGAGAGAGAGAGAGAGGGCTTCAGCTGCAGCCTCCATGCACACACACACACACACACACCCAGACACAAACACTCACACGTGCACGGACAGTCACAACAGGAGAGCAAGGAGTGACTCAGGTAAGCTCCTGATGAGAGAGAGAGGGAGAGAGAGAGGGAGCAGCGTGGTGGAGTGAGAGAGGGAGAGAAACTGGAGGAGGAGGAGGAGCCACAGAGCTGAGGTTTTTAGGAAGGAGGAAGAAAAAGAGGAATTGCACAGAACCCCCTGAAAATCACTGTCTGTGGACTCCCAGGGTGGGCTTACAGGGGGGAGGGAAAGACGGGGGATGCAGCAGGCGCAGATGTGGAAGGATGAGAGAGCTCTGATTGGATAAATCTGACAGACTAGAGAGCGCTGAGAGACACACACACATAGAAGAAAATGACATTTAGTTTTTGTAGCAGGACTGTTCGGGGGGCTTAAGAAAGGGGGAGGCTGGAAGAGAGGTTTGCAGACAGGGGGTGAGTCGGGACAGAGGAGGGGGTGAGGCGAGGTGAATAAACACAGGATGGCAGATGGACCACCTGTCCTTCTGAGATGAGGTGAGCACACACACACACACACACATGCAGAAACACCAGCCTCACATTTACACACTCCTAATTCCTGGGACAGTCTCCGGATTCAGAAAGATCCAATCACCTCTCTCTCTCTCCAGGACTTTGGCGATGTTATGAGACGTTTTGCTACCAGATCACCTGGACTCCTCTGAGGGACCGGCATCTACACCCCCTCTGGGTGCTCCACCCTTGCAGGAAACCTGTGGACACAAGAAACTGGATTCTTCCTCACCTCCTGGGATCCCCGTAACTCCCTGAAGAGGCGATCAGGTGGATCACCTGTGCCATGAGGATCCTGGCCTGAGTCGACCTCCCCCCCTTACCCGAGGCTCCATCGGCCTGTCCCCTTCTCTCCCCACTATCTGGATGTCTTGATGTATTGCTGTGGGCTGGGACACTGGCGGAGAGTGCAGTCCACCTATGTAAGTGAACATCGCAGCATCCATCCGCATGTTTCTGATCCCATAGCAACAGCCGAGTTGTTCTAGTTTCAGGAGGGGAGGGGGGGATACATCTTAAAGGAAACTGTACGAGAGCCGTGGCAGATCACTGCACATAAACACAGGAGTCTCTGTATACTTTTGCCGTACGATCACATCAGTGTGTCAGGTGTGATTGGGACTTTTCTTACCTGTGTTTTCCAGCTGAGGTGTTCACTCCCCGGTGTCATTCTGTGCGAGTTTTCAGCCGCGCTGCAGTTTATCAGGACAGACAGTGGCTTTGTCAAACAGCCTGTGTATTGATCGCAGCACAGGACTCCATGAAAACATTACCTAACAGCCATTAACCTGTATTGGATGGTTGCACCTCTGCTGGTTTGTGCTGCAACAGTTTGTCAAGCGAGCGAAGTGGACAATTTAAGATCTCTGGATGAATTGAAGAAACATGGCAGCTGCTTAAAAGAGCCTTCCTCCTTCACATTATTTATCTTTATTAGAAGAGACAGGGGTGTAAGAGGGGCGACAAACAGGTGCAGTTATCTCATTACAAGCCGGGTTTTACTGTCCTCTCAATGACAGAGAGGAGCAGGCAGGACAGCCTCATTCCTCTCCTCCACCTGTTCCTTCTCGTCTCCTAAACTCTCTCCTTCTTCCTTCCTTCCCTCTTCGCCGTTTGCAGCTTCATCATCATTGTTCCCCTCATGTGTCTGCACAAGCCCTGTTGCAGCTGATAGAGTTAGAGTTAGAGCTGTGCATTGTGTGGTGGTGCTGACTGCAGAGGGTCCCTATCGTAGACACGCTCCCACATGAAATAGGCTTACTGTCAGACCTCAGCACTCAATAGGCTGACAGCACAGAGCCGTGCAGATTACCTCAATCTGTGCTGCTGTATGCAACGTGTGCCCACCTCAGCAACAAGCCAGAAAAGAAACTTACATGCACGGCTTAAAGAAGTAACAAATCATTCACTTCAGTGTCAGTACTTTTCTATTTTAACAAAGATTTAGCACAAAAATAGAAACACGGAGTCGAGCAAATGCATGTAAATGTAAAGAAGTGGGAACAAATCTACAAAATATGTTAAGGTGCAGCCAGGCTTGAAAATCTGCCTCTCTGCGGTGCAGGCACATTACTCATCCTGTATTTTTCACTCCATTTGCGACAACACCTTATGAGTTGTGTTGCCAACATCAATAAGATCCAAAATAGATCAATCTTTGCTACAACTTGGTGGAGGAGTGAAATCATCCCCAAACTGGAGGCCACAATCAGTGCAAAGATGATACGTTCGAGCAAATAAGTCGTGTTCGTTTTGACATTGCTTGTTATTTTTCCGTGGAAACGGTGAATACCTTTCTCTTATTCACTCAGAAGACTGCAGAATCAATGCGTGAATCTCATATGCAAATCTGCAAGACTGATATTTGTTTCATTTCTCTCATAAATCTTGCAACGTAAATCCAAATATCTCTCCTAAAGTGATATATTGACTCCTTGTTTTCCAGAGTTCCTGCTCAGTCTTAAAAAGTTCTCCACTAGATACAAGATACATTTCCAAATCTACACATACACCAGCGTTACATGATTTAATATTACTCTATTTATTTCGGTGTAAAGCTAAGGCATTCACAAACGGAGGAGAGAAGGAGAGGAAGACAAGTAAATACAAGGTTCAGCCTATCTGGCGTCAGCATGAAAAATACAGGGAGTGGTAATCAGGGGCAAACGACAATGAGGTGACTTGTAAGATATGCAGACTTAGATTTGTGATTTGAAGTTAAAGATCCCTCACCAGTCGAGATACTAGTCAGTTCTGCAAAAAAAAAGTCAAAGAAAGTTTTCATTGTAATTTTTCAAAAGTGCGCAGTAACCACTTCTCTTCATTTGTTGTGCGCTTCTGTACTTAATTAGCAATATTTTATACACTGAGCACACACATTTGGAAAAGGAGAAAACACTTCAAAGTTTCTTACACTGAATAATCTCCCTTAAACCCTTGCAGTCAGTTACCAATGATGATAATCCCTTGGTGTGGATCAAGTTCAAATTTAAAAGTAGTCATTCTGGATCTATGCAACATCCTACCACAAAAAAAATTATGAAAATTGGACCATTTCATTTCTAGCAGTTCTGCTGCAAACAGATTAACAAAGAGCATCTAAAATATAACCTAAATTGGGACAATCCATCGTTTTGAGAAGAAAACATCTCTCAGGAGTAAAAGCAGACAGCTTTGATTAATAGAAAGATTAACCAAAGGTTTAGGATGAGTTCAGATTTTGCAACATTTACTTTAAATTTCTACAGGGATAAAAATCAGTTATTAATCTCAGTGGCATTAAATCTTTGTTGAATCGAGCAGCTTTAACTATGCACACTTTTATATTCACATTCTTTCTCCAAACGTTTCTCCAGGTGTGGCCTTTGCTGGCACAGAGCACAGCTGGATTACTTTAAGTGCTCGTCTGGCTCTTAGAAGGAGCTTCAGACATCTCACTGTTCTTTTCTCGCTGCTGCTGCTTTTATAACACTGAGTGTCAGGACGACTCAGCTAACAGGTGAAGGACGAGTCTCAGTGTTATATAAACTGCTAAAACCTAAAGCAAAGATGTTTCAAGATAAAAAAAGACGACCTGGACTTTTGTCCTTCACCTCAAATTTCTCTCAACCTGCTTTAAAATAGATGGAGGGGGGAAAAGATCTTTATTTATTTCTGGGCACGTTCAAATTGACATTTTTAAGAAAAAGATTTGCTCGATATTAAAAAGGCAGTCACAGCTGTGTTTCTGTATCAAGATCTACTTTCTGTACAAGCAGGATTTTTAAGCAACCTTCAAGTTATCCGGTTGAAAATAGGCAGATTTCTTCACTGTTGGGAGTCTTGTAGCTGTAGTGACAGTAAGTTTGTCTTTGTTCCCGAATTCTCACCTTCACTGTGAGTTTTAACATCTGATTACTGCATTGCAAATTCAGCTGTTTTAAGATCAGGACTTAAATCTGCACAGGAGAGGACACATGATACAACTAGAGGAAAAATTATTCTCCATCTCATATCCTCGCCACAACAGCCTGCTGAGTTTATTCAGAGAGCGCTGTAGCTCTGATTAGACCATAATTTACAGAGTTTTTTTTCCACTCTTTTTGGTGCAGGGTGAGGCTTTAAGAATAGCCCCTCTCTTTATTTTTATACTGCAGAGTTTCTTTGATTCCTCCCCTCTGACGCCTTTTTCAGATGAGGTGAATCCATAAGGACCCCAGATCCATACAGCGCTAAGGTGGACATTGATTACGGCGCTGAATCAAATCGTGTGGCATAGGTAAACAGGCTGCGAGCTGGAGTCTGTATTGACTTGTTTCCACACTCAACACTCGCGCGCTGTTATTTCCTACTCCACTGCAGGCAAAAGGGATTGTAGATCACAGACGGGTATCTGTGCTGTACCAAAAAAAGCTCTTCATGTCTGCGCAGCCTCCGCATTATTTATTTATTTGTTTGTTCAGTTTGAAGAAAAAAAAAAAAAAAAAGGTGCTTATTGAGTTAAAAAGACGATAACTACAAGCTGTTGCATCCATGAATAAAATATTTGGCATCAGACTGAATGAAGTCCATTAAAGATGTGTCTACAGTCAAACCCCCACAAAAGTTAAAATTTTATAAATTGATTTAAACTGTTTATCTGCTTGAACGCTAGCTAGCACAGTCAGCCTCTATAGCTAACTAGCTGGCTACATTAGTAAGCTAGTTTGAGCTTGTCCGTCAAAGTCATGAACATGAGACAGCTAGCCCCTCAAAAAGACGACATGTTCGGGTAAAAGAGGACGTATGGTCACCCAACGTAACACTGCCGCTCAGTTTTCTCAAACTGTTGACGAATCCTTTTTAAAACAGTAATTTAATAATCTTTAAATAAACTTACAGTGTACCACAAACTAATTCGTCGTAGGTCAGTAGTTCAGCAGTGGACTCATACTGTAGACTCCAGTACAGGTTGATGTATAACTGTGTAGTGATTTGAAATGAGCCTCATACGGTCGCACCAAAATATATGTAGCGATTTGAAATGAGCCTCACAAGGCCGCACCAAAATAATACTTGGCGATTGGAATTTATAATAAATGTCTGAAGATTAATAATCTCAAATTATGACATTTATGCACTCGTTGAAAGGGGCACCACCCACCCTTAATGGTGGGAAAATAAAGAAAACAAAAGTTTAATTCAGAAATCAAACATCAAGTCAGTTTTAATTAATCAGTCTTAATTAATCAGTCTTAATTAATCAGTCTCATATCTTAAGTCGAAATTCTAATTTCAGGGACTCCACTTCTGGAAGAACACTAACAGACAGGAACTTAGAAAAATAATGATCTGTTTATTACAGGATAAATGATGGTACAACACACATGCAATAAATGATGATAAGATAATGAAGATAAATAATAATAGGTGAATAAATAAAGATTCTGAGTCAGGCTAGGAGCACTAAAGTTAATGATAGTGAGTGAATATGCGCTAACATATTAACCTACACTAACTTTGGTGTCGAGATAAACTCGGGTGTAGATTCGGAGGAATCTAAGATCACCAGAAATAGGTGGATATCTGAGTTATGAACGCGTGAGACAGCATCAGCCCTGTCTGGAGCTCTGGAGGTTTGCATACTTAAGTGAGACTGGTCCTTGGAGAAGATGGAGCAGGTTCCGAAGGTCCGGGGCTACTGGCGGTTCGAGCGGTTCAGCTCAGAAGACGACTGAAGTCAGCCGAAGGATGAGCCAGGAGTTGCAGCACTCAGGCCCGAAGCAAAAACCAGCGCCTGTGGATCCTGTGGATGCTCGTTTGGGTACTTCTTTAGTCTCACTCAAAAACTCTGGCACAGAGGATGACCTGGGCCTGTTGGATTGCGTTCGGAGGTGACTTTGAAATCACGCAGAAAACTCAGAAAACGAGGCTCGAAGAGCAGAGAAAACTTTCAAAAATGGCTTCGCGAATTTAAAGAAAAATCAATCAAAGGCTTAATCTTGAATTGCTATGCGCACAAAAAGTTGAAGTTTCAAAACTTGAACTAAGACGATGTTAAAGAAAAATCAACGTGAATCAACACGTGGCGTAAAACTTAGAAGACTAAGAAAAAGTTCTAAGAGAAAACAAAGAAACGCACCACAGAAGGGTGTGGGCAGAAGAGAAGGGGCATAAGAGCCGGGGACAAGAGAGTCAGCAGAAGAGCAGAAGCATAAGAGAGCTAAGAGAGCGAAAGAGAGTGAGCAACCCCACTCCACTGGTTTTATCTTCTCACACTGGGAGTGTCTGAGGAGAAAGAGGAGGGGTCATCGGGTCTCTGATTATTTGATCTAACTTATTCTTTTGGCTGGTAAAAGAGTCAGATCTGATACTCACTCACTATGATTAATATCATTGAATGCTAGGTTTCATGATAAATAATTTGATACTAAACACATATGAATGAAGTGTAGGATCACATCAAACATTCTCATTATGTTTTAAGTATCACATTGAACATGCTAAATTACTCTGAAATGAAACAGATAGTAACACATAGAAACTGTGAACAACAAAAGAGTAAACACATGTGAATGAACGTCATCATGATTAATAATGGATTCTAAATACTCACATTCAGATTATTCAGTGACATTATAACCACCTAATGGTTAAGATACTAAATAAATAACTAAAATATAAACCAAACATTTCTAAACTATTTCTGTTACTTAGAGTAAACTTAGGATTCATAGTCAATAAATTTAACTCTTAAAAGTTCATGAAACAGTCTGAAAAGCTGTTGGTCTAAAGAACTAAAGAATAAGGATTTATTCTGTCAGATAAGATAACTTGGCTTCTGAAGCACATAGAAAAACGGGAAACATCTCATTTTAACACAAATTTCATGATTAGACAGATTAGTACATTGCTGAATGCATAAGATGTCATGATCAGTCATTTGTATTCTTTCACCAAAGGAATGCAGTCTTTATCAGTGTATGGTCGAGCAGGGTTTTACGACCGAGGTCTGGAGGTCAGTGTCCCCCCTTATCCTGGGGTCCGTATGTTCACACACTTTAAGACGCTTAATCTCAAATGGGAGATCTGGGTTAAGGTTAATGTTTATTTAGATGGTCAGCAAATGGAGTCAGTTTGAAAGGTAATAAAAACTCTGTCTCTGTTCGCCGAACTGACCAATCCTGAAGAGTCAGAGGTTTAGTCAACCTCCGGTTGGGTCACTTATTTAACCTGAAAGTGCAAACACGTCTGGAAAGATTTATATCCTGTTTCCTGGGACCAGATAAGGAAACTTTCCTGTAAGGAATGTGTGGGTTTCACATCCAGGGTTGTCTTGATTGCTACAGTCCCCCCTTCGTCACGGTGGTCCTGTCCATGGAGCATCGGGACGACGAGTAGACAACCATGAAGCAGCAGCAGCAGCAGGTGTATGCAAATAGGACTGATGCGTCTCGTCATCACTATGTGAATCACTAGTACTGCTTTGAGATAAAATTAAGCATGCATTAAGCTATCAAATAAAATAGTCTTGTTGTTAGACTTTTCTCAGTTAACTATTGGTAGACTAATGTGAAAGAAAATCTCCTAATTTTTAGTATTAATGAGATTTAGGAAAGCACTATTTAGTCTGAATGCTAACTGGATCTAAAGATATAGCTGTTTTCCATGCTTGCTGGAGAAGTCTGAAAGTTCAATTTCAGTTTCAAAAATGGTTAAGACTTAGGTGGAAAAGAAATGTCTGCTATAGACATATTAATCATCTGTGTATGAGCATAGTCAACCTGAATCACAAACATCAAAAGTTTACTGCACAGAGTTTCTCTTAAGCTTTGTCTGTTAAACTTGGGGATGATGCTCTTATCGGTTTGACAAATTATCTGCTGTTGAGTCTGAAATTTGTTAATCTGAGTCTTAATGACAGAAATTTCAGCTTTTAATCTGTTCATGGGATATTTGACAGCTGACAAGCTGACCATATTGACAGAGGAGAGACAAATGCTAACAAAGAAAGCAGCAACTGGGATTGCAGTCATCAATGTATCACCACAGCATTTGGATATCTTATTGGAGTCATTTAGCTTTGGCTAGGTGACTTCTGCTTTCGCAGGACTCACACCTTCATGGCTCCGCAGTGTTAATCTCAGTGGTTAGCTGAGTAGTCATGTTTATTCACCTTCAAAGTGGATGAAACCGATTGAGGTGGATAATAAGATCGTCGTTTCCGAGAGTGTAATTTACTCTGATTCTGCCGGTCATTCACCCCCCTTTGGCGGTGTTGATGGTTTTTCCTTTGTCTGGGATAAAACCCATCGTGACGGGAGTCTGAATAACAACAGTTGGTCTCAAAGTTTACCTGGCATTGGTCTGTGTCAGACCTGGGCCTTGGTGTGTAACTTTGACCTTTGTGAGTTTGTTGAGGTCGAAAAGGTTTTGGAGGCCTGGTTAACCACTCATTTGGAGGCTTATCGGAGCCTGAAAATACACAGTCTGAAGCTTCGTTCAGCTCCATGGGCAGTGATTTTGTCTCCATAGCCAAGAGAGTAACGGGCTCTGCTTTCTTAGCCAAAGCTTGTCGTTGTTTGGCAAAACCTTTTACAGCAAGTTCACGAAGCTGTCGGCTAGTGGAAGTGTTTGGACAAGCTAAGACGCCAAGGTGATGACTGATGGTAGGGTGGAGGTTCTGGACGAACAGCGTTTTGAAGTTCAAGTCCTCCTCCATTTCTGGTTCATTTCGGAAACCAAAGTAAGCTTCGCGTAAGCGGTTGTAATATTGTTGGGGAGGTTCTGATCTCCCTTGTTTAATAGACAGAGCAGCAGAGAGGCCTGTCTGGGTCAAATGATCAGAAAACTCTTCAATTAATGCTTGGCAGAGCAAGTCATAATTATTTCTGACATGATAAGGCTGTCTTTCAAGGAAACTGCTAACCTCTCGACTTGACGTCGCCTTAATAAGGTAGATTTTGTCATCAATGGTTGCACCTGGAAATTTCCTCAGGTAAAAGTCAATGTCTTTCAAGTAGGTGCAGGTGTCAATAGCAGCTTGGTGCTCAGGTTCAAAGCGTGCTATGTTGCGAGCAATTTTGTCAAGATCCCTGTCTGAGGGAAATGGTAAGAAGCCATCATGAGGAGGAGAGTAGGACTGTTGGTTTAAGGATGACCTCGCAGGGTCAAGCAGGGTCCTGTCATGATGCTGAGAGAGATACTTAAGAGTTGGTTTGGAAGGAAGTGATGGCGCTCTCTCAGGAGGCTGATCACCTATCATTTCTTCAAGAAACGTTTGCTCCATGCGTTCTCTTTGGGCTCGACCCGACTGGAGGGAGCATTGTAACTCTCTTTGGGCATCTTCAAGTTCTTTGTCTGTCTTTTCTTGCCGTTCTTGACAAAGAATTAACTGTCTCTGAGCTATCTGGAGCTGGTGCTGTAAGGTAGAAGTTTGCTTCTCCTTAGCTTCAAGAGCTTCAGCACGCACTTTGACCAGTGCTTTCAAAGTTTTTACATCTTCTGTTGCTTGCTCTAGCAGGGATTCTGACTGTATCAGATCCTCTGTGGTCTTAGCAAGCTGCTTATTTGTGTCATCAAGTTCTTTCTCCTTTTTGTAAAAGGTTTCATTAAGTCTTTCAATCTTGTCTTTGAGATCAAGATTTTCTTCATGACTTATCAGTGAGGGAAGCTTTGACGCTTCACATCTGACACTGTGTTTTCCTAAAACACTTAGAGACTTCTTAGTCTCTTCTAGCGTCTTTTTCAGAGCGCTGTTTTCGTCTTTTTGCGCCTTTATCTTTGCTAAAGCGCATTCCAGCAAGTAGTCTTTATACTCAAGCTGAGAAGACATCATGACAGACATGCATCTAGTGAGCTCTTTGTCACGAAGTGTCGTGGTTAAGGCTGTTTCCAGTAAGTCAGCCATTTCATCCTCCGGATTGGAGGGTTTGGTCTTTTGAATCTTAGTCATGTACTGAGGTATCAGCTGACTAGTCAAGTTTGCCAACACTGTGGGTATGTCCCTCAGGGGGTCTCCCTGGCTGGACTCTTTTGTGTTAGGCATGTTTGGTTTTGGTAAAGAGGTGCAGGTGGTTGGTTGATGAGTTTGAGTTGACTTAAAATAAAAGGAAGAAGCAAAATATCAAATTAAGTGGGTTAATCGACTTAATTTATCAGTGCTTGATAAAGAGAAAGAGCCTATCTGAGTAGATCTCTAATGGAGAGAAAAATAACATAAAGTTAAATTCATTTCAATGAAAATTGAAAACAAAAGGTGAAATAATGTTAAATTAAATTTAACATCAGATACAGAACCATTGAATAAAGGGTTCAGTTTGTCTCTGTGTTGCAGAGATCAGCAAAGCTTAAATAAACTGCCTGGTGCAGTTGGATGAATTGGCAAAATCGATGAAATTGTCAATTTAAGGAATTAACTCTGAAGTTAATTCACAAATTGCAATAAATCCAAAGGTTCGAATACCAAATCTATCTGGAATGTTAAAAGAAATTTCAAATATTAATTAATTTGTTCATTAATTAATTAATCTTATGAGGAGGGTTAATACATTAATGTATTATAGGGAACAGTAAAACTGCTCAATGGTGTGATAAGTAACAACAAGATCAGGTGATTGATTCAAGGAGTTACTTTATCAATACATCATGGAGGCTCTTATAACAAAGACAAAAATCAAAAATCAATGATCAATGATTTAGAATAAGCACATCAAACTTCATCAACCAAGTCAATCACTTGAATTATGTCTGTAGAGTGTTACACACTGACTACAGGGAGGCAGTACAGCTGGCTGATACTGCAGGCAGATAATAGCAGTGTTAGCTCAATACCAAAAGCAACCATGTGGGGCAGTATGGAGTTGGGAAGTATGAAGGAAGGGGCCTTTAGGCTCTGCCTCCTTGAAGGGCCTTATCTGCTTAAGGCCAAATGGTCAATCTCTCCACTGACAACAAAGGGTTAACATTTCACAGCAGGCTGCGTCTGCACCCTCAAACATAGAACTTTACACCATCTGCTCAGGCAGATTGGTTCAATAAAATCATTTACAGGGACAAGGATCAAAGTAGCAAATCCTTAAACAGCAGATTCAACTGCAGACTTTAAAATCACAAATGCGGCGATTTGTGGACACAAATTTTGTCTGAATTCATTCAAACAACAACCTCCCACTGTTACAGCGGTTTCCTGTGACAGGTAGTTAATCTGTCAGGGGAAAGGAGGAAATCTGAATCCCATATAATTACTAGAACTTCGTAGCAGACTATAGAGACAAGAATCAAAGTGACAAATCCCTCAATAGCAGATTCAACTGCAAACTTAAAAATCACAAATGCGGCGATTTGTGAACACAAATTTTGTCTGAATTCGATCAAACAACAACCTCCCACTGTTACAGTGGTTTCCTGTGACAGGTAGCTAATCTGTCAGGGGAAAGGAGGAAATCTGAATCCCATATAGTAACTAGAACCTCGTAGCAGACTATAGAGACTTCAGGGGCTTGAAACCACAGCTCGGAGCATCGCGAACACTGGGTTCAGCCAAAGGCCTTAAATACAAGCGTACGGCGACGCCACAATCGTGCACTTAAATATTGGACAGTCTAGACAGAGCAGAAGAGTCAGTCTCACTGCTACTCAGAACAACATTTCACGCTGTCCAGCTCAAACACAGACTACAGGCATGTAGTACAAAAGTGTGTGAAACACAGAGCATAAAGGTTTTATGCATAGATCAGGAAAACATCAGAACTTAGTCAAGCAACTTCAGCAAGCATAGCATTGATTGTGATTAAGTCTAAAATAGCCTGGGAATAAGTTTCTCTCATCAATTTGGAAGGCTAAGTTTTAGGTTGTCTGTTAGTATCCAGAAGTTTTGTTTGAAACGCCTCACGCAGGGGCACCAAAATATATGTAGTGATTTGAAATGAGCCTCATACGGTCGCACCAAAATATATGTAGCGATTTGAAATGAGCCTCACAAGGCCGCACCAAAATAATACTTGGCGATTGGAATTTATAATAAATGTCTGAAGATTAATAATCTCAAATTATGACATTTATGCACTCGTTGAAAGGGGCACCACCCACCCTTAATGGTGGGAAAATAAAGAAAACAAAAGTTTAATTCAGAAATCAAACATCAAGTCAGTTTTAATTAATCAGTCTTAATTAATCAGTCTTAATTAATCAGTCTCATATCTTAAGTCGAAATTCTAATTTCAGGGACTCCACTTCTGGAAGAACACTAACAGACAGGAACTTAGAAAAATAATGATCTGTTTATTACAGGATAAATGATGGTACAACACACATGCAATAAATGATGATAAGATAATGAAGATAAATAATAATAGGTGAATAAATAAAGATTCTGAGTCAGGCTAGGAGCACTAAAGTTAATGATAGTGAGTGAATATGCGCTAACATATTAACCTACACTAACTTTGGTGTCGAGATAAACTCGGGTGTAGATTTGGAGGAATCTAAGATCACCAGAAATAGGGGGATATCTGAGTTATGAACGCGTGAGACAGCATCAGCCCTGTCTGGAGCTCTGGAGGTTTGCATACTTAAGTGAGACTGGTCCTTGGAGAAGATGGAGCAGGTTCCGAAGGTCCGGGGCTACTGGCGGTTCGAGCGGTTCAGCTCAGAAGACGACTGAAGTCAGCCGAAGGATGAGCCAGGAGTTGCAGCACTCAGGCCCGAAGCAAAAACCAGCGCCTGTGGATCCTGTGGATGCTCGTTTGGGTACTTCTTTAGTCTCACTCAAAAACTCTGGCACAGAGGATGACCTGGGCCTGTTGGATTGCGTTCGGAGGTGACTTTGAAATCACGCAGAAAACTCAGAAAACGAGGCTCGAAGAGCAGAGAAAACTTTCAAAAATGGCTTCGCGAATTTAAAGAAAAATCAATCAAAGGCTTAATCTTGAATTGCTATGCGCACAAAAAGTTGAAGTTTCAAAACTTGAACTAAGACGATGTTAAAGAAAATCAACGTGAATCAACACGTGGCGTAAAACTTAGAAGACTAAGAAAAAGTTCTAAGAGAAAACAAAGAAACGCACCACAGAAGGGTGTGGGCAGAAGAGAAGGGGCATAAGAGCCGGGGACAAGAGAGTCAGCAGAAGAGCAGAAGCATAAGAGAGCTAAGAGAGCGAAAGAGAGTGAGCAACCCCACTCCACTGGTTTTATCTTCTCACACTGGGAGTGTCTGAGGAGAAAGAGGAGGGGTCATCGGGTCTCTGATTATTTGATCTAACTTATTCTTTTGGCTGGTAAAAGAGTCAGATCTGATACTCACTCACTATGATTAATATCATTGAATGCTAGGTTTCATGATAAATAATTTGATACTAAACACATATGAATGAAGTGTAGGATCACATCAAACATTCTCATTATGTTTTAAGTATCACATTGAACATGCTAAATTACTCTGAAATGAAACAGATAGTAACACATAGAAACTGTGAACAACAAAAGAGTAAACACATGTGAATGAACGTCATCATGATTAATAATGGATTCTAAATACTCACATTCAGATTATTCAGTGACATTATAACCACCTAATGGTTAAGATACTAAATAAATAACTAAAATATAAACCAAACATTTCTAAACTATTTCTGTTACTTAGAGTAAACTTAGGATTCATAGTCAATAAATTTAACTCTTAAAAGTTCATGAAACAGTCTGAAAAGCTGTTGGTCTAAAGAACAAAAGAATAAGGATTTATTCTGTCAGATAAGATAACTTGGCTTCTGAAGCACATAGAAAAACGGGAAACATCTCATTTTAACACAAATTTCATGATTAGACAGATTAGTACATTGCTGAATGCATAAGATGTCATGATCAGTCATTTGTATTCTTTCACCAAAGGAATGCAGTCTTTATCAGTGTATGGTCGAGCAGGGTTTTACGACCGAGGTCTGGAGGTCAGTGTCCCCCCTTATCCTGGGGTCCGTATGTTCACACACTTTAAGACGCTTAATCTCAAATGGGAGATCTGGGTTAAGGTTAATGTTTATTTAGATGGTCAGCAAATGGAGTCAGTTTGAAAGGTAATAAAAACTCTGTCTCTGTTCGCCGAACTGACCAATCCTGAAGAGTCAGAGGTTTAGTCAACCTCCGGTTGGGTCACTTATTTAACCTGAAAGTGCAAACACGTCTGGAAAGATTTATATCCTGTTTCCTGGGACCAGATAAGGAAACTTTCCTGTAAGGAATGTGTGGGTTTCACATCCAGGGTTGTCTTGATTGCTACAACTGAATTAGGATTTGGGATTGTCAGAAAGAGACCTCCAATCCATCCATAATACCATCAATCTCATATTCTGTCTCCCCGTCTCTGTCTTTGTCTCTCTGTCAACAACCAATCACTGTCCTGGAACTCAGCAGCATGATATCAACAAACACACATAAATAGAAACACAATCCCAAAGAGTGTACAAATACACTAATCTCTTTCCTGCTGATGTGGGAAATTAAGGGTCAAGTCTCAGACAAATGTTGTGTATTTTTTTAACGTGATGATTGTGTTTCTAATCTCATGTTCGGGATCATTTACCTCTGATCTGCATCGGCCTGACGTCCCCTCTGCTGACTGGCCCTCTGCAGTTTTCCGCAGCCCACCTCCTCCATCATCTCTCTGCTCTTCTGCCTGTTGTCTCTGCGCTTCTCTCCCCCCATCCATCTCCTGTCAATCTCCCCTCTCCCAGATGTTAGGAGGGCTGGATTGGTCGTTTGCTGGCCCCAGCCTTCGGTATCTCGGAGGAGGGGCATCCATCAGCCAGATGTTTGGTTGCATATTCATACAGGGTTTATGATTGTGTGGAGAGCAGACAGCTACTGACAAGGAGAAGGAAGACGAAGGTTCAGGTGAACAGACTGGAGGAACTTTCCCTGTGTGGTCTATTTCCAGCACTTTTGGAGAGATCCTATCTTGGTTTCTCCCACTCTCTCTCCTCCTCCTCCTCCTCCTCCTCCTTGAGTCAGTTTTGGATCATGTTTAGCCGGGTGTGATTGGAAAGAGGCGATGCTCCAGGCGGTTGTAAATCTGGTGAGGGCTGTTGTTGGCACAGTGGAAGACTTTAAATGAAAAGCCTGTCTCCATCTACGAGCCGGCTGCTGCTGCTGCTCCTGCTGCTGAAAGAGGACTGGGATCTATGCGTATGTGTGTGCGAGGACGCCGTGTGTTTTGGGCCTTGACCTCGCTGCCCTGTAGCCATGTCAAAAGTGCCTAAAAACAAAAATGTCTCCTGGGTGAGTAATGCCTCTTTGACTGGAAAGGTTTTGACTTATTTTCAAAGTTTGTTTGTCTTATCTGGGATTTAATTTGCCGCATTTCTTACAGATGATAACATTTTCCTTTATTTTAAGAGATTTTGATGTACAGAAGTTTGGTGTCTTGCTTCTCCAAAGCTAAACTGTTTTGTTTTTGACGAAAAAAGCATGATTTTCAGCGCTCGGTATGGTGCTGCAGATAAAAGCAGCGTGATAAAAGCTTGTCTTTAATGGTCCTTTCGCACATCTGCCTTTACGTGACTGACAGCTGCGGGGTTAAAACGATCCCAAAGCCCCCTGCGCTCTTCTCAAGGCTGCTGTACACCATCCTGTCAAAAATGAAAGAGCATTAAAAAGAGGAAAATGCATGTGAAGTGGGAGGAGCTTAAATGTGCTGACATTGCACTATGCGAGTTTGCACTATCTGAGTTGAAGTCCTTCTTTCTTGCTTGCTTGTGTGTGTGTGTTTCTGAGTTAATGACGAGCTCTGCAGTCTCTTTGTGGGTCAGGGCAGATGTGCGGTTTGTAGCGGTGTGGACATAGAGGAGGGCAGAGTGGAAGGCCGAGGTCTGGAGCTCTGCCTGAAACCGTGCGTGCCATCCATCTCTGCCCCGGCAACCCTGCCCCTGCGCTACTGGCCCTGGCTTGACAGTACACACACTCAAAAACACACGCTCACTCATAGACACACACTCTCTGCTTGTAAGAAGCTTAGGGACAGATGTTTGTTTATGTATGTGGGAGAGCACATGTGCGCATGAACACGTGTGCTGTGTTTGGGGGGAGTGAGATGACAGCGGGGTATTTTCTGTTAACGGTGCAGGAGCTGGACTGTTTGTCTCTGCATCTGGTGGATAGGATTTTTTTTTCTGAGAGTCATTTTAAATAAAGTTTCAAGCACTTTCATTTTCTTTATTGCCTCGTTTCATGTCAGATTTTGAGATTTCATTTCAACTCTTTGGAGCCCCTTTTTTTAAACTTATACAAATCTCTTAAATTAAAACAAACAATGAAGTTTTTACCTAATTTCTCCTGGATTTTTTTCTGCCAACCCTTGTAAAATTTCAGGTTAAAGTCGTAGTGAGCTCATAAGTGAACACAGCAGGAAATACCGGTCTTCTGTGGCATTAATTGATGACAGTTTGCGCGATCTGTTCATGTTTTTAGGTCACAAACAGGGATAACAGTAATGAACTGTAAAAGCAAGATGAGCATGTTTTGTAACTGAAATATAGAAGATTTATTTAAGTTTTCCAGAGAAGTGTATCTCAGTGCATCAGTATCCCCCTTCAAATACTGCTCCCAGATCAGAGTCACTTTATTCTTTTTCCATTTGCATCCTCAGAGGAAAAGGAGCAGGGTTTTTTTTATGCTTCATCACAGACTGTGACTTCATGCTGTGACAGTCATGTAGGGGGGGGCAAGCACCTGAATTTTTCCAGAAGTTTTCTAGAGTGCATGTCTGAAATAGGAAAGAGCATTAGTGCCACATGAAGACAAAAAAAGATAATTACAGGAAGGAGATTAAAGGCGAAATTTCGAGATTAAAAAAATCGAAATTATGACAATAAAGTCAACATTTCAAGATTAAAAATTAAAATTTCGAGATTTAAGTTGAAATGTCAAGATGACAATATGTCAAAATGTCATGAATAATTTAGAATTTTCCAGATTAAAAAAACTGAAATTTTGAGATCAAAGTCAAAATTAAAAAATCATATTATGACAATAAAGTCGACATTTCCAAATTAAAAATCTAAATTTCGAGATGTCGAAATGCCGTGAATAATTTAGAATTTTCCAGATAAAAAAGATTAAAATTTTGGGATTAAAGTTGAAATTTGGATTTACTCACATAATTTCTGTTTTTTTTTTATCTCAACTTTTTAAAATTTTGACTTAAATCTCGAAATGGAAATTTAGAAAATCTCCTTTCTTTAATTATTTTTTTCTCTTCTTGTGGCCCTAATTCTCTTCCGTACTGAAAGCAGTTCAACTCTCACACAACAAAATGACTTTTTTAATAATTTGCAAACAGTCTGACTCTGAAATCTGTTAAATTACTAAAAGACGTGATAAGTTTGTTTGTGACAAAAGTTCAATTTTTAGGCTGGTATTGGACGTTTAAAATAACTCCAGTTCTATCTTATATACAGTAACAGCCCCTTGTATTGTATTGCTGATATATTTTGAAATTCCTCATCAGATTGCTCTCCATTATTGTTTGAAGCACAGGCTGTAGCCTTCAGCCACTGGTCACACCTCACAAACATACAAAAACAAAAACAAAAGCGTAATGTTTAACTCAGTAAGTGCAGCGATGTGATACATGCATGCTGAGAAGCTTTTTAAGAAATTAAAAAACTGCATCATTAATGTGAATTTGTTTAACTCGGAGAAGCCTTTTTAATAGTACTTTGTCAGTTTTAAGAGCGTACTCTGAGGTTTGCAGACATATTCATGGCCACTAGAGTATAGTACATTTAAAGAACTCAGTGGGTGTTGGAGAATATTTTCACTTCTTCACATATTCCATGTATATATCTCGTTTTAGCTGCACAGAAATGTTCCACCGCCTTATGTAACAACTCCACAGATGTCCTCAGACGGACTCAGTGTAAGCAGAGACTCTGATGGAGCGTTTTGTTGGCACTTGAGCCTAGTTGGCTCCTGCTGCAGGAGATTTGAGGTGTCATGGAGCTGATTTAGTAAAGCCGCAGCTCTGGTCCAGACCCAGGTCATAGGCTAAACGTCGAGACCTTCAGTTTGCAGTCTTTTTACTTCTGTCACAGCTGATCTGACCTCTGATGGTGATGTCCGCTCCAGTCGCAGAGATATTGATAAGGACTTGTGTGCACTGTCAGCCAGTGTGTATCTCTGTGTGTGCGTGTGTGCAGCTGTGATTGCTGTCAGTCCAGATGTGTTTTTGACCAAGGGGTCAGTGTCACAAGTTCTTGCTCCGGCTCAGCTGACGCCAGCTCTGCATGTTTCATTCCCATTATGCAATGCTTTCATCTGTGTCCCAAAGCTCTCTGGAGATTTTGGTACCTAACGCATCGTCCATCTGTCCTCTGAGGGTTACAGACCACCATAAAATAACACACCACAGCGCTATTGACTTTTCGTAAACAGTGTAGGATTGGTCTTTATTTGAGCTTTTAAATGACGACGCAAGAGTAAAAGCCCTTGATTTTATTCATGGATATGTGGTACAGGAACTTTAACACTTTCTGGACAACTTTCAATGACCTTCCAAAAAAGTAGCCCCTCTAAAATCTGCTGACAGTCTGGGATTTGCCTCCAGAAAATAATGTTGCTGCAGAATTTTCATGTTTTAATTTTACTGGGAAAAAAAATCCATTTCACTCCATTAAATTGGGTGAAGGCAGAAGAAATGTCCTCAGTGTCCTCTAGCTCTCTGCATGGCTAGACACGGTGCATGAAGGTTTTAATTGTAATTTAAACTAATCCTTTCATTCTGTAGCTTGTCTAGGTGTTGCTGCTACAAAGTTATTCTGTAAACTTAGGGGTTTAAATGTACTGTGATTTGATCATTTTTGTGCAGCAAAGACTCAAGTCTAAAATTCTACTGTATTTTAATAGGACGCACATTTACCAGACAAGTCATATTTCAAGAAATGTGCCAGAAACAAGACTGGAACTGATTATAATGAGTAAAAATATCTGCCAATATGAAGATGAAAAACTTGTAAAGTAAGCGTCTTGAAATGGGATGTAGTACATAATTTAAAGCTCTTGTGAGGGTCTTAAAACTTGGCTATGGGAGAGACTGTTTTAATACTGATACCTAACTTTGACCTACAACAGCAAATGAGTTCATCAGCATGAAGATTGACTATTTCTACATCATTATTTTAACGTCTAAAATCACTGCCAGGGGGTAAGTCAGATGAAGAGATACCATAAATACTATCTTAACAAAAAAATGTAAGAGTTTTCCTGGTAAAGACTCTCCTGGACTGATACAGCAGGTCCAGGTCAAACTTTTAGTTTGTGCCAGTTTTGGCGCCCCCTGTGGACAAAGCCATGATCGCGTCCTCTTTATGCTTAATTAGTGTCCCACAAAAATCTCATCCTGTAGACTTTGAAAGTCGAATTTATCACTTTTTGTGAATATCTAAAGTGGAAAATGTAAAAGTATGGCTGTTTCTTCGGTGGACCCACTGACACCTACCCCTTTGAAGCCCTTCTATATTTAGTAATTTGAATATTACAGCATACAAATCGTCAATCTGGTCACTGATAGCAGTTCTTACTTTTGTATATCATAAAAAGTCATCAGTTTTAATTTCAGTCCATTTCATGACCGTTTAAAAAAATATCCTCACATGAGCTTAAAAAAACACAAGTTCAAAAAGGTGGTGAGTTAGGGGGCACCAAAATTGGCACACACTGAATTTGTTCAAGGAGCTTTAAGAAACCTATCCCAGAAATGTTGCTGGCTGTCTTAGCAGATAGTTTTACTCATAACGCAGACTTTATTTTGGGTGTGAAAGTTGAACAATTCCTGGTCTTTTCTGGTAAATGTTACTTATATTACGTTTTCATCAGAAACTAGACAAAGGCAAAACATTTTTTGACACCCTGACAAACTGTGGGTATATATTAAGGAGTTAAAGTCACTGTGAGAAGTTTTTGATTGGTTATGAAATAGACTTGATTTACAGCACACTGGAGACAAACTTTATTTTTCTTATTCTGTGGTTGATGTTCACTAGTCAGGAAAAAAAGTTAATTTCACATATTCGGGACAAAATTGGCAAATATGTCAGAGGTACCGCTTGTTCAAAGGGAGAACAGAAAGGTACTCACAGGAGCTTTTAAATACACATATTCCCTCACAAACTTCTTATTGCAGGCTGAAATTAAATAATATTTAATCTATAAATGATTCTTACTTTGCCGTGGGACTTTTTGAAATGACAATTCCTGTCTTGTGGTGGCCCCTGAACAAATTGAGAACGGTATAACCAAAGTGTAAGATGTCTTACCTCAAATACTTTTTTGTACAGGTAAAAAGAGGCAATGGGAAAAGTTAATCATCAGGCAACAGCATAAACACTAAGCACATGAGGTCTTGGGAATATTCCTATACTCAGGTTGAGGAGGGGAAACATGCATTAATGGTTCTTGTGATGCTTTTTTGTAGTAAAGTGAACAAGGTTTTATCATATTGAAACCTCATGTGTTATAGGGATCCACAACCAGATATATTGTAGGTGTGGAAATATCACGACTGTTGACAGGAGGGTTGTAATTAGGATACATAAAGTAATTATGTCGTGCTAGCTTTTTAATTTCATCTTTCTGGTTTAAAGCCAGGCCATTCTAATGCTCCCATTTTTGGAAGTTGTTTGGATGCTCACTCACGCGCGCACACACACTAATCAGGCGTCACGCGCACGGTGGACGCAGCCAGCTCCAGTCAACACCATAAATGAGACACTGCACCTCGCGTGGACAGTGAGTGGGCAGTGCGGAGCTGCTGGACGCTTTTCTTTAGTTCGCTCGCGGTGCTTGAGGTCAGGCCGGGGCGGTGTGTGGCTCAACAGATGCCGCACCGGGGAATAAGCCTTTAATACCCCGAGGACTCGGGAGAGGGTAACTCCGCTCAACTCACAATGCAGACTTAAGTGAAGCCCACTCACGACACTCATTCGCGTCTCCAGTGGTGTCCTCCGCGTCGCGGTTTCCTAGGGATAAGTTTTTCACCTTTACGCACAAGACGACGTGTCCAGAGCGGTCTTCCTGCAGGTAGACGGCACTTTTGGACGTAGTTACCTGTTTTAAAGGTAAAGTGAGGCTCATGGCATACCTGTGCATGTCTCATTCACTGGAGCCAGGTGAGCGATAATCTGATCTGGTCGTTGAACGGTGGAATAACACCTGCGGTGCGTTTTCATCACCATGCCGCCTAAGAAAAAGGTAAATATGCAAAAGACATTGTTTTTAAGCGTGTGCATGCATTCGTGCGTGCGTGTGTGCGTTTGTGCGTTTGAGTGTGTGTGTGTATTCTGGACAGGAAGGGTAGGAGAATGCACCATCTGTTGCACCGGGAGTTAATCCTTGTATGAGGCCTTTCCACATCACCGCTCTCAGTGAAACAGTCACTGAATGCGGCGCGGTGCAGATAGTGATGCATATCCACATGCATGTATCATGCCATGTGTTCAGCAGAAAGCAGGCTTCAAAGAGAGTTGCATAACCAATTGCCTGTGACATCTGATGGATTAAGTATTCTCGTCCTCCCAGTTTTCCCTGTTTTCCTTTATAAGCACGATTTCTTGGACTTACTCTGACCTTTGTGTCATAGTTTTTTTATGTTAAAGAAGCTGAAACTGTAAATGAGGTTTGTTGTTTTTTTTACACTTCACTCTGTATGTGATAAAAGTTTTAATGTGCAGCAGCAACAGATAAGGTCAGGTTCCCCATCCTTGGGCTGTCAGAGCCACTCCATACTGGAAGAATAATGATATGTTTCTTCTTTGTCTCTTGTGTCCCCCTACATTTAAGCATTCACCTGTCAGTCTATGAAATATGAGGGTTGTTTTCTAACACTTGTAGCTGCTTTCAATGAAATTTCAGCAAGCCCCAGAGAAAACTCCAACAATCTCAGGGGGAAAAAGTTTTCTAGTTGCCACATGATTTTAATAGAAAAGCTTTTTTGGGTGGTGACACTTATTTCCAGAGCCGGCCCAAGCCTCAACGAGGCCCTAAGCAAAATTAGATTTTGGGCCCCCTTTTTCTGCCAATAATATTGATTGTTGATCATTCACACACCTTTATCTCAGTGTTTGTTCCCTTCTTCCTCTTTCTTCCTCTTTCTTTTTTCTGCTCCTGAAGGATATGTCCTTTTTTGCAACATTGTTTTACCCAACAATTACCTGCGCTTTGGATGCTCAGTGCACATTGCACAGCAGGAGGCACATAACAGTAGTAGAGCTTTGACATATCTGCAGTAAAAATCATAGGCCTACATCAGCAGCAGCACTAAAATGTTTTTACTTGATTTTATATATATTTTTTGCAATAATATATATTTGATCATACAGAAAGCATCACTCATACATGCAAAAAATAAAAAATATTTTAAATTTTTTTTTTTATTGCTCTTGGGGGCCACCTATTGGCCACGGGGCCGTAAGCCGTAAGCATGATGTTAGCTGGATAAATAATCTGTAAAAGGAAATCAACCATCAAAAATAGAAAAAAAAAGAACTTGAACTAACGAAAAAAAGTCATGATAAGAAACAGCAAAAAGTTTTGCAGCTGTTTGTTGGCATGTTAGCCATGTTAGCACCTTATGAAGATGGCGATATCTTCTGTTAGGGGTCTATAGCTTTTTGATTTTTTATGTATCACTCACAGTTGAATGAAACATAAGCTTCTGTTTTCTTTTGCATCCAAGCACCTCAATACAGATCCTTGGCTCGGACAAACTGGTAACACCATGGGGTGTAAGGAAACCTCACAGTCTCCGGATGGCCTACTGACTTGTGTGACAGTGTGTGCTGCCGGTTAGCGCTGCCCCACTGCTTGCTACCTAGAAAAGGAAAAGCCTCTTAGTAGCCGTTACTGGGGCAGATACCTGTTCTCCTTCCAGGCAGGAAGTGGGACAGTAAAGACGCTGAGCTGTCTGGAACATTGGCACAATTGATGGACCTGTTTCCAAGATTAGGATGTAAGATTAGGATGATTAGGTGCACATTGTGCTGTTTTATTTCCTGTATTGGTATCTTTAATCTGAGAAGATCATCCTCAGTGTTTTCTTACTGCATTAAGAGTGACTGAGACGACCGGTCCAGGAATAGCGGTGTTTCAGAGCTAGCCTCAGTGTGGTAAGGGAGAAATTATAACATAACAGGAATGGTTGGCAAATGTTTCTTTTATAATCCCCACACACACACACACACGCACCCCCTCTGTATACTGACAGTAATCATGTTGCATCATAATGCTGTGCAATGCAGCAGAGCACTGAGCCTTTCTGTTTGCAAACTATAGGAGGAATATATCTATTACAGGGGCCAGGCGGGCCAGGTATTAAGTTGTATAGATAATTTTAATGCTTCTATTGTATCTCTATCTGATGACTGTCAGGGCGCCTGAGCACACGCAGCACCATAGCAGCAGAGTTGGCTGTCTGTGAGGAGTTTGCATTTGTCTCCCCCTCTCTCAATCCTGGATTGACGCATGCTATCTTAATCTCCTTACTCAGAGACAATCATGACCCAGAGAGAGAGACCCAGGAGCTCACATACACACAGGTTTTTTCTGCATGTAATGATTTAGACTCCGGTGCTATGATTTTCTCTGAGGCAAATTGTTTTTTCTTTCTTTGATAAATTCCTTTCAATGTGCAGATTTTCTCAGGGGTAGTGCTTAAATCATTTGGATGGGCTTTTAGAGTATGACTTGATCCTACAAACACACACAAATGCAAATTTAAAGTTTTTTACTGCAGGACTGCCCTAAACATCTGTGTCCAAAACTGTGCACAAAACAGCTAAAGTAAGAAAGGACCTGACTTTGTAAAAAATAATCCTTGGCATGCCCAGAAAGTGAGCTTACCTCCTGTGGTTTAAAGGCATCCACCTGCCACAATAGCTTAAGTTTTCCAAACTCTACCACCCACTCGTTTAAGATCTCTTTATTTCTACCCTGAACTTATTTGTGCTCTTTGTTCCCCTTACAACAAGACAATAATGTTATTTATTTATTTCATTTTATCACTTGGAAGCTGGTTGGTGCTTTGATAGCAGCTGTGTTGTCCAAGTCTGTTTCAGCTTCAACTTCATCCTGAGTGAGATAGCAAGAGAGATGTAGTATTATTTTTAAAAATGGTCAGCCTGTATGAGGAGAGTCAAATTTTGACCTTTGACTCATTTATTTTTGAAGGTGTATCAGCTGCAAAACTCAGGGAAGAGGGAGAAGCGAATGAGGACAAAAGTAGTCAACACTCTTGCAAATGTTCAGCTGAATGCGAATAATAACAAACGAGCACAAGTGCTCCTGCAGACATCCCATTTATCATGTCTAATGTGACCTTCAGTGGAAATGTTCAGTTAAACGATTATCATATTTGCATGCTGGAATGTTTTCTTAAACATTGATTGAAATCGTAACTTTGGCGTCTGTTTGGCTGCAGCGAGGATTTTAATTTGTAGCCATGGTAACGCTACCAGCTACAGTGGAATAAAGGCGGGTGTTTTTTTTTATCTGTACAAAGACTAAAATCAACATTTGGTGTCAAAACATACTAGTTTTACCCATTCACTACATTATTCCTTACATAATATGAACTGTATGAAACGGCACAGCCCCCGAACGTTTACACCATAGACTGTATGTAGAATGGACGCCATCTGCCTCCTTGCTGGGTGAAGCCACCCCGAGAACAGCACCCTCTGGTGATGGGCTGCAGTATAGGTCATAAATCCCGCCTCCGCCAGCAAAGCTTATGGAGCTGTGGACAAACTTTAGAAATTTATTACACAGAACATCATTTTTTCTCCCCCGTTTGCGATGTTGACATGTAGTTATTGTAAGACTGGTTTGTGCTCAAGTCCTCTTTTTTCTGTACAGCTCCATTTTTAAAAGTTATTAGGGGGTTCATGTTTTCTATGATTGACACTTGATACAGCCTATGGGCGTTCAGGGATTGCGTTTTTCACCCGGGGGATACGCTGTTTGAGCCGAGTGTCATCACAGCAACTCCTGGCGACTCTCCCGCCAAATGCGTACAACGCTACTGCGCAATGTTGGTTTCAGGAAATTGAGAAAGAATGTGGAAATACCGAGATCTTTTTGGCTTCAAATCCATATACAGACAGAGGGCGGAACCAAGTTGTCCATAGTATATACAGTCTATGGTTTACACTTACAGTCCCAACAATGGCTGCAGTTCTCGGCTGTTGGTTAGACCTAAATTTTAAACTCTTTTAACTTAAGCTGCTAGAGTTGAATGTATATTTTTAAAGAAGGAATGTTTAAAGGAAAATAAAACTTTTTTTTACTAATTGGACTAAGCTAGGATCAGTCTAGCTCTAAATAACAAGAACATGTCTACTGCTCAGGTCATCTCACCTGTTTGGACATCCAGACTTAACTTAAGTCTTTGAGCATGATAGCATTTTGTCAACCTTGTCAAGTGCAGCCTTTGCACGTGTTTTTCACTTAAATTGGTAAAGTGTCATTGAACCATGGTAAGTCAGTCAGAGAAGTCCAGCGTGACAAACAAGCAAGTTCTAGCCTAATCAAGTATGCAGAGTGGCTGAAACTAAATTGTCTACAACTGTCCTAAAGCTAGAAACAAAAACCCTCCTGGAAATGAATCTTTGACTGTTAGAGTCATTTGTTGTAGTTTTTTTGGGGGTTGTGTTTTGTCGCCTTTATCATTTGTAATTGTCCTGGTGCCACACCAGGTGGGGTGAAGTCCTGTGTTTTGTTCACTGTAAGCAGAAGAAGATGCAATTAGTGGCAGGTGTGTCGGTAGCTGGAGAAGCACACAGTTTTTTGACCATCATCATCAACATCAACATCGTCGCCATTTGTCTTTATTTCGCATTTGGTTTCTTAAGAAAGAGAGGAAGAATAAACAAAGAAAATGTGACTTGAATGAACTGTTTCATTTACACTGGGAAACAAGTAGGCAAGGAAGATGTGTCAACTGTAAAATCTGGCTATAGTGCACCTCGATGGCTCTCAGGATAATTTCGGCTGGCGAAATCAAGTCACTATATTGACTTTAAGGATTGTGGACAGGATATGTTTGTTACTAGATCAGAAAGCTGACAGGCCTAACAATAGTCAGCTAGCTAAGGAGCGTTGGATTAATCCATGAAATGAAGTTATTTTCACCTAAATCTTTTGCCTGAAAGTATAACCACAAACTGGTGACATCAGAAATAATGATCAATCCTGTAGTAGTATACTTTATAGACATTATTACATCTGGGGTAGATAGATTCACTGCCACTCTTGATCTATAATTGGAGATCTAAAGGGCCATGGCGCAGCCCTAAACTCCACAGACAGAACCTCGTGCCAAAGTAAAGGTGGCAGTGCCAGCCCAGCTGTATCTGCTCTGTGGTAGCATCAGGCAGAGGGCATGGAGCCAGTCTCCTTCAGACAGATGATGCTGAGCAGCTGATTAGACAGGGCTTGAAGAAAACTGAAGCTCACGCAGCATGCAAATGACCGGCCTGTAATGAAGAAGAGGTGGAGTGGTGAAAATCATCGCAGCATCCTGAAAAACACATCAGAGTACATTACGGGTGGTGAAATTGCAAGAGGAAGGGTGTTATTAAAGTAATATTCACTTTGTCTCAGCAGCCGAAAGAGCCGATACAGGAAAATATTCATAGGCCAGGAATTTGTGAACACCTGGGCTTAGTGCCAGCTGCTCATTGGAGGGCTGACAGGAAATTAGTCACAATTAGGATGGTGACCTGCTCCACGGACAACAATAAACTGTAGTAAAGGCTGTTTGGGAAGCAGGCAGTGTTTAAGTTCTTTTTGATATATGGATCTATCATCTAAAGTTTACTAGCAAAGTTTTAATGACGCTCATTTATCTAACACCTAAAATGTTTCTGCAAATCAACTGGGAGACAAAGGGAAATATCAATTTGGATCTTAAAAAATCTTTAATTCGTGTTCAAAAGTTCAAGATTCTGAAACATCAACACCCTGGCACTTGAATAGAGATCTGTGGTGACAGTCAGGGGGAGTGCCAGTTCTTGTAATTGTGCTGAGAGTTGGGGTAAAATATCACATAACACCAGGCTGACCCTTTATCATTTCTAATGGGAGTTATTTTGGGGTCTAGCCTTTTAAAAAATCACAGTTCTGTTCATTTTCTGCACATTAAACAGTTTCTGTAGGTGGACTGGATCGCTTATCTGTACATCCCTGGGGGTAATTATGCAGAATTAACTCTGCTCCGTGCTGCCTGACACACTTTCTCATATAAATCCTGAGTTTGCTCATTTTACTGGAACTGAACCTCCTAGTGTTCGGACGGAGGAGTAACGAATCAAAGTTATGAAACACTGTAGAGACAGATTAGAGAGAAACTGAGAGCATTTGAAACACAACATATCAAAATTAACGCTTTAAAGGGATATTCCGGCGTAAAATTAAGTTAGGGTCAAACACGCCGTAACACCGTCGAGAGTTGAGTGTTGCAGACCACTTGCTTCTCTAGTTACACTGACTTAAGTAACAACCGCACATTAGCAATACACAACGGTCCCAGGAGCCACATGCTTAACCAAAACGCCACTCTATAGACACAAATAATGCTCAGAACAGCACTTAACTTCATCAACAGTACGTAGAGTGTCACAGTCACAGTACTAGCCACCAAACATCTTTTTAGCTTTGCCTAATTTCTTTAGCAAAGAGACTAAACACAACTCACCTACTCTCCTCCAGCAGCCGCTTGTTTGTAAGGAGACCTCAGGCGAGTCCATCGACTGCAGAACATTTATGATCATTTCTTTATCATTTCCTTGAAGTAACAATCATCATAATAATCATTTTGCTCTGCAGACGCGGTAGTTCTTCTGCCCTAGCGTCTCTGTCTGATTGCATTTCAATGAAGAAATGATCATAAATGTTCTTCCTTGAGCTGCGTCACCCCGTGCTATGGCTGGGACCCTATATGTACTGTTGATGCAGTTAGGTGCTGTTCTGAGCATTATTTGTGGCTATAGAGTGGCGTTTTGGTTGAGCGCGTGGCTCCTGTGGACCGCTGTGTATTGCTATCCTGCGGTCATTACTAAAGTTGGTATAACTAGAGAAGCAAGCAGTCGGCAACATTCATCTCTCAACCAGATGTCTAACTCGGTGTTATGGTGTGTTTGACCCTAAATTAATTTTACGCTGGAATATCCCTTAAAATGAGCCAAGTAACCTTTTTTTTTGGGTTTGAAATCATTTGTTGTTGTCAAGTGGACGACCATCAGAATGTCAGAAATTGAGTCTCAAAGTATCCAGTCAAATCTGTTTTATTTTTCTACCGTGAGCGAGCACTTTAGCAGCAGTGTTGAGGAAAAACCTTCGAGTAGGACCAGGCATAAGAATGGAGAGCTGTCTGCCTTGACTGGATGAGCCAGCTGTTAGGACAATACCATTAGTGCATACCTTCATTTCAAAATCCAAACTATTCCTCAAGGGTTAAAGTGATTCCTAAAATTAAATACTGCATAATTGCAAAAGAAAAAAAAAACATTCATAAGGCTTCACCGAGTCTTCTTCCAAGTTTGCGTCTAAAGGTAGCATCCTGCAGAAATAACCTACATAACAGGGTGGTAGAAGCCGACTCCACAAATAAGGATCCCGCTCTCCTTTACTGAAATGTTTTTTTAACTTTGAGTAGATACTCAAAAGGGCTGAAGGCATCACAGATCTAGTCAGTCTTCATTGCTGCTGTGCAGAAACTCTAAACACTCATCAAAGCTGTTAGGAGACACAGACAGCAGCAGCACACGGGGAGCAGCCGGCAAGGAGCGGGAAGCTTTAGTGATGAGCAGAGAGAGTGGCGAGAGTACACACACACACACGCACATAACACGCACACACCCCACACACAGACACTTCATCTTCCAATACAAACAATCAGGATTACAGTGCCCACCCATGCAAGCAGAGTCATCCACACAGTAGTCTCACACACACACCCGTCATGAAGAGTGCTGTGGACCTCACTCTTTCTTTATGCTGTTCTTTCATTCAGGCTTTTGAACTCTTACTTTTTGGTCTAATGATTGATTAATCTGCGCTGTGTGAGAAAGATGCACATACCATGCAGGGTAAGCCTGAATCTGCCTCTACTTTTAAAAATGTATATTATCTTCTTTGATTTTCTCTCCATCTCTTTAAAATCTTTAACCTTTTTGTTGTTTGTGTGCAAACTGAAAAACACATGGCTTTGTGTATCTTCATTCATTCATTCCTGTGATGTGTTTGTAACCAGGCTAAATGAACCATTAATGTTGGTCGTTTGTCTCCTCGGACTTTGAGAAATTCAGTAGCAGTGATGTTGAACGCCGCCAAGATGACTTAATTATACCAATGTTTTCTACGTCTGTCAATTCAATCGCTGCTCGATGGATCTTCCATCGATTTTAATGTACTGCTCAATAACTGTTGGCTCCTTCAAACAGTGTTGTGGTTTCACTAGGCGGTTGTAGTGGCAGACACAGAGTTAGAGGCACAGACGATGATTTTTTTCCTTCTCTCCCTCTGAAGATTAGAGCGTACAACCGGAGAACTATTTTCATCAGTGGGAGTCATTTCTGCTGAGCTGGCACTTTTTTTTTTTCCCTCATATGTTGCCATGGAAACGTCTCCCCATTTTATGGAGTGAGTGTGTAGAAGGATCTGCGATCTTTAAGGGGCCCAAGAGTGTAATATGTGCTGCAGTGGAAGGTTGCTACTCATGTTGAGCTCAGGATATCGTCGAACAGAGAAAAGGAAAGACGGATGGAGTGTATGAAATATGTGTGACATTAAAACACTCATGAAATAGCATTAACCATTAGTACCAGCTCTGTCGAAAAAACATCTTTAGAGCTCTAGAAAAGGGCTGTTTCCGGGCACATTTCTTCTGTGATTCAAAAATGCACTAGGAAATGATGGGATACAATATGATACCATACAATTTCACACAATACAATGACATATGATGCAATACAATATGATATGATTATGATAAGTTCTGATATGACACTATATCAAAACCAATATATGATACAGATACCGATACCGATCCAATTTACCATGCTTGGTTTATTTTACCAATTTTATCCATAAGTAAAGTAATCCGGTTCATGTACGAGCTTGAGAGAGATTGCTTCACAATTGCCCTAAAATTTTAATTTGCGATCTTTTTCTTCTGCCTTCTTTCCTGCCTTGCGCCTTCTCATTTATTTCCTGTTTTAATGATACACATGCTTTTATCTTGAAAGGACACCGGTAGGGCTGGGCGATAAACCGAAAATTTACCAATACCGAAATTTACGACAATAACCGACGTCATTTTGCCCATATCGGTATATTCCGTGTCAAAAAAATAAATAAATAAAAGTTGGTTTTGGATGTGTGTAGGTAGGCTACGGTCTCATGTCCCTGTCCTACGTCAGAGACATGACTCCACCCGCTTTCCCTCTTTGTTACAGACTGGATGGGGTGGAGTTACGTCTCCGTCCTCACCCAGTCTGTAACAAAGAGGGAAAGACAGGTGAGGAGATGGAGGATGGTTCAAAAGTTGTAGCGGCTGAAGTAGACGAAGTTAATATGGGAGGGGGTGAGCAGCTTGTGGAGTAGTTATCGTCCAGTTATCATTATCGAGGTGAACTGCTCAATATATCATGATATTGATTTAAGGCCATATCGCCCAGCCCTAGCCACAGGTATAAATAGACAATTACTGTGATGTGGATTTGATGCTTGAGTTGCGTGACTGTAAACATGTATCTTGAAAGGCCATGTGACTCAAACCAGCTACCTGTCGTTATCTGTAAAGCTTGTTTTTTTGGAGCAGAATCACATTGTAAAAAAGACACAAAATCCTTCCCCTGTGCTGCGTTTTCCCTGTAATTCTGCTAGTGTACTAAATCTCTCTTCAGGGACTCAAATCCAAATTACAAAACACACAACAGATTTTGCTTCATTCAGCTTGTTCAGAGAGTGTGTTTGGCTTTACAAAAAAAAAAAAAAAAAACGACTTCCAGGATGAAGACCAACTGGTTTATTCGGCAAATGTGCAGCAGTCTAACTCACCCGCTTTTAACGAAGGATGTGCACAGCTGCCTTTCTTGTCTTGTTCACAAAATACTCACCCATGATGACTTTCTAACAGAGATGTCCAGATTAAGGCTTTTTGAAAATAAATTGCATTTCAGTTTTACTTAAAAAAAGAAAAAATATATATATGTGTATATATAGGGCGTCTCAGGAAGAGCAACAGTTCCCTTTCTCAGGATCCATAGACTCTCATAGATTTTGATGTACAGCACTAAGGAGTGTACAAATTATCTGCACATATCGCAGAAACTGAACGTTTTTCTGGAAACATCTGGGATCTGAGAGAGGCCTCTCCTTTGGATATATCATTTTGTGTTAACTCATAGTTTTTTCTGTTTTTGGTGCATATCTTTTGTTTTAGTCAGCGGTTCAGATAAGAAGGATGTTTTATGGACTGTACTTCTAGTCTTCCTACCAGTTTTTACCCTACATATCACATTCACTCTTCTGCCATTTACTATTGTTGTTCGCATCTTTATAAAATTCATTCACAAACGTTCAGCAGACCAGTGGTTATGCCTGAGGGGAACAAGAGTTTCAAAGTCTAATTTGGTTTTTTGTTTGCACTCTTCAGTGTTCTCTCTTTTTGTTCCAGCGAATTTTTGCACAGCACAAGCTGTTCAGTGCTTTGAAACAACTGGCTCATGGGCATATGCTCTGCAGGTTGTTTAATTGGACCTTTTATCTTCTCCGTGTAGATGAGGGCTCAGGGTTCAAAGTAGAAAACTCTGCATGACCAGTTTTTTACTCTTAAGTGGTCTCATTAGGATTATTTCAAGTTCCATATTCTAAATGAGAATTTTCCAAACTTGTGTTTTCTCTTTGGATGAATTCAAATTTTAAAAACTCATTTTCTGTCTCTCCGGAGCGCTACCTTCACATATTATGACCTCATCATCATATTTAGATATTCTTTCCAAATGTGTGACTCACATATAGCAGCTAAGTTGCTCTGCCCCACTCACTTATGTGGAGGTGGTAACTGAGGTATATGGGGAGAAAATAGTGGCATAAGTAGTGTCAGAGCCGACAGGGCAGAACAGCTGTGTGTGTGTGTGTGCGTGCGGGCTTGTCTGGGTGTGGACAAATGTGGAGCTTGTTTGAGTTTAGTGTGTAGTGTCAACGGGACAGTGGCAGCAAACTTTATTACAGTGTTGTTGCAGGATTGCAGTGCGTGAGAAGCTTGTGACAACCATCTAGCGATTTCAGGTTACTGATATAACCCCCTCCCTTATAAGCCCTTTTTTTTTAGTTTGGCCACCTCTAAGAAACCATCGATCTGTGTTCGTCCTTGTTCTTCTGTGTGTATAACCTCATAAGGAGTTAGATGACTTTGTGAAGTCAGAGAATCTAAAAGCCAGAGAAACTTTGTGAAAGCCAGAATTTAGAGCAGTAGATTGGGAGATAACTGAGACATTCTGATCTGAATCTTCTCCCATGTTTGGTATGAAAATAAAACCTTAAAGATATCTAGAAATAAGAAACAGGAGCATATCCCGGGATAAAATTCGAATATAAACATCTCCGTCTAAACAAAACTTGTATCAGCATTTTTTAGACCTCAGAGTTGGATTTGCCCTCCAGAGAGTTTCAGTGCTCGGGGCCAGCCAGCTGGCTCCTGGTGACTCGATGGCTCTGATTATTTCTGTTCAGGGATAGACTCCATCTCCCCAATCAGACTCCTCTCTCTTAATGCACTCCCCTGGCGCGTGCCGAAAAAGCTGCGTAAACTCTTTTGAGCGGGAAAGGAGTCACCTTCAGGTAGCACACGACAGAGCATGGCTTTACTTGTTCGCCCTCCCTCCCATCATCCTTGTCCTCCACCTTCCTTTGCCCACCTCCTAAGCCACGTAATCACGGTAATGGGCTGAGATGGCTCAGCAACAGGGAGGGACAAGGGAGGGAGGAAAGGGTGGAAGAGCGTGAAGAAGAAGAGAAAGGGTTTGAATGAAAGATTGAATAAGAAAATAAGCCATACTAGAGGTAGTTATGACATAAGATTAGGCAGAAACAATGCAGACTCTAGCTGTAGTATTTTTTATTTGAACTGCTCTGTAATTTTAAACATAACTCCTGCAAGTGGTGGCGGACAGAGACAGAGCAAAGAGAGAGAAATTAGCTTGACTGGGAACACTTTTCATGATTTTTTTTTTCTCAAATTAACAGATCAAGAATCAGATTTTGCTCCACAAGAATTTGGCTCAAACACCCAAATGATCCCATACAGTAAAAAGTGAGTCAAGAAACTAACATAAAGAAATCAACATCATCTATTCTGATGTGTTAGAAACTCTGTTAGGATGTTTCCTCACGTCCAGAGGGAAAAAAGCAGATGATTCATTTCAGACTGTAGACGTTTGATTTTCACCTGCATTAGTGAGCTGCACATTGTTTAATAATTCAGTGTGGGCGTTTTGTTCTATTGGCTGGGTGACATTGGCTTGCAGGAGAGGCGGGTGCTGTGCGAACAGATGCCCACACCAGCTATGGGTAAACACAGACTCATGCCTGAGCATAATTCTACCCAGGGGAGATTTATTTCCTCCTCCTCCTCTCTTACTCGCTCCTCATCATGTTAAAGTCTCTGTCCTGACATTTTCTCGACTGCAGCCTCTCGCCTCTGTAGTTTATCCTCGGCGTTAATTATCAACATTACTCCACCTACGCACATCATGTCCTCATTCTTCTTTAGTCATAATATTTCAGGCTGTTATTTAATTGCCTCTGAGGTTGTTGTCATGTTTTAAGTAATTTTTTCTCCTTTTTGAAAGATATTTCTTCTTTTTCTGTTATTTATTTTCAGTTCAGCTGTCTGGACTGCTAAACATTTTGCTTTGGTTTTGCTTCACTTCCTGACAAAGCTTATTCAATTTAATGTTCACTAATGTTTGAGGTAATTAAGCCATTTTTTTCTCATTTTGAATTCTATTTTTATTTCTCTGAATCAGGGTTTTTGTTTTGTTTTGTTTCGTTTTTTTAGGTACTAGTGAATCCACTGAGCAATAGACGGCTATTAGACGTCTAGTTTTTTTTTTTGGACCTAATTTCAACCGTCTAGATTCTGTTTATTTTTAGACGGAATTTAGACATTACACTTTAACCCATTATTCAATAACTAGTTATATCAAAAAGCAACTGTGAGTTGCATAACTGATCTCCTAGCACTTAACCAGAATAATAATGATAGCCATTGAGCAAAATACAGTGTAGTATAGATTTAGACTCTGTCTAAACTTGGCCTAAATTTAGACATCTAAAAAACTTTCATTTTTAGACCTGTGGTAGCCTGATTTTAGACCAGTTGTCTAGGTTACATTTAGATGTTAGACCCCTTTTTGACCAAAATATGCCCAGTAGGAAGCTTTTCCTTTCAGTTCAACATAAACATGACTGCAAATTGACAAAAAGTGTTGGCGCTTGAATTCCTGCTGCTGGCTGCAAAAATTTACTATTGGCGTTACGTCGTAGCTGCTAATTTAAATCAACAAACTTATCCTACAAGTTAGCTAAGCTCAACATATGTAGCATGCACAAGGTGGTTCTGGTTTGTATAAAGAGGAAAACTTTGTTTAGCACACACGGACAAGTGTAGAAGCAGTCCTAGCTTTTAGCTTGTACAGTTAAGTTCGCTTTTTAAATGTTCCTGTAAGTTTTTGTTAGCTTAGCACTAGTATATTAGAAGCAGTCCTAGCTTTTAGCTTGTACAGTTAAGTTAGCTTCTTTATTGTTGCTGTAAGTCTTTGTTAGCTTAGCACTAGTCTAGTAGGAGCAGGCCTCTGTTTGTTTGCCTCTCTTTATGTTCAGTTCATCTGTCTCTTCATGATATTTGTAAATCACCATCTGCGCTAATATTAAGAGCCAGTTTCAGTGGAGGACTTCCTGTAAGCCTGTTGGTCCCAAAACAAGAAACCACAGGACAAGTCTCCAGTTAGCTGTTGACAAAAATGTACAACATCTAACTTTAACAAACGAGCTGTCCTCTTTAATTCCAGTTTATTTGCTTATACAAAATTTAGTGCTACAGGGTGATAAACTTAATTTATGAATGACAGACTTAAAGAGACTGCATAAGAGCACAGTCAGCTCAGCTGTGCTTCAGTATGTTTAAATTTTTTTAATATAAATTGTTGTCAAACATTTGCAGGTTTCTGTAACTAGAATGTAAGATTTTTCTACTTCTATCATTGTTATATATAGTAGTGGTTCAAGAGTCTTTCGAATTTGGAGGGTGAGAAGTTTATATCGTAGTTTATACATTATTTTATAGATTAAAAAGAAAAACATCATTTGGGTTTGCAATCAGTAGATTACTTGATAATGAAAACTGCAGTCGCCTCATATTTCACTGTGATCCTATCAACACAAAACTTACAGAGCTGCAGCTACAAAAGATATCAAAATATTCGATCGTATACCAAGGTCAGGGAAATGCATGCTTGAATTTTCTACATTTCTTAAAAAGAGAGTATTCACATGATCATCATAAACTTGTTGTCTCACGGAGTAAGTGTGTGGTATAGACTTTAAACTGCTGTTTTCGTTACCAAGGTTTCTTGTTATGAAGATACACAGCTGCCGATCCGCTGTCACACACACCAAGGTCTCGAGATCAGCATGTTGTTAAAATGCGTCAGACTGAGCAGACTGTCTCCAATGAGAGGCATGATTTGTGACTGTAGGATGCAAATGTGTATCTTTGAATGCCAGATTGATGCAGAGGGCTGTGCCTCCTCCTGGCTATGACACAGAGGGCATTAATTAGCATGTCTTTGAGGGGACAGTCTAATCTCTGGGACACATGGCACATAAACCTGAGCGTCCCTTGGGGGATCTGCTGCAATGCTTCCTGGCAATTAAAGGCAGGAGGGTTCTGGGGGAAAAAAGAAGAGGAAATTCAAAGACATTTTTATTGTCTCTTTTAGGTCGAAAGCTTGAAAGTGCAGTTGAATGTTTTGAATCAGGCTTGGACTACCAGATATTTTTGAAGAATTGGTTAATTTAAACTCAGTAATTTGAATTAAATACTGTCTTCAGAAAACAAAGCAATGTTTGTAGTTTATTTGTACATCCTGCAGTTCATTCTTATGTAAGTAATTGAGCAGATCCAAAATAAATAAAGGTTCAAAATAACAGAATTGATCTGACACAACAGTGGATAACCTTCCTGAAACTCAGGTGCATAAATCAAGATCATAGTGGAGTATGAGTACACTCTGTGTTAGCATGAAATCAAAGAATCATAGTTAAAGGGCAAAAAATAAAATACAAGAAATAACAGCATTTAAGGACAATAAAGTTTAGGTTTGATAATAGGGGCTATTGATATGGCAGTAAATCTTGAATTTGATGAAAACTTGAAGAATGGATTTTGAAAGATCCAGCATTTGTCAGGATCTTGTAGTGCATTATGGGATTTGTAGGATCTGCACAAATGTGTCTATTCATATTTTTAGCCTGATCAAACCAGTAAATCTCAAGTAAATATAGAAAGTTTTGGCTAAATCAGTGAATTCCGTTTCTGTCCACTGTTTGGTATTACACCCGCACTTTTGTAGGATTGTACTGCCAAATTAATAGAGGAATAACAGCCTTCTCTGGTGTCTCGTTTCACTCTGATATATCAATAAAAATTAGAATCTCAGTTCGTTTTCCTCATTATGGTGTGTTTTCATTTTAGTCTCTTTGTTTTTACTTTGGAGTTGCATTTCAAACACAACCTTTTACATAATTCTCACCAGATATTACATTCACAAGTAATTTTATTTGACTTTTAATCTCGATGAGGATGTATTATTGATCTACTATCAAGAGATCGCAAACCCTGCTTTGATCAATCTGACATGAATTATTAGTAATTTGTGTGAATCATTTACTGCAAAGTTTTCTTCATCTTCAAAGAGCTGCTGATATTGCTGACTGGGTTACACAGATCACAGCGTTTGAACCAGTTCAGAGAACTGATGAAACCGACTGTCATCTCTTTCTTTCTCTTTTGCAGGGAGAGCGTCAGGACTCGGACGCCGTTGAGGAAAGAAACGCTCAGGTGCAGCTGGAGAAGGCCAAGGTACCGTCTCACTGATGCATCATGGGAACATAAGAAAACCAAACCAAGCAAGGTGTCACAGAGTAATCTTTTAACGGGACAGCTCTCAAGGATGTAATTACATCACAGACAGGAAAAAGACATCAGGACCGAGGATTAGAGGAGGAATAGTTTTCTATTAAAATGAGTCACTGTTTTCTCCTGGCATCCTTTTAGGTTCTCTGTGTCTGGAGAGGGGTGAGGAAGAGAGATATTGATTATAGCTGATTTAATTTAAATATATTATAAGACTTTTTTTCAGTGGACTGAATAATCAGGATGTAATAATATCACATAAAAAGACCTTACTAAAAATTTTTAAGTATTTTCATACATCATTTGAAATGACACAGGTACATTTCTTTTAATGTATTTAAATATAAAGTTTTAAAGCTGTTAGATGATAAAATCTAAGTCGTGACAACATTTTTAATCATGTTTAAAATTCTTTTTTTTTTTTTTATTTCAAAACTGTTTATCGTCCATATTAACAAAGTGATACATGCTCGTCTGAGCTCTGTTTCATTCCCATCGTTTCCTTATATATTCTTATTAGACTAGTTTCCAGTGTAGCAGCAGGTGAAGTGCGTAAATCACAAGTTTATTTTGATTTATTTTGCAGCACCTCAGAACCAGTGCAGTGTGAAATAACGGGAACCAAAGGAGAGAGTTATCTGTCAATATTCATTCCAGCTTCTCGTCTATTGTATCCCTGCCCCACATACACGGAGTATAAACTTCACTGAGCTCTTTATTGAGCTCCGTAAACTGCTGCTGAGGGATCCCTTATGATCACAATCATAACAAAAAGTCAAACAATTTGTGTTTACTAATGCACAAAATTGAAGTTTGGAGCCTAACGTGAAGCCAACTTTTTCAACTTTGAAGCTTCAAGTGCATCAGAAACAGTCTGCGCTGTGGTGAGAGGGGAGACAAACCTTTCTCTGTGGGAAGTAGGGCTGTCAAGATGTTAGATATCCCAACACTGAAGGTGTCACAATAATTTGAAGACTTATTATATAACAACCCAAGAGAACAACCTGATAAACTTAACCAATACTGTCATGTCATAATCCATTTCTAATGATGTTCAGATTTGTGATTTTTCCACATCATCAGCCCTGTGACTGAAACTTGTTTGGAGAAGAAATACCTCAGAAACGATTGTTTGTCATGCTTTTATTTTGAAATATGCACAGGTAGCTTTAATTCCCGCATTGTAAATACACGCTTGGCTTGAGTTTATTTTATGAGGTGGCTCGGAGTATATTAAGCTTCCTGAGCTGCCATACAAACAGTTCAGGAAAAGTTATCATTGTTACAGCATTAAGAAGCAAGGGTAACACTTTACAATAACAATAATTTATACATGGTGAATAGATAGTTTATTAATGTTAAATCACCATCTAAAAACAGCATATAGACCAATTATAAATGGCAAATAGTTCATTAATGTAAGTTAGTAGTTACTTTACCATTAACTAGCAATGAAATTATGATTAATAATTTCATTAAATTATTTATAGACTATGTATGAAAGGTTTATATAGGGTTTAAATATTAGTTGTAAAACATCTAGATTAAAATGTGTGTCAGTAGCACTTTGTAAATGGTTAATATTTGGTTTTTGAACCATCTATAAACATCACTTAGATAGTTATTGTAAAGTTGCAACTGATGTTTGTAATACTTTGTAAATGATTAATAATTGTTTTATAAACTTCCTATAAACATTACTTAGATGGCTATTGTAAAGTTAGGGTTAGGGTTAGGTTTTTAAGATTGTAAAATTTACAATTTATTAATGGTCTTTACGCTATTTATAAATGATGATTTAACATTAATAAACCACCTGCTTACAATTTATAAACAGTCTATTTACCATTTATAAGATATGTTTATTGTAAAGTGTTACCAAAGCAAGTGAAGCTGAGGTATGACAACCTCCGACTTTTTACCAGGTCAGCTCTGATTAATAATGGCCTCTGTACATGAAGAGTGTGTGGTATCAACTTTAATAGAAGTTATTACACAACTTTATGAAAGTCTCACACATAATATCAAAGTCATCCCTTTTTTTCTCCTTATGAACACCAACTGCTGATGCCCGTCCAGTTGAATATTGAATTAAATCCTCCCCCGCAGATATAATGTGCCCCCACTGCTGCTTTGTAATTAAGGCGGCGGGCACAGTCGTCCTATCCCCCGCTGACCCTGCGGTCGCTCTCACAGTCTTGTCTTCAAAGTGGAGTAATTAGCAGCTTGATCTGCATGTCGCTGACATTTGACTCTGATCGGATTATAACTCCAGCAGGACGCACACGGGAGCGACTGTGCGGCAAAATGGAAGCTGCAAGATGTCGTTTTCACAGTTTGTGGTTTGATTCTGCAAAGTGGGAAACACAAACTCGTACATTAACGTCGTTGTTACAGCTCCTCTGCTCTGTTTTAAGATATTTTGTCAGTATGTAGCTGAATAACGAAGCTTATTTCCTCATATGTAAGGCTCCTACAATGCACAGAATTCCCCCCAAAATATTGGAATGATTAGATTTAATCTAAATGAATTAACTAAGGAAAACAAAGAAATCTATCTGAACTAACAGAGGGCAAGTGAATTTGCTTAATCAAAAGAACATCATTGAATATCTTCTTCTTTTTGATTTATCGTCGTTGTCCTGATATGTTCTTGTTGGTTTAGTGTGTTCATATGTTTGTAATTCAAGTGCATTTTCCCTGTTGTTCCTGTGTCCCTGTGTTTATTATTTTTATGTTCTTATTTTTTTCACCGTTTGGTTTCTCTGTTCAGTTTTCAGAGTTTGCCATCTTGTTTTTTAGTAGCCAATCCCTGTGTGTCAAGTCTGGTTTTAACTTCCTCCGTTTTCCCTCTTTGGTTAGACACTCACAAGTCATACCTGTGTCTCGTCTGTCTCACCTGTTGCTTGTTTGTCAGTGTGTCTACATAGTCCCTGTCTTGCCCTCTTTCTTTGCGTCATTGTTCATTGTCCATGCGTTGAACCCTACCTTATGTCCTTGTGATTTCCCAGTGTCTTTTGTTTTTTGGGATTTTTTGCTTCTAGTGTTTTTAGATTTTTCTGTTGAAGTAAGTTTTTGTTGTTTCTAGTTTAGTCTTTTATTAAATTAAAAGAAACATGAAAGTTATAATCTTTTAAAATCATTGTTTTTGCACATTAGGCTGTTCAGTGAAATAACTGTCAGCAAAAGTTGATAAATCTTTCTGCCATAATGTAGGGTGACTGTACGTCCTCTTTTACCCGGACATGTCCTCTTTTTGGGGGGCTGTCCAGGCTATCCTGCCTTGTCCAGGGGAGTCTATAAAATCCTTCAAATGTGCTGGGGTTTGTATGGAAGTTTTGAGTTTGTGTCCCGAGTTACTGAGTTAGAAGTGCGCAAAAAACCCGAAAAACTCTCAAAGTTTGCCACGCCCAACTCCGTGACTCCGCCCCCCACATAGTCGTGTCCCTTTTTTGGAGATTGAGAGTATGGTCACTCTACATAATGCCCACTTTTTTTTACTTTATGACTTGTGTGCACTTACATAAATCTTAGTAGCTTCAACAACCTCTTAGTTTGCTCAGATCATCAAATTTCAGTGACTGTGTTGGATTCTAACAGCAAACTGAATAAGGTGGAGGGATATAATGTTCAGTGTTGATTTTGCAATAAGGTCGTGCAAAAGTTTAATATATTTGTTTCCAGAGTCTTGTATTGATTTCACTGCCCTTCACGTTGATCCGTCAAAACAATTACAGGCGTACATTTATTTCTCTTATATTACCATCACTGTTCTGCTAGTAAGCTGGCTCCTCAACCCTCAAGCTGCCACCTGAGAGATAGAGAGAGCAGCGATGGTTGAATGACTTTGGAGGAAGTTAAAAGAGCGAGTGCTGGCAATGAAATCAAAGCAGTTAGAGAGAGAATAAAAATGTTAGATGGGTTCTGCTTTAAAGAATTCGTAAACACGTCCTCAGCTTTGCAGAAATGTTGAAGAGAGGCTGAAAATATTTGGTATGCAGCCGCTCTTCTCTCTGTCATACCTGCAACTACAAAGACAAATGGTGTGGGGTTTGTTGTGTCTCGTTCAGATACACAGATTCAGTCACAAGTTTGTTTGTTGCAGTCAAAGAGTACAAAAGAAACAGCTTTTTCACCTATAATTGCATTTTCCCAAATAAGTCGTTTTTTTATTGAGCCCAGACTGAATTTCTTGTTCTCCATAACTTTAACTGTGTTCATTGTATCAGCATAACCTTTTTCTTTATTCCGCAAGAGTAAGTTTTATTTTGATCTATTTCTCAAATCGATCTAAATGAACCTTAATGCTGTGACTTTAAAGCTTTAATGGCGACCTGTAGAGCTGTTTGAGATCATTAAAGCAGATTGAAAAGCAAAATGTGTTTCAGAAAATTGTACGCAGGCTTACATCTATTTTTCAAGGGTGTAAACGTATTGATGCAGCAGGTTAGTGCTTATAATTGTGTGCAGGGTTGTAAATTCATTATAATACATGTTATCAAGTGCAATCAAGTAAAATTAAAAACCTTGGAGAACTTGAATTCAGGGTTAAACAGGTGGATATGTTCGCTATTAAAGCCTCAAACTAACATTGTGACTTCTTAGAACTAAAGTATCATTGTCACAATAGTAGTTTCTGATATCTGTAAGGGGGTGTGTGTTAGAGCCGATGATCTACTTCTTCCTGCAGAAACAGCCTTTTTATCGCTAATTCTCCAGCAAATGTTCACCGTAATGCAAGTCATTATAAAACGACAGAAAATATGGATTTGTCGGAAAACTAAAGAGACTAAAGAAAAAGTTCCTCACGGGAAATCTAACATTTTATAGCATAATTAACATGATTATGAACATCTGTTTCGTGTCCACAGTACAAGCCCGTGGCATTCGCAGTACGTTGCAACTTCTCTTATACGCCAGCAGACGACGACAACGTTCCTGTGCCAGGCCAGGCGGTCACCTTTGAGGCCCGAGACTTCCTGCACGTCAAAGAGGTCAGAAAAAAGGAATCAAAACTCTGATACCCTATACAAAAATAAACACTAGATATGAACATTTAAAGTGAGAGTTTTTTTTTCTTTGGATCGAGCAGAAGTTTAACAATGACTGGTGGATCGGACGGCCGGTGAAGGAGGATGGTGTGGTGGGCTTCGTCCCCAGTCCAGTCAACCTGGAAACAATTCTCATCAGGAGAGAAGTCCAGGCCAGAAAAGCTGCCAAGGCCTTAGCCAAGTATGTGCAGAAGGTTTCCTTTTTTTTTATTAACCTTGTAATAATCTTTATTAGTCCAGAGCAAATACAAACATTTCTAAAAGTTACTGCAGTTTGGAGTGTGTAAGCAGGACACACACACTCTCAAACACACTGAATCAAGATCAAGTCGGTTATATTTTTACAGTCAGAAATCAGGAACATGCCTCGAGGGGCTGTAAGAAGGTACTGACAGTACCAGCTTTCATTTAAGTGTTGAAACATGAAACAGAGAAAGAAAAAAGAGCAGCGTGTCGAGCAGACTGAGCAGAAAAACCAAAGACATGAGGCTCTGAAACGCAACACGACTATCCCAGCGCTTTGACATATTTTAGTTTTATTATGACAGTAAATCGGCATCAGCATTTTAAAAAAGCACTTCTTGAATATGTGAACTAGTTAGAGATTTAAAACAGGGAAGCAGGAGCGTAATCCTTCTCTTCAGTTAGCAGGTTGATTGTACTTTATCAGATTGGCATCTCTTACACTTATTTTTACTTGACCCAGTAAAACTGAATGTAGAGGATCTTGAAAATGTGGCTTTAGTGGGAACTGTTTGCTGAATCGCTCAAAGGGATTTACCCTCTAAGCGCTCTGAAGCTGTGTCTTACAAAAGCAGTCTGAGAGCACAGATTATTCTATATCACAGACACATACGACTCTATTTTCACCACGGCTGAAGCTATGAAATCTACACCTTGTCTTAAGTAGGAAAAAGATCTGAGCTTGTGATCTCTTTTTTTTTTAGCAAAGCAGCAAATCAAGCAGCTCAAGATATGAACTCAAAGAAATACACTCCTCCATCACAAGGTCAGTGTACGGTGTCGAAGCATTTTGTGTTTCTGATCATCTGTGATCAAACATCTGATTTCTCTCATCTTTACAGCCAATCAGCAGGTGAAAAAGAAACCGGTAAGTGTCTGATTGTTGCTGTTTTGTCAACAGTTCTTCAAACATATTGTTTGTTATTCGATGTCCATAACTTGAGCTTTTCGGTGTGATCAGGGGGAGCAGGTGGCCATGTATGATGTAGTGCCGACAATGCGTCCTGTGGTACTAATGGGACCGTCACTGAAGGGCTTAGAGGTGAGTCTGCCTCACAGTCTTTTATTTGAGCTCTGAAAAGTTGCCTTTCTCATGTAAAGTTGAAGAATCTCCTTTACTGTGCAATTCCAGGTTACTGATATGATGCAAAAAGCACTATTTGACTTTTTAAAACACCGATTTGAAGGCAGGTAAGTTCTGTATCAGCTCTTCGGTGTCTTCTCCTTTATGTTGAATTAAAATACAATCAAGTCACGGCTGCGTGTTTTCCCTCTCTGCTCTCCAGAATCACTATTACACGGGTCACAGCGGACATCTCTCTGGCTAAACGGTCCATCCTCAACAACCCGGGCAAAAAGGCCATAATGGACCGGTCCAACACCCGCTCCAATTTAGGTACACCCCTTTAACATCCCATCCAGAAGCTGGGAATCAACTCAAATGATTTCAGGCAATTATTCATCTGTTAAAGAAGAGGTTCAACATGTTAGTTTGTTTGAGATAATCACATAAAGTTGGACTGAAGTAAGTCTTAAAATAACTTCTTGTAATTGTCTTAGCTCTCTGGGACTCTGTGTGTTCTCCCTTGTGGTAAAGCTCACCCACTTTAAACCCTAATTGGGTTGAACCAGCTACAAAAACTGTCTGAGACGGGTCAGAAGTTATTGTGACAAGCTTTTTTTCTTTTTCCAAATCTAAAAGGATGATATTAGAAATATTAGTATGCCTGGATAGAGGGGCAATAGTTTGACATGTTGGGAGAGAGACTCAATGTCTTGTATTATTTTACTTCTTGGGGGTTGAGCAGATTCCTTTAAATGTTTTTACTAAAGAAAGACGAAGTAGTGAGTGAGGGATAATGCTCAGAGAGTGGGTGGTTATGCAAAATAGACTCCTGGCAAACTAAACATGCAAGTTGGTTCTGGGTTTTCGCTTAAAATATTATTTCTAATTGGTTTAAAAATGACTTCTTTATGCAGTAATAAAAATAGATTTGGTTGTAGTAGCGCTAACGTTTTCCTGATCTTCTCGTGGAATAAGTTAAAGCTCCTATGAGGAGTTTTTTGACATTCATGAATTAGACTGAAATTCATACGAATGCCTTTTTATAATGAACCAAAGCGAACAAGATCATCAGAGACAGGATCAGTTGCCATCATCTCTTAAATTTATGTAGGAATACATCAAATGTAGTTTGTTCCCTCTGTGAGCAGTCAGTCTACTAACCTAAGCTTCAGGTTTATCTTACAGTTTTAAGGTAAATGATCCAAATCAAATAATTTAGCAGATAATCGGGAAATTCCTAGATCTACATCTGAGACAGATTAAGATTGGTAAAGATTGTTGCTAAAATGCTCACTGGAAACACTGGTGGGAATCCCCAGTCTTTACCCTGGTAAGATTGCAGTGAGCTAAGCCGCTGTGTCCTGTCTTTCTCTCAAAATAAGAGGATGGGTATGAAGGAAAAAGGGGGAAAAGATTTACTTGGTTTTCTTTTTACCCTTGTCTCTCTCATTGCTCTCTCATCCCAGATTCTGCCGGTATGTATGACTGAAAGCACTGGTAGTCCGTGTCTGTTTGAACACTCCACCTTCCTTCATTTCTTCCTTCTGTCCTTTTTCTTCATCCCATGTCAGAAACAGCCGCCGCTGTTTGATGTGTGAGCGTGCAAAAGCTCCGACACATGCAGATGTCTCCTGATGTTTGTTTGTTTAGTGAGACGTTGAAGACATTATGCGTGATTTTGTTCAGTGTTATGGTAGAATGTCTCCCTCTAGTGGTCAATCTTTACATTACTGCTGTGAGTGTAAATTATTCTGGTTTCTTTATTAATTAGTAACTCAACCTCAAGATTGATGTTGTCTTATTTATTACACAGCTTTAATTCTATGTGATGGTTGAAGTTTTCTGTGTTTTGAGCTTTTCTCCATTTGTCTTGAGTTACTCACAAGTCTGCACTTTTAACTGTTATTTGAGCAGATGGTTTTGTTGTGATTTTTTGTCTTTTGTGTTGAATTGTGATACAAATAAAATCTCCACTGAATGTTTTTTTTTTTTTAAATCTTCATATTTCATGTAAATTTTTGTTCCCACCTTAACCCCAGGTTTGAATATGAAACCTTCAAAATAAAAGACATCTGATTGGATCCTCTTAACAGCGATTAATTTTTTACAAATCAGTGGAGATGGAATAAAAATGATGATAAAATCTCACACAACAACAAAATAGGAACGCTATGTTGCATATATCTCAGACAGGAAGTCTTTGTCTTTGAAACCAAAATTCTGAGTCTGTGAAACCTGTGACTGTGTTTTTAAATGTTCAGAAAATTAAACAAAGACAGCTGGTGTTTTTCCTCCAGCTCAGGACACCAATTCAGGGTTTTTCTTCCTCCTCTAACAGCTCAGATCCAGGGAGAGGTGGAGCGAATCTTCGAGCTGGCCCGCAGCCTTCAGCTGATAATACTGGATGCAGACACAATAAACCACCCTATCCAGGTGACCAAAACCTCCCTAGCTCCCATCCTGGTCTACGTCAAGATCTCCTCACCAAAGGTAAACCTCTCTGTGAAATACCCTACAACTACAGTTTATTTTGTGACCCGGATCAGCACCTTTATTTTACATAAAGTATTTATCTTCTCAGTATTGAGCACACTTTAACTTATTCCGTTTCCTCTCTTGTTGTGTAGGTGTTGACTAGACTGATCAAGACTAGAGGGAAGTCCCAGACCAAGCATCTCAATGTTCAGCTGGTGGCAGCAGATAAGCTCGCCCAGTGCCCCCCTGTGAGTGCCATCTAGTGGCAACTGTGTGATATGAGTGCAGTGTGTGGCAGTTTTCAAGATTTAAGATTCAAAATTTGTTCATTGTTATGGGCATGTTAAGCAAGGTCAACAATGCAATGAAATGCCCTGGATGAGAGGACTGTTCCACTCTAAGGAGTACAGATAAAACACACAACAAGTACTGGAGGGATACAATAAAATAAGGATACAAAAAAATATATAGAAAGGACGAATAAAAGTTTAAGAGAATTATTTACAAAGTGCACAAGTGATGCCGTAGGTGCTGAGTGTGAATGTGTAATGGAAGATGGGATAAGTATGAAAATGACCATATTGCACATGATAGATAATGGTGTATGAATTACTGCATTGCACATGGTACTGCACTATCACAGATAATATTGAGTATTGTCCGGTGGTACTGTCAGGAGTTTAGTGAAGGAACTGCATGTGGGTAGTAACTGTTCTTCAGTCTTTTAGTACCTTGTTATATTGAATAAAGAGATTGTTATATATTTTTGTGTTTAATATCATCTGATGAAAAAGACCAGAGTATATAACTCATAGTTTCTCTGCAGGGGTTGTTATGTAACATAGTTAATACTGGTTTTGCTGAATCCCGTATTTTTCAGACCTCATGTATTTTACTTTTTTACTTTATTGAGACCAACAAATTTAAGGTCAAGACAGGAAGGACGACATTGAAACAGCGTCGGGACGTCCCTTTTGGGAAATAAAAGCCACCAAAGACATAATAAACAGCAGGACAGAATCAATACAAAAGGGGAAAGTATTTTTCTCAATCAAATAAAAATTTAATGGAGGTGTCCTTGCATGACCGTGGTGTTGTTAAAACTCTGTCTGAGGTCGTACTTTAATACATATAAACGATATCTGAGTTAGCGTTAAGGACGTCTGGAGCTCGTCTTCATATTTCTCGGCGTCTTTCTCATTTGAATCTCATTTCACTTCCTAATCACTGAATTCCTTGATAATAAGAAGACGTCTTTACTTCCTCCTCCACTGTCCTTCCTGTCTTGTAGGAAATGTTTGATGTCATCTTGGACGAGAACCAGCTGACTGACGCCTGTGAGCACATTGCGGATTATCTGGAGTCTTACTGGAGAGCTACACACCCACCAGAGATGGAGCCTGGTAACGCGCTGGTGGCCCAGCTGGCTGAGAACACACTGCCCACCAACCCAACAGGATTACAGGTACATTAGTTACAGAGAGATATATAAGAACACAGTGTTAGCAGTAATAAATGACTCAGTATCATTTTCAAAGCTGTCATAGTGTCACTCCATCCCACCCATCCCATCTGCACAAAGAATTTGCCGACTGTGGAAAAATAACACCTTTTGCACGGTGAATTACAAGCTCAGCAGGAATGCTTTTATAGACAGAGAGAGATCAGAGTGTGCTGTTTATTTGTTTCCATCTAACATTTTCATTTCATCTCTCCTCATCCCACTCCTCTGGAAAGTTGAGGAAATGAGATAGGTCTACCTCTGGTGAGTGAGATGCTTTTCAAGTCTGCTTTAGCTGAGATTTTTTTCTTCCATCCTTTGTAGTGATGAGTTTTAGTCGTGCCTACATGAAACTTCAGCGTGAAATGAAAATGAAGGGAATCTTTTTTCAAGATACAGTTGGATTTGAATATTTTTACTGCTTGCAAACAGTTCGGGGGTTGAAAATTGTCACAGTGGCTCCAGGGTTCCTACACAGTTGGAATTTCCATACTTTTCCATACCCTACTTTGTAGAATTATTTTTGGAAATACCTACTCTCTATTTTAGAAAACAGTATTTAAGAACTGTGGTAATAGTAACATATTTTATTTTTTAATTTCCATACTTTTTAAGACCTGGAAATTGAATTTCCATACTTTTCCATGCTTTCCATACTTGCATAGGAACCCTGTGGCTCTGAAGTAGATCGATATCGGCCTCTTACAGATGTTATAGGTGAAATGTTGTTAATAAGAACCTGCCTCTTTGGGAACGATAGAGAATAAGTGATGGGGAAAACTTAACTTATGGTCTCATGCACAGAATCTCCAAACACTTATGATAACGATGAAATATAAGCCAAAACTTCAGTTATTTTTCTAGGTTACTATTTTTACTTCTGCCTTAATCCATCGGAAAGGACAATGGGTAGAGTAGGAAGCTGAGCTAAATTTGCAAATTTTATAAATGATTATTGAGTTTTTAACCTTTTCTCTTAAAGGTTTATCGCTTGTACAGTCCTACAACAGTGACTAAGACACAAATGATCCAGTTATTTATCCCTGACTAGTTTTATCTCCTTGTTCCTCTTTACTCATGCACCAAAAATCCAGGACAAATCATCTCAGTGGCTTTTCTTGGGAATTAACAAAAAAAAAAAAAGAACTAAATAATAAATATCAAAGTTTAAGATCACTTTGTCACATTTTTTTTTTTGCACAAAGTAGTGTGATGCTAAGAAATCTGTCAGTGTCATATAAAAGGATAGATAAAGGATGAGTGAATACAAACAGGAGTTGCAGCAGCTGTGGAGCAGATGCAGAGAAGCCTGCGGCAGAAAGTGTGCTTCTATTTGAGTTGTTGCGCAAAGTTTCATTCAATAGCCAAAGGACCTCCTAGTAGTCTAAAAATATTCAAACTCCCTCTGGTGTGGTACGGTGCAGATCGCCAGTTTAGACTCTTGAAGGCCAGCTGCCTCTCTAACCACAGGTGTGTGTATGTTTGAGCTTTTGAAAAGCTGTGTTGGTGCAGACAGTTGACTCTCAGTAGGGTTAAATTTTCTTCTTTTGAGTACCATTACAAGCATGTAGTATTAGTGTGCATGCATGTGAAGTATCGCAGCATGAATGTGACGTTACTCTGTGTTTTCTCGATCCAGGAGGGGCAGAAAAACAAGAAATCTGCTGCACCCAAGAGGAAAGGTTCCAGGGAGAACCACCTAGATGAGGAGTCCCCTTCAGCTCCAGCACAGGAGCAGAGGGCCGAAGAAGGCCAAAGAGAAGAGGAGGAGCGGCTTCTGAGGACTGAACCAAAGAGACCCCCGCACACCCACCACCATCACCATCACCACCACCACCACAACCGCCGGATGGAGCACCACGGCCACGGCCAGAACAACCAAACATCTGGAGGAGCAGAGGTACAGACAAGCAGGGAGTACAGCCAGAGAATTCACCGCAGGCCCCTGCAAGAGGAACGGGAGGAGGAGGAGGTGGTGGTGGAGGAGGTGTTGGAGGAGGACGAGGAGGAGACTCGCTATAACCACCGGGGCCATAACCACCAGCATCACAACAGCAACCACCATCACCACCACCACCACCATCACCACCAACATCACCACCGCGGGAGCAGCCAGCCGCACTTCGGGGAGGACTATGAGCAGGAGCACAATGAACGCAACAGGCAGCACAGACATCACCAGCATGTTTCAGCACGGACACAACACACGGGTCATTATCCTGCACACAATCATCACAACTATCACCACTATCACAGAGACAGGGACCGAGACAGAGACAGAGATAGAGACAGGGACAGAGACAGAGACAGAGAGAGACATAAAGACAGGGAAAGAGACAGAGACAGGGAAAGAGAAAGAGATCTTGGTAGAGACAGGGACCGCGATGCACGACAGTGGCACAGAGATTCCTACATACACCAGTGACTGAGTTGGTACATGGTTTTATGCTGCTCAAGTGAAACTGCACTAATGGAAAGAGCAGAGTGTGTCATCTTTAAGGACATTACTACTCCTCAAGTTCTTTGCCATTTTTTATATTTGCTTTTGTCAACGACTACTACTATTATTTTTTTTTAACTATCATCAAAATGACCTCTTTTTAAGCTCATTTTTACCCATCATGTTTGGCCCCTGTGCTCATGCAGCATCTGTCCCGCAGAGTTTTATTCTGTGTAGTATGGAAGCCAAGAATGGTCATGTTGTGATAGTCTGATTTTGGTTATATCCTAAAATATGGGAGAATAACAGAATATTTATACTTCTGATTTATGCTCGGCCAAAACTAGTTCAGGCCAGTCTAATCCTGAATTTATTAAGTCCATTTTTTTGCCATGTTGGTATAGATTTTTTGTGTAGTTTCTATGAGGAAACCTCCACTAATAAATAAAAGGAGGATATAGTTTGAAAACGTAATTGACTAAAACCTCCAAAATAATAAAATAGATGAACAAACACCTCTCTTGAAGCTTTGATGAGGATTTTGCATCCATTTTGGCACCCCCTGCATACAAACCTCTTTCTCTCTCCCTCAACTCTGAGCTGAAAAGGTTAATTTGCAACATTATAACTGGGTGTAAAAAGGCACTCCAGAGAAGATGAGCGTGTCAGAAGAAAAGATGGAAAGAGGTTCCTCATTTTCTGAGACACAACTGCACAAAAATGTTTCTGAGTGTAAAGGTGTAAGAATTTAATCATCTACAGTGCATAAAATCAGTAAAAGGTTCATTGAATCTGGAGAAATTTCTGTACAAAAGGCTGAAATCCCCTACTATATGGGGGCGATATTTTGCACCGAGGAGTCACATGACTCTGCAGTGGGAATCACCGCATGGGTTTAAAATCACTTCCATAAACTTCCATACAACTTCATCCACTAATGCCGGTTAAAACTGAACCGTGTCAAAGAGAAAACTAAAGAAAATCAGGATCCAGCATCGCTAGTGAAATCACTGCTTCAACTGCTGTTCTTGGCTTCCTTGCTAAAGTTCACTTTCGGACCTCTGTTTATGCCAAGTTCAAAAAAGGGGGTTTTGATGTTCAGATGAAAGCTCAGACACCTTTGTTGAACCACAGACCTATTTTCATCCGTCTCTGCCCCATGTGTGAATCTTGAAAAGGCGACAGTTTATTTTTAACATTGGTATGGAAAGTAAACTATTTTTCTACACGACTCTAAAGGAGGCCGTACTTCACCTCCTACTTTTTTTAATGGGTGTCTAATCATATCTATTGACTTGCATTTGCCCCTGTCTGGAAGCATGAAACACTTTTTGGTGACACTGACCTGTGCTATTCGCTGGATACACTATGCATCTTCTTGTGATAAAAGAAAAAAAAATATTGCTTGAATAAAATCTCTATGCATTTGTACATACTTCATAACTGCCTTGTTAGGTTAATGTACGGAGAACCAGAGAGCCTGTTGCACTGTTTGGTAGAACTTGACCTACTGTGTATGATTTCTTTAAGTTGAGACCGAAATGACTCTGGTCCTTTCAAAGCCGTATGTTTTGGTTATGTATGTGTTTTGTACATTATTTCAGAAGTTCATTCTGAAAATATGCATTCTTTTGTTGAAAATCATTAAAATGTCAAACAAAGACTGTGTTGTGGGACATTTTATTTGAGGGTGTCCTTAAACATAGTTTGTCTGAGATATCAATGTTTTTATCAGAATGTTGTTCGGTTATGCAGTTGTGAAAAAATGTATGCAGTTTGAAGGTGTTGGAAATTCAAGGGGAATATGCAACAAATGTGTGGACACAAATTCTGCAGGTAAAATAGCTTTAACTAAAAAAATATGCAAATTAGGCGATGGCGTCATCTAGCGACTTCTAGGACAGTCATTACTGTGGTGGCCAAAAACCGCCACTGCTGTAAATAAAAAAAAAAGAATAAAAAAAAAAAAAAAAGTCACAACGGAAATTACCGATACAAAGAAAAACAAACTGAAGCCCGCTGCAAATAAAAAAGCCACAACGGAGGTTAACAATGAAAAAAAAAAGTGGTGATGGAAAAAAAAGTTACTGACTGCGAAAATAAAAGGATACAAATAAAAAAAGCCACAACAGAAATGAGCTGCCAGGGATCAATAATGACAATGCACCAGTGTTTTATGATTTAGGCACAGAAGTTGACGGTGAGTGGACGAGCGAAGAAGTTAGTGGAATGTTTATTGTTTAATTTCACTTCCTTAACTTTTCAATGTGTCATTTGTTTAGGCCATGTAACGCCTGAGTGGATATGAAGTTGAACTGAAGCTAACACGACACCAGCATCCTCCAGTTCAACTTCACATTGACTCAGGCGCTACATGGTCTAAACAAATGACACATTGAAAAGTTTAGGAAGTGAAATTAAACAATAAACTTTTCACTAACTTCTTTGCTCGTCTTTTCGCCTTCGTCTTTTGTGCCTAGATCATAAAACATCGGTGCATCATCATTATTGGTCCCCGGCAGCTCACTTCCATTGTGGCGTTTTTTATTTGCATCCTTTTTTTCTTGCAGTGAGTAACCTTTTTTTTTTTTTTGCATCACCACTTTTTTTTTTACATCATTAACTTCCATTGTGGGTTTTTTTTATATTATTTTTAAAAAAAATTTTAATATCTGCACCATTTCTTTCTTATTTGCAGCGGGCTTCAGTTTCTTTCTTTCTTTTTTTTTCATCAGTATCTTCAGTTGTCGTTTCTTTTATTTTTTTAACATTCTTTTTTATTTGCAGCAGTGTTTTTTTCCTTTTTCATTCTTTTTTTTTGCAGCAGTGGCGGTTCTCGGCCACCGTACTTTGGGCTTACGACTTTCCTTCGTGAGAGGTTTGCGACACCTTACAGAGCCTGGCGAAGATCTCACAGGTGAGTTTTGGAGTTTATTTTTGAAACTTTAAGTTACAAAATGTTCCATTGACGAACTGTTTCTGAAGAGAAAACGACAAGGTACATTTTCAGTTTGTTAATACTCCGTTTAAAGTTATTTTCAGGAGGTTGACTCAATGTTGTTTACCGATGTTGCTACTTCGTGACAGCTAACAGTTGTGTGTTTTTGTACAGCACACACTGGCGGTTCCTGTCAGTAACTGAACAAGCTAGCAGGACAACAAGTGCTCTGGGACAATTCGTGGTGTGGATTCATGAATGGACGTCAACTTCGAATAATGTGAGTTTAATATGAACAGCCTGGGTCAACAGTAAATACCTGTTGATAACAATCTGAGGTTCCTAGAGTTAACCTTAGAAATTCCACAGAAAGTGATTGGGTTCATTTTTGACCCCACATATGGAAAAGTGGTGTGGTGATACAAAAAATGCAGTAACTTAAAAACAATAAAGGTTAATGGCCCCATGTCAAAGAGCTCCTATTTGCGGAATACATAGAAGATGAAATTATAAAAATTAAAAATTACAATCATATCGAAAAAAAGAAAACTGGTGCTGGGGTCATTTTTCACCCCACTTATGCATCTAAGGGTTAAGCATCCTAGCCCACATTTGAAGTAGGGTTCCCAGATTTATTGGAGGCGCAAATTTTATTCATGCTTTTAAAAACAAAAACAAAAGAAAGTTAAAGAGGAAAAGCCCAATGACACTATGTTTTCGCCCTCAAGAGTACAATTTCTCTCAAATCCTGTTTTCATTATTTGATTCATTACTAGCTTTTTAAAATGTGCTCTACAGAGACCATAGAAATTGTTGAAAATTTAAAGATGTGCTCACAAAAGTGAGTTCACAACAGCTTTCAGTCATCATTGAATGACTAAATTTGTTTTTTTTTTAACCATTTGTGTCCATTATTTTAATGTGGTGTTGGTGTCATATTTTTTGTAGTATTATAGATTTTATTTGTACTTGAGGGAGGTTTCCTCACTCAAAGCCATAAAAATACACATTTTAAAATTCAGGTGATGCATTGTAGCTGTATACTGTTAACCAGTCATCATCTGCCACTGTCTATTCATCGTCCTCTTCATTAAACTCTCTCCTGTCTTGCTCTTTCTCCATCACGCGCTGCTACCTGACTGCCAGCAAGCACACCCAAATGTAGCGGGATCTGATGTGTATTTGTTTGCTAATAAAAAAAAATTAAACCCCGGGATGTAGAAAAATGTATATTATGAAAAATCATCCTTTGATTAGAAGTTGGAACCCCTGTCTGTCTTCCTCCTGTACCTGAAAGCTCTGCATTTCTACTCTTGTCGTAAGCTGTGTCAGGCAGTGCGCAGTGGTTGAGTGTTCAATGTGAGTGGAGCAGAGCAGATATGTTGTTGATCTGTTTTATTCTTTGCCACCAAGTAGTTTGCTTTGGGATCAAGTAGAGGGCAGTCTCAGCAAAACCTTAGTGGAGTTTGTTGAAGAATTTTACATTTACCTTTAAGTCAACAAAGGGCTCACATCCCCATTCATACAAGACACATGATTATAAAAAAAGATTTTCATGGGAGCAGTAAAGGACAGTGGATATTGATTTTGACTACACACTTCGATTGTCTTGGGTCTTGATCCATGTTGTTTATCTGAAAATGTCTGTTTTATCAGACATTGTTACAATCAATAATATTAAACACATTTATTTCTGTTCAGTGGTTTATTCTTCTTGAATGCATAGATTCGAACAAAAGCAGTGGACACACTTCTGTTAACCTATTGAGCTCTTGCTTTTAAGGTCATAAAGAAAAAAAGGCATAATAACAGAGTGTGTACAGTCAGACATTTTTAAGGATTTTTTTTCTATATTGACAGAAAAAAAAAATAGACTCCAGCTGTCCTGATGATGCAGATGTGGTAACAATTGTCTGAAAGGAACAAGTTGTCTTCTGAAGTTTGATGTTAAGAAGACATTTACAGCCCTAGTTTGTATAGCAGTTTACAAGGATTCAATCAATTAGTAAAGTCTCACTTAATATAAAAAGACAATTAAAGTAAATCACAGTTCTGCAAATAAAGATTTATCTGTCAAATGGCACTTAACAGCTACTTCATGTCATTTATAAAAAGTTAGTTGCTATTGAAAATGGATTAAAATTAAAAATAAGGTTGTTTTGGTGTGGAAACCAGAACACCAAAATAAACAAAGCTTTCTGCCAGTGTTAAATCGCATAGGGGAGACCAGGGCTTGTTGTCACATTTTTTACACCCTTACATATTTCTTGGAATCAATATGTCATATATAAGCAAAATGTGTACCTAATGAAAGACTAAAGTTTCAGGTATATATTTCATATTCATGTCATTTTCATATCTTGTGTCAGTACAGAGTTATAAGCAATCAAACAGAGAGTGTGAACATGTGACATGTTGTCCCACCATCGAGTAAGTTGTCTCACCATATGGGGTAAAATGTCACAGTGGATTTTGCAGCTAATAAAACAAAGACAAAATTGTTGTTCTTTTTTTTTTATATGAAAGTGAACATCAAAGTCAGGCACAGAAAATTTTTATCATTGAGCGAGAAAAAGTCATTGAACAAACTTTAACATTAAATATTATCAACATGCTCTGGAGTTCGGAGAGCTGTCTGAGTCTGTATTTCAGCTGGGGTGAATGTTTTGCAGTACCAAGCCAAGGTTTGGTAGTTAACATTAAAGTCCTTTATTGTACTCTGGATTGATTTATTAGCTCGGGTCATCTGCCTGACTGCCCTCAGCATCACGTCAGGCACACGCCGGCACTGCACTGCCATGTCCTGTTTTTCTTTTGTAATTCCTGACCATGTCTTTTTGCTTTCTCCTCTCCTTTAAACCACTCTTTTCTCTGTAAAAATAAAATCTAAATTTCAATATGACAATTGCTGATAAGCAGACTCTCTATATTAATTTTAATCCCCCTTAAACATGTGACAGCTAACCCCAAAATGACTCACATGTTGCCCTAAACTACCATGTTTGCTAATTCTAGCTCTGGCTTAAAGTTAGCTTAAAACAGAACAATGACTGAAGTATGACAGGATGCCTTAATCTCTCCTCTAACAAGTCCACATGTATCACTGCGAGGATTTTTATCAGGAAGAAACTTATTTTTAAATATAAAGTTATTTTTTTTTACTTTGGGTTGTGCGAAATGGTTAATTGGCGCTCATCTCTGCTCACAATGTGCTCTTCTCCTCTCAGACAGGACGACCCCTGACCATGTAAAGGAATAAAACTAGTATTCCACTTTATAGTTGTGCCCCCTGGTGGCAAAGATAATTGTAATGTGACAACTTACCCATGTGACAACAAGCCCCGGGTCTCCCCTACTCAAAGCAAGCTCTACTTTGTCTGCTTCAACTTTTCCCACCGCTATATTTGAGTGAGGCAGAACAAGCTACTGCTGGCTGGTGGAGAAAAGTGGGTTATGAAATGCGGATGACATTTGAAAGACAGGATAGCTGCGTCCAGACCTCTTGAGGAAGAATACGACAATGATGATCGCTAATAGGACTGCCACACAAATGACCACGACAACTGGTAAGATGTGGCTGTTGTGGGTTTGAGGTTTCTCCATATCCTTTGCTGGACAAAATAAATGAGTAAATAATTAGTCAATGGAGCTTAATTATAACAGTTATAATGATATTAAAATGAGAAAAACAAGATAGATGTTACTTACCAGCAGTTGTTGTTGCCAGTGGTACTACTAATGACAAGACAAAAGTGTCAGGACAGAAGCACATCAGTAAATCGATATTACGCTCTTGATGTAGAAACAATTTGTTGATAAATGTGTAGAGTTTTAACAACTGTGTAATATGCATTCATATAGTTTAGCATTAATATTAGATAGGAGGAGAACATTAAAAACTGTTTCATGCATGAGTTTGAGGTAATATACAGGATCAGGGTTCAAATATTAAATCAAAAGAAATAGATAAAGTTTATGACAAAATATTTCAGAAAAGAATTCTCTCAATTTTTTCCTGAGAAATTTATCATTTTCACCTCAGAGAAAGTCCAAGTTTTATTCACATGAGTTATGACTCGAAACTTGCAGTCTCTCTTTGTTCTCCATCCAATTTAATTTTAATGCAAACAAGTACAGTAGGTTTGAGTATCTGTTGTACTTTTCTGTTTGATTAAATTCAGCTCTTAATAAGCATGTTCTCACCTTTGGGGGCTTTGCAAATATATCCTTTTCTGAAGGGATGACTTGCCTGCCATTTCCCACCCGAAACTTTCATCAATGCATAACGTCTGTCATACGGATGATATTCATCCCAGTTTGTGTAATCCACAGTTGTCTTATCCAGCCACAGCCACTGGCCTGCGAACAAGCAGAGGTTCATTTTTTTTACCTTCAAATTCAGTATCCTGTTTTTCTGGAGGAATATTTTTTTTATCTACTATTGACAAATATTTCATTTTTTTCATCAGGATTTTGCTGCCTGAGTCTCTAATACGTCAAGTATTTGGGACAATAATATTGAAAACTTATCAAGTCCAAAAAGAATAAGCTTTCAAACTAAAACACAGTTTATTTGCCTTTTAGCCTATTGTTTGAGTCCACAAACCCAATCCCAGTGAAATTAGGACTGCGTATGATGTGGCTAGTGCTGTGGCTAGAACCTTATATGTTCTGTTGATGAAATTAGGTGCTGTTCTGAGCATTACTTGTGGCTATAGAGTGGTGTTTTGGTTGAGTGCGTGGCTCTCTGTATTGCTATCTGTGGTTGTTACTAAAGTTGATATAACTAGAGAAGCAAGCGGTTGGCAACATTCATCTCTCAATGAGGTGTCTAACTTGGCGTTACGGTGTGTTTGACCCTAACTTAATTTTATGCCGGAATATCCCTTTAAAACTGATTTCATTTGAAGGTCATGAAGCCACTATGCCAAACTCAGTTCTATGTATGTTTGCAAAAGTGTCACTGAATGTTTCTTGTCATGAATGAGCAAACAATGTACCTCTGTTAGTTTTATATAAGCCAATCCAGAAGGAGTCCTGGCTGTCCTCATACTCTTCAATAATGCCATGGATAAAAGCTTGCTCTGAGGGATCCTCAATGCTGACAAGAGATCCACCTTCAAGAATAAAAAAGTTATACAAACATTAGGTTTTTATCCAGAGCTAGACACAGCTAAATGATTACAAAGTTCTACGGCAATCGTACAAAGTCCTTACCATGGGCTGCACAGTTAGCTGATGCCTCCGGCCAAGTAGCTTCGTTTAGCAGAACTAGGTAACAGTTACCCTTAAAAGGTAGCCAGCTATCTGTTCGTCTGGATCTGACACTGCTGTATACATCCAGCTGTCGCTTTGGAGATTCAGGGCACATACCAGGGTAGGCAGTCGACTCTGTTGGCGGCACATCTGGGGATGAAGGCACAGGCTGTATAAAATATGGAGGTAGCCTCTGTGAAGTAACCCATTGTTTTCTGAAGCATAACCATGACCTGGATGAGAACCTGCACAGATATTTCTGAAGCATGTTGGAAACGCAGTCTTCCTTTGGATCAACCTCAATGTAAACAAAGGGGTGAAGCTGAGGTGGGCTTTAAGCACCTACCTATTCAACAGCTAAGTGTGCCAAATTGAATGGGGCCAAATAGAGGAGCAATGAAGCCCGTCAACATTAAGTACATTTTGCATGGAAATATTGGGTTTATTGCCTTATATTCACACCAAGCGTGACTACAATTTGCCTGTGTGAATTTTAGCTTCAGTTTCCTGTTCTAAGCTGCTGACCATTTATGGTAATTTTAGCTCAGCATACCTTGGTAGTTAACGAGTGGTTATTTAACTTAGCGTTGCCTGTCTGTCGTCTTGAACCAGTCTGCCCATTTTCCTCTAAACCTCTAAAATTAACAAGGCATTTTTGTCCACACAACTGCTGCACACTGGATATTTTCTATTCTCTCCTTTTTGGACCATTATCTGTAAGCCCGAAAGATGGTTGTGCATGAAAATCCCAGTTGGTCAGCAGTTTCTTATTTGCTCAGATCAGCCTGTCTGGCATCATTAGCCATGCCATGTTTAAAGCCACTTAAATTTCCTTACCTGTAGATTTCATACAAATGCTAGATTGTTTCCCAGAGCAGTCAGAAGTCTTCCATTTTCCTTGCTCATCCACATATACACAAGGTTGGTCACTCCTTGGTTCTCCATTTGCCCAATTGGCAAAAGGTAGATGCCAGCCGTCAATATACACGAAGTATCCAGCAGTCTAAGAGCAAAGATTTATTCAACTACAATATTATCTATTCAAATTACTCGATAGACAGAATGATAAGCCTTTTAAATTCCATTCCAGTTTCAAAATGACTTTGTTTAATAGCATCTCTAGTAAACTCCTGATCAAAATCTTAAGACCAGTTAAAAAATTGCAAGAATTTATATTTAGCACTGTTGGACCTTAAGACGGTTCTTAGTAGAGCTTCAAAATGCAAAAAGAAGAAATGGGAACAAGTTTTGAGCAGGCAATTTATTGAAAACAACAATTTAACTAAAATCGGCTGTTCATCAGCTGATCAAAAGTTCAAGACCACAGCTCAAAAAAACCTAAACACCTCCTATAACAGAAATTAAAGTGTCAAAAACTGACTGAGTAATGAGGAGCTCCACCATTATTGTTGACTTATTCAAAAATTCGTTTTGGCATGTTTGATTTAGGCGTTTCTAAAGGTTAGTGGGAATATTGCTTCAAGTGGTAAAGAAGGCTTCACGAAGGACATCCACTGTCTGGAACTGATGTCCATTTTTATAAATCTCCCTTGCCATCCATCCCCAAATGTTTTCAATTCGATTTAGATCAGGGAAACATGCAGGATGGTCCAAAAGAGTGATGCTATTCTCCTGGAATAAATTCGTGCCCCCTCCACCGTGCCGCGTAGAAAGCATCTCAGGTGGCATCTCCTTGTCAAGCCAGTAGCGTTGGAAGCCATCAGGACCATCAAGGTTACATTTTTTCTCATCAGAGAATAAAACTTTCCTCCACCTTTGAATGTCCCAGGTTTGGTGCTCCCTTGCGAAGTCCAAACGAGCAATTTTGTGGTGTTGAAGGAGACATGGCCTTTGAAGACGTTTTTTGTTTTTGAAGCCCTTCCTTCACAGATGTCATCTGATTGTTATTGGGCTGCAGTCAGCACCTGTAATGGCCTTAATTTGGGACGAGGATCATACCTGACTTGACTGACACATATTCGGAACCTCCGGCTCAGCATTGGTGAGATTTTTTTGGGGTCTACCACTTAATCTTTTGTTCCATAACCCTCCAGATCTTTGAAGATCCGGAGGGCTGCGTCCAACCTCAGCAGCGATGGCACGTTGTGAGAGGCCTTGTTTATGCAGCTCAACAATCCTACCGCACTGTTCAAAGGCAGTGAGCTTTTTTGCCTTTGCCATCAAGAGATGTTGACGGTGTGACTGCTTGACAAGAAAGGACATGGAATCCAAATTTTCACAGATTTGGGCTTTTAAAGGCTGTGGTCTTAAACTTTTGATCAGCTAATGAATAGCCTATTTCAGTTAAATTGTTGTTTTCAATAAATTACCTGCTCAAAACTTTTGGTCTCTTGTTCCCTTTTCTTCTTTTTGCATTTTGAAGTGCTGCTAAGAACCGTCTTAAGGTCCAATGGTGCTAAAAGTAAATTCTTGCAATTTTTTAACTGCTCTTAAGATTTTGATCAGGAGTGTATTTAGGATAAGTCAGAAGTTACAGATGGGTGTAAGTCATACATAAAGAAAGAAATGCATCCTGCCTGTTTACCTCTTTAGTGTTCAGTCCAATCCACACCGGAGCGTTGAGATTATAAGTGACTAGGTCAATGTATGCCTTTGACCAGGCATTTCGCAGGCTAGCTAGTGTGGCACCATTCTCTTTGCAGTTCTTATTTGCTGCATACCAGGTCATTGGTGTAGTGACAACCTTGACAGAGTCATTGAGAATCTTGACATAGTCTGTAGTTGTTGGTTCAGGGGAGTCTGGGAGAGAGGGGTCTGTTAGGAGAAAAGAGAACAAAAAGTTCAGTTTTACTTTTCATCTGGTCTTTTGTGTTTTAAGGTAGAAATACTTCCAGATAAAAAAAATTCCAAACATAAATGTGCGTGACAAGTGCCAGACTTGTGGGAACTTAATAGTACATGTGCTTTGTACTTTGAGTACAGGACAGAGCGGTATATCATTTGACTATTGCAATTGTGTTATGCACATGTGTGCAACATCAAACACTGCTCTGATATTCCTTTACAGCCACCTAAGATGATATATTCCTGCTTTAGAATTTGCCTCCTTTGGGACTAATAAAGGAATATCTTATCTTGTATAGGTGCATTATAACATTGTGGGCCTACATGTTGAATAAAGTGTGGAAGGCCAATAATTGAGTCTTCCCTAATCTCAGAGGTAACAGGACCGACAAACAATGAGGTAATCAGATTAATAAGAGAATAAAGTTCATTTACTCCTGCAACTACCCTCGAATTAGAAATAAAGAAATGATAGAACCTAAAATGAGTAATGTATTTATTAATCCCTATGAAACAACAGAGACATATGTTATCAGCATCCTGAACATAGTCATTCACCTTTTATTTTCAGGGTGGCGAAATGTTAAAGAAGATTTTAAAACATATAATATCCCCACAGGGCAAAGGAAATGAATTTGAGAAATTATGCAGAGGACAGACTTACCAACACTGCGAAGGCAGACATATCCATTGGTGTCATTGCAGGACTTTTTTACCCAATTCCCCAAATCATTTTTGGCATCACTGGTCATGGCAGCACAATCTCTTCGCTGAGGCACAACAGTAGTTGGGGGGGAAAAGCACAACAATGAGCTCCAGGTTCACTTAGGAGATGAGGTGATGGATTTTCTGCAATAAGATGCCAAACTTCTTGAAGACCTCGCTATTGTCATTGTGGCTGCTCCAGTCAGGGAGCAGTAAAATTACCATAAATGGTCAGATTATTGAGATCTATGTCTTAAAACCTGGAACACAGTAATAATACATGATGAGTGGTATGAGTTTCCCACCCTGAACGAGAAGTTACAAAAACAAAACCTAAAGGAAACTGGTGGCAGGTTTGGAAACTAACAAAACTGCACTTTGAACGAACAACTTTTTAGAGCTCCAAAAATGATAATACAGTAAAATTGCTTGTTAAATCTTAATTTCTAATAAAGTTTTTACCTCAGGAGAAAAGTGGTGATGAAAGTTGTTCCTCTAAAAAACAGAGAGAAATATTTTTCAAGCCATTAGAACAAAAATTACTCAAAGGTGCACAGAATTGGTCACTGTTGTTTCAACAGCCCTTACAGAGGACAGATTTTGTTGTGCAGCTCGTAACTTCGCTAATGAACATTATAATGAAGCCAGTGTCTACTCACAATATTCCAGCTGCTGAATCGGTTTGGTCGACCATCAGTCCAATAAAATTCAAGTGAATTTTTAGAATGCATACCAATCCACAGGTCAGTGCCAGGCGCCTCAATCATTTTTGTGGTCAAAAACACTGAAACGGTAATGCACATTGATGACTTAGTCAGAAAATTTCTTTTCACCCCCCTCTCCTATATCTCTCAGATAAGGAGATGTTTTTGTTTTTCGGATGGAGGGGGAATTATTTGGGATACAGTTTATAAAGTTTTATATAAGCTGATACAAAAAAAGACTAAACTTGTTGCTTGTGACTCTGTACGACCAACAAAAACAAACCAGAACATCAAGAAGGCTAATGGTGTGCATCTCTGCTCCTCTAACTCCAACAGTCATCATAGAAGATGGCTATGGCTTTGCTTCACAACCAAAAGAACACTTGCAAGTAACTTTATGGGACGTATTGAATCAATGAAGAGTGGAGAAAGGAGGAAAAGATTAGAAGTAGGGCTGGGTGATAAAACGATAACGATAAATTTCTCTCAATCTCAATATAAAACATGGTCAATATGCTTTTCGATAACTGGCATTCTACTATGTTTTGGTAGACTATACAAATAGCCAATGATAGCCAATGGTTTATTGAGGTCAGACATGAAGTAGAGTAATGTGCACTGCAAGTTATGTCGAGTACATATTCTCGCAAAGTTGGGGAATACCTCAAATCTTTTTCACCACCTAAAGCAGTGCCACACGGCGAAGCACGCGCAATGCAAAAGGTTACAAACCCCGAGTGGAGCAAGGAGCCCATGGCGCCTGTGCAGCCAAAACAGCCGTCTATTCAGTCCGCTGTCTCTAGTGCAACGCCTTATGACAAAACGTCAAAGGGACACAAAGACCTCACAGATGCAGTAGCTTATTGTATTGCGAAAGACATGCTACCAATAAGCACTGCTAAATTTTATTCCGTATATCATATGTCGATATCGACTAATATGAAAAAAAATATATTGTAATAAAGTTTTTCCCATATTGCCTTGCCCTAGTTTGAAGTAGGAGGAAACTTGAAAGAACTGCTCGGGTAAGCATGTTTTCAAAGGCGGCAAACCCTGACATCAGGTTCAGGCCAAGTCCTTCACTCTGATTGAAACAAGCTGTTCAGGGAAACTGTAAAACTTTTTCAACTTTCAACTAAAACTTCTTCAAAATTTATTTTGTTTGATTTTTGTTTCCTTTTGCAGTTCTTGTCTATATGAAATGACAGTCAATTTAAATACAAACGTTGTTCATGTCTCGAGAGAATTGAGGCCAGATTTCCTCCCATGGCTTTGCACTGTGTCTTTGCTCCATCCCATGTCTCCTTTTTCTTGTGCATAATGATGTAACACTGTGGGTGAAAAAAAAACACAGCTTAGTGACTGTGCTGTACATCAGTAAATTGAAATTGTTTAACGGAATCATCCAGTAAATACATTGCTCTATTTAGTGTGAGTGTAAAGGTACACATATTTTTACCGAACTGTTTCTGTACAGGACTGAAAGTGCAATATAAATGCACACTAATCCAAATACATGCATGCGCCACACTACAGATGTCAAAAACCTTTCAATATTGAATACATGTCATAAAGACAAATGCTTTCGTACTTCACATACAAGATGTACACTCACCGGCCACTTTATTAGGTACACCTGTCCAACTGCTCGTTAACACTTAATTTCTAATCAGCCAATCACATGGCGGCAACTTAGTGCATTTAGGCATGTAGACATGGTCAAGACAATCTCCTGCAGTTCAAACCGAGCATCAGTATGGGGAAGAAAGGTGATTTGAGTGACTTTGAACGTGGCATGGTTGTTGGTGCCAGAAGGGCTGGTCTGAGTATTTCAGAAACTGCTGATCTACTGGGATTTTCACGCACAACCATCTCTAGGGTTTACAGAGAATGGTCAGAAAAAGAAAAAATATCCAGTGAGCGGCAGTTCTGTGGGCGGAAATGCCTTGTTAATGCCAGAGGTCAGAGGAGAATGGCCAGACTGGTTCGAGCTGATAGAAAGGCAACAGTGACTCAAATAACCACCCGTTACAACCAAGGTAGGCAGAAGAGCATCTCTGAACGCACAGTACGTCGAACTTTGAGGCAGATGGGCTACAGCAGCAGAAGACCACGCCGGGTGCCACTCCTTTCAGCTAAGAACAGGAAACTGAGGCTACAATTTGCACAAGCTCATCGAAATTGGACAATAGAAGATTGGAAAAACGTTGCCTGGTCTGATGAGTCTCGATTTCTGCTGCGACATTCGGATGGTAGGGTCAGAATTTGGCGTCAACAACATGAAAGCATGGATCCATCCTGCCTTGTATCAACAGTTCAGGCTGGTGGTGGTGGTGTCATGGTGTGGGGAATATTTTCTTGGCACTCTTTGGGCCCCTTGGTACCAATTGAGCATCGTTGCAACGCCACAGCCTACCTGAGTATTGTTGCTGACCATGTCCATCCCTTTATGACCACAATGTACCCAACTTCTGATGGCTACTTTCAGCAGGATAATGCGCCATGTCATAAAGCTGGAATCATCTCAGACTGGTTTCTTGAGCATGACAATGAGTTCACTGTACTCAAATGGCCTCCACAGTCACCAGATCTCAATCCAATAGAGCATCTTTGGGATGTGGTGGAACGGGAGATTCGCATCATGGATGTGCAGCCGACAAATCTGCGGCAACTGTGTGATGCCATCATGTCAATATGGACCAAGCTCTCTGAGGAATGCTTCCAGCACCTTGTTGAATCTATGCCACAAAGAATTGAGGCAGTTCTGAAGGCAAAAGGGGGTCCAACCCGTTACTAGCATGGTGTACCTAATAAAGTGGCCGGTGAGTGTAGATCTCATTTTATCCATTTGTGGATTATGTAATATATAGTTGGAACAGAAAAATGGCCACCATGTACTATAAACCCAGGTGGCCCTTATTTTCCTGAACCAGTTACAGTCTGTGTGTGAAACACTAAATGCTGAAGTGACATCTGACCTTTGAGTTAAGTTTTGTCCAGCCCTGTGGACAGCCTCCTCTTAGGGGAGCAGATGTTGGCATGGGGGCAGGGGCAGGGGCAGGTGGTGTGCTGTTGCGTTTGCAGATGGATTCATAACTTAACCCGCAATTACTGTCTCTCCAAAAACCTGCAGAAAAAAAGAAAGAAAGAAAAAATCAATATAAAAACACACACAATATTCATCAGTTAAAAGAAAAGGCTGAGTGCTTTGTACAGGGTTTCCTCAAGGATTTTTTTAAACAAAAAAAAAATAAAACATTATCACAGTTTATAACTTTTATAAATATATTATTTATTCAACACAAACATAATTTAGCCATATCTAATGGCACTGTTTGCAGCCAGGCTGAGATCATTTCATTTTCTCGTTTTCTTTTGAAAAAACTCGCTTCTTCACCGCTACTCTCGAGCGAGGCACAGTAGAGCTCGACAGGAAGTTAAGATTCCAGTGACATAATCAACTTATGAGACAAAGAGGATGACTTTCTTGATTATTTTGAAAGACACATTTAAAAAAAAAAAAAAATCACAGTCCTAACTGAAATCTGAGGCACTCTCGTGCTGTTTAAAAATCCTTTAATAAACAGAGATATATCTACGTGTTTCAAGGAACAGAAAATGGAGTAGCTCTCTAAAATGATCTTCCTCTATCTGCCTCAGATTGAATTTTGTACTGCAATTTGTCACAGTGAACTTTCTTTGATAATAATAAAGATAATTAAACTTTTTATGTCTTTCATCCATAATAATCAGCTTGACTTTAGTACTGAAGTAACAGTTTGATTAATAAATTTGTTAAATAAATTGTCTCCTGGTGAAAATTATATCATTTACCCCTTGGGGAAGTGACAGCACAGTTTTCATCATTGTTCACGAAACGAGGTTGACCCTCATCCCACCTTTGATACACCACTGGAGAACCATCCATCCACCTTTTAAAAGACACAGTTCAGAAAAAGACTTTTATTTTGCGCAATTAAAACACTCCTATCTTCATACTTAAAGTTGGGTATGCACTGAAACAATGACTGACAGAATGAATCTTGCTCTTGAATTCATGGCACCCCTTATATGACATCTTCCTCTGCTCTCGAGTACGCTTATGTCTGAACAATATTTGTTATACGGTGGATTTTTTCTGTCCCTTCTGGACAAATGACAATTCACTACCTGTCTTACAGCTTGAAGAATTGTAGGACAAATTATGCATCAAAATGTCCAGTTTTATCAGGGTCAGTGTGCTATTACTTTTCTGTATTGTACACACATTTTTCAAACATAAAAGAGCAATTATTGGAATTTCTCAAACGTGTTCTACTCCGGCATACTTTCACCTAAAGACTCCATTAAAACAAATTTCTTAGTGGGAATTTTCTGGAAGAGTAATATTTAGGTCTGCAGCCATTCCTATTATTCACAGATAATTATGATAGTTTAATTTGACTCATGCTAGATAAAACAAACTAACAACCTGACTAACATCACAGCTCAGCACTTTTTGTATCAGCCTGGATTGCAAGAGGAACTACTTGAAATAATTCAAATCAAGTTGCATGGCCGTTGTTTCAACTTCTTTTAACATTTAAATTGATTTATCAATAACTACTCATACCTACCCATATGTTTTGTCGAGATCCACATTCAGGCCAATCCAGAAATATCTCGCATTTGAGTAGATTGTCTAGACAAACAAACAACGGACATCACAAAATTGTTGAATGTTCTTTGCTCATCTGATATACAATGGAATATTGAGTAATGCCAGTCATGTAGATTTGTTGTCACTGCTAACCTGTTTCCAAAGAAAGACACTTTCAGCTTCACTGTTGATAGTAACCAAGTCACTCTGCCTTCGTTTGCAGAAGAGACGAGCATCCTCCATGGCCACTCTGGACCTGGAAATAAAATACTGATTTCCATTCCATTCCAGCCATCCGTCCCTTGTGCTGTTGTGGTCTAAAAATGTGAGACATTGTGTATATATATTTATTTACATATGCATGATGAGTTGTAGACTCTTAGTGTTGGTGGATAACATATAAACTTTTGTTCTGGCTGTGCCACCCGATTAAAACATGAAAAGATTATCACCCAGAATAGAAATTATAGTGAAAGTAGAAGTAGATTGGTGATTTTTTTTTTTTTTTTTTTATATGGCTGCTTGGGAAAATGTAACCCTTACCACGAGGGATGGGGTCCGGCGCTGGCTTCGGAGTCACTCCTGTAAGAAAGTGTACAGAGGTTAATTTCATTCACATTACTAAATAAAATGCTGGAGACAGTGAAAGTAGGCAGCACTAACTGGAGAGGTTGATGAACTAGATAAATTTGAAAAAAAAAATACACTATGCAGAGCAGACCTTTTTGTGATCAGGGAAGGGAGAAAGAAATGCTTAAGTCTGTCATTATACCTGTAGGGATCTGGCACAGCCATCCAAGGTCTTTCTCACAGTGCCCAACGCTCCATGACCCACGAAGAGTACGATGGTTTCTTCTGAATTCCACACAGAATTCTACATTGTTTCTATTCGTTGGCTCACCTTGACTCCAGTGCTGGAACTGCAGCTGAAAAACAGGCAAAACAACTAATAACACTTTCTACAGTATTATGATTTTTAATTTAAATGAGACTACACCTAACCTTGAAATGATAAACAACCATTTACTTACTGGGGATCCATCGCTCCATACATAACTAGCACCTGGCCCAGGGGCTCTCAGACCAATCCAGGCTGATGTATAGCTGTGATCGACACATTTATACAAATTATTTTTGAATGAGGCATGTTTTATAGTGCTTCTCTTTACTTTTGTAGTAACTATTTTTCAGTTTGACTTATTTTGATATTGCCAAGTTATACAGTACCTAGGAGGAATCCTTAGTGTGTCAGTTATACTGTGTATGCTGAGCAGATCTCCTCCAATGGTAGTGCAGTAATCTCTGGCCTGAAACCAAGTCCTTTTTAGTCCATCTGAAAACATCTAGGAAGCAAGACAAATTTAGCAAAGCTTTGTGCTTTAAGCTGTGGTGCATTATTTAAAGGCACAAATACTGTTGCATTTTGTTTTCAGACATGAAATTATTGGAGTTATTTCTACACTCTGCTCAGACCAAGGGAACCCAGGACTGGAGGACATAGGTTCAGTACATGGGGTACTTGATTTTACCACATAATTTATCTAGCACCCTGGGGATTTATTTTGAGAAAAAGGCATCTATTCCGGAAAACATAAACTACCTAAATACTCATACTTTGACAGCAGAACTGAACTCCTCGTCATCTTTTAGGGTGAGATTTTTTATGCATACTGTACCTTGAAACAGATGTCTTTTGTCTTCATTTTGATCCATTCAGGGGGGCAAGTTGGAGGTGTGGTGAGAATGGTTGGTGTGGGGGTTGGAAGTACTCCCTCTGCCCTGTGTTTGCAAATGTATTTCTCTTTATTGGTGCAGGGCAGCACATCCCAGAGGCCCGCAAGAACTCCGGTTTTTATGGCAACACAGCCCTGTCGGTGACCTTTTGGAGGGGGAATTGTGAAACGTCAGATTTCAAGCAATTGTCTGCCACTTCTTAGAGTTAGAATATGAGGTTTTATCATACCGGGCATGTAAGCGTTCCAGTGTGTAAATCTCACTGAGTTTGTGTTGGTCCATGCAAATCTACCACCAGTATTTTGGTTGGAAAGCCCAATCCAGAAGTACTTCTCTGGCCTCATCCCAACCAAACTGATAAGGAATGCGTTATCCACCCTGGAAATATTTACTCAAGTAAATTCATAGGCTGAACATGACAAGCTCGTAGGATGTTTTCACACTTAAATTCATGCAGTAGATTAAAACAAACCTAACAAAAAACAATCTTTTTACCCATCAGAAACATCGGCTAAGTAAGAATTCGAACTCTTGCAGTCATTCACAGCTTCATTGAAAGTTTTGGTCTGTGTCCCTATAAAGTAGCAGTAGTAGCCACGTCTTCTCCACCCCTGGATTGATGGAGAACAAAATGAAAGCGTGTGAGTACTCATTATTTTTTATGTTTTTAATGCAAAGGAGGAAAACAGCAGAAGTTTGTTGTAGTAAATGATTGCAGAATTTTTGATAGTGTTGCTGAATGATATTTGGGTGACAGCACTCCCCTAACATTTACCACTACTGGTACCTTTACTTCATTTTACTTTAGCAAATCAAACATTTGTTATATCAAATATCATATGTTCACTACAGTTTAATAAATGTTCAGTATATAAACCTTTGCGTAACTGCAGTCCAAAGTTTTATTATTTTAAAATTTGTATGTTTTGTCCAAAATTCTGCACCCGGGTGAAGTACCCATAATTCAAACTCTAAACCAAGAAGTGTTGTCCTCCAATATGAACAAGAGATCAACTTTTCTATGAGGAAACTTAACGCACAGTTTTGCATCCTTCATCCAGCTGTACTTCATCTCCAACAGCTGTTGTGGCACTCGGCTTCATACATATAAAGCCATGTTTCTCCTCACATGCACGGTCAGCCCAGTTCCCGTTCTGTGACATAAAACATGGTTATATTTATTTACACAGTGACACAGAAACAAATACACAATCAAGTAATCTGTCATAATGCTGCCCTGTAAATTAGATTTAACTTTTTGCTGCTATGCACATTTACTCATTGTATGCTTTATGCTAAAGGACATGCAGTATTGAAGTTGTACATATGTGCATTGGCATGAAAATAATTTCATTCATAAAACACTTAATAAAATAAAAACAAATTATGAATATGTATGCAGGGCTACTTACCGGCCCCCTGATGAGAACACAGTCCTTTACATCAGTGGAGACTGCAGGTTTCCCAAACTCCCAGCTGGTAAAACTAACAGTCGAGTGATCAGCCCACTCAAACAGCCCCTCTGTTTTCCTGTCATTTAGTCCAATCCAAAGCTCATCAGTGGACGCTGCCGACAAAAAGACAAAAAGACAAAAAGACAAAAAGAAAAGGATTCTTTCATGAAATGATTACCCATACTTTGTGAGCTACAAACATGATTCTCAGCTTATTATAGTCACACTCTATGCTTTGGGTATCTCCTTGTATTGACTGCAGATCGTTGAATTGAACTGTAGAGGCAGAGTGGCTGTGCCATGGATAATTTTGTGTTTACCAAAAAGCAGATTGATTGACACTATGGAGGCACCAATCTTTTCCTTGCATAGTATATAGCCACATGCACTATCCTGTGTTTGGCAGAGAACTAATTTAGCATGAAGAAGCAAACTACAGAGGCTTAGCAGTTTGGAGGCAGTGTAAAAGTCTCAGAAGCCATCATGTGAAAGAGTGATAGTTGTTTCTGGATGAGAAGCGCATGTACCCCATAAAAAAATAGTTCTTCTGCCTAGTTGAACTCTTGGAACCAAGGTGCTACTCCTTGGTTCCTCCTATTTCCACTTACTGTATCCAAGTTGAGAGATGACAAAGCTTTGGTCCTCAACATTGCGGACGCTGACCAGGTCTCCCCCAGTGCTGCGACACTCTCTCTGGGCGTCAGACCACGTTTTCTGGGTACGATTTACGTAAAAGCAGTGGCCATTGTAAGGGATCCAAGGGCTTGAACAAAACCCTGTCTCGACAGCTGATAATGAAAGGAAGAAACATAAGCATTGATTGACTGTGGAGCTGAAGAGTTCTCAGGGAATGTGTGGACTGGAAAGGATCTTTTTCTTCACCTTGCGTTGGCTGAGTTTCAGGTGCTTGGCTGTAGCAGATATACCCCAGTTTTTTGCTGCAGGGGTAACTTTGCCAGGAGTACCGTACAGTAGGCTCAACAATTGCACAGTTGTGCCCAGGAGTATGAAGTGGATTTCCTGAAACAAGATACTCAAGGTAGCTATTTTATTTTTTGTAAAAACAGCCTAATGAATAAAACACCATTAAAAAAAGTACTAATTTTTGTACCAAACTCTTAAATGAAAGGAAAATAAATGAGAATAATAGAGTGAATAAAAGAAACAAGTCATTACTTCAGTTAGAAGTTTGTTTCGTGGTTTCAGGGTTCATTTTGCACTTAGTCTTGGTTCATGTTTTTAGTACAGGTATGAGCAAGAGAGAAAGTTTTAATAAACTCTGATGAGTGGATTTGTTTATTGTTATTTTACATTAGTTCATCAGACACAGTTTTGTATAAAATCTTTGCTGAAGCATCTTCTGTTGGCTTGAATTTTAGGTATTGACTCTGCAAAACTAAAGTACCTGTGTCCCATTTCATGTAGCAGTAAGGCCTCCTATTAGACCACGTCCAACCATGTTCTGGATTCAGGAGCAGCCCAATCCAAAGCTTAGGGCTCTCCGTCCCTAGCAGTGCTTTTTAAAGTATACAGAGAGAAAAAGAAATACAAGTGTGTCTTTTCATGTCAGCAAATGATGACAAGGCATGGCTGCAAAGTATTATAATATAAAAATGTACAAGGTAGTGCTTTTATAGTGAGTAGGAATACACTATCAGCGTAATACAGACACCTCACCTGTGACATAGGCCTGCTGGTGAGGATCAGTGATACTGAGCAAGGATGCTCCTTGTTGTCTGCAGCTGGTTTCAGCTTGAGCCCAAGTCAGAGCTGACTGCGTGTTGAGTTGGTAGTACGCTCCCGTGGTTGGGTGAACATTCCAGTGTTCCTTGGCTATGATTGATGGAGATACATGGAGTTTACAGCTTAGTATAATACCAGCTCCCTGCTACCTCAAGTTGTATAACTCTGTCTTCAATCAGCCATAAATAGGTCCTGAAAAAACTGTTTCTGTACATTTGATGAAAAATGTGATGGCTTTTGGCAGTGTTGCAAACCTAGCCGGAGTTTGAGTTGACTGTTGAATGGACAGGGTAAAGCATTGATGCATTTCTCAATGAATCATCAACGAAACACAAATCTCTAAACCAAATCTCTCTCTATTTATCTAACCGTTGATCAAGTTATCTCCATTTTTAATGAATTTTAGGAGATGAGCTTGATAAAGTTTGGTGTGACTTTATCATCTTCCTTTAAAATTCTTAACCCATTGATTAAAAATTTTGTAATACCGGGCTTCTTTGAGATTTCTCAATTCCTTTAAATCTCTGTCAGCCATTGCAGGCACCCTGATTTTCAAAAAACATTAACAGAGCACTCACAAGTAACTGGGCAGTGGCCCCAGCGTTCGTTTTGAAAATTTGTTTCCACAGCACACCAGAGAAAATGCCAGTCAGCCTGAGTGCAGTCACTGTACCACTGGCCTTGATACTGGAACGGGAACATGCACGGCATCCCAGCTGCATTTCCATCAATGGTATAAAGTTCTGAAAAGACAGAAGAACTTTATCGGGTTGAGCTAAATGGTATTATGTACATTCTTTTGACAGTTATTCCCGAGACACTAGCAGACTGGTTAAAACTTGATGTGGAAGGTCAGAGCTGTATTTAAAGGGGGATGTACCTCTGTAGGTTCTTGTGCAGGCCCCACTGGATGTCCCTGAGATGGTGAGATGACTCTTGGGTCCCACTGTTCTGGAGAGGACTGCTGTATTATCTGCAGTGAGCTCGATGTAAAGCTCTTGGTCTTTGAGGGCCAGCACGGTTTCGTTCTGGCATTCCCACTTTTGGAGTTCACTATTTTCATTACAATCATAGAGGCCTATTTCACTCCCAACACTCTTCCCCTGGACGCCCAGACACTTCCTCCTCTGGTGAACAAGAAGTCTGTCACCAGTAGTCCAGCGCATTTCATTACATAAGTTATTGGTTTTAACCAAACAAAATCCAGTGGCCTTGTTGGTGAGTTGAAATGGGGAATCTGTAAAATGAAAACAAAGTGAAAAGTAAAATGTAACCAGCTGAATTTAAAAGCATTAGGATAAGATAAGATATTCCTTCAGTAGTCCCACATGGGGAAATTCCAAAATTACAGCAGCATAAATACAGATACAAAAAGAGAAATTAAAGGATAAAGAAACTTAGAGTTAAAAAAAAAAAGATATGTACATGAGTCTTATTTACTATATACATGTGTACAGAATATACCAGGGCTGGGCAATATGGTAAACAGTTTATAACAATATATTTTTTTCATCTCAATCTCGATATATATCACAATATAAAAAATGAAACTTAACAGTGCTTATTGGTAGCATGTCTTTTGCAATACAATAAGCTACTGCATTTGTTTATCGTTTTATCGCCCAGGAATGACCTGCGATACCTCTCCGTCACACATGGAGGGGTATTGCAGATCATTCCTTCCTGCAGCTGTCAGAAAAATGAATGAAATGGATAGTAAACTGTAAAAATTACGTTTTATTTAACATATTTAGTGCACTCTAAAACACTTAAAGTGTCACGATTTAATGTATAAAAACAGAAAACGTAAGGTATTTAAACTGAAGTAATGTTACCTGCAATGAAAGGGCTGCCTTTTAAAAGACTTAATGTAGAATATCTAAATAGAAAATGCTAATAGCATATCCTGCTTTTAAGCAAATAAGTATCATTCAGATTGGTGGAAAATCACCGGTCTTGATTCCAAATGAGAGTGCACATGCACACAATATCAGAATTCCAATCAAATCAAAGTTTTTTTAGTTACTGTACCGTCTGAAGCCAAACACTGCAGTGTTTGGATGAGCAGCAGAGAGGCTGACAAGGTTATCTTCATGGTCTTCATGGCTTCTACTGAAATCTCCTTATTTGCAGATTCTATCCATTAAACATGCAAACAGGGTTTTGCATATCTGGGAGTGAGATTTACAGTGGAGCTTCACCGGCGCTGACACGTCTTCTTGTCCTTTTATATCATGTCCAAGTTTTTTTTTTTTTTCTAATAGTGCACCTCACAATCACAATGGTCAATTCATGATCCCCCCCGCCGCCGCCCATTCACCCTCAAACGCTGACATTTGCACTTTTTCTGTATAATTAAAAAGTACGTTGCAATTGCTGGTAAAGACAATGATGTGAATGTGTGAGATTGTGTAATAAACAGTGTTGGACGAGGAAGTGATAGTGTTCTGTTGCAATAGTGACTTCTGTGTAACGCACAGTCTACGTGGCTACTGGCTTTCAGGAGACAAAGTTCCACATTTCAACACTGATTTTACGGTTTTGTTGACCCTGTCAGTCTTTTTTCTTGTATAGCATCAAATGTTTTTGAATGTGTGTTAATAAATGTGTTTAATAAACTCTGATGAGTGGATTTGTTTATTGTTATTTTACATTAGTTCATCAGACACAGTTTTGTATAAAATCTTTGCTGAAGCATCTTCTGTTGGCTTGAGTTTTAGGTATTGACTCTGCAAAACTAAAGTACCTGTGTCCCATTTCATGTAGCAGTAAGGCCTCCTATTAGACCACGTTATTTTTTGTTGACCATCGGGAAGTAACATTGGATGCCGTTGACTTCTCTTGTGAATGATTATGGTTTACTGTAGTTACAGTTTGTTGTAAGTTTCTCTGTTATAGTGTGGTTGGAAACTTCTGGCTCCATACAGGCAGTTGAGATCACATTGATTCCTCTCGTCTTGCAACTCTTAACCCAAACCCTAACCCTAACCCTAGCTCCAACCCTAACCCTAACCCTAACCCATGCATTCCTATGGGAAAAAATCAAATTTTTTTAGGAACGTCCTAGAGACTCGGGAGTTGGTTCATTGCACTCAGAAAAATCCTAGCTCCAAGCCCAACCCTAACCCTAGCTCCAAAACTAACCCTAACTCCAACCCTAACCCTAACCCTAACCCTAGCTCCAACCCTAACCCTAACCCTAACCCATGCATTCCTATGGGAAAAAATCAAATTTTTTTAGGAACGTCCTAGAGACTCGGGAGTTGGTTCATTGCACTCAGAAAAATCCTAGCTCCAAGCCCAACCCTAACCCTAGCTCCAACACTAACCCTAACTCCAACCCTAACCCTAACCCTAACCCTAGCTCCAACCCTAACCCTAACCCATGCATTCCTATGGGAAAAAATCAAATTTTTTTAGGAACGTCCTAGAGACTCTGGAGTTGGTTCATTGCACTCAGAAAAATCCTAGCTCCAAGCCCAACCCTAACCCTAGCTCCAACACTAACCCTAACTCCAACCCTAACCCTAGCTCCAACCCTAACCCTAACCCTAACCCATGCATTCCTATGGGAAAAAAATCAATTTTTTTTAGGAACGTCCTAGAGACTCGGGAGTTGGTTCATTGCACTCAGAAAAATCCTAGCTCCAAGCCCAACCCTAACCCTAGCTCCAACACTAACCCTAACTCCAACCCTAACCCTAACCCTAACCCTAGCTCCAACCCTAACCCTAACCCTAACCCATGCATTCCTATGGGAAAAAATCAAATTTTTTTAGGATTGTCCTAGAGACTCGGGAGTTGGTTCGTTGCACTCAGAAAAATCCTAGCTCCAAGCCCAACCCTAACCCTAGCTCCAACACTAACCCTAACTCCAACCCTAACCCTAACCCTAACCCTAGCTCCAACCCTAACCCTAACCCTAACCCATGCATTCCTATGGGAAAAAATCAATTTTTTTTAGGAACGTCCTAGGGACTCGGGAGTTGGTTCATTGCACTCAGAAAAATCCTAGCTCCAAGCCCAACCCTAACCCTAGCTCCAACACTAACCCTAACTCCAACCCTAACCCTAACCCTAACCCTAGCTCCAACCCTAACCCTAACCCTAACCCATGCATTCCTATGGGAAAAAATCATTTTGTTTTAGGAACGTCCTAGAGACTCGGGAGTTGGTTCATTGCACTCAGAAAAATCCTAGCTCCAAGCCCAACCCTAACCCTAGCTCCAACACTAACCCTAACTCCAACCCTAACCCTAACCCTAACCCTAGCTCCAACCCTAACCCTAACCCTAACCCATGCATTCCTATGGGAAAAAATCAAATTTTTTTAGGAACGTCCTAGAGACTCGGGAGTTGGTTCATTGCACTCAGAAAAATCCTAGCTCCAAGCCCAACCCTAACCCTAGCTCCAACACTAACCCTAACTCCAACCCTAACCCTAGCTCCAACCCTAGCTCCAACCCTAACCCTAACCCTAACCCATGCATTCCTATGGGAAAAAATCAATTTTTTTTAGGAACGTCCTAGAGACTCGGGAGTTGGTTCATTGCACTCAGAAAAATCCTAGCTCCAAGCCCAACCCTAACCCTAGCTCCAACACTAACCCTAACTCCAACCCTAACCCTAACCCTAACCCTAGCTCCAACCCTAACCCTAACCCATGCATTCCTATGGGAAAAAATCAAATTTTTTTAGGAACGTCCTAGAGACTCGGGAGTTGGTTCATTGCACTCAGAAAAATCCTAGCTCCAAGCCCAACCCTAACCCTAGCTCCAACACTAACCCTAACTCCAACCCTAACCCTAGCTCCAACCCTAACCCTAACCCTAACCCATGCATTCCTATGGGAAAAAAATCAAATTGTTTTAGGAACGTCCTAGAGACTCGGGAGTTGGTTCATTGCACTCAGAAAAATCCTAGCTCCAAGCCCAACCCTAACCCTAGCTCCAACACTAACCCTAACTCCAACCCTAACCCTAACCCTAGCTCCAACCCTAACCCTAACCCTAACCCATGCATTCCTATGGGAAAAAAATCAATTTTTTTTAGGAACGTCCTAGAGACTCGGGAGTTGGTTCATGGCACTCAGAAAAATCCTAGCTCCAAGCCCAACCCTAACCCTAGCTCCAACACTAACCCTAACTCCAACCCTAACCCTAACCCTAACCCTAGCTCCAACCCTAACCCTAACCCTAACCCATGCATTCCTTTGGGAAAAAATCCAATTTTTTTAGGAACATCCTAGAGACTCGGGAGTTGGTTCATTGCACTCAGAAAAATCCTAGCTCCAAACCCAACCCTAAACCTAGCTCCAACACTAACCCTAACTCCAACCCTAACCCTAACCCTAACCCTAGCTCCAACCCTAACCCTAACCCTAACCCATGCATTCCAAAGGGAAAAAATCAAATTTTTTTAGGAACGTCCTAGAGACTCGGGAGTTGGTTCATTGCACTCAGAAAAATCCTAGCTCCAAGCCCAACCCTAACCCTAGCTCCAACACTAACCCTAACTCCAACCCTAACCCTAACCCTAACCCTAGCTCCAACCCTAACCCTAACCCTAACCCATGCATTCCTTTGGGAAAAAATCCAATTTTTTTAGGAACATCCTAGAGACTCGGGAGTTGGTTCATTGCACTCAGAAAAATCCTAGCTCCAAACCCAACCCTAAACCTAGCTCCAACACTAACCCTAACTCCAACCCTAACCCTAACCCTAACCCTAGCTCCAACCCTAACCCTAACCCTAACCCATGCATTCCTATGGGAAAAAATCAAATTTTTTTAGGAACGTCCTAGAGACTCGGGAGTTGGTTCATTGCACTCAGAAAAATCCTAGCTCCAAGCCCAACCCTGATCCTAGCTCCAACACTAACCCTTACTCCAACCCTAACCCTAACCCTAACCCTAGCTCCAACCCTAACCCTAACCCTAACCCATGCATTCCTATGGGAAAAAATCAATTTTTAGGAACGTCCTAGAGACTCGGGAGTTGGTTCATTGCACTCAGAAAAATCCTAGCTCCAAGCCCAACCCTAACCCTAGCTCCAACACTAACCCTAACTCCAACCCTAACCCTAACCCTAACCCTAGCTCCAACCCTAACCCTAACCCTAACCCATGCATTCCTATGGGAAAAAATCAAATTTTTTTAGGAACGTCCTAGAGACTCGGGAGTTGGTTCATTGCACTCAGAAAAATCCTAGCTCCAAGCCCAACCCTGATCCTAGCTCCAACACTAACCCTTACTCCAACCCTAACCCTAACCCTAACCCTAGCTCCAACCCTAACCCTAACCCTAACCCATGCATTCCTATGGGAAAAAATCAAATTTTTTTAGGAACGTCCTAGAGACTCGGGAGTTGGTTCATTGCACTCAGAAAAATCCTAGCTCAAAGCCCAACCCTGATCCTAGCTCCAACACTAACCCTTACTCCAACCCTAACCCTAACCCTAACCCTAACCCTAACCCTAGCTCCAACCCTAACCCTAACCCTAACCCATGCATTCCTATGGGAAAAAATCAAATTTTTTTAGGAACGTCCTAGAGACTCGGGAGTTGGTTCATTGCACTCAGAAAAATCCTAGCTCCAAGCCCAACCCTAACCCTAACCCTAGCTCCAACCCTAACCCTAACCCTAACCCATGCATTCCTATGGGAAAAAAATCTATTTTTTTTAGGAACGTCCTAGAGACTCGGGAGTTGGTTCATTGCACTCAGAAAAATCCTAACTCCAAGCCCAACCCTAACCCTAGCTCCAACACTAACCCTAACTCCAACCCTAACCCTAACCCTAACCCTAGCTCCAACCCTAACCCTAACCCTAACCCATGCATTCCTATGGGAAAAAATCAATTTTTTTTAGGAACGTCCTAGAGACTCGGGAGTTGGTTCATGGCACTCAGAAAAATCCTAGCTCCAAGCCCAACCCTAACCCTAGCTCCAACACTAACCCTAACTCCAACCCTAACCCTAACCCTAACCCTAGCTCCAACCCTAACCCTAACCCATGCATTCCTATGGGAAAAAATCAATTTTTTTTAGGAACGTCCTAGAGACTCGGGAGTTGGTTCATTGCACTCAGAAAAATCCTAGCTCCAAGCCCAACCCTAACCCTAGCTCCAACACTAACCCTAACTCCAACCCTAACCCTAACCCTAACCCTAGCTCCAACCCTAACCCTAACCCATGCATTCCTATGGGAAAAAATCAATTTTTTTTAGGAACGTCCTAGAGACTCGGGAGTTGGTTCATGGCACTCAGAAAAATCCTAGCTCCAAGCCCAACCCTAACCCTAGCTCCAACACTAACCCTAACTCCATCCCTAACCCTAACCCTAGCTCCAACCCTAACCCTAACCCTAACCCATGCATTCCTATGGGAAAAAAATCATTTTGTTTTAGGAACGTCCTAGAGACTCGGGAGTTGGTTCATTGCACTCAGAAAAATCCTAGCTCCAAGCCCAACCCTGATCCTAGCTCCAACACTAACCCTTACTCCAACCCTAACCCTAACCCTAACCCTAGCTCCAACCCTAACCCTAACCCTAACCCATGCATTCCTATGGGAAAAAATCAAATTTTTTTAGGAACATCCTAGAGACTCGGGAGTTGGTTCATTGCACTCAGAAAAATCCTAGCTCCAAGCCCAACCCTAACCCTAGCTCCAACACTAACCCTAACTCCAACCCTAACCCTAACCCTAGCTCCAACCCTAACCCTAACCCTAACCCATGCATTCCTATGGGAAAAAATCAATTTTTTTAGGAACGTCCTAGAGACTCGGGAGTTGGTTCATTGCACTCAGAAAAATCCTAGCTCCAAGCCCAACCCTAACCCTAGCTCCAACACTAACCCTAACTCCAACCCTAACCCTAACCCTAACCCTAGCTCCAACCCTAACCCTAACCCTAACCCATGCATTCCTATGGGAAAAAATCAAATTTTTTTAGGAACGTCCTAGAGACTCGGGAGTTGGTTCATTGCACTCAGAAAAATCCTAGCTCCAAGCCCAACCCTAACCCTAGCTCCAACACTAACCCTAACTCCAACCCTAACCCTAACCCTAACCCTAGCTCCAACCCTAACCCTAACCCTAACCCATGCATTCCTATGGGAAAAAATCAAATTTTTTTAGGAACGTCCTAGAGACTCGGGAGTTGGTTCATGGCACTCAGAAAAATCCTAGCTCCAAGCCCAACCCTAACCCTAGCTCCAACACTAACCCTAACTCCAACCCTAACCCTAACCCTAACCCTAGCTCCAACCCTAACCCTAACCCTAACCCATGCATTCCTATGGGAAAAAATCAAATTTTTTTAGGAACGTCCTAGAGACTCGGGAGTTGGTTCATTGCACTCAGAAAAATCCTAGCTCCAAGCCCAACCCTAACCCTAGCTCCAACACTAACCCTAACTCCAACCCTAACCCTAACCCTAACCCTAGCTCCAACCCTAACCCTAACCCTAACCCATGCATTCCTATGGGAAAAAATCAATTTTTTTTAGGAACGTCCTAGAGACTCGGGAGTTGGTTCATGGCACTCAGAAAAATCCTAGCTCCAACCCTAACCCTAACCCTAACCCTAGCTCCAACCCTAACCCTAACCCTAACCCATGCATTCCTATGGGAAAAAAATCTATTTTTTTTAGGAACGTCCTAGAGACTCGGGAGTTGGTTCATTGCACTCAGAAAAATCCTAGCTCCAAGCCCAACCCTAACCCTAGCTCCAACACTAACCCTAACTCCAACCCTAACCCTAACCCTAACCCTAGCTCCAACCCTAACCCTAACCCTAACCCATGCATTCCTATGGGAAAAAATCAATTTTTTTTAGGAACGTCCTAGAGACTCGGGAGTTGGTTCATGGCACTCAGAAAAATCCTAGCTCCAAGCCCAACCCTAACCCTAGCTCCAACACTAACCCTAACTCCAACCCTAACCCTAGCTCCAACCCTAACCCTAACCCTAACCCATGCATTCCTATGGGAAAAAATCAAATTTTTTTAGGAACGTCCTAGAGACTCGGGAGTTGGTTCATTGCACTCAGAAAAATCCTAGCTTCAAGCCCAACCCTAACCCTAGCTCCAACACTAACCCTAACTCCAACCCTAACCCTAACCCTAACCCTAGCTCCAACCCTAACCCTAACCCTAACCCATGCATTCCTATGGGAAAAAATCAATTTTTTTAGGAACGTCCTAGAGACTCGGGAGTTGGTTCATGGCACTCAGAAAAATCCTAGCTCCAAGCCCAACCCTAACCCTAGCTCCAACACTAACCCTAACTCCAACCCTAACCCTAACCCTAACCCTAGCTCCAACCCTAACCCTAACCCTAACCCATGCATTCCAAAGGGAAAAAATCAAATTCTTTTTGGAACGTCCTAAAGACTCGGGAGTTGGTTCATTGCACTCAGAAAAATCCTAGCTCCAAGCCCAACCCTAACCCTAGCTCCAACACTAACCCTAACTCCAACCCTAACCCTAACCCTAACCCTAGCTCCAACCCTAACCCTAACCCTAACCCATGCATTCCTATGGGAAAAAATCAATTTTTTTTAGGAACGTCCTAGAGACTCGGGAGTTGGTTCATGGCACTCAGAAAAATCCTAGCTCCAAGCCCAACCCTAAACCTAGCTCCAACACTAACCCTAACTCCAACCCTAACCCTAACCCTAACCCTAGCTCCAACCCTAACCCTAACCCTAACCCATGCATTCCAAAGGGAAAAAATCAAATTCTTTTAGGAACGTCCTAAAGACTCGGGAGTTGGTTCATTGGCACTCAGAAAAATCCTAGCTCCAAGCCCAACCCTAACCCTAGCTCCAACACTAACCCTAACTCCAACCCTAACCCTAACCCTAACCCTAGCTCCAACCCTAACCCTAACCCTAACCCATGCATTCCTATGGGAAAAAATCAATTTTTTTTAGGAACGTCCTAGAGACTCGGGAGTTGGTTCATGGCACTCAGAAAAATCCTAGCTCCAAGCCCAACCCTAACCCTAGCTCCAACACTAACCCTAACTCCAACCCTAACCCTAACCCTAACCCTAGCTCCAACCCTAACCCTAACCCTAACCCATGCATTCCTATGGGAAAAAATCAATTTTTTTAGGAACGTCCTAGAGACTCGGGAGTTGGTTCATTGCACTCAGAAAAATCCTAGCTCCAAGCCCAACCCTAACCCTAGCTCCAACACTAACCCTAACTCCAACCCTAACCCTAACCCTAACCCTAGCTCCAACCCTAACCCTAACCCTAACCCATGCATTCCTATGGGAAAAAATCAAATTTTTTTAGGAACGTCCTAGAGACTCGGGAGTTGGTTCATTGCACTCAGAAAAATCCTAGCTCCAAGCCCAACCCTAACCCTAGCTCCAACACTAACCCTAACTCCAACCCTAACCCTAGCTCCAACCCTAACCCTAACCCTAACCCATGCATTCCTATGGGAAAAAATCAAATTTTTTAGGAACGTCCTAGAGACTCGGGAGTTGGTTCATTGCACTCAGAAAAATCCTAGCTCCAAGCCCAACCCTAACCCTAGCTCCAACACTAACCCTAACTCCAACCCTAACCCTAACCCTAACCCTAGCTCCAACCCTAACCCTAACCCTAACCCATGCATTCCTATGGGAAAAAATCCCTCTCAATTTTTTAGGAACGTCCTAGAGACTCGGGAGTTGGTTCATGCACTCAGAAAAATCCTAGCTCCAAGCCCAACCCTAACCCTAGCTCCAACACTAACCCTAACTCCAACCCTAACCCTAACCCTAACCCTAGCTCCAACCCTAACCCTAACCCTAACCCATGCATTCCTATGGGAAAAAATCAAATTTTTTAGGAACGTCCTAGAGACTCGGGAGTTGGTTCATTGCACTCAGAAAAATCCTAGCTCCAAGCCCAACCCTAACCCTAGCTCCAACACTAACCCTAACTCCAACCCTAACCCTAACCCTAACCCTAGCTCCAACCCTAACCCTAACCCTAACCCATGCATTCCTATGGGAAAAAATCAAATTTTTTAGGAACGTCCTAGAGACTCGGGAGTTGGTTCATGGCACTCAGAAAAATCCTAGCTCCAAGCCCAACCCTAAACCTAGCTCCAACACTAACCCTAACTCCAACCCTAACCCTAACCCTAACCCTAGCTCCAACCCTAACCCTAACCCTAACCCATGCATTCCTATGGGGAAAAATCAAATTTTTTTAGGAACGTCCTAGAGACTCGGGAGTTGGTTCATTGCACTCAGAAAAATCCTAGCTCCAAGCCCAACCCTAACCCTAGCTCCAACACTAACCCTAACTCCAACCCTAACCCTAACCCTGACCCTAGCTCCAACCCTAACCCTAACCCTAACCCTAACCCATGCATTCCTATGGGAAAAAATCAATTTTTTTTAGGAACGTCCTAGAGACTCGGGAGTTGGTTCATGGCACTCAGAAAAATCCTAGCTCCAAGCCCAACCCTAACCCTAGCTCCAACACTAACCCTAACTCCAACCCTAACCCTAACCCTAACCCTAGCTCCAACCCTAACCCTAACCCTAACCCATGCATTCCTATGGGAAAAAATCAATTTTTTTTAGGAACGTCCTAGAGACTTGGGAGTTGGTTCATTGCACTCAGAAAAATCCTAGCTCCAAGCCCAACCCTGATCCTAGCTCCAACACTAACCCTTACTCCAACCCTAACCCTAACCCTAACCCTAGCTCCAACCCTATCCCTAACCCTAACCCATGCATTCCTATGGGAAAAAATCAAATTTTTTTAGGAACGTCCTAGAGACTCGGGAGTTGGTTCATTGCACTCAGAAAAATCCTAGCCCCAAGCCCAACCCTAACCCTAGCTCCAACACTAACCCTAACTCCAACCCTAACCCTAGCTCCAACCCTAACCCTAATCCTAACCCATGCATTCCTATGGGAAAAAATCAAATTTTTTTAGGAACGTCCTAGAGACTCGGGAGTTAGTTCATTGCACTCAGAAAAATCCTAGCTCCAAGCCCAACCCTAACCCTAGCTCCAACACTAACCCTAACTCCAACCCTAACCCTAACCCTAACCCTAGCTCCAACCCTAACCCTAACCCTAACCCATGCATTCCTATGGGAAAAAATCAAATTTTTTTAGGAACGTCCTAGAGACTCGGGAGTTGGTTCATTGCACTCAGAAAAATCCTAGCTCCAAGCCCAACCCTAACCCTAGCTCCAACACTAACCCTAACCCTAACCCTAACCCTAGCTCCAACCCTAACCCTAACCCTAACCCATGCATTCCTAAGGGAAAAAATCAAATTCTTTTAGGAACGTCCTAGAGACTCGGGAGTTGGTTCATTGCACTCAGAAAAATCCTAGCTCCAAGCCCAACCCTAACCCTAGCTCCAACACTAACCCTAACTCCAACCCTAACCCTAACCCTAACCCTAGCTCCAACCCTATCCCTAACCCTAACCCATGCATTCCTATGGGAAAAAATCAAATTTTTTTAGGAACGTCCTAGAGACTCGGGAGTTGGTTCATTGCACTCAGAAAAATCCTAGCCCCAAGCCCAACCCTAACCCTAGCTCCAACACTAACCCTAACTCCAACCCTAACCCTAGCTCCAACCCTAACCCTAACCCTAACCCATGCATTCCTATGGGAGAAAATCAAATTTTTTTAGGAACGTCCTAGAGACTCGGGAGTTAGTTCATTGCACTCAGAAAAATCCTAGCTCCAAGCCCAACCCTAACCCTAGCTCCAACACTAACCCTAACTCCAACCCTAACCCTAACCCTAACCCTAGCTCCAACCCTAACCCTAACCCTAACCCATGCATTCCTATGGGAAAAAATCAAATTTTTTTAGGAACGTCCTAGAGACTCGGGAGTTGGTTCATTGCACTCAGAAAAATCCTAGCTCCAAGCCCAACCCTAACCCTAGCTCCAACACTAACCCTAACCCTAACCCTAACCCTAGCTCCAACCCTAACCCTAACCCTAACCCATGCATTCCTAAGGGAAAAAATCAAATTCTTTTAGGAACGTCCTAGAGACTCGGGAGTTGGTTCATTGCACTCAGAAAAATCCTAGCTCCAAGCCCAACCCTAACCCTAGCTCCAACACTAACCCTAACTCCAACCCTAACCCTAACCCTAACCCTAGCTCCAACCCTAACCCTAACCCTAACCCATGCATTCCTATGGGAAAAAATCAAATTTTTTTAGGAACGTCCTAGAGACTCGGGAGTTGGTTCATTGCACTCAGAAAAATCCTAGCTTCAAGCCCAACCCTAACCCTAGCTCCAACACTAACCCTAACTCCAACCCTAACCCTAACCCTAACCCTAGCTCCAACCCTAACCCTATCCCTAACCCATGCATTCCTATGGGAAAAAATCAATTTTTTTTAGGAACGTCCTAGAGACTCGGGAGTTGGTTCATGGCACTCAGAAAAATCCTAGCTCCAAGCCCAACCCTAAACCTAGCTCCAACACTAACCCTAACTCCAACCCTAACCCTAACCCTAACCCTAGCTCCAACCCTAACCCTAACCCTAACCCATGCATTCCAAAGGGAAAAAATCAAATTCTTTTTGGAACGTCCTAAAGACTCGGGAGTTGGTTCATTGCACTCAGAAAAATCCTAGCTCCAAGCCCAACCCTAACCCTAGCTCCAACACTAACCCTAACTCCAACCCTAACCCTAACCCTAACCCTAGCTCCAACCCTAACCCTAACCCTAACCCATGCATTCCTATGGGAAAAAATCAATTTTTTTTAGGAACGTCCTAGAGACTCGGGAGTTGGTTCATGGCACTCAGAAAAATCCTAGCTCCAAGCCCAACCCTAACCCTAGCTCCAACACTAACCCTAACTCCAACCCTAACCCTAACCCTAACCCTAGCTCCAACCCTAACCCTAACCCTAACCCATGCATTCCTATGGGAAAAAAATCAATTTTTTTTAGGAACGTCCTAGAGACTCGGGAGTTGGTTCATTGCACTCAGAAAAATCCTAGCTCCAAGCCCAACCCTAACCCTAGCTCCAACACTAACCCTAACTCCAACCCTAACCCTAACCCTAACCCTAGCTCCAACCCTAACCCTAACCCTAACCCATGCATTCCTATGGGAAAAAATCAATTTTTTTAGGAACGTCCTAGAGACTCGGGAGTTGGTTCATGGCACTCAGAAAAATCCTAGCTCCAAGCCCAACCCTAACCCTAGCTCCAACACTAACCCTAACTCCAACCCTAACCCTAGCTCCAACCCTAACCCTAACCCTAACCCATGCATTCCAAAGGGAAAAAATCAAATTCTTTTAGGAACGTCCTAGAGACTCGGGAGTTGGTTCATTGCACTCAGAAAAATCCTAGCTCCAAGCCCAACCCTAACCCTAGCTCCAACACTAACCCTAACTCCAACCCTAACCCTAACCCTAACCCTAGCTCCAACCCTAACCCTAACCCTAACCCATGCATTCCTATGGGAAAAAATCAATTTTTTTTAGGAACGTCCTAGAGACTCGGGAGTTGGTTCATTGCACTCAGAAAAATCCTAGCTCCAAGCCCAACCCTAACCCTAGCTCCAACACTAACCCTAACTCCAACCCTAACCCTAACCCTAACCCTAGCTCCAACCCTAACCCTAACCCTAACCCATGCATTCCTATGGGAAAAAATCAATTTTTTTTAGGAACGTCCTAGAGACTCGGGAGTTGGTTCATTGTACTCAGAAAAATCCTAGCTCCAAGCCCAACCCTGATCCTAGCTCCAACACTAACCCTTACTCCAACCCTAACCCTAACCCTAACCCTAGCTCCAACCCTAACCCTAACCCTAACCCATGCATTCCTATGGGAAAAAATCAAATTTTTTTAGGAACGTCCTAGAGACTCGGGAGTTGGTTCATTGCACTCAGAAAAATCCTAGCTCCAAGCCCAACCCTAACCCTAGCTCCAACACTAACCCTAACTCCAACCCTAACCCTAGCTCCAACCCTAACCCTAACCCTAACCCATGCATTCCTATGGGAAAAAATCAAATTTTTTTAGGAACGTCCTAGAGACTCGGGAGTTGGTTCATTGCACTCAGAAAAATCCTAGCTCCAAGCCCAACCCTAACCCTAGCTCCAACACTAACCCTAACTCCAACCCTAACCCTAACCCTAACCCTAGCTCCAACCCTAACCCTAACCCTAACCCATGCATTCCTATGGGAAAAAATCAATTTTTTTTAGGAACGTCCTAGAGACTCGGGAGTTGGTTCATGGCACTCAGAAAAATCCTAGCTCCAAGCCCAACCCTAACCCTAGCTCCAACACTAACCCTAACTCCAACCCTAACCCTAACCCTAACCCTAGCTCCAACCCTAACCCTAACCCTAACCCATGCATTCCTATGGGAAAAAATCAATTTTTTTTAGGAACGTCCAAGAGACTTGGGAGTTGGTTCATTGCACTCAGAAAAATCCTAGCTCCAAGCCCAACCCTGATCCTAGCTCCAACACTAACCCTTACTCCAACCCTAACCCTAACCCTAACCCTAGCTCCAACCCTAACCCTAACCCTAACCCATGCATTCCTATGGGAAAAAATCAAATTTTTTTAGGAACGTCCTAGAGACTCGGGAGTTGGTTCATTGCACTCAGAAAAATCCTAGCCCCAAGCCCAACCCTAACCCTAGCTCCAACACTAACCCTAACTCCAACCCTAACCCTAGCTCCAACCCTAACCCTAATCCTAACCCATGCATTCCTATGGGAAAAAATCAAATTTTTTTAGGAACGTCCTAGAGACTCGGGAGTTAGTTCATTGCACTCAGAAAAATCCTAGCTCCAAGCCCAACCCTAACCCTAGCTCCAACACTAACCCTAACTCCAACCCTAACCCTAACCCTAACCCTAGCTCCAACCCTAACCCTAACCCTAACCCATGCATTCCTATGGGAAAAAATCAAATTTTTTTAGGAACGTCCTAGAGACTCGGGAGTTGGTTCATTGCACTCAGAAAAATCCTAGCTCCAAGCCCAACCCTAACCCTAGCTCCAACACTAACCCTAACTCCAACCTAACCCTAACCCTAGCTCCAACCCTAACCCTAACCCTAACCCATGCATTCCTAAGGGAAAAAATCAAATTCTTTTAGGAACGTCCTAGAGACTCGGGAGTTGGTTCATTGCACTCAGAAAAATCCTAGCTCCAAGCCCAACCCTAACCCTAGCTCCAACACTAACCCTAACTCCAACCCTAACCCTAACCCTAACCCTAGCTCCAACCCTAACCCTAACCCTAACCCATGCATTCCTATGGGAAAAAATCAAATTTTTTTAGGAACGTCCTAGAGACTCGGGAGTTGGTTCATTGCACTCAGAAAAATCCTAGCTCCAAGCCCAACCCTAACCCTAGCTCCAACACTAACCCTAACTCCAACCCTAACCCTAACCCTAACCCTAGCTCCAACCCTAACCCTAACCCTAACCCATGCATTCCTATGGGGAAAAAATCAAATTTTTTTAGGAACGTCCTAGAGACTCGGGAGTTGGTTCATTGCACTCAGAAAAATCCTAGCTCCAAGCCCAACCCTAACCCTAGCTCCAACACTAACCCTAACTCCAACCCTAACCCTAACCCTAGCTCCAACCCTAACCCTAACCCTAACCCATGCATTCCTATGGGAAAAAAATCAAATTTTTGTAGGAACGTCCTAGAGACTCGGGAGTTGGTTCATTGCACTCAGAAAAATCCTAGCTCCAAGCCCAACCCTAACCCTAGCTCCAACACTAACCTTAACTCCAACCCTAACCCTAACCCTAACCCTAGCTCCAACCCCACACCTAACCCTAATCCTAGCTCCAACCCTAACCCTAACCCTAACCCATGCATTCCTATGGGAAAAAATCAAATTTTTTTAGGAACGTCCTAGAGACTCGGGAGTTGGTTCATTGCACTCAGAAAAATCCTAGCTCCAAGCCCAACCCTAACCCTAGCTCCAACACTAACCCTAACTCCAACCCTAACCCTAACCCTAACCCTAGCTCCAACCCTAACCCTAGCTCCAACACTAACCCTAACTCCAACCCTAACCCTAACCCTAGCTCCAACCCTAACCCTAACCCTAACCCTAGCTCCAACCCTAACCCTAACCCTAACCCATGCATTCCTATGGGAAAAAATCAATTTTTTTTAGGAACGTCCTAGAGACTCGGGAGTTGGTTCATTGTACTCAGAAAAATCCTAGCTCCAAGCCCAACCCTGATCCTAGCTCCAACACTAACCCTAACTCCAACCCTAACCCTAACCCTAACCCTAGCTCCAACCCTAACCCTAACCCTAACCCATGCATTCCTATGGGAAAAAATCAAATTTTTTTAGGAACGTCCTAGAGACTCGGGAGTTGGTTCATTGCACTCAGAAAAATCCTAGCTCCAAGCCCAACCCTAACCCTAGCTCCAACACTAACCCTAACTCCAACCCTAACCCTAGCTCCAACCCTAACCCTAACCCTAACCCATGCATTCCTATGGGAAAAAATCAAATTTTTTTAGGAACGTCCTAGAGACTCGGGAGTTGGTTCATTGCACTCAGAAAAATCCTAGCTCCAAGCCCAACCCTAACCCTAGCTCCAACACTAACCCTAACTCCAACCCTAACCCTAACCCTGACCCTAGCTCCAACCCTAACCCTAACCCTAACCCATGCATTCCTATGGGAAAAAATCAAATTTTTTTTAGGAACGTCCTAGAGACTCGGGAGTTGGTTCATGGCACTCAGAAAAATCCTAGCTCCAAGCCCAACCCTAACCCTAGCTCCAACACTAACCCTAACTCCAACCCTAACCCTAACCCTAACCCTAGCTCCAACCCTAACCCTAACCCTAACCCATGCATTCCTATGGGAAAAAATCAATTTTTTTTAGGAACGTCCTAGAGACTCGGGAGTTGGTTCATTGCACTCAGAAAAATCCTAGCTCCAAGCCCAACCCTAACCTAGCTCCAACACTAACCCTAACTCCAACCCTAACCCTAACCCTAACCCTAGCTCCAACCCTAACCCTAACCCTAACCCATGCATTCCTATGGGAAAAAATCAAATTTTTTTAGGAACGTCCTAGAGACTCGGGAGTTGGTTCATTGCACTCAGAAAAATCCTAGCTCCAAGCCCAACCCTAACCCTAGCTCCAACACTAACCCTAACTCCAACCCTAACCCTAACCCTAACCCTAGCTCCCCTAACCCTAACCCTAACCCATGCATTCCTATGGGAAAAAATCAAATTTTTTTAGGAACGTCCTAGAGACTCGGGAGTTGGTTCATTGCACTCAGAAAAATCCTAGCTCCAAGCCCAACCCTAACCCTAGCTCCAACACTAACCCTAACTCCAACCCTAACCCTAACCCTAACCCTAGCTCCAACCCTAACCCTAACCCTAACCCATGCATTCCTATGGGAAAAAATCAAATTTTTTTAGGAACGTCCTAAAGACTCGGGAGTTGGTTCATTGCACTCAGAAAAATCCTAGCTCCAAGCCCAACCCTCACCCTAGCTCCAACACTAACCCTTACCCTAACCCTAACCCTAGCTCCAACCCTAACCCTAACCCTAACCCATGCATTCCTAAGGGAAAAAATCAAATTCTTTTAGGAACGTCCTAGAGACTCGGGAGTTGGTTCATTGCACTCAGAAAAATCCTAGCTCCAAGCCCAACCCTAACCCTAGCTCCAACACTAACCCTAACTCCAACCCTAACCCTAACCCTAACCCTAGCTCCAACCCTAACCCTAACCCTAACCCATGCATTCCTATGGGAAAAAAATCAAATTTTTTTAGGAACGTCCTAGAGACTCGGGAGTTGGTTCATTGCATTCAGAAAAATCCTAGCTCCAAGCCCAACCCTAACCCTAGCTCCAACACTAACCCTAACTCCAACCCTAACCCTAACCCTAACCCTAGGTCCAACCCTAACCCTAACCCTAACCCATGCATTCCTATGGGGAAAAATCAAATTTTTTTAGGAACGTCCTAGAGACTCGGGAGTTGGTTCATTGCACTCAGAAAAATCCTAGCTCCAAGCCCAACCCTAACCCTAGCTCCAACACTAACCCTAACTCCAACCCTAACCCTAACCCTAGCTCCAACCCTAACCCTAACCCTAACCCATGCATTCCTATGGGAAAAAATCAAATTTTTGTAGGAACGTCCTAGAGACTCGGGAGTTGGTTCATTGCACTCAGAAAAATCCTAGCTCCAAGCCCAACCCTAACCCTAGCTCAAACACTAACCCTAACTCCAACCCTAACCCTAACCCTAACCCTAGCTCCAACCCCACACCTAACCCTAATCCTAGCTCCAACCCTAACCCTAACCCTAACCCATGCATTCCTATGGGAAAAAATCAAATTTTTTTAGGAACGTCCTAGAGACTCGGGAGTTGGTTCATTGCACTCAGAAAAATCCTAGCTCCAAGCCCAACCCTAACCCTAGCTCCAACACTAACCCTAACTCCAACCCTAACCCTAACCCTAACCCTAGCTCCAACCCTAACCCTAACCCTAACCCATGCATTCCTATGGGAAAAAATCAAATTTTTTTAGGATTGTCCTAGAGACTCGGGAGTTGGTTCGTTGCACTCAGAAAAATCCTAGCTCCAAGCCCAACCCTAACCCTAGCTCCAACACTAACCCTAACTCCAACCCTAACCCTAACCCTAACCCTAGCTCCAACCCTAACCCTAACCCTAACCCATGCATTCCTATGGGAAAAAATCAATTTTTTTTAGGAACGTCCTAGAGACTCGGGAGTTGGTTCATTGCACTCAGAAAAATCCTAGCTCCAAGCCCAACCCTAACCCTAGCTCCAACACTAACCCTAACTCCAACCCTAACCCTAACCCTAGCTCCAACCCTAACCCTAACCCTAACCCATGCATTCCTATGGGAAAAAAATCAAATTTTTTTAGGAACGTCCTAGAGACTCGGGAGTTGGTTCATTGCACTCAGAAAAATCCTAGCTCCAAGCCCAACCCTGACCCTAGCTCCAACACTAACCTTAACTCCAACCCTAACCCTAACCCTAACCCTAGCTCCAACCCTTCACCTAACCCTAATCCTAGCTCCAACCCTAACCCTAACCCTAACCCATGCATTCCTATGGGAAAAAATCAATTTTTTTTAGGAACGTCCTAGAAACTCGGGAGTTGGTTCATTGCACTCAGAAAAATCCTAGCTCCAAGCCCAACCCTAACCCTAGCTCCAACACTAACCCTAACTCCAACCCTAACCCTAACCCTAACCCTAGCTCCAACCCTAACCCTAACCCTAACCCATGCATTCCTATGGGAAAAAATCAATTTTTTTTAGGAACGTCCTAGAGACTCGGGAGTTGGTTCATTGCACTCAGAAAAATCCTAGCTCCAAGCCCAACCCTAACCCTAGCTCCAACACTAACCCTAACTCCAACCCTAACCCTAACCCTAACCCTAGCTCCAACCCCACACCTAACCCTAACCCTAGCTCCAACCTTAATCTGTGCAGGTGTAAGGTTGTGTATGAGCAGAGAAAAAAAAGGGCTTTGAAGCAAAAAGACAGAGACTGACAGTAAAAATTGAAATAGTGGAAGGGAAGGCACTTCTTTTTTTGAAATAGTGATACAACTTTATAGCAACTTTCATAATAGTGAAGCATCTCTTATCCATATCCCATGCAGAAAGGGAAAAGAGATGCAGCTCGCTGGTTGCAGCCCCTCTCGATTAATTGAAGTGGGGTTTGACTTCCTCTCAGCTTTGTTACTGAGGCTGAGGTCAGAACTTTTTGCAGACTACTTAAGTTTTTCTACACCAACATTAAAAAAAACCTGGGTTGACCTCACTGTCTGTTCAGGCCTAAAACCATGTTGAAACCAGTAACAGCTTTCTCTGAACTGTTGCAACATAGCCAAAAGCCCACCGTTATGTAAAATATGACTGTGTGCTCTACGGACATTGACAAATACTGGTTTTACTTGAAGGAACTCAACACACACACAGACACACCCACATGCACACATTCAAAGCACACTGCTTTTTGCATCCCAGTTTAAAAGAGCTTATCGAGTGTTAACTGGGTTTACTGTTTGATGTGGTCCATTTGGGTCGTGTTTGAAAGAAAACACGTTTCCCTTACACATTTAAGAAACAGGACCTGAAGCCAAAATGCATTCCTAGAGTTATTGTATTGATACTTCTGATAGCAGCCTGCTTTTGAGATACACTGATTCTAAGCCGTTACCCCCCTGAGGTTTTCGTCTGGCCTCAGATGGGAAAAAGTCAGAGCTGACCGTTGACCTTTTCATATTGTAATTTGACAATAGCTCTTTCGTGTTCACCTTTGTGTGCTTTCAGATTAATCTCACAACCATAAAATATGGATGTGTGTGGTTTTACATTGCCTTATAATGGTGTGGAAATTAATTAGACATGGATAACTTTGTTTCACCGTCACTTCTCTGTGATATTTAGACTGGAGGTGAGACATTTCAGGCATGTAGATATTGTGCCTTGAACCAGTGATATAGAAAAAAGGTGTTGTGTGGGAGACTGGTCTCTTATTCTTCTGTAAGGTGTTGCAGTGTTGAAAACTGTGCTGTAGAAATGAAATGCACTCATTAAAATATGAATTGTCACAGTTCACTTAGTAATCAGGCTTTTAAAGAACATACACTGCAGTCAGTATTCTGGTTTTAGACAAAGAGTTTGTGTTTACAGGGCCAGCTCAAGGACAAGTTTTTTTATATTTTATTTGACACAGTGTTATTTATTTTCAAACATAAAGACAATTTAGCATTAGCAATTTTATTCAAATGCAAACACTACTATTGGTTGTTTTTACCCTTAAGTTGGACATTTTTTGATTTTGTCAGTTTGGATTGGAAAGTAAATTTGCCGTGTTGTCTTACAAACCAGCAGAGCCTTAGCTGCCTTGGCCTATAAGAATCACACTATTGACATCTCAACCTGGCCCTTCCCTGGCCTTGAATATTCTGGGGACACTGCAGTGTTTCAGTTGTAGCCCTGAACATGAATGCTCACCCCTCTCTGCTTCAATCAGATCTATCACTCGCTTTCTCAGTTGTTACATACATATTCCATTATTTTTATGTTGAACAGTTTTGAAAAGCACAAAAGAGTCAGTCTGGGAGTAGATCCAAGAGTAACCAGCCGAAAGAGGACACATTGCCATCTAGTGTTGCAAAGGCAAGTTTCCAGGAGTGCTTGTAAAGCGTGACGAGGACAGTTGTCAGGTGTAATTTCCCAATCAAGCTGTAACTGCTCAACTTTATAGTATATGTATATGCTCTGGATATGTAAGAACTTCAACAGCATGTGTTAAAAATAGGAGTAGAGCAGCAGATTATGGGAAAGGTGGGGAGTGCAGGTATACACTTTATTAATATGTTTATGCATGAGTTAAGGAAAAAAATAGAATTACAAGATACCAGAGGTAGATCGATTTTTTATCATGTAAAGCTGTTATTTAGATCTACACTTGAAATGTATTTAAAACACCCATAAAGCACAGAATTGCTTCATAATAGGCGAAAAGCAAAACACTTCAAGTTCACCTCCTGGAGAAATGGCTGTGGGTTCAGGAGGTGCTTGATTTGATATGGAGCAGAATATCACGTAACGGGAGCACTCATTTAAATGTTAATACAGCCGATCATGTTTATTTAATGCTGTGAAGTCAAACTGTGATCGTATTGGGCCCTGCGGCCTAATAGATCTAATAAACCCACATATTCCTTGAACATTTTACATTTAAAATACTTAGATGTTTACTTCTTGGTCTTAGAAATATACAGATATATTTTTCACCTATTTTTAAAAATCGCTGTTCAAGGACTTTACAAGGTCTGGCGGGTAATTTCTGGAGAGCTGTCAAAATGCTGATAGCAGAGGATTTGGTTCCTTGTTCTCAGTTATTTCATCATAGTTCTTGTTTAATGTTCATATTCATTCAACAGTGACATTCATATAACTGTGACAGGCAGTGATTTTTGTACACAATTCAAGAGTGAAAGCAATAAACAGCGTCTAGATTGCAAAAGCAAAACTTGCAACAAATATTTACATTCAATCATATATAAAAAGAAAAAAAAATCAAATACCAGTCATTCCCATTGAGACATCCTAGAGCCTATACTGTTCTGTTCCATGAGGTCAGGCATTTCCAACTCCAGTGAAACTCACATATGACATTTAATAACTGAACATATCCCCGAAATGACAAACCAAACAAACAAAAGAAAACAGTAATGAAGCATCAAAGCTAAAAACATCATGGATACAGTACGGTAGGGTGCATGTCCTTTGAGACGATCTTTCTTTTAAATCACAGAGCTATAATAGGCTCGGGATTTTCCACCTCTGCATTTTCTATCAGTTTGTTGGTATCAACAACGTCGGGCTGCGATCGTTCAGTGCCAAAGTAGAGAGGGTTGTCGAACGTGGGTAGGCGAGTAGGAGACTTCTTATAAAGGAAGAACCCAAACGCCATCAATGTTGAAACGATGGTTATGACTAACACAACCACCAAAGTTGTGTGGACACGGCTGCGGGGATCCTCTTTCCCATTAGTCTCTGCATGAACAACCAGAAAAGGCGCGTTTTAATTCTTTTTCATGTAACTTCTTAAATGTTTCATAATACATAGTATTATGTTCACGGGTTAGTTTAGGAGACAAAGAAGTGCAGCTTACCTTGTTTGGACCCTGCATCCAAAGCTGCCACTGTTGGGGAGAAAAAAAAGAGAGATGCTTAAGTGATTAAGTCTCTCTGGTGATCTAGCCTTTCTTGCAGAGCAGCTGCTTAATCTTGATTTGTTGTGTTGCCACAAGGCTGTGCTGTATACAGATTTTAATATGTACCATAGTATATAAATTCCTTTTAAAAATAAAAATCGAGAATTGCTCTTCACTTCCTCTCTGCTGCCGACATTAATGAACAGTTTACTCCCCCCAAAAAAGTCCAGTGCCGCGGACCCATCACTCATTTGGTACCGGTTTAATTTTGCAGTGCCAAACCTTAAAACCACATTTTGCTGAGAAGTTAGTTCAGAGGGTTTTGAACAAATTTATCTGTTAATTTTTAACTTGGTTATATTTGATAAAAATTCACTTGGAATTCAGTAAAAAATTCGACAAACAGACTGAACTTAACCTTGTTGAATTGTACCAAACCAAACTGTATCCAGTCAAATCAAACCTAATATGTTTTATTGTGATGAATCATATCAGCTGTCAGCGATCAAATTAAATCGACTCGCCCACTAAGGTAGAGATTCGCATCCCTGGTACATAAAAGCTGTTAGATCATGCAGCATCTATGAAAAGGTGTTTACCTGACCCACATGGGTGACATTGTTACCTTTGGGTGTTTTGCATATGTATCCTCTATCGTGCCACCTACGACCCGTCCTCCAAGCTCCGTCTGATGTTCCAATTTCCCCATAGTCATTTTCAGGCTCATCTGGTGCCCAGTTGGTGAAATCGATGACTTTTTTATCCAACCACAGCCATGTTCCTAGTGCCACACAGTAAAACAGATAATTACTGTTTTTACTCCTAAAGTTACTGCTCTCTGATAATAACTATTTCAATATGGTCAAGTACTCTTTGAATCAATTTTTTGATGCAGGTTAGACTGACCCATTTCAGCAGGACAACAGATTAGTGAGATTTTTAGGAAACAAATGAAAGGTAACAGAGTTGTTTTTGTTTACAAAATAAATATAAGACGTTTTCAGGGTTAGTTTGTCTTAACCTGAAGTATTTTACCTTGATGGGTCTTAAAAAGGCCAATCCAGAAAGAGCTGTGGCCATCTTGAAATATTTCCACATGGTTTTTGATGAACTGTTGCTCATCAGGATCTTCAATGCTGGCCAGGACTCCACCTTCACCAAACAAAGAAACAGACAAACAATTACAGTCTGGTTGGGACATTTGGTTAAAACTACTCATATTTTCACTTGTATACTGTTCAGCAGTCTACCCACCACACTTGTAGTTTTATTTTTTCTTACCGTGCCTCACACAGCTGCTGGCTGCATCTGCCCACTCTATTTCATCTGTCATGAACAAATAACAGTGACCCTTGAATGGCAGCCAGGAAGCAGTCTGCTGGTACTCCACTGTCATGTCTTCAGGGCAAACTCCTGGGTAGATGGTGGACTCTGTTGGTGCCACCTCTGTGAATGATAGAGACAGGAGCGTATTTGATACCAGTAATTTAAAGCTGTGCTCTTAATGATTATAAAAAAACTGAACCTTGATTTAAATGTGGGGTCAAGACTTTTGTAATGTGTCAGAGTGGACTTGGTCATGACACACGTGAGGTTTGCAAATGTGTGTGTTTTACAGGACTGTAGAGAGTAAACCCTTGTGCTTTGCTCCAATCATCTTACAACATCACAAGCATGATACAGGTTACAAAATTTGATTTAGTAACAAAAATTTAAGATTAAAGCAGTATAAAGTTAAATAACACTGATATAGATGACTGTTTTCATTGACGGAACGTACTAACATACCTGAAGTCTGCATACAAACACTGTACATGGTGCGATTGCAGAAGGAGGTCCTCCACTTTCCATCCACGTCCAGGTAAACACATGGAAGGTCCGTCTTGGGTTCACCTTCAGCCCAACTAGCTGAACCCAGGTGCCAGCCGTCGATATATCTATAGTAACCACCAGTCTGGAAGCAAGAATAGATCAGATGTATTTGTGTTGCAGATATACATTTGAAGCTCCAGTGAGGAACTTTGGGTGTGAGGTAACATTGGTGCCCTGTGCACTGTGTAGTCTTTGCTCAATCATGTACCCTACATACTTATGTAGTATCTGATGAGGAAAAATCTGTATGTTTTCTAGAGCAGCAGCTATCGAATATTTTAGTAATCGAGTATTCTACCGAATATTCTATCGATTACTCGAGTAATTGGACCCAAACGGCGGACTCACATAAAGTTCGATTTCCTATAGCCCCGCAATGAAGGCCAGACTCAGAGAAATAGAGGACAATCGCGGAACAAGCGTGTGCGTTAGCAGATTGCAATGCTCATAAGAAAGCTAATTATGATACAAACTGTCATCATGCCCCTAAAGACATTAGTGTCCGAGAGGTGAATAGCTCTGATGTGACCTGCTTCTGCGACGACACCAGAAATGTTAGGCTACAAGCTAGCGTGAAGAGAAGTGAGCAGAGCAGCGCTGTCTCCGCCCACGACTCAGAGGCTAAGTGCTAATGAGCTACTGGAGCGCTGCGCAAGAAAACAGTGTCACCAACTCCTCTGTAAGGAAAGTCGCTAGGTTAGCAACACTGCAAGAAAAGCCTATCTCATCATTTATTTTTCTGCTCCGCAAAACCTAAATAGCACTTACTCCTCCTTCTACCGTGGTGACGTAAGTGCATTCGGTCACCTTCAAAAGAATCCATGCGAAACAGTGACGATTTGAGCTTATGAACGAGAACTCGAGGCAGAGAAAATTACCTGATCATTATTTTTATTATTATTATATTATCGAGGAATCGTTTTAGCCATATTGTTATCCATGACATTCATCTACCAAGAATTCACTCCTTGAAGTGAAATAAAACGACGACTGGTCGTTATGGAAACTGACTGCAGGTTAGATTCCGAGGACCTGGCGTAATTATTTCAGCAACTACACAACACCTTCGTTTCTGAGCCAAGTCCCTTAAAGCTTCAAACACTGTCGCGGTCACCTTATTGAAATTTCAAAACATTACTTATGTCCTCAAAATTAAACTTCCTCTGAACTTAATCATTACTGTGATTGAATATGTGTATAGGCTTTTACCTGCTGTTTATTTAGTCCGATCCAAAGTGGAGCTTTAAGATTCATCGACAGCAGCTGGACGTATGCAACGGTCCACTCTTTTCGCAGGCTAGCCAGGTTGGCTTTTTCACTCTCACATTGTTTCTTTGCGTCTTCCCAGGTTAGATTTTTTGTCACAACCTTAATGCTGTCATTCCCTAGGGGCACATAAGTGGCTGGAATTGATGGCTCTGGTCCAGGCCGGATGCCTGGATCTGTTTGAGAGGAGAGGTGATTTAGGTTAGAGATGAACTCTGTTTATTTTCTATTACTATGGGCAAGTTTGTTGTCACAGGAATAGCTCTGAAAATATTTCACTCGTCACAGCAGGTGAGCTGTGGAGAGGCTTGTTGACAATGACACAGCATACTGATACCATCAAAAACTATCGACAGAGCAGAATAACATGGACAGCAGCCAGGAGGATGAAAACCCTCTTCGTCAAAAAGAAAAACATGAGAAGCAGATCTGTATTTAACTTGAGACATCCCATCTCAAAACTCCTCAGGCCCACACTGTAATGAGCCACAAACACACTCCACCCAAAGGTTAACAAATCAGTGTGAATATCAACTAAAGCAGATATCAAATATCATGATATCAGACTTTCTGCTCTTTGGAGTTGGCAGTTTCCTGATCTATCGCAAGGTTCAGAAGACATTGGCAGCACTTTTGGCAATTGGGAAGGAGTCCATCATGACTGAGGGAATGTGCAGGGCTGTCAACACTCAAACTCAAGCGATGTGCAAACTCAAACGCAAGCAGGTTGTGATTGAGGAATGCCTTGGCAAGTTGGATACCACCCTGGAGAAGCTGACAGCCTGGCTCGGCTGAAGTGGCCACCAAAGTCGGATGTTTGGGTCAACGCCATCAGAGACCAGAGAGACTTAAGGTAGATGGAAAATTACAAGCCTGCCTGTCCCAAATCAATCGTTATCTTCATTGGCTCCCCCACAGCGGCCTTGGAAGGCTGTAATGTCTTCCCTCCTGGATGTTATGCAGACTGATGCTTAGCCCTATCCTCCCCCTCCCTCCTCTCCTGGTGAACTTTGTTTCTGGATCAGAACCCTCCAAGGCCGTCTCCTGTTATCAGACGGCTGGGACATTTGTGAGGGACTGAGAGAGAGACAATGCCACGGGTTCACACATACACATAGATGAAGAATAATGACATACACCCCCTCCAACTCAACGCCTTCTTGGCCCCCATCCCCCCTCCCTCTCTGTTGTGGTGCATGTACTGTGGGTCAGTGTGCGCCAATGGCTGCGCTCACCCCAGGGTTAAAGCCACGACATCCTCCCTCCCCGACACCCCTCTCCCACGTGTGCAAGCTCTCATCCAGTCTTATGTTGCTCCCTCCTCTCCTCCTTTTTTTCCCATCTTAGAAAACGGAGCGCCTCCCTTGTGGTGATTCGTCACTTCTTCCCACTTCTGTCCCCCCTGTATGTGTCTATCTTTTTATGTTTTCTTGGAAGGGTCGGACTGATATGCACATTTTGTTGCCCTGTACTTGTGGCATGTGCAATGACAAATAAATCCACTCTGAATCTGAAGAGACATGGGAATCAGCTGTATTGAAACACATTTCAGGCCTTGGAGCTGTATACAAAGTGCAATTTGGGGGCTTTGTTGTAAGACACTTGTATTGTACTTAAAGGAGGTATGACATATATATTTTTTTGAGCTTCAGATTTTCCAAGAGGTAAAAAATGTAACTCACCAAGATTGCGATTACAGATAAATCCGTTTGTGTCGTTGCAGGACTTGATGAACCATTTCCCAATGCCAAGACTGGGATTTCTGTTCATCACAACACAGTCTTCCTGAGAGAGAAGATTCTAAGTTGAAAGTATGTCAGATTTTCTTTGAGTACATGGTTGTTGTTAAATGCTAACCTCACTGAAAATGGGGAAAAGGTCAATTTTTCCCATATTTGAAAATGAGAGAACATATTCCAAATTACATAGTTTCTCAAAGCTGAAGACAGTATCATCTGGAAGGACTGAATTGTGTTTAGTATCATTACAAAGAGTGATGGTAGCTTGGGACAGCAGTTTTAAGGCACACCAGGTCACATCACACAGGCAGCACCTGCAGGTTGTTTGACATTCAGGTGAAGTTACATGAATCAAATGTAGAAATATGAGTCATCATCTGCTGCCTACTGTTGTTTTATTAGATGTATAAATTCATGTCGCACTGCCCATCTTTTTTTGTTAAATTGTAATGTAACACCAGTTTGCACGTTGGTTCCATGACTAAAGTTGACTTGCTGGCTAGTTGGATTTGCAAGTGAAGGTTTAAGCCAAACCATCAGCACGTCAGACACTGTGTAATTTACCATCATTTATTCACAAAGCGTGGAAGAGTTCAGGGTCATGGCCATACTCTGCACATCTTATTGGAACCCCTGTTTTTTTTTTATTATTTACCGGCTTGATGACTTAGTTTTGGAAATTCATTTGCAAAGTACAAATTTAACTTTTTTCATGGCAAAAACTTTACAGTATAGATATTTTTCCTCTTAAATGAATATTGAAGTTTTTACCTCATTCCATCGCTGATAAAAGCTCCCTTGGCGACGCATGCTTCCCTAAAGAGCAGAACAAGGTTTTTTTTGTCATACACATTAAGATCACACATATTTCACTTAATACCAAGCAGGTTTCTCTGTCGTTCACAAATGCCTGTTCCCACTCGTGACCTCACCCTGCAGTAATATCACACTGTTTGAAAGACTCTGTGTCGTCACTTAGTGAGACGAGCAGCTACACAGATAGCCTCTCAAAAATCAGGAATTGGTTTGAGGCTGCTCTTTCATTATTTAATGTTTGTCTTTCACTATAACTGTACGTTGTTTACACATGGTGTGTACTTACAGCATTGCCCCAGTTGGTGTATTTCCTCTTTTTCCCATCAGTCCAGAAAAAGCCGTCCTGGCTTAAACTATTCAAACCAATCCAAAGGTCCGTAGTTGTTCCCTCAGCCAATTTTGTGGTTAAAAAAGCTGTAATTACAGAAAGAAAATATTTTTTTCCTGATATTTTGCCTCAAATTCAAACACAGTTCTTGGAAACAATAAGTACTTTACAAAATGTTTTACTGCCTAAAATCAGGATTCAGATTTCATACTCTATTACACAAACAGTCAAATCTGTTCATGAGGATCACAGAGCAAAAAGGTGGAGAACAGTTGAACAAACCTTGTTCTCGACGCGTGGGAATCGAGACTAAATTGCCTCCCATGGTGATGCATTGTCTCCTTGAGTCTTCCCAGGTCATCTGCCGGTTACTGATGATGCTGTAACACTACATGTGAGAAATGAAAATTTAATTAAAGAAATGGCAAAAAATTTAATCATGCAGACAAAATATTAGCTTGGATGTGTTCCCCCCTTTGTTTGACACTCTCAACAAAAGCTTTTTGTCTTGATGCCAAAGGTCATTGACCCATATTTGAAGGAGAACTACGTCTTCGTATGAGTATGCTATTTGTGGGTTTGATTTTTCCATCCAATAACTCCTCTATTTATAATGTATATGCATTTTTGCACTTTAGAGTTGAATGAAAGCTGCTTTAGGTCTGGGGTGATTACTGACCCTTGAATCAAACTTGGTCCACTTAATGGGGCAGCCACCTGTCGGGGCAGCAGTGGGAGCAGCGGTAGTGTTGACAGGAGGTGTGCCGCGTCTTTTGCAAATAGAGTAGTGCTCCTGGCCGCAATTAGAAGTTCTCCAGAAGCCTACAGGAGCAGCAGAGCGTTTTATTTACAGCAGCAATTTGACTTCATCCAGAACATTAAATATGTAATTGACTCTGTGATTAAAGTTAAATATCTTTAATTTGCTTGAACTTTTTATCTCAGTATTACTCACCCATATAATAGGTCATAGCAACACAGTTCTCATCGAAGGCGTTAGGATTTGGCTGATTTTCATCCCATCTTTGTAACCCCACCGAAGTGCCATCCAACCACCTGAAGGCACACAAAGTTTGGCTTTAATGTAATATAATCTTCTATCCTTGTTATTTGCTTTTCTAAGATGGATGAGAAGTCAACCTACTAAACACAGATGTCATGCTTGATAGCAACGATAGGGTCAGTACACTTACAGGAGATAATTCATCAGATAAACTTTGTATTAAATTGCACAGTATTTATTAATACTCACCAGAATGACCCATCGAGATCCACTGACAAGCCGATGTAATAGTGCCCATAGCTTCTGGAAATCTGTGAACATGCACACAAACATACACAGGCTTTGAAAACCTACTTTCCTGCCAGTTAGTGGCATCTGAATGTGAAAACCAACATAACAGCCCACCTGCTTCCATATAAAGACGTTTTCATCCTTGCTGGAGATAGATACCAGGTCGCCATGTCTCTGCTGACAGTAGTGTCGAGCATCCTCCGCAGACATCACTATTCTGTTAATATAATACTGACTTCCCCTCCAGACGAGCCAACCATCTGTTGTGGTGTTGAACTCTGAAGAAAGGAGCAGTGTCATTGTTTTGAAATCTTTTCACGTTGTCCCTCATAGCAGAACATTAAATACCAACACTCTGAATGATTATGCAGGAAACGTTCGGGGTAACGCTTTACAATAATCTTAACTTATAAATGGTAAATAGACGATTTATAAATGGTAAGCAGATAGTTTATTAATGTTTAATCATCATTTATAAATAGCATATAGACCATAAATAAATTGTAAATTTTACCATTTATAAATTATGGTTATTCGACCATTTATCACATTTGGTTTATCTACGTTTCGGGATAGATCGATGGATGGGTTGGCTGATTATTTGGGCAAATAAATGGCCTTTTAATGAAATCAGCATCAGCTTTCACAAGACCACTATCACCACGGTCTTCTCAAATTGAAAAAGCTGTTTTCTCAACACCTATTAACAACATATCAAATCAAAGCCAGTTTTTAATGTTGCTTTTCAATTTTTGAGTATGGTAAATTATAAATATTTGATACTGATACTAAAGTTACACGTGCCTAATCATGTGGTCAGTATCTCCTTTTTCTGTATGTTATCACTAACTTTTTGGTTGAGTGTAATTAAAAAAATTAGAAGATGCTAACTTACCCACTGCAGTGTTATTTGGAGGTGGTTTTGGAGTCACGCCTGTAAACCCATAAACTTTTATTATTACATGAAAAAAGAGACAGCACATACATCTACACAGTCTTTCTACAATGTGGATATCAGATCCTAGAAACATGGGCAGCTTTAAGCTCTAGATCTGTTTAAATGCTACAAAGCAGTGAACAAATAAAAAATGGAGGTATAGATTAGTAAGAATATGTCTGTGAAAATAAGTCAGCAGTTAAAAATCTTATCCAATCATTTAATGTCCTTAAACCGGCATGTCCAAAGTTATCTGTTTACTGTTTCATTATAAAAGGCTCCTTAAATCTTCTGATTTCCTCTGAACTCCTTATGAAACTCGTGACAGCCAATTTCCCAGCTTTACCTGCTCGGATCTGACACAGCCAGTCGTTGTAACTGTCACAGTTCATGTCGTTCCAAGCGCCGGGTTCATCCCAGTGATACAATTTGAATTCAGCACAAGACTCATCGTTATTATGGTTGTTTGGCTCTCCTTCCTGCCAGTGCTGGAAGTTTACCTGTAAGCACGAAGAAAAACACGTTTACGTCACAAAATAAGGTTTGAAAATATTTGGTGTATTAAACTCGCATTAAATCAGATCAAAGTTGACTGACCGCCGATCCATCACTCCACGCGAAACCGGTGCTCGACTCAGGAATGTGAAGTCCAATCCAGGCTTTTCCATGGCTGTTGACACAAATCACAAACGCTATTCATCCTCATGATCCTATTTGATTACATGTTGTTGCCTTTGCTTTCCCACACCAAAACTACTAGTTAGTTAAACCAGTTTTGTATTAGTATTTTTTTTCCAAATACTTTTATTGAACAGAGTAACAATATTGAACAATATGTCCATTCATCGATACAATTCACCTGAACTTTTTCTTTTTTAAAATAAACAAACATATACACTCATGTATACAATCACAAATAAACATGGAAACCAAACATTAAACAACTATTGTTCACACAATACAAAAGACAGCAGTCTTACCCACGGTGTCAAAGCCTCGGTAGCAAAATGTACAAACAAACCACCACAAAAGTAGTCCCAAAAAACTCTCGAATCAAGTACATTAATGCCAGCCTAACAAAAACAGGAACATTGAAAGAGAAAATGAAGAAATTTTACAACAAAATGCGTGGCCACCCACAATGCATTGCTGCCACCCAAAGCACTGTTGGAGCATGTCCACGATGCATCCCATCGGCTCATTACCTTCGAAGGATATTAGAAGGATATTTAGCAGACTTCCAATGCAGCAATAAGGAACGTCTTGCTAATAAAGAAGTGGAAGCTATAATGTCCTTTTGCACGGAGTCCAACACGAGTGAGGGGTTAGGAATCCCAAATATAGCAATCAGAGGACAAGGTCGAAGATTTACCCCGAGAACAGTGGACATAATAGCAAAATAACCAGTCCAGAAACATTCTAGATCAGGACAGAGAAAAAACATGTGGCTAAGGTGGCGAGGTGAACCATGACATTTATCACATCTGTCCTCCACTTCTGGATAAAGTTCAGACAGTCTTGATGTAGAGAAATGTGCCCTGTAAATGACCTTAAATTAAATAAGTGCAAGACGAGCACATGAGGAGGAAGAATGTATCCTGTTTATGGCCTGCTCCCAGGACTCATCATGGATTTGCGTACCTAGTTCACTCAAATTTAGTATCAGAATGATTGTCAAAAGCCAAGATATTACCATACCATGATCCCTCTGTGATGAGGAGTAAATGAAAGCATGGTTTCCCACTGTTGTTCTGGAGGTAAAGAGGGAAAATCAGGGAAACACTTAGCCACTAATGTACAAATTTGGAAATAGCGAAACAGATAAGTAGCTGGGAGACAGTGGCGAGAGGACAAATTAGCAAAGCAATCAAAGATGCCATCTACATTCAGATGTCTGAATTGTGTAATGCCTTTGTCATGTCACATTGAAAATACAGAGTCTGAAAGTGATGGAAGAAATAAACGGTTGCCTTTAAGGGGGGCCAAGGAAGACGCAGCCACAAATTTGAAGTGCCGTCTGAACTGATACCAGATCTTGAGAGTCTTAAGAACCACTCGACTATCGGTAGATAGAGAGAGTAGAAGAGTAGAAGATCCCCTACAGGATGAAAGTTCCAATCTACACCAAGAAACTCCAGAAGATTTCAACCAATAGGAAACTTTATGGATGTGAGAAGCCCAATAATAAGATAGAAAGTTAAGTCAGACGATACCAAGCACCCTCAATGTCACGAAGCTGGCGCCTGACCTCGTTGAACGCAGCCCGGGCTCGAGCTACCTTAACAGTGAAGTCGGGGAAGACTGAGATGGACAAATCTCTCACTTTGGTCTGTCGGAGCTCTCTTGCGCGGCGCAGCACATCAACACAGTCACTCTGATAATGAAACCTGCAAACAATGACGCGTGGACGATCACCGGGTTTGGGTTTGGGCTGCAGGGTCCGGTGGCACTGGTCCAACAGTGGCTTCTCTTCCAGACCAAACGCCTCCTTCAGCAAGAAAGCCACAGCCGCAGTGGAGCAGGAATCGGGACCCTCCGGTTCTCCCATGATCCTAAAGTTGTTTCGCGTGATTGGGACTCCAGATTTATTTTCCAGCTTGGCCACGGTAACGGTGAGGGAGTTGATTGTGCTTTTCATCTCGGTGATATCAAATCCTGCTTGACTTTCCTGAAGTTCCCTCTTAAAGATGTCGGCAATGTCTTTTCTCAGCGAAGCCAGCAACTCAAGTTTAAGGGCAGTGATATCAGGGTTAGCTTGCTCCGAAGCAACATCGGCTGGAGTCGCCGGCTCACTCGAGGCCGTGGTCACGGCATGCAGGCTGGGCCGCAGCTGAGTCTGAATCGTGTGTCGGGTTTTAGATCCTTTCCAGCCATTTTTCACAAACAAGTATTCACCTCTTCAACAAAAAATACTTGAGGCCGAATATATGCCAAAAAGCGCGGATAACAATTTTTTTTTCATCAAAATCGTCAAGCACTTCCAGACTCATGTCCTACTCCATCGAAGCCACACCTCCTCCCCCCTTTGTATTTGTATTTTGTATTCTATAACACTCTTACCTGCAAGAGCGGTCTTTTTTTTTTTTACAGTATCTGACTCTTACCTTCCCACTCGTAGGTCAGCTTCACTATGGATGCTTAGCAGGTCTCCTCCAATGGCTCTACAATAATCTCTGGCTTCATACCAGGTCTTCTCGTGCGATCGAGGGCCTGTGAAAAACTTGAGCACATGACAGAAGTGGTGGTCTAAATTAAGAGAGATCAGGTACATACAGGCATGCAGCACTGTGGTGACCATTTTGTGATGATTTTATGAAAAACTCTTAGTTAAAGTCGACCTATGGTTGTACCTTAGCGCAGACGCTTCTTGTTCCCACTCGAATCCAGCCCTCAGCACACTTCGGAGGAGACTGCGTGGGTGGCATTGGGGTCAAAACTGCCCCCTCTGCCAGGTGCTTGCAGATGTATTTCGCAGTATTGGTGCAAGGCAGCAGATCCCACAGGCCAGCTAAAACCCCAGTTGTCATAGCAACACACCCCTGTTGGTAACCTTGAGTTTTTGAGGGAGTAAAAAAAGATCAAATGTAAATTATGAACAAGCTGTTTGTTCCCTCTGGTTTAAAGATGTATGTATGTACTTTCTGTATACCTGGCATCTCAGCATTCCAGTGTGTATATGTGACTTGAGCACCGCTGGTCCACACAAATTCATCGATATTCTTCATGTTGGAAAGCCCAAGCCAGAAGTTTCTCTCTGGTCTCAGCCCCACCAGGCTAACGAGAAATGCATTGTCTACCCTGGAAAAGTTCACACAAGTGTTTTTTTATTTTTTCTCTCTCCATAAATTCTTGTTAGAAATGTAGTGTAGTACATTCACACCAAGGTCATACAATGAAGCTTTAAAATCTTCAAATGTCCTCACCCATTGGCGACATCGGCTAAGTAGGAGCCTGAGCTCTTGCAGTGCTCTTTGGCATCGTCAAAGGTCTTTGTTTCTGTCCCTACAAAGTAGCAGTAGGATCCATGTCTTTTCCAGCCCTGAGGAAATCCAAATACATCTTTGAGTAGAAGTATGATACAGGCGCTTAGCTGATCTCCAGCTGAACGCTATGTTAGTACAGTTATTTGCACTCTGTTCAGCCAGACGCCTCTGAAGGGTTCTAGCTTCTTACACCACATGTAAGTCCACTTACAGCTCTACAACCTCTGTCCAGTTCTACTTCCTCTCCAGTTTGCTCAGCATCGCTCTGCCTCATACAGATAAAGCCATGTTTCTCATCACATGAGCGATCTGCCCAGTTGCCATTCTGCAAAAAAAAACCACTGTAAGGCACTAAAATACTTTTACATGAACATACAACATACCTATTTTCTTTTAGGAGATGAAACAACAGAAGGACAATAGAAAGATCTTTCCTACTATTTCCTGCTGTCTACTTGTTTTTAATTGATATCAATTTTCCCAAAATAGTCACAAACCATCTCATAATGAAGTGCTAAGTGAATCATTGAATAAAAGCTTACATGATGGGTTGAACACCTAAATTAAAGGAATATTACGGCGTAAAATTAAGTTAGGGTCAAACACACCGTTACATCGAGTTGGACACCCCGTCGAGAGATGAATGTTGCAGACCGCTTGCTTCTCTAGTTATACCAACTTTAGTAACGACCATAGATCGCAATATAGAAAAGCCACGCGCTCAACCAAAACGCCACTCTATAGCCACAAATAATGCTCAGAACAGCAGCTAACTTCATCAACAGGACATATAGGGTCACAGCCAGCACTAGCCACCAAACATCTTTTTAGCTTTGCCTAATTTCTTTAGCAAAGAGACTAAACACAACTCACCTACTCTCTTCCAGCAGACCTCTGAGCGAGTCCATCGACTGCAGCGGGGTGACACAGCTCAAGGAAAAACATTTATGATCATTTCTTTATCATATCGGTCTGATTGCATTTCCATGAAGAAATGATCATAAATGTTCTTCCTTGAGCTGCGTCACCCCACTGCAGTCATTGGACTCGCCCGGAAGGTCTCTGTACAAACAAGCAGCTGCTGGAAGAGAGAGGGTGAGTCGTGTTTAGTCTCTTTGCTAAAGAAATTAGGCAAAGTTAAAAGATGTTTGGTGGCTAGTGCTATGACTGGTACCCTATATGTACTGTTGATGAAGTTAGGTGCTGTTCTGAACATTATTTGTGGCTATAGAGTGGCGTTTTGGTTGAGCGCGTGGCTCTCTGTATTGTTATCCACAGTTGTTACGAAAGTTGGTAAAACTAGAGAAGCAAGCAGTCTGCAACGTTTATCTCTCGACGGGGTGTCGAACTCGACATAACGGTGTGTTTGACCCTAACTTAATTTTTACGCCGGAATATCCCTTTAATATGAATTTTCTCAAACGAGTAACAAACCATCTCAAAATGAAGATCTGTGAATAAAGTTAAGGCCAAACCTGTGCAAACATCAAAGCCACAAAATGCTGCATACCTCTCCTCTGATGAGGACACAGTCATCTGAATCACCAGAGACTGTCGGTTTTCCGTACTCCCAGCTGGTGAAGGTGACTGTTGAGTACTCACTCCAGTCAAACAGCCCCTCTGTCCTGATGTCATTCAGTCCAATCCAGAGCTCATCTGTGGACGCTGTAGACATGGACAGGAAAGAGTAGATGCTGCTAACATGCTCTTTACACTGCAGTGAAAGAAGTGTTCACCTCCCTCCACGCTGACAATGTTAGACCAGTTTTTACTGCTCATTATGTTATGGCTGGTCGGTGTATATTTCCTTTAATGCTCATTATTAGAGTTTGTGAACATGGTTTTAAAAAGTCAGCTTTTTTAGAGCTAGCTTAATAAATTCTGACTACTACTTATAAAGGAAGCCTCCCCGTGCATGTCCCCAGTCTTACTACTGTAGGAGGTTTGCCCTGTTTTTTTTGTCTCCTGTCCTCACCCACCATAACCAAGTTGGGAGATGACAAAGCTTTGGTCCTCCACGTTATTGATGGTCGCGAGGTCTCCTCCCTCTTTGCGGCACTCCTTCTGAGCACCAGACCACGTTTGAGGCTGACGGTTAAGGTGGAAGCAGTGGCCGTTGTAGGGGATCCAAGGGCTTGGACAAAACCCTTGCTCAACTGATGAGAAGAAGAACAAAACATTAGGGTTTAAAGACTAAACTCTCATTTATGGGCAAGCAGCTGGAGGAAGATAGACTGGGGGGGGTTTCTGTACTTCGTGGAGGACTTGGTGCTGTCCCGTCTTTGTAGCAGATGTAACCAAGTTTCTTGACACAAGATGAACTTTGCCAAGTGTGCTGTGCACTAGAGTCAAGAATTGCACAGTTGTGTCCTGGATTGGGGAGAGGATTTCCTGGAAAACAAAATAATAAATAGGAGATTATATCAGATTACATCTTTGCTACTCTCACTATGTGTCAGTTATTTAAAACCATGAAGTCATTTCGCAAAGTTTCGTTGACTGGATAACTTGATAAGATGCTAAAACAGTAAAATATATCAACCCAACAGGAACTTAAAACAGTTGTAAAATTCCTCAAAGAGCCAAGGGGAACTCAGAGGTAGAGTCAGGTCTATGTATGAGGAAGGTGCATGTCTCACCTGCATTCCATCTCAGGTAACGGAAGGGCTTGGCATCAGACCACTGCCAGCCGTGTTCTGGGTCCAGGACAAGTCCGATCCAAAGTTTGTGTTTCCCGGTTGCCAATAGTGCTGTGTGTTTTTTGTTTGTTTTCAAGGTTGAGAGGGACAAAAAAAAAGGGAAAAAGACAGAGTAAGAAATAGTTCCTCTTTCTCACTTTCTTCCTCTTTTACATTTCTTCAAAACATGCTCGGAGAAGACAGGAATTCATCAAACAAACACATAATACAAGCTGATTACATAAAAACAGCAGTCAGAAAATAGTATCAGAAATAGTAACCGGTGTGATTGCTTTGTTTTTGGTTTTTAGTATTTAAGTGTCGGTATTAGTTCAAGCAGACAGTGCCACTTGTTTGTAAAGCGAGTTTAAGCATGAAGCCACTCTGCTACAGATCCAAGGGTATGAGAGGTGGAGCCGCACAGTGAACAAAGTCGTACAAAAGTTAACAGGGACAAGTTCACCAACGAGTGAGGCAGAGTTATTATCAATATAGAACAGGTAATGAGCCAAGGCAAATGGTGTCAGAGTGTAATGTCTGAAAACGGCAATCTGAAAAGATCTTCTTAAAATGCTCATTTGTGGTAAAAAATTACTGATACCACAAGAGCTCCTTTTAGAGAGATTATTACATTTTATTATCTTTAAGTGTGATGATTACACTTTGCAACACATTCAATTTATTTAATCAATTTTTGTTCTATATATAAAACAGATTTTTCTAAAAATCAGCCTTATAAGTGGGGGACGTACTACATTTGTATTCCTATATTCAGGTCATTACGGTAGTTTTCTTGAACAAAACAGATTGCATAATTTCTCCTCTTTGCTCAGAGTGTCACAGTGATCCTTTGACTCAAAATGTGGGCAAGTAATTTGCAGTCTAAATGTTTTTTAGCTCTTTACATAAAAATAAGTAAATAATAATTCAGCCAACAATTGGAAAAGATTTTAAATTACAGCCAAATAAAAAGAGTGGTTTGAAAAACTAACAATACATGCTGATTTCACCAACTTTAATCACTATTTTCATGTTAATTAATAATGTCTGTTTTGAAAAAAATAAGAGGGAAAAAAGCCAAATTCAGGAACCCGGTAGCATTGAAGTGACTTGTTCTTTGTGCCTGTGCAACATTATGTCTAATGTCATAAAACTGCATTGAGAAGTGACATTATAAAAGTTAGCATTTTCTTCTTTTCTCGCCTCATATTTTCCAATATTTTATTTAAAATTTGAAAATAACCCTGTCTAAATTGTAGTTGAAAGCTTAAACTTAGTAAATGAACTTGTCTTTTTTGTCTGTTTCAGTACCAACAAACACCCACTAGGTGGCAGCTTACCTGCAACGAAAGCCTGCTCGTTGGGATCCACCACACTGAGCAAGACGGCCCCCTGCTGTTTGCAGCTGGCTTCAGCCTGGGACTGGGTCAGAACTGACTGGGTGTTGAGCTGGTAATATGCTCCTGTTATGAGGTTTTTAGACCAGTTATCCGTGGCTGTATTTCGACAAAAATGTCAAAAAAAGGAAAAGAAAAAGATTCAGTTGATTGAACATTTAAGTGTAGAAGTGTTGCTCCTAGCTCAACATGCATCTGATTTATTGTCATAACAATCAGATCGCTAGTGCAGAACTTACAAGTAGTCGGGCAGTATCCCCACTGTTCATTCTCATATCTAGTTCCAATAGCACACCAAGCCCGCTTCGATGAGGAATCGTACGTAGTGCAGTCTCTAAACCAGCGGTCTTTGTACAGGAAGGGAAACATGCAGATCTTGCCAAATGCATTCCCCTCAAGGGTATAAAGTTCTGACAGGAAAAAAGAGAATGAGCAGATTAAACCTTTTTTAGTTTAAGTGTAATATCCAGGAAGGAATGATTGATTTTGCCTATTAGGCGTTATCATTTAGTGCTTATAAGAAACAGGTACAAAAATGAACCACAATGATGTTGTTAGTTATCAGCAGCAGTAACAGCATCTAATCAACAGATGATGTGCTCATTTATTGTGTCTGTTTCCTAAAGCTACACACTCCAAGTCACTGTTTTCATACTGTACCTCTGTATGTCCTTGAGCAAGCACCGCTGGATGTCATCGTGATTGTGAAGTGACTATTTGGTCCAACAGTTCTGGTGAGACCGATGGATTCATGTTCATCGACGGTTAGGTACAGGTTTGTGCCCTTGAGGGCAAGCAGTGTTTCGTTCCTGCATTCCCACTTTTGGAGGTCACTCTTCTCGTCACAATCGTACTGGGTTACTTCACTCCCCACACTTTTACCCTGCACTCCAATGCACTTTTTGCTCTCGACAACTAAAAGCCGATTGTTGGTTGTCCAGCGCACTTCCGGACAGCGAGTTGCTCTTCTCGGGAAACAAAGACGAGTCGCTCGGTTTACGAGGGTGAATGGAGAATCTGGAGAGAGAAGGGAGAAAAATAATCAGGGTATGTTGCAAAACATATTTTTTTTCTTATAAACAAGCTATATAAATGTAAAAAATATATATTCATATACAAATTTTGTATGTATTTCAAATGGCAAAGGAAATCTTGATTTAAAAAAAAAATGTTCTGGGGTTTTGTGGATTTTATCAAGTCTACTGTCTAAAAGCTGTCAGATAGTCTTGGGCAAAGTAAACAAGGACTTGCTTATTGTCCTAATCTGTGCTTCCTTCTTTCAAAACATGCTCCTCTGTTTGCTGTACTATCATACAAAAGCACTCAGTGCATCCTTTGTGCTGCAGTCATGTCAACACTGGTTCCAATAACATATCACCTGTAGATTAAAGTCATCTCTGATAACAGTCTTGTAGTCAAACTGCAACAAATGCATGAAGATAGCTGGTTCTTACATGAGCACAAACACATACTGACAGGCCACAAACATCCACCACACACCTTGAACGAAGCCCATACAAACATATACAGATAGTCATTTTAAAACTGTTGATTGTATACTGTACCATTTGTTGGTCCTGAGCATTGAGCTGTTGGGATGAAGAGCACAAAGGCTGCTAGAGTTATCCTTTGAGTTAGCATTCTCCTGATAAGTCTCAGAGCAGCATGCATGCTTGCTCCCTGCATTGCAAGCAGAAGACTTATGAGCATGAAGATGAAACAGGGACGACCTTAATGCCACTGCCACTGTCCGTTTTTTTTTTTTTTCAATGAGAAAGAGTCATGTCGCAGAATGGCACATTTCAGCAATTTGCTACTGGTAAAAGGGGGAGGAGAGGGAAGTAAGGACAACATACACAATTTACCAACACACACACACACACACACACACACACACGAACACACTTTGTTGCTTGCACGGATGTCTCCAAAAATGGTTAAACTAAAAAAAAAAAAAGTGGCCCCCTTGGCTTCCTGTCTTGGAAAAAAGAAAGATGTGAAAGAGAGTTGTACTAAACATGACTCATCAGAGTCAACGGTCCAGAGCAGCATCCCCGGACCAGGACCTGCCCGCTCTGACCTTTCACTGTTGGATTTTTCAAATGTAGAACAGGGACTCTGCAAACCAGAAATCTGACTATGCATATGACTGTAAAGAATCAAGAATCATCGTAATATTACACTTATAATGATATATCACTACCACTGAACACAAACCATCTGTGTGACAGTAGGGATATGTTAAAGTATGTTCAAATAAATCAGCTTAATATGAAAGTTTGTTTGTTTTTGGTAACTTAGAATGAGCCTTTCACATGTACATCAGGAGTGGGTCCCTCACTACAGGCTGCCATCTTGCACCACTATGTTTGTACAGTAGCACAGAACAGACAAACTTGTAATAAGGCACTTTTTATTAAGTGAGCTGCTGCTCAGTGGAAAGACAAAGACGAGAGTGGTTGTTATTGCATCGATATAGCTTTTTTTCCGAGAAGGCCACCGTCACTTCACCAGTAGGATGAGTAAGTAAGGGTTCAATCTAGGTTCTGACTGCAAGATATTACTTTACATGTTGAATGATTGCTGTTTGTTTCTTTAAAAATACTTTTTTTTTTTTTTCGACTGGCATGGAGGTTTGGCATTTCCTGTTTTTTATCACACAACTTAAAAGAGCAGCCGAGTCTTTAATAAGAAGTGAGAGCAGGGAATGCATTGGCCAAGAAAGTTACTACTTCACAGTGAAACTCTATCGTGGAAATGCAAGGAAAAAACGACGGTGAAGTCAGTACTTAAAGATAGGATAAATAGATCCTGCAAGTTTGAGTTCATTTAGGTTCACATCGTAATTGTGAAAGACATTTAGAAAGCTGAAACCTTCTTATTGAGCTACAAATGTCTTCGCTCAGCCCTACGATCTACTAGTAACATCCAAGCAATCACAAAGCATGCTTGCATCATCCACAAAGCCACCAATAGGATAGTTTTTACTCTTGATTTGCTTTGATGGCACAAGAAAGAGCTCAAAACTGCTTGTAAGGGCTTACAGAGCAAATTTATATTGCACTGTTGCTGATGGAGAGAATTTTTGTGCATCCTGAGTGTAGCAACACAATATCCTGTTCTGGGGGGGAGGGGGGCATTCATATGTTGAGGTTTGCTCTCCGTCTGTTCCTCAACATCCATCATAGCATTTTGTATTTTCACTTCCTCTTCAGTTATTCTCCTTTTTGGAGACTGAGGACTGCACTGAAATACGAGCAAAGGGACCAACGTTTAATGAGGCCTATGAGCAGGACTAGTTTTTGAAGGGGTTTCACAAAAGGTCAGAACTCGGGAACATCAGAACATGACAGAAAAATACAATTTGGCTCTAAACCAAATCAGTGTGGAGCTCATTTTTACTTGCCTGGTTTAAAATTTATACTCATTAACTCAACTCAACTTTATTTGTAAAGCACTTTAAAACAACCACAGCTGAACAAAGTGCTGTACATAAACAGGCAAAACAACACAGAAATAATAAAAAAAAAAACAATCAAAAAACAATTAAAACAATGGATAAAATAAAAGCAGATATTAAAAAGTAAAATACAGTTTCAATGTTTTTAAAAACTAATTTAAAAACATAGAAACAAATAACTAAAAACAAACCATAAAACACTAAAACAGGAGTCTCATGCAGGGTTGAAAGCAAAAGAATAAAAATGGGTTTTAAGACGAGTTTTAAAAATGGACAGTGTGGGGGCTTGTCTGATTTGGAGGGGTAGCTTGTCCCATAATTTTGGGCCACAACAGAAAAAGATCTAGAAGCTCAGAGAGGTAAGATGGAGCCTGACCATTAAAAGATTTAAAAACAAATAAAAGAATCTTAAAATGAACTCTAAAATGCACGGGTAACCAGGATGGGAGTAATGTGCTCCCTCTTACGTCCTCCAGTTAAGAGCCGGGCGGCTGCGTTTTGTACTAACTGGGGATGTGAGAGGGAGGACTGGCTGACTCGAAAGTAAAGTGCGTTACAGTAATCCAGCCGAGATGTAGCAAAGGCATGGATTACTGTTTCAAAGTGCTTACGTGCAAGGAAAGTCTTTGCCTTCGCCAGCTGCCTAACATGATAAAAGCTGGATTTCACTACTGAGCTAATTTGCCTGCCGAATTTAAAATCACTGTCCATCTTAAAACCCAAATTTGAGACGGTTGGCTGTAAATAGTCTGATAAAATATCCAAGCAAAACATCATGTGCACAAGTAAATACCTGCAGTATTTCTCATGGATCACAGTGACTACATCCAATTAGCATACACCTTGACTCACTCTTTATGAGGGAGCTGATCGTGCTGTATGTATAACTTTAATTCCTGCCCTCAAGTGTGTACATGCATTCACTAATTTAATATCACTTTTTTCTTTTTTTTCTGTTCAATTAAAAAAGTGTTCTTCTCTTGATGCATTACTATGAGACTCTATATAAAAAGAGAGCTTAAAATATTTTTATATTTTCATTTTCTTGAATAACTTCTGCTACTCTAACTTATTGTGATGCACCTGTAAAAATAAGTATCCTACCAGTAGTAGCACTACCATTGATCTGTCTGTGAGCCCATTAAGTAATCTGACTTTGTATGTACATGTGTGTCTGTGTGTTTCTTTATCTCTCTAAACCTTTGCACAGATGATGCATGAGGTTAAATAACCGTCTCTTTGCTCTCAGAAGATCTAACAGTTCAGCAGACATCATTGAGATAGGTTGCTTAAGGTAAAAGAGACAAAGGGTTACAGATGGACTGAAAATGTATCACCAAAATATTTATAAAACCAAATTTTATGCAAAGAATTTCATATTTGCTGACTTTTATTGCACCATTATGCATTTATGAAGTTTTATTTTGGCGTAAAGACTGTTAACCTAACTCTGTAGAACATGCAGTGTTTCATTTTCCTTATATTATTCCTCTCTTGAAGGTGAAGCTATGCTTAGGTTACCACGTACACTGCTTGACAGGATATTTGACCTCAATTGACTTAACCCCAGACATCAGGGTTTACTGATTATTAAAACAGTTAATTTATGCAGCATTCATGGTTAATTTATCAGATGGATTAGCAGGATGAAGAATACAATCCTCAAACAACTTGGCATAATTTTCCCTTCATTAATAGTTTGATGCTGACTTTCATTTTCACGCTCTCAAAGACTTCTGTAATCTGTATCTTTACTGCCGTCTGGAACATTCAGCGTTGAGATCTTCTTGTAAACTTGAGCTCTGCTTTGTTAAAGTCATCGAGGTGAAGTCATAAAGACAAGAGCAGCGGAAATGTATAGCAGTTGACTGAGTACACGCTGGACTTTAAGCAGGGATTTATAGATAAGGAGTCCCGCACATAGCTCAATTGTTGTTATAAAAGTTGTCCTCAAATATTACAGGCACAGTGTTAATCGGAGGTGTGGCGATCATGCTGCAGGCTTCTCTCCTCTTTCTTTGGTTTTTCTTGTCATCTGTCATTTCCCTTCAAACATGAAGGAAGCGTCTCTTCTGGTGTCAGGTAAAGATCTTCACAGCTTAATCTTCTTCTTCTTTCTGTATCATCATTTCACTCTGGGAGGTGTGTATTATTTTTTTGGTTTAATAAGATATGTGAAGATGGAGAGGATTCACCAAAGTAGTGACTGCTGAGTGACAGTTTATTCTGTCACAATGGTTTTTTCAACACGTGCATAATGGTCCCATTTCTCTCTCACTTTCTTCTTGTCTTATCTCGCTCTCATAAAACGTTTTTCTTTATTTACAGTTCTGTTGGCTGTTGCTTCCTCCTGTACTGTCGAGGAATTCACCTGTAAATCTGGAGAATGTGTTTCTGCTCAAGTCCTCTGTGACTTCAAGAGGGACTGTGGAGATGGCTCTGATGAGGAGTTTTGTGGTACGATAACAGAAACTTCTCTGAATCAAGTCTGATTATTTTGACTGTAGGTCTCGAATGCATTGTGAAGGTATTTGCTGTTATTGACAGAATAACCAAATAGAGAAGCAACAAATGAAAATACATGTATAAATAATGAAGTTTAGAATCCATTTCATATTTTTCTTTTTTTCGTCGTGCCACTCTTCTTGTTTAGGGTCATGTAATTTCGAGAATCACACCTGCGGATGGAAAAACGCCAGCAGTGATTCCTACAGCTGGAGCCGGCAGGTAGCAAATGTCACCACAGTACCTGGACAGGACCACACCACAGGGGGACCATGGGGTAAATATTAACCTGCAGTCACTTTCTGCTGAAGGTGTTCCCGTGTTGATAATCCACAGAAAATGTGTCCGGCTGCCTCGTAAATCCCAGCTGATGTTGTTAGATTAGATTATCCTGTGGTACGGTTGAGTTCTTGGATCTGATTGGTTATCACAAAGGCAGTTTTTAGAGCAGCAGTTTGCTATTGCAAGAAGGCAAACTGTGATTAAGGGTGCTGCTTCAATTACAGACCCAGCAGACTGACTGTTATTGCATGGAATCAATAAAAGAGATGAAAACAGCTGAAAAGAAAACCATCCATGTAGGCGGATGAAGTTAAAACTGAAGATGGTGTATCATGCAGAACATAGTGTGGACTAAGAGGATAAGTCATGTGGTGCTGCTCACATTTTTTAATGAATCCATGGTAGAAATGTGATTAAAGTCCCACTCCAATCTTTTTTTACTACTTAAAGTGTTCTCGGTGGTCTTTAAATTATGATTATGAAGTTTTTAGCCAAAATCACACTACCTGTGTCATTTTCAAGGGATTTCCTTCTGCAGAGCTCCAGTAGATCATTAGCAATTCGCCTCTGAGTTGTGGGCGGAGACAGCGCTAAACTGCACACTCCTCTTCATGCTAGCTTTCAGCCTAACATTGCCGGTGTAGTGGAAGAACCAGGTAACATAGGAGTTATTCAGCTACATAGGAAATCTCACTGTTTCTAAACCTGCCATTTGGATCTGACAGAGGTTCACAGGGATTTGAATGCAGAAATACTCAGAAATGCAATTTCACAGTTTTCTCATGATATGTCCTGTAGCATCGGAAAAATGCCATATGAACATGTTGACAACAAGAAAAACATGATTTACATGTTTGGGGTCTTCAGTTAAATCCTTTCAAGAAGGTTACACAGTAAACCTTTGCTGTTGCTAAGGATGCAGCTACACCTGTAAATGTAACAAACCACTTTTAAAAAAAACTATTTTAATACTTTGATAGGTGAAATAATAGCCATAGACACACTTGCTGAAAAAGATTGATTTCTCAGGTAAGTAGTTGTATAATAAAATTGGGATTATGTGTAGCTGGTGGGTTGTTATAATAGAGGAAAAACCCTGATTGGTGATATAACAGTTATTTCTTATTCCTCTACATGACAGGACACGTCATGTATATCAACGGCACAAAAAGTGGTTTTTTTTCAAAGGCTATCTTGGAGCATGATGTTGACAACCTGGCTGCTTTGGGCTGCCAGATAAGGTATGAAAAACATCCCTCTGGTTTCACCGCATTTGTATTTAATAGTTCTCCTTAACTTCACATGTAGTTATTGTGTTTTGTGAAATACTAGTTCATATGTTTCAGCTTTTGGTACCACATTTACGACAACAAGTCTTCCTCCTCCTCATCAACTTTTGAACTAACAATGGTTCGAGGCCTCACAACGGCAAAGCTGCATGAGATATCTAAAAGCCACACAGACAATTGGGAGAAATCCACGGCCTTCATTGGTAATCAGCCAGGAGGATATAAGGTATGTGAAATATCCTGTATTTTTCAGGCTTTACACAGACTGCAGTGCATACATGAAGAGAATAAACATGGTTAGAGGAAGTTTGTGAAACTTTGTGGTTTCGAGTTAGACAGATCTGATCAGGACAATAAGAACTAAAAATGAACATGTTGTTAGCTTCAGGGTTACTTTTCTGAGATATGTCCTTTGCCCTCTAAGAATAACACCCATAACCTCAGAGAGAAATCAGTAAAAATATCGTCAATAAAAGGGCAATTCACTTGCGCTTCAGTCATAAACTGACGGCTCATTCTGCCATATTTTATTGTGCCGGTTTGACAAAATATAAACGCACATATGCGGAAAATTCATTCAAGTAGTGGCCCACAAGATACTCCAATTAATCTATAAGGTAAAAATGAACCATTTGAAAATTAGCCTTTGTCTGTACATGTGTATATCCCCTCCTCTATTTCCTTATCCTGCTTCTGCATGAACTGCAAATATAAAGTGTTATGAGGAAAGAATTATGGCACCTTTAACTCTTTTATGTGTTTGGTAACTGTTTAGTGTCTTGATTCAGTTTGGATCCAGGATGTAGCTCTCCTAAACTTAGATTACTGTACCCCTTATTTTATCATATCTTTATCTACCCTACATCCTCTGGTTACGTAACAGCTAATTTCCTCCAGGGGAAGCAATAAAGCACCTAAAATCTAATTGTCTTACTCAACTGTATAATAACTTGATTCATACTTATCAACAGAATTATGTTACATAAACTAAACGGGCCATGAAGTGCTGAGAAATCTCACGCTCTGGTTGGTTTGAGGGTCAGGGAAAATGAAGCTGCCACACTAAACCTCTGTTATCTGTTACTTCCTGTAACACTGATTCTCAAATCAACATCAGAGTGAACTTTCCTCTCTCTCTTTATAGCTGCAGTTTTCATTCAGCCCTCCGTTCTTGGATGTCAAAGATGTGATGCTGGATGATATCAGCTTTGAGTACTGCACGGAGGGAGAAATCCCCCCCGGATCAGACCAGCTGTCATGTGATTTTGAAAAGGACACCTGCTCATGGTACCACGATTATACAGCCAGCCTGTTGTGGAAAAGGAATCAGGGAGGTTTTGTTGGCCCTGCTGGTGATGGTGAGGATCCTTTAAACAGTGAAAGATACTTTGGCTTGAATCATCTCAGAACTTCAGTAAAATAAAACGCACCCTTGAATCTCAAGCCCCAGGAGCCTGAAACTCTTGTATGTGTTGATGATTTGATTATTGACATGCATATCTCATTATAAGCATCACTTATAGACGAGTTACAACGTGCATTTTCTTATGTTGCACAGATCAGCTCGAGCTCTAAAGGCCCTGAAAGTGTTTGCCCTGTTCTGACCAGCAAGTTGTAAATCAAAGCATTATTTAAGCTCCTGTGACTGTTTTCACTTTCTGGTTTAAAATATTTCCACACTTCTGACATTTTAGCCTTTTTGTGCTAAGCTACTCTCTTGTTTGCATTCTGCTGCAAATTGCTCTCAGTTTATAACACTTATGTTAAACTCCCAATCTTCATTCAGTTAAAAAATGTCCACATCAGCTCTGATCCGATTGCTAGGATTGGGACGGTCCTAGTTATGAAGTTAAAAATATCTTTATTCTCCAATGTCAAATCCTTGCATCCAAATATTTAGTTTTCAGTCTTTTTTTGGCAAAAAATTCAAATGGCATAACTATATGTGACCTTAATCTAAAGCTGTATAAAAAAGCTGACACTTATCAGTATCCTAACCTTTTTTTCCCTCCCTACAGGTTACTACATGCTCATAAGTGCTAAATCTTCAACTATCTCATCAAAAGCAAGACTCGTCAGCTTCCCCCAGCCTGCAGATCGAGCCATATGCGTGAGCTTCTGGTATCACATCTTTGGCAACAGCATAGGTATGTATCACACTAAAACTGTGCTCCCAAACAGTGTTTCAGCGGTGATCAGGGGATACACAAAGAATTAGGCAGCTCTATCTATCAGCTCTATATCTGCTTCTTTTTAGGTTCTCTGAAGTTCATAGCAAAGTACTCTGATGAGGCAGAGACGGTTGTGTGGATGAGAAGCGGCACGCAAGGAAACAAATGGAGATTCGCAGATTTGACCTTCAACAGTGACAAACCGATACAGGTATTCAATCATGACAAAGACGTCCTGTTGAAAATCATTTAGGATATTTAGACATCTCATCATGAAAAGCTTCAATCAGGATGCAGACGTTGAGCTCATATCCTTGTTGATTATTGTTTTTGTGTCACAGTTTATCATAGAAGCTGAGAACGATGGAGACCAAGGCAGCATTGCCATTGATAACATAATGGTTACTAGTGGTGAGAATGGATCCTGCCCTGCAGAGAGAGAGTGCACCTTCCAGGGCTCCCTCTGTGGTCTTCTGCCCCAACCGTCTGCAAACTTCACCTGGAAACGCAGCAGTGGTTCAACCAAACCCTCGAACTCCTCAGGTCCCTCCACAGACCACACCCTGGGGACAGAGCAAGGTATTATATGAACCTATGTTGTCTAATGCAATATTTGCATATTTATAAAGCCTTTTAAATGCATCCATATCTATCTAGGTTATTACCTGAGCGCCCAGCTGTGGAGTCACCCAGAGGGGTCCAGGGGAGGTGTGATGACGGCGCTGATGGAGCCCACGCCTCCTGAAGGAGAGTGCTTAATGTTCTGGTACCACATGGAGGGAAGTGGAGTGGGGGAACTTAATGTTAACCTACAAACCCCTGACAGCCACACACCTGCAGCCCAGCTCTGGACCAGGAGAGGAGATCAGGGGAAGCACTGGAGGCACGGCAGAGCGACACTTCTCAGTCCAAACAGCCAGTATCAGGTACGCTGAGTTACACCAACCTGGAAATGAGTTAATAACAGGTATTTGTAGTGAGTGATAAATAATTATCAATCAATGCGCATTTAAAAGAAGAATTAAAAGTCTTATCTTTTGAATTAATATCTCTGTAAATTATAATGATTTATAAGCTCTATCTAAATGTTTATCCCTTAAGTGCCTTTTCTCTTTTTTCTGTTTGCTGTAAATTTAATTTGGGGAAATTGTAGTTTTGATTTCACATCTTAACAGTTAAATCTCACTGTGAAACAGGTGCTGCTTCATGACATTGACACAATATTAGTGTCTGAACATGTGATTATGTGTCATAATTGTTTCTGACTGATAAGGTGATGCATTAACTATGCACACACTGTGGTAGCTTACATGGGTCAGCTGCATAGGTCATGTTGGCTGCATGGAAGCATTGAAAGTCTCAGACAAAAACAGTAAAACGTCTGTTTCTGATTTCAGACATTTGACAAAGCCAAGATGTACAGCCGTGACCACACAAAGGTGAAGGAGCGTCATGCAGCTTTAAATCTATCTTCATCCTTATTGTCAGGTGGTTTTTGAAGCAGTGGTTGGGGAGAAGCCAGGGAGAGATATCGCCCTTGACGACCTCACAGTCATGAACGGTGCATGTCCTCCACCAGGTAAGTGTGAGCTTTAACTTCTGAGAAAGAGAAGAATCAGATTTACATGATTTCTTTACAAATCTGGGTCACTGTTCTCAGGTTTTTGTGACTTTGAAATGGACCTGTGTGGTTGGGTGAGCAGTCCTCCTGCAGAGTCTGGGGTGGACTGGGACTGGCTCTCAGGCGAGAGTGGTGGTGTTTTGATTCCAAAAAGAGACCACACCACAAATTCAGCCCTGGGTGAGTGACGCACACTTCAACTAAAACTTTGATCGGGTTTATGAGTATTAATCCAAAATATGATGTTCCTGTTCATTCAAAAAGGCAGAACCTCTGATACATTGCGCATCTTTTGCAGCTGTATCAGTATACACAGCACTGTCAGAAAACCTTTTCTTCTAGTTGTTTTCTTTTCTTTCTCTAGGCCACTTTGCGCTTTTCACTCCCTCTGATTCTGATCGAGAAGTGACTGCCAAACTGGAGAGTGAGACGATGGAGGCTGTGGACCGCGCCTGTCTTGAAATTTGGCACTATGCCGGGGGGTGGACCGTTAATGGTGAGTATGGTCTTATATGCAGTGATTTAGTTAAGTCATGGTCACAGCTGAAAAAAAACATATGCCACTTTTTGACTAAGTTGGATTATACTAGCAAATAATGAAAATACAGTAACTAGAGTATCAGGGTGTACGCCGGTGCTCTGATATTCATGTGAAGAAAGTATCTACAGAAGCCTCCCAACAACCAGAAATTCTGATTATCTGATGATGAGTTTTGGTGCTTCCAGTGCCCTCAGGCATCACGCTGACAGTGTTTGTGAACGAGACTGCTGGACTGCATCCTGTGTGGAGTACGAGAGGGTTCATAAACAGCACGTGGATCAGAGACAGGGTGGATTACAATGCATCAGGACCACATCAGGTACGGATTAGAGATTTCAACTACCAATCGACTAATCAGCAGGTCAGCTAGTCGGCATTGTGGCCAATTGTGTACTAGCCACGTTGATGTGTTTAAAAAACACACTGTTATTTTTTGATGTTATATTTTTAGGTAAAATTATTTTCAGAGAGGGACATCTTGCGTCACAGAATATAATTTTCATTTTGCACGAGAACTATTCTTACTGTCTTACTAGTCGACTGCAACTTTCAAATAAAAGTCCTAAAACCCTTGAAAGGGACTAATATATGACTCTGTTTCATCTCAAACTGTAGATTATTCTTCAAGCCACTTGTCCTGAGTCAGTGCATGCAAGCTTTGCCCTGGATGACGTCCACATCATCAGGGACTTGTCCTGTGAGGACTTGATACCCACCACCACGCCAATCCCTGCCACCACACCCACCACTCCCCCTGCCTCTGCCATGGACTGCACCTTTGAACAAGGTGACTCTATATCACTATATGTGCATAAACTTAAAAGCTTCCCCCCTTTATGAATTTTAAAACCAAGCATTCACAAAAACTGAGAAAGTCATGTTGTAGAATACTTTCTTAAAAACTGAAAGCCCGTTTGTCTGTTAAGATAAATTCTAATCTAAAATCAACAATTTAAGGTTGATGAAACATATAAATATCCACTCATGCTAACTTTAGCCTTTTTTTGGTACTGTAAAGCCAATAACTTGTTGTGTATGCACACCATATCCAGTACCTTACTATCTTACACAACAGGTCTATGCAGCTGGGTGCAGGAGGTCAATGATGATTTGAACTGGACTCTCACTTATGGACTTAAAGTGGAACAGCCGTGGGATGGACCAGAATATGACCACACTGTTGGAAATAATCAAGGTACTGACTACTGCCGCACCGATTTGTCCTAAAAACTGTCATGACAGAGTGACATTTGATGTACAAATATATTGTTTCTAGTATTCAACAAGTGCTGAAATTCACTCTAATAAAGCTCATTTGCATAAACAGGGGTCTATTTTGCTCCAGATGAAGTTGAGACTCATTTAAATGAATGCAAACAGCAGAGGTGCACAATGACTATTCAACCAGCTGTGAAGTTTGTGGATATCAGACATCAGTTTATCAACATTAAAGGGATATTCTGGCGTAAAATTAAGTTAGAAACACACCCCAACACTGAGTTAGACACCCCCTTGAGAGATGTTCTTCCTTGAGCTGCGTCACCCCGCTTCAGTCGACAAGCGGCTGCTGGAAGAGAGTGGGTGAGTTGTGTTTAGTGTCTTTGCTGAAGAAATTAGGCAAAGTTAAAAAGATGTTTGATGGCTAGTGATGTTGCTGGGACCCTATATGTACTGTTGATGAAGTTAGGTGCTGTTCTGAGCATTATTTGTGACTATAGAGTGGCTTTTTGGTTGAGCGTGTGGCTCCTGTGACCGCTGTGTATTGCTATCGTGCGGTCGTTACTAAAGTTGGTATAACTAGAGAAGCAAGCGGTCGACAACATTCATCTCTCGAGGCAGTGTCTAACTCAGTGTTACAGTGTGTTTGACCCTAACTTAATTTTATGCCGGAATATCCCTTTAAAATGGGCAAAAAGAGCTCTGACTGTTTCTGGGCTGTGTGAAGTGATTTTTCCTCACAGTCTGGTGGCCTCTCTGTATTTTTTTTCTTTCTGCCCACTAAGGTTTCTTCTTACTGCTGAACGGATCTGGGTCAAAGGACGAGGAGAGAGCTGTCGTCTCTGTTCCTGTCACCGATCTAACAGCTCAGTTCTGTGTCCGATTCTGGTACTACATGCTCGGGCCTTCGGTATCCAGCCTTGACCTAGTGGCTCAGACAGTATGTGCTTTACCTCTCTATTACTTCAGGGTTATTTGAAGGGTTTTCGCTGTCAGGATTGTGACTTTTTGAGCTGCTTTGGTTTTCTTTGTTGTAGAAATCCTCTGAAGTGTTGGTGTGGACTCGCAGAGGGAGCCAGAATTCAGAGTGGATAAATGCACAAGTAACCATCAACATGGATGATATAACTAAGGTGAAATGAATCTTAAAACACCTATTTATTTGATTTCTTCTCAAATTTTCTTATCAGTGGTGATATTTGATGTTGTCCCCCCTTTGTCCTCAGGTCATGTTCACCAGCCATAGAAACACCAACAGTAAAGGATTTATTGCCATAGATGACATAACACTGAGGGAGGGTTCCTGCAGTAACCAGGGTATGTACATGTTTCATTGTGTTCACAGGATGCTACAACAAACCAGAAATCATTGTGACTTTACCCTTTTTTTTCAAATGACTTCAGATTTGTGCGGGTTTGATTCCAGTTTGTGCGGCTTTGAGACCGATATGGGACACAAAGGTCTCTGGGGTCGCAAAAAAGGCACGAAGGATCAGGTGGACCACACCTACAGAACTGAAAATGGTGAGCTGTACTCGGAGTGTGTAATTATGGCTGACCTCAGCATCACTAGATGACAGTTATAATAATGGGAGCCATTATTTTAACACTAGTTGGTTGCCAATCTGCGGTTTGAAACTTGGATTATGGAATATGATACCGAAACTATACCATGCATGACCAAATCTACGAACCCCATGTCAGTCCTGTCAGCTTCAGTGGGCTGTGTGTTGAATTTTAACCACTCTTAGCATACTAATTCAACAGTAAGCTAGTGAGAAATTTAACCAGCTCAGAAAAAGCAGGTTTGCTCTTTGACTGTGGGGAGATACAGACTGAAACAGCTGCTAGTGTGGCAGTTAATCTGGGTCTGTAATATATGCTCTATTTGAAGCAGACAAAATTGGCTAAGGCATGACATGACCGCATTTGAAAACCATTAACGATGTCTCTGTTGTAGGTTTCTACATGACTGTCATGGAATCGAACTCCACACAGATCGAAGTCGCTCAGCTGCTCACGCCTCCTCTTACCTCAGACTCTGAGATGTGTGTGCGTTTCTGGTGAGTCTAGAGCTGGATTGACACACGTTGCTGTTGTCTGATGTGCATGTTGATGTCCATGTATGTATTATATTGTTTTAGGTACTGGATACCTGCAGGGCCGTCTAACAGCCTCTCTGTGCATGTGATGCGAAGTGGAGAAACAGGGGATGCACTTTGGCAGCGATCTGGAGTGCCCTCAGCAGGCTGGGAGGTTGCAGAGGTCACTGTGTCCTCCCCTGCAAGTTTCTATGTAAGCTTGTCTTCATGGTGATCCTTATACTTTCTGTCACATTTTTTTCAGTTTTCTTTGTGATGCTGCTTTCTGAAACAGTCCGTGTCGTTGAACAGGTGGTGTTTAAAGCAGCCCATGTGCCAGGCTCTGACTCCACAGTGAAATTAGACGACGTCTCTGTGAAAGACGGGGCCTGCAGCCCTCCTGGCAGCTGTGACTTTGAGTCTGGCCTGTGCACCTGGATGAACACCCGCAAAGAAGATGGTCATGACTGGGTGCTGGCCAGTGGAGGTTTACAGGGGCCACCAACAGACCACACAACACAGACCCCAGATGGTAAGACTTTGACTACATCTAAAGAGTGGGATCAACAGCTCAAATTTAGTTCTGATATGATCTTACAAGACAAAAAACACTGTCCCCCTGCAAATACGGTAGCATAATAACTGTAACTGTTGGTGTTTGTCTTGGTTTGTGAACTTCATGGAGGTGAAATTACTTCATATATCTGAAATACTTCAAACTCAGGGTCCAGTAGATGATTTTTGTCGGGTTCTTCTGCTGTTGCTCCTCTTAGCTAAGTTTTAATTTACTTAACTGTTTTGCTCAGGGATGGAAATTGAAAAGGTTTTTTATTTTTTTTTAATCGATCCAATACTTCATCTGTTCCCAATGTCAACAATACATTTACTTTTGGCTGAAAGAAATAACGTCTTTCTTATTTTTGCTCTCAGGTCAGTTCATGTTGAGCTCAGCACTTCACCAGACCCGCAGAAGTGTGGCTCAGGCTGTGTCCGAATGGATCCACCTGAGAGACCCCACCTCATGTCTCATGCTTTGGTACCAAATGAATGACAGGTCCGTAAAAGACAACTACAAACTTCTGGCTTTTACACTTCATACAGTCTGTGACAACGCAGAGGATGCCCTCCATCCGCTTCATCCAGTTTAGTTTCCTCATCGACTTCCTCAGGAAGTGTGCACAAATGTCCTTTAGTCATGAATCACCTGCCTCCCTTTGTGCAAGAAGAGGACTGTTCTGTGGCAGAGTTCACTCTTTACACAGATCTGTGTCAGTCCGATTAAAAGACCCTGTATTAGATCTGTACCCAAATTTAAGGGTTGGAGTTACAAAATGCCGCAATCTGCTCCCAGAGATTTTTTTTTATAAACAACACAGCAAATAGTATCAAATCTAAAAGCATAAAATACACACCGGGCCTGACATTGAGATGGGAGTTCTCAGACATTGCTAGATTAAAGGGATATTCCAGCGTAAGATTAAGTTAGGGTCAAACACACTGTAACCAAGTTAGACACCCTGTCGAGAGATAAATGTTGCCGACCGCTTGCTTCTCTAGTTATATCAACTTTAGTAACGACCGAAGATAGCAACACAGAGAGCCATGCGCTCAACCAAAACGTCACTCTATAGCCACAAATAATGCTCAGAACAGCACCGAACTTCATCAACCGTACACATAGGGTCCCAGCCATAGTACTAGCCACCAAACATCTTTTTTTAGATTAAACACAACTCACCTACTCTCTTCCAGCAGCCGCTTGTTTGTACGGAGACCGCCAGGCGAGTCCATTGACTGCAGTGGGGTGTCACAGCTCAAGGAAGAACATTTGTGATCATTTCTTCATGGAAATGCAATCAGACCGAGACGCTTAGGCAGAAGAACTACCGCGTCTGCAGTGCAAAATGATGAATATGATGATTATTACTTAAAGGAAATGATAAATGTGGTCGTGACTAAAGTTGGTATAACTAGAGAAGCAACATTCATCTCTCGACGGGGTGTCTAACTCAGTGTTACGGTGTGTTTGATACTAACTCAATGAATATCCCTTTAAGAGGCAGGTTACCCATGAGTACGAGCAACAGGTGTTTGATTCTCCTCTAACGTAGGGCAGTCTGTACCTGAGAGGAAAGATTAGGTGTGAAATTGTCTGGTAGAGTATAAACATAATCCCACCGATCAAGCATAAAAAACTGAGATCCCTGTTGGATCTTTTTTTTATGCCAAAGGAGAGAAACAGATAAATGATTTCCAACATTTCCAGTTTCTTTCACTGATAAAAGTCCTGAAGTGATGAATGATACTCTTTGTGTTGTCTCTCAGTGACTCTGGGACTCTGAAGGTGTATATGCGTTCAGGATCTTCAGAGGAGGATCTGCTGTTCAACAGCAGCAGCAGTGGACGTAGCTGGACCAGGTTTTCTCAGACTTTAGAGAGCAGCACACCTTTGCAGGTAAACTTAGACCAACTGGAATAAAGATGAGAGGAAGAATTTTATTAATGACATTCAAAGATTTCTATAATGAATTTACAGCTGCGGATTGAAGCAGAGACCAACACCAGAGGGTTTATTGCTGTGGATGACATCAGCGTCACACCAGGCCTTTGTCGAGGTAAAGATAAGCTTTTTTATTTGAAACAATCTCGTTTATCAGTAAAAGTTTGAGAATGAATAAAATTTCTTTCCTTTAGTGAATGAAACAACTTCAGGATTTGTTGGTTGTTCGTTTGAAAACGGCACATGTGGCTGGGAGGACATCAGCGATGGCCAGCTTCAGTGGAAGAGAGGAAGGAATGCTACTGGGAATACTGGACCAACGGTGGACAACACAGTGGGAAGTGAACTGGGTAAGACCACATAATTCATTCTCCATGACTTCCTCTTTTTAATCACCAGTTGTTTGTAGCAATTATCTTTTTTTAAGCTCATCAGTTCAGTCCAAGCGAGACCAGATAATGCCTAGACCTTTCATGTGGGGGTTCTTTCAGGTTGGTACATGGCTGTGGAGTCTGACCGAGGACCTCAAATGAGCCCAGCAGCCATTCAGAGTCCCACCATGAAACAAGCCAGCAGCACTTGCACACTTCACTTCTACTACAACATGTTTGGAGAGGGTATGTTCTGGATTTAAGAGCGTGTTTTTGTATTCTCAATATGTGACACATTATGATGAAGTCTCTAACTATGAATCTGGATACAGACGCAGAAAAACTGAATGTACTGCTAACAGAGGGCTCCAGAAGCACCACGCTATGGTGGCTTTCTGGTAGCCATGGAGATTCATGGCGCCACGGCGAGGTCACAGTTGGGCAAATCTCTCAGGACTTCGCCATCCAGTTTGAAGCCTCCAGAGAGTTCAACAAGCCGGGACACGTAGCTATAGATGACATAAGCTTCACAAACTGCACTCTGCCAGGTGAGTCACCTGCTCGGCTCTTAGATTTTCTCAGCTGCCTTTTTATTTTCAGTCTGATTTACTGTCTTGAAATCTGATTTGGTTCCCTTTGTAGAACCCCAGCCTCAGTGTCCAGAGGATATGTTCAAGTGCAACAACAATGTGTGTATCAAGCACAGCCAAGTGTGTGACTTCAGCAATGACTGCGGGGACGGGTCTGATGAGAACAACTGTGGTGAGATCTCACAATCGTTGAAGGCTTGAAAATGTGAACATCAAAGGGCGGCAGTAGCTCAGGGGGTAGAGCAGTCGGCCAATAACCGGAAAGTTTGCGGTTCGCACCCTGCCCCAGGCAAGACACTTATCCCACCTTGCTCTCAGTGTGTGTGTCCTCCACTGGTGTATGATTGTGAGTGTTGTGTGGTGGTTGGGGGGCCATAGGCACAAACTGGCAGCCACGTTTCAGTCTGTGACGGGCAGCTGTGACTACTAAGGTAGTTTACCGCCACTAAAGTGTGACTGTGAGTCAATGAATGATGTATCCAGTGTAAAATGCTTTGAGGTCACTGAAAAAAAGCACTATAAAAAATCTGATGCATTATTATTATTATTATTATTATTAAAAGTGGGATAAAGTGAAACCTTTGATAACAGAGAATTTGTCGATTCTGTTCAAAATTAACCGAGGCTGACGATGAAACCTGTAAAACGTTCAGCAGTCCGCTCCCCTCATGCTGTCACTGAGAGGCCGCCACAATCCAAGTCCAGTAAAAAAGTTTATCCTTAAACATCATATCCATAAAGTTGCTTGGATTACTCCACATTTACAGAGGCCATATAGTTATGCTCAAGCTGTCTCCGATCCATCTTCCCATGTAAGCGCTGGTTTGGATCCTTCTTCGTATAACCTCAGCATAAACGCTCCTTTTTAGAGATCACACTGCAAATGATTTGGTTCTTACAAAGACAAAAAAACTTTAGAGTTTAGAAGTGTTCAATATATTTTTTTTAATTTTAAGTGTTTAACTTTACACTATAATCTTATATCAAGCACAGCTTTATCTTTTTTGTCTCGAATAGGCAGGAAATCTTAAAATGAGGAAAATAACTGTTAAAATAAGTTATATTCCATCTTTCTCCCAAAGTCTCATAAAAGGGAATCTTGTTTTAAATTTTAAGAAACAAACCCAAGTTGCTTGATTCAAGAGTTAAACAAAAAGCATCTAGAAAAAGAGTTTATTGCTCTGATTTCAAGCATTTGATGACCAATGTTTGTAAAACTAGCACAGGGAATACAAAACAGGAAACAGGCAAACTCATTTGACCCAGCAAGAGCCCTCTCCTCCTGATCCCAACTTTTGAGCTTTTTTAACATGGAGTCTAGAAAATGTTGTTTGTTTCTCCAGTGTGATTCTTTGAACATGAGTGAAAACACATTCACATAACTTTTCTGTCCTGCTCTCTTTGTTCTTATGACAACAACGTAGAGCAACAAGGTTTTGAGGAGAGCTGCAGCTTCGAGCAGGGCCTGTGCTCCTGGGCAGGAAGTGACGTGGACACGCCCGGAGCTGAGTGGACCCGTCACATAGGACAAGAAGCCTGGCCTGAATACGGGCCTAATAGGGATCACACTCAAAACTCTGCTGCAGGTATCAGACTCTTATCGAGTTGAAAAATCCTAATAGAGCTGAATAGATGACGTCCTCTGTAATTCAACTGTCTGTTTTATTCATGCTCATCAGGTCACTACATCATCCCTGGGTCTCACCTACCAGAGAAGAGCCAGACGTCAGAGATTCTGTCCAAAACCTTACTGCCCAGCTCCAATTGCATTGTGAGTATATCTGCTTTTGTCAAGCCATGTGTACAGAAGCGATCTCAGGTTGGTGCAGAGTTGTGTTCACTTGACATGTCTCTGATTTTATCCATGTAGGTGAGATTCTTCTACTTCAGCCTGGATGATACCACAGCTAGACTGACGACTCAGCTCAGGACCCAGAAGTCTGGTAGCGATGACAAAATGTTGTGGCTCAGAGAGGACTTACAGTCCTACAGCTGGCAGAGAGCAGAGGTCATGTTCACCTCCTCTGTGATTAGCAAAGTAAGCAAGATCACAAACAGATTATTCGAGTAGAGATAAAGCTTCAGACAGCAGGACCTTCATTGATTGATATGTTCCCAGATTGTTATTCAGATTTACGTAAACCTGAAGAGTTTTTTGGGGTCAGATTGTGTTTTTATTTTTTTTATACGATGTCCTTCTCAGATTGTTTTCAGATATGAACGAGGCGATGATCCCAGAGGGCTGGTTGCATTGGACGACATCTCTTTCTCCAGAGACTGTTTATTCGACCCCGACAACAACAAACTGCCGGAAATTTCATCCACCTCTGCACCAGCTACATCCTCCAACCCGCCCACTTCTCCACCAGTCAATCCCTGTCAGGTAAACGACTCCACATCAGGGATTCATGACAGCAAAAAGCAATCTGTGAAACTGAAGAACTGTCATATAACTTTTCTGTGTGTTGCAGGATGATGAGTTCTTCTGTTGGCGTTCAGAAGTGTGTATTTCTGCCGCTTTACAATGTGATTATAAACCCGACTGTGAACACGGTGAAGACGAGGTTTGCTGTGGTGAGCTTGGAGTTACTTTTATTTTAACCGTTCAAAACCCGTTCGAAACAGTGAAAGGCTGGAGCTTGTGAACGTGTAAGCTATATATAGGAGGCGAGGGTATATATTTTTGGTGACAACTTCTCTTCATTCAGCTCTGCCAAAGCTTGCAGCATGTTTTGTCTGTCAGCCTCGTATCTTTTTTTCCTCCTTTTGCAGTTTCTGCTCTGATGGGCTCATCTAGTTTTTTTTTTTCCAGTCAGCCATTAATCATGAATCCTCACAGAAAAACTGAAAGGGAATTGTGACCAACATTTATACTGACCAAAAACTGAATACTCAGAGGTGCCATGCATTATGTCTCAATGCGGCCACACATAGATGTAGATTAAATAAACCCTGGGCCTGTAATTCAGCTAATAATGGCTGAAAACTAATAACCTGTAATACACCAACCTAACCAAAGTGAAACAAAAGTTTGCCAATCCTCTAATTCGAACTGTGCACATTTTTGAAGCAAAAGTTCACCCACAGGTTAAACTTCTCAGCAAGAAAATGTGAAAAGTATCAGATTCGTCTGAAAACATTCCTCCGAGAAATGTGATTCATGAACCAGTCTTCACCTCCCTTTTCCTCTGCAGTGTCACTCAAGTTTGGCTCTAAACTTTCAGGTTCTTGCACATTTGAAGGGGATCAGTGCAAATGGAGCGACACTGGAGCCGGACAGAGCAGGTGGCAGCGACAGAAAGCCAGTAACAACACTGAGCCGCCCACTGATCACACCACAGGCACAGGTGACTTCAGGCTGAGAAGTCTTTTGTCCTGTTGTCCAATTTTGTGAATCAGCAGGACAAATCAAATGTAGAATCTTAAACTAATTCGTACTTTAGATTCAGCTTTGCTAAACAGATTTTTTAAAATTATTTCAGGCTATTACATGAGGGTGAACTTCACTCAGGGCTCCACACAAAGTGAAGCTCGTCTCCAGAGTCCCACACTCTCTCCTTCATCCCTCTACTGCCAGATTCAGTAAGTTATAATCAAGAGAGTTACATCCACAGTGCTCCTGTATCACTCCACATATATTTACATTTATTTTTTATAAAACAAAGTTGAATAACTTAAGTATGAATTGCTCAACGTTTCCCCACTGCCCTTGCTTTTCTGCCACGCAACTCTCTTCCCAATCCAACACTCTCCCCTTCTTCCTTCCTCCTTTCCTGAGTGCAGGTTTCACTTCCACATCAGCGCAGAGAGTGCTGGGTCACTCAGAGTGCTTATGCAGCAAGCTGAGGGGAGTGAAGCAATCCTGTGGTCACGCAGTCACAACACAGGCTCCCACTGGACCCCAGAGCAGCTGCCACTCACCCTGCTGCACCAGGAGACTCAGAAGGTGTTTACAGTTGCATGTTAATACAGAGAGAAGCATGTGCAAGAAAACTGAATCTAGGCTTTGGCTTACATTTATGCAGATTAAATTGGAACATGTAAAATTATATAATTAAGTCTCACATTGTTGTGTTGTGCTAAAAATATTTCATTACAGTTTTTTATCAGTCATTGCCCACCACATTTGTATCAAAAACTCACTCTGATTGATACAAAATATGCCAAAAACAAAAAACTGTGATGTTAAATCCATATTTTTACATTTCCTGAGCACTATCAAAAATGCAGAACTTATCTATAAGTCTGTTGTGTCGGCTAATTGTGCCTAAAATCCCCCAAAATAAGTATAAAAAGGAGTTTGAGATGCAAAAATCAGCAGTGTTTGATTCTCGTTTAATGCTGAGGACCCTGATTCTGAAAAACACTTAAAAAAATCTCCTCTCAGGTTTGGTTCACTGCAACTGGAGCTGGAGATAACATTATTGCCGTTGATGATATTTCTTTTTTGAACTGTGAGAAATCCTATCAGCCGCCAGGTAAATAAGACTTCATCAGCACCACATGACCACCTGATAGACTTCATAAATTGTCTCCATGTTTCACTGTCATGGCGGTACCGTGGCTCATTCCTAAACTCCTTCTCCTCCTCAGCTCTGTCTGCCTGTGGCTGTTCTTTTGAAGACGGTCTGTGTGATTGGGTTCAGGGGGCTGCAGATGAGTTGGACTGGCTCGGAAGGTCCGGTCCCACCGAAACCCCAAACACCGGGCCTGCAGGAGACCACACCACCGGAAAAGGTCACTCTAGGTTTAGACTCTTTATTGGTTTCCAGCAAGAACTTGAGATGGATTTGTAAAAAAGAAGATAATGTGCACTTATAGATAACAGTCTGAACAGACATTCCCTCTGTTCTGACTGTTCTTTCTAAGAATAATCGGAACAGAGGAAATGATGATTTCGGTAAAATTTACCAAGTGGTGTCGGTATTTCTACAGAAGCCACCAACGCCAACGATTGGAAATTACTGACACATGGGAACAAGTGAAGAGGAGGTTTAATGACTGAAATCTGACTCATTTAAGTCGCTAACTCAGCAACTTTGTTCGTCTGAAGTACAGAAAAACATTCACGGAAAAATCCAAACTTTTGCTTTTAAATTCACCAAGAGGACTGAAGAAACCAGCAAGCAAAGAATAATTACGCAACAAACAGTGACCGTTTGTTTGGCAGTGATTCATAACCTTAAGGACATGGCACGATGAAATTGTGGAGCCGTACAACGGCCTACCGATCAAGAAAAAAACAAAAACTCTGCTTCAAAGAAGTTTCCTGTTTTGTGAGACACGGGATTAAAAAGTGTTGAAATGCAGTTTAGATCACGTCCTCAAAGCTCAAAACAAAATAATGCGTTAGAAATAGTCAAGAGTGCATATTTTTGTTTGCATAAACCGATGCTTGTTTTGTTTTACAGGGAAATATCTTTACATCAAAAGTTCCCCGCCAAGTGTGAAGGAAAATGTGGCCCAACTGAAGTCTTTACTGCTGCCATCTGCTGGTGAAAAAGGATACTGTTTCAGGTTTTGGTACCACATGTTTGGAGCAACTGTGGGCTCCTTGAGGATGCTTCTCCAAACAGCAGATCCCTTCAAGAAAACACCGGTAAACATGCTGGAAATCAAAGTGCTATCACTTTATTAGAAATGAAGTGAAGAGACAACAAAGGTCAGAGAAGGCCACCTTTTTTTTCCATCAAGAAATCAGTTTGAGTCCAGCCCCGTAACTTCCCGTTACTTCTTCAGAAAAACAGCTCTGAGGTTGATTGAGAAACATTTGTGACTATTCCCACGTGGTTTTTTTTCTCTCTTTCTCTTATAAACCTTTTTTTGGTTGTTGTGAAATGAAGATTGCAAAACGACATTAATGCATTGTATAATGGGTGCAAGCTGCACAGTTTGAGTGCATACACAGTGTTGCAAAAACCTCTTCACATCCTCATCGAGATGAGTGATTCAGCCTCCTGTCTTTCCTGTAGGTGTGGCAAAAATCAGGAAACCAGGGGGATGAGTGGCAGCTGATGCATATCCACGTGACCCTGCAGAAAGTTCACCAAGTGATTCTGGAGGCCTCAGTGGGAGGAGAGGTGGGAGACATAGCCATCGATGATATCTCCCTCAGTGGTGGACCATGTCCGGCCTCAGGTAACAGGACCAAACCTGATGGAAAAACATGCACCTAACATGTTGGCTCACTTGATGAGGCAATATTTTTCTGTTCACTTACTGGCCTTTTTAAAGGTTTGTAAGAGTAACTAGGAAAAGAGAAGTTTCCCTCCTTTAATTGACTCTGCAACATAAAGTCAAATTTCCAAGTCCAGTCTGTGTTGCTGGTTTTGGTCTTTTGGTGGGATTTTTTATGACAAGAAAAAGGTTGATTTGCAGATGTTAGACCCTCCAGTTTGGACCTTACAGATAAAAATAATTAACTAACAGTAGGGGTAAAGAAGCAACGCTTTCTAGCTGTTTAGCTTCAGGTTAAATCTTCAGAGGATTTTTGTACAAAGCAACATACATCTGAGAGTAAGTCCAACACAAAGCAAGGATCCAGATAGGAGGGAACAAACCTTTTTAGTCCCACAAACTGCTTCAAGTACAGTTGCACACAGGTGAAAGGTAGAAAGGGACTGTGCAGGTCGAATAGAGTCAGGTCGTTCATTCACCACTAAGAGCTAATGAGAAGAAGAGTCTGGCTGATGACTTTAAGGTCCTGATGTGATGAGAGCACCAGGCTTCCTTGTGTTGGAGGAGTGTAGCAGGTAGTATGTAAGAGCTTTTTTCACTGTTTTGTTCACAAATATTGAGGTTTTGAATTTGTTGCTAGTGGCAACCAGTGAAGGGATTTGAACAGCTGAGTACCATGCTGTTGTAGACTGTCCCTGAAGCAGACAGTCAGAGTCTGACTCACATCCTTTCACAGCTTGTCATTTCCCTCTTTCTTTTTTCTCAGTCTTCTACACCATCCACTGCGCAAAATCAGAAAACAGATATTTTTCTCATATGAATGAAGATGGTTATGTTCGCACAGTATCTTAAGAGTGTTATGACCTGAGCCGTTTTCCTTTATATCAATGAATTCATGTCGCTGTTTGATACTCTTTCCTAATTTTCCTTTTAGATCTGTGTGATTTTGAGGAGGGGAGCTGTAACTGGCAGCAGCAGACTACAGATGACTTTGACTGGGTCAGACAGTCAGGCCCGACCTTTAACCCCAACACCGGGCCAGACAGTGATCACACCACAAACACACCCACAGGACACTACTACGTCTTGCCTTCCTCTGAGGCCGACCTCAGCGGCCAGACAGCAAGGATGTCCTCCCCGCTTTACCCTGCAGGTGAGACCAACCAGGAGGGCATCCTTGTACTGCCAAAGGAACAAATAACAACCTCAAAATGCAGCGTTCACTGACAGTCTGCCAATCCAGAGTCCTCAACGCAAACATTCAAGTAATGCAGTGTGATAGGAGGGTCAGACTGACTGTTTTTAGTGCCTTTGTGTCTTTCAATTTCTTTGCTTCGTCTAAGTGACACTCTTAGCCTGTAAAAGTTGTGGAGAAAATAAAGTATTTCTATCTAAAATAGGATGAGATGCAAAGTAAAAAAAAAAAAAAAAAGATAAAACACAAGAACCTTAAACGTGTTTCCCAATAAAGTACTGGATGAAATTTGCTGCATTTTTCAGGGGATAGAAATAAAGAAACGGTGCACTCTACACTCTTAAATCACATTTGGTCCTTCAGGTAAAGGAGCCTGCGTGCAGCTGTGGTTCCACATGTACGGTGCCGGCATGGGGTCACTGAACATTTACCAGCAGAGTGAAGATGAGAAGCAAGTTCTGATTTTCTCTGAGACTGGAGACCAGGGCCAGCTGTGGAGGTTTGCACAGGCTTCACTTGTGCCCCGGATTCAGCCTTACAGAGTGAGTCACAAAGAACCGCCTACTGTCAGGCAAAGATAGACCCACTTTCATTACAAGAGATATAAACGGATAATGGTAGGAAGTAAGAGATTGCTTTGACTCAAATACTCTCCTCAAGAACATTTTAGAGCCACTTCGTGCTCATTATTGGGGCACAGAGTAAATTTTGCCCTCAAGTTCATCAGGTGGTCATAGACACACCTCAAACTTACTTATTTTTAGTTTCCTCAGGTTTTACATTTGTTTGAATCTTTATTAACTCATGTAACGAATCTTTAAAAAAGGAAAAAAGGATGAATGTTCAATGTTTCTTAACTCCTAAAGCTTTGAGTCTGTTGCTGTTGCATAACAAGACCGGAACAAAGATCTCAATGACATCTGAAACTCCTATTTTTGCTGCATATTAATACACACAGAACACTGTTACTATGGTAACACACTTTGTGTCTCAGATCGTAGTGGAAGGTGTGAAGGCTGGCCCCACGCAGGAGGGAGACATGGCTTTTGATGATGTTCACTTGACAGACGCTCAGTGTCCTTCTCATGGACATTGTGACTTTGAGGTCAACATGTGCAGCTGGACCAACCTGGGGCCAGAAGTCGACCAGGGGGACTGGCTCAGAGGGCGAGGGGGCTCCCAGAACCCTAATACTGGACCAAGTGTTGATCACACCACAAACTCGACAGATGGTAAAAATATGTCCTTTTAACTCTGAGCCCAGTTTATAGACGGGTTTCTGTGCAACGTCATCGCAGGTATGCATGCGCAGCCAGGGGGCAGAAAGCGGGATATTTCTTATTTGTTTACTAGCGGAGTCAACGGAGAAAGAAAATGACAAGGAGCTGTTGTGCTGTAAACTGCATGAATCGGCAAAACAAACAATCTGCAAACATTACGACCCTGCTCCTGATATTAGAAACACCTAAAGCAACGTCACAATCTGGTAAACTGAGCAAAATTCATGGACATTTCAGTGTCCATCAAGTGTTTTTCTGATTTTGATGCAATGAAAGACAAAGCGATTTTTCAATGAAATGATATTTTATTGCAATTGTGTCAGGGAGAACTTGCAAACAATATGACATCTTCATTGATATCAGTTCACTCCGAAGCAGGCTTTTGACTCCTGGTTACACGCACACCTAGTATCGTTTGTACACAAGAAATCCGTCTTAAGAAATCTGCAGAAACGAGGTCACGTCATGTATGTCATGACAGCATTTATCTACAGCTCAGGTGTAAATTCATGCGAAAACATCACCTCCTTTTAATGAAGTCTGAAGAAAGGAACTGTTCTCCTGTTTTACAGTATTTACAGCAACAGTAGCATTCAATTGAGTTTGTGTTTAAGGCCTCTTGATAAATTAAGGAGCAATTTTTTTGTCTTTTAGTGCTGAATTAACAGACTCTACTCTGCCCTCTGGCTCGACGCAAACTTTGTGCATCCTCAGTCTGGAGCTGCACCAGAACTCATAGAGAACTCATGAGAGAACCATAAGAGTAGAGCTGTGAACCATAAATCAAAACCATAAACTGAGTGTTCAATCTCTACCTATTTGGGATGACATGCAAACTTACCAAACACATCAAATGGGTCATTTGATCAATAGTTTTGTTCAATTTCCTGGTCCTGAAGGTATCAGCCCATCGTGTCATGTTCTTGTGATGCCTGGGCTCTTGTAGGCTCTTATAGCCTCCTTAAGGTTCTTATGGTTTCTTGGGATGTACTAGTTTATTATGTTTGGGTTCTTGATGTTCTGGTTGAATTTTTTTGTTGGGCTCTCTTGATGTTGCGTTCTTGTGCTTTGTTCAATTACATGCTTACTTGTCTGTTTATAAAAATGACATTTTAAATAATTTTATTGGTATTATTGTCGTTGTTTTCTGTCAGGTTACTATCTGTACGTGGACAACTCAGTGGGTGAGTGGGGAGACATGTCTTATGTGATCAGTGATGTGCTCCAGCCGACCACTAGAGGTCACTGTCTGACATTCTGGTATCACATGTACGGCAGCCATGTCGGTACTCTCAGAGTTTACATCAATGACAGGTAACTTAGTTTTAATGTCTTCTAGATCAAAAAAAAAACTTAGCATGGTCACATTTTTTAGGACATTTATGCTAAAATTATTCTGTATATTTAGAAACATGCACACTGGTGGCAACGAGGAAGGGACGCTGAAGTGGATTGAGACAGGAGGCAAAGGAGACAAGTGGCAACAGGCTAGAGTGACAATAAAACATGAAGAACCATTTTGGGTACGAATGATCTTATTTATTTAAATTTGAGAGAGTTGTTTGCGTTTGTTTAACCTTTTTGGTTTCCATTATTTTGTTTAGAAGTCAGCTATTCTTGAAACAACTCACATGAGAATCCTACTTACAGTAAAAATGATTAATTTTGGATGTTTGAAGAATTTACTGTTTTTCTGAAACCTTTGCTTTATATTTGTTAAGTTGTTAAAGTTGTTTTCTTGTTCCAGTTTGTGTTTGTGTATCAGAGGGGAATGACCACAGGTGGGGACGTTGCTCTTGATGACATCATTATCTCCCCTGGCGAATGCGATTTAGATCCAGTTGGCCCGCCTGGCTCTAATAATGGTAAACTGAATGTCTCCTTGACTTCAAAACAATTAACAGCTGTGAGGTGTTTATAGGAAAGAGAAGCAAGACCCATGATCTGTTTTTTCAGTGACTGGATTTTAATTTATCTGACAAAATACAGACTTTCAAAGACATAATCCCTGTCTAGACATAGCGGAAAAAATAAATATATCAAATATGTCAAAGTTTGGGGTTCAACTTTAGCTGTTATTGAACAGACTTACTTAAACTACATTTAATGAAAAGTTTGACTCAGTTGTTTGAGTCTGATGTTTTTCATTTTGTCTCGTTTCAGTGAACTCAATTGAAAGTGTGATCATCATCAGTACTCTTAGATTTCCCTTCCTTGTGTAATTATAGTGGTTTTTGGTTTAAGTACTGACATGAGACTTATCTAAAATCACCCTTGACTCTTGAAAAAGTTTCCAACTGTTAAGTATTTGGTTAAAGTCAACAGATTTTTAAACCTCAGTGTTGACCATTTGTCTTTTTGTCTGCAGAGAAGTTTGTGGGTCTGGCAGTTGGTTTGTCTCTTCTGGCTGGAGTCGTCATCGCCATCTTTCTCTTCATACTGAACAAGAAGTGGAAAACAATGTACTTACCTGAAAAGGAAAACTACAACCATAAACATACTTAACATAATCCTTGTAAGTACACAAAAATATGTGGCTTTATGGTCGCTTACATTTCTGCTTGTTTGTCTCAGAAATGAGGGGATACTGAAGGAGGACTTCACTGACCAGGTCTCTAACATTGACCTCATTGAGAGCCAAACAGATGTGAGTTAGCACATATATATAATATATTAAATTTCACAACACTCAGATATTAAGAAAATTTGTTTTCTCACAGGACACACAACATGAATCTCACCTCTCCTTCCCCAACAATCTGTATGAACCATCATCGAGTCCAGCTGATGCCACTGCGATTGCATCTGATGCGTAGTGTAAATTAACAACTTTAACTAAACAAATGAAACACAGTCAGTTTGTAGATAATGCTGTTTTTCTCTGGGATGTTGCTCTTCATTTTACAATATGAAACAGCTAATAAAATACTGGAAAATAAACCTATTTATTTCAATATTTATAATTTTATTATGAATTCTGCCAAGCAGAAATACATACCAACACACCTTAACTTGAATGTCAATCAGTTGTACCTGTGTGAAATTTTATGTATTTGTTGTTAATGTGCAAGCAGAATCGCTTCTCCTGTTAAACAAATAATGGTGTAAGATGAGCAGTAAACAATAATCAAGTGTTTTTTGGCAAGATTTGTACTGTTGTCATGAAAATAAAGAATATTTTGATTAAACTTAATGTTTGGTTATCAAGTAAAGCTCTGTCATGAGTTGTGTAATGATAATTGTATATATATATATGTGTGTGTGTGTGTGTGTGTGTGTGTGTGTGTGTGTGTGTGTGTGTGTGTGTGTGTGTGTGTGTGTGTGTGTGTGTGTGTGTGTCCAAATGTGAGTGTGTGAGTATCTGCGTGGGTGTCTCTGCATGTGAAAGTGAGCATGTACCTGTGTGGATGTACCTGTGTGGGAGTGTCTGTCTAATTGCAGGATGCCCAGCACCTGCAGCTACAGCTGCAACAAAGGGAGCAGAGGACATGTTGCTCATTCCCTCTCATTCTCAGCCCAGAGTGACGTTCTGCAGTGGAGCAGCAGCAGCCTTAGTGTGATTTTCTCAATAGTGATTGGAAAAGTGATTTATCTTTGTTTAGACATATTGGTGTCTCTTTTATTTCCCTTTGGTGAGATTTTGTAGCTGTCACCTGTTATTGAGAGGATCGCTTTGTGTTATAATTATTGTCATCCTTAGTTTTGTGAGGATTGATTTACATTTGTGGTAGTGCTGACCTAAGTGTGGTTATTAAAATACTTGCGTTATTGCATATTCTTGCCATTCTGTCTTTATTTATATCCTTAACTGGTTTTTGAATTGCTTTTTTGGTAATCCTGAGTACCCCTAGCATATGAGGACATAACTATATATATATATATATATATATATATATATATATATATATATATATATATATATACAAGAAAGGGCTATTATAATTCTTTTTAAACACACATACAGTAGCTACAGGGTTGTCTATATTCATCATTTGATGCTTCTACAATATAATGTAATGTGTGTCTATATATATATATATATGCACACACACACACAACTATTGAGGGTACAGTCCCCTCGTCGGGGTCACGACTCTAAAAAAAAATCACGGGAACAAAACGCACTAATATGATATAACCACAGGTCGCAGGATTATGCGAGTACATCTTGTTCATGCATTCCAACGCAGTTTACAGCATACAGCCTTACTGTAGGAGTGGACCAAACCATTGTCCCTGCCAAAGGGGTGGTGGAAACAGAGGGTATTCTCTGTTGTTTTACACGTAAGAAATAGCCTATATTTAATGTTTTAAAGCTAAGTGGTAATAATGTTTTAAGCTCATGTCGAAGTGACACTTCAAATTCTTATTTAAACAGACCGTTCACACACGTTTTTTCGTGGTTTCTCCGTTTAGCGCCCCCGTAATTTCGCTACACCATTCCCCCACTTGGTACAACGCCCCTGAATCTTCGTCGTTTGTCGTAGTTTTCAATCTGGACAAAAATAAAACACTATCACAATATCAAACCAGATTTCAGCGTTTTAGAAAAGCACAGTATTACTAAGGCACACCGCTAGCTACAGAATGTACAGAGTTATCTCCTGAAAACCCATGTTTAACTATGTGAGACCATTCATACGCGAGACATGCTACAGTCTTGACGGAACGAACCAATCAGGTCACATGTAACTGAGCACGCTATTTCACAGAGAGCGTGCGCTCCAGGAAGTGAAAGAAGGGGGAGAAGACTGGTCTGAAAGAACAATGGGAGTCGAAGTGGAAACCCTGGTACCCGGAGACGGTAAAGATTATAATTTCCAACTTCTTCACACGTCTGAGCGAGTCCCTATTCAAGAATAATTTGTTTTAATCGAGATTCTTCCTCAAATGTCTCCTTTTAGGGCGGACTTTCCCGCAGAGGGGGCAGACGGTCACCGTTCACTACGTTGGTAAGATCTCTGCCCGATTAAATGTTTGATTATTTATTTCTGTGTGTTCTAAATGTTAAATATCACCTGCTCAAAGTGCGGCCAGGTCGGGTTTGAAATAGGTCTTCCATAAATGGCGGAGTCTCACATGTAAAATATGGCGTATCCGGCTCCTTGCGGGCAAAGGCTGAATGAGGGTCGTCCCTCCGCGCCTGAGTCGGACTGGAAAACGGGAGTATTACAGTCTGAGCACAAAGGGAGCAGCCGGTTAACCGATCACTGGCGCGGGTGTTCTTCGATTAACCTAGCCGAAGGGGGTATCCTTCACCTCTGTTACAAGAATTTCAACCAGCATCCTGTAATATCACGATTTTAGTACAATTAAACGATTTTTTTTTACCAACGTTAGTAACGACCGCACGATAGCAATACACAGCGGTCTGAGGAGCCATAAACAAACCTCAACCAAAACGCCACTCTATAGCCGCAAATAATGTTCAGAACAGCACCTAACTTCATCAGCGTACAAATAGGGTCAGAGCCACAGCACTTGCTACTAAATAAGAGACTAAATATAACTCACCTACTCTCCTCCAGCAGCTGCTTGTTTGTAAGCGAGACCTCAGGTGAGTCCATTGACTACAGCGGGGGGACGCAGCTCAAGGAAGAACATTTTTGATCATTACTTTACCATATCAAATACCATATTAATCATTTTGCACTGCAGACGTGGTAGTTCTTCTGCCTTAAGGTCCTTACACACCGCAATTATTTTGGACGCTAATATTTTTTTCGAACCCGTATCCTGTCTATACAAGTGTTCACATCAGCTATGTTTTCCCGTTCTGCGATATTGCGGCATTTATTTTTTTGGATCATGGTTGATTTTTCTAAAGTTTTGCATTCTGTGTGTCCACTTCTGACCAATCAGATTGCGTGTTGTTGCGACTTCAGATTCACCGGTATATCCAACATATCCGACCAGCTGAATGTTTACGTGTCAGAAATAGAGTGCATTTTGATAAAAGACACAAACATTACAAAGATAACGACCTGAAGGACAATTTGTGGAGAGTCATAGCGTCGGATTTTTCTTATATGATGATGGTTTGTGTGCTTTAACAGTTTGCTAAATGTCTTTGTTTTAACTTAGTTTTTAACTTTGTTTTAACAGCCTAGGTGAGTTGTGTTTAGTCTCTTTGCTAAAGAAATTAAGCAAAGTTAAAAGGAGTGTGATGGCTAGTACTATGGCCTGGACCCTATATGAACTGTTGATGAAGTTAGGTGCTGTTCTGAGCATTATTTGTGGCTATAGAGTGGTGTTTTGGTTGAGATTTGTGTGTGGTGCCATAGACCGCTGTGTATTGCTATCGTGCAGTCGTGACTAAAGTTGGTATAACTAGAGAATCAAGCGGTCTGCAACATTCATCTCTTAAGGCAGTGTCAAACTCAGTGTTAGGTGTGTTTGACCCTAAATTAATTTTACGCCGGAATATCCCTTTTAAGTCCTCTTGGAATAACCACCAGCCTCATCTGAGTGTGCTATTTAAATTTCCACGCAAAAGTTGGTTTGACGACCTCAGAGCTCTACCCGTCTCCCGAACGGTTATAAGCTCAGTTAAATAGATGGAAATGAAGCCGTTCAGAGTTTTAAAAACAAACATTAAAAGTTTAAAATCAATCCTATAAGAGACAGGAAGCCAATGAAGGGAGCTAAGGACAGGAGTGATGTGCTCGCATCTGTTAGTTTTAGTTAAAAGACATGCAGCAGCATTTTGCACAAGTTGAAGGCGACTTAGAGATGATTGGGAGATGTCAACGTAAAGTGCATTACAACAGTCTAATCTTGAACTGATGGGTTGGTGCCTAACTTTTTTTTGTTTTTGATATCTTCAACAGGAACGCTAACAAATGGAAAAAAGTTTGACTCCTCCAGGGACCGAACAGAGCCCTTCCAGTTCAAAATTGGATGTGGAGAAGTCATCAAGGGTTGGGATGAAGGTGTAGCCAGGGTATGGAAAACAACCTGTCAAAGATGACTGTGATTTTGGCACTTAAAGAGTTTGGCAGCAGGGTCCCTTTTTAGGCTGGGTTGAATGAATCCTGTTTCATATGTTCTCCTCCCTCAAATGTATCCCTACTTAAGTATTATTAAATGTTCATATTTTGTGGGCTTGATATGGCAGACAGTCAATGATAGAATATTAAATACCTGCACTGCCTGTAATCTTTTATTTGCCTTGAAGGCTTGGCTCGTGTGATACTCTTACAGTCAGGAATCCTAAACATTAATGATAATATTACAGGCAAATCTTTCTTGAACATAACTCTTGATGCTTGACTTAACTTTTCACCCTTTAACAGTTGCTCAATAATGAAACTATACCTATGGGGCTTGTTCCTCATTTCCTCCACAGATGAGTGTTGGTGAGAAGGCCAGGTTGACCTGCTCGCCAGACTACGCCTACGGCAGCAGAGGATTTCCACCCATCATCCCTGGAAATTCCACTCTCATTTTTGAAGTGGAGCTTCTGAGTGTTTAAGTTGATGATTTGCTCATCTGAGTTTCTCATTCTACCCACATCTCTTACACAAATAAGCGTTTACCTGAAAGGTGATTTTCAGTCGCATTTTTAACGTGAATAAATAATTGTAGGAAGAAACAAGGACAAAACCCCCAAATCTGTTGCTTTTTAATGTCTGGCATAAAAAATGTAAGAACCACCAATTCTTGACCAATGACACATAATCGGCAAACACCCTATTTGTTAGTACAGGTCTATAAGTTTTTGAAAGCAGTTTGATGACAGTTATTGATGTCAAAAATGTCTGGAAACACCTTTTAATAAAGCCTCTCGTTGATCCTTTAGTAAATCCATCGATTGTGAGCTTGAAATTTCGACACACTGTAAACAAACAACTCATGTAAATGAATGGTTTGTGATTTCCTGTTTCATCACTGCTTGCATGGCCATTTTTGGAGGAATATAGTTTAAAATCCCGTCCCTCTCACTTTTACCCTCTTTTGTCATAGTTAAAGGCCTGAAGTGTCCTTGTGTTATGGCATCATGCTTGGTATTTGTTTGATAATGTTAAGTTCCTTCATCTTGTTATTATCCTTTAGGAATTGTATTATCAGTGGGTATTGCACTCTTGAATTAAAATGAAAGGATGCAACACTTGTGCTGTATTTGTTGATTTTTTTTTTTCAGTCTTTAAAAAATGCAAGCCTGCAGGGCTTCACCATGCCACTCCTTTTGAACACTAATATTTCATCATACTGTCATGTAAAGTAAAATTTCTCTTTGGGTGAAGTTGTGTACAAGCAAACCTCAGCAGCTGCCTGCACTGTTTAAAAATATCCCCAAGTAATGAATTTTTCATGCACTTATGTCTCTCAACTCAAGAGCAGCTTCACAGAACCCTCACTAACCTAACAAGATACTTCACTGTCTGAAAACAATTGTTCTTGTCAAGAAACTGGGAATAATTACCAAGATAAGAACATTTTTACAAAGCTCTGGAACTATTCTGAAAACGTGGCACACGAGTAGTTCAGTCAAATGTCTAATCTTAACCCACATCACAATATAATCTGTGGTAGCATTATTAAATGTCACCCATAATTTCACCGAGCTTGTTGCCACCTAGTGGGGAAAGGCGTTACATCAGGAACAAATTTATGTTGCATTCACTTGCTCCTGGTAAAAATCTGAAGGTTTGCGCCAAAGTATTTACTACAGGTGGAAAAAAGCACTGATATCACGCAGTTTAACCTCTCCAAAAGTAGAATAAATGCAGCAGATAGAAAGGTAGACAGGATATTCGTTCATGTTTTTATTTTAATGTACGATAATTAAGCCTAAAAACATCCAAATTAAAAACCATTTCCCAGCCGAATTGTCCTTTTCTAAATAAATACAATACTTGTACACAGATGGGTGGGCCACCCAGCCATCTGATTTAGCTCAGAAGAAGAAATCATCACTTATAATCCAAGTTATAGAAGCAGCACTGATGAATTATATCCAGGGATCAGTCAAATATTATCTTATCTGACTTATCTGGTGTTGATGAAAGTAGTGCATCTTCTTTTGACAGAATATTCTCCTTTTTTCAGATTTGAAGTCAAGCTTTTACCTGTTTAAAGGAAAGAAACCCGCTCACAGCCTCGTTTGTGTTTGTAATACTAATATTTCCGACTGTACCTGAAGGCGTCATTTGCACAGGCTCGCGCTCTCATCACCAACCGCGCAGAGTTTGATTTACTGAAGACTCAAGTTGGCGTAGATTTTTCTTTAAGGCAAAATGGTCAGCATCTCGTTGTTAAATTCAACGCATGGCTTTTAAATATTCAGGCTTGAGTTTGGTACTTTTTTATTCCTCTGGTGTCTTTGGTTTGTTTAATTTGAGGACAAAAACGTGAGCCGTTGACGCAAAACAAACGGTGCTGTTTTATCCGTATTTTTATTTTTTTTTAAAGATACGCCATGAACTGAGAGGAAGGATGGCGACCACACTGACCAGGACGTTTAATCTGATTACAGGACTAGCTATCGTTATTCAGTTTCAGCCGAGCTTCCTGAAACTGAGGTTAGTTTACGGTAAGAAAATACGACTTTATTTAACCAGCGAATATCTGTTAACGTAAGGACAGTGCGTGCACGTGCACTGTATCCGAGAGATGGTAAATGGCTTTTAGGTCTTATTTTATCATTAAGTATTTTTATAATTTTACGAATTGTGATTTTTATGCTGGATAAATACACCAAACTAGCCTCGAACCCGGCACTAATGATAACTTCGACACTCTTTAAAAAACAAAAATAAGTTCAACGACGTTGGCATGCAGGTTATATCTTATTTTATGTTAGTGGAACGTTAAAGTTTTGGGAGTGATCGCAGATTTATATAAATGGAATATTTGTCTGAAATTATAACTTTTTTTTATTTAGTTTATTTTAAGTTTTAAAGAATGAATTCGTCATCGATCGATATCGTTATTGTGAAAGGCTGATGCAGATGCTGATAATCAGACAACAGCTGATGGCCCATTTACAATGCACATGAGTCTTTATTTTATTGTGCATATGATCTCGCAGAATAACACCCATTACTGCATGCACACTAAAATCTAATTTTGTGTTCCCACCTGTTAGTCTGATTTGCTTTGGTACAGTTGGAGTAAACCTTGATCTTGGATGTGCAGCACACTCTACTCCAGTGGTTCTCACCTGGTCTCACTCTGGGACCCACATTTTCCCATGGTCCTCAAGTCGCAACCCCCTTTTATAGAATTCAAACGAAGCAAATTTAGTTTTTATATAAAATCTTTAACATAAATCCACGTTTTATTGAGTAAAGTACACGAGGACGACAACTACTGAAGTTGCATACACAGAAAATATCAAATATCTAATAAATATCGCATTACATATTTACTTTTTTGACCAGCTGTTCTTGACCCATCCAGAACGTGTCCGTGACCCACTTTTGGGTCGAGACCCACCAGTTGAGAACCACTGCTCTACTCTACCCTGGTGTTTCACACAGGAAGGTTATTGGCTGCACGACTGCTTTGGAACAGCTTGATTTCTGGCCTGCTTGTCAACATATCAGACATCCACCATTGGCATGAGCAGCTTATCTTACCGCATTTTTCTCTGAGCACTGCAGAGCTCTGCCAAAACTGCACCTAACCTTGAGGCATTTAGAACTCATCATTGCTTAAAAGCAGTCACACTAATGAGGCTGCCTGCAGTGTCTGCAGACATCTTCTGTAAACCTTGTGCATGCAGGTGTCAGGCTGTTAGATTGGTCTGTCTATCTCTAAGTTATTACCAAGAAGCTAGTTATGATCACAAAGGCTTAGGACTGAGTGAAAATTGTAGGTGTCAGGTGTGATTCATAGATACAAAAACTAAGTGTCATCAGGCTCAGGTGTGCAGCTTTTTTGGCTTTACAGCAACCGAAAAGCTGTAATGGATTGTCTGACTAAGTCTGACACAAGCAGTTCCTCAGTGACAGGAAAAGTTATTGACTCCCTCTTCCTGTACATACTGTACAATATATCTACCACAGATTATTTAGCATCTATAAACTCTGCCCACTTAACACTAACACACGGGTGGAGGGTCAGAAGGCCTTTTGCAGCCGCAGGGCCACCACCATATGACTGAGTTATAGACACAACACCCACTGCTGCCCAGCCTCCCATGCTGGGTGCTGGACCTGATGGTGTGAAGAATGTCAAGCATGCTTTCACCCTCTGCTGTGAAGAGGGAGGTCAGGCTTGTTGTCACTAGAAGGGCAGGATGACCACCACCACGCATGTTTGCCTTACGGTTCATTCAGGGGACTTGTTTATGTCTCGTTGCAAAAAGAAGATACTGAAGTTTAAATGATTCTTATCATCTCAGCTTTTGCTGTCTACAGTTTCAATAGCAGGCTTAAGATACCTAAAATATTTGTAATTTTTCTCAGTAAAATTTGAACCACATGCAAGTTCCTCTAAGTTTCTAATGTAATCTATTAATGTTGATAATGTAACTCTAAAACCATAACTCTTATTTCAGTGTTGCTCAGTGTATCACTTGTCCCGGTCTCTTTGATTCTTCAGGACTCTCCCACACTGACTCACAGGAGCTGTCTCCTCATGAGGCACGGTCCTATGTAGTCCAAGAAAACAACAAGACCAGTGAAAGGAGGATGGCAGCCAAGTCTGACAACTCTGGTTGGGCTGCGGTTAAGGGATCCCTCTACAGAGACCAGCACAAACCAGACGAGGCAGATCCAGACTTGCTGATGGAGGAGGGACATGAGAACTCTACAGAGATTGTGGTAGGGTGAGGTTGAAGGTTCAGGAGAAAAATTATGAATCCACGTAAAAATGACACAATGAGATGTCCCTTTCTTTCTTATCAGGACATCGATCATGCCTACTACACATCTAAGATCCACGGCCCTGGAGATGCAGCCAGCAAAGAGCTGTGGGTGAACATTGATGAGATGAAAGAGGAGGAGTGGAAAGTGTTTGGCCTTCTGTCCAACACCCACAGACAAGCTGAGGTATGAAGTCACTCTGAATAATAAGGATCAGAAATCCAAGTTTAATCCTTACATTTAGAGGGCTATAAAATAAATTAGTGACAGTTACTATGACCACCTTTAACACACTGATTTTTACTCTGCTTTCACAGAGAGTGAATCTCTCCTTTGATTTCCCTTTCTATGGTCACATGCTGAAAGAAATCACAGTGGCGACTGGAGGTAAGGGCAATAATTTTTTTTTTTTTTTAAATAGCGCCCCATGGGTCACCAGCAGGCCTGGGCTGTGTCGCACCCCTGTGGGCCAACCGCCTCCATTCTATAGAAGGACATTTGTTTTTTGTTTTTTTTCATTTTAAAGTCAGATTTTTTTTTCATAATAAATATGAAATTTTTAACATACAATACTACGACATTTTTATCATACTATAATATGACATTCTTTTTTCTTCCAAAACCTTTTTCTTTTCCACACTAAAATTTAAACATTTTGATCATACTATACTATGATATTTTTAGTCATACTATACTATATTTCAGACTAAAATCAGAAATCTTTTTCACACCTAAGTTTTGAATTTTTGACATACTATACCATGACGGTTTTTTTTTCATACATCAATCAGAATTTTTTTTCACATATAATTCGAAATTTCTTACATACTTTACTTTGAAATTTTTATCGTACTATACTGTGACTTTTTTTCATAGTAAAATGAAAATTTATTTTCACTCTAAAATATGAAATTATTAACATACTATACTATGACATTTTTTATCATACTAAAATATTTTTTTCACACTTAACTTGAAATTGAAATTTCAATCATGACATTTTTATATATCCGAAAACTTTTTTTTTTTCCACAATAAAATTTAAAAGTTTTGACATAGTTTACTATGACATTTTATTCAGACTAAAATCTGAATTTTTTTTTCACACTTAATTTTTTTTTCTTTAAAATATAAACTTTCAATCATACTATACTATGACCTTTTTTTTCATAGTAAAATAAGAATTTTTTTTTCACATAAAATTTGAAATTTTTAACATTTTTTATCAGATTAAAATCTTTTTTTTCACACTTAACTTTAAATTTTCTTTCTTTAAGAAAAATAAAATTTTAATCATACTATACTATGACTTTTTTTCATCCAAACACTCAATTTTTTTTCACACTTAAATGTGAAAATTTTTAACATACTATACTATGACATTTTTTCATCCAAAAACTTAATTTGTTTTTCACACTAAAATTTGAAAATTTCAATCATACTATACTATGACATTTTTTTCATCCAAAAACTTAAATTTTTTCCACACCTAAATTTGAAATTTTTAAACATACTATACTGTAACATTTTTTTTCAGACTAAAATCAGTATATTTTTTCATATTTATTTACTGTGACATTTTTTTCTTGCCAAATCTTTTTTTTCCACACTAAAATTTAAAGGTTTTGACATAGTTTACCATGACATTTTATTCAGACTAAAATCAGAATTCTTTTTTTCACACTTAATTTTTTTTTCTTTAAAATATAAAATTTCAATCATACTAAACTATGACCTTTTTTTCATAGTAAAATAAGATTTTTTTTTCACATAAAATTTGAAATTTTTAACATACTATACTATGACATTTTTTATCATACTAAAATCTTTTTTTTTCACACTTAACTTTAAATTTTCTTTCTTTAAGAAAAATAAAATTTTAAACATACTATTCTATTAATTTTTTTTCATCCAAACACTCAATTTTTTTTCACACTTAAATGTGAAATTTTTTTAACATACTATACTATGACATTTTTTCATCCAAAAACTTAATTTGTTTTTCACACTTAAATTTGAAAATTTTCAACATACTATAGTATGACATTTTTTTCATCCAAAAACTTAAATTTTTTTCACACTTAAATTTGAAATTTTTAAACATACTATACTGTAACATTTTTTTCAGACTAAAATCAGTATATTTTTTCAAATTTATTTACTATGACATTTTTTTCTTGCCAAACCTTTTTTTCCACACTAAAATTTAAAGGTTTTGACATAGTTTACTATGACATTTTATTCAGACTAAAATCAGAATTTTTTTTTCACATAAAAATTTGAAATTTTGAACATACTATACTATGACATTTTTTATCAGACTAAAATCTTTTTTTTCACACTTAACTTCTTTCCTTCACAAAAATAAAATTAAAAACTTAACTTTAAATTTTCTTTCTTTAAGAAAAATAAAATTTTAATCATACTATACTATGACGTTTTTTTCATCCAAACACTCAATTTTTTTTCACACTTAAATTTGAAATTTTTAACATACTATACTATGACATTTTTTTCAGATTAAAATCAGAATTTTATTTCAAACTTAAATTTAAATTTTTTTCTTTAGAATACAACATTGTAATCATACCTTACTATGACATTTTTTCTTCCCAAATCTTTTTTCCCCACACTAAAATTTAAAAGCTTTTAACATACATGACATTTTTTTCATACCTCAATCAGAATTTTTTTTCACACTTAAATTTGAAATTTCTTACATACTTTGATATTTTTATCGTACTATACTGACTTTTTTTTTCATAGTGAAATTAGAATTTTTTTCACACTTAAGCTTTGTATCTTTCTTTAAAATATAAAATTTCAATAAAATTTCAGACTAAAATCGAAAATTTCTTTTCACACCTAAACTTGAAATTTTCGACATACTTTACTATGACATTTTTAACATACTATACCATGACATTTCTTACATAGTTTACCTGGACATCCTATAATACTTATCTTTGATTCTTTCACATACTTATTGTAAAGATGCATAGTCCAGGTTCACACTTCAAAGAATGGAAGGTCCACACAAATGATAATTTTTACAGGCTTTACTGGTTGCATATCTGGGTAACAGCGTCAGCATGCCATGAGTGTGACAAAGACTGGTCAGAGACTGTTCAGGTGTATACAGCCGTCCATCTTTCCAAACATTCTGCTCACATCCTGTTGACCTGAAGAAGAGTCCTTGTAGGGTAATAACAAAACACAACATATTTTGGGAGCCTGACTGATGTTAAACAGGTGTATAGGTCCGCATTTTATGATGGTTTTCGAAGGGCCCATGGCTCCAGGAATCCAGCACCAAAATATCTGTGATATTTCAGTTACACAGTTCTACCACCATAAAGGAGAACATGACCAGCTACAGAAAACACACTATTCTATGATATTTTTATTGACTCAACTGTGATATTTTTATCATAATATACTATGATATTTTATCAAACTTTACTATGACATTTTATCATACTATACTATGATGTTTTTATCATACTTAACTAGGATTTTTTCAACATTCTATCCTATAATATTTTTTTCATACTATAATATATTCTTATCATATTATTCTGTGACATTTTTTTCATACTGTACTATGGCATTTTAATCAAACTATACTATGCTATATTTATCATACTATTCTGAGATATTTAATCATACTATACTATGATATTTTCATCATACTTCATTATGATTTTTTAAACATACTATACTAGGACATTGTTTACATACTATATTTTTATCATACTACACTATGACATTTTTATCGTACTATACTATGACCTTTTTATTATGTTGTACTGCCATTTTAACATACTATACTATGATTTTTTTTTCCATATATAACTAAATATATAGTATAGAAATATCAAATAATATAAATCTTATATAATTTTCTCCTCTCTCTGCCAGGTTTTATCTACACTGGAGATCTGATCCACAGAATGCTCACAGCCACTCAGTACATCGCCCCTCTTATGGCCAACTTTGACCCGAGTCTGTCCAAGAACTCCTCTGTGCTCTACTTTGATAATGGTGAGAGACTGATGTTGAAGTTTGTATGTTTGTCATCACTTTGAGAGTCTGCTGTACATATATATACTGAGTACAGTGCATGGCTGTGTTTGTATGTCTATTAACAGGCACTGCTCTAGTGGTTCAGTGGAACCAGGTTCACATCCAGGACAACATCAGTCTGGGATCTTTCACCTTCCAGGCTGTTCTGCACAGTGATGGACGCATCATTTTCACTTACAGAGAGGTGACTTTTTTTTTCACTTTTCATCCTCTTCTGCAAAAACCTGAATTTGTTATTTACATACATTTTTTGTCATCACAGATTCCCGCGGACATCGGTGAAATCAGCAGTGAGAACCATCCTGTCAAAGTGGGTCTTTCAGATGCTTTTGTGGTGCTTCATAAGATAGAGCAGATCCCCAGTGAGTGAAGCATCAGAGCTTTAAAAGCTTTCGGTTTCTGTCAAAACACTGAATCTGTCGCTTTATTATTAATCAACTTATCCCTTTTAAAATGGTGCAGATGTTCGCAGAAGAACCATCTATGAGTATCACAAAGTCGACATCCTGAAGTCCAAAATCTCGAACTCTACAGCTGTGGAAATGTTCCCACTCCCAAGTATGTAAACTTAAACATTATTAAGATGACAACACAGATCCTCATCCATTTTTGATGTACTCGGATTATCTGTGACCCACTATACTCTTAATTTCTACATGTTTTATTGTCAACAGGCACAACATACAAATATTTGTGATAGTAAAGTAGTAGGAAAAGCTGCTTTCGAACAGACTCGGAGAATGAATTCAGGTTTATTTCAGAAGTCAAAGCCGCCTCTTCCTCTTCAGTGTTTTGAGTGTGTGTCTGTATTCTCAGCATGTCTACAGTTTTCCAGCTGCGGTCCATGTGTCTCCTCTCAGATCGGCTTTAACTGCAGCTGGTGCAGCCGGCTACAAAGGTGAAACTGGACAAAGTTTACCTTTCACTTTTTTTAACCTGATACTAAAAAATCGCATAGATTTGATTTTTTTTAATCTACTTATTATGCTCTGATTGTAGTTGCAGAATTTTGACTTTATATCTTGTGATCTTGACTTTTTTTTGTGACCATTTGATTTAACTTCTTGTCTATTGTTTACAACCTTTTAGATTGTAATCATTGCACAACATGCACATTTTTGTCATTGTCAGCCCAAGGTTTTATTGTATATCTACTAAAATGAGCTTTTATAGAGTCATGCATGTTTGTGAAGGCTTTCTTTTACAATTTAATGCCTGAACAAAATTACTGTCTTTTTCAAGATGCTCCAGCGGCTTTGATCGTTTCCGGCAGGACTGGGTGGACCTCGGCTGCCCTGAGGAGGTTCTCTTTATTTCTGCTTTTGTTTTATAAAAAGTTTGAGTCTGCCACAGGAGAAATCGACTCATGTTTGTCTCTCTAGAGAAAAGATCCCCAGTGTTTAGAAATGACAGACCTCACAAACTCCACCACTCATCACTTCACTCAGTCTACCACTCCTGCGATGACGGCGACGATGCAGCGGAGGACCTCCAGTGTTACCTCCACACCCCACAGCAAGACATCTACCACCCCCAACCCCCCGTCACATGACAGTATGAGAAGAATAAAATCCTCTCCACCTCCTCCTACCAGCAACGCTGCAGAAGGTAAACTCACAGAAAGCTTTTGCACCAGCTGTCGATGGAGCTCTGGTTAAGCTCAAACAGAGATGTAGTCGTACTTGGATGCTCTGGTTACTGGTTAAAATCCTGACCTCAGATTCTTCCTTCCATGCCACCCTCAACTACTGACTACCTACATTTTGTCTTCCCTGTCCAGTGTACGTAAAAATGGACCTGTAAATAACACACAAAAAAATCCTAGCATTTAAATTTCCTCTGGCGTTTTCCTGAAAAATATCCCTTTTATTTTTTTCGTAACTCATTTCTATTCATCAAAGAAAAAGGATTACATCAGCTGCTGTTTGTCTCATGGATTTATTGTTTTGTGGCGTCCTCTCCCAACGTGTTGTGTAAAGTCTGACAGAGTGAGGGTCAAGTGGTCAGCTATTTCCCAGCCCACTGTGAGCTCATAGCTGAGTGTGTACAGCGCTATGTTAAATACTGCATAGTGTCCTCAGCGGCTGAGTGATGACTCAATGTATGTGCATCAGCCTGGCTGGTCAGAATGTGGGAGAGCTGTGAGAGGTATTGTCTGTGAGCTTAGATGTCCTATATCAAAAAAAAAAAAAAAAAAAAAGAAATTATCATCACTGGATAAAAAAGGATTTTGTTTTTTAATAAATGTTTTAAAAATTTAAAGATTTTGAATATATGTTAAACTCTAGAGCAGTGGTTCTCAACTGGTCTCACTCATCGACCCACATTTTTCCCATGGTCCTGAAGTCATGACCCACTTTTATAGAATTCAAACCAAGCAAATTTATTTTCTATAAAAATAAATAAATAAATAAATAAAAAAAAAAAAAATATATATATATATATATATATATATATATATATATATATATATATATATATATATCAAATATCTAATAAATGTTGCATTGAATATTTACTTTTCGACCAGCTGTTCGTGACCCATCACGAATGTGTCTGCGACCCACTTTTGGGTCAGGACGCACCAATTGAGAACCATTGAGCTAAAGGAAAAGAGGCCAAGGTTATCCACTTTAATTTAAGTGTAAAATGCTCATTTCCTGTGAAACTTTACACTTTAAATTGATGTGTAGAGGTTTTGTACACACATCAGCTCAGTATGTCCATCTTTCATGCTCACCCATCTTCACCTCTCATCTCCAGCAGGAGTCCAGGGAACCATAGGAGAGAGTGATGAGCAGCTGCAGGTCGGGCTTCTTGCAGGCATCGTCATGGCGATGGTCATCGTGGCAGCAGCTGCTCTAACATCTATCTACATGTACAACAACCCAACATCCAACATCAGCCTCTTCTTCATGGAGGTCAGTTACATAGAGCTGCTGCTCAGCCTTATAATTACCATTATTTCTTCTTCATGTTCCCCTGTATTCTGCATATTTTTATTGTTTGTGGAATAGACTGAAACTATTTAAATTCTATGATGTCCAAAAGCAAACAGGACCATAAATAACAAGCTTAACAACAAGTACCTAACTTCATCAACAGTACATCTGGGCAAGTCCATCGACTGCAGCGGGGTGACGCAGCTCAAGGAAGAACATTTATGATCATTTCTAGTAATAATCACCGTATTAATCATTTTGCACTGCAGACGCGGTAGTTCTTCTACCTTAGCATCTCAGTCTGATTGCATTTCCATGAAGAAATGATCATAAATGTTCTTCCTTGAGCTGCGTCACCCCGCTGCAGTGGATGGACTCGCCCAGAGGTCTCCATACGAACAAGCGGCTGCTGAAAGAGAGTTGGTGAGTTGTGTTTAGTCTCTTTGCTGAAGAAATCACGCAAAGTTAAAAAGATGTTTGGTGGCTAGTACTATGGCTGGGACCCTATATGTACTGTTGATGAAGTTAGGTGCTGTTCTGAGCATTATTTGAGGATATAGAGTGGCGTTTTGGTTGAGCGCATGGCTCTTTGTATTGATATCTGCAGTCATAAAGTTGGTATAACTAGAGAAGCAAGCGGTTGGCAACATTCATCTCTGGACGGGGTGTCTAAATTGGTGTTACGGTGTGTTTGACCCTAAATTAATTTTATACCGGAATGTCCCTTTAACACTTGGTAAGAGATTCAAGGGGCGCTAATGGTAATTAGAGCAGAGAGACACGTTTCACACTGAACTAGTCCTCTTGTGTGTTCTTTGTCTAACATTCTCCCTCTTTTAGCGCCGACCAACCCGTTGGCCAATCATGAAGTTCCGGCGAGGCTCAGGCCGCCCTTCATACGCCGAGGTGGAGGCTCCCAGTCAGGACAAAGACTTCATGGTGGTCATCGATCCCAAACAGTCTTTCGTCATGTCAGACAGAAGAGAGAGTGAACAGAAAGAAGGCTTCATAGTTCCTGATCAGAGGGAGCGCTTTCTGACTTCAGAGAGCTCCTGACAAAAACTACATATCCCAGGAGGCTTTGGGACGGAGCTGGTTCTCTATAAGAGGAAGTTTTCCCTCCAGGAAAGCTGTGACTTCTTGTTTCTATTCAGCTGCTGCTCAGATTTATTTAAAGGAGAAAGTGTGAGCATCCAGAGAGGAAACACCAAACCTCCATGAGGAGACTGCGAGTCTGACAGACGAGTAACTGCTGGAAAAATGTCATCCTTTCCTCGGATCACTTGTTCGTGTTTTTCCCAGAGAGCAAGGAGAGGATTGTGAATGTTTGCAAAGATGGTTGATTCTCCAGTCGTTTATGTGTTGTTCCCACACCGTCTTCACAGGAAGGAATGTCATATTCAGGTGTCATTTCCTCATCTGAAAAATACAGACTGAATTCCTCACCATTACACCCACCTTCATCCATGAGGAAAACAGGGTGTGCAGTGTTTTTACTGCTGTTTATCTCAGAGTGTAACAGACTTTTACAGACACTCTGTTTGTCTGCAGCAGTTTGTACTTTTCACATCTCACCATAAAAACGGAAAACAACAACAACAAACAACATGCTGTAAACAAAACCAACAGAACAAGCGTGGAAAAATACAGGTCTATTTATTTTGGACATGATACAGTCTTGCATCTTTTTTCGAACATGCTAAAATTGTTCACGTGTTTGTATAATCTCTTTATCATAAAGGGTAAAAACAGACAACTGGTGGTTTTTTCAGTAGCTGTGCTGCTGATAGTTAGCTTCTTACAGTCACTGTAGATAATTTAGATAATATTTTTAACATCAAGTTAATTTGATTCTGTCGGTGTTGATATGAAGTCTATAAAAATATTATAATTAGAACATTAACACGATTAAATGTACACAAACTGTATAATTTAACAACTTCATCTCAGGTCAATGTTACTGATTTTCTTGCTTTACTTTGATGAACTTTGTGGGTAAACTGGCCGTTTATTCACCAAAATGATCTGCTCTGTTACATCTTAAAAAACTGCTTATCAATCAGAAAATAAAGATGTGATATCTACAGCATATTGTGATAAAATGACAAAAAAAAAAATCAACAAACTCCTGCACTATCATTGACTTACAGGACATCTACATCAAATACACAGACAGTAGTAGTATACTGTGTAATTTTAGGCATGTTTAGATTTACAGTCGATTAAGGCAAAAGATTTCTGGACTGATTACCGAGGACTGGCCTGTAGTCTGCAGGGCAAAGAGGTGAAGGCACTGCTGTGTGGGGTTTTCTTTCACGGTCCATGATTTAGGTTTCCTTATCTTCTCAGAGACAAACGGACAATAAGAGACAAAGACAAATCATTAGTCTCGAAGTGATCGTTACAGTTTTAAGTTGAGTTACTAAACTACACGTGTTTCATTTTGTGGCATAAATTATCACTGACTTGGAAAACACTTTGAGCTTTTACAAAAACTGTGTCTGTGAAGGTAATGAAATAAAATCGATCAATGTGTGAAAAGATAATGAAGCAACAGCTGTTTAGAAACAGGTTCAACTCACACTGGAGAAGTAACAGGAATAAGTGGATTTAATATGTTTATACTCGTAGAGTTACAGGGATCTTCTGGTGCAAAATTAATTTAGGTCCAAACACACTATAACACCAAATTACCCCGTCAAGACATGCCGACCGCTTGCTTCTCTAGTTATACCAACTTTAGTAACGACAGCAATACACAGTGGTCTGAGGAGCCATAAGCAAACCTCAATCAAAACACCACTCTATAAACACAAATAATGCTCAGAACAGCACCTAACTTCATCAACAGTACATATAGGGTCCCAGCGACAGCACTAGCCACCAAACATCTTTTTAACTTTGTCTGATTTCTTCAACAAAGAGACTAAACACACCGACTCTCTTCCAGCAGCCGTTTGTTTGTAGCAAGACCTCGGGCCAGTCCATTATGGACTGCTGCTGGGTTTCTCAGCTCAAGGAAGAACATTCATGATAATTTCTAGTAATAATCACCATATTAATCACTTTGCACTGCAGACGCGGTAGTTCTTCTGTCTTAGCGTCTCGGTCTGATTCCATTGCGGTCGTTACTAAAGTTGGTAAAACTAGAGAAGCAAGCGGTCGGCAACATTCATCTCTCGAGGAGTTAACTTGGTGTTACGGTGTCTTTGACCCTAAATTAATGTTACGCAGGAATATCCCTTTAAAAACATGGCTTTTTCTATTCACAGCAACATCCTGCATGGATTACACATATAGTAAAGGAGGGGGAAGCTGCTGACACCCTGAAAAACAACTATGCTCCATTAAATATGCAAACTTACTGCTCTGCACACAGTGTACTCAGTCAGTATGCTGTGTGGATTACGTGTTTCTTACCTTTCACAGGTGGAGCAGGTAATCGCCTTCTAAACTGTCTGGATGAGTCCAGGGTGACAGGCTGCAAGAGGGCACATGCAGTGAGGTTTTTACTATTCTTGTCAAAGTTGTTTGTGTGGTCATAAGTACACTTTAAAGATAAACAGGTAAAGTACCATCACTGGGATTGTTCTCGCCTTCGGGGGGCGTGACTGTGTGTCCACGTTGAGGCCTGCGTTCTTCAAAGCAGCGATTCTGGCTGAGATATCACAAATCTAAAAGAAGAAAGACAGAGTATATCTGTAATGAAGAACAACATTTTGTACTAAAATGATGAAAAGTTTAAGGATTTAACCGACAACTTTCAGATAAAATCCATAAAGTCATTTAAGTAGGCAGATATTGGTGAGATATTTCTGCTAAATCAAGATTGGATAGTTTGAGTTTGGGACATGATTGGGTTTAAGAGGAAGCAGGTGACTATTACACCTTTAACCCACCTGCAGATCAGACTGTTGAACCTTTGCTGCTGCTGAGGCGACCTGCTCCTCCAGGAAGGAAATCTCCATGTCTGACGTTTCTCCGCTGATGCCCCTGGCGCACTCCTCCAGGTCACTAAGCTCCGCCTCCAGGTTGTACACAGAGCCTGCTGCCACATACACCTGCAATCCAACACAAGTTTTACACGGTACTGACTGTATCCAAACATTATTATAGTTTTAACAACACCACAGGGACTACACAATAGGGACACAATCTATATTTACATTCTCCTCCAGTTTGGAGAACTGCTGGTCCAGTTTCCTGGGGTCGGTGTTGGGGGGTAGTGAGGGGATAGAGGACCGAGGTTTCTCTCCTCCCTTCACTCCCTGTAGCAGGTCTTCTGTGGTGTTCAGCACCTTTAGGACCTCGGTGGTGATGTTACGCAGAGACACTGCAGAGTATCTCTGAAAAACACAGACAAGGGTTGGTTCTTCCAAAGCTCTTCCTCATGGAGTTATCACTTGACTCTGAGTTACAGGTGTTGTTCTTAGAGATTTAATTTTTCTTTTTAAATTATGATTTTATGATTATGAAGCAATGAGAGCAGAGAAGTAATTAATAAAATGCAAATCTTGCCAGGATATGCTCACAAACCAAATCAAGCTCCTCACCTGCTCCAGCAGAGTCGATATAAACTCTACTGTTTTGTAAATCTCCATATCACTATCCTACAGCGCACAGAAGAAGAAGGGAAGACAGAGAGGACAGAAAAACAGCACCAAGCAGAGAGGTTAAATAGTAAGTCTGTGAAGGGTAGCACATGAAGAGAGTTAGTCAGAGAAAGTTCCTGGAGTGAGCCTACTCAACGATTTTTCAATTTTAAGAAATTAAGACAGAGAAGTAAAAACACAGTCATGCCATTTAAACATTAATTTGGACTTACTCTAATTAGCATTTAGATAGATATCATGCAAGGCAAAGTAAAGCTGCAACTGCAAAATCTATTACAAGCTTTTTAACTAAAAATGTCGAGTTCTTAGTAAATTGAATTTAGTATTCAAAATTCACTTATAACCGTAGACTACGAGGAAACATGCTAGCTAAGGTTAGCAGTATTAGCTTTTGTGTCATACTATCTAAAGTAAGGCTTTTGCCTTTCTTGTGTAAATGTGTTAAAAGCTTTTAAATGTCATATTTTTAGGTGTAACTTCTCGGAGGTTTTAGATTTCATAATTAAATTTGCTATTTCTTAAAATCACACTTTCAGTCTTCACTAACACAAGCCAATCCTAGCTGCTGGTATTGTCAGACCAAAGGAGACTAAAATCTATTTTTTTAATGTTGAGATACTTAAGTGAGAAATGAGGAAAACTATATAGTGAACGTTTCTTATGTCACTGATAAATATATATCTGACACACAAAGTGAGGTGGTGCGCTTTGCTGCTCATAGATTCAGGTATCAAAGGGATATTCCGTTGTAAAATTAATTTAGGGTCAAACACACCGCAACACCGGATTGACACCCCATCAAGAGACGAATGTTGCCGACGGCTTGCTTCTCTAGTTATACTAACTTTAGTAACAACGGCACGATAGTAATACACAGCGGTCTGAGGAGCCATAAACAAACCTCAACCAAAACGCCACTCTATAGGGACAAATAATGCTCAGAACAGCAACTTCATCAACAGGATATATAGGGTCCCAGCCATAGTACTAGCCATCAAACATCTTTTTAACTTCGCCTGATTTCTTCAACAAAGAGACTAAACACAACTCACCCACTCTCCTCCAGCAGCTGCTTGTTTGTAGCGAGACCTCAGGCCAGTCTATTGCGAACTGCTGCGGGGTGACGCAGCTCAAGGAAGAACATTTGTGATCATATCTTCATGGAAATGAAAATCGGACCGAGACGCTAAGGCAGAAGAACTACCGCGTCTGCAGTGCAAAATGATTAATATGATGATCATTACTTCAAGGATATGATGAAGTAATGATCACAAATGTTCTTCCTTGAGCTGTGTCACCCCGCAGCAGTCCGCAATGGACTGGCCTGAGGTCTTGCTACAAACAAGCGGCTGCTGGAAGAGAGTAGGTGAGTTGTTAGTCTCTTTCCTCAGACCGCTGTGTGTTGCTATCATGCGGTCATTGCTAAAGTTGGTATAACTAGAGAAGCAAGCTGTCAGCATCATTCATCTGTAACTCAGTGTTACGGAGTTTTTCATCCTAACTTCATTTTACACCAGAATATCCCTTTAACTTCTCTAAAAGCTACGACTGTAGCTATTAGCCTGCACCAAAATTTAGCAGAGATTAGCTTTTTGCCTTCTGGTGGCTCTTACCATTGCAATCTCTTCTGGTGTCTCTAGAACATCATGGAGGGATGACCTCCTGCTGTGCTCTCTGCTGTCTGATTTTCTCCCCCGTGTTTCCTCCATCCTTCCTTTGGTTTCTGCAGCATCTCCATGCGCCTCCATCATCTGGCGCATGGCTGAGACTTTTCCTCCTCTGTCCTCTTGTTTGTCATCCTGCAGGCCTATTCTTTTACATAACTGTTTGGCCTCGAACGTCTCCAGCATCTCTTTAATGGACATGACAGTAGATTTCTTTGCTGGAGAGCTCGTTACCTGTGAGTCAGCGGTCTTTTTCTGCGTCTCGTTTTGCTTCCTGACTGCTGCATCTGCGCTCTCCTCTTTACTCAGGATGATCATTTTAGGACTTTCTTTCACTGCTGGGGTCAGGTTGTTGCTGGGACTCTGGAACAGTTTTCTGCTTTCATGTGAGCTCTGTGCATCGACAACCTGCTCCTTGACTTTGCTTTTTTCCTCGACTTTTACTTCCTCGTCCACCTTTACGTGCTGTAACCCAAATTTTGCCCATAATTTTACCTCTTCATGCTGGGATCCAATTTTTTCCCATAACTTTACTTCCTTATCCACCTTCCTGCGCTCCAGTCCACTCCCTTTTCCTTCTTTTACTTCCTCATCCACCTTCACATGCTCCACACTCTTTCTACCTGTTTTTACGGTGACGTCTTCATTCACACGCTCGTATCCAGTTTCTTCCCATGCTTTTACTTTTTCATCCACCTTCACCTGCTCCACACTATTCCTACCTGTTTTTACTTTGACCTCTACATCCACATGCTCAGATCTAATATCTCCCCATACTTTTACTTTTTCATCCACCTTCACCTGCTCCAGTCCACTTTCTTCCTCTACTTTTACTTTTTCTTCCTCAGATTCACTTTCCCTCCCTATTTTTACTTCCTCCTCCACCTTCATTTCCTCAGATTTGCTTTCTTCCTCTATATTTTCCTTCTCATCCACTTTCACTTGCTCCAGTCCAACCACTCCTCTTTTTACCTCCTCATCCACCTTTTCTTGCCTCACGCTTTCTTCCCCTATTTTCACCGTCTCATCTTCGTTTACAGGCTTCAATTCACTTATTTCTTCTACTTTTACTTCTTCTACCTCCACTTGCTCCAGTCCAACTTCTCCACCTTCTTTTACTTCTTCCTCCACTTTAGTTTCTTCCAGACCACTTTCTCCCACTTTCTCCTCCTCCTCCACCTTTACTCGCTCCACACTTTCTTCCACTATTTTTACCTCCTCCTCCTCCACCTTTACTTTCTCCACACTTTCTTCCACTTCTTCTACCACCTCCACCTCCACCTCCACCTGTACTTGCTCCAGTCCACGTTCTCCCCCTGTTTCTACCACCTCATCCTCCTTCACTTGCTCCAGCGCACCTTCTCCCTCTGTTTTCACTTCCATATAGTTGGTTTCTCTCTCTCCGCCTGGTTTCTCATCCACCTCCACCTCCTCTGGCTCTCTGATGACTTCTCCGTTTTGTTCTGCTTCATCCTTGCTCGTCTGCACCTGCATGTCCTCCAGAGTCATCATCAACATGCTGCTGATTATCCTGTCAAACTCTGCGTACTCCTCATTACGTTCCTCTTCATCTGCTGTCTCCCAACTTTCGACACTCCCGTTGCTCTCTCCGTTCTTGTCCTCTTGTCCCTCTGGCTGTTTCTCTTCTTGGACCTCTGTTGTCTCCTCTGGTCCCTCATCAGCTCTCTCCTCCATCCCTTGTCTTTCCTCCGTCTCTTCGGCTTGGTCAGCCTCGATAAAAACCTCACATTCCTCCACCACATCTTTCTTTTCCTCCACCATAACATCATCACATGTAAGTTCTTCATCACTGCACTCCGTCTTCCTTCCCTCAATTTCATCCCTTAAATCAAACATGTTCACGTCCAGATCTTCAAACGATTCCTCCTTGTCTTGATTATTCTCCTCTGCGTCCCCCCACTCTCCACTTTCATTTACTTCAACGACATCCTGCCCCGTCTCTCCAACTTTCTCCAGATTATCTTCAGAGGATGAGAACTCTGAGGGGCCGACAAGACTGGATAAATCCCTCAGATGAGCGGCCTGGACGGCCCTCTCTGCCTGCTCTTTCCACAGCGCCTCCTCGTCTGTCCCCTCCTCCTCTTCACCTCTGCCTACACGGTCTAGCTCGTCCTCGGTTGATGAAAATTGGCTGGCGTTGACTTGGTGAGCTAATCTGCACACCTTCAGTGCCAGATCTTCTGTCTTCTCATCCTCCACACCCTCCTCTACAGCCTTCATGTCTTCGTCCAGGAGGCCAACGCTGTCTAGCTCGTCCTCCGTGGATGAAAACTGGTTGGCGTTGACTTGGTAAGCTAATCTGCACACTTTCACCGCCAGCTCCACATTCTCCTCCTTGTCTTCCTCCTCCTCCTCCTCTCCTGTCTTCTCTTCGACGCCAACTCGGTCCATCTCGTCCTCTGTGGAGGAGAACTGGTTGGCCCGCACTTCCTTCTCCAGCTGACAGAGTTTATACGTGAATCCATTCGTCTCTTCCTCCCTCTGCTCATTAAGTTCCTCCTTCATCTCTTCATCCTTGTCTCCTTCTGCTTCTCCTTCTTCTTGTCCTTCTCCTTCCTCTCCCTCTTCCTCTTTTTCTTCTCTTTCTTCTTCTTCTTCACTCTTGCCAACTGTGTCCAGCTCATCTTCAGTAGAAGAGAAGTACGAGAGTCTGGACTTTGTGATAAGCTTGCTTAACCTGTAGTTCATCTCTTCGTCGTATTCTTCTTTATTCTCCTCCTCCTTCTCCTCATCCTCCGTTCCTCCTCCATCAGACTCTATCTCCATGCTCTGCAGCTGCTCACTGTCATCATCCTCTTCCTCCTTTTCTTCTTTCTTTTCCTCAGTTGGTTCATCATCACCAGCATCTCTCACTCCATCAGCTGCTTCTTTCTCTCCTCCTGCAGACGGGTCGTTAGCTCGGCTGACGAGTTGTTCCAGTTTGAGGGCGAGCTCCTGATCGATTTGATTGACTATCTGTCCTGTGATGTCGTTATCCAGGCCCAAAGGTTCAGGAGGGCTGGTTTCTCCGGCGTCAGAGGTCACAGAGTCAGAGGGATAGTTGTCCTTTATGCTGTTATCCTGTTAAACGAAGAAGAAGAAGAAGAAGAATACATGTAGGAAAGTTTTCATGTCTGCAAAGGTTTCTTCTTAGTTTCAGGAATACACAAAGGAAAAAAGAGTCGGTCTGAGGCTATCTTGATCGCCCAAAGTGGCAATTTCAACACTATGTTTGGTCCAACCAGCTCACTAGAATATATCTGACTGCATCGATTAATGAACACAAACACAAAAAAGATCTTTTCATCTACTTCAACATCATCAGTCTGCAGTTGAATACTTTTGTAAATGATTACCAGGGAGGAAAACTCTTGTTCAATCTTCTTTTTCTTCTGCAATCTCTCGACTCTGTGCACGTCCGCCTCTGCAGCTCCCTTCTTCTCTTCCTGGCTCGCCCCGTCCATGTTAAAGTTCACATCGATGATGCTGGTTCTGCGAGATGAAGGTCGCCTTATCTCGGCCGGTACTTTCATCTTTATCACACCCAGCAGAGGTTTGTTGGGCTTCCAGTTCCCCTCGGAGTCAGAGAGCAGGCTATCTCTGCTGTTCCTGCGGCCCACCATCGGAGACAGGACCCTGTCTCTGCTGCCTCTGCGCTTTATAATCGGAGACAGCATCCTGTCGCAGGTGTCCTGCAGGTTGATGTTAGCCTCCATCATCTTTCTGTGGATCTCCTGGAGGGCGGCACCCACAGAGCTGTCAAGTTCTGGTCTGAGCTCGTTGTCTGAGCCCATGCCTTCATAAGCGGACACCACTGCAGACTCCCTCTCCAAGGCACTGTAGACCTGGCTCTTCCTTTGGGTCAGCAGGCTGGGACGTGACAGCTGGGCGCTCTGCAGGGCAATCCAGTTCCCATCCATGCTGTGCAGGACTGCAGACACACCTTTGTATGCAAGCATGAAAACAAACACACACATGTATACACCTACGTAACCATCTGCCACAAAGAAGGAATCAGACATGCTGCAACATAAAGAACGGACCAACAGTGGAGTTTGCTGATAGTGATGGTCGAATCATTTTAACCTTCCTCCTGTTTTTGCTTTTACTACACACCCACTATGTTAAGGGTTGGTTTTGACTCGTGTCTTAAATCAGCTGTAAATTCTCTATCATCCAATTCGGTTTTCATCTCGAGGTTACCTTGTTTGGCTTCATTATCCATGAAAATATTGTTTGTAATATTTTTGTTGTGGGCCTCTGGGTCTTTCTTTGTCAGTATACCCCTCACACAGACATCTATACTGAATTGATCTCACATGTCTGGACATGTCCGACGTTGTTTTTTGTGCAGAGAAAAACATGGAAAAATGAACATTTCCTAAATCTCACATGATTGGAAGTGTGGTGTGGTGTCTGACAGTGCACTTATGATTTCAGTTTTTGTTCTAATTATTAGATATTGATCTAACCGGGTCAACAGCGACCCTAACACAAGTGCCATAATTTTAATAAGAGAATTTTATAATTTAGTCAATTTAGTTTTTTAATTTTTATTTTGTTGAAATAGAGGTTCCTGACAAAGTCAAAAAGTCTTGATGCAGAAAAGCTCATTTAAGTGGTTCTTTTAAGCGTTTAAAATCAAAAACGGGTCGGTGCAGACCCTAACACAGGAGGAGGGTTAAAAAGTCAGCTGTTGAAGCTTCAGTCTACAGAAAATCTTTAATTTTTTCAACTGATCTATTCAAATATTTTAAGCAAAAGTACATAACCGAAATGCAAAAAGAGTGTAGAAATAAAGAACCTTCTTTGTGGGTTTAGGAAGAAAAGAAACTGGATCTTACCTGCGTTGTCCAGCCGGTCTACACTCTTCCAAGTTGACATAGCCGACCCTCCACCTTCCTTCACTGACGCCTTTGAGGAGTCCTCAGTCGAACCTGGAGATTCGTTCTCCAGCAGTGAGTAGGCTGAGTGTGACCTCTGATAAAGAGATACGACAAATACAAAATTATCTTAATAAGAACTATACATCTGCTTTTCCTCTGTGCTTGATTTAACATCAACCACACTGCACGACTCTGCATGGCTGCAAAACAAAGTCAACAGAGCGGCATGTGAGGTGGTGAACCAGCAGAGGGCGGCACAGATTACTATACAGGGGAGAGCAGAAAGCAGCGTCAGTGATTGAGGATAATTAGGTCTTTACTTCAATGAAGTTTCTATTAACATAAAGTGAAACTGCAGCCGTACACTTACAGATCATTCATTTATATTCTCACTGAAGTGAAAGTGTAACTATTATCAGTGATGCACTAAAACTTCTACTGAGAAAAGTGGCCGAGGTGACTGTTAGCTCTCACATGATACAATCAGATATTGATGCATTTGTGTGAAAGCAGCATTTCTCATGCATTCAGCTTTTCATCCAGACTAGATATACGCTGTTTAGTTTGCAGAATGGGAACACATAGAGGGCAGGGAGGAAAGACGAAAACTAAGTATCTGCTTTACATTCTGTCACACAAATCTGTCTTTCACTTTTTGAAAACACATTTCATATTTTGTTTGTTTTGTGTCACTGTTGTGTTTTTTTTTTTCTTTACAAAGAGGCCTGGTTGCTGTTTGACAGAGCTGGCAGCATGATCGCTGGTGGACTGATGATGGTGATGAAGGTCAGGGTTGTGCTCAACTGGCCAGTCCTGGTCATATTCACCCCTCCTGTCAGCCAAAGTCTTCCTCCGATTAATAATCTAAGAGAGACAGAGACCCGATTAGTTCTGAGCATAAATCTGATCCCATCCAGATCACAAACTTAGTTTCCACTTTTGGAGAAAATAAAAAGTTCGGTTTTAAACGTCAAGATAAGAGGTTTAAATCTGAAAGTTTAGCTGCAGAGATTTCCAACCTGATGGCTTCCCACACACAGTAAATTATGTTCATGACTCTAGAAAACTTGCAGCAAAACACATGATGACCGTCTCTTACTTTTTGCACAATAGTTTTGGCCAGTTCCTCAACGAGCTCTCCTTTGTGCTCTCGCAGATAGTGTGCCTCATTCTGCTTCTCCTAGTGAACAACAAACACACGGCTAAGAACGCTGTTCAGCACCACGCACACACCAGTACACACTGTAAGCTGATTACTCTCAACAGATATGCCTTTAATACACTTATTTGCTGTAGTAAGTTTAAAAGCTTTGAGAAACTTGCACAGATTAGTGAAAGGTGAAAGGTTCTTGACGTAATGTAGTAGCTGTAAAGTATTACAAAACCAATGCGTGAAGGTCATTTGAAGTTGTTTGACACCAAGTGCTGGCAGGATAGCGTCCCTTAGTAGTGTTTAATTTTGATTTTGTGCATTTTCATAGTCCTTTGTTGTTGCTTTATTGCTTATTAGTTTCAATTCATGGTTGTTTTTGTCTTCTTAAAAAGTTGTCATTTGAAGTCAGCAGCTCTTTGTTGTCAATTCTCGTCTCTTTGTGATTATTTCTCAGTCATTTGCAGTCTCTTTGCTACTATCGAGGTTATATAACAGGTATTTGTTGTTTTCAATTTCCTCATTGTTTTTTTTTGTCTCGATTTGATTAAAAAGATATTTCGGCGTAAAATAAATTTAGGGTCAAACACACTGTAACACCGAGTTAGACACCCACTCGAGAGGTGAATGTTGTCGACCGCTTGCTTCCCTAGTTATACCAACTTTAGTAATGACAGCAGGATAGCAATACACAGCGGTCTGAGGAGCCATAAACAAACCTCAACCAAAACGCCACTCTATAGCCACAAATAATGCTCAGAACAGCACCTAACTTCATCAACAGTACATATAGGGTCCCAGCCATAGTACTAGCCACCAAACATCTTTTAAGCTTTGCCTAATTTCTGTAGCAAAGAGACTAAACACAACTCACCTACTCTCTTCCAGCAGCTGCTGATTTGTAGCGAGACCTCAGGCCAGTCCATTATGGACTGTTGTGGGGTGACGCAGCTCAAGGAAGAACATTTATGATCATTTCTCTATCAAGAAATCAGGCAAAGCTAAAAAGATGTTTGGTGGCTAATGCTAATGTGGCTAATAAGGACCATGTACTGTTGATGAAGTTAGGTGCTGTTCTGAGCATTATTTGTGGCTATAGAGTGGCGTTTTGGTTGAGATTTGTTTATGGTTCCTCAGACCGCTCTGTATTGCTATCCTGCAGCTGTTACTAAAGTTGGTTTAACTAGAGAAGCAAGCGGTCGGCAACATTCATCTCTCAAGGGGGTGTCTAACTCGGTGTTACGGTGTGTTTGACCCTAAATTTATTTTACGCCGGAATATCCCTTTAACAGAAAAACAGCTAGTTTGGAAAATTAAATCCAGTTTTATCCAGTTTTTTCCACAAGATACAGCACATGTTTAAAACTTAATGAGTCATCAGAATAGCCAGGTATCTATCAGTGTTTATAATCTTCTATCTTCTTTACATAAGCAGAGAACCCCACAGGAACAAGTAGCACAAATTTGTTGTCTTTTTTTTTATGTGGTTTTGCATCTCTTAATGGTATTTTTGTAGCATTTGAGCAAAAGCATTAGTTTTCAGAATAAAGCCGTACACACTTTTTTAAAAAAACGTCTATTGATATGCGCCCAATTTATGATTTCCAGTTCTGCGATTTAGACAAAGCTCCTTAAGTGGAGGTTTGATGGCTTTTATTCTGAAAGTTCATGGGGCAAACTCCAGCTTTGAGGGAATATTAATCATTTTCAGAGTTGAGTCTGAGATACAGTTAAAAAAAAAAAAAAGCAGCAGACTGATATTTTTGATTTCACCTTTAAAAAAAAGATGCTAATTCTTCACATTACGGGGGCAGAAGCTCAGCTTAGGGGGGTCAGCGTGGGGCCAGGATTAAATAGTAGCAGTCAATAGTGGAAAACTGTATTCTCAGGTTATTTTTGATCTCTGTAATGATCTTAGCGATATAAGCTTTTCTATTTTCCATAATCTGACTTAAAAAGAAGAAGCACAGGGGCCAGATTAAAGAGGAACTAAATGAAAGGGCAGCAGAGGAAACTATGAAAGTACATCACAGACCAATAAATCTGCAGCTTCTATAATAGAGACGTTTCTAAAAATTTACCATTAGGGAAACAATAATGATGACAGATTGTACCAGCTGTTTGAGCACTCGAAGTGAAGGACAGTGTGCGCAGATTGAATACCTGATTGGTGTCAAACTCGGCCTTGGTGATGGCCTCGTCTATGGCCTCCTCTGCCACTCGCAGGGCCACAGTGAGCGTCTCTTCCATGCTGTGCTCTGAAGACAAAGACATACAGTCATCACCTTAAATAAAATAACCACCGGGTCACTACAGATTTTGATTCATGTTTCCATATTTGGGCAGGGAAAAAAAGGGAGCAGACAGACTTTAAATGTTGATGTTTCCCCTTCTTTGTTTTACCTACTGTGAGTATAAGGTTAATAACAGCTGGGGACATAAATGAGTATGGTTTCATGACTGTATAACAGCCTCTAAATAACCTTGAAGAGGATAATGTCTCCCTCAAGGTTCGTATTTTAATAGATTTAAAGTTGCAAATGTTCTATAACCAGTCTGGTTGATAGGGAAAGAATAATCTTCAGGGCTGTTTTCACTCTTAATAGTGATACTTTAAAGCTACTATAGGGAGTTTTAGACATAAATGAAAAAATGAAATTGAAGTCCCGTTTTTTGTACATTGAGGTGTGAAAATATTTCCTGCAGCTTTTTAACTGTGGCACATACATGCATAATCTATCTCTCAGCACGCACCTTGAGCTTGCTTCTGATTGGTTGGTTCAGTGTCATGTGTAAAGTAACAAAAAATGTTGTTATGAAACTGTTCAGTGTGGAAAACTTTCTGGTTAGAGCCAGCTGTCTCCATCTTTTTGCATTTTCTCACCACAATAAATTTGTTTTCTCGTGATCCTTCCAAGAATTCAGATCAAAATGGTTTTATTTTTAAAAGCCTTTGTTACCTTATTTCTAAGCCCTGCCTGTGTCAAGGCAATATTTTGAAATGCCAGTATCACATTTTGGGGAATGAGCTTTTTTTTTCCATGTGCGTAGAGTAAACATGAATCTCACCCTAGCTCAGCTTATTTTAGCATAAAGACCCATAAGAAGGTAGAAACTAGTCTAGCTGTGTCCAAAGGTGACAAAATCCACCTACCAGCTCCTCTAAAGCCCGTTCACACACTCACTAATCTCATTTAATCCTCTAAGGTGGTCCATTAAAGCTCATTCTGTAAAATTTGATTATATTCTGGAGGAGCTGTCTCCTCCCCTCATTACAAGTCCTGATACCAATGACTCGATTAGTGCTACAATATTACCACAATGCCTCTCTTTCTATCAGACTCCTGCATTATTATCCTTAATAGATAAAATGACATTGTTATAATGTAAAGCCACATCCATAATCTAATGTAAAACCAATATATAGATGTATAGACATAGAGCATAATGCACAGGATTGAGCCTTTTAGACATTTTAATCCAGAGAGATTGAGGAAAAACCTTTTAATCAGGATAAACTTCGGCTTGTAGTTTCCTTGGTATTTCATTTTTTTTCTGCTAACTGAATCTGTGTCGTGTCAGACTTGATTATTTTCTGTTGGTTTTGTCTGTTTTACCAGAGGGTGTGACACAAAAATGGGTTTACAGTGAAAACAGAGGGTTGGTGTGATAATCCTTAAACATGTCGGCACCTTCACTTTGTCTGTAGAAGGCTGAGTCGCTCCCACAGATGCTGCCCTCATTGCAGATACTGTCCTCGAAGGTGCTGCCGTCTGAATGCACACATACATAGAGATAATGTAACATACAGGCACATACATACACATAGATACAATTAATCCTCCTGTCACGTTAAAGTCAACATAAATAGTCCAGATATTCAATCCAAACTACATAATATCAATAAAATGAAAATTTTAAAATGAAACATTTGATCTTATAGGAGTTTGTGACAGAGCAGCAGAGAGCTCACTCACTCACTCAGTCGGGTTGCTCCCTTCCAACCCCGAGCCCTGAGCTCTTTCCCCGTCATGTAAATATTCATGCAACAATGCGGCCGTTTGTGGTTATATAAGTGCATTAGAGCGACCTCGTGTGCGGCATTACCGGGGGGACCTCATCTGTGAGCTGTAGAGGTACAGTGGAGTCCACAGGGTCACTCTAATCATTTTAAGGAGGAAGGACAAGACTTAAGCCGAGTGATATTAACTGTACTTATTTTGAAACTGAACACAAATCTCATTTCTGAAAGCCTAAAGGTAAGCAGGAGCTCGCTCAAAGATGTGTTTTGTCCTTTAGGGGACGGAGGATGGACTGACATTTCTGTTGTAACATCTAATGAGCGTGGACACATTTGCCCAAAACAGGAACATTAAAAAGACCCGTGACATACAGAGCTCTGTGCTCCACAGCAGCTGAAGGTCACCCTAACCCCACAGGCAGCTCCAGCCTCATGAACAAAGGTGATCTGACTGTGGCATTTATGAGTGACTTGATCCAGATGAATTAGCAAGATGGAGATGGATGATTTTATACTATATTAGAACAATATTCAGTTCACTTTCTCTGAAATCAGAGCGATTGCGGCACAGCCAAACGAAACCTGAACCTGAAAACATTGGTTGGTTTCATGGGCAGAAGTTTGTCGGATAAAGATTTAATCAACCGATATGTCCAATAAATAAAAACCATATTGATTTATACTTAAAATCTATTTTTTCTTTGAAATACACCTGTATTCTAGGTCTTGACGTTTTAATGCTCACCAAACAGGATAATGAAGACGATCTGATTTTCTTACTTTCACCCAAATGTCACAGGACACATTAAGTCATTGGTGGCGGCACAGTGAAAACAGGAGGACCTAAATGGAGTTGAGCTGTCAAGTTTGTTCTACAAAAGCCTCAAGACATTATAATATCGTCCATTTTCAAAGTTCATTGAAAAATAGACAGAAAAGAAAAAATCGAGCTGGAAGCAGAATCTTCCTTTAGAGTGTTTTAGAGAGTGAAAAAAATGAAACAGGTTATACGTTTTGAGTAAAAAAACACAAGTTACACCTGTATGGGACAAAAGCAGTAAAACCATCATGCCCACAGGGGGCGCCAGAATCAACACAGAAAGAAAGTTCCTCACTAGAGCGTTATTGTCCACCTTACAGTCCACTGTAACTATTAACTGTAAATCTATGAAACACACCATGTGCCAAAGTACAACACTTTTTAAAACTTTTAAACTAGTTTGATAATGTATGAATCATTTTTATTAAAACAAGAGCGCCACCATGGGGTTCACATTTGCGTTTATAAACACCATTATAAACTGAATGTTTTCATTTGTCTTTGTTTTTTTACTCCAATAGCCACAGCTTTACTTTGCGCTCAGAGGTTGTCGTGGCAGATTCCTCTCTAAAAAAAAGTCTTTAAAAACCACTTGGATGAGACGAGCCCCACAGATGCACTGACGTGTGTCCACCTTCATTCATACTCACAGGTCTGTCGTTTTTTGGTTCTAAATCTACTAATGAACGCAAACAACCCATTTAATTCCTTTTACATCATATATTTTTGGTCTTTACAACTAATAATATGAACTGAGACTTTTATTTGTTTGCTTAAAAATAAGATTTTGACATAAACTAAAAAACAGCTTCTATAGAGGTCATTTGCGCATATTGGTACACCTACCACTATCCTAAAACTGTTAAGTATATCAGCTAAAAATCAGAATTATATTTGTGTTATGATGAGTATTTCAGATGATGTGATACAAGAGTCTCATGTTTGTGTCTCTCTCTGTTTTTTAATGTTCTTTTTTTTCAGTGCAAACAGAAGAGAGATCAATTTAAACCCAAACTGCATTCATGGTTTTGTTCTCAGAATGAATTGAATGCTCTCCGCTCTCAGGGGCTGTATGTGTGTCCTCCTCCTCGGGTCGACTTTGTCATTGTGTTTTAGTCTTTAGAGGAAGACGTCTCTGTGCTGCACCGCTGTTAGGCTGTGGTAGCTTCTTAAGGCTAAATGATCCCCCGCTACAGTAATCTCTCGTAAGACAACGCTTTTACCCGCAGTCTTATTTTCCAAAATCTAATGCTATTCATTCGGCTCACGTTGTTCTTGCACAAGGCAACATTAGCAGGTCTTTTCAGACTGTGCAGATCGGATTTGGCAGCTGAATAAACACGGCTTGGTGGAAAACAAATTAAAATGTGTGATACTGCGCTCGCTAAGGGAGACCATGTGAGCTGAAAATGAAAATAGAGCTGAATGAGACGCTGAGCAGTGGCCTGATGGTGGTCATCTCGCATCAGTCATCCTCCCACAGGGGTCACAGTGCTGCATCATCAGCAGCCGGCGACCCCCACCGCACAAAATCACTGGTAATACTCTGAAATCCCCCGTCCTCCAATCAGATCGCAGGGACTGAACTAATGGCCTCGAGGTTGCTCTCCTTTGCCTCCGCCGATCTGTCCCTGACAAGACAAGCAGGCTGGAGCATATGCTGCTGGGTGAACAATGTTATTCAGGCGCTGTAATGTACTGTGGCTTCATTTTCAGCATGGACGGCTCCAGAAAAGCTCCTAACCCCGACTGTACTTGTGGATAAGCTGTGGAGGATTGTTTAAATCGACACTGGACTTCTGAGAAGATTTAAAGACAGGACTGAAAAAGCTTCTCTCTGTCTACACGCTCAAGTATTAGTGCGAATACCCAGACTAAAAAGGAATCCTTTAAATTAAATAAATAAATGTTTATATCTAAGACCAAAGCTCCAGACGCTCTTTGATGTGAGGGTTAGTTAGCTAGCTGCTCACTGATCATCGACTGTTTGCTGCTGATAAGCTCGATCGCAGAGGGGTTCCAAGAGATTTTTACAGTAGATGCCAAAAACTAAAACAATAAGCTTTTTCATGAAGAGATTCTTAAGTAAGGCTGAATCAAAGACCTACTGTTGCACCACTTTTGTTCTTTACTCAGAACAAAAACAACACACACGCATACCGTGGCGTGGCCAGTGTGTGATTTCACTCAGTATGACAGTCTTGAATATTAAGACTGCCATTTAATCCAGTTTTAGTGTATTAACCATGATAGGTGCGGCTTTAAATGTTTGGCACAGGATATTTATAAGGTCAAAAGGTGCATATTCAGAAGTTAATATACTAAAAGCTACATTAACTTCTAAGTGAACTCTATCTTATCTAACAACTTAAGTTTGATAAAACTGCACGGTCCAAGGATCTCTGATGGAAATTGAAATTGAGGAAGCAAACAAGCATGAAAATAAAAATTGGAAACTAGCATCAGGAGGAATAATCTGCTCAAGTTACAGGACATGAAAACCAAGCAGGAGTTTCACTCTCCTCCTAAATTTCTGTTCAGCGCCGCTCTGAGGCATAAAACGGCAAAAAAACACAGAGCAGCACTCACAGATGCACATCATGAAAACGACTGCTCGGGTTAGGGCTGGGCGATAAATCGATGATGATATATATTAAAAATGTATTTCCCTCGATATCGATATAAAACATGGTCAATATGTTTTTCGATAGTTGGAATTCTTCCATGTTTTGGTACACTATATGAATAGCCAATGAAAAGGGGAGTCACTCCGGGTCGACTTCGCGCTGAACCAATCATGTGCTGAATTAGAACCAAGTAGCAAACAACTGCGTAGTGGTAGACTGTAGACACACGCAACCATAGCACTTTAAGATTGACAAGTGATTTTTTTATATCGTGATATCTGATATCCAAAAACTATACAGTGATAAACTTTTTCCCATATCACCCAGCCCTGGTTCAGATGCGTCTTTTTATGTTAGTTGGTCTTGCTTTGTCTGAATCTGTTTGCACCTCTAAAGACTGAACTTTGACGACATTTTTTCCAAACACGTCTCATTAAAACTCATTAGATTGACTTTCTGACCAAATCATCGATGCTTCAGCACTCATAATAAAACAGACAGGTGTTACCGGAAAGCTCTGAAAGTGAACGGTGCTCCACCAGGTGTTTCCTGTAAAGAGTCTTCAGAACTTTGGCGCTGCCGAACCTCTTGAAGCGCGTCTTCACATTCGTGTAAAACCACTCCAGGTTCTGAGTCTTCAGCAGCCTGAGAGAGACAAACAGAGCTGCAGTTTAACGACATTAGTAAGTGCAAATACATGATAGGTATTCAAACTGAAGTAATGTAACACAAAGTCTAACAATATCAACAATATCACCCTGCAGATACCATGACTACTTTTACCATAATGATATTACCATCATGTGCTACAACAAATAAGATTTAAATTAAAATAGTTCAGGGATGAAGCGTAATGCTGACAGGTGTTTACTGTATAAACAAAACGGACTGACTCCTGGTTTGAATGTTATTCATGACGGCGTGTTTAATGGACTGAAACTCTGCTGAAATGTTCTGAGCAGTTTGACTCACAAAGGGAACAAATACAGCTGCGAGCCGCGGTGCAGGTTCACCTCTGCTCTGCAGAAAAAACCAAGTGTAAGCCAAACAGTGGTAGGAGCCGCTCTGTAAAGCATGTTGACAGGAGCCTCAGAAGGCCGGAGGAGATAGTTGTAAAAATGTGAGCCTGTGTGTACTCCTGACTCACGCATCACCATGGATGTGCAAATTGAACCAGCAAACAGTGTGACCTTCTTTGACCATCAAGAGAGAAAAAATTTAGACAGATTTAGACCACCACCGGAGGCCCGTGGATGTTGGGGTTACTTCAGGGCGGGGCTAATTTTAGCAGCTATTTCAGATTTGGTCTTAGTCTTTAAGTTTGGGTCACATTTTAATCATTTTTAGTGTAGTTTGAGTGAACAAAAGGTCAAAACAGTTAAGTCAATTGTCTTTTGGTGGGGCAGGGATGGGGAGTCTGAGTTTAGCCTCTGCATCTTCAAGTCCAAGAAATGCCACTAGATGGACATGCTGGACGGTCACTTCACTGCTCTCTCAGCTGCATCTTCATCTTTAATGATTTATAGTTTATTACACTGACAAAACATCATGTTAAATTCACTCTAAAACGTGTCTCCAAACTAGACTAAGACGAGGTTAAGACACGGAGCTGATAACAGCAAGAGTGGAAAATATCAGACCGACATAATTTCTTCATCAAGCTGGAAATGTTTGTAGAAGTGATTCAGAAACATAGAGACAGAGAGACTGAATGAAAACACTGCATCCCTCAACTGGAGGGTCGGTGGTTCAAGTCCTGGTCAGACCATATCTGGACTGTGGCCTGGCGCAAGGTCATTTCCTGAGGACGGTCAAAGTTCCCTTCAGCAAAGCGCTGAACCCCCCAGTAGCTCATGGCAGCACTACAACGAGGGCAGCAAGGTCATCACTCTGACATCTCTCTCTCCGTTAGCACATATCCATGAGGATCCTGTTTGTAAAAGTGTATTTGCATGTAATTCAGCAACTATAACACGTGAGAGTGTAAAGTGTGAACTTCCCTTCGAGGATTAATAAAGTGACGAAACCTTAACCTAACTCAGCTTTTAGATGTCTGACAAAAAAGAAATTGTCTCGTCATCATCTTGTCAAAAAAATAAAATCTATTTTCGTCACAGTTTGTGTTATTAGTGTCATGCTCATGCTCTAATCGCAGGAAAGTGATACTACGAGCCTTAATTTGCAGATTAACACTCTGGATTTTCTCAGCTGCGTTGATTCTAGTCTAGTTTATCCAAAGAACTGCATTTTATTTTCCTGAGATCATAATCTACTCTGAGTTTGTCAAATACAGACCTCAGACTGCCTCACGGTTACGTTCACGTTATTCCGCTCTAAAACGACAAAGCTACACAGCGATAACAAACACGGTCTTTCTGTCGCTGTCACAGTCTATTGTCGTCTCGTGACACCCCTCCTGAAGGTTAGAGCGGGTGAAAGCTACTCAGACAATAAGCATGCCAAGAAAACACAAATCTCTATGAAGTCCTGGTACAAAGAAACATTACTCAACCGTGGAACGAACAAGAAATCTAGCAGTCTCAAAAGACTCTGAAACAAACATCAGTGATGACTTTTTCACCACAATCATAGAGCCCAACATAATTATAGCTTTTATTGTCAACAGAAGTTCAGCGACGTCAGGGAGAGATTGTTCTGACTCTGAGAAGAAAGGCTTCACGTTAAAATCCTTTGAAAAGGTCTGAAGCCTTTCACACGGACACTTTACTTCTGAAAACGTCACACTTTTTGCCCTCGTGTTAAGAGTCATCAAAGAGTCAAGGTGTGGACATGTGAATGCAGGAGCCTCCCGTCCTCTGCTCTTAATTTTTGTTTGGTTCATTTCATTCAAATTTCTTTTAGTAATGTCAGCTGATTGACGAGCTAAGTCATGTTGAATGCAACTTCAAACGGTGGCGTTATTGCATGTTTCGGAGCCTTTTATTCATCACAGACTTCATGTGAAATCATTGTACCGACAAAGATCTAATATGTCCGAATTATGTCCCATTTTCAAATAAGACTGGACCGTGATTTAATTGAATGTTTAGGGACGACAGCTGTAGGATATAGTAGAGAGAGTCACGTTGGCGTGTTTGATGAGTTACCATCTTTTCACTGTGAGGTTGATTTACAGTGTGAAGGGAGCTGAGCGAGGAGGTCACACACAACAGTCTCCAAGTGTGACTTATCTTTGAATCACTCCTGATATCTGCGGTGTCTTACCTCGTACAGACTGAACATTAAACCTCACCGTCATGATGTTTAACGGCGAGATCATGAAAACGTGCACAGATTGACAAACTAGCATCTTAATCCTCCTATAATAACACAGATGAAGTTGTCAGACAGTGATGTCCACGTCATACAATTTCTTACATGTGCACAAGATAAGATCACAAATGTTGACAAAGTTTAGAATTTAATGCCAACTCTAAGGGTGAGTTCGTTTAAAAGACTGAAGTTTATGACTCATATTTTACTTATAATACAATGATCCCTTTCTGCCTTCTTACCCAATGCCTTCTGGGAAATCTGCACCAACCCTGATATGAGTCAAACAGCCTGGAGGAGGTAAATGTCAAATGTGGTATATTTGTTCTGGGCTCTTGCTTTTTTTACGTATATTTTTGCTTCAAAGCGCCTAGTGAACCCATGTTTTGAAAGGTGATGGATAAATAAAAAATATTTTTGGTATTTTATTTAAAAAAAAAGTGTGTTTTTCTTACTTTCAACAAATCAGACGATTTACTTAAAATCCAAAAATCATTCCTCAAAATACTCTGAAGAGTTGGAGTAAACAGCAAGTTATTAATACTCGCATACAGAGCTGCTATGAATGCATGAATGTCTGCTGTTGCATTAGGTCTCTTGGGTCTCTTTACGTCTTTTTATTTTGAGCTGGTTCCTGCATACTCTATACTGCTGCTACTATAAACACAAACTACTAAAGCAGCAGGTGTGTATAAAGAGGGAACAGAAATAATTTGATCTGTTTTTGTGAGATGCTCTTCAAAATGTCTGATTCTGGGACTGATTCGTCGGTCGTTTTATAAGATTGGTTTTCACGTAAAACTGTTCGTATACTCCCGTCACAGATCCAGTGTAATGGTTGAGTAGCAAAGTGAATACTGTAACACTATACTAACTATTTATGGTTCACAAAATAGTGATAATCCATCTTCTCCTGCAATGGCAATCTTTAAATCATACCGCTTTAGTTCAATTGTAGGAAAAAGCTTCAATCAAGTACTTCAGTCTTATGCCTCCATAGAAATGTCGACACTGTCCAGACGATTCAAGTCATCAGGGTGGTGTCGTCTTCGGCAGACTACTCAAAACATCATTATAAACCCAGATGAATTAAATGGTCAATAATACTGGAGTACACTTTGTTTTCAGGACTTAAAATTTACTCAACTCACCCTTTTTGGTTCTGATGTGTGTGTTTCCCATCTTAATGAATGGAAAAATAATCCCTGGTCCAAACAGTTTACGCTCCACAGTTGCAGACTTTATCCTGCACCGTCTCTTAGTGCCTTTTTGTTATAAGTGCTAAATCCATCTCTACGGACGCAGACTAAGACTTTAATGACCTTTACGTCAGTGCATCCTCTCATCCTAAACTTAGCCTCATAAACACACACACACACACACACAGCACAGTGAACATGCACAGCAGCCGCTCTAACAGAGCTTCTACCATCACCTACCTGCCCTTCTCGCAGGCGGAGCACAGCCAGGATTTCTCCCGCTTGGAGTAGACCCGGCAGGCCTTGCACACGTTGTACCTGCAGTCACGGCACTTGCGCTTGGGGTTGAGCAGGAAGGTGAAGGGCGCGCAGCAGCGGATGCAGCAGCGCTGGTTGAAGAAACCCTGTCGTGACAGCAGGAGGCAGCGACTGCCCTCCTCGTCCAGCTCCTGCTTCAGTTCACTGCGAGGAGGAGGAGGAGGAAGAGGAAGAGGAGGAGGAGGAGGAGGGGAGATGATCAGAGAGAGACAGATAGTGAAACCGTGAGTGTGTGTGTGTGTGTGAGAGAGAGAGAGAGACACACACACAAAATAACAAATAAAAGCACATCTTACTCTGGCTTTATGCATTTAATTGAGATGGACACGGGGATAAAACGGTGAAGGGTTTTCTAAAAATAGCAGGAATATGAAGATAAAGAAATCAAATGCACATGAACACAAAGTATGTCATGCTGATCCTCGGCTGCCTGTTAATGAAAATGGATTGGAAATTAAAGTGGTTTTACAAAGTAGGTCAATCCACTATTTCCTAAATACCATTTAAAGGTAAATGATGATTGAAAAAGCTGAAATACTCATTTACGAGTATATTTTAAGCTGAGGATTTGTCATCCCATATTCATGTTAACGCTGCCTGCTGCGCTCGTGGAAAGGTTACAGAAGGAGGCTGAATAATACATGGATGTGTTTCCTTGAACAGCTACTCCATCAACACCAAACAACTTCAGAGTAGATTTATGGAATCGTACAATTTCATGTCCATCATTTTTACTCACATTGAATCACAAAATGCTAATCGCTAATTTACACTCCAGACTCCAGGCCTCAGAGAACTTCTTACACCTCACTGATAAACCCTTTGAGTTATACAGGGTTACATCAGACCTGAATTTTCTTGATACTGAGATGTTTGCTGATTCTAAAATGACACTTTTTATTCCCCTGCAGACTGTAATATTCTGGTGAAAGACAGGAAGTCTACAACTTTTTTATAAAACAGAGAAAAAAGTTTGTCAAAAATGAAATCAGGGTCCCAGTGCTCCTCAAAAAACAGCTTTTAAAGGTTATTTTTATGGACTGGGGAAAGTATAAAAACAGAAATAAAATCCCACAAAGAACAAATTCAATATAAAAAGAGTATTTTTTTCACATGCAGTTGTTTTTGCCAAACACAAAGGAACCAGTTTACTTCAATTCTTCCACGTATAAAAAGTCTCACATTTATTCTTCATTATTGTTCCTCTACAACAAAACGACAGAGCACAGAAGCATCCGCAAAAACATAAAAGTGATAATCAAACTGGCCAAATATCAAACACAGACAGAGATGGTGGCAGAGGAGGGACAAATGGAAAAATGCCTGAAGGTAAGTGTCCAAAAAAAATCCAATATTGTCACATCAAGAGTGAACCGTGTGACAGCGATAACTGCTGATTGTGATGGAGTCTGACAGTGTGAAGGCAAAGGCAGCGGAAAAAAATCTCTCTTGGCTTCAAAACTGATTTAATTTCAATAAAATAAAATTCAAAATGTTACATAAGAATGAAATTCCTCGTTTCTTATACCGAGCTTTTGCACAGACAGTAGTCACTTCAGGGAAATAATCTAGGGTAGGGAACATGTCGCTAATAAAAGACCTCATTTGTCATGGTACACACCTTTATTAAAGGGAAAATGACCTAAAAACACAAACTTTTCCTCTGTGAATCCCCAAATAACCCACTGTATTAAAAAGTATTTCCTAAATCCCAAGTTGGCGTCTTAGAGTGCCTTATTAAAAAAGATTTCTTCATGATTAATTCATACTTTTTTTTTTTCAGCTCCACATGATTTACAGCCGACCTCATTGCCTTTTCAAAAGCGATCTATCTCATCTGTTCTGACGGCTCTAACCTTCAGGCAACATCCACGGCTACTCCAGAACTATTAAAATTTAACTGTACTTCTCACAAGACTGATGCCCTCTTACTACAGCCGCACACTCCATCACAAAAGTTATAAATAACTCTGCAGCAGGCGCCACAAACCTGTGCACGACCAAACACACACTGTCACAGTGAGGATTTTCACCAAATGGTGCTCGGACGGAGAATAACATGCAGAACATACTGTATACACAAACACAAACACAGCAGCATCTCGGGAAAAACACTCCTCAGACTCAGCAGGATGAAGCAGCAGCTAGAGAGTCTGAAGTAAAACAGCCGTCTCTTTACGTCATGTTAGCAAACATAAAACATGTATGTTCAGCAGTTCACTCTACGGTATCAGCAGCTCTGTCCCTAAACACCCTCGTCTGACGGAGCTCTGTAGCCTGCAGCACACACACACAAAAACAGAACAAACAAGAAGGAGCTGAAGCTGCGGTGTCAGCTGCAATGATCCTCAGAAACAGTCTTTTTCTCTGATATAAGCTTATGTGGCGTCTGCTGATCTGTGTCTTCATCTGCGTGGATTTATATTCGATATAATTTTAGGAAAACATTTTTATTCTCATTTGAAAATATTAAAAATAATGTTACCATTGAAGGAATGTTTACTGCTCAAGTAGAAAGAAAAGAAATTCGCAAAAGTCTGCTGTGCATTTCCTGGAGTGCAATGACCCAGCTATTAGACAGGGCACTAATGTTAAGCTATAAATTCACATTACGTCCAGCTTTAAAGAAAAATAAAGCTTGGGTTTAGCAGGAGTTCCCTGATTGCGCTGTGGTTAAAGCTATAACTATAAAAAGGTCCCTCTGTTTTGGTCAAATTAAGCCAAAATATCATCTCTTCTAGTGCGAACAAGTTGTGCAGGTGACATATTTTGGAGGAAAGGTGTGTGCAGAGGCGATCCACCATGAGCTACACCTGCACTTAAAGGTGGGGTAGGCAGGATCTGAGGAAGTGCCAGTTTTTGGGAGAAATCTTGAATGTAAACACGACCCCTCCCAACCAGTTTACCCCTCAGCTCCTCCCCCACAAACAGGCGCTCCTGCTCGCTTGTATCGTTTCAATTAAATTCAGATATAATGCAGATAAATACTTCAGATAATTATAAATGAGACCCAGTCAATGTGAAAGTAAAAAGCATTGGTGCTACTGTAGATGCCAACAGACTACCAACAAACACAATGTTTGCAGGACTTCTACAACTAGGATAAAGTGACGTTATTCCGCCAGAGTCTCCAGTATTTACTTCGTTTTCTTGCTTGTTTTGGCAGTTGTGGCGAAAGGAGGGTTCAGACAATTTTCCGTACTTTCTGGTTAGTTTCTACAGTTCGAGATACGTTATTCAAGGATGTGGAGCGTGCCTCACAACCAATCAGGTTGGGGGAGGTGGAGAACAGCTTTGTTTACAGTCAGAAAGAGCGGACTGACTACACAGACATAACAGAACAAAGCCATACGGTGATATTCCCAAATGTCATCAATAACTAATAGCTATTAACTGATATTAAAGATGCTTTTTTCTTAACAGAATCCTGCCTACCCCACCTTTAAGTCTTGCATGAGTGTATAAGCATGTGTAAGTGTATTATAAAGGTGCATTGTCAAACTGTGTACGTGTCCATGTGCTGCTGTGTGTTGGCACAAGAGAGACAAACACATACCAGCCATCCTTAAATCAGCAGGTGCACTGGCAGAAAAACAGCTGCTAACAATAACAACAACAACAACAACAGTGTTGTTCTGCTGAAGGAATTAACAAAATCAATACAGTCTATTCATTGTGTTGTGTTAGCTACAGTGAGGTTCATCAAATACAACAACAGAGTTTATTTAATGTGGGCTTTCTTAAGACTGGATTAGATTGGTGTTTGTATTCTTCTTTAAGGTGCTGTTGAGTGAAATCGTGTTATCCCGAGACGTTTTGAATAACTTTGATTTAGAGGTCAAAAACAGAGAAATCCTTATAGAAGTTATAATACTCAGTGAATTTACAGCTTTTATTGATATAGTGTGTGGCCACGTTTTAAAAATTTCCTTTAGTGTGTGTGTGTGTGTGTGTGTGTGTGTGTGTGTGTGTGTGTGTGTGTGTGTGTGCCTCAGCGTGAGTTGGCATAAACACGTGCCAGCAATCCTTCAAAATCATCAGGTCTATTGGCAGAAAAAACAACAGCGGCTTTTCCAAGAACAAGTGTTATTCATTTAGGGGAATTATGGACTAACAAACCCAGTCAGATTTTGCTGTCTCAGGGACACAACAACATATTCACAACTAAAACACTGTGCTCCTGTGAAGTGTCTTTATGAATCTGAAAATCTGTTTTAAGATCATAGTTTGTACTGTGACCATATAACTGATAACACAGAAAAGAAAGGAGAGATTAAGAGTTGTAGATATTTAAATTCCACTAAAATGTGTAGAGTATGAATTATGTTAAAATCATCCTCAGCCAGTTGTTCCTTTTATCTTATAAGTACAAGTTACAACACTGTATCAGGGCAGATTTTATTTAAGTTAATTTTCGTTCAGTTACAGCTAAGTGTGTAATATTTCACGCGTGATCTTTCATCGACACTTTTACAACATCATGTTTAATGATGATGAAGTGCCAGCAAGGTTTCTCCTCTCGTGTTAATAAAGGAAGCGTCTTTGTGCAACTGGGGACACAAAAATCATACAGTTAATTCATTGTTAACCCATCGTACTGCTTGATAAACTTTGACCCTGGACTGATTTATGTCCTATCCTGCCATGTTTATGACTCATTAGTAAACAATGAGCGAGGGTCCTGAGTTTAGGGGTTGGAGAATTACAGGAACTCCAACATCGGCACTAACAAAACTGCTATACTGCTATACTATATACTGCTCTATACTGCTTTGACTGTACTGTAGCTGTTAGGAAATAACAAACAAATGATTAAAGATTTTGACAAACTCCCCACACGAGCCAATTTAAGCTTAAAGTTCCTCAAACTGGTGGCAGTAAAAAAATAGGAGGATTAACAAGTAAGCCTTTTGCTTTTTTAGGAAAAAGAAAGCTCACTACTTATTCAGTACGGGTCACGTGGGAATTAAAGCAAAAACCTCTGAGGTAACAAATAACTACAATTTATGCCTATGATGGAATAGAATACAATAGAATAGAATAAAAAAGAATAGGATAGAATGGAAAAGGATAAAAAAATAGGATAGACTGGAATAGAAAGTTTACTGTCCTTGTACAAGGTATCTACAACAAATCTCTTCAGCGCTGACAGAGTGGGGCTCATTTTTAGTGTCCTCTCAAGTTGCTTTATTACGTAAAGGTTTTATTACTAAAAACAAATATCATAGAAAGAACAAAACAAACAGCGTGTGAAACAGCAGCTGTGTTTGTTGTTGATTAAAAAAAAAGGTTTCTATGTGGGCCTCTTATTAAGTTCAGATACATATGAGATCTGCAGAGTTAGTTTTTCTCTTAATTTTTCCAATAGTTTCATTTAAATAGAAGTTTATTGGTTTATCTTTAATGACTAAACAATTTGTGTAAAAGACACTAATGAGGTAAGACGTCATATTTGTTTTTGACAATCTAAGATTTCGCACAGGCTGGAAAAGCTGCCCTGTTGCACCTCAAGAGGTTTGAAACTTCTGAGGCCTTGAAGCTGTCGCTACTATTATCGCTTAATCATGGAGTTAAGAGGACATGTTGACAGTATCTGTCACCATACAAAAAAAAATCTAACAAAAACAGAATTCTAAGTATGAAGCTTGAGCCAAATTCAACATTTAGACATTCCTCAGATGGTGATGAAACACTGGAAGCATGTGTAAAAGTAAAACAGTAATAGAAAAAACGTCATACTCATGTCATTTTTAACCCATGACTGACTTCAGCTGGAAAGCATTTCCAACTATTATGTATCCTCATCTTACCAAATTTAGAACAAGAGAGAGCAATTCTTTACAATAAGACTTTTGTCAGTCTTTGTGTTCATGCATGTTGTGTTTGTGCTCTGAAGGCTGGACTGAAGTTTCGAGGAAGTTAGTCTAAGTACAACAGGAAAGGGCGGTTGTTTCCTATCCCGTGTTGTTGAACAAACTTCAGAGCAGAGAGAGGAGGAGGAGAAATGCAAACTGATTTCTAAAAACGTCAAACCATTTTCCCATCAGTGAAAGATACAAGAAACCAGTCGGTGAATTAATGATGATTTTCTAACTGGTGGAGTTTAATTTAACCTGCTCATTGTTTCAGGTGGTTTCAGTTTATTCAGGCCACAAGCAGCTGTGAAAGAAAACAGAGTGTATCTGCTGTGAGGGTGGCCTAACCCATGTTTACATTAATAAAGCTATCTCCGGAAACAACATTAATCATAAGGGGAACTTGTGAAGGGAATAAAGCTTCAGATCTAGACACAGTTTAGGTGGATAAATGGTTAGACTTCCAAATGTGAGATGAGTAGTCAGAGTTGAGACGTAAAGGTCGTTATTATGGAGAACTTGCCAACAGCATCCAAAAACAATAAACTCAGAGAGGTTATAGTGAACTTAAAAAGGAAAGATAACAATCCAGTTGGTCCAAAACTAAAACTCCTAAATTCACGATCCCGCCGTGGTTCAGGACTAACCTGAGTCGCTCCTCCTCCTGCTTTCGTAGCTTCATGTCTCTCTGCACCACCTGCAGGACATGCTCCGCCTCATTGTCGGATAGACTCGACAGATCCAGTTTGCGCCCCATCGCTGACACACCTCCTCCAGCTGTCGCTCAACCCCTCTGGCCAATCAATCAGCTCGTTGTTTTCATCTAAAGAATGGGAATAAAAACATACAAATGCACACAATTTATCCAGGCATTGTGGTCCTAGAGTGAAAGTGGAATTAGCTTTTTACATAAGAACAAGACAATGAAACTGACTGCAATTTCACCTTCACCTTAATTAAAGAGCTTTAATATTCTCGCTATATGATACAACTAATAAGTAACTTTAAAAAGACATTATGGACATATTTGGTGGGAAATTTATCAGTAAAGACTTACTAAACGGGGTTTTATTTAGTGCAAAGTCCATGTTTGACCTGATAAACAAAGATTATTTCAATATTATCCTGACTGTCAAACTGGCTACCTCTTTGAATCTGTTAAATGTCTTCAAGTGACTAAAACTAACTTAATTTATCCAATAAATAAACAAGTTTAACTGTATATCACACATCTTATCATTGCGGTCCAAACCTTTATCGAGTAGAGCTGTGTCCTTATGAGAACTACAAACCCATTTTAAGCCACCAACACAAGAAAATCTGAGTCTTAACACACAGCAGGGTTTATGTTTTCAGCAATAGGATTCCTAAAGAGGAAATCTCGTTTTTTTTGTTTTTTTTTCTGGATTTCTCTGAGTCACAAAGTCCAAACCTGCTTCTCTAAGACTAAAACCTCCATGATAGCAACTCAAAGCTCATGGGAACTCATGAAAAGGAGCATTAAATAGTCAGACTTTGATAGAGACAAGTGCTTTTGGGGGATTACACACAAAAACCGAGTAGTTTTGTGATGATTTTAAGGAAAGCTGCCAAACAGTCACAGTGAAAATTATATCAAAGAAGTAGGTAAAGTTATTTATTTCATATTCTTTTCTAGAGAACAGAGTGAATAAAGTTGATAAACTCACCGATATCAGCCTCTGATGCCCCTCGGAGGGGGAAACGGACCACCGGTGCACCTTAAGACCATACGAAGGGGAAAATAACCCTCATGTAATCCGGCAGTCCTGTCCTGAATGATGACTGAAAAACTATCGCCACAATCGTTTAAAGCACAAAGCCACAGTCCAGACACATCTTTCTTCACCTCGACCCTCGTCCCTCAGCTGGAGGAGAACTTTCACAACAGGTCTGATCCTCACGGCCGGTCCAGGGTTCTGAGAGAAAACCCGGATCAGCGTTTCTCTCCAGAGCTCAGCGGATTAAGCGACATGGAAGTGATGAAAGTTTGTGTTAATGAATTCTACTTTTCACGGTGGATTACATACATAATTCAAATTGTATCCTAGTGATGAGTGTGGGGGATTAATCCTTTAGGAGGAGTTTGATTTCTATGGTGGCCGAGAACTGCCACTGTTGCAAATAAAAAAGAATGAAAAAAAGAAGAAGAAGAAGAAAAAGAAGCAGCAGCCACAACGGAAGTTAAGAACGCAAGAAAAAGTAGTGATGCAAAAAAACAAACAAACAAACAAATAAATGACACATTGAAAAGCACAAATAAAAGCGAAATAAAACAATAACCTTTCCAATAACTTCTTTGCTCATCCTCTTACTGTCGTCTTCTGGGCCTAGATCGTAAAGCACCGGTGCAGCTCACTTGTTTTTGTTTTTTTTGTTTTTTTGCATCCTTTTAATCTCACAGTAAGTAACTTTTTTTTATTTTTGCATCACCACTTTTTTTGTGTGTCGTTAACTTCAGTTGTGGCTTTTTTTTTGCACTGTTTCTTTTTTTATTTACATGGTTTCTTTTTTTGCATGGGTCACTTCCGTTGTGACTTCTTTTTTTTTTTTTTTTTTTTGTATTCTATTTCTATTTGCAGCAGTGGTGGTTCTCGGCCACCGTAGAGTCAAATATTAAACCGCAAATTAACAAATTAAACTGAAGTCACTCCCTTACAAGTGTTACAAGTGTTGTATTGTTATCCCAGGCCTGACGTATTTCATTTCCCCTCGTAAAAATAAAAATAAATGAATGCATAATAGAAATACTTTTTGAATTATCTTATATATAACCTACCCACCCATTTTACTTTGAGATAAATCAGAAAAAAAAAAATATATATATATATATATATATATATATATATATATATATATACCATCATTAAAGAGGTCAGGAGCAGTAAAATTTGGCCAAATTGTATTTTTGTTGTTGATTGGACAAATGAAGGGGTTTAGAAAACCTACTCTTGAGCATAAAGAGCATACAGAATGGGAATTTATTACAATATTGATCATTTTCATCATTAGAAAAACCTTTAAAGCACAAAATTAACGAAACATAAAAAAACTCAAAAATTACAGTAGGGGAGAGTGGGGTAAGATGAGCCATTTTTCATATTTCGGATCACTACATCAAGTCAATCATAGTTTTGTCTCTAACTAGTGTATCTGTATATATTTCAAAATGTTGTACATCCCTGCAAACCAACAGAATGAGTGTAAACATAACTGTCTTGATAATATAGCATGTCAAAAAAAAGATAAACTGTATAAATAAAAAAGTTGATCTCTCCTTATTCATGCACTACAGGCTCAACTTCTTGTTTTATGTTTGCCCCACCTACTTACATGATGACACACCATTGAGTACATGTAATTTCAGTTATGACTGGAAGGATAAGGGGGCTAAGGTGAGCCCTCTCTAATAGGATTTTTTTTAAAAGTACCCGGGTCTTCATAGCAACAGCAAAGGACAGGATCACATCACATCCAAAAGGACACAAACTGAACTAAAAGATGACAAGCACAACAGGGGAAATGTTACATAAGCAAACAAGAGTCGGCACCAGAGATAGTGAGCAGGACAGCAATGACAGAAAAACTGAGCAAGGGCGACTGATGGACGGATGGAAGACTACAAATTGGCAAGGGCATGACAGAGGTGAATGCACAAAGTGGGATCCAGCAGGATGTGTTTCTGACTCCAAAAAAAAAAACCTTCGGTGGCAAAAGCTGTAAGAAAAAAAAGATAAATCATGGGTTAATTAAAGACTTAGAAGTTTAATCTTTTGGGCTTTGACTGAATTTCACATTTGCCGGCAGTAATTCTTCATTTTTTTAGCCTGCATACTTAATCTTGGCTATTCTACCATTAGATGTCAGTCTAACTTCTGCTATCATGGTTCATGACTTGGAATTCAGTTTAATAACCAAAACACAAAGAAAGGATCAGCAAAGCGCCGGATGATTCTACAGATTTCCACAGGCTTTTATTCGATGGAAAGGAATTTATTCAATTTTAACCATTAAATCAGTTTATTTTAATTTGAAAAAACCTTTATATTTAATTTACTTCCTTAATAATCCTTTCAGAACATAATGTGATTGAGCATTCATAATACAAACACTGCTTCTTAAGCATGACAAGAGAGGGATTGATAAGGTTACTCACCATCAGCATGGTTGTCATTTAGTCATGGTGTGATGCTGATGCTGATAAATCACAGAGGAGTTGATATGTGTGTTGAAATTCAAGCTGCATTTGGTAAACAAAAATAAAAAAGAGTTTTGAAACTTTTATGGCTCATTTTACTGCAAGAAAGTTACACAGAATGACTTAAACCTGTGTTAAAGTTATGCTGTGAGCTATCACTGTATTATCAGAGTGGGTGTTACACTTTTACAGGATGGTGATAATCTACATTTATCTGAATGGTTTAGTTTATCATCACACAGAGAAATTTGAGTTTAACAGCTACCTTACTGGCCTGTATGAACCTGTACCAGCCTGATTAATCTGTAGTTTGCTTAAATGGTAGTTACAGTAATTGTACAGCATAAAGCAACATGAAATTCCAGTTTATTGCTTGCTAACCGTTGTCACTCAAACAAATTTTTGGGTTAGAGTCACTGACAGTCAGTATCAAAGTGCGAAAACAGGTGCAATGTGTTCAAAGTTCTTAATATTTCATAAAAGCCTGCAGCTTAGTTCTGTAGTCTGTCCCGGGAAGTTTGATCAAGATGTTTAAAAAGACCAAATAAAAGCATATACAACTGTCCGAGACAATACTACTACTTCCCTCTCTAACTCTTTGAAGACAAATGTCAAAAACCTTGGTGTCGTTTTTATCACAAAATGCTTTTTCCACAGTCACCTGGCTTGATTATAGAAACTCCCATTTCACGTCTCAGTGCCGGTGCTGCTTAAAAGTGAGTGGACACTATTTTCTAAAAACTTTTGGAAGTAAACAATGATTTGGAAACTGGTCTGTATTTATGGAAGAGTGACAGAAACAGTTAAATACAACAAGCAGACTAGGCCAAACAGATTCAGTTACCTGTACTTAAAAACTTTAAAAGGGCTGGATGATTTCAACAGATTATGGTTACAGACAGTGGTAAGATGAAAGAAAGAGTAATGAGAGAGTAAACAACTTGATTCAGAAGTTTCAGATGTTTTATTAATAGCAGTAAGTTTCTGGAAATAGCTTTTAATAAGGAGTGCAAGAAGTGTGAACATAGATGGATTACAAATAAGAAAGTCAGACTGTACAGCTTGTAACCAAAGTGTCTGCCAGCATCATAAGCTACATCTCGATACGGTCACTACCAACACCATTATTTTCTAAAATATTCTGTATAGCACCACTGTCACCTCCATCTTTATATGGCCCAGTGTACACCAACACGGTCACCTGTACCCACAAAAACACCATCACTTCAACCTGATACTAAACAGCTCATGAAATTTTTATGCACTTCGCACACTAAATGTTACAAGGAAACAAGGTGAAGGCTGCAGATGTCATGAAAAACTTAATGCATTAAGTGTTATGTTTGTAAAGATCAGCAAAAGTGGATTTATTCATGTGATCATCACGTCACTTTACTTTGTCCTCGACTCCTCCAGGTAGAGTGAATTCACTGGTGCGTTTCCAAGCCGGTCGAGTGGAGATCCAGAGGATTGCCGCTCCGTACCCCACAAGGAGCATTCCCATCACATTTGCAAACAATGCCTCTGAGGGGGAGTCTGTGTACTTAGGGTCACTCCTGCAGGACGGAGAGAATATCAATTGCGAGGTAGTGTGCTCACTGTTCCCACATGCATTATGATTAAAATTCTAATTCAGATAGAGGCATATTTTCTTTTCGTCACACTTACAAGCCAAAGATGAGTTTCTCAGTGATGCCAGTAAGAGCTACAGTGATAGTAGAACCGAAGAGGAAGCGCCCGACAAATCCATGGATGGGCATGCATGCTGTTTTCCAGGACAGTGGTGTAAACGGCAACAGGAAGATGCAGGCTGACACCAAGAGCTGCTCATTAAAGGAGAAAAAAACATTTATTAATTAAACATTGTATCACTCTGACACTGTGGAAGTGGTTGCAGTACAGTGGCATATGTCCTACACTCTTAATTACGTGTTATAAATATGGGTGGAAGCAACAAAGCCAGAGGCCAATCCTACACCCTCTTCTACAAGGAGTAATTAAGTAGTTTAATTACCAGTAGACCAAAGGAAGAGAAGGTTGTCAAGCCCAGCCAGCTGTGCAGACTGAACATGTTAGGAAAATCTGCCGCACTTTGAGAGCCAAAAGCTGCCATCATAGCGAAAGAAGCATAAGTGAAGGCCATGGTGTGTAAGGCTCCATGGATGTACTTCATCGTTTCGTAGTTGGCTTTCCCAGTCCAGGGGAGTCTGTAGATAGTGATGGCTGCAAAAGAAGGTTATTTCAGGTCATTCAACTGAATCTTTATAAGTTTATAACGCATTTGCATTTTTGCATTGAGGAAACTATTTTCCTTCCTCATCTGTTTTTGTGAATTACATGTTTTCATGCATATACTCTAACGAAACAGTCATCTCCAGCTATGCTCAAAGAGAAAACTGAGCTTGTTTAACTTAGCTTTCTTAGCTGCTGCTTTTTGTATGGATAATATGTCTTTAAAGAAAAAGACTTCCCTTACCCAGTCCAGTCAAGAAAATGAAGCCAGAGACAATTAGCACCGGGTGCCAGTTGAACAAGGCTGCACCTCCTTCCCAGGACAAACCCTCTCTGTAGCGGAGAACCCATCGTAGCACAAATACCATGGAGAAAAATCCCAATGTGAGGGCGGCAGCCAGAGCTTTTCCAAAGTTTTCCATCACTGCCAGCAATTGAGCTTCAACAGCAAGTGATGAAAGTGAAGTAGCTGCTCCCACAACTATATCAGGTTCAAGAGGAGGCTGGAGAAAGGGGGTTGGTAAAGAGGGGTGAACGGGGCAGGTCTGGGCCACCCTTGAAATCCAATTGGCCATCAATGGAGGATCAAGTGTAACAACTGGTGATTTCCCTTGTCAAAGGTGGGACTTCGATATATTTTAATTGTTAAGGCTGTGCTTTTACCTTTAATAATTTTTAAACTCTATTTTTCAATATATGCCGTTCTCAGTCCATGGAAAAAAAAACATGTTGTGTTGCTGTTTGAAGTTTAGACGGGTCATTGTATTGTAAGCAGGTAAAGTAAAGTATGACAAGTGGAGGTTTAAAAAAGGTAAATGCTCTCTCTTTAGGCGTTTGCACACACATACTTTTAGTCACTCTTGTATCAGTCAGTGCTCAAGCTGGGCCAGCCAAGTCTTAAAAGTCTGAATCTGCCCCTTCACATGATCAAGAGCAGAGATGTTTTATAACTTTAATGATTACCGATGGAAAAGAATACCTTAAAGATGGCTAGTGATGCTCCTTTTGGTCTGTGTCCCCTGTGACTTTCTCTTTTTTTCAGTGTACATAGGTAGAGGCTCATAGTAAGGGGCTTAGAGTTTGGACTTCAGGTGTTCACGGCACCAGACAAATCTGAATACACTTTGAGTCCAAGAAAACTCTGTTATAAAACCATACTCAATAATGCAGATGTTTCTCTGGAAGCTGAAAACGCCCCTCCTTTTTTAATGTAGTGGTTTATATGTCGCGAAACAATGTCGAAAACAAATCATAAATTACAACGTACTTTTCTTTAAATATGACACCTGGCGTCTGGCCTAATAAAGGCTGTGTTTCGACAGACAGGTTGCAACTGCGTTTTTTATTTGCTATAAATCAAGGAGAGTATGAGAAAGATACTTGTTAGTCTGTGTGAGTGCAGGATTGTTTCATATAGCACACCTCTTTAAAATGACTTTTTACTGTGAGGCACTCCTTCAAAAGTCTCTGTAAAAGCTAAGGAGATTCTGATCCTGGAATTTCAAACGGCATACAGGCTGTAGTCCAAACAACTGACAGACAGTTCACATACTGGACATATTGAGTACATAATGATGTGAACTAATGTGCCTTATATATGTGTAGGTTGATGCAGCTATACATAAATTACTATTAAACTAACAGCAACAATGAAAGAGATACTATGAATGATGATAGCTGGTGTTTTTTTTGTTTACAGCATTGTTCACACATCCAGAATGAGGAGAAGGTCGACAAGGACTGCGCTGCCCGACCACGCACTAACTGGTCCTGACTACATGCTATAGCGCCCTTTAGTGGTAGTGACAAGGTAAGGACCATAGTCACAGGATAGACCACTGGATTGGAAGCTCCCCTCTTCAACCTAGCATTGCACGGATGGTCAGTGACAGATCGACAGGCACTTTTTTGGCACTTCTAAGTGAATTCACCACTCATATTTTCATAATCACTATTGATCACCACATTAACGAGTTTCCAGTGTTTTTATCATCATGTTAGCATTGTTTTTCAGTCTAATATGAGGGAATTAAGGGTTGTTGTCCATGTGAGCAACTGTTACAGCTAAGATGGTATCCTTGAAGCTCTGGCCTTGAATGTGCAAAATATCTTGAGTTTGTAAAGTGTTTCACCTGTTTTTGTCCCGCGGTCGTTTTAGAGGTGTGGCCATTGTGCATAGTAGTAAATGGTAAATGCACTACTCTTATGTGCTACTGCTAGTGTTCATACAGACAGAGCATGCTCAGTCAAACCAGACGGACTTCAGCTCCAACAGATTTTTTTCACTCTGACAAGTCTTGAACAGAATTTCAAATTAACACAAGGTCTGTAACTTGTGCTCCAATGAAAATATAAAACATCCCATCACATCTTCACCCCGACATTCATTTACCTTTGTTAACTCGTGACCTACCATACTGCCCAAAATGTTAGAAAGAGGACAAGGAAGGCAGAGCCAGGGTTGGGTTATGAGCATCTAACCCCTCTCCAATTTTTTATCATGGAAGAGAAAAAGATAAAGTGAAAAAAAGGAGACGAATAGTTTTCTCTTTGTTTTTGGATCCAAACTGGAATTAATTCCACTCGCCAGATCCACCAAATTGTTTTTACGGCTTTGTCTGGCATCTCTTTTACCGTCTTTGGCACGCTCTGTCCACTCCCAGCAACCCGTGTAATAAAATGCTAGATCATGCTGTCCCCTCTACATCCTACCTGCTGATCTTTCATTCTCACCGTCTACTTTCTGCTACCAACAAAGCATAACAGAGCTTTTTTTTTCATAAGCTCCCATCACTGCATATCTTCAAGAAAATTCGATTAAGTTATTTTTCACCAGACCAGTCCACTCCGGGACATTTCCCAGTGTCAAGTTGGTGCAGAGTATCTCCTGTGGAAAACAAGTTGTTTCCCACAGATCTACCTGCATCAACTTGTGCCAACTTAAAAACCTCCTTTCTGTTTTTCTCCCTCACAGACAAACTGGAAGGCTGCACTCCTGTCCTTAATGCATCCTGATTTCACCTGTTGTCTCCTACTTTGAATTCTTTCTGTTACACTTCACAAAACCCTGGCAAGCTATGTTAACACCATGGGAACTATGAGTTCCCCTCTGCCCTAGACATTGATTTGGGTTATGACAGCACATTTTAAGTAGCCTCTATGATGTATTTTATTCAGTTCTCCTTCATACCTCAAGCTAAGCTCACTCTTCTCCACATGTCCTCAGTTTGGCTGAGCCGATGCCCTTGTCCACCTGATGACTTCCTCTGGCTGGCACACCTGCAATATTACCAGATGGCCTCCTTTCTTTAGGACCTGCCTGAACCGGCCTATCTGATCCAAGCCCTGTTATATATTTCCTATAATGAGCCTCATTCATGAAACTCGCATTCATGTTCATTATCTATTCATGGGCAGAGATTAATGCCGATTAGTGGCTATCACTCTGTCATTCTACAATTGATCGGCATTCACAAACTATCACGAACTTACACACGTGTTTACGATCAAATCAGGGGGTTTCCACAGTGTTCGTAAATCTACACATACAGTACAGGCCAAAAGTTTGGACACACCTTTTCATTCAATGCATTTTCTTTGTTTTCATAACTATTTAAATTGTAGATTCTCAAAACTATGAATGAACACATGTGGAATCATGTGCTTAAGAAAAAAGTGTGAAATAACTGAAAACGTGTTTTATATTTTAGATTTCTCAAAGTGGCCACCCTTTGCTTTTTTGATAGCGCTGCAAACTTTTGCTGTTCTCTCAATGAGCTTCATGAGGTAGTCACCTGAAATGGTTTTTACTTCACAGGAGTGCCTGAAGTAACCCTGACAAGGTACTTCTGTCATCAAGAGCAAAGAGTGGCTATTTTAAAGAAACTAGAATATAAAACATGTTTTCGGTTATTTCACACTTTTTTTACAAGTACAAAATTCTACATGTGTTCATTTATAGTTTTAATGCCTTCAGTAATAATCTACAATGTAAATAGTCATATAGAAAAAAAGAAAAGACATTGAATGAGAAGGTGTGTCCAAACTTTTGGCCTGTAATGTACATTTACTAACATTTCATGAATGAGTCTTGGATACAATGAACTCGCTTAAGTTGGATCCTGGGATGACTGAGTCCTTACTCTGACAGCAACATACTTGTGTTCTAGATACCCTGAAAAAACCTGGGAATCCTTTCATAACAGGTTGCTATTCTCTGCCACTACAATAAAGAAAATCTTATCATCTACAATCAGGAGGGAAATACTCTAGAGCTGATTTAAACCTGAGGACTCTGCCTTGGGAATTAATATCCCCTACTCTACATCAGGCGCATTTTTATAAACCAAACGGGGGAGCAGAAGTCTGGCCCCAGGGATGAAGAGGCTTTTGCTTTCCATGCTTCCCCCGTCCTCTTCAGTGATCTAATTTCCACAGCATATCCCCTAATGTTGACATGTTGGCAGAAAGGCCCATTCCTTTCTTTTCCCTAGATCTGAGTAAGACTAACTTGAGATGCTCCTCTCCCTCTTGCTTTGAAAATTTGAGCCGCCTTGCCACTTCTTGGCAGAAATCCTCAAATACAGCCTTTTACAACGTGTCTTCATATGCTCCTCTTTCCAACTTTTTCTAAGGTATTTTGCTCTTTCGAGGACTGAAATCTATTTTTGTAACCTCTCTGTCTATTACACTGACAGGGCTGCAATCTCCTCTCATTTTACTATCTATGAATCCAAGTCTTTCAGCACCATAGGCATGGATGATGCCTCATACGTGCAAGAAATACAAGAAAAGCTGCTGACCTTAAAAAAGCAGTTTTATGACTTACAAGTTTAGGTACAATGGTTTTGGATCAGGAGGAGGTTGAAAGTGGTGTAGAGCCGTAAAAGCAGTGAAACCTCCTTTCTTAGGTGTCAAAGATTAAAAAGGACTGTGCAAAGTTGACACCATGGAGGCTTACCTACAAAACAGGCTTTTAGAGCAGACACAGAGGGTTTAAAGTCATCCCATCTCTCTCCTCCAGTGTTGACCCAGATGCTGACCTCGGCCTCTTCTGAACATGTGGTTCTGGGCTGTGAAGACAGGACTGAATCAATACTGGACCATTAAAGGGTTTACATTCTTTGAGCGACGATTCCTGTGGTGTCCAAAATGCTTTATGGACTATAACATAGATGGTGTCAAAATCTGAGAATAGATGGAGAAAAACAGAGAAAATGAACAATGACATAGATGAGGGTGCTTCTTTACATATACTGCCCTCTGGTGGCACGTTACATAAACTCCAAATTAATGAGCAGTAAGTTAAAATACTTCATATTTAGTTGGGAAGTTGCTATAGTTCAGTTGTAGAAGTGTAAAAATCATAAATATCTTTTTAATAACACAATTTTTCACTCTTCGGTTTTGATAGGCTTTTTATCTCTGTAAAATGAAAATATTCCCTTTGATTCCTTGACCATTTTCTTTTTAAAAATTTCATACAAACATCCGTTTATGCAAAGTATGCCAAAAAAAATCTCGTCCGTCAATTCTATGATCGTCAGTCACTTAATTTGCTGCTATTTCCTGCTTTAACAGAAGTGGCAGCAACCTCGTGAATGTTACATTTTAGGTTTTTTACTTCTAAAACGCATAATATCTGTTAAAACACAGTAAGTCAGTTATCCTCGTCTTTTTGTTGAAAAAGTTGAAACAGAAGTTAAGTTTGTTATTGTCTCTTTTGGTGGTTCTGTGTTCTTGTTTATTATCTTAGTATTATTTTTTTTCATTTGTATGATTGATTAGCAACTCACATTACAGAATTTGATATTAAAGTGGACAAAAACTGAAAAAGTGATCATTTAAAGTGATTACCGATTTACCAAAGTAATGGGTAATAAGGTCAACTAGAAAAAATGGACAACTACAAAATAAACCAGACAGTCTCAGTTTTTTGATTTTGTTTAAACTTTCATCACACGTCTTGGCATGTGGCAGTTCCTCTTTATTTCATGGAACAGGTTGGTGGTGAAACAGCTTTGATGCAAACGCCCAAGATGTGGTCAAATCACTGCGAAAGTGCTGACAAATTAAGAAACAGTTTCTGTCATACTGCACTTACTGTCACAGACGTTTATACGTATTATTTATTTACTCAACCCAACTTCTGGCATCACAACAAAACAATTTCAGCAGTTTTTTATACACACACAAACACACAGACACAAAGACTCGCTTACTTTACCAACAGTGGACTATCAGCCCCGACTGACCAAGAGGGGGCCCCTATTTTTGGTCATTTTAATGAAACAAAAACATAATAGAAAATTTTCTTTTAAGGTCCTTTAACATAATGTTACTTGAAATGTGACTTTTAACACTGACTTAGATACCCCCATTTATGATCATTTCTTCATGGAAATGCAATCAGACCGAGACGCTAAGGCAGAAGAACTACTGCGTCTGCAGTGCAAAATGATTAATATGGTGATTTTTACTTCAAGGAAATGATAAAGAAATTATCTTAAATGTGCTTCTTTGAGCTGCGTCACCCCGCTGCAGTCCGTAATGGACTGGCCTGAGGTCTTCCTACAAACGGCTGCTGGAAGAGAGTAGGTAAGTTGTGTTTAGTCTCTTTGCTAAAGAAATCAGGCGAAGTTAAAAAGATGTTTGGTGGCTAGTGCTGTGGCTGGGACCCTATATGTACTGTTGATGAAGTTAGTTGCTGTTCTGAGCATTATTTGTGGCTATAGAGTGGCGCTTTGGTTGAGGTTTGTTTATGGCTCCTCAGACCGCTGTGTATTGCTATCATGTGGTCGTTATTAAAGTTGATATAACTAGAGAAGCAAGCGGTCGGCAACATTCATCTCTCGAGGGGGTGTCTAATTCGTTGTTCCAGTGTGTTTGACCCTCAATTAATGTTCCGCCGGAATATCCCTTTAAATGTCTTGGACCAAAGACAAACATATGTAAAATCCCGCCTCCTTTACTGCCTTTCTACCAGTGCCCCCTTCCTTCATTGGGGCCCATGTTCAGTCCCATTAAAGCATCCATTTGCACATCTGTGTCTAGGAGTTGTGTGCATGTGTAAGGCCAATGTTTGACGTGATACAAACATTTCTTAAATGATGTAAATTTGTGGTATTGTGTCGTTACTTCCTCTTTGCTTGCATGCAGATGTGGAGCAGTGAGTATATAAAGACCTGATTGTGTTTCAGACTCTTCACTTCAGCCATCATGGACAAAACCATACTGCTGGTTCTGTTGGGTCTGCAGGCTCTGCTGCTCCTCTCAGCCCTCAACTCTACAGAGGCAGCCGCTCTGGTGATGGAGGATCGAGAAAGACCATCTCTGGAGCAGGTAAGATGATTCGACGCACAAAATTCTCACCCAGAGGTGGTTTTCCATTAAAGTGGTGTTTTCTAAGGAGACAGTCAGAGTTCAAATGTTAAAGAGAAAACAAACGCTTGATCTGTTTAAGTTGGAACAAATAATTTCATTTTGAGATTAAAAATTTGACTAATGATGAGGAAAAGTAAGTACTTTTATGAATAATGATATTTTGTTTTTAACCATTTTGTTACAGATCAGAAAAGGAGGCAGAATTAGACGGCCGATGAACCGCCCACCAAGATTCCGACCCAGATTCCCACCTAGAGGAAGCTGTTGGAGGAGACCAGGATGTCATAGTTCTTTGGAAGTGGTAAACTTGCTTCACTTAATTTTCTCTGTTCTGACAAAAAAGTCAACTTCATTCCTATTAAAGTTTAAACACATAAAAAGTTCCCATCTAAATGTATTTATAATATGGAAGAGAAATACTTCTGTCAATGAATTAGTGTGTTATTGTCGAAATAATGGGACATGTTTTCTCTCTTTCTGCGACATTTTAGCGCCCTCAGCCCACTCACAACCCAGGGGAAAACGCTGTGCACAGCTGAGTTCTCCATCTTGGAGGTTCAACATGAATTTGCATCTTTTGGCTCATCAACGCTGATCAAAAATTTCTCTGAAAATGTTGTCAAAATGATTATACGGATGAAATTTGTTCTTATTCTCTTGAAATAAAAAAATTATAATTTCACTGAAATAGTCTTGACTTGTTTTTTTGAACATAAATCTTGTGTCAGAAATATTTTTGTGTATTTGTTTATTAAGATTAATGAATTTTGTTCCTATTATTCAAGGACACTTTTATATGGTCCCTAAATCTGTGGTAGATCACTCCAACAGGCGGTGGTGTACATTTCCTTGTATACTGCGTCTCTTAATGATACAGGGAAAGGCTAAAAATGAGCTGATATTCAAAACCCACCTGTGGAACAAAACAGAATCTCACACTTAATTTTGTCTCTGTGTTTCAACACTGATACAACAGAATTTATGCAAGGTGATAAGACAGCTGAAAGACTTTGTTTGACAACTTTCACAAAGATGACTTCAACCCAAAGAACTAAAAAACACATGTTCATATCTCTCATATTGACTTAATGTTCAAAGCATTTGTAAAACTAAGGATATCACTAAAGATAGAGCCTGTGAGGAAAAAGAAAAGGCACGTCTAGCATTTTTTTCCAGAGATGAGGGCATCAAAAAATCAGACGACTCCCCCTGGTGGATGGAGAAGAAGCAGACAAAGTGGAAAACAACCAGAATTATTTGATTTGATATGACTCACTTGTACTTTTTGTCGTTCTATCGCGGTCATTCTGTTTCCCCTTTACTTGTTTTCATGAAAATGGTCAGTGGTGAAATCCCCTCGATGCCGACACCCTGGCATGTGGTCAAATCACCAATTCACACAAGACCTTATTTACTGTCAGGGAAGATTACCACTCTGTTACAACATTTATTATTTCTCAATCACACAACAAGCCCAGTAATTTATTACAAATTAATCTGATTAACTCAGAGGTAATGATCTACCACGATGGACAGACTTAGATGATTGTGAACATCATAAACAAACAACTTTGTGGAAGGCTAAATTACACACAGTGATGAACCCACAAAACCTCTAGAGAGGATAGAATACACAAACAAACAAGACAAAGTCCAACTAAATCACACAGATAAGAGGAAAGATACAAACAGAGGCTGAATCTCAGTGTCAGTAGTCAACAAAGTAGGCCCATGCGTGTACCAACCCTCTGTTGCTCAAATCATTATAAGAGTTGATGTAATAAAAGTTATTTATTCATCCCACTTGCCCCACACATGTTCTGTTTGACTTTGCTAGATTTCCATCAGACATCTTTTTGATGATGTAAAGTTGTGGCATCACGTTGTTGTTTCCTTTTAACGCACTTAAAAGTGTTTAGTTGTGACTCACCACACAATTCAGCCTGTTGAGTCTGCAGGCTCTGCTGCTCCTCTCAGGATTATAGTGTTTTCATGCTGAACTGTGATATTGTAAATGGCTAAAACCCCTTTGTTAAGAGCATGAGTTTTATCCAATTTTCAGACAGAAATGAAAACAAACGAGAAAAGCCAAAATATTAGATCAGAAGTAAAATGTATTTATAATTTAAGGCTTATAAATACTACATACAAAAAGGCTAGTGGTTAGGAGGTATTATTTTCACCGTAATGACCTTGTCTGCTGTGTGATCAGCTAAAAAACCATACCTGCTCTCACAGGTTTAGTCAAAGGATGAAAAAGTAAAGACGAAAAAACAAACTCACAAAGTTATTGAAATTGAAAGCTCTATGGATATGTAATGTCTCTTTAAACCTCCTGTCTTGTTTTCGTTGATAAAATCAGTAAAGGACAGCAGAGGAGGAAGCAGATAAAATACTTTAACATGCCAGAGGTCAAAATTATACTTAAATTAGTCTGTGATTAAACAAACATTTCTAATAGTGCATGAGGTATCTTACATCTGCACGCATCCTCTCATCCTCTTCTTGTGTCTCCACATCAAAAGTTGTTTTTCAGTCAGTATATAAAAAGCTGTGTTTCTAAACTGCATCAAACCTGGCAGATCAGCAGTCATGGACAGAGCTGTGCTGCTGCTCGTGTTGTCTCTGCAGGTTTTCCTGCTCATCTCAACCTTCACCTCTACTGAAGCCGCCACTTTGAGGATAGACTCTCAACAGGCTCCTGACCAGGTAAGAAAACCCTGAGGTACTCCCCTGAAGCCTCTGGTATTTTTGACAGACAGAATTAAGAGTTAAGATCAGTTCACAATAAAATGATAATGTTTGAAGAAATCTACACCAAGAAAAGACTCAAAATGTTTCATTAGAGCATGTACATCATAACAAGTTATCATAAATAATGTGTGATATGATCATTATATCAGTTCAAGATATTAAGTAAGTACAAATCAGTGTTTGAGACGCACTTAAAAGCCTATTCATGTCGGATTGAATTGATAAAGGTTGCAGCTGAAGCATGCGTTTACATAATCTCATATTTAAAGTTGTCTAACCAGGATTTCCTACAGTGGTGAGGAAAAGGGATTTATTTCTGTAGAAAAAGCCAATGTTTTGGGTGAGGTTTACTGACCAAATTTGAAACATGATTGTGAAAGAAACTTTCTCATCAATCAAATATCTACACAAAATTACCCTTTTAAAATTGTTGCCACTCGTGATGATGAGATTCTTCAAGTCAGCATGATTGGCTCTGAATAAAGAGCATGAATTAAGTGTTTTCTGCATGTAAGACTAATCTATGTTTGAGGAGTGCAACTTGTAATCCAGAGAAGCAGCACTGGAGGTAACGCACAGCAAACTGTACATTAGTAGCAGTGCAACACAAAAACGCATCATCAGCATAAAGATGAATTTTAATTTCAGAAACAGCTGACACAATATCAGTCATAAAAAGAGTAACTGTGTCAAATGCTATAGAGAGGTCGATAGGGTCAAGGCTAAAATGATGTCATTTAGATAAGAGTGGCTAAAGTAACAGTGCTGTGCTTTTGTCTAAAACCTGCTGTGAACTTTAAATGGAAAATGTTTAGAGGGATAATTTATATTTACTCACTAGAGATTCAATATGATTCGATAAGGACAGAGTAGTTTAACAGGCCCTTAAACTGATGAAACTTTTTTTATCCATTAATGAATCTCAAATTTTGGCTCTTTATACAACATGGGCTCTTTGGGATCTGTGCTTACTGCTATCCCAATCACAAATATTGTTTGTTTGATGGTTGTTTGAGATAATAACAGCATTTCTTTAAAGGTGATGGGAAGAGTAAGAGGCCTCAGAGGAAGACCTAGATACAAACCCTCAACCGACTACAACTGGAGATCAGGGAGTGGATCTACGCCATTAGAGGTTCTGCCTCCTCCTCTTCCTCCTTCTTATCCACCTCCACCCCCTCCTCCACCTCCACCTCCCAGGTGAGATATTTCTCTGTAATGATAAATGCGACAGTAAAAAGCCTAGAGTTATCTGCACAGTGTCATTATGTGTAACTTCTCTCTTGGTTTTCTTCTCTCTGTGTCCCTGTCTCTGTTTCCAGACCAGACCCAGACAAATGGATGGATAGTGTGAGTGTTGAACATGTTGATTCACATTTTACTTTTTGGACTTCTAATACAAAATGACTCTCTGTTAATTATATTCACATGTTATTTCATTTGGTTTGTGTCAATTTTGTCGCCCCCTGTGGACAAAGTAGTTTTTGCTTATGTCATCCTTTACATGCTGAAAATTTTTCTTTTGATGAAAAAAATGATAATCCTGCTGTTTTTTGATGGTCAAATGTATGATGAATTGCAAATATTTTATTTGGGAGAGATGGTAATTTCGATCTTTAAACAGTTGGACAGAGAACAAATTGGCCCAAAAGGACAACCTGCATCCTACGATCCCTGGAGATATATGGCATGCGGAGGAGTACAGAGAAGGGCGCATCATAATGGACCTCCTCCTGGTCCTCCTGGTCCTCGTCCAAAGTAAGAGATCACTTCACATGCAAAAGTAACAACATTTAAAAGTTGAAAAATAAAAAAATAAAAACTTTAAAACACTGTCCTCCAATACAAACTACCTCAATCTACAAATTGCAACATCAGTAGCAGACAGTGCATTACTGTGATGAAGTTCTTATTTAACAATATTGTCATATCACCAATAACACAAGTATGAGCACCCCATAAATCCAAGGTAAATGTATAAAGGAAATGGTACAAATATCCATAAATAAGAAATGAAAATGGTAAATGAGTGACAGTGAAAGTCATTTTCTAACCAGTGTGATTCTTTTCTCTTTCTTTCCATCAGTCCATACCCAAAGCCAAGACCGATGTGGTAGACCATGACTGCCGATTCACCTGCACTTACTGAGCAACTAACTTATGGTGGTTATGTAGCTGATGCATGACAACCACAGCAATCTAATATTTATGTAACTTGTAGTGTTTGATGCTGTATGACACCCAGTGCTGTGCTAAAAAAAAGCTAATGTTTCAATCATTATTCAACCATCATTTACATACATCACAATAAACTGAAGCATTGATTTATTAATGGCTATAACCAAGATCTATGAATTATTTTCTGTCAATCACTTCTTCATCTCTCATTTTTTCCATCCTGTAACTGAAAGGTGTAAAAGATTAAAGCATGCTGTCATAAATGAAGTGAAGATTTCCATTTTTGTTTGAGTGTTTTACTCGGAATAAATGATCCTGTTTTGACTTTATTAAGACTATTGAAACTTTGAAAGATAAATATAGACCTAGAAGATTTAATGTCAGGTGATTGGTGAAGCTCAGATGTACCAGCTGGAAACTATTATTATTATTATTATTATTATTATTATTATTATTATTATTATTATTATTATTATTATTTTCTCTCAGTGGGCTCTTGTGCCTTTATTAGAGAGAATAGGACAGTGGATAGAGCAGGAAATGGAAGAGAAAACAGAAAGTGACAAGCAATACAGAAACTGCAGACTGGAATCTCATGGTGCCTACTAGGGTTTTTTTTAGTTGATGACTCACTAAGTTATACAATAAATCTGAATTGCAGCGTAATTAATCAGTGTCTTTACAGTATATTGTAACCTGGGATGCATGGTAGTTGTGGAAAAAAAACTGTGTTTTAAACACTTTGTATCAAAGTCCTTATCCTTAAGGTAATAAGCATTAATGGTCAATAAGCCATTAATATAATGATAAAGATTAGGAAGTGTCAATAAGTTATAACAGAAGCATAGCAATAGATTAATTATTGACTTTAAGACACAAAGGCTCTAATTAGAAACTTGGTAAAAGTTACTTAAGCTGTAATTAACATCAATAAGGTCTTAATTAACAATAATAAGACTTAGTAAAGGGATAAATAAACATTTTCATTATTGGTTTGAAACACATTTGAGGGGAACATATTATAGCTTATGCATTTGCATTAATATAACTGCATTAGCCTTTATTAAAATAAAACTAACATTTATTATTTGAAACTCACCAGAATCTCAGAAATTTAAGACCATTTATTATCTTTAATTAGAGGTTATATAACACTAATAAGACTACAAAAAGTTAAGATTAATACCTTGTGAGGATGTATAAATCCTGAATTGAGCACTTATTAATATCTAGCAGGGCTCCTTTGCGGCTCATTAACACTTATTAGTGTTTATAAGCATCTCATAAGTGACTTATGAACTTTTACTGCTTATTTCAAGTGTTGCTAAAAACACTTTTCAGTTACACTTATTATACACTTTTTTTTTTCTTTTTTGGCAATTGTCAAGCCATATTTTAGGATATATAGCTTACTTCTTTTTATCCAATACAGAAACACTTTTCAAGTCACTAATACATTTATAATAACAATGAATAAATGGAGTTTTGACAGTTTGAAAACTTCTTTGTTTCTTTAACATTAAACCTGATTTTTTTAATCATTCAAACTTTCCTTATAGGCCTTAACCTTGAAATTAAGCAACAAGTAAATATGGTGAATTTAAAGCCACATTTTTCGATGGTTCAATGTGCACTACGTCTCCTCCATGAGCGTTAGGTAACCTCATAAAGAGGTTGTTTTTGCAAAGTGATGCAACATGGCTGAATGGAAACAAGATAATTCGTATCAGGTTTTTCGTGTGCTACTGACCAAGCAAGGAGAGGTGGAGGAACCCTTCGAAGTCCCAAGATATTAGGAATTATAGATGCATTATGGAGATGTGTTATGTAATGTTGTGACTCTTTAAACCTCCTGTCTTGTTTTCATTGATTTAATCAGTGATCTGTTTATAATGTCCAGGAAGTAGATAAAATGCTTTAACATGCCAGAGGTCGAAATTATGGTTAAATAAGTCTGTATTTAAACCAACATTTCTAATTGTACGTGAGCTATCTTCCATCTGAACTCATCTTCCTTCCTCTTCTTGTCTCGCCATATTAAAGCTATTTGTCAGTCAGTATATAAAAAGCTGTGTTCAGACTCTGCAGATCAGCAGTCATGGACAGAGCTGTGCTGCTGCTCGTGTTGTCTCTGCAGGTTTTCCTGCTCATCTCAACCTTCACCGCTTCTGATGCTGCCACTCTGAGGACAGACTCTCAGCAGGCTTCTTATCAGGTAAGAAAATCTCGGGTAGAAGGTTTAAAATATGATCTAACACAAGACAAAACTTAAACATTTTCACAGCTAGTTGTAAAAATAAAACTTTAAACTGAAAGAAATTGTCAGAGTATTAAGACTCATAATGCTCCAACATTACAACTCGCAAATAACAATGTCACAACCTCTGTACAAGTGATTAAAACTGACAAAAAATATATTCTAACGATTTGTCATTTTTATTAAATTTAAAAAAAATACTCTAAAGTTACCCTTACTTGCAGATTTGTGACCCCTATTCTCTATTGCTCTCTATTGATCCGTTTTATTAGCTATACTGTGCAGCCTGCTAACTAAACCCTGATCCACTGATTTCTTTTAACTAAATTTGGATTTCAAAGTTGGCTAAATTTAAATAACTGATGTCCTTTGTAGCAGGGAGGCAGGTTGGAAGGGCGCAGAGGAAACGTCAGACGCAGAACCTCATCAAACTGTAGCAAGAGACCAGGTGGATGTTCACTGCTATTGGAACAACATAACCCCGGTGTTCATGGTCCACCTCCACCTCCACCTCCTCCACCTCCACCTCCACCCAGGTGAAAGATTATCCTCTCATCTACTCTACAGGAAGTCATTTTTTGTAACTATTGTCTTTTTTACATTTTTACTTCTATCTCCAGACCAGAACCAAACCCCCCTAACTGGACCGGTGGGAGGACTGATTCATGGAATAAGGTTTTCCTTTAAAAAAAAAAAAAATCTAATTTACTGTTTACTTAACTTTGACGCCCTGACAGCTGCTTTAAAATGAGTTTTACCAAATCCTGACCCACTGCTGCCACTGCTTTGACTTTGCCTTTAAACTAGATTTTTCATACTGTATAAAGCTTGTATTGGATAATGTAAAGTGAACGTGTGGTTATGTGAATTAGAATCCCAATGCAAGGTCTAAACATTGGCCTGCTTTTCTGCCATAAATCACATTAAACCGGCCATTGTAAAATCTTATCTTATAGTTAATTATTCTTGTCCTTGATGGATAAACTCCTTCATTCCATGCTTGTTTACAGGTCACCAGTTAGTTTGATGTTCATGCACATTTTATACATTATTTTAACATTTTCTCTGCACAGGCAGAAGTCCTGATTGATTCTGTTCTCACTGATTTGCATCCTGTAGTCTCTCATTTTAGCAGAGGAGGTAATAATTGTCATTTCTAATAGATGAAAAGAGGAGAACTTGGCTCTAGAAGACGTCCTGGATACAGACCTACGTCCAACTGTAGCTGGAGACCAGGAGCATGTGTGCCAGGACTTCCTGGGAGTCGTGGCCCCCCTCTTCCACCTCCCCCTTCACCTCCACCTCCACCTCCACCACCACCTCAGTAAGCAATGCAAACAGAAATACACCTTATCTTTTTATAGAGATAATGTATTATAAGTAAATAAAAAATGGTAAAAAAGAAGCTTATATTTGATAATTAACAATGAAAATGTATGTTAGTTTGATGAGTGACATAAAAGCTACTTCAGTCTAAAATTATGATATCATCAAGAGAGCATTTTATCTACTTCCTGGACAACATAAACAGATCACTGGTTTTCTCTGAGCTGTTTCTTTCTTTTCTTTGTCTCTCCAGACCAGACCTGATTCCTGGGATGTGGTAGATCATGACCACTGATCCAAACTCTGCTTATTGAGCTACTTAACATTTTAAAACTGCTAATATTACACTGATTTTGTTTTTCAAAGTGAGCTTCAGTGGAAAAACTAATTTCTAATGAAACACAGGAGATGAGAGTTTTGTTAACCTGAAGTGAATCAAGATGATTTTGGAGAACAGGACTTCTCAGACAGTCATACTGGGTTTATGAGAGGTTTCATTTTTCTGTAAAACTGAGAAATGATGCATCAACTCAGATTTCATCATCCTGCCATGACTGAAGTGTCAAAGTGCAGACCCATCAATTGTCATTTCAGCGTGAAACCTGTGCAGATCACTCACTGTTACACTCACATATGCTACCTGTGATCCTTATACTCTGTCCGACTCACTCTCTGTATAAATGATTTATGTATGAAAACTTTTGCTTTGTCCACTAGGGGGCACCAGAATCACCAAAGACAGAAAGTTGCTCAAAGGAGCTTTAAATAAAAGTCAACATGAAACGAATCGTCTCTTCATCTACTATTTTCACACTCTTTTCTACAATGTAAAACTACTTTATAAAATCTTACAGTTACACTACATAAATTAAAGTATGAAACTTATCATAAAGTTGAATTTTACTCACTGTGGCTGCAGAAGCTAAGGGTCCAGGGTTGTCTCCTTCCTTGTCCAGGCTAGTCAGGTACCATCAGTTCTAATAATGACAGAAAAGATCTCAGCAGAAAATGAACTCTTGTATGTCACTGTATTGTTTTAACAATGTCCACTATCACAGATATGAGGTCAACACTGGAGGTAATGTAGTATTATCAAGCGAGGTTAAGTTTTGAGATTGAGTTAAAATTCCCCAAAACAGAATAGGATTATATTATATTATCAACCAATCTGTGTTCCCTCACTGCTCAGATTGCTCTGTTATTATCTCTTCTTTTTTTTCCAATCACTGAGCTCTGAGGAGATCTGGGTGGTCTGTTATAAACTGAAAACCAAATAGCAGGACATGCCTGAGGGACACAGCAGATGCTATCACTCTAATGAGTAACCATTAACCATCTCCTTGTGTGGTACAAAGATTTACTTTTTATGTCCTAAATGTTGTTTTCTGATGGGACTGTTTATATCTCTATCAAACTTGTTGTCAGGACATGGACACAAATGCACGCTTTGGGTTCAATAGAGGGAGTGAAACAGTACATGAGGCTGTTTCCTGATTAACATATTTCAAAATCCAAACAAGATGGAAAGACCCTCGAACCACAGAAATGAAGAAGACAGGGAGGAAAACACTGAAAACTCAGCTGGGACATGAAAACAGACCCTTGGATTAGAAGAAGCTAGTTTTGATCAGAGTTAATATCTGCTGTAACTAAATAACCTCCATCTACATGACTTTTAAATCATGATTGTCACGCCAAAATTTTACGGCTTGGCATGATTTAAGCGACAGTGAGGATGTGAATTGAAAGAGTTTCCAAAGAGATCAATACTTTTATCTATGAGGCTGCTGGCTCATGGTGTGTTTACTGACCTGAGCGGGAATGTCCCTGAAAGGGCTTCAGTCAGAGAGTCAATATTCTGACGAAAGAGTTCTCATAAAACAAATCATTTTTTGTTTTCTTACACGCCTTTTCAAATTCCCTCCTCTTGACCCACATGTATGTCAGTCTTTACAGACGTGTCTTTGTATCAAACTCTCCAAGTCATCAGCCATGGACAGAAAGATGCTGCTGCTTGTGTGCCTGCAGGTTTTCCTGCTCATCTCAACCTTCACTTCTACTGATGCAGCCGCTCTGGGGACAAATCGTCAACAAAGCCAACAACTACCACAGGTAAATCCAGTAAGAAGATGCTGGAAATTCTCTTGTGTGTTCCTGAGAGTCAGAGGTGGAATTGTTGTGTTCCTGATTTGTTACAGTTCCTATCAAACTGCTGGAGGCGGCCAGGTGCATGTTCTTCCTTCGGCAAGGTAAATTTGCTTAAATTTGATCAATGTTAATCAGAATCTACATTGACAAATACCAGATAAGGATGTGTGTTTGTTTTTTACAGGGGCCTACTGATGAACTGAAGGCTACACCGGTAAACTGATTACTCACAAACATTAAACACAACAAATAAGTAAAGAAATATAATGATGGCCTTACCTGCCCTGGCTTGTACTGATCCCATGTGTGTCCACTGCTGTTTGTGCTGCCTTCAGCTGCTTCACCTGCAGTCAGGAATGAAAAGAAAGAAACAGAGCCATACAGCCAGGGTCATACTTATTGATCTATTGCCTTCAAACTGTCCTGAATTCAGCGACTTCACTTGATATTCTCTCTTTCCCTCCAGAGTCCAGTTGAATTAGAGGAGTTCCTGTCTGTCATACAGATACCTAAAGTAGCCTTCAGGTAAACTAAACTTTACCTTAAAATGTTCAATAAAAATCAGATCACATCCATTTGAATTACTGTCATAAAGAATGTAAACATAAGTGAGCACTTTCCTTTTCTTCTGATTAACCTAAACCTGTTTTCAGCTAACTGCTTAATATTGAGATTATTGCTTCATTTCACTGATTTGTATTTCTGTCTTCAGTGCTGAGGACGAGGACTTACTCTTCACTTAAAGTCAAGAAAGTGGAAAGCTGTGCAATCTAACTTCAGCCCTTAATGGCCGCAGTAAGGGCTGATACACAAAGTAGTCATAAAATATATCATATATTATCATGGAGATGAAGCTGCTTTGTTGCTACACTGTAGTATCATTGTTATTTTAATGTCTGAATTCAGTACAGCAAATTGTGGTTGAAGCTGTTTTTGGTGAGCACTGGCTAAGAAACTCAAATAAACTGAAAACTTTTAAACACACAGTTACAGATCTGTTGTTTTGCTTCAACTTGGATGAAATGATTTAAACTTTTCAGTACAAGAATTAAAGCTCCTATGAGTCCCTGTTTGTGTGGATTTTGGCGCCCCCTGTTGACACAAAGTACCTCTAACACCTTTGCTGGTTGGGTTCTTCTCATGTTAAAGTCATGTTTTCTAAATGAGCATAATCACATTGTTTTTTGACAGTTAAATGGCAAGTTTGGTTTGTTTCTTTACACCTTAAATTCACTCTGTTTATTTTTTAAAGGATAAATTAATAAAGCAACGTATCATCTTTGGGCCTCTGTTATTTAAAGGTGGAGGCAGGTGTAGGGCTTTGGTTCAACTTTCAGAACAACATCATGCCACTTCAGAAACAAAGAACAGAATGTCAAAATAGCCTACCTGCATTTTTTATAGACTTAATTAGACTTCTCCTTCATTACTTTTTAATGGGTCTCTCATCTTACAAGCCCTCATAATATTTAATAATCTATTTTTATATTTTTTATATTCTAACTCTGCTTCTACTGATTTCTGCCTAATAAATAACCTATATAATGAGTTCTTTTTTTTTTACAAGCCTTTTGCAGACCTTTGGTCATCCAGGGATTTTCTACATATTTATTCTTGTTAGTGTATTGTTTTAAAGGGCAATTCTTATTGTAGAGTTCGATAAATGTATCTAAAAATTGATTATAGGCTATATTAACATCTGTTTCCTCACATACCTCACTCCAGTTGTATTTCAGAAGTTCGTCTTTGAATGCAGATAAGGATTCCGAAGATCTAAATCTCTTATATCTGACTTCATTTAACACCCGTTTCTTCTTATAATTACATTCGTAAACAGCAAAAACAGGCAAATGATCACTGATGTCATTAATCAATATATCACTTTTGTTACCATCCATATTATTGGTAAAGATGTTATCAATTAAGGTTGCACTATGGGTTGTTATACTGGTTGGTTTAGATATAGTTGGAAACAAACTCATACTATACATGACATCGATAAAATCATTTGTCTTTTTATGTCCTTGGGGATTCAATAAATCAATATTAAAATCACCACATACATAAATTACTTTCTGCCCTAATGAGCCAAATAACACTCCCATATTGGTTATAAATAATTCAATATCAGAACCTGGTTTTCTGTACACACAGCTAACCATTACTTTTTTCATTCTCTCAGTGTCAATCTCAATCGTGATACACTCCATCACATTGTCAACAACCACTGACATTTTATCAATAATTTTGTAAAATAAACCTTTGTTTACAAACAGAGCAACACAACCATACTTTCCAGAATCCCTGCTTACATAATGAAAATTGTAAACATTTAAAACAAAATCAGCACCCTTCTCATTGTTAATCCATGTTTCAGAAACAGCAACAATACTAAAATCATTTTTAAAACCCTTCAAAGATTCTTTTATGTCGTTAAAATGTGCATAAAGACTTCTACTTTTAGTTGTTTTATGTTTCAAGTTGTTTTATGGCTCTTCCACTTCCTCACTAATGACTCTTAAGTCTATTTGACTGTGCTCCCTGCTTTCATTCAGTTACAAAAAAACATCAAAACAAAAGATTGAGATTGTGTTTTAGCAATAACAGCAGCACCTTGAAATTATACTTTGAAAAAACAGGTCTGGTTAGTTTTTCCTCCACACAGACCACAATAGACAGAGTTGAAGCCCCGCCCTTTCTTGGTTTTGATTTGTTTCTGAAGTTGCATGATGTTGTTCTAAAAGTTGAACCAAAGCCCTACACCTGCCTCCACCTTTAAATAACAGAGGCCCAAAGATGATACGTTGCTTTATTAATTTATCCTTCAAAAAAATAAACAGAGTGAATTTAAGGTGTAAAGAAACAAACCAAACTTGCCATTTAAGTGTCAAAAAACAATGTGATTATGCTCATTTAGAAAACATGACTTTAACATGAAAAGAACCCAACCAGCAAAGATGTAAGAGGTACTTTGTGTCAACAGGGGGCGCCAAAATCCACACAAACAGGGACTTATCAATGCATCAATTCATGTTCTGAAAAGTTTAAATCATTTCATCCAAGTTGAAGCAAAACAACAGATCTGTCACTGTGTGTTTAAAAGTTTTCAGTTTATTTGAGTTTCTTAGCCAGTGCTCACCAACAACAGCTTCAACCACAATTTGCTGTACTGAATTCAGACATTAAAATAACAATGATACTACAGTGTAGCAACAAAGCAGCTTCATCTCCATGATAATACATGATATATTTTATGACTACTTTGTGTATCAGCCCTTACTGCGGCCATTAAGGGCTGAAGTTAGATTGCACAGCTTTCCACTTTCTTGACTTTAAGTGAAGGTAAAGTCATCGTCATCCTCAGCACTGAAGACAGAAATACAAATCAGTGAAATGAAGCAATAATCTCAATATTAAGCAGTTAGCTGAAAACAGGTTTAGGTTAATCAGAAGAAAAGGAAAGCGCTCACTTATGTTTACATTCTTTATGACAGTAATTCAAATGGATGTGATCTGATTTTTATTGAACATTTTAAGGTTAAGTTTAGTTTACTTGAAGGATGAAGAAATCTGCATTCCAGCCGGTATTTCTTTAAATTCAACTGGATCCTGGAGGGAAAGAGAGAATATCAAGTGAAGTCGCTGAATTCAGGACAGTTTGAAGGCATAAGATCAATAAGTAGGAACACCAATAAGTAGGAACACAACAATTCCAGCTCTGACTCTCAGGAACTCATTTAACATTGAGACTCAAAACAAAAGTGTTTAAAAATCTTGTGCAACACAAGAGAATTTCCAGCATCTTCTTACTGGATTTTGCTGTGGTGGTTGTTGTTGGTTTTGTTGACTACTTTTCCCCAGAGTGGCTGCATCAGTAGAAGTGAAGGTTGAGATGAGCAGGAAAACCTGCAGGCACACAAGCAGCAGCATCTTTCTGTCCATGGCTGATGACTTGGAGAGTTTGATACAAAGACATGTCTGTAAAGACTGACATACATGTGGGTCAAGAGGAGGGAATTTAAAAAGGCGTGTAAGAAAACAAAAAATGATTTGTTTTATGAGAACTCTTTTGTCAGAATATTGACTCTCTGACTGAAGCCCTTTCAGGGACATTCCCGCTCAGGTCAGTAAACACACCATGAACCAGCAGCCTCATGGATAAAAATAATGTATTGATCTCTTTGGAAACTCTTTCAATTCACATCGTTACTATCGCTTAAATCATGCCAAGCCATAAAAGGGTGACTCACGAGGTACATATGTGAAAAATGTTAGTGGAAAAAGATATCAGTGGTGAAAGTAGAGCACAGAATGTTCTTTTGAGTGATGCTAACAACTTCACAACCTGTAAACTGGAACCATCAGTCAACCTCAAACCTCTAAGAAGAGTTCATCAGAACTGATTTTACAGATTTATTTTTCATTTTTCTGCCTTTTTATCACAATTAAATATCAATAAACTGCATCTTTTGGTCTTGAACACTGTTTGAAATAAGCCACACGATCCAGTAGGGAAATGTTTCCCTGATTAAAATCGGCCTATTTGGGGGTTTTGGCGCCCCCTGTAGATGACAAAAAGTGTGTTTTTGATTTAAAAACTGAAAGCAGCACATACCGAACAGGTAAATGACAGTTAACTGATCACAAGATTGACTGTAATTTAAATATGCCCACAGATCAGCCTTACCTTCAATCACCGCACACACACACACACACACACACACACACACACACACACACAAACGCACATTGTAAACACACTTCTGAGAAAGATAAACAAGAAGTTTTACCAGCGAAATAATTAAATTTTATCTTGCCCTCTGTCAATAACTCATGACAAGATGTTTGAACTCTGCTGTGGAAAAGGACATTGATACAGGAACTTGTGCAAACGTGCAGAAATATAAACTGCATCATGAATAACTGTGACTGTGGTGAGTGTTGATTTATTTCTCATGCTGCAACATGCGTGGACCTGACATGTGATGTGTAGTTAGGTTCACATTCACACCCATGTTAAAGGGGACCTGCCACCAAAAATGTAATTTTTGCATTTTTGTATTATGTTCATCTTATGTTGTAAATGTAAAAATAAACTGTTACGTAGTTTGCATTCTGTAAAGATTTAAAATTAAGAAACAGGTAAACCAGGCCAGTTGAAAAAGCAGGTCATTCTGACGTCAAGCTGACCTTGCTCGTTATTATTCCTGAGTGCGTCCTCGGTGAGTCGCGCCCACTCTCTCGTTCTCGTACCCGGTCACAGTCATCATCACCCTCCAGTCAGAGTGAGACCCAGCTACCACTGTATCCACTATGGGTCTCTTCCAAACGGCCGGTGTTTCCTTGGGTTTACTGCAGGAAAAAATGAACTTAAAGCTGGGCAGAATGAGTGAGAAAACACCGCTGGAGCACCGAAATTAGTTCTTTCGCTCTCCAGCTTCTTCTTCTTCTTCAACTTCCACCTCCTCTTCGGACTCAGGGTCAAAAAAATGGTTTAATACCTGCCATTCTTATCCTTTAGCATAAGGTGACCAGACGTCCCCGATTTGGATGACCTGTCCCCGAAAATGTCTCAGATTTAAGCGTTTCATGAATGAGAGCAAAAATGTTGCGTGAGGGCTCGAACAACGGTTATTACAGTAGCCGAATGGGTAGGAAGCACAAGTCAGCAGTCCTGAACAACAGTTCTTACGGGGTTATTACAAGGGGTATGCGCTGCTACTTAATAGTACCGAGATGTTGTCTGTGATCACACAGCCCCGCCGCCGCACCGAATGTCCCCGGATTTTATTACAGACATTGGGTCACCTTACTTTAGCACACATTAGCAAAATGGATAAACCAAAATCAGAACCTCCACTGCTGAGCCAATCAGAGCACAGAAGGCTTCACAGCAGCAATCCAATCAGAGCAAAGCTCATTACCATCGGTGTTAATGAGCCAAAATCAGTGGGTTTTCCTGTAAGGTATTTTAGGCATACTAAAATGGTTTGAAACAAACCATCAAATAACTTTTCAGCTAAAATTATGTTGCAAACATGATCAGAGGACATCAAGGATTATGAAAAAAATGATTGAAATGGGTATGAAATTTTGATGGCAGGTCCCCTTTAATAACCTGGCTGTCACTGATACTACTGGAATGTGATTTTATACTTTTTCTCCTTTTCTCTGTTCTATTTTAATTTTTGCTCAGCTGCTAATTTTCAATTGCTGCTAGGTGATGAATAAAGCTATAGTGAATTGAATTGAGTTATCCTATGTAATAGATGTTCTTCTCCAAAATATATATATCTCACCAAAAAACGAGTGGTGTTAAAACTGAAAAAATACACTTTCCCTGCTCTTTAAAACATTTAGGAAGGACTAATCAATATTTTTTTGAAGTAGTATAGGTCATTTAAACATTATGAATAGGTTTGGGGTTAGAACTTTGGTGAAAATACTTGCTACATGGGCAATTCTTGGTCTGGGTCAATTGTGAACCGGAACATACTGTGAGGGTACAGGATTTGAACAGTATGTGAGGGTTATTAACATGGGTGTGAATGTGAACCTAAATACACATCACATGTCAGGTGTACGCATGTTGCAGCATGAGAAATAAATCAACACTCAACACAGTCACGGATATTCATGTGTTACGTCATACAGGTTATTGAATCAAGAAGGAGCGCCTGCAGACGTGACCCAGGACAGAATGTCAAAAGAGCCGATGTGCATTTTTTAATGGGTGTCTCTGTGTTTGTAATTGATCTTATTTGACTTGTTGAGTTTGCCTAAGAGGTAACTCAGATCTGTGTTTGCTTTAGTAATTTGAGTCACAATTGACCCATGTGAGGGTTGCCTGTGTGATCACAGACAACATCTCGGTACTATTAAGTAGCAGCGCATACCCCTTGTAATAACCCCGTAAGAACTGTTGTTCAGGACTGCTGACTTGTGCTTCCTACCCATTCGGCTACTGTAATAACCGTTGTTCGAGCCCTCACGCAACATTTTTGCTCTCATTAATGAAACGCTTAAATCGGGGACATTTTCGGGGACAGCTTTTGCCGGGGACAGGTCATCCAAATCGCGGACGTCTGGTCACCTTATGCTAAAAAATGGCAGGTATTAAACCATTTTTTTGACCCCGAGTCCGAAGAGGAGGTGGAAGTTGAAGAAGAAGAAGAAGAAGAAGCTGGAGAGCGAAAGAACTAATTTCGGTGCTCCAGCGGTGTTTTCTCACTCATTCTGCCCAGCTTTAAGTTCATTTTTCCTGCAGTAAACCCAAGGAAACACCAGTCGTTTGGAAGAGACCCATAGCGGATACAGTGGTAGCTGGGTCTCGCTTTGGCTGGAGAGTAGTGGTGTGTCGGTCATGAACGAACGGTTCAAAAGAAGTACTTCTTTTTGGTGAACGAAATGAACGAGGTCGTCCTTCTGATCTTCACTAGGCCTGCTAGCTAAGCCACTAGCCAATGCAATGATTACGCTTACCGCCGAGTTTACCCGGTAGGAGAGCTCAGTAGTTTTATCATTAATGGAAGTTGTATTCATAATGTGACCCGTTCAGTTCTTTTGATTGGCTGAAGAGTCAGTTCACCGTTCCTTACGGCGGGACTATCTCTGTGCTTGTCTGTCTTGTCCTAATGTCGCCTTGCTCTGTGGGTGGGTGGGGCTTAAAGAAGCAGCAGCAGTACTGAGCTGACTGAAAGACCGGGACCGATGACCGAGATGACCGAGCTGACTGAAAGACCGGGACCGATGACCGAGATGACCGAGCTGACTGAAAGACCGGGACCAATGACCGACTCGGTCTCCGTCTTTTCAGTCGGCTCGGTCTGACTGAGAGATTGACCGACTCTCAGACTGACTGAGTACAAGCGTTCACTCTCTGCGAGGTGCTGTCAGCCTGTCACTAGCCGACCGACTAATGCAGCCAGATCTCCCCCTGCATAAACCCGGTCAGCCATGTCGAGTCAGTCCATGCACTCATGTTCACGGTCGGTCTGAATGAACATGAACATGAGCGAACGGACTGACTAACGACCAATTGACCGAAATGACCGGATCTTTATACTGAACGAACCGGAATGATCCGGTTAACTGAAATGAACGGTTTTGCCCACCACTACTGGAGAGTGATGATGACTGTGACCGGGTACGAGAACGAGAGAGTGGGCGCGACTCACAGAGGACGCACTCAGGAATAATAACGAGCAAGGTCAGCTTGACGTCCGAATGACCTGCTTTTTCAACTGGCCTGGTTTACCCGCTTCTTAATTTTAAATCTTTACAGAAGGCAAACGACATAACGGTTTATTTTCACATTTACAAAATAAGACGAACATAATACAAAAATGCAAAAATTACATTTTTGGTGGCAGGTCCCCTTTAACATGGGTGTGAATGTGAACCTAACTACACATCACATGTCAGGTCCATGCATGTTGCAGCATGAGAAATAAATCAACACTCACCACAGTCACAGTAATTCATGATGCAGTTTATATTTCTGCACATTTGCACAAGTTCCTGTATCAATGTCCTTTTCCACAGCAGAGTTCAAACATCTTGTCATGAGTTATTGACAGAGGGCAAGATAAAATTTAATTATTTCGCTGGTAATACTTCTTGTTTATCTTTCTCAGAAGTGTGTTTACAATGTGCGTTTGTGTGTGCATGTGCGGGAGTAGCTCCAAGACTCAGATGAGTATAAAGAGACGGACTCCAGCTTCTTAGACAGCAGAGGAAAAGCGGTGATTGAAGGTAAGGCTGATCTGTGGGCATATTTAGATTACAGTCAATCTTGTGATCAGTTAACTGTCATTTAACTGATCGGTATGTGCCGCTTTCGGTTTTTAAATCAAAAACACACTTTTTGTCATCTACAGGGGGCGCCAAAACCCCCAAATAGGCCGATTTTAATCAGGGAGACATTTCCCTACTGGATCGTGTGGCTTATTTCAAACAGTGTTCAAGACCAAAAGATGCAGTTAATTGATATTTAATTGTGATAAAAAGGCAGAAAAATGAAAAATAAATCTGTAAAATCAGTTCTGATGAACTCTTCTTAGAGGTTTGAGGTTGACTGATGGTTCCAGTTTACAGGTTGTGAAGTTGTTAGCATCACTCAAAAGAACATTCTGTGCTCTACTTTCACCACTGATATCTTTTTCCACTAACATTTTTCACATATACCTCATAAGTCACCCTTTTATGGCTTGGCATGATTTAAGCGATAGTGAGGATGTGAATTAAAAGAGTTTCCAAAGAGATCAATATTTTTATCCATGAGGCTGCTGGCTCATGGTGTGTTTACTGACCTGAGCAGGAATGTCCCTGGAAGGGCTCAGAGAGTCAATATTCTGACAAAAGAGTTCTGATAAAACATATCATTTTTGTTTTCTTACACGCCTTTTTAAATTCCCTCCTCTTGACCCACATGTATGTCAGTCTTTACAGACGTGTCTTTGTATCAAACTCTCCAAGTCATCAGCCATAGACAGAAAGATGCTGCTGCTTGTGTGCCTGCAGGTTTTCCTGCTCATCTCAACCTTCACTTCTACTGATGCAGCCGCTCTGGGGAAAAGTAGTCAACAAAACCAACAACAACCACCACAGGTAAATCCAGTAAGAAGATGCTGGAAATTCTCTTGTGTTGCACAAGATTTTTAAACACTTTTGTTTTGAGTCTCAATGTTAAATGAGTTCCTGAGAGTCAGAGCTGGAATTGTTGTGTTCCTACTTATTGGTGTTCCTACTTATTGATCTTATGCCTTCAAACTGTCCTGAATTCAGCGACTTCACTTGATATTCTCTCTTTCCCTCCAGGATCCAGTTAAATTTAAAAAAATGCCGGCTGGAATGCGGATTTCTTCATCCTTCAGGTAAACTAAACTTTACCTTAAAATGTTCAATAAAAATCAGATCACATCCATTTGAATTACTGTCATAAAGAATGTAAACATAAGTGAGCGCTTTCCTTTTCTTCTGATTAACCTAAACCTGTTTTCAGCTAACTGCTTAATATTGAGATTATTGCTTCATTTCACTGATTTGTATTTCTGTCTTCAGTGCTGAGGGCGGTGACTTTACCTTCACTTAAAGTCAAGAAAGTGGAAAGCTGTGCAATCTAACTTCAGCCTTTAATGGCCACAGTGAGGGCTGATACACGAAGTAGTCATAAAATATATCATATATTATCATGGAGATGAAGCTGCTTTGTTGCTACACTGTAGTATCATTGTTATTTTAATGTCTGAATTCAGTACAGCAAATTGTGGTTGAAGCTGTTTTTGGTGAGCACTGGCTAAGAAACTCAAATAAACTGAAAACTTTTAAACACACAGTTACAGATCTGTTGTTTTGCTTCAATTTGGATGAAATGATTTAAACTTTTCAGTACATGAATTAAAGCTCCTATGAGTCCCTGTTTGTGTGGATTTTGGCGCCCCCTGTTGACACAAAGTACCTCTTACATCTTTGCTGGTTGGGTTCTTTTCATGTTAAAGTCATGTTTTCTAAATGAGCATAATCACATTGTTTCTTGACAGTTAAATGGCAAGTTTGGTTTGTTTCTTTACACCTTAAATTCACTGTTTATTTTTTGAAGGATAAATTAATAAAGCAACGTATCATCTTTGGGCCTCTGTTATTTAAAGGTGGAGGCAGGTGTAGGGCTTTGGTTCAACTTTTAGAACAACATCATGCCACTTCAGAAACAAATCAAAACCAAGAAAGGGCGGGGCTTCAACTTTGTCTATTGTGGTCTGTGTGGAGGAAAAACTAACCAGACCTGTTTTTTCAAAGTATAACTTCTAGGTGCTGCTGTTATTGCTAAAACACAATCTCAATCTTTTGTTTTGATGTTTTTTTGTAACTGAATGAAAGCAGGGAGCACAGTCAAATAGACTTAAGAGTCATTAGTGAGGAAGTGGAAGAGCCATAAAACAACTTGTGACACTTAGAAACAGCAATGGTGGTTAGAGATGGTTTAAAATTGAGGTTATGAACACTGTCAGTTCAAAGAATACTGTTAGTGGACACAGGCTCCTGAACCTAGAAATCATTTTTTTTTCTAATTCAAGTTGGAGGCCTGTTAGGCTTGGTTGTTATAGGGGGTTCTTAGTGCAGCAGCAGTAAAGCAAGAAGTGTGAGGAAACTTGTTTTGAAGAGCTTCGAGCTCACTGAAGTTTGCTGATCAAGTCTAAACGTGATGTTATATATAAGTTTTACAACAATATTCATTAATAAAACATCCCACACTGGAGGAATTCTGTGACTTACGAGACTAAAAATGTCAGAGGAGGGAAGGAAGCAGATAAATCAGTTAATTACATAGAAACGTGGGGTGGGGGATTACATAAACAGAGTTCCAGAAAGACTGTTTGCTTTGGACAGATGTGTCTGCATGTTTTTTCTGTTCATCTAAGCCTCGTTTCTAATGTGGACAGACTCTGCTGATGGATCAACTTGATGATAAATCACTGACACAGTGGGTCTCTTGTGTTGTTAGAGCAACCCTCATTTTAATTAGGACACTGTATATGTCTAAGTGTCTTGACGATTAACATGCATTAGTTTCTGCTTTTGCCAACTTAGTGCAACTGGTAACAGATATATGAATTAACACCAGATCTGCACTACCACTACATTATATAATACTGAAGTGCAGGAATTTTAAGGAATAATAAAACTACCTGCAGCTGCTAAATCTTAACAGACTCAATCTGAAAGGTAATCCTGCACATTCCAGTAGTATCAGTGACAGCCAGGTTATTAACATGGGTGTGAATGTGAACCTAAATACACACCAAATGTCAGGTCCATGCATGTTGCAGCATGAGAAATAAATCAACACTCACCACAGTCATGGATAAGTTCCAGTATCAATGTCCTTTTCCACAGCAGAGTTCAAACATCTTTTTATCAGTTTTTGATAGAGGGGAAAATAAACTTGAATTATTTCGCTGTTAATACTTCTTGTTTATGTTGTTGCTCTGATGCTGAAATGTGTTCTGTCTCAATGTAAACATTTGCATATTTGTTTAAAGATAAGAAAGTATTTTCCCCAATAAACACCTCTGACCAATAGTTCTGTTCTGACTCAAACTGAGGCTTTTTTTCTTCCTCTCCCTCTCTCTGTCTGTCTCTCGTTCTGTCTCTGAGTCATCTTTCTCAGAAGTGTGTTTACAGTGTGTGTGCGTGTGTGTGTGCATGTGCGGGAGTAGCTCCAAGACTCAGATGAGTATAAAGAGACGGACTCCAGCTTCTTAGACAGCAGAGGAAAAGCGGTGATTGAAGGTAAGGCTGATCTGTGGGCATATTTAGATTACAGTCAATCTTGTGATCAGTTAACTGTCATTTACCTGATTGGTATGTGCTGATTTCAGTTTTAAGAATGGAGGAGGAGAAAGTTGGTGTTTTTAATTCAATGGGTTTTCAAACTGAATGCTTGACTGTATTTTGTTGATTTTCTCAAAGTCTGGGGTAAATGTGCAGGAAAAGCTTTAAGTCAAGTGGTTTTCTATTGTGATATTTGACTTTGGTTTAAGATGTAGTTCTTTCAACACCAGAGCCAGCAGCCATGCTAACCACTCCGAACTCTATGTTCTGTTTCTGTAAGCAGTTAGATGTAAAAGAAGCAGGGGGGTAATTGCTAACAGCTGTCACAGCACAATGGGTCTGCACTGGTCGAAACTTTAAACAACAAAAAACAGTTTTACAGTGAGCAGCTATCAAAGTGAAAAAAGTAATATACAATAAGACATATACATTAAAAACAAGCAGGTTGTTACAGAATAAACTTCGTTATCAATTAATCTTTGTTTATAAAGCGCAGATTCACAACAAGCATTATCCCAAGATGCTTAACAATAAGCTGGTCTAGATCATACTCTATCTACAAAGACCCAATGTAAAGACAGGATAAGATTGAGCCCCATCTTTTAAGATCAGACCCACTCCCATCCCATCTTCAACCACGAGTGTTGCATTTTGCAGAGGTTAAAGTGGAGATGAAAAACTTCCTATAACAGGCAGAAACCTTGAGCAGAACTAGACTCGTGTAAGGCAGTCATCTGTTAAAACTGCATTAACGTTTAGAGAGGGGATAGAGGGAGATGCAGAAAGAGAGATGGACAGAGGTGAGACTGATGCATGTAGTTGAAGTGGCTGGAAAGCAGGCAGGTCCACAGCAGTGAAAAATCTGCAGAGGAATGTTTGACATGATGGAGTTCACAGACTCTAGGACTCAACTACACCTCTTTGCCTCACGCTAGGTTGACCAAAACTCAGGTTGAAACAGCATTCAACCAGACTCTTTTATGGCTTTCACTCTAATTCAGCTGCAGAATGAGCTGTGTTACTTCATACAGGTTATTGAATCTGGAAAGAGCACCTGCAGACGTGACCCAGGACAGAATGTCAAAATAGCCTACCTGCAGTTTTTATAGACTTTCTTGGACTTCTCCTTCATCACTTTTTAATGGATGTCTCTGTGTATGTAATTGATCAAATTTTACTTGTTGAGTTTGCCTGAGAGGTAACTCAGATTTGTGTTTACTTCAGTAATTTGAGTTAAATGAACTACTGAAAGTGAGTAAATTTACTTTCAGGTAGTGGTGCTGAACCTTAAATTTGGAGTCACACCGTTTCAAAAGGTGTCTGGAAAAAAATCAGCTTCAAAATACACACCCAAATATTTACAACTAAGCTGGAAAAAACTTAAAAGGCTAAACAAGTCTCATTTGTTCAAAAAAATAAAAATGTGTATAAACAAATGATAGATGTATGTTTAAAGTCTGGTGTCTCTATTAACTGAGTTTTACAGTTCATCTGTTGCCCTATTTTGATACTCTTGATCTTGGGTGTGTTGGTCTATGTCATGAAAAGGGAAGAGAAATCTGATCATTAATATGATCTGCACTTAAAAGCCGCCCTTTGCACATGACTTCACAGCACGTACCCGAGTCAAGGTTCAAACAAAAAGAAATAGTTCAGGTCAGGACATGATAGCGTCTATGTCAACATGAGAGGTTAACAGAGATGTTATCAGCACAAAATAATGAGCTGACAGTCACAAAATCACTTCCAGATATCAGTGTAAAACCACAGGTTTAAATGGTTTAAACACTTAGTTTCTGTTTTGAGGGAACACATGGTTGAGAGTCCAGCAGGAAAACAAAGACATCTGCTTTCAGAGAGCCTTGTGAAAATAAAAACATTCAGCCCAGTCTGTCACTTGTAGTTCTGGTGGAGGCGCCGTTGCACTTAATCATTGTGACATATGGGAGTTCTGCATCACATTTTCCTTTGGACTTTTCAGTCTACTCTATGAACTCCAAGTACTGATATGTGTGGCTAAAGCAAAACTGTGAATGTTTCAGAAATAGCTAAATGGAAATTACTTTCTATTCATCCATCAACAGTTGTAAGATATAAATAAAAATCTGTTACTTCCACTTCCCATAAAACCTTGAAAATATATTTAATGACTCAGCTTGAGTGCAGGGTGGTTACAAAAATATATCCTCTGACATGTCGGTTTTGAGGCACAAGGTTACCACATCCGTTAAACCACTTCCAAACTTAAATTATGTTTATGCAAGTTGATGAATTCTCTTGCTCTGCCATTTTTATTTGGTCTTACCAAAAATAATCCAATTCAAAAATAATTCAACTCTCTATTTCTTAATTTTTTCACCCCAAATAATTTAAATCCTTTTCCAGGACACTCTAGTTTGTAGTATTGCCACTCCCTTGTAACTTTTTAGGGCTACCATGACTTTTAACTAGCTGCCAGTGTCTTTGTCTGTCCTCCACATATTATAGCTCTTCTTGACCCTTCATAAAAGCACCTAAAATACATCATCCATGGCCTACTATATGACGCTTGCGCCACTTCTGGATGCTCATTTATAAGTCAGAGAAAGCACAAGTCTCTATGTTGGCATGTTAGATGATCAAAGAAAAGAATAGGTCATTCTTAGGATGTATGAGTAGGTATCACTGCTTATTACTGTCAGTTTCATAACCAGTTCAAATGTCCTTAAAGGAGCTTTTAGAGGGATCCATTTGGATGCAAATATTTCTACTGAAACCATCAACTGCAAAAAGAACGCCACTTCATTTCCACCCATTGTGAAAAAAGGACGCCAAAAGACACCATGGATGCTAAATATTGCACTGCTGTAGCTGAGGTTTGCATTTTAGTAATCTGCAGGATTGATGTCACATCCAGAGGGAGCTCTAAATCTTTCAGCATCACAATTAGTGAACCCTTATGCAGTCGATTTGAATACATAGTTTACACCGAATACATTTTCACTTGAAAAAAAGGAATCTTTGTGTTTTACTTACCCTAGCCCTCGATCCTGTACAGGCAGTAGATCTTCCTCCAAAGTCAGTCTCCTTCCACAGCCATGTTTAAGCAGTCAGTCTTTTGCCAAAAGGTCACCCAGAGACTTAAGTGACTTCAAAGCCGGATGCCACAACTTCAAAACACACTGGCTGTTAAATCCCTAGAGGTAATAAGCCTGTAAAGAAAACAAATGCAAACGGACAAAAAAGCACGTTTTATAAAAGTCAGATAACATTTGTCTTGGCAAAGCATCAGTGAAAGTCAAGATTTTCTGACTGCATGAAGATTGAGTGAGTGTACTTACAGTCTTCATTCAACTTTTTCATGTTGTATGTTGCAAAGTTGTGAATATTATGAGCTGACAGATGACTAATTCAGAATGATCCCCCTTGCAGCTTCGTCTATTGAGCATGGATGAACAAGAGGAGTATGACTACTACTACCATGAAAACATCAGCGTCAACTTCAGCTATGAGGACTACCCTGTCCTCTGTAAAAAGGGGGACATCCGCTCCTTTGCTGCCGTCTTCTTCCCCATCATGTACACCCTGTGCCTGGTGGTTGGGCTGGCTGGAAACGCCTTGGTCGTGGCGGTCTACGCTTACCACAAACGCCTAAAGACCATGACAGACGCCTTCCTGACCCACTTGGCTGTGGCTGACCTTCTGCTGCTCTTCACACTGCCTTTCTGGGCTGCTGATGCAGCAAGAGGCTGGGAGCTGGGACAGGTCGTCTGTAAGGTTGTATCGGCCTGCTACACGGTCAACTTCACCTGCTGCATGCTGCTGCTGGCCTGCATTAGCCTGGATCGCTACTTAGCGTTAGCTAGAGTGCAGGGAAAAGACCAAAGAGGGTTTCTTGGGAGATGGTTCACCAGAAGACACTGTTGGAAGGTGTGTTTGCTTGTTTGGACAACAGCTTTCTTCCTTGGGGTTCCTGATTTGATTCTCTTAGAGGTTAAATGGTCTTCTAACCGGAGCGTCTGTATGGCTGTGTATCCACCATCAATGGCAGGAGGCGGGAAAACTGTCCTGGAGATGGTAGAGGTTCTTCTGGGGTTCCTACTTCCCCTCATCGTCATGGTGGTCTGTTACTGCAGCATGGGCTGGACACTTAAGAGCCTCCCTGTTGAGAGTAGAGGCAAGAAGTGGAAAGCTCTGCAGGTTCTCCTGGTGGTGGTCGGAGTGTTTGTGGTCACCCAGTTGCCTTACAACGTGCTGAAGGTGTATAGAGCAATGGACTCGGCTTACATTTTGGTAACACACTGTGAGACAAGCAAAGTGTTGGATCAGGCAGCTCAGGTGACAGAAAGCTTGGCCCTCACTCACTGCTGCCTTAATCCTGTCCTGTACGCCTTCATGGGGTCATCGTTCAAACAGCACATGATGAAAGTGGCGAAGAAGTTTGAGGAAAGAAGAAGGAGGAGGAGGAGGAGGGAAAGTACTGCAGTGGAGGAAGGAGTGGAGATGTCATTTAACTCCCACAGTGCATCCCAAGACACAAACACATTCTCAATATGATTTACCCAAATTAATGTTTTTTGTTTTTTTTTTTAACTTTTTTTATTGCTACATGACATTTCACTATTTAAAGATTTGAATCACTATTTGGATCACATTGTCACTTACATGTTCTTATGTTAGTTATGGCTCATCTTGAAGGCCAAATGAGAACTCTCAGTTCTATATTCTGATTATTACTATTAAACTGTTTGTGGGAGTGTGTAAAAATACAGCAATTTAGGAAAGGTGTGATTGAATGTTTTAAGCTTAAAGTTACAAATTAAAATCAGATTAAACCAAACTCTGTTTTTTAGCCTGACGGATAATTCTGTCATTATGGACAACTGTGGACATACCCTCTATTGGACTGTGGAGGAAGGAACTGGGAGCCTGTTTGGAGACACTGACTTACATCGTCAAAAGACAACAATACAAACTTGTGGAGCCCAAATACAAAGACTTACAGTTGAGAATAATTTGATTTTATGTTGTTTGTGGAAACTGCACTGCCTCCTTTTATTTTTTTCTATCTCCTTTTCTACTCTCCTTTTTCTTGATTTCCTGTAATTGTTATAATTGACATTATTATTGACACTGTGCAGGGCATGGGTCATTCTGCCTATTTGTAATATCTTATTTGTGAAATTTAATAATAAAAAGTAGTAACAAGGCAGAGAAACTTGAAAAGGAAGACAAAAAAAATCAAAGAATGAGTGGAAAGAACATGTAGGGGATGGAGAGGAGCAGTCAAACGCCAAAAGTCCCATCACACCACTTTTCATTTTTTATGCAGTGCTTAAATTGGATACCGTTTCTGCACGGAGAAGTTGGGAAATATAAAGGGAAATGTAAATATTTTGCAGACGCCTGTATCTGCTAAGTGAAGAGATGACATTTTGTTTTTCATTTTCTGTCTCTTGCTCCAGTTAGTGATCCTGCTCTTTTTTTACAGCTCGAGATAGCTCGGGGGAAAAAACAAAACAAAATTACAAAAATTGAAACCAGAAATGTTGGTCTCATTGTGGTGTTGTTTACGGAGTCTAGTGACTAATTTCCATCAGATGGGATTTCTTTCCTTTTTCTGAGGAAAAGCCTGAGTTTTGTTGTTTCCAAATTCCTCTGAACATCTGAGAAACATTAACGAACACACTTTGCAGTTTTCCTCTGAGCGCACTATGAAGTCTGCACAACACACTGAAATACAACTTACTATCAGGTGATGACAGACTTAGAGACAAAATCTTTTTCATCACAGTTGCTTATCATATTTTAAAAAATTAGTCTTCAAAAGCAATTTAATCTTCATACAATGTTATTTGAATCAATGCATACAACCAGGGGGATGCAAATTTATTCCAGAGTTGCACATTATCAAAAACACTAGTATGTGCTGTAGCTCCTCTGAAGAAAAACAGGTCAATGTTGCATTTGTTTACCCTGTGCAAACTAGTTTCAACATGGCCTTATTCACTGGAAAAGTGAGTCAAGTTGGCATGTTTAAAAAAAGTACTCCAAAATATTTTACACGAAAAGGGGAGATAAAAGGAAAACAAAAGGTGAAAATAAGGGACCTGCCTAGCATCATATCATTGTATGAAGAAACAAAACTAAATGTATTGAAACCCTGACCATTCTGTGGTGTTTACATCAACACTGAACTCATGTGTCTCCTGGTCTAAGTGAAGACTCTCTATGAACCAGCTGGGGCAGTTTGGGGTTTAGCAAACCAGCAGTTTCCACAATGCGTGCTGGTGGGAGCATATACTGTAGGATGCCCAGGACTTGAGGCCCCAGAACGGCACCTTGGGGAACACCTCAGCATTTTTATGCACTCAAATGTGCAAGTACCAAAAATCACAAAGAAGTCCCACTCCTTTGAACAGGTCTAAACTGGTTAAGCACTGTTTAAGACATGTCAAAATTATATCCAATCTCTCTAATACAGTGTTGTTATCCATTTTCATTCTGTCACCAAAATGCTGTTGTACCAAGATTCAAACAGTAGCATGAATGAACAACAGGTTGACAGAGTGGTAATTGGTTGTTTAACAATCATTTGAATTATTTACTAAGGTCTGGAAATGTTTTGTCATCGCTTGTCATGTTCATTTCTAGAGTGGCTTCATTACTGTATTGGGTTCTCAAATAGATCTAAAAGTGGAAATGTGTTGACTTTACACATTTTTGAATTGAAGCCTTGAAAGGTTGCTGACAGGGCAGCAGTAGCAAGAGAAGGATTTCCAAAGTTGCACAGTTTCAAACGAAGCGGTCACTGGACTGAGTGGATAAGTTAACATTTCACTGACATAGGGGTTTGTAAGCAATGACTACACACTGGCAGCTCAGTGGCTGGTAAATATTGAGAGGGTCCTCATAAATAGTTATAAAAAAAGAAATGTTTTTCCTGTCTCCCTGTTTCCCAGCTGGCACAGATCAGTTACTTTATCAAATACTGCTGCAGGTTAGGATCTGGCTCGTGTGCTTCCTCATATGGAAGATATTTTACTGAAGTAGTTCCATCTGTTGTCTCTGAAAAACATTCAAGTCAGCCAGAAAAAGGGTTTTAACAAATACTATAAATATACAAAAAAGCCATCGGTGGCTCCTGACCAGTATTTTCAAATAGAAATATTGCAAATATATTTTAAACTATCATTTTTAGGCAGTCATCCAGCATCAGTTTAACAAACCTGAACCAAGATTTTTTTTTTCTTAAATTAAGTTAAAAAATATTTTTATTCAAACATATAATTTTAATTATAAGATATATATATTTCTTAACAAAAACTAAAGAGGCCAAAAAAGGCAGTGCCACAATAACTTAGAAAAGGAAAACTTCCTGGCATTTCACAGTAAAACAAGTTTAAAAACGTAACCGAAATATTCACTCATAAATACAACTGTTCTTTATATATACATATTATTTATATATTTAAAGAACTAAAATAAAACAATGGAAAAGGTTACGTTTTCACACACTGAACTGTCCATGTTAAGAAAGTGTGTACTGTGATAACAAAACCTTGTATTTGTTATAAATGACTGTTAATAGAAACAAAGGAACTCTTCATCTGTTACTTAACCACAGATAGTAAAGCAGTTCAAGTCTCAGGCCTTCTGTCAGTACTGAAACAATACAAATTTATGTGCAGACAAAAAGCAGAGGGAAGCTGAAGAGTTTTTTCTGGATTACTTCTCAGGCAGGATTACCACTCAGGCATTTCATTTCTCTAGAATACTGTGGATATTTTCTCAGTAACCATAAAAAGGGTATCTTGGCTGCATAAACACCTCTATCTTGGCGTTTTAGGCACTTTGCTCTGTTTTGGCTCAGATCCTACACAGAAAAATTTCAGCTGTTTGGCACACAGTTAAGACGTTCAATGTGTTTACAGTATTTTTAGAGATAGTTTTAATGTATGACTTATCTGTGAAACTGTAACAAAAATAGGGTTTGTTTTTTTGACAAGCTTTGCAATATTGTGTTGGCATACAGGTCAGAGTCACTGTTTGACATCAGTAATCCAGGATCTGCACATCAAAAAGGTCACACACTCCCTCGTTGTCATCCAGGTTGAAGCTGTAGTACATACCTGTGCAGAAGGACGGGGGAAAAGGAAGAATAAATACCAAAATGTTTTCATAATTGGGAGGGCAACACTGTAAAACTAATCTCATATCAACCAGCCTCAGCTTTACTTTGTACAAGTGCTTGCTAGCCAATCATCCACACATGCAGTCCTCCTCTCTGCAAAGCTGCGAGTATGGCTGTTGACTCTTGGCAGCATTGATTATAATTTAGTGTATCTGCAAATATTTACTGACAGTTTTAAATATAAAAGGTAGAGAAATTAAGCTCGAGATACTTACCATCAGTAGACATTAACTCATCAATCAGGTCAACAGCTTCTGCAGGAAATTTTTTAACAAGTTTCAATTTCTCATGCAACTTAACTTATGCAACATCAATTTATAACCAGAAAGAAAGATGCCGAGTCATAAAACAATAACATCACTTATTATTCCAGATACTCTCTTACCCTCTCTGTCATCCTTCATGAGATCCCCAGAAGCATTTAGCTCTAGCAGGCTGCTCACCTCCTGCACAGACTGGAAATCTGGGTCCATCAGACCCATTTGCTCCTGCGCCAACACTGCTGCTGACTGACTGTGACATTCTGCAGGGAGCACGGGAGTTCATTGAGAGCACTTAGCTGTACAGTAAAGCCCTTTTCAGGAAATGAAAAAGGGCAGCATCACTGAATTTAATTGTCTCTACACAAGCTTATAAAGTAGAGGATGTGGCACACTGGGAAAGACGAGCTCAAAAGGTCAGCTGTCTTAACATGCACTCAGCAAAAATGCATGGAACGTGCAGGTCCGTTGCATGATTTCTAATGTTGTTATTTCAGATCATGATGATTTTTCAGCTGTTATCTGGATGATGTTCACTGCAGATGTCAAGCAGACTCACAGGGTTTGCAGAAGTCTGCTTCAGGCCTTGTGCAATTCATGAATTTTGGATTTGCAGAGCCCTTAGTGCTTACTTCTCCCCAAGACGTCGGGAAGTGCACAGCAATCCAGATTTTTATATTAAACCCTGATTTTATTCTGGAATGATGAGGCTTCCGCTAGCAACTGGTTAACTTGGCTCAGCATTCACACTCCAGGAAGTCACTGCACAAAGGTCAAGTAAAAACCCAACGTCTACGCACCTACTATCAAAATTCAGACCCAGATTGACATAAAATGTAAAAAATAAAAAAAAATAAAAAAATTAAATAGGTTCCCATAAACACTCTTCACAAAACTTCCTCTTGAACACAAGAACCACATTCTTTGAACCACAAAGAATGTGGTTGTCTTGACATCCTTTACAACATTGTGATGTATGACATGTGAATAAACCATCTGTATTTTGTCACCATGCTGCTGCCAAGTTAATTCCTCAAATTTTTGGGAAGAAGATCAGCCTGAGTTTCGTTGTGACAGTTTTAACTGTGCTTAAAAACTTTTTATAACAGTGACTCAGTTTCTTATAAATCAGATCCGGATAAAAAAAAGTGGTGTGTTTGCAAAAGATACCGGAAGACTCTTGCACATGCATATAAAAAGATCATGACATGATGTGGGAACCCAGTGGTGCTGTCTGGGTTGCAAATTTGGTAATGTGGGGTGTCATGTGACAAATGAGCATGAGACACCTCTCCAACAGCATCTTTTACAGAGTAAAACCATGAAATAACCTCCAAAATACAAGTTATGTGCTGTGCCTGATTACAATCAGTGATAATGACTTGTTCTGTCGATATTTTTGGGGTCCTGCTGAACTTTCCTCAGTTTGCACCATTTTATCCTTGTATATGAATGACATTTAAATTATAAAGCTTTGTGGGAATACAGATTACATTTTCATTAAGTTCATTGTTTATTTTCATATGGTGTATTTATTTCTCAGGTCCACAGGTTAAGACTTTCCCAGCTGGCACTAGGTTTGATATCTGCAAAGTAATTTGCAGAACAAAGCCTAATGATGCCTTCATTTACATAATTAAGTTCAATCAGCCAATCTAGGCATTTTTCACCATCTTTTGCTTTCATATCCATACAGTATTTTATCTTATCATTATTATAACGCAGAAAACTAGCCACACCATGAACTTACCTAGCCTGGCTGGGCCATCCTGTTGTGTGAATCACTTGCCGTTCCTTCCAAGGAAGCCGTTCCTTCCAAGGAAGGAACGGCAAGTGATTCATGCAACAGGATGGCCCAGCCAGGCTAGAACTTACCTGTAGTCTGCATGGTTTAGCTCATAACAAAAATAATATTCTTTGTTCTTTGAAAGTGTTTTAAGCGTTCTTTGAAAACACTTTTTTCCGTTTTCATTTCTCAGTCAGACAGTAGACCGCATTTAAAAAAAACAATAACTGAAATTCACATTGCTGGAAACATAAAAGTGGATTTACAAAACAGGGAGTACTGGAGCATAACTTTATGTGTCAGTTCCTATGCTATTAATAGACTGATTTGTTAATAAGCTTTTTTGGGGAGGAAGCTTAACTATGCAGCCCACAAACCACATACCAAATTGAAGTAGCAGCTGAGTCAGGGCAAGTAGCAGGCTTATTGTCTCCAGTGCCAGTGTCTTTACTATAATCTGTCCCTGCGCTTATTTTGGTAAAATATCAAGTGTGTGTTCAGCAAGCATCATTATTTGTTAGCTCTTATGGTAAAGGAAACAAAAGCAGTAAATGTTAACCACAAGTGGAAATCAAAGTCAGCAAATCCCTCTGACTCAGAGGGTGGAGGATGTTATTTCAGCAGGATAATGTCTTTGGCTTTGAATTTGAGGAAGAAAAATTTAACTTCTTCAGTCTGATGGGAAATTGAGGTCATCATAAGGCTCTGGTTCTTGTCTGGGCAACTAGTTATTGTTTATGTAAGTGACTCTTTTTGTATTAAGGCTGTTTTTTGTTGTTGTTGTTGTTTTTCCTTTTAGAGTTATTGATTGAAAAAAAACCAACCTTTTTATTGTTTTAAGTCTTACAAGCTACAGCAGAGTTGAAACATTAAATCTTACCCTTCTGCTGCTATGGTATTTCCTTCTTCTTTTATTTGCATGAACTATTTCTATGCAATCCAGTTATCCTAAACATGTCATAATGATAACTAGCAAGCCACTATTGACTAAAAACTAAGTAAAAATCTCAGCTTAAGTTCTTTTGAAATAAAATACCATATTCACAGAAAAAGTCTTCCCATCCAAACAATTCCAATACGGACTTGTTTTCCCGTCTGTTCCTGTTTACCTTCTAAATGGTTGGTTTAACAGCAGGTTGTAGCCTGCCTTGTCTATATGTGCTTGTTGATAAGATTAAGATCATTTCAGATCTACTGTTGTGAAAAATTGCTCCATCTGTTGCACACGAAAGCCTTAAATAATTTCCTGTAGAGACAGTTAATCAGAACCTTTGAATTTGTAGTTTGAGCATGCTTAAGGATAGAGTTAAAAATTTATGTATGTGAGGTAATCAGGTTTTAGTAAGCCAGGATTTTAGAGCCCCTGAGGTCTGAGTCAAGCTTTGGCATGATCATTTCTGAGCACTGCTTTTGAGTTTTTCCACTTACCCATTTGTACATCAGGAGGGCTAGATGATGGTGTGTGCATTTCATCGTGTTCCGGCAGCACCATCTGGTGGTCTGAGCAGAGGGAGTCCTGGCTGCAGTAGGAGGAGGCGGAGTACTGGGAAGAGGACAGTGGGAACTTCTGCAGGTTGGCAGGGGTGCTGGGTGGAGTTGGCATTGGACAGATGTCGTCAGTGGGAGGGACAGAGAAGACCACGGGCACTGTTGAGTCTGAATCCTTGTTTATGAGCATGACCTGGATGGGGGCCGAGTGGCTGCGAAGGTTCACCTGATACTTTTTCTGTCCACTTTGGCCCTGAAGAACAGCAGCAATTAGATAAGTTTAATATCAGTTACTAATCAGTCTTTTTATGCTCACAATGTATCATATGAGGGGCTCTGTGAAAAGGCCATTTGTAGTTTGTAGTATTTCCAAAGTTCTTTAAAACATTTTAGCATTTTAAGCTCATGAAAAGCTCTAGAAGCACATTTGGAAGACAGATACTTGTTTGTGACCAGTGTGGAGCATTTTGCAGCTAGGGAGGTGGTTACTTCCTCCAAGAGTTGTAAGAGATTCGAATCATTGTTTAAGGTGGAAGCAAGTTTACCATATCAACTATAAAAGTGCCAAAAAGATTCAAACACACAGCATGTTTCCGCTGCGCCATAGTGGATGCAAGTTGTACTCACAAAAGAGAAGAAATGTCAGAGATTCATGAGTGGATCTAGGCTACAGAAAATCCTGCCACATAAGTACAGAGCATCTTAAAAAGCATCACACTAATCTCTTCCCAACTGTTAGTTTGCACTGCTTTAAAAGATTTTTCCTCAGTTGATATAAACATTAAAGGTTCAGAGGCATGTGGCAATACCCTCTGATATCCTGCAAATAACTCAACCTGGGTATTATTATATCCTAAATCTTGTCTCAAGGATAGTTTTACTTGGACTGGATGGACTAAGGATTCTGTTTTTAGATGGAGTAGAACACACAAGAAGACCCAACCCACACCGGAATTGAAATCCCCTGAAACTGAAATGAATAAACTGCTGCTTTCACTGTACATACCCAAGTGTATAGATAGATGCCATAAAGTTTTACAATCAGCAAGGAAAGCTTGTAAAATGTGACTCACCATCTCAGGCAGCGGCACCTCGAGCTGAGTCCCCGCAGGGGCCACCACAGCAAGAAGAGTATCTCCACTGAAGGCGCTGCAGATGTCTTCATGTGTTACAAATTTATAAGTGGGGGAGTGTTAAAGAAACAGAGGGCAAAATTACCAGAGGATGTGGCAGAGATGGAGACAATAAAGTGGAAAAACAAGACTGAGTATTGTGAAAGTCAGGATTAGTCGGCTGTGATTTCACTTGAAGACTGACAGCAGTAATTATGTCTATAATCCTTTCTTTGTATGGTTTCTCTCTCAAAGATTGAGAAAAGAGATTAAGTAAGGATTTTTTTTTCCCCACTGTTGTGATTGAAAAATGAGGCTGTAAGAGGACTAGCATGGCAAAGTATAGAGAGAAAAAACTCAAACTCACACCAAGCAACATTTCGCTAGAATAACATCAAACAAGTCTTAGTGGTTGATGTCTAGAGCACTGATCATGTGCAGTTCTACGACCAGTTTCTCTATGGAGGATAAACTCTAAAATTCAATACAAACCATACAAAAACAAATACCATAAAACACTGAGGATAACCAACCTGTATTTTTGTAAAAAAAAAAAGAAAAGATAAATAAATAAAACACATTTTCTGCACTTGATGCTTCATGTTTAAAGGATATGTGCTGTTGATGGGGTCACGGTTCAAGTGTTCGATGCTCTCCTGCAGCTTTGCCTTCTGGTTGTCCAGCTCTTTCTCTTGGGCCTCCAACTCAGAGATTTGGGCCTTCAAAATCTTCACCTGGTCCAGCACCTCTTTGGTTTGGCTGCTTGAGTTTTCCCCCCTGGACCCAAAAGATATGAAAGGGAAAAATGTGAAGTGTAAATACTAGTATCCGAATTTGTCCATTCTTCAAGTGAGCTCAGCTTAAGATAAGGAGGATGTGTTTTTTGTTTGCAGTAAAATTCCCTGAGAAATCTCTCATCAAACTTTCAAAAATACACACAAGTTGAACTACATGAAAAATGTCAGAAAGGAGGAAAACATTTCTCTAACTCTAAAATATAAAAGAGTTTCAAACCTCCACTGGATTATGTTCTTGTTTTTCTTCTCGATCAATCCCACTCCTTCCAGCACGTTGGTAATGTCATAGATCCTCCTCTTCTGCCTCACTGCCAAGCTGTCTGCAGCCTGTTAATTCAATGAACATTTCCACTGAGTGGACCCATTCAGTGACAGCTTTATATGAACTCTTGTGGACGAGACGCTTTACTGTGAATAGACAACTTTGAATTTCTGTCTGTTTCTGCAAACATGTCTTGAGGTTGCAAAATGAGACTCAAACAAACCAGACAAATGAGGGATTTGGTCAATTAAGCTGCGCAAATAGAAAATCAAGCCTGTTGGCAGAGGAGGACAGTTATACAATAGCAAAGGAGGGAGGAGGAGGGAAAAGGGTGTTAAAAGCCTGCTGTGTAAACATTACCAAGCTTTGGCGCGCAAGAGGAGAGGGAAATCTACTTATCAGTGAGATGAAAAGAAGGTAACATTTGTGGGAGACCATTCAGGGAGGTCTGGCACAGACAGTTAAGTGGCTTGTAGATTCTACAACAAATTCTGTACCGTAATAAAGAGAGGGGTTTACATTCACTTAATGTTTAGTTAAGCTCAGTTAGAAGTTGTTTACATACAGTCATAAAAACACTGAATAATTGGAGAGATGGAGAGGGGTTTAACTCAATTCTCACATACGTCCACTGACCACATCATTATGAACATCTGAGCAAACATAAACAACACAATTCCTAATATTTTGCTCCCCTCTTGGCAAGAAATGAGAAATGCTGTCAACCCCACCTTTCTTTCTGTATGAAAACTTCACTTTAGGACCCTAAAAACATTAATGCTTAGATATAAATTTTCATGTGATATTAAGCAAATCACTCACAACTCCAGTGAGAAACACAACCGAAGGAATCAGGAGCTTCTTACAGTTAGACTGGTGTCATACTGTGAACAGAGATACTGTAGTTGTTGCTGTTTCTCCCGTGGTCTCTGGTTCTGGTTCTCCCAAGTGATTTAAAGTGTTTCAGGATACTTCTTTCATTGGGTCAACTTTTATCTAATTAGGGTTAATTTTCCTTTGCTTGTTTCCTAAGAGGCTCAAATCATATTTGTTTGATACATAAAATTATAGGTGTTTGTTTTGACAAGTTTAGCTAATATCTACTCGTTGTGGCAGGTAGACTAACCCAGAGAGAGAAATACTTGGACCTTACATCCACCGTTTTCTATCTTTAACGTATTCAACATAGTGACTTTATGCCACTTTAACCGCTGACAATTGCTGCGTCCGAACTGCCCGCTCGGATACTACATGCTACTGCTACGTGCTACTGCTAGATCCTACTCCTACATACTAAACACGTTTGCCCAATTCGGACACACTAGACGAGCGGTGGGGAAAGACGACCCCCGCAGGCAGAGAGTAGGTACTGCGCCCGTGCAGACAGTGGTAACTGAAGCCCCTCATCTGCGGGCCTGGCTGTAGTACTGCAGCTGTGCAGTTTAATGATGGAATAAGTGAGCTTTACCTCCATGATGTCGCCACATATTTGCTCATAAAATGATTACTTGGGCAAATATGACACCATGACATGACAAAGAGATACAACCGCACATTTTTTAGGACAGTGTGTGAAGTTACATGAAACTTACATCTGTACTGCTGCGGTCCCGCGACATGGTGCGCGCTGTTGTGGCCAGCCGGCGTTCGCGACACATTTAAATAGGCAGAGCAGCTGGTGGCGCTAGCATCACATGCGCTTCTACAACTTTTAAGAGGACGAAGAAGAAGCCCGTGGTGCATTTTGGGTCAGTAGCATGCCCGTAGGATGCACCGAGACCAACCTACAATGTGGGCGTGTCTAGTATCTGAAGTAGTATCTGAAGTAGCATGCTACTCGCTCCGGTGGCCAATTCGGACATGCTAGATACTACTTCGACTACTACTTCGACTACTACTTGGCAATTCGGACGCAGCTATCGTTGTCCTTTCGCCGGTGAGTGTTTATGAACACCCCAACCAAGAGACAGTGGGGGGTAATGGCGACTAGCTGGTCCACCTGTTAGTAAAATCAGTACACCTGCCATCCTCCCCGACAGCCCTTTGTTCACTTTCTGGAGGAACACCGATGAATTACACCCACAATGAACGACCCCACACTCAACAACCAGGTGTCAACCGTCGACGTTTCACTGACCACTTTTAAATCAAGGACGCCGTCTTTAGCTTCTTGGAGCAGGCTCACGAACTTCATCGTCAGGAGCCCCAAACTTTTCTCATGGCGACTCGGTGTCGTACGAACTGTCTCCGTCGTCTCAAACTCCATCTTCTTTCTATGAAACACAGTCGTACTTCTTTTTTAATATCTTCCGTATTTTACCCTAAACAAACCCGCTTTTTGAACTTTAACATAACTGTTATATCTCCATAAGAACGACAGCCGAACCTGTACGGGTTTTAAATTAACGGACGTCGCGTTACGTTAGGGTACAGTTGCCACGGCAACTCTTGCCTCGCTCGTGCCCTCACTGTAAGCGACGCCCCCCCGCATGCCGAAATTGACCCCGCCCCGCCATTTATAAACGGACAGACAAGTAAAGGTGAAAGGATCAGTCTGCTGCTAAATGTGATGTAATGAGGGTTAACTTTGTCTAAAAATATTAAAGTTAAAATACGTAAATTAAGCGATATATTCGAGTAAAACAAGAGTAGATACACTCACTGCATCAGAATTACTAAGTATCTTATAATTTTGAAAAAAAAAAAGTTGTTTGACTTAAAGATAAAAGTATGTTTTAAAATCAGATCGTAAAACGTTGAGAAGATGTACAGATTGACGTGCACTAATTATGAACTTTATGCTCAAAAACTAAAATATAAGTTAGACCTACACATGCTTCATTTTTTTAAATCAATGCATGTTCACAGCTTTATTACTGTTTTTAAGATAATTCTTAAAAGTCTAACTAATCAACAGTCATAGTATGAAACTGCATTCTTCAGTAATTTCATATTTATCATTTATATGTAGTTATTCAAATCTAATTTTAAATGTTTGCTATGGCAAAGAGTCATTTTCCACTCCTACTTTTTACTTTTGGTGGAGTTCTGTTATTCTCATACCCCTATATGTAATAAAACAAATAAAAGTCTAACTAATCAACAGTCCATGTATGGAACTGCATTCTTCAGTAGTTTAATATTCATAATTAGTATGTAGTTATTCAAATCTAATTTTAAATGTATGCTTTCTCAAAGAGTCATTTTCCACTCATACTTTTTACTTTTGGTGGAGTTCTGTATTATTTTCTCACCACTATACATAACAAATCAAAAAATTTATTTCCAATTACTAAATATTCTCTTTAAAAGATTTTTTTTTATTAAATTTGAAAATACTAAAAACAATAATTTAATACAGTCTTATTTGACAAAATTGTACACTACTGAGGCCTCATAGGAAGCACATATCCTTCATCAGAAGTCTTTTAATACACTTGTTAGCCGTCTCATTTTCTCTTCCATGATTCTCTTGTTGGTTTCTGTCTCCTCAAGCAGCTGACGCATTTCCTCCTCCACCTCAAACACCTGAGGAAGAGATGAAAAAACTGACAGCTTAAATATGATGAATAACATGACAATACATGGTCCTAAAACTAGTTTTGTCCTAAATTTGAAGCCATTTTAAAGACTTAAGTGAGTCTGTTCTTCCCTGTAACTTTCAAATTTATCATCTGTATTTTACCTTCTGATTGGCCTGTTCGATCTGTTTCTGCTTTTTGTTGGCCTGGCGTAGCAGCTCAGCTTGATGGGCAGCCTGACAAGATTCTAGCTGTCTTCGAAATGCATCATCAACGCAGCGTAACTTCTCCGACACAGCTCTGCCAGACAATAAAACAAACATCACGTAAAGCACTCTTGGGATGTTGTGGCTTTTAGTATGACAGGTATACACATTTGGAGTCTGCTTAAATACTGAGGCTATTCCTGAATCTTGACTAACAAATTATTTATTTATTCTTAATAATTTACCCCGTCTCTGGGGGAACTTGTCAAACACATGCTGTTCATAATTTAAACTACAGAGGTATGACTGTTCTAAAATCTTCTTCAAAGTTATCTCGCTCTCTATGGAGAAGGACTGTGTCTAACTATTTGCCTTTTTAGTCTGAAAATTCTCAAAGTCACACAAACTGTGTCTTCCCTTTGGGCTTTTGGGTAAGAAAAGCATTTTATCGTCGTGTCTGACTGAGGACATAACTTTCCTCTCCTTCAGGAATGAGGAGAGCTTCAGAGCTGTTCTAACCTGTTTCCAGCTGGTGAAAGATGGTAGGATAAAAGTTTACGCTCCCATTGTGGTAGACATAAAAAAAATACAGTCAACACTCAAGTACAAACAAACTTTTTCAAAGTTATTGTGAAGGGTTTGAATCAGGATAACCTCTCAAGCAACAGACTATTTTAAATCTGTGGTAAGTTATTTATAATATGCAACTAAAGAGATACAACGTTACCTGGTACAGCTGACAAATGCTGGACAACTACAGTATATGCTGTTGTGTTGTACGTAAGATGACACTGAATTTTGTGGTCAAAGTTTAGGAGATTTTAAGTTTCTTTTTTTAAAGTTGTATTCTTTATTATATGTACTTTTGTGCTTCTGTTGCTTTATCTCTTTCCTCCAGGAGCAATCGTTCTTTGGAATCGAAGTTGTCCTTCATGCGCTTCACCTGGCTCTCCAGTTGAGTGAGCAGTTCTGCTTTCTCCTGCCACTTTCTACTGGAATTACTAAGAAGACAGAGTAGGTAGACTTTAGGAGAAGAACATGTTTAGCAGCTCTAACACACTCACGCTGATGGTATAAAGTTTATAACAGGCTTCATAAATAAAATTATCTTGCAAGCTCTAGTTGGCATGTCTGTTTTTTAGATGAAATTCTTGCCTGTAAATTTTTTTGACTTCCTCAAGCTCGGCTTCCTTATCCTCCAGCTGCTGTTTCAGCTCCTCTTTGCGCAGACGCAGATGCTCCACTTGCTCCCTCAACTCAGCCTGTTGAGATGTTTCCTCCTCCAGCTGCTGCTGAAGCCTCTTCTGGGCCTGGACCGACTCCTCCCGCAGCCTACGGATTTGATCATCACGCTCCTGCGAGGCCTTACTCAGCAGGGGTCAGAGAAGGATACAAGGAAATTATTTCAGTTTGTCTCAAAACAAAAGCAGGACAACACTGAGAGATACTCAATTTGCACATACAAACACATATACAACATTTGTGGCTAATACTAAGCAAATGCATGTAGTGTCAGGTTCCAGTAAAACAGGCTTCCTACTACCTCTTTGAGTTTGCGGATTGTCTCTGTCTGGTCATCAATGATTTTTGATTTGATTTTTAAGGCATCATTGTCCCTCTGGTTCTGTTTCTTCTGTGTCTCCAGCTCGGTGCTTAGCACCTCAATCCTGGCCTCTAGACGTCCACGGTCCTGAGCCAAAGATGCTCCTAATGAAGAGAGACTCGTGAAATACTGAACTCAATCATGTATCTCAAGCCAGCAGGAAAGATTTAACTCAAACACTTAAACATCCATTTTGTTTCTTCTTTTGTAGTTTGTATGAATTTATTTTTTTCCCTCTGCTCCTTTGTTCTGGTTTATCATGCCTCACATGAATTTGCATTTTTTGTGTGTTTAAAGTCTACTATGTGTGCTGACTTGTCTAACTTTATGGATGCATAGGTATATTGGTGATGCCACTAGATGGCAGACTTGACTCAACACAGACAAAATAACACATCAGCTTTCAAATAAGTCAGCCCTGATACATAACTTCTTCATATTGGCAATGTAGAATAATCCCAAAAATGTCAGTGGTGACACGGGGCCTCCTCCGGGGCAATTCATTATAAAGTAAAATGTACAACAATGAAGATCTGTGCAAGTGTTTATTCGTCTGTGTCATGCACAATGAGGCTCATTTAAAGTCCAGACCTTACACCATCTTGTCTTCCCACCTTGCTGAGCGAGCTCCTGGCCCCAGATCCTCCTCTCTGCTCTCAAACCGTCTATCACTGACTCCTGAGCTGTGAGCTGAGACAGCAGTCGAGCCTTGTCTTTCTTTAGCAGCTCAAGCTGCAGGCTCAGGCGCCGGTCCTGCTCCATCTCTGCTTCTAAAGAATGCAGGCGGCCCTATCAGAGGGGCAGACAGAGGGACAGTATTAATGATCAATGGCCATCTGCCCTGGCTGACAGATGGAAAGGCAGCAGGAGCATTCAGTATACCTGATGGCTTTCACAGGCTCAGGGTGAATAATGGCTGAATGGGAAAGAGTGATGCCAAGAGGTGATAAACTTTACACATCTATCCGATAAGAAAATTTATCTGCAAGGGGTTGAGGTGCTGCACGAAATAAAAATCAGCTCAATCTCTATCTTTGATTCCACTGCTGTACCTTCAGATCAGTGATAGCGTCTTTCTTGGCTTTGATGAGCTCAGAAATGCGGTTCTTCTGCTCTTTGACCATGGCTGTGAGCTCCTGCACCAGAGAGCCTGATTTCTTCTCCCTCTCCTGGGACTTGGCAAGCATCGCCTTGACCCCCATAAGCTCTGCAGTCATCTGATCGCAAGCTTCTTTTACCTGTAAAGGAAGAGTAAGGGTGTGGAACTGAATGCCGATGAGACATCTGGGAGTTTGACAGAGTGAAGAGCTTCAAGCATTTACTCGATTGACAATTTCATCAATCAATGTCACACCCGAGGTCTGACAGAAAATCTTTTAGAGTCACAGACTTAAAGAAAGCAATTTTTCAAATGTTTCACTGACTGATGGTTTCCCTGGCAATCTGAGTCTTATTCAGTATTCCAACAGTCAAAGGTTACTGACAGTACAGTAGAGCAGCGTGTATGCTGCAGCAATCAAGACCAGATGACATTCCCTGCACAGGCAGAATAAAATCTGTAACTGAAGGGAGAAAGTGCAGATTGATCCAATCTTTTTGTATGGCTTTCTTCCTGTGGCAATCACAGACTACCTCTGCAGTGATGATCTTATTCAATCTCAGCTTTCATCAGGCTGAAAAAAGGAAAATCCACAGTGTTGGGTTCAATTCTAGTTCAATCATTTCCCTTTCTTACTGGACATGGCAATCATTTCAAAGATGTTCTGTGCAAAAGGAGGACGAAAGAATTTAGCAAGTAGACCGGGCCATTTGAATGGCAGAGGTTCACATCAGAACAGACCTCAGAGAAGCGAGCCGCCTCGATGGTTAGTGCCATACGGAACTCATCCTCCAGAGCGGCATACTGTTTCCTGCCTTCCGCCAATTTCTCCTGCAACTCCGCCTCCCTGTGGGTGTGTCGTTGCTCGACTGATGCAACTTCTTTCGCCACTGCCTCACAGAAATCTGCCCCACCGGGCTGCAACCGCAACTCCAACTGTTTTCTGTAAGACGACAGAAACAAGGATGGTATATAATAAAAGATTTCACACTTAAAGGATGTCAATGCTGATTTGTATTAAAATCATTAGGACAGAGCTATAATTTTCATGCTGACAATACGACTGTGTATAATTTGTCATTTTCTTTATCCAGGGCAGTTAATAGCCTACAAGCTGCTTTAATGTTGTTCAGATAAATGTTTGTACTTCAGGGCCTGTTCTTAATTCAAGAGACTTAAATTTTGCACTTTTCAAGGTCTGAGACTGTGAAAGATGATTGTCAGATCTTTGTACAGAGGTGATTGAATGTGCCCCAACATACTAGTACCAGAGTTTTCTCCTCGAAGAAAATCTGTTTTTGATCATCACATCCAGAGTCTAACAAAAAGAGAGGGTGAAATTGGGTTTCTTCTATTGAAACAGAAACTGTTTTTCTTTTGCTGCTCGGAAAAATGGTTTCCAAGAGACCTTTTCATTTTTCGATCGACTATGGTGATATGCTCTAAATGCATGGTGCCTCATTCTCTCTGAAAATGCTGGCCTCAGTGTACCATGCCGTATTGTGATTTGTCTCTGGTCTTGGTTGTCACTGTGTCTTCTGTGTGAAAGTCTGTCTTCCTTTCACAACAGTATACTGGTATATCTTTCTTTATAAGGCCTTACCACTTGAACTGCCTTCTTATTTAAGTTTTTACTGGCTCCTAAAACCATCAGTGGCTGTAACCTTCAGTCTCAAGTCATTCATCAGACTCACTCTTTTTTTTTATGCCTGTCAACGGCGTAGAAATAAAGCCCACCACTCTCAAGGGACCTTCCTACCTGTGCTCTTGTTCTCTGCATGCCAACAGCTCATGCAGTTGCTGAAGTTTGTCTTTGTGCTGACGCACCGAGGCCCTCTGGATGTCCAACTCTTTCTTCAGAGCTGCTGCTTTGTTCTCCAACTCCTGCTGCCGCTTCATCTAAAGAAAGTCAGACCATATTTAGTGGCAGCCTGTTGCACTGTTTGAGCCAAATGACGCCCATTTGTCTGCATTTGTTCACTCTCCAGCAGGGCATACGATTTTGGAAAAATGGGTACATCACAGGGAGGGTGATGAGTTAACATGTTCATTTGTATGTAACAGAAACTGCAGACAGTGTATTTAGCTCTGCACTACTCGAAACAACCTCTGATTTCTAACTTGATAAAATGTGTTGATAACCTGAATCAAACTGTGAAACAGGTTCGCTCAGGCATACTAAACAATGTCTCTACCTCCTCGGCCTGCTGGCGAGCCCTGAGTGCTTCACCATGGGAGATGCTTTCCTCCAGTCTGCACAGCGCACTCCTGTGTTTTTCTTCACCGCTGCGGGCTTGCTCCAGCTGCTGGCTTAGAGACTGACATCTCCCCTCCAGCTCCTCGACACGAGTCTGCAGCTCAGATCGCCCTGATCGCTCCTTTAGCAACATTTCTTTCAGTCTGGAGTGGATGGGGAGAAGCATGATCAGTGTGCAGCAGCAGCAGCAGCAGGATGGATACACAGGATGTCGTCTTTTATCTTTATGTAAATTGGTATATGCAACCAACACCAACTATGTGATAACCTTCACCGCCCTCTGCAGTTTATGTCCCACTGTTACGATGTTATAGCTTGTGAAATTAAGAAAGTCTGACACAATAGAGGAGTAAAATCTTATCTCGAAGGAGAGAAAATGGAAATACATAGAAAATGATTCTCAGGAGGAAAAAAAGCATCAGGCACAAGGGCAGCCTAGGAAAAACAAGCTGGGAGAATTCAGGACACACATAATAACTGCTAAACTAAGTGAGTACACGGCCACCTACAGTAAGATGAGTCACTCCTCTGTCATCTGTCTCCTGATGAGAGAGGGAGTTAACAAAGGCAGGCCTGTTCAGTGTCATGAGAAAGTGACAGTCAAGATTGATCTGTGCAATAATGTTGACATATGCTTGTCACCAGGCTTCTAATTACAACCATAATGCAGATTTATCTAAGCACAGTGAGAGGCAACTAAGAATAAATGCCCGTTATAGCCACACATGGCACTATCTGAGCAGTGCAGGAGGAAGAACCCACACAGTTAAATGTTCTTACATGCATGTAGGGAAAGAGATAGGCATATTTAATTATAGATAATTACAGCCTCTGGATTTTAAATATAAGGTATGCAAGCAAGAAGGGTGCGTAGGCTAATGATCTTTATACTAAATAGCGCCATTATCACAGACAACTGCAGGCATACTTTCTGGGTAATGGAGCCAGAGTGTGTGCCTGATTTTATGTGGAGCAATGGGACAAGTGATAGCGAGGATTTTTATGGGTGGGATGGATTCTCATTGTTTAAGAATGAAACAGGCAGCCGGCCCGGGTCTCAGGAGGGCCAAAACAAAAGAGGAAGAAGGTAGAAATGGATGAGAATCCATTATGCAGCTGACAACTAAATTCCGCAGAGACAAGTTCAATTATCTTTTTTCATCTTAATATCTGCTTGAAAGTTACGGAGTCGATTTGTGTGGAAGTGGAAGCAGTTAGTGTCAACTTATGCATCAGTGTGTCCTCTTGCCTGTCGGTGGTGTGCAGGGCCATGCTCTGAAGGTCTTTTTCCTCGCCGACCTTTGTCTGCAGACTCTTTAGGTCCTCTGTTAGTTTCCTCACAGCCTGCTCAGCCTTCCAGCGCCTCTCCCTCTCCTGGTCTCGCTCCTCCACAATAGTCTGAGCAGCACACAAAAACAGAAAGCAGCACCAAACGCTTCATTATTTTCATATCTTTTGGTCCCATGACACATTATATTGGTTTATATTGATAGGAATAAAAGTTGGTTCTACAATTTGTGTGAATCAAATTAAAGGTCTTCAGGGTTATACTGCGTATGTGAAAAGAGCTGTTTAAAGGATTCTGAATTCAATGGGGCCCCACTTGTGTCAGCTGAAAAATTGTGTCATCATAAATTGCACCGTCTATAGATTCATGCACATGGATATGTAATCCACGCCTTGTGATTTGTTTGAGGGCAAAGTTTTGAAAACTGTGGACACGGTTTTGTAATATATATGCTGGCTTTGCATTACAAAGCGTGATGAAAAAGCTCTTATGCAGAGACAGCCTAATGCAAAAGACAATGTAGCATCTACCCTCCCCTTAAACCTAGATACGATGAATTTACTTGGTTGTTGTGGTGATAATGAAAATAATTTATTCCCTGTTCTGTAAAGAAAGAAATGATGTTTATAAAATTCTGCCATCATTTTGCACCAACATCTTATGCAACTCATCCATCATCCACTGGGAATCAACATGCACATATTGAAGCAAAAAAAGGTAAACCAGAGAACAAATTTACACACAGTTCTTTTTCCAGTTGACACGAGTGGGGGATGTAGGAGCCAGAGGGAGCACTGAAAAGTCTGATTGTCTGCCTCCAGGAATGTCATTCGAGTCAGTTGTCAGTTGGGGCTTCAAACTAAGTTTGAAATTGAAATAAAATATGGCAGAGTGGAGACAGACCTAAGTGAGCCTGTCAGACTTCCTTGAACTACCTCTCACCTCTACTGGGCTCAGGCTCAAGGCTAAAATGCAGCGAGCATATAGATTACTTAAACATAAACTTTGCAGTCTGGTTGCCCGGTGGGCAAAAGGAAAATATTGGATAATGTTATGGGGATGCATTTGAAATAAGCCTCACTTGGGTCAAGTTGGAGTTACAGCCGATATAAAAATCAGGAAAGTGGATATTTGGTGTTACAGGAAAGATGCTTTGGGACTAGATGTTTGTAAAGTATCATATGTTAATGTCAGTAAAAACACTTAGACCTGTTTCTGTCCAGTCAAAAATATTCAGATGCTCAGATTTTGTAGTTGTCTTTGAAAGTGGCATCTAGTACATTATTTCTACATGTACTTGTCTTTATGGATATGTTTGGTGAAGGCTTTAAACAAACAAAATAAAAGTATGCCTGAATGGAAATATAGTCTCACAGGCTCAGATGTGAACATGACCTTTAACACATTAGAGTCACTCATTAAAAAGCTGCCATTCAGTCTGCAGGTGATCTATCATTTCTGTACCCTGTAGGTTTCCTCCTCCTCAACAGGCTTGGTTTTCATGTCGCTTGGGGTCTTGGCAGATCTCAGAGGTGCCCTCCGTGTTGGTCCCCCTGTGCCTCCAGCCTTCTTCACGGTCCCCACAGCAGACTTTAAAGTCCTCTGTTTATGGTTCTCCTGATCGCTGCACATAAAACAAAATCACAGATATTGAGCCAGCTGTGAAATTGATTAAGGCCCTCGAGCTAACGTCTGGCTCTATAAAGGTCAAAGCAGATTACTTTCGTAGGTATAGGCAAAGTCTGAACAACTTTGAATTGGATTCGGGGCTAATGTGAGAAGAAAATCACCTTGCTTTTGACGAGGACAGTTAGGAGATTACTTAAGTTAAATTACTGAATCCTGAGAACATGCCATCAGGGGCTGATGAAGTAAGATGAGGGGGTTGACCAAAGAGGCGCAGTCATTAATCACAGGAGTGAGGTGACAGCTGTAATTTCTTACACAGAAGGGGGAAGTTTACCTCATCTCAGGGGGAAATTTACTACTACAAACCTTTTGAGCTCTGCAGTAGAAAGATTTTCTCCACACCAGATCTGGTGGCATTAACCTGAATGAAAGCAGAGTGAAGCTGCATATAAAGCTCTATATAAGCTGCTGCTTTTCTCATTCTTGAATGCACTCTGCGTGTGTGTGTGTTTTCTTTTTGGTGACCAATAGCTGAAACGGTGAGTTCTGGAGAATTTTGGGGAAACAGTCTGCCACAATTTTAACAACCGTGGGTCCAAATCATGACATGAAATGGTGACAATAACTTGCTCTAACAGCTTAGCAGTTATTATTCTACCAGTTTATATAACACCTAACACAGGTGCAGACTCACCTGTCTGATCTCTGGCGCCTCATTTCTTTGGGGACTGCCTTTGACGCTGAGCTGCTACGATGTTTTGGGATCCTGGTGCGCCTCCTGTTTTCCTTCCCACTGTCACACTCACTCTCTGACGTACGGTCGGTGTCCCTCTTGGCTCTCCGAACTGTCACCACAGGATGAGCAGAGACGATGGATTTGTCACCTGCAGGTGCCTGGGTCAATAGAAAAAAATCATGACATATCCCACCTGGCCTCGCCTTGGGAACCCAGAGGAGGAGCTGGAAAGTGTTGCTGGGGAGAGGACAGTTTTGATCAACTTGCTGAGACAGCTCTCCTTGAGAAAATGATTGTATGGACAGATACAGGGATGTGTATGCAGGCCAAATCCATGCAACTGCATAAACTGGTAATATAGATATCTCTTCACATTATACATCTAAGCCTCTGGATACAAAACCTCACACACATCTTGATAAAGGAGTTCATGGCTGACAGCAGTGTTAAATATGCACCTGCTGGATGAGCTGGGACACCTGGTGCTCCAGTTTCCTGATGCGTTGTTCATTAACAGGGTCTGTTGGATCAGCCACAGCGGAACGAACCTGCTGGAAGCTCTGAAAATCTGGTTGCGCGAGAGGATCCGTGATTGCTTCAGAGGCAATCCTCTGTCGAAACTGGGTCAGGACCTCATCAATGCGGGGTGTGGTGAGGGAAACATCCCCTCTAACCTGCAGTGGAAACTTAAATTATCTCTTTTTTCCATTTTCCTGAGAACATTTTCAGATATTAAGTTTTCCACTCTGACTGTGTTATGCTCCCCTGCAGCTGCTTTATTGGCTAATATAAAAAAAAACAGATGGATTTTCCCATCTGGTGGATTAAAAGTAGTAGATAACTTATCAGTCTGGAGACTAGATTCCCTCACTTTCACCAGATGGGATAATCACCCTTAATTGCAGAATATTCCGGGAATATAGTGACCAACCAGAGTTTCCTATATGTTACTACTTACAACACAGTCACACATCGAAGTAATTGAAGGTAAATCAGTTGGTTTTTTTTATAAATTAATCTCAGTTTTTCTTGTTGTACTTTCAGAAAGCATGTATAGAACGTTTGAAAAATGTCTCTTTTCTTCTTCCCATGAGTTTGTAACTATATAATGTCATAATTGTGGAAAAAAGATCCAGACTTGTCAGAATCAGGACAAAGTTTTTGTCGATACAAAGCACTTATCAACTGACAGACATTTTTTTTATAAACTAACCTGTATTTTAGCATTTCAGAGTTTTGTCAGTATAATAGGCTACTGTGTAATAAGACACAAATTCTGTCCTGGTAATTTTTTTAACCTCTTCCCAATTTACTTTTTAACCAGTTAAACTTAGTTTTGCATTGTCCTATTCAAACATTTGTACTATTGATGCTTTTTAAAACCATAATTCATAGTATTTCATGTAGATAATTAGTTGTGTGTAATCTTCCAGGACACTTTTCCATGTTGCTCAGGTGTTTCTTGTGGAAAGTATATCTTATCTTTACAGACTTCCTAAGGGAATTAAAGCTGAAGTTAGCCATCAGTAAAAAATATGATGCTCTGCAGTGGTAATGCCGTATCAATATTTACAGCTTCATCTGAAGACAGTAGGAGGTCCACGTAGTCCTCTAGTCCTGGGATATCACAAGGACTTCCTAAACCTTGATGGGAAAGATTTCCCAGTCGGTCCAGGCCATCCAGAACAGAGATTTGTGGCAAGGACTGCATAACAACTTCCCTGTAACCTGCAGAAAGACAGACACAAAGCATACACACTGGAGCTGACAGACTGTCCTCAGAAACCATCACTCAGTTTGATCACAGCGGGGGTTTATGGCCCAGATAAATCTTCAGGTGTTGTGGAGGTTATGTTGCATGAAATCAAATAATCTATATCATAATGAACAGCCTCTCCTGCATGTATGCCATTCTCACATTCACTATTGATGCAGCCCTCTTAATAAGAACTGAGCTCTGCTAATATAAATGTATCCACTCATGTTGACAGCAAGGGTTGTAAGAATGCTTTTAAGTATGCCCTCATGGAATTAAACACATGCTCCCCACACCTACTACTGAGAATTCATTATGTGCAGGGAGATAAGGATAACGGCTGCACATCATTAAAGGATATTTTTTACTTTCATAACCCTACTGTCAGTCAGATTATGGGGAAACAGAGACATAAGATGCACAGAGAGATAACTAGACCACAGGGTCAGTTTTACCACACCTCGTTTCATTGTGACCTTAATAAAAACAACACAGAGGAGGTACTGAGTTCATTATTTTGGAAAATATCGTCCTCAACTAGAATACAAATGGTTCATTAACAACCATAGAGAAAGCGGTAGAGAGGATGATGATGATTATGACACTTTTTTAAATTTCAACAGAGGTCACTGTCCCCAGTAACAGCTTGAGCTAAAGAAATATTGAGTAATACATTTAAACTGTTAAAGGCAGTGCTGATTTAGTGGTCATTCTGAACAAAGTTGGCATTGTTCATCATTTTTGGACGCAAAATCAATCTATAGCCACTAAAATGACTATAAAGTCAAATCTGTTGCACATTTCCCTAAAAGGTTCATATCTTTACATTGCAGACCATCAGGCAAAAGATCAATGATAGAGCACATCCCCCAGAGTCCATATTTATAAATGTCAAAATATTTAATGTAATTATAACAAATATACAGAATAATATGGGTGTGGTCATTAAGTTTATGTTGTTGCCTTAGTGGAAATTGACGTTTTTCATTTTGACTCATATTCAGCATACAGTATACATATGATAAATATCTTATTTATATAATGTAAATAATATGATGAAATGGGTAACAAGGGTGAAAAGAGTTTTAGGAATTTACTGCAGGAGAATTTTGAAAATAGACTAAAGGCTATGGAGGATCATGCATCAGACTGTGATGATGCAGGATAAGTAAAACTTTTTTTATCATGTGTTGTATATCTGTAACTTTGTGGGAACGTGCTTCTGCTGTCTTGAGGAGGACAGTCTGTAAAAAGAGATTTTTAATCCAACATGAGGTTTTCCCTGATAAATAAAATTTAAAAGTAAAAAAATACATAAGATGTATTTATCGCATCTGGCATGGTTTTGTCAGGCATTTTTTTACAACCTGATTTTTATTCAGTGTATTTCGACAACAACAAAAATCTGAAAATGTAGCTTTTCAATAAAAATCCATAACAAAAACAAAAATATAAGTATTTTTGGTGACAACTACGCAGTATTATTTTCTTGAAGTTGAGGTTGCAAATCGGCTTTTATGTGTTCAAAGGTGCATATTCAGTTTGTTTTTCTCCTTGCAGGTCAAAATTGGACTAGAGCCATTACACCCATTTGTCAAAAATTCTGTACATGCTGTAAGATGGGTGTGTCATTCTTAAGTTGATATCACCTCATCTTACTTTCTGACTTATCAATCTTTACAGGACACATTTGGGCCAACATCTTTAACTGTCCTCCTAAATTGATTCTCTTTATGTCTTACCTGATGACTTGCACACAGGGTTGTCTTTACAATCCTCACTCAAAGTGACCTCTCTTAGACTCTGCAATCCCAGCAGACACTGCAGGAGGTGATCAATACTGTCCAAGTAGTTGCCATGGAGACTGAGGTGCTTCAACTTATAGCCCGTGCCATGAAGATACAACAAACCTGATCAACAACATTGATATGTCAATCATTAGTTTGTGTTTTCATTGAAGTACAAATTGGTACAGTCCATATTAAACTCACCGGTTAAGTTGTTTATCTGATTATAGGACAAGTTTAACCTTGTCAGGTTCACGAGGCCATTCAATCCTGAGGTAAAAGGGAGGAGACTTTAGCGAATGGAGGATTTTACAGTCCATAAAAAAACAGCAGATATGTCAGTGTACACAGAAGACTCTGTAATGAAGAGTTATTACTCGGTGAACACCCACAAAGCCAAAACATCTCTTGTCTGTTTACAATAGTGACTCAAGACTCACCTTCAACTTTGGTGATTAAGTTGCAGGATAGATTTAAAGTCCTCAGTGAAGTAAGGGAATTTAGACCCTCAATCTTAGAAATGCAATTGGAGGAGAGATCTAAGTGCCGCAAGTGCCAAGTGGAGGCCAGGCCCTCGATTCTTTGGATGTGATTGCAGTGCAGGTTGAGTGAAGTCACATTTGGACTGAGAGGGACATCAAGCAAACTAGAAGCAAAGTAACAAAGTGACACAACAACCTCTGATTATTTTAACAAAGACCACTTGATTTGTAGGTATATCTCATATCTATACCAAGGTGCAGCTTTCTTTTATGGTCAATACCTTTGCCAGTACCTCCCAATAATTCTCATAATTCCCATGAAAAGTTTCCAATTTGGAATATTTCCAAAAAATTCCCCAGCTTAACTTCCCATGGAAAGTTTCTGGAAATTTTCCACCCCTTTGCGACCCTCGTGGTTTCTCTGAACTTTTATTCATAAACATTTTGAAATCAGTGGGAGTGAACTTACACTGAACAGCTATATAGTTCTGAACACCTGGGGAATCTAATTTAACCCAATATATCAACTTTACCACAAAGTCTACTTTCAGCTGGTGAGTTTGTAACGATGGATTTTCAATGTTACTAAGTGTTGAATCAGATAAACAGCGATAAAGATAGTTTTTGTGACGGTTGTAAGAGAAACTCTTTAGTACCTTGTTACACTCTTGTCAATAAGACTTAGCTCCTTTTCTCCCATCACGACATCCACCGTTCTTCTCCGCAGTAGTTTTCTGATGATTGACTGTGGATATCTTAACCTTCCAGTGTTGATTTCACAGGTTAGTGGATCTCAGGAAACCATCACAGCAGTCATATCAGAGTATGAAGGAAACTTGCACGGAGTTAACAAGCTAGCATGCTAACAAAAAGTTTACTTTCGTTCAGGTGGCAAATTCCTTCTGAAACAATAAACTGCACGGGTACAAAGGCAAAAGGCGCAAAACTGCGTAGTTCAACATTTGCTTAAAACCAAAACAGTATTTCTGAGTTCCTGAAAGTATTTGTTGTTTCTAACATCCTCTCTACCGAGTTAAACTAGCCGCTTCACGAATCCAACTTCCTGTTTCCGTAACGTCATTAACGGTAACATCCGGGACACTCAGTCAATACCATAGACTGCATATACTCTGTATACTCTATATACAGCCTATGGTCAATACCCTGAGCTGTATATTATCTATGTACTTTTAGTTTGCAGCTACTCAAGTTAAAATAAAGCTCAGTAAATCTGCCCAAGTGACAGTAAAAATTAGGGGATAGTGGGGTAAGATGAGCCATTTTTCACATTTCGCATCACTACATCAAGGCAATCATAGTTTTGTCTCTAACTAGTGTGTCTGTATATATTTCAAGATGTTGTGCATCCCTGCAAACCAACAGAATGAGTGTAAACACAACTGTCTTGACAATATAGCATGCCAAAAAAAGTGGTCTCCTATGGTCAACTTACCCCGTGTATGGGGTAAGTTGACTGTTGGTCTGAACCATGTAAGATGACAATGTACATAGTGTATAGGCATAGTAAAGACATACATGTACATAGTAAAGACCAACAATGTAAGTTGGTCTGAACACAATTCTAATAGAACTTATGACAAACTAAATTCACTTTCAAGAGGGAAAAATGTTTTTTGGAAATAAATGTCTAACCCCTTCACCTATGTGCTTCTAACCTTCACAGACTCCATGAGTTGATGCCCATCTCTTAAATATTTAGTCACATGATCAATTTCTTTTACCTTTTCCAAGCAACAGGGGGTGGCTCAACTTACCCCCTACCCTATTTTAAAAGTAGACAACTAAATTTGACTACAACTCAAATGATGCAAGGGCATGTTGTCACAAAATTTGTTGTTGTGAATTATTATCAAAATAAATATGTATGACATAATTTGGACTCTGCACCTTTTGAGGTTGAAGTAAATATTTTTCAAAGCCACTTTTGTAAATTGGCTTACTGCAGATTATTTCTTTACACTCAGTCAGGTAAGGCTGTCTGTGCACAGAGGAGTACTATTACAAGATTAAAATGAAGATATAGTTGAGGCTTACATGAAAAGATGGCTGCAGATCTAGCAAGCAAAATTTTCTCAATAAGTTTGTTGGAACAAGATGCTTCTACTGAATTTTAGGGACTATTTTCATCCTCAACTCTAAGGCAATACTGGCTTAAAAATTTTTTGCTTTGGCCTGTCAGGTCAATGTAGTTTAAATTTAAAGCAAAAACACTCCTATCTGTCGTCATATTCAAAATATCTATAAGAAATCTCAGTTAAAAGAATTGTAATCAAAGATATTCATAATGACTTTAACCTAATCTACAGCTGTAATTACAGATACCTACAAATTATCTGTACTGGTACATTTGACACCACCTTTCCTTTTCATGTGTTTTGGGCTTTCAATATAATACTTATGATGCCAGTCTTACACATTGGGCGTTTTGGATATCTGTATAAGTCCTCCAAGGGAAACCTTAAATTTCAGATCCCTGGAGTTCAGCTTTTAAAGAATTTAAATTTGAATCCAAAAAGAAAGACAGTTCCAGATATCTTGAATATTCAATGACGATTGGATTGCAGATGTAGGATATTTTTCAATGAAGAGTTTGACTGTAGACTTGAGCGGTTATGCTCACAGTGAATATCAAGAATGATGATGTGGAAGTCTGGAATATTAATGCTGGATAGTAGAAACTGAAATACAGATATTTGCAACAAATATTAGGTCTATTTATTTTATTTGTTTAAAACATCCTGCCATACTGTATGAGTCTATGGGGGCTAAACGCAGAAATGGGACACACTATCATTATATAACATGTTGCCTAGAAACAAGAGTGCCATTAAATAATGAGGAAAGTATGTTACTTTTGTTCATGGTCTCAAACAGAAAAAGCTGTCTACCACAAAGGAGAAGGGCTTTAGCAGAATCCACACATGAATAAAACATGGCCGGATGACATGATGTCAGAAACCATTAGACAGCATGATTCTTAATTTTATTTATAGGCTGCCTCAGGACTTTAATAGTAAAATTTCTTTTATGCAGTTGCTTGAGACACATTTGGGAAAAAGGACCAAATGCATCAGGGCCGAGCTCTGCTGAATATTTCTTTCTGAAGATTTAGCATTTCGATCATCTCGGTACGGTCATTATGACCTCAATTTCTTGTTATGTCCCCTTCTTTCAGCTATTATTTGGTTTTTGTGTGATGAGATTATTTCCTCCAGGTTGTCTTTTTGGGGGCCAGGAATCCATTTTAAAATTTTATAGGATTATATAGCATTCATTTTACTTCAAACACCCAGAAAATAGTCTACTTCCACTAAAGAAGAATTGCTTTTCAAGCTGTACAATATGTTCTGCAGCTTTTGTAATTATTGCAAATTTGTTTATCTCACCAGCGACTGAATTCAGACTTAATCAGTGCGTGTCTGCATCCATCACTCTACGTGTTGAAGATGTCGTTGTTTCTTTGTGTATGTTTACTTTCCTTGAAGCCAGGAAATATTTACATATTTACTGGCTTGCTTCCAGTTTCTCACGTCTTCATGCTTGATTCCTTCTTAAGTACCAGCTGCTTTTCTCAGCGGTCTGTCACAATGTGTGGTAATTACTGAAGTTGACTGCTAAGAAAAAAAAAACAGAAAACAAAAGAAGAGGCAAACATGTTGCACTATAAAAACATAAATCTACACTCCCCTCACATTTGTTTTGCGGTTCAGAGAAATGGCGTGTTGCGTTCAAAGATAGCTATGATTCTCTGAATGTATTTCCTACTGTGAAGCTCCTGTGACAAACTTTTGGAAACTACATCCAATCTCTGTGAGAATTTGACTTATGCATGTGGTGATTTTAAATTGAACTCATCCTGCTGTTATTCAACAGTGAAATGTACCATCCATTAAGATTTGTGAAATGGATAGGAAAAAATGAATCTACATTTTTTCTTTAGAGTGAAGAGGATAAAAAGCTGAAGACAAAGCTTCAGACTTAACCATTCTAGGATTACTAATGGCGCAATATGTGAAAAATAGATTATTCCTATGGTTTCTGTCCTCTTAAGCTGTAATTCATAACACTTCCCACATTACTTCAGTCTTTGACTTCTCTGTCTGTGAAACCATGCTTGCTGTGAGCTGTGCATCCTCCCTCGACTTTGTCCAATCACAGATGTATTATAAAGATCCTGATCCCTATTATACTCCTAATTCATCCAGCAGCTCTAGACTGGAGATTGATTTAGTTCATCCCACACTGAACATTGTCCATATTAGAGGAGCTGCATGACTGATCATTGCACTCACTGGCTGCTGGCCAGCAATGATAGAACCAATTATACCTGCAACACAGCCCGCAACCCTCCTTAACCTGTGCAAATGATGATCCGGTGCTAATGAAGTGAGTGAATTACTAATGCCATCTGCTTTAACACCACTTATCTCTCACAGGATGCTGTTTTCAAGGGCACCGAGTTAAAAGAGAGATGAATACTTTTTATCTTTGATTAGAGAGCACGCAAGGTGTGAATGTAAAGATATGCTGTAATTAAATCTGAGGGGAAAATTTGTATATCTAACATCATCCTGCATCATTATGTTAAACTGCCAAATGGTTAATGCTGGAAGTTAGCCAGGGGTTAAACTTCAGAGTCAGATCTTGGCTTATTTGCAGATTTCATTTCCCAATAAAGTACATGTATTTTTGCTTTGCATGTGACTTCTCCAGATTTTCTTTTTTACAAGTGTTGGTCTTGCATCATAAATTTTACTTAAACATCTCCAAACTTTCCTAATAGTCCAACAACTCATTGCAGAAAATTGCTCCCTGAAAATATGCACTGACTTGTCAAACACTAATGTGAAGTCAAGTCAATATAACACGTTTAGGTACAATTTCAATCAAGGTTCCATCACCTTATTGTCAGCCTCACTTGAGCCTCATCAATCAGCTGACCTGTCCCGGTGTGAAACTTTCAAATTGATCCTGTAATAACGAGGAAGTACATGGAGAGAGCAACACAGGTGTCTCCTATTTTTCCACTCAGCCAGAAGGCAAACAGCTGCACTTTAAACCGACTGAGCCCACATAACATTGACATGTTATTATAAATGCACCCTCTCCAATTCTTAGACTGTGTAGACTGAAGTGGAATCATTTTTACTGAGCTGGAAAATTGAACCATATAAAGAGTAGATATGCACAAAATAGAGATGACACAATACCAGATTCTCACCTTACGATTATTGTGGCCACGAAATATCACAATAACTTCGGCGAGACAAGGGCAGAGGAACACACTATATCAATAAACACATACTTATATGTCTTATATGTCAATATCTATTACTTATGATGTTCATGTGAACATGTGATTTATCTGCATGTTTGAACACCAGATCACCGTCTTTGGAGAAGACATTACCTCTATTGTTTGCCATGCTTTTATTTTAGAAATTTCCCCTTTGTTGCGTTCAGATGGCATTATTTCTGGTATGGTAAAACTAGTGTCAGCTACTTCCTGCAGATCTTAGGACACAGATTTTTACAATAAGACTGGTCAGAAGACCACTTTTAATATTGATTAGTAACCCACGGAGAACATAGCTTTTATGTTGTTATTGCACTCACAGTGAATCTTTGAATGTCAGTTTTTACAAATGTCAAATCATCTCTCAGAACTGCTACAAGTTGGCCTGTCAGCATTAACTGCACTGCAGTATAACCCTTTCCTCTTCCCTGTGTCATGAAGTGTGCCAACCAATGTAAGGGACCATGATTATAAACTCAGGGTATAAATGTTTGCTTGTTTTCCACAAATCAATGTTTAATTTCTCCATAAAGACAGTTACCATTAATACCAGTACAGTCAGATAGCCCCAGTACAAACTGGCATAGCATAACACAGCTAGTACCTTAAATTTTCATCGAAGCCTAGTATCTGTTAGACTTGACCAATAAATTTGCTTGTCTAATTCAATAATTTGTAAACCAATAGCTTTTGAGATTTTTCCATAGATAGTATTTAATAAAAGAAGAGGAGTCAGTGATGCTATCCTTTGGTTTTTGAAGTAGACTTTCAAACCCAGCAATACACTTGCACTTACTCAACACAACCTTGCAAGAGGTCAAGACGTGAAGTTTAGAGGTGGGCCTTTGGCTTCCTGGTCCTCCCTAACAGTCAAATCAAACAAAACAGGTTTTGATATTTCAGCCCTGACTAACAATTTTAAATGAAAAACAGAAATTTTCATGACTGAAAGATGCTGGCAGATTAAAAAGAAAACTCAGAGGGTGTTTTTCTTTTGTTTTGTTTTGTATGGGAGTGAGGAACAGGTTTATTTCAAAAACTGATATCATCCAGAGCTGTACAACCGATGCAATGAATACAAATGATCCAGAACAGCCAGGTTTCAGACATGCTGAGAGTAGAAAATAGTCCTCTGCTCTTAACTGCAAACAGAATTCAACAATGCATGTCGTCATGTTTAACAAATGATATGCTTACAACACTGTGTGGAGGCAAAGTGAATAAATTACAGAATGTACATTTCAGTCAAAGAAAGTAAACTCACATAAGTGTGAAATAAAATGTGTTTCTCTTACATTCATATTCAGCTCTCTGCCGGCGCAACAGCTCATCACAGTTATCACAGAAACAGAACAAACATTTGCAGAACAACAAAAAAATAGTCCATGGTTCATCTGATTGATCACATAACTGTATTTTTATGCACAATATAGACCATTTAATATTATATGAAGCACATTATACATTGTCCTTTGTTTTCATAGTGGCAACCAGTCTAAAGGAGGGTTATTGATTGCTCTTTGCAGTTGGCCTTGCAGTAGTCTGGGAAATATTCATAACCAGCATTTTAGTGAAGAAGTGTTGTGGTTCAATGACGCAAACAAGCAACAAACAAGTCTGGAAAACTCTTCTTCAGCTGCCGGTCACTCCCATCGAAGCTTTCTTGAAATTTCAAATACATCCTCTTCCTAAAGAGGGGTTTGCTGGTATCTGTCCTCCGAACTCCTCATATCGTAGAGTAGGGGTCCCAAACTTAAAAAAGAAGGCAAAGACAAACTGGTGAAAATTCAGATTATTGTCAGGTTTCATACAAATTAGGATTTAACTTTAGTTGCTTTGTTTAAAAATTATTCTGGCTGGAAGAAAATAGAAGAAGTTTGGAGGCTGTTACTAACAGGACCAAATAAACTGATGCTCTTGATAATACCTGCAGTAAGTTCATTATGCCGTCATCTTAACGATCTATCGCCTTCACAGAGACAGACAATGATCTCCGCTATCGGGCACTTGAGGACAGCGGGAAGGAAATATCAGCCAAGAGGCAAATTAATTCTCAAAGCTATTTGTTCACATATAGAAAAACCACAGAATTTAAATGTCTTTTGATGGAAGGTGCAGATGAGACAGAGTCCTATCTCTGCGGCTGTTCAGACAGTCATCACTGATAACTGCAAAGAGGCTGCTTTTCCATACGCCCGGAGACGCAGAAACTGACAGGCTATTAAGTCAGACAGTGTTTCTCGCTCTGCTTAATAGTAGAAAAAAACAACAGATCTTTTGAGTTCATGCTGCTCCAGGGGAAAAAAGAGTTAATGCTCATATATTGTCAGACTTCCTGTCCAAAAACCACAGTATTTTTCAAATGTAAGTAAAAAATCTGCTGAGATTAAAAGCTCACCTTTCTCAGTTGTCAATGTCTGATATGTGGTTTTCAATCTGCAATTGAAAAAAAAGACAATTCAACAAACAAATACATATATTCATAAGACTGGATAAAAAGATCAAGTCCTTCTTCTACTCATCCTTTCATTTATAATAACTCAATCTATCAGTGTTTTTGTGAATGGAGAGTGTGTTTTATAGAAAAAGCAAGCCAAAAAAAAAAAAAACACAAACAAAAAAAAAAGTCTTCTAAAAGGAAGAGTTTCACTTTCCTCTGGAGGGTTCAGGGAAGAAGATTCATGGACGCCCCTCCATAATATTTATCTATTGGACATGAAGCGAGCGCAAATCATCTACTAAACTAAGATTAGCTTAACAGGCTCAATTTAAGTGTCACAAAATCTGCCTACCAGCACATCTAAGATCACAGATTAACATAATTAAGCTTGTTAGTGTGACATTTAGAGTAAATGTATCTACTATTAAGCAAATTTAATGCAAGTCCCACTCTGATCTTTTTTTTTTCTACTACTTGAAGTCCTTTCAGAGATCTTCAAATTTTGAGCCAAATTGCGTCACCTGTCATTTTCAAGGACTTTTCTTCTGCAGAGCTCCAGTAGCTCATTCGCAATTTGCCTCTGAGTCGTGCGCGGAGACAGCGCTGCTCTGCACACTCGTCTTCACACTAGCTTGCATCCTAACATTGCCGGTGTAGTAGAAGTGGCAGGTAACATAGGAGCAATTCAGCTCTTGGACATTAATGTCTTTAGGGACACGATAATAACGTTAATATCATAATTAGCTTTCTTACGAGTATTGCAATCCACTAACGCACATGCTTGTTTCGTGATCGTCCTCTTCTCTATAGAGGCGGAGCTTGGATTTGCTATGTAGGAAATCTCACTTTCTGAACCTGCCGTTCGGGTCTGCCAGAGATTCTCAGTGATTTTGAATGCAGAAATACTCAGAAATGCAATTTCACACTTAGTTTTCTCATGATATGACCTGTAGCATCAGAAAAATGTCATATGAACACATAAAAAAACAAGACATGATTTTCATCGGAGTGGGTCTTTAAAGCTCTTCTAAAGGATATTTGGTTTGCGTTGATTTAGCTGATACTTTACGCAGTATGTAATGTTATCTGCCATTGTTCCAGGTCTTTATGGTAAGCTCAGCGAACTGAATCGGAACAATAATTTTAATGTTTTCTATTCAAACATGATAGCGGCAGCAGGCTTGTGATCTCATTTCCCGCCAAAACTTCTCAAAATATTGAACTACCATATTTGAACCTGGATAACTTCAGCACATGCACAGAAAGTAGAGCTCATACCAACATACAAACACTTGTGAGAGATCACGCAGCCGTTCCACTCAGGCATGCATTAATAAGGGAGAAGACTCACAGAGATTCACTCCCACTCTCTCAGTCAGCCCACTCACTCCTTGTTCAGACTGTAAATGGCCTCTTGGCCAGCTTACCATATCACTGGTGCCTTCGTCTTCAAAGTCGTCTTCGCCACCATCCGTCATCTCCCCCGCCTCCACTTCGGCTGTCCCCTCCACTTCCTCTTCACCGGAGTGGTCCACTGCGTCGCCATGGAGACACTCACACACCTCCTCTTGTTTCCTCTGCATCTCTGAGAAAGAGAGAGCGATGAGTAGAGAGCAGCAGTTTCAGTCCAAGAATGATCTAGTCGCTGATAGATCTCTTTCTATGTCATTTACATACTTCCAGCATGACTCTGCCCTGTTTGACACTTTTAGTTTGAAACATCTCCATCTTTTCCTCATGTGTGTGTTTCTGCATGCAGACACGTCCTCCCCCTTTAAACCTTACCAGCATCAGAGCGATGTTGCCTCTCAATCTTTTCCAGCCTCCCCAGGAGCGAGTCGATCTTAGTCTTGATCTGTGACAGCTCCTTTTTGATAGTAAGGAGCTGGTCTGTCTTCACTGACAGCAAACATATATAAAGTTAAAAAGCATCATTAATGTGATGGCTGCCAAGAAGACAGATGCACAGTTTCAGCAGCAAGAAGCACTGTATTACTCTTCTACGTCTAGAAGTTGACAGTGAGATATTCGGAACAGGCACAAGAGGTGAAAAGGTCAAAGAGTTGCAGACAAAGTTTTTGGGGTTTTATTTCAGTGGATTGTGAGAGAGCTATCGATTCATAACTGTAAGAAAACACAGCAGTGCGAAACAGCCCAGCAGTCAGTCAAGATAATAACACTTTCCTAACACCTGAGCTTTGATCGCAAGGATTTAGCCACCGTCTCGATGTCTACTGATAAGGAAAAATAAACTTTTATCGACAGAAAAGATTAGCACAAAGTTTTTAAGCTTGTGTTAAAACTTTCATGATGTGATTATGTTACTCTGAAACTACTCCTAGTTTTACACTAATACTTATTCTAATCATCCTTAGGGTTACCAGTTGTAGACTTATATTTAAGATCTTGAACTGTTCCTTTAAAGATGGAGTTGAAAAAATTGGGTGTAACATATGAAGTCAATAATCAATCTATTATCAATCTTCTTAAAGCTCCTCTGAGGAGTTTTATACATTTTCTGAAATAGACTGAATGTGTGTTGATTCTTTTGGTTTACCCGAGCAGTTGCTAACTTCTACTCTACATGCTTAAGTGACTTTGACGGTCAAATTAATGATTTATTGGTAATATTGGGACAGGATTGTTTCTTCTGCAGCTTAGCTAACACCTTCCCTTCGCACCAGCTGTAGTCATCAAAAATTAGGATATAAAAATCACTTGTCTTGCTGCTGATGGTCAGGCACCAAGATGGATTTCAGTGTATTTCATAAAAAAAGTAAGGACTCAAAGATTAACCAGATGGTGAAAACAATAGTCAGTTGCCACCATGAACTTGTCTGGCTGTGTTTCCTGTGCTGGCACTAAAAGGTATTTCTGCCTAATTTTGATATATCAACAATAACTGTTAGAGTAATACATCACAGAGAAAAACTGCAAAAAAGTAATGAGAGATTAATTTTTCAATATAGGACAAAGTGATCCAAAACAACAAAAACAGAGGGTAAAGAAAACGTACGTTTAGGGGTTGTTGTGGAGGAGCCGACATTCAAAACTCTGGAGGAGGAAGAGGATGAGGAGGAGGAGAATGAACAGGCTCTGACCGGGAAGGAGGATTTGGCTCTGCGTGTAGATGGGACAACTAGCCGTGAACGTTTGATGGGGATCACAGCCCTGGTCGGAGGCACGACTCGACCGTGGTACTCGAAGAGTCTGAGAATGCAGAAAAAAACAAAGCAGAAGCAATTTTAACAGCAAAAGAAATGTTAAAATGAAACAGTTCAGACAAACACACTTCAAAAGAAGTGAGAGCCTTTTTCTGGATTCCTTATTGTGAGTCACTGAGTCCTTTCTTTTCCAGTAGACACTTGTGCAGTTTCTCTGTTCTTGTCGAAGCGATAGAAAAGGTTTACAAACCACTTTAAAGACAAGCTGCAAAAGATGTTTGAATCAAAGTGGTACATATTGAACAACGCTGCAGCTGTTCAATCAAACCCTGCTCCCCACTCCGTGTGACACATCAAATTGCCAGAATAGCAATAATGACTCAAAGCTGAGGCTTCGGACTCTCAGTAATATTGCAAAGTAGAGGAAGTAAACAAACCAATGAAAATGTCAGAAGGAAGATACACTTTCTGCCTCGCCGGTGCAAATGACCAGCCGGGGGACTATCTGACATTCTGTACTCGCCTATGTGGTTAAAAGCATCATTAGTAAGCCAACCGAGAGGAATAATAACCTTCCCGATGCGGCATTCATTATGTCTATAATAATGTAGTTACTTTACCGCTGATGGAAATGGGGCCATTCAGCTCAAAACCTATCCTCCACCTGCTGAAGCTGACTCAGAAGTGGAGTGAGAGGAGGAGCGCATTAAAGGGGAAGATATCAGGAGAAAACCGGCTAAAAAAAGACAAATTAAAGGCACAGTCTGCTGTTTTATGTGCTACAGAATAGAGGTTTTACATACCTGCTGTAGAAATCGTCTCTGTAGTAGTCATAGTCAAACTCGTAGCCACTGTGGAGATTAAACAGACTTTTTCAGCTGGAGAATCAGTTTTGTGCTTCTGAATGTTTGTAGATTTTGTTAGACAGGGAGAAAATGAAAACAAAACAACTGCCTTTACACAAAAAAGGATGAATTTGTTACGTGGGTGGCAACTTAAATGCTTGAATTTAAAGGCAAAAATACATAGTTTGCACATAACCTGGAGCTTAAAAAATCTGTATGGTGGTTAGCTTTGTGCTCCCACAAACCACAGCTGTATTTCTTTGTTAAGCTAACTTCTCGTGGATGTGCTTATTGTTGGGGAAGAACATCTCATTTCCAACACTGGGTCCCATTAATCCTCCAGCCAGTTTAACTTGGGCTGGATAAAAGGTCTCAAAAGCTATTCTGACATCGCCTCTTTCTTTACACATTTAGATGAAAGCAAGCACAGAGAGAAAACGTCAGAATAGCGAAGAAATATTTGATGGTCACGGTGAGATAACATGTTCCTCACAGACCTGTAGAGGGACGACAGAGGCCTCTTGGAGCCCATCTTGGGTCTGTACGGCTTTGGCTCTCCTGCCATGTTGATATCTGGGGACATAAAAAAAGTCAGAGATGTTAGACTTCTTGTGGCTTAATAACAAAAAAAAAACTTCTAATCACTGCAAATTCAATAACATTAGGAGTTATTTTGGCTTTCTTGACAGTACTCCTCAGCTTAGTTTGCATATCCACTAACATTAAACACAAAATACTACAGAAAACACTATTTTTTGCCGGTCCAACTTGAACCACTGTTGAAGGTTGGTGTAAATACAGCTCTCGAGCTGGCGCACGACAGCTGCATCTCCACTCTGAAAGCTCTTATTGGATCTCAAAGTATCTTTTACAGTGTAGCACACCGCAACAGCATCGCATCCAAATTGAATCCAAAATACTGAGTGGGAAGAGCATCACATCACAGATACTGGAGCTGTTTGTGACCCAGCTTCCTCACACAGCTCTGCAGCTCAGCCTAAAAAAAAGAGGAAACAGACCTTCAAACCTCATGAGCGTGCAATGTAAAGCCTTTGTTTTTAGTACAACAACCCCTACTAATAAGTTTGTGATTCTAGACACAGGTGTGTCACGAGTTTACCTGCATTAAACAGTGCGGGCAGTATTTCATAGAGGTATTATTTGAGAATAATCCGATTTGCCTGCAGTGTGAGCAAGGCCTCAAACATAAATAACTTGACCTCCTTTATCTCCACACTAACCAGAGGAACATAAGGAGACGATATGCCTGCGGATACTGAACTCAGCAGCTTTTGTCACATGTTGTAACATCTAAATCTCTGCAGAGCAACTTTTAGGGTTGCAACTTTCAGGAGACGAGTGACACCTCCTATTAGAGGATTTTCTTTTGAGCAGGATGAGAGTGTAAAGTGAGATTAGAGGAAGAGCGTCGCTGACAAACTCTAGAGAGCTGATTCCCCTGAACCATTTCTCTGACACAGACACATCAAACAGACTTCATTCTGTCTGTCTTCCACATATCACCTCGTGGGTAACCTTGTTTTTTCTCCACCAAATCTTGAAGGAATGGATTTCATAAGGGAGACTTTTTCAGGCTGAGGGTTCGCTGTAACACCCCGCAGTCATTGTTTTAAGAAGATGCCTCATAAACTATGCAAGAAGACACACAAAAGATGATCTTTGACGCCAGCTTCCAATTAAATTTTCATGGCAGATATCGCAACATAGCAAATGTGTAACAGCAGTGTTCAAACTGGATCAACAACCATCTAGTTAGAGGAACATTGTTTAGAATTTAGCAGCATTTCTCTCAAGAAGTTGAATTTATAATGCAGAAGTTTGTTTGATTTAGTTTATATTGAATGGAATTAAAATAATTGTTTCAGTTTTGATTGATTTGAAAAAGTCTTTTACGTCAAAGAAACACTGGGTCCTGTCTCCAGAGGCTGCCATGATGCACCGCCATGTTTTGTACAGCAGCTCAGAATGGATAAATCAGCTGAGAGGACATGGAAAGGACGGACTTAGATCTGTTCTCGTAAAACAACCAATCCATCTTTGAGTGATTGATTAACCAGGATCTAAAAATCTAGAGCGCAACATCTGAAAGTTTCACAAAGGCCCTTTTTTGCTTTTTGTCCAATACCAGTATGGACCGCCCCACCTGCGTTCATTTAGTCTACATTTCTGTGTATTTCAGGAACCATACGGGCATTCAAAGGTGCATTCACAGCAACAAATGAACAGTCAAGATGGCTCACCACTGCCCTTTAAAATCCCCTGACATTTAAATCAAACTGACAAACTGACTTGTAGGTCAACATCTCAGGGTGGTAAAATCCTGAATTTTGCATAAATAGATTGTCTCCTCTTGACCCTCCTCCTGTGTTAGGATCTGCACCGACCCAGCTTTGATTTTAAATGCTTAAAAGAACCACTTAAATGAGCTTTTTTGCGTCAAGGCTTTTTGACTTTGTCAGGAACCTCTAATTCAACAAAATAAAAACAAAAAATTTAATTGACTAAATTATAAAATGCTCTTATTAAAATTATGGCACTTGTCGTGTTAGGGTCTCTGTTGACCCGGTTATTAAAATATCTAATAATTAGAGCAAAAACTGAAATCATAAGTGTGCTGTCAGGCACCACACTGTCAGTCAGATCCTCTTCCAATCATGTGAGATTTAGAAAATTCTCATTTTTCCATGTTTTTACCTGCACAAAAAACAACATTGGGCATGTCCAGACATGTGAAATCAGTTCAGTATAGATGTCTGTGTCTATGTGAGGGGTTTACTGACAAAGAAAGGCCCAGAGGCCCACAACAAAAAATATTATAGGCAATATTTTCATGGATAATGAATCCTAACAAGGTAACCTAGAGAATTATTTTGATAGAGAATTATTTTTAGTGTAATTTGCAGCTGATTTAAGACACCAGTCAAAACCGACCCTTAACATAGTGGGTGCGTAGTACAAGCAAACACAGGAGGAAGGTTAGCTCCACCAGGTTTCTACCCTCACAGAAGTTTTGCACTTTGCTGGCACTACATTTCACACAGCCAGAGGCCAAAAACTGGTTGCCAGTTGCACAAAATAGTAACCAATGGAGACCTGGGACCACTTACCCGTTTTCAATTCTCATCACGGATTTGAGAGTCAGATTGGATACTTTAGCTGGCAGAGGTCTGTGCTGTCTGAGCGCTTATTGAGTTTTGTGTGATGAGTTTAACCAGGTGAATTAAAGCAGACAGCGTTGATTCCTTTGGTGGTTTTGTTTCAGTGAGTTTCAATGACCCCCTCAAAGAGATGCAGTGCAAAGGCTGAGGACGTTTTAGAGGGAGCAACACTGACAAGACTGTCGAGCAGCTGAAAACAGCTCCAAACATTTTGTTCAATTAGTGAAAAAGACAGAAAGTAATCTCCTTCAAAGGCATTCGCAGACCACAGTGACTCATTTGTACCCAGCGCGTGGCTCCACTCCTGAATGACAGCTGCTTCTACCTGCCAAGATCCACACTGCTTTCCACCAGGCTGGTATCACAGCGTTCAGCCTGTCAGCTTGTCGTCGCTCTTTCTTCTCAAACTCAATCAGCCTTGAGTGCTGCCCAAGGTCATACACGAAAACATAAACAAATATCAAACACCGCCTTCCACTGCTCACACTGACAAAGCAGGAGAGATCGCTGTCTGATGGATGAGTCACCCTCGACGGCTTCAGAAAGTTGTACGGATAAAACAGCAGCTTTGAATCAACTGCCTCGGGGGTGATATACAGCAGCAAATGTCATGACAGGAGTTGAAGTCGAGCTGTTCACTGAGAACAGCCTGAACCTTTTTCTCCATCCCAACTGGTTAGGGTGATAATGGGGGATGGATTTCTATATCACTCACTCGTTTTAATTAGACTGAGCCTCAAGTAATGCATAATCAGGGGTGTGATAGCTGTAAGTGACAGGTTGTCGCTGCCAGCTGTCTGATAGATGTCACTTTCCTAACTCAGTCACTGAACTTAAACCTTCAGCTGTGATTGTATTGTTTATACCTTTTGGGGATTAACTGAGCAAATATCAGTTTATTCAACTCACAGACAAGCTAAGAAGTCTGCACTAAAGCTTTTTTGGGAACTGGAAGTGTTGTGCCAGTTTTAAGTACATTTCAGCACTCAGCAGCAGGAGGACTGGGCAGCTGACCAAGTTTCAGCTATTCCAGGATCATGAAAACAAGATATCTGAGGTCAACTGATTCAACTTCAACACAGATCAGATCAATGTAGGAAAGTTTTGGGATCGGAAAGTATTTACAGACGGTTGTATTTTCAAAATGTTATGCAACAGCTGTGCAAATTATCATGCAGAGGAGAGCTGTGTAGTGATCAGTGAATGACATTGACGTCATAAAGACTAAGTCTTCATGTTAAAAAGGCATAAAGAGAGGTCTGATCTCTGTGCCTATAAAGAAAATCATAACTGAGTATAAGGGCCACATTGAACAAAAATTCTTTAGGTTGTTTTCTGAGAATAAAGTCGTAGTAGAGGTTTTCTTTATATATAATGTTATGTTACATTATGAGAAAAAATTTTATGTTACAAAAACAAAGTCATTAATTTAGTCTCATAAGATGAATTTACCTCAAATTTATTTTTTGTGAAAACATGACAGGATTTAGAAACACGACCACTTGGTTTTCTGGGACTCACCCGACTGAAATTCATCTTGATGCCCTTTTTTTTTTTTAAATAATCAGATTTTATTTTATTTTCAGAATTTACATAGAACCAAACATCATTTCAATTCAAATAAGGTAGAAAATGACAAGAAAATGATAAAACATGAGGGGAAAAAAACAAAACAAAAAGAAGGGTAAACAAAGAAAAACCCCAACAACACAACAGTGTGTCATCAGTTAAAGAAATAAGTGTCCTTGTACTTACAAAAGAGTATTTTTTATCACCAGTCAGCTTGGTCTGAGACCCTTCTCAACCACCGTCTCCCCTCCGCATAGTTTCACTTAGACATAGTTTCACTTAGACATAGTTTGCCTTTTAATTTGGCACTTAGCCTTTCCATACCACTGAGTTACAGTATCTTGATGCCTTTTAATGATATACAGAACCAATCAAGACCATCAGTGACAAAACTCAAGATTTTTATATCCTTATTTTTCAATAAGTACCACCACCACAAACACAGACCCATACTAATGTTTCTGCCACAGGTATAGACTGTTAAGCTTTCACATTTACCAACCAAGCACCATTCTTTCATGCAAATAGTTATTTCTTGCAGGAAACCAGCGTGGCTGCAGCCAACATGCCAACCTCGAGACACCAAAGGGCAGCTGAAACACTATTGGGTGATGACACATCTGCAACACCCTTCCTTCATACAGTTTATTGTTGCACTTCAAATGTTTATAGAGTAAAATAAATGATGCAAGACACATCAGACTACTGTAAACAAGATCTCTATTTTTCCTTCTCCGGCGGCTGCACCTGTCTCTGAATCTTCCTACTCCTGACTGCAAGTTAACCATCGTTCTGCCTCTCTCCTTCTCCCTCCTCTCTAATGGACTAATGGATAGAGGATGTATTGGCAGCTTTCAGTTGCACAGGGACAGCTGTATCATTATCATTAGGCTTCAGGAAGACGTGAGGAATGGTTCATGTTGTAAAGTGTTCTCTCCTCTGCTCCCCTGCTGCGGTCATCAAAGAGAGAAGCACCAAAAAAGCACTCTCGAACAGACACCGGCAACTACGCACACCTCCGACAGACGCACATAGAGCCTCGGATTAATTAGCATTATCACACTAATCATACACAAAAAATAGAAGAAGAAATGGTGTAACTATGTGTGTGTGCGTCAGTGTGTGAGAGAGACTTATTTCTATAAGCCTATAAAACGGTTGAGGCTGAATATGGAGGAGATGGAGGCAGTGTTGCCAAGCAATAGGCACTTAGGAGCTAACTGATACTGAACTGTGGGCTGCATCATACTGGGGGGGTAAAAAAGTTACTATATGTGGAAGCCATAAAGAGCAAGTTAGCTGCAGAAGAATTACACAGATGCATTCACAGAATACAGAAAAAAAAGAGTCCCGTAAACCCACTCCTGAATCATCTCTGCTGGGGGCTTGTTTTTGAGAAGACCTAACGTTAAGAGAAAAAAACTTGAATTGGACAGATCCTCAGATTATATCCACACTAGGACATTTTTATTCTGATAAAACAGCATCCATACCAACAGGCTTGAAAACCTATGTCACATAAGCATTCACAAGTTGTGGGCAGGCGCACACAGGAAGCAGTATATAAAAATAACACAAGCGCAGCAAAAGTGGGTGTCTATGTTATAGTTAGTGTGATTCAAAGGTTTCGAAAACAAGAATTTGCATAACTGTGCATTTCATATCTAAAAAAAGGTTTGGGTAGTATGCAATATGAAGCCATAAAATAAGTTTATTGTTTTAAAAAAGAAAAGACTGTTACAGGCTCAAAAGCAGTGGTTTAAATTAATGCTATCATTTGATATCCTCAAAACTGAACCCTAAAAGCCTTATATTCCCTATTTATTCTTCTTGTTAACTTATAATTTACTGTTCTTATGTTTGCTGAAATAACATCCTGATAAAATACACCTAAAGTTAAAATGCAAAATTTGTCAGATCTGTTTTCAGGGGGAAACAAAACAACCTTTGACATGTTTGTTTGACAGTCTTGATCGATTTGAGGATGTCAGGAAATCGGACCACTGATGGGCTTTTGCAACGGAGCAAGAGTTTGTTGGCCACACCAGCATGAAGATACCTGTTTATATAGATGATATGATGAGATGTAATTGAACTTAAAGTGCTTTGTCAGATTTGATGATGGACTCTTTGTTTTTGGAGCAGAGAAGTTGTTAAAGTAAAGCAAAATAAATTTCTACTTGAACTAAAAACTTGAATAAATCCTCGTCAGAGCGCTTCCATGGGGAGTTTGGATAGAGTATGATCCACCCTGCGTTTACTCTGCTTTCTCGTAAAAGATATTATCCAATATTGTGTTTTATTTAAGAGAGTGTTGGAGTGGCTGAATATAGATTATTTGCTTTCTGGGTTTGTGGTGTTCACATTTACATTGTTGGTGTATTTGCAGTACAACTACTGTTTATTTCTCTTTTTTTAATCTCATTTGTGGCAATTTTGCTGTTAGCTCAGCCTCTCCTAAAGATTAGATTTGCTAGATTCCATGTAAGAAAAAACGTTTTTTACAGAACTGTGCAGACGTCTTGGTCCACCAGTATTTTTTGTTTCAGTATTGTTATCAAAACCAATAATAGCATATATTTATTTGCTAATATCAGGGTGAATGTGCTGTCAGTGGTATTTTCAGCCATGTATAACATGTACTAGCAGTCTGTTGTTGTTGCTGTTGTTGTTTCAAATTTATCCTCTGTGTAGGCTCTGCAGCCTCTTAGTTTCTAACCTCATCATCTATGCAGTGACCTGAGTGGGTGGGGATGCTATGACAGTGATGCACTGAGCTGACTGGCTGCCTAAATGTTGTCTTTGGGTTGATGGTGATGACTGGTGCAGATGGATGTATGGTGAGCCCTCCAGAAGAACCCATGCGAGTACATGACACATAAGGTGCACAATCTTAAAGCTGCGGTAACAGCAGTATGTCTCTGAGTGGTACATTAAAACTTCAGTGTTATTCCCACTTAACTTTCATGTGCTACTTAATGTGGAAACCTTCGTTTTTGCAAACAACAACAAAGCAGTTTACTGTCTACTTTAGCTTTTGACATCTTGAATCGCTCAAAAGATGGAAGTAGGAATGGTTTAGCTCCAACTGGTTTCCTAGTAGGCGGGCTACAGGAATAATATGGCTGGACCTTGGCTTTCAAATTGTTACAGTGGGCTGACTATTATGTATATGTAAGAAAAAATATATTTTCTACAGCACTATTTATAACCGTTAAAACAAAAATCAGTAGCAGATAGTGTGTGAACAACTGGGCGAAAGAAGGACAAAACCCCCCTCTGGAAATGGGAGTTGTTTACTATGTAACGCTTTGCATGTCTAATGTGAAATCATTTTTATTGATATTCTGCCATGAGCTCTATCATTAAGCTTTAAGCAGGACTTAAAATGCATTATAAAATCTCCAAACTTTTCTCAGTTTATTGAGTCTATCTTGTGAGTCATACACGCCATAAGGTCACAGTGGTGTTTTCACATTGTCTCCCTTCATCTGTGTACAAAATAAAAGCATCAATCTCCCTCTTTATTGCTTCTCATTTTAATGAAATGTCTTCTACAGACAGGATGTGGCTGAGCTCTGTAACAGAGATATCCATCCACTGCTGGATCCTTGAAGAATACAATCATCACCACCTCAGGGTCCTCTGACACACTTTGGACTCATTCATATTAATGATGCTGTGCTAAATTACCCATCAGTGTGCTGCTGTGATACAACTGTGTGTGTGTGTGTGTGTGCGCGTGTGCGTATGTGTGTCTATTTTAGTTAAATATGGACCCTTTAGCTCAGAGTGCCCTTGAGCTCTCTGTCTCTTGAGGTATGGACAAGTCATTATAGTCAAAACTGAGCACAGATACGTGAACATGCATACATCTGAATTAATCCACTGGGGATAACTTTTAAAAAAGAGGCTTTGTAGTTACATCTTATCATGTTGTAATGATTTATCGAGTCCAAGCACACTTTGTTTTACAGTGTAAGCAATTTCCATGCAACATATCTCTCTAACTTCACCTTGCTTAATCAATATAAGAAATGTAAGGGTGGTGGGGGGCGAACACAAACACGCACTCCTCTGTGTGGACGTGCATCAATTAGGGGACAAGTCTGAAATGAACATGTTGATTCAAAAACAAAATCCAAAAAATACCCAACTGAAATTAAATCATTAAATGATTCAAGGTCAAAACTGCGGTAAACGTATGAGGCGAGTGGATCATATGGAGATGCAAAGAACTGGATAGTGAGCATATGGATGACGTACACAAAGAGAGTGAACAATAATGCAACCTCTGTAAAGAGTAATTAAAGGACTTGTTTAAAACATGAAGAATACTAAGGGAACATGTGGACCCTAGACGTAATACATGTAGACGCTTCATTATAAGCCGGAGTGTGATTGAGTGTCGATGGGTCTCCTCACTCTGGGCTCGCACTAAAACCCACCGCAGTCACAGAGAGCGAGCAACTATAATGCCTGTATTTTTTGCCTCCTAAGGCTGCAAAAACTGGCACAGAATTGAAATCAGATCTAATTGGATTATATTTCACAAGATTGAAAAATAGTTTTGGTTATTTTTAATGGGTGACAGCGTCCTGGAGCATTCTGGGAATTATGATTAATTTAGTCTACCTCCAACAGGCAGCGTCAGTCTTTGGGACATCTATGTATATTATATCTATGAATGTATGAGTCTGATTTTTCCAGGACCTAGTTCCAAGCAGGAGTGCTCATGTTGTGATAAGAGTCTTTCTTCTGCATCAATTTCAGGATTTTGGGTCTATGATTTTGCACTGGTCATGTATTTGCGGCATGCTTGCAGTTGGCATTCATGTAAGCTTTTGCCTCGACAGCACACTTTTTTCATCTAATTTCTTTTGTACTTTTACATTGACTCTGAATTTCCAAGCTGTTTGAATCTTCTGGACCATTGCAGCACATTTTCATTTTTTCCCTCCACCTATCTGAAGAAAAGAAACGAGAAAATGTGTTTCTCTATTTACTAATCCCTAAACATAATCTCTGTCAGGTAGAGGATCACTCCGGGGACAGAACAAACTCAGCTCTAACACACATCCCGAAAGCAGGTGAGCAGTGTTTGATGAAGAGCTCATCCAGGTGCCTGTGTGAATACAAATGTCTGACTAAAAGACATCCTGCGTGACAGTGATCGCAGATTCAATCTACCCTGTGTTCCAGAGCCCTGTAAATCTGACAGGGAGGACTTGAATAATCTCTGATCTCGGCTCAAGGGCACCACAGGCTCTGCTTTTTATTACACCTAAGAGTGTGTTTTCTCAAGCGCTGCAGTGTGAGTGACGGGTAAGGAGAGGACATGTGTGCCTGGGTATATGCGGGGATGTATGCAGCAGTGTGTGGACATGATGACCCTCTATTCACATCTTTCAGTCTGTGTAATTTAAACTGCTTTCAGTGCATGTATTAAAAGATTGAGAGCTATAATTTAGAGGGTTTTTTTTTAAACACTTTTATGTTGGATTCACAAAAGAGACTTTAACTGTAGCATAGATACAGCTACCAACCTTTGACAGGTGACTTAAATCATCCTCTGCACAAAGCCATATAATCCACATCTGAATTTGCCCAAACATGACAAATGACAATCGATGGTTTAACACTCCGCTCTACAAGCACAAACAGTAAACAAACTGAGGAAGTGTGAATAATATATGGCAACATATTAAGAAAGTGCAGAAACTGTGCTGAGAATGCGAGTTTGCCATTGAGAGAGCATGTGGGGAATGTATTGTGTAATGTGTGGGGAATATGTTAATAATGTATGAGGAAATGTTTATTTTATAATGTTGAGAATCTGTCAAAAATGAGTGCAGGTTATGTAGACAAAATATGAACAAAATCAGGAGGGAATCAGGGAAAACATGTTGAAATCATGAGGAGAGAGTGCTGGGAACATTCTGAGAAAACACGCTGTGTAGAGGCGTATGGAAAGACATGCAAGGACAAATGGAGAGTGTGTGGATCCAAGTATGGTAAAACAATCAAACTTGCATTATTAGAAACCAAAGTTTGGACTGGCTTCAAACTGCAGACCTCCCAAGTTATCCTCTTGAAACTGGCTGACTTGGTATGTCATCGTAGCTCTACTTCAGTCCTTAAGGTCTAAGTCTTTGAAACTGTTGAGTTCAGGTTTTACATTGCTGTGCATATTTATAGAACTGTTTTAATCTGTACAACAACAGTCAGACTTGCTGTCTTGTGTGCTGTTTTGCTTCTTGTGTTAAATTATGTAAGTCGTACTGAGCTTCTTGTTCCTCACCCAAGACAAATTTGCCCTCCAGGACAAAAAAGTACATTTTATCTCATCTCATTGCACTGGTCCTCTCGTCTCATGTGTTCTCATCTCAGCTGTTCTCATTTATTCTCATATCATGTGTTCTCATTTCCTCTTATGTTTTCTCATCTCATCTGTTCTCATTTTATGCCTATATATCTCCTCTTATCCTCTAAACTTTTATCATTTCACTGGTCCTCTCATCTCATCTGTTCTCATCTATTCTCATATCCTGTGTTCTCATTTCCTCTCATTTATTCTCATCTCATCTCATTTTACGTTTATATACCCCCTCTCATCCTCTAAACTTTTATCGCTAAAACACACGTGCCAAACTTCAGGAAGGATTTAAAAGAGTCTACCAGTTCCACATACTTTTTAAATTTTAAAAGTCACATTGGCAGATCCCTCAATTCTTATTACATCTAAGGAGGAAACATTAAGAAGAATACTTTATCTACATAAAAAATGTCCTTGTAGGAACATTACATATCTTCCTTTTATTACTGATCATTGTGATTTATTATTCATATCGTAACTGTAAATCTGCAGTCCCTTATCTGTTGGATTCATGACCGGTCTCCAACAGAAAGGTTGTAAGAAAAGAAGGAAAGGATCTTCACAGAGCCTGGCAGCCATCCCCAACCCTTCAATCACTAGAGTCCTAAAACAAGGGAAGGTGGTGAGATGCCAGCAAGTGATATAATCATCAAGTATCAAATCCGACTCTTTAATACAACTTGTATATGATTTTTTTTTCATGCCCTGGGAGAATGTTTGTTTTAAATCTAGATGGTAAAGCTTTTGTTGAATTACCTTTTATTAAAAAAGTGTCATCTACAGCAGAGAAAAGAAGACAAGAGGTGGTAAATTTAATAGGGTGGACACCCTCCAGTTGGTTGGTGTTCCTATCGTAGCAAAAAAGAGCTTAGTGCATCGTTTGCTGGGTACAGACAGAAAACCAGAACAGCTGTCACGGTTTAGGAACTTGCATATTACATGAGGCAAATTACCCCTCCTTTATTTGACTCCTTCTGAGTTAAAATCAAAGTTAGCAGTGTGGTAACCCTTGTGGTTTCCCTTTCTCTTCTTGTCCAAACAGTACATAATGCACATCTACTCACCAAATACAAGAACCTGTATGTGAATGGTCTGTCTCTTCTGAGCTCTGGTAGAAACATGCAATGGTGGCCGAAGGAGAAGGGGATTTGCTATTCTGTTCTTCTAAATGCACTAGAGTCCACATGCTGCACCTTAATATTGATAAAATCAGATTTATATCGAAATTTACTGTCAACTTGATTGTTTATCAGCAGGATAATACATGAGATAATGTTTTTATAATGTATGGATGGAAAAGTCAGGTCTCATCTCACACAAGATTCTTTTAGGCATAATCACCAGGTAACCAAACATTATCCCATATGGCTTAAAAAGGTTATCCTCACAAATAAATGGTTCTTTTCTTATGGAAATATATTTAAGTTACACTTTTTACACTCATATTGTAATTGAAGCCACTCTCAAGTTAGAAACTGTACAAAAACTGTTCGTCTCACACAAGGGGAGAATAACTGTCACCCTGAATTTCAAGATGTTATGGGATACTAAAGTCAAGGAAGGGTGCATTTAGTTGATTAAAGCAATTAGTTCTCCTCACCTTTATTGTCAGCACCAGAATTACGAGTTGGACACGGACACACACAGTGCCAATAATATTATGGAGCCTTTTGACAATATCTTGATCTGGAAAAAAGTCAGACTGTGTGATTATACTGATATGCACCCACAGGCGTGTGAGTCTGCTATAAGGACCGAAAGCTGGTGGTACTAGCTCTGCTTACATTAGCCACACTGAACTAATCACTTTGACATTGTTCGTATGCAGACGCTGTGAGTGCTTTCTTAACTTTAGACCAGTTCATCAGCCAGAATTTCAATTTAAAGAAATAGGAAATGAGTTGCCACGTAGCATTAATAATTTAGATTACTCTGTCAAATTTGTTAGTGTGATGTACTCACATAATTAAAGCCATTTTTAATGTCGAGGGACAGGCGTGTAAACGAAGGCAGTTAACAGTCTACGATGTTGTGTTCTGCCTGGTACTGATCATGTGGACCTCAGGGCTGATCGAGGGGGACACTCAGATTAATTACAAAGCGGCCTGTCCTTCCTTAATGACTTCCTTGTACTTTGCTCTTTCGCCCTCTTTAGGAAAATGGTTATTTGGCAGAGCATAAATTTGGCAGCCAATTCCCATGCTTCTGAGCTGCTAATAAAAATATTTTAATACAACCTGCTGAGCTAAGTCCATTAGGGAGAGCATGATGTGGGATTTTAACATCCTGGTGTTGACTGTTATCATTTTATAGCATTTGGGATATTACCTTTAGGGAAGTGAACATTTCTTTTTTATTCCGCGAGACTCAGCAGCAGCGCAGAAGTTAACTTCTTTGGTACATCTTAACATTAGTAAACGTTGATTCTGCATCAAATCATAATGAGCAGATTGCCCGAGGTAACGATCATTTAGTCTTTCATCTCTCCTGAGCTGTTAATGCACTTTTCTTCCTTTTCCGTTTTAGCTGGGTTATTTTTTTTTTATGATGAAACTATGTGGCTTTTAAGTGCAATACTTTGAAACAAGCCCTTGAGTCGTTCCATCACTTCAACCATAACCACAAGCTGGTAAATCTGTGCAAGCAGCTGGAAAACAAACCAGCGGCTGACACCTGCTTCAAAACACTTATACATCTGTGTTCAGAGCTGACCTGCTCCTCCGTGAGGTGACTGCAAGAACATTGAGCAGTAAACACAAGGCGCTCATACAACTGTACGCAACAGCATCACTCATCTGCTCTGCGGCGCATTAAGCTGGTGGCTCCAGCAAGAGGGTCCCCTGATAATATGCTGCTGATTTGAAATGAAGGAGGGGGCATTTTGGCTCAGCCGGCAGGGCAGGCGCCCCATGTACAGAGGCCACGGTCTTTGTTGAATAGGACACAGCATCAATTTCTTGCCCTGGTTTGGTCCTCTCTTTCAATGTTTCTTATCTCTCTTCAACCAACCTATCAAGATAAAGGTGAAAAGCCCAAAATAATCTAAAAAAGTCTGTATGATATCTTGAAAAAGGTTCACAGGACAGCAAAAAAAGACGTAAAAACTTGTGTTGCGTAAAGTTATACTCCCACATCTCTTCCAATCTTTTTCTATATTCTCATGATTGCATCCTTTACCGTATAAGTTTTACACTATTCCAAAATAACTAAAATAACAATGTGCTTTGACTTAAAGCTCTAATGAGGAACTTTGAATTTCTTTAATTTCTGACGCCCCCTGTGGACGAAGCAGTCTTTGCTTATGTTTCAACAAAGAAATCTTATATTGTTGGTTTTTAACATATGCATAATTTGTTGTGAATATTTACACAAAAATAGTAAAAACAGGGATGTTCCTTTACCTGCCCACTGTGCTCAGGTGACACCTACCCCCTCTCACTAGATTCAAGCAACAGACGTATGACATTAACATCATAAATAAAGTTGCTGATGGTCCTTTTTGCTTTTGGATATTACAATAAGGGATTGATATGAATTTGAACCCATTTCATGAATGTCAAAAAAACTGCTCACAGGAGCTTTAAGGGATTATACTCAATTTAAACATTAGGATTAAGTTTTCAAAGTCAATCAGCAAGTATGTGAAACATTTCAGATATCAGGTTTGATTTTGAATAAAAAGTGCATGTCTTTGAATGAACCACATTTATATTTGGTAACACTTAACAATAACCATAACGTGCCATTTATAAATGATAAGCAGATAGTTTATTAATGTTCAATCATCATTTATAAATGGTATATAGACCATTAGTAAATTGTACATTTTACAATTCTAAAAGTAATGTTTATAGATGGTTTAAAAACCAAATACTAACCATTTACAAAGTGCTACTGACACACATTTTAATTTAGATGTTTTACAACCAATATTTAAACCCTATATAAACCTTAAACAAATAGTCAATTAATAATTAACAAAATTATCAATCATAGTTTCATTTCTTGTTAATGGTAAAGTAACTATTAACTTACATTTATACACTACTTGGCATTCATAATTGGTCTATATGCTGTTTTTAAATGATGATTGAACATTAATAAAATATCTATTTACCATTTATAAATTATGGTTATTGTAAAGTGTTACCTTATATTTCTTAACTTGTTCATCAAATGCTATAATTGAACTTTTTATTTTTCACATTTTCTGGTGGGAGACAGTTACTGAGCTGCTTCAGTTCCCATAATGTGCATCTTAACTGACCCTTTTACTTTCAACAGATAGCGATAGTTTTTAATTTTAGAGTTACATATTTCTCCCACCCCAAAGTCAAAATGTTAAAATCATTTTAATAATGTTCTATGATAACTGATTTTAATTAAATGGAAGCATTAGGAATGCAGCCAACACTGACTGGATCCAAACATGAGTCAGTGTATAATTATGTTAAATTACAGGAGTCTTTAATATTAGAAATTGATCATTAAGCTGCAGCACTATACAATCATGCAAATCCATTCCCATCAGTATGCAGCTTCTTACTTATGCAGGTGCACAGCACACCTGGAGCTGCCATCAGCCTCCAAACAGCCCTCTAGAGGAAACCAGCATATATAGACTTTGCCTGTATACACACTTTTGAATACACACCAGACATCACAAGACTGACACTCAGATGAAGAGTAGATTTATATAAAACAACGCTGTATTCTAACCAAATATAGTAGCGTTTCCAAAGAAATTTCCGTGAAAAGTTGATTTAAAAACAAATCACACTAGTCAACCCTTTATTTTATGCAATAAACGACGACATGCACTGTGAATTTTCCAAATAAAAACCGACTGTCATTGCCCTAAAACGACTAGAAATTGACAAGAAAACACCGACACAAAGTGCGCAACTGAGGAGAGAGGCACACCAAGTCCAAACAGAGACGGACATCACAAACATGCAAAGTAGTCCACACATGTTCAGTCTGTTTGATACTTCAAGAAGCAGCAAGTTTCTCAATTCAGAGTTAAACACGTTAATTCTACGGACTGTCCGTCATTATCAGCTCCGTAAACTTCGGACATTTAAACAGTTAGTCGTCATAAATGATTGACAGATTTTACTCACATCTGTGGTTTCGACGCCTGCCTTTGTACATGGCCATGCCGAGTGTGGAAAAACGATATAAATTCTGCGATAATCGAGAGAAGACTTTCCGCTCCCTGTCTCTTTCTCTCCTCCCCAAATCAGACAAAGTACCGGTGTTCACTTCCAGCTCCAGACACTCACAGAGAGAGAGCAGAGCCGCTTCAGACTGTACCATTAGTCAAACTATTCCAGGGGGAGCTCCCTCTGTCTGCCCCCAAAACAACTACACAAACTGGAATAAAAACCGCACTTTGGGGTCGCACATATTGGGTATTATTTTAGTTTTTTCGTCACCTAATAACCATAGGCATTAAGTACAGTCATTTCTATACATTCTTTTGTCATTTTAAAGGGATATTCCGTTGTAAAATTAATTTAGGGTCAAACACATCGTAACACTGCGTTAGACACCCTCCTGAGAGATGAATGTTGTCGACCGCTTGCTTCCCTAGTTATACCAACTTTAGTATCGACCGCAGGATAGCAATACACAGCGGTCTTAAGAGCCATAAACAAACCTCAACCAAAACGCCACTCTATAGACACAAATAATGCTCAGAACAGCACCTAACTTCATCAACAGTGCATATTGGGTTCTAGCCATAGTACTAGCCACCAAACATCTTTTTAACTTTGCCTAATTTCTTTAGCAAACAGACTAAACACAACTCACCTACTCTCTTCCAGAAGACCTCAGGCAAGTCCATTACGGACTACAGCGGGGTGACGCAGCTCAAGGAAGAACATTCATGATAATTTCTTCATGGAAATGCAATCAGACCGAGACGCTAAGGCAGAAGAACTACTGCGTCTGCAGTGCAAAATGACTAAAAGGAAATGATTAAGAAATGATCATAATGTTCTACCTTGAGCTGCGTCACCCCGCTGCAGTCCATAATGGACTCGCCTGAGGTCTTGCTACAAATAAGCTGCTGCTGGAGGAGAGTAGGTGAGTGTCTAACACGGTGTTAAGGTGTGTTTGACCTTAAATTAATTTTACGCCAGAATATCCCTTTAACAGGCCAAAAACTCTTTAAAACTCTTGAAGATGTCAGAAAACCTTCACTAATCTGTTTACCTAAAGCCCAGAGTTACCAATTAAGATGCATAATTGTAATCCTAATTGATTAAATTCCTAACAAACTGAAAGAAGATGACAACTCTTTTTGACTTTGAGTTTTTAACCCTTTAATGCCTTTGTATCATATTTGATACATACATTTATATACTTCTATCAAATCAATATGATCAACAAATAAGTAAAAAAAAAAAAAAAACCACCTAAATACAGTCTGATAAATGATAAAAATGTCCTCTTGTGGTTTATCAGTTTCCAAAAACATCTAATGTATCAAACAAGATTAATAAATATATTTGTAAAATTTTAAGGACATTTCGATTTTTTTTTTTGTTTATAGTCGTAAGTGAAATAAACATCTCTGCTCCAAAAATATTAGAATTTTCTGGCCATAATTTGTGGTGTCAGGCATTAAAGGACTGCAATGTAAAAGCAGAGTGCTCGGGTGTCATAGTGGGGGACTCAAATGAATGCACATTGATTCTGACGGATGCTGCAGCACCATGTCACCCAGTTACTGAAAGGAATTAGGAAAAAATAAGATAAGACTTTCCTTGCATGAGAAAAGGTGAGCACTCCTAAATCAGTTACGGAGTGGTTTCAGTAAGCATCAGTATTTGCCGTCTGAGGTAGTCAGCCAGGATGCCAGATGCCAGCTGGATCATATTTGTGTGACAAATTCTCAAACTCATCAACAAATCAGCATCACAGGCACAATCTTATATAACCTTATTTTCATGAATACTGACTTGTGGTAAAGGAAGTCTACTTGGTTATATTTAGTGCCTGAGTTTGCTTGATGTTAAGAGTGTTGCACTAGTGTTTAATCTCGTACCAGCTCCTTTTTAATGTCAGGTAAGATGGGTTTGTTAGAGCTGTTGTGGTGGGATCCAATGAGACATCTTTCCTGGGGCTAAGATTTTAAAGTTTCCTCCCTCTGGGGTGATAGACTCAGTGTTATTATGGCAGCTTAACTATCTATTAGTATCTCGTGGGTGTGTTATAGATTATTCAGTAGTTTTCTTGAAACACCACATAAAACACGGTACATTGCTTTTACAAGTTAGCGCCTTAGACTGGATAGACTTTTCTCAGTGACAGCACTTGTTGGTTTCTTTAATGGATTTTAAAAGCCAAACAGTGGTGGGCATACTGCAAGGGGGTGTCCAGAGGGGTGGTCAAGGGTGGCACAGACCCCACCTGATTGGCCACCCTAGGAGCCACTCTAATATCCTAAGCTATGATTGGTTATTTGTCTTGTTGCATTGACAAGTGGCCTTTAGTTTGGCGAAAAAGCTTTTGTCTGAATCTCTAAAGAATCAAACCAAGTGGTTTTTATGTTGCACTGTTGTGTTTCAAACTAAATGCCCAAAGCTTATAAATCTCTGAAAAAATGCATCTGTATGGTAGTTTAACGACAGTAGTTTAACAGACAGTGAAGAGAAGGTAAATGCTAATTTGTGTGTGCACCCATGTCAGTGCCCTAGATGAGCCACCCCACTCTGGAAAAACTCTGGACACACCCCTGCCTGTCTTCTGGTCAAGCCTGCCCCGCCCCTAATTATGCCTCATAATGCAAAACTTGTAACTTGACCATCACCACTTTCTTACCACACTATAAACAGGTTAGGTTCTGCTGAGACAGGCTTCTTTACATGCAAACCATTGTGGATTTCTTGAGCCAAGTGGACACTCAAAGAACTGCATTTTTTAGCACATACACATGAGCTTCATACAGCTGCTGGTTATCATGAACATTTTTCTGTTTGTCAGTATTCAGACTATCATAAAACAATACAGACCAAGTTCAGATGACAGCTGAATCCTAAGATAGTAGCACTACTATTTCAGTTCTCTATTTCTATATATCTATTTGCTCACTCAATCGGCTGCATAAAAACTCAAATCTTAGATAAAATTAGAAACCAGTGGATGTGTTGATGCAGGAATACAGACAGGAAGTGGGTTTATCAAAGCTATAACCAAGGACATCACAACATTCACTCATAATTTATATGTTTGAGTACTTGAACCCTTCATCATGCACATTTTTGCATTACTCTAATGCATATGTACAGTCATAAAACACGCTTAAAGACCAACTGTTAATTCTTTATTGTTGTTCTTATCCTCTAGCTGTCCTCACCATTTGCTTAGTAGGCTATGTAACCAGTGTGCCCATTATTTTTTACAGCGTGAGGCAGATAAGCTATTCTTTTTCATAATTATCTTAATTCAGTGAAATGTAATTGGCACAACTTCTGCATTTAAAAAACAGAAAAATAAACAAAGTTAAATTAATATATTAATGCATTAAAAAGAAGGGAATTTGGGGTGAGAGCAATTAAATATGTATTTGCAGATATTGCAGAATGAAAGTGCTCTGAAATGTTGCAGTCCAAAGCAAGACTTTCAAATACAGTTTAACTTTTAAAACCAAGTTAACATTAAGGACACCTAATTTCACAAGCGTCATAAGTGAGTGGTTCCTGCTTGATAGTCTTCGTGCGACATAAAAATACATCCTACTTTATTCAAAAAACAAAGTTTGACCTCACACATCAAACATAACTTTTCTTCAATGCACTAGGAAGACTAATCAGCCTCTTATTGTCACGACTTCCATTCATCTCTTTATTTATTTCTTAAATTTAATTTTAAGTGGATGGGCTGTGGACATTAAAGACAGGCTGGAAAAGCAGGTGGGTGGGGGGAACTGCCTGATTCCCTGGCTGTTTCAGCGTCTGAGTTCTGCCTTGTAATTCTAATATCTAATTACACTGACACAGGGTTTGCAGATGTCTCGCGCACAGTTTGACGTCTTAATCGTCCCCGAAGCTTCTTTGTTCTCGGAGAGAAAAGACAAGAAAGTCAGAGAGTCACTGTGACAGATTCATTATTTCAGGGCCGGTCACTGGAATCAAATGACAATATCTTCATCGTGCCTCGCTTCAACATCTTAAGAGAAATATTAAAAATACATCTGTTATCATCCAAGGGAAGGAGAAGAGGAGACATAAGCCGTACGCTGTGCTCTTGCTCTGTTTTAGGGTTATTTTAGGCCCTTTAAAATGCATCCTTTTAAGTCTCATAAACAGTAAAATGTGCTTTGACATTCCTCACAACATGCAGGCTATTCCTGTATGAGTTAAACTACTGAGGATACCGATGAATCAAACATGCCGAGGGAGGGTGGAAGATGTCCCTGTTATGGCGGCTGCAGAGACTTCACTGCTGTTCTCTCAGCACCATCTAGTGTTCATGCAGATGAAAAATTCATGAAAACTTCCTGACAGACGGAGCAGAAACATGGAATAATCTCAAGTGAAGAGGATGAAGTTGAAGTTTAACATTCACAGTTGCAAAATAGATGCCATTTCATACTGTAAGCCTGTGTGAGGAGTTTTATTGTTTTAAATGGTAATGAAACAAACTATGATGTCCCTTCATGAACCACAAAAGTAACTTGATTGTAGTTTTTTGTACATACAAATATTAGAAGGAGGCAGGAGTCAGATTCGCAAGATACTGAAGAAACAGTTTTACTGTTTGGACAGAAAATATTCAGAGTGACTCAAATTTCTATAAAAAGAAAGCAGGAGGCAGAAAACACAAATTATACCTGCACTGGATTAAATTCTCGAAGATAAAAGAGGTTCTCGCACCAAAATGGACACAGAGTTCCTCAGGGGGCTTTAAAGCTCCTGAGGGTTTGTTTTTTTTTGACATTTCTGAAATTCACATTGATGCTTTTTTATGACACACAGAAGCAAACAAGACCATCAGCAACAAGATTGATATTCACTCCCTGAAACTGGTGAGGGAGGGTAGGTGCTCGTAAAGCAGCTGAAGAAACACCTTCTTAACTTTTAAGACTTCTTTTGTGCAAAGAAGTGAATACAAACCAGAAGTTCCTAACAGGAGCTTTAAATGTTGCATTTATTAAATTTGTGTCATATATATTGAAGCCTCCTCTAACCTGTTGCTACAACAGTGTTTCTTCAATTCCTTAAATTTCATCAAGTGATTTTTTTTTTACTTCTTAAAGCTTCTGTAAGGAACTTTTGATTGATGGTGATTTTGGCGCCCCCCTGTGGAAAAACTGGTTCCTGCTGTCTCTTTACTGATTTGGTCCTGTACTTGTGTGGTGTTCTCAAAATGGAATTTCACCCAGATTTCAGTCCTGGAGAATGAAAACTATAACTGTTTTGGTCGTGTTTATCACTTTATCTGACGCAAAATAACAAAAGACGAAAAATTTGACTGAGTAACTGAGGTCCTATTTGCTTTTTATGAGTTATTCCAATTTCTGTTTGTTTCCAAACAAGAGAAAAATACCTCACATTCGCTTTAATTAGTGAAAATGAAACCTTATGTAACAGTCTAAATGCCCAATTCAGCACAAATTAATCAGCGTATATTTGAGGAGCAGTTTAAAGAAACTTGTTTAGTCCTATCTCTATCTACCTGAACAGATAATTAAAGCTTTATTTGGTCTATTATCTTGAGATTCTGAATGACAGACCTGCAAAAAGATACTGAACTCTTATCTAAAAGGCAGACACAGTCTACCACTACTTCTCCAAAGAAAAGATCGAGTGTTTGTGGATCAATGAGGACATTTGCTTTGCTCTTGTAAGGTGAGAAAACAGCAGTATTTTCAGTATCTTTAAATTAATATCAGGACCTGCAGTGAGTTTTTCCAACCACAGAGAGACGCTCACAGACCAGCAGCCAGCACTCACACTTGAAAGCTCTCTCACACTTTGACCGGAGGATGATTTGAAAGCAGATCACACTGAGTGCTGATTATAAAAAATGACCCTTTACAAATATCAATACATCTTTGTCCAGATTTTATCCACAGCAGCAGAAAGCAGAAATGCTGAGTCAGAGGAAACACAAGAATGATTCCCTCCTCCACACGCTCTCCATCACCAGCAGATATCTTCATCAGCATCTAAGTAGCTGCTGTCTGAGGCCAACACCACTGCGATTGAATGTCACTTTTATTTGCATGAACTACTTAAAGCCATTGTCTCGCCAATCCCGTTATGTCAGAAGGAATTAAATCGAGTAAAGCAATCTCTGCAGCTTCACTATCTCGCAGGCGATTAAATCTGCTCGAGCGTGAGACGTTTTGGTCGCTCAGCAGGCCGAGCTGCATGAACTCAGGACTTTACCAGTTTACATCTGACCCTCCTGTCACATGTCCTACCTTTACACTACAGTTCCTCCCCATCTGTAATTCAATAAAAAAGTGTTTTGTTCAAGGAAATGTCAAAAAATTCAGATTTCGTGCAGACTGCAGACACTTCTGGCAATAAAGTCCCCCAGCTTAATCAAATACAGAGTTCATGTTTAAAGATGATGACCGTGAGGGTTAAAATTTCACTGGGGCAGCAGAAATAAAAAGAGGATTTCTAAGGCAGAGGGGACATTACTGTACTGCAGGCACCTTTCATATACCTCTGACACTCATGGCACATTGTTATTATACTGGATTTATTGTGTGTGTGCACGTGTGTCCACAGACAATAAAAAAGGTTCAGCCACTGGAAATGCAATATGCTGTGTTATGCAGCGCATTATTTCACCTTTGTTGCTGTTTGAAGTGCTTTTCTCCATGATTAAAGCTCATTGTGCTTTTGTTTAGGATGTCCTGTATTTCCTCTCTGCAAACCATGTTGTTGTTTTTGTGTTTTTTAGAAAATATAACAGTGGTGGTGTTGGCCAGTGTGCACAGAAATGAAAGGAATGCCTTAAATGCAGTGAGGCAGACAGTGAGAGGCTGACAGGACATGTGAGTTTGTGTTGACAGCAGCCTTAAAAAATTTTGGCACAGCAAAATCCAGCACAGATGTGTTAAGTAATTTATCACTAATCACGTCTTTTAATAAGCTGCCTTCAGAAAATGTTTTATCAGAGGTCTTTTCTTAACTTGAATGTCTGATCTTTATTTAAACACATCTCCCTTTTTCACAGCGCTGTCAAAATTACCTTAAGTTGCCGTCTTTTTGCAAATTGAAACAAATGGCTGCATTTTGACATTTAAAGGAGTAGTCACACTTTTTTTTTGATGAGTTTTATATTGAAACAGAGACTCTCAAGCAAACCCACATTTCCATCTTGCAGTTGACAGGGCGTAAACACGAGGCTTGTATGAAGTAGCTCAACATAGTCAAAAAGCTGAGACCATAGACTGTACATACTATGGACAACTTGGTTCCACCTTCTGCCTGTATACGGATTTGAAGCTGTAAAGCTCTTGGTAATTTAACGTTTTTTCTCCACTTCCTGAAACCAACATTGCGCAGTAGCATTGCACGCATTCGGCGGGAGAGTCACTGCGTTGACGCTCAGCTCAAACAGTGTTTCCCCCGGGTGAGCTACGCAATCTTCGTACACCCATAGGCTGTATCAAGTGTCAATCATAGAAAACATGAACCCCCTAATAACTTTTAAAAATGGAGCTGTACAGAAAAAAAGAGGACTTGAGCACAAACCAGTCTGACAGTAACTACATGTCAACATCACAAAAAATTCATATTCTGTGTAATTAATTTCTAGAGTTTGTCCACAGCTCCGTAGGGATTGCTGGAGGAGGCGGGATTTATGACCTATACTGCAGCCCGTCACCAGAGGGTGCGGTTCTTGGGGGTGGCTTCACCCAGCGAGGAGGCAGACGGCGTCCATTCTATAAACAGTCTATGGCTGAGACAGATTTCTTCCTCTCATGCAGCTGAGAGGAGGAAATGTGTCTCACTATGCATCGAGAATGACAAGTGAGACATAAGGGGTAAAAGTGGAAAACTATTGCTGATACAGTTGGGCTGCATATCATGATGGTGCTCACTATGGTTTATCACTGTTCTTCATCCCCAGGTATGTGTTACCCATGTACAAGTATGCTAACGTTGCCTCACTTCATCTGTACGGCTGCTCAAAGGTTCAAATGTGTGACCCAGTTGAATTTTACATTAATATAATCAGTGTTGGGAATAACAGTGTTTTCAAACCTAAGTAATAACTATTACAAACATAACAACACCATTATCGTTACAGACAGTGAAATGTGACGCCTTATTATGCACTGATATCTCTTTAAACTACATGTATAATATAGTGTATTTGCCATGAGATGTGAAAAAGACAGAAGACTACCTCCTCAAAAAAAAGCCACTAAGTCCAACAAAATTGAAGCAACCACTCCAGATGGAAGTGTACCTAAGATGTGATTTATCATCCCAAACTGAACTGAAAACTTTGGAGAGAAAAACATCAAAAACTGAACCGTCACGTTCAGTCTGTAAAGCTGTGATGGATGTTTACAGTCAGATAACTTTGTCTTATAATAAGATTTATTCAAATCCTGTCTGACAGCTTGAAATTTTTGCCCCATCAGGCATTTTTAAAGAAGATTTTTCAGACTCTCCGGGAAGAAGAGTGATATGCACAACAGCAGACATCACTCTTAAAAGTACAAAATTAACAAAAATGGTTGGAAATCTGTAAGAAAACACTAAAGGTTAAAAAATCAGTCCCTTAACTATCATAAAGTACCTCTCTGTTCTAGCCTGCAGCGTGAGCCCTGCTTTAAAACGAGAACTGAAAGAGTAATGATCATAAATTTGTACAGTAATAGCTCCTGAGTCATATAATAATACGACAAATCAGAGCGAACACATCTCAGCAGTACGGTTTTTACCACTCCCACATGTCATTTCACTCAGCAAAAATGTATGAAACCGGGCAAACATGAGGTGGAAATACAGATGTGACCCCTGAGCGCTCTGATTCATATTTAATGAGAGAGCCGGGCTCAGGGAAGACTTTTATTTTCCATGAGAGGAAGCTGCAGACTAATCAATAAGTAATATAAGGAAGATTTACAGGGATCCACCCAGGGCCCCACAGGACCACAGGCTATGAATGCTTCCGTCTTGTAACTGTCCGTCTGTCCTTGTGCGGCTTTATTTCATCTCTAAAATCTTGACATTCACATGCGAGCGCTGCTTTTACAGTCCTGCTTTAAAACCATGTTAGAAATTTGTCCGACCAAATTAAGTTTGCCATCAGAACATGCAGTCAGCCTATAAACACTTTGAACCAGATGGCAGCCTGAAATCTGCAGACGATATTGACTTGAATATAATATTTGATCAATTTAAGTGTGAAGAAACATGCGTGAAGGTTTCAGACTGATTCAATCTGTTGATTTACACCGCTGGACATCTTTTGAACTGCATTGTTTATGAGACGATCCTTCATTATTGGTATCGACCCGTCTTTTATGACTGCTTTTGTATGTAAGCCTGCCTCTTGTTCTGTATTTATTGTGTATGTTTAAACACAGCGCTTTTTGTAAGGCTCTATAAAAGTCTATCATCGAACTAATTTGGACTCAACATGCATGTTTAATTTTCCACTTGTGAAGATTAAACCTCTTCATGTCTAAATCCATGCAAATATATTCATTAAAAACACCGATGCATGAGTAACACATTAGATTACGGCCCCCAAATTAAAGTGTGATTATCTTTTATTACTGGGTAACTGCTGCATGACAAAGTTTTCAGAATAAGTGAATGAGGTGGTTGGGGATTAAAGAGATAACAGCTGTGTGTTTATGGGGCAATAAAAGAAAGTATTCTGTAAGAGACCCACTAAAGAGCTCCTTAAGGATTTAAGTGCAGATATATAATGATAGAGGGTAGACCAGTTTTAATAGAAATCATGTATGTGTTACCTAGCAAGAGTCCAGCGTTTATCATCTCTGTCTGTTGACACTTTGGCAAAAACTAACATTTTTATTAACTTTCTAAGTGGGCAAACACTTTGGTGTAAACAGTTAGTAGACTAAGAGGGTCAGGAAATAATATCAGTTGGAGTAATAAGATAACAACCAGATCTGACACGAAAAAGGTGGAGCAAGACCCTGTCCTGCAATCCAGGCAACAGCAGCAGAGCAAATCTCCTCAAACATTGGTGATGATAGAAGTAATACGTAAAGTTGTTTTAAGTTCACGCTAACGTGAATTATGACAAGAGGGGAAAAACATTCAGTTCAAATTAATTCACTTTTACATGATGGCTGATAAAAGTCTGTCGAGGGTCCTGGAGGTCCTGACACACTGAGCTAACATATTCTGCGTTCGAGTGACCTCGGAAGTCAGAAGTCCGAGCTGACGTAAAACCCGAGTTACAAGCGTTTCAGTTACCAAGTCGGAAAAAAGCAAAATTAGAGGTGGAAACAAGATGGCAACATCTATGAAAGGCAAGGGTTAAAATAACTTTCGTGGATGTAGCCATCTTGTTTTCACCACTAATTTTGCTTTTTTAGCTTTGTTCTGACTTGACTTCTTGAGGTAACTCGAACGCAGCATTAGTCCTTCATGAGCAGCTGTGTGATAAGTGGGATCATGTATAGTAAACAGGTAGTTAGGCAAATCAGAATCCATTCAGGGTGAGCAGGAGAGAGCAGATGAAAAGCAGAACAAAACTCTCTTTGTGATGACTGCCAAAGTTGGACCTTGTTTTTGAGCTCAGATAAAGCGTCTGTTATGGCGCAGCTGTGGCTCAGTAGTGGAGCGGGACATTTCTAAGATGGATGTTTTTGAGCGAGAAACTGAACCTTGAGTTCCTCCTGGTGGTATATAGGGAGGTGTGTGAATGTCACTAGTGAAAATGCAGCATCTGTCATCAGTGAAGGAGTGTTTTTACGAACGGGTGGGATGTGACATGTGGTGTGAAAGTGGTCTTAAGTGCAACCCATGTGATGTGTCCATACATTTAACCTCAGCTAACATTTAACCAATTTTAAAGGCCAGGATTGAAGTGGATATTTTCATGTTTCACACTTCTCTCCTCTTACCATCTGAACTTTCGGAGCTCATATTCACTCAAACGATACTTAAAAACAGTTTTCATAGTCTGTAATTTCAGTATATGTGTGGATTACAGTTTTCTGCTTGAGAGTGCAAATGTTTTCACTGTAACTTGTAATATATCTTACAAACTGAATATCCTTACCTAGTGACTGTCCAGCGATGACCCTGGTGTTCTCCCCGGCCACAGCGGCCCTGGCGTTCCTCTCGCTGGCGTACTGGACAAAAGCGTAACCTTTATGCACCGAGCAGCCCACGATCTTGCCGTATTTGGCGAAGATGGCCTCGATGTCGGCCTTAGTAACCACGGCCGTGTTGAGGTTGCCAATGAAGACGCGGGAGTTGAGGGAGCGTGGGTCATTCTTGTTGGTCACGTTGCTGGTCTGGGTCTTCCCAGTCATCCTAGTCCTGCTGCAATGCCTGCTGGGAGACACAGCAGCACAGAGCTCAGAAAAGCCGGGAAGGTTAGAGTGTGGAGGTTACACATAGGAGGACAAACAGAGAGCAGCAGAGGGAGGTAAACATCAGTGAGAGGAGGAAATGTAGAAGATTATCGAGGCTTTCTATACTCATCTTTCTTTTGAAATCCCTCTAAACACCACTGGATACAGAAACTTCAGAAAAATGTGTCCTTTAGCTTCAAAAAGGTTATTTTTTTCACTACCAGCAGCTTAAATATTTTACTCACAGGTTTGATCTGATTGTTTATAAAACAAGAAGCTATGATTTCATGAAATATAACAGGCTGCAGTGAAGGAGTTTTAAAAAATCGATCTTTTTCAAGCAGTTTTCAAAGGTCTGAAAACATGTGACATTTCTTCAAGAGCCCCTGGATCTCCAGAGAATAAAGTTAAAGCTGTTTCATTTTTCTAAATTTATGAGTAATCTGTTGAAATCTTTTTTTTACTATGTAACCATATCTGTGTCCAAAGTCTTGAAATGTCTACTTAAAACAGTGATTTCACTCTATGGGATTATGAAACAGACATGTAACAAACCCACACATTAACAGAGCCTGAATCAAAGAACTTGTTTTGATTATGAATCCCAAAGTATCTGCTAATTGATCAATAATTATGTATACATATGTTTCATTTTATCCACTTATTTGCCAACTTATAAATCCTTCCAGCTCTGAAATAGTGTTTCCAACACGTGCCTGCTCTCTGCTCTCTGCACCCATGTCTACTTTATAAATCAGGTTTGTGTCCACAGGAGGGCAAAGAAAGAAACTCTGTCAGGGTGTCAGAGACCTAGAGGTGTGAATCTCACCATATATGAGAGCTGTATTCTCACGTTTGAAAATAGAACTTCACACTAAGGTCACGAGGATCCTCATACTGGTTCATTTCTTATTTTCCCCTCTGTGTGCAGTTCCTTCACATGCGGGTCAGGCATCTACCAGATACTTCAGTTATCATCAGGTTTTGTACAGTATAAACCAAAGAACAATAAAAGGGGCCCTTTGACAGCATTTGCACTTTATTTTTAATCATGTCTTCACCTTACAGAAGAAAATACTGAGCCTATTACTTACTTACATTAGTTTTACACTGACAGAAGATTAAACAACAAATCACACGGTTCATTATTTACTCGGTGGTTCCAACATGTTTGGCTTTGCTTTGCATAAGACTTTGTGTAAATTAGTTAATCAGAACTATATGTTGACATTATTTCCACCAGTCAGGTCATAAAACTTTTGAACCTCTATTTGTGAAGTTTTTACCATCAAGTCGTCTCTTAGTGCAAAATTTTCAGATCTTTAAAGAGATGAGGCGTCATTTTGTCCACCGGGGGCACCGAAATCAAGATAAACAAAAACTTCCTCACAGGAGCTTTAGTTGTTTTTCAGTCAAGGTTAAGAAGCTATTAGTTTGAGGACAGAATGAACTGTAATCATACGATGTTCCAGCTTTCAAACCACAATAGTATTACTAACAGGGTCATTTTACCGTGACCGGAGTCCAATTACTGTCTATGTTTACCTTCACATCACTTTGACGCAACTTATTTAGTCATTTTTACCTCGCTAAAGAGTCAGAATATTTCTCTCACTGCCTGCACCATTTGTTCCCATAATGTAACATCCTCTGGGGGGGGATCAGGAAGCGTCACCATGGCGATGCATCCGCTCACAGATGAAGGAAGTACCTCTCAGATTTTTTGCTCCTTTAAATTCCCTGTGGATGAGGATTTACGTGTGTGTGTGTGTGTGTGTGTGTGTGTGTGTGTGTGTGTGTGTGTGTGTGTGTGTGTAAGTCCTTCATGGAGCTTTTAAACCCAGATTCAACAAACTGTTCACACATTGTTGCCTCAGGAGGAGCTGTCATGAGGCTGGAGGAGCAGAAATCTGTAAAAATGTTGGACAGGAGTGACTCGGAGGTGTTAAACTCTGTCACCTCACAGAATTTAAACTGCGGTGTAAGATACATTGTTTTTTTATTTAATTGAATCTTGTTCTGATTTTAATGAAGATATTATCCATGCTTCGAGGGTAATTTCATCCTGTTTTGTTTGTTTTGTTCGATATGGAAGTGTTTGTGTGTGAGTTATGGACTGTTTTTCTAACCGAACAAGCTCTGATCTTTTCAACATCGTTCTTATGATAAACATTTACTCCCCACAGATGATCTCACTATAAGATAAGGGCTCCTGTTAATGACTGCTTTCATTATCAGTTAATCTGCTTGATTGTTTTGTCTACGAAAACATCAGAAAACAGTTTGTAATTTCCCAGAGCTCAAGGTGAAGCACTTTTCACTTTGAACTAAATTATTTCGTATATAACACTCATCTGGAGTCTTGTTCTCGCCTCTACGAGATTAGAGGTAGAAAAGCAGCCTTAAATTTCCAAGACACTCAAAATATTACTTTACGTGATGAGAAAGTGCTGGAGTATCTGATTGTCAACAATTTACAGTTACTAATCAATTTTCTGTTTAGTTAGGGTGGGAACTGCTGCTTCAGTCAGGATACTAAGATACGATATGTTAGTATATGACAAGACACACAATAGAATTACATTTGTGATACCTTTAAGAACCAGTAGGATAATATGTAATGTTACTTAACTATACCATATGATTTCAGATAATATAATATGATATAAAGGATTCCCGATACAACTTTTTGACTTCCGATACGATAGCCTTCAATACTGACCGATACCATTATTGATCCGATATTGGCGCTAAATTGTGCATGACATGTTTTTCACTCAGCTGCATGTCTTTTTCAGACTTAAACAAAAAATATTGCCACACATCACTCCTACTCTCTGCTATTTTGTAAGTACCTTAGTACACACTGTTGGTGTGATTTTGTGGGCTCAGCATGCTGGATCTGGGCGTGGCAAGATAGAGGTGCCGGAATATATATCGTATATATCGTATCGGGACATCCCTAGCATGGTACGAATGATATATGATTTGAACTATATAGTAGTATAAAATACTCCAAGATAAGAGACAATTATGATCATGACCTGATGGGATGATACGGTGCTATACGTTACATTAATTCACGTTACGTTATGTTACATTATGTTACATTATGTTACTTTCAATACAATATGACACAATAGGAAATGATAATGATTAAGATAAGATACAATTTCAATACAATTACAGAATGATATTTTATGTTTACCATGCCATATGATTACAAGCCAGTAGAGTGATATGATACAATATGATACGATAGGATACAACACGATGCTGCTGGATACTGTACTTTACTATTTGATACAGCATAATACACTATCTTACTATTTGACATACCAGGTTTTAATACATGGCCCAAAATACTGATAATATCAAGACGCAACAGTTCTGGGATAATCCACACATTATTCGCAAAATTATCACATAACAGCACTTTTAAACATCCAGTTACTTATAAATATTAAATTCCAAAGAAAAGGCAAAGAGCAGAATCAACACACTGTGGTTTGGAGTCACTGAAATGATACAGTTTGCATGTTTTTAGTCCATAAATTACATCTTTATAACCTGCTCCTGTTTATGCTAAACTTTATGACAAAACAAACTTGTTTTATGTAAACCTGCATTAATGTACCTGTAACAGTATTCACTCTGATGTCAGAAACTACAGTATAGTTTTTCTTTTTCCAGCACCTTTCACTTCATAAACAGTTTGTTTGATATTTCAGACTTTGTTTGTGGAGCATCCTTAAATACAAATGTTGCACAGTGAATCCAAACAGAATCCAAAATGAGGAAACATAACTGAATCCATTTTTTGCCCCTCTTCTTCTGTTCAGAAACAGCTAAATTTTTGTTGATAAATCATTTTGGATAAGTTCTCGTTTCCTCCTGTGACACGCAGCAGAGCGGGAGGCAGAAACTGTGATTTTTTTTTTTTTTCTGGCTACAGCTGAAAGCCGTCAGGAGTCTGAATAGAAATAAATACGTGCAAAAACAGAATTGAAAATGTAATGACGTATGCAGGTATATCTAAAAATAACTCTTACTCACACACACATGAAGTACACTAAAACCGACACTCTCTACATCCAGTCTTCTCTCGGGCAAACTTCCCATCACAATTTTCTCCATCCTACCTGATCCTCACTTCCATCCTTTTGCTCCGCCCACACATAATCCAGTCTAAATCTCCTGCGCCGTACTTCAAAAGGAGAAAAATCCTTTTGCACCTCACAGAATGGAAGATAATTTAAAACCACTGCAGACCCATAATATAGCTACGCCATCATTGAGTCCTCTGGAGTTGATTAACTTAATTATCAACAGAGCCAAGGACTAACAAGCCCAGCAGTCAATCCAATCCAATCAAATCCCTTTCACTCCACCTCCACCTTTGAACAGCGGCGCAGCTCCATCGTCTAACCCCACCAGCTAAGTGACTGATGGACGTAAAGTGTGTTGAATGGCCTCAATACAGCGCACACACACACACACACACACACACACACAGAGGTGAGGCCATTAGATGCTTGATTGAGCAGGCAAGGGCACACTCCTCAGCACATGTAATGGTAGAAAATGTAAGCCTCCTAATTGAAGCCCATGCTGAGCCGGGATTAAGTCTCAAATACAGTCTATAATTGGCCTCTGATTGCAGAACACAAGTTCAAATGTTTGAAAGAAATTATTTTGTCAAAAAGACGCCGGGGGTCAGGAAGGGAAAAAGCGAGGAATGTGTGTGTATCGTGTAGAGGCATGATTTTCTTGCCTTACGATATGAAGAAAGACCCTCAAAACTGTATCAAATTTACAGCAAACATCTTGACTTAAAACCTCTTCATCCTTAGAAACACACAGTCAGTATTCTTCCGTTCCCTGTTCACCAAATTAAGCCTTTCTTACTGATATCGTCATGATAGAAATCTTTTAAAAGTCACATGTACCACGACTGAAAAAGGGTGCCCATCAATCCTTTATTGAACTTTAAGTGTGGAGTGAAGACAACACTAAATTAAATGCCAGGTTTCACTTACAGTGAAGTATTTTTACAGTGTGTCATAAAAAAATTGAAGGATTTGAGCTCTTTTACTGCTTGAATTTTATCACTGGCTGCAGCTCTAACAAATCAAGCTTCAACAATTAAGTTTTTAATGTAACGTCCTTCATAATGTCAAGATTTTGGCTTGTATTCTTTATGCTTTGGAAAAGTGTCTCTCACTTTTTATCCTGGAGGTCTTGAGCTCATTGGCACTTGAGCACACTTGTGATTGTCCCCCTGTCGCTGGGCTTTTCAGACAAACACGGATATGTACGCCTCCTGATGCTCCTCTCCCTGCTCTCCTCTCTCCACCTGTGGCTGCCTCATAGTTTGTACCACTGTCGCACAACATGTTCAAGACACAGCGGTTCACCATTAATCTCAGCAGGAGCCGCAACTTCTGCATCTTGTTGTATTAGAAAGAGAGAGAGAGGGTGTCTAATTCAACGTGGCAGTCTCGATTATCATATTCTTATGATCATGCAGAGCCAAAATCATCATCAAAAGTGAAAACTGATTGATCACCCAACTCTACAACTTTCTGTCCTGCAATCCAGGCAATAGCATCAGTGTTGGTGAGAGCGTCTCTAGATTGCTGATCATTATCAAGTAACATAGTTGTGATAATAAAGGCAATGTTGGAAGTTGTGACATTTGCCTTGTGTGTTGTAACCCCCAATTTCCACCCCATCTGGAACAGCTATGAAAAGGTCGTATCCGCCGATCGTAGCTGATTGTAACCATTTAAGTCAATGTGTCAATTTCCACCGGCTTCTTTCCGTTCCGCTGCGGATCGCTGGACTCTGCAGCTGACCGCAAGAGTTCTATTTTTTCCGCACGCTGGAGCAAGCCGGATAAATTCAGCACAGATTAACCTGTGCTGGAAAGGAAGTCGGGCACAGACACAAAATCAAACATCCGGCTTCTTTTCAAAATAAAACACTCTGTGTTTCAGGCCGATCGTATTTCAAACTATTCAAACGAACAAGTGAAGGGTTTATAGACAATATTTCAACCCAATGACACCATGGATGAGGAGCTGCTGATTTTATAAGTCTAGAAGTAGATTTTCTCCTCTGGAAGGAGACAATCTACTGCTTATATGGTTAGCCTATGTAGCTAAAGACGTGATTGCACGTGAATCTGCGGGTTCTTGTGAGTTCTCGCGATTCCTGCTGTCTGTAATCCACCACGAAATTTGCCTCACAAACGCACCCTGAAGAATTGGCATACATCAAATATTGCCGCTGTTCCGGGTCAGAGCCGTCCCAGATGTTGTGGAAATCCTGGGCAAGAGTTTGTCAACTGCAATTGTTCAGGAAGAATCCTGAACATAAAGACAGAAGTCTCATTCAGCTTTTATTCACCAGACAAGAGGGTGGTTAACCTTCCCCTATAACTTTCGGTGACACGGCAAAGACAGGGAATCTTTAAAACTCAGATTTATTTTGCTGTTTTGAGTCCAACACAGTTCTATTAAGTAGTCAAAGACAATCTTAATCAGGAGGAAAGTAAAAACCGTCTGTTTGAGTTTAGAGGCTGCTGAAAACTCACTTATGGACACAGGACATTAGTGTGGGTAATGTTTCATGGTTTCTACACTCTCTCTAAACTTGTCAGACTTGTATTAGCAGCTGACAGCATCAAACGGTCACTGAGCACCCGCTGAACTCCTGCTTTAAATAACCACAGGCTGCAGCAGATATATAAAACAACTGCAGGCAGTCTTAAACCCATTGAGGCCCTCATAAGCTCTCTGCTTTTCTTCCTACACATATATCATCCTAGATTAACATCCCAGAGAGTCCTGAGGATTATCTTGTTAATTGCCCTCAATTACATGATTTTAATGAAAACGGTCACAAGAAAGCATTTTACATTATCCCGTCAGCTCATTCAAAACGGAAACAGAGACTTCCAAGGCTATTTTTTCACCATATTCATGAGCCTCGAAGATCCTCAAAGCTTTTCAAGAAGAACATGTGGCATAACTGCTGGCAAACGCTGGTGGAAACGTCCCAGGCCAGAAAACACACTCATTCTGAATTCAAAGCAGCCTGATGGGCAAGGACAGAGGAGAGAGACGGTTTTGGATTCATCTTGGCATATTCAGCGCTCTGGAAATTAATGCTAAATAACATCTTCATGCATCAGTGAAGCTGTGGAGGCATCCCAACTCATCATTGGCGTGTTTTTTTCCCCCTCTGCTCAGATTTTTTTTTGTTTTCTTCTTGGAAGTCTTTCCTAAAAAGAGAAGTGAGTGCTCAACAGTGATTTCCTTCTGCAAAGGTTCCAAGTGTAAGTATTTCACAGATCCTCTTTGGTCCTTTCACACCGTCTGTCAGGGGCTTCAGAGTCTGAACTCTCCTGAGATAAAAAGGCGAGGAAGTGGTGAAAGTAATCATTTTAGCACTTCCTCTCTCCCTGATCTCTCCTCTCTGACTCGTGCGTTGGAGATGAAAACTCCTCATCCAATGTGACAAATGCATACGGGATGTGCTGCATTCGGGCCAAACTAGCTCTCCTCTCCTCAAATGTTGCTGTGCAGTATTCTATCTTCAACAAGCTGACAAGTAAAAACATCAAATCTAAAATCTGTTTTATGGAGGAAAGTAAGTTTAACTTTAGACGTCTTCATAGCCTCCCTGCAGACATAGGCACGTCGTCCCAGGCCTTATCTGGCTCAAGAGACAAACATCTCTCAACTTTTAGTGCCTCCCTGCAAAAAGCATGTCTGCTATGAGAATGAAATATGCAGCCATAATAAGCCTTTTCTCCCTCTTTGTGCCTCATTCTTCTTGAATGACAGCCAAACGCATTACAAGCGAATAAATGTGGACTGAAATCTAATTACCATTTTATACAGCCTAAATTTACAAACTGTGCTGCAGTGCAGGTAGGCCCAGTGGTTATTTCAGAACATATTCTGCATACAAAGTGGGAATTTATCAAAAATGCTGCTGTGAATAATAAAAAAGTTGATAAAATAGTGATCAAACTCGATCACGCCGAGTTACTGTGAGGTTTTATTCACTAACAGACGATGGTAGCTGACCTCTGTGAAAGTTTTTTACACTTGAAGATACAGTTTTTTAAAAAAGGTCCATCAGTAAGTGCAGAATAAAATACTTAATTAAACAATATTACACTCAAATTGCTGGAGGAGATGGGGGTTTAATTGTATTACGGCATAATGGTGTTTAATCACAGAGTGGTTATGAATTTAACACAGACGAATGGCTAATTAGCTATAAAAAGAGCACTTTTCTAGTTAACATAAGGAGCAATAATTTGCTCTGTTGCAGAGAGGTTACAAGACTGGTAAGAGACTTTTCCCCCCAAAAGAAGCTAGAAAAAGAAAAAGAAAAAGCTTTCTGATGGTTCTATAAGCACGAAACATGAAAAGAAGGAGCAGCAGCAGAAAGAGCAACCAGCCAACTATCTTTACCCTTACCACAGTGTGTGATTGATTCTTCAGAGCAAATCATGTCAAAGAGTCTGACTGTAGCTCACCTGCATCAGAACATGTACAGTATGTATGTTTACATATGTATGTCTCTCTCTGGATAAAAGCGTCTGCTAAATCAGAGGCCCCAATCCACCGGGGCCCGGACCGGTACGGGTCTGTGGATCAACTAGTACTGGGCCGCAGAAAAAATTACGATGATTAATTTTTTTTTTTTTTCTTTTCATCCGTCCTCCCAGTATCTTATTTTGAAAGACCACCACTTCCACCATCGCCTCACTTTCGCACTTGACTCTTCCGCACGTCATTTTCCTGCTAGCCCTTGCACAAATGAGCCTGAAACAGAGTTCACTGGAGAGAGAAAGGGTTGATTCGACATTATGGTGAGTTGATGTTAAAGTGTAATGAAAAGTGCCTAATATAAAATGCAATTGTTGTATCCAGATTACATACTATGTACTGATTAAGGTTTTTGTTATTGGACCCTCCACGCCCCTGGTTTCCTGCATGAAACTGGTCCCTGCTACAAAAAAGTTTGGGGACCACTGCTCTAAACGACATTGTAACTTGTAAGAAGTTTCCTTACCAACTGAGAAGGACCTGGCTGCAGACCAACATAGTTAAGAAGTTGGACCTCACTTGGATCGCGGATGCTCAAAGAAATGGACTGATCTCACCGGTGAAAGTTGCTTTTCATCAAGTCCTTTCCCCAAACTTTAACGCAGAAGTTAAATTACCCAACTCTCGAAGTCTGTTTATGTTTTACCGTAAAAGTTTGTGAAAAAGACACAACAGACAACAACTTTCCTGGTGAGATCACCTTTTTTCCTTTTTACCAGCTGAGGTCCAACTTCTTGCTGCATATGCGTTCTGCTCTGTCTGCAGAACCTCAGTTTATTTTTTGCTGTTATCTCTAAATATTGCAATCATAATATTATCATTATTATCAGGATTTTTTTCAATTACAATATGAAAATCAGGTTTCATAAAAGCTCCATTACAGAGTCAAATTTAGAGGAAGTGAATTAGTCTTACTAGTCTTTTTGGAAGCACTCTGCATGAAATATGAGTCTTTCTTTTTTTTTTATTCTACTAGAAAATCCATAAAAGCTGAAAAATTGTGGTCCCATTAAAAAGCACTCAATGATTGAGTGAAAGCTTTTACTGCAAGGAACATTATTTGATGGTTGCAGTTTCTCCATTTCTAGTTGGAAACAAGAAAAAAGTCAGAGTTGTTTTTCTTGGTTGTATAACTTCCATGAGGGAAAATAACGCCTAACCAAAAATAATCATAATGCATGGGGCTGGAGAGCCAATCAGCATATAGCTCTTTATTAATGGGAGGCTATTACAGATATAATGAACGGACTGTAATTAATGCAGAGATAATTTATGTGCCGACTATGAAAGATGGTTGAAACTGGCCATAAAAAATCTCTGCACGGACTCTTAAGTGTTAGCATGAGGTGGTTGTTTAATAACAACGCTCTGCAGGCACCGGTGTCCTTTTTAATAACAGTTTCTCGCCCTTGTTCATTTTTTTGCCTGCTCCCCAGCACCCATAAATTACTCAGCTAATGCCCCAACAGCAGCAGCTATTGCTGAATCATTCAAAGACCTCAATTAGCAATTAAGGGCTTAATGAATAGAGGTCCTAGCTGGGCCATTCTGCTCCCCGCCCAGAGGGGCCCAGAGGAATCTAATCTCTCCTGCAGGACTTGTACAGTAAATACCAGCTAACGGTGCAGAGCAGATAGAGAAAAGTCTGCCTCTGCACACATATAATGAGCCCTGCAGTTCTGAGGCCTGTTTACTGCTGTATATGTTCCTGGAATTTTCCTCTAAAACATTTTCACTGTGGATTTTAACAAGCAGAATGACCGTCAAACAGCATATTCTCATTTTTCCCCCCACATCCTATTACCTTCTGCAGAATACTCAACCTGAGTTTGAACTGAAAAGGGAGAGAGGAAAATGGCAACAAAAGGAGAGAGACAGAGAGGCAGAGAGGGAAATAAAAGGTTGGGATGGGAGACAGGAATGAGAGAAGTTCAAAAAAAAAGGAGGAGGGGGGGGGCATTTGCAATGTCAATCATCTTCAAGGAGCTCAAAGCCGGGCCTTGGACCAGAATATCAAAGACAGGAAACGCAGGCATACATCATGCGGTAGGTAGAGCTGCTTTATAAATTATTACTACGACTCCATCCCTTTATATTTCCGTGCTATCAGCCTTTTATCATTTATATATTTTTCATACCCTTAATGAAGCCACTTTTTGAACCGTAAGGTTGCGAGCTCCTGTATGGAGAATAGTCTCCACTTTCCATCAGCTTTATCTCTCCTCTCTTCCCCTTTTCAAAGTGAATTTATGGGCAACTCTGTGAAGCGTTGCGACTTGAGGGCAGACGACCAACGTGCCCAAAATGAGTTGTACCATAATCTGATTTTGAGCAACCTATAGCCCGGACGGACGATGACAGCAGGGAGATAAAAGCACAATGTGACCTATACAGTGAGGCGGGAAGAAGCCGTATCTCTGCGGTGTGATTTAGATTGCATCTTGCAAAAACAGCAATTGATTATCTCTGCAATCAACGTGTTTGTGCGTGCTCTCGCAGACCTGAAATTTGAGGTCAGTGTGCATCATTTATGCAGCTTACGAGTGTTTGCACTGTTAGCTTTTGTAAACAGCGACAGAAGTGAGACACAGAGCGGTGCAGGAGGACACTTTGATAGCAAACAGCTCCTCAGATGTTGCCTTGTTAAATCCACAGGGACATTTTGCTTAAGGAGAACGTTTTTAACCCTGTTTTCTTCCCGCCAGCAGCCCTCACCATCTATTGTGCCTCAAAAATCCTCAGTTGCATCATCGCGGATCGTGCTGCTGCTTATTTAAGTGTCTTTCAAAGTTTATTTTTCATTCTATCCGGAGGAATTCCTGTTTACCGCACTGAGGAAAACACTCCAAACCATGGATTACTCCTGCATCAATCTGTGCCTTCGAAGGAACAAGAGGGAGAAAAAAAAAGACTCCACCTGCTGTTCTACCAGGGGAGTCCACAGCCATCCTCCAGGGCATGTGAACAAACGCCATGCTTTCCCATATCTCTTGGCACTGACAAATTTCTCCATTTCCTTAATTCTCCTCTTGTGTGACTGCCAAATATAGCATTCGCTCCACTAGGCTAAAGTAACTGGGTCACTAGAGCTGCAAGTAATTAGCTGGTTTCTGCTTTAAGGCACGAGCAGGCGGCAGAGTGACATGCAAAGTCATATCCAGGTGATGCTTTGAGAGGTCAAAGGTAAAAGAGGGTGAAAGGCAGGGAGACACGGTTTAATCTGCAGGAAGCTGGAGGTGTTGGAGTTTCCTCACAGAGAATACTAAAAACAACATGATTATGGGTTTATTTCAGGAATAATCTGCAATTCAAATTCTGCTGTGCTTTTAATCGTGAACAAACTGAGAGTGTTTTCAGTTTCTTGCATAAAAGATAAGACACAGAATTAGCAAACACAGTGAGAGTGGAGTGAATACATGCTAAAGGTGCACATTACACGTAACGCCTATTTGAAACACACGTTGACACACGTTTTTCTGTCTCAGAGATTCATCGGCTTTCAAGTTTCTTTCACGTTTATTTCACAGCAGTTACACCTGAAAATATAACGCAATCCATCCTGTATTAACGCAACGAATGTGTCATTTGTAGAGTTCAGAGTGTTTCATTTAAACTAGGGCTGCGTCACAAAGATGGTAATTAAACTACATTGGTAAACTTGCTTCTATGCGAACAACAAAACAGCAGATTTGACTAACATACATATGTTTTTTATAGAGTGAATAAAATCATGCATGACGCAACAGCCGTCCAAAGTGAAGCCAGAAGTTGAAGAGCTCTTGGTGGTGATTGGCAGCAATTATTTGATGTTTAAAATGAGGGGATATGACATCATGATTGACAGCTCTGTTGACCAATGTGAACTGGTTTGTTAGATAGTGAAGAAATCGCAATGAAGACTTACATAGTATTTGCGGTAACACTTTATATGACGCCCATCTCTATAATGTATTATAAATATATGTATAATGCGTTACAATCCCGTTATAACACTGTAGAACTATAGTTATAAACACTCATAAATGATCACAACACATTATAAAGCACTTTCTCATGAGTACAAGGTCAGGTATTATAATGTGTTATAACTGTTAACACCTGTTGCATTGCATTATCTATGTGGGCATTGTCAGGGATTTGTTAATAGCTATAACACATGATAATGCCTGACCTTTATAATGTGTTATGAGTTTTGCATAAATAAGCAACTTCTAGTTAAAAACAACAAACAAACCCCCAAAAAGCTCACCCGCGACTCACAAGTCTTACAAGCAACTTTTGAGGGAAACAAGCTCAAAGACGTTTACGTCGTTTGCGTCTACGAATATTTTTGCCTTTGTTTAAACTTGTCTCTGTTCACGAATGCAGATCTAGGATGTACGCACGTGCGTCCAAATGGAAACAAAACAACGGCTAGGTTTTCAAAATAAAAGCAACACACTTGTATAGCATGTTGATGATTTAATTGACGTACCTCACGAAGGGACATCCAAGGGGCCAGGTCTGTTATAACGCATATAAATATATATTTAAAATGCATTATAGAGATAGACGTCAAATTAAGTGTTACTGTATTTGCTTCTAATCAACACAAGTATCTATTTGGACTGTCCCAACCTGAGAGCTCTTTGCTGTTTTAAATGTGTGTCTCAGTTATCAGAGGGAGTGTGATGACAGCCCTACAGCTATGATCACTTCAGCACACACTTGGACTCCACTGGCATAATATTGCTGAGGTGGTATTTCGATCGAGGTGTGCCGTCCATATTAATCCATTAAAGTCAATAGTTGAAACTTACTGTATTTCAAAGGGGAAATTTCACTCTCTGAAAGGACAAAAACAGTGACACACGACCCTCAGCCTTAAGCTAACCACCTCTTATGGAAGATAAGAGTCAAACAGTTTAGAAAGACTTCCTTTATAAACTCTTCCTGCAACATCTGGACACTATAAATCAAACAAACCCTCCTCCCCCTGGCATAAATAGCACATCTATTCTGGACTATATTCAGCTGTGGATTAATGCAGAATTGGTGTCCATTTGAGTATTAACAGAGTGAGACAGTGAGCGTGGGACTGACTCAGAATAAGCTGTTTTTGTGTTCATTGTCATGTGGGCACAGTGACATTTATTGATGTGTTTTTAATGTTTCTTGGATGACAAGAAACAACGATCTTAGGCAGCACTTTGGTCATTTTCCTCAATCGATTCTTTTAAAGAGCATTTCACCAGATGTACTTTTGATCTGCAAACTACACAACAGAGGATATGACTTAACAAGATATTTTAAATGAACACTGTGTTGCGCCTTAAGCTGGATCTCTTCTTCGCTTTCCTGCAGCTTGTTTACCAGTTTTCAGGATTTCAATCTCAAAAGGTCAAGTCAGTCTTTTTCATTTCTCAAATATTCTGACCAGGCCTCGCTGCTTTTAGTCAAATAGTCACAGAATTTAATCTGATACGCTGACACAAATCTCTCTTCCTGTGACGGTAAGACTCTTAATCTAATGAGTTTCACTTAGGAGTGTGTTTTGTGAATGGGTGTCATGCTGTCTGACTCAGTATGAAGAGGAGTAAAGTTCACCTGTGGAGTACAGGGAGGAGTTTGTAGGTTAAACAAACAGACCTGCATTAACCTGACTGCTGTTTGTGTATAAAAACAAAACAAAAGCCCTTTTTTTTTGGAGAAGCCAGTGTGGCTCATATTCAGAGCACATCCTCACCTACTCTCTCTTTCCTATATTACTTGACTCTCTTCAGCTTTCCTAATCAACGCAAAAACAATCACAGAGACAAAATTAATCCATTGTTTTACTCCAAATCTAACTCACTCATTCACAACTAGATAGATATGGTGGCCACACCTATCCAAACTTTAAATATTTAACCAAGTGAAGCATAAACCTGAAATGTTGTTCATTTTGCAGCTCAGTAAAGTTTAAGCACCAAAACTTCAACAGCTTCGTTTAACTTTGGAAAATTTAATACCGTCTTTAGTTAAACATTAAGTTAATGTCACCAAACCAGAGAGAGAGTTTCTTTGGCAGTAGATCCTGAAGCCTGTCTGCCCTTTATCTTATCAGCACCATTTAGTGCAGATATTGATGTCCATGTATATCATAGGTTGTTAAATAATCAGATGTCACATTGTCAGTGTCACCTATTTGTTTCTGAAGCAGAGTTTTTAAGTCCTCACACTGGTAATACTGACTCAACCTAACTTTTTATCAGCCTGTCAGAGGCGGAAAAGTCAGCTTCTGATTTACCAATCTCATAACCTAAAAAACTTCTAAACAAATGTGTTACAAAAGGCTGTAAATGTGTTTATTTTTTAACTCTACAAACTGGCTATTTTGCCTCAGTGTCTACATGGTTCCTTGTGTCTCTGCGGCCAGCCTCAAGCAGACACTCAGGGCAACTGCAGTTTTGAGCAGCTTTCATTTGTCAAGACTGGGCAAATCTTAAACATTGTATTTTGTGATTTATTGCACAGACTAAGACACTAAGATGCAATCATACAATCAAAAATTACACAACTTTACACTGAATGAACTTCAAGGAAAGCAGCAAAGGTAGGGTTTGCTCTCCAGGACAGCACACTTGCACTGGATACCAAGTTTGGTTTGGTTGTTGTATGTGTGTTACAATAGCAATTCGCTCTGAGGTCAGTCTTCCTGCAACTGCAAAAACACTCCCTGGATTGTGCAAACCCTGGTTGTGAATCACTGGCAGATGGTACAGAGGATGGTGGGTTTTACAATCAGCTGAATAAAACTATCATCTCACTTTTACTGCATTTATAAATCATCTTTTCCTGAACCTAATTCAGTAGTTTTGTTGCAAAATCATGATTGTTTACCAATGTAGACATCGTAGACAATATACAGAGCTGATGTCTGCTGTACCTCTAGTGCAGATATTTGTGTTAATTCTCAGAACTTTTCCAGTTCGGTTGGAAAAAAGATTGAATGAAGTTGTTCAACAAGTTGAAAGTCTATAAGAAGTCCTTCTGTAGAAGTATTATCATTTGGTTCCTTATCTGTGGTTCAACCTCTGTTTTAACCTCTTGAATGGAGGGTAGCGAGCTTGAAATAGCTCAGACTAAGACATGTGCGGTGGAGAGGCCAGGGGTTAGTGAGAAGAGACTCTCCAGACTTCCAGGCTAGAATCAGCACGCTCCAGCTGCCAGAGCAATAAAGTGCTGGCAGCTGTCCATGGTGCTGAAATCAAGCACAATCTCTTTGAAGGGAGAATAAAAGGAGCTGGCCGTGGTGCTGAGATACTGACGCTGCCGGGCTAATGGCACGCATCACAACAGAGCTGAGCATCAGGTGCGTGCATACATACACTGTGGCATTTGTTTATCTAAACTGCTGAAAGACAAAGCTAAAAATGTGTTGAATATGACTAATGCAGGCGTGGAACTTCAAATCCAGATCCAAGAATAGGAGATCTAATAAGGAGCAGTGGGTATTGCTGCATACATAATGTAACACAGGACTGCTCTGAGAAGTTGCTCACATACATGTGGGCGCTTTGCAACTTTTTTCCCCCTGAAAAAGCCCCTTTGTCTTTTTTCTTTTACAAAATTTTTCTTTTTTGTTTGTCTGCCTCCCTGCTGTGTTTCCCTCTTTGGTTATCTTCCACATGCAGGGACATAAAAAAAAGAACGGCTCTCCTAATCTGTTCTTTGACCTAATGTCTGAAAACAGGAACGGCTCAAAAATGTTTTTCATCCGTATCTTTTAGGAGATGGACTCTGTGGTGCGTGGCTTTGAGGCGGCCCTCCTGTCCTACACCTGCTAAGGGTCAATGATCATCCCAGGACCCATGGGTGCAGAAAGCTGAGCAGGGACAGATTACTGACCGGACCAGAAATGCTGGAAACTTCATGCCTCCCTTCCTTCTTTCCTGTCTGCCTTAGTTCCCCTCTGGCTCATATGTGATTCAGTGCATGCGTATATAGGCTGCTGGCTATTCCAGAACCAGCCTTCCACTTCATCCCCAGCCAGAGATAAGTATTGTTTGCTTAGCAGCACATTTCATGCTCGGCTTCCCCCACCTGTTCCCTGACCTGCAAAGTCTGAAGGCTGGAGTAGCTGTCAAATGCCGTCACTCATATCTGTTGAGGGTGATTGAAAGAAGGATCGTTTTTTAAACAGAGAGCACAAAAACAAAGTTTAGTGAGGGATTTTTAAAAGAGCTGAACCCAGCAGTCTTTCTTTTCCACCATTTCTCTCTTTTCTCTTTTTTTTTCAGCCTGCTAATTGCAGTGGATTTTGTGTGTTTTTAATTTGTCGCCTGCAGGTTTGTGGGTGATTTCTGGCTGCGTGTCAAGGTCAAAATATTCATCAAAATCTATCAGCTTGATTTGCATAATGAGCTGCTGCAAAAAAAACCTGCCAAGGCCTCAAACGCTGCCCCCTCTCCTCTTCAACCCTCCTCTTCCCCATTGTGTTTAAGTTACCGAGCTTTGCTGTGTGTTTGATGTGTCCACTGGTTATCACCCACAAATGCAACAAGGTTTCTGTGTGTGTGTGTGTGTGTGTGTGTGTGTGTAGCAGGAGGAACAGGGCGGATGAGCACAGCTGTGTTTGGCTCAACTGGCAGAAATCTGTTGTTTTCTCCGTTTTTTTTGTCTTTGCACAGCAGTGATTTGCATTCAGTAGACTTATTTTTTAAAACTGTTTCTGAAAGATAGAAGGAAGGGCAAAAAAATCTGCTTTATTTAGTACATTTCAGCACTTTTATTTCAGGTCTTTAAAGCAACAACAGTATGGATTATCACATGTGCTTCTGCTTTGATTCATAGAAATATCTATAATATTGTAAAATCTCGAGCTATAGGATAAATCTCTGTCAAAGATGCTCCTCGTCAAAATCAAAAACTTCCCCTTTGCGCATCAAGGCAGTGTAAAGAAGTGCAATGAAAATGCCAAAACAAACTCCAGCAAAGTTCAATTCCTCACCTATTAGAAAAGTAAAATCCTCAAAGATGAAAATCAAAACTGTTATTTTTGCGCCCTCGGAGACGCACAGCCTCCAACACCAGAGAAACACTGTGAGATCAGAGGAAAGCACCAAAACCAGACCAAAACAAGCCATGAGAAAGGGAGGAAAAAGCCTAAAAATAAGGAAAAGGTTGGGGATAATAACAAGTGAGCTCGCCAAGAAGCGGCTTCGGGAGGAGAAGAGGAAGAGAGAAGAGAAGAGAAAGGGGTAAAAAATATCAAGAGCGTCCGCAAGCACGTAGAAAGATTTCTCAGTGGATGTCGCCGGAGCAACAACACTCAGCATCCAAAGATTTAAATCACTGCATGCAGAAAACGAGAAAACAGTTTCCCCCATGTCGCAACACCAAGACAAGAAAGCAAGAAAAAGAGGATAAAAATATGCGTGAGAAAATGTCAGTGGAAAATGTACTCACCGAGCGGGAGTAAAAGGTTTCAATTAAAAAGAAATTGGGCGTATAGCGGTGGTGGTTGGTGGTGTGCAGGCTGGTGTGCACCGAGGCTCTGCGTCCCCTTTTGCGCTCGCACTCGCTGCCGGTGACTGGGTCACGTGACTTGGGGTTGGCCAGAGTTTCTGAATCAGTCCGGGGGCTTTACACGAGGAGGCATTCAGAGATGTTATGATACAAGCTTTCCTGGTAATGCCATTGATTTTTCTGCACAGCGTGTCTGGACTTTGTCACAACAGATTATGGGTACGATCCGGTGTTACTGACGGCATACTGAGTGGGTCAATAAGGGGCAAAATAAAGTGACTTTAAACAAAATGATCCAAAGAAAACAACTAGAGTTGTTAGAAGTATGAATGCCCGATGACTTTCTGTCAGTATTATTTATTTTTAAGTCCCTGATCCAAAGAAATGAAGAAAACTACCTGTAGGTTATGAAGACAGCAGGAGGTAAAAGCTGGATAAAGCATATTGTTGATAACAATGTAAATGTTTAAGGCTACCATTAGCCTAAGAGGCACCGACAGACTTTACTTACTTCTAAATTTTCCCTTGTCTTTGTATTGTTGCTTTAAATGTTTATCCATCATAGAACCGTTTACAAATGTGTCTCAAATATCACTTTTTGGATTAAGGCTACATCAATACACAAAAACTTTACCTGTTCCCTCTTGAAATAACTTACATTTGAGGACTTTGTTTGACTATCCCCAAGCTATTTAAGGTGACAATGTTGTTGCTGAGGTCTGGTAAGAATATAGCACATAAACTACTTGGTCAGGGTACAAAAAAAGAAAAAATTAAGAGAAGCAAAAGGTTAGAAAATGTTATTAGCCTACCATAATGCTCCTGCTAGCAAACCTTTAGCTAGCTAGCCTGTTCATAACAGGATACAAACTGCTGGGGTGTTAGTGAAAACCAGGCGGCTTTTATATCTTTCATCTTTCTCTTAGCCACAATTTCCACTGCATCCAGAATGGCTCCGATCCGGAACAGTGGCGATTTTTGCCATCTGCCAATTCCTACCGGATCCATTTGTGAGGTGAATTTCGTAGTGGATTACGGACAGCAGGAATCACGAGAAATCACAAGAACCCAAGTTGTCTTTAGCCACACAGGCGAACCATATAAGCATTAGATTGTGTCCTTCTAGAGGAGGAAATCTACTTCTAGACTTAAAAAATCAGCATCTCCTCATCTTTGGTGTCATCGGGATGAAATGCTGGCCCCGCCCGTTTGCATGGTGTGCATGGTTGCATGATCCACCTGAAACACAGAGTGTTTTATTTTGAAAAGAAGTCAGATGTTTTATCTTGTGTCTGTGCACGACTTCCTTTCCAGCACGGGTTAATCTGTGCTGAATTTATCCGGCATGCTCCGGCATCCGGAAAAAATAGAACTCTAGCGATCAGCTGCAGAGTCCATTGACACATTGACTTGAATGGTTACGATCAGCTATGATTGGTGGATACAGCCTTTTCGGAGTCGTTCCGGATGCGGTGGACATTGAGGGTTAGCAAAATCCCAGAGATCCCCCATGGGGTTCATGTCAGGCACGTTGGCTGTCCAATCAAACACAGTAATACCATCACCAGCAAACCAGTTCCTGGTAGTTTTGCCGCTGTGGGCAGGTGCCAGGTCCTGCTGGAAAAGGAAACCTGTATCTCCTAAAAGCTTCTCTACAGATGGAAGCACTAAGCTCTAAAATCTCACAGTAGATTGTCGGCTGTGTTGACTCTGGACCTGATTTGTCGAGCTCCTCTGAGTTCTTGAAGCTGTTTTGTTTGACAATCCCCTCAAGGCTGCAGTCATCCCTGTTTTTCTTTCCTTCCAGTCAACTCTCCATTAATCTGCCTTCATACAGCCCTCTCAGCAATGACCTTCTCAGTGATAGTCTTCTGGACAACAAAAGTCTAGTCAGCAGTCTTCCTATGATTGTGGTTGTGTGTACCGAGCCACAGCGAGAGAAGAAAGGCTCAGTAAACCATTGCAGGTTAGAGTTAATAAGCCGATCAGAGCTGCTTTTAGATCTGGAATAACTAATGAGAAATTGGATTTTTCCACAATATTCTGACGTTTTGAGATGGTGGATTTTTGGTTTTAGTGAAAAGTCTTGAAATATTTCACTTTGTGTGTGATGAATCAAGTCAGATGTCTCCGTTTCAATTCTTTGTTTGCCAACGATACTGTACACAAAGACAATATCCAAAAATTAAATTCCCGACCAGATGTCCTCAGTCGCTCACCGCCAGAGTACTGGAAGTCCCAAATTGGTGTTTACTGCTCCAAGAGGCTGTTTCAACTAATTATGGCTGATGGGTTTCCACACTGGTCCATTTTGGTGCAATTAAAAAGGAGCTCTCCAAAGATATAAGTCATGAGCACTTGGGCGACGCTAGTCAAAATCAAAACAGAAAGCTGTACTCTGTAAGCTACAGAGTGAGAAATAAGTTCACCTCTGCCTCGGTTTGTCTCTTCCAGAAAAGTTTGTCAGACCAGGGGTTCATTAAAAACCTCTCTGATCATCTAACCGCTGGAGTTCCTTTTCGTCTCATGTTCCCATTTCTCCCCAAAATTAACTTAGGGGGCTCAGTGAAGTCCCAAATAGCAGAAATGACAGCCAGAGCTAACTAACAACATAAAAGGGAATATCTTGTCACAATTAAGTCAAACAGCATTTTTCATCTCATTGCTCCGAGTGGCTCATTATTTTATTTACATAAATTTGGTCCCCTTTGCTAATTATCCTCGTCGCTGAAGGCTGTTATCTTACACTGAATGATTGAAGATGGTTTCAATATATCATCACAATCCAGGCTTCTTGGTTCTCTCTCATTAAAAACTACTTAAAGGATAAATCAACTGGGTTTCTATTGAGCCCAACGAGCACATTGATCATTAGTAAGGGTGTCAACACTTGGGCAGTTTTTAATAGTGTTAGATTTAGTCAACAAGGCAATGAGTTCACACAGAGCCCACAGGTAAGAGGAAGTATTGATTTAGCAAAACATGAAGAGTAACCTCAGAAAAGAAAAGGTGCAGTTTCAGTCTGAAGACCTCAAACTCCGGCCCGCTGGCTTGTCATCATGTCTCATTTAATCCCGCTCTGTAAGGTTGACAGCTGCAGGGTTCCTGCCCATTCTTGACGGAAACTCAAGTGGTCGTGCTGTCAGGGAGGAGCAAGTCTTTGCTGTAGCTGCAGCGTCTGCTGGGCATATGAGCAAAGGGTCTGTACGGATCAATGACTTCTCAAGGGGCTGATGGACGCAGACAGACAGATGCAAGGGCAGCATGCTCCCTACCAGGTCCTCTTTGTCTTCTCATTGCAAGGACAAAGTGTTTGATAGAATTTGGCAAACATCATGGGACGCCCGTCGGATACGCTTATTGTTTCAGGTGATTTTTACAAGGTGAGACTCGGATGGTGTTCAAATCCCGCGGTGTGTTGGAACTCAGTCGGTTTTTGTGACAGATAATAACTTGTGCTTCAAACACTGGGAGCTGGTTATACCTGCAGCCTCTTACTTTGCTCGGTTACGACCTCGGTGTTTGTTCCTCTGGCTTTCTGATTGTTTTTTTGTTGTTTTTGTTCTGCATGTGAAGTCCTAAGTTTCCACTGTCTAGTTTCAAACTAGTTATTTTTAATTGCGCCATTAAATTTGAGAAACTTTCAAGGTTAGAAACTTCTGTCGTGCTTTTGAATCAAAAGCTTCCTATTAAAATTTTTCTTTCCATGAGGAAACTGCCAATGCCCTGTGAAACCAAAGTAAAATCTGAGCCAAAATCATCATCTTTTTGGCTAAATGTCCACTTTTAGGACCAAAATACAACCATCTGTCAACAAATGGGTCGCACAACTGGGTTTAAATTGATGACCCAATGTGTGGGTCTGTTTATGGATACAATTGTTTTTTAATAGAAGACTCTTTTGTTAGACATATTCAGTATATGCTCTGTAAAATAAATGGTAACACTTTACTTGACGCCTACCTCTAAAATGTTTATAAATATATGTATAATGCGTTATAATCATGTTATAGCACTGTATAACTATAGAAATAAACACTCATAAATTATCATAATGCTTTATAGCAATAATCACAACACATTATAAAGCATTTTATCATGACTTACAAGGTCAGGTATTATAATGTGTTATAACTGTTAACAACTCACTTACTATGCCCACATAGATAATTCATGATACATTTATTTATGAGGTGTTATAATTGCTTATAAACTTGTATAACTATCATTATAAACACTCATAAATGATCATAATGCTTTATAGCAATAATCATAACACATTATGAAGCATTTATCATGACTTACAAGGTCAGGTGTTATAATGTGTCATGCTTATTGTTATAAAGCCTTATGATAATTAATGAGTGTTTATAATTATAGTTATATACAAGTTTATAAGCAAATTATAACATATCATAAATATATGTATCATGAATTATTTATGTGGGCATTGTCCACAGAGATGAGTTGTTATAACACATTATAATACCTGACCTTGTAAGTCATGATAAAATACTTTCTAATGTCTTGTGATTTTTGCTATAAAGCATTATGATCATTTATTAGTGTTTATAACTATAGTTATATGGTGCTATAATGTGATTATAACTCATTATACATAGATAAATAAATATATATACATTATACATATATTTATAATGTGTTATAGAGACAGGTGTCAAGTAAAGTGTTATCAAATAAACATATAAACATAGTTTTTATATTCAAGTGTCTGTCCAGAGGCATCAACAGGGATGGTTGGACCCCTTCAAAAATCACTCTGCACAAAAGCCTGGATGCAGATGCTTTGCTGCTAGGAGTTTGATTACATGGAGCACAAATCTTTAACTTATGAGCGCAGACAGATATACGACCAACTCTGCCGGAATAGATGCATCTCAGTCTGAACCCTCTCGGGATTTTTGTATCTGGATAAATATAATTTCTATTTACAGATTCTGCACATAACTACAGAAGAGTGTATGCATGCAAAGCGAAAGGAAAGGACCATAGTGTGCTGCAATACGACCCTGGAGCCCATCAGCAGTCGTCTCATGTCAATTTAGCATTAAAACAGAGTACTGGATGCAAGTGCAAGTGTCCAACTCTGTCTCTTTTCAGTTTTATCTCATGATAGCTGAAGGAAAAGGACAGGATTTCTAAAAAGCATTAGCGTCATGAAATTGATGGTCCGTATGCAAAATAATAAGAAGACCTGTTGTTATCCACAGAGAACTGACAATCATCGAGTGAACACACTGTATCATGGACAGAGTTAGCCTTAATCACAGAGATGAGGCCGTACATGACCACAATGTTCTTATGTTCTAATGGCAAGTCAGAAGCTGTTCTAACTCTGATATGAACTCCTGCTGGGACAGATTTACGAGGCCTTAACCGAACTTAACAAGATTCAAAAGTTTGAAACTAGTTAGAGGTAAACAAATTAAAATTTTAAGTTATACGGATGAAGAGTCGTATAAAAAGCTGGATCAGCTGCTGGGGGAGCTGGTTTGAGTGGTGGTGTGTCAGCCTTATTATGGAAATATGTAGCCTGCTATTTCTACATCAACTCATCACAGTAGTTGGAGATGTCAGTTCAGCTGAAAGCAAAGCTCAAAAAGAAGCTCAGCAGTCCTCTCTGCTCGGCGTCGCACAAAACTCTCTGAGCAGATGCCACTCCTGCACAGTATGATTTCAGTATCTATTCATCTCCATCCACCTTCCTCCACCCCACTGCACAGGGTGATTTCTCTGGCTGGGATCCCAATGCTCTATGTGCAGAGTCCAACAATATCTGGCACACAGCTCATCTTAGCTGATACTCTGGCTGACACTCCCAGCTCCAAGTCACGCAGGCAGAGGGGGCGATCATGGACAAGGTGTGTGTGTATGTGCGTGTATGCGAGTGTGTTTGTGTGCGTTATGTCTCCCTCATAACACCTGATACAGCTGGATTTATTCTCCACCTCAGGAGCCATGAGTCTGCACCGTGGCAGAGCAAGAGCTGTAATTATGTGGGGAACAGGACATGTAATGCAACGTTAATGGCAAAGGGACTGCTGCCTCACCCACAATGTCCCCCTTTTCAAACACGGATAGTGCATTAGCAGCAGGGATTCACTATCCGCTCACTGATTGAAGCTATTAAATACAATTTAGGGTATGTAGAAATGGAAGTCAAAGCAAGCGGCTGAGTAGTGGGTATGTGCAGACCAAATAAGCTTTGTCCTGGTATAATGCTGCCACTATTATTCAAGACTCTCAGGGGAAAAATGTGCATTTTAATGGTTTCTAAGTTACAGCTCAGAGGAAATTTCACTGCTGGTCCTCTCTTGTTTTTTGTCCTCTTTTTCAATTGCTTTTTTCCTCCCGTTCAGCTCTGCCCTATATTTCAGGCATTTCCTTGCGTGCACCGCCGTTCCTCGCAGAAATTACACTAAAGAAAGTAATTTAAATGTCTGCAAGATTCATGAAAACACCATTTGTGCTGCTTACTCAAAAACAATGATTAGACAAAAGGTCATTTACGAGTGCAGCCGCTGTTTACGTTTGTGTGTTTGAGTGTGTGTTCCTCGTGCGGACAGTGTGTTTGTCAGCGCTTCTGCAGGCGTGCACGTGTCTGATGAAGCGTAACCTTTTAATGTGTTTACACATTGACATTTCCCCAAGATCTGTAGCATTCCTCTGTGTAACCGAAACCCTTGACATTTTTTAAGGCTCACATTTCCCTGAGCTGCTGGCCCTGTCAGCGCTCACATCATGCAAAGCCGCCATCAACAACATAATTACATCAGCCCAGATACCTCAGCTGCTCCCTGTCAGATAAGAACAAGTTAATGTTTCACTTTAAGACACAGTGTCCTACCTGTCTGTTGTCATCTAATCTGAACACATTGTGTTTTTGTACACGAGGGTGCGATATTTCCTATTCTGGGAATCCCTATCTGTGTTCACTAAAGTCCACCGACTACATCCACTGAAATTAAAAGGCAATACTGACTTTTTTAAATCACACATCCAGGCCACGGTGCTGACTCTTCAATGAGCCCTGACACCTAATGACTATGTGGGTTTTAGTCCATCTGCTCATTTGGCGCCTCAATATGGCCACCCATATGCCGTGGTTCTTTGTATCATACTGTGAGTTAACCTGGCGTACTTCCCCTCCTGATATTATTCCTATTCTTTGTAGAAAAAACAGCAAAAGTGAAGCTTTAACTCAAACTTTAAAAACAGGGCAAAGAGCTGCTGCTGCTGACATTGATGCACGTTGTATAAAATTTATATTTGAAAGCTGCACTATGCTGCAAAATGTATGTTCACAAAACAAATCAAACCTCTACATGTTGATTTAACAGGCGCACAAACCTGACAACTGTATCAAACACACAGCTCCTTTAAAGACAATGTTCCCGCAACTTCAAACTTAGTGTTTTGTTTTTTTACAACCGTATTTTACTTGTCTGATTACATCTAATGGCTCAATAATAAACTCTTTTTGCAGATAAACCTGCATTTAAAAAACAACAACTCTAAAACCAGCATTGCCCAAGCTGTTGAGCCCCAAAAGACTGAACTTTTTAAAGTCAAAGTACTCTCACACTTCATGCAACACTCATCATGTTTGCATGATGTTAACAGAATCAAAGTATTGCATTAATGTGCCTGAAACCAGTTAGCTTCTTACTGCATGTCATAATAGAACAACCTGCTAAACAGTTTTTACCAGGATTTGCATCGGCAACTAGTGAAGCAATGGTAGATTTACTTTTGTCAATGAATAGGTTCTTGTCTGGTATTGGTATACTGGGACAATGACAGTCTCCCAGTTAAAATGTCCAGTCAAGCTTTAACTGCATCTCAAATTCCTTGGGCAAGTAAACCTGCTGATTGATTAGCTTATTAAGACCACAATCTAAGAGACCGCATTTAGGGAAAGAAGGGCCAGGGTAGGGGAGGCTTACGTTCCCCTTTCTCCCCAACATCACTGAGAGAAGAAAAGAGCTAAAATTGAAGCTAAGCGCCTATAAAGAGATGTTAGAAAAGGCAGAGCTAGCATGAGAGGCCTGTTCGGGCCAGAAGTCATCCTTGTGAATAACCAACAGATAGTGTTTGAAAATAAGATGGAGCAGACCAAAACTGAGAAAAAAAAGACAGCAAATGTTTGCTTTTTATATGCTTGGTGTTGTTAAGATACCATTGGTTGTCATTTTAATCTGTTTAGCTTGATGATGTTACATTTAACCTTTCCTATCCCCTTCCCTCTCATTTTTGTGGCTTTACTTCCTGCTGTCCTTCTTAGCCCCGCCCCTTTTTTAGCCTCTGAACAAGCAAACAAATTTTCATCATATTTGGTATCAATTGTAGGAGTGAAGGCATGAAACATGTTTAAAGTTAAAAGAAAAGGCTTACCATGATTGAGGGGGTCCATGGAGAACATGGAGGGAAATTCAAATATCCACAGATGAGGTAAAGTAGGTCCAGTAAAGTAAGGTAAAAACACGTTAGCAGTGCTGCAAATGAGGCATTTAAACCACAAAAAAGGGTTTGAAGAAGATTTAACAAAAAGACTGGAAAAAAAACTGAGCAGTTACTCTGGAAAATGGGAGATAATGGAGCCCAGGTGAAAACACTAATGGAGGATTCACAAACACACAGGAAGGAGAAAAGAGAAATACAGGAAGTTAAGCTACACATAAAGAGGAAATGTGGATTGTCAAAATAAAACAGGAAATAAAAGCTGTACACATGAAAGAAACATGACTCCCACTGACAGTGCTGTGTTTAAAACTCACAAAGTGGAACCAGAAAGTGAGTGCAGTCCAGAAAAGCTTTTTGTTGTGTTTGTATTTTGTTAATTATTTTGATATTAATCCAAAATATTTGCTTTAACATCATATTGTAAGATATGTTTGTACATTTGATCTTTTAACTCATGTAATAAGTACTTTAAAAGACTATTAAAATTTGATTTTATGACTTTAAAGCTCCTGTGAGAGTGAATTTCACCCTGATGCCTCTTTATGATATACAAAAGCAAACAAGACCATCAATGACAAGATCGACTGTTTTCTTATTTTTGCTTTTAATGCCAAATAAGGACAAAAAGATGCCAAGATCTACTTCATCCACAGGGGGCACAAAAATGGACACATACTGAAAGTTCCTCACAGCTTTAAATTAGAACAAGATTATGTTTTGGAGAGCTGAATTTACAAGTTTGTATCTTGTCTTGTCTTTGTGAAAGTTCTGCATCTGTCTGCTCAGAAATCCAAAAATAAAATCTTCAAATGTGGTGATATGCTGACACAACAGTCTCCTCTTTCTGGCTCATTCCTGCTTGATCTGAAAAAAAGAAAAACTGCCAAAATCTCTCAGCATAAAGAGACACTCTGTTTAAATTGACCACCGTCTCTCTAGGAAGGGCCACAAAAGTAGCAAACTCAGCCATCCCCCTCAGCGTTCAATCCAAGGTAACGTCAGCGTTTACCTTCCCAGCTGTCTGTTTGCCGAGCGACGTGTCCCTTGTGTTTCCAATTTGGAAAACATGCTTACTTTCATTTGGACCCAGTGCTCTTGTCAATGTAAATCAGGTAGGACTCTGGGGCCGATCGATACAGTCGTGAGAAAGGATTCGCTCTGTGCACCCTCGGGACTCATCAATGACAGGAGTCTATTACTCCAGAGAGCGAGTAGGTGTGTGGGGGGAGCTGCTTTGAATTGCAAATGTGAAACCACCGACTTGCCTGCTATGCAAACTCCATGATGTATTATGGCACACTTGGGACGATGTGCCTATTGTACAAAGCCAGGTCTTACTGCACACCGAGCACCCTCTCTCTGAAAATGTCCATTCAGTAGGAATAAACCCCAAACACCGCAGCTGCTCTAAAAACAGACGTGATCTGCACACTCAGAGGATCGCCGTGACTCTCATTCCTGAGGAAATCTCTGTTTGCACCTTTAACCTCAGCAGGAACTCGTATCTTTGTATCCCGCTGAGGATTCAGCCTGAACTTTCACTCTGCTGCGTAAAGAGTAATAGGTACACAGTGTTATTTTCGTCCCTGCGCTCCTCTTCTTTTTCAAGTGTTTAAAGTTCAATTAGGGACACACTGTGCTGAGCCGTGGCGTCATTAGCTGTTATGCTAGCCTGCACTCTGAAGAGTCCGCTCAGACCCCTGACTAATTCAGCTGATGGACAGGATTGATGCTCTCACTCATTTCCACCCTCTCTTGGTTAAAGCTCAGGAGGTGATCATTAGGGGATTTAGTGACAGGTTCGAAAGATGTCAAACCTTTTGCTCTCCTGTAACCAACCTCAGTTAAGGCTCAAACTCCATGCTCAGTAAGTTTTGAGGGCGCAGCTAACCTGTATTTCTTTCACTGTTGGAAGTGAGGGAGAGTTTGAGACTTTGTCGATTCTTTTTCACTTTTTACCAAGTGTTCGGTGAAAAAAATCAAATCAAATTGTTCTCATTCCCAGTCGCTCTGCGTGTGCAGGCTGGTCCGTGGCTCTAAGCGAAAAAATCCTGATTATCAAAGAACCACTGCAGTTTCAGTTCAGCACAAACTAGAGACAGAAAATCTCTTCCTTTTGTCTTTTAACCATAAAATTTATCACTCACTGTGGAAACAGTAAGGAAGACTGCAGCTTACCTACCCTGTAAGTTACAAACATTAAAACTTACAATATAGAAAATGTTGTTTGTTGTTTCCACCATGCAGACACATCATTATTCATGTCAGTTTGTTATATATCCAATACATCCAGTCAATATCCAGTCTGTTATATATCCAATAAAAAAACGTATATATTCAATAAAAAACTCCTTATGGTAGCTTTAATTTAAGCGTTCTTCAAACCAGTCCACTATCTTCTTCATTTTTCAATCTTTTGTATTGTTTTTGTTTCTTGAATGATCTGGACCAACTGGGCCTGAAATAAAGTTTTTTAAATACGATTTATTTTTTATCTCTTGGTACAACTTGTCTGTAATTTTGGTGTGACCAGGAGTTAGCAAGAACATATTTCTATCTTCATTTGGTGCACCCTCGTGTCTCTGTTTCTGCTGTTTCTCAGTTTGTCTGTAAACTGTTGGTTGCACAGTGGTTTTGCTCTGACTTTTCAGCTGTATGAGCCTTAAAAAAAACTGTTTTCCTTTTATTTGCTTTAAATTAAAAGGTCCTAAACTTCTGGACGTAGAAGAATCATGGCATTCATTATTGAAAAGATCCAAAAAATTTCAGGTCATCCTCTGGAGAAGTAAACAACTTTGCTTGTTTTTTTGATTGATCATTAATGATGCATCCCAGAGAGTCAGACAACCTAACAAATTTAGCTTTAGAGACACAAGGTGAAGCAAGTTTATTAAATCTGAATCAAAATTCTGATCTTGAGCAGCTTGTTTAACTCCAAATATATCACAAGCGTACAACAAACAGAAGTCAGACCTCTTCTTATCATCAAAATCACCAAAACAGATTCAACATTTTTTCAGCTTTAACAGTGAAATAAATTTGTAAACTTGTGTTTAAATTATCTTTTATATTTACAATGTTGAAAACACTTTCTGCAGCTTCTTGCAGTTGTGACCAGATGTGTTAAATGTGCTTCAGTGGTTTTCATTGTTTTACCTGCATCTGAGCTTTTGATTGGACCTTCCAGTAACATGTGAGCAGGTAACAAGGAAGTGTCGTTCTGCTTCAGTAAAGTGCATCTGAGAAGGTTTCCCATCTCCATCCTGTTGTTTCTTACTGACAGAGTGATCCAACCACCTTATATCGAACCCACCCATTGGTTTTACATGGTTTCACTATCTTGCCTTGATTACCAATCCAAGCAGAGTTTTGCTCTCTTTAAACCTGAGAGTAAAAACAGGCAGGAAAAAGGGGAAAAAAAGTAACTCTAACAATGAAGAAACTCATATTTTACCTTTTCATGGCATCTAACTACACAACATTTCTGTCTCACTGTCGGCCAGACTTTCTTTCTCTCTGAAATCTCTTCAGCTCTTTGTCTCATATATGTCTGTTAGACGGCACAGCTGTCCTGGTGGCCCTGGACTGGCTCAGTTTCCCTGGAGACCAGAGTGACACCAAGACTACATACAACGACAACTGTCTCCATTCAGCCTTTCACTCATATGTGACATGATTTAGACTCAGGGAGGCAGATTCTCTGTTCTGGGGTCCAACATTGAATAAAACTTCACACACATTTAATCCAACTACAAAAAGCCTCAGCATTGAGAGACATCGCTCCTCTGTTTGCTTTAATTCTCCTTGAACAGGCTTGAACTGATAAGACCCTGAGTTTACTCACAGCTCTAGATTCCCATCAGACCTCTTGTGAGCACCTTTGTCACTCACTAGTTAACACACCGTGTCTCATTCATTTTAATGTTGTGTTCAAACAATAATTTTCCATTTCCAATTGGAGCTTTGTGCCAAACTATTTCTTGGCAGGGAACGGCGCCAGAGATCCAGTGAAGACTCCAGGTATCAACTGGACCCAGCCAAGAAATAGTCCAGTGCATAAACCTTATAAAAACTGCGGATGGTTTTTTATTTACCGCAATATGTGTGCATATAAACAAACAAGACAAGAAGAGTTAAGAGCTTTGGCAACATAATAAAGATATGGATTATTAAAGCGATATGAAATAAGATGAATTAGACCACTGCATGTTTGCTATAACGCACAGTTTTGTTTGTCTGCTATTTGAAACACTTGTGATTGCAACATGTCCCCTCTAAATACAAACTAAATCCCCAAATTCAACATTGTGCTGGCACCGGTTAATCTGAGGATGGCTGATCACTAGCTGGAGCTCCGTCAAAATGGTGTGAGAGCCATCAAAACAAAGCCTCCATCCAAAAGTAAAAACACACACATGCTGAGTGAGAAAAACATTGGACGGGAGAGTTTTAGGGCCAGGGATGAGGAAAAAATGAACGAAGGGGAGGATTTTTGTCATGTCACGTCAAGAATACAGTCAGATGTTGATTATAAAGTTGACCCTGCTCTGTATGTTAGTTTATTTAAAAATCCAAACTCACTTAAAGTATAAAGAAATCCCACTTATATGTCAGGACACTTGTTCAGTTGACTCATACTGGCTTTCTCAGACCATTCACTCACATTTTTTAATAAAAGTTGTCGTCTCTTAGTCCTATTTGGCTCATTTTTTGTAGCAGCTGGCAAAGACATAGCAGCCCCTCCTCTGTATAATAACAGTGTCTCAATGCAGTGAATCCCATCAGCAGAGGGAGGAGAACTAAACACACACTGAAGCCGTGTCCCAATCCAGGGACTGCAGCCTTTCAAGGCCGCATTTGAGTACTGTATGCGGCACAGCGGCACGTTGAAGGCTGCCCCGTTTTGAAGTATCCTCTTCATGTATCCTGCTTTTCTCAGGCCGTGAAGGCTGCATCAGGTGCAGCCTTTCACAGCCTCGCTTATCCCGTGATTCTTTATGCGCAAATACAATCAAGATGGCAGACTCTCAAACTGTCCAGTTAAAAAACAGCGTTAGTTTTTAGCGCAGTAGAGAGCTGTATAATTGTTATAGTAGACAGTTTTAGTTCAGTTCAGGTCAGTCCACGACAGCTGGGGACCATCCTTTAGAGGCCGGTTCTTTGAAGGCTGCAGACCCTGAACTGGGACACAGATTTAGTGTGATCAGTCACTCAATTGTGCATCTTACCGCAGATATTTTTAACATTATGGACGAATGTCAGGATTATTATGTGTAAGACATGGAACATACACAACTTGGTTCTGCCTTCTGCCAGTATACGGATTTGAAGCCAAAAAGCTCTCGGTATTTCTGTTTTTTTTCTCCATTTCCTGAAACCAACATTGCGCAGTAGCGTTGTACGCTTCACCCAGCGAGGAGGCAGACGGCGTCCATTTTATAAACAGTCTATAGTGTAAGACTGTGTGATGTACAACCATTCAAACCAAATCATTTCAGTCCTGGACCTCCTGTACAGTTTGCATGTGTGTGCAGAATGAAAATCACACTTGTTGTTTTCTTGCTAGACTTGATGCATTCAGACTTTTGGGAAGTGTTGCTGGTGAATGTTCATATTTTGATAATAGTTTAATTGGACATTTGTTTTTGTTTTTTTGTTCATCCCTTCTTTGGACATCTTTTCTCTCTGTTTTCATTTTTTGTGCTGAACTGCAGATCACTGAAGCTTGGTAATACTCGACAGACCTCACAGCAGTACCTATCTTAAATTATGATTCGTATTAGATATGCCAGTTAAGAATCAAGGTGGCATCTTAATCCCAGAGCTCCTCTGTGCGTGCTCTTCTGTACCTGCTCACTTCATTTATCTCTCTCTGCTCGTGTCTGGTCATTTAGGCTCATTAACCGTCGAACACCGAGGATGAGCTGTGAGCGCCTAGCTGGAGTTAAGTGTCCTGTGCTCCCTCATTGTGTGTGACATGTGGGTCCCAGCCCTGCAGTCCAGGGCTTGAATTATTGAATGGTTCTGTTAGGGTGACCTGACGGTGACCTGGAGCGGCGGCACAGTGTGAGGGGGGGGGACAGAGAGCGGCTGAGTTCCTCCCTCTGCAGGCCTCTCCGTGCAGGGCATGATTGGAGGGTATTAGCGAGAACATATAAATAAATCAACAGCAGTTACCAGCTGAAGTAAAGCAGGGTTGGCTGAGGATACGAAGTGAGGATGATTTGCATTTGATATTTAGTGCATGCATTGTGTACCCAATGGGGGGGTGGGGGGTTTCATGGCTGCTTGTCTCCCATTCTGATTCTCCCCTGCAGCTGATTATCAAACGCTCAAAAGAGCAAAGCAATTCCCTCGGGGTCTGGCGTGCAGCGCCATGCATCAGGTGGGTAATTTCGCAGGATCGTGCCCACTCGTTCCTTCCACAACAAAGATCCAGCCTTGTTAATTTTCGGGTCGTCGGTTTGTATTTATGCAAACATCAATGTCAAGAAAAAAAAGCAACAAAATATGCAAAAAAAGATCGTTTGTAAAAAGTCAAAGCGAGCCATGGGGACGTAAATAGCCATTCGAGGCTAGAGGCTACTTTAAATGAGCTATGAAGACCAGTTTAAGCGTGTAAAGACATCTTACAGCTAATGATAGTCCTTGAGCTAATGGGTGGGTCATGTGCCGAGAAGTTTTTACAGTCAAAGATGAAAAAGTATCTGAAGCCTCCTTTCTGTCTCCAACGTGTCCATAAATCAGAAAACGTCACTCACCGCGTCCTCCCAGAGAGAGCCCCATGCATCGCTTCTGTATAATTACAAAGAATATTAACTAGCTGCCTTTTTATTGAGCTTTATTTTGAACAAAAGTCACAAAATCAGTATGCAGATATGTTCTATGTGTGTCAAAAATGTTTCCAACGAAGCTGCAGGAAGAGTTCAGCCTCTCTGGAAGAAGCCCAAGTGGTTTTCTGATAGCGCTGCCTCTTCAGAAAAGAGATCTGCCTTTTCTTCCAGCCCAGTTGGGGCCTTTCTCCCACATGTAGCTGGTAAAAAGATGAGTGCTCGTCCTTTTTATAAGTTTTAAAAGGCAGCAGGGCTCCATCTTAAGCTGAAACTTGAAAATGAACGTCTTCATGGCTGACAGCCGTCTTCAATCTCAGCACGAGAGAGCAGAAAGTGTCATCTTCATTCACGACTTTGAGTACTTAGTCACGGTTCTCTCGAGACCTGAGGTGTTTCTCTTCACTCAAAATCTCAAAACCCACAAAGAAAAGTGGGGAGTTTTGATTGCAAAACACTTAAAAAATAAAAGCTTAAAGTGTCAAACGTCTTCACCTATTTCAAAATCAACCCAATCATACATTCACCCTCCTAAACACTCCCTTTCCCCACTTCCACAAGCTGCACCTTCAAGGCATGTTCTCAACAGCCCGTTAAACAGAAAGTGAATTCCTCCGAGAGCGATTTAACCTCGTCATCTGCCGAGCATCTGTTTCTTTACCCCCGCCTCCTGAAGCTGCAGACCGGTCAGCTCTGTGCTGCAGAGACAGACCAAATTAAAAGCACATAAACTCCAAGATAGAACAGCCCTACCACCGTGATAATGATCAGTTCTACAATTTTCCTTTTTCTTTACATCACTATACCACCAAAGCTGCTGCAGTGCATCGATTTTTAAGAGTAAATAATGAGAAACCAAGGCTGAGACAAAAACATGAGTATTTGGGGGAACAGAGGTCTCAGACTAGACTGGAAAAGCAGTCTTGACCTTAGACTGTATATACTATGGACAACTTACCTTCTGCCTTCTGCCTTCCGCCTTCCGTAATTCCAGTTTTTTTTCTTCTCCACTTCCTGAAACCAACATCACGCAGTAGCGTTGTACTTATTTGGCAGGAGAGTTGCTGAGAGTCGCTGTGATGACGCTCGGCTCAAACAGCGTATCCCCGAGGTGAGCTACGCAATCTTCGTATGCCCATAGGCTGTATCAAGTGTCAATCATAGAAAACATGAACCCCCTAATAACTTTTAAAAATGGAGCAGTCTCCCAGTAACTACATGTCAACATCGCAACCAGGGGGGAGAAAAATTTATATTCTGTGTAATAAGTTTTTAAAGTTTGTCCACAGCTACATAAGGACTGCTGGAGGAGGGATTTATGACCTATGCTGCAGCCCGTCACCAGAGGGTGCTGTTCTCACTGTGGCTTTACCCAGCGAGGAGGCAGACAGCGTCCATTCTATATACAGTCTATAGTGTAAGACTGTGTGATGTACAACCTTTCGAACCAAACCATTTACAGTACCGTCTATGATCTTGGCGTTTCTCTTTAGGAAAAAGTGGCAGAGACGGTAACTGAAGGTTTTTGTGTCATTGTCTGTGAAGCTAAAGTTCTCTGTCATTATTAAAGGTAGAGTCACTGCGAGTCCCTGCTTGCAACAACATCATGAAAGAGGGTCGATAGCGCTCTTATACATAGCCTACCTGTTGAATTCAAGGCGTCACCTAGTAGCAGTTTGGTCCTCATCATCTGCCTGTCTTGATCTTTTTTTTCTCTCTCTCCAATCTAAGCTTTGTGTTCTTTTATCTCCAACCTTATTTTAGCTTTGAATGTAACTTTTAATTTGTTAAATGTCTTTTAAGCTGTTTTTACTTTTCAAATTGTGTTGAATGTTTTGCCTGCTTGTTTCATGTAAAGCACCTTGAATTGCCCTGCTGCTGAAATGAGCTATACAAATAAACTTGACTTGACTTGACTTGACTTAGCTCGGCATAAACATTTCCAAACAGGGAAGCAAGCCTGGTGAACAACTGCAACAAAATCCACAGACTCAATCTTAGGTTGGCAGATAAGAGGCAAACTTACTTTACTTGTTCAACTTTGGTTTGTTTCAAAGATGCTAGTCGTGTTACCTCATTGGATGAATCGAGCGAACCACCTTCCTTCATCAACAGTCATCCACACCAAGAGAAATAACTGCAAATGTCAAAATGACTTCTCAAAATAGAAGCTTAAAAGTAGAACCAGGATATAAAAGACAGTCTTCGTCAAAGAAGCAGAAAAATGTTGTACAGTAGTTGACCATGCTTTAAATATTTCATAGAAGAAAAGACAGGAGACTGATACGTGCATTTTTAATGAGGTGTGCATCAGTATAGGGAGCTATTTGTCATTTGAAGAATTGAATTACTTAAGTGGTCAAAGTCCAAATCCCTCTCCACCCAATCCCAAGAGATGCGAACTCCATTGCTGGGTTTGCTTTTAGAGCAACAAAACACAAACATCTGCTAATTAGCATTTCAGATTTAAGTGAGTGAACTGATGGAAATCTTCAGTTTTGTAAAATCAGGCTGCAAATAAGACAAAAACAAAAAAATACTACCTGCAAAAGTTTTCTGGCACACATCAGGAAAGTTAGATTTTGTCCTCGTTTTTGAAGTTTCAGTGATGCCCAATCATCAGGAGTTTGACCTCGACTAAAACCAAGAGAGTCTGTATAACTGCTGCTGGTTTACTTCTCTGCTCAGTGATTGGAAGCAACAGGTTCAGAGTGTCGAGCTGCTTGCTGCAACTTTGTTTTTCCACAGGATCGATGTGTTTGCAGCTCCAGTGAGGATTTTTTGACCATAATGAAACAGACAATGCTTTTCTATGATATCCAAATGCAAACAGGAATATCAGCAATAAGACTGATGATTTTTATATTGTAATTTTTCATGCCTGAAACTGGTACCAGGGGTCGATGTCAGGTGAGCAGCTGAAGAAACAGCTCAGTTTTTATAGTTTAGGTATTCAAAATAGGCGATACGTGTGATGAACTGAAGTCAGCAGGATAAGATTTTTATCAACTACTTTAACATGTCAAAGTCTGCCTTATCATCTGCCCAAGAGAAGCAGCGAGCTGGAGATATTGGTGAAAACTCAGAAAGCTTACCATGAGTGCAGTCTCCTGTGTTTTACTGAAACCTGGTTAAATCAAAACAACTCAGACTCCAGTCTGGGTCTACCTGGATTCATTATCACAAGGTCAAACAGAGATGCTAAAGCTAGAGGCAAGAAGTAAGGAGGAGTAAGGAGTCTGGCTTTATTTGTTAACCAGAGATGTTGTAACTCTTCGCACATAACCATCAAGTAGAAGTTATGTTGTCTAGATATTGAACTGTTGGCAGTTGCCCTTTGGCCATAATATACTCCAAGAGAAGTTCAGTCATATCATAGCAATACTTGTACACATCCCACTCAGGGCAACGGCTGAAGTTCCATGTGATGTCTTCCATTATACTGTTGCTAGGATACAGACTCAACATTCTAAGGCACTTGTAATAACGCTACGATCGAATTACTTCAGAGCCAGATGTCCGAGCTGGGGATGATGTCACACCCGAGTTACCAGCCTTTCAGTTACCAAGTTGGAAAAACGCAAAATCGGAAGAGGAAACAAGATGGCTACATCTACAAAAGTTATTTTAGCGCTTGTAATTTTAGTAAGTTATTTTAGCATCCCCTTTTGTAGATGTTTCCGCCTCCGATTCTGCTTTGTACCGACTTGGTAACTCGGGTGTGATGTCATTCCCAGCTCAGACATCTGACTTCCGAGGTAACTCGAACGCAGCATTATATCAGGAGACTTCAACCATGTCGCCCTCTCCTCTCACCTGACTGGATTTACACAGTTTGTTAACTGTCCTATCAGAGAAAACAAAACCCTGGACCTGCTTTTTTATGCCAACATCAAAGAAGCTTACAAAGCCGCTGCCTTACCACCACTGAGCAGGTCAGATCATAACTTGGTTTATCTGCAGTTTCTCTTTAAGATTCCAGACAAATGAGTGTCCATCTGGGGATAAATAAAGTTCTTGTATCCTATTTTATTGAAGAAGATGCCAAAATGACACAAACTAAAAATTCCTTACAGGAGCTTTAACCAACAAATCTGAAAGTAGTTTGGATATTAAACTAAACTTATAGCATCCATGCTATTTGGCAGCTTCGTTTTTTTTACCTTGCAGTTGAAATATTTCTGATAATTCTCAAGAGGAGAAAAAAGAAGCTAATCTGGCCTCTGTGCTCAGTATGTGGTTTTGGAGAGCGCGTTGGTGAAACGGTGGAACCTTTCATGGGCGAAGAACAAAAAGGGGAGATATATGCTGCGCAGGAACCTCAGGGGCATTGAATAAGTCATCCAGCTGTGAGCGAACAAAAAAATCACCGAGAGCCTGTTCTCTCAAGGTTGCTGCCTGCAGAAATGAAACTGGCAAAATAAGATGGCTTTTCCACTTATACCTCTCTCACAAAGACGATTGTGTGTTTCACAGACAAAGCAGATGTCATCCTGCCCTCTTTCTCTTCCACTCTGCCGCAGCAAACTATCAGCCTTCTCTTTAATGTGTAATGAAACACAACATAAAAGGGGAGAGGGACGAAGAATGAGAGTGTCTGAGTCATGTACTTTCTGTGTGTACTGGACATAATATACCATAATATTTTCCTCTTTTGTCAGGTTTCTAGCGTAAGAGCAAAATCAGGAGCTGAAGTAGAATCAGCTAAAATGATGTAAGGTGTGCTGCTGCGTCGGTCTCACTGCAGAAGCCTGTGTTTAACATAAACGTTTGGCATGTTTGACAGCAGTCAGCGAGTATTTGGGTCAAAGAGCTGCAGAGAGTCAGACCTGCGAAGTCTGTTTCTGCCCGACATCAAGAGCAAAAGAGTTAAAGATGTAGCAGCTCTGAGAAATTCATACTGTGAGGAATATTCTGGGCAGCAGATGCTTCAAAGCAGAGCCTCAGCAGTGTGTGTGTGAGTGTGTTTGTGTTTTTACATCCGTAACGTGGTCAATATGAATGAACTCCACAGGGCTCAGAGAGATCTTGGCGTGCTTTTAAAAAAAAGATTCATTCTTAAAAAGGAAAAGGGAGAAATGTCCTTTAAAAGGGTCATAAAGAGAAAAGTCGGAGCAAAACTCTGAGGTGAGATACGGTTAAAATCTACGGATATTTCTGCAGTCTGCTTTATAACGTTCTGTTTTCAATTACAAAGCAATCAAAATGAATTTATAGAGAAAGTAGCATTAAAATGATTGTGGTGAAGCCCTGTGAATATTTGGTGAAAAAGGAAAGAGAAGAAAAAAGCTGAATTTTTGTAAATTATAAATAAACCCTGCGGCAGAGAAGCATCACTGCCTTTGAACACCAAAATTATTTGTATCATAAGGATAAAAAAGGTCTCTTTCCATTAAATGTTTTAAAGATGCCATCTGAATTTTCTCTGTAACTTTCTTTTACATTTTCAAAGTGTGGTTTGATGTCCTCGCGCCGCTCATGGTACATTTCCAACTGTCTGACAGCTGCTGTCCCAAGGCTTCAAACGTTTTTGACTCATCTGGCTCCTTGTTGCAGTTAAAATTACGTCAATTTAGTCGCACGCCACAAGAGCAACTTTGTGAGTTTACAAGCTCCGGAACATCGAATTTTTCCATCACAAGTCCGCGTGCAAACAGGCTCTCTGTTGTTGACAGTAGCTCGCTCAACAAGCAGAAAATCAAATGCAACAGTAATACACTGCAAAGACTGTGTTTGCTGTCTTTGGTGAAGGTCTTTACTTTGTATTTACAGATTTTATCTACCGAGATCCTTGTCTAAATAATGTAGAAAGCAGCCAGCTCTCCAAGTTTCATAGAGAGAGAATATTTCAAAACTTCACTTTGAAACAGCCGGGCTCACGCTGAAGCTTTTCATTTTAAACTTTTGATGAAAGACTGCAGACGCTGTCCGTGTGCTGAATCCAAAACGGGGTGAACAGACTTGGGGAGTTGTGCTGCTGCTACCAGAGTGTAATGAATATACAGAGGAGCTAATTTCACTTACTTCATTCTCCTGATCTGTTTTTTTTTTCTTCCCACCCTCATTGCCATTCATAGTCCGCAGGTTTGATCGGAGGTAATGATATTACTCGTGCTCTGCGGAGGTGCAGGGTGCTGAGGCCTCGCTGAGCTTTACAGTCAGCACAAAAACCTCCACACGTGCTGACTCAAGCAGTGGAGAAAACTCCCACAGCGCCCGGGTCTCCCTCCAAGCTTCCTAGGCCAAGATTTAGCGAGGAGCAGTGTTTGTAGCAAGTCAGCTAAAAAATCTGTCCACGAGACCTGGAGGAACGCCGGCTGAATAACAATATGGAGTTAAGTGGTTGTAACATTTTAGCACAGCTTTTAACCAAGACACCATATTTACACAGAGTCCATGACTATGTCTCTGAGGGAGCCAAGCTCAAACGCTGCAATGATGTACAACTGTTTAAAAGATTGTAATCCTGAATTAGGGTATGCATCTGCTTAGATTTCACAACTTCACAAGTCTTTTACTTAATAAACCTTAAAGGGATATTCCGGCGTAAAATTAATTTATGGTCAAAGAGTTAGCCACCTCGTTGAGAAATGAGTGTTGCCGACCGCTTGCTTCTCTAGTTATACCAACTTTAATAATGACCGCAGGATAGCAATACACCGCGGTCTGAGGAGCCATAAACAAACTCAGAACAGCTCAGAACAGCACCTAACTTCATCAACAGTACATATAGGGTCCCAGCCATAGTACTAGAACATCAAACATCTTTTTGCCTAATTTCTTTAGCAAAGAGACTAAACACAACTCACCTACTCTCTTCAAGCAGCCACTTGTTTGTACGAAGACCTCAGGTGAGTCCATTACAGACTGCTGCGGGGGGGACACAGCTCGAGGAAGAACATTCATGATCATTTCTTTATCATTTCCTTTAAATAAAAAACCATTATATTAATCATTTCGCACTGCAGACGCTGTAGTTCTTCTGCCTTAGCGTCTCGGTCTGATTGCATTTCCATGAAGAAATGATCATAAATGTTCTTCCTTGAGCTGCGTCACCCCGTTGTGGTAATAGACTCGCCAGAGGTCTCCGTACAAACAAACAGCTGCTGGAGGAGAGAGGGTGAGTTGTGTTTAGTCTCTTTGTTAAAGAAATCGGGCAAAGCTAAAAAGATGTTTGATGGCTAGTACTGTGGCTGGGACCCTATATGTACTTTTGAAGAAGTTAGGTGCTGTTCTGAGCATTATTTGAGGCTATAGAGTGGCGTTTTGGTTGAGGTGTGGCTCCTGTGTAAACTAGAGAAGCGAGCAGTCGGCAGCAGTCATCTCTCGAGGGGGTGTCTAACTCGGTGTTACGGTGTGTTTGACCCAAAATTAATGTTACGCCGGAATATCCCTTTAATATGTTTTCAACAACTCACTAAAAACAACATTGTGATCTCTTTTTACAGTAAACTCCCTCCACTGTTTCACTTTTCCTCGTTTTTCAGCTGCTTACAGTCAAACAACATTTTAGCGTCTAACCCTGAGCACGGTGTCAAGAGAAAAAGGCCACAGTGTAAATATGGTCAATACTTCAGGGCCATCGATGACTCAACCACCCACCCCACTCTCCCACACTTTGTTTGTCTGTACATCTGTCAGTTTCCTTATTTTATCTCTCTCTCCCTCTGTCAGCCTCTCTCTAAGTCTCCATCTGTCCATGTGTGTTTGTCTGTCTCTGTTTTCCCGTCTCTCTCCCCTCCACTCTCCACCCACGGTAACTCTGTGCAAATATCAAACATAAACCACGGCTTTTCCTCCTCAGTCCGGCTCTATCTCCGCCATCCTCCTCTTCCATCCTCGTCCATCTTGGTCTGAGTCAGCGCTGACAAACAAACGGGGGGTGTCTCCAGGTTTAGTTGTGGGTCTGATCTCTGCCGGCAGAGCCGTAGAGCTGCGACAGATCGATGACAAAGCCTGTCAGGGTGGCTCACTGTTATTTGAGGCTAGATTGCATCTGAAAGACCATTCGCCATGCGGTTAATGAATTTAAGAAGTGGCAAGCCAACATTGATCAAATCAGCTGACAACCATCGATACATTTCTTCTTTATGGAGGTTTCTGTGAGGCAGGAGGGATTGGTAAGAGATGTAACCAAAGCTTGAGGCATCTTCTTATGTGGATCATTTATTTATGGTTTATTCATTCAATGAAAATCAGTGTGGGAGCTCAAAATAAAGAGCAAAAATGGTTCATGTACTTCCTGAACTGCAAACTTTGTACATTTGAGGACATCAGACTGCACTATGTCATTTTTATTAAGCATAAAGTATCAACTAATACACGTCGACACAAAAACAAGAAGTGTAATACGAAAAAGGAACAAGGAGGCAACAATGTGGGAAATAAAAAGGACACTGGGGTATTTTCTTCATATTTTACGCCGTGCTATTATTAGTGTGTTCAGTGGACAACAAATAGCTATGGGAGTTTGGGGAAGAAAAAGTGTAATGAGTTTTTAAACTATATCATGATTTATTTCAGAATAACCATGTATAAATGAAGGACTAGTACCTAGCTCTGTTTTTTGTTTTGTTTTATTTATTGAAAATATGTTGGAAAGGTCATTTCTGTAAGGTAAGTAGAAAAATGGAAGGTGAAAAGCTGTTGCCTTGAGGACATCACAGCACAAACTAAATTTGGTAAAAGCAAAACTCTCAAAATAAGACATTTTGAAAAAGAAAAGTACGACAGAGCGTTAATTGTTTGTTTTCGAACCCCCTTCACCCCACCATAACAACTATAAAACTTACAAATTGTGAACACAAAAATTGACAACAAAATATATATCCTATTGATAAAAAGAAAAAACAGTTTCTGGGATAATTTAAGACTATAACAGGCCAAGCAGATTTTACCAAGGCCATCATCTAAATGACGTTTGGTGTTTTGGGGTTAGCAATCTGTCAACTGAGCTGGCTAGCTAAGATTTGTTTAAAGCTAGCTTAATAGATCAATTAAGGCTTATTAAAGTTAGAGTACAATCAAGTCTAGCCTTAAAATAAATTGAAGTGGAGTAGACTTTTTTGAGTTTATATTAGTTTAAAGGGATATTACAGCGTACAATCATCTCTTCATGGAAATGCGATCAGACCGAGACGCTAAGGAAGAAGAACTACAGAGCAAAATGATTAATATGATCAATACTGCAAGGAAATGATAAAGAAATGATCATAAATAATCTTCCTTGAGCTGCATCCCCTCTGAGGCTTGAGGTCTCGCTACAAACAAGCATCTGCTGGAAGAGAGTAGGTGAGTTGTGTTTAGTCTCTTTGCTAAAGAAATTAGGCAAAGTTAAAAAGATGTTTGGTGGCTAGTGCTATCGCTGGGACCCTATATGTGCTGTTGATGAAGTTAGGTGCTGTTCTGAGCATTATTCGTGGCTTTTTGGTTTAGGTTTGTTTATGGCTCTTCAGACCGTTGTGTTTTGCTATCGTGTGGTTGTTTCTAAAGTTGGTTTAACTAGAGAAGCAAGCGGTCGGCAACATTCATCTCCTAACGGGGTGTCTAACTCAGTGTTACAGTGTGTTTGATTTTACGCCGGAATATCCTTTAAGCATTTTTCTGTCACAGTTCACCTCTTAAAAACGTGTCTTTGTTAGTTTTCTATTTACTCGACTTTTAAGCCCCTTCTACATCGCCAGTTTAAAACCGGAGATATAATCCTCCATAATGTTTTGTTCAATAAAAGTGAGACATAATGATAAGTTAAAGTCATCCTGCCACTGTGTCTCCATATGACTTCAATCTCAGCATCTGACCCCTGACGTCGATGGATCATCTATCGCGGTCAGCTGGGCGGCTAGCTTGACAGGTCAATGAGTCCGTGGGTTATCTAGATTCTGATCAATGTTTAGACATTAATGTTACGCATAAATAAGTCAAAAAGCGCCTCAGTAGGCTGGCTGAGAAACTGTTTCTCCTGTTTACTGAGTCTCCTTCCCTTCAAACACGGCAGCATGCACATAAAGAGCAATATTCCTCGGATGAAAACAACAAAATTGCCTTATAATTTGAAGAAATAAAACACAACCAGCCTTGGCAAAAGGAAGAAGCTCTTAAAACGTCTCGGTGCAATTACTCTGCTACAAAGCTGCAGGCTTTTTGCTTTTCTTTCCAAAAATATAGAAGGCTGGATTTATTAAGGGGGAGTGCTTCTGCGGTAAAACAGGGTTTAGAAACAGAAGCTGCACTGTTCGGCAGCTGAGAATCTCTACAGGGTTCCTCTCCATGTTCGAGGTCTTGCTGTGACCCACTGCTGACTTGAAACACAATGAATGTTGATTAGACAACAAGGTGATAACAGAGGTGCAGCTACTTCTGCTGCACTCCCTCTTGTTCACTAACAGCCCTCGCAGAAAACGTACCACCTGAGCTGCCACATACATCATTTAAAAACCTTAACACCTCACTTTTATTCCAATAAGTTGCTCCAAATATCGTGTGAACTCCAAACTTCTCCAACAAATCGAGCCAGCACTCACCTTTAAACCCCGTCAGATACAGCTGAAGACACGTTTATGCAAAACACCGATCAGAATAATTCAGAAAACACGCTGAGAGCTTACACAGAGATGACCTTTCGAATGACTCACTCTCTCCGCCTGTCACACTCACTTTCTCACACAACTTTTAGTCTCCCACTCTGCTAATCATTTGCATTTTCCATCATCTCTCTGAAACAGCAAAATAACACAGAGAGCAGAGAGCAGAGATCGCTCCACAAAACATAATTATCATCTGAAGCACTAGTGCAAAAGGGGGTCCCAACAGACTGCTGTCAATTTATGGCTTTAGTGTACCTTTTCTTACCATACTGCCATTCTCATATAAAAAGCAATACGGCGAACAAGGCGAGAAAATGAAATATTGTTTTATTGCTGCTTTAGACTCAGTCAGTCCACTCGTATGAGAGAGAGTTACTGGACTCTAAAGGCCGACAACCTCAAGCAGCCTAAGCCCGGGGATCCACTGGAGACTGGGAAGTGTATTTCTTAGAGAAGAAACTGATACTGGTTTCCATTAGTTTTGTCAGCATGCCTCTGCATAGAGAATAGATTCAAGACATTGATGCTCATCCAGGCAGAGATATGACTCCGGACAGACTTCATTTTTGTTTTTTTAACTTTAAAGAAAACTTCAGTTTTGTTTTATTTTACTTTATGAAACTTAAAACCCCCAAAGCAGAGCTGACCACTTACTTCATGAATAATGTATGTAAAGCTGTATCACACGGATGTAAATGTCCTGTTGTGAATAATTCAGGGGAAAATGTCAGGGGAATATTGACGGCTTTGGTTGGGCATATCCATCTGTTTATCTATATGACAGGTTGTATGTCAGTCAGTCAACACTAATCCTATTAATTGAATCCATGCTGCAGCATTTAAAGTGTTGTTTTCATTACATTTGGTGCATTTCTGTGTTTTAATCTGAATTAGTGTTTTTAATGAAGGTTACACAGAGATGAGATGCCAATGACTACTTTGAAATGACTTATGTTTATGTTGACATTTTCACAAACATGATGTTGAAGTAAAATACGGGACAATGTCACTCAGTGAGTCGAGCTACAGTTACAGCAGGATTAGATGATTTAACTGGACTACAGTTTACAAGCACCAGGAAGGTACTGAATTATTGGCCGAAGCAAGTACCCCTCTGCTACAGTAGGTGGCGACGTGCCTCCTTTCAGCTTGTTACTCCTGGATCGTCTGTTGTCGGTTGACCTAATATGTCCATCCGTTCATTTTCTACCGCTTATTACTGTTCCCGGGGTCGCAGGGGGGCTAGAGCCTATCCCAGCTTGTTGCCAGTTCATTGCAGGGCTGACATATAGAGATGAACAACCATCCACGCTCACATACACCTACGGGCAATTTGAAAGTGGCCAATTATCCTAACCCAATTTCTGCATGTTTTTGGGACGTGGGAGTAAACCCACACAGACACAGGGAGAACATGCAAATTCCACACAGAAACACCCTGACCCGAATTCGAACCCAGGACCTTCTTGCTGTGAGGCGACAGTGCTAACCACTACACCCTGACCTGATATGTGACGTACCAAAACAATCAACAAACATGTCAGCAGGAGGCTAACCAGATGTACATCGAATGATCTCACATTTCAAACTTACACCTTCTCCTTTTTTTGACATCTTTTCTTCCCCATCAAGGTTTTGTTTATTCACCACTTTCTTAGCGACGCATTTACGCCATTCAACTTCTAGTTCCAACTTAACGTACGAACATGTGCACACATGAGCCAGTTTGGGTTTGATTGAGAAAAGAAAATCATCCCCCAAAAGGTATATCCAGGTTAGTTTAATGATAAGAAGTTATAGTTCGTGTGGTTTCAGTCAGATTACGTGTATTTTAAAAGTCCAGTTTCAGTCAGACTGATGCATAAATTGATGTTTTGTAGACATGCAGACTCTGTTAATCAGCAGTTTTAGCCCGTAAACTGACACTGAAACTGGGTGCACTTCTACACTTGTGAATGCATTTGTGTATTACAGGTTGTGTAAGGGTTCAACATCTATCTATCTATCTATCTATCTATCTATCTGTCTGTCTATCTGTGTTGTACATTGTCAGGCAGCCGCAGCAGGAGGAGTACGAAGTGTTTTTCACGGCAGATAAGCTCATCAGTTATTTAGTAATTAACAGCGCTGATAAAGCAGTAGACTAAAAACGTTCTGCTGTGACAGGCTGAACGGAGCTTATCTTAATATCATAATGTTTAAAATCCACAGCAATTATTCTTCACAGAGGCGTGAAATTGATTCCAAACATTTTCTTTTTCTCCTCCTCCTCACGCTGTTTGATCCCTCCTCCCCTGAGACGACCTTTGATGAAATTTGATTTTTAACAAGACTCTTTATGCAGCGTTTTACATATCTCACTCACAGGTATCAAACTCTCACCCCTGATAACTTGTTTGGTGTTGCTTTGATTGCAAAAAGAAGATGCATGCACTTGTAACAACTTATTCAGATTCATCAGCAAATGTTCTAGACGAAGTCAGTCAAGTATCTCCTCCATCAGTCGTGTGACTTTTCTGACAGTGAAACAGTCATGGCGGTGAGACTGTGATGGGAACAGTTGAGACAGCAGGTGCAGACAGATGGTGGACCTGCATTACTGTAAACCTCAGTATTTAAGGCTCTGAGAGATCAGAGCCACCTGGTGGAAGCTACATGTAAACAAAGAGGCTCACTCTCTCAAAACACAAGAGTAGAAACACCGCCATGATGATGATCAGATTTATGTCACTTTTAATGTCTTTCGAGAAAACAAAACTTAGAACAAAAAATTCAGAATTTAATGTTTTAAGTTCATTCAATATCTTCTCATTTCAAATGTTTGTTTTTTATTCTTGTAATGTCTCACTTTGGTGCGTATAATCAGAACAATCTAAATCTTACAATCTAAATGTAAGACCTCCAAAATCTGAGGCTTTTGCACATCATGTTTAGTTAATATAATGATGTAGTCTCATTTTTTGGTACTGATGTTTAAATAAAAGAGGAAGATTAGTTTGATTTCAACGTTTGTCAAAAAAAAACATGAATATTTAGGTGCAGAACTCAGATCAGTTTTAATCATAGAAATACAATCTACTACAACAATTTAAGGTCCGTAATGATGGTCTATCATTTCCCATTATGCTTTGCGTTGTACTGGGTGTGTGGTTTGTTAAGGTTTTTTTCTGTTTTTAATATTCAGTGGTTGATTTTTGTGTTTTTTGTAGCTAGTTTAAGTCTTTAAGAATGTTGTTTTATGCAGCTCGATGTTTTTTTGTGCTTGTCTGATATTTTCCTTCAGAGCTGATGATAATTGAAAAGACTGCCTGTACCATCGCACGCCTGTACAACCTGTGCAGCATCAAACAAGGTTCAAGATGTCTTCAGTGGTTTATAGAAGAAGCTCGGTCATGAAACCTAATTGAAAAAGTTGCTGCATATGTGCATCAGTGTACGTCAGCTGAAAACTGGGGCTGATAGACCCCCAGTGGATTAGACAAAGCCCTAAAAGTCTCAAACAAGCTGTGTGAGAAAATCAGGTCAGAAGACTCAGTGACCACTTTTAAATCTCTATTTAAACCATATTTTTATTACAAGGCTTTTCTGGATTATTTAGAGTTTACAGTTAAGACTGTCTCCACAATTTTAAGAGTTTTATTGATTTAAGGTGTTTTGTTCGCCTTGTTTTGTTCTTTGTCGTATTCTTGTAACGAGTTTAGAAAAGTGCTCTGGGAATAATGATCATCCTTCCACTTTTCTGTGTTTTAATAAATCTCACTCATGTTAAAGTCAAATTAAACCAAGGCTACATTTTTCCCCATTCATCATAAAGGTCAACGGGTGGAACATAAAAAGTTTACTCAAGAGTGAAAAAAGAGAATAATGTGAAGAAACTGAAATGAAAGGTAAAACTCTGGCTGATTATTAAAGTAGAGGTCATAAGTGTTCACTAGCTGTGAAGCCAAATGGTTAAGAGCTCCCCCTGCTGACTGGCTGCAGTATAGTTCATAAAACCCAACTTTTTTGCATCTTTTTAAGATAAAATACCGATATAGTCCTAAAAAAATCGTTTATTAATACCCATCGGTTCATAGTAGCAGACTGCTAGCGAGATAGCTGATGCATCCTTCTGAGGGATGATTAAGCACTTTTAAAACTTTGTTAAAGATTTTCTGTGAATTCAAAAACAATATTGGAGCTTTTACCTCCTCAGGTTACTAACCAACTGGACATTTCTACTTTCGAATACATTTTTCATTGTTTTGATTCAGTTCCATAACTTACAATCTACCAAAAGTAGTATATTTCAAAATAAAAGCATAGATGAAGGATGCATAAAACATTGTGCTGAAGACAGAAGAAATTTTCAAAATAAAAGCATGACAAACAATTATTGCCTTTCGTCCATCTGACTGATTGTCATTTTAACTTCAAGTTTTCCTCTTTGCTGTATTTTATTGCCACATGGAAATCTGATAGTGACCACTCTGATTCTTATGATTTATGTCCAAATGTTTATTTTTCTGGTAAGTTAATTTTAAGAAGTTATTAGATTTTAAAGAGCTTTGTTGGCTCCTGCAGCGTTCTGTACAGAGTGAAAGAAAAATTACAAAGACTAACACAAGAGTCACTGAACTTCCCAAAGCCATGATTTGAGGTGGTATTTTGAACGCATATCTCAAAATGGTCAGAAATTCATTCATTATAAAATCTAAAATTGATACACAATCAAAAGAGATTTTTAAACCCTCCTTGAATCTCCATGACAACACACAGGGACTGAAACAAAGGGTTTGATAGGGTTCATACTGGTTTATACAGGGGTAGACTTTTACAGAAGAGGGTTACAAGCTCCCTGTATTTCATCAGAACCATTAAGAGTAAAATGTTCTGCTTTATTATCCGGTTTGTACGACAGTGTAACTCTAGACTGTTTTTATTCCAGTACAAGAACTGCACACAAGTCCAAACTTTACAGGACAGCAGCTACAATCAGGGACATACCTCCATGGAGGCTGTCCTGAGTGCACGCCGTGTTCAGGTGGTCATTACTTGGCCCTGGCTGTGTATTATCTGCCTGTTAAACTGTCAGCAGCAGTATAGGAGTTTTTTCTCCTTAGGGCGAATGCCGAGTGCTGGAGCTGCTGAAAAGTTGGTGAAAGAAGAGCACACTGCAGTCCTGGAACAACACCACAGCTGCAGTGTAACTCTGAAACACAAGGTTTTAGTTTGAGGAGAGAAAATAGCTGTGACTTCTATCCAATGTTCTTTGGCATGCTGACATTAATCCTCTGCACATGTATCATCATTCAAACCTAAATATAAATGTTTTAAGTTTAAAACTAGGATCTGGATTATAACATCACTCCTGTCCCAGTTTTGTTCTGAGTTAACATTTAGCTTTTAGAGCATCAGTCAAGGTCAGTATTTCATGTGGAGCTTTACTGTAACAACCTGTCTAAACATGTCTTTGCTTGAGTATTTCCTTGTTACTGAAGCTGACATTATCATAAAAACATTCATATATTGGCATGCTAATGTGGCAAGTGGAGGGTTGAAAAGTTATAGTGCCAATCCACGCCACCTTGGGAATCACGCCCCAGGAAATGGTTAAATAATTGTAATGGGAAGACATGCAAGATTTGAAATTACCACAGGGCAGGAGACGGTTTGAACAAAATATGTATGAAAAGTCTTTATTTAACAAAATGACCAATAACTTTAGAAATATCCAAACCAATTGCAATACTCAAATCAGTATGGCTGAATGGACAAACAAAATAAAACCCTTGGGCTGGAGCTTACCGTGGCGGCCCAAGAAAACCAAAAAGCCATGGGAGGAAGAACTAATTAAAACACCCGTGACACCGCAAGCACACACACACTGGGGATCTGTGAGGAAAACCCACCATCAGGGTTCTGGGTCACCACCTTGGGCCCACAGCACCTATCCAAAAGAACAGGGAAAATTAAAAAACAGGCCACAGAGCTTCATGCAGTTAATTTGTTCAACACAAAACACACCCAAACACACACATTCACCCCCACACAGCAACAATAAAGCAATAAGAGCAAACTAAATAAAGACGAAAAGACAATTAAATGTCTAATATAAACAAACTCAACAAAATTTGCAAAAGAAATTATATTCAACTGATCCTTCTTAAAAACTACTGGTCAACAATCAAAACACTCAATCCTAAAAACCTGAAGCAGAGCCAAAACAGCAGCGCTGTTCAGGAAACTATAAATGTAGTTCACTCAGACCAACACAGCTTCACAGGAGGCTAAAGACAGAGTGGTGTAGGGTGGCTGGAGACACAGCGACACCCAGAGAGGTTTCCAGCAGGGCTACACGGCCTCACGCCACCAGCAACACCACCGAGAGGAAGACTGTGTCACCATAACGCAAATTGGCACATTGAATGGGTGAAAGGAGCAACAGCGTGCACATAACCTGTGAGTTGCGGGGGTTAAACGTGCACCTCGATGACAGACACGCCAAAAGGCACAACACAGATCCGCACCGCAGAACTCTCAGCAGGGCAACCCGGCCCCACGCGACTAGCAGCAGCAGCAGCCTCCCAAACTGATCCAAGAGGGAGACCGTGTCACCATTACGCACATAGGCACACTGAATGAGTATAGGAAGCAGCGGTGCACACGTTACCTGTGGGCCGCGGAGGAAACATACACCTGGATGGCCGACACGACACGCCATGCCACGCCATACAGGTCCGGAAGTAGAGAGGGCGGCGCGCAAGCTGTGTCTGTATTTTATAGTGGCGCGGTGCCGCCCATCAATCAAAGCTTTAGGTAAACTGGTACAGCGCCCCCCATGAGATGGAATCCTTTGTGCTCTGTCTACACTAACATTATCTAGTAGTTAAAAATAGGACTTTACCTAAATTTGCTTGTATAATGTTTAGATGTAGTCTCTGAACAGTCACCCTTTGGTTCAGAGCCGCCAAAGGCATAAGCGAACTAAGCGCCTGCCCAGGGCCCCGCGGCCATTAGGGGGCCCCCAAGAGCAATCAAAAAAAAGTTTTTTGTTTTTTTTGCATGTATGAGTGATGCTTTCTGTATGATCAAATATATATTCTTTTAAAAGTAAAATGAAATAAGTAAAAAAACATTTCAGTGCTGCTGCTAATGTAGGCCTATGATTCTTACAGCCGATATGTCAAAGCTCCGCGACGTTATGTGCTTCCTGCTGCGCAATGTGCAGTGAGCATCCAAAGTGCAGGTAGTTGTGGGGCAAAGCATATGTCTGACATATTCTTCAGGAGCAGAGAAAAGAAAGAGGAAGAAGAGAAAAAACGCCAAGATAAAGGTATGTTTGCAGGCATTAAACATATTGAATTTTGCTGTAAAAAAATAGGCATTTCAACATGAGACCTGATGGGGATTCTTTGGCTTTTGGAACCAGCCTCTAGTGGACCCTGGAAGAACTGCAGTTTTTTGCACTAATGAGTTGGCTTTATTTCTCAACACTGAAGTTTGCAGCCTGACAAATCCATTTGCACTGTTACTCTTCCTACTCTAGGCTGAAAACTTCTGCTAATTATTCTGCATACTCATTAAAAATTTGGAGATTTTTTTTTTCATTTTAAAATGAAAAAAATATATATATATATTAGAAGAACATTTGGTATGACAGCTGCTGGGACACTGACTCTATCATTGCACATAATCCCCGTCTCGATCTCTGCATTTACTATTCCTACGAATTTATTCAAAAACTTGCATTCATGCATTTATTATTCATGAGGGGGTTTGCGGTGGGGTGAACTACCATGCAAAACATCTCTTTGGTAACTATGTCCACATATAAATAAGCAGATGTAGCTGGGATAAGCATTTTTATAATGTTGGAGCATAAACTGGTGTACGTGCAACACGCCATCTGGCACACTAAGGCTTGTGCACTGCTACATGTAACTTGTAACATCTGGGCTGTTATGCTGTGTTAAAGGGTTCACTAAAAGAGTGGACTCCAAATTGTAGGGTTTTTTTTTTAGCTGTTGGTATTAGGTTTCATACTATAATCTGAAGTTTCTGGGCAGATGGGTTGGTGTGTAAAAGGTTTCACTTGTGTAAAAAAAATAAAAATTTTCACAGTTTTTAAATCCTTTATTTATAACTTTATAAAAACTAAACAGATGAAGTTTTATGAGTTTTAAAGATGCAGAAAAAATATGGAAAACAACATTAAATACACTTTGGCTATCTCAAATGGAAACACAGAATGTACAACACAGGGAAATGCTTGCCCAGTGACAAAAATTCAAACTACCCCTACACTATAACACATCTATACATAAGACTCTTTTCTACAAACATACATACATGAAGCGTTTAATCCACAAGTTTCACATAATGCTGTAATATGTTAAAAAGCCCCCTGGAGGTGTTCCCCCTTTATGAAAAGATTATGAATGATTTCAATCAAAAGTTCATGAAATCTATGAAAACTGGCAACTTCAAGGTGAGCTCTATCTGCGGTAGGAAGACCACGCAGCAGGTGTTGATGCTGTTATCTCTCAGATATACTTGTGCTGGCTCATGATGCCTCTGAGGAAGTCTTCAAAACGCGGCACAGCGGCCTCCTTGGCGGGTTCATCTGCAACGTCCTCCTCAGCAGCAGCGGGGGCCGGCTCGTCAGCAGCTTCTGCAGGCTCAGCGCGTCGCAGCCGACAGTTGTAGTCAAACTCGGGGTCGCAGTCGGGGTCAGGCAGGATTATGCCGTCCTTGCTGGGCTTTGAGGCCACAACACCAGAGGGTTTAGCAAACTTTCCACAGTTGGGGTCGAACGGGTGGCAGGCTGGCTTGGCTGGAGCCTTGATGTCGGCCTTGGCCACTGAGCCAGACTTCACCGGGATGCAGTCTTTGTCATAGTGCACATAGCAGTCGTGGCCATCCTTGGTCTTGCCGGGGACGCCGAGCTTGTAGCGGACCTGGTTGGTTGGTCGATTGATTTGTTTTTGTTTAAAAGAAAGATGCAAAAGAAGATAGCAAATGAAAGCATCATGCAACACCCTTTTCATTTCAATACATCATTTAATAATCTAAATGAAAGGAAGAAAACATTTAAAAAGCAAGATTACATTAGATTATTCCTTTAAAAACTGAGCTATGTAATCCAAGAAGCCGGACTTTTCAGACCTGGTGTTCGGGGATCTGTGGAGCAGGCTTGCGTAGGGCAGCAGCAGCTGCCAGTATGCAGAATGGGTCTAATTGAGGGTCGCAGGACAGAGGAGCAGCAGCAGCAGCAGCAGCAGCAGCAGCAGCAGCGGGTGCAGGCTCATCTTTGAGGGGGTACTCCAGCACGGGTTTGGTGAGGCCGGACAGTTTGGTGGCGGTCAGAGGGTTGCAGCCGGCGTCAAAGAGAGGGTTGCAGTGTTGCTCTTTAGGAGGCTCCTCTCCGGCCAGGGGAGCAGGAGCAGCAACGTTGGTCACACACAGAGGATCGACTGTTGGGTCACAGCTGGGGTACAGCAGGTGGTAAAAGCCAGTGGGGGCTTTGTGGACCAGGGTTGGCATGCAGTAGGGGTTCTTGGGATCACATTTAAGCGCAGCATAGGATGGGGCTGGGCCAGGAGCTGGGCGATAACCGTAAGCTGCCCTCAGGTGATACTGCAGGCACTCCACATCTTCAGCGTTGCAGATCCTCAGCAGCTCAGTCCTCTGCTCAGGACTCAGGAAGGGCTCCAGGACAGGGGCGTAGTAGTAGAAGCCAGTGGGGCTCTTCAGGGGCATAGGCAGGAATGGGGTCAGGATGGGAGCTGGGACCTTGGCTGGAGCTGGCTCTGGTTCAGGGGCGGCCACCTTGGAGAGGAGAGGGAAGAGGCAGTAGGGGTCGAGGTAAGGGTTGCACATCCTGACTGCAGCAGACTTGATGGGGGCGGGCATCACAACGGCAGCCTTTGGCTTGCTGGTGGACTCAGCGATGCACTCTGGGTCATCAGAGTCAGCACAGGTTTTGTAGATTTCACTGAGGTGCTTGAGGTAGTGGTTGAAGCTAGGACCCTCCTCTGACCTGTGCTTGTTCTGCAGGAAGGCCATGTACAGACGATCCAGATCCTCCAACTAGAAAGCAGAGAGAGGACGCAGATGAATACATTTACTCTGAAACTATACCATCTTTATGCAGTGGAGAGCTCAGATAACCTAAAAATAAAACAGTAAAAATTTAAACAAAGCCCCTGATAGAAGAACATCTCTCTGAGGAGGAGTATATGTACTTTCTCCGCTCTGTGTTTTTTATACTCAAACCACAGTGCTGACTCTGAAGCCACAGAGCGCTCTCTCTCTCTCTCTCTCTCTCTGCTGGAACATGACTCGCATCGCAGAGTAACTCAGCAAAGAGTGAGATGGCATATTAAGACTTTAGCTTAACCATGGCCTGAGAAATAAAGTATTTATTTCAGAGGAAAATAAGAAGCCTGCATCAAACAGAAGTTTTAATCTGTGTGTTTGGGTGAAAACTGTTGAGTGCATCTATGATCAAAAAAAAAGAGCAGAACTTGATTGTTGCCTCGTTGCTGAAGGGGAAGAAGAAAACATGTTGTGGCTCAGAGTCCCAGCTGGGAGACACTGAATAATTAATGTGAAACAAACTCCACTCACTCCCTCCTGGTTGTGGCTGTCCATGAAATACTTGTACCATCCCCAGAAATCCGGCACACGTTTGAACTGAGGCACAGCCATGACGGGGACGGGGAGGGGGAGGTTCCTCCTGTTACGGACCATGGCTTCTGCTTCTGCGGGCACTGAGGGGAAGAAAATGTACTCAATTAAGGGTGTTGGTGCAAAAATTTACAAACCACATGAACAGAAAATATTAGATATCTTAGCTACAGCTATATTGAATCACATTATGCTACTTTCTATATTTATATACTGGTATTTATGGTACAAACTCACTGATATACTGAGGAAATTAACCGTGAAACATGAATCAAATATGTCAAAACTGGTATAGTTACTAAGGTATATTTAAAGTGAGCTAATAGGGAGAAAAAAAATAAGAGTCACAGCCAGTCTTGGTCGTTCTGAAGCACAGACTTTATAAGCACGTCTAAAAATGTCTATTTTAGGTCACCTATTTATTTCTAAGGAGTTGTTATAAAACTTAGTGAAAGCGTTTGTCATCTTGAAAAGCTGATTCAACCTAACCATAAATGGAGTGGTCTATAAACAGCTGAAACCTCTGAGCATTTTTTAACACATGCAACTATCAGTCAGCTCAGCAACACTTTTAATGATGCAAACTTATCTATAACTCTTAGCCGTGATAAACTCCAGACAAAGTTGTCATGAATAAATTCACCCCTGTAGTGTACAACATGTAGGACTAAAAAGTGAGCTGTTAGACCAACATGTTTTATCCTGATGTAAAAACTGGCAAATCAACATGGGATCTATTAGGGTTCTCCTGGCTTTTTGGACCAGCCTCTAGAGGACATTTGAGGAACTGCAGTTAGACATCAGCTTAATTCTAACACAAGAGGTCAATGCTTTATCGTAAAGGTACTATGAGGAGTTTTTAAAAGACTGAAAAATAGACTGAAACTGATACAGATGCTTCATTGCAAATGAAACTAATCTGTTGTTATTTTTGATGCTTCAAAATGATGTGAGGAGGTAAATATCTGACCAGATGATTGACGGCAGGCTGAAAAAATACATCTTTTTACATTTTTTCCGGTGGCAAATACTCACAGTGAGTGTTACATTTCACTCTTAAAGAATTACAGGAAGAGGTTTTTGTCTGAAAACTATTTTCACACACAAAGGACCAAAATTGAGAGTTATCGCTTTGTCCACAGGGGGGCGCCAGAGCCAAAATGTCACAAAAGTTCCTTGCAGCAGCTTTAAGGTCACAATGCCAGCCCTCAGCACTTGAACAGCCAATCAAAAAAACCTACAGTGAGCTGCTGCCTCTTCCTTTTCATATAGCTTTGCTTTGTCTTCCTGTAAGTCAGCAAATCCCCTGCCTCCTGTATTTTCTAAAATACAAAATAATTCTGTACATATGTGGTTACTGTGTTGGACTTGTTTGTCTAAAATGGTGTTTTTCATTCTTTTTTGTTCTGTTTTTACCAGATAAGTTTTGTTTTTTAATAACATGGACTTGATGTTCCTTGATTCATCCTACAAATAAATGAAGAACATCATATTCTGACTCTACCAGGTTTGACTAACCTCTGCAGGAACAACTTAGAATGAATAAAGCAACAAAACATTACAAATTCATGAAGTTTTGCCCAAGGTAAAGTTTCTCTCAGTGTCTCTGCAAACCAGAAATGAAAACACTAGATCATTCACAAAGGGTCAAACTGACAAATCAACAACACAAGTAAGTTTGTTATTAAACAGTTTCAATTCAAAGCACAGAGGAAAAAAAGCCAAACACTGGCTTAAAAAGTCACAAACTACTTTTTAAAGAGTCTTTTTAAATCTCCTGTAAGGAACTGTTTGTCTGTGTTGACTTTGGCGCCCCCTGTGGACAAAGTGATAACTGATATTGTTGGTAATTTTGTCTCATCTTTGAAAGTAGTGCTCAGTGACAAAAAAATTCCTTCTTTTGTCTTTTCAAAGTGAGATTTATCCCTCAACACAAAGCTGTTTTTTCAGCGTATCTCCCCCCTCAAAGGCAATAAAATTTGCAATAAAGAAGTTGTTAATTTTGTCAAAAATGGTTTGAATTTGCTTTTGCACATCATATCAATTTATACCATACCAAAACTAGTAAATGTAAATGTGAAGGCGGAATACTAGTGTTTGCTAATGATGACTATCAAGTTTTACAGTAATTTCATTTCACATAGCTTTTATCTCAGAGGCTTAAAAAAGTCAACATGTCCCCCACATGCCACGTCTCAGGTCCTCACCTTCCTCCTCTTTGAGCTGCTCCACTGGAACGGCCCCCAGAAACTCTGTAAAAAGAAAATAAAGGAGCAGGAGCCACATTAGCAGCAGCAGCAGGGACATTAGCTGACTGAGACCAGATGTTGAGCTTTCTCTCCACAACAGGGAAAACGCTGAGCTGCTAATAAGCCCCTGGGTGAAACCCGGCAGGTGCTGGGGCTCTGGCGCCCCAGCATAAGCAGCATCCTGCAGATTTAACACCCCAAATTCTTCCTGCAGACCCCCACCCAGACCTTTGTACACTCAGTAAGACTTTGAACCAGACTGGTAGAGGTTGTGCAAATACTGGGGGCCTCTTTTACCTGTAAAACTACAAAGAGCGGGCCCTCACACAAACCAATTACCCTTAAACTGTAAATGTGGATAGTGAGAGGGAGGGGACGTGTCTAAGTGCATCCCTGTCTCCACGTCTGCGGGGTCTTCTGCTCCACCAGGGGTTTTCTTTAGAAGTTTATGACTTCAGAAAAAGCCGCCAAGTCAGCTGATTATGGCAGAAACTTCCAGACCTTTACATTTATTAATGTGGAAAGTTTCCCAGAGGGGCAGTGAGGAAAGTCTTATGATTTTAAAGCACCGACGGGCTGCTTCTGCATCATGTTTTTGTTTCAAGAGATTGGAGCAAAGTGGTGTCTTTAACTGAGAAATTAGGCCGGAGAGCTTTTAAATTGTGAGGTCTGACTCTCTCTAGGTACATGTAAAAGAAACCCTGAGATAATTTAATTTAAAGTTTAAAAAACTGAATAAGTAAAAGTATTACAACATTTACAGTATTTATAGGTAAGCAAACAACCATGTCACTTAAATAAACATGTGTCAGTTACTTTATAATTCTTCTCTTACACACTTAAAGTGGTAGTTGCATTTTATTAATACCATTATCCATTTACTGTTTTTCTTTTAGGTGTGTTTTTTTGTGCGTCTTTCTTCTAAAATCAAAAACACAAAATTATTGATCCAAAAAGTTTGAGTCTTGGTCAAACCTTTGCTCTGTTTTTCAATGTAAATCACTGATTCCTTCAGTTTCCTCTCGCTCACGAGAAAGTTGAATAGCTTTCAAACAAAATATTCTGAGAGGCGAAAACTATTTCAGAGAGAAACATCCGGCTTTGAGCATTTGAGATGAAACGCTTAACCTGCATCAAGAGGTTGCAAGACTAGACTGATGAATAATGGCTTACTGGTGGGAAAGGTGGAGACAAACTGGTCCTTGTGGTCTAAATTGTGTCTCAAAGTTTAGTTGTCATTAGAAAAGGTTCACCAAACGATTTATGTTCAAGTAAAATCTTCATAATTACATAAATAACCTTGTCACTGCGTTTGCTGTTACTCGTATGTAATGGTGGTTGTTTTTCTTCATGTGTGTAAGTGTCCTTCTACATTAGAGTTCAGATGAAGTCCCATTTCAATTATTTCTGAAAATGAAATCTCACCTGGTAATAAAACAATAGCCAGCAGGAGTCCTGTGTGAATCAGGAAAAATGATGGTCGTCCAACACGGGCCATTTTTAGTTGAATGTGTTTCCTGAGAAAAAAGACAGAAACAGTTTTCACTGAACACAGCATCAAAAGATGGATTACACACTATGAACTCCCAGCATCATAATGTCAAATAACAAAGCAGCTCGAATTGGATTTATTCCTGCTGCTTCTTCTTGTTTTTTTGTTTTGCTGAGAGTTTCCAGCAAATTGTTAGAAATGGAAATGAGAAGACAATGCAAAGTGAACAAAGAGAGAGAGAGAGAGAGAGCTCCTCTTTAAACTGGCTGAAGCCAAAAGAAAGGATTGGGGACAGTCTGTAATAGAGCTTTTCAGGGATTACTGTGAAAATAAGACTTTGGTTATGAATATCAGAATATCAAGTGGAGCCACAAAAGTGAACAATGAAACAGCTAAAATGTTCCTCTCTATTACAGCATGGATGGCTGCTGAGTTACAGCTGCTGAGCTCAAAGGAGAGATTGTCCTCTGCAGTTTCTCACACATGAATAAATCTGAAGGTTTTGTCACTTTTCAGGCAAAGCTGCAGCCGCTGTCTGTGGCTTTTTGGACATTTCAATAAGCTTCAGCACATGCATTGTGGGAATCAAACCTTACCTGCAAAGGTGCTGGAGTCGTGGCCTCCTGTGATCAGGCGAGGCTCTCTGCTTCGAGCTTCTTAGGAGGAGGGGGGCTGGCTGCACTGCGGTTGTCCAAGCGATATGCTCTACCTCTCTGCTCCCCTGTACGAGACAAACAGGCCGGCAAACATTTTTAAGGAGCCCTCTTGATCATTAAAAACAAAAATGCATGTCATACGGCTCCAGCGTGCTGGTAGGCGCTCCAGGATTGGCTCCTGCACCGCCATCCGTCCAACCAATAGGGGTCCTGTAATTAGTGGAGGTGAGCAGCACGGGTGCTTTCTGTGAAGGAACATTAACAAGGTGCCACTTAGCACCAGGGTGCTTTCCTCAATGGTTTGGAATTTGGGGTCAACATGCAAAGGGACAGTGTGCATCAGACACCCGTTGATTTTGAGATCTTGAATTTACATGAATGTCTCAGACTGAGTGGATCTAAAAAAACGTAAACTGTTAAATTCACTCAATTTGAGGCCTTTTCTACATGAAAACAGGTTTTTATTGAATGCCTGCAGCTATCACAGAGGTGGCACTCATAAAACATTCAATTGAAACTATGGCAAAAGGTAGCGCTCTTGTTCTTTATGCTAAATTCATGATGTAAAGAAGAAACTATAAATGAATAAGTTGTTAAAAAAAGCAACAACCTCCTCCAGTTGTGCAGAAATCAGTCTTTTATAAACTACTAGATTTATTCCTGTTCTTCATCTCTATATGATTCACTGCAAAGAATAACAACCATTTCCAAAACAGCTCTTGCATTGCATCAGTATATTGACAAATGTTTGAGCAACATTGTCCGGGATGACAGGAGCATGACTCCTTTCATTTTAGTGGTGCAACACTGCATCAAATCAGCTGTTGCACCATCCTTTTTACTAATGTTTTCAAACTTAGTGTCAGCCTTTCATGTCAGAAGTCTGCAGATAGTTTTTCTTTTGCGATAAAGTTACCCAACTTCTTCAGATAGACGGTAAGGACTACATCTATTACACACACTTTATTATGTTTTCCCTGCTGTTTGGATGTACTTGGCAATAAATCTGATTCTGAGTTCAAACAAAGGCGAGGACAGTGTTTGACGATAAAAGAAATTGTGGTCAGACTTCTTTGAAACAAACATTTTTGTTTCTCACTCTGTACCCTCCAGTGAATGCATGTTTGTCTTCTTCCCAACAACACTGAGAAACTGGAGCCATTAGGAAAGGTAGGCTTCACACAGAGCACACCACTAATGAGGCTGCTGCTGTGGAACCAGCATGCCAACACTGCTGTTTGTTTGGTACAGGTTCTCAGTATTTAGATTGTGCCACGTAGCATGAACAGCCAGTACAGCCACAAGTCTATGTCAGAGGAATATACAGTAAAAAACAAGAGCAGCACGAACAAAAACAAACATCACAGTGGGTCATTTTTGAAAGGATATCCACCTTAAAGCACCGACCTACACAAACACATGAAAAATTCATTTTGTATAGAACCGGTTTTAGCAGACGTGAGGTCTGAGGATTCAGGATACGTGAACATCTCTGTTGTTGATCTAAATTTACACTTTATAGACACTTTACACTTTTAAAATACACTTTATAGACCGATTTACTGACTAGTGTTAGAGGTTATGACAATAGTTCTCCAAATAAATCAGCTTTAGTCCAGTCAAAGCTCCATTGTTTCAGCAAAAATGCAAAAGCTGTTTTCCATAGTCATAACATTAACTAACGTCACTCAAGCAAAAAAAATCAGATCATTAGCTTTAACTGAGTTCTCAATATGTATATTTTAGCTATTATTTTATTGATGAATATATCTCCAATGTTAATTGTTTATAAGCTTACAGTCTCATCTATGTGTTTCTTAGTGCTTGTTTGAAGCATTTAACTATTACTTTCAAAACTTCAAAATTATATACTGTAACTATGAGCTTCCAGTAACCCTCTGTATCATAACGTTAAGGACATTAAGCTCATTTTTTTAATTCATATTTACAACTTTTAGCAAACTCACTGTAAGATAAAAGTTAATCAGATATCAATCACTTTTAGCCACTTGTTCAACTATCAAAATATGGATTACAGTTAATAATTAAAAATAAATAAACCTAAATGTTGGTTATGTCAGTTATTTATCCAAAAATTAAGCTAATGTTCGATACAAGTTCCACTTCAAGCTAGTATTGTAATCATAAATCGATTACTTTGAGCTTTTCAGCATCATGCTTTGCAGGCTTTGTCCACATTCACTCCTCACTACCTTCTTATGGTCTCAATAATTATTCACGTACCACCTTTATATTACATTTTGCTGCCTTCTTTGCTCTCTTGATAAGTTGATTTTAAAACTCCTTATGGTAACTTGGAAATTCAAATTGCATTGTCCATGTTTTTCTTCAGTTCATTGAACAACCCTACATGTTCAATAACCCTGTCAAATTTACAGAAGTACACTTTACATAAATGAATTTTGGAGCAGTTTCAGAAAAATTGAGTTTTTTTTTTATCTCCTCTTTTCAGTTCCATACAGTTGCATGATGATTTACAGACGGTACAGTTTGTCCCCTTAAACTTTGTCTCTGTTGAATGATGGTGGCTGAACCTTGCCTTCGATCCCTGCAATTTACACATTTCAGAACAACTGGTGCTGTCACAGAAAAAAGACAAATGGTTATTTTCCTTCAGCTTGAAGTAGGCAGCCTTGAGGAGAGATGTCTGTCTCTTTAAGTGCATGGAAAATTCACAGTAACTCGACCAAGATTTGGCTGAGGACCCATAAAGCTTCTCATGGCACTTATGAAAGAGAAGCTCATTAAAAACACAGAGCCTTGTTAAAATGTCGGTGCCTGTCAAATGCTTTTATGTAAGCGCTTCAGCTCTGCTTTTAGTGCTGTTTTCAAATCAAATGAAGAAGGAAGATTCAACAAGGAAATTTTCTAATTTCCACATGATGATTTTTAATTATTTTTGTGAATCTGTAATTTTTCCTTTTCTGCTCCAGTGAGATATTAAAGTTCAAAAAAACTCCTGAAAGTAAGAAAGCAAACATCACTGTCAACATGTTAATGTGCAGCTTAAAGCACCACTGTGCCTTACAGCTGAACACTGTTTTACTTCAGACTACTGGTTATGATGATGCAGAAATAAGTTGCTCTACATGCCAAAACTTAAGGATAACAAAAATCACCTTCTTAAGTTGTTTTACATGTTGGATTTTATTATGTAAAGAGTAGAACAGTCCCTTTTTAGACTCAAAGGCTACGTTCACACTGCAGGTTATGATGCACAATTTGTATTTTTTGTTAAATCCGATCTTTTTGTGCGGTCGTTCACACTACAACAACGAATGCAGCATCTAATGTGCACAGAATGCGTCAGTGAAGTGACCCGCATGCGCACAAAGCACAAACTGCTTCACTCTCCTGTTTGTGTTCTCGAACGATGGTGATGTTTGTCGCATATTGATGACATATAGGTTGGATGAACGCGCCTGAGCGTCCACACTGCAGTCACATCGGATACATATCCGATTTATATCCACATACAAAAGAGGCCTGGGTCGGATTTGAAAAAATCAGAATTGCACTGTTCATACTTACATGAAAAAATCAGATATGTGTCACATATGGTTAAAAAATCGGAATTGGCCTGCAGTGTGAACATAGCCTAAGTCTACATAACATCTTGAAAGACTAATCCTTTTTCTGCAGCAGTTTTCATGAAGTCAGTCATCTGCTTTTGTCATTTTCTGTTGATTTGCTCCAATAAGCTTGAGCTTCATTTCCCTTTTTCCCAACCAGGGCCAGCTTTTTGTGTTTCTTACCTTTCACTGCTCTGGAGAGAGTTTTTAGAAGTTATTAAAACTTCTGTCTTGTAGACAACTGTTGGAAATGTCCATGCTGACAACACAGTTCTCTGTTTTGCTGATTCTGTAGAGTGCTGTATAAAAATGTGAAGTTAGCATTTTGTGCTGTTAAGAAACCTCTTATCAGTCTTCAGCTTGTGCTGAATAGTAATAAAACACAAATATGCTGTTACCCAAAAATGGAAACATTATTGACCTTTAGATGAGCATTAAAACAGTCCTGTGTCAGACATCGAAGGCTTTATATCACTGTGGTGATACAGCGGACAGGCATACAACAGTCTGAGCTGTTTACAGCAAAAATAGCCAACAGCACTTATTTAATTGAAAAAAATCATCTATTGACTTTTTATATTTGCATTAAGTATTCATTTCCAACTCTTCTGAAAAGTCTCTTTATCTCAATGTGCAACTCAGAGTGTAAACAATTTACCAACACAGCGTCGACTGTGTTCAGTGTGCAGTTTTTCTCCTGATTTATCTTCACTGTTCGTACCAACGCAGGAGAAACCTGAATGAGTTATACGCAGATTTGAAGCCTCACTCCAGAAGTCTATTCATAACCACGACACTTCTGGGCACGGACATAAATGGATTCATCAGCTGATCGATGACTGGGGACTCTGAGTCATCACTTTGCCATTTGTGCAAGCTGCACACTCCTGCTGAAACATAACTCATTTATATTTAACAGCTTGTTAAATATGTTTTCTATTTAAATAAAGACATTAATTTTCCACATAAATACAAAATATTATTTATTGATTTTCAAGAGCTTCACATGTAGAATCTATCAAAAAATACAACTATGGATGTCTTACTACTGTACATGTATGTACAAATGATGACATAACATGACCCACTGCAGAACGTATGTCTAAAACACACTGTCATACGAATAATTTAAGCGACTGTAACACACCATCATATATCTTATGCCACTTGCAGCATGTTTAAGAGAGACAGCATGTGGAGCCTCTGTCCATCAGGTATAATTAGACTCCTAACAGGTGTTCTCCTGCTCACAGAAACCTACAATCTAGTCCAGGAGCTGTCCGAGACATGAGCAGGATACAAGCTCATAATTTTAACATACCATATATGAAGGAATCCTTGGGATCTTAAGAATTTCACAACATCTGGAGTCGCTGTCGACTTTTTAAGGATGTTTGAAAAAGCCTGAAACTAGAACCGCTATGAAAGGAAATTGTATGTCATTAGACAGAAAATAGAGGGTTTGCTTTCACCAAAAAAAAAGGTTGATGTGGAGTGGTACAAATATCATCCATCTTTACTCTGAAGTCAGAAGTCACTGGATGTCATCATCATCAAACAGATCCTCGAAATCTGTGGAAAACAAAAAACATTATGATTACACAGACGTTACATAACAGCTGGCTGTATTTCATTGATTTCTGCAGGCCAGGCCTTCACTCATAAAGAAGCGTTATAGGTCAGGGGGTCGGAGGGGCGCAGAGTGATAAAAGTTAAAGGATCTGGAAACACTTGGGCTGAGGGGGCTGCAAAGTGGCCTTCCTGTGGATCTGATAGTTTGTGAGGTCAAAGGTCAAGCAGGAGTGCTGTATGAACATGTATAGGAATATACGCCACATCCTCCGCCGCTAAAGATAAACTACATTTGACACACTTTTCCATCATCGTTTAACTATTCAGTCGCTTTTTCAGGGCTTGACAGTGCGACTGTTTCACTCACATTTGTGACTAAAAATAGATGTGTGCGAATTGTAAAATGTATTTAGGGGCACAAAAAAATCAAATGTGTTTTCATGTAAATACCACAGTGAAGTTGGTTTTAGATTGGATATTCAACCATAGAGACCATCAATAAAGTACTGGTTGATGTTCTTAAAAAAAAAGGCTGTTTTCCTTCAATAGCTTCCATGTCATGTGACCAATTGACCTAAAATTGATGTCAAATAATAGTACTTAAGTCAACCAATAAGACACACATGATTTGATAAATTTTCATTGTGCCCCAAAAGTTCTTTGTGTGCTCCTTACTTTAGTGTCAAGCCCTGAGCTTTTGCAATTTTGTCTGAGCTGCGATGTTTTACTCTGCACAAACAGCTGATATTACCATCAGTTTTTTTTTTGTTTGTTTGTTTGTTTGTTTCTTGTATTTATTTTCTGCATTATTTATGATATTTGAGAGACAGATATGCTGTTTCTTCTCCCTCTTCATTAAAACGAAACAGAATCATCATTTTTGTGTATTTTTAATTTCTTTGCGTTAAAACCAGCAACTGAATATGCACCTTTGAAACACAATCAAGTGAACATTGACAGTCAGGGAAACAAAGCAACAAATTGTAATGTTTGTAAGCAGACTATTATTTTGCGCTGGCAGTCAGCATACAGTATGTTGTGTGCAAACACCTCTTAAGAACCAGCACTCAGTTTATTATCCACAGCTCCTTCTGATGAAGACTGTTAGCAGACAGACTGTTTTAAAAGGTGTCATCAAACACCCAAAATATAGAAATCAGACAGCACATGACAGAAAAACAACATTTTGGTCCTGATTAAAGCCTTCGCAAAGAAAACAAAACACAACAAAAGACAGGTATGCTCCAGAGACAACATTCCCTCTGTCATTTTGTCTAAATGTGATTGTAAAACATCTCATTTCAGAACCTGCCGTGTTAGTCGCTCTCATCCTGTAATTCTGATAGAAAAAGAAATATCTAAGAGGGACTTATTTTAAACATTAAAATGGTTTCTTTCTTGTCAAAAATCAACAGAAAAAGGTTTCAAAAACTACAGCAGTAACATGAGTGACATTGGACATCAATTTACAAACTCCACTCTGTCGTATTTCAACACTGGAGAATAAAGGCCTACTGAGATTCTCCCTCTTCTTTTAGAGTTGTTTTAGACACATGCTGAGGTTACAAACACTTGACCTCACCTGCCCTAACTAGCTGTACCTCATGGTGTGTGAATGGAACTGGTCAAAAACTGATGAACTCTATACGTAGCAGCCTTTACCATTAGTGTGTGTGAATGGGTAAAAAGCATTTTGAGTACGCAGAAGACTAGAGGAGGCGCTTTATAAACACAGTCCGTTTACCATTTACTGAAAACTGCTGGTCGTTGTCGAGCAGCAGCTCTAAGTGCTAAAAAATGAAGTTAGTTTGGAAGTGCAAAAACTGTGGCTGCTGGAGTGGCCACTCCAGGCTGGCTCCAAAAGCCCAGGAATCCCTATTAGAGCCCGTCTTGAAAAAGCCCATTTTTACGTTCACAGCTTTAGTCCATAAACCTCATTTTGTTCATTTTGGCTGAGGGTTGATTTTTACATGACTCATGAGTTTGTGCATTATGAGGCATAATTGCAGATGTAGATGATATAACTGACGTGAATGGGTTGTCGCTGTTTGCCAGGTGGGAAGGCTGTGGACTTAACTCCAACTCTTGGCTGATTTCTAAAGCAGTCAGAACAAGTTAGAGCCAGAATTTACAGCATGAACATCACACTTCTTTAGAAACCAATGGGTAATGTCAGGGAGCCAAACTCCATGTGTTATACAGTCTTTTGGTCTTGATGTATAATTAGCAATTTAGACACAAAACAAGAGTTGGAGTTGAGAAACACAATGTCGACAACAAGTGGACTCAGACTCAAACTCTCAAACTCTCAGACTCAGACCTGACTGTCCAACACAGTGGACAGTCCAGGGTTTGAGATAGTGTTGTGTCGTTAATAAACACTTCATTCAAAAGTACGGAACTGCTGAGTAAACAACGTGAACTGAATCACTCCGAGACCTGATTCGTTCCTTTTTCAGTTCAGTTGAGCTCAACCGTGAGCCTGGCACGCCGGTCGGGAGTGGAACTGCCGCCTTTGACTCTTTGGCGAACGACACACAGCCAGCCAGCGAGTGAGCAGACGGGCGGAGTCTCGTGATTCACTCATAGCGAATGGACGACATGTATCAGTCAGTGAACGAAACAGTCAGTGAACGAAACGAAACAGCCAGTGGACGAAACAGTCAGTGAACAAAACGTCAGTCAGTAAACGACATGCATCAGTAAGTGAACGACATGTATCAGTACATGAACAGAAGATTTACAGCCCCCTGTATGGTGAACGAAACGAACGACTCTTAAGAACCAGCACTCAGTTTATTATCCACAGCTCCTTCTGATGAAGACTGTTAGCAGACAGACTGTTTTAAAAGGTGTCATCAAACACCCAAAATATAAAAAATCTGACAGCACATGACAGGAAACCACATTTTGTTCCTGATTAAAGCAACTCGCGTTTGTTTAGCGGGCATGCTGCTTGCTGCTGTGTTGTTTTCACCGTCAGCGATACACAGAGAGGTGAGTTTTTCAGGGCAGGGGAGTGATTCTTCCTTTAGGACTTGGCAAATGAACGACACGTGTCACCCAGTGAATGATGCTGTGACTTCAGCAGCTGGGAGGGGGGGGGCTAGTTCAATAAACGAACTTGCGGCTGTGTCACTCACTGTGTACTGCACCGGCAGGATGGGGCTCCGAAGCACTGACTGATTCAGTGAACGAATTTTTTGAACGAATCCTTTTAATGAACGGATTCTAAAGATTCAGTACAGTCAAAAGAACTGTTCTTCCGATCAAATTTAAAGGAACATTGGCTCATGCTTTAAATAGAGAAAATGAGTATTTATACTTCAGTGCTACAGTTTCATATTGCATAATGGAAAAATTTGTAAACCATCACAGATTTTTCTTATTCCTTTGACTTCTCTATCCTACAGGGCTGGTGAGAGCCTAAATACTCCTACATGGTGTGAAGTGACACCAAGTGACGCAAATTAGCATTAACTGTCACAACAGCTTTACTTTTGTGACTGTGACTGAACTGAAGCATTCTGACACTGATTGTTTAACCAAATGAACGTTTGAAATCCTGTTACAAATGTAGGCCAGGGGGATCTGGGGCTGCTTTCAAAACGCCTGGAGACGGTGAAATGGCACGCATCTCAATCTGAAGGGGGGAATAAAGCCTGGCACCCTAAATGAGCCTCATTCACACATACACAGAGCTCCCGCTGAGCAGTCTGCCTTGAACCTGTGTCACATATGGCATGAAGTCGTGGCTGTTTGATGTAGCTGTGCCTCAGGACAGAGATCACACTACATTATAAAACACAGTTAGTAAAAAGGGGGGCAGAGGCATGAGGAATGTTTCAGGGCCAGTAAAGAGATTTCCTGCTGTGGAATCAGCAGCACTCCGACGCCCAAGGGTGGAAAAACATAATGAGTTAATAGATTCAATCTGCCCCTGAGTGACAACCTCTTCACTGAAGATGTCAGACTCCTCCTCTGCTCACTTCAAATTACCTGAGAAGAAAAATCGAATACAAATAAACCCTGATCAGCCAGTGAGAAAAACAAACTATAAACAAGTAAGTGGTCTTGGTGGGTCTTTTGAACAGTTTATATGTTTTTTATTTGTTTGACAAACACTATAAAAGTCTTATTACTAAAACACCAAGTTTCACCTGAGTAAAAATGCCAGACTGATAGACAATGGGTCAGGCATGGCTAGTTTTGGAGCAAGACCACAGTTTGAATGTTAGTAATCTGAAACACCAATTAACAACCAGTGGTCACACTAAACCAGCTACTTATTTGCCAGAGAAGTAGAAAAAATGCATGTAACAACGCTGATCAGTAACTACTGGCCCCTAACTCTCAACAGGTGAGGGCAGTAACTGGAGTAATAAAGTGTTTCATCTTGGCATTGGTGAAACACAGGGTATCCAATTAGAAAAACATTTGCAGCAAAAGTGTACTCTCTACCTACTGTCTCAAATATCACTCCATGTATCACCACACACCAAAAACTAATGGTGCGGTAGTATTTACAGGGTGTAGGGCCACACAGAACTTTTGGCAGTTTACTCTCAAACACCATTCATGTTATGGTTAAGTGACCGCAGACAAATACAGGTCAATCAGTTCAGTAGTCCACTCAAACTTTAAACTTCCTAAAATAAAGTCTGTTCAGAAATTCCTGCATCTTCTCATCAGATCCAATTTTTCCTGACGTCTGATTATCAAAATGCTTGATACAGTTGTAATGTATAAATTCTTTAAAAAATAAGAATTAATTCCTTTAAAGATTTACACTGTTGGAAATCTTAGTCTGTGGCATGCGAAGGTAATGCATTGCAAGTTGTAAATGTTTTTTAAAAAGTTGTTTACCGTTGAAGAAGTCTGAGTGAACCGCCTTTTCATTGGCAGCCAGGTCCATCAGCAGTCCTGTGCTTCCCCCAGCCTGCCAGAGGACAATCATGCAGCTCAGAGGCACAGAAAGAATCCAGAGAAGTCAGTAAAAAGTTTACCAGCAACTCAACTGGATGGTTTTGTTTAGTTATCTTACAAACTCTGTTTAAATGTGATATTTCCACTTATAAATGCTATCATAGTCTATTTTGTCTTTTTTTTAATCTATAAAATGTAAATGATAAAACAGTGAAAATTCTTAAAATGAAATAAAAACGTGGGGGAGAGTGGGGTAAGATGAGCCATTTTTCATATTTTGGATCACGACATCAAGTCAATCATAGTTTTGTCTCTAACTAGTGTATCTGGATATATTTCAAGATGTTGTGCATCCCTGCAAACCAACAGAATGAGTGTAAACATAACTGTTTACACTGATATAGCATGCCAAAAAAAAGTGGTCTCCCTTGGTCAACTTACCCTGTGTATGGGGTAAGTTGACCATAGGAGTGGGTAAGTTGAGCCGTATCTCTACTACCTCAGCCCTCCCTCACCTTCTCTCTCCCTAAATAACAGTCACTTCTTCACATTCATGTGTATTTTTATCTATTATATGCTATTCAACTGGTACAATAATTATTTCTATTATCATTGCATAACTGCTAAAAAGCTGTTTTGTATAAATCCATTTTAACATGAGAATGCCTTTAAGTGATTCAGAATATTCACAGCTGTATTTTTAAAAAGAAAAAGTAAAAACATTTCAACAATCTGAACTGAAACTCTGATCCTCTCATCAGACTCCTTTACTTTCTCTGTTAACCCAGAACCACTATTATGACTTTATTAGTCCTCTAAACTAAAATGGTGGACTTTTATGCTCGGTTTTTGACCTCATGTTGTAGCTCATAGATACCACAACTGATGTAGAAAACAAATTTAAAATGATCTTTTTTGGTCTGAACACAATTCTAATAAAACTTAAGACAAACTAAATTCACTTTCAAGAGTGAAAAATGTTGGGGGTTTTTTTGTAAATAAATGTCTAACCCCTTCACCCATGTGCTTCTAACCTTCACAGACTCCATGAATTGATGCCCATCTCCTAAATATTTGGTCACATGATCAATTTCTTTGACCATGGGTGGCTCAACTTACCCCACTCTCCCCTACTCAAATTTATCGTGCCAATGAAAGTATTGTCAATTAACCTTTACCCATGAAGAGCAGCAACAGTGAACAGTTAAAGCCACTTCCAAAAAAAACCGTGACGAAAAACTCTTCAAATAATGGCCGTCAATAGCAGATAACCGTTAAAAAAATGACCGTTACAAACAATAATAACCTTTGGAGAATGTAACGTTCGACAAACTAGCGCTGAATTGGCGTTAGTGTGATAATGTCGCAGGTAAGGTTGAACTGAACTACAAGTTGAGTTTCTGAAAGCGGTAATAAGGACAGGAAAACAACGTTAGGGAAAATGTACCTGTGTAAACTCGCTGTTTGAATCTATTACTGAGCTAACGTGAAATTCAGTCATTAAGCTAACAAACCTCGTCCAAATCAACGTAGGGTCCCGCGCCCTCCGGAAACATCTCATCTACTGCCGGTTTCATGACCGTCGAGTTTGACTGATCCTTGAGCGGCATGGATGAACCAATATAGGACGTTTATTTTCAGTTTTTCATACAAGTTTTTACCAGAAATACTACACACTCGGGTATTGTGGCGCCGCTTAAAAATAAAGCCGACGTGAAAGTGAAGCGAAGACCCGAAGGTTCCGCATCAGACTTTTAGTGTCGTTTACTGAATTTCCATCATGAGTATATTGTCACAGACCAACAGTTCTTTTTGTTTCTTTAGAGTTGTTTTTTAAGCTGTCAGAAAATGTTTAACATTTTTTAGCACCAATTATAAATGCTATAATAGGCCTTAACACTAATAAGATTGGTTCATACATATTTACCTTTTCTGTCATTATCTTGGGAATATCAAGTAAAAATGTATTTCTACCTCAAACTATAACTAAATATTAATAGACTAAGAGCTGTAAACAACTATTTATTCAAAACAGACTCAAACAACAATCACACTGTGTAAGTTTTAACCCTTTAATTTGGTTACTCATGTTTCCAGTTTGCAGTGTACTTTATATAATCAGATTTACTCAATATTTAATACTTTAAATTTAATTCTTCTATTTGTTACTGCAGATTAGACAAAAAACAGTTCAATATGACAGCAATTAAAGTTCAGTATGACAGCAATTACATCTGTATGGCGAAAACTGTGGGAAACATTAACCTCAGATATTATTATTACAACCAGTGATGATATATTTAACAAAAAGGGGTAAACCCTGACTGTGCATTTATTATTCAGCTTATAACCGTTACATTCAATCACCTACAGTGCTGCACAGTAAGGCGCGCAGGTATTTTGTGCTGTAAACATTTATATTGTCTAAACAAGGCAGAAATAAACCAATCATTAATATAAGCTGTGTCTAGCCTCCTGGTCACAATCAGCATAAAGAGGGCCTATTAGGAAACTGTTTTCCTGGAACAGATGCTTAAACATCCTCAGCAACATCTCGTGCTGCCTTTCTACAGGGTTTTGTCACAGCCTTGCTGCCTGCTGGCGATCATCCTGCTCACGTCAATGTTGTTTTTGGCAAAGGTGTCTCTCGCTGTCTCAAGAGTGGATTCTGGCAGGGATCTTGTCCGGCCGAGGATCCAGGCGAAATCCACGTGGAACAGTCTGAGGACATCCGTGCAGGAGTAGACCAGGGCCGAGTTCACGTAGTCAGTGGACAGGATCCAGTATGGGGAGTATGGAAGCACTGTGAACAAAAGAAGAATGACACACATATTTTTCTGTGGATCTGACTCAAGAAGAAAAATGTTGCTTCTATCGTGAAGAGGCTGGAGGTCAAAGGCCTCACTGTCCTGAGAAATAGACATCCTAAACATAGACACACAATAGTTACACTCAGTCCTCACCATAGGAATAACTTATTCCCAGTTTGGCTGGATTCTTCATGTCCTCTATGACTCCTGTCCCTTCAATTTTCCGCAGCTCTCCTTTTCTGTTTAATCAGACAGTCAAATTTCATGTTGTGTTAAAGGATATACAAACCGTGAAAATATTACCACTTGAATCCACATTTGCACAAAGAAATTGAAGATAGGACTCACAGTATCTCCGAGCTAACCACTCGAATGGAGCTGTCGGTCGTCAAAGTGAAATTGGTTTCGATGCATCGTCCCTTCTCAAACTGGGCAGGCAGCTTGGCAATTTCAAACCATCTCCCCATGAACTGAGAGGGCAGAAACACACACAAGAGTTCAAAGACAATTGAGAGCACTGACAGAAGAGAGTATGAATAAATCTACATGTGTTAGTGGAGTCAGGAGAATGTGAAGACGTATTTGCATCCCGGGCCACAGCAAACTTATTCTCGGCTGCGATTCAGATGGAAATGTAATAAAGAACACATGATTCCTCTATATATCTTAATGAGCACTGCAAACAGAGGCAGATGGATATTTGGCACATAAGAACTGCACAAATAAATGTTTGTATTTGCAATAAACTGCGGTGTTTGACCAACTTTTAACATGTAATTGTACTGCTTATAAATGTCATACACTTAACCATCCATTCAGATTACAAGTGAGCAAAGTAAAGATAGTCAGTTGCCAACAGAGCTAAGTACTTATCAATAGTGTCGACTTATTTTAGAGCACATTTTCAAATATCTGATTAATTTAAAAACCCAAAGTTGTTTTTTTTCCTCTCAGAAAGAAGAAAGATCTGTCAGCAGATCACACCAGCAAACCCCATCACGGAGACAGGCTTGTTCGTACCTGTTTGAGATCGAAAGCAGGTTGAACTGCTGGTTCTGGACACGGCCCCCAGTGAGGCACCTGAGCCCTGATGAGCGGGAGGATAAATGCAAAAACCAGAACAAAAGATAGCTTCATGTTGCAGACAAGCCTTTGATTCCTGCGAAAGGTTAGCAGGGAAATACAAATCAGTTTGATTTCTCTGAATACAAGAAGGCAGAATTTCTACATTTTGTGTATCAGAATCTAAATCTGTATTCTCACCTCTGCAGCCTGAAGGTTTAGATATATGTCCTCTTCCTCGGGCAAATCCTGGTATTTGAATTTGAGATGTCTGTCTCTGCGAGGTCTTCCAGTACTGCGACTATGTGTCATCAATGGGCGTCTTTGTGTGGAGCCAGCTTTATTTCAGACATGAAGTAAACTATTAGTAAAGTGGAGTCATGGGGGATTTATCAGTGGAAATGTTATAAAACAATCTGCACGTATCTCAGCCTTCATGGACAACAGTGTGCATTTGAAGTCAGTAAAAATATGTCAAAAAAGCAAAAGACCTTTACACAAACCACTATAAAAAGACTTTAGCTTCAATGATCATGGAAAAAGAATCTGTGTACTGTTAAATCTGAAAAAGAGGATGTCTAGCTGCTCATTAAAATTAGGGTTTCAGAAGACCCATCACTCAAATTTGGTTCTTGTCGGTTCATGTCGCAGGATTTCAGGTCAGCTGTGGCAAATATTTATCAAACTTTCTCCTGTTTATTTAATCGCCAAGTCTTATCATGATTCAAAATAACTTTATTGAGAAAAATAGGTCAACTTTCTTTAAATTTTCTGGCTTTTTTTACACCAAATCACAGACTGTTATATCAGGAAAATAGTTAACGGATCACAGATTAAACCAGTTCAAATGAGACGTTTTTACAGGATAATTTATTACAACTTTTACAGTCTTGAATTTTGTCTTCTGTACTGTCCCCTTGTTGACATTTAAGGAAACAAACTGTTCAAAATTTTAGAGAAAAATCAAGTTTGAACAAGAGACAAGTAGGTCAGGTATGAGTTCAAATGAAATGATGAAGAAAAGTAGAAACATGAGAACAAGTGGGCGGTAAGGTCAGATAATGGGGACAGGGAGTGGAGGGATGAAGCAGCTGGAGCTGACAGGACAAAAGAGGCAGTCTGGGCTGAGAAAAGCAGAAATTACTCTCTATACTATTTGGGAGACTTGGGCCAACTGCACTCACAGGCACTGATTTTCAAGTGACTGATTTGTAATAATTTTTAAATCACTCAGTGCTGAAAATGATCTATTTGAAACTTTTGTATTCTAAGTATGTAATTGTGTAGATTAGACTAGACTGGATTCATGTAGATTTGAGTGAATCTACTAAAAAAAGCAACTCAGCCACACCCTTATTAATGCAAATCTATGTGTATCTCTGTTTTAAATTGATGTTTTGAAGCTGGCTGTAAACTAGTGTAATTCTGCTGTAAACTGAGACAATTTGATGTAGGTATTATAGAGACTCCTCTGTTTTTTGGTCAACCACAAGTGTGCTGGAACTGCAGTTTTTTGCACAACCACATCAGCTTCATTTTCAACACCAGGGTTACTGCTGTCTGACGAGCAGAAATAACCTGCTGGCTACATCAGAGGTCCTGAGACATCTGCCGTCACCCTCATCGCATGATCTTTGATGGGTAACCAAGTCTTATAAATGTCAACCTCATGATGGTGCTGCTGGAAAGAAAATCAGATGACAACAGAAGTCATCCGAATTTATCCTCCAGGGACCTTGAATATTTAATTTGAAAGCAAAACAAGAAAAGAACAGATATTTCAATCTGTACCACAAATGTCAGCCTCGTGGTGATGGTAGATGAAAAGTCAGGGGATCAACAAAGTCATCAGGATTCATCCTCTGGGGATTGTGAATATCTTTTCAAAATTTAATGGAAATCAGTCTAACAGTTGTTTTGATATTTAGGTTTCATTTTGAATGTCCAAAGGTCACTCTCAGACCTGAAGGAGAAGAGAGCAGGTTTTCTTTTCTGTGGTATTGACTATTGCAAAAGGGCTGCAGGAGATATTATTAAGCCTGTTGTTTTCACAAGGTCTTTAAATGATTTATTTCATGTGGTTAGAAATATAAAGTTGGTTGGTAAAAGCTGAATATGTGCCAACTTCATCAATTTACCCAAGAAATCATTTTCATGCGTTTTAAAAATCTGGCGGCGCTTCTGTATTCCTAAAAATGTAAGAAACATGATCGTGATTTAAATATGTACGCTGCTGATGAAATGCAAAAAGCATTAAATGCTCTCCCCTGTCGAACAAAACCCCACAGCTCCAAACAAGGTCAAACGAAAGAAGAGGAAGATGAAAAGGTTCAATTTCCAGCTAATACACTTCAGAGGGGAGTAACTTGTTAACTGCACCCTGACACATCAAAGCCTGGCTGGAGAAGAGGCAGCGGGTTTCTCCCCCTGGATGGAGGCGGTGAGGCCGACTGGTCAGTGCATGATCAAGGCGAGAAGCGGCCCACGCTGGCTCACCAAGAGAAAAAAAAAAAGAGCAGTAGGAATATTAAAGATGCTGATGCAGAAAGTGTTGGCCTGCAGTGTTCTTGCTAAAAATCAGCTGATGCCTGTTTTGATTATGTGCTTTTTATGTTTCATTCATATTTCTGTTCAGTCACCTGCAAAGCAAACTCAGAGGTTATAAGTCCTCACTTTTGTATCTCTGAGCTCTTTGCGACTTAGTTCCCTAGGTGGCGCTCTGTCCCCTGCTTTTAAACTCACTGCTCCCACTGCCCTTTGTTAAACTTAACCAGCCAATTACAGCTCTCTGAGATCTCTGAGGACTTCTGATCTCTGAGGACGTGCATGCCAGCCACGAAAGGTACAGCCCCCTTGAACATGAACCTTCATGTTTGCACAGTGAAGACTCATACCTGGAAAGTTCAGAGCCAAACAGCAGCTTTTTGAATGATTGATGCTGATTGCAAACTTTACGAAAACTGATGCTTGATTTTTAATGATTGATAACTCAAGTTTTCAGGAAACTGTGAAACATGCACAAACCATAGGCATGAAACTGATTTCACGCTTGACATGTGTCACTCTCACAACAACCTTATGAATATATCCTCTCAGTATTACAGTCCAGTTAAGCGGCAAGATTTCTCTCCTCTCATTACCACTGCTACCCCGCATCAGTGCTGTGCTCATATTTTAAACACATGCACGCTCCAGCAAAGGGTCAGAGGTTATCTCATCATCCCTTAAATTCCTGCATGTAGAATAAATCTGCGAGGAGTGGTGGAGTTGGAGCAGAGACATCAAAACATAAGCGATGTTCTGCAGCTGCACTGAGCATTTTAAACATATGCCGACTGAAATATGGCTAACAAGCTTCTAAACATGTGCTTTGTCTCTCTAATGTACCTTTTGGCCTGAGGCTGAATAGCTGTTTTTGATTAGGATGGTTGTAACTGAGGGACACAAGAATCAGCCATAATAAGAGCGGTCCATATTCTCCATCTGATCAGTAAAGAGTGTCCCTACATGCTTCCTTTGTTATCTCCTTTACCACATGATACCAATCATTTCAATCCTTTTTTTCTTTCACTAGACTGTAAACATAACAGGGTCGAGGACAGCGTGTTCGTTCTCTGTAGAACTGGACCCTTATTAGCTGTTGTCAAAATTGTCAAAATAACACAATTATGCTGAAGTAAGCGCCTTACATAAGCTGGCTGCCAGAATGTTCGTGATTTAAAGGGAAAAATTACAACTTTTGTTTGTGATAGTGCAAAGTTGTCATTTTAATACATTGTACACTACATATGAAATGTATATTTTTGAACATTGCTCCTTGCAGGCAAGCAACAGTCTGTTTTTGAACAGCCAAAAACAAATTTCAGGGCAGGTCAGTATGACCAGGCTCCAGTCTCTGTTAACTCTAGTCTGAGCATATCTTACATATACAAAAATTTCATGCCATGAATTCAGAACATACAGTCGTAAAATAACATGTACTGTAGTTTCAAACACAATAATTAATAAATCGTTTTTTTAATATATGAGGTTGATAATCTTTGAAATTATTTGCCTTATTTTAATAAAAAATATATTTTTTGTAGTTTTTCAGGATCTCGCATTATCACTTACATTCACTGAAAACAAAACAGTGCTTCACAAACTCATGAAACATTCAGAGCACAGTATAGTATTTCAGCACATGACTGACTACTACATGACAGACTCACATGTCACCTAACATGGGGTCAGGTCGGGGTGTGTAGCACCTGCATACACACACTGTTGAAGTGAAAACGTGCAATAACATATGCTGTAATGAACACACAAGCTTGAGAAAACTCCTGCTGCTGAAGGACAACTTATGCTACACAACATCTCTGACCTCTGACCCTGACCTTTAACTCTCTCAGAACTGGTGTGAAATTACAGGAAGTGTTAAAACAGAGTTGGGAACTATTTCTGAAACAAACGTATTGAAAAACAGTCAATTTAGTTCAATTTAGGTTTAAATGATGATTAAAGCTCCTGTGAGGAACTTTCAGTTTGGGCCTCCTTCACTGACACAGACCTCCTCATGTCAGTTTCCAGGATTAAAAATGACTGTATTCAAATTGTCAGTCTTGTCTCTGATGGTCTTGTTTGCTTTTGTGTGTGTCATAAAAAAGGCATTTCAGTCCATTCATAAATGTCGAAAAAAAAACTCTCACAGGAGCTTTAATTAATTTGTTAGTTTGCAGCACAAACAAATCCATGTAGGGACATTTCAAGCTGATTTGAGCTCCTTGAGTTGAACTAAAGATGATTAAATGACCTATCTGTATTAAATAATAATAATAATAATAATTGTTATTATATTTATTATTATTATTATTATTATTATTATTATTATTATTATTATTATTATTATTATTATTATTATTATTATTATTATTGTTGTTGTTGTTGTTGTTGTTGTTGTTGTTATTATTATTATTATTATCAATTGGCCACACTGAAATTAATACTCATACTTCTTTACAATCTACAAAATCAAATAAGATCATCAACATTACTTTGCAATTAATTTCACTGGCTGAAACCAGTGTTGCAGGTTAGATGTTGATGATGAGTGACACTGCAGAATATCTATTTATTTGTAATTTCCACTGCAAAGGTTCTTGTTGAGTGATAAAAATGACTGTAATGATGTGAGAAGAAAATGCTGAAACATGTACAGAACAAGAGAAGATGAGTGATGGAATATGTGGCGTTGTCCACTGGGGGGCACCAGAATCAACACAAAGCCAATGCTCCTCATGGGGACTTTTAAGTTTGTGAACTAATTACAATCCATCCTTGCGCTGTGTGTCATTTTTATGGAGAGTATGATTGGTTGCTGTGGCGATAAATTATTGTCATTATTATACAAATAAATTCAACAATAACAGGATCAATATCATTCTGACTGATTAACTTTTATCTGGAGGCTAAAAATGCATCAGGTGTGAGCAGATGTTTGATATTTTTATTGCAGCTGTCTGGTTTATGATTCAGACTTTGAGCTGCAGTTTTTCTGTCTAATGTACAAAAGGACTTCAGTGGTAAACAAATGTTTTTCTGTATTCTTCTGCCGAAAAGCCCCCTTTGCTTTCAGACTCTGGCAGTGTAAGAGGGTTGAAAAAAAAATTGTATCTTTGTGCGTCAGCTTTTCTTGACAGCTGTTGTTGTTAGAGGATGACAGAAGAAAAAAAAACAACCTGAGAATGAACCAGGAATACGACAGTCCATTAACAGGTCCACAAACCGAGAAGCACATACCTATCTAATGCATTTCTTTCTCTAAAAACTGAAAACGTGAATATCAACTGTCTGATTGGGAAAGCAATTCTGAAATTCTATTATTTTGCTGTTGGGATTCAATCATTTCAAAATTAACTTGGATTTTTGTGCTGAGGAGCAATTATCTCACAAAAGGAAGCAAAAACTCTCCTCAAGGCTTTTTACCTGGACCTTTCACAACTCACCAAACCGAGCGAAAAAGGTACAAAAGAACAGAGCGAGGTCAGAGATTGGCTGAAGAGCCTTTTTTTTTTTTCAACCTTCTAGACTTTAGACAGAGTGCAGGTTCCTTTTCTGGTCGCACAAAGCTCGACTAATTGGTACTGCACACCTGCTTTTAAACCCTGTGACACCAACAACAGCCACACAATGAACCGAAGAAGATGAACAAGATGAAAATATTAAGCAGCTTTTATGTCTCTCTGAAAGATGAATGAAGCATGGCTGACACAATATTTCACACAAATGAAAATACTTTTTGATAAATACGCTTGATTAAACAAATTTAGACAAATATCCTGCTTATAAAACTATGAGAAGTTCTAGAGACAGATAAGTAGTTCATCATTCACTGAATTGTCAATATTATCACTCTATGGTAACTGCAGGTGACTATTGTAGCTGAAGGTCGAAGGTCATTTCTCAGGTTAGAAGAAAACAATGGCTTGAACTTCCCACTGAGCATTTTTTGGTGTAAAACATAGACTGTATATAGAAGTTTAGACCAAGTCTAAATCCGTGCTATATCTATACTACACTGTATATTCCTTAACGGCTTTCATTATTGTTCTGGTTAAATACTTGGAGAGCAGTTATGCAACTCACAAAAATAAACAGTTTCTAGACGGTGGGAATCAGGTCTACCAAAACTAGTCATCTAATAGCCGTCTATTGCTTAGTGGGTTGAAATTATGCTGCAACAAATTGATCCATCGAGGATCAATGACACTGCTGAATGGACTTTGTCGTTCTGTCAGAACAATTAAGATCAATTTAAGTTTATTTTTAACCAAGACTAACAGATCTGGTCTATGAGAGGGTCAACCGGGTTAACCAAACGCTCAGCTTGTCTGACTCTGTTCTTGACGTCCATTTAGCTGCATAAAGTGTAAGTTAATCGCTGAATTTCAAAACTCAAGTATTTCTGTTCCTGTTGGTTGATAAACTACAAGACTCACTCGCATTCAGCCCATTCCCGGTGATGGTGTTTGAGGGTGCTTGACGCTCTCTCTGTGAAAGCAGAGCGGATTAAAAGTGAATCCAGAGACAGAAACAGCTGCAGTCAAGGAATGATGCACCTGTGTCCAATTAATCTCCCCTAACAATCTGTGTGAGAACATGAGGTTTATAAAAGCAGAGAGAGAGAGAGAGAGGGAGAGAGAGAGAGGGGCGCTAAGTGTTCACTAGAGAGTGCAGTCTTCATTCTGAAGAGTTGGACAGAGTGGAGACAAATTGGTGTGTTATTTTGTTAATCAATAGTTTATCTTGGAGGTCAGTTAAGGTGTAGGGAAATCTACTAAACCATTGCACAATGAGTGTTTTCCATGTTTCTTTATCAAGTGGTTTAGTCACAAAAATCTAAGAGGAAGAAAGTGTTTTGAATTTAAAACCAGTAAAGCTATTCTGTGAGATGAGAAGAAGACACCACTTCCTGTCAGTTCAAGTTATTGCTACTGCTCCTGTAATTGAAAACAGCTGCCAAAGATGTTTGTTAATAACTTTATTTCAGAGCAAAATCTGTTATCATCCTGAACCAGCACTTTCTTCCTTTGTGGTCAGAGGGACCACAGGCTTTTCAGCTCGTGTTTTCCCTGAAGCTCAGCTGAAATGTGAGCTAACTCGACACTAGACAAATAACAAGCAAAGTGTTTCCAAACATGTGTCAGAGGTTAGTTAGGGTGAAGCAGACTCTTTTTTTACTTCTCCTCAAACATCTTTAGCATTGTAATATATTGAACCCGTCTCTCTGTCTCACTAATACATACGACACAAACGCACCCGCCTTAATGAGCTGATGTAAGAACCTGCAAACATCTGAATTTCCTGCGTTACCCTTTTTCTGTCAAAGTTTCTATTACAAAAAAAAAAATAGGTACTGTGCAGAGCAATCACATGTCAGTCAGTCAGACAGCTCAGGTGAAGGCGTGATGGGCGGATGGTGAGGTGGAGGAGACGAGCTCAGAAACTGTCAGGCTTTATGTTAATATGTCAGAATTTCTGCTTAATTTTTGTTGCACCACAGCGGCTCAGTGAGCTGAAAATAATCTGTTTTTGTGGTCATTTTGGCATGAAGGAGACTAAACTTAAATTTCTTTATATTCTTATTGTTTATTTTCTGTCATTTCATTAATTATCTCTGTTCTTAGTCTTTTTCTTAATTCCAGTTACAGGTTTTTACTTCTTTTACCTCTTTTTAATATGGTAAAGAGCTTTTACTGATCTGTTCATTTAGTATTATTTTCTTGTTTTAGTCCATCAGGTTTTACTTTTTCTTTTCACCATTTTTGTCGCTATTTTTTTATCTCCAGTGTTTCCCAGAGGTAGCTCTTTCCTCACGTGATGCCTCGGTGTCAGGCCATGTCTCTCTAACAATATATCTTAAATTCTTACACTGTGTGCGGTTGTGTGTGTGGATGAGTGAGTGAGGGTGGGTGGGTCGGGTTTTATTGTCATTACTGTTGTTTTAAACTTTGTGAGGCACTTTGAATTTCATTTTTTGTATGAAAAGTGCCATATAAATAAAGTTGAATTTGGATTTAAACTGTTTGGCCCAACATAAAAGACGCACATGAAAAAATCATTTTAGAGGTGCACAGTGTGTAATATTTAACAACATATAGTAGAAAAATCCTAACAGAAATTTGATATAAGTAGGTTTAAGTTGTGTTTAATCACCTGTGATGTCAAAATTCTGCTTTTGTTGACCTAAATTTAGCATTTTACCTTAAATAATTTTACCTTACCTTTTATTTTAACAATTAGCTTATCTTAAAAAGCATGCGTTATGTTGTGGTCCTCTTTCGTTTCTTATCAATGTGGCCTGAATGCAGTAAAAATACATACTTTTTTTTTTTTGTCTTTATTTTGTGCAATTTGATATTTCTTCACTTTTGTCCATGCTGTTACATGGTCTTCCTCACATTCTTCTAAATATTCTCTAAATGCAGAGATACATATAAATCAAATTTTTCATTTTGCTGGTCTCCATTTTGTGCAATTTGATATTTGATATTTTCTGTTTGAGCAACTTTAGTAGTTGTGGTCCTCAGTTCATGTGCTCTGAAATGCACTTTACTCAATAAAATAAGTGTATTTATGTCAGAGATTTGAATCCTTAAAGTTTATTTTTTTTATAAAAACTAAATTTGCTTGGTATGAATTTTTTAAAAGTGGGTCGTGACTTAAAGACCATGGGAAAATGTGGGTCCCAGAGTGAGACCAGTTGAGAACCACTACACTAAATAACACTAAATATTCCCATTTCTACTAAATGTCGCCTACTTCTAGCTAGCGAGCCAACTTTGAGAAGTCCTCTCTTAGTCTGTCTTCTGTGTTTGGGTCAAACTTTCACTCATTTTCACATTTATCTTGACTCGGCGGCGCCCACTTGAAAAAGATCGTACTGAAAACACGTTTCATTGAGATGAAAGCAGAGAAATGAATGACATAATTTACATCCATGCGGTGCTACGAAGATAAGGTGAGGTGAGGCCTGTTTGAACAGGTGTGGATTCTCACGCTCACTCCACCTCCTCATCGCACACTTTTACATGTAAACATAACAGGAAGGTGGGATAAAAGGACCTGATCAATAAGGAGACTGCAGGCTCTACCCTCTATAAAAAGACCCTCAAACTGACAGTCCAGCACACAGGTCGTATCGCTGATTGCATACAGGTGAGCTGACAGCAGTTGTGACTCTGATCTCTCTCCTGCTCTTTCCTCCTTTTTTTATTCAATCTCAGGAAAGTTTTCTCTTCACACAGTCTAGGGGAATCTTGTCAAGTTATTTGCTCTCTCTTCTCTGCAGCTCGTGGTGTGAAGATGAAGACCATGCAGGTGATTGCTTTGACTCTTCTCTGTGCTCTGGCAGCCAGCGCTCAGGTCCTGAGGTTTGGAAAATGCCCCAAACCACCTGTGCAGGCCAACTTTGACTCCAGCAGGGTGAATACTGAACTCTTCTTCCTAACTTATTGACAACTGAGCAGCATAAGATTTGAAGAATCCCAGTAACAGATACATGTCAAGTATCCACCAGATATCTAAGTGTGATTCTATATCACTTGTGTAGTACGTTGGTAAGTGGTACGAGATCCAGAAGCTGCCAACACAGTTCCAGAAAGGCGAGTGCGGCACTGCCACCTACAGCCCAAAGGGTCCTGGAGTCGTCGGAGTCCTCAACAGAGAGCTGCTGTGAGTAAAAGCTTCCTGAATCACTAAATTAAGTACAAATCTTTGGAATAACAACTCCTCACTCCATGATTTATGATAGTTTTTTAAAATATACTTAGACCCGATTCACAGTTTTAACCTTGATGCTTTAAGTCTATATTGAAAGTCATCTTCTGTGTTCACACCATCACAGACTAATGCATGAAAAAGTATTTAGGGACAACATGAAAGTAAAAGACAGATCAGTATTTATTAAAAGTAGAATAGCTGAGAGGAGATGCTCGGCTACATGATGAAATTATAAAAAAGTGTCAATGTTTCATGTCTCTATTTTTAGTGAGGATGGAACCATTAATTCTATCGTGGGTCAGGCCAAGGTCAAGCACCCCTCTGAGCCTGCCAAGCTGGAGGTCTCCTTCACTGGCAGTAAGAATTTACTTCAAATACGATCTGACATTGAGGAAAACGCTCAAATCTGCGGGCAGCGCTAACTCTTCCTCTCCTCTCCAGTTCCGTCTCCTCCCGGCCCCTACTGGGTGCTTTCCTCTGACTACGAGACCCACTCTGTGGTCTACGGCTGCACAGACTTCGGCCTGTTCCGTATGGAGCTGGCCTGGATCCTGAGCAGAGAGCCCACCATGTCTGAGGAGACCCTGGAGAGGATGCACGCCATCCTGTCTACTGCCGACGTCAACGTGGATAAGCTGGTCTCCACCTACCACGACGAGACTTACTGCGCCCCCATGTTCGAGTAAGCGGAGATACTTCCTGTTTCAGCCTACAGGACTGTGAGACAGGGACACCTATCGCCCTGCTGATACTGAATGCAAAGTGCAATAAACCTGTAGAAAGAAATGCACTGTGTGGTGTTTTCTGTCTCAAACATCAGGGTTAACACAAACATCTCTCTTATCTGTGTCTTTTTACATTAGTATGATCATCCCAGAGGACTTCAAACACTGTGAAAGTAAAGAAATACTGTCTAATTCAACATTTGTTCCCCATCACGCAAAGAAAGACAGCTTTTTGACAAAATATAAATCCGTGTTTTGAAGCCTTGGGAGTAGAAATGCACGAGAATTTCCAACATAAGAGTAAAATCTTCAAACAGGAAACTTGACTCACACATAAACCTGCTTGAAACCTCTTAAATGGTTTCATTCTTCACTTAAAGCCTCTGAGAGGAGTTTGAATTATTAATATAATCTACTGAACTCCATATTGATGCCTCCATATGACCTGTAAAATCAAACAAGACCGTCAGTGGGAAGGTTGATGGTTTTCATAAAGCGGTTTTAAAGGCTCTAACATGCTGTCCACACAGCCTTTAATAATTTACACTGAGAATAATCGCAGTAAATAATGTAAATAAAGGGGAGCGGGTTTTTAAAGGACCACGTTTCTTCGCAGGGGTGTAAAGATAAACCGTCTGAATCAGCTAATCAAAGAGTTACAGATCTAAAGACACCAAACTGCAGCATATTGGATTCGTAAAACTGTTACACAATCGACCAGTTTCAAAGCTGTAATCTGGTTGGCTGACATTGTTTTGTTATTTCTCAGCGTCTTCATTCTGGAAAGACTCGCTTAGGTGTCTGGTCAGGTAGCAAACAAGCTTATCAGTGACGTAATTTACAATCTCCATCCGTCTCCACTATGAAAAATCAGATTATGTGGATGAAATATGAAGGATGAAAAAATTTCAAAAAGGCCGCCTGCCTGCACGCTTGGTAGAAAAGAGATTATGTACATCAGCTGGAAGACGTTTACCTTGACAAGACCTCATGACAAAACCTCTGCTATGTTGCTAACATTAGCAAGCAGCAGCACATTTTGAACACTTATTTTTGCAACACCTAAAAGTCTATAGTGAGATCAACATCTAGAGCTTGTTTTATAGGCTTAGTGTTTATATGTTAAGGTTTAATCTGAAAAAACTGAGCATTCAGCAATTCACTAAGTTTGTGACATAAGTGTCTTTTAAATTAAAAACAAAGTTCAACAAGAACTTCCAAAGAAAAAGCAGCAATCTCACTTATTTATATTATATTTATATACATAAAGTGTTTGAGAGTCACAGAAAAATTATAAGATAAGGCAGCCTCCAAAAATTGTTTCCTCACTACATTATAACAGCACCATTGCACTTCTAATGCGCTATACTGAGCCTTGTCCTTCAGTGTTTGTTTCAGTCTACTTTTCTCGCCTAAGTGGCTTTAAATTTTACCCTGAAAATGTTTGAATAATTTAGTTTCAAGAGTCAGCAGCAGGGATTTACAAAGACCATGAAGGTAAATATGCAGAGAAGCCAAGGTTTACACAGTTCTAACCCAACTAGCTGTTAAAGCGTGAGCATAGGTGTGCGAAAAAGGCTTTGTTTTATTTATTGTTGTTTCTATTTTTCCTCTTTAATAAAGATCCAGTAAACACTGCTAATGAACAAAAGAGTGGAGGATGTAAAAGATATCCTCTGTTTCAAGTTCAAAGGCAAATTACAAAGCTGTGAAACGGACTGAGGGCAAGTTTTTTTATGACTATACGCTAAATAAAAAAGAGAAAACTGACATTATTATTGAGACACAGGCCTAGTGTGAAGACAACAATATTAATAAGATGGAGGTACCTCCAGGTAATCAATAATCAGGACAATTCAGAGAAGACAATAAAACCTGTGCTGCTGTGTGGATCAGTTTATTACATTGTCTTTTACAGAGAGGTTTAGTGAGATGATCACTGAAGACCTGCAGGATGAACCTGCTCCGTCTGTTTACTGGTCCATGGCGCTGCAGACAGCTGGGTCCTGGTTGGTGGTCAGCAGCTTGTCCACGTTGACTCCGATGGAGCTCAGGGTGCTGTGCAGATCGGCCAGGGTCTCCTCAGGCATGGTGGGTGTCCTGCTCATGATCCAGGCGAACTCCACATGCAGCACACCGAGGTCGGTGCAGCTGTAGACCAGAGAGTAGCTGTCGTAGTCGGTGGACAGCACCCAGTAAGGAGCAGGGGGAGAGTCTGTGGGAGTTAAAGGAACAGGACGGTCAAATTATGGATGGATGGATGGAGCTCAACTAGAAATGAAAGTTTTCCTGGAGAGTTATGAAAACGGGTTCTTACTCTCGAAGAAGGAGACCAGCAGCTTGGCGGGCTCAGAGGCGTCTTTAGCGTAGGCAGTGCCGCTGATGGAGCTGATGGATCCGTCAGCACTGAGAGAAACAGGAAGAGAGTGAGAGCGTTGGCAGCAGTGTCAGAGGAGGTTTCTCCTTTAACTTATAGCACCACATTAAAGGTTTATTCAATAACAAGTGAGAGTCCCATAACCAGGTTTTTTCAGCTGAAAGTTTTCAAGAGCAAACATACTGTAAAAATGTCCTTGAATCATAAAAAGTGAGGACCTCAGTTTGGCTTGGAGGCTGAATTGCACAACTCATATAAAGAGGCTATATTCTCCTGAGTGGATAGTCGGCGTTTAATTCAAACCCATGGCCCTTCGCCAAATGTCATTTCCTACTTTCTCTTCCTAGATTTCCTCACTATCCACTGTCCTGTCCTTCTGTATGAAGCCATAAAAGACCATTCATGAACTCTGACAAAAATATATATAAAGAGGACAAAAGAAGTCCCACAAGATGGTTAATTTTTTTATCATAACATTTGATTTTTTATGCATTTTGATACATTTTAGTTCACCTATGTGACAAAAAAACAATCATTGTTTTCATACCTGATTATTCTGAAAGTTATTTTTCTCCTCAAATCAGAATTTAAATCTTATATGTAAATTTTTGTTGTCAGGGAAACATTATTTTCAGTTGGTTTTGTATTATTTGCATATGAAAAAGAAACTTGTATATGAAAAAGAATATGTTTTAAGTAAGTTAACTAAAACTTGGACTTCTTTTTAGAGAGCATTTACCCAGATCTCAACTTGCTTTTGAGGACCAAGTTTTAAAGAAGAGAGTACTACTTTCTTCTTTTAAAAAAAACCCTGAATTGTTCAAAACCAATTCACAAAAAAGAAACGAACTGAACATTTACAGGCTGCTCAGAGCTTGAATTTTTACCCCCCTTAAAATTGATTTGAAGTAGTCAAGCACCACTTAAGCTAGAGACCCAGGCAGAGTACTCACAGCAGCTCCTTGTTCAGGACTCCAACAACTCCAGGGCTCTGCAGGCTGTAGGTGGCAGTGCAGCACTCACCCTTCTGGAAGCTATGAGGCAGCCTCTGGATGTCGTACCATTTACCGAGATACTGCAGAGGAGGCGTGAGAGCATAAATTCAGTCTGTGTTACAAAGGAAGGAGTTTCTCAAGTTTAAAGAGAAGGAACAGCTTCTGTATCCCCTGCTGAATATTTTACAGTAGAGGTTTTAGTATTCACTCACTCTGGCAGCATCAAACTTCTCCTGAACAGCGGGCCTCGGGCATCTTCCTGGGGAGATGACCTGGGCGTTGGCAGCCAGAACAGACAGCAGAGCGAGGGAAATCACCTGGAGGGCATTCATCTTTTCTACACAACCTGTACGAGACAACAGCAATGAGAGAAATCCAGTTTTTAAAATACATAAAATGAAAAAAAAGAGTCAGCAGTGGAAAGGTCAGGATCACGCTTTTCTCCTGCTTACCTGTGTTACCGGGAAGGAGTGAAGTTGTGAGTGCTGATGGTGGTTATATAGAGAGACACAGAGGTGTGTGTGTGATCTGCATGTGAGACTATCTTTGGAAAACTGCGTGAGAATTGGCACCTGTTCAGATTTGTATTTTGTGTTTGAAGAGGCCTCTGACAGAAAACAGATGACTGACAGATAAGTGTCAACAAGAGAGTAGACTGACCTTGACAGCTGATAACAACATCCAGAAAACAATCTTTAATGGTGAAGTAACAGTATTACATGATCATTGTTTTTCTGTGGGTAAACAATAAAACTGTACAGTAAAATCCACTTTTTTCAGATTCTTGAAAGTTGTCGACAATTTCCAATAACTTTTGTCGGTCCTCTGGCATCCCCTCTTGCCCTGAAGATAACATCTGTGGAAACAAGCAGAATGATTTATCATATATTTGGATGATATGATGCAACACTAGGTAAATTTTATTAGTATTTTCCATGAGGAAAAACTGTTTAACATTTCATCTTTTATCTATTTTCATCCGATTTGTGCCGCCAAACCGATGAAACTGACTGAGAAAACATCATCAAATGTTATTTCAACATTGACCCCGCATAGATTTGCTTGCAAATGATCGAAAGATGAGAGGAAAAGTCGAAAACACAGGAATGTTAGCATGCTAGCACACTGAATGAAATCAAAACAGGCTGTTTATCATTTCGCTTCTTTATATTCCTCACAGCACACTGGAAATACATGTTTTTTCTTCTGCCTCTGACCAGGTCTTTGATCAATTGAGTTCAAACTAAGACGGGGAAAGGTCTTTTCTTTTATGGATGCAGACTTGTTGTTGTAAAGATACTTGGATAAAGCTTCCCTCCTAAACCTTTTCTACTTCAAGTTTCTCCCCTTAGAAACAAGCTTTGCACTCTTCAGCTAAGGATTGCTTTGCATTTATGGTGATACAGTATCTCTCAGACATTTCAGTGCAAAGCCAGGCCTACTTCCAGACGGTAAGACAGCTAAGATCTGAGGCTTTTCCAGGTATTTTAGGGATTCATTATCCCGAAGAATCCTTCTACATAGGATCTCACGGTAATCGAGACCTAAACAAGATTTTCTCCGAGTGTAAAAGACGTAATTCCTCAACCTTTGAGGGATTACAGCTCTGAAGCAATTGTCATTTGATGGGGAAGAATCCAGGAAATCCAGGAGATCCGGATACCAGATTGTTACTGCAATTAGAAGATGGATGTCCGTGCCCAAGCAAACTCAGTGAATTTATAGCTGGGCCTGTTTCTTGAGGTTAAACCTGCTTTGATCCCTTCGCCTCACTGTGACACTATAATGCTGGGTGCAAACAACATGGGCTGAAATCCCTTATAAAAAGCTTACACCTGGGAGAGTCTTAAATTAGAGGTTTACATGTCTTAATGCTCCGTTCTCCTGATACTTTGTCTTTATCAGCCTCTTTTCTGTAAAAATGATCAACCTGCTCGTCTTTTAGAGCTCCAGATTTCTTTGCGGTTCATGTAAATTTCTTTTAATAAGTTAATTCACCTGTTTCATGTAGTTTTGATGCTGATACTGTGGTTTTCCAATAATTATAACAATACCTTCTATTGCTGCTTTTAATCAATCCACCACTGCACTATAAGTACTGCTTTAGCTTTAAGACAACAGCCAAATAAGTGATACAAATAACATTTGTCATGTATATATTTATAGCTAGACATATATGATATTACGCATATTGGCTAATTACTAACAAATTCAAATAACACCGTTTGTATGTATGAATTATTAAAAGAAAGTTCTAAAATGTGATTTTTTTTTTTTCCATTTTAAAAGGTCGGCAAGGAACTTTTAGTTTGTGTCGGAGTGCCTCTCGTCTCTTCTACTGATATTTTCCTGTACATGTTACATTTTCTGATGGAATATTTACTCCTGCTGTCTGTTAAGAGTGAAAAAAACTGTCATTGACAACTACTGCTGAGGAAAATGTCAAACGAAAGCAAAAACAGTTCCAGACATCAAAAACAACAAAATAGACATTAGGCATAGTGATCATCATTTCAGTTATACGTGTAGCCTTTATAGAGTTAGCAGAGTCAATTTCAGGCCACTTTAAAACCCGGGATAAACAGCTCACAGGAGCTTTAGGTAAACATAAATTAATGAATAAATAATTGGAAAATAAAAATTGTTAGTTTGACCTGTATATACACTCTCTCTATACTGTACAGAGTTTACACTACATACTGTTTCAGTGTAGATATACAGTAGGTATAAAATATACAAAAATACATCAAACATGTAATCATGCTGAGGCTTTGCTTTCAAAGAAAACACTGTTCATGAGTTGCTCTCCATCATAGTCAACTAAAGTGCCAATCCCTATAGTAGAGGTCTAATATGCAGGCTCTGTTGTAGACGTATTTACCTTTATAGCCCACGAGAAAGCTACTTTTACTCCAGTAAATTATTTAATACTATTTTCTCTATTGTTTACAAAAATGACACTATAATGGGTGTTTGTTCCCAGAAACAGCTCCAAATCAGCAGCAGCAGCCCACAAAATGACCGAGGTCATTACAGCTAATGGTCAAACCACTGCATGGTGTAAAACAGCTCCTGTGTGCAGAGCAGAATTCAACACACACATGCTTATGCACACGTACACACACACGCATGCACACACACACACAGCTGGACTATGGCTCAGTCACAGTGTGTGTGTGATGTGTGATGTATACTGTAATAGGAACATATTAGAGCACTCAGAGTCGCAGTGTTCCCTCTGAGAACCGTGTGCACCTCTTTATATCTCCTCTCTCCTCAGAGGGAGGACTGCAGAATAATGAGCTGCATCATTACCAGAACATCATTTCAGCCCAGCTGGTAAAAACACACATCCACACACAAAGCAACAGACTTTTAAACACAAAGAGAAGAAAGTTGACTGCACGCAGGGGTGGATCCAGGAGGTTGCCTGGGGTGGGCATGCCCCCACTGAAATCTGATTGATCACTCTTGTAGCCTCCCAAAGATCCTGAGCTATAACATCTTTTTTTCTCGTCTTTCTGGGCTTTAGCGCAAAACGCAGACAGCAACTTTCTTTGTCCTTCTACGTTGCATGTTTTCCTTTGTTTGTACTTTAAATTGTGACTTCAAACTTCTTTTTTGGAATCAAAATAAAGATTTTAAGGAGTCAAACTATCAGATTAAGACACACATCAGATAATTGTTTATGTCCAAGTGCTCCTATTTCTGAAAAGTTTTTATGAGTCACTTGATATTGAAAAGATGACTGATATAGAGCCATGCTGACAGATGTGGGCTCCTTTAATGCTCTGATCTGGATTAACTGAATTAATTAACTAGAGGAGGAATGGTGAGAGGGTCAATGAACTTTCTATAATCATGAGTGTTTGCTTTAAATCAGCTCAAGAGTCCCCCCCAAGGGAGCATGTTATGGGCAAGTTAAATATACATTTTGTTAAGCTAAAAAGTTCTAATTAGCTGCTAACAGAGATGTTATCTGTATTGTGCTTGGTCCTACAGCTATATGGTCATTTTTAGACATTTTTTTGCTGAAAAACTGCTCATTACATGCAAAATTATAAACTTACTTATAAAGATTTGTCTTTACAAAACCAGAATAAGAATCAGGACTTTGCAACAGTCTTGTGGCATGTTGCAAAAAAAGCTAATGTGAATAGAAAATATTCACATTATACATATACAGTTATACACCCATGAATATACACAAAATATGACAAAAGTTGAATGAATCCAGAAACCAAATTAGCACTGTGTTAACAATCCAATAGCTGGTTAGGTCAAAGGTTGTATGTACCTAATGTGACATAGTGCATGTCATTTCGGTCATGTGCCAGAGTTAAACGAAAAGGAAGGATCCAAATGCAGAACAAAGGATTTAATTAAAAAGAACAAAATAAAAAGCAACAAAAACTTACTACCAAATGTCCACTGAAAAAATCCAAAAGGCAAAATCCAACCAAAGACACTGGGGAAAATAATCACAAGGAAAAAATACACACACATCGACAAACAATGAACCAACCAGGACAGAGGCGAAGACAGGGACTATATACACACGGGTAAACAAGCAACAGGTGAGGCAGACGAGACACAGGTGAAACTCATGAGTGATTAACGAAGGAGAGAGAACTAGGGAAGTAAAACCAGACTAGAAACACAAGGAATCAACTACTACAAAATAAAACAGGAAACACAGAAAACAGATATAAAGAATAAGACACAGATAACAAGAGAGAAACAGGGTCAAACACAAACTATAAACTCACAAGACAGGACTACAGGGGAACAGAAACACAAGGGAAAAACTAAATCAACAGAACATATCATGACAATTTCCCTCTCTTGCCATGCATTTTCTGTTTCTCTTAAGCGGTCCTACCAAAATAAAAGCCAAAAAAACAAAAAGTAATCCTAAAAAAATAGTAATAAAAAAAATAATATTAAGGCACTTATGATGGAGGAAAACAAAGCTGATGTCATTCAAAAGAGGAGCCGCATTTGGGTTTGGATTCAGCGCTGCCAAGCTTGATTCAATAGAGTACCCACTGATTACACCCGTGATTCATGTCCAGTTTAAATGCAAACTAATACAACAGACATGCATGAGTGCTTCCTACATAAAGAATACATGAATATTTCTATAACCAACTCTAGAAAGATACTGGTTTGATTGTGAGAGTATTTGTGCTGCAGAAATAAGAGACACGTGTTTTACAGCTCAGTTCTAAATGATCACAATTAAACACCTGCATGATGCAGTTTTACCTTTGAGTAAACACTACAACCTCATTAACTGAGGATTTGTTGCAGGATATGAACATTAGTGTGTACTTCAGTGAGTGTGTGTATACAGCACTTGCAATTTTCTTTCAGGTTCTGTCATTTTTCCAGGATTTTTTTTTATATTTGCAAACTGTAAAAGTAGATAGAAACACCACATTAACCCCCCTTTATATCATGTCTGCTGTTTGGTAAAGTCTTCCCTCTACCCCCCGTTGTGCACAACTTGCTGCTCACCATGCATTACAGAAAAACATCATTCTAAGGAGTACAGGTCTCCACGCTGTAAGCAGTGGGTGAGCACAAACTGTCAGATTAAGAGGTCTGAGAGGATGATCCGGCCAACATTTAGTCGGATTTCTGGCAAATTACAACCAAGCATGTTTGGGTCAACTTTTTTGGCACCCTGGGGAGCCCAACACTTGTGACAGGCCAAATGAACATGTGAAGACAAACAAAAACAAAGCTGATCTGTGGGATTTTGAAAATCTAAAACAGCATCACTGAGCTCCTCTGCATGTGGCCTCGGGCGGTTAAGGAGGGGTTGGCCATTTTGCCACTGGAAAAGGAAGCTAAGCATTTAGGTGTCTTAACTATGGTCTAAAGTGCTAACAAGGGATTAGTGAGGTAAACGATGAAAGAGGTTTAGCACTCCATGCTTAGGACCAGTGCTGCTGCAGTAATTACACATCAGTTGCAAGGTGCAGCAAACAGTTGGAAGGGAGATCATAGTGATGTCAGGACAGGGAGGGCTTACCGCAGGAGATAAGGCCAGCTAATGGAGATGAAATGAATCTGTATTTAAAAGGTCTTTTTTAGTTAAGGCAGTTAGCTGGCAGCAGACAGTTGGCTGGTCACAGGCAGGCCGGTCAGTCGGACCTGAAGGAGAGAACACAGAGACTTTGTGTGAACTGACTGGAGATATTTTTTCATATTTTTGACTTTTGTTGCTTTTGTAATCGAAAATAAAAAGAGTTCTGCTTGCTGCTGTGAACTTCAGGTAAGTCTATTAAAACTTCTGTTCACTGTAGTCCCCCTCTAAACTTATATCTAACTGCAAATCTATTTGGGTTTTATTTGGTTTCATTCACTCTGTAGTTGCTCACAGCAAAGAACAAAATCTACTTTATTTGTAATAACCTCTGGTTTAATATCTTCACTTCTACTTGAGGTAAAAAAGGAAGTTTCTGATGCATTACCGTGATATGAAAATTAATCAAAGTAACCTTTAAATTCAGCTAAAGGGCCAAATATTGAATTTTGGCAAAAACAATGTTGAACTTTCAAATATTGATCTTCCTAAGTATATTAAAGGCAGTAAACCTCATAAATGCGACAGATCCTTCAGCTTACGATTAAAGCAAAAACCAACGAGATTACAGGAACAACCTTCAAATCGGGATAATTACCCTCATAATTGTTTCACATGGAAATCCTGCTGTAATGACTTATTTTGCTGTTGTAAACCTGCAGAAAACAATGAACGCAATGATTGGCGCAGTCACTCTGTTCTCTTTAAACTAACTTGTATAATGTCAAACTTTTTCTGCACTTTGTCGTTTGTGTTTATGACATTATACGCAACTGAAATCAATGCAACCTGCAGTTCAACAAACACCTCTTACATGGTCTAATCTGCTGCATGTGAGTGGCAGAATAAACATGGTTTTAGCATGTGTTTGTTGTGTGAGAGAGGATTAAGAAGGACTAGACAATGCTTCTGTCTTGTCTGATATGACCTCCTCAGGGCTCCATCTAAGTCGTCAGCAATTTTTCCCTTTAATTCATTCTTGTAATGAGATTAACCAGGCAACAGCAAATCCAACGAGTCCAATCCCTGGATTTGGCAGCTGTGTTGTGGCCCTTGCTCGTCGAGGAAATATGACAAGTGTTTCTCGAGCTCACCGCCGCGATGACGGAAATATTTAGTGGAAGAAAAAAAAGCAGTGAAGCTATTCAGAGTTTTTTTGAGATTGTGACGCAGCCAAAGGAACCATGAGAGAGGTCAGGTTTGGACATGCAGATCTACAGTAGTTAAGTCTCAGGCTGTAACTTGACTTAAGAGACTTAAAGAAAAACTAATCAAAGTTTGAGCTGTGAGCGTATAGGTCTTATGAAGGATTCCTACAAATGACTCAGGTTCCTGAAAGGCTGGCGTCACAGAGATGAGCATCAAACTTTCCAAAAACTCATGACTGACTATCAGAGAACTTGACCCTCTGCTTTGCACTGATTAACAGAATATGAAAATGTCCTTAAAAAATCCAGATTGAAAAATATAGTCAGATGCACAAAAAAGTTTTTAAAGTTTTACATTCAGATCCTGCAGGTTTGAACCAATTACTCTGAGTATTTGTTGAATATTTACGATTCTTATTATTCTTATTATATTCAGATATGAGAAATGTTTATTGTAAATATGTTGTGCTGCATAAAGGGTCCACCGGGACATCTTCCAAACAGTTTTTACTGCATCTCCAATGAAGTTAACTCATCATTCTGATACAAAATCTTGGTTTTGTTGCACAAGACAAGAAGTCAACATTTTGCAAGTTTAAAAAAAGACCAAGCGCGCATGTCAGAGGGATAAAGTTACAACTTCAGAGGCAGACTGGAAAGCATCGTTACTGTGCAGCAGACTGGGGTATTTGTTAAAGAGTCTCTGGGGGTTGTGGGAAACATCTTTGGGAGTATTTTTCAAAGACTGCAGTGTATTTATGTTTTCAAACTACGGTCTTAACTCTATAACCTCAATCGGCTGATGCAATTGAAGTTCATGGTAATGCAAGTCTGTCTCGTTTTAAGCAACAGTTTGTCAAATTTGTGTTGCAATTTAAGCTTTGTACAAGTTTCCTTTAGTTCAAGCAGGAATCAGTTTTTTACTTCCAGTTTTCTTATTTAACTCTGAAAATTTCATCATAAAGCATCAGAAACAAAGTCTGGTAATCTTGGAGAGCAGATTTTAAAGAACCTTAGAAAGTCTGATTCGTTAGTTAAAAAACTCTTCGATAATACTTACAGTCTTACAGCTCAGGGCTTAATGCCCACTGAGGAATTAGAGAGACATAAATGTTAAATTATATTTCTGCTCATTTGCTGATAATGATTTTTATGACTGTAGCAGAGAGTCAGGTGGAGGAAGGGTGCATGTGTTGGCGCCACATAACTCCACATAAACCGATTGAATCCCCCAGATTTATCCCCAAGGTGTTTTTAGGACATCCTGGGAGCTAATGGAGGCTAATAGGCTTAGCACTTAGGGTGTATTGTCCGGGATGCTTACAGGCAAGGTTTGCTGAGGGTAAAACTCTAAACGTGCGGATTACCTCCAACACATCCCTTTAAAGTGCTGTATAGCCAGGACTTAGCTAATAGGATCCTGGGGGTGGTGAGGGCCTGGAGAAGGTGAGGCTGGGAGGGGGGTTGGACGTGCTGGCAGGGTGCTCTGCAGGCAGGTCAGCAGATGTAGCTAGCAGACTGTTGCAGGGCTAATAGGAGGATTACAGCCCTCAGATTAGATGGGCTTCAGAGGGAACTTGAGTGACTGCGGATAATGCAAAAGGCCTCGGGGCAAATCTTATGGTAGCATTTGTTTGGGGGGAGGGGACGACAGGAAAATATGTGCAGAGTTTGCACAAAGATATCAATACAAAAACGACGAGCACAGTTGGAGAGGTTTACAGCTCGGACCGTGGACCTCTTATGCTGCAAAGATTGAGTTTCATGCATCTAGAAGGATTTTGGTCTCTAGTTTTGGATTAGCAGAACTGGATTATTGCTCTGTCGTTTACAGTATCATATTTTCTAATGGGATTTACACTATGTTGAAGGCTGATGGGAGGTGTCTGAGTCGATTGTGATTGAGCACACACGCTACTGGCTCAGCAATAAACAATACGACCAATAGATGGCATGACTGCATATCTGTGCATGTGAGTATATAAGAGTATATATATATGCTCTTGAAATGGTTAAAAAGGATCAAAAACACAAAACAACAATACCAAATATAAAAAAAAATACAACTCCGCCCTTTAAAAAACAGTTTCTGCTGATCTTTACATTTTTTATTGTTAAGTATTACGGTTAGGATTTGGTATTAGGTCTAAAATGTAAGTTTGGGATTAAAGTACGGTAAGCGTTAGGGTTAAGGCAGGTTTAAGATTAATGCTTAATGCTGGGATAGAGGTGAGAGGTGAGACTTGGGATCAAAGGTGAGATGATGATTCAGTTAGCGTCTGTGTGCGGTGAGGATCTGTAAAGGAGACTTATTTATGTCTCTGATTTTGTATCTTTTCTGCACAAATCTGAACATACAATATATATTTTATGACCACAGCCATGTTTAAAAAGAACAGGGAATAAAAATGAGTTGACCTGTATTGCAGTAAATCTTCTGAGATAATTAATCATGTTGCATTTGTTTAATTTTATGTGGGACCATTTTATTTTCTGTGTTGAGTCCGTGGTAAACAGCTTTTTGTCTTTGAAAACTGACACAGTACCACATACTTCAGTAAGCGGTTATTCATGGGAAGATATTTGCCGCCCTCTAGTGGTAAACATGCAACCCTACAAACTCTGTATATCAATCAGGGTCAATTTTCTGCTCTGTAAAGCTGCTATGTTGTGTACCATGCAGTATAATACTTACCAGAGTTTTCGTCATGTGTTGTAGTGATGTTATCCCTCTTTTCCCCTCTTGGTCTTGAACTTCAACAGCATTCAGGTGGAGGTCAAGGGTCGCTGAGTGTGTCATGACCCCACGAGAGCAGCTGAGGAAGATGACAGCGTTGGGAGAGCAGGGGGCTTTGGATGAGAAGCACTGGTACCGTCTGGTTAATGGCATGTCAGCTGGAGGTGAGAAGTGGAAACACAGCATGGATGGAGCCGCAACACAACAGAAAACCTCCAAATATACAATTGTTGTATTATTAAATGTGTCAAACATAGAAAACTTAGACTTGAGAATTTTATAGAAATGAAAATTTTATGCCACATTCCTCCTCACATCCTCTAAATTGACTGAATTCGGGTCCAATCTGGAGCCCCACAAAGGTTGAAGCATTTTTGTGACCTTGTCTTGCGTGTATTGATTCCTGAGAATTGCCTCCGGCTTTCACAGTCAGTACATGTCTCAGGTATTGAGGCTAAACTTACTTCCTTGTGACCTTTGGTGCCTTTTCTTCCCATTTCTTGCAGAGCTGAGGCAGAGGCAGGAAATGATAATGAGAAACCAGATGGCCATGGCTCCGCAGATCCTCACCCAGGGGCAGCAGAGGTTGCAAGGGGTCCCAGCACAGTTTGAACCTCGCTTCATGGAAAGGTCTGTACCGGGTTCAGTCTTAAAAATGAAGCTCTTGTCTCGGAGGAATAAAAGAAGCAGGAGACAGTCTTACAACAGCTGTTCGTGATATTAGGAGCAAATCGGCACATTTTTCAACACTTGAATAGCTCATTTTTTCTGTTTTTGTACTCTCAGGGAGCTCGTCCCCCCCACTGAAATGGTAGCCTCTGAGGCCAGACAGATGCACATGGGACCTCATCTCGGTCCACCTCTACCTCCACATGCCAACGTCCTGCCTGGGAGAGCGTTCCCAGGAGCAGGTGAGCATTGTCGAGAGCATGTCCGAGCCTGAGAGAATTCCCGGCCTGTGTTGAGGAATGTGAAGCAGCTCTAACAGCCTGCCTCTCTTTGTCTCTTTTCTTTCCTTCTCTCAGCTGGCTATGGCTTCTTGCCCTCCGAGCCCATGGAAACAGTTGCCCGGCGACAGGAGCTCATTCACAAGCAAAATATAGCCAGGTAGTTTGTGTGGGAATTTTGCACAGATCCACTTCATATAAATAAAGCTGTGTCATTTAAAGTGCTCTTGTTGTTAACTTGATTCCTCTGTGCTTTAAGGGTTGGTTCGGTTACTTTAAAGTTGAGCAGTATAAACTACTTATCAAATCTACAAGGCAAATATCAGTAAAGGGACAAGAGGTACCCTTCTGTCAACAGGGGGCGACAAAACTGACACGAACCAAAAGTTACTCACAGGAGCTTTAACAAATGAAGTTAAGATGAGTCAAATATTTGTTTGTGTTTCTGTTCAGAATGGAGATGAACGCCATCTTGCACCAAAAAGAGTTGGAGAACGCCCACCAGAAGGGACTCATGGGAATTGAAAACCCCATGGCGTACCCGTCAAACCCCATGGCATTCAGAAGTCGTCAGCGCCTGCCAGACGGCCATGATGTCTTTGTCCACCGCCCCACCTTGGATGAGCTTCACTCCAACAGTCTCCTCATGTCAGCCAGCCCATACCCACCAATCAGCACGCTGCACAGAGAGCGTGGGCGCAGGGCGGGCCGGAGGCCGACCGCTCACAAGACCTCAGAGAGCCACGCGGCCAACCTGAAGGGCCAAACTGAGGACAAAAGTGTGGAGCAGAGTCCAGGAGCCACATCAGGGGAGGAGAAAGAGGTGGAGGCAAAGGGGGACATGGGAGAGGATTGTGCCACTAACAAGACGCACCATCAGGCCAAAATAGACTCTGAGCTCAGCACAGGAAGCAGGAAAAACTACAAAGAGGGGGAATCCAGCCTGCGCAAAACCTGTGGAAACAGTCAAGATGGCTGCTCAGATGTGACCAACAGCAACACGAATGATAAAGACATAACCAGTCAGTGTTCGGCCTTCCAGGAGAAATTCATGTATCCCTCTGCTGGTGGAGCACTCACAGGCATGCCTTACATGTTTCCAGTCCCAGGAAATGGTTTCCTTCCACCTGGTGGGTCCTAAAGAGATAAAAGAAATAAGTAATTACTTTTTACCGCTTTGGCTCAGAAGTAATAAACAATCTGTCATGTGTTCTTCAGGTCCAGCCAATCTCTTTCTTAATGGTGATGAGGTGCCTGAAGACATAAGGAAGTGGACTGTGAATGATGTTTATAACTTCGTCAACAGTATACCCACCTGTTCAGAATACGCTCAGGTTTGTAATCTTAAAATTTCCTCTGTTTTCTTTCTATTTAGTCTTTTTTTTTATGCATAACATTGCATGGTTTCACTCTACAGACGTTCAAAGACCACATGATTGACGGGGAGACACTGCCACTCCTATCAGAGGAGCATCTGCTGGACACACTGGGGCTCAAGCTGGGACCTGCTCTCAAGATCCGCTCACAGGTGGGGAACAGTCACTGACTGTGAAACTGTGAAATTACAAAAATCAGACTTGATTATTGGATGTAAAAGGGCATTTTTACCTGTTACCAATAAACAGAAGTTGACTGAGAACCAATGTTGATTGTTTTGTATTTTACAGGTTGTTGATTCCGACTATATGTCAACTGTCCCTTTCCCCTACAGGTGTCCAGGCGACTGGGTAACATGTTGTACATGATGAACCTGCCGATCCCCACCCCCGCCCTGCAGACCACTCCAGAGAAGACCGGGGACCGCTCGTCAGAGATTGGCTCTCCTGTCAACTGCAACAGTGAGGAAATGATAGCGAGTCCCAGAGAGCCTGATGTCCTCAAGACTTCAGAGCACCTTCAAGAGACAGAAAACAACACCTCCCCTCCATCTGCCAGCAGTGAGACGGCCTAATTTGCACTTGTAACGTGGACACATGCAAACCAAATTAGGCCTAGCCTGCAGCTCCAGCTCAGTATGGCTTCTCCTGCTTCTACAATAATGGACTTGTTTACATGAAGATTATCTGTTTTCAGGGTTCCCAGGTCAATATAGTTTTTCTTTCATCCAAGGCATTACTCTGTAAATGTCTTTTTCTAGCTTTAAACATACCTATCTACATGCTGCTGAGTGTAATTTTTACTGTAGGACCACATGGATGACATGGTAATAGTTTTGTAACTGAATAAGAAAGAGGTTTTTTTTATTGGTTGTGATACCTTTATGCATTTGTTGGATTGTAAATAAAGTGGGATTTTTTCTACTACAGAATCTGCAAGACTGTCTTGCTGTAAGGTCAAGGGACAAACATAAGATCATTTCTCACATATTTCAAGATAAACACCTTTTAAACCCACAAACTAATATGGCCTCCTGACTGTAAACCCACTTACGCCACTGCATACAACATCTTATAAATGCACTTTATAAATATGCTGAGCATTAAAGCCCCTAACTAGTGCCTCCTATGGACAAAGCAATCTTATCTTTCTTGTTCTCTACCATAGACTGTATATAGAACGGACGCCGTCTGCCTCCTCGCTCACTGAAGCCACTCTGAGAACAGCACTCTCTGGTGACGGGTTGCAGTATAGGTCATAAATCCCACCTCCACCAGCAAAGCTTATGGAGCTGTGGACAAATTTTAGAAATTAATCACACAGAATATAATTTTTCCCCCCTGCTTGTGATGTTGACATGTAGTTACAGTAAGACTGGTTTGTGCTCAAGTCCTCTTTTTTTCTGTACAGCTCCATTTTTAAAAGTTATTAGGGGGTTCAAGTTTTATATGATTGACACTTGATACAGCCTATGGGCATACGAAGATTGCGTAGCTCATCTGGGGGATATGCTGTTTGAGCCGAGCATCATCACAGCAACTCTCAGCGACTCTCCTGCTGAATGCATGAAACGCTACTGCAAAAGTGATGAAGTGCATACAACACTGCTGTGCAATGTTGGTTTCAGGAAATGGAGAAAAATTGCGGAGATACCGAGAGATTTTTGGCTTCAAAATATTCTCTACATGCTTGAGTAGTGTCTCTCTGAAAATCTCATTTTCAATTGATCATATTATCCCCAGATGTTCAAGCCTGTTTTTTTTAGCTAAGGGGATAATCCTCTGGGAACTTACAAAACAAAACAGAAGGCTGGTCATGGGCCAGAACGTGTGTGTGTGTGTGTGTGTGTGTGTGTGTGTGTGTGTGTGTGTGTGTGTGTGTGTGTGTGTGTGTGTACCACAGGGGTGTCAAACTCAACTACAGCAAGGGCCATAATCTGGATTTAGGTCTAACCTGAAGGCCAAACAGGGTCAACAAAACTGTCAACCTCCTTCTCAAAAAATATGTAACAAAAACAGCGGTGATTATATCTCATTTGGAAATTCAAAAATTTGTGGTTTATTAAGGACATTTTAAATAATGGTGCTAAAGTTTACATTATTATACTGGAGGAAATCTGCAGACTTCATACCAGTTGGGCCAAGAATAATACAAATACACCTTGAGTTTGACACCTGTTGTGTACCATGTATACGAAAAGGAAATTATCTAATAAAGGGAGACCTACCCCAAACTTGTTGGATAGTTAAGCAGCAAAAGTATCTAAATTATAAGTATTTTCCAGCAATAAAATTACCGTCCAAAAATCCGAGGGGTGTATAAACTCAGTATTACTTATGAATGAATGTACTTTCCCCGCCTGTTAATCTCGCGATACTACATACTCAATGCGCGTGCGCTGTCTCGTGCACGTCGGCGGAGCTGAGTTGGAGGATCATGGCGGAGCGCAGGAGGCACAAGAAACGGATCCAGGTAACATCTCTCGATTCGTGATGAATTCTGCCGCAGCTTGTCGAAAAGTAAAACTCAGTGTTGAGTTTCTGTTCAGAGACACATCGAAGGGTTTCTGTTAACGGCAGCATCCTCGCGAGGAGCCGTTAATGAGCGTTAGATTAAACCAAATGATGGCTAACGGTTAGCTAGCTACAGCTCGCTAGCACAAACAAACGTTAGTAATTTTATTTTGTAAAGAGGTAAACAGAGCGGTTTTTAACCACACACGCAACGCTGGTAAGCGGGATAACATGCTGGATCCGTGTTAAAATTGTCGACCTCTTCCATGTCTCTGGAGTAATTCATCTTAATTATTTTGAACAGACTGTAAAGGTTTTTCTTGCTAAGCTGCGTCAGCCTGAATCAGACGTGTTTACATAACGAAGAGCGATCAGAGGGGCTTTAAATGAATAAATCAACTATCAGAAGGACTTCAAATGAATAAATCATCAATCAGAGGGACTTTAGATTAATGAATCAACGACCAGAGGGACTTTAAACGGATGAATCAACAGACTGCATCCTCATGTTAGTATGATTTTAGTGCAGGGAGCAGGTCTGCAACACTAATCTCTGTTAAAGCAACAGTTTGTAAAGTTGTCTCTGTCCTACTAAACTTTCTCTATATTATTTGATCAGGTGTCCAGTTTAAGTGTTTGATGCTAGTATTAAATGTGTGATAATTTTTAATAAACAGTGAGGTAAATGTGTGTAGGAGTGTAGGCTGAGACGGCAAGCTGCTTTGAACAGCTTGTTCAAACAGTCGCATGAGGAGGACTGAGAAAGATCCACACCAGGTTTACACAAACCGTGACACTACCAACTGGGGAATTGCCCTTAAGGTAATAACAAACATATCACCTACCTGTTATTTGTTACCTTTCCAAACTTCCCCGGACAGATATGAGGTCCAAAACATGCAGCCACATTCGTTTGTTAGACAACTATAGATAGACAATATATATAGGGATGGAATCGAGAACCTGTTCTTGTTGAGAACTGGTTCCAAATGGTTCAATCCATCAACATCATTTACATTTTATCTTTACGATGCCTACTTTCCGGGTGCCTTGAAAAAACGGTCTCGCAAGTGCCAGTCAATGCAAACAGGAACAGAGACAGAAAAAACTGAGTTAGACGTTTAACTGAGTTAGAAGATAAAAACACTTAAAGCCTGGAAATGAGCATAAACCCCCCCAATGTGAAGTCTCATTTAAAGAACAGATACTCATGACATGATCTGCATCCTGTTTGACTGTCTGTTGATGCACATTCACTTATCCAGGTCATTGAAATGATGTTTAGGACGATTGTGAGCTGAAGTTTTAATACAGACATACACTCTGTCCAAATGGTCGAGTTTTAGCAGATGTTATTAGGGTCTGAATTTGCTTTGTGATATAATTACAATATGAAAAAGACTAAATGTAAGTACTTTTAGGCAATTAAAGCCAGTATAGAGTAGAACTCAGTTCATTTTATTGGATCAGTCCTAGTTTGAGGTGATTATTATGGTACAAAGATAGTATTAAGTTATTCTTGCTCACACAGTTAGCATGTAATACAGATTTAGGATGCAGTGAGATAAATGAGGCTGAGCTAGCTTTTCTCACTCCATCTGTTGTTATTGTAGATCTCTGAAAGTCTTGAATTCGCCCGTTGCAGCAGGGCGTTAGAGCGATAAAATAATCTATTCAGCTGCATGACTACACATCGAGAGGAACACAGCGGCCTATCATCAGTCTGCATCACACTACTGTAGTGCTGTTTTTCGCAACATCTAGTCTTTAATACATGACAACAGCAACTTTTTAGCTTTTCTTCAAAGTTTTTAGACACAGAGATGTATGTTTTGCAAAAACTGTGACATGAATGGGATATCTATCTAAAATGTTAAGTTTTTGATCATATTTACACTTACAGATCAGCATCAAGTTGAATCAAAACAGTTTAGATGAATGTTGAACATGGTATAATTGATGCTGGTAGGATTTTTAGTGTGTCAGACAGCACAAGTTGAACCCAGGCGTGCTTCATACATTTCTGCCCTAGCAGTTCTCTTGCTTGTTTGAGTTCAGTTGCATAATGGCACTTATTGTTATCTCAGTGATATGAGCAGACCACAACCTAAAGAGATTCGTGTGTTACGCTCTGCTTACATACAGTTGCTCTTTTTTTTTTACTTTAAATCTATCAGAGTCTATAAAAATGAGTTTTGATTCATGACTTTTATTCCAGTGTCCAAGTGTCTCTCAATGGATTGGTGCATCGAGATGACTAACGCAGTGTTATTCACCAAGTCTACAATGGCTCAATTATTCACCCATGACAATTAAAATGTTCCAAACTTTATCCACCACTCCTTTTTAGGCTCTCAGCCTTACAAAAGACAAATTAAAAGCACCACAAACAATGGACAGAATTATCTTGGTATTAATCTAAACCTCCCAGAAACAGCTTCACCCCACATCACTATATTATCAGATTAGACAGCTGCAGTAAATGGCATCATTTTGAGGCAGGTGTTCCTAATAAACCGCCCTGCTAAGCTGCCTGAATGTCCCTGCTCAGTTGCATAACAACATGTACTGTTATCTCTTTTACGAGTCAAACCCAACGAAACATGCTTCCCCACATCAGCCCTTTGCATTTCACAACACTTATCTGTTTCTGACTTAGTTTTCTTTATCGTTCATGTGCCATTTCCCCGATGAGCACTAAAGAATTTACATTACTTGGATTCAAGTTTGTAAGGACTATACTCTCTGCTTTGCCCAGGACTTTAGGGCTGCAGAGAGCAGCTTATCCTCCTGTGGTGAAGCCAGGTGGATCATATAGACTAACAAGGGGCTTGTTTCGCTAAAGGGTCCCATGAAACTGAGCTGCGTGCCTGATACCTGCCTCCTCTAACAAAGGCCTGTTTGATGGTCTCCTCTTCCTCATGTTGCCGGCTGGAGCCAGCTGGACTGGTTTAAGCAGCGCTGAATCTCATTGTGCTGATGCTTTCATTCCCTCTGTGTTGGCATGTGGTTTCAGAGCTGTTGGCAGGATGGCACGCACTGCAGATGTGAGAAAAGAGGAAGTGTTAGAGGGAGATATAGCCTCTCTCTCTGTTATTGTTCCAGAGGAACATCTCATGTATATGACACTGAAGATAAACAAGCAGTGCACCTGTTTCTCACCTGCTTCGAGACACTGAAACACTGTCGCTGAAGAGATAGACATAGCCACAAAAACGCCACTCATTTGTTTCTGGATCACTGTTTTGAAGCCTAGAGTGCAGGCTGTCAGCATATCAGTGTTTCTGATCTCAATTTCAAGACAAGGTTGGTCAAGTTCAGTGTCTCAGATCAGCTGATATGAGGGCCAGCAGATGACTGCAGACATCAACCTGTCACTCACAGGAAACATGCTCTTAATTTTGCATAACTTTAATCTATTTTTTTCTTTAGTGGTCCTCTAAAAAGATATGTGTGCGTGAAAATTGAGATGCGCCATTTTCCGAATCTGTATTACCCTTAAGGTCCTTACACACCGGGGCAGACACCAATATCGAACACAAAACAACGAAATGTCCTGCCTCTTTTGCCTCTGGCCTCTGGCCTTGGCTAGAAAAGCTGGAAATGTCATCACACGCTCAAGTCAAACGGTCAGCACTTATAGCCAGTCAGAGGCGATAAGATAAGCACATGAAACTATGGTAACAACCGTTAGCTTACGTTAGCACAGATGAAAGTTAAAACAAAGACGTTAAGCAAACTGTTAAAGCACACAAACCATCGTCATATCAGAAATCCGACGCTATGTTGTACTTCAGGTCGTTATCGTTGTAATGTTTGTGTCTTTTATCAAAAAGCACTCTGTTCTCCGACATGTAAACAATCAGCCGGTCGGCCATGTTGGATATACCAGTGAATCAGACGTCACAACAACACGCAATCTGATTGGTCAGAAGTGGACACACAGTATGGGTAACTTTAGAAAAATCGACCGTGATCCGAAAAAATAAATGTCGCCATATCGCAGGACGGGAAAACTTCGCTGATGTGAACGCTTGAATTGAGAGGATACGGGTTCGGAAAAAAATATTGATGTCTGAAATAATCACACGACAAAAATGGTCCCGGTGTGAAAGGACCTTTAGAGGAAAACAAGATGAGCGCAGTTTGCAGGATACAAACAGCAAAATTTCCAGAAACTCTGAGTCATTATGTTTGATTTGAAGTTGTATGCGTTTGCCTCGATTTGTACTCGACTTGTGACCTTGAATCGAGCTGGTCTTTGGTTTTTGCTTTGATGGATAGATTAATATCCAACATACATACATTAAATCAGGAGTTTTGTAAATTGGTGGTTCGTGTGTTTCTTTCTGACCCTGCAGGAGGTGAGCGAGCCCACCAAGGAGGAGAAGGCAGTGGCCAAGTACCTTCGATTCAACTGCCCCACCAAGTCTACTAACATGATGGGCCACCGAGTCGACTACTTCATCGGTGAGTGCTCAGCCGCAGACACATCACCTGGACAGTGGGTGGAGTGTGAGCCAGGAGGTAGCCGTCTCACCCCACCATCGGTTCTTCTCTGTCACACAGACGCTTGTTTCAACTGGACAATGTTTTAGCGTGTTTTTTCACACTCGACAGGACTGAGAAAGTCTGTGCGATGTTGCTAAAGAGATTTCTGATTCTTTACTGTGTCCTTTGCACTCCCACACACACAGACCCAGTCCTCCCACTCAGTATTTATATTTGTCTTGTCCCTGAGTGAATCCACTTGTCATTTAAGGGAAATGCTGTTTACTCGGTTTTGATCACATGACCTCACCATTGCTTACCTGAGCTGTTTGGAGATGGAGGGATATTTCTCTGCCTACAACTTGATGCCATTATCAGAGCTTTGTGCAGCAGTAATAGATGTTCTTTATGCTTCTTTGCTCAGTGTTTTCATGTTGAGAGAGTTTAGTCTGAAAGCCTGTCTTGATGAATATCCAGAGAAGTGGCTGCTGAAACTGCACCACCTCTTGACTTAAAGAGGATTTATTGCAAATGTCTGCTCACTGTGTAGCTGTCACTAATGGAAATCTGCAGCTTTGACTCTCATTACTACCAAAGTGCTGCCTTATGCACAGAAAGAGTCTGTTTTCCAACATTTAAGTGGACTATACTTTTATACAGTAGTCAGAAAAAATATGCAAATACGAAGACTATACCATATTTCTACACACATCGCTTGTTTTCTTTGACGCAACAAAACATTTCTTTTGTTGTTGCAGGATTAAAGTTTAAAAAAGAAATCTGCTCTAAACTTTTTAGCTCCTACACTGCCAATAGAACCGTAACAAATGTTTGCCCACGGTCCCCTGCAGGACAATTTCAGGCCCAGTTTCACTCTGTTCTTTCATTTCCACCTTTGTGTCCCTATTTTTAGCCTCCAAGGCAGTGGACTGTCTGCTGGACTCCAAGTGGGCCAAGGCTAAGAAGGGAGAGGAAGCTGTGTTCACGACCAGGGAGTCTGTGTTGGATTACTGCAACAGGTGGGCTGTAAAACACACTCTGCAATTCTTCTCAGATTGTGAGAAAACAGAGCAAACGTCTCCATGTTTGTTGAAGTGAAATCACAGTTTTTCCACACCTGTGAGTAACTAATTTAAATGGGGCTGTCGCTAATCTTAAAACTAATGTGCAATATTTAACAGATGTAAATGAGCTGTAAGATGCAAGGCTAAAGTTTTACCGTTTTGTGTCTGAAATCCTCCACACAAACCCGTCAAATTGTGCTTACAAGGTCTTCTTTAATGGTCCTTTTATTTTGTAGACTTTTAAAGAAGCAGTTTTTCCACCGGGCGCTCAAAGTGATGAAGAAAAAACCAGAGAAGGAAACCAAGAAAGAAAAGGAGAAGGAGAAAGAGAAGGCCAAGAGCGACAGCAGCAAAGAGGAGGAGAAAAAAGGGAAGAAGGAGAAAGAGAAGAAGAAAGAGTCTGAGGTTGCTGAAACCAAGAAAGAGAAGAGCGTAAGTCACTCGAAGATAACACGAAAAGAGACACAGTCCTAACTGCACAGTCATGCTCACTTTACACCTGCAGCATGAAGCCCCTGTATTTTCAACTTTTCTGTCATTAGCTTGTTTGATTATGAACTCCATCTGTTTCCTCATGTTTCTGTGCATCCCAACAAGGTGCTTTAAGTTCTCAGTGTTTGTGGTTATCTAAGCATGCTAGCTGGCTGGAGCTTCATACTTAGCAAAAAATCTAATAAGCCTGTTTCTTTGTTTCACTAGGATGACAGTCCTGGAACCCCCAAAAAGAAGAAAGAAGTGAAGAAGAAGTTCAAGCTGGAGCCTCATGAGGATCAGCTGTTTCTCGATGGAAATGAAGTGAGTGTGTGTGGATATTAAGTCTCATTTAAATATGTGTTTGTAATCAGAGAAGATATAACCTGTGTCTCTTTTTTTTAGGTCTATGTGTGGATTTACGATCCGGTCCATTTTAAGACCTTTGCCATGGGACTGATACTCGGTGAGTCTGTGGTTCAACAACACAAAAGGAGGTCTACAGGGTCTACTAGAACAGAGTGAAGGGTTATGGGTAATCAGGCTGACCAAGAAGTGTTTTCTTTTCTGTCTTTCAGTCATTGCGGTGATCGCAGCCACACTGTTCCCTCTGTGGCCGGCAGAAATGCGAGTAGGAGTTTACTATCTGAGTGTAGCAGCAGGCTGCTTTGTGGCCAGTATCCTGCTCCTGGCTGTTGGTGAGTACAAGCTCTTCATGAAATATACAACTCAGAGAGAGGAAAAGTATCGACACAGTGCAGAGACTGAGAGCCAGAAACAAATCTGAGAGCTTTCAGACAAGTTTGAGAGGAAATTCCCTCAAATTGCCTTATAAATAAATCTGATTTGATACACATTGTACGGCCAAATTTTCATGAAATACATACCAACATATACATCCAGGGAGAGATGGGGGAACAACATGCACTTTATCATGCTGGGTTCAACAGGGACTGCAGCCGCTGTACAGTACATAGAGCATCTGTGTAACCTATTTGGCTGTACACAGTCTTAACCAGATGTCCTGTAGCAGACAACATTAAAGTTCTGATTACATTACCACGCCATAGAAACAAAGTACCACTCTAATGTTACAAGATTCACTTAAAGTACCAGCATGGAAATAAAAATACCGAATACCTCGAGTGCATCGATTACAAATAATGATCGAGGAATTTTCTCTGCCTCGAGTTCTCGTTTATTAGCTCATATCGTCACTGTTTCCCATGGATTCTTTTGAAGGTGACACAATGTGCTTATGTCACCACGGTAGAATGAGGAGTAAGTGCTATTTAGGTTTTGCGGAGCGGAAAAAATAAATGATGAGAGGGGCTTTTTTTGCAGTGTTGCCAACCTAGCGACTCTGCACACTTCTCTTCACGTTAGCTTACAGCCTAACATTGTTGGTGTCGTGTCGTAGCAGAAGAAGGTCACATCAGAGCTATTCACCTCTCGGACACTAATGTCTTTAGGAGCATGATGACAGTTGATATCATAATTAGCTTTCTTACGAGCATTGCAATTGAAGATTGTAAGAATGTGTCGGTAACTCCATCTATGTTTTTGTTTTTCCACAGCACGCTGCATCCTTTTCTTGATAATCTGGTTGGTGACAGGCGGGCGCCATCACTTCTGGTTCCTCCCTAACCTGACAGCAGATGTGGGCTTCATTGACTCATTCAGACCACTCTACACTCATGAATACAAAGGACCACGAACCAGCAGCAAGAAGAGCTCAGACAAGACCGACGAGAAGGACAACGGAGGCGGCGCCAAGGCTCAGAAATCTGACAGCGATGAAAAGTCTGACAGTGAGAAGAAGGACGCGGACGACGAAGAGGATGAGGAAGAGGAGGAGAGCAAAGAGGCAGCAGCAGCAGCGGCAGCAGAGGAGAGTAAAGAAGCAGAAGGGGAGGGGACAGACCGGCACTCAGACACAGACAGCGACCGGCGGGAGGATGAAGGATCGCAGCACAGCAACGGAAACGACTTTGAGATGATCACGAGGGAAGAGCTGGAGCAGCACACGGAAGGAGAAGAAGAAGAAGAAGAGGGGGAAGAGGAAGAAGAAGAGGGAGAGGGGACGCAAGAGAGGAAAGAAGGGGGTGAGAGCGAGACTAAAGGCCAGACTGCTGAAACATAAACTTCTTACTATCCCACCCCTCTCTACTTTCCTCTCTCTGTCCCTTTCCTCCTTTCCTACTGTGATCCCAGGACCCGCTCGTCCCGCCTCCTCCTCACGAGGAGACGCTCCATCTCTTGTTGTTGAGATCTTTCACTGACACAGTACCCACAGACCAGGACCGGAGAATAACAAACAGCTACGACAATGAGGAAAAAAAAAAGATGTGTGATAAAGAAGCCTTACGGAGGAGCGGACTCCTCCCTGAGTGGAAAAACAACTGCCTGAGGAAACTGTCGACAAGAAACCACCACACCTACAACAACAGCACTAATGAACCGTTTTCTAATCTTTGTTTACTAACGTCCTCATGTCATGATGAATGCTTTATTTATGACCCCCTGTCTTTGGTTACATTTCTGTGTGAGGTCAAATCGAGATTTAAGATGCAGACCATGTATGGAGAGAAAACGCTAGAGGAAACTGGTGCTGCTTTCTTTGCCCCTTTTTTCCAGTTTTGATGTCATCTTTGAGCTCCATGTTGATGGTGCAAATACTTAGACGGTGTATAAAGATGGACAGTGCATCTCCACTGTCACCTGTTGTGCTAAAGTGATGCCAAATTACCCCCAAAAAACGGAGTCTGAGAATTAGAAAACAACTCTCAAAGTATTTTTATTGCTGTCCCAATCTTTCTGCTAACTAATCGCCACCAGGGGGAGCTTTAAATGCTTTTCCGATTCCACCTTTTTGGGCTGTCCCGTCTTCTTTTTTTATTAACTTTATGGTACAATCACATTATCCTGGTAGAGCTCCTGTCTGTTCGCTCTGTAGTGGTGTTACTGCAGGAGCACTGGTGAGTCTGATAGCTTTCTCAGGCAGTAAACTGATAGGAATTAAAGCCAGATGGACCAAATCCTGAAATGACTCGAAGGAAACAAATAATCGACCACATTGCTTCTGGCCGGAGTGTTTGGCTCTTTGAGGTACTCGCCATTTTCAGTGAGGAAAAAAAAAAAGTGTTTGATTTTCTGTAAAGACCGATGCTCATGGTGCAATCCTCTCTCACAGTCTAGTTCATGTTTAATGTGTGGGACTCATCTGTTAAGAGTAAATGTGAGCAACTGGGGCGGTGAGCCGGTGTACTTAAATTTTCTTTTTTAAAAAAAGATTTCAGCATTTGTTGTACAACTAAAACTAGATGAAATGAGTCTATTTGCAAACAGGAACCAAGACTTCAAGTTTAACTTTAGTGCCAAACACATCTAATAAAAGATGTTATGCATGCTGATTAAACCGTGCAAAAGCAAAGTAACATGTAAAAGTCAACTTTTTACATTTAGTTAATTTGTTTAATTTTGTAACTGCAGTGTCAAACCTCCTTGAGTCTTTCACATCTTTGGGGGAATAAATTAAAGCACAGATTGTTAGATTTTAGCTAAAACAAAGTTTTTTGGTCTCAATGAAACCATTTAGAAGCACTGGACTCGCATCTGAACCTGTTTTGTGTCGTTTAAAGGTGGGGTAGGCAAGAAATAAGGAAGTGGAATGTAAACACTACCCCTCCCAACCACAGACTGTATTTAGAATGGATGCCGTCTGCCTCCTCGATGGGTGGAGCCACTCCAAGAACAGCACCCTCTGTTGACAGGCTGCAGTATAGGTCATAAATCCCGCCACCTATCAAGCTGAAGGTGTCCATGGTATATACAGTCTATGGACCCAACCAGTTTTCCAGCAAGCCCCGCCCACAAACACGCTCGCTCATATGTTTCAATTAAATTCTGATATAATGCAGTTAAATACTGCAAATGGAGCCCAGTCAACATGAAAGTTAACAGCATTGGTACTATGATAGATGCCAACAGACTACCAGCAAACACAATGTTTGCAGGACTTCTACAACTAGGATTAAGTGATATAGTCCAGGACCCGAGGTGAACAGTGTAGCGGCGCTACAACACGCAGCAGGTCCCGTTTGACAGGAAACACTTCAGTTACAGACACTTGGCTTACTTTGTGAAAACGAGGCCCAGTCAAAGTCAATGTAAATAGCGCCAGTGCTAATGTAGCGGCATGCTAACGGGCTACCTTCGAACACAATGCTTTCAGCTCCTCCTCAAACATAACACATTACAGGTAAATTAAACTTACCTTACCTTTCCAGCAGAGTCTCCAACCGTTTGTCCTCAATGTTGACCCGGCTTTTTAGCTCTTGTCCGGGTGGTCTAACTCCTTTTTAAGCGCCCGTTGCTCCGCCAGAGTCTCCGGTATTCTCTTAGTTTTCTTGCTTGTGTTGGCAGTCGTGGTTAAAGGAGGATTCAGACATTTTTCTGTACTCTCGGGTTAGTTTCTACGGTCCGATATCGTAGCCCGCTAACTTTGTTTGGGCTCGCGCACGTTCCTCGAGGGCGTGGAGCGTGCCTCACTACGCGAGGGAGCATAGTCTGCCCCACAACCAATCAGCACGAAGGAGCAGCGTCCGCCTCACAACCAATCAGGTCGGGGAGTTGGAGAACGGCTTTGTTTACAGTCAGAAAGAGCGGACCGCTGGAAATTTTAAAATGGCGGAAAACACAGACATAAGAGGACACAACGATATCGTGATATTCCCAAATGTCATCAATAACCAATAGCTATTGACTGGTATTAAAAACTTAATGGAAAAAACACCACAAAAAAGATGCTTCTTCATCTAATTCCTGCCTACCCCACCATTAACACACTTGGACTTCATTCTGACCAGAATTAAAACCCCAGACTTTGCTTGTAATCTGTTTGTGTTTTTAATTCAAGTATCTGCTAACTCCAGCTTCTTGATGAAAAGACTCAACCTTTCTTCGTCAGCCATGGTGACTTACACAAAGAGTTCATCAGATTGAAATGTTTGGACTTAAGCAGTTATTCTCTAAAACAGAGGAAATGATTGATTTTAACGGTGATATTCATTAGTTGCGGCCTCAGAGGGCAGTCTCAGTTCCAGTTGAAGTCTGTGGTCCAAACCGTTCCTTCACATCCGTGTCAGACGAGGAACATCTCTGATTCTCTTTTTAGTCATAGCAAGGATTATATTTAAGTATAAAAAAATAGAAATGTATCATTTATATATGGAATCTATTGATATATCAGATATATACTTTCAAGTCTATCAAACTCTTAAAGCTCATGTTTCAGCTTTTTTCTCTCACCCTTCTTTTCTTTTTGTATTAGGAGGATTTTGAGTCTTTGTACTACATTTTTTATATGATCATTAGAGTGTACTTGCTTTTTAAAGGCACATTTGGAGCAAGGAAACAGAGGAGTCATTGGCATCTTTCTGTAGTTTACTTTCATTTGCCACGTAACATTGAATGTGCAATGTGGTTGTCTGTATTTTTCACTAAGAACTGTAATCCGTGAAGTTTGACAATGACCTGCCAGTTACCTCTGAATCCGACTCTCTTTACAGCTAAAGAACATCTGAACCTCCTCCACACCGCTCTGTGAACTTTAGTTTTAAAGTGAACTCACCTCGGCTGGATTCAGGGGTCTGTTTTCCTGTATCCGAGGCCTGTAGCTCTTAAACTCTCACACCTCGTTTCTTTTCGAACATCAGTTTTGTTTTCTTCCCCAAAATCAGGAAAAGTGCATCTCTGTGTCCTGAGTTGCCGGTCGCTGTACTCTCAATATTGGCATTTCACAAACGAGCAAAAAAAAAAAGAAAAGGAAACACTTCTCCCAGTTGTTCTTGACTGTCGCACAGTATCAGTCTGTAATATATTGTAGTATTATTATAATTACTCTTTACGCTGCTGCTTCTCATCGCACATTTCTGGGGGAAACAAAAGTGAAACTGTCGAAACATCTGTGTTTTATCTCTGGTCAAAAAAAAGAAAATAAGCGTGTCTTTTGATCGCCTAGTTGTCCACATCAGGATCAATGTTATTCTGAAGACTGTCACATGCAATATTGGAGTATAATTTAATAAAACTGGATGTCTGGAAATATATCTGTATCTTATCATTGCAATAAAATATAGAAAGCAGAAATGTGTCGTATTTTTTTGTTATTTACACATATAATCATTTTAAATTTTTTGCTCAGACTTTGCTGTATCGAGGGAATTGATCAGATAAATATATTTGATAATGTCACTTAAACAGTTTATTAATGATTAATGATGAAAAACAGCATGACCCATCACAGTTTACTCTGACTCTTTCGATTCACATCATGCTGTCTTGACTTGAAGCTTGAACTGATGCAGAAAAAGTGGTGAAAAGTGGTGAAAACATGGTGAAAATAAATAAAACCGTTCACAGCTGCTGTTTGGAGTTACAGAAAGTTTGCTCTGGATGTTGATACAGAACATTTACATACACTGAAGAAGTTGGTGGCTGACACAGAAGTAGAAATAAAGTCTTTTAGAGCCTACATGATGAAAATATATAAATATCACATAAATGACATTAAATAAATGTTCCTATCATTCTGTATGTACACATCTTATATTATTTTTTCTACCTTTTATTTGCAAGTATGCTAGAAAAGCCTAAAGCTCACACTGATCATCACAAAGATGATAAAGTGCTTCAAGTTCAAAAATCTTTGACTTGATTAAATTCAAATTGAAACCACTGCAGTTTTTTTTTTTTTTCATTTCTCAGTGAAGCATCTACTCCCCCTAGAGGACACATAAATAACAACGTGTTTAAGGTTAATGGAATGTAATGAGCTGCTCTCTCACATCCATGAAATACTACAGGCGCTGGCCCACTGTGCTCACCGCACATGCTGCCCATGACGCTGATATAACACTGTTTAACTTTAGACACACGTGCTCTACTTCTCAGAGTCTTAAAAGTGTGAGAGAGCATGACTGCAGGGTGACCTGATTAACACGGAGAGCAGAAAATTTCAATTTTCGGTGTCTGATGAGTCAGAGACATCGGCCAGTCTCGCCTGCCTCTTGCGTACGTTCCAGTGCAAACACTGAGCCAGGCTCTCGAACCAGTCGTACACCAGGTCGTGGCAACAGATGGACGGCACTGGGTAACAGGAAGTGGTGATCTTAATGCTGCAAGACACAAAAATGAAGCATTGTTAATCCTTAATTGAAGGACGAGATGTCTGTAAAATAAAGCAGCGGGTGATAATGTCTGTTAATGTACCAGTCTCCATGTTGGATCTCCTGTCTCTTCCTGCCGTCAAATGACACCCAGGCGGTGTTTCTGGCATCAGGGGACAGTGTAATCTGTTTCAAAGAGGAATGGATAGTGACTACAGGCTAAATGTTAACACCAGTGCACTTGCAGGCTCACAAAGGCGACACTAATATATTCACGATAAATCCCGCTCCAAATCATACCGCTTTTCATTTCATCATATCCTTTTCTGCAGCTGCCACGAGTGATGAGTCTTTGAGTCGTGGGTTTTAAAATGAAAATGATGACGGAGTTCGATCTTAAGGGCTTCTCTTAGTTATAACAGCTCATCATGAAGCTGATCCAGAAAGTCACATGAAAAGAGGGCTGTGATTAAATAATGCTATGAGAGTTTATTATTGTCCTCGCTCATGCAGAGAAAAGATCATGTTCTTGCTGCCAAATGCTGTTATTTCAAATGATAATTGATAAAAGGGATATTATGGTGGTGTGGAAAATGTTACATTCATCATATTGCATCTTGATTCCCATACCTACGAGGAATAATGGGAATTCCATGGAAATCCATACATTAGTTTTTCAGCAAGACCAACAAACCCAAAGACCAGCTGCAGACTGGCATGTCTCTGTCTCTATGCTAGCATAGAGCTAAAAAGTTAGTGTGTCAACACAATGTATGAGACAGGAAGTCTATATAACTGATTAGGTAATGTGTCCTCAGTTCAAGTACAAAACAGTACCTTCACTGTGAGAGCGACGGCCTTGAACACTACTGTACCTAAAAACACGGGCACATATGGTGCCATGAGTCTGTCACATATTAACATGGAAACTTGATGAAAGGCCAGGTCATCAAGAACAGAGAGACTTATAACAGGGAGAACCTCTCAAGGATTTCAACTGTTCAAGTCATAGAAAGAAAGAGTCAAAACTAGATTTACTGTCAAAGGCAAATAAAAATCATGGGTACTTTTACACAATACACTAAATGATTTCCCCCTCTGAAATCTGTTATCATCCTTAAATATTCAGACTCTACTTCTCACCATGAGCTCCACCCCAGCAGGGACAACGATGGGCCTGAAGGAGAGCGAGTGCGGGCAGATGGGGGTGACCATGATGGCAGGAACGTTGGGGTGGATCATTGAGGCTCCTGCTGCGGCTGCATACGCCGTGCTGCCCGTAGGTGTGGACACAATCACGCCTGCAGGATAGAAGGGGAGGAGGTAGACATGAACTCTACTGAACTTATATAACTTATCTTCTTTCTGTTCATGTTATTGTTATTTAAAGGGAAACCAGTTTGTGGAAGATGAAATGTTACCGTCTCCCTGCACTGAGGTGATGAGTCGTCCATCCAGATACAGGTCTACATTTGACAGGTAGGAGGATGGGCCTCGATCCACCACTACTTCATTTAACACCTGTACACGCACACACACACACACACACACACACACACACACACACACACACACACACACACACACAAAGATTAAGAATTTACTATGAGAGTGTAAAGCTGCAGTTTGAGATTTCATTTTTATTGAAACTGATTGGCCGATTGATCAGATACAAAACTGCTCACAGATATTTTATCCTAAGACAGATCAGATCATGAAACTGTTAAACCAGGACCACTGATCTTTATTTAAATAATACTGCAGCGCCCTCTGTAGGCGGAAAGCTGCACCTATTTTTACACACTTATGTGAATCTGTTCACAGGTAACTAGAACATGAAAAACATGAAGGTTCAGTTGTCTATTTATTGACCTTATATGACCACAGCTGAAACTCTGAGTGTGGCAAATAAAAAAAGGTTCTTCTAGAAATGGGCTGGGACTTCTCTCAGATGTAAAGAGCTCAAAACAAAGGTGACTGAGCCGCAGCTATTAAAATTGTATTCATAAAAAGTTCAGGAGTATTTGTGCTAATGACAAATTAGCAGACATTTTAAAACACAGTGATGGTAACAGCAGAATCACTGCACAGCAGTTCCACTGGTGTGAAAAAAAGAGTGTATCCAAAATGTCATTTTGTGAAACTCAATTTCATCATTGCAGATGCACGGAAACATCACAATCTCACATGACTACACTCCAGCGAAAGAAATTGGCACCCAGACAGACAGCCATTAAATCATGTTCCACCCTTGAGTCAGATACTCAGAGAGCTGCAGCGTGAGCGGTGATGTCGGCCAGATGTTCTGACGTCAGCTGAGCTGGAAGCAAACATCCTGTTTGATGCAGCAGATGTGATGTCACCGAGCTTCAACTCGTGTTGTCTCTCTACGATGAGACGATAAAACACTGCACTGACTCTGTGTGTGTGTGTGTGTGTGTGTGTGTGTGTGTGTGTGTGTGTGTGTGTGTGTGTGTGTGTGTGTGTAAAAGAGAGAGAGAAAGGAGGAGAGAGAGAGAGAGAGAGAGAGAGAGAGAGAGACTGCAGCACCGAGGCGTGATGTTTTGTTACGCCGTGTACCAGACCAAAAGCGTCAGAGCTCACCAGAGCTCATATCCATTCAGCACAGACAGTTATGTTGACGCCACTGTTTCCGTGGCAACTGAGCTCTGAAGAACTCCAACAACATTCAACTTTTTTTACCAAATATATGCGGCTTTGTTATGACTGTTGCCACGGTAACCCGGCTCACTCATAGGTAAAGACGCATGAACGTGCCAATGATGACAGAATGGGACACACACACGCGCACACGTGTGCGCACACACAGGGAACACGTTTGACATCTTTAAGCTGCATGGAAAGGGTGTTCATGGGAAATAGTACAGATGATAAAATGAAGTCATCAGAGGAACTGAACTCCAGACCCAAACCAAGAACCACAAGTCTCCCTTTTAAATGTCTGTTTGTGTTTCCACTGCATCTGGAAACCATGAAGTCCTGTAACCGATTAAGATAAAGTGCATCATTTTTGACGCAATTTTCACTCTTAATTACCCAAAACACAAAGAGCTTTTCATGTCATATTTGGTCTTTTACTTTTACAGTCACACTGTGACGTCTGGAATCAGTGAATTAATGTAGACATGGAAAAAGATTCTAAATACTCAGAGGTCATTCAGCTGTCCCGCAGACTTAACTGTGGTTTAACATGACATAGTTACATCTCTCACATGCTTTTGCTTCAATGCGCCTTTCCAAATCCTTAAACCACTGTGTTTATTTATATTACACAGATTTTATCATGGTCAATGAGCTCTTTTTAGGGGAGACTGATGCCCCTGGAGCTGTTTCATGCATTTTAAAGTGCAATATGGGAAACAATGAATAGAGTAAAAAAAAAAAAATACAACCTGTTTATTTTATTCTTACCAACATTTAACAGTTCTGTGTGATATTAGGTAAACCAGGTGAGTTTGGCTGGTGACTAAGAGGCAACATTCATCATTAAGTGCTTCCTGAAAGCTGGGACTTGTTTCTTGCGAACTGGATGTGAATTCACAGATTAACTTCCTGATCTTAACACCTAAGCTGTAATAAACAGGTGAACTTTCATTGGCACTCCTCTGTTAAACCTCTGAGAGGTGACTCAAGGTTAGCTCTTTGAGTTTACATCTTTCCTTGTTCCTTGGAAGGTTCAATCAAGACACAATCTCTTTGTTCTCACCTGTAGCTGCAGGGTGACCTTCCCAGCCTCACTGTTTGTATGTCCATGAGGAAGGAGTCCATTATGTTCCTGTTGTTGTTGTTGTTGCTGCTGCTGCGGCTGCTGCTGTTGACCTTCTCTCTGGAGCATGTCCTTCACCACCTTCACCTTCAGACGACTGCGCAGAGTGATGGCTGCATTGCCTAGAAACATACATAAAGAAATGTACGTCCAGACAAACCCACGTGAAGCTCTAACATACGATTTTAAAGGCTACAACAGTTAACATGAGCGTAGTATTTACTTTAAAGCTTCAGGTTACCTTCAAACACTTTAGCCACTTCGGTCTTGTAGGACTCAAATTTGAAGGGAGTCAGGAAACCCAGAGAGCCGAGGTGAAACGCCATAACAGGAGGGACGCTGCCCTACAAGGATATAACAGTCTGGGCATAAAACTCTATGGATTCATAACCAGCAAATCAACAAACTCCTTTACACACAAAGCACAAAAGTCAACCTACAGAGAAACGCTTTTGAGTGACAGAATATAATAACACATCTTTTTAATGTCAGGTATTGATGTATCTTATCCTTCACAGTGAGTTTCTGTGATCAAAAAGTGACACAAGTGGAAGTACCTGGAACAAAGAGGAAGCGTAGAGCAGAGTCCCATCTCCCCCCAGACAGATGATCAGGTCTATGCAGTCAGAGATATCGTCATATCCTGCAGGGGGAAACCAAAACAGCAATGTATTCAATCTAACTGGGCTCCATGCAGTCTGCTGTCAGGAGGATGAATATGATTATCTGAGAGACCGATAGCAACCAAACAAAACACCGCACAGGAAAAAACAAAGAAAATCACGTTCTACTACAATAACTCCAGCCGTCGCAGCCTGAAGAGCATCTCTGTGTATTCTCTGAGCAGCTCAGACAATATGAGGTCATGTGAGATTCAGAGGAAAAGACAGGAAGTGAGCTGGCTCTGCTAACTGAAAATGTGACCAGACACAGAGGGACATTATGTTAGGAAGACTCAAAACTTATTTATTTGCTCAGGCGTTTGTTTAATTATTTTTGGGGGCTACTATGACTGTTTAAATGTTGTTGTCTTGGCCTTTTAATTTGTATGTACATCTTTTTATTTCTGTCTATGTGAAGCACTTTGTGACTCTTTTGCCTGTGAAAAGTGCTATACAAATAAAGTTTACTTATTTACTTACTTACTGTGTAGCACTGTGTGCACTTTCTAAATAAGACCATATTTTATCAGCACATAACATTACTATTTAATGATGTATCCTTGAAGTTGGTAAGTTACAAACAGGTATTATGTATAAACTTGGGAATTTCCTCCCGTGGGACTGATAAAGGAATATCTTACATGTATTAAATAGATAGATAACATTATGTGTGAAACGATTATTTCAGTTTCTGTCCACCAATACCTGACAGCTTCATGATCCTTTGTTAATGTTGAAGAATAATTGAAATTGTGTGACCAAGAATACAAAATAAACATAAAACAAGATTCTTTTTAATGAAAAAAAATCTAAGTTTGTGAATTTGGTGGGGACCAAATCTGTCAGAATATTTCACTGAAGCAATGACCGCATCATTTTCTTCTTGAATTAAAAAAAAAAACACACACACACATAAGTGAAGCACTAATTCCAGCTATGGCGGTATGACCCTCAAGAGTCTCACCCTCTCTGAAGGTGCAGAGCTGATTCCGGATGGAGCCGAACGCCTCGTCCTTGGACAGCGTAGCGTCGTCTGCCACCCTGCGCTCCACATACACCATCATCTGCTTCTCCTGACACACAGAGACACACTTAAGTGACAACAGCACAAACACACACTGGCACCTCTGAGAAGTTCTCTGTCTGAGTTGAAGTTGCGTACGTGCCAAAAATGCGTGCTCTAAATTATGACAAAATCTGTGTGGAATGCAAACACGTGACCTTTCTGTCTGCCTGTGGTACATCATTACACAAAGCATGGCTGGTTTTGCAAAGAAGTGGTTAAAAGGTGTGGTAACTGCTGAAAGTCCGCTGGAAATCCACAGGTCTGGGTTATTTCCTCTGTTTTTCTTTATTTTTTACAGATTTTTGGACTGTTTGCCCTCCAGAACAACTGTTTTGTGGAATATTTTGTTCTTGGACTCAGTGATCTACTACATTTGTCAGCAGCAACATCGGCTGCCATAGACAAAACTATGACAGTCAATAAAACTGACTGTCTGGTTTAATTCACTCAGAACAGCAATAGCGGAAATTTTTACATGCTTCCCCTTTCAACATCCTACTTGCCAAGATGAGAGTTTCCCAGAACATAGAGTGATGTCTTTGATCAGCTTAGGAGGCCCCAGGTTGAGAAGGCGATGATTAAGACAATACTGTAATATGATATTATGATATAATGAGATACAGTGTTATGACGTGTAGTTGACATCAAATGTTATCTCAAACCTCCATGGGGGTTACACTGAATAAAATCCAAAATGTTCTGCTGCAGAGTCCTGATCTACAACTTTTTTATTTGAAACTTTGTTGTGTTGATGTGTTTTTTATTGATTTGAGTGTCCTTGAGTGCCATGAAAGGCGCCCGCAAATAAAATGTATTATTATTATTATTATTACATTTTTTATCCATAAAAATACAATTTAAAAAGGTCAAGTCAGACAATACAAAGGAAACTTTCAGTGGGTCAATTCAGTTACCCAACTAATCTCTCTTCTCAAACATTTGTCATCCATCACAGCAGTTAATAACAGTAACTCTTCCTGATAAACTTAATTTAATCTAAATAAACAAGATAAGCAGCAGATCACGCAATAAGTGAAACACAAACCGAAACAATAAGAAGATACAGATTTGAAACCTGTTTGAAACTTTCCGAAATTACCAAACTGCCTCATGTGGAGACATTCTGCTGTTGCAATATCACACCTTCAGATTCCGAGAAGCGACAGCATGCAACATTACTGAAAATATATTCAATCTTACATTTCCGTGTGAAGCAGGTAAATATCTTAATTATTTAAATGATCTTACTTTAAGGGATTAGTACTCAGCCTTCTCAAAAAACTGCAGACACGACCACCACAGACAACTTCTGTAAATGTTGAAAAGGTTCATTTACATGTTTTCGCTTTTCTCAGTCTTCCTAGTGGTGTCTGTAAATCTTGATTTTTCTATTTCAAGGCTAACAGTTTGTCATAATCAACACTGACTTGCCACGCAGTAGCTCTGCAGATGTTTTGACTCAGTATTGACACTATTTTTGACAGCTGAGAGAAAAAAAAATCAATGAAACAGAAACAAAAACAAGAAACAAAAAGTTTTGCATTTTGGATGTGAGCTCGACTCACTTATCTCACGAGCAGAAAGACAGTCAATATATTGTCGTAGAGAACTCTTGGAGCATTACAAGAAATCAAGAAGACTCAGGATCTTTTTTCTTCAGTATTCCCGCTGTTAGAGTCACTCTTCTTCATCACACAGTAAAGCCTCACATTATAGGATGAGTAAAGGGATCTCTTACCTCCACTAGAAACCTGCAGAGCTCTTTGAAAGGCTCAACCAGGCTTTCATCTCTGATTTTCCTGATGACAAGCACATTAACAGGAGGTTTATTCCAGGTGAGCCGCTGGCTGGCTGGGTCCTGGATGTGCCTAAGACATAGAAAAAGATACACAGGTGAGTAAGCAAACAAAAAATTTACTCCTACATGTGTTAAAAAATAAATAAAAATTCAAAAACAAAAAATACATTGTAAACAAAATCTCCTAAACAGAAAAATCTCATAACTTAAATTCAGTTTAACACGTCTTACCTCATCTTAACAACAAGGTATATTTAATCTCACCAGCTGCTGCTGTTATGAAACTACTAGAGGAGTGAGGTCCAAACTCCAACTATCAGAAAAAAAGGAACAATGCTCTCTCTTTACCGTTTGTCTACTTCCTCCTTGTCACGGCTGACAACAGGCATTTTGTGTACGTTTTCAGATCAAGTCCAAGCGAGCAGTCATGAGTCTGAGTGACATTAAGCATCAGTAGTCTTTTCTGTTACCCACCCCATATTAAGTCACATCCAATCACAGCATACTCATCTTTATCTTATCTAACAAAGTTACACAAGCTTGTCTGTGTCAACGGCCTCAATTACAAACAAAGTATAGTCTGTACACACAAAGCTCTGCTCTTTCACGCTTACATGACTGAAGTTGGGTTGGGAAGAATACAGGCTTTGGGTCCGAAGTGAGTGGCTGGGTACGGTCCATGAAGAAAGTGTGCTCTCCTGTGAGGAGGGAAAAAAAGAAGTGGCGAGTCAAGACACCATCACCTCATGTCAGGGGCAACAGTGGCATGGTGGACCAGCTGGCAACCCGCAGCGCAAACCTCTTAGGAGAGCTTTCTGCTGTGTCGCTCGCCGAGCCAGAGGGCTCCAAGTGCTCGTGTTGGCCTGGCAACCTCCGTCGTTCGATCTCCCACAGCAGCTGTTCATGACCGCCCCCCCGTCGCTGCGACTTGGTCCCCTTCCTACGTCTCCTTGGTGACTTGGAAAGGTGCTCCCTGTGCTTGGAAGGCCTGGGTGACTCACTCCGCTGACCAGAGGGCGCTGAGGGCTGTGCGGGGCCTCTGTCTTGAACTGCAAGGGGCCCTGATGACAGACTGGACTCTGGATTCTCCATTCTGCAACGAAGACACACCAGATTAAAAAGAAAAAAACATGAATTGAGTCCATTGAGAAAACATTGCTCTGAGCAGTTTTAGGAACATTTGATGAAACGGTTTAATATTTCAACATGTTCTAGAGAATGCCATCCATAAATCAGCTGAAGACGACAATCCAAAGGTTTAATTACTTAACTTTTACAGACCAAATCCTGAACAGCTCCAATGTTAAATATTAACCACACACATGACAGCCATAAGATTTTGAACATCTGCGCCGCTACACACAATCCAAAACAACAGCTTTACCATAAATACTAATGTCAGGATTTAAAGGTTTGTTTGTTGACATGATAAGACAGGTGATCATTAGACTTTAGAGGCTTACTGGGGTATGTTTTAAGGTGTATAAAGTGTGCCTCATATTTTTTTTTTACACTTCATTGACAAACATGAGGGGGTCAAAATATTAGGAACACCTTCAATATCATGCACTTCAGAGAGCCGAAACTGATTTTAAGAGGACTTAAAACCTGTCTGACCTGACAGTACTTAAAATCGGTCTGTGTTTATTTATTAAAGGTTTGCTAAGTAAATGTTTAATGTAGATTAAAACTAATATATTCGTCATTGAAGTCTCTCATTTCAGTACAAACTGGCGCAAATTATTTATAATGAAACAACAGTTAGGTATCAATAAATCCGACTTAACATTCCCAATGAAAATCCGCAAAAAAGCCTCTTAAGGCCACAGAGAGCCGCTCTGTTTGTAGCATTAGCGCTTCATTCACTACTTTAAAGTCGTCCCTCCCTCCTCTATCGACTTTGGCCCTTTATTTAAGACAGATACAAGAGTTTTTGTATAAGCTCAGACCCTTTAATAGTGAACCCAGAAAAACCGCCTGAAGCAGAGTGACGGTTTTTAGCCGTTATTAGTCTGTTGGCAGGTACCGTTACTTAGATACACCAGCTAACCAGCTAACAAGCTCACCGGTCAGAAAACCTCCAGAGGAAACGGAGCCGAACTGTGTGAGGAGAGAAAAGAAGCAAACACGCTCTTATTTCTACTACTTCATCGAAACTTCAGCGCTGTCAGGTGCTGTATTTCAAAATAAACGGCACCGTCAAAGTCTGAAACAGATGTGTTATGAGATATTAACGCGGGTAAGACCGAAGGGGAGGGGGCACGACGGAACTGTCTAATCCGCTCAGGAGCTTCACTGTGGGCCGGTCACTGCGCAGGACGGAGCGGGGGTTTATTAAACAGCGCCCCCCGCGGCGAGTTGAGGACACGTCCAGATTTCTGCAGTAGCATTATATCCCTGCTAGAGTCAAAACAATACTCAGACTGGGAATATCCTTCAAATCACAATAAAATAAGAAGTCTGAGGAAATTTATATGTTTTTAAAACACATTTTTTTTATTTATCACAAAAAAATACACTAGCTTTGCCAGAGGGACAACAAAATCTTTCTGAGAATTTTAAACAGAGTTCCTATGAGTTTCCATTTTCTTTGTAGTATTGAATTTGATAGATATATGGTCTAAACTGGTGATTGAATAAAGCATGTCATGGTTACCTGTGAATTTTAAATTTGGGACTGTGGAATTTGGCCAATATGATTAAAAGATGTATCACATAGGGGGGAGTGGGGTAAACTGAGCCACCTCCTGTTGCTTGGAAATGGTAAAAGAAATGGATCATGTGACCAAATATTTAGGAGATGGGCATCAATTCATGGAGTCTGTGAAGATTAGAAGCACATGGGTGAAGGGGGTTAGACATTTATTTCCAAAAAAACATTTTTCACTCTTGAAAGTGAATTTAGTCTGTCATAAGTTTGATTAGAATTGTGTTCAGACCAAAAAAGATCATTTTAAATTTGTTTTATACATCAATTGTGGTATCTATGAGCTACGACATGAGGTCAAAAACCGAGCATAAAGTCCACCATTTTAGCTTAGAGGACAAATAAAGTCATAATAGTAGTTATGGGGTAAGTTGAGCCAGTGACTCAACAGAGAAAGTAAAGAAGTCTGATGAGAGGATCAGTTTCAGTTCAGATTGTTGAAATGTTTGACTTTGTCTTTTCAAAAATACAGCTGTGAATGTTCTGAATCACTTAAAGACATCCTCATGTTAAAATGGCTTTTTACAAAACAGCTTTTTCGCAGTTAAAAATACACATGATCACTTTTTTGTCATGCTATATTATCAAGACAGTTATGTTTACACTCATTCTGTTGGTTTGCAGGGATGCACAACATCTTGAAATATATGCAGATACACTAGTTAGAGACAAAACTATGATTGCCCTGATGTAGTGATCCGAAATATAAAAAATGTCTCATCTTACCCCACTCTCCCCTACAAGTCTGTCTTGTGTGTTATATTCCATGTGATCAAGCAATACATTATCCCAAATAAAATAAAAATAAAGAAATTTCTTTATTGATTTTGTTGTCAGTAAAGTCACAATTCGTTACAGTCAGGCAACCTTCAAACAAATGCACAGTAGTTACAGGACATCCTCAACAGAAAACTACAGTGTACGTCTATATCTTTCTTACATCTTTAAAACTGAAGAATGAGTTAAAAAGAAATTGTCATGGCTTTACTGATGTTTTCAAATGTCTTCTGGGTATAAACCAAGCTTTATTCCGTGTAACACCATCTACAAATGACACATGCAACATTGTGACATCTAAAGAGTATATTTTTTGAATACGCAGCTATCATTTATCCTACTGGTAATTCAATTAACAACAATCATGTGAACTGCTGCTTTATAACGTAAAATGTTCTTTCACTACTCTTGTTTCAAAATATATCTATCTATCTGAAGCTCTTATACAGCTCTTTTAAATCTTTGTTCAAAATCATATCATATAAACAGTCTACCATAGACACAGGGAGGCAATTTGTTTAAACCAGACATGAAGAAAATGTAGACAATAATGCTCTGTTTTTATTTTGTCAGGAAGCCACACCTTATTTGGCTGATAAAATCGAGGCTACAAGCTCTTATCTTTGAGGTATTATATTTAACTATAAAGCCTGCAAAACTAATAAGCAATTCAATAATCTCATGAACATTGTTCTGAGCTATTCCTCTTTATCTTTCAACCACGCCTTCCAGTGGAAAGCGTTTTGATATCGCTGCTGCACTGAAAGTAGATCTTACATATTTGATGGCAGCGTTCGGGGAAACAGAGACAGACACAGGGCTGCATTCAGTGTGGGATCCCTGCAATGAGAAAGGTAACAGCTCTAAGAATAATACATCTTGTTTATGCATGTTTATTTAAAATCTGTGAGTGTCTTGTTGTTAAAGCTTTAGGAAGTGTGTCTGGTTCGATTAATCTTTGTCAGAGCAGTTGTACTTTACAAACTTGTTTATTTTAAAGCAAATAATGCATTAAAGTCATACTCAGGATTCTTCACAGGAGTATCTCTGATCATGAAAGTCTACAGAGTACTATCTGACCGGTTTTCTTGTGTCGATATCAAATGAAAGCAGACATTTTATCCTGAACTGCCCCACCTATTCTCTGCTACCTGTGCATTGAAAACTGCAGAGGGAGGTCGCAGTGTCAGTTGATGACAGTAGAAACAACCAATCAGAGAAATTGACATTCATACAGGAGCTTTTGTTGAATGAGTATCATTTACACCTGGATTAACCGGAGTCTTTGGCATGTCTGAACCAAACTGTTCCCACTGAGCTTTAAAAAACAGCTTTTATCCTCTGCTGCCTGAAAATAAAAGTCATAGTATTATATCCTGGAAACCAAGCAGTTAATAACTAACTCAAGAATACAGTGAAAGATGTTTTGATTTTCATTTCAACCTATGTCCTTAGATAGCTGTGTCATGGTCTGAGAGTAGGTTTGCCCCTTTCACACAACGGCTGATAAGATATTTATATTTTTGGATGGACTCCTGAAATGTCCAAGAAATTAACTGAGGCTGTATGTGAGAACGCAAATGTGAAGTCTGTACTCTCTGATTGACCTGCAACCAAAAAGACAACACATCATGAAATAAACCAGACCACACTTAAAGCTGAAGGTAAAGCTAATGAGTCATTGGCTACAGTTAGCATCTAACGACTTAGCCAGGAATCCATACAGTTACCACTAAACATGTAAAGCTGTCTAATGATTATATTGACAAAAATTAAATTACCAGTTATCATAGTAGGCCTATATATGTATATACTGGTATATACGATCTTCTTGTATCTCGGCTTAAAAGTGAATGAATGGTAACGTTAGCTGTGTTAGCTTATGGCTAATCAAATCTGATTGTTTTAGCTACAAATAAAGACCCTCGAGATCTTCACCATGAGGTTTATTTTGAGTTTCAGATCATGTATGAAGCAGTGAATGAACAACAGTTTTGTCAAAATCTGCACATTTGTACAACCTGCTAACTGTGAGTCAGCATTTCACAGTGCATTAGCATTGGTGCTCCCCGCATTAGATTTGATGTCAGGACTATAGCTGACTTGCATATGAGGGGGAGTTATCAGCACTGATCCATTCTAAGTCAAGAAGCTAGTTTTGACTAACCTGAGTTGCCTGTTTGTTTTTTTTTAACACTGCTAAGTTTGTCTTGCACAATAAGCCGACTGATAGTCAACACCAGAAAAACTAGTTTGTTGAGCAAATACTTCTACTACTGTAGGCCAAAGACATCAGTCATCTGTTGTGTTTAGCCTGCGGGTAGCTGGGCTGTAGCTCTGATAAATGCTAACAACAATATCACTATTTTGCTCTATGACCTGGACGTAATCAAGCTGAGAGGAAGCATCTTGTAGCGTGGTGAGGTTTGGCTATTTTTTATCTAGAATGTGGAGATTAAATAATATACAGGCAGTGTCAACTTGATCAGAACAGTGTGTTACAGACACAGCTAGCTTAGTACTAACCTTTTTAATAATGATTACCTGCAGGCACCATTAACCCCCTGTTAACAGTGTTGAATAATTGTGCTCAGTTCTGTCTGTTGTCAGAGTTTCTACCAAATTTTGCATTTGAATAGCCTGGACATTTGTGGCTTTAAAACATCCTTGATCATGCATTTGTTTTGAAGATATTTCTCATATATTGTTGTCGAAATAACATTAAAATATTCAGCATCACATAAAAGACCTTCACTTCCTGCATGCTCTCTCTAAACCAAACACATCTTGATCTGACAATTTTCACACATGAACCATGCAAATATTAAACAAACATTTTCATAGCACTGTTGTTATCTTACAAACGGTCCAAGCCCTTTTACACACACACATTCATACACTGGTGGCAGTGGCTGGTATGCAAAGTAGCAAACTGCTGAAAAGGACCTTGTCTAATCACAGACGCACACATTCATACACTGATAGCTGTGCCCTCCAGAGCAATTTTGGGTCCAGTGCCTCACACAAGGAAACTTTGACTTGTGGCCCACAGGAGCAGGAGATTGAACTGCCAATTCACTGAGCAGAGGACTGCTCTATCTTCTGAGCTCCTTCCAGCCACCTCAAGAAAAAAAACTTTCCTCTCACTCAAATACAGCTGGGTGCTAATTTTGTTCCAAGGAGCTTGAATAGGGAGCTGTTTTTTTATTTTTACATATTTTCATTTCACCAGATGTGGAAATTCAAGAACAAGGTAACTCATCAAGGTTTTATTTTGATTTCATATAAGATCTTTTTTGACCACATGAACTTTCTCTAGGAACTCTGTGCATTACAACTTTAGGAACTTGTGTCTAAATTTAGTTCCTGGGTTAAAAAACTAATGTTATCTGATCAGTCATATTATGCATACACATGAATTTTGACTATTTCTGTACATTATTTTTCCATTTCAGGGATGTTTTTGGGGGGGTTGGTCTCTTCATGAAACATTCCAATTCACACAATAAGCTGGTGTAGAATTTACATACAGACACCAGCTCAGGACAGAGCAGGATAAACAGGTAGAGGCACCAAAGACAACAACACAAGAGCAAATATTTCCACTGCTGTGCAAGTCCCTTCAGTTCTAAATCGGCTTGATTTGCATGTTTTACTCTTCAGGCCCTGAGTGAAAACACAAACAACAATGGACCACAGGAACCATTTAGTTCCTTAAAGAGAAGTCCTGGAACTAAAAGTTTTTGGTCAAAAAGCACCTTAAGTCATATTTATTCATATTGAGAAATTTCATTTTAATGACCTGGCAAATCCTACACTTCACTTGTCATTTGCTGTAAAGTAGACATTTATTTCATCTTCTTGTAAGTAAGCAGATGATCACATGATTGCTGGAAAACTATTGAGTACTAGAGTACAACATGTGTTTTCATTAAAGACATTTGGCTGAAGAGAACAGTAGAGACATCCGTCACCTGCACCATAACACCAGTAAAAGCTAATCCACAGTCCTGATCACTCGTGCTCGGTTGTCATCATTATAACAGGGCCTGTTTGACTGTTTTTGGCTGCCATGTCACAGCAGAGTCATAGTGATTCTGGTGTTAACTGAGGACACCATTATCTATCAAAAATTCTTTTACATCCTGGCTCAAGCTAAACCAAACATGCCAGAGCATGATTCAAGCCCAGATTCAATTCATAGGGTGGAGCATAACAAAGGTTTGCTGCATGAAAGTGTTGCGTGTACTTCCTCATAACAGCAGAATCGAGGAAGCTTTTGTTTCATGATTTTTTTCCACATTGTATCACAGTTCATTATTACAGCTCTCAAAAGAGGAAGCGGGTCGTAGCAGAGAAATTTTGACACAATACTCACTGGGGTAACTTGACATCAAGTGTCCTGAACTTGGAGTTCATCTTTGAGTTTTATTGTTTCAGCTGGCTGGACTTGGACATGTTTGGACCTCTTTGAGTACCTGCTACACGATCTGACAAGGACAACCAAAAAAAGAGGAAATCTGGCTTCAATGTGGCAAAGTGTCCATGCACACACAGGAAATGTTGAGCTGGTAAGTAGAGGGTATGCAACATTATAGTTGAGTCCATTTTGCAGTGCAGTTCAGCAACACTTAGAGCATTAAGGTTTAGTGTTTCCATCGCTCTGTGAAATCTCATTAACTCACAGCTAATGTGTCCTGGTGAGTCTCTGAGTAGGAATCTCTGGCTCCGAGTAGGAATCTCTGAATAATCAATGACCAAAAGTGTTTTCTTTGGACTGATGTAGCTATAATAAAAAAAAAAATTCTATTATGTATGGAAAAGAGCTGACTACTCTTTTGGGAAGAGAAAGAGAAACCCTAATGGAGTCTATCAAATGTACTTTCCTTTGAGCCCCACACAGTTTTATTGTCTTCCTGGTTGTTGTTTTCCTGTTTCAGTTCATTTTATTTTGGTCCAGTCAACACAAACAGAGGAAGAGTGTGGAGGATGGACAAGCAATAAATAAATAAATAGAGGTTTAAGGAAATTGAAATTGAGGTCTGGTGCTTCTGTGCCATGAAAAATAGACCAGAGGCTTTTCCAACAGGAAATAATTTTCGACTTATTTTCACTTTGTCACTCACTGCCTTTTCTGTGACAGAGGTCCAAATTTTCTCCTTATTATAAAAGCATTAATAAACATGTTAAAGTATTAAAGGCCTTAAACTCTGATAAATAGCTTTAATTTAACCATCTTCCACATTTGGCAGCCTTTCAATCGCAACAGTTTTCAGCATCAAGTCCACATTTTATGCTAATTGGTTGAAAAAACAAGTTTATGAGACTTAAATCACAAATTTAAAGCTCCTGGGAGTATTTTTTTGTGACATTAATGAAATAAACTAAAATTCATATTAAAGCCTTTTCATTATAACCAAACCAAACAAAACGTCAAAACCTAAGATCAAGATTGAGTATTGTTACATCCTAATTTTTAATGCCTGAAACCCTTGCAGGGGGGTAGATGTCAGCCATGACGCTAAAAGACAGAAGCCTTCTTTTTACAATTTTGGCATGAAGTATTCACACCGAATGACACACTCGACTGTTATAAGTCAACATGATAAGTTTTCTTGTCAAAAGTCACAACTCAAAAGGACTAAGATGAGCAAAGGTTGTTTTCCCAAAGTTCCTCACAGGAGCTTTAAAGAATAAAGTCAGACACGAGAGCGGAGTCGTAAAACTTTGAGAATCAAGATTTAAACTTAAGGATGAAGTCATACTTTAAGGCTTTGGTTAGCTGTTATTGGTTTATAAATGACTAAACACTCGGTCTTTCTGGCAAATCAGCCCCACACTGGACGTCACGCCCTGGAGTTAAACAAACGAAAAGAGGACCCAAATACAGAACAAAAAAAAGGGGTTATTTCAACAAAAATTTAGTAATAATGTCCAACTCAAAAATCCCAAAGGCAAAATCAACAAAAAGGAACTGGAAAAAACCACATGGAACATACACTGAACTCAATATACTCACATACAATGAACCACCAAAGAAACAGAGGAGGACAAGAACTATCTATACACAGGGGGACAAGCAACTAGAGGCAGGTGAAGCAGACGAGACACAGGTGAAACTCATGGGTGATCAATAAAGGAGGGAAAACTAGGGAAGTAAAACATGACTAGAAACACAAGGAATCAACTACTACAAAATAAAACAGGAAACACTAAGAAGTGATCTTAACAATAACACTGAGAACGTGAGGGAAACGGGGTCAGACACAAACTGAAAACTCACAAGACAAGACTACAGGGGGACAGAAACAATAGGGGAAAAAATCACAAAGAAAATAAACTCAAATAAACAACACAAGGAGAAAACTAAATTAACAAAACACATCATGACGCTGGAGTCAGTATCAGGGATCTTAAAGGAGTTTTTAAGAAACTGACTCTGTAGTGAAGGAGGGTCGGCCGATAGCAGTTGTGGTAGAAAGGTTGGAGGTCCTGCTGTCCACCCAAGTGCTCTCAGGGAGGACACCTAACTCCGAAACTGCCCCCTGGTGGCTGTTCCAGTGGGGTGTGAATTAGAATAATCAACACAGATGGTCACTTCACATAGAAGCCAGATTTTCATCAAAAGGGCCAATCCCACCTAATATCAGAACTCAACCAATATACCCCTGCATCCTTTTTAAAAAACCTATTAGAATTGAAGTGTTTGATTTCTGCTTGTTAAATCACCAATGTTTTTTTTTCCTCTGAAGAAGTGTTCACATTTTTATTTCAAAGATGGATTTTCATCTTTCATTTCTCTTCTGCAGCTGCTGAGTCACCATAATGGCCCTCACTAAGTGGCTCTCATGCGGTTTGAAGTCCTCCCAGACCTCGCACCATGATTATCTCCATCTCCTTCATCCTGCTCAGCCTGGGAGTGAAATGTCTTCTCAACTGGGTGCTGGTGTTTGTTCAGAGGAGCCACATTTGCCAAAGCTTCCTGGGAGTTTTCAGTGTTACCCAGGCTGTCATCGACACAGCTCTGACCCTTTTTGTCGCCGTCATTTACCTCCAAACCCACGGATATGTCATCCTCCTGGGCTTCAAGCTGACCAGGTTTCACGTGTGTTTGCTTGTTCAAATTCTGGGGCAAGTCTACAGCAATCTGCATTGGCCTGTTATAATCTTAGCAGGCTTGGACCATCTCTGCACTCTCACTCAGAGGTTGCAAATTACTGTCGCCAAGGCCAGATGGCCTGTCTGCTTATTTGTGACCAGCCTCCTGTGGTATCTCACGGCTTTCTATGTCTTCCTGCTGTCTGACTTCAATCCTGTCCTTGAGGATGTGCCTTACAACCAAATTCAGCAGTGTTGGGTCTTCCACACATCTGAGATCCTGCAGGTTATCATGTTGCTCCTCCTGAGTCTGGGCTCTGCAGTGCTGCATGCTGGGTGCAGCACACGATTATTGAAAGACCAGAGTTCCAACCAAACTACAAAACTCTCCAGGAAAAGTGTTGTTTACAAAGCCATTCATATTTTTCTGAGAACTTGGGCTTTATTCCTGTTTGTTCTCACCGTGCTCTCCCTGCTACCTGTGGGAATACCTGCGTACCTGGGTCTGAACGTTGCCTGGTTGAGCTTCCTCAACAGCATGCTGATCGCAGTCCTTTTATGTGCAGTCTGTCCAGCCTCACAGCTCATGCAGGGCTTGGCAGCCGTTCCTCCTGACAGCTTCTGTAAGTGGAAGTTTAAATTTAGCTTGGCTGCAGAGGACAGGACATGACGCCCGGCAAATACACACAGGCCACATGGAAGAGGAAGTGGAAATTGATGCCGTGACTTGACTGTCTCAGCAATAAGTATTTTAAAGGAAAAACTAACTTTTGTGTATTTATTTAAGCTTAGTGAATCACAAATCAGGAAACACAAAAGATTAGTTGCTATTAAAGGGATATTCCGGCGTAAAATAGATTTAGGGTTAAACACACCGTAACACTGAGTTAGACACCCCATAGAGAGATGAATGTTTTTGACCGCTTGCTTCTCTAGTTATACCAACTTTAGTAACGACCGCACAATAGCAATACACAGCAGTTTGAGGAGCCATAAACAAACCTCAACAAAAACGCCACTCTATAGCCACAAATGATGCTGAGAACAGCACCTAACTTCATCAACAGTACAAACGGGGTCCCAGCCACCAAACATCTTTTTAACTTTGCCTAATTTCTTTAGCAAAGAGACTAGTGAAACTTTGTAGTGAAACCTGGGGTCAATCCATTACGGACCATAGTGGGGTGTCGCAGCTCAAAGAAGAACATTTATGATCATTACTTTATCATTTCCTTAAAGAAATAAACACAATATTAATCATTTTGCACTGCAGACGCGGTAGTTCTTCTGCCTTAGCGTCTCGGTCTGATTGTATTTCCATGAAGAAATGATCATAAATGTTCTTCCTTGAGCTGCGTCACCCCCACTGTAGTCCGTAATGGACTCTCCAGGAGGTCTCCGTACAAACAAGCGGCTGCTGGAAGAGAGTAGGTGAGTTGTGTTTAGTCTCTTTGCTAAAGAAATCAGGCAAAGTTAAAAAGATGTTTGGTGGTTAGTACTATTACTAGGAGGTGCTGTTCTGAGCATTATTTGTGGCTATAGAGTGGTGTTTTGGTTGAGATTTGTTTATGGTTCCTCAGACTGCTGTGTATTGCTATCGTGCAGTTGTTGGTATAACTAGAGAAGCAAGTGGTCGGCAACATTCATCTCTCTATGGGGTGTCTAACTCGGTGTTATGGTGTGTTTGACCCTAAATTAGTTTTACACCAGAATATCCCTTTAAGGTGTTCAGTTTGTGCCTCTGTCCTTTTAAATTTCACATTGATCAGTTTGATTTGGTTTTTGTTTTGGCATACATGACCAGAATGGTTGCATGTCTGACTGTAATAAAATCACTTCATCTAATGTTTAATATAAAAGAAGGACTGTCTCCCTTCAATTCATTAAAATGTTTAATTTCAATTCCTCTATAATCAGTGGTGCACAGTATTGAAGTACATTTACTTCAATAACGTACTTTTGTAAAGTTTTTTGATATTTGCACTTACAGTAACTTTGGCATTACTTTTGGAGAAACATTTCTTTTACTTTTTTATATTTGACAGACTAACCTTGTACTTTTGACTCCACTAAATTTCTGTGATGGCTCTTATTATTTACTGTTTGGCTTTAAAGTCAGCAGATTAAGAGTCAGATCAGTTCATGTAGTGGTGGTAATAGAGGCTACAACAGAAGAGGATGAAAACTCTCCACCTGAGCCCCCATGGTCATATCTTCAGCTGCTGTTTGAGGCTTTTCAAATGAAGAATACACAATCTTCATCATCAGCTTCAGAAAGGATGAAGAGGAGTATTTCTAAACACTTTTAAACCAAGTTTATTGTACGGTTTGTTTGTCTTATTACTGTTCCGATTATTTAGGAGTAGGAATTCTTAAACTCTGTTGCAAAGTGAGTCTAATATATATTAAATAGCAGAACTTACACCCATATACTCAATATTACAAATATGTTTAGCCTGCATGTATCATTACTGCTACCTGTTAGCATAAACATTGTTATTACTATGCAGCTGCCGTTAGCGGCCTGCTGGACAATGTGGGCTAATCTCAGGATCTCAGCATTCATAAAAATTTTACTTTTTTGGACCGCTAATCTATTCAGTAAGGCGTTCAGTTTTGGAGTGGTCGTGTCACCCTATTTTCTTCACCACACAAATAAAGTAAAAATGCATTCTTTGGCAGCTCTGAAGTCAATTAATCAATCTACTAAAATGTTTTTATGAATGTTTTTGGTGGTTTTTTGGTAAAGATAACACTTAATACTGAAGTTAGATGAATGTCATGACTTTCAATGAGTATCTTAATGCCAATAAAAGGGTAGTCAGGAGGAAAGGGATCAATATCAGCAGATAAGAAAGGCACAGACACCACTGATTTGACACTACAGAACTTTACTTGAATTTGATCCAAGTTCATTGTCTATACAGGGTATATTTACAAGATCTGAAATTGAGGAAAGGGCATAAACAGAAAATAACAAACACTAGATACAACTGAGGTATTAGCTAAAAGCATTTACAGGTATGTATTTTACTCGTAAATATCAATGATAAACAGAGATGCAGTGTCTTCTGCTTAAAAAACATCTTTTTATATCACAACATGAGGTAGGAGAACAGTGTCTCAATTCATGCAAGAACAAAAGTCTCATCACACTGTAGTATTGGCAACATAGTATGCAATGGTCATACACAGACACTGTGTTTCATGTTTCATAAACAGCATTAAGGGGGAAAAGGGGTTGTTTGAAGCCAAGCCATGGACATATTTTCTTTTTTACCTCTAACATGACGTGTGTAAATGAAAACATGGTGTACCTCTTAGTAACCTATGAAGTGTGTGATCAGTCTCCCACACTGGAACTGAATGTTTACTGGCTTAAAGTTTTACACCCAAATGCAGCCCAAAGGTAACATCAGGTCAGTTTGCTGGTTGGCTTCACAAAGCCATGGTGTGATGGGATATGTAAATCCTGTATTTGAATGTGGTTCGTGTGATGAGTCTCTGCTCCCTAAACTTTTTTTTTTTTTTTTTTTATCACTTGGGCAAACTTCACACCAGTAAAAATTCTGTACATAGCATATCCAATTTTCATAACACTGCAAAATGCGAAATAGGCCCAGAAAACCGTGTTACAAGGGATCCTCCCTCCAATCATTGACGTTTAGTCTTTTTTTTGCAACAAGGATGAACTATCAGTGAAGCTAAACAATGTCCCCTTGTGTAAGAAATGCAACATACACATTGAGTTAAATGATAGCGAGGGCAGATTCATCTGCATTTGTGATTAATTTAAATGATTTTTTTGAAAGGATGTTTGTTATTAGTCATTTCATCTAATACTGATTATCTTTTTAGTGACGTCAACACATCCAGACGAGGATATATGATCAGAATCAGAAAGTATAACGACACACCCGGAGCTACATGAGCGAGTTTCTCTTTCCCTTTTCAGAGCTGCTGTGCTTCAGTCAGATGTAGGAGGCTAACACACACTCACACACACACACACACACTCTTACTTCCACACTCTCGCATCATCATCATCACTCGCACATCATTTCCAAATCAAATGAGGCTACATTTTATGTTCTTCAAAATCTCACTCAAGATTCAGCCAACCTTTTAACCAATAATGATATAAAACTTGCACAGATCAATGTTCATGCATATGAGCCATCTCAATAATTTGTGCATAACGTGGGGGGAAGCCTCTTCTTTTTTTTTTTTTTTTTTAAATCGATGGATCGACAGATTGATAAGAGTGGCCTGGTGACACAAAACATTAGGGGCAGCAAAACATGCAAAAATCACTTTTTGTTTGTTTTCTTTTGTACCAAAATGCTTTTTTCTTTGACAAATTTTCAATTTCGCTTCAGGGAAAAGGTTTAAGAAAGAGGAAAAAAGGGTGTTACATTACACATTAAAAAGTCCATCAAGATGAAATCCACAAAAAAAAGCATTTCAGAAAAGGGGAAAGTGTGTAACAAAGTATTTTTTTTTCCTATTTTGTCCTGCATCACATCTCAGTAAACCATGCGTTTCACTCCCCCCCGTATCCACTCGACTAAAGTCAAGTTTTCTGCAAAGATCACTTAGTAAAAGAAAGCAAAAACATCTGAAGCCTTAGTTCTGGTCCAATTTATATAACCTTTTGAAGATTTTTCATAGAAGAACAGTTAATATATTAATGACTACTGTATTTACAAAGTGAATATAAATCTTTAGTTAATACGTTAAATATTTTCTTTCATAATTTTAATAAAGGTTTAAATGGAACAACAGTAGAGTGTATTATGCGGCATGGGTTTGATTTTACTGGCTTTGCACACCTGCACCTGCTTGTATGACTTTCAACAAACCACAACTGTCCTCTGCCCGGTCTCTAGAGTCTGTTATTGTAAAGGGAAGCTGTGTAAGAAACTCTGCATTGAACAGGATGGAGCACAGTGGAATGTCTATCAATTTGCATTTATAGCAGATGCATAAAAAAGCTCAGAGTTGAGCCGAGGCCGATCCCCCTTCTCTTTTTAAACAATTATTTACACACACACACACTTGCTTACAGGGATCTCCTCAGTGGCAATAAAAAGCGCTTTTGCCTGGCAACTAACACAATACAGTCCTCTCTTCCTCTGGCTGGTCGCCTGCTTGCTCTCCTGGGCATCTACAAAACCCTGCACACCCCCCAGCTGATCCGGCACTGGAGATGGATGGACGGGTATATGTGTGTGTGTGTGTGTGTGTGTGTGTGTGTGTGAGTAAGTGACGGTGGTTTTGTGGGAGAGGAGCGAGGGAGGGAGGTTGCTGAAAAATGGGGGCTCCTGTACAGTCTCACCCGAGGGCGAGCAGAGGCCCCCAGACAACAACAGCTGCCCCCATTCTGACAGCACCAAACAAAAAGGGCTCCCTCTGTACCTCCGGCGTCTGGGCCACCCAGCCTGCCGCGGGTAAGAGTGCACCAGTTCCCCCTGAGCGCTCCCCTCAATCCTCGCCTCCCCTCGTTTCCTCTCTCTACCTCGGTAATGTTTGTTCAGCCAGGCAGAATAACTTGAAGCAGGGGCCAGATTCAAGGCCCAAACCACCCTGGACTAACTGCTTTCACCTGCGACCCACATTCTTCGAAGACGCTCGGTCGAACGGGGTGGGGATAAAACCGTCTGCTAACAATGAAGTCGAACCATATGAGAAAAAAAAAAAAAAGAGAAGCCCAGAAAACTGGCAGACCAGAGCTTTGATCATCTGCTGGGAACGCCGGGGCCATTGTTCTGCTTGAATGCCTGGACTGCATTGACACACTCGATGTCGTATGTATTATAGTCACACACTACAGCTAACTGCACATGTGAGACTCTGCTTTTCTTCTTTCCAAGAAAAGCTACAGTGGCTCAGCCAGCCCCCATGTGCAGACACATTCCTTTCCCAGGGGATTCTGGGGGAGGAGAGCGCTTTAAGTGCATAACACCGCTCGTGAGCTTCTTCATGCCATGCCTGAAAACAGCGCGGCGTTTCCTGTCTAGCCCAAAGTGGGTGAAAAACAACAGCACGGAGGTGTCTCCCAGCAGAGGGCAATGGTCCTAGCGCACAGCAGCGGAGGAGGGTGTGAAGGGGAGGCAGGTTGTAGGAGACACTGGGCAGCTGGTGGATCAACTGACAGACTGTTTGGTCTACGAAAGGAGAGGAGAGGAGAGTCCAGGTGCTGGCCAGCAGAGAGAAGAGGAAAACTAGTCTGTGTGAGGAGCAGCTGGAGGCCAGGCCAGACGATATGCTAGCCAGCTACCTTGAAGGGAGTCACACTCAAAAAACACTCATATCAAGTTCAGCGTCAATATTGGCATATTTTCATGAGGTTGTACGACATCTGTCTTTTTTTTGTACAGTAAAGGTCTCTCTCCTCCATATAGATCTGATGATTTTTTTTTACATGATATACTTTTCTTTTTTGTTTAACAAGGAGCAACAAAAAAAAGAAAAAGAAAAACTGTACTGAAATGTCCGCGCAGTTTCCTGCAGTTCGCTGGTTCTCGAGCGTTTGGCCTGTACATACAGAAAGATGGAGAGTGGACACAGTCGCCACTTTTGTGTCCATGGGCACAAGATGCTGTGCCAGGTAGTAGCATTAGGAGACATTTGTTAGGAGCTGAGATGAGTCTTTGTGTCTGAGCTGAAGTGTGACATCTCAAAAGTCATGAGCTCCAGAGTCCAGAGCGAGCAACAGGGGGGATGGTAGTGGAGGTCGGATATTGTGGAGGGAAAAGAAACAACAGTAACGTGTTGAGTTCGTCTCCACCTGACCAAACTCCTGTCTGGGAAGCAGCTGTTTCGTTCAGTAAAAATCATAAATAAAATCAAAACATAGAAGCCCCCAAAAAACTTTAAATACTGTTTAAAGAGAGGAGAGGAGAGCAAAAGAAAGAAGGATAAAAACACAACATAAATTCTTTTTTAAAGTGATGTTAAATTACAAACAAAAGTCAGTCCTACGCTGAAAAAAATAAGAAAACAGGGAGTTGGAAATGCACAAGGTGGAAACAGCCATGAGAGGATGTGAAGCTTCTCTCTGCCTCAGGCTGATTTGTTTGTGTCTGTAGAGTTGGCGGGTGATTGGGAGAGGAATGAGGAAGGAGGGGAGGCGCCCGGAGGGGTTTCAGTTACTTCTGACCAGCCGCTGGGGCCTCTGAGAAGGAGGAGGAGGAGGAGGAAAGCGGGGAGTGGACGTTAGGGGGTCCGGTGGACGGGGTAAGAGGAGGAGAGGGGCTGCCTCCCGCCGTGCCAGACTGGGCCATCTGCTGCTTGAGCTGGGAGATGGTGCGCTCCAGTTTTTCCCGTGCCTCTCGCTCCCTGCGCAGCTCCTCCTGCAGCTCCTGCCGGTCCGCCTCCGCCTGCTCCAGCCTCTGACGCAGCTCTGACAACTGGGAGGAAACAGACAGAGAGACAGACATGAGGTCAACCGATGCCTACAGCAAATTAGACGACATTTAGTCTGACACATTATCACATTAAACTACAGTCTGTCGTAAGTCAGGGTGTTTAGTTCGAGACTTAATGAGAGCTTTTCTGATGACAGCGAATGAATCAGCGCTGAACCGCTCTTGTAAAATTTCTTTTTCTTATCATATTAATTCTTCGTTTCCTGGTGAATCTTAAAGCTACAGTAAGACACCGACAGCATCTCTCCATAAAAAGCATCCTCATCATAACTGCGTACCGTTAAGCTTCCATTTCCTCTGCTGAATAGACCTTACACCTGAGTTTATATCTCTCTCCAGCCACTAGATGTCAGATTTCGAGAACAAGCCCAGACTCTGACTTTCTCCTAAAAACCTCTTCATGTAAGGATGTTCGAGTTTAAATGACACGTGTAAAAATTCTGTGGTTTTTCCCAGGAACCGGAAACACAAATGAAACTCTGAGTAGTCCGTTGTGGTGACTCAAATCGAATAATCGTTTTATTTTTTATACATCGGAAACTTTCATGCAGAGGAAACGTAACCACATCTCTGCTTTTAAACAACAACTGTGGAGGAAATGCGTGGGAAAAAACACTAAGATCTCAGGTTCCTTTACCTCTACCTGACTTGTAAATCTAAATTAATTTAAAACAGGTTTATAGAACATTTTTTGCACAGCCTTCAGTCTAAATGTTCTGTGCCTCAATGAAAACTTAAAGTCTGATTCTTGAGTTTTGATGATAAGATAGAGAAAAACATTGAAATAAGTGGTTTGAAATGCTCAAAAAGAGTTTTAAAATGTTGAAGGATGCAGCTGTACATGTGTCTATGATTCACTCAGACTGTTTCCTCATTAAAGTCAGTGTTGTGCATGCGTGTGCCCCTCTTCATCCATACCTGTGCAGTGTAGTGAGCCTCTTGCTGGCGTTGTGACCCCGGCTCACAGGCGCAGGCCTGCTGTCGAAGCTGCTCCAGACGGGTCTCCAGCTCCAGCTGCTCCTGGCGGGCCTGGCTGAGCTGCCGCGCCTGCTCGCTGTGCACCGCCTCCAGCTCGCTGCGCAGCTCTCTTTGCTCGGCGCTCAGCTCCCGCAGCCTCGCAGCCTCACCTCCACGCAATGCCTCCAGTTCCTAAAGAAATAGAGGCCAAGTTAATAGAGATGATAACAACAGCGCAATAATTCACAGAAAAACAAAACTTGACATTGATGGCCACATGGAGGTAACTTCCACAAGGGACTTGTATGCTATCACTGTTTCAGTTCAACAACTCTGGTTTAGGACTGTGTTTGGCATCAGACCATAAAGCAGGAATGGATGTGGTCAAGGGCCAGAAAGACTGAAGTGGAAAAAACTTCAAGATAATAAAGATTTCTCTCCAATAGTTCAGTATCTCTCTATTTTCTAAGTCCCCAGTTGATCTGTGGGATCAGTTTTTGCTCTGATGTCTTTATAGGAACTTTTATCAGTTTAGAAAATACAGTAAACTGAATCCAGCAGCTGTGAACCATGATATACTGTATGTGTTCATCACATACTCTGTGTTCTGTTAGTGAAACACTGTGATTTAAATGAGTCAGTCTGCTAACAGCTTTTTTAAATCACTGAACCATCTGGTAACAGCATTTGGACAGAGTAGGTTTTGGAGTTTCTCAGGCAGGCTTTGAGGGGTTGCAGGAAGGTGAGCCTCACCTCTACATCTACGCCAAGGACATCTTTAATATGCGGGGACAGTTATGGCGTAGTAAGGAGCTCATTCATCTCCGGCTTTGTTCTTCTCTAAGCACCCACTCACCATTTCCAGCTGCAGCTGCTTGTGCAAGGTGGAGTTGAGCTTCTCCTGCTGCTTGCTGTACATCTGCATGATCTCCACAACAATCCTGTCCTTGTCGTCCTCCAGCCCCCCCACCACCACTGCAGCGCTGCTCGATGCACAGCCCGTGTCCTTAGCCGCTACTTCCGTTACCGGTGACAACAACGACGCAGAAGGAGGAGGAGGGGTGTGGGCGGGGTTGCGGGTGGCTTTCTTGCAGCTCAGGCTGCTTGTCTCCATGGAAACTGCCTGGGTTTGGCATTCCCGCTCGGTGGCCGAGGCAGCAGTGGCACGTTGGGATTTGGCCTCCTCGGCACCGGCAGCAAGGGGAGGGGAAGCGTGGAGATCTGGGGGGGGAGAGGAAAAGACGGATGAGGGAGAGGGATTTTCAAAAAATGAAACTTTTTTTTATCATCTAAATTAAAAGAGGAGAAGATGGTCGAACAACAGGAAGTGTGAGCCGAGCTGGTGCACACTCCCGCCTACGCTTTATAACACCCTCGCACAACCTCATTGAAGCTAACACCTCTTCGTCAGCGCGAGCACACAAGCAAGGCATGGCAACAGCTGAGGATCCCAACATTTAACCAAAAATGATTCTTAGTCTGTGCATGAGAAGAAAAAAAGAGAGGAATAAAGGGCCTTGTGTGGGTGCTGCTCTGCTCTGCGGGGACTCCTCCTCCTGCGCTCAGACTTTGGCATGTCCCCTCACTGTGGCCTTAAAGGTGTACATCAGAGGGGAAGAGGATCAAACAGGCAGTGTGACACTCTCACAGGTCCACAGACGCTGCAGTGAAACATGTGTAGGCTTGTAATGAAGATGTGTTTGAAGGCAGAAACTTACAGACAGAAAAAGGAGGAGAGAGAGTGACAGAGGGCGCAGGAGAGGAAGACTGTTTACCAGACTAATGTACTCATACTGTATGTGCGTGATAGCAAACAGCACACTCTGCACACAGCATGTCTGGCACTGGGGAGGACTCTCATTTACTGACTCAAGCTGGCACGCACATGAGCACACACACACACACACACAGAGGAGAGTAGAGGCACACAAATAACAAGAGTGGATAATGTGGTGATGGGTTGAAAGGAAAAAAGCAGGAGAGAGGGATCAGGCTGAAAGAAAAAGAGTGAAAGGCCCACAGACAGTGGGAGAGGAAAAGCATTCAACGAGTCAAAAGAGAGAAGAGGAGGAGGAGGAGGAGGAGGAGGGGGCGAGAAAGTGACAGCAGACCGTGAGGGAGGCGGAGATGAAAGAGACGAGGATGGATGAATGGATGGATGGTAGAGGAAGTGCTAGAGCAGACAGAGGACGGACTCAGAGAAGGATGTGGAGATAGCTGCCAGGAGGAAGAGAGGGAGGACAGAGGGAAGAGAGACAGATTGGTCGGAGAGGGGGAAAGAGAGAGAGAGGGAGGGAGGGAGGGGCAAAACACCAGAGAGATATGAAAGAGAGAGAGAGAGACAGGCTGGCAGTCAGACGCGGCGTAATAATGGCAGACGGAAACCACTCCTCTGAGTTTCCTCTCTCTCTTTCCCTCTCTTTCTATATGAAGAGTATGAACACATCTCATTAATGCAGTCTTACACACACACACACACACACACACACACACACACACACACACACACACACACACACACACACACACACACACACACACACAGAGCAGAGGGACGAGGTCACTGCCATTTCCAGGCCTCCTGTTCATCAATAGTGAGGTGCCCCCTGAGTCTTTATGTGAAGGTCAATGCATGATTATGTGCATCGCTGCAGGCTGCAACTGTGTGTGCATTAATGTGTGTGTGTGTGTGTGTGTGTGTGGTAGTTTACTGTAGGTTGTATGTTTACAGTTGGCACGTGCCTCAGTGTGTTACATTCACAGGATCTGCATGTCTCCTCTGCTTATGTTAACCACTCGCGCTCGCTGCCTGTGTGTCATGTATTTATAGGCGGCATGTGTCAGACATGTTTGTACATTTCATATATATATGTTGAGCGTAAACAGTAAGATTTATTAATCAAATAATGATTCATGTGCGGTGATTCAAAATCGTCTGTGTCATACATCACTTTGGTATTAGCAAGAACCTTTTTAAAGGCACTGTGAGGATTTTTTAACTGACTCTGAAATAGTCTCACTCACGCTGATGACTCTTCAGGACCTTCAGAGTTAGATTAGACTATTTTTATGAGACTATTACGATTTTAGTATCAGAAAGACACGCATTTTTATTTTTCAAAACAGCTTTGAGCAGGAGTAAAAGTTTACGAAACAGGGTAAATCTAAAAACATGGGCGCATTTACATACGTTAGACATTACTGTTGATCAAAACTGGAAATTGAATGAAAATTGATCAAATAATGTGTGTCTTATTGGTCAACATAAGTACTATTATTTAAAATCTATTTTAGGTCTTTAGGTCACATGACACGGAAGCTATTGAAGAAAATGTTCAAAATTTGCCTTTGAATTTAACACAAATATTTTTAAAGGACAAATTGGGAAAATAAAGAGGTGTCCTTAGAGTCAATTATGAGCTAGCTTTATCAGACACAGCAATGCTCAATACGGAGAGTATAGGTGAAAAGTTACTCAAGGTTCAATGATGTGAAAACAGACTATAACCGAACCGTCACTGTGTATAAATGTGTGTCTCATCACTGACCCATGGGCGGCTCATCGTGGCCCAGCGCTCTGCGGCTGTAGTGGTGTTTGAGAAGTGCACCAAGCATCTCAGGGCTCATCTCCGCCTCCCTCCTCAGAGACACGTTGGGGGCCACCATCTTATCGTACGTGTACAGGTAGTAACTGTGAGGGGAAAGAAAGAAAGAAGAAATTAAGTTCCTGAAGCGGTGGCATATGGAGGCGAATCTTAAATGCCCACTCAAAAAGACCTCCATAAAGTGGTTTTAGTTCTTGTTTTCTCACCGTTTGCTTCAGTCCATAAAGAATAAAGCATCTGCTTTGTGTTTGATTTTGTTATTCAAGATGTGATGTGAGCAGTATTACCTTTTACATACTCCCGTCTTTGCAGGAAGGATCATAAAATGTAAGGAGTTATGGACTTTGCTGTTGCTGGTATACATAAAACAACAGCATATACCTTTGCTATAACTCACTGAAAGCTTTTACCTCCTCCTCTACGACGATAAAACACGGCTGAATCTGAGTAATAGAACAAGAGTGATTTCCTGGGTGCCGGAGTCTACAATAACTGCACCATCTGAAGACAGGAGCTGAAAAACTGTGTGGAATATGGATATTTCTTATCGTGTGTTTACAGGATATCAGCCTGAACAGACCTTGAGCTTATCACAAATGTCCAGGTAGTAACAGAGAGCGATAGAACCTGGAGATGCACTAAAGCCACTGAGCCAACACTATCGGTCTATTCCTGGCTGCATGGCAGGGAACGGAGGGAGGGAGACAGAGAGAGACAGAAAGATAGAGAAGCAGATGGAGGAGAGAAGGAGAGAAGAGAGGAGGAGAGAAGAGGAGAGGAGCTTTGAACCCCTCCCCCCATCAGCAGTCCCCTCCAGACAGAGCTGGAGCTGGAGCTGTGAACTAGGTTAAGCATGACAGCTCAGTGGGGCTCTGCCTGAAAAACTACAGCAGCCGAGCTTTGCTTCCTCTCTCTCTCTCTCTCTTCTGGATGTAAAAAGAAGCGCTGCCTGCTCGCCTGAGTGAGAATCTGAAACTCCTTCACACGAAACGCCTAAGATGTGATTGAATAATGTAAGCCTGCCTTGTATTTGACAAGTGTTCCGCTAATGGATGTTGGTAGTAACCCAAATACAACGTTAAGTGCCGTGGATGTCAACCAGCACTGAAGTTTCTTAGTTCTGACTCTGCGTCGCAGTAAAAGGAATGCTTCAAACTGGTCCGTGCAAGTTCTGACTGGTTTGAGAGTGTGGTAGTCATGTGATGCTGGTAGGTGACCAGATCTCTAATCCTCCCAGTTTGTCTGGCCTGACGTCTGCGCGCCTCCACGCAGTCAGTATGTCAAGGCAGTCACATGAAGCGGTGGCGCCATTAAACCATCTAATTCCAGTTTTTAATCTGGGTCAGATTACTGCGCAAGCTATCAGAGTGCCATATCCAAACACAGGCTGGTATGCTCTGACGGAGGGAGGGAGGGAGGCAGGCAGAGGAGAGGAAATGAAGGCTAGGAAGGGGGAGAGCTGAGCGGTACACGTGATGGAGGCTGGAGGACGGAGAGCGAATAGAACAGAGGAGGAAGTGCAGGAACAGCGAATTAGAGACGGGGGATTTCATTTTCAGTTTTATAAAGAAACTCGAGTCAAAGTGGAACCAAAGAGTTAAATTTAACCCAAAGAATTTAACCTTTTAATCATTATTTCAAGGGAGGAGATCATCTAATAGGTGCTCATTAATTTGTCTCCCAAAATAACTTAAAAGAGAGAATATTTTTTGCTCATGTTCATAATTTTATGCATTAAATATTTTGATCGAGTGTGATTGGCTTGTGGGCTGACTAACACACTGATGAAGTCATTTGAAGCTGTCGTCTTGGACTCTAATAGCTGCACCATAACATCTTTAAAAATCAATCATAACCCTAAAGCTTCAGATAAATAGGTTGTCAGGTAGCAGGTAGTTGCAGCCCTGAAATAGCGCACTGGTGTTAATTAATCATAGCTGATGTAGTACCTGGGATGGACCAGGGTGGGGTGTCCTGGCTCCTCCTTGATGTCCGAGAAAAGACGGTTGAACACCAGAGTGGGTGGAGATGTTTTCCCCTGAGAAAAAAAAACACACACGCACACGGATGTAAACATCACACACCGCAGCAAAAGCCATTGTGTTTCGGTTTCAATGACAGAGAATGATTTCTTCCATACACATTTATTGATCTTTGCACACCATTTTGCAGTCAACTTGATTAACTATCAGTACGGCAATCACATGCATGCCCGGGCACGCACACAGAGACATGCATATAGATATATGAATACATAGAGAGACGCAGCAGGAGGAGAAGGGAATGTGCTGTACTGCACATGGCGCTCCTGAAGCCATAATCTAATAAAGCTAATATATGCATGCGTACATGTGGATGAGGGATCATCCATCAGCCATCAGCAGAGATAGATTGCGCATGTATGTGTGTGTGCTGGGAGAAAAAAGATAATCATGATAAAAAGCTCCTGCCCAGTGTGCGCTTGTAAAGTTGGTGTGTGTGCTGCGTACGGGGGGAGGAGGAGAGCTTTTCAGCAGCACTATGAGTATATTTCCTGACAGGTCAGAGAGGAGAAGCGTGCCGCTATGAATGGCTGAACAGGGGGGAGTGTGTGTGTCTGTCAGTCAGGGTGGGGGGTAGCGACCCTGAGAAGTGACCTGCGTGTAGAGGAGGAGGACGGGAAGGAGGGGAGAGAGGAGTGGGATGTTGGAGCGGTAGGAAGTGATGGAGGGATGGGTGAACGGATCCTGGGAGGGAAACAGGCGACTGACCTTTCTGGCAGGGTCGGAGTCGGGTAACTTGCTGCTGGGGGAGCAGAGTCCTGCGGAGGATTTCCTCACCTGGCTCTCCTCCTCCTCCACCGCTTTCTGAAAAACACAGAGATAGAGAGACGGAGGTTAACACACAAGCGAACACGCGCCAAAGCTAAAACTTAATTAAGACAGAGAGCGGCATTTAACATGTTTGATAGGATACTCCGAACAATTAAAATGATGCACAGACTGTCAGGGAGCGTGGGAACGAGAGGGAGAAAGTAGTAGGCAAAAATTACAACCATAGTCACAGAAGGGGGAAGACAAATGGCATTTAAACAGAAGGAAATAGAGACAAATGACATCCAAGAGATAGAAAATGGAGACAAATGGCATTAAAAAGAAAGCAGAAGGAGCGAGCGAGGGCCTGTGATGCAGTGTGGGAGAAAAGGAAGGAAGCAGGAAAATGGATAAGCTAAGAGTAGAAGCTGAATGAGCCCACTGAGGGAAGCCTATGAATAAAACAGAAGAAAAGCCGAACTCATAGTCAACATGGCTACAACATGGCCCTGTCATTATGTGCTTTCCGTGTGCGTGATTCACTGGTATACATGCAACGCAGTCGGGGCCAGCCACTCGCTCGACGTGAAGACATATTTTCTGTTGAATGTTCATGATTCATTGTGTCATCTTCATCTCCTCTGAGCCATGTGTGTTCGGTAAATACTGCTGGCACTGCCCCTAGTTGTGTCTCTGTATGTGTGTGTGTGTTTTTTTGAGCAAATCCAGGACACGCTCAGCAAGAGGCCACAAGCTGATGGAGTTGATGCTTATCTGCAGCAGACAGGCCTGACGCTACACACGCACGCACATACACATACACACACAGTTCACACGCACACGCTCTCAACCGAACTGACAGGTAGCACAGGCACCAGAGGAACGAGACTTTCCAGCGTTGCAAAATACAAACCGCTGGCTAGCCCACAGCAACAGACAGGAGAGAGACGGTGATGAGAGGGGGGAGGGAGGAGAGGAGATAATGTGGGAGGAGGAGAGGAAACAGGAAAAGAGAATATAGAGGGAGAAGAAGGAAGAGAAAAAAAAAGACATGGAGGCTGAAGAAAGCATCAATAATTGACTTACAAGCCTTTTAGAGCCATCTATAAACGTTTATCCACAGAATGCACACACACACACATAGTGAATAATGAACAAACAGCCCTTCATCAGCTGGATGTAAGGATTTTCTGCTGCATTGTATCAGTTGAGACATTGTCATTACCATAGCTAAACGGCTTCAGAACAATACAGCCGGATTACTGCGACAGCCAGGTATTAGCCCGCAAACAGCTATATTAACGAAGCAGCGGGTTTATTAAGTAGCATTAGCAAGGTCAAACTTGTACTTCGCAGAAAGAGTTTATCGATTTCTAAGTCAAAAGCTTTTTTCACCTCTGCTTGTAGATAACAGCCGGTGTAGGGATGTTAATAAATGAATGGAGTCATTGATCGTTGAGAACAAACTCAAACTCGTGTTTTTGTTGGATTTTCAATCAGATTAAGATAAACAACGTCTCTGTTGACATTCTGCTATCAAGGTGGTGTTTAGTTTAGTTAGTTTAAATCGTGTGTCTGATTTTGGACAGTGAGAAAAAGAAGCAGGATGTTGCTGTTTTGTGAGTAAATTATTTATTCTTGTCTTTTTAAGGGATTCACCAATTTGTGATGTCATGAATTGAGCGAATCTTATGCGGCTCTCCCTGAAGTCCTGCGATCGCAATCTAGGGGGCTTGGGACTACCCAACACATATTTCCCTAAGAGTTTGAAACTTTGCCCTTCGTTTAACATCCAACATTGTCGCTAAATAGTTGTAAAAAAAGAGGATGCTATCTCTCTATTCTGGTAGATTTGACTGAATTTAGACCTGTTTACATTTCAGTTAGTCTCCATTAAAGACAAAATAACAACTGCTCGTCTTGATTCATATGGATGTGAATCCATGGTTACTGTATGTGGGGGACAGTCCTTTATTTACAAAAGCATGGCTGAATGAGCTCGTGCATGCATATCAAACAGGCTGGAGCCATATGCGTTGCCAGGTGTGTCTTTTCTGCGTGTGTCTATAGAGAAGGGGGCTCGTCCGTTTACGAGCTCCTGTGGTTGGTAGTTTTTCCTTTTTTTTTCTTCTCCAGAAGGCAGCACTGCAGCACTGGAGAGGAGGGAGGAGGGGAGGCCGAGAGACAGAGACAGAGAGAGAGGGGGAGAGAGGAGAGAAGGAGGAGAGCGAGAGAGAGAGTGGGGGTGTGTGTGTGATGGGACAGGGCAGAGATAGAGAGAAGGTTGAATTGACAGAAACAACAATAAACCCGCTGCAGTGGTGCAGAGGAGAGCTGGGTCCTTGCTGGCTGGATTCCCTGTATCAAGGTTGTCTGGATGTGTGTGTGTGAGTGTGTGTGTGTGTGTGTGTGTGTGACTATTACATTCCCCCCAATCTGTAATCTGTGACTGCTCCTGCGCCAATGTGTGTGTGTTCAAGAGCGACACACACAGACAGAGGGAGGCCAAACTGACATTAACACCAGGTCAACCAGGGGTCTTTCATCTGCTTGACCCCCAGGACAGCAGATGCTCTGCTGACGAGATAACTGACAGCTCATTAAAAGGTAACCGTGTGTGTGTGTGTGTGTGAGGACATTTTCAGGCTTTGCTGGTAAATGTGTTTATACACCAGTGTGTTTATGCTTTTCAGTGAATGTGTATCCACTAATAAAGCATATATACATGTTCCACTAATGGCTGCCTGTGTCTATCCCTGTAATTCCTGACAGTTGACAGCTTTAACGCCCACCACCCACCCATCTACACCCACACATACACACAGTCACACACACACACACACATGCTCGTTATTCCTGCAGCTCTGCACTCTTTATTCCTTAATGAATGTGTTCAGGTGCAAACGTTTGCACATTTCAACACAGCTGTTTTTTCCTCTCTCCCTGCATCCCCCCATTTTCTCTCTCTCTCTCCTTCCTGTCTGTTCCACATTTCCATCCCCCTCTCCCTCTCCATCCTCTGCTTTATTAACACACACCATGTTGCTACTCGGCCCTGATCTACAATAATGAAGCACCTCACTTATCTGGGTCTTAGCTGCACACAAACACACACACACACACACACACACACACGTGTACTACGCACACACACAAACAGCCCAGAACCCCCCATGTCTCCAGCCCTTTGTCAGACTGAAGCTCGCCTTATGACAATGTGGATTAGCATTCCACACACTCGCTCAGCTGAACTCTGCCCTGTTGTTCCTAATCACCAGCAGTCTGCCTGTCGCTGCAGCTACACACGCTCGCAAACACACATACAGTTCGTCCCGGCGCTACACAGCCAGATGAAACGTACTCTTCTAGACGTACACAGCCATGTGAACTTTTTTAATGACCCATTTCCACAGCCTCAGTTTGGTCCCCAGACCATTAGCACACGTGACATTTCTAAAGCAGACACATTAATGGAGCAGAAAGTGTTTTTCTCTGTGTCTGTGTAGCCTGAGTGCTGTTAAATCCAACAATAACAAGCACCACTCTACTACACAGACATCCATGACCGTACATTACCATACACAGTCTGACAATTGCAGGCGGAGGAGAGTAAATGCACTTTAGCTGCAGGAGCCGTGTTTTCTATGCTCGCCACTGCAGAGCATGGACATGTATTTTACACCATGAGCACTTGTTGCCTCTGGTCCATTTTTTATTCTTATAGGCAGGATTATACAGCAAATGGATATAAATGAAAGCTAATATTTCTTAAAGCAGTAAACAAAACTCTGATGTTTGGAAAGTGAACTGTTCAATGGTAGACAGGGCTTGACACTAACTTTTTTAACAAGGCACATGTGCTTCTAAGTTAAAAAAGTAAGGAGCACACAAAGTACTTTAGGGGTTTGTCTTATTGGTCGACATAAGTGCTTTTATTTGAAATCAATTTTAGGTCTTTTGGTCACATGACACGGAAGCTATTGAAGGAAATGTTCAAAATTGGCCTTTTTAGAGGACAAATTAGGGAAATAAAGAGGTGCGTCTCGTTGTCCGACCTTAGTACTATTATTTGAAATCAATTTTAGGTCAATTGGTCACATGACATGGAAGCTATGGAAGGAAAACAGCCTTTTTTGAGAACATCAACCGGTACTTTATTGATGGTCCCTTATTCAACACCTGACATTGACAGCGAGGGTGCAGAGTAGATTTAACCGCACCGCTGTTGCTATTCCCAGTTATGGAGAGTTAGAAGACACCGGTAGATCCGCAGTGAATGTCCATTGAATATCCAACTCAAAACTAACTTCACTGAGGTATTTACATGTAAAGACATTGTTGCCTCAGCTGATTTTTTTTTTGTGCCCCTAAATACAGTTTACAATTCGCACACATCTATTTTTAGTCGCAAATGTGAGTTTTTTATTTATTTATTTTTTAGAGCAAACTTGTTGTAATGCTAAGGCATGTTGGTGTTGTGTTGGGTCTCTATAGGAAATAAACAAAGGGGTGGTTTGAACTACAAGTTAATAGGGCCTGCAAAGTTGAAGAAAAACTCTTGCATTTAATTTAAAAAACTGCCCTAAATCACACACGCAAAATAATTGATCCACTCAGACCTGAGGCGGTTACATTCCAGAACTGGTTGTGCTAGAGAAAGCACCATAAAATCAGTTGTGGGATGGTAATTTTTGACTTGGATAACGGCTGAAATATCAGAAAATCTGACCTATATCTCTGCAGCGGCAAATAGAAGCCAGTCTCTTTCTGCCCACGCCGGTCTTTGCTCACGCCCACAGATGACGGGAGGAACCTGCCTTCATTTCTGCTCTTAGAGTAATGCATCTCAGCTGAAGGTAGGTACACACCCACACACACACACACACACCAGCATAGTCTGACACACTGCTATGCAAAGTGCAAACAAGTCCGAGGTCAAGCTCTCCTCCTCCTCCTCCACTCCAGTCACATGGACACTCCAGATGACTGCCGTCTCAGGGCAGATAAGCGTACACACACCCACACCCACACACGGTAACATGCTAAAAATACACACCTCCTCCCCATACATGTATAATAAAAGACAAACACTGCCTCCCAGCTCCCCCCATGACACATGTACACACTCAATGTTGCGTTTTCTGCGGCACTTCACTTGAAAAATGTAGGAGCAGAGGAAAGACGATTGGGAGGTTGATCTGTAAACACAAGCGTTTCCAAACAAACCATACAACTACGTCAATCTACTATGAGACAAGGTATTACTGAGCAGCTACATCACTTAAAGGATTACGTGACTCTGCTGACACACTAGTGTGTTCAGGAGATAAAATTAGGGTTAAGAAAATAAGAGGATCACTTTTAAGTTGAAAGATAGATTGATTGGTAACTATTTGATGACTTAATCTTTAAGTCACTCTCCTGTTGTGACATGATTTTTTTTTATGTGGGCCTTTTCCTCTTTATCTCTTCGAATTGAGTATTTTGGGACGAGTTGGTCAGATTATTATTTTTGTCTTTTTTGTGCTTTTTTTGATCAAAGGACATCCAGACTAGGAATAACATCTTCCCAGATTAACCGCTAAAATCTTTAATTGGATGTAAGCTTAAAAGACATGGATGCGTTTCTTAAAGGGAGCCAACTCTTCAGAGAATTGGCTACCCAAACGGTCACACTGTAAAGCCCTGCCCAGGATACAACATACTTACACAAACACATTTAGTCTCAACAAGCCTGATGGCAATCTTATCTGGGGCACAATAAAGAGTGCACGAGCCTCGACGCTGACCTTTAATCCCAGAGCAGCAGGCTATATGTGTGTTTGTGTGCTGATATTAGTTAGTGTGTGTTCGTAAAATCCATTGAAAAATCCCTCAAACATAAATACTGTTGGGCTCAATTGTCTACTTCACATCTGTTGAAACACAGACATCACTAGTCATGTGGAAACAAACTCCAGGCGCTCTTGGGACAGAAACAGAGGGGTTCCGAAACAGAACTGTGCCACCCATCCTCCCTCTTCTTCCTCCCCCTCTGAGCCATTCATGAAGCTGGCATTCAAGAGGGTGGAGGAGGAGAAGTATGGGGGGGTTGGCGTTGGGCAGCAGAGGAGGACGCAGTAATGCAACTCATTCTCTTCTTTCCTCTCTCAGGAGGAAGTAAACAGCTTTTATTTGGGTGCCTTTTCATTCTGCCTCAGACAGCGAGGGAGGAAAGGAGGAACTCACACACTTACACACATACAAACATACACAAATACACAGTCGCAGAGACAGTCAGTCACGCCCTGTCTGTTTCTAGACCACATCCTGTTCTGCTGCAGTCGTCAACTGTGTCAAAGATCAGGCTACGGATACACAGATATATTTACTTCCTGACTATAAACCATTCAACAACCTGATACCAAAGCATCCTTGTGTCACAGAAAATCATTCATGCCTTGTATCTCCTCTTGAGAGTCATCTCATATTCCTAGATTTTATGTAGTAGGCCTGTCCAGCTCTTAAATAAAATCCAGTTTCAATGTATTTAACTGGTGCTCTGGTGGTCCCACCTGCACATGCACACACCAGAGGCCTTTATATGGAGGTCTTAATCCAATAAGCCATTTATCCATGGACTGGGAGCCGCACTTTGTTTCAGCAGCCAAATCAATAACAGCCCACAGGGGAACCAGGCAGCAAAGTGGGGCATTTAAAGGAATACACTTTTTTTTTGGTAATTAAGTCCATACTGTGAAATGAGATGACTGAGTTTGGTTTCAGAGACTGTATGTTTGCTTTCTGACTGGTTATCAGGTGTGAAGCTTCTGTTAGAGAGTCAAAGAATCATATTGAACTTTGAGGACTAATTTTTAGAAAGAGTTTCTGGAGGCCAAATCTTGTTTTTAACAAACTACCATTCCGATTGAAATAATGATAAAACCATAAATAAGTAAATAATTTAATTTTGTTGTCTGATAGTCTGTATCAGAAATGTCAGACAGAATCAAGAACACTTTAACTTGATCTTGTAATTTGATCAATTTCCAGGTCTTCAAAAGTATGGCAAATGAAATATAAAGTATGGAAAAATATTTAGTTTTCCAGCTGACTACCACAGTAAAAAAAATACTGTTTTCTAAAACAGAAAAGTAGGTATTTCTAAAAATAAATATAAAAAGTAGGGTATGGAAAAGTATGGAAACTCCAAACGTGTAGGAACCCTGTTTAATGGGTGAAAGGTCTTGGTAATGGCCATTCCGCTGATCTATTTAAGGCGACATACTTGCGCAATTTAAGACAACCTTTCACACCTCGGCTGCTCTTTGGTTCTACGAAGTCTCCGCTGCATTCATGGCGTTTTTGTAAGAAGGGCATTATAACTGCGTCAGTGTGGTTAACTTGTCCTTCCATTGAGCAACTTTGTTTAACATGTCACCCTATTTGTCATCCTTAATATGGCACCATTGTGGTGAATCAGTGAGTGGCGTCAGTCATGAGGGCTACACTCCCTTTACAGATAAGTGACGCCGCCTGTGCAAACAAATATTGACATGTTTATACTATAGCCAAAGTTGATTCAGATGTACTGCAACAGGAGGGGGTAAAAAAATCTTTTACTTGTCCTTTTATTTATAGTGGCTCTGTCCAGACATCGGAAATAAAACTTTAAAAATATGTGGCTAATCCAGGGCTTCGATTTTTACTGATTTCTTTTAAGTCTTATGTCTCGCCATTGAAAAATATATTCTTTGGTAGAGTTGGAAAGATCACAGTCAACTCCTATCTTCTTTCACTTCAGCCGTGGACAAAGAGATAGGTGGTAATAAAACAGAGCAAGGAACAGGTGAAGTCAGGTCCGACAGGTGGACGGCTGGACAAACAGGTGACAGAGGTAAACAGGGAAACAAAGAAACGGGCAGACAGCCAAGACAGATGAAGAGACAAACAGACAGCATGTGACTGTCTGTCTGTTTGTGCCTTCACCCCAGACACACACAGTTCACACACACACACACACACACACACACACACACACACACACACACACACACACACACACACACACACACACACCTGTTCCTCCCTCTTTCCAAACACAAAACAGAAAGAACAGAACCAGACAAGCACACTGATAAGCATCAACCAGACAAGTCATGCCAGAGTCAAACACACACACACACACACACACACACACACACACACACACACACACACACACACACACACACACACACACACACACACACACAGAGTGGCAGATAAGGACAGGTTCACTACCTGATTGCCTTGGCTTCAGGCCCCGGGCACATTTTTTTGCGCCACATGGGCACACTGTCTAGACAGTTATCACATATACGTCACACAAACACACCCCATGCAACGTGTTGTTGTTGAGCTCCTTTCTCCACAGATACAGTCAGCCATTTTACAATCCACAGACCACAGCCTGGATGGACATGGCCAACAGGACCCAACATGGAAAAGGAGAGAACAAACTGAGACAAGAGAGTGATCGTGAGGAATCTCCCCCATATGCCTTCTCTCCTGTAGCTCCACCACCACTAAGAGGAGTTAAATTTGGAAACCGGCTCCAGCACTTCTCTATGATCCTTCACATAAAATGATGTCTCTTTAGACTCTCGATCAATTTTTCTATTCATCTCCCTACCTCCCCTCCTCCTCCGTTACTCATGTTTCACAGTCAAGTCCCAGGCGGCCGCTTTCAGTCTATATTCACAGCGGTGCATGAGCAGGGTTGTAATAATGGTACCTCATGAATGGACAAATTGTCTGACTGGAATATACAAAACAGGCCGAGATAACCCACCAGTCCACCTCACACTCAGATAAGACGTGACTGTAAAATACTATGACTGCAACTGCGGCTCGATTTCATTAATAATCTGCATTTTTAAGATAAATCCAAATGATGTCTTCTTTTTAATTGTAAAAGTTTTTAAATATGTGGAGCTACAACTGCTGAACTCCTACTTTTTTTAAATAAAACTATTAAAAAGCTTTTGAAGTGTCTGTCAGTCGATCAATCAACTTATTTTTCGTCCTGAAAAAACAAAATTATTTAAATTGTCATCCCAGCCGACTGATCTCCACTGAGCTGTCTAACTTAATTAGGAAATGCTACTGTGGCTAAATGATTGAATGATATTGCACATGTAGTTGCTATGGTTATTGCAAAGAAGATTAGTGCTGATTGATTAGCTGGAAAATGAATCCATGACGACTCTGATTGTTAATTGCTGAAGTCGTTTGTCAAGTAGAATCACCAGCTACACATTTTCTGCTTTCAGATCCACAAATGTAAATGAATACATATGTCCTCTCTTTAATATCAAGTTTAAATTTAATGTTTGATAGTTTTGGACGGACAAAGAGAGCAATCTGGAAACATGAGTTTGATGTTTTTGTATTTTCAGAGGGAAATCTGTCACGTTCTTTATGATTTATAGATCAATATAGCCGAGCATAATGAGGACTTGATGAAACATTACTCCAGTGCATGCTGTAACTATAACTGTTGGCAGCCTGGTCATTGCATCAGAGGCTCGAAGCACACCAATCAAATCATCAACCTCAAGTTCAGTGATGAATGGCTGTGAACAAACAGAGCATATTGCAAAGTAAGGTCATTTTGGCTTTAGTCATACAGGGTTATATGAGGAATTCATATCTGGAGTTTTCTGTTGCCTTGTACGAGAGACGCGGTGATAAACCACTTTCACTACAAACCGCTGATTTAATCCTAAAGGTTCTGGTGCACCAAGTCTTTCTGTGGCCATTATACTTAGTGCGGCACAACCTGCAGAGTGAAAACCAAGTGAGGTTTGAGCAGGGATCTCTCTGCATATGAAACTAGAAGGCAGCAGCTGTGAACATGAATGTGGATAGTATTAAGTGCCATCTGGATAAGAGCGCACAGCCTGGCTCAGTTCATTTGTGTTGAGATGGAAACAGCGCATCTAGGGCTGGGCGATACGGGAAAAAGCTTATCATGATATATTTTTTTCATATCAGGCGATATCGATATATATCACAATATAAAAAATGAAAATTAACAATGATTAATTAATGAATTTGTGGATGTTTCTGTGCTTGAAGATCATTAGTGCAAGTTTGCTTGGTGAATTAATCCTTGAGCTGGAGCAGATAGAGGGGAAAATGATGCACACTTCTTGGTGCAGTTAGCAGCTGCAATATCAGATCATTTTTTTCACCTTCAGAGCAGGGCTATGAGGGCATAATGAATCCTAGTCTATCCTCCATCCCCTTTCCCCCCACCTTATGTCATTAAGATTAACACATGGTATTATGAACCGTCCTTAAAATGTGACCAACGACGTTCATCTGCAGGATATGCACATGTATGCAGAAGGTAATGGTGGCATGTTTGAGTCAGTGAAGGGCATTTAAAAATCAGCCATGCGCAAGAGAGCATACTAGCCGCATATACATGTGTAGCTTACCGTCTCTAGCCTAGCAGCTCAATAAGTGTGTGTGTGTGTGTGTGTGTGTGTGTGTGTGTGTGCTCTACTTTCCCTCCCCAGTGTCCCCCAAGAGCGTTAATTACCAAAGCTGTCGAGGGCTCACCTATGTGAGTCAACCGGGTCGGCGATCAGACACACACTCTAACATACTTCCATATACACAGATGCACACATAAGTAAACAGACGTCCCTTCAAACAACCGCTCCATCAAACAGCAGAGTAGGAGGATGGAGAGGATGACGTAGTTTTACCGCAAGCAAACTGTCATGCACAAATACACACACACAGAGACACAAGCAGACATACTTTATTCTCCCAGGAGGAAACACGGGCTGAAAATGAGGCCAGTGGGCTCTTGCCTTGTCTGTGAATGACTGTATGCATCATCACTCGAGCTTCATCTCGGCCAGTGTGCGTGTGTATAACAGCGTCTTTAAAAAAACGAAAGAGAAAGTCTCTGGAGGGGTCGCTGCCTTGGGATGCAGTTTGGAGGTGGGTTACTTGTTCTAATTCGCGATTAGGAAGAGAAACACGAGCTATCAGGAGTGAAACACAAATCAGCCGCCTGGATTTCTATAAAAGGGAACTCGGCTCACTATTCGGATGCTGGAAACAACTCAGAGTGCTTGGAGACAGAGGGGGGAAGTGAGAGAGCTGCAGAGAGAGGACGAGCGTTGCTAAGCAGACTGAAAGCCGAGAGAGGCTGTCAGCAAGCCAGCAATGCTCTGCTATCTGTACAGAGAGAGAAAACACAAAATGGAGACACTGCCCAACCCTCTGTCTTTGCAATGAATTACACAGCATCCTGACAAATGCATCAAAATATGTGCAGGAGACTTCTTCAAAAGCCCCATTTCTGATGAGTTTTATGAGAATCAGACTAAAAACAGCTGATATATCCCTGAGAGTGGTGAAAAAGTATACAGTCCTAACAGCAAGTCGAACAGGGAAAAGGCTTTACGGTTAAATTAGAGTGTTTAGATGATGCAGTTTTAATGCAGTCGAGTCAGAGTTGGCCTCGACTTAAACCCTGCCTTACAGGCTCTAGCATGCAGTCATTTATCGATCCGCGGTTTGTTTACTTCTTTCTCAGCACGGGAGGCTGCTCTGCTGTAATGTGGAATACTGCAGTAAATGTCAATGCTCGCCTGGTCCTCACTGTCTGCAACGAGGCCAGAGGAGGAGGAGGAGGAAAATAAGATGAGGAAAGACAGACTGAAGGGTGGAGAAAAGGGTGAGGGTACACGAGGCTGACCTATGATACAGTCCCAGTTCTACAAAGAGAAAGCTCCACCTGGCCAAAACGCCCTGCAGGGGTAAATCTATTACAGACGCACGAAAGAGAGACAGTTAAATCCAGCTCTGGGTCCTCTGACTGTTCTGCAGGGAGCTCTGGTCTCATCCATATTACATGCAGGAGCTTGTTTGAAGCCTCTACTGCTCGTCTTTGCATGGGCAGCTTGGCTTTGCTGTCCGGGCCCCTCGGGCTCGCCTGTCTCTCCCACACACACACACACAAACACACACAAACACACACAACTCCAGTAATGCAAATCCATCAGTTACCATGACTCTACTCTCTCTTTCTCTTTGTGTGACAAGTTCTGGATTTCCAAACAAGTCTCTTGAGGACCGTCGCTCGCAACTTTCACAAAGCTTGTGGGCTGTGGAATTCATGAGATACATGTTCTTTTAATCTGTAAAATCTCAATTATTAAGAAAAGAACTTTAACTTCAGAGCCCACACACACAAAGAAATCTGGCAGCATGTTGTCGGGGGCGGCTATTCATTACCGATCCCGCATGTGCTGAAAGAGACACATTAGAAACTCCAGCAGGTGAAACCACAGTCCTCGCACACTTGATCACCAGACTTTGTTAAAACAGTCACCGTCTGAGGCACGCTCGACAACAGCCCGAGTAAAGCGCGGCTGGGTTTGGTAAATGTCATTACGGTTGAGTCAGAGCTCTAAGTGAACACACCTGGGTGTAGATCAAACAGAACGGGATGGTGATAAATCTCTGTCCTGGCTCCATGCTGACGCTGATGAGTTGGGAGCAGACTGCAGCGCTGATGGAGCACCGTGACTCACGCTGCAGGATAGGGTTGGCGCGGTGACGGGAGGAAGTGGCTAGCGGTGGTTGGAGATTGCGTCTCGTGTGTCTGGCTGCGTTCCTGGCTGTGTTTGACCCATCTGACTTCCTTTTTTATCTCAGAACTGTGGACTTTGTCATCTGCACAGCATCTCGTGCTACAGTGTGTGTGTCTGAGTGAGTGAGTGGGTGAATGAGTGTGTGTCATCTTTCTAATAAGTAATGTCATTGCGTGGATACATCACAGACTGGCTTTATGTCATTCACTTCTAATAACACAAGAGCAAAAAAGTTTGACTTTTGAATTTGAGATTTCAACCACGACTCTTTTTCTGAATAGTATAAAAAAGGATTCCCGATTGTCTGCCAAAGCAGCTGACAGCTGAGGCAACATTGCCAAACTTTTACCATCATATTGCCGGAGGCTAGCTTTCTTCCCTCGACATGAGTCAGACTTCTGAAGATCTACTGTACTTATGGCCTCATCTGGGATCAGGATGTGTCTCAGCCGACAAATTCTGACAGAGATGACACAGAAAATGTCTGGCATACCAAAGCTGCTCGTCATAGGAACTGGTTAAAATGTAGCCAGGCTGTAAACCACATGGCAATGCTTTACTTTATTGTACAAAGGGAAAAGTCAAGGGCAACAGGAATTCATGTAACGACGCTGTTTCATCCAGCCAGAGCGGGGCACGCAAAGATGGAAATCCAGCGCCGCGTATGCTCGACACAAGTCGCACACATCACTCTGTTGCTTGGGGACAGTTAAGAGGACTTTCCTATTAGCTTGCATGCAAGGATTCTGAAGAGCACTCACCAGTCTCAACACATACAACACTTAATGAGGCCCCTGTAGCTTAAGTATACTCAAATTTAAAAAAAAAAAAAAAAAAACACTATATACCTTTCATTAAAGCCATTAGATAATTAATAGCATCTGGAGGTCAACGACCTCGAGGATTACTACGACTTAGTTTATGATCTGAAGAGGAGCTGAGGGGCTGTTGAGGATCCAGAGGGAAACCGTCACCTATTTACAGGATCTTGATGAGCTGGTTTGGACCCCTGAGGGACATGAGGCAAAGAAGAGTGAATGTTTGCATGCATGAGTCCGCCTGAAGAAAAAGGATGGCAGTGGATGATTCCCATGAGCGGCAGCACTGCAGGTGGGAATAAGCGGTGAGATAAACATATCAGTATTTGGCAGGGAAGGCGGAGGCAAAGAGATATGGAAGACTGGGTGACCTGCAAAATGTCACTTGTTTCACCTTCGCTAATGTGGTCTTTTTCCCCAGTTGCAAACTTTACAGCCTTGCCCTGAGCAACATCAGTCAAGCCCCCGGTGTGATAAGGATTTACAGGGTATAGAGGCCGCCAGTAGTGGAAGGGAAAGAAACAGTTGGAGGATGTTTGATGTTAGTGGAGCAAAGGTGAGGCTGCAAATAAAGGACTTCCAGGCCAGGCGAGTAATCATCTCCAAGCTTGGCAAGTTCACATCTCACAGTGGTTTGCTTGACTTTCTTTGCTTTCATCTGGAGGCTGAAGGTCAAAACTAGCATGGGCCACAGCAGTACTTTATTTGGCTGACACTGTTGTGTCCAATTAACCACAAGCAGGCTGTTTATTGAAAAATGTAAACATGTGCACCTAAGAAGCAAAACAGCGCAAATAGGATTGCTTCCATATGGAAATGACAAGCTATTACTAGACACGCAAATAAATGGTTGGCAAAGTGGAGAGATGGGGATTCCTTTAATCACACGGGCAGACTATTTCACCATGATTTCTCTGTTTACATCATGAATAATTGATCAGTGTAGTGGCTGGGCTTAATGTGTTGTGGATGTGCCGGGTGGCAGCCCAGCGGGACTCATGACACGCCTTTGATATCCTGTGTTTATCTCCCTGTCTGGTAGACTGTGACTGTGGGAGGAAATATGACAGAGGGGAGTTTAAGTCCCATATAGTGTGTAATGTGTGTTCATCTGCTGTGTATAAGGTGCTCCTATGGAAAACGCCGTCTCTGGGTCGCTCCATTTATATCTTCATTAATCACTGTTCCCACTGGGAAAGCAGCACAGAAGAGTCTTTCAAATGCAAACGCGCCGCGCTCTCTGCTTACACACAACACGCAGAGGCTGGCAGTCTCCCACAGCCTCTTTACAGTACACCTCCCTCGCCACCGACTCCCCGCCCCCCCAACACACACACACAACCTGTTTGTCTGACTGTCTCCCAGGGAGACCAGACAGTGGACACTTAATCTTCTCATCAACACATCGATTAATTAATACCAAGTCTCCTCATTATTCTGCTCTCATGCAACAGGCGAGGCGAGCTACTCAGCCGTGTTACGGTCCGAGCTGCTTTCTTGTTTGAACCCACTTTATTCTCCTCTCTTTCACTTGTTCTCACCACTCATTTTCCTTCAACAAACTGGTCTGACGCCCCGAGGGGAGAGAGCCAGAGCTCAGTGAACATGCAAACAGGCTGTCAATCCAGGGCTCTTTTAAACCCTGCAGGTCATTTGGGTGGGAGGGGCTCAGTCGGTTTGTTTAGTCTATGAGACTGTTGGCAGACGTGGCAGAGGCTCCACTGTATCTGGACTGACCTATCTCTGCTGCCGGCTGCTGTGGCTTCCAGCTCACATCAGTCCCATAGCAGTGCATTATCTCTTCTTCTGGCGGTGTGGTGGGAGAAGAGTCCAGCCCAAGGAAACAGGGGAAAAAATAACAAGCTGCTGCTGCGGTGGGAAATTACAACCGGCCGACCAGTGGTACATATTTCAAAGTGAGGTTGTAGTTCACGGGGAAGGCTGTGATCTGTTGTATCAAGTCCAAGCAGTAAATCAAACTGCTGCTGAGGCCTCTGACCATTTTCAATGATGGTCATGAAAGTGTAAACCTGTGAGGATTTTTTTTTTTCTCCTGTAAAAGAAAAACACATCAGTGAAGCCTCTGGCGTCCCTCCAGTGAGCTGCAATGCTGTTATGGAGCTGTGATACTGGCACTGACCTGATGGTGACATACCAGAGGCCCCTCAGCTCAGCCCCTCCTACCTTGTGGGGCCCCCATTTAGCCCTTTACAACAGGCAGTGAACACTGGCCAAGCCACGGCCTGTTGTGCTCAAAAACACGGACAGTCTCCCACATGGAACCACATCCATGCGTTTAGACTGTAGGTTACTGTGGGCCAGAATTCAAAGAAGCTGCTGTGTATTTAGCATAAGTGGATAATTGTTCTTTGGGAAATGCTAAGACATACAGACAGACACAGAAATATGTGTATGGGCGGGGTGGGAGGTAGAAGACGGAGCGTTAGCTGGGGAAATGTGAGCCAGCCGGCATGCCATTGGACGGTTGAGAGGGGCTGTTCCAGGCTAGATTTGTGGTTCAGTTCAGGTCTTGTGGAGGTTAATTTTCAACTCAAAGAAGAGCTGAGGCCCAGCTCTCTGTAAAAACCTAATGGCCGTGGCCTGTTTTATGGGCGACAGCTAAAGTGTGGAGCTGTTTGTGACTGAGACAACCTGAGACAACAAGACCCACCTGTCTCTCACCGTCTTCCTTTCAAAACTTCGCTTTGTCACCCTAACCTCATTTACTCAAATGCCTCCCCCGAGGGAATGCTAAGTTTTCTGACCACAGATAGCCTTTTTTTCTCTGTCTGTCTGTCTGTCTGTCTGTCTTTCTGTCTGGCGCAACTACAGTCTGGCCGCCTGTCTGAGTTACAAAAATGCAAGCGAGAGCAGAAGTGGAGGTGAGGTTAAGTTGGGAGAGTGGTGCACATGTAAGAACACAGACAGGAACTTATGCAACAGCAGCTGTAGCCCCTGTAACTGCGTCAGCCTGTTTCACTCTTGTTCTTCTTTTTCCCTCAACCTCCTGCTTCTCTTTATGCCTGTTCCCTTTCTCTGTTCAGCGTCCGTGTCACCCGACGACTCGCCACATCCATCAAGGTCGGAGACCCGATCAATAGCCACTGGCTTCCCTCTCATCCGGCTCGCAGACGCACACAAGTGGTCTTATTGCTTATGTAACGATCGACTTATCGGGTCATTTGGCTGCTTATTTTGTTACTGTCCACTGATCGGGGCCCAGGGGGTATTGACTGTTTACAGACACATATGGGTAACAGCAGAACTGTCTGGGTCAGAAAAAGAGAGAAGATAGTGAGAGACGTGGTCGAGTAAAGAGCAGAAGACGTGTACCTAGGGCTGGGCGATATGGGAAAAGTTTATCACAGTACATTTTTTTCCATATCAGTTGATATCGATATCAACTTCCCTGTTCCCTCTTACTCTTAAATTAAATTTAATAGTTCTTATTGGTAGTATGTCTTTTGCAATACAATAAGCTAAGGCAACCCCTTTTTACTGGATATTCGTATAGTCGACCAAAACATGGCAGAATGCTGGCTATCAAAAAGCATATTGACTATTTTTTATATTGATATTGAGGGAAATTAATTTCGTTATCATTTTATCGCCCAGCTCTACATGTACCTGGAAGAAAGCAGCAGATGGGAGACTGATGTCAAGATAAAGGGAGAGGGGGAGGAGGGTGGAAGAGATGGCAAAAGTAGTACAGTCAACGATTAGCCAGCCTGCCAAAATCCAATTAGATACAGCCCAAGAGAATGACTGACAAGAACACGGACTGACAGACAGAGCAGACAGCTCAGGAGACAGCCAGAGAGTGCAGCTGCACTGGTCTGCGGTAATGAAGTCACTGGTTTCCAAATAGCAAATAGAGGAAGCCAGAGAGATGCAGCTGTCTGCCGTCTGTGCCACAGCCACTGTGTCAGCCCAGCCAGGGAGACAGACAGAGGAAGACTGTTCTCTCTGTCTGACACTTCTGACTCGGGGCCAGCACGACGCAACAAACAAGGCTGGAGCAAATCAGGAACACAGCTATGTTCACTATGTTGTTGTGTTTGCAGGAGACAGGAAATATGTCTGCAATAGTAGGTCACGGTGTTCTTTCTTATTTCAAAACAGCTACCTCAGACATACGGTTTAAGAAAAGTTCACGACTCCGGAGAATCTAGCCAATGAAGCCGCAGAAAGTGCTCAAGCTTTAGACGTTTTGTAATACACTTGGTTGCAAGAGCCTGTCTGATGAAATGAGGTGTAAATACCTAGAAAAAAAAAAGAACGATGATGATTATACATGAGGGTTTGTTACTTTCCATTTTGTTGGGGGAAAAAAAATCATCCTTTCAAAATGACAGCATGTGATGCTGTCTGAACGGAAAGTACAAGTGTCTGTCACAAGCCCTGAGGACAAAATGAGGTCATTGTCTGTCAGATACTCAAGTAACTCTTGAGATAAGGCCTCAGCTTGTTACTGTCTGTTGGTGGCGTCTGTCTAGCAAGCTCTATTTACACAGCAGGGATCAGTAGACAGGGTAGCGGTGCCTTCAGGCACAAAGCACCGTTTATAGAGAGCAAGTCCTGGAGTTTTTAACTACACCTTCACAAACCAAACACTCTTAACAGGATATGAAACCAGTAGCCATTCGAGAAGGTGGGAAAGAAAACTTCCAGAAGGCTCCCTTGTTTGTGTCTCTTCTCTTTTTAGAGGTCCCAGAGCTCTCGGGTGAAACTATGAACTGCTCGCAAACGTGCACATTGACACTGTGTGTAAATAAGGGCCGCAGGGAAAAGGGGTCTGCAGTCGGGGTTAGACCAACACACAGGGGCGAGCCATCTTTCTAAAAAACCCTGTGTGACTACAAGCTGCCTGGCCGGCCTCCCAGTAACTTCCACTGGGATGTGGAAAGTATGAGTCACACAGCCAGTGCAGTGGAGGCGGCTGGACACCGAGAGTCTGGAGGATGTTCAGGGTGAGAGACATGTCCGTCTGCCTCGCTTCCTGTTCGACGAAACACACTTTCATTACACGCACACACAAACAGAAAGTATATGTTTGACCGCAAAGGAACCCCAGTATCCTAACAGGGTGAAAAGGGGACACTGACAGGTCACTTTGTTCACTGCCACTAACCTTTCACACAACCTTTACATCCGTTTAGATGGTGGTGGGAGGGAGGGGGGTAATGCCACCCTCTTTTCATGCCAAAATCACCTGCTTCCTTTTAGGCTTACAGGCAACTGTGTTTCCAGGAATTTTGGCCCACTCAGACTTTGTTTGCCTCTGTCTACAATAACTTCGCAGTTCTAACTTCTGCAATTAGCTCAAAAACACAATTTCCCGTCACGCCAACCCCTTACGAATCAACAAACAAGGTCAAACTGGTCAGAGCTGCGAGACAAAAAGGAAAAAAAAACAACAACAGAATGAAAAACACAGACCGAGAAATCAACCCACAGAAAGACGACAGCACCTGAAACTGTGGTGAGACAGCGGCTCCAGAGAGCCTGGCAGAGTGTGAGACAAAGATGTGTCATACCAGCCACCAGTTACCACCTCATTACACATACACACACAGGTTGGCAATGTCTCACATAAAAACACACACACACAATAAATGGAGTAGGACTCATCATCCACCTTTGGCTTACTTTTTTTGTACATGTAATGTTGTTTGTGAGGACTTGACACTGCTGGTTTTTTTTCTCTATGGTATTAAAATGTCTCAGCCTTTGAAAAAAAAAAAGGATGTCAGCGTCTGCCAAGATGCATACCTTATAGCCGAGACAGGGGAAGAGGAGGAGGACAGATGGGAAGAGGCGAGACAGGAATGTGGTCGAGACACTAGACGAGAAAGCAGACGGTATTTCCGGAACACTCGCTGGCGAACTCGGCCAGAAAAAGCATCCTTAAATTCAGGTACACATAAACTACATCGAATCTGTGCCTTGTGTTTCCTTTTCCAGTCTACATATACACTTACTATCCACACGCTGCAATGCCTCTACTCCTGTGTCTCAGCTGATCTGCTGTCTGCTGCACTACTATCTCAAATAAATCTTGCCAGCAAGTGAAGTAGTACATCTCCTTCTGCTCAATAATGAGTGTTCGCTGATTGAAGCAGGAATATCTTTCTGTTTCACATTGACAAAAAAGCGCTGCCTACCTTCATCCACTGAACAATACAACGAGAGCAGTCCACTGTGGTCAGAGGGAGGTCATGAGACATAAAAACCAGTCAATGGCAGGGAAACAATCTAGAGCTTTTCCCCTCGCTGAATGCTGACTGTTCAATAGGCTTGCTGCCCTTGTGGCTCCGATACTGCGCTGACATTTTTTACACAACGAGTACAAAAAGAGGAGCCATAATCATCAATCATCAGTCATAAATCCTTTAGAGGACTCTGCAGTATTCTGGCTGTCTGTGATAACTACTAGTAAATGCAATGAAGCTATTTCACTCTCGGGTTTGTCCTGGAGGTAAAGCAGTAGTAAATTATGTTAATGGTCCAACACAAAACTGCCGCACATGAAATTTTATCTTTAAAATTAGCAGTGGTATTTTGCGCATGTTGCTGAAAGACTTGAAATACATTTCAAAGGATTGAGCTGTCGATCGAGTTCTGTCTTGAGCACCTCTGTTAACTTAAGAATTTTCTTTCCAAGAAGACAAACAACCGACAATTAACCGCTGACATGTAGTTTAAATACAGGAGTTAGAGAGGCTGCTCCTGAGCTCTCTTTATTGCCCTTTTGTTCTGTGACATTCTCAGTGACCTCCAGGTGACCTGTGGGACAAATGATGCACTTCCCCTTCAGCTGTGGCCAGCTGGCCGGACCTCGTCTGATCAGACCTGGCCGGGCAGATGTCACCACCTGTCCCAGGCCCTTTTTCACACATACCAGGTCAACGCTGGTTTAAGAAAACACCGGCCATGAATTAGCCTAATCAAACCTGCCAAATAAGAAGAATGTGGGACCGGACTATGAAAGAGAGAAAGAGTAGGCAAGCATGCCAGTTCAGAAATGGTTCATACTAGGTTTCATACCAGATTGTAAGACGATGGAATATGCAAAAAAAAGCTCTTACTTTGTCTAGCGATCTCTTCAGCTTGTAGTGGAACTTCTCTTTGACTTCGTCCAGAAGCTGCTTGAGCTTTGGCTCTTCAGATGTGCCCTGGTACTTCCTGGCAAGCTGTAGGTAGCAGGGCCACTTGGCCGAGTCAAAGCCCCAATGACAGGTCCGCTTATCAGGTGACTTGTGTGAATGCATGACGAACTTCTGTGGCGAAAACAGCAATTGGCACTCAACGCACTGGATGCAGGGCGCTTCGGGCTGGGTGTAGAACTGGGGCACGAAGAGACCCTGACACTTCCCCAGACACTGGTGCTCCACCTGGAAGCTGGCTTCACTCTCCTTCAGCAGGCCCTGGGTCGACAGCTTACCGCTGGGGTCAGCAGGCAAGGCTGCCCCGGGACGCAGAAGAGCATTGCACAATCGCTGTGCATCTGTCAGTGTAATGAGGCCACAGGAGGGTGCATTGAACGGCAGAATGCCCAGCACCTTGAGGATGTGCAGCTGCTCAGCATCGCAGCGTGAGCAGTAGACATAGAGCTCGTCGCACACCGTGTTGATCTGCTGAAGAGAGAAGTCGCGGAGCACCGAGTTGAGCACCTGGGGCAGACAGAGCCGCTTCTCTCCTCCAACAACGAAGCAGGAGATAGACTCTCCTTCCAGCAGTGAGTGGGTAAGTTCAGTGGAGCTGTCACATGGAACCAGCAGAGGGCCCCCTCCCAGAACAGGAGGGGAGGGCAAGGGGGGCATGCCGGCCGGGGAATGCTCGTGGCCGGTACGGGCTGAAAAGGCAGCTGGGCCCCCCAGGGAGCTCTGGCTGCTGAGGGTGAACTGAGCCAGTGTGTGTTTGAGCCCAGGGCTCAGGTCCAAGGCTTTAGCAGAGCCCACCACGTGCAGTTCAGCCCGGCCCTCCACATCCATCTCAGAGTCGAGGTGCAGATCCTCCATCTGCTCCCTCTTAACCTTTGGAGTTTTGGGAAGGGAATCTAAGCTGCGACGCTTCAGGTTGATCTCCGCCATCACTCGCTTCTTGATGGGTGCGTCCTCTAGACGCTCTCTGTAAAGCCGTTTCATGTTGCCCTTGAATGAGGTCAAGTCTTTGAAAGGGGTTTTCAAACTGGTCTGGGTGCTGGCCATGTCTGCGCACTGGGTTATTGTCGTTCCTCTCTGCTGACTGAGTTCTTTTATTCCTCTGAGCCTTTTTTCCTCCTCAACTTTTTTCAAATCACACAAATCTTCTGGTAGTTACACACATGCATGATGAAGACTGAGGTTTCGTTCCGTGGTATGTTCTGATCCGCTACCTGAACATGAAAAAACAGTCATTTAGAAAACAGCAAAGGCAGAGAAAAATGATCCATTGACATTTTAACTACGACTAATCAATCCCTTTCCTGTTGTAGAATAAACAAACTGAAAATTATCTCATAAAAATGTTGTTGAGAAGGAAATATCCATAAGGAGTTTAAATGTTTTATGGCAGCTGTCCCAGCCGGGGGGCTGAAGAGGTCAATGACTGTTTGCATGGACCACTAAACCAAATGGCCATTACCATACTTCACACAAACACAAGGCTTTTCAGCCCTTGTAATTGAACCCCGGAGGAAATTCGCATCCAGGTTTTCACCAAAGGTTTTGGGAACAAACTTTAATGCACAGAGTGAGAATTTTAACAAGCGAAACCAGTTGACCAGACACGACAAGCCCAGCGAAATTCCCCACCACCCTGCCCCTCTCCCATTACATTGTTAATGTAAGGCTGATACAATGGCCAAAAAACATCTCACTTTGCAATTGAAAGTGCCCTTCTAAACCACACTGAGCTTTCCCCTAGGTCTGCTTACCCCACGCTGACCCCATCAGCTCCATGAAAAACAATTGATAAAAGCTTTAACAGCAGTCAGCCCCCTCCCTTAGTCCTCGCACAGCTTGACATGCTGCAGTGTGGAAAGCGGTGTTTCCCCCTTATATCACTCACATGTGCTACCTTAAAGCGTAAATCACACTAATCAAGTATCCCCAGTTTAAAACGCAGTGTCGATAAAAACAGCCACTGCTGCAGTATGACAGTAAGAGAGCTGATCGGGGCTGAAAATGCAACATTTCGGTCTAGAAGATTCATTGGAGCTTTTCTGTATGTTGGTCTGTTTACATGCAATATTCGGTGAAATCGACTTGTCACAATAAGAATGACATTATAAAGCGAGGGACCCACAGTGAGTGAATTTACAAGCTTTAGCTTCTTTCAGCATCCAGTGTTTTTTTTTTCCACTGCAGCGGTGCAAACCCTTAAGCTCTATTCCGACGCGGTTTGACGTTTAGTGGGCGTTTGATGGGAAATAAAACCGTGGGCTGCCTTAAGAATGAAAGACAAATCAGATCAGGGTCGTTACTGTGGCTGTAGGTGGGAGGGGGGGCAGCTCTTCCCAAACACTTCCACTGCTCCATACTCCGCTTTGACTGCAAAGACATCCAACCAGGTCGCTTTAATTTCGGACAGAAATGTCACACTAATACGAAGCTTGTTTTCTTAATATCACTACACAACCAGTTGTAGCCTTTAGGGTATGTTTCTCACGCCTGGCATCCTTTCACCGCTACAAGGACACCGCGCATAGAGCTGCTGCTGCTCCATCCTCAGATACGGCTACAACCCCTCCTCCTCCTCCTCCTCCTCCTCTCCAGTCTGCAAACTGTACCTCTCCTCCTCTGCTGGCTCGACACGACGGCACTGGTATGCAGACAGTGCTGATAATGACATTCACAGTCTACACTACAGTCTGGTCTGGGAAGGCACCGCGGTCGAGCGTAACGCACACACACCGACCTGGTGAGGGCACGGTGGAGGGTTTACTTCATCCGCGACTTGTCTCTATGTCAAACACAAAAACCAGAAAGCGGTCGAAACGCTTCCAACAAGGCTTTTAACGATACGCATTTCAATGTAACAATTATTTTATCGTCGTTAAAAGGGTATATATCGACAGCCATCATGGCGAACAAGAATCGAAAGCCCAAAATGTGGACATTCTTATTGAAACCAATAGAGAAATATCTGTAACGTCTTTGATAGGGTGATACTACTTGCGCTAGCTAGCTTAGCCGCGTCCACCTTATACCCCAGCAGCACAGTGGGCTGTTGAAGCAGGCTAACAGTATGAATCCATTGAAAGCGAACCGCTGAGCGAACAAATTCGCTCTCGTTCAAAGTGTATTACAAGCGACCGAGTCGACGCGGCGCGAACAGCAAGCGGCGTCTCTTTTTACTGCTTCTCGGTGTCATAATCACAGGCTTTAAGAAGACGGTGACATACTTTTGAGTTAACAGCCTTATGTGTTGGTTTATTGATTGACAGACTCTTGAATTTACACCAATAAGTCACAAGCGCGGCTTACAGCGAATTGGTCGCGTACCGTAACCCTGCTTTCAAGAACACGGGCAGGCTAACATAACCCCATCCATGAGACCGATAATAAATGAGACAAGCTCGGCTCACCAACCACACAGAGAGCGACTGGACTGACAACATTTCATATTTACCAACTGCTACACTGACTTACACCAGGACCTCATGTTTCAGTAAGCGTCAAAAGCTGGCAGACCAAAAAGGACCGAGAGCGCTAACATTTACAGCAGGCTAACCCCCAATAGAGAGCGACACAGTAGGCTAAACGATGTTAGCTTCGCCCCCTCCTCCTTCTTCTCCTCTCCGTCCGTTAAACACATGAATTCAAACTCAACCGTTAATCGACACGCGCTGGGATAAACCGCCGATTTAAAACCGAACGTTGTTTCAAAAGAAGCTCCATCTTTTCTGACGGTTTATTGAAACGGTGTAAACACTTGCCTTGAGCGCTGCGTGTCGGTCGGTCCTCTCTCGGCTGTGGTCTTCTCCGTACTGGAAAAGCCTGGCGGACCGTCAACAAGATGCAGCTAGAGGTTCCACTACAGCCCCGCAACGTCACACTGCACACGGGCTGAGAGGCGGAGACGTCATCCGGCTGACGGAAACTATGCGGGGGTGTCTCTCGTCTGTCTGCCTCGCTGTCTGTCTGTCTGTCTGTCTGTCGGTTCGTCCGTCTGTCTCACACCGCCTGAGAGGGATTTTGTTTCCTCTCACAGAAGTTTAAACCACAGAGGAGGTTTAATTCAAACATTGATGTGGTTTCATCAGATCAATGCGTTTCGATCTGAATTTTGTTCCGCACATGTAGAAAAAAGACAAACGCAGCGATAATTAACCCTGGAACACTATCGCTAAAATTAGTAACACCATCACTATCGCCGGGTGGAAATAATATACTCAAGAAAAAGTACTTTTCATCAAAATATGACAATACATGACAATTTTAACAATGTCTAGAGGGAGGGGGGAAGTACCATTAAGGGGACCATATAAAAATGCAACAAAATAATTGAAATTAGGCATTCATGAACAAAAAATTCCAATACGTATATAGGGGAGAGTGGGGTAAGTTGATCCACCCTCTGTGCTTGGAAATGGCAAAAGAAATTGATCATGTGACCAAATATTTAGTGAAGTGAATCTAGTCTGTCATAAGTTTTATTGTGTTTAGACAAAAAAAAAGATCATTTTAAATTTGTTTTATACATCAATTGTGGTATCTATGAGCTACAACATGAGGTCAAAAACCTAACATAAAAGTCCACCATTTTAGCTTAGAGGACAAATAAAGTCATAAGTTGAGCCAGTGGTTCAACTGAGAAAGTAAAGAAGTCTGATGAGAGAATCAGAGATTCAGTTCAGATTGTTGAAATGTTTTTACTTTTTCTTTTCACAAATACATTTGTGAATGTTCTGAATCACTTAACGGTATTCTCATGTTAAAATGGCTTTTTACAAAACTGCTTCTTAGCAGTTATATGTAATAATAATTTAAAAATACATTGTACCAGTTCAATAGCGTATAATAGATTAAAACACACATGAATGTGATGAAGTGACTGTTATTTAGGGAGAGAGAAGGTGAGGGAGGGCTGAGGTTGGGAGTTGGAGGGTAGTAGGGATAGGCCTCAGCTTACCCCACTCTTTTTGGCATGCTATATAGAAACTGTAAACTTAGTTTCTTTTCCACCCATTTCTGGGGCGTGTGAGTCTTCCCTGGTGAAGACTCAGGGTCCTTGGCACAATAACAGCTGCAGGAGAGAGAACCAAAGTATGGCATATTTTCAGTGAGTAAAAATGAGCAGCTGACTAAAATATTTCTTACACCAATTGAATTCCCTTGAAAATCACTACTTTGTGATAGTAATTCATAACCACTGCGCTAAATAAAGATAGCATGCAAATTCCAGGACCACTCTTACTTACTTTATCCACTACATGCAGCTATCAAATCCAGCCAAACCTACTTTACCCTCTATCACCTGAACATGTGCCAAAGATGTCAAAGGCAATGCTGAAGCTAACCAAGGACCCATGATACTCAGGCAAACACAACATAACAAAAATCATGTAAACATGTTTGGTCGGGTGAAAATCACCCGGCGATAGTGTTGTGGGGTTAAGCATACAGATGGAATATAAGCAATGTTTATACACAATAAAATACATTATGCAAAATAGATCCTCAAACACATAATCACTGATTAGATTTAGCTACCTTTAGAGAAAAGCAGCTTGTAAACATAGAAACTAAAGCCAATTAAAAACCATCTTTGCGAGGCTTTGATTAATGGTTTGCAAATAATTAAAACCCTGTGTTTGATAAAAATGATGCAAAGACAACATAAAATGAATCAAATGTAGGAACAGAAAAAAGTCCAAATATAAGCTCATTTTAAGTTTGATGAAAGGATGCTTCGTCCAGGATTTCTACAAAGAACGTCAAAGTTGATTCAGATATGTAGATATTTTTCATATGGATCCTACCAATGCATGATTACACTATTTTACATCATATCATACATTTTAATAGTATTTTAATATATTTTGTATTTGTATTAAAGCTGTGGGAACATTTTTGACATCAATGAAACATTCTGAAATTCACATGGGAAATTATCTTTTGGTATTCTAGGTAAACTTTGCCAATAAGTCAGACTTGTGCCAAACACTGAAGCTACTTTCACCTTTTTTAAATGAAAATTGTAAAATTTCCACTGTGAATGATATGATAATTGCACATCTTCACCATCAGATCAGTTTTTCATGTCTTAATTGTGAAGTAGGCCCACTGCCTTTTTTTGCATGAGTCACAGTTTAAAAGATAGAGTGATATAACTTCATTGTTCACTCTTTTTTTAGCTTTCCATCAACTTTGCAGCCTTGGGGACTGACTCACACTGGGCAAAAGGGAGGCTCGACTGCTCCCATCACCTCTGCTCCCCTCCCCCCTCTCTTTTTATGGACCTACCCTCTGAAAAAAGGTCAGGAGGTCATTCAGTAGTCTATTGTGCTGTCAGTGATGGCGAGAGTTAATAAAATCTGAGTATGAAGAGGTCAATAATGAGATTTAATGAATTATAGATCATACATGTTCATCTTCAGGAGGGTTTTCCTCTCAGTAGCATCCTCTGTCTGAGTCTGAATCTGGAATAATTCATTTTCTCTGCTGGGCTCTTGATCTGATGAGGTTATCACTGCCTGTCTACATATGCAGTTTTCCCTCTCTTTCAGCCGGAGAGCACCCTTCATGCCTGCCTGACCCACAATCTGATGTCACACATCTGTCAAGGAACGGAGGCTTGATAAAGCTTTGATAAACAACATGGTTTGTCGTTTCTCCACAGCCTCTCTCTCTCTCTCTCTTTCTCTCACTCTCTCCCTCTCGCTCTCTGACAGCAAGGTCAGCAGTTGTATTATGAGAGCAGATGTGCGTACACCCTGTCCAGCCCCGAGAACAACAAGGGGGACATTGATTTTCCTGTAATAACATCACTCTGTGTACTGCGGGGACTAAATTAATCTCATATCTGCTGTATTATGACCTGCGCTGATTGTTCATTAGGACTAAAGCACATAGCTGAAAGATGAGGCATTGTGTTAGCATTAGCATTGTTGTGGGGGAGGTTAGCTGGGGTTCACAGACAGACTCTACCAGAGCACAGTGATAAGAGCAGACTCAGTCGTACTGTTATTGGACTCAGTGCTAAGTGGACCCTGGGGGCAGACACTGCACTGAGTCGTTTTCATACATCCTGTCTGGGATCAATGAGGGATATTGAAATATGTGTGCAGTTGGTCAGAGGATGTTTCTGTAATTTGGGGTAATGATGCTTGCTAAAGAGCTGGTCTGGGGTCACAAACATACACACACCTGAAACGCAGAGCCTCAGGTGTCAGGCGGCTCATGGTGGACTTCTCAGGACTTTTCTGGTGTGTGCCAGTGGGCGGAGTCAAATTCCACTTCAGCCACAATGAAAGCTAGAGTTGTATTTTCGACAAGTGGTCAATCAGTGGTTCTAAAATCATTTGGATTGTTCTTTATTTAAAGTGTTGGGCTGATTCTGCCCTTATATGTAATCTGAATATAAATGAAATACTATGAATTACCAGGTTCAAAGCCAGGACCAGGCCCAAGGATCATTTCTTTGATCAAAACCAACACAAGACTTAAAGGGATATTCAGGCGTAATACTAATTTAGGGTAACTCTGAGTTAGACACCCTCTCGACAGATGAATGTTGCCGATTTCTTGCTTCTCTAGTTATACCAACTTTAGTAACGACTGCAGGATAGTAATACACAGCGGTCTTAGGAGCCACACACAAACCTCAACCAAAACGCCACTCTATAGCCACAAATAATGCTCAACAGCACCTTACAGCGGGGGTGACGCAGCTCAAGGAAGAACATTTATGATAATTTTTTCATGGAAATGCAATCAAACTGAGATGCTAAGGCAGAAGGACTACCGCGTCTGCAGTGTAAAATTATTAATGTGGTGATTATTACTTCAAGAAAATGATAAAGAAATTTTCATAAATGTTCTTCCTTGAGCTGCATCACCCCGCTGCAGTCCGTAATGGATTGACCTGAGGTCTCTCTACAAACAAGTGGCTGCTGGAAGAGAGTAGGTGAGTTGTCTTTGTGAAAGAAATTAGGCAAAGTTAAAAAGATGTTTGGTGGCTAGTACTATGGCTGGGACCCTATATGTACTGATGAGGTTAGGTACTGTTCTGAGCATTATTTGTGGCTATAGAGTGCCGTTTTGTTTGAGCGTGTGGCTCTCTGTATTGCTATTGTGCGGTCGTTACTAAAGTTGATATAACTACAGAAGCAAGCAGTCGGCAACATTCATCCCTCGAGGGGGTGTCTTACTCAGTGTTACAGTGTGTTTGACCCTAAATTAATTTTACGCCAGAATATCCCTTTAACACCTGGCTTCTGGTGTGCACGTTAACACCCATAATGGTGAACATTTGACTAATAAAAAGCGTTGAAAAGCAGCATGAGACCTAAAGCTTTATCAATCCAATATTTCCGACACCTTCAGTCGGTGTTTCTGCTCATAATAAGAACCAGGCTATAAGAAGAGCTTTCTCACATTCATAATATCCACACTCAAGTGCTTTCGGAGCTCAATGAAAACACTTGAATGTAGTGACAAGGCAATGCTGAGAGGCAGCATCAGGGTCCCTGAGTTACAGTACCAACATCTGTGGGAGAAGAAACAATTTATCTCACTGTGTCACAACACGATAAAAGAAACAGTATTTAAAGGTACAGTTTGTAGACTTTAACAGTGTTTAGCAGAAAAGACGGCAAAAATGGGATGTAATATTCACAAGTATGTTCAACTTAATGTTTAATCACCTGAATATAGAAATACTAGTGACATTTTCATTTTTGTATATTTGTTGCTTTGCTGAGAAGAGGGGTGAGTAAGGAGGCATTTAAGTGTATCTACACACTATCACTTTAATGTGGACTGAGCCTCAGTATCCCTGCTGGTGTTACATAATCTACACATTATACATAATATATAATGAAGTCCTTTTTTTGTGAAATCAATTTGATTTAAGTGACTGACTGTCCTTGAAAGGCTGTGCGTAATATTGTTCTATGCAAAGTAATCTACAGAGGATGTGTGTGTGTGTGTGTGACAACAGGCTGCTTACACACTCCTTTGCATGATTGTTATGCAGTGCAGCACTAGACTGCTGCATAAATGTTAACATTATGAAAGTTAAAGTGATCAGTCATAAGATTCAAATTAAAACCGGACAGTATAAGAGCTTTAAAGGAAGTGTGAACCACGCTCCCTCCTCTGCTTACTCTCTCTCTCTTACCTGCTGAGTGGGAGGAGCTCCAGAGCTGATAAGTCACCTGTTTGTTACTATTAGTAGTAACAGCATGTACGGCTTGTGTATCTCTTTGGACTCACTAAAAGACGACGCTGTGCCTGGAAAATCAACTGCAAAAAACTCACAGACACGCACGTCATGTATGAGATGTTCAAACGCTGTTACCAACCAGACATTCAGCCAAATATAACCCACTTTTTATCTGTGATTACATCAATTATTCAATGTTCTCCTCGGTGCAGATTTTATTAAGTATAATTTGTGCTCCATGTAGGTTTTTAATCCAATCTTCAGCTCCTCAAGTGAGATATTTCAGCTATAAATCCCACTGGTTTATGTCTCAGGCAATTATGAGTTTTCCTCCTCTTCTAATCAATACATTTCATTACAGCAATCGTTGAAATATTATGCTACTTTCGAGCGTCCATCTATTAGTATTCAGTCTGCATATGTTTTTTTATGAGGGCTGTTTTAGATCTTGAGATGCCTTTACAATCGCTGAAGCGGCATGCTCCGATTTAAAGCTTCCTTATAGACAGAGATTCAACTCCTAATGTTAACATCACTCAGAATTACTCATTATCTAGGAGCTACAGTCAGGTTCACAGATAAATGTGGTGTGAAAGCACACAGACTGGGCCAAGTAGATGCACCTCAAACTGCAGTGTGTGTTTTACTAAGAGACCGTGTTTAGCAGCGAGTATGATTCTTCTTGCGGCTTAATTAATCCCTTTAGGGACGGAATAAAACACCCAACAAGATAAGAGCAATTAAAACAGGATGTTTTTCAGATCCTCCTCCGTTTTTACATCATTAATTATACAAGGTTGGTCTTCCCTCTGTCTTCCACAAGGTGATGCAGAGCCACAGTGCCTTGGGAGGCATACCCCTCATTCTCCACCTCAGAGGGCACAGGAACAATGTCAAACACGCCATCATGGGAATACAGAATTATGCAAAGACATTCATCCTCGTCCTGTGTGCGGCCGTGCTGTTTTTTTGTTTCGTGCAGGCGTACAAGGGGAGTAATTTTCCACAAAATCAGCTTCAATTGAGACAATATACAATGGTTTAGCGGCGCAGGATGTGACATAAGCCTCACACAATGGGTTTCTATCAACCATTGTGCGAGTTATTGCAGAGCGCAAATCAATCCGTTTTATTATTTCTGACACATCATCATTTCCACGACCCCTTTTTCTTTCACCTCTCGACGCTCGGCGCTGTGTGAGAGCAGGGTGGGGCGGGGGGGGGAGCGATGGTGTCAGTGACCTTTTAACCCCCAGGCACGCCGAGGGTCTTCTAAAAGAGCCGGGCAGGAGTCACATGACCCGCACACACCGGCAGGCAGCTGGAGTGGAAAAGCTCAAGCTTAACGACTCAGGCTTAATTCCCTTCTCTCCAGACACCCGTGAGAGTCTGAAAGCACAGGTCCTCCCTCAGCTGTAAAACCACCACAGACCTGATGATGGTGACGGCCTCAAGTCCGGTTACATGTTTCAGGATAAATGCAGAAACAAAACGCTAATCAACACTATATTATAGTTTATTGGCACTGCAATGATCCTGTGCCATTAGCTGGAGGCGAACACCGTATAATACTCAGAGGTTACTTTGAAGTTAATGCACAGTAATAAATAAACAATAAGGCTCACCAGTGTTTAAATTTAAAAAACAACAGGCTGAGTTCATCACAGACATCATCCAACATTTAACCCTACACTAACAGTTTTCTTTTTCACCTCCTGCTCTTAAAACGTGTTCACACTTTATCACGATTAATGTAGACAGTTATTGTAAAAGCTGTTTATCCGTGCACTACACCTACCAGTGTCAGACAGTATGTTTACACCCACAGTTAAAGCCAAGCTCTGGTGATAGCTCAGTAAGGTGGTTTAATTGGACTACTGTCCTTGTCCCACTTACTCAATCAAAGTACAGTTGTAGGCCATACGCCCACTTTCAGCTCTTCACTGCTTGGCTGTGTCACAAACCAAAACAATCGATAAACTTGTTAGCAGAAGGCCAACACAGGTTGATTGTTGGAATCACTGACGACTTCACAGCTTTGTAGCTTTTGAATGTAGGATAGCTTTGCCTTTGTTTTTCTTCTTATGACACCCGTCTTACTCTGTCAAGTTCTTGTTTATAATACAGTCTCCTTACTTTATGCAATTTATGCAGTTTCAGTCAGATTAAGGTGTTTAAGAGGTTTGACAGTCTATGAAAAGTTTGATTTAGTGCATTTTCAGCTGTATTCATGAGCTTGTGTGCATTTTTGAAGTATACATGTATATTTACTGTAAAGTCAGGGCAATCAAGTAAAAAAAAAACATCTGCTCTGGGAGATGAAGTCAACCGATACTTACATTTTAAAGCTTTTCCATGACAATTTTCTTTAATTTTTTTTTTTTTAGGAATTTTTATAAAAACATATAAAATTACTTGTACCTATTTCATCACACAAATCCACGTCAAAACATTGTACCACTTTTTACTTCGGGAAAGATTAGATTTTACCACTAATGTATAAATAAATGTACACCTTTGTTTTCATATGATAAACCATCAGCTATTGTAGTGACTATGCTGACCTGAATTTTAGTCACTGTCTGGGTGCAGGAGTGAGGTGTTTTTGACCCGCTTCTAGCACAATCTTATGTCCAATCCAAGGTTGTTGTTGAGTAATATTTTTGCCATTTACTGATTAAATGAAAAACAAACCAAAAAAAAAAAAGCCAGATACATCCAACGTACGATGATAATGTTTGTAATGAGGGTGAGAGTGGTGTCAGAGATTGGCGGTAAATCTGTGTGCTCTTCCCGTTCCCTAGATCACTGCTTCACCTGTGTCCCTTTTGTACCATTTACCTGCCCATTCACCTGAAGTGCCCCTTGTGGTGATTGTGCGAGTAACAAGACAAAACCCCCAAAATAATAGAGATAAAATGACTCATACAGCTATTCTCAGTGAGCATCTCTTGCTCGGGTCAAGCATCAAATACACCGGGTCCTACATGTCCAATACTACAGATCTTTTTCCTTTCCAGCAGCCATTTCTTAAAAGCCATACCCCTCAGTTTGTTCTGCTAAGTCTTCAAGTATCTCAAGTTTAGTTCAAGATCACTGACATCATTAGCGTTATATCTCCTCACTCAGATTACACGCTGTTTTTCTTAAGGGCAGATACTGAGCAGCACAGTGAGAGACACACACCAACACAAGCACATATTACCACAAGGAGAGAAATAAAATGTTTATTTTACCATCAGTGTTTTTTCTTTGCACACTAATAACAAAGGTCATCTGAGTCCTCTGGGTGGTGGACACCCCCAAAACACAACCAATACAACAAGTAGTGTTTCCACTGGGTTCATCCAGTAACGTTTTGGAATCAATGTAGTGATAAAAAAAATTCAAACTCGATTCTGATTTACAAAAAAAATAACAACAATGGAACAAAAGTAACGTGTAACAGATGAAAGTGTTCCTCCGGTCACCACGTGAGTCCCAAAACCTTTTTAAAGAGAGCTTCAGCTTAGACTGGATGAGAGTCTGGAGGTTCATGCACCATCACTTAGTGTTGATACAGTCAGAAGGAGAGGAAGGAGACTCGACCGAGCCTTTACGTTACGCCTAATTTAGATGATAACCTGTGGATTAAATGTGATAATAACAATGGAGCTCAACAGACACAGTCGACAGTTTTAAAGCCACATTTTTGCCTTAAAACGTCACTGCGCCATGGCTTTGGACTAATAACCAAACTCTCATATAGACAATCACTTAGTGTTTTGATTTACAACAAGAGACATACATGGAATGAAGAAAGTAAAAAAAAAAAAAGGAAACAGACCTTATGTTTCAGAAAGGCATAGTATTAAAAAAATGAGCAGAAAAACATCTGTATATATAAATTCTATGACTTAGAACAGCACATTTTCCTTACGTTCACTGTACCTCCTAATTCGTACCAGCATGACATCTTTCAGAAGTATGTTTATATTTGGTCCTGTGTGAGTGTTTGATTTCATCCACGGTCTGCACAGCATCGTTTCACCTGTGCTCCTCCTCCAGCACCTTCCCCTGTACAGCCAGCTCTTTCATTCACAGTTTGAGAGCAGTAACTCATTATTAGTGTCGCCTGGATGCTGCTGCTGCTGCTGTTTACGGTCCTTCATTCTGGGAGAAGGAGCTCCACGCAGACACCTTCTGTTTATCCAGATGTTGATATTCGTCTAAAACAACAACAAATCCTGAACCCTTTTTGGTTCCGTTACTCAGGTTGGACATTTAAACACTCAGAACAACATATATAATGACTGCTATGTTGTTAAATAAAAACAAAAAAATGAGAAAATATATAGATTTTTATCTTTTTGATTTTTTTTTTAAAAGGCTAGTGTTATGATTCTTCTTTCCTCTACTGAAGGGATGTCGCCACAAAGCCAAATTCAAAATGACTTCATGATGATCAAGTGGTCAGTTTTTGTCCGGCTGTGGCTTGAAGCTAAAAAGGCCTTTTTCTAACATTTATCCTCAGAGTAGATTCACATATATACAAATAAAATATGCATTGAAAACACCCCACCAGCTGGAAGGAGAGGATGTTCAGTTCATGTGTCGTCGGGGGGCTCGTCTGGACCCACCCTGCCCCCTTTGTGTACAGCAACCTTGGAAGAACTTTGTAGCCTTGTCGGCTACCGATAAAGAGGCCCCGATGAGAAGATTGATATCAGTGCAGATTTTACATGATATAAAAATAATTAAGAAAGAAGGTAGGCTTAAGGGCAAGTGGTTATAAATGGCTGAGTGTGAGTCTGGTTTTGGCAAATAAGCGTTCTACTGTGCATGTGTGGCCCTCAAACAGAAGGTTGATGTCGTCAAGTTGTCTCGTAACCATGCATCTTGAAGACACTGAGACGCCACGTTACACGTGCATGAGAGTGTGTGTGTGTTTGTGTGTGGGTGTGTGTTTGGGAATGGTATATGTGTGAGCGCAGGAGCCGCCGACTCTCACACACACTCCTCGGCTGACATCAGAAGTGGGTTTATGTATTCAAAGCCTTCGAACTCAGACTGGTCGATCTTCTTCACCACATCGCTACAAAGATAAAAAAAAAAGAGAAAATGTTGTTAGTTTGAAAGAACGATAAGTTTATTACAAAAACCCTGATGTGTTGGTTTGAACGAGAAAACTCACTCATCGTCAGGCGTGAGCTGGATGGGCTCGTTGGTGAACTGGGCGTCAAAGTTGTCCAGCCCGAATTCCCCTGAGATGTTGGGCTTAAAAGGAGGGACCACCTGCTTCTGCTCCAGCTGTAATAACAAACAGAGCAGGACTGAGACGTCGACAAACTCAACGCTTTTCACCTGACATTCAAACACATGTTCAGTATCAGTGTTCAAGATAAGCACTTTAAACTAGGCCTGGGCGATTTGGCAAAAAAAATGATCACGATATATTTTCTTGAAGACTTGAAAACAGGCAACTGGACTGTGTAGAGGTGCCTGTTTTTAAGTCTTCAAGAAAACCATGACATGGATGAATGAGAATCTACATGGACAGATCACAATATATTTTGTCATATTGTCCGATTTCAATTATTATCACGATTTTTTTTTTTTTAAACCGCCAGTTTTAAAGCATCTGTACTGATATGATTGATTGCTTTGGTCTGGTGGCTGCGTCGCGAGTTGTAGCTAAACTGCCTATGCTACTTGTGCTGTCAGCAGTAACAGGTTGTGCAGACTCCGCTCACATTTTCATGCTTTCCACTTAATCACTTGGGAAGTACTTCCTCTAATGATTAAACAGATCTGTTGTGTTGCCGGTTTTTGAGGGCACCGACTGCTAACATAGCTTACACATCGGCTTAATTGCTTGACATCACTTTGGAGATATAATCCGAACCACCGCCACACATCCGACGTTGAATAACTTCAACAATATCATCTTCGGCGGATGACTCAAAGTCACGGCTGACATCTATTTTTCTGTTTAGCTCTATGTTCGGTTATTCTGTTTACTTCTCCGGCGACTTACAGAAGTGAGCAGGAAAAGCTCGACTCTGATTGGCTGTTGTGACGCACATTTCTGCTATATTTAATTCTGCTATGTCTGATCACCGTGATTGAACTGAAATTCATCACGATCATCGATCACGATCACATAATCGCCCAGTCCTACTTTTTTAAACTGTGCTCGATTCGTATGAAGAGTGCTGTGTGAACAAAGCGTGATTGACGGATTGAAGAGACACTGATTGGATTTAATGATATTGTTGAAAAAGTGCATTAATCCTCCATTGAAAATGTGGGAAATTGTTCATGCAATTATGTTCACACTCTTTGTCACAGCCTCTCATAAGTGTGAATTTACTTCCCAAGGTTTACAGAGACATCATTATCTTCATCTATTACAACAACAAAGCTCGCTGTATTCAGACTAATTCTTGTGGAAGACACAAAGTGCACTCAAAGCTTGATATCACTTTAAGTAATAATTAGATACCCTGAACATATGAGTGTTTATTTATTGAAGCTTATACATTTATACTGTACTATTTTTAACTTGTACACCTTTATGAACTTGAATCAAACAATCTTTTTTACATGCTGCTTTATATTTGTATCAGATTACATCAACATCCTTGTAGAGGTTTCTCTCCTGTGTCTGAACTATTACACTACTTGTCTGCTAGCCAGCACCTGCTCCCCCTGCAGGCCGTCAGGTGCCCTGCATGGTTAATTTTCAGGTTTGCGTCTGTGTGCTGAAGAGGGGGGGATGAGGGTGAGGGAGGGGTGTAAGTCGATCCCTCCAGACACTCTGACCGACTGCTGGGTCCCTGCTCCAGACCAAACAGGGAAAAAGAGGTCATGGAGCTCTCTGGCGAGCTGCCCTGTCTGCCTGTCTGTCATGTTATCCAGCAGCACATGTCTGTCTGTACTTCTGTTAAGGTCAGTCTGTCCACCTGGAAAGAGCAGCGTCTGATAATTTACTGATGCACAAACTTTCCGTAACCTCTCGATTCGAAGCAGTTTAGTTTGGAAATAAATCAAAAAGTTACTTAATGATGAAAAAGTTTAAAACCTGAGGTGATAAATTTGATTTATTCAAGTTTTAACCCTCTAAATCTTTCATCCTTGACAAAATATCAACTCAGCTAAACAAACTATTAATGAATCAGTTCGCCTGCCAAACAGAGCGGAGTGCTGCAGTGGATTAAACTCAACTGCTTTCAGTCTCGAGCCAAAGATTGAATTTTTTTTCATTTTGAGGGAGTTAAGAGCGACTTTTTAAAATTTCTCAACATTAAAATCAGGATTAAACAATCAGTCAGTAAGTCTGTGATCCAAAACTGACTAAGTTATTTCAACAAGCAACCTTTCAATGTCAGACATGAATGTTAAATGCAATAATTATAAAACTAAATCGCTTTTTCCAGGTTCTGAAATGTTTAGATTTATTCTTACATTAATGTCACAACATCGTACAACTTCCACTGTAAATTTACCACTTAGTAATCAGTCTTCGATTAGTCAGAACGGAAAATATCTGTGAAGTACATAAAACGATCATATCTTGATAAGCCTGTGAGTCTACTGGATCTGTCGACAGCTCACCGCAAACACTAAAAATAATCCTGTGAATGTCGGTATTATTTACAGTTTTAGATGTCACACGACAGGAAGTGTCGCTGACTCTTGAGTTACGACTTTTACTCGTTGCTGAAACTGAGAACAGGAAGCTTCAGAATTACTGATTATTTTTAGTCCCAGTTTAACTTTCAGCGGGATTCCTTTCTGATGCCTCTCACAGCGACACACGAGGTCCGACACGAACTTTCAAACGAGCAGAGAGGAAGTCCACCATGTGTCTGTTCTTACTGCTGTAACTCAAAAAGATGAGACATTTTCACCTCTTTAAAACTGAGTGGTGTTAAAGACACTTTGCATCAATATGTCAGCTAAACTTTATCATAGTAATCTAAATATCTATGTAGTTTGTGTGATTACACTTAACAAAACCTGAATCAGATAATCGCAGAATCACAGCTGGACAAAATATCTTGTAAAATGAATCCAACACTCACCTTCAGTAATGTGACCCTAACCATTCATGCGCCAAATTTAACATCTTATTTTAAAGAATTGTTAGTTTGGGATTTTAAAGTTGGGTTCGTTACAATTTAACAAAAGTTGTCTGTGTTAGCTATGCTGATAAATTTAGAGATTTTGTCTCCTATGTTCAGAAATTCACCACTTTCCTCACACATGCAGCTCTGTGACTGAAACAATCTCTTCTAAAGCTGCGACATTTATTTCTGTTTATGCACCTTATATCTTGAGATTTTGACGCAGGAAAACTCACACTGGAGCTCCTTTCACTAACTAAATTATGACATTTTCTGGATCATTTCAGAGCTTGAATTTCATGCATTCATTTCACAGTGGAAGATTATCGATGTCAGAGGCTTTCTCACAACACAAGACCCAGACTGTGAGAGCGGGGGACGACTGAGTTGTACTGTCTCGTGTTCCTGTTTGTTCATTCTTAATCATGGCAACATACATGGGGCATTTTCACTTATGGATAGACAACTGAGGCGAGCATAGCTTCTTTGTATTAAACATAGAAACTCTTCCCAAAATGGTTAACAGACTGCAGTGCTTCTGAGATCAGTACTCGATGTGTTAACACAAAAGCTCACCCTGACTTCTTGCACAAATTTTTCCTTATAGCAGCTGTGAGGAGAAAGTCCGTGTAAAGTCAGGATGAAAGAATAGTCTGTTTGGGTGGCAGCTCACCAAGACCAAGGTGGAATATTTTTAGGATTGTGGTGCATGTTTGAAAGCGGCTCGTGTAGCAACCCTGCACCCTGCTTTCCTTTTAAGACTGTATTTAATATCCAGAGTGTGTTCTGCGGAGCGAAGCGAAAGCTAACTGTTGTCTCTGTCAGACAAATGAAATCTAAATCGGATGTATTGCTTCATCAAATGTTGACATTTCTCCTCCTCCCTCATCCTTATCCACTCATTTCTGCTGCTGTCAGTCTCCTGTCTGTCTCGTTTATTTCTACCTGTCTGTCTGTAATCTCATGATCCCATCACTAATAACCGTCTGCTCCGACTGAGCTCCTGCACCCGCAGGGCAGCGCAGCGAAGACGACACTGCTGCACTTAAATTTGACCTTCTGCTGTCTAGTAGCAGCTTTCAGTTTTTCCTTCCCCGCAGAATCAATATATGGATTGATTTTGACCTATTTGGCGCAGCACACCATGATTCCCTTCATTTGAGAGTATGATGAAAATCGTGATGAACTAGGAAACCCAAGAAGCAGCCGGAGAGAGGGAGAAGCATGGAAACATAGCGAGAATACAAGTGAATGACTCACGAGGTCCCAGTCGACGTTTCGGAAGAACGGATGACCCATGATGTCAGCGAAGCCAGTCTGAGGGTGGCAGCCTAGACGCTCCTTTGGATCCTGTGGGAGCGAGGGTGAGAGGGGGGTGAGAGACAGTGGATGCAAGGGAGGAGACGAGAAAGGCAGGCGACGGGGAGAGGAAGGTGGAGAAGGTGAGAAAGGAGAGAATTTGCAAGTGAAGGTGAAAAAGAGGGGAGGGGTTAGGTGGGAGAAAAAGTAAGAAATATTATAGAAGGTGAAAAGGTGTTTGAAGGAGAGTGAGTACAAAGACGGTCCACGATGGCAGTTGACTCTAACACAGGCTGTAATAATGTCACTGTCAGGAGCCGGCAGCAGCCAGCAGGATTTAAGATTGATCCACACCCATCTGACCCCTTCCTACCTTGTTGAGGAACCCCTTGAGAACGCTGGCGGCTTTGACTGACAACGAGCGTGGGATCCTGATCTGTTTTTCCAATATTACTGCGGGAGGTGAGAGAAGAGAGGCGGGGGAGAGGGTGAGACAGACAGCATCCTAAGGCCAAAATGACAAGATGATGCCCCTGCAGGTGTGTGTTTATAGCTGCTGGGTACACTGATGTTGAACACACACTGAGGCCTTTCACTTAAATGTCACCGGCCTCTGATCAAAATCGACTGCGATGAGGCTCGTTCTGTGGAGTCCAATGATTTACACTTCTCTGAAAGTCCTGACATGTAACAAGCTGTATTTACAATGAATTTACAGACAAAAACAACAGCATTCACACGTCTCTCTGCAGCAGATGGCATGTGCCTGGTGCTGGGAGAGGCGACCATTAGAAAGGTGTCAATACAAAGGTGTTGCATACTTCCACAGAGCTTCTTTTTTCACCCTCTGGTGACAAATCTCGACTGTGTGTGCATGCGCCTGCACGTGTTTGTGTTTTTACCTTGGAAGAGGTAGTCTTCTGTGTTCTGGTCTGGGTTGTCAGAGCTCCCAACAATGTCAAAGGGCGACCGGCCCGCCATCATCTCAAACATCAGTACGCCCAACGCCCACCAGTCCACGCTGAAACCTGGAGACACACGAGATGTTACGTTACAAATCTGACCAACACTGTGAGAAAATAAAAATAGGGTTTATTTTTGGTCTGCCTCTTTTTTTTAATTTCAATCTATGTATCAACTCTATCCTTTCAATATATACACATCTTTTTTTTTCAGGACAACCTCAGCTGTCAGTTTATGGGGGCAAAAATTATGTAAAATGAATGTGTCAGTGGATTCAGAACCATCAAAGTCAACCAAAAAACAAAAACGGAAATTGATACCAACAGTACAAAAACACATAAATTTACAGCGACCAAGACTTTCTTCACCTGCACATCATTCTGTTAAGTCTTGGCTATCAGGAGAAGAAATATTGGGATTTGAACAAACACGCAACAGAAACTATTTACAAATTTACACTTTTTTTCTATTTACAGTTGTTTATGCCTGTTCCTGTCTGGGATGAGACAGAGGACCACATCATACTGCTCATAATCTCTTCTTTCCTTGTTTCCAAACATTGAGGACCACTATTTCTTATTTTTAAGACAAACAGGGAACTTTCTTGTCTCTTGCTGATCTTTGGTTGCCTCTTATTGGACACTACCGTCAATGGAACAATAGAAGAAGAAAATAAGATCATGTAATTGCTTGAAAGTTTGACAGAAAAAGACGTTATCAAAACAGCTTGTCAAACCCGGATGACATTAGCGGCATTTAGCGATAGCGATCTTTTTTTATCACAACAATATGATAAATAATCATGTTTTCACTGGTGTATCACTGCGGATTTACCATCAAACGTCTCTGATCAAACATCTATTTTTGTGGCTGGATTGTAAACCTTGTGGCAGGTGTAGAAATGACTGGAAACCCTCAATAGCTTTTGAACACTTTTCATCCCATAGAGATACATGGTATAGAAACCTAAACAATATTGATGGTGTCATGTGGGATCCCTGACAATCCAGCGGAGTTCTAAGTGTCTAACAGAAGAAGTAACTCTCCTCTTGGACGGCTTTTATTGCAAACATTACATTTCAAGCATCAGAAGACTTGTTTGTTTTATCCTAATGTGCCTAATTTTCCATAAACTACTTTTACACAGCTGAAAGATCACAAAAATTAGGACCAAGTTGCAAATGAAGTTCTCTTAATAGCGTTCTTCAATTAAGCTAAAAACTACATATTAGAAACATGTTTCACAGAGGGCAAAATGGCAGAAGTGTTTCAGCAGGTAAAAGAGCGACACCAAAACACTGTCGGGTCAAAAGCCGTCATTTAGTCTCCTCGCAGTATCCTAAACAAAATCAGCTCCATGGCAGAGATGCTTTAGAAACCCTCATTAACTCCTGTGTTTTCAAATTACTCCTCCTGTAACAAGCATACCAGGGTTGAGGCATTACTATGGCAACCGCTCCCTTTTTTTCATGCTTTTACTAAATGACTACAAATTCTTTCCTCCGCTGCTAATGGCTTTTCTAACCAAACCAGTGGAGCTTTATCCAAACATAGAATTACATGATTAGCATTAGCATGGACACGTTTTCATTTTGCTCCTAAGTCTTTAAAAAACAGAATTGCCAATGAAGCAAATAAAGACAGGATGTCTGTAGAAACTATTCTCACATTTAGTGACAAATCTCTCATAAATAAGTTTTACCTTTTGCAGTTGTAATTGAAGTTTTGCTTTTGTCATCGTTGAAACAAAAAGTGCTACAGATTTAATTTAGTTTAGGTTCAAAACCTGAAAACTAGAAGAGCATCACAAGATGAGGAAAAAAAAAGTGAGGAACAAAAGGTTTAGATAACGAAGCCTTCAGTGTCCTAGCAACAGGGAACCAGATCCAAAATAACTCTATCACCATCAGAACCCAAATGAAAAAAGGACGGATATCTCTTTTTTTGATTGTTTCTTGTATTTATCATAAAAGCGTCTCAACAACTTTTCTTTTGATCTGATGAGGAGTAAATAATCAGTTCCCAACTCGTACCAATTAGTCCTCAATGTGCCATGAAAATGTAGTGATATGTGCCTCAACATATCGATCAATAATGTTAAATCAAATAAACTAAACTGTCCGTCTTCATGATTTCTCTAATTAACATCAAATTTGACTGTTTACCAAATGATGTAAAGAAATGAAACATAATGCATGTCAAGTCATTTTGATACTTAAGCATTAAAAAAACAAGTGTTCTCATACACACATGCAGTTTTGAATGATCATTTTGGTCATTTTTCTCTGGATTGTCAGAACTAGAAAAGCACAAGTGTTAAATATTAAACCAGTTATGATTTCTTCTCATCCCCTGAGAGCTCTTCATAACCTTTCATCTGTTTTTTTGCTCATTTTTTTCTCGCACTTAAGCCATTTTTTTCCAGATATATGAATGATCCAGGCGCTGTAGCATCAGCAGAGAAGCATCCCGGATTAACAAAATATTGCCCCGACTGCTGCATGATTATAAATAAAATAATTGGATGTCTTGGAAGTGTTTGCATTTTGTGACTCTCACCGTAATCCTCTCCTCTGAGAATTTCAGGGGCGATGTAATTTGGAGTACCACAGAAAGTGCTTGTTGTGTCGCCTGGTCTTAAGCCCTCCTGTAAAATAACAAAAGAAAAGAAACATCATCAGTCGTGAGATCTCAGAAGGCTGTAAACAGACACTCATGCACGCCTGAGTCTCCATCATACAGACAAACCTCACCTTGCACATGCCGTAGTCTGTAAGTTTGATGTGTCCCTCTGAGTCCAGCAGCACGTTATCCAGCTTCAGATCTCTGTAGATGATCCCCCGCTCGTGGAGGTAGTTTAGTGCCAGACTGATTTCTGCAGAGTAGAATCTGAAAGTGGATAGAAATGCATTTAAAAAATTACACAACTACAAAACAGAACAAAACAACTTTTACTGATTTCAACAAAAGTGTTCAAGTGCACAAAATAGTCTGAAACACATTTTCTGAGTAGACTGTGTACGGCGTGAAACCTGAAAAAGGCCTAAAAAGGTCAAATGAAGTCAATTTTACATTCAAATTCAGTAAATGTGCGGAACAATGAGTTCTCATCTAAATCATTCACAGTGAACGAGAGTTTGATTCTACCTGGCGTGTTCTTCTGGGAGTTTTCTTTGCCTCTGCATGTGGAACATGAGATCTCCACCATTCACATACTCAATAACAAAGAACAGTCTGGAAAAGAAGAAGAAGCACATTTTATAACAGATTATTATTCAACTTCAACACATACTGTAAAGATGCTTTTTTTTTTTCAAATGGGTCAAACATGGAGTTGTATTTCAGCTACTTTACATCTGCGAATGAAACACACAGTCCTCCTTAAGTTTATATTACTTTTTAAAACTGAACGTGAGATTCATGTAAAAAACATCTTTAAAAAAACATCCACACCTATTCTAAGTTTAGAGCGATAACTAACTAATGGAGGAATAAACCACATCTATTTTTGGTGACTCATTCTGTGATGAGCACAAATGTTTCCAAAAACTGCTGATACTAAACTGAGTTTTTAGGAGATTAAGTCATAATGAAGACCTTTCCACAACCATAACAATATTTATACTCCCTCCCAAATGTCAGCCTGACCTTAAACTAAACCAAACCTCAACCACAGCAGCGGTAATGAAGGAGACGCACTATTATCGCTCCATTTGTAATGTTATTAAACGAGAAGTTTCCTCACAGCTTCACTTCTTAAAGACGTCGTTTGATTAAAAGGCATCATTATCAGATCATAAAGGTCTTCCTTCCTGAGTGACTTTCTCGTGAGAAAGTGTGACATGAGCAGAAGTGAAGCTCTCACCTGCTTTCTGTCTGGAAACACGAGTGAAGGCCGACCAGGAAGGGGTGATTAGAGGCCTGCTCGAAAACGTGCTTTTCTGTTTGGACCCAGTCGATGTCCTGGAAGAGAAACACACAAGAACACACCCAAAAATACATCAGAGATAACAGCGTCACTGTATCCTTGAACTCGGAAGAGCTGAATAAGCATGGCGCTTTATCGACCAATCCTGGAGGCAGAGAGGCTACAGCCTGCGTCCGCGGCGGTGCGGTGCAGAAGAAAAGGGCTGAGCCAGTGGAAGCAGGAGGCGGGCTCCTATCGATGGCGGGGTGATAATATGTCTGGACACGGATGCTGCTCACGCTGACAGGGCAGGGACAGAGGAACACTTGAGCATTGATCGAAAGCCGCTTGTCAATTTGTCAATCACGCTAAGTGCGTCTAATCAAGGCTAACTACTCCCATTGCCTGTGGCTGTGCTGCTACATGTGTACGTCAGGATCAATTTTTGATGACATGATGGTTTATCTGCACCTTCTTAGGGAGACTGATGGCTTGGAAGAGGACTGTCAATTTAGCTCAAAGTGTTTCAGACGAGATAAACAAGGTGAATGTTCAATAGCATGAGACACATGTTCGTTACGCGATAAATAACAGCCTCCATTGACCGCACTAATTGTATTAATTATACATGGCTGTGACTGAAGACTGATGACTGCACTATTAAGTAACCTCCTCACATCTCAATAGATAGAGGTGATGTGTTGTTGTGACACTTAGCGGACTTAAAGGGGGCAGCGTAACTTTGAGGCATCCGTATGAAAATGTCAAACTGTATCAGATGAGTTTTAACGTCGATAGCTACAAGCTTGGATCGCCTGTTGTTGTTAAAATGAAACCAGAGTTCATTAACGGAAGTTGAGTAGTCAGAGTTTTTATTCTGCTGATAAAAAGAGAGAGACGCAGAGAGAGGCAGAGCAAGCGGCTGTGTGCGGTGAGAGAGCGGAGGGGAAGTGTGTGCGTGGGGAGAAAAACAACTGCAACCAAGCTAAGCAGATTAACGCCGTTTGTGAACTCAAATAGGGTGGAGAACTGAGAATGAACAAAAAAAAAGACAAAATACAAAATAACCTCCTGAAGGATAAGGAAATGTCAAATGAGTAAGTCTACCTGTAAGGCAAGATTTTAGCTAATTTAGGGAGATTAATCACAAAGCAAATCATTTAGTGGATGAATTTGAAAAGCCTGACAGCCCTTAAAGACACTCAGTGTGACAGAATCTCTGAGCTGCAGTCTGTTATGAGTTTCACCTCATGATGACTGAAGCAAAAAGGAATACTGACAAAAACTTAGTAGAAGAAGAACCAAGCTATCAGTCAATTTTGTCTTTAAATGAGACGTCCGAACACAAACGCAGGGAGGGAGAGAGAGAAAGAGAGAGAGAGTCTTTAACCACAGCTGACAAAGAAAGAGAAGGTACGCTAATGAATAGAAAAAAGGCAACGGGATGAACTGACAAACATCCACAATCTCCACATCTGACATCAATATGATAACTCAATCAAACCCACTAACTGGTGGAAGGGCAGACTGCACTGTTTCTGCTCTGAGGAGATAATAAAGGAAGCTTCTTTCCTTCTCCTTTGGAGAACTCACACAGCTTTTAAAACGGCTGATATTCAATCACTGCCGGGTCTTTTCACTCAGTCAGGAACCTTCGAAACCAAAAAAGGACAATTCGATTGGACCTTGAGTCTTTCTTCTGCTGTTTGCTGCTGCTTCTTCCTCTTCCCTCCGTTTTAAAGATGGTGGGGACAAACGCTACTACCCTTCACTATGAACTAATCAATTATAAAGTATTACTGAATGCATCTTTTTCTGCACAATATCAATATTTCTTTCTACCAACGCGGTTTTATGTGGCAGCCTTGCATAATATTTTTATAGAGTTTACATTTTTAAAGGCAGAGAGAGTTCGTACGGTTCCCATTCAATTCAAATCCTTTTGATTCCCTTGTTGAATAAGACGAGCCTCCGCTGTACTGAGTGGCTTTCAGCTCATATTTGAAAGCTGTCTTTGCCCCTCAGAAAGCTGAAGTACAGAGTTCCTCCTCTTATTGACGCAGAACAGAACAAACGAATAAACTGCAGATTTTCACCATTCATGATTCATTAAACAAAGCCTGACAGTGACTTCATTATCGCTCTACTGAAGGTCACACCAAAGGTTCGGGTTGAGGACTCATCAACATGATGGACGGGATGTAAATATTAAAAAACTGAAACTCTTGAAGTGACTTTTTTTTTAAATAAACACTCCATTTATCAGTTTCTTTTCTTGACTTATTCAGGGTGGAGTCATAATAAACCCATGGTTTAGTTTAGGCAGATTACCATGTTCAGTCAGTCTTGTTAACAACTTGTTAGGATTTGATTTCTTATACCTCACCATTTTTAGTTTCTTTGTAGACCCCTGTGGTATCAGAGAGAGGTAAAACAGACAATCTAAGACGGGTTATGAAGCAGAGATTTGAGGCTGCCATTTCATATTGGAGTTTGATTCAAAGTGAAACAGACAGTCAGAGCAGAATTCAATCATAACTCCATGAAAAGCAGATATATCAGTCTATCCACAGCATATTAGCTTCTTGCAGAGCCAGAATGAAAGCTGCCATTATATCAGCGTGAATACCAATATCGTTTTTTTTTACCTCATCGTCGTTCACCAGCTCCTTCTTCACCACCTTCATGGCGTAGATGCGCTCTGTTTTCTTCAATTGCACCAACAGCACCTTGGCGTAGCTGCCTCTGCCGATAACCCTCAGGAGGTCGAAGTCTGCCAGGCCCAGGCTGGAGGGCGATTTCCCCGTGTCTCGACTGCTGCCCGCCTGAGACGTCGTGAACACAGTGTGAGGCACATATCAAAGAGGGGGACCTCATACAAATACTGAGATACACATTAAGTCACCTCTAAGTCAACCTTTTCAGACTGAGTTTGAGATGAATTTCAAACATTTATACAGTCAATCTTTGTTATAACTTCCTTATGTGTTAAATATACATATGCTGCCACCAGATTCGATGGAGCACTCTTTGGATGACTTCTTTCCTCCAGATAAACCTGACTACCATTTCCACCATTTCCTCACCGATCTGCCTCTTCCCTCCTCCTGTAATTTGTCCTGCACAGAACCTTCCTCACTATCTATCCATCCAACCTCCCATCACATGACAACCCTCGTCCCCAGAGCCAGACACGGACCCCTTGATAAGATAATTTGGCTCTTAGTCTTTTATCTCTGTCTATCTGTGTCCAGCTCGATCCATTTCTATCTCATTTTCAGCTCTCCAGCTCGGTCCAACAACCCCTTCACCCTTTCCTCCGGCACCAAACTACATCTCTGACCATTAATCAGCCTCTGGTGTTAAGAGCTGTGATAAAAGGTTACTTTATTAGCCCCACCAAAGGAAATCAATACGCACACAGCACTGTTAGGGTGCCTACGTCTGCATGCGCCCTATATCACACATGCACAGCAGGTGGAAAAAGAAGAAAAATAACCCTGCTTTCAATTACAGGTGATCGTATTCTTCTCCCTTCTGCTCAAACTCCCCTAATTTCACCCTCTAAATATACATAATTCACATACTCATCTCTAGACCACATTGACAGATTGACAGACTGTGAGTCACACATCATCAGCGTTTGAAAAGATTCCTCTCTCACCTCTTTCTCTACTCCGTCGAAAGGCAAGCTTTCTCTGGGGTCTTTATGTGGGCCTGAGAGAGAGAGGAGAAAGTGACAGACAGACAGCAGGAGAGGGGGAGGCAGGAGAGGAAAAAGAAATAGGAGAGAAGAGGGAGGAAAAGGGAGGTGAGAGACAGTCACACGCTTTGTTCACAGCCCTGCAGTGCCAGTCATTTCCCTCTGCTTCATTAGAAAATACCCTTTTAGACATCCATTTTTACAATACAACAAAAGTGGCATATTTAAAAAAAACGATAACAATAAATGAACTTTTATTTTGTAAATACATGAAAAGAAGAACCACGTCTTCTCTCATCATCTACGCTCAAAGAAAGGTGTCTCTATCTCCCAGAGTTTCCGTGTAAACGTTCAGGCCGCCTGCAAATATCTTCAGCAGAAGGAGTTTCAACAGCCTCGCTAACAATAGTATCAACAATCCTAAGCTCTTTCATTCCAGTCAGCTTCGAAACCACCTGACTGGACTTAAGTCTGGTACTGTAGGTAAACCCCCAAATGCAGCTTGTAGTCTGGGTGGCCCCTTATGTCTTTTATGAGCTTATTGTATTTATTATGTATGAATAAAGCCTGGAGATATTCTACATTTCTCTCCAATTCAATTAGTCCTATAAAAAAATCTGGAACCATTCGTTAATAAATGACATAGTATGTGTGTTAATCCAGAGCATTAGGAAACACATCTGTGAGTTACTCTCTGTGCATTGTAAAAAAATAATAATTAATCACGATATATTGAGTACGAATTAACAATAACAGTCAGGAACATGTCACAACATAAGTTTCCTGTTGTAGTTTTTTGGCATGCATCTGCAATAACAGGCTACAGGATGCTACCAGCTCGAACCATTTTTCTCCTGACATTGATTACACCCCCAAAATTCACATGTGCAGTATTTTATGTACTACACTACTAGAAGTCTGACAGTGATAGATTGCATTAGCCTTTAGCTGTGGCCTAGTTTTTTCCTGAGTTGATTATTGCTCAAAGCAATCTCAACATTATGTGTGTTAATATATGAATAATACATGCATTGATATTGACGGTGTGTAAAGATTAAAATCTTGGAAAAGAGCTAAATGGCTTAAAGGTCAGGACGGCCTACTTACATAGAGCTGGTTTAGGTCTTTTATTGTTTTGGTGAAAAATCATTAAAAAACACTTTAGTGGTCTTATATTTGAAGAGAGGTGACCAGATCTAGGCTGAAGAAGCAGACTTAAAGGGATATGAAATTAATTTAGGGTCAAACACACCGTAACATCGAGTTAGACACCCCCTCGAGGGATGAATGTTGCCGACCGCTTGCTTCAACAGTACATATAGGGTTCCAGCCACAGCACTAGCCATCAAGCATCTTTTAGCTTTGCCTGATTTCTTTCGTAAAGAGACTAAACACAACTCACCTACTCTCTTCCAGCAGCCGCTTGTTTGTAGCGAGACCTCAGGCCAGTCCATTACGGACTACAGCGGGGTGACGCAGCTCAAGGAAGAACATTTATGATCATTTCTTCATGGAAATACAATCAGACCGAGACGCTAAGGCAGAAGGACGACCGTGTCTGCAGTGCAAAATTATTAATATGGTGATTACTCCTTCAAGGAAATTATAAAGAAATGATCTTAAATGTTCTTCCTTGAGCTGTGTCACCCCGCAGCGGTCCGTAATGGATTGGTCAAGGTCTCGCTAAAAACAAGCTGCTGCTGGAAGAGAGTAGATGAGTTGTGTTTAGTCTCTTTGCTAAAGAAATTAGGCAAAGTTAAAAAGATGTTTGGTGACCAGTACTATGGCTGGGACCCTATATGTTCTGTTGATGAAGTTAGGTGCTGTTCTTGGTTTTGGTTGAGGTTTGTTTATGGCTCCTCAGACTGCTGTGTATTGCTATCCTGCTGTCGTTACTGAAGTCGGTAAAACTAGAGAAGCATTGGTCTGCAACATTCATCTCTCGATGGGGTGTCTAGCTCGGTGTTACAGTGTGTTTGACCCTAAATTAACTTTACGCCAGAATATCCCTATAAGATTCCATATAAAAAGATAAGATGCCTTTCTTTTATGGGACAGGAAACGCAGAGATGGGACAGCATATGCCACATCATGCAGGAGTCAATCCTGCAGCTACTCGTGTTTTGAAATCCATTAGCCATGAACACCTTTAAATATGTGAGTACAACGGTGTTAGTGTGTGTTACCTGGCTGTTCAGTTTGGTCTAGTGGACTCGAAGGTGGACCAGGCATCATTGGTTCCTAGACAACAACATCAGTCATTAAATAGGATCAACAGCAGACACAGACCGTTGTTTATAAGTGTGTGACTCATGGCTGCTAATGGTCCACTTCATGCCGTGGAGTTTATCGTCACACCTCTCACCTGAATCATCGGTCGGCCACACTCCATCGTGACAAGTTTATGGCACTTCTTGTGCACTAGCAGTTTGCAGTTGATGCATTTGTAGCCTTGTCTTCCCAGACCCCAGATTCGGTCTGCACAGATGGCACAGTGGGCTCTCTGGAAAGTCATCATCACAAACAGAGGATACATTACACTCCAGGAGATGCTGCAGAGACTGTGATGGCTTATCGAGCATGTAGCCCTGCTGGCTGAAGATCAGATTCTGCCTGAGCCATTGTTCTGCGTCACCTCCATCCCTCTCACTCCATCAATCAATACAAAGACAAATTACTGAAGGGCAGTGAATGTCTCATTCTCCTTAAAACACATGTACAGAAACCGAAGCGGACTTCTACTCTTTTTCTATACATCAGCTTGAAGAGTGCTTCACATAAGAATCAGCCTAGAAAATGTTTTATTGAACTCAGCGTTTTGTCTCACCCTGTTAAAGCGTTTGGCCTGAAAGGCGTGACCACTGGCATAGTAAAGTTTCCTCCAGCGCCGGGCTCCACGCCGGTATATAGACTCTGTAAAAGGAGGAAAAGGAAAGCTGAGTCCTGTTCAGCCTGTGTGCCTATTTGCATGATACGATGACTTTGACCACTTTGATTTCTATGGAAACGTCAGATACAGATCCAAACAATCATTTTCTTCCATATTAGGAAGATATTTCCTCATTAACATACTGATTTGTTTACATGTCTAACTTTTTAACTTTTACACACGTCAAAAAAGTACCTCTAAAGATATGGTTGGTCTTAGCTCATATAGAGTCATCTGTTTCATAACCGGCTGAAATCTCCTCATAGCAAGTTTAAATACCTTGACGTAATACTGAACTCATTCATCTTCCACAAGCAATTTAGATAAAACTAAAGAGGTCTGACTCACTGTCTTCTCCCGGACAGGGCATGCCAGGTTTCTCTGGTACACACGGGAAAACTGGAAAACAACGAAAAAAGGAACATTTGAAGTTTAGTTATATCTCAAGGATGGAAAACAGACATCAGTGACTCTCTCCTATTACAACAGCAGCTCCAGCTACCTGCAGCAGATGTGTCGCCCCGAGCTGCACGTGAAATTCGCTCTGGTTGTTTCTATGACGTATAAAGTGTGTGTGAGTGTGTGTAACATACGGTAAAGTTTGAAAAGACACAACCCTGAAGAAGCAGACAAAGATTTTTTTTTTTTTTTTTGCATGTGCGAGAGAGATTCAGAGACAAAGATGAATCGAGTTAGACTGGGGGCAGTGTGAGTCAGAGGCCAGGCGTGGGCTCCAGCCGACAAGCTCGTTAACGAGCAGACCTGGCGACCCCCTTAGCAACACCGTCACATCCTCCCTTCCATCCCCTCCCCCATCTACCTCCTCTCTTTATCTCCCTCCGTCATGCTGGCATCAACTGTATTCTTGAACCCTCACCTCTGATTTGATTAAAACTTCACATTAACCACACACACCCCCGTGTCCCCTACCCTCAGGTTACATGCTTATACACACAGAACCTGTCAATCAAATGTTCTATTTCACTCCGCATGCACACCTTCCCGCCCCTCACCTCCCGCCCTGCCTCTGAGGTAGCCCTGACCCCTGAATTCATATACTTGTAAAACTATTTTCCAAGAATGCTCAGATGAGGGTGTGAACCAGCTCAGAGGATTATAGGCAGACATAAACAGCAGGTATAAAGTTGTGTTTACGGGTCAGTGATGCATTAGCTTTGTGTTTGATAATTGTTTTTATGTACAATATGTCGCCAACTGTTTCCATTGACTGCAGAAATAAAAAGAAGCACTATAACGTAGGGGTGGGAATCACTAGTGGCCCCATGATACAATATTATCACGACACTTGGGCCACGATATGATATTATTGCAATTTTAAATATTTAGCAACACATTGGGTATTACAATACATTGCGATTTATAGAATTTTTCAGCTGTTAAGCTAATTTAGCATTTTTCTTTGCCTTATGTTTGTCTTATTTACACCAGTGTTGTTTAGCATTTGACTGACGAAATGCTCATGAATTTTGCATCTCTGTTCGTCGTCCACCACTAACGTTTTCATCCGGTCTCGTCTCGTAAACGCACAGTCGTCTCATCACATTTTAGTCATCTAAGACTTACGTTTAGCTCGTTAACGTCACGTCTTCGTCAACACCGATTTACACAATATTTTATTTTCATGTAGCACGTCTTGCAAACCTTTTACCGTATTTTTAAGGTGCACTTAAAATCCTTTTGGATTGTCGGAGCACTGCAGCTGCCGCAGCCTCGCAGAGTTATTGAATGAGTTAAATAAAGTTTGACTTATCTGACTGTTTGGTTTGGCTTGATGCGCTTTATAATCTGGTGCGCCTTATGATCTGGTGCGCCTTATGTATGAAAATAGATGTGAATAGATGCGTTCATTGATGGTGCGCCTTATAACCAGGTGCGCCTTATAGTGCGAAAAATACAGAATATATTTGTTGTACCAACTTTCTTCTGCACTATGTTGTCACCTCTGCCAACCTCAGTGGACAAACAGTTGATTTTATTTTCCCATTATCATAGATTTGACTTCATATTAGCAATTAATCTGAACAATCGATTCTTGGTAAATGAGACGATTTTTTCTCCCACCCTTAATAACCTATGTTTACTTCTAATGAAAGTATTAGATATGACTTACTTATCCTGGCAGGAATGGAACAACCAATATTTACGTTTGGATTATGGAAAAAAATTCCAGGATAACATCCTGCATAGACCTGTGGTTTCATAAGGCTTCTGAGAGGAACTTTTAGTTTGTGTCAGTTTTGTTGTTGCCTGTTTCCAAAGAGGTTCACTGTACACCGTGTGGATGTAAAGGTAGTGTTTTATGTGTCACTTGTTTTGAATATTAGCTTCGTAAAATGTAAATATTGGCTGCTTCTTCAGGGTCTGTCAATAGTTTCAGCTGAAATCCATTCTGTAGCAGCAGATACAGACATTGAAATAACATATAGTCTTCTCTCTGATGGTTTTTAGGCATCAGTATGAATAAACTGACAGTCAAACCAGGTGTGAAAACAGAGGACTGCTGCTAACCACGCCGGTAAAACTTGTGAGATACTTTTTAAAACTCCAGAAGTAATTTAATAAATATTGTTAGTATGAGCAGCAGTGAGACCCACCATGGATAATGAGCTCTGAGTCTTTGTTGAGCTCGTAGAGGCGCAGAGCTTCTTCCAGCTCCAGCTGAGACGACACAGTGCAGGGGTCACCTAACATCAGAGATCAAACGCGGAGTTAGATACCATATTAAATACAAACACACATACACAAACAGAAAATAAAACACACACGTAAGAGCAGGCATCTGAGTGAAATTGGGGAAATCAGAAGTCAGTAAAAACCTACTTTGCCTTTTATTTGATGTATTCCTCTTCCAGGGTTTAAAATGAGAGTGTATTAATTTTAGCAGAGAGAGGAAAATAGTTTTCTCTCTTATGTTGGGAACTATTTGGACAAAAATGCAGCATATTTTCAACTTTTCAGCCAAGTAGAGTGAAGCTCTCATTTGGTTCGGCTGAGAAGCCACAATTAGTTGACCGACAGACGATGAATCAGAGACGACTGTGGCAGCAGGCATGTCATGTTTTACTCAAAGCCAAAATAGCAGAATATGTGATAGACTGAGCTTCTAACTTAATGAAGATTTAAAATCATAAAACATACAAAAACACATTCATAACAAGGAAAACATATTAAAAACTGTCAGCTTGTCTCCCGGAAGTAAACTGATGTAAAATGTTGAGAGTGGGCATCATTTGAAACCAGAGGTACAGTAAAAAAAAATTACCTTTCTTTGGGATTTTTTAAAATGTTTTTGTAAGATCAGCGATAATAATCCAGGTCCCTTTGTACTCTTTATGCAGTTTCATTTCCTCTGTCTTTTTAATTTGATTGCTCTTGTTCTCTTTTCTTCCATAATCAAGTTTTCCTTCACAACATGATCTTTAAAAGTCTGATGAATGTTACCATGTTACTTATTTGCATGACATTTAAGAGCTCAGTTTATCACTGGAAATCAACAACGACCGGGTCTCTTTCTAATTCGCAGAACATTTAAATGATATGGTTGGCATGATATTAATTGCAAAACATGAACTTTGATATTGAAAACAAGGCGTGGGTGCTCGGAAAAACACAGAGGAGTGAATTAGTACTCTTGATTTTACAACATTTTCTCTCAGCAATCAAGTCGGTCGTTAAAACACCACTCTGATGCAGATCTATTATTTCTGTATCACAAACTGCGTATGCGGCAACATTGAGGTCATCGACTCTATTTCCATTCCTCTAACTAAACTAACTAATAACAACTACAAGCCGCTGCGATATTAATAGCTGGTGGAGAGAAACTATGACACATAGTTTAGATCTCAGACAACAGAACTTGATAACAGGTTTATACGTGGGTGGACTGCGACAGTATTCCCGTCACAGGTAACATGCTGCCATCCGTAATGTCTGGTATATATTTACCTGATGGTTCAGTTGTCAGGAAGTGAGAGCATTCACCTACGTTTATGTTATGGAGAACATATAACCGGGAACTAAAAGCGGGGTTAGAGTTCATTTTGAAAAATCAAAATTCTAGCACTAATAATAGAAATACTCAAACAACACCAATACAGCAATGGTGCTTTCTTTGATATTTTATTTTATTTTATAAGGGGGTTTTCTTATTGTAAATTTTCTGTTTTATGCATCATTGCTGGAGATAGTCTTTCAATTATAAACAGCTACATTTTTACTCCATGGCTTTTAACCAAGCATGTGAGTTGTTTTTCATTTTTGCTCTTATCGTGTTTTTATGTGATTTTCATTGTGATTCTTTTATTTTAACATTTCATGTTTCTGTGTGTTTTTAACTTACTTTATCACACTGTGCAGCACTTTGCTAAACTGAATTGTTTTTTTTAATGTGATATATAAATAAAGTGGATTAGATTAGATTGGATACATTTGTTCTATTTGCGGCATGCTTGACTCTGAATACTGGATAATTCATGCCTTAAGTTGAATTTCTTACCAATTTAATAATTTCAGTGCTCTCTTCTATCTAAAATCTAAAAAAGCTGTTGTTTGTATCCTTACCCTTTTTCATTTTACAGTCTTTCTCTTGTAGAAAGAGTTACTTTTTAAGTGTTTGATTCACAGTTAATGAAGTGTGGCACTTAAACACGAGGGTTACAAAATATGGATCAATTAAGATACATGTTCCAATTATCCTGATAATGACTGGAGTTCAGATAGCAGAGCTGAATGTGCATGGTTTCCATGGATGGGGCAGTAGGTGAGACGGCACACACCAAACAGAGCACTTCATTATGACCATCAAGCAGCTTTTCTTTCTCAGACAGCCTAATGACTCCGCTGATTGTCTGTGTGTGGCCACCAGTGGGAGCTGATCTGAGGCTAATGAGTTTGGGCAGGCTGACCTTATCCTGAGCAGAGCAATGTGACAGCTCCATCTTTCCTATGACACTGTTACTGCTGCTTGAATAACTGCCTGACTACAAGGAATCGAGTCGGGGGGCTCAAATCTTACAGTCTTACAGCCAACCAAGAAAGCAGTGTGTGTTTATATTTGCACATTTGTTCGTTCTTTTTGATGAAGTCGCTCATCACTGTGGCAGGATTGTTCCAGTGAGATTAGGTTTTGGGTCTCTGTCAGATGAAAACACTGAAGCGTGCTGAGGGTGATGTACCTTCCTCGTCGATCCACTTCATGGTGAAAAGCTGGTCGTTGTCCATGGAGCACATGTCCCTCACCTCTCCGTACAGACACTCGTATGAGATGGACGGCTCAAAATGAGTAATCATGATGTCCCTACAGAGAAGACAAACATATCAAACATCTTGTTAATTGAGCAGTTGTGTTTACACTGAATCTAAGTGAACTTACTGAGTCACACGCCCAGTTTTGGATGATTTTAAATGAAATTTGATGACACTTAGGAATTTTGCTTGGACTTCACAGTAAGCCTGGATTTGGCAAAAAAAAATGATCACAATATGTTTTGTCATATCGTCCGGTCTCCTTTTTTTTTTTAACTGCTAGTTTTAAAGCATCTGTATAAAAAATACTAAAGAAACTAGAGATTAGCACAACATTTTATACACATACAAAGTAAATAACAAAGCAAACTGAATAAGATAAACTTAGAAAAATAAAAAACATTTTTACTCAACAGTTCAACAAATGTAGATAAATACTAAATAATGCAGTGGAGTGCTTTAGCAGTTTACTTCTCCAGCAACTTACAAAAGTGAGCAGGAAAAGCTCGACTATGATTGGCTGTTGTGACGCCCATTTCCGCTATGTTTGATCGAGTAAATATGCTCAGAGCTGATCACTGTGATCAAACTGAAATTAATCACGATCATCGATCATGATCATATAATCACCCAGTCCTACTTCAGAGTGTAACAGAAGCAACAGGACATTAACTGAACAGCTGAACAACAACCGAACATGTAATATGAAGAATAAAATTTGCACATTATAACAAATACATTGGATATCCAGTATCTGCAAGTATCTAAAGCTGCGTGGTAGAAGCTTGAGAGAGAGGAAGTTATATTGAGCAAACACAATAAAATTAGCATTCACAGGGTTCCTACACAGTTGGAGTCTCCATACTTTTCCAAACCCTACTCTTTAGAATTATTTTTGGAAATACCAACTTTTCTTTTTTAGAAAACAATATTTTATTTCTCACTATGGTAATATAGTCTGTTAACATCAACATTTTTCCATATTAGATTTTTCATTTACCATAATTCTTTAGACCTGGAAACTGATCAAATTACGTCCATACTTTTTTATACTAAAAACTCTAATTGAACACATTGCTGTTAAGGTAAAAAGTGTAGGAAAAAAACAGGATGTCTTTAAAAAAAAAAAAAAAACATACAATATTTATCTTTCAAAAACTTTATCTTCATCTCTTAATTAAATCACTGTCAAAATGTGCCATGCTCTATGATCCTATAGATCATCTTTGCTTGTTTGCATGGAGGTAGTAGAGCTGTATTGCCCTGTGACAATAGACATTAACCAAAGCTACGGGCAGGTGGCAGCCTAGACACAACATACGACTGGTATTTCAGGCCTGTGATCACAGAAGTATTCATACTTTTTAACCAACCTGGTGCTAACTAGCAAGGGTAACAATGATTAATCATTTTGTTGACTTCATGGCAAATACATGTTACTAAAAAATGTTGGTGTATTTTTTGTCATATCAAAAAAAAAAATCAATGTCGATGCAATAATACTGATTGGATATTGCTAATAGAGCTGCACTGATGACATTTTCATAATCTATTAGTCCAAGAAAAGCAAAATATGCAGATTAGTTTTCCTTATTCACTGATGTATTAGAATATAAAACCTGAGCTGCAGAAAACACACCAAATCCTGAATCAGAGGATATTATGTGGAGTGGATTAATCACTGAGTTGATTAATCCACTCATTGTTTTAGCAGTAATTGTTTCCTCTTTGACACCAAGTCAAGACATTACCCTTCACTGTCTGATGCACCAAAATGGAAAAATTCAAAACCACCTTTGATTGAGGGAAAAAAGGGGTAAGAGAGCGTCCCAACGACACAGTTTGAGTCACAGTCTCTCAGTCTGTCACATTAGTGTGTGTATTCATCTGTACAGCATGATTGTGGGTGTGAGAAAGAAAAAGAGAGCAAAAAAAAAAACGAGCGAGAAAGACTGCAAAGTAGCCGAGGAGAGTGAGAAACACAGTGGAGCAGAATGAATCACAGGCAGTGGGGCTGTAGTTGTGTTGTGACCGCTGTGGTTAAGGATCACTGTCCACCACTGCACTCCATCAATTCCTGGAGAGAAGGGGGGAAAAAAAAAAAACCTTCAACACTCGGCTTACTGCTCTTAATCAACAACTCCATCACTCTCTACAAGCCCCTCAGCTCGCACAAACACTGCGGTGAGACCCGGGATAAGGAGCCAAGTGGTGGGTGACCGAGAGCATCTCCCCTTGAAGATGGGATCATCTGTCCCTCATCGCCTGATGGTGGCGTAAAGGATTGATGTCACCTGCTCTAGGCTCTTTGGCCAGTCTGTGCTGTGTTTTACAACCCAACCATGGGGGGATGGAGATGGTGCACACATGAGCTTTTATTGGTCTGCAGGCGTCAGGGGTCTGAGTTTGTGTGTGGGGGTCACTGGAGACAGAATGGACCAGACTAGAGGATAAGCACAGTAAAGATGGGGAGTAAAAAGGAGAGTAAAGAGGGGATAATGTGTAAAATATGTCCCAGCAGCAAGGACAAGAAAATCACCCTCTTTACTGTGGTCGTCAAGATGGGCGCAGTTTTTTTTATCGATTCCAGAGCTTTACAGCGGGATGATAAAATCCAGACACATGAAGTAAACAGCACACACTTTCAAGGACATCTCCCGTACAAGAGCATGGACAGAAAAGAGCGTAAAGTCACCGCAGGGTCAGGACTGAACACACACAAACAGCTCCAGACTGGGATTTATAGAGGATATTTATTGTTGTGTATTTTAGGAGTAAAGCTCATGATAGTACTCTATTGTCTCCACACTGCGAGTCCTTCACTGTCTCCACTGAATATCACACATCGAGAATGAATGAGGCTTTCTGATTAAGAATAAACTGACGTAAGGCGCAGACTGATTCCTCCTCCGCCACCTCCTCCTTGTATTTTCTCACCCTCTTCCTCCATCCTGCTGGTGTTAATCATTGCCTGTGAGGAGGGGGGAGGAAGAGACTGATAGGTACACTCCTACAGCCTGATCCAGGACCAGTGTAGCAGCTCTACTTCCTCTTAAAGCCCTGATAACATGAAAGATAAACAGAGCATAAACAGCCGCACAAATGTGAAACTAAAGGTTCCCACAGAGTGACTTCAGATGATCCAGGCAGCGTTATTACTGCCCAGCAGGTGACTTTAACTCTGTCACATGCAACAAGACCTGAGCCGTGGGTGTTCATTAAACACTGTGAGTCTACACTGTAGTTAAAGTTTAGCCACGTCTCAGTGGCCTCACACAATATCCTCTGTGACACAGATACGCGCTCAGCTAATGGCTGCAGCAACGCCAGAAAAACAGCCGAGTCTTGAAAGTGATAAAAATAAATTAGAGGCGGGAAGACAGAAAACTTTCACCTCGTTCTTTTTTTTTTTTTTTTTCCCAGTTCAGATTTTAAATGTTGTAAAGAGCTCAAACTGTATATAAGCCAATTAAAAACTTTACTTCAAACACCCAGGATAATAAACACCCAGGATCTGTGGGTCTATATTTCTGCTGTTACTGTTAAAAAACACAGAGCAGACTTTCTGTAGATTTTGATATGATAAGCAAAGATTTGTTGCTGCTATTTATCTTATACAATGTGATTCTTGTTTATTCTTGGGAAACGTGATGGTGCATTGTTTTTATTCTATCAAAAGGTGAAAATAACAAGCATTAAGAGATTACCTGAGAACTAATCCCTGAATTTTCAGACAACAAAAGGTGTTTTAATTTGCCCTTATTACCCTGGCCTGTTCATAGTTGTATACGACTTTATCATTTTAAATTGACTGTTTTTGAATATTGGATCATCAACGGATTTATTAAAATATCATAACCTCAGTAAACTCTGTACTTGCAGGGACATTAATTAACTTTTGTTTGTCATGATGTAAAGGCACACTCTATTACTGTGTCCCAACAAAACTAATGATATCACAGTCAGGATAACCAATGGGTTATCAGCAAAAAAATGAATATCGGATTATATCAGCCTGCGTCTAAAATCTTCGATATCGGCACTCCAATACAAAAAGTCCATTTCAAACTTCGCTCCAGCACCCGGATCCTGCATGTAGAGCCCATGTGATCACAACAACAGTGTACTAAGGTACGCACAAAGTAGCAAGGAATACCGAGTGATGTCGGCTGTGCGGCGTATTTTTCGTTAAAGTCCGAAAAAGACATCGCAACTGAGTGCAAAACTTGTCATGCACAAGTTTGTGCAAATACCGGTATTGGTATCGGCCAGTACTGAAGGCTCCAATATCAGTATCCAAGGTAAAAAAGTTGTGTTGGGACACCCCTAGTGACAGGCCTGTCCTCTCAAGTTTTTGCCCTGGTTTGACAGAAAATATGGGGAGTAGAAAGTAAGCGATGACATGCAGCAAAGAGTCTCAACTAAGTGTCTAATCCGTGATCACTCTAAGAAGAACTGCAGCCACGATACATCAGATGTGTGCTTAAACTGCTCAACCTCCTGAGTCTATATGACCCTGTGCTGAACTACAACTGAACACACACAAGCTACAATAAGTTATGACATAAAGACACTTAAGAACACAGTAAATAAAGGGTATATATATAATCATTCTATTTACGTTACAAAAATGCTAGTTTTTGGCGGCGATTGTAGCTCTTTTAAGAAATGAAATCTGAATCAGCCAAAACCGGATCCTGTATTTTTGGTTTCCTGTAACTTCTTTGCAGGAGCAGAATATAAAACACAAACTGGGAAAAACTAAAAGGACCGAAAGACAAAATGATTTTACCTACAGCTCTTCAAATGACTGAACTAAAGTGAAGTGAAAGTGATTATTGCACATCAACCAACAAAGCTGATTTGATCATTATTTCCCCGCTCCCTTTGATCTGGAAAAGCGCGTGAGGCAATCCTCTGTTTTTAAAGCATCTTTAAGAATGACTTTACATTCATAGGAGAGGAATCTTAAATTCTATTCAAACAAACGAGACAAAGAAAAGCGAGCTGTTCGGATTCCTCGGGGTGATTAAGGCAGAAAGATTCTGCAGCGAGAGACCGGGAGCTCGTCACTGGTGAGAGGCTGGGAGGAAGTGGCATTCCACAAAGACCTGGCATTCCTCTGCTCTGCACCGTCCTACAGTACAGCTAAATTAAAGTGGGAGGAGGGGGGAGGATCGGGAGGCGAGGAGTGCTGGCCTATGCTCCTGGCGTCTGAACTGCTGTGAGTGGAGGCTCTGCAGCTCCATCTGCTCAGCATGAGGCCATTCGTCACTGGTGAGCGCTCAAGCAGTGAGAAGGGCCTGAGTGCCTCTCTGGGCTTCCATGAGCACCCAGGACCATCCATCTGCCTGTCAACCGTGCCATGCATGGGTGTGCCCCCTGAAACACCTTGTACAGCCTCTGTGCACGCTCTTGGATATCCAGAATCCAATCTATGCACAGACACGTGCGGCTAAAAACAAAATATAGAAACACAGGAGCTGAGTTAACCAAAAACAGCCACACGGACACACCCGATTCACGCGAAAACACCTGCATCGTCCCACTCCACCCCCGCTAAGGTCAGGGTGAATGAGACATAGACTGCAGGATGCTGTTGTCTCCAGGCAACACGGCCCACCTGTAGTGCAAAACAGGAGGGAGTCTCGCTCCGTGCAGCACAACAGCACCAGCCAAACACGCACGTCAGCGGAGCCTGAGACAAGGTCGCTCATTTAGACAAACGAGACGTGTGTATGCTAACACATGTGTTGTACAAACAGGGTGTGCAAAGCGACAACAGACACGTCTCTGTGTGTGTGTTAACAGCAGCTAAGAATCGGTGAAACTTAAACCCGTCAGCTACCGTCACGGGCGAAGAGCGGATGGGTGGTTGAGGGTTGTGTGACTTTGTGGTTCAGCGCTTGAAGGGCTTTTAAAGCAAAAGTAAAAAGCAGGACAAGGAACGCTTCCCATATTTTGAACAAAGCCCAGCCTTGAAGCCTTGATGCAGATGGCAGGGTCTTTGAAAAGCAGGAGCAACTCCCCTCAAAAGACTAAAATAATTGAACTGCTCCGTCGAGCCAGAGTAATCCCAGTTTCCTGCCAAACAACATGCCTTGCACAGGAATCCTAAAGTAGATCTGGCACATAAGAAGCCTTGTGTTTTTAGATGTTGGTGAGTGTGCAAAACAGTCAGTTTTACTTCCACAGCATGGTAAAAAAAACACTGCCGCTGAAAAGAAGAATGTCACCAGTCTAAATGAGGGATGACTTTCACTGTGTTTCCAGACATAATCTGAACAGAAAGTCAGATTTTGTATGAAGTATCTAAGACATCCTTACTTGTGATGAAAAAAAGAAAAAGAAAACAGAGATTAGTGTCAGAGCATTGCTGTCCTCAGCACACACCAACACATTCTTCTGCCTAGACAAATATTTGCTTAAAAACCTGACCAACTCTTCAGCAAACACAGAAGATGCTTTGTTTTCAAAGAACAGGACATCGTAAAAAGTATACCATGTATATAGTAGAGCGATCCAGTGCTGACATCTGGATCAAGGTTGTTAAGGTACTTTCTCCTATAAACTGAACTGTCTCTATGAAACCGCAACAGTTTTATATTTACTTGATATTAAAGATACACTGGCTGTGAAAATTACAGCTGATACAGATGAGTTTTGTTATGTAACTCTTCAACTCTTCTTGTCAAATAAGCTTTGAAATTTGATGCAAGTAAACAGTCACTCCTCTCAATGCATTAGTGGACCAGGGCTTACAAACTCTATGAGGCTGATCTTTCTCATAGATGATTTATTACTGGTGATATTTCCTTTCACATTTGACCACGAAAGCAAATCAAAGGTCGTCCTTTGAAGCGACTTCCTCAATCCAATAAAAACCCTCCTCTTTGAATTAGCATTTTTGTAAACTAGCTTGCCAACATTTCACTGATGTAACAAAGACAAAGAAAAGACGGGATAAGATACAAAGAGTACAAATAACTTATCAACTATTGATCTGTCCGATCCAATGCTGATATCACCAATCAGACACTGTACTAGGGCTGGGTGATATGGGTAAAAGTTCATCATGATATATTTTTTTCATATTAGTCCATATCAATATATATCACAATACAAAAACTGAAATTTAACAGTGCTTACAATAAGCTACAGCATCTGTGAAGTCTTTGTGTCTCTTCAACGTTTTGTCGTACGGCGTTGCACAAAGCAGACCCACAACAACTTTCATTTTCATTGGCTATTCATAGAGTCCACCTAAACATGGCAGAATGCCGACTATTGAAAAGCATATTGACCATGTTTATATTGATATTGAGGGAAATTCATTTTCAAGATATATCATTATCATTTTATCACCCAGCCCTAAATTGACTCAAAACCTTCCTCTTTCGGAAAGTCTACCCGGACTAATTTTATCTGATTTTATCTGCTGACTGTTTTTATTGTTTTTCCCTGTTGCTGGATTTAACTGTTATTGTTGTCTTTTTACTGTTATTGTTGTCTTTTTACTGTTATTGTTGTCTTTTTTTTCTGTTTTCGTTGTGCACTTTGAGATTTGTTTTCAAATGTTAAGTGCGTTACAGATAAAATCTATTATTATTATTATTATTATTATTAAATTGTACTTTTCAAAGCTGATTATAAATGAGTTAATATGTGTCTTCACTCACTCCGTTTCACTGTGCCTCATTGTCAAAGAGAGAAGCAGCATGCACTCAGAGTAGCTGAAAAGAGAGGATGATTGAAAAACACTGAGGGATTTCTTTTGAAGGCCGCCTAACTTTATGGAAAATATAACTCCTGAGGTTGGCAATGGCTTTGTGGTGGATGTAGATGAACCAGCGGCTAAGAAGAGAGTGGCTGAAAGACCTTGAACATCTCTACTGTGGAAATGGCACAATCCGCTGCCTTTACTGTAAAGCATGTAGGTCAGAGGTAGAAACTTATACTCTATTCTTTACAGTTTTTTTTTGTATTTGTAGTGCTCCTTAATTTTCATCAGTTGCTCCTACACTTTGCTGGCACTCTTATCTTTTTGAGGTAAAGCCCCAAGTAAAAAAAGTGTATTTCAAGCAAGGCAAACTGGCCAATACCAACGTTCAAATGATAAATCACTAATGTCCCTACTTGATGACTTGCTATAAGAAGCAATGCAGAGCAATGACAGAAAGCTGCGAGGCGATTTTTACATTTTCAAACCTTCAAGCATGAGTGTCTTTAATTCACACCTACTATAGTATTCATTAGGATTGAACAGCTGATGGTGTAAAAAAAAACTATAGGGTCAGAAAGATTTGCATTTATGAGGCTAGCACATAAGAGAGGATTAAAGCACAACATAAAACAGTACATAGCAGTCCATAAACCCTTAACTGTTTCCTTTATCCCTCAACAGTGTGATGAATGTTTTAAAACGGGGGCTCCAACAATGCTACAGCACTAAAGACAAACGTTGATTAATTCATGTCTTAATCCAAACAGAATAAGGAACTTTGATTCAATTATAATAAGCCACTCTGTGTTTTGCCAAGATAATCAATAACTGTTGTTGTTGCAGCCCTACCACCTTACATCTGTTCATTTACGGTCCCTCTATGACCCTGGACAGTATCAGCCTCTCTGTCAGTCCCCTGTCATGTGCTCTCAGTGTACATATATGCAGCTCCTTCTAATTGACCATCAGCCTGAATGAGAAGATGAAGACGAGCCAGTGACAGGCTGAGACTGCTACAGGCTGACACCAGTCTGCTGCTGCTGGCGCTGACTGACCACAGACATGCAAATGAGACAGAATGAACTGAAAAACGACACTAAACTGAAAATAGATGAGCTGAAACACTACCGCAGAGCGAGGCCACAAAGACGGCCAAGTTTCATTGGGTGTTTTACACTTTTAAAAGGATGGGAAAGTTTCTAAACTGGCTGTTTTAATGATCACCATTAGGAGACACGGAAACTGTGCCAATCAATGAGATGAGCTGCTCTATTGTTTGGATGGCACACAAACCTGCAGACTCTTGGGCTTTCTGTCTCATGGTGAGGACTGGGAAGCATGTAACCAAGGGCTACAGACATTTTAATTCTAGCGCTTATTTAACTGCTGTTGATTTGAACAATAAATGACTTGAATCAAACATTTAAACTCCCAATTACCTTTATGGAGCAGTGAGCTGTTCGTTAAATATCTCGTTATCTCTGACTATGGCCTAAAACTCAACACTATTTAAATTAACACAACAACAGAGAAACAGAAAGTAAAAATTCTGACATTTGTTTAGGTTATAACTATGGCCCGACCGATTTATCAGGGAGCAAATTAAATCGGCCAATTTTAGCCCGTTTGAGACTTATCGGTAATCAGCCAAAACACACAGATTTTTGCCGATATTTTCAGAAATAAAATGAGGAGAATAAGATTTGGTTTCACCTCGAAAATTTTCCTCCATTTGAAAAGATCCCTCAACTTATCCAGTAGATGGCGCAGCCGAGTTAACGGTGAAGCACCACATAATATGCAAGCTAAAGTTAGAGTAAGCCATCTGCTTTCTGGTCGAGTTTGATCAGTCAGTCTTTCTGTCGGCATGAAAAGCAGTAACCTGCAGTATATATATAGTATATAGTAAACTGTAGATATCTACAGTATATATAATTATATTTTTTATAACTTCATAAAAATTTTGAGAAAATCAGCCCATTATTTGGTAATCAGATCCCCCCCTTAATAATCAGTTTCGGCATCGGCCCCCAAAAATCTATATCGGTCGGGCTTTAATACAACAACAGAGAAACAGAAAGCAAAATTCTGCCATTTGTTAAGGATATAACAGTAAATGTGTCGCTTATTATGGATCTTACCATTGAAGTTGTAGATTTTATTTTTTGGCTGGTTAACTGTTATTAAAAAGGCAGCCAAGCTTGAGCTGTTCAGCTGCTGTAAATCTGTACTATTAGAGTTTGAATTTGATAGTAAGTGCTGACGCCTTTGTATTTTAAAGTGTGCACCTTGAGTCAGCACCAAGTGTCTTGGAGAACTTTTTAATCCTTTGTCTTGGCTCATTAACTAATCAATAATAGAGATATAGGCTCAGCTTTACTAATTTCACTCCATATAGGTGTCGTTTTTTGGGGGGGATGGAGGTGCAACAAGTAGCTGAAAGAAATCAATACACCAAAAAGTTGCAGACAAATTAAAGAGTGGATTATTTGTTGGTAACATCACTGCACAAGGTTTTTATGCTGAGCAGACATATCTTATCTGGAACCGAGTTGGGGAGGGACAAGCCATCTCGCATCCTTAATATCTCTGCTGAGAGTGAGGTATGCAAACCAGGAAAAGACAGGCAAACAAAACGCAGCTTTTGAACTGGGCTGAGGAGCATTTTACTGTTAATCCTGCAATGGAAAGAAAGTGCAGCTTGCAGGATCTGTAAACAGGAACTCACTTATCATGAGGGCACATCAGTAATTTTCATGTGTTTGTCAGGAAGACACGATGGATGTGGTTTTTTAAAATGGGAACTGTGACATTCAGTGTAATTGTCCTCCGAAACCATTTAATCTTTCTCTCCTTCTTTTCGTTTTATTTCCACCTTTCCCACGACATAACACTAGAGCAACTTTGACTACATTTCAATAGTAACCGCACTAAACATTTAAACAAAAACATCCATCTTACACGAACACTATCTATGTAAAAACAGCTTGGACTGGCCTGTGCACATTCAAATGTTAATAATTTACAAAGTTTGTTGAAGTTGGTTTGTCACACTTTTGTTAAAATTAAAAAAGGAAACACTACAAGCATGCAATACCACTTTAGCTGGCATATTCATATGATGAAATCAGAGACCAGTCTCCTACTCCTGACTTTCACAACCTTTCAGACATCCTGCCTTAATGCATCCTAATAGCCAAACAACAAGACTAATTTGCTGCTTTCCCGCCTCGGCAACATAGCCGAGATTCCTCAGCAGCAGCCTCATGAATACTTGAGATACTTTGTTCCGTCGGATGACACCTAATGATCAACACACATTACAGAGATCCTTAGGTGTGTCACACAGGCGCAGAGAAATAGAACAGGTCTGGCTGAGGTGACTTGCACTTCACGTTTTTCAAGTCTTGGCTGCGCTCCAATCATTGCCTTCATCTGGCAGAGACAGAGGGACAGGGAGCGGCCTGAGAACAACTGGGTGACCAATGATTTCCATTAACACATCCAAGTGCGAAACTAAAACAGCTGATCTGCCTTTGCCAGGCGGGATATGACTAAGTATACCCTCTGTGTGACACTGATACTAATGTTTGTATTGTCTACTATTTGTCTTGTGTCGAGTTTGCAATACACTTAATTTAGTTTGGTCAAACTAAGGTACCACAAAGGTGAAAGCTTGGACAATAAATCAATTTGCAGCAATCATGGGGGTTAGTTGATGATACGAACTAATTTGTGGCATTATGAACTGGGGAAACTTATAGCCAAAATGTCAACAATGTGGAAATATTTTTAACTGGAAGGTGTAATATAATTGTTATGCAAGGAGGAAGCGAAAGCGCTGACATTTATGGTTTGTTTTCACCTGTTGAACCATATGTTACCAGAAGCTGCCATAAAAGCAGTAGTTGTGGTTGTAATCAGGTTGGTTTTTGGTAAGTCCTGTTATAAAGATTAAGCCAGAGCTTCAGTTTGACTTGGATGGCTTGTTTATAGTTTCTTATTAAGTGTGTACATTCGAACCCAGAACGCTCTACAACTAATCATGCAACTCTGACTTTTAAAATAAAGAAGGAAATATATTGATAAGAGAGCAAAAAGGCCAAAGTACCACAGGTGATTAAATAGAAGGTGGTTGGATTCATCATTTTGGACAGAGTACGTTGTTGTTTATCACATTTATCTCACATTTCTGACACTGCCTGACCAGAATGGCACAGCGAAACCAGATTCAAAACAAGATTTGACTTCCAGTTGTTGTAAAAACAAACTTTTTACAGCTCTAGTTTCGTCACATCATTGCAAAGCCTCACACTTCTACATTTAAGACATCTTTTGGTAAATTTGTGGTGTGCAGCTTTATTGTCTATTAGGGATGGGAATTGATAAGATTTTATCGATATCGATGCCATTATCGATTCTGCTTATCGATTCAATTCTTTAACGATTCCCTTATCAATGCCTTTCTTTGATTTCTTTGGTTAACTCCAATTTGTATTGTGTCTCTGATAACAGTAGTCTAAAAATATTCGAACAACAAACTAAAAGTACAGTGTTTGCTTCAGTCGTTATTAAGTCAAATTAGGGTGACCATATTCTGGATCCCCAAAAAGAGGGCATTACTAAGCAGTGTCGCACACAAAATTTCGAGTTTTTTTTGGGTCAGGTTGAGGGTTTTTGATGCGCTTCTAACTCAGTTAGTCCAAGTCTGCCATGCATTGTGCTTATGTTAACACAGGACAAACGTACCTTCCAAGGAATCATTAAGGGAATTGTTAAGACGAAATGTAAACGATGTCGATGGATTGAACCATTTGGAACCAGTTCTCGGTTCCCATCCCTATTGTCTATGCAAATATCAGATTGAAACTCTGTATTTGCTGATACCCAAAATCAGAAAATCAGATTAGGATTGGGGCCAAAAAAGACAATCTAGACATCTTTAAAATGCACAGGGTTTCTTTGTTGACATGATCAAACAGGTGATAATTGTTCTCCTAATTTGATGCTGAAGTTGTAGAGGGTGGAGTAAACACACTTAGAGTTGTTGCTGATATTTTACCGCCCTGTGTACAAATTATTAGGAACACCTGTCTTTATAACACACTTCGAGTCCATCATAGCAGTACAATAATCCCCTGTCCAGCCATGTCAACAAAACCTGAAGATTTGCTGTAACAGTCAGCAAGGCTGCAATGTTAATGAGTAAACAAAACCACACCAGGCTGGTTGTAAACCCTCTTAAAATTGGGATAATTAAGTTATTATAATACAACATTGACTGATATAACAAGTAACAAGCACTACAGTGAGCTGACCGAGCACTAAGACAGGCTTCAAAGATTAAAAACTGTCTGAATTAATCTTTTAGCGTCAACAACAGCTAGTAAACAACCCAACAGCCTCACTATCTAGTTTCTAATTCCCTTAAATGCCACAGAAAATCCCGGTTTTTCGCCAACAACGCGTCTGGATAGTTTCACCTGTCTGTCTGTCTGGTCAAGTTTACCTAAACCTGGTACCCAACGTTAGCGAGCCGTTAGCTGAAGCTAATGTTAGCCAACTGGTTAGCCAGCTTTCACAGTCTGAAACTGACCCACAGTTTGGTTATTAAGAGAAATGCTGACAGCGTGAAGTAACGAGGGATTTCTTACCCTTTATAATAAGCTTTAACCCGGACTTGGTGGGAATTCTCGCCGGGGTGGGACATGGTGCTGTCCCGCAACGTCGGCATCATAAGCTCCGCCGCGGTGAGTCCGAGTCACCGATGCCTCTCTTCCTTCCTTCTTGGGCTCTCTAATTCAACACCACGCTCGAAACACTGTGTGTGTACAGTCCGTCGACAAACCGGGTAACGAATTAGGCTATCGTGGATAAAAGTTGTGGATTTAGCCTTCTAGAGAGAAACAAAAATAACATGTAAAGTAAAGAAAAACTTGCGGGATCCGCCAAACAACTCCCTACTGCAAAGGCCTAACGACGGGCGAGTCCATTATCGGAATGCTGGGGGGGGTGGCACTTAGAGACATACCAACTTCTAAACTGACTCTATGAGAAATATGACAGTCAGGTAGTTTAAGTGGATATTACCACGTAGATTTCCGAACTAAAGATGCTTCACAATTAAATAAAGCGTGATTTAAATCTACACAAATCTGGATGCATCGTTTGCCACTTTCCGATTGTACCAACAGACGGTTTGTAGTGGGTGAGTGCTGCCTTCAGGTTCAAGCGTCTACGTTCGGAAATCGCAGAAGCCCTCAAGACATGTCGCGCTTTCAGGTGCTTTGATTCGGAAATAACTTCAAAATTGACCCGTAACAAAAGCTAACGCATTTCTTTCTTCGGTGGAGATATTTTTAGAAATGATGAGCTCATGTTGGACATCCTACAGATGAAGAGTAATAAAACGAGCAGAGGGCATGTGAACGAGCCATTTAAAGACAGAACGACAATTCCCACAAAATCACGACAAAACAGAAGTCAATATTAAACTTATATTTTAACAACTCTAATGGGATTATTTTACATCCATGGGTATAATCACATATCATTCATTTACTTTCAATGATTTAGTTCAAAATAAAAGGCTTTAATCGATCAATAAAAATCAATATCGCTGATGCTTGGTCTAATTTTAAGACTCAGTATTATATTTTTCGCATATTATGCATTGCCTTCTTTTTTTATCTTACATAATGACAAACTGCTGTAAAGTGCATCCATTTAAAGGACATGTAAAGCTGAACTTGCACTTAAGCAAATAGTAAAAAAGCACTTACCACCACTTACGGTGCGGTTAACAAAAGTAGGACCAGATTTTTGCAAATAAATATTCTTTTACTGCAACTTCTCATCTTAATGGATTTTTTCAAACATTGCAAATTCCCCTAATCTTGTTTGTCTGATAGGTTCACATGAAATTTTGTTCATGCACAACTGCTTGGGATGCTTTATTAAAAGATTAAGGATGTCTGATATCAACTTATCAAGGATTTTTTAAATGCCAGCTTCCTCCAGAGTTCAAAACCTCGTCCCCTTGAGTAAAAGAGGGTTTTTTTAACCGCAGGAAAATTAAATAAATAAGTTAAAACAACTCAAAGTGATTTAGAGCCTCACGTTAACCTGTTGTAGCCTACATCTCCGGGGCTCTTCCCCCGTACAGCAGGAGCGCAGCGGGCAAACCCGGGTTGTGGAAGGTCCTCCCGCACTGCGAGCGGTGCTGTGTCTGTCTTTTTTATATACTGCCTGATATACAGCGTCTGATGTTTATTTTTTAATCTCCATTTTTTTCCCACAGTAGTGGCGCATCCGTAGGCTCTCCGTGACTGGGACAATGTGCCGAGCTTTTGTGAGCTCCTGATGGCCCGAGTCTATCAATACCAGGCAGGTAACGCCGACAAGAGGTGGATGAATGTGCATGCATAGAAAGCTACGTGTGCATGAGACAGAAACAGACGGATAGACAGACAGACAGGCGGACAGACAGGGTCTTACACCCTGATTATTCACTGAATAAGAGGAGCTTCTCTGCTGTCTATGAATTTAAGCTCATTTGTGATCTTTGAGGGTTTTTATCGTCAACATCCTGCCGGTGTGTACTGGAAGTGGACAGAAGCAGCTCTGCAGCAAAAAGCAATCAATATTCAAGCTGCCATGGAAAGGACTGTTCAGGCTTATGGGACAAAAGAAAAAAAGATTTATTTATTTAGATTTTTTGTGTCTTGTCTGAGGTTATTAGTTTAATATCCTACATATATAATTCATGTCTATGAGCAGCTGAAATTCAAAACAGTTTTTTTAGCCCCATTGTCTGATTTTTCCATTTGTACACATGTGAAAGCTGCACAAAAAGCTAAAATACTACATTAAATTAAACCAAAATATAAATTATTAATATTCATAATATACCTATTAAGTATACTTTAATACTTGCCACAATTGTTACATGCATGCACTTTCAAATGTCATCATTGCACCTTTATTAATACTGTATTGCATTTATTTGCACTATTATGTCCACTTCAGGACTGCCATACTGTTTACATTCACTTTCTTTCACTCACCTTCCTCCTTATATTTACACTGCACACAGTTTTTACTGTTATACTGTTTATATTGTTATCTTTATGTGAGTATTTAAGGTAGTCTTTTGTTTAGCTTAGTTGTTTATTCTATATTTATACTTTTATAGTTTTATTCTAATAGTTTATTAGTTTATTTTTATTATTGTTATGCACCGTAGGTCTGAGAGGACTGAAATTTCATCTGTGCTGTTAGTTTAACATGTATAGCATATTTGACAATAAAGTTGACTTTGACTAAATTGTCAAGAGAAATAAATCAATCTTAATTTATTGCAAAATATATATTTTTTTGTGATACCTGCAGAAATTAGTAAACTTATAGAAGTTTGAACTATATAGTATTATTATTATTTTAAATAATAGCAAAACAAAAAATCACAAATAAAAAATATATCTCATAGATACAGATCAACTAAAAATAATGTTTTGAACCAGGTGTTTATTGTCTTTATCAGTCTGAATAACTTAAATCAAATATTTGTGACTGTATATAAATTTACTTTTGAATTAATTTCCTAAGGGGTGTAATAAATTATGATCTTAACTAAGATGCTTTAAAGTAATTTTTCCCTCAGTGTATCAAATATACTGTAGATGAAAAAGTTTTCATATTGTGGATCAATAGTGCATATAGATAGATATATGTAAGACCATAGATATGCCTTTCAATTATGGCACAGACATTTTCTTTTTGCAGGTTTGCATATAAAAATATTCAATATCTTGTATTAGTGTCACTGATTTTCATATAAGACTCACAACAAAGGTCAAACTGCTGCATGATATTTATGTCTTTACTAAATAAATTATTTTTTTGCATGAAGATGATCCAGAAAATTAAAACTAAAGTACCACAACTGCACCAATCTAAAGTTATAACAGATAAATTTAACTTTCTCCAATTAACAAGTGTCTATTTCACCTCTTCAGTTTTCCCGTCACTGAATGTCTGTGTGACCTCAGAAATGGAGAGACAGAGCCCAGAAGAGAAACAGACAGACACGAACAGGACACCGGCCACCACCACCCCCATCACATCAGCTGCTGTAACCACGGCAACAGCCAGCTCTAGCAGCACCATGTGCACCCAGGCGCCCTCTACCTCCCTCAGCATCGTCTCACCAGACAGGCATGCAGTCCAGGTAATAGACAGTGTCAAAGACCTCTGCATATTACAACTTCCCTGTAGGACAGTTCAGGAAATAAGACAGTGTCTTTGACCGCTGCATATATATTTTTCATATAAGTACTCAAGGTAATAGATAGTAGCTGTGAGCACTGAATAAACTACGTCATGTGATCAAAAGATAGGCTAGAAAATACACAGCAACTGTCACCCCTGCATAGATTTTACACTCCAGGTAATAGATGGTACCTATAACCTCTTTAGGCATTGTTTTCTCAGACTGGCAGGCAGTCAGAAGACTACATATTTCCTGGGACCTCTAAATAAATTGTCTTCGGAGAGGTCGAGTTTATAGACAATATCTGTGACCTTTGGAGGAATTATTTTATTTTACTGGCAGGCAGCCTTGCTGATAGTCAGAAGGTTACCTGCTGGGATTTCTGCTAGTATTGCACAAAGATAGGTAATCAGCCAGGCAATAGACAGCCGCTTTGGCCCCTACATGCATGTTAAAATAGCCCTGGAAATAAACTGCGCTTTCAGCCTTTCAAGCATCATTTGACTTGGTAGATGAAAAAAAAATGTTAGTGTCTTTGAAATGATTGCTTCCTTTGTTTGAGATCCAGAAATTACACAGTACCTGGGAGACAAGTGGTGATTAATTAGACAGGAGATAGTCCAGGAAGCAGATTGTGTTTTTCGAAATCTGCAGACCTTGGTTAATTTGATTGGCAGGTAATCCAGATAAAAGGAACCTTTGCATGTATTCATTTGAAAGAGAGACCAGGTAATAGACAGGAACAACACTTCCATACCTTATTTTTCACTTGAATGGGAATAAATCAAGATAATAGATGGTACTATAGATGGTAGATGGTAGGCAGTACATGAGACCTCTGTATGCATTGTTTGATTTAACATGAATTCAGGTCATAGATGGCACATTGGAGCTCAGCAGGCATTGTTTTACCTGACAGGTGAGCAGGTGATGGATGATGTGTCTACTTGAGAAGGTAATACAGAATGTAGAGAAAAGCTAAGTGAAATCAAAAGCCCTCAATGCTGCTGTGAAGTTGGTTCATCTAGATTTTCATTTTGAAGATTTAAGATGATGTTGGTTTGGATTTGATCTCTATATAACATGGATGATTGAACCAGTTTTTTAAGGAATACTCTGATCCAAATGTCAGAGTCCTTCACTTCTTCATTTGTCTGTGCAAGTTAAACTAAACTCAAAAGGCTGAGCTACAGATAATGAAGTAAAATTCAATGGCTGTCTGTCCATCGTGTTATGCAATAGGTGATCCAGCATGCTATCCACAGACCTCAGAGCATGGCAGCTCAGTACCTGCATCAAATGTACGCAGCCCAGCAGCAGCACCTCATGCTGCAGACAGCAGCCCTGCAACAGCACCAGCACAGCCCCCACCTGCAGAGCCTGGCCACCATACAGCAGGTCAGAGTCATTCATGCAACTTTAGACATATGTATATTTTTCAACATGAGCTTTAGTATAACCTGCTTTCTGGATGTTTCCCAGGCTTCAGTGTGTCAGAGGCAGTCGCCTTCATCATCCAGCAGTAGTTTGGTTCATCAGCCTGCGGGCTCATCTGTAAGTTTCTGTGTTCTTGCAGATGTTTTATTTCTGCTCTGAGCACAAAGAGAAACCTCTTCATCTTCCTCTTTTCACTCTTCATTATTTCCCAGATCACACTCCCAACATCTCCTGTAACAGCTCAGCTGATTGGCAGAACACAAACATCGAACTCTGCCAGCGCCGCAACCTCCATATCCCAGCAGGCGATGCTCCTGGGAAACAGACCGTCCAACTGTAGCCAAGCTCAGATGTACCTCCGAACTCAGATGGTAAAAAAGCTTTCCAAATGTCCTTTTTCTGTTCCCACTGGATGCTTTTTTTGTTAGTTTTATAATTCATTCAGTTTCTATCTGTTTTTATATTTATTTAATCATCTTGCCACCTGTCTCTCTCTGTGCTCTGTGCTCCTCTTCTCTCAGCTCATTTTGACCCCTGCAGCTCCTGTGGCTGCAGTTCAGTCGGACCTTCCTGCTGTCACCTCCTGCTCCTCACAGCCTACCTCCTCTCAGGTACTAACTTTGCCAGGAGAAAATTCAAACTTCTCATATTTTAGACTTCAGGATATTAGATCAAGAGTAATATTTTATGGTTAAAAGAAACAGATTTTCCTTGGGATTTGGATTACCAGTGTATGGGTTTTGTTTTTATGTAATTAGGTGCAGAATCTAGCTCTGCGGGCCCACTTGCCTGGCGCTCTAGCCACAGCCCACGGCGTGATATTGAAGCCGTCCACCCAGTCCCAACTGTCCACTTTATCCAAAACTTCAGTCTGTGCTCTGAAGACCAACCAGCCGACCAACACATCCACGGACACAGGACCTGTTGATGCCCCCCAGCTGCCCTCAGGACCTCAGATTATAACGTCAGGTGAACTAATGTTTACAAAAGTGAGGATTACAGGAGAGATTACCAGAAAAAACAACATCTGAAAGGCTTAAGTCATGAGTCACTGTAACCAAACTCAACTCCCACACTCTGTCGAAACCAACACTCTTGTGAGAAATTACATAAACCGGCTTTCCTCTGCATGGTACTACCTACGACAAAAACAGTAATCTGCAAGCACTTGAAGGGATTTTCCGGCACAAAGTCTTCATCATTTCCTTGAAGTAAAATCATCATATTAATCATTTTGCACTGCAGACGCGGTAGTTCTTCTGCCTTAGCGTGTCGATCTGATTGCATTTCCATGAGGAAATGATCATAAATGTTCTTCCTTGAGCTGCGTCACCCCGCTGTAGTCCGTAATGGACTGGCCTGAGGTCTCACTACAAAAAAGCGGCTGCTGGAAGAGAGTAGGTGAGTTGTGTTTAGTCTCTTTGCTAAAGAAATTAGGCAAAGTTAAAAAGTTGTTTGGTGGCTAGTACTTTGGCTGGGACCCTGTATGTACTGTTGATGTAGTTAGGTGCTGTTCTGAGCATTATTTGTGGCTATAGAGTGGCACTTTGGTTGAGGTTTGTTTTTGGCTCTTCAGACCGCTGTGTATTGCTATCGTGCTGTCGTTACTAAAGTTGGTATAACTAGAGAAGCAAGTGGTCGGCAACATTCATCTCTCAAAGGGGTGTCTAACTCAGTGTTACAGTGTGTTTGACCCTAAATTAAATTTACGCCGGAATATCCCTTTAACAAGAGCAGCAAGTAATACAAAGAAAAGAGGAACCAACCCGGAAAATAATCAATTTTACAGCCCTCTTAAATAAATGAGATAAGTTACAGGTGGAGCAGATGATTTTTTTGAAAAAGAAATTTAAAAAAATGCCAACGCTCAAAAAGATTCATGTCCAAGTTAGAGAACAACCCCAATTTATTGTGAACCACGTTCTGCCTCTGATCAGAAGATATCGAGTTACGATTAAAGGTTTCGGGGTGGCCAGTTAGAGTCCAGAAGGAGCCATGGTCAATCTTGTAAGTACTAATCTCATCTCACATTTTTTTTAAATCTCTTTCTGTGCATCGTTCTCCTTACAGCCTTCCCGCCGATACAGACCCACACTCTGGTAAAGCAGCATCTATCATGTCCACCTGTCCAGCGTGTGGCGCAGCACCAGCTCATCCTCCATCGGACAGCGGGAGGAGCTCTAAACCAACGCCAGCTCCAGCCCATCGCCCTCAGAGTCGCACCTCAAGACACCAACTCCACCCCTCTTTCTCTGTCCATCAAAAGACTGACAACGAACAGCACCCAATCTCAAACCAGCGACACCACAACTTCTTCTTCTTCTTCTTCATCTGTCACCACCGTCTTTGCCTCATCAGCTCATACCTCAATCCCCGCAGCAACTGTCCAGCCTCAGCCTCCTCCTCTGGTGGCCGCCCCACAGCGTCGGACCTCATTCCCACAAGCTCAGAACCAGCCCCCACCTCCTCCTCCACCTCTGGTTCTCCCCAGGCTGCCTCAGAACCCCCCTGCCTCCCTGCAGAGGCTGTCCCTGCACTCGGTCCAGGCTGTGGCGGTGCAGGCGGGGCAGGTGCTGTTGACTGAACAGGAGCTGCCTGTAGCCGAGGCCCTAGTCCAGATGCCGTACCAGAACCTCCCTCCTCCTCAGACTGTCGCTGTGGATCTTAAAGTACATCCAGCCAGACGCAGTGAAACTCCATCTGTGAGTCTCCACTTGTTTTTGTAGATATTTTTCTTGCTAATTTGTTCTGAATATGAACTATTTTGACTGAAGTTTTTATTTTTATTTCAGTCAGGTCAAACCTGTAAAGTGAACGGGCTGAGCTCAGCAGAGAAGAAAGATGAATGTCGTCAGAGTCCACAGAGAGAAAGGTCCATGACACCTCCTACTGTGCCTCCTGAGAAGACCGCTACAGGTAAAAAGTGTGACATAAACATGAGAATGACATTAACATAACACAGATGAAAGAAGACCATCAGCGACATGACTAATGATTTATACTCTGTAATCTTTAATGATTGAAGCCAGTGTGAGGGATTGGTGTCAGCTGAGCGCCTGAAGAAACAACTCTGTCTTTAGATTTTCCACATAAAATACTCTAAAAACAATCAATTTGACTGTCAAAAGTTAGCAGGATGAGATTCAGAAGATCTGTTTAAGCATGACAAGGGCAAAAAAAGCAATTAGTGCTCTGCCCACAGGGGGCGCCAAAATTGACAAAAGCTCGGGCTCTATTTTCGTGCCCGTCGGTGGTGCGGCGGAGGTAGGCGCACCCCATGCAGTGGTATTTTCGTCTGGCGGAGCCCGGCGTACAGCCAGTTTGGTATTTTCATAGACTGAGGCGCACCGAGGTCCGCCAAGTTGGGCGTGGATGTGCGGTAGGGGGCGCTGGCGCAGTGACATTTTCATGCTTGACGGCAGCATGTAAAGTGCGCTAAAAGCTCGCCGATTCAAACCTGGTCAGCTTTCAGCCCAGGCGGAGCACAGCTGGTCTAGTGGTATTATGGTAGACCAGCCCCGTAGTGTGCATACATCACCGATGCCTCACCGGCAGGTTTCCACAGTGTCAGGCACATTACAGTGCAATAAATAATCAACAACAAGTAATAATCTGAGTCAGCACATACACATTTAGATCTACATCAGATCTGGTCTGATGAGCACTTTTAGCACACGTTTAGACTCTCAACCTGACCGAATCAACTCAGCTGAAACCGCATTAAATGAAATAAATATCTAGTAATTAGACAAACATGATGAAGTTAAAGAGATATGTAATTCGTCTCCCTCCTTTTCTATCGCCATGCCTGCGCCACGCTGCCGGCGAGGCACGAAAATAGAGCCCTTCAGCTCAAAAAAAATTGAATTTTCTGGCCATAGTTTGTGGTTTCAGGCATTAAAGGGTTAAATAGATCTAAATGTTTGGAAGAAGCCTGGTTTTTATGGAGAGTTTTCTGCAATCTCTTCGTTCATCAGCGATGGACACCTCCTCTGCCGTATCCAGTCCCTCAGTCATCAAGTCGCCAACTGTTGAAGAGCCGTCGCAGCTCAGCCCTGCCCACCTCAGCAGCAGTAACCCTCCTCCCCCATCTCCTCCTCTGCCTCCTCCCATCCTGCCTGCAGCAGTCAGAGGTCCCAGTCAGCCCCCCACCTCCCCAGCCGGCCCCCCGGCTAGCCCTGAGAGGATCCACACAGCCCAGATCCTCACACACCTGGTGGAGGGCTTTGTCATCAGAGAGGGACTGGAGCCTTTCCCGGTATGTTTGCTGTGGGTTAAATATCAGAACTCCCTTAGCTCATTAATTAATATCCAAAACTGTGAATATTGCATCATTGCTACTAATTAAAAGGAAGACAAATCAAACAGATTTACTCTAATGTGTTTTTTTTCCAACTCCTAATGCCAGTAAAAACCCTGTTGAACTTGAAATGTAGTCTTAAACATTCCCAATAACTTAACATTACTTTCTTTATCTGATGAAATTCAAGTTAAAACACTTTTATCCTTTAATTTTCATCAAATCAGTGTCCCTGTACTCATGTTAGTGCAGTAAATCTGTATCCACACTGGGAGTACATGTTCTTCTGTACCACTGAATGGAACTTTTACCCTCTAAATTGACCTCTTCATGCAGGTGGTCTCCACTTCGCTGTTAGCAAACCAGCAGGCTTCACTTCCTGAGTCCCAGGAGGTCCAAGCCAATGGGGGCGCAGAAGCAGAGGACAGTCCCCTGGATGCTGATCTGACAGACTCAACAGACTCTGAGATGGAAAACGAAGACCCTGCAGCAGATGGTATCACATTACTTGTTTCTGTTGTCTTCAGTCTCATCCTCATCCAGCTATTCACTGAACACTCATTCTTTGTATGAAAGCATTTACATTAGTCCTGATGATTCATTCATTTATGTTTTTCTTTGAATTCCTCACCTGTGCGTCAGTGTGCACAAATGTGCATCTAACTCCTGGTCATGTGAAGTTGCAGATCCAGAGGAGAGGGTGTCCGGTTTGCTGCAGTGTGAGTTCTGTGGGAGCAGAGGTTACGCTCACACATTTCTACGCTCCAAACGCTTCTGCTCCATGACCTGTGTCAGAAGGTAAAAAACACACATCTGTATGTAATAACTAAAAAATAGGCCAACTAATCGGGATTTGAAATGTTATAGTAATTGTTTATCAAAAACAAGCTTTGTATGTTGAAGCCTTATATAGTATTGTCTCATTATTACGAACTGTAATAAGAATAACTTTATTTTATCCCCAAAGGGAAATTCAATTGTCTGTAGTCTCAGTTGTCATGTGTCAAAAAGTCATCTACTAGATCTACATCTACTAGGTATCACTTAGCTGTGCTCTAATAAAAATGACCAGCCTTTGTTCCAATATTTATGCTTTGCCAATAAATTCCATAAGCTACCAAATGGCCCCTTAATGTCCCTAACACCAAAGCCTGGAAAAGATTGGTGTAATCAAGCACTATGAGCCATATCACAAGAGTTAGAAAGGGGTATTTGGTCATGTAAACCTCTTCTTCCACCATATCCATACACAACAAATGACAATAAAAGACACAAAAACAAGAAAAAGGAGACTTAGGAGTGATGTGAGACAGAGGACAGGGAAGCCGAAGCCAGGGCCAGAAACTTGCTTTAGCTACAGCTCGTTCATTCCAGGTTAAGCTGTCTGCTCTAGCTCCCACTACAACGAGAAAAGACCCTCAGTTACTCCCAATCATCCCACTCAGCAATAGACGACTTTTAGACGTCTAGTTGTTTTTTAGACCTAATTTCAACCATAAGATTCTATATATTTTTAGATGGAATTTGGACCCACTAACCCATTATTTGATAACTATTTATTTCAAAAAGCAACTGTGAGTTGCATAACTGATCTCCAAGTACTTAACCAAAATAATTATGATAGCCAATGAGCAATATACAGTGTAGTATAGATATAGCCCAGACTTAGTTTAGACTTGGTCTAAATTTAGCCATCTAAAAAGCTTTCATTTTTAGACCTGTGGTAGCCTTATTTCAGACCAGTTGTCTAGACTACATTTAGACGTCTATTAGACCTCTTTTAGACCAAAAAATACTCAGTTGGATGATAAAGTTGATCATGCCTTGATCCCCCAGCATTCACTCACACAGTTTAGTGTATAATCACTCTATCGTTTCCAGCTGTTTGAGCTGATAACCCAAAATTATCTTTATGATCAAACACTGATTGTAGATTTTTTTAGGCTGTACATCCTTAAATAACATGTAACCACTGATGCATTTGTAGTAATGTAGTCAAAGAGTGTGGAGAGATTGAAACTAACCTTAGTGTGAGTGGAGAATTACATGGAAACAATGAGTAATACTCCCACCCTTCAACACGTGCCCTTGAGCAAGGCACTTAACTTTGGTGGGAACCTAATGGGTGAAAATTCAGGGTTTTTTAATCTGTCGTATAAATAAAGATTGAAGGAAAGCAGTGTAATGTTTATTTTTCCCAAAATGGTCGCTCTCAGTGGTGGAGAAACATATAATCTGACATCTGGAGTCCATTTGGATACATTAGGGTTATAGGAGACAGTCTCAGGAGTGTAATCATGACCAGGTTTCTGTCTGAGACATAGTTGGGTATTAAAAGAAGGGTAGCTTTGAGTCCAGATCATGTTCAAAAGCCGAACTAACTGTACTCAGAACATAATGGGAAATAAAATCTCAAAGTGCTTCAAAATCATGACTGCATAGATCTGCTGCCAGCTGTTTAAATCTATCTGAATATTTCCAATGTGTGTGTGAAGGTTTAACGTGAGCTGTACCAAGCGTATCAGCGTGCTGAGAGCAGGGCGCTGGGGTCACAGGCCGATGGGCAGGAGAGGACGACCCCCCAGCAGAGTCAACGGAGCCTCCAGAGAACATTTTCTGAGACAGGTCAGTTAACATCAGTGACCTGCCGCGGAGTGTGACATGCAGAGGAGCTGCAGGGATCACTGGTCCTCTGAGACAAGCTGCACCCAGGGGACACAGCTGCATCTGACAGCAGCAGAGCTTTGAAGGAGAGCAGTGAAATGTGAACGCATATTTTAGCTTTCATAAAACAGGGTTTCAAAAAGACGGGAAACCTTTGGCTGTTTTTACTTCTGAGTCAAATCTGGAGACTTAGTGGAGACCGGATTTGTATTTCTTGCTGATCATAGTCCAAAAATCTGCTGGTGTTTGTGTTAAAAACTACAGCGCTAATCTGTTTAAGGGAATTACTCATCCTGTTTTGGAAGTATGCCAATGCTGTGTTATGTAATATCCCAGATTTCCTTTTTCTAAAGAAAGAGTTGTTCACTTCACAAAAAGTTTGATTAACTTAACTGAGACACAAACTAAAACACTGATCTAAAGCTTAAGAAGTTTGAGTAAGATCGGGTGTTAACCTACTTCAAAATAAAACAACAGAAGAAAACAACATAAAAAGGCAGCAAACAAAACACGCCCAAATTAGAGTGAGCGAAAAGAAATGGGAGCATAGTAAAAAATAACAGAGTTTAAAGCTTCTGTGGGCATTTTTTGTTAAAGGGATATTCCAGAGTAAAATTAAGTTAAGGGTCAAACACACCATACTACAGAGTTAGACACCCCGTTGAGAGATGAATGTTGCCGACCGCTTGCTTCTCTAGTTATACCAACTTTAGTAACGACCACAGGATAGCAATACACAGCGGTCCCAGGAGCCATGCGCTCAACCAAAACGCCACTCTATAGCCACAAATAATGCTCATAACAGCACCTAACTTCATCAACAGTACATATAGGGTCACAGCCAAAGTACTAACCATCAAACATCTTTTTAGCTTTGCCTGATTTCTTTAGCAAAGAGACTAAACACAACTCACCTACTCTCTTCCAGCAGCCATTTGTTTGTATGGAGATCTCAGGCGAGTTCATTACCGCAGTGGGGTGACGCAGCTCAAGGAAGAACATTTGTGATCATTATTTTATCATTCCCTTGAAGCAATAACCATCATATTAATCGTTTTGCACTGCAGACGCGGTAGTTCTTCTGCCTTAGCGTCTCGGTCTGATTGCATTTCCATGAAGAAATGATCGCAAATGTTCTTCCTTGAGCCGCGTCACCCCGCTGCAGTCGATGGACTCGCTCGGAGGTCACTGTACAAACAAGCGACTGCTGGAAGAGAGTAGGTGAGTTGTGTTTAGTCTCTTTGCTAAAGAAATTAGACAAAGTTAAAAAGATGTTTGGTGTCTAGTACTATGGCTAGGACCCTATATGTACTGTTGATGAAGTTAGGTGCTGTTCTGAGCATTATTTGTGGCTACAGAGTGGCGTTTTGGTCGAGCACGTGGCTCCTGGGACTGCTGTGTATTGTTATTCTGTGGTCATTACTAAAGTTGGTATAACTATAGAAACAAGCGGTCAGCAACATTCATCTCTCGACGGGGTGTCTAACTCTGTAGCACGGTGTGTTTGACCCTTAACTTAATTTTACACCGGACTATCCCTTTAATTGTAAATACAACACCATCAAAAAAGTCTTAGCTGAGATACCTACATAACATCACAACAACTTTTTTCCTCGTCTGATGGTTTCTTTGCTCCTCAGACTCACAGGTCATTCACTTCAGAGGAGGTCCAGCAAAGCTCTCTGAGAGAGGAGGAGGAGGAAGAGGAGGGGAGAGAGCGGGAAGAAGAAGAGCAGGAGGATGAAGAGCCTCCCATTCCCATGACAACCAGGCTTCGGAAACAGGCCGAAACACGACGAGAAAGGGAGAGAGAGAAGGAGAGAGAGCAGGAGCAGAGGGTAACAGAGACGATCAACATCTCTGATGGAGGAGACGATGAAGAAGAAGAAGAAGAAGAAGAAGAAGAAGAAGACGTCGGGTGTCCGTCTCAGTGGAATGTAGAACAAGTGTTCAACTTTATCAACTCCCTGCCAGGTATGACCACGACTTTAGCTCACCTTTCGGTACTGCTTCACTCTGTATCCTGTCAAAGTTAGCTTGTAAGGAGGAAAGAAGTAGAGAGTTCCTAATAGATCAGGAGATTCTTGTAGCACAGCAGGTAGAGAGAGAGATGATGTAGATGAGTGAAAGGCTGCAGAGAGAGGACCTAGACTCAGGCAGAACCTGATGATTAATTGATGCAATTAGAATTACATGAAGGCAGATTCAGAAGACCCCACAGCAGACATGGCATCATTAAAACTCCATCCAGCTGAGGGAAAAAAGAGCAAAACCCTTTTAACTTCTCGCACTGAAACTACAGAACACATCTCTTCTTCTTTCCAGGTGGTCAGGATGTAGCTGCGGAGTTTCGCTCGCAGGAAATTGACGGACAGGCACTGCTGCTCCTCACCGAGGATCACCTAGTCAGCACCATGAACCTTAAACTGGGACCTGCTCTGAAACTCTGTGCACATATCAACTCTCTGAAAGACTCATAAAAACAGAAACATGGATTGATTAATCTAGTCCTGGATGAAGAGAACACAAAGGACAGGATTTTTTTCCCTCTGCAGTGTGAACACACAGCAAACTGCAGTTTCCTCTTCTGATCACTGCCACAGTTTCACTCCTGATGCCTCTAGTGATGAGTCCACACACACTGCTACAGCTTATTTCTACAGATGAGCGTTTCCTTCTATCATGTCTCATCAGCCCCGTTATAGTAACTGTAGCAGTTTTTGTTCCATTTGTTTCAAAATGTTTTTAACAGTTCTTCGTATCAGCTGTACAGATGCTCAGAGAGGCAAGTGATAAACATTGTATACTTCACCTTTAAAGACCCACTCCGATGAAAATCATGTTTTTCTCGCTGTCTACATGTTCATGGCATTTTTCTAATACTACAGGACATATCATGACAAAAAGAAGTGCGAAACTGCATTTCTGAATTCAAATTGCTGTGAATCTCTAGGAGACATAAACAGCAGGTTCAGATACAGAGATTTCCTACGTAATCAATCCAAGCTCCGCCCCCGGAGCCCCCAAAGTAGAGAGGACGATCCCGGAATGAGCATCTGTGTTAGCGGATTGAAATGCTCAATATTAAGTTACATCATGGCCCAAAAGACATTAGTGTCCGAGAGCTGAATAGCTCCTATGTTCCCCGTTTCTTCTACTGCACTGGCAATGTTAGGCTGCAAGCTAACTCAAGGAGAAGTGTGCAGAGCAGTGCTGTCTCAGAGGCAAATTGCTAATGAGCTACTGAAGCTCTGCAGAAGAAAAGCCCTTAAAAATTACACAGGAAATGTGATTTTTGGCAAAAACTTCATAATCACAGTTTAAAGACCACTGAGAAAACTTTAAGTAGAAAAAAAAACCCATCGGAGTGGGACTTTAAGAGTCCATTTTGAAACAGTTTTCAGTAACAATATGAACCGTCTTGAAAATTTATGACCAGGAAAACACAATTATTTGATGGTTTATTTGTTTATCAATTCTTCAGTCATAAATCAGGTGGAAAAAATAATTGGAAATTAATCGCTTTTTTTCTTTTTTAATTGCTTTTTTTCCTCTTGGGCCTCTGTACATCTGTTCACAAAGAACTCAACCCTGCCTCTATAGTTTAAAACAGCACAGTTACAGGATATTGTCCAGCTACAAAGAAAAAGCAGATAAAGGCTCATTAACATACAGATTGAATTTTTTTACATTGTCTTATTTAAAGGGAACAAACAGCTGTAAAGACGTCTGGACACAAACTCACTGTGGGGATTGTTATTTATGAATTATTTATAATCATAATTATTATCAATGAACAAATAAAAGGATGGAAAGTGTTTTGAATTGGTTTGTGTATTTTGGATTGACGTTGCAGATGTGTTCTGTTAAACTACCACTAGAGGGAGTTCTAGCTTCATATGACTGGTATTTAAATATCAATAAAGTCACACAGGAGTGGATTTAACCTGGTGTCTTCAGGATTTAGTGATTTAATTTTCCCGTAACATTCGTATTTTAATTTTGAAATTAGATCTGCTCCCATTCACACAAAAACAACACATGAATAAAACTGTGTAACATTAATAACTTTATTTGAAACTAGTCCAGACAGTTTTTCATTTTACAGTTCTTTAGTTACACCTAAGAGACGGGGTAAAATATATCTGGGAACATTGCTACAATCATTTAAGTGCAAATGAGTATATCTCTCTAGTGAAAAATACAGCTGACTATACCTTACAGTTTCTATGCTATACATGGGGAATGTGTAACCTGGATGTGAAACGGGTCGATGGAATGTTTTTTACGTGTGCAGGGACGGTCGGGGCGAAAACACTAACGGAGTTACACTTTATAGAGAAGGTTTCCATGCACACTATTTGGTTTACGAGGCTACTGTGCAAAACTTGTTGCATTAAGACATTTAGCAATATCAACACGATAGAAATGTCATTAGCTTGGTGACGGATGATTGCTCGCAGAGGCAATATGGTTGATCAGTTAACAGGCACTGCAAAGATGAGTTTATACATTCTGGATCAGGTAAATCAGCTCTATTTGACAGGCCTGTTGATTAAGATATATTCCCGTTACATTTCTCTGAAGTTTCCTGATAAGAGCTGTGTTATTTGGTGTTTTTCTGTAGGTAAAGATGAGAGTAATCTAGTTCCAGCATTTTAAAGTAAACTCTAAATTACTGTAGGTAAATCAGTTTCAGAAAGTGCTTTAAGGAGGGCTCTATACAACCTACAAGAAAGGAAACAAGGATAAGTTAAACAGAAAAAAATAGTGTCTCCAGTCATCAAATAGTTTAAGAAAGTTTTAAGAATGACGACTGAAGAATAAATATGTAATTGATTATACAGACAGGAATTCCTTTAAAGAAACTCCTTAAAAACAGCCATAAAACTGCAAAAACTGAGAGCTGGAACTTTCTGTCTTTCTAGTTTCCCTGTAATTAAGACCAAACTTCATTTCTAGTAAACTGAAATCACAGACCCGTCAAATAACAGCATTATCCTCTCTTTTTCGATCCTTCCTTCCTAAGCTGCGCATTCATTACAATGAAACACTTTCTCAACGCATGAAAAATACATCAGCTGCAGTAGAGTATGAAATTTAGCCAGATAAATAATCATCATACCTGAACCTGATGCAAACTTCACTGCGTGCTGTGAAGCCTCCTCACATTGCTGTCTGATAACCTGAGGCGAGAGACAATGGGCGGACCTGTACGGCTTCAACAGCAAACCCAAATGTAGTCAATTAACAAAATAATAATAATAATAAATGAAAGATGAACGTCCTCTTCTGCAATTCTGACAACTGTGAAAAGAGTTCCAAACAGAATTATGATGCATAAGAGGGAAAAAAACAACAGTACATAAGATCTGTAAAATTATAAATAAATGTATAAAACACAGGAATGAGCCTTCTCAGGAGGGAATGGGTTCAACATCTGACCTCTCTGCTTCTTGCTGGTTGTCTTAAGTGTTACATAAAAAGGGTGGAGTGCTTCTCCTGATGGGCAGCAGCGGCAGCAGCAGCAGAGCTTATGATGGCGACTGACCCACTCAAACTCCACGGTGCAGAGAAGACGGGCAGGAGGAGACTTTGAAGGATCGTATAGTCAATGTTGGACCTCAGCCCTGCTCACGGCATGCTCCCTGAGCCGACGCCGTCCTTCTCCACAGATATGGACTTGACCAGCTCCTCCACCCAGCGGACCTCAGAGGCCACCTGCTCAGCCAGGGCCTCGTAGCGGTTTTCCAGACGCCCAAACTTGCGCTTGAGGATGTTTGCTGCCTGCATGGTGAGCCGGGTCTCCTCCTGGCTCTTCTTGCGCTGGGTTTGAGTGCGCTGCAGCTCCTGGCGGATGTGGCTCAGGTCGCTGGAGATGCTCTGGTTTTCCTCTTTGTACCAGCCCTCCTTCTCTTCGTAAATGGACAGCAGTGCCGCCACGTCCTCTCGGCACGAGCGCTGATTGCGCTCCAGGTCCTTCAGACCCTCCTCTGCGGCGGCGATCTCCTCCAGGACCTGGGAGAAGCGCTCAAAGTTGATGTAGGTGTTGTTGGGCGGCATGCTGGAGTGGGACTTGATGGTGTACTCCTTCAGACGAGTGGTCTTCAGACGGCGGCGCTCAGTCTTATGGTCTCTCTCCTCCTGGCGGACATTTCGCCTCTTGATGACCTGGAGGGGGAAATTTAAGAGAGGAGGATGGTCACTGACTGATCAAAGTTTTTTTATTTTGAGACTCAAGAAAAACTCAAAATAATGTGTGAACTCTTGTGTATACAGGTAAGTAAAAAGCACTTAAAACAACATGGAAATTGAAGTATTTTGACTAAAATATCAATCAGGTTGTTTAAGTATTTAATTAGAGAGCTACAAATCGAAAAGCAGGATGTCAGCTAAGAAAACAAGGAAATTCAAAATTACTTTTGAGAGGAGATTTTTCAGTAATATTTAAAATTCTAGCAGACAGAGGAACACAGAGATTTCCCACGACTTTTAAGGCACATGTGACTGCAGGAGTTTCATGCTGTGGAGCTGTGTCAGCAACAACTAAAAATATGAACAATACTGAATCACACACTCCACCAGCAGCTGATGGAAGAAGGCCATCACTAGAGTAAACTGCTGCCTCACTTCTGATCGTCTAAAGCACTTTAAAATTGTTTCTAAATGAGCTGTAATACTACACAGCAGTGCATCCAGTTTGACTTTAAAAAGTGAAATGCACTGATTGGTCGGTCTGCACTTAGAGGAGATCAAACACATCTTTCTGAGCATGAACAGCACCTCAGCTGTGCGATTGTGAACGCAAAAGAGTGTTGTAGATAGTTTACTTTGTTCTGATTTAGACAGTTAAATGAAACATTGATGCATTTTCCCACATTGTGTTCACATTGCATTGTTGTGCAGCTGGCCAAAGTACACACACACCATCACAGGGCTAACCTTCAGGCATTTTCCCACGGCTTAGATAAACAACTGCTGTGCATACTAGCTGCACTTGGCATGATGGGAATTCAAAAAAATTCATCCTGAGATTAAATACCTCATCCATATTTGGGCGGATGGGCGTACTGATCAACAGTGGACACGACTCAATAAAATTACAGAAGCCCGCTGTTGAATGAATAGATGTTGTCGAGTCCTGTGATGCTGCTACCCTGAGCACCAGCCCCTCTGCTTCTGCTGATTGGATGGGGACGGTGAGTAACGTTAGCCTATCGCTATTTATATGCAAACTACCTCAACGTCTACTGGAGTAGGGATGCACCGATCTGATATTTGATATTGGTATCTGTCCCGATACTGAAGAAAATTCTAGATCCGGTATCGTGACAATGGGCCCGATGCATAGGGTCCGATCCATTCGGTCTAACTCTATGCTTTAGTAAACATGCTGGAGGAGCGAGCGAAGGAGTCTGCTATCTCAAACTTCATCATAATACCTCAGCCTACAAGCTCGGAGGCCACTTGCAATACCTGCGCAGTAAACGTTCTGAGAGGCAGTGGTAAAACTTCAGGTTACAACAAAAGGTAATTCAGCGTGGCTTTTCTGTATCGGAATTGGATCGATATCGGCCGATACTAAACTGTAGATATCTGTATCTATATTCGAGGTGAAAAAAGCAGATCGGTGGATGCCTATCCTGGAGTGCGATAAGCCTGGCAGCTATTTGTTCCAGTTGCTGGTTTGCAATCACACTTTGAAATATGTCTAAATAGGGAGGGAAACATCCCCTTTTCTCCAGATCGTACAGGTGTGAAAACCCTCGAAGACTACATGAGCAGAGCTGAGGATAAAACCAGTTACCTTGATCCAGGGATGTTCAAGGCTGTCATCAATTGTCATTCTCTTCCTGCAAAACATAAAACAATCCCCGAGTCAGAAATGTAATCAGCAAGAGGAGATTTCAGCGTTTCATATGGAATCTGAAAAACGGCGTACTTTGGATCCTTGACCAGCAGACGGCGTATGAAGTCCTTGGCGAGCTCGCTGGTGTTGCTGAAATACTCCTCATCAAAGTCATAGTTGACAGCTGAGATGTTGGTCAGGGTCTCCTGTTTGGTCTCACCCAGGAAAGGTGAAGCCCCGCTCAGCCTGCAGGAACATAAATATGATTAGTTGAATACAAAGAGGTGAGCTGTGAGGTGGTTTATTTTGACATGAATTCAAGCAGCTGCTAATCTGGGATGTTTGGTGGTACTCACAGGATGTATGTGATCACTCCGATACTCCTGCAGAGAAGAGAGGAGACAAACATGAATGAAAATGGTCAGACTGCTCAGTAAATACGTCCAGACGAATAAAACAAACATTTCAAAGCAGATGAAATCTTACCACATGTCTGCCTCCAGTCCAAGCGGCTCATAGTTGACTATTTCTGGTGCTGTAAAACACAGAGGAATGAACACTTTGATTTAATCCAGATGTGGAGATCTGAAACATTCACTCACTGGGTCTCAGCTACATGCCAGCTCGGGCACTCAGTGGAACATTTTTACTCTGAAGAAACCTGATCTCACCAACAAACTCTGGAGTCCCAAAGATGTTCTTGAACTCGTTTCCAGCTTTAATCTGATGAGCGATCCCAAAGTCAATCAGCTTGATTCTGGGATTGGGGACATTCTTGTCCAGCAGCATGATGTTCTCTGGCTGAAAGAGATGATGATGAAGTAACAGTGAGAAAATACAGTTTTACACAATAACAAAAACAAAGTGACAGGAGAGTTAAGAGAGATAACTGGCTCCTCAGACCGCTGTGTATTGCTATGGTGCGGTTGTTACTTAAGTTGGTATAACTAGAGAAGCAAGCGGTCGGCAACATTCATCTTTCAAGGGGGCGTCTAACTCAGTGTTACTGTTTGTTTGACCCTAAATTAATTTTACGCCAGAATATCCCTTTAAGTTCAATAATCCCTTTCTAATATTGATACAGAGAAAATGTAATGACAGCTGTGTGTATGTGTAAAACTTTTCTGACTAGCCCACAGCCTCACAAACAACTACACAGACTACTCACCTTGAGGTCAAAGTGAGCGATGCGTTTGGAGTGAAGATACTGCACGCCGTCTAGGATCTGTTTGAGGAACTGTGTCGCCTCTTCCTCCGTTAGAGATTCCTTCTCGGCCAGGAAGTCGAACAGCTCTCCTCCGGACACCAGCTCCAGAATCAGGATCACATCAGTCTTGTTTTCAAAGATGTCGTGCAGCGTGATGATGTTGCTGTGTTGGATCTCCCGCAGGATGTTGACCTCACGCTCGATCTCCTCTCGGCTCACCCCCCGCCGGCTGGAGGACAACCGCCGCTTCTTGATAAATTTCGCTGCATATTCGATGCCTGTGCTCTTCTCCTTACACTTACGGACGATGGCAAACTGTCCGCTGCAGAGAGAGTGAAGAGAGGAATAAGAAAAATTTAGATTGGGTATTTTCTTGTACAGCCTTATGCCGTTATAATGACTTAATTCCTTTAAATCCATCAGTCAGACAACTCTCTTAATCCCACTTGGAGTCACTAGTTTGCCTGAGCTCTTACAGAAAATATAAACTCAGAAAACCTTTAAAATAACACAAAACTTCTGCAAGCATCTAAAATATGAAACAGATCTTTAACTCCTCCAAATGAATTACTAGAGTGATGAGTACACAAACTGGATAACAAGATAAAACGATCAGACTAGATAAAAGGATCAGTCCTGACAAAAGGATGAAGGGATCAGACTGCAAAGTAAGAGAAAACCCTAATGAGTGTCGAGTGGTCTGATTGAAGAGAGCATGAACGATTAAACAGCAGTTAGTGCTACAAACAGGAAAAACAAACAGGCACGTTATTTTACAGATCGATTCGGGGCTTCCAAACTTTCTGGTTTGTACCCCCGTGAACCTTAAAGTGTTTTTATTCCTCTCCAAAGACCATGGCGTTCATTCTGTCATGTACTTCAGCTGCAAAGGGATTCAACTGTCTGATTGTTACAGTCAAACAAAACTGAAAAAAGAAAACATCTCATTTCATTTCTTTCTGCAATAAAATCCTAAAAAAGTGACACAATCTGAGAGACTTTGGTTTTAGCTGCTTAATTATACAATATTTTTCCAAGGGATTAATGAAGGCTCTATCCTGTCCATCTTATCCTAATCTTGTACCCCCCGAGAATTAATGCAGGGACCCACAGAGGGATCCTTGACCGAGGGTTGGGGAATGTTGAGTATTAAGTAATAGATTAATATAGATTCATACTGTATCATATGATGTGTTGAATGGTTGGTTTGCAAAATTAAGATGTCTCTAAATAAAAGGAAACAGAACACCCTCATCAGAAAAACATGCTAATATTACTCGGACTAAACTGAGAAATAACATAACTGGAATGATTAATGAGACCAAAGTCCAGGTCAAGAGAAACCGTTTCATGCTGCAGGAATCAAAATCTGCATAAGTTTCAATCACGCCACAAACACACCAACACTCACGAGCACACACAGTCCCCTCTCCTCCAGCACAGCAGAGGTGGAAAGGCACATTGAGAGTCAGTGACGTCAAGCTTTTGCTGCATTACTGCAGAAACCAACAGCTCAGTGAGGAAAGTTAAAGCTGCTGACAATAGAATAAAACTTTGTAAAACTATAAAGAACAGTGTAAAAATATAATCAATATGCCACGGACACATAATGGACTGTTTTGACCTTGATGAAAAAGACGATTTGCACATGTAAGCATTAACTTTATCCCTGAGATTTCAGTATAGCTCATTGTTATGTTTGTTATTACTAGTGAGAAACTAAAGCACATTTGCACAGAGAGATTCACATCTGAAAAAAAGAGGAATACAGCAGCTAACAGGGATCTTGCTTTGAGTACTTTGTGTTCTCCTGAGGAGATTCAACTCTCCTGCCATGCAAACTACAGGGTTGCTGGAGTATTTTAGAGATCACTTAGTATGACAATTTTGTGCATACCAACTTTGTTTTCCGGTGCATTTACTCTGGTATTTACACCTGTCACTGCAACCAGGACATCGAGGACAAGTGCTAAAACGACACGGTGTCTCTCTACACTAAAGTGTGAGTAAACATGCTTGAAGTTCTTTAGTCAGAGGTGAAAGGGACAATAAATCTACTTCACATACCTGCCCAGCTCCTCTCCCATCTCGTAATAAAGCTCGACATCCTCTTGCCTGAAGCCAGCCATGGTGAGCTGACTGGAATGATGATGATGATGGGATTAACACTTTGTGATTCACTGCAGTAAAAATAAAAAAGAGGAAGCTATGAGAGCACTAAAAACTGTACAGAAACACTAAAACACAGCTTCTTCACCAGAGCTTGGTTAAAACTCTTGATTATGTCTTGGTTATTCCAGCTCTGAGTACCTGAGTTTCTTGCTTCCTTATTTGGCCTGAGTCAACACAGCAGTTTAGTTTTTCAGACACTTTGAGGCTGATGTCAGACCTCTGCATACCAGACCTACTGACATCATCTCCTGCTCTGGACCAGCTATCTGACTCAATTAAAGGCTCTGGGACTCAGACACACCACGTAGTATTTTTACCATTAAAACTTTATGAGGTGTGAACATTTCCACAATAAAAACAACACGATTTCAGCTCCAAACACGCTGATTTTAAAGAATACTGTATGTAACTGTAAATGGCACAACAAGCACACAACAAGGACGCGTTTCTACGGGGGAAATACAATAACTGAAAACAACAAGAAGATCGAAGTTATTTACACAGACTCAAAGGGAACACCGGCAACATAAAGACCCTGTTAATACCTTAAAAATTAGATATATTAAGACAAAAGGAGAGATGTTACCGGCGACGGTGAACAGTTAGCTTAGCTGTTTAACATTAACAAGCTAACGTTAACGTACAGTACAAAGACCGGGTAACCCTGTTTCTGACGAGTATTACTACAATACAAAGTACGCCGAGGTTAATTACTCTAAACAGAAAAGAAACAACAGAAGCAGAGTAAAGGTGAAGCTGCAAAGTATACTTACAGTGCAGTAGGCTACGTGTGCTGCATTCCTCTTCCAAGTAGTTCAGTGTGAATTCAGACCGAACACAGTCAAGATGGAGGTTAAGAGAACGAACTTCCGGTTTTACTTCAAAATAAAACCAACGGACATTGTGTACGGAGGCGTATTGCGTTCACTTAAAAACAACTTTTTTCTGCATGTTTTTTTTATTGATTTTTGTTTTATTTACTGTTTTTCTTTGTGCTTTTTTCTTTTTCCGTTTTTCGTCTGTTTTTTTCTGACCATTTTTTTCTTCTGTTTTCTCAAGTTGTCCATAGTATATACAGTCTATGTTTCCAACGACTTAGCTGCATTCCATGTGGATCCAATATAGTCAGTAGTCTCCACCATGTGGCCAGCCTGAATGTATTTTATTCGCATCATTTTGTATCATGGGGCATGCCATATCTACATAGCATGATAAATGTGTAATTTTAGGTTTAACACCTAAACAACCTCTGTGTGGGCCAGTTGAAAATCATTAAAGTTTGTTCTGCGGTATTAACAAATGAGAACAGGTCTACTTCTTTTACTGCCTCTGAAAGTTAATTGAAAAAAAAAGTTATATTGTTGTAAATACGCACGAATTTGCGCTCTTATTGTGAAGGCACACCTATCTTTGAGTTCCTGTGATGTGACACTTGATGCAGGTAAATACTCGGCAGAAGGAGGACCATATGGAATGACATCATGTCGAGTGAATCAAGCTGCTGCAGTACGTCAGTGAACAAGATCGAGCATGCAAGAGCAAAGTGTTAAGAGGGACTGATGTCATTCAGTTAACTGTGGGTATCTTTAAGATGAGGCAGATACCCAGAAATAGCTGTTATATAATAATGCCTAGTTAAAAAATGTACCCCTTTTTTGTACATGCAATTGAAGCCATGGTCTGGACCATATACAGCTTTATTTAGTAGTAATCATTTAGAGTAATCTTCAGCCTGTTTATTTTCTGCACCAGTGTGCTTTCATACAACTGAGAGTATGGACCTCTCTGTAGACGACCATCCCCTGAATTACAACACAGATACGGAACCTAAATAACTTGCAACACAACCTAAGCAAGAAGTAAAAATAACTGCTTGTTTACGAGTAAGAGGCCTGCTATCATTGTGTAAACGTCCTCAGTGCAGAAAAATGGTCCCTCTGGGTATATACAGTATATTCAAAATAAATAATTTACATTAAGTGACTCAGAGGGTTTTAATTCTTTACTTCTTATAGTATACCTTGAGAAATGATCAACCTCTTTTTGCATTAAACTGTTTCGTGTATTTTTTCATTAAATATACAGACTTTTTGTATTAGGAACCATTAAAAAGAAACTGTTGAACAATCCACTACAATAACATTCATGAATGCCCTCTGACGAAGTCCATAACTGTCACTTTGTCTTGATTATTTCAATTAAAGATAAGGGGAAAAATGACAATTAGTCTCAAAGTTTTCATAAGAAGCGACCATTAAATTAGTGGCATTTGTGAGTGAAAACTGTCAAACAATGATTCAGTCATCAAACTGTCACTGACATATTGAGGGAACTCAAAAGTACAGCATGTCCCTCTGTAATGAAGTAAAAAAGAGAAGATGAAAAGCAAAAAGCTGCAGATTAGCAGTTTCACTGGAGTCTGTCCAGTAAACTGTAATTACAGTGAAAATACAGGGTAAGGGATGGAAAGCATAGCTGCAGCCCTGCCAGCCTTCTTGGCTGGAGTCTGAGTAAAAGAGTCCAAGTCATGTGGTTCCTAAAATGTGGTGAGTGAAGGGTTTTGATTTAATGAAGACTGCTGACTGCTGAGTGGGGGGAACACACCTCTGGAGCAGCTGGGAAAGCCTTACAAACACATAAAGAAAATGGCCTACCAAACTAACTAACTAACTAACTAACTAACTAACTAACTAACTAACTAACTAACTAACTAACTAACCCAACCGACTGAACATGGTCAAGAAAGATGTTGAGAGACCAAACTTCTGGTTTTACTTCAAAATAAAAACCACAGCCACTATGTACAGAAGCTATTGCATTCACTTAAAAAACAACTCAGTTTTTTAATTTTTTTTAATTTAAATTTTTTTTGTTTTGTTTCCTGTTTTTCTTTGTCCTTTTTTTCTTTTCTGTTTTTTGACAATTTTTTTCTTTTCCTAGTTTTTCTTCTAGTTTTCAATGCCTTAACTGCATTCTGTGTGGTATTTTGAATTATTCTTATGGCTCTTTTCTGTGGTATAGATAGTGATTGTATTGTACATTTGTAACCTCTGCACAGTAGTGTGAATATGGTAGAATTAGTGAACAGTAGAGCATATGTAGTGATTTGTGGTCCAGAATGTGTTTTGTTTTGCTCAGGACTCAAATGCTTCTTGACAGTTTACTTTGCACATGTTTTATATGAGACTTCCAGTTTATTTTATCATCAATTATCACCCCAAGAAACATGTTTTAAATACTCTTTCAATATCCACCCCGTCTACATGTGCATTTTTATTACAAATTGCCAAAAAACATGTTTTTGTCACATTTGTTTCTGTCAAACCACATTACTAAATCAACTTTAAAGTTCATGTCTCCTATTTTGACTCTTTTCTCTTAGTGACTGAGTTTCCTTTTTGATTGACTTCTGTTTTACCCAATAAACACGCATGTTCAGTTCATCATAACCATAACAGCCAATGAAATCCCCATATAGAAAAAGGGAGCGTGGCTTAGAGAACAGCTGGTGGGGGCTCGGGTGAGGAGCTCGAATCTAGCGGATGGTTGGTCGATGGGGGAAACAACAAGAAGCTAGTCATCATGAGGGTCCCTGAAACACTGATTTGGGCCGCTTTTCTCATCCAGAAGGTGAGAGAGACCAAATCTATTTCTTCGTTGGCTGTTTCTCTGAGCGCGTGCTTGTGTATCGCGGCACGTGGCAGACACAAATCGACTGTTTTCTTCCTGCCGTGCTCGCGGATCATTAGCTCGGATGCTATGGCTGTTAGCTTGCGGAGATTACCGCAGGGGCCCTGAAACCCACACATCACTCGCCTTTTAACGCAACAGTAACGAAGCGGTAGTTAGCACCGCATCAGAGCGGGATTTACCGCACTCTCCGGTCCATGTCAGACTGCGACAACTGGGAAAAATAATGGTTTATAACTCACATCCGTATCAGTTAGTCATCATCGAAATTAATAACCCGAGGGTGAAATAGGTTACTGTTTATTGAAATCCTTATTGAAATGTTCAAACCTTTTGTACTTTGACCTGTTGAGTCAAACTGTAAATATTTAGCTCTGCTCTGTGTAACATTAGATGATGAAAACAGGCTTTTACAGTCCAGGTACAAAGAGTCCTGTTGTCAACACTCCTCAACCATCGGCCTCATCTTCACATTTTATCAGAGGCTCATCTTACTCAAACTGTGTAATAACAACTTCCCCCTCCGTCTCCTGCTGTCCTCCAGATTGTCTTGAAACTCAAAACTACACATTTCCATCAGGTCCACCAGCTTTTGTCTTCCAACACTGAAATTTATTCAGAATAATTTTATATTAAAACACAGACCCTGAAACCAGACATCATAAATATGTAACCGCACATGGAGCCTGTCTCCTCTTGTTGTCAGTCACACTTGTTTTTTAATGATTCATAGAGAGAGAGAGAAAACCTCTGCAGTGGATCTGTAATTTTCACCTTGAATTTGGCAGGTGTTGATTTGATTCTTCAGTAGAGGTGTTAATTCATCATCACAGCCACTTTGGATCCTTCAGTTTGGGATGCTGTGTTTGTCTCTCAGTTTTTTTTGACTCTATGATTAAAGCTATGAAACATATCAAAAACAAGATACGTTTGGCGTGACATATGAAAATGGCCATAAGGGGGCGAAAACAGCAGAATAACTCTTTAATTGTGCGTCTCGAAAAAAAAAGTCGTGCGCAAAATCAAACATCGGGCAGATCGGACAAAGTCGAAGTTCATGGCGCTCTGTAGGGGGCGCTAGCGAGCAATGTTTTTATCGCTATTTTCAGGTCACTTTAAAACATTGCGATTTTCGCAGGGCCCAACCTGCCTGCAAATTTTTTTTTCGAGGCCGTTCAGGGGGTCAAATATGCGTTTTTGAAGGCCAATAGGAACAATAATAATCGAGAACCCCTTGGATTACAATAGGGCTTCGCTGCAGAGCTACGCTCTCAGCTCGGGTTAGGGCTGGGCGATATCGGAAAAAGTTTATCACGACATACTTTTTTCATATCAGTCGATATCGATATTTTTCACGATATTAAAAAAAGAAATTTAACAGTGCTTATTGGTAGCATGTCTTTTGCCATACAATAATGTCTCTTCGACGTTTTGTCGTAAGGCGTTGTGCTAGAGAAAGCGGACTGAATGGTCAGCTGTTCCGGCTGCACAGGCGCCATGGGCTCCTTACTCCACTCGGGGTTTGTAAACTTTTGTAGTGCTATGGTCGCGTGTAGTTGCAGCCTGCTACCACGCAGTTGTTTGCTACTTGGTTTCTAATTCAGCGAAGTGAACCTGGAGCAACTCCCCTTTTCAGTGGTTATTCTTAAAGTCTACCAAAACATGGCAGAATGCCAACTATCGAAAAGCATATCAACCATGTTTTATATTGATATTGAGGGAAATTAATTTTCAATATATATCGTTATTGTTTCATCGCCCAGCCCTAATTGAAGGAGCTGATCGTCAACAAAATGTGACTGTATTGTGTTTCTTCTTTGTCGTGCTAACAGGTGGTGGGAGAGTATGGCATGGCCCATTTCAGCGACGTGGGCAAGAGCAAAGGAAAGGATTACTGCATATTCTTCAACTCTCAGTGGGCACGTCTACCTCAGGACCTCAACAAGGCTGTAAGTAAAGGAGAGGTGTAACCGAGTCTTTGTGTGTCTTAATCATGATGATGCTTTCAGATTATTTCTTAGAAAGTGCATCACAGCCACACAGAAAAGCGAGGATCAACCACAGTTTGCACTTTTAAGTAATCGATATAATGTTTACAGGAAGCTTGGGAAAGGATTCTGAAACCTGATCTCTAATTCTGGTGTTGGAGCTACTCTCACGTCTACTTTCTGAACCGTGTCGGCAGTCTTTCTATCTGATATCAGATTGTAAAGGGTTACAGAAAACCACTCAACCTTTGAGTGTACATTTACCCTGTATAGGAGGAATAGATGTTTACGCTAGCAAGAAATGTATGTGAGATATTAACTGTTGAGATTTTACAGATTTTTCTCTCTAACATTGCAACCCTTTTCCTCTAAAGTCACGTCTCCAGATCTATGACTTGACAACATCAGTGCTGTGTTCAGCCTCTGAGGTCCCAGAGGGAGGTTTCCCAAATCGCATCCCCATGGTGATGAGAGGAAACTGCACTTTCTATGAGAAAGTCAGACTGGCCCAAATAAACGGCGCCAAGGGCCTGCTTATCGTCAGCAAGGACAGACTGGTACCCCCCTGCTTTTAACTATTTATATCTTCAGGCTGTGGCTTGGAATAACTGCATCAACATTAAACTGATTTCAGAGCTTAAGCAATCGGAAATGTCTTTCAATCTTTATTTTTATTACCACAGACACCACCGGCAGGAAACAAGACTCAGTATGAGGAGATTGACATTCCTGTGGCGCTGCTCAGCTACTCTGATATGCTGGACATCAGCAAGGTTAGTGGACCGCCATAAGCCATTGAAATAAACAGTCATCTGGCTACCAGCAGGATCCGACTCGACTAGTTTTTTCTTCCTCACTGGCAAAGTCATTTAACAGACCAACCGAAAAAAGGTCTTTGCTAAATGTAAAGTGAAGTATGTTCGACAAGAGTCACGGATCCAACAGAATTTCAAAGCAGACCAGACTAACAGCTGTTTCTTCCTCCTGCAGACCTTTGGGAAGGGAAGACTGGTCGCCATGTATGCGCCCAATGAGCCAGTGTTGGACTACAACATGGTGATCATTTTTTTGATGGCGGTGGGGACGGTTGCTGTCGGGGGTTACTGGGCTGGCAGCAGAGACCGCAAGAAGTAAGAGGACATGATGAAGTGGGAGAGTTGGAAACTGACAGTAATGGTTTTTGAGGGTTTGTAGTGGACTACGAGAGTGCAGGCTTTTTATTTTGGAGTAGAGTATTTCTCATTCTTAATAATAATAATGTTTTATAGTTAAATTTATGGTCAAATAAAGTCTATTAAAGGATTGAGTGTCAATAATGATGCAGCATGTTGTGCACCGCGTTCCTAATGTTGCCTTCTCCACTATGTTACTTTCATCAAAGAGCGAGAGACTTCCTTTTGACTGCACATCCCTTGCTTTTAGTCCTGACTGCTAAAATTAAATCAAAGTTAATTCATCCTTGGAGTCATCTCAGGGAAAAATTAGTCACCGTTTTCTTGGCAACAAACTCCAAGCTCAGGCTTTTGTCTTAGAGGACTATCTGTATCTGTCTCTTTCCTTCAAACCATCGAGTCCTCATGTTTCGGCTGCAGCTCCACTAAAGGGCACTGTTGTTTATTCGAGGCTTTACGAGTGACTCACAGACTCGAACTGAACCGTCCGAGTCTATCCTTCCTGGTGGAGTTGCCAAGGTGACTGGGGGGCGCAGTCAGATGGGGTCTCTGACGCAGAAGGCAGAGAGCAAAGGACAGGAAAATGAGCGTGTGTGTTGAACTCAGGAAGGAAACGAGTGCCAGCCAGCCGAATGATAGTAAATACGCACAGAGGATGCTCAGAAGTTTATACTTGCAGCTTTGGCAAGTCACCAACCATCAGTGAAGACAGTTAGGGAAAATGTGAGACGAAACAGGAGGGAGTTTTTGCTAAGAAGCTTTTTAAAGCACGGATACTAATCATCAGATGTATGAATGTCCCAAACTGGCCCTCTTATATCATCATCCCTCTCTGGTTCTCCCTCCTGCAGGCGCTACATGAAACACAAGCGAGACGACGGTGCAGAGAAACAGGATGAAGAGACGGTGGACGTCACGCCCATCATGATCTGTGTGTTCGTGGTCATGTGCTGCAGCATGCTGGTGCTACTCTACTTTTTCTACGACCGCCTGGGTACGTCACCCACACAAATACACCCACACAGCAATGAAGATCCACACTCAGGATAACAGTCAGATCATTGTTCTTGATTGAAGACACACGCTCCAAATGAAAGCACTGTGATTTGATCCGCTTAAATGTGACCAACACATTATCGCTGGTTTCGGTCCTAACTGCCCAGTGTTCATTACTGTGGTTTGGCCTCTCGAAGTCTAATAAATCCGTTATTTGTGTCGGTCTCTCAGGACTCAATAAAGCATTCACTTGTAGTCGAGCAGGCTGTGTGAAGACGACTGACAAAGATTTCCTTGTTTAAAAAAAGCCAGCTTTTAACTTTGTCTTTTAGGCTGTTTTGTAAAACTTGACGGAGGCACCGAGACTTCATACACCTGGATAAATATAGAGCTTCTGTCCTCTGATACTAAAATATGTTCAAAGTCTCAGGCCACCTGAGCAAACCCTGCATATCAAAGTGAGGTTTCAATTTCTAAATTTACGTGGTCCCACAGAAAACTCAAGATTCCCTACAGCTGAAGAGTTGCAGCTCCGTGTTTAGGATAATAAGGCTGCGGTTCGTAAAAGGTGGAGTAGGCAGGATCTGAGGAAGTGCCAGTTTTTAGGAGATATCTAGAATGTAAACACTACCCCTTCTAACCAGTTTTCCCCTCAGCTCCTCCTTGCAGATGTGTAGGTGTGTTTTAATGTTTTCACCTGTTTCCTGTCCCCACACTCTCCACAGCCATCTGGGTCATAGCGATCTTCTGTGTGGCCTCCTCTGTCGGCCTCCACAGCTGCCTGTGGCCTTTTGTCAGGAGACTTCCTTTCTGCAAGTGCAGGTGAGACATGTCTATACCGTCAACACAAGACTTTTTATATTATTAATCAGTAGTTTTATAGGTTTTTATGAATGCTTTGTGTCCTCAGACTTGGTAGATCATAATAATAATAAAGTAGAAAACCTTGATGGCTGACCTGCCCTTCTTTTACCACACCCTAAAGCATTTAATTCAGGTATATGACACAGTCTATAAACTTAAAAGGTGGGGTTGGTAATCACTGCAAACTAGCATGAATTTTGAATGTAGCTCCTACATAACAACGCCCCTGCTAACATGCATGTCTGCTGATTCAAAACCACAGACTCATAACTTTGGGACTTAAGATGGGGAAGTTTTCAGCGACAAAGAAAGTAACGTTAGCGTCGGGATGACCACATAACTTGCAACATGGTTAAATACTTGATCGAGATTTAAAAATCGCTCTGAAACAAACTGGTGGAGCCATTTTTAGAGGTCACCTGTGTAGCGCTGTAAAACGACAATATTGGTGCCCACTAGTTGTTTCACAAGAGGGCTTTTGGTTTTTGACCACAAGATGGCGGCTGGTTTTGTTTTTGATTTATGGTGCAAAAGAATAAACGTATTGGCTTATCCATATTTAGTTTTTTTGCCTACATAAGTTTGATTGTGCTAAATTTAATGGAACAAATTAAGCCGAGTGCATAAAAGTGCGTCAACACAAACCCTAAACGTACCTTTCCAACAGAAAATGAACGACCATGGCATCACTTTGACCTCTTTCAGTTCTCTCCATCGCTGAAAAGCCAGTGTTGCGTTTTCGCTCTCGCTTTCTCTAAACTCTGTCTCGCTTCGTCCTTCTATTCCTCCGTCTTTCTTTTCTTGCTCTTCTTTGCAGGAGGAGCGGCGGTCACCATTAATCTGAGTGTAGGTAGTTTCTCTGCCATTCTCCCGCGCAGTTGTATCCCTCTCAGCTCGGCTATGCGCGTTCAAACAGGGCGACGTGTACGCGCAGGAGGCGAGCACGTGATTTGATTGGTTTAAAAATATGGGACCCACACGATGTGATTGGCTGGTGTTTTCCCAGTTTTACTCCTGCTGTAGATAGCAACTATGTTTCGCTCTATTTTAAAGCACACTATTGCTAAAACTAGTAACACCATCACTATCGCCGGGTGATTTCTACCAGAAATAATGTACCCAAGAAAAAATACTTGTCATCAAAATATATAGAAATAGGACAATACATGACAAATTTAAGTAGTTTTCTTTTATTTTTAACTGTGCAATGTCCAAAGGGAGGGGGGAAAGTGCCACAAAATAACTGAAATTAGACATTCATGAACAAAAAATTCCTAAAATATATATAAATATAAACTGTAAACTTAGTTTTTTTCCACCCATTCTTGGGAGAAAGAACCAAAATATGGCAGTTTTTTCAAGTGAGTGAAAATGACCAGCTGACTAAAATATTTCTTATCACCACATGAATTCCCTTGTTGCAAATTCCAGGATCACTCTTACTGACCTTATTCGCCTGCATGCAGCTATCAAATCCATCCAAATTTACTTACGCTCTATCACTATTGAAACAAATATGCCTTCAAAGATGTCAAAGGCAACGCTGAAGCTACCCAGGGACCCATGATACTCAGACAAACGCAACATAATGAAAATCATGTAAACATCACCTGGCGATAGTGTTCTAGGGTTAAGAACACATCATGTATTGATTGCCATAGGAATATAAAGATAATTTTAACCAGAATAACAAAAAGTGTATCTAAATCAGATTACCAACCCTACTTTTATAGGATGAAGAAAAGACAGTTATAGTCTATTTTACAGCTGATATGGTTAAGGATTAAAACTGAAGCCTGAGGATCTATTTTCAGTCATATAATTATACTAAGTCTGTAAATACAGCCTACACACTGTTGATAGCAGACCTCTGTGTTTGGACCGTCCCATAACCACAGGGTTCCAGAGAACAACCTGCCGTACCTGCACAAACGGCCACAGATCCGCATGTTGCTGCTGTCGGCCCTCTGTATTGGTGTCAGCATCACCTGGATGGTGTTTCGCAATGAAGACCAGTAAGTGCAAAAAAAGGTTTTGATCAAACCAGTCACACACTGCACAAAGAAAACCAGCAAACCACAAAAGATCTTTAATCAGAATATGTAGTTGAGACTCGCTTCCTTGTAATCCCAAGGAGAGTTTAATTGACCTGATTCAGGAGTTGGCATTTTTGCAACTACAGTATCGTATTTCCAAACTTGATTTCATCGTCTACATAGTCCTGAGACGAGTGCATCGAGTGCACACATATTCTGCTGTGGTTGCTTGTTTTGTGTGTTGACATAATAGTACAGCTTCTTTCTGTAAATAAATGCTGACATATCAGATCTGTACAGTGTGGTGATGGTGTGGGCTGACTCACAGTCTGGTTATGTGTCCTCCAGGTGGGCGTGGGTGTTGCAGGACGCCCTGGGGATCGCCTTCTGTCTCTACATGCTCAAAACAGTCAGACTCCCCACATTCAAGGTCAGTCGGCACTTTTGTAAACAAAGTTTTCTCATATTGAAAGATTAACTTTGGTCTGCACACTGTTCATGAATAAACTCACCTTGATATATGTTGTTGTTTTTTCTTGTTTTTCAGGCTTGCACCTTATTACTGTCAGTTCTTTTTGTGTATGATGTTTTCTTCGTATTTATTACACCCTTCTTTACAAAGGTAGGTCAAGACTACTCAAACATAAGATCTACACCTTTTGTAATGTGTCATGCTGAGATTAAACTCCTGGTCTGTACTCCACAGAGTGGGGAAAGTATAATGGTGGAGGTAGCGGCTGGCCCCTCTGACTCCTCCACGCATGAAAAGGTGAGCTTGTGTTTAAATACCAGAACTCCCTTTGGGTCAGGGGAGGAATGAGTCCAGCCAAGGAAACTTCTGCTACTCCCACTCTCGATGCCCTCACAGCTCAGGGGAAAATAATGTGAATCAAACACTAATATGCGTATGTGTGTTTCTTTTAGCTCCCAATGGTGCTCAAAGTGCCACGGTTGAACTCCTCTCCTCTGGCTCTCTGTGACCGGCCCTTCTCCCTCCTGGGCTTTGGTGATATCCTAGTACCAGGTAATTAATCATGTCGTTACATCATAAAGAGCTCAACAACCAGAAAATGATTTAACCAACAATGACCACAGTCATCCTGTTCAGACTCTTTATCAGGAGCAGAAAATTCCCATTTTTCTGCTTGTTCTATTAAGTAGAAGATGGTTTATGGCTGCATATTTAACTGTTTAGCTCCACAGTTTTTGTCTTTTTGAAACATTTGATTTGGATTATCTGTTTTTTTTTTTAGGAAACAAACAAAAGGGGATAATTTGGTTTCCATGGCGGGTGTATTGTTCATGTTGTGTATTAATTCTTAAGCCTTTGTTTTATCATCTGTTTTTCTTCTGTCAGGTCTGCTGGTGGCGTACTGTCACAGGTTTGACATTTTAACACAATCCTCCAGGATCTACTTTGTGGCCTGTACAATTGGTACGTACATAAGCAGAGAAGTAGTGAAGGTTATGAACGCTTAAACATTTTAGTTTTATGATCAGCCCCATTCAAACAGAATGAACATGAACGGGGTCTTTGACATATGTGATATCCTGTATTTCAGTCTTACCCTCTAAAGGCTTTGATTGTTTTGTTGTATCCCTCACAAGCCCATATGCTTGTTCTTGGCATGACTCTGCTGTCTAATTAACAGACATATTTTAGATTCCCTCCTTTTCCAGACAAATGTTCCGCATAAAAATCTAATTTCAGGCTGAGCTGATCAAAATTGAGTTAAAGAGGATGAATAAGCAACTATTCCAGTAAGGACCCTCTTTATAATGCATGGATGTAGTAACTCTGTAGCTGTCAGGTAACTCTGATAGAGAATTAAAGTGCACAGAAAATCTGAAGGTGATTGCAGGTAAAATTGACTCTGAAGCAGGTTAAAGAAATCATTCAAACACAGTTACACTCAGGATTTATATTTAAAAAATGCTTATGGAGGGGTGCGCAGATGGCCGAGCAGGTTAGCGTGCCCCATACATGAGGACCACTGTCCCCGCAGTGGTCGCAGATTTGAGTCTGGCCATGACCATGTGCTGCATCCTCCCCACCTCTCTCTCTGTCTCCCCACATATTACCCTGTTCTGTCAATTGCCCAAAAATGCTTTGGAAAAAATCCCGATCTTAAATCCAGATTGATTTACACTACAGTAAAATCTGCATCATTTTGAGTCGTCCTAGATATTGATCTGTCATCTCTCTGTCTCTCTCCCCTCCGTCAGCATACGGCATCGGCCTGCTGATCACCTTCGTGGCCCTGGCCGTAATGCAGATGGGTCAGCCGGCCCTGCTCTACCTGGTGCCTTGCACTCTCCTCACCAGCCTCACCGTTGCACTGTGGCGCAGGGAGTTGCCCCAGTTCTGGACTGGAAGTGGATTTGTGGTGAATACCAGTTTGATATGACCGCCTACTGCCGAAGAACAAAAAAAGACTTTAACAAAGAAAAAGAGAGAGAAAAAAGAAAAACATCTAGTTAAATATCATGCAGAGTAAAGTAGAATTTTGAGTTGAGTAACCCCTTTAAATAATTCCATCCGTTCCAACTGCCTCTTTCTGTTCTACTGTCCCCCTCCCCTCCCCTCCCCTTCCCCTCCCTTCCCTCCCCTCCCATCGCTGCCTCTTGCCCTTTATTTTACTGTGGGTGTGCTCTAGTCTGCTGCTGAGGGCTCAGCTGTCTGTGAATGTCACTGCAGGTATTCTATCTGGGCTTTACCACTTCACACTCCACCATTCAATCACCCTGATCATACTCAAGGTTTCTGTTTGTGTTGCGTTTTCCTGAGGAGTAGATGTTTGTGTCATTAGCAGGTAACAAAAATTGATGTTATTATTGTTGTTGGTGCTAATGGTAAATTAGATTAGTTCATGTTAGCTTTCTGATTGATTGGTTAGCTCTTGTCATGTGTGTAGTTTAGTGGGTCTAACCTCTGTGCGGTTTTCTTTGATCTGCTTCCCTTTTCTTTTCACATATCCTTAACTTTGTATGTACAGGAATACCTCTGACAACAATGAGCATACGGCTTCTTTTAATCACTGCAGTTACAAACCAAAACAGTGGATTTAGCCTGAAATCATCCTGTGGACAGAGGAATGACTGTATATTCTCTGTTTTGTCTGCAGCTCTTTCAGTTTCTGTTGTGATCGTCACATTTTATTTCCCCCCAGTCAAAATCCAGCCGTCTTATATCGACACTTTTTTTTTGTCCCCTGCAGCCTGCCATAGTTCTCGCACCAATCAACTGTACACAAACTGCAGCCCCACAGACAGAGGGACCCTCGACTAAACCAGAGCAGAAAACTGCAGGAAACACCAATCAGAGTGAAGACTCGCCCCCACAGCAGCCGCCGCCTCAGGAAACTCCCCCAGCCGAGACAGAAGAAGAGGAAGAGGAAGAGGAAAACCAATCTGACCGAAAGGACATCTAGTATGGAAGTTAATATTTTATTTCATGTTTTATTTGTCATTGAGATTTTTTTTTCTACATCGTATCTCAGTCAACGGACATTCTCAGTACAGATATTTTATTTGCACTTGGTGCGAAGGGGAGAGCGGCAGCCGTCTGTATTTCCCTGAAATGCTGGCTCAGCAGGGCACCGGGACTGGACACAGGAAGTCGAGGCATTAAACGGACAAACACACCAAATATAAAACCGACACAGCCGCTCCAACACCTCTGTCTACTAACAAACAGTCCAGACTTCAAAAGGGAATTTAAAAAAGCCAAATCTAGACACTATACAGGCTGCCAAACTAAAAATAAAACACTCCCGTGACTCTAAGATGAGGCTGTAAAGGCCCACTCAGGAGTGGATTTTTTAAGAGATCCACTTCTAGTTTTAACGCACAGCTGTCGTAACTTTGTATTGCTGCTCATTCTGCTTTAATTTCCACTCCTCTGTTGTTACAACAAGGATAAGTGACAGAGCTGCAGATAAACAGAACTAGCAATAACTTTGATTATTGATTAAATGAATCCTGAAAATGCCAAAGATGAACTCAGATTAGTTTATCAAGTGATTTCAAGCCTTTTGGTGTCAGGAATGAAAGGTAGTTGAAAATCTGTTGGGTTTTGAAATGTTGATTTGACAAAACAAGACACATGAAGACATCGTTGCGGGCGTTTCCAAACAAACAATCAAATAAGAATCTAATATTGGAAAAAGAAGCAGACTGGTCAGTAATGGAAGTAATTGCTAGATGATAACAGTTTTGAGATAGAAGTCAGTGGTCTTAAAAATCACTAAACCAGCCCTGAGAAGCAAATTTTCTGCTGTTACTATCTCATGTTGAAAACTCTGAGTATGCTTAAAATAAACAGACGTGCAGTTGTTGGCAGAGAGAAAATCCTGCAGCTGAATTAAGACACAAAGGCTGTTTTAGAAAATTACCGAAGTCACCCGGTGCATCACATCCTTCCCATGTCAGACAGGTGCAGGTGAAGGCAGCTTTAGGACTCTTTTACATGGTCTAATTTCATGTGAAGCGTACTGAGATTTACTCTTACAAGCACACAAAGACACGCAACAAAACAAGCCATTTCAGCTCTGCTCATTTCTCCACGACAGTGACGGACTAAGTTTCACACCCTTTAAACTGTGGTGCTTTATGGTTGTTGACTGAGCCAAAGCTCTTTGATTTTTTTTTCCTCTCACATCTTATTTTGATATATTTTCTTTTGCATGCTACGGTTTAGATTTTTACCCTTTTATATAAAGCCAGTGTATAACGCTATGATGCTGAGTGTAGACATTGTGGGCGGTGCGACGGGTAAAACGTTGCCCCTTGAAGTTTCTGAGCTCCCAGCGGTTACTTATTCTGTCTTAAGAAATTTGTTTTGGCCTTAATCGTTTCATTGGGTTGGTGGCAGAATGTGTGGAAGTATAAAAAGACGAGCACCGTACCCTGAATGCTGATGTGCTGCAGTTTAACGTGTGAGCTGAAAAACGAGTGACAGGTTGTGTTACAAACGTTGACTAGGTTTAGTTTCTATGATGCATTTGCACAGTATTTTTGAATTATTGAGCTGACAGAACCTGTTAGTTCTTCTCTGTATATGTCCATGTAAATATGTTTTCTTTAAAAGGGGTTTGAATTAAGAAAAAAAAAGTATCAATATATACAATATTAATCCTGCTATTCCTGACCCAAATGAAGCCTCTTAACCAAGATCAACATTTCTGTCTAGAAGTGAAGGGTCAAATGAAAACAGTCTAGTCGTCTGGATGTGTGCCCTCGCTGATTCAATAACAGTGTTTTCAGGAGATTATTCATTCACCAGTATAGTTTGTTGTCACCAAGTGGTTTTTAATGCCTCTGTGGAGGAATATATAAAATAAATAAACATTGTCTCTGATATTTGACGTGTTGTGATTCATTTCAATGTCTCTTTGTTTGCGCTCTTACATAAGCTGATAGCAAACATAATTCGGTTGCCTGCAGTGGTTTCTGAGTCTGAATGTGTCTTTTCACTGTGTCCCTCCAGCTGTAAAAAAAGGTCAGCTGCTGTTCAAACTGCAGAAATGAACAGCAGTATCACAAAGAGCCGCTTTGTTGCTTCAGTTCAGTCACTCGGAGTGACGGCCTCTTCATGCTGGATCACTGATAGACCAGAGTGGTGTGTAGTAGTCTGGTTTACACAGTGAGATGTCTGCAAGCTCATGTTAGTGGATTTTACAGCAAAACCTGAATGTGAGACTATCCACAAAAGGGACCAAACCATGTTAAGGCAAATATTCATTTAAATAGGGGGTAAAGTACAGTGGAAATCATATGAAAAAATCTTTGCACCCTAGCCAGAGAACCACTGTCAGAGATCTGTACCTGAGGGTAACTTTAGGATTATATGCCCCGCCCCATCAGGATTTCAGTGTGCATTACCAGCTGCATTTACATCGGCACGAATAATCGAAATAGAGGCCCGATCTGAATAAAAATGCGTCATGTAAACATCGGAAGATTCTGATCCAATGTGGCTCGATCGGAAAGAAATTGTATTCTGATTAAGAGGGGTGGTTTATGCCGATCGTTATTCCGAAACGCGTCCATGTAAACACTTATTCCGATCGTGACTCTCTTACCTGACTTGATCTTCAATCTTTAGCCTTGGGCTTAATTATTGAGGCCAGGAGGTTTAATAATTAACATTAACAATGTGGCATAAAACACAACCGCAGGTGCCGTGCCTGCTCCTCCAGTAACAGAACAAGCGTAATGATGTCACATCTGCACGCACAGTGCAACCTTTGACAGAACAGTAAAATAAGTACACAAGGGCGCCATCTTGTGGCAACATTTAACAGGGGAAAAACTCCTGAATTGGATGGACTGATCCACTGTCGCGTTTGTTGGTTTGTTGACAGCACAGACGTAAATACAACTCTTCTTCTGTGGTTGTTTTAGCGAAATCAGACAACTCTGCGCATGTCCAAATGCTTCAAATCTAATTAAAACTTGGTACATGTATACACACATCATGATTATTGATTTTGCACCCGTATCCAGAGTGGATTCAGATTATCTGATCCCTCAAATTTTTAATCGGATCAAGAAATTTTGCACTTGTAAACATGGCTTGTGTTCCAGTAATGTGAATCATCATTTAGTAAATGCTAAACTTCTGCGCATATTGCATTAGGCAAAGCCCAAATAGCTGAGAACATCCTTGAAATCTTACCACACTGGGATAAATGCAACTCAACAAAACAACCTTATTACACAGTGATGGTTTAAGGTTTCAGGATCTAAAACATATTTTGGTTTTCTTTAATAACATGAAGTCAGTCCATTAGTCTGAAGTCAAGAATCTTTTTATTCCATGATCCACTTGTTTGGATTTAGAGGAATTTTTAACTAGCACAAAGGTTAAGTGGTCATTTTTACAAGAGAAAATCATCAGCTTAGTGTCAAAAATTTACATAATTCACAATCACTGCGTTTACAGCCCAAATGTATTTTCCTCCACATTCCTCGTTAAATGTATCATTTTATTAAAACACACACTGAGGATCAGGACCGCAGAACCCAACATAAGTTTGTCTGATTCGTTCAAAAATACAACTCTTGTGCTTGGCACCCCACATCTAAACAGATGTAAACTTCGCACATCCTCAGCTCCATCAAACCGCGTTTGTCATTCATAAATAAAAAAGACAGCTTAAGAGTTAGGACATGAGTGCTAAATGGTTTAAAGTTAACCTACAATCATTTAAAATACAAATCCTAAATAAAAACCTCTAATAAAAGTCTTTGGCAAGGTATTTTGCTTTTGCATCATCACTAAAATATCATTATTCCAAATGTACAAACAGATCAAGCTTTTTACATCTTTTTTTTTTGTGCAACCTCTGCATTAAATGTCTTATTTTTTAACCCGAGTTTAGATGATATGAATCCAAACAGCTGGTGTCCAGTGGTTAATCCCCATAGTAGTGTCAGTTCTCTTCTTACCGGACATAAACCGGTGTCATGAAGTCATGTTCAGAGTCTTCAACAGCTCTATCAGTCTCTCCAAGGGTGGAAGTCTCTATGATGGACCAGTCCTCATCCAAACTCCAGTCTGTAGTCAGAGAACTAAAGGAATATTACCTTCTCTTTTCCTGGTTCGAGAATGTCTTTGGGGAAAGGAGGTGGTGGTGGTGGAGGTCCGGCATCACTGCTGCTCCTCTTGTGCATGCTGAAGGACTGAGACGTTTTCCCGTTGTGGACAGATCCTGGTGGGTTAGAGGCACCTAAAGGGAGTACAGGGGAAAAAATTACAGCAATGCTTGACGATAAACTTCACGAGGAAAGACCCCTTCTGTCCCTACGTTTGTAACGGTCTATACCTGAATGACGGTTTTTGTGAGGACTGGCGTTCCTTTTGGCCCTCATACTGCCTCCTTCTTTCCCCGTCACTCGGATGGGCACCACTTGGTTCATGTCGATGGAAGCTGAATGTAAGAGGAACGGACTGGGGTGAGTTTTGAGGTTAAAGTGAAGCATTTCAGTTTTGAAGCAGTCGTAAAATCCTAGGACATTTTAAAAAATCATGTGAAGAGAACTGTACCCTGACCTGCACTGTGCGCTCTGTTGTGCTTCGTCTTATGGCCTTTCTCTTTTCCCTTGGACAAAGTGGCCAACTTAGTGGGTATCTGCTGCTGCACGGCTGCAGGCTTGAACACCTGGTTCGTGGTGCTGATCAGCTGGAACGGAAGCTCAGGCTTGGCTGGCAGGGGGCTGATGCTCTCCCTGCGCGGCGGAACCTTTGGAGGAATTTCTTTGGGGTCTGAGGAAGTGGGGACCAGGAGTTTTTGAGGTAGGATCTGATTCCCCCCTCCGTTCACGATGCTTCCTCTGAACGACTGGTAACTCGAGAGACTCCAGAACTAAAGGACAAACGGGACATGATCAATCACAGAGCGGTCAATTAGGCTGTTGGGTTGCAGCTCCTCTTTTGGAGCTCAATTTCTTAAAGTTGAATGTTTGTCATATTTCAGTCAGATTTTTCTAAATGTACTGTCAGCCTGCACGATTGTCAGCTTTTCATAGAGACCAATGTTTGTCTAATTACCTACTTGGACTACTTCACTCGATTTCAAGTTAAAAACCTTTTTTGTGAGACTCTTCTTGAATAGATTGTTACTAGTGAAGATAAATATTTTTTCATTCTTATTTTTAATTTGGAAAATAACAGAATAATGTTGATTAACACCAAAGTAGATCCATTGTCTCACTTGTGAAGGATCATCATAGTTGGCGTGTCCTGGGTTCGGGATATTCTTCTTTATCTTCTCCTGCAGCTGCTCCAGACGCTCCCTCTCCTGCTTCAGACGCTCGTTGTGTTTCTCCACTAATTTCGTAGACTCCCTCAGTCTCTCCAGGTCCTGCTGATAGTCTCCCCTCTGCCTCTCCAGCTCTGCCTTCTCCTCATTGAGCTTCTCCTCCCACTTTTTGCACTCCTCTTCCCTCTGCTGCAGCTGAGCCTCTAGCGCCTCGATCTGGATCCTCTGTCGCTCCCTCTCTTTCTCCCAGCGCTGCTGCTCCTCTTGGTGTTGCGCCCGCAGCTTGTGTAAGTTGTTAAGTTCCTCCTTCTGCTTCTCCAGGTTTCGCTGCTTCTCTTGCTCCAGCAGCAAGCTGCTGTAATGGCGGGCGGGTTGCTTAGTCCTGGACTGAAACACGCTCTGCAGCTCGATCATGCTGTCCTGCTGGGCGACTACTGCCTGCAAACGAATTAGAAAAACAATTAGAAAACAAATTCAGAAGATGCTGAAAGAAGTGAGACGCTCCAAGGTTTCCTAACTGTTTTACCTGTAAGCTGTAAAGCCTCTGTGCGAGCAGTATCACTCGGTCATACATCTGACAAAAAACAGACATAATGTTTCTGTATGAAGAAGACAGATAGAAGAGAGGAAAAGTACTCAACATGTAGGATAGGAAGTGTTACCTCTGCTTCACAGGAGTTATTTGAAGGGGTTATGCAGACTGTCAAATCTATCTCATCATCAGCCTAGACACAAAAAGATACAAATATATTCAGACTTCATGTTTTTTGAACAGAATTAAACAACAGGTCTGTATTTTTATCTTTTCATCTCACTCACAGACAGTTCCAGACTCTCTAAGTATGTTTCCTGCAGCTCAGGGTCACCAGTGGATTTACTGTCGTTCCCTGGAGTGTCCTCACTGTCAGCGGGACAGTCGGCTGAATCTCCATCTGAAAAAACAGAAATTTTACACATTCAAATCAATTAAGCCCTTTACATATATTAACCATGATTGAAGATAACTATTTCAAAACTGTTATTTTAAGGACTTTTGGGTGTGAATGTGCCTGATTTGGTGGAAAAGCAATGAAATAAGTCTTCAAAACAAACATCAGAATTTAAAATTGTACCACAAACCTGACCCTGAGACTCCAAGATGTCCTATTGGTTATATCTTAACACAGTAGTATTAAGTAGACGGTATATTTTGTTGTAAATCCTTTCGTCTCTGTCACTCTCTCCTCAGATACACTCACATAAACATTTAAAAGGTGTTGATGGCACTACCACTGCAGCTTTATATCAGCTTACTTGTCATGGGGCTTGCAGCAGAGTCATCCACAGCCACGCCATCAATCTCGGTCCCCTTTAGAAGCGGCCCCTCCTGCACTTTCCCCTCATTCATGAGAGGTTCTGGGTCCCTAATCCTTGAGAAAAGCAGGTTCTGCAGGTTTTCCACTGTAGACAAAAGAAAAAGAAAAAAAACACACAAGCTCTTAATCTCTAGTTTAAAGAACAGCATCTGTGCTCTCTGACTCATGACATCTATAAAAAGAGACAGAGTACATCTTCAGAATTTCATAAAAACCTTAGCAGAAATCTGAATGCTCGAATTATTCCCTCTATACTGCAAATAACGTTTCCCAAAAGGAAGGTGTTACAGTCCCGACTCTTACCCTCATCTATGGCTCCTTTGAGGAGTGTCTCCCCCTGCTGGAGGTCAGATGCATCTCCTCGCAGCAGGAGACCTTTGTGGGGAGTCTCCTGCTCTGTTACAGTCTCATAGAGAGCAGCAAAGATCTGCTGCTTCTCAGACAGACTTTGCTTTATCTGGTCATCTCTCACCTTTAGAATATCTGAAACAGGAAGAAACATGTATGATTGGCAAATGGGAATATAGATAGATTAAAAATAGATACAGTTGTACAGCCCTGATGTAAGCTGAGACACCTTACAGCTCCAGTTACGAGTTTAACAGAAAAAAGAAACTGTGTATCATATGAACATGACATTTGCAGACAATGTGACACATTCAGCCAGTTCTCTTTTCCGCCAATTTCTTCCCCAAATTTTCAGACAACACCGTCCTATCCTCAGATGAGCTCGACGCACCACGAGATGCGTCCTTCCAGCTGAGTCAGAGGAAGATATGATCAGCTATCCTACCTTGAAACTGTTGCAGTCTGGCAGTCAGCTCTCGATACAGCTCCTCCTGTGGATACCTGACTCACACACACATCTTAGTCAGTGTTGTCTATTGAATTATTACACTGAGATTAAAGTCTCAGTGCAATCAAAGAAAAGTTGCATGCATAATTTCCTTTTTACCTACTATCATTTTCTGTTTTCCTGTAGCTCACCTGTTCACAGCTTCTCGTATCATTGCTGTCCATGTGATGCGTTCTGCTCTGGAGCTGGTGTGGATCTCGTACATTTCTGGCATGCTGTCGGTGCACGCACAGATCAGAAACATGGCTTTGTCCTCATGAGCCACCTCTCTGACTATCAGCCTTTGAAGGGAGATCACTGGAGGTTTGTTTTCCTGTATTATAACACACCAAATGGCATTGTCAAGAATAACCACTATTGGTCCCATATTATTCCACAGGATTATGTAACATAAAGAAGACTGGAAGTAATTGATCATTACTGAGTGGTAACTATGGAAATAACAGAATATATCTGTATATAAAACTCTCATTATGGGGCAGAACTCACCACAGCAGCAAATACGAGCTTCTGATCTTTCTCCTGTAGGAGGAGGAGAACGTCGGACAGCAGCACAGCATTGATTTCTGCAGAAACACAGAGTTTTAAAATCAAAACAGGTGATCAATACTGCAGCTCAAACTACTTTTAAAGATGGACCTCACAGTGAATCTTTGCCACTGCAGTTATGACATACAAATATGCTGCTGCACCGGTTCACTAAATCTTTCTTCCAGTTAAAAACAGAAAGGAAAAAATGTGGCTTTTACGCTTTGATCCATTAAATATAATTACTGATGCTCAAGGGAGAGAAAACATCAATATAATCGCTGATAAAAGTGTCACAAACCTTTCTGTTTACCAGACGTCTTCCAGGTTACACTGCCTTCGTGCAGCAGCGTCCTCTGTCCTTGGATCAGATCCTCCTTGCGGAACAGCTGACCGTCCTTCATCCGGCCCTGAGATTTCGGCTCGAGGCGAAGGCCGATCTCCCTCAGACGAGACGCATTTTCATATTCACTGACTTGATCATTCACCTGTGAGATGGTTTCTTTGATCAGAGCCAAACCCTGAACCAGAGACTGGTGCTCCTCTGTGTCATCTGAACAGATCATATGGCAAAAATTGACCCGTCTGTGCTTATATGAATCCAGTTGGACCTTTTTGAGTTTGACATACAGGTTAGTTGTAGGATTTTACCTTCAGTGTTCTGGATGAGTCTCTCCACTAGGATGGGATATTTAGTGATGCGCTGAGTCACCAACAGAAAACACTCAGGGATTCCCAACCTTCGCACAAGAGGCAGTTGACCGATTTTCTGTGTAATAAAAGCAAAACTTTACATGCATGATTTCAGTCGGTTTCTTTTCAACAGCATCAGCCTTTGTAAACGTCATCACCGTCTTATTATTTGTCGACTAGATCCTCTAACAATCCTGCAGGTTCGTACACAACAGACAAAGTTTAGGTCTTACTGAGTCCTGAGCATTGTCTCAACCATCAGTGTGGATTCCTCACCCTCATCAGGATCTGCAGTTTCTTGTTGTTTTGCAGCTGATCTTTGTAGAAGTTGATGGCTTCAGTGTGATGGCTGCAGAACACACTGTAACACTCCATCATCGCCTCTCCTACTTGACCTGAAAACTAACAAAGAATAAACAGAACATCAATGTAATACATCCAGAATCATATAAATCAAGAACGACACTGCATTGATTTCACTGTGTGTGTATATCAAGCGGATCACACTGTGTTGATTTTGTTAGTTGGAATAAAAGAGAGAAGGGAGGTTCCCAAATTAAAAACTGATCCACACAGTAAAAACCACCGTATTGTATTAGACACGTGTAACAAACTCGCACCCAAATGTTACAAAAGTCAGAAAGGAATCAAAGACAACTGATGATGAAATGTGTTTTAGCAGAGGTCACAATGTGAAATCGATATTGGTCTAGTCTGGTTGGCTAAGTGTTCTTCTTTTATCTCTCCACTTTGAGCTCTCAATGTTAATTTTTCTCTCTTTTCAAATCTTCCAGTCATCTCTGGGTTTGCTCTAACAGCTCCTGAAGTTTAAGCGATAATTAAAGTCATCTGACAGTGACGAGTGCCAAGAAAGTGTCAGACATAATCCTCAGCTCACTTGCTGTGTCTCAAAGGACTCAAGACCTCTGATCCATCTCTGCTTCGATCTGATGTCACGTTCTCGTCATGTTACCCCGCTCAGAGAAATTATCGACCACAGATGTCAAAATGCCTCTATAAGGAGGTGAGACGGACATTTCTGACCTTGTGGAGCAAACACGCCCATCTGCAGTCTCTAAAAAGTTCATTTCATTTCAGACATACCAGCCATTCCTATGTACACCTGTAAACTCGGTCAGCGCATTCAGAGAGAGCAACAGGGGCGGAGAGAGCAGAGATCACCAGACAACATGAAGAGTCAGGTGAAAGCAGCAGAAAAAAACAGGGATACACAACGAACACTGAGGTTTAATCCGACATTAATCTTAGATAATTGGTGGAGCAAACCTGTTGGATCTGTGTCTGACACAAAATTAAAAATATCAGCGCTGGAAACAACAAGTACAAGAAGGCAATGGTAGCAATGAAATGTAAACTGAGCATGTGGGAGTTATAAATACACTGAGAGGATGTTTCCTAATCCAAATTTAATCAATCAGTTAAAAAACAAGAAAAAAACAAGAGCATAGCAGAAAAATAGAGTGTGTTAAAAAGCGATCTGTAATAAAGTAGGAAAAGCTGTTTATAATCAACGCTGACATCTTTGGGAAAAACCCTCTTTCCAGCCAATAGTTCAAGAAGATTATTCAAGAGGACTGAATGCCCATCCCTACCTGAGAGATGAGAATATCCCCCAGCTGTGTGATCTGGTAGTTGTTCGGATTGTCTTCCTCCTGACTCTGACTTTGTCGCACTTTGAGGTGGTTTAGGAAACGCTGATGGAGACCGAGCAGAGCTTCCACCCCAAAGAAGAGCCGTTCCAGCCTGGACTCCTCTATCAGCGAAGACTGCCTCAACTCGTGCATGTAGACATGGAAGAGGATCTTTAAGGTGCGTACATGATGCATCTCCGTCTGGAAAAACTCTATAAAAACATACAAACAAGTTTTTCATTTATATGTGTGAAAAAGCTGAGAGGTCAGCTTGGAGTAGACCTGCAGCTCAGATATAAATCATTTGCACAGAGAAGAACTTTTCCTTAACCTTAATAAGTCTTTACTTTTAACAGATAATCAGAGTTGAAAAAGGCATTCATCACACCCTTTATTACACCAACAACTATCTCAATATTAACAATGCAAACATTGTGTCGCCTACAACCAGTGATAGATTAATCTTCCTCTGCTAGTAATGACACGAAAAAGTTTTGTCTGTATACACACAACTTACAGGATGATATACAATTACTGCAACTATCGTGGCTTTTCTATTGTTGTTTATTTTAAGTTACAGACTCAGTTGTTTCAGCTCACCATACATGATGTCCTGTCTTTTTATGGCTTCTTTGCTCAGGCTCTTCAGGTAGTTCTGGTCCACAGCCACGCTCCATGACTCCGCCTCCAGGTTCTGGGCATCAAACTCCAGGTCACTTCGCAGCTGAGCATAATGGGAATCTGGATGACGCAAAGAAAGCGTCAAAAATAAAGTTACTCTCTGGTCTGAATGGTAGTGGCACATTATCGGTTCTTTGAGGGTTATTTCTAATCATGTTTAGATTCCTGTTCGTCAAAGGCCTGAACTTTTTCATGGCTTAAAGTAAAAAGAGCTTTCATTCACAATAAAAAGTCTATAAAAATTGTAGTTGACTAGATATTACCCCTGAATAAGACTTTTTTTAAACTTTTAACAACTTCATGACTCTACTTTTTTGTACTTCTGAATAAAATCTGTTTTCAAAAAGGAAGATCAAACTTCACAACAGGATTAACCCTATCGATATCACTAAAGCATTTACAATTCACTATTCACTTTTCCATTAAGCTACATAGTTCTGTTCTGACAGAATGGCACAGAAAGCTTTCAGCGGTTTCTCATCTCGTCAGAAGTGACCAGCTGACCTTCTAGGTTGATGGGCTCGGCCAAGGAGGGAGCCAGAGACACCGAGTCCTCAGTGGAGGGCTTCAAACGCAGACCATCGGCCTCATCCATCTGCACTGCACCAGATCTGTTTGGTATGTGATGAGATAAAGCTCAGCAGGTAGGAGTGATGTCAGCGCACAAACATGTACACACACACAAAAAGCCTTCAGTGTTACTGCTTCAGTGTCAGACCTTCTATCGGGCCTTAGTTGATGCAAAGTGTAACACTGCATCGATGTCGGCGATGATAACCACACAAGACATCGTATGAGTCAGACTCAGGTTCTAAATTAACACCTCAATCAGGTGAACTGTGTGTCCGCTGCCAACTCTCGACTGTAAACAATCAAAGGTGAGCATGAGGTAAATCAGGACACTGGTGGTTGTGTTGTGATCTTAAAATACCAACCTGGGACTTGTGTTGTTGCAAGAGGAGGTACCAGGCTGAGCGCTGAGATTTTTAGGGGTGACAGTCATGCCTGGACTGGGGAGGCATGTGGGGAGGCCATATGAAGAAGGGGGGGAAACACTCTCCCCTCCTCACCACTGAGAGAGAAAAAGGATGAGAAACTGAGGAAGAAATACAGTAACAATTAAAAACACAAGAGTGTTTTTCTACATTTTTAAATCAAAATGACAAAAGTGCCAGAAAAGCAAATCTAACAGTTTTTGGATTTATTTACCGACATTCTTGGTAGACATAGGATTCCAGTTGGGATCTCATTTGTTGTATTTTTTACAAAATGATGCATCAAATGTTTGGAGAATTTAGCATCCTGACTCTTCTTGTACTGGGCCGTGCTGTTGTATTGCGTGCAGAATGTAGTTTGGCATCTTCTTCCTGTATTTTGTAAAGTCTTCCCTGAAAGCACTCTGTCTGGATGGCTGCTCATGTTGCTCGAAAAGCTGTATAAATTGCTCAGCATTAATGATGCCTTTCTTGATGTGAAAAACTAGTCATGTTGAGAGCATTTGGTCATCAAGCTGGATTGAACTGTACTCTGAGTATAGACTGGGTGGTCCTTCTCCTCTTGAGAGTCGGGGATGCTGCTAGGGATGCACCGATCTGATATTTGGATCAGATATCGGCTCCGATATTGACAAATTAGCTGGATCAGATATCTGATGAATGACGCCGATCCAGCGTTCCAATCCAGTTTTTTTTTCTTTTAATACATGGAAGTCTTACTTCTTTTTACTGTGTGCTAATGTGCAATTTGTTATTTGTTAATGAATAGTATTAAGTAGATTTATATCTGTGTTAATTTGTTACTTTTTTAACAAGGCTAATATCAATTCACTCACAGGGAAAGGTATACAGTTCATTCATTCAACAGTCGTTTTGGATTGGTATTGGATATCGGCTGAAACGCTCAGCCCAGGTATTGGTGTCGGTTTGGATTGTAGAAAAAATGGATTGATGAATCTCTAGATGCTGCATTCATGATGTCTGAAATGAACATTTTTATTCATTCATTTTTAAAAGGCTTGAGCTCAAAGAAGTTAGTGACAGCCCCTTTGGAAAACCCTTTTTAAACACAGTCGTGCTGCAAATCATTCACAACATGCTGGAAATTAATACAAGTAGTCGAGAGTGTATTTGTCAGGTGTTTTTTTGTTTGTTTAATAGTCCCCGTCCAAACTGATTTGGAAGAGTTGCTCACATCTAATTCAAATAAGTCTTAGTATTTTTCATCAAACAATAACATTTGTCACTTTCAGAAAGGATTTGTTGTCTTTGCACTGGTCTAAAAAAAGCTAGAGCTTAAAATGATCTTATTATCTAGAAATTTTATCAAGCATTTTATCCCAACTCTTATGAACTTTAGGTAGTATATAGAATATGCAATAATATGTGATCATCTTCTATCAATTTCTATTTCCTTTAATAATAAATGCTGAAATCAGAGTTTTGTACAAAATGAGATCTACATCATCATCAAGATACAGACACTTAATCTAAAGATGATCAGGCAGCACTGCATTGAAAGTCAATAAGGCTTCCAACGATGAAGAGCTTTTTCCTTCAGCAGGAACTGAAAATAAACGCACCTTTATTATTTGTGTCAGTAAGCCCTTTGCTCCACTTTGCTGACTCACATGCCGTCCAACAGACTGGTTTACCTACATGAGAAATAAAAATAACAACAACTAAACAACAGACTGTTGCAACAGAAATATAACCCTGAGCTGAAGGAACTGGTTAGACAGAGTGTGAAAGCTCAAGTCAAACCCGCTCCGAGGCAAAGACACAACATAAAGAACTGCTATGCTACGGTAACTTCAAGCAACAAAGAAGATGATTTATTACAGAGGTTACTGAAAAGATGTTTGCAAACACAATGGGTTCGATTTTCGGGATCATTTCATGAGAGACAACTCGTAAAAAGTATGTTGTGTAACCACGTCCTTATCAACTTTCCTCTTGATACACATCTCAGCAGAATGCAGGTATCAAAATCATGAACGTCATAAAAATAAAATTTATAGACACATCCTCTGAAATCCTGCTGTTCTGTTCACAGATCATTTTAAAAGCTCCGCGTTAGAGACACACTAGAATGATTCCATCTAGTTTACTTGTATCTCTGCTTAATCTTTGCTCTGTTATCACTATTCATCTGTTTCCGTGCAACATTACAAAACATTACGGCAAGGAGAATCCGGCTTAACAGGGGAAATAAATATGAAACAGAGATACAAAAATGCTCCTGGTCCACAGCCTGACTGAATACATAACAGTCCCCCACTGTCCAAGTTTAGGGGCCGTAACTCTACTGGCCCCTCTGGCTTTGTCTGTAGGTGTCTGTACATGCTAATCGGCCCCTTGTACGTCAATGAGACTGATCCACTGTGTGAACAATAGCCTGAAAAGAAGTTTGTTGCCTCATTATACTGACCAAACACACTTATACAACAGCTTAAATAGAATTAACCAAATACAAGGAATAACATTGAGAAACAGCCACAAGTGCTGAGAAATGTTCACTTTTCCCATCGACGAACCGCTTTCTATCTATATCTGAGTTTGTTTATTTAACAGAGAGAGTTTCAGAAGAAAAGCAGCAGGTGTTCTCACTCAGACACACCTAAAACATACACACATTACTGTTTGACTAAAGTAGTTGTGACACAAACTCACACAGGAGTTCTGCTAGCCTCTGGCTTACCTGTACGACACATATACCACAGAGCAAGAGTGTTTGCAACAAACTGACAGCTCACATTCGAAACGACTTTGACTCAAACAGAAAAAAACAACTTCTTTTTTGGTTTTGTTTTAGTATCATACAATGGGTAATGCTATTGAAGACTGATTTCAACTATTTTTAAGTACTGGTAACTAGGGCCCGTTTTAGCCCGTTTAAGACTAATCGGTAATCGGCCAAAACTCGCCGATTTTCGCCGATATTTCCAGAAATAAAATGCAGAGAATAAGATTCGGTTTCACTTCGAAAATGTTCCGCCATTTGAAAAGTTCCCTAAATTATCCTGTAGATGGCGCAGCGACCTCATGACAATCTTGATCCACTAACTACCTCACAGTACAGCAGAGTGACAGATCTGAAGCAGGCAGCTCAGGGACGTACCGTGAGTTAAGACGCGGAGGCACTGATCGATCTTCCTGTCGGCGTGAAGAGCAGTAGCCTACACTAAATTTACAGTATATAGTATAGGCTACTGTAGATAGCTACAGTATATATGTTCTATAACTTTATAAAAAATTTAAATAATCAGCCGATTAATTGGTAATCGGACCCCCCCCCCAATAATCGGTATCAGCATCGGCCCCAAAAAATCCATATCGGTCCAGCCCTACTGGTAACGTTTCTGCAGCTTTTTAGACCAAGGAAATTTGAAACCCACCAACATCAAGTGTGTCAACATCAAGTCTGGTATTTTAACTCACGTAAGATTTTTTCACTTGCGCCCAATGATAAACTTTAAAAAGGCCATATTTGATAAGTTGATTGGCAGACACGTTTGACTTGTAACAGTCATTAACCACTTTAGTCATTAATAAAGGAACAATACAAAAGGAGGGTCTAGGTCCAAGTCAAGCAAGGCGATGCTCTAAGCTGAACCCTGTAAGGATTTGGGTGTAAGATATACCACTTCAGATAATTTCATTATTGTTGTTTTAGTCATGTGCAAAATGACAATATGGAGTATGATGTCCCTCATTCTGCACAAAACAATCAAAACACACCTCCATTCATTGAATATGATCAAGCTGAGAAAGGACAGACTATTGTGCATGAGCATTGATGTTCACACGACACAAAGAGCTACACTGGTGAAGCCGCCTGCTTAGCTGGAATTAAAAAAAAGAGTGAACAAACAGCAGCAGGTGGGAAAACACAGCACCAGGCTCAAAATCAACATCTTGCCAGATTCAAATCATTCTCACTTGTGTGGAGGTTGTTTGTGTCGGAAAAGATGGTCGTTGCTAAAAGAGAAATCTGCAGACTGCCTTCAGAAGACAGCAGTTAGAAAATGTCTGTGAATAAACCCCTGCATGGAGTATGAAGAATAGTCTGAGTTAGCAGTCAACCACAACAAAAGGTACCAACAAAACATAAACACACTCAGCAAACTCAGCCACTTTGGAATATAGTGTCCTCTTACTTGCTCTGTTCAACCTCTATACTTGCTCAGGAGATTTAACCGGTTTTATATAGAGTTAACTTTAATGACTCCATTTTAAGCTCATGAACGAGGCTGTTTTTCTGAAACAACTTGTTAATATCTATTCCTTCTAAAGTACCTTACAAGAGCAAGGTAGTACAACACTACGATTTACACAAAATATCTTCAATAACCACATCAGCAAAAATCCCCCAAAATATCAAGATATTATTGTTTTGTCTGTATTGTACTCTCCTAGTCAGTACGCTGACTTGTTCACAATTGAAATTCCAATAACCAGTTGGTGCCAATAAGGTGTTGAGTTCACTGTGATTACCATCATTCTTTGACACATTAGCACACTGACATTTGCTAATTAACACTAAACAGAAAGCACAGCCGAGGCCAATGGGAATATCATTATTATCATTGGCCCAGTTATTAGTTACAGGATAACCAAAGAAATAACCATGCAATAGTTGTATCAAATGTTAGGGTAAGCTTTAGAGTCGATGGTTAGATATTTTACTTAAACCTATAATTATGAGCCACAAACAACTGTACAAAACTCCCTGGTGGTCCATGCAAACATTTTTGGAGATAATCTAGGCTAAACGACAACTAATCTTAAGATCAGCACTACAACTGATAAGGTTGTCAGTATAAATATGGCAGATACTAACCAGTCTAATCTTGTTGAAGTTTCTCTAAGTGTTCGTTTCTCACTGATTTTATAGATGAAAAACATTTACGGGTCTTTCCAAAGAGCTGATTTCAGTCTCTTCTAAAATTCCAAAGTTCTGAGATCACTTTGCTCTTCCTACAATTCAATCATGTCATGTTGTTTCCTGATAGCTACATTAAGGAGGACAAATGTCAGTGTTGCAGTTTGTCATCTGAAACTCTGCCAGAAGAAAAATCATGTGTCTTTATTACTCATTTGAATGTTTTCGGACAGAAAAGAGCACCGACTCTCTGCTTCTGTCTTGATGCATCATAGAAGGCTTTGTCTATAAATGTGATAGTGCCATATGCTACCTTTCAGATAAGTACACATGTAAAAAAAAAAGGAGCTATACAGCACCACTTGCCTGAGCACTTTTCCCAGGGATATGTATCATATTACCCTCTTTAAAGACTTGTTTCTGAGCCTTATGGTATGTTATTAGACACAGTGTGGGGCTGTTTGTTTCAGCCCCTTGTTGTGAGTGACAACCACACCTCAAATGACTCACAAGCATTGGGCGGACTTAGAGGAAAGAAGCATGAAATACAGGTCATCCCCTGCAAGAGACAAAACAAGACTGGCGAGTCTGGCAAGTATGCTGCAGAGATGAGAAAAAGGTGCTAAATGCTGCGTTTGTGGAAAGCAGTGTCACGTTAGAAGACATGGGCTCTAACCCTTTCAACGCTATTAAAAACAAGTGAGAGTTGCTGGTGTTCTGTCATTATGAGACAAGTGAAACCAGGCCATCAGCGACGGTTAACAGGCATGAAACTATACCCATTAGCCTGAAGAGGCCGTATAAGCTGACTAATACAAAAGAAAGCAGTGATCCGTGATGCTCTTGTTCCTAATAAACCCCGCAGGCTGAATTTGTTTCACATCATCTCACAGGTATTATTTGACAAAAAGAGGAACACTGTTTGACTAAAATCGGTTACCCTGAACAGCAACAGGGCTTGTTCGCTCTTCCTATGTTACTTTCATATCCAGCAGCCTTGACTAGAAGTTTACTTATTAACTTCCAGATCCTGGCAGTGAATTCATCTTTAGAGCAGTGTGTTGTAAATGTATGCCCGTGTTGTTTTGTCTAAGTGTTTTCTATCCTTACTGAGTCTTAAGCTTAAGAGAAGGGTAACATATGTTTGTGCACAATGATATGAGACACAGTACCCAACATCTATTAAGATCTCAAACCAACAAAACCAAATGAGTATCTCTACAATAGTTGGGTAGCCTAATAGTCTCGTTTGGGATACAGTTCATGAATGCATTTTGAATAACGGCAGAACTATTTATTATTTTAATTTCACTCCCCCTGACGTTTCAGGCAGTAATTGGTTCATTATATCTGGTATGGTACAAACATAGTTGGCTATTTTGGTTCATCTCATGATTTTACATGTACATGTTCATTTGAACCATGTTCACGCGCACACTTAGTGTTCACTAAAATGTATTATAGAATCAACATAGGTGTTAAAGAGTTTCCCTACATATTTTGAAACCCTCTAAACCCTACTATGTCTCAGCCCTTTACCTCTACAAGCTCTACAAAACTTTGATATTTCAACATTAGTCAGTGTGTCCAAGTGGACTGACACACATCTGTTAATTACTGAACACTTACTGACACCTATCTTAGCACTTTTACTTTCACTACCACTCTATGTACTTACAGTTTTTGCATTTCAGATGTAACTTTCAATTACTTTTCTACTATATTATCACTAAGGAATACATGTATGCACATAAACACCTAGGCAATCTAATGCAACAGCTTTACCACAAAGTTTGGCTTCTAAATTTTTGTTTTTGTTGACATGACCAGACAGGTATTGTACTTTATATCTGTTATTGAAGACACAGTGGGTGGTGTTGTACTGTAATGCCTGATATTGAGAGGTGTTTCTCATATTTTGTCCACATCATTACCGGAAAGGAAGCAAAATATCAACCAATAATGATCACCTGTCTTATCATGCCAATAAAAACCACGACTGAAGAATCAAGTAGAAAACAGAGCCTATCAAACACTTCAAATGGCGTTAGTGGGAGTTTTTATTGCAGCTGTCAGTTTTTATAACCTTATACACCCTGTTTCATTTTCAGGTACCTAACTTTTACATGAATAATTAGTCTTTCTTAATCTCAAAAGCAGAACTAAACTGCAATTAGTTTCTGTGTTAACCAGAGTAAAGGGAATGAGAGGAATGCCAAGGTGCTGCTGGCTAAGATAAGGTTACAGTCACTGACCTGGATTCATGATGTTAACCTGTGCCAAGAGTCTCAGGTTAGCTCGCTAAAACGTACAATACACGTGCTTTAGAGTTTCGGTTAATCGAACAAACAGGTGTGAAGTCAAAAGTCCGGACAGGAGTGGCTGCTGCAGGTGACGGACTGTCTTCGAGCTTCACAACTGTTGACATATGGAGACTTTTGACTGGCTGGTTATAAATACTCTCTGCTGTTAAGAGTTAAAATTCACAAACACAAACTAAGTGGCAGCAGGAAAAAAATGTCAAATGTCGTTTTCAGGACTGTAGTTTTATTAAGTTTGTTAGCTTAGCCAAGTCCGCTAGCTAACGTTAACCGAGTGACGTTACGTTGCTAAGTTACAATTCTACCGTTAACGAGTACTGCACGAGCTCAAATGAGAGTGACCTTACCTGTGCTTCACTGATACAGCCGAAGAGAGAGACAACTTTGTGTTTATATCCAAGTAGAACAAGCAAAGGAGCGAAATTGGTCACAACTTGCAAAAAAAAGGGAGAGACAGCGAGGATGCCTGAGGAGGAACAAGTGCACGAATAAGAAAACATGGAGCTGGGCTGGAGGGATGTGTGTTTACCCGAGTTCAGGTCCCAGCCTCCTCCGGCTGAGCGCCTCCTTCCCCGTCTAACGATGCGTTCATGTACCAGTCACTAAGCTCGGAGTTCATGACTTTAAGAAGCCATTTTTCCGGTTATTGTATGTTTAGAAGCCTGTAGGATTAATTTTAAATACTTTATGTTGTGTTCTTATGTTCAGCGGAAAATAAATTGATAACGTGGCATACCAGGTGTGTTTAATGAGTTTGAAGCAGGTAAATCACAACTTATCCTAAACTAGTGGTTCTCAACTGGTGGGTCCCGACCCTAAAAAGGGTCGTGGACTCGTTCTGGATGGGTCACGAACAGCTGGTCAAAAAAGTAAATATTCAATGCGATATTTATTAGATGTTTGATATTTTCTGTACACGCAACTTCAGTAGTTGTCGTCCTCATGTTGTCCCCTTCATGTGCTCTGAAATGCACTTCACTCAATAAAAAAAGTGGATTTATGTTAAAGATTAGAGTCCTAAAGGTCCTCTCACACCAGGACCGTTTTTGTCGTGGGATTAATTTGAACGTAAATATTTTTTTTCGAACCTGTATCCTGTCAATACAAGCGTTCACATCAGCAATGTTTTCCCGTCCTGATTTTTCGGATCACAGTTGAGATTTCAGATTTCGTGTTGTTGCGACGTCTGATTCATCAGTATATCCAACATGGCCAACCGGCTGATTGTTTACGTGTCTGAGAACAGAGTGCTTTTTGATAAAAGACACAAATATTACAAAGATAACGACCTGAAGGACAACTTGTGGAGTCATAGCGTCAAACCTCTCATATGATGATGGTTTGTGTGCTTTCACAGTTTGTTTTAACTTTCATCTGTGCTAACGTAAGTGAACGGTTGTTACCATAGTTTCATGTGCTTATCTTATCGCCTCTGATTGGCTGTAAGTGCTGACCGTTTGGCTTGAGCTTGTGATGACGTTTCCAGCTTTTCTAGCCAATCAGAGGCGAAGGAGGCCGGACTTTGCCCGGGAAAAGTCTTCCCCGGTATGTGTCTTTTCCCCCCCGGAAAGTCGCAAAATCGCACGGTGCTTGATGTGTATAGTCAGGCTCGTCAAAATTCTCCTTCAAATATTTTGTAATTTAGCGTTCTATATTCACGTCAGCCTCAGTGTGTAAGGACCTTTAAAAGGTTTTTTTGTTTTTTTATTAAAAAAGTAATTTGCCTGGTTTGGATTCTACAAAAGTGGGTTGTGACTTAAGGACCATGGGAAATTGAGGGTCCCAGAGTGAGACCAGTTGAGAACCACTGCCCTAGACTGTAAAAAAAGACACCAGGTGATGTGACAGTCAAGACTCTTTTCTTCATGCACTAGTTTTTTTCACGTAACAAAAGTGGGTGAGGAAAGAAGGATTTCATTTTTTTTATTTTAGTAAGTTAATTTAAGCTTAAAGATGCAAATTTGGGGGGATACTTTGTCATTTGCTGTTTCCTTGATGTAATGTAATTTTTAAAAAGTATTTTTAAAGCAATCATGGACAAGAAATCCCTCAATATTTAAAAACATGATCAGTTTGTCAATGAGAATTCTGTGACAACTGGGTGGCTCCACCTGCTGGGACAAACTGTGTGATACATTTAAAAGCACCCAACACTAAAATTATTTTTTTATACAGCATGTTATCCTTGACAACAAATGACAAAAGTACTAAAAAAACATCTTAGGTTGACTTTTTGGAAATAATGACTGTAATAACAGACTTGTTTGTTATAGACAACCACTCATTTGAGGGTAAAGTTTTTAAAGCTGTCAGGTCCTCTTAAAACTCACTTGAATACACATTAGTTAGTATTCAATTTGATTATTCATCTGGTAAAAAGTTCCATTCTGATCCTAGTGAAACGAAAGAGAAATAGGACTAAATTTAATGCTATCCAAAACTTCCTTGGGAGACGTGCACTGAAATAGCTGCAGCTTTGACATTAGGTTTGAACACAGGCTGGTGGAGCTTCTTTTTGTCTTTTGAAAACTCATAAACACAGAATAAGGACTGCATTTTCTCCTGTAAGTTTCATCTGGCTTGTGTTTGGAAGAAATCTTTGCAAGTGATGACTTTTTCAAATGATATATTAGCATGAGAGTATTGTCTTTGTTGTGCATCAATAAATATACTTATTGTTATCATTTGGTCAGTCCTGCCACAGAATATAGTAAACTGAATTCAGCATTAAACACTGGTGCCACTGCATAAACCTGATGTAGATGGTTGTTTCAGTTCCATTGTTGTCCAGCAGGTGGCACCATTGCACTGCATTTCACAGTCATCCACCATTGAAACTTACAACACCCTGAACGGCATTTAGGCCTTAACATTTTAACTGACACTTTTAAAGAACCCATTTTGTCATGAAACTTAAGCATTATTATGTTTCATGTTAAGCAAAGGGTGCTTGACAATATGAAGGAAAAATGTGTTTTTTTTTTCTTACAAAGAATGTGCCTCGCAGATGTGAGCAGTCATTTTGTGATTTACGTGTTTGCAGGCATTTCACGTGAAAGCTTGCAGTCCAACAAAAAATAATAGATGTGATCCAAACCATCAGAAGGAATCGGTAAGTATCAGTGTCTGCATTTTCTTCAAGAAGCCCATCTCAAATCTGCTCAACCTCGTGTGTCAGTTTATACAAGTGTGCTCACCCTTCCTCACTTTTTTCTGCAAAGTGAGTGATATAAAATCTAATCAAACACATCACTGGCTGAAAAACCACATAAGAGAAAGGTAAAAGAGAAGCACTGCTGGAGCCGCTTCTTGAATGCACCTTGCTGCATTATTTACAGCACTATTTTATTTGATCTTGATATGATGGGCAGACATCTTAAGCTGAAGACGCCAAACACTCCTCCACCAGGGCATCACATAGCAAAAAGACCAAGTGCTGTTGGTTGATCATGAGTCCAAAAAAAGCTACTTAGTATGAGTTTCTGGATTAGAAAAAATAAACGTAAGAGACTAACATGTAAAAACATTTTCTATGACCGGAAATACCTCGAGAATGACAACATATCAGCTATGTACAAAAACATCAATAATATATTTATATATATATATTTATATACTTTTCTATCTTCTATACCCACTAAAATATTCCAAAGAAGCAGCTATTGGTCAATCTGAGGAACTCATTCACCAACATGTTTTCTGAAAACAGTTTAAATATCCTTCAGCTGTAAATGTGAAAACTCAAAACAGAGAAAAAAAAGAAAAAAAAAAAAAGAAAGAAAGACAAGTAAACAACTGTAAAAAATATCACCCGACAAAAGTCCTGTGTTCATCCTGTGTGCCTTTTTTGGAATACTGCAGAGTGTGAGGAGGTAAGCCACTTCAACTAGCTTCTCCAGTGGATCAGAGTTTGTTCAAGGATGGACCGCTCCGGTCCGTCCAGCAGAGAGTTCCCAAAGTCTTTCAATTTTCAGTTCGTCATTACAATGTGTACAAAGATTCTGACAAAGTTCCATGACAACTGATGTAGGCAACAGACAAAATAGAAGGGCACTTTTTCTTTCTTTTTTTCAAAACGCAACAACCAAGAGGTGAACCCTTGTGTTGAATTATGGAGGGAGGAAGGGAGGGACAAAGTCTGGACTTGGGAGAGGGGCAGTGGGTTTAGCAGCCTTCTTGTTTGTCAAGAGTTTGTTTCACAGTTGAATCCTTTAATCCACCCGGTCTAGCACAAACTTGGCAATATATATATACAGTATATAAACTACAATCAAGAACAAGAGACACTGGAGGTTTGTCTTTAAATACAAAAAGTGTCGTCTGGTATCCGTGTTTGGACGTGCTGTAGTGTGTGTTTGTGGCATCGGAGAAGAAAAATAAGGTCCTGAGATTAGCACTGAGCGGCTTCTGAGGAGAGAGTGATAAAAGTGTGATCTCTATAAAATGACAACAAAAACAAAAATAGATTTAAATCTATAGCACTGACATGTTTGAGCGAGGGCTGTGTACGCTATGTTAGGAGGGACTGGACCGTGGCAGGGCCAGTATTCGTCCGTTGGTCTTTCCCCCGTTCATGTGTGTGAAGGGGATGTGGTGCTCCTCGTAACTGCCCCTCAGGCCCATGGAGGAGGCCTCGTCCCTGTCCAAACAGTGTTCCCTCTGGGAGCAGGATGACGGGTCCAGTGGGATGCTCTCCATGTTCTCCATGTCCAGGTCAAAGTCTTCGGTCTCTGGCGGCTTGTTCTCCTCGCTGTAGAAGAAGGACACCTCCTGGAAGGAGGGGTGCAGGTCCTCACGCAGCATCTCGATGATCTCCTGGAAGGTGGGTCGCATCTTGGGGTTGTACTGCCAGCACATCTGCATCAGGTTGTGTCTGCGTGAGGATACAAAGAGGGTTAGATTTAAGTTTGTTTGTAAGTTATTTCTGTCTTTCATTAAGTATGTCTTTCCAACATAGTCCTCCGTCTGAACATCAAGTATTTAAATCTCTTATTTTGATTGTCTGACAGCTTTTTGGTTTAAACTAATGCAACATAATGTGATAGATAAAGGTTCACAGCAAAGAGTCAATGGACTGTGTTGTTGCTACGCTGTTACATTCACGTTACTTTACACACGCTACTCCCTCTACAGACCGTTGTTGTGCTCACACAGTGCGAGTAGAATCGTTAGTGGTACATTGATATTAATGATCATGTGAAATTTCAGTAGCGGCGCATGTTATTTAGTAGCGGCGCCGCTGAATGAATGTAGGGGAAACACTGTTGATACATATGAGTCCGAGGTAGAACTATGTGAGATAAAAAAAATTTTTTTTTTTTTAGCTGTGGTGGCTTTTATTTAGCCGTGGCGGCGCGTCACGATCAATTGCATGTAGGGGAAAACCTGGTGTTGGTTTTGATTTTTTGCTCTTTTCTTTTTGCCAATCTTCTTCTTGTAAAAATCTCATCCTGTTTTCTTACACGGTAAAACACATCACTATTCAAGGCAGGTTTCTGTGGTAAATGCATATATTTCTACTCCTACAATGTTCTGCTAATCACTCTGACCTGCCGCAGCTTCCTTACTTCAGGAATTAGATATAAGAGTAAAGGAACAATCAGTTTTGATGCTTATGGTCTTGTTTGCTTTTAAGGCATCAATGAAAATATAAGTCTACTTGATAAATGTTGAAATCTCCTCACAGCGGCTTTAAATGATGAACATTTTATAACCATCAGAGGGAAGTTTGTAACTTTAAATAAACTCAATCTTATTTTTCTACAACAGTTTCTCACCAAGCCTTGCTCTTCATGTGAAAAATCATGTGTGGAGCAGAGATCTATCCAAGTTACCCACAAATGTGCTTTCCTGACATCGCTGTCGAGTGTACTACCCATAAAAATTTGTCACCGAGCAATCTGAATCAACTTAAGTCTCAGCAGATAATCTGTAATGTTTCAGTTATTACAAGACGACACATGTTTTCCTACGACCTTATCTGACTGCAGCCCCGCCCTTGTACTCACAGTCTATCTGCGCAGTTATCCGGCCGGTCCAGGTAGCCCCCGTCCATCACAAACTTGAGGACCTGCTCGTTGGACAGGCCCTGGTACGGCTGCTCGGCCAGCGTGCTGATCTCCCACAGCACGACCCCGAACGACCTGACACAACGGACGAGCGGGAGAGAGACAATAACAGAGACACAGAGAGAATGAGGACACGCCAATTAGACACCTGACAGAGTTAATCTGTTGGTAAACACTTGAGGCAGTGAGAGGGTCGACTCGGGGCAGGAGGCAGCAGGGTGCAACGCTGGTAAACAAAGTTGGGGTTGAAAACAGGTTAGCTGCACACACGTGTTCCGCTCTGATATTTTTATATCTGTAATGTGTTTACTGTTTGTTATTCCGCTCCGCTTTAATGCTTGATGGAGAAGCTCTAAAGGGACCTGATGAGAAACAATTACCCTTTGAAAAACAGGTTTGTTGATTGACTTATCACAAAAAAACATTAAAAAGCTATAAGAGCATGAAGTGAAACTCAATTCTGAGTCAGAAGATTGTTTTTATCTAAGAGCGGGCTGCTTCTCTCTTATTGGCTGACATTCACGTCTCATTATGAGATCTTCTTAAAGGTTATATCCCAAACTACTGAACATTCATGAATGTCCTCAATAAACTCTGGTTTCTCTACGTTTTAACTACGAGCTGTTCGCTTTCCTCTCATGGTCAGATTGTTTGTGTCTCCACCTGCACAGAGACGATCCCTCACCACTCCCATTATCACCGTTTTTACTGACCAGCAGTCCGAGTGTGCGGTGAAGACTCCGTCCTTCAGAGACTCTGGAGCCATCCACCTGACGGGCAGCAGGCCCTTCCCTCCCTTCCTGTAGTAGTCGGTTTCATAGATGTCTCTGGTCATGCCAAAATCTGCGTGAAAAAGTGTGACATTGGTAAGGAGTTAAACATAATCAAAGATCTGATTTACCGCCACAAACTAATAATGAAGTTTTGCTGCCTCTTGGCCAGGACTCCCTCGAAAAAGAGGTTTTTAATCTCAATGGGACATTCCTGGTTGAATAAATAAATAAAAATAAGTGCTTCATTCCTTTTTATTTTGTTAACTTGATATTCTTTTTTTACCCCTTTTGTATTTTGTATTTTATTTTTAAATATTTTTTCTCATCATTACTTTCATTACTGCCATATGTTTAATGTGTTGCTGTTGTTTGAACACAAATAACAATAAAGATATGTTTAAAAATAAATAAATAAAAAATAAGTGCTTTACTATGCTTGAGACTCTAAACAAGTAGATTTGTCTTTGCTTGAATGCTGCTGTTGATGTGAGGTGGTTTAATTCATTTGTTAAAATTCAGTGTTAAAAGTAACTGCGTGCTCTTACATTTAAAGGAATTTGAGGATATGCATCAACCATTTACTAACAACAAAAACATGAATTCATCCACTCATGTCCAGAAAGCCCTTTTCCTTCACTAAAGCTGTGTTTCCTCTTCCATCTTTTCTCATCCGGTATTCACCTCAAATATGCGAACTATAGGAACACTTTTAGATCCGTCTCTGTGTTCAATTTGCCTCTATACGGATAAACGCTCATTTTAAATTCCAGTCACAGCAATGCAAATGGCAGAGTGAACTCACAGCCTTTTTCTGACACCTTCGCTGACTTTAAAGTCATTTCATTGTTTTATTTGATTCTGAACGTAAAGAGAAGTATGAACAAAAACAAGACGATCACACAAAGATCCCCTGACACGCCATGAAAAGAAAACGCCACAAAAGGTTTTGACGTCTAAGACGCTTTCATGCCTGTTGTGCTACAAGCTTACCTCCAATTTTAACAGTGAGATCATGAGCTACCATGCAGTTTCTGGCTGCTAGATCTCTGTGGACGAACTTCTTTGCATTCAGGTAGGCCATGCCGTCTGCGATCTCAGCCGCCATTTGTATCATCTCCTTCAGAGTGGGCGGCGGACGTCCAGGGTTGTTCTGAAGGACACACACGAGACAGGTTTTAGTGCTTCTTTGTCATGTCAACAACCGTTTAGTTGAAAACCTTTGAAAACAGCGCCAAGTGAAATAAAAGTACCACACTTAGTCCTGACTGTCACAGTCGGCTTAAATGCCTTGGGAGGAAATGTTTTCTTAGTCGTTTTGGAGCCTGCTGTCAAACCCCAAACAAGAAGTGCTTTCAGATGACTTAAGTGATGACTGCTCAAGTCTTTAGTCAATATCTGAGAGCGCAATCCTCCTCCTATTCCCACCCCACTCCCATCTGTATGTTTACACACTTCAGAAGATGACACACTGTTAGTCATCGCAGCTAAACACAAAGTGGAGTTTTGTATTGCACAACAGTCAATAGACAAGGTGAAGCAGTTCCAAGTATTAGTGACAAAACAAACAGATCAATATCAGACCTCAAAGCCCCTCTCCTCATTTAGATACATTTAGTAAATGTGATTAAATCAAGAGTCGGGAACAATCAGGCTGACGGCGCAAATGCTGAAAGCTTTGAGTAAGACATTTTCTTTCATTCTTTATGACTTTTTTTTTTTTTCCTTTCGTAGTGCAACATATTATTTTAATGTTTCCTTTTTAATATTAAAGTGTCTTTCTTTTTTTAATCTTATTTCAACATTATCAACTGTTTTAAATATTAAAATGATGTTATAAGGATTGTAAAGGATAGGCAACTATAAGCATTGTGCTTCCGCCTAATCCTTTTTTTTGGTCAAGTTTATAATTCTGTTTGTTTCTCATTTGTTGTTATTGTGACCAAAAATAAAACCATTCATTCATTCATTCAAATGCATCAGGGGGGAAAATGTGTGACTCCTTTTAGTGTAAAGTGTTGGATTGTTTAAACATTAATGGATTTGGCTTGTTCAGTGTTTGTACATCTGTGTTTAATATTGAGTCTTGATAAGAGATTGGGAACTGCTGAGTTTTTGAGGGTGTATTTGTGCAGCCCACGTTCAAAATCAGATGCTTGTTAGTGGAAAAGTGATGTTGTCAATAAAAGCAGCAGCGTAGGATTTCAGAGGGAAATCACATCAGGACAAAATTCTTTCCAATAGAGATTAAAAAAAAAGGAAAAAGGGGGAAATGTTGGAAATACTCCTGCTGCAAACTCACTAAAACAAGACATGCAGTGCAACCTACAATACAAACACTTGTTTTGTGATTCATGGTGGAGCGCTGTTACCTCAGCATCGGGTCGCAGAGAGCGCAGGTAGCTCTTCAGGTCTCCATGGGTCATCAGCTCCATCACCACAAGGGTGGGCTGACCTTTAGACACAACTCCCAGCAGACGCACCTGCAAGACAAGGATGAGGGTGTTTTTGTTTCGCTGTAGTCAGGTTTGTTTATATCATGTATTTTGACAGCGTGCCTGGTAACAGCAGGGAAACACCGATGGCCTTTGCACTGAGCAATGTTGGTATTTACAAGCGTTGAGACACACTGTACTGGGAAAGAGCAGCGTCTGGTTACAAATTCACGTACTACCAGAGACTTTTACCCTCTTACAACAACTCAAACTGACAGAAAAGGCCCTGTGCTGTTTATGATCGAGCAGTGGTGTAAGATAATGGTACTCAGTCACAGTGTTCAAGTATTTCTGAACTCTTATATCTCTGCCAACTTCCACTTTAATCAGGCCAAGCTTCTGGAATAAATGTGTACTTTTACTCTGTTACATCCCAGAAGGATTTACAGTATTCAAAATTCAAAATTGTCTTCATTAAAAATATATCTTTCACTATTTGAGTCCTACAGTACAAACCTCAAAACACACCGAAAATAAACAAACAGAATGCTAAAAAAGACCAAATTAAACAATAATCCCACCCAAACTAACAACAGACGCTACAGAAGCTGCATACATCAACATGTTATAGAGAAATACCACCACTATGTACTCACAATATACAAGAGTTTGAGCAAACACATAGGCATTGTATGATAGCATAGTAAAGAGTAAGAAAAGACCACATATCGGGAAGAGAAAGAGTGCAAAAACCTCCATAATCTCCAGACTTATTCTGATTTATGACTGAAGTCAAGAGTCAGATTCTCCAGAGGAGAAGAGCTGCTATCTTTGATATCCACATACTGACTGTTGGAACCTGCAGAGCACATTTAAAGCAAAGGTTTGAGGAGCTGAGGAGTAGTCTCTGGAGGTGAGTAAGTGAGAGGTATTTCCAGTGTGAAAAAAAGAGTAAAACTTGTTCATGTTCACGGTGACTGAGATACACTGTAAAAAAACATCGCAAATTTGTTTCCCTCAATCTTTAGAGGAAACAACTTGAAGTATCTGAAGGGACTGAAAAGGGTCTTAAATGTGTGGAAATCTTGTTTGTCAGTGAAAAAAAAACATATTTTTGAATTCTAGCTTTTTTTTTTTTGAAGAACATTTTATTGTCGACTTTCACTTTTACCTTTAATACCAAGGAGGTCTAACAAATATCCGACACTTAAAGATTTGCCCTTCAGTAGTAATAGACGTCCTCTCTGCTTTGATTCCTGCACTTTCACTCCAGTTAAGCTTCCAAGACCAGTGTGGGGTTAAAAAACTGTCTCTCCTTACCACATGGTGGCAGCTGAAGGCTTTCATGACCGAGGCCTCGTTCAGAAACTCGATTCTCTCCCTCAGGCTCGCCGACTCATTCACCGTCTTCACCGCCACCCGTGTCTCTCCCTCCCCCTTGACGATGTCCTTGGCGATGCCCTCGTACACCATGCCAAAGGAGCCCTGGCCCAGCTCCCTCAAGATGTTGATCTTCTCTCTGAGCACCTCCCACTCGTCCTCCTCGTAGACTGCAGACACGTATTAAGGAACAGGTTATACACACTGCTGGATAAAAATCAAGACCGCATGCAGAAAAGAAAAGAAAGCAGGCAAGTCCAAGCAAGACAATTTGATCATCTGATAACGCGCTTCATCAGATATTCCCTCGAAAGGCTGCTGTGATTTGAAGTAAATTAAATCTTCGGGGAAGCTTCGACTTAATTTGAGTGGCCCTTACTTGCAGCGTTTCTTCTCATGCAGAGAACAGCAGTTTTCTTTAGCCTGCCAAATGTTCATCTAGTCAGTCTACACAAATCATGCGCCAAACTAAGAGTTTCTCAGAATCTTTGGACTAGTTATCAGAAGCGCTGTTTTCTTTTTTGGTTGAACAGCTTCTAAAATGTGGGAATGATCAGATTCCCTGAGTGCATGTGAGGGCATTCGGATTAAACGATTAAGATGCCTGGATAAAATTTATGATGGTCACATCAATCACCAGTTTTTACACGTGATTAACTGAGTAATGTCATTCCTGATCAAGTGCTTAAACTCATTTCTTACCATCATTAGCGCTGAGATATTCTGGGTTTGAAGAGGCGTAGATGGGACCACTAGGCCCTTGAGTTTGGCTGAAGAGAAAAAAAAAGAGAGAATAATCAATAACAGATCAATTTAACAATCCTAAAAAACAGTAAAAGTATTGATCAGGATTTTATGACAGCGCACCTTTTCCTAAAGATGACGAATCCAGCTGCGGCCACAAACAGCAGCAGGAAAAAGCAGATGACCGGTCCGATGATGATCTTGACGATGTAGAGAGGATCGCCTGTTGAAAAAAAACACATCAGGAGATCAAACAGTGGGTCACATTACAGTCCTGCGTCATTCATTCATTCTATAATTATTAAAATCTTAAGATAGAAGCTAATTAATAGATAAACAGGTCAGTGCTGTTTTAAAGCCTACATTTAAGAAGATTTACAGTCCTATGAGCAGAGCCGGCGCAAGACATAAGCGAGCTAAGCGCCTGCTTAGGGCCCCGCGGCCAGTAGGGGGCCCCCCCAAGAGCAATCCAAAAAATAAACCAAAAAGAAAAATACATGTATGTATGTATGAGTGATGCTTTCTGTATGATCAAATATATTATTGTAGAATATATGATTAAGTGAAAACATTTTAGTGCTGCTGCTGATGTAGGCCTATGATTCTTACTGCCGATATGTCAAAGCTCCGCTACCGTTATGTGCCTCCTGCTGTGCAATGTGCACTGATCAGCCTGAATGTGTTACATTTTGAGATTAAAAACCGTATGTGGCACCCTGAACATCATTCATCAGTCATTTATTGGTATTATTTGTATGGTTGCATTGGTATTATTTATGTTATTACCCAGGCCACCCCCTTAAATGTGTTAAGACATGTCAGGCACATTAAATTTATACTGTAGTAGGTGTGTGAATGACCAACAATCAATATTATTGGCAGAAATAGAGGGCCCCAAAATCAAATTTTGCTTAGGGCCCCATTGAGGCTTGTTTTCACACATATCTGAGGAGCAGAAATGTATATTTTTGCCATTGTTTTCCCTTTCCGGGACTTTTTTAAAACTAAAGCAGTGTTCTTTAATTCTGAATTTATGCAGGTTGTAAGTTTACACAGTTTTCTGGTATAGAAAATGATCCTCTATAGTCGAAGAAGCGGCCTGATCTACATGATTTTGATTACGCTCGCAGAGTAGTTCCTAATTGGAGGAACTACTCGCAGGTGAACTTGATAAAATGAATGAAATCTAAAAAAATCTTGGGTAACAAAAGTGTTCGGTTTTGTTTGGCATAAAAAAAAATCGCACTCACTGTATCATTTCTTTTGGGACAAAACTGATCATATCGTGCTAATACTGTGTGTATCATCTGGATGTGTGCTGTATGTGAGGACTTTGCACAAGTCCTTCATTTGTGGTTTTGTTTTACTCCACACCAGATGGAGACTTACTTGCATCCTGCACATAAAAGTAAGTGGGCTCAGTCCAGGACCCGTTTCCAGCTAGCGAAGTGGCCCGGATCCTAACCGTGTAGTTCCCAGGATGCATCACTTTCAGCTTTGCCCCTCGGGTCACCTTAAACATGTTCCTCGACACGCAGTAGTGAAGCTCCTGCAGTGAGAAGAGCGTGAAGGATCGGCATCATGTGACAAACCGCTTCAAGATTTTCCACCGAGTTTAAAATATCGTGTAGGAAATAACATTTGGACTCATTTTACAGGATATACTTTTTCCTTTCCAAGGTTAAAACTGTTTCATGTCTTTCTTTTTCCAATGAGGAAGCTCTGGGGTTTCTGATTGTTTTCCACAGAGAAGTCGACGGCATCAGTCAGATGTTTTGTTTATGTCTCCATGACGACTAAAACATGATGTAATGCTTAGATAACTCCTCCATTTAGCTATAATCCTATCACATTAGCGTGTCCATAAGGCTTAATTTCAAAATACATCTCCAGTAATCAGTATTGCCTCTGATTTGACCAAGGCTGGTTTTTAACTGTCTTTTAATACTGGTCCCAGCTAAAAAGTGCTTTCTGATTAGGAGGAGGATCTGGATGGATGTGCTGTCGACTCATGCACTCAGTGACCCGACCAATCGAATCCTAACTAACGCTAAAGTAACAAAGGCACGACTCAAGTGTGTGTGTGTGTGTCTCCTCACCTCTGAGTCTCCCAGTCTCTTGTAGTTGACCTCATACAGGATGATCATACCATTAGGAGCAGCTGGTTCCTGCCATGTGATGAGCACTGTGTTTTCTGCCACCTCGTAATTGATCGGACCGGTGATGTCATCGGCTTTATCTGCAGAAATTAGAACCACGTTATCTTCCGAACTCAGGAATAACGACATTTAAACATGGGGGCAAATCAGGTTCAAGTGAGTGTCTCCAGGCAGAAGAAGTTTGAACCCTCCTAATGTTTCATCTCTCCTCTCCAGGATGAAGCGTCATCAGTCCCTCCTTACCTTCCGGCATCGTTCTGGCGCTGACATATGCCGCCATGCTGCAGCGGGCCGCGTCCTTCGGGTGGTTGCAGGCGTGGATCTCAATCTGGTAGCTGGTGAAGTGGCGCAGGTTTGAGATGACGGTTGACTCCTTCGCGAGGACAGTGACGAAGGTTTTCGTGCTCTCAAAGGTTTCCTGGTCCTCGTCTTCAGGGCTGCCGGTGCCCTGCGGCGGGCTCGGGGCGGTGGTGAGGAAGGGGAGTGTCCTGTTGGCGATGCCCATGACAGAGCGTCGCTGTCTTGAACGTCTAAAAAGGACAGACAGTTAATTTTTTTTTAACAAATTGCAAATAAAACAAACAACATCAGATAAATGTAGGAACGTTTTTCTGACAACCCAACATTCACACCTGCGCAAGACCGACCAGCTGTGTAGTGATGAGCAAAGTGCAAAAGTTTGAATTTCTCACACTAGTTTTTCATTTGTTACACAACAGTTTATGACATATTTAGTGTGTAGACATTAGTAAGTGCGAAACTATGAATCCCTCTGAGTGGACAGGGTCTGGAAATGTGCTCTGATCGCGTGAATCCTCCTCCTCTGCGGCTGCCAGCTTTTCATGAGGCCTTCAGCGTGGCTTTATGGATTAAATTTAACTTCTTTATTTCTGATGTGATTCAACATTATGAAGCCCTGACTGTGTTTTCTACTGCAGCTCGGATGTTATACAGTGTTGTTTTCTGGTCGTTGTTTACGGTAAAACAGTTGCTACTATCTGTTCCTCTGAGTATCCAGAAAACTGACGGATGAACGGGTTTAAAAAAAAGGTTTTGAGTGTTGAGAAACATAATGGGAAATTGAATTGTTTAAATATCACCTCTATTTGCTTAATGTTATATTTCTGCCTTTTACTTTCATATATTTTGTGAGTACTTTGTTTAAAACGTCCACGGCTGCTCCCGTGGTGACTAGCAGCTAGTTTTTATTGCTCTGTACTTTTCATGTGTTTGTGTGTAAGACAAATTCTCCCTGTGGGACAGTAAACCTAATCTGAGTCTGAATTGTTCTACATGAGTGATGCTTCACAAATAAATTAGCCCTTCCTCTAATTCGTTTATTTTTTCATGATCCAAACAGAGATCATCCCACGGAGCATAAAAAGCTTCACTTGTTGTGTCGGGCTTTTCTCATTTCGTCTGACTTGGGTTAAAGTTTGAAAAAATTATTTTCTTGGCGACTCCATTCATGAGACATTAAGTTATTAAACCGTCTGATCAAAGAGGAAACTCTGTGCTCGTTTTTCTTACTTGATCTCAAAGACTTCATTGTGGAGATAATTCTCAAAGGTTTTTCGATACTCCGAGTCCTCTTTCTCCTTCTTGAGCTCCTTGTCGGTTTTGGGGCAGGCGCAGCATCGTGTCCCCTGACCTTGCTCCTCCGTCTGGTTCCACTTCTGCTCCTCGTCACTGTCGACCTGGGTGGGCACCCGAGACGGCAGCTTCATCCCTGGAGGAACGACCCCGTGATGGTAAACAGAGAAGAAAACAAAAGGAGGGAAAATCATCAGGCAGGATTGGGTAACAGGTGTGATAAACACAGACGCACAAGACAGAAATATTCATGTAGACTTCCTCCCACATGCGCCTGAGGGGCATGCCTGTCACTGTCACCCTCCGGTCCACACCCTTTCTTTTGGAGATATATTACCACTGACACGACCTCTCTTGCAGGCTCAAATCTCTCTCAGTGTGTGGGAGCGGATAAAAAAAGGAAAGTCTGGACTGGTTGTGTGCTAATATGGCAGGGCACTGATGGCGGGGAATCGATGTAGGCCAGGCTGTGACGGGGATATTTCACAGAGATAAAGGTCTGAACTTTGCCTGAACCTGAGTCAAAGTGGGAGGAAGATCTTGACTGTCTCATTGTCAGGTTTGACTTAGTTCAAGCCACAGAATACTCCCTTAACAAGAGATTCACCTCTGCTGCAATAGATTTAGTTTTTAAGTGGGTACAGAGAGGAGCGCTCACGGTTCAATTCACAGACGGGCTCAGAAGGGTTAAAATGCACTCAGAGGTAAAACTGGACCACAAATGGCTCTCTGCTTTTTGCAGCTTTTCCCATCTAAACTCACATCCTGCTGAAACACAGACACAGGAAATACTGCACCTGAGATGTTGAGCTGTTAACATGTCTGAATTTAAGTGATTGCAATGTTTTTATGAAGCAACAGAAAATGAAAAGCCTCTCTGCAGGTTAAGAATAAAACCTGCCTCAGCTTTTACATCCACTGAGACCTTTTTGTTCAACGTGACTGATGTGTTGTCATCTAATAAAAGCAAAGCTTTCACTTCTGCTCCTCGCAGGACTGATTTTCTACGAGTTAGTTAAATTTAACGTGCATCAAGAGAGTTTGAAATATATGATGAAAAAATAAAGTTGAGCTTGTTTGCTTTAGGTTTCTAGTTATAATACTTTCAGTTTGTTTAAGAAACCTCAAAAACTCCTCACAGGAGCTGAAATTGTGCAACTTCCTTTGAGCACGTTTCATTTTTGAATTGCTTTTTATCCAACCAGCTGCTAAACAGGGGTGGGAATCACTAGTGACCCCGCAATAATATCGTATCATGATACTTGGGCCATGATACGATATTATTGCGATCTTTAACATTTTGCAATACAGTGAGTATTGCGATACAATATATTGCGATTCATTCGATTTTTTCAACTGTTAAGATAATTTAGCATTTGGCTTTCCTTTATGTTTGTCTAATTTAGGCTGAATTTTATTTCCATGTAGCACATTTTGCAAACCTTATATATATAATTGTTGCACTAACTTTCTTCTGCTCTATGATGTCACCTCTGCCAACCTTACTGGACAAACAGTTGATTCATTTTTCCATCATCATAGATCTGACTTCATATTAGTTTGAAAAAAATCAATACTCAGTAAATGAAACAATACAATATATCACCAGACCAAGTATTTTCTGCCACCCCTACTGCTAAAACCACGAAATTCTTCATTTACTACTAGAAATGGCATCTACATAAACAAATAAATTTCATACTTTAAACTAGGGCCTGACCGATATGGATATTTGGGGGCCGATGCCGATTCTTTGGCAAATTAACTCCCACCAACCCCCCACGCCGGTGCCTCCGTGTCTTAACTCACTTTACACATTTTCGGTCCGGTCTCATCTGGAGACATGCAGCTGTTTATTCTACCGTTACTAGCACGGCTAACGGTGTAGCAAGGCTAATAGCAGGTGGCTAACTAACTTTAGCTTGCATATTACATGGTGCTTCACCGTTAACTCTGCGTGACCGAGACCAGCACAGCGGGGAACATTGTCAAGTGGGTTGAATTAAAACTTGTTGACTTATTGTCTACTTCACAATCTAGTTTATTTACCGTTGAGGCGGACCACTCTCCTCTGTGCGTCCCTGAGCTGCCTGCTTTAGATCCGTCACTCTGCTGTACTGTAAGGTAGTTAGTGGCTGAACGTTGTCATGAGGCTGCTGCGCCATCTCCTCGATAAGTCGGGGAACTTTTCAAATGGCAGAACATTTTCGAAGTGAAACTGAATCTTATTCTCCGCATTTTATTTCTGAAAATATCGTCGAAAATCGGCGAGTTTTGGACGATTACTGATTAGTCTCAAACGGGCTAAAATTGGCCGATTTAATCGACTCGCCGATAAATGGTCAGGCCTTACTGCTAAATCCACCAAATTATTCATTTACTACTAGAAATGGCATTTACATTAACAAGTAAATGTCATATTTTAAACGCCTGCTATTAATGTGGAGTAATATATCACAGATGCGCGTTAAAATATGCACATATAAAATAATCAAACAGAACTGGGCAGGCTGCAGCAGGCTGAGATAGAGAGAAGAGCTCTCCTGCTAATGGAAAAACTTCAAAAGACTCTCTCTCTCCATCTGTCAGAAACACTTAGACACACAAAAGCACTCACACATCAACAGACAGGAGAAGAAGAAAAAAAAAAAAGGACAACCACAAACAATGTGGCTCACCCTTCTGACAGTAGTCAAACTTGTAGAGCTCGCTGGCTTCGGGCTGGCGCTGGCAGAAGACCAGGTAGTGAGTGATGTTCCCGTTGGGGTCATTGGGAGGTTTCCACTTCAGGATGATCTGAGAGGAAGAGTTGGAGGAGGAGATGGGGTCCAGCGGGACTGACGGCTCTGAGGTGGCGAGACAAAGATATAAAAACAAGTCGGAGAGTGAGAAATGGTCAGAGCTAGACAAGGCATCCAGATGATAAACCTGATCCAACAGGTGCTTTATTCTATTATCTGATTATTTCATGATAACATCATCCCTTCACATCCTTGTTTTCTGCTTCAATAACATATTTTTGCACCTTCAGAGAAAGATGATCTCTTATGTGGAGCTAGAATACGGTTTAGTTTGTAGAGTTAGTAGCGGTACATGAGGTCAAGCCTTATATCCTTTGGAGTTATCGCTGACACAATGCTATCGTTGATCTTCAGAACAGATTGACTCCATCTGTTACAACTGATATCATCATTCCTGCATCATTATCATAAATGCTGATATGAATTTAGCTGGCATTACAATTACAATGAGTCAACTGTTACTTATTTGCAGTTTCAGCAAAGAGTGTTCATGTTTTTAAGTCTTGTTGTTGTTGTTTGTCTCTCCCCATTTCTCTCTTTTCCTAGCACTGAAGCAGCAGATGGCTGTCGAGCATAAGTTTGGTTCTCTTCAAGGTTTCTGCCTGTTTTTCCTCTCCACTATAACTTCAAATACTCTGGTACTGGTGGATAACAATGGGATAAGAACGGCTTGTAATCTTACTGGAAGAGACTCAATCTTTGTAAATAAATATCATGAATGAATTCTGATTTAACTCGTCTTAGAAACGACTCTAGACTTACACGCGTTTTATGAAACAGAGCGCGACATGACGCATGTTTTTCTATTCTTAATACCATCCAGCTTTGTGAAAACAGATTAGCAGCACTTAACGCACGGGGCACATGAAACATGAGTCAGTGTGTGATTTGCTCTGGCTAGGTCACGGTTGCTTTCTTATAGTGAGAAAGAATCACAATGAAAACGAACTTGGCAGCTGCATTATCAGCGTTTCAGAGCAGATATTAGATTTGCATCGGCTGTGGACAGCCAATAACAAAAGCGTGTCTTCTGGTGTTGCAAACAACAAATGCGGTTAGATGCGGCAGAATCACAGACTGGCATCAGCGTTTATCTGACTGTCTGATCAGTCGTCTTTTTGGTAGACGGATGAATCAGCCGTTTGAGTGGGAGGCGACTTGAGAGACACTTGTGCCGACCCGAGGTGGAGTAGCAGTCATGAGAAGAGCGTGGAATATATATAATCGAAGAAAGCTTTAGGTGTTGACATTTCGAGTTCATGTGAAGAGCATGTGATGAGGAGACGAGATAAGAGGAGGGAGCGGTGTGTGTGGATGTCAGACTGAAACCCTGAGGAGATGCAGACATCTGAGCTCCTTTGTCATACGGTGATTATGATGTCCTTGTTTCGTGACGTGGCATCGCACTGGTCCGACCGCATTGTCAGACTAAGTTCTTCGACAACAGCTTATTGGTAATGACAGCTTTGCCCTTCTGAAAAGGTATGACACAGACCAGGAACGCAGAATGGGTGCCAGATGGGTAGAAGACAAGCCTCCCTCCACATGCTGGGTTATGGTGCGTCTCTGCTGGAAGCCTTTTTTCATGAGTGAAGGATGTCACGTTGGATGATGCTCATCAGGCAGATTGTGTAAAAGGAAGCCAGTCAGACAGGACGTGATGACTACAATGAGCCCAAACGGCACAGGACACACTCTGCGGGTGTCAGATTGTAATTAAGTAGGAAGAGATTTATGATAGCCTCGTGACCGACAGACACCTTGCACGAGGCGGCGCCCTGTTGGTCAAAGCCCCCCCCCCAAGGCGAGTCGTCCCATCTGTCTTCCTCTTCCCTGTTCCTGTGCCAAGGACAGTTTGGCAGCGGGTGGACTGACACACACCACAGTGACTCAAGCAGTCAGTGATAGTAACACCTTAAGAAATGAGGATTTAAACGCCCCTAAAAATAGTTGAGCTTTGGACCTGAGAAGAAAAAAGGTTTTTCTGCTGCAGGTCTTTAACTCAACTACCGGAAACCCAGAGTTTCTCTAAACCTGAGCTTTAAAAATCAAGTAAGACAGGACTATTCTGTCAATCATTCAGTGAAGCAATGAGAGCAATATTACTGTCTGTGTCTCTACAGTAAAGCTCAGGATTTGTCAGGGTTCCTACGCAGTTGGAGTTTCCATACCCTAGTTTCAGTAACAGTATTTTTTTACTGTGGTAATAGTCTGAAAACATAAAAATTTTTCCATACTTTATTTTTCATTTAACATACTTTTTAAGACCTGGAAATTGATCATATTACTTTCCATACTTGCATAGGAACTCTGATTTATGTAGCTGAGATAACCCTTTTGTGAACCTCAGACCTCACAGCAGGAGGCCCCCCATTAGTACTGTTATGCCTAAAAACAAATAGTTGTCAAATTTGTTGAGTGGTGCCTCTTTTAACAAGTACAAACTGTTAAATTCATGAATCAATATCGAATATGAAGCTCACAAAAATGATCATACATTCATAATGCTACATAAATATGTTAAAAGTAGACCTCTTTGAAGAAAACATTGCAGTTTACATCTTTTTGATTTTACTTTGGATCTTTTTTGTGTACATTTGATAACTTTTAAATATCAAAATATATAAATTGACGACAGCTTTCAGATTCTCTCCTCTTTAAAAAAAGAGACTTTGAGGATAAAGTCACAAATGTACAAGAAAAGGGTTGTAAATTTAAGAGAATAAAGTCACGGATTAGCAAGTTTTAAGTCCTAAAGCGACAAGGATACTGATAAGATCTTACAAGAATAAAGCTCTCGGGGATAGATGGTATCATGCTCAAAACTGGAAGTGAAAATACGTTTTTAAAACCCACATAAGATCCTTCCTGAAAGTCATGAAACTATGTAAATGTCGTATTTTTGCTCGGGCTTAATGAAGTAGCCACATAAAAGAGGAAGGTTTGTGTGTTTGGGAAGTAAATGGTCAGTTCAGACAAACAACTCAAATCTGAATCAGTCTTACTGGTTGCGTTGGTGCGGACATAGATGATTTCGCTTTTCGCTCCGTGGACTTGGTGCTCGTCGGAGGCCGAGAGCTGCGTTTTCACCATGATGGCGTACTGCGTCCAGGGCTTCAGAGGCAGGATAAGATGACCGGGTTCAAACTGCTCTTTGTCCCCGTCTGTGGCTCGACGTGGAGGGTCCACGTCAGCGATCACCCAGCTGTTGGAGCCGCAGGCGTCCTGCCCGTCGAACTCGGTTACGTTCTGAAAAGGTCTTTTGTGGAGAAAAAAAAAATGACGACAATCAGAAGATGAATTTGTGATTTTTGGGGGCTTAAGAAGGCACAGTTTCATTTTGATGTGTTGCAGTTATTTATCGTTGTATTTATCTGGCTGGTCCATGGGTGAAGGCGGCCAGAGACAGCACTGAAACGCTGCTTATTCAGAAGAAGATACTGGCTGATTCATGATCCTTGTGGTCTGGTTCTAACTTTTTAATCTCTGACTCAGCACAAACAATAATTCTGATGTTCCATACTTCAAATTTATCTGATCGTTTGCACTATTTTCAGATGTAAATATGTTATCAAGATTTCACCACAAAAGTTTCATTGTAAGTCAGCGAGGCGGGAAATCACATCACCGCTATCCACAAGATCTAACTGCTCAAGACAGTTTCTTCACATCTGTTAAGTACTTGAGCGGCTTAAAGAACATTTATCTGGCTGAGATCCCAGTCGTCTGATTGTCAGCGTGGAGATGAAGATAAACTCACGCTTCTTTGTAGAGCACCATGAAGCCCAGCAGGTCTCTGAAGTCTGGGGGCCAGAAAGGTTCCCACTTCACCATAATTTTATCACTCCCAGTTCGGATCATGGTGAACTTCAACACATGGTTCTCACCTGTAAAAAGACATCCATCAATTAAACACACAATAGTAAAAAGCAGGAAAAGTTCAAAGTACAGTAAGGTGTCATGTACATCTTGAAATATCTCTTCTCTGGAGATACCGCTCTTTCATTAGCATGTGTGTTGTTTTATTGAATAGAGTTTCTGGCCCGGTGCCTGACTGTCAGGGTTGTTGTCTTTAGAGGGACGGTGGATTTGATTTGTTAGAGCTCTCTCTTGACCTTTAGTCCTCCAGCTAATGGATTTAAGTCTAACACCACATGAGACCTGAGCGGTTTTAGGATGCAGGAAGACTGCCATGGCACATAAAACCCGGTCAACTTCTGATAAAACCGAACTCGTGTTGGGTTTTAATTTTCTTGACGCAGACACAGAGAGAAGTGGAAAGCTTCCCCCCCAACTCCAAAAACTCTTTAATGGGGGCTTCTGACATGCCCTTATTACAGAGAGAGAGAGTCCTGTTTTGTAATTTGTAGTCAGTATGATACCTTTTATTTGACCTTATTAGTGAACAGAATAGGCCCAGCTTCATCATCTGAGTGAATCAGTCTGCTCAGACATATGCACGTAGCCAACCTTCAAATCTGTTTGGGGGCAAATATCCTAAAGAAGCGATGGGAAGCAGACTGAAAGAGGAAATTTCAGGAGAAAGGAAGGGATCCAAGAAAAAACTGATATTTAGAGACTGTAACACTCCAACAGTTTCTGTACATATAATCAGGCTAATATGAGGGGTAAAAGGAGTAAAAAGCAAAAAATGCAGGCGGAGAGGAAGAGTCATCTTTGTTAATTCATGAGCTAGGGTGACCATATTCTGAATCCCCAAAAAGACAACACGACTACAGGGGCGGAGTTATGGAGTCGCGCATAGTTAATTTTAAGAGTTTTTCGGGTCGGATTGAGTGTTTTTTACACGCTTCTAACGGAGTAAGTTCATGCGACACAAACTCTAAACTTCCATGCAAAACCTCAGACAATTGAAGGACTTTATAAACTCCCCCGGACAAAGCCGGGCAAGGATGGACAGCCCTCAAATAAGAGCAGCAAAGTACCTCCTGTCACTCACTCAGGCTTCCATTTCTTCAGCCTCCGTCCAAATCAACTCACAGGAGGCCTTTTTTTTTTTTTTTACCAGCTGTCCTGTAGTGTCTTTGTCAAACATCAGCTGACGTTCAGCTTCTCACTGTTGTTACTCCTGATTCTTATTCTGCAAACCCGACATCTGACAGCGTTCGTTTCACTGTTTTTCTTTGAGTAGCCGGCGGGATCAGTAAATGTGACGTGGGGCGTCTGAGTGAAAGCAATCTAAGAATCCATCAGCAATCATTGTCTATCAACGGATGAACGCAGTACGCTGTGAACGCCTGTGGGAACAGATGCCGACTTTTTAGTTAAGTCGGTGCAGCGTTTGAAAATGACTCTGAGCAAAGATTTTCATTCCTGCGTGGCGTTCATGTCAGCAGCATAGATAAACACCCACATTTTTGGACGATTATAACTCCTGAAGTGGTTTCTGCAAGAAGTTAAAAGAGAAGCTTACCAATCTATTGACTGATTAATGTTACATGTATGTAAGAAAACAACTTTTTGTTGAATAACGGCTGGATTAGTCTTTTCTGTACCCTCCAGATGGTTGCGAAATCTAACCGCTGATTGGTTTTGATGATACAGCGACAAACAGATCAAGTTGCTCCAGTTGGAGGTTTTGATCTAGATTCTTTTGTTGGCTGCACTTGCATTAAGGTACCTGTTATACAAGTAATTAAATCAATAGATTTTACATTTTTTGTAGGATCTGTAAACAGAGATTAGAGTTAAAGTAAAACGACAGGCGCCCAGATAACCAGATAAACAATTATTGAATCCTGGCTTTGAATTCAGACCTGTTTCCCTTCTCAAACCTGCTGTTTTCTCGGGTTCAAATGAGGGTTACTACATCTTCAATCATTAATTGAGTCGCCACAGTTGGAAAGAGTAGATGTATGTTTTTTTCTCTTCACTCTGCTGCAGACACTAATGGGCACATTTTGCTGTAAAGATTTCTCACCATCTATCTTGCATGTTTTGCCTCATAATAAAAAGTGTGGCTCTGCTTGGAGCTAATTAGGTATGAGACACGCTGGCCCTGAGGAGACACAGGTTGACCCCGGTTGACTCTGATCCTCGGTTAGGTTTTGGTAACTCAATAATTAATTGTCCCAACTTTGAAGGATTCATCTTCCTCTGCTAAGTGTCTCTTTCTTTTCTATTTTAAGACGAGGCTGTACTCCTTGTTACTGTTTTTGATAAACTCATCCTGTCTCTGAACTTCAAATGCGATGGACAGGAAAAAACAGGCCCGGCTTTGTATCACTGTGTTCCTGTGTTTAACAGTTATCTGTGCTCTGCTCTGTTTGTTGTTCCCTGTTAAACTTCTGCAAACACGCAGAGACGGGAAATGACCATCATAACAATAACTGTGTCTATGTTTGCATCTGTACCAGGCAGGGCTCAGTGTTTCCTGTTACCATAGAAACTCCTATAACAACCGTCATGTCTTCAGAGAAGGGCTTACATGAGGCCTGATCCCCGTTGGTCTTAGAGGCGATGTCGTTCTTGATTTGCCGCTCCTTGGTCCCCGTCACTTCCTCCATCTTGCGGATCTCGGACATGCAGAGTTTGGAGTTGTAGTGGAAAAACATGCGTCCCTGCAGGATGGTCAGCTTGTGCTTGGACCAGTCCCAGAGCTGCCGAAGGTTCTGGTTATCCAGAGCGTAGAAGGAGTAGTTCCTGGAAAAGGACAGACAAGATCACAAGAACGTATTTTTTTATAAAACATATGATATTTAACTGAGGATGTTATTAAAAAGCTCCATAAGTTTCAGGAGCTGAGAGCTATTTCAGCAGAGTTAGCCTACAATTAGCATCATAAGGCTATCTTTTTTGCATTTTTACTGTAAGTGCAGGCCATTGTGCTACAAGCGTCTTCCTCCTCGTCTGTATGAAGCCTCGTATATGATTTGGGAAAGTCTAACCGAAAACGGTTACCACAGAGAGACGTTTTCAAAAGGTCAGTCCTTCCGCTTTTAACTCATAATTACAGGAGGAGGCTCTGACATGGCGAGGATGAGAGGACGGAGTCTCACCCGATTTCCTGCTCCTCTCCCCGAATAACATGGAGTTTACGGAAAAACGAGAGGGAGACGAGGGCGTAGGAACGCCGCACTGTCAGGTAGCCAGTGATCTCCTCCAGCTGGCCCAGGCTGGCCTCCAGTTCAGCGGCGATGTTGTCTACACAGGAGAGAAAGACACAAGCGTTCAAGAGAAGCATAAAAACTATCAACTTTTTTCTTTCACATGGAAAAAAACAGTATAAATTTTTTTATTATGATAATATATTTTAGTTATAGGCTCCTTTCAGAACACCCAAGGACACCGCACAAGCCAGACAGTCTTTTATTGCCCTCTGACAAAAGTGAGTTAGGTAAGTATGTTGAAGTGCTGAACATCATGTACGACAGGAAATGAACGAAGCCCGGTTACATTGGAGCATGAAGGTCAATAGTTCCTTTTTGTTGCATTTAACCTTTAAAATCACAAAGATCCTTCTGATCCGGGACTATGATTCATACAGAAGCTGAACTTGTTGGGGAGGTGGGGTGTCTTTGACTCATTCATAAACTCAGGTTCACTCTGCTGGCCTGAGTTCAGAAGGACATCAAGTTGAGTCAACAGTCTTTCTCAATAAAACTACATCTGATTCAGTGATTTTCAGCATTTTCCACGTTGCACAGCTGAAGGTCTCTAAAAAAAAAAAAGAAAAGAAAAGAAAACGCTGTTCCCTGAATACATTTCGTGTTATACTCCTATCCATTCATCTAAAATCCAAAATAAAGATTGTTTGTCATATACTCCCACCAATTATGGATTTCTCTTATTTTCAGTGTGTGTAACATGACACACGTGTGACTCCATTTAAATGCTGCACACTGTCCTTCTCCGCTCTTGTAGCGAGGCGTGAAATATTGTTGAGATGGAGGGATGCTGCCACGCCCACCCACACTCAGTGGTTGAGGGACATTATGTCCTGTTGGGACCTAAATATATCTGCTTCCCCGTCACTATCGCCATTGAAAAATACATACAGGTGGGGGGATCTTTGATGAAACACTCAGAGAGCTTCACATCGAATTACAGACACACTTTTCCTCTCTCTCTGATTTTAAACCGTCTAAGTATGTGGTTGTTAATACAGTAACAGTAAACCTTCCTTTTTATCTTGTGTCCTCCTTTATTCTACCTTTACTGGTTTATCTTTTGTTCCGTGCTCTTTGACTTTGATATATAATGTCAGGCCTGTCTGTCACTCTGATTGAGAAATACTAAATTAAGTAGTATGACAGAGGTGTAAGAAGAAGAAGAAGGAACAGGATATGGATGTTGCTTCTATATACTGTCTATATACTGTCTGAAATCATTAAACTACGCTTATAGAAAAATTAAATCTAAATTTGAAAGTGACTTCTTAAATGAAAACAAATACATTTTATTCCTTTAATGACATTGACATTTCTTAAATGATTAAAGCCAATTGAAAAGCAGAAGCAGCACAAATAGAACTGATGCAACTGTTTACTTTTCCTACTTTCCCCTCAGTATATCAATATTTTGTTCTCTCATTAAGTAAATGTATCAATCATGAAAATCCACTAAGTTCGTATCACCTCATTTCCTATTCAAAATGTGCGTTGGTGTAATTTCTGGTGTCACGTCAAACTCTCTTTGTTGTTCCTTCTCTCCGCTCTTATCTGAATCAACCAAACAAACCGCAGAGACTCACTTCCTCCCCGCAGATTGATGACCAGGCTCCCGTTGAGAACAGTGCAGCCTCTCAGAGCCTGAGCAGCCGTGACCGAGTCCACCGTCTTCAGACCCATACACACTTTAGGACAGAGCCCTGCGCAGGGAGTGCAGTTGAGCCTGCAGATCGACAGAAAAAACACACAGAAGGACAGATGTAAAAAAATAATAATACATTCACGTGTCGGGTGACAGAGTGGGTAGATGTTTGTAATTCATGTCACTAACATATTTCTTTATGATAAAAAAAAAATGCCACCTTAACCTGCATGAACCAATTTTTCAAAGTGCTAACAGGTTGTCAAGACCGACACCAACTTATCACATTTTCAGTGGTTTGGCACAGTGTTGCTTGGTTACACATCCAGCTGCATTAGCATTCATTTGGAGTCATGTTGTGGCCGCTTGATGAATGCAAATCCAACATTCACTCCTCTTCATCTACAGAGGGACAAATGTGTCTCTAACCGCTGAGGGCTGCACCTTTTTCAAACCATTCTGTTGAGTATAAAGAAAGGCTAAAGCTGCTCTGAATAAATTTTTCGCTGCGCTGTGTGTGTGGATGACAAAAACATCAAAAAAGTGTGCTCTACTCGACGAACTGACCGCAACCCTTCACCTTAACAACCGAATTAAACAACCTGGCTTATGTAATGTTTTCATAACAAGTCCCCTCTCGTAACAGGTATATGGTTACGGCTTTGTGTGCCAACCTTATTAACCTATTTCCTCAGAGCCATCTGTGCAATCCCCGCACTCATAATACGGCGAGTGCAAACTTTGATGATTTTAAATCCAGCGTGTACACGGGAACCTCTGCAGAGTCTCGGCACCACGTCTTTGATCAGAGGCACCTGCTGCAGCTTCAGATTTATGTGTGTTTTTTTTCATGAAGAATTCAAATGGAGGGAAGTGAGGCATGACTAGATGACGACGTGCTCTCTGTTGTTCCTGAGCATGTTAAAAAGTGTTCTTTACTGGCCGCTTTACGAGGCCAACATGCCTGTGTTGGAGTGAGCTGGCGGGACAATCGAGGAGGAATGCGTCGTTTCTTTTGCTGATTGCAAAATAATGGAAACTGGCAGCAGCTTAGGTGCTGCAGGTCTCACATCACTAAAGCTTACAAACTCTTAACACGTCTGTTTAGAAACGCTTTATTTCCGTTTTGTTTACTTCGAGCATCCACAATATTCAGATGCTTCCAGACTTTTTAGAGCACTTCAGACCTCGCTGAAGTTCTACAGCTGGGCATACAGACTCTCAGCGTCCTGATTGGGTCTTCTCAGCTTCAGTGTTCAGAAACGGTTCCAGCTCATCATCTGTCTAAACTGAGAAGTCTCTGGGTCTTCTTGCAACTAAGCTTTCCAGCTGCAGAGGAGACAATCTGCTTCCTGTTTACACAGACACACATGCCCTGTGTTCATGAGTGGTCATGTGATTCACAGGCGCGAGTGTGGAAAAGGTTAATTCTTCATTTTAAAGCGCATGTTTATTATGAGAACATATTAAAGAGGCTGTCACCAGAAAACAAAGGGGATAAACACAGAGGTATTTAAGTCTCTGTGTTTTTTGAAAAGAGATTTATGAAGGAATTTCACAACTTTTAAAAATGTGTCTACACGACAAAAACTAGACTATGAAGAAAGAGTTGGTCTCCTCCAGACAGCTTTAAGGCTTTTTTTCTTCATCAGGCTTATAACTCTCCTGATCTATTGTGACCTTTTCCCCCCTTCGTAGTGCCACATCTGCACTTTCAGCCCAGACACTCATAACGCCATGAAGCACATCATTTATCCTCAAAGCACTTTCATTTCCACAGCTTAGTTTAAAGCCAGCGGCGGTGGGAGATGCCAAAAAGAAGAGACGGGCCACGAGGGGGAACAGAAAGGCAGTCGGAGTTAAGAAAAGAGCTGAGACAGGCGAGCGGCGGGGTTCATCACAGGTGAACGGGAGCTTAGAGATGGAGATTAGGGGGATTATTGATCTAAATACCTGGCAAGAAGTGATCAAATTAACATACTGACAGGCTCCTAAATTTGTTTAAGTATTAGTCTGAGAGCTGTTGGGCATCAAGCAATTACACTGACAGTTATGGAAAAAGCCTGTCAAATTCAGACACAGAGACATGAAACGAAATTATTTATGTTGAATATGACAATTATCCATTTTAAATTTAATCAGCTTTCACTTTCTCGTGATTATTATTCACTTGAGTCCTCCTTCAGTAACATTATGACTGAATAATAAGACCTTTTATTGGTACAGTGTGTATAAATAGGAATATTTCACTCCTCTCTAGGGCTGGGCGATAAACTGGAAATTTACCGATACCGAAATATACGTCAATAACCGACGTCATTGTGCCTGTGTCAATATATTCGGTGTCAAAATAAATAAATAAACAGATAAAAGATAGGTTTGAATGTGTGTAGTTAGGCTATGGTCTCATGACCCTTTAAGACGCTGTTCTACACCAGAGACGTGACTCCGCCCATTCCAGTTCATAACAAAGAGGGAAAGACAGGTGAGGAGATGGAGGACAAAGTTAATGTGGGAGGGGGTGAGCAGCTTGTGGAGTAGTTATCGTCCATTTATCATTATTGAGGTGAACTGCTCAATATATCGTGATATTGATTTCAGGCCATATCGCCCAGCCCTACTCCTCCCACAGATGTGACAGTGGCCTTTGAGGATGTGAATCTCCTGAAACTCATGATAAGTACGATCCTCCGCTTGTAAAATCAAAACTTCCAATCGGTGCATTTTTAGGGCCGGCCATTAAATATAAGAATTATTTGTCTACACCTTCAACAAACATAGAAACCTTTAAAGTGAACGGGCCGGCCTTGGTAAAAACAGCAAAGGTGCACTTTACCCTGATCTGCATCAGTGGAGCCTGTTTTGCTCAGTCTCCCACTAAAGGTTATGTGAATTTAAGTGATGTAACCCCCCTGATGTGACACTGATTAACCCTCTTTGTATAATTAAGAGTTAAAAACCCAGCATGACGCAAAGCAGTTTCCCTTCTAGTCACAGTCGTCAGGAGAGACAGACAGACTCTCTTCACCCCAGGACACTAACAAAGTGTCCTAAGTTCCTCTCTCTGGGCTACTTTGGTGTTTTCACAGTCAGCTACACAGATATCCGGTAACAAAAGACAACAAGTGTCAGTGGATCCAGCTGCGTCTCCAACCTCTGCCTGAGCAGAGCCGTCAGAGCTGTGTGTGTGTGTGAGCTTCCCGGCACACCAGCTCCAGTCAACACCCGTGTCACAGTCAGTGAAGGTGTGAAAGAAGGAGGTGACAGAGGTTGGCGGCAGGTCAGTACAAGCACAACACTCTTCTTTATAGGGAGGAAAGTCTGTTTTGATGCAGCAACAAGCAAACCCACACACACACTCACACACAACAACAGGTTGTAAATTACAGTTGCATCTACAAGAGAAGAACCGCTTCACTGCCTGCCTTTAACACGCCCACTGCAATGCAGTGGTGGTGAAGAACCGTCAATTTCGAACAGCGTGTGAGAAACGAAAGAAAGCAGCGGATCGGCTCAGAGTCAAACACAGAGGCAGAGATGTGCCAGCCTTCCTACCGAGCTGAACCACTTTGACCCAGCTGTCTGCGGTCTCATGTAGCACACCACTAAAAAGAGGTGTGTGCTCACATATCCTGAGCGCTGTATGAGCTCAGCAGGAGGACCTTCAGTTCCTGAGCTGACACTCTGTGCCAGAAACACAGAGATGAAAGCTAAACCAAAGACAGAAATCTTTCATTTTTCATTCATTCAACATATTATATATATATAGTTAAAACAAGTCAAAGCTTTAGAAACACTACATCCAAAATTAGACTTTGAATCTTAAATGAGCAAAAGAAGTGGGAAAATGAGAGCAGCGGCGGTGAGTCAGTGACTGTGATTTAAGCTAAAGCTCAAACATACACAGACACGCACCACCAGCTCCGCCCTAACCCTGTATATAGATGCCTGATTTTATATGAATGAAGTCGAAGCCGCTCCTCATCCTGCCGTGGCCTCTCTGCTTGGCTCCATCACACCTATAGCGCTTTAATATGCATGTTTTCATTCTCAGGTCGTTCGATAACGGGCAATCTGTCACAGCTCTTTGGCATCTCAACGAGCACACAAGTCACCCTTTAGCAATTACTGCAGACAGACAGACAGACAGACAGGCAGACAGGGAGCACGTAAGTCAGCAATGTCACCTGTTAACTTTGTTTTTTTAGTCCTGATCAGTGCGCTGTTTGCCGGGAGCTGCACCGCCTGAACAGAGGCTGACGTAATTAAGAAAATCAGACAGAAGGTGGATGGCTCTGCAGATACTGACAAAAATACAGCTCTGGGGAAAAATCCTATTATTTTAATTAAATATTAATCTTTATTCTTTACCTAATTCACACTCTAAGCTCAGCCTGATCGCCTTTTTCCCTTTTAGAAACCCGCACGCACACACACCTGCACCTGCACTATATTCTGGTATTAGGCATCGATGCTGAATGGGAGTTTTTACCTTTTTTTTCTTTTTTTTTACATCTTGCCCCTCTGTGGTTTTCAAATAAACACGAAGTTTCCGAAATTTTGCATTGATTCCTAACTTTTTTATAAAATAAATGGTGAATCTACCTCATGATTCTGTTTCCACAGCAGGTAAGGATTAGAGGAAATGATCAACCAGAACGTGGTACCCAAATGACATGCAAATTTGAAGCTAAAACGGAGGAATCGTTTCAGCAGGAAAGGTGGCACTGCGCTAAATGTATTGACAGAAGGGATGAATCAGAGGACTGTCCGTGTGTGTGTGTGTTACACTGCAGAGCGTGAGTGTGTGCAGATCCATGCGAAAGGTATGAGGTTGAAAGAGAGAGAGCGAGAGAGAGAGAGAGAGAGAGAGAGAGAGAGAGAGAAGTGAGATACTCAACACGTTCACATTTGCGGATTGTGATGTTCTCTTTGGTGCATGCATTAATAAAATTAGACGAGTTCAGGAGGTGCAATGCGTTTCCGCCTTGTTTACAAAGATGCCGTGTGAATGGTTGTGTTATTAGTGTGTATTATTGTTGTATTATCTGGAGTTGTAGCGTGATTACTCTGGGTTCATTTTGTAAGTAGTTCATTAAAATTCATGCATTAATTTGGCAGACCTTAATATTCTGTGCCTGCAATCTCTGTTAGTACTATTCTAGCATCACTACATCTACATATACTGGCCTGTAATAACACTTAAGCATTAACACTCTTCCTATAGCCCAGAAACAATCACTCTTTCTCTATTTTGAGTGCTCCTTCATTAAATGAGTCCTTCCTATGATAATCCATAGCTGAAAAAACCCATTTCTAAATTAAGGCATTATTTCTATTTCATTATTTCTAGTATTGAATATAAATCGAACAGGTTTTAGGAAAATCACACATGTGAAGGAGGAATCGCCGCAGTATTAAAGCTCTGGATCAAACCCCGCTTTGCTGATCACACATTGTTTCATCACGTGCAAAGAGCCCATCATCACTTACGTGGAGGAGTTGACAGTGGTGTAGCCGGAGGGACACTCGGGGATGCATCCTCCGTTGTGGATGACGTACTCGTGGCAGTCGGGACTCTTGCTGCGCTCTTTCTCCCGCTTGCATCTGTTGTGGAGTTCCTGGCAGAAGGCGAAGGAGACGCAGCGCCAGCCTTTGTAGGTGAAGGTGTTTTCGGGGCAGCGCTCCACGCAGGTGTCTTCGTGTTGGAGGCCACGGCAGGCTACGCAGTGACTGGCTGAATGGGGCTTCGTGCAGCTGCCCAGGCACTGGTCATGGCAGCACTGGTCATCCTTGGTGCAGGCTCGGTGTTTACACTGAACAGGACACACTGCAGAAAAGAGAGAGTCCAGTTAGAGAAGCAAAAAGAAAAGAGTATGAAGGACTCGCTTTGAGCACAGTCATGCCATTCAGACATTTATTAACATGATATTAATCAGCTTCCCTTTTTACTTCTTCAGCAGCTCAGACAATCATCTACAGTCTTACAATCTAAATAAAAACACTGGAGGTCCAACACTGTGAAAAAAAGGCAGACGCTTTTCTATGAGGTTCAGTGAAAGTGAGGAAGAGGGAGAAAAAAAACTTGCATTCCAAGCATTCATCATTTTACAAGATGTCTGTGCTGGTTTCCCCTTCAGTCCTTGCTGAACAAATGACCTCACCTCTCCGGGGACCACATGTAGGAAACAACAGTGAAAACCAAAAGACCTGCTGGATCAGTGAATTCTGATCCTTTAAACCACAGCACCTCATCACAATGAGTCTGTTTTTGGCACAGCGCACGCCTCCTTTAAGCCCATTTTGTCTGGGACTGTTACCACTGACTGCTGTAAACCTCAAAATCTTAAGACAGAGATATGATGATGTAGTTTTTTTTAAATATCACACCTCCTTTGTTTGGATGGTATAATGTTACTCAAACTATTTGACCTCTGATAGAAGAAATAACAGACAGAAAAGTCAGATCTGCTCTGAAAGTTCAATCAGTTTTTGAATCATTATCAATTTCTGTTTTTAAGTAGCCGATGCCGATAATGGGAAAGCAGGTTTGCTGATAGCTGATATAAAATGCCACATCATTGTTGTTACTGTCTGCATTTGAGATGATACATAGACTTATTGTTACTAATAAGTAGGGGTGTCCTAATACGGTATTGATATTGGATATCAGTCCGATATCAGCAAAAAAAAAAGGAACATCAGATTATATCAGCCTGTATCTAAAATCTCCAATATCAGCACTCCGATACAAGCAGTCCATTCCAGACTCCGCTCTGGCCCTCTGTCTAGCAGCGCCATGATCTAGCATGCAGAGCCCACAAAATCGCAAACAACAGTGTTTACTAAGGTACGAACAAAGCAGCAAGGAGTAAGACTGATGTCGGTTTTATGGCAGTATTTTTTGTTTAAGTCCGAAAAAGACATTGCAGCTGAGTGAAAAACTTGTCAAACACATCTTGTGCCAATATCATATCAATGTCTGTATCTGTCAATATTGAAGGCTACAATATCGGTATCATATCAGAAGTAAAAAAAAAGTAGTATAGGGACACACCTGCTAACTAATGAGGAACAAAACAGCTGCAATCGAGTGAGTTCAGAGAAGAACTGCCACAAGAGACTTTGGGATTTTTGTTCAGCTAACTGAAATTATGAAGAAAGAATAAATTCAAGGCAAATATTTGATTTAAAATAAAAAATACAGTCATGTTTAGCTTTGTTTATGCTTTCATTGGTGATGGGGAAAGGAGCTTATTTATTTCTCTCCCAGTTCTTTAATATTATCTCTATTTTCTACGAGCTGACATTGATCGTCTGTGCTTGTTACATCCAGGTAGTTGAGCGTTTAAATCCCAGGTAATGGTGTGTGGCTGCGCAGTAGCTGTGACAAAATACACAACCAGCATTTCAGGCCTACGACATTAAGATATTTGCTCAACCAAATAGTGATTCTGGTCCTGACTACTGAGAATAAGATGCTTATTTTTGCAGATACAGATCTGTGTGTTACTTTTCCCTGGGCTGTAATGTCCGCTGTAAAAACAAGCCGGAGCTTATCTAAGAAAGAAGTGTAAAACACAAGCAGAGATACAGTAAAAGATACAGTGTCTGACAGCCAGAAAACAAACACACACTCAACTTCAGTCAAGTTTCTGGGGTGTAAAAACAAACAGCTGAGGACAGAGATTCCAGTCTGTAGGTCAGCTGTTTACGCACACATATGCGTGTGTGTGTGTGTCTGTGTGTGTGTGTGCTTGTTAACCATGCTGTTACATAACATTAGACTAGCAGGACTGGCAAGAGTGTGTGTGTGTGTTTGTTTAAGTAAGTGTACCAGAGTTTACGAGTGTGCTGTTGTGTCAGCATAAGTATGAGGAGGAGAAGTGTGTGAGGATGTATGGAGGCGTCTCCGTGGTAAATACAGCTGACTGACCTGCCTGCTGAGATTAGCCTCTCATCCATGAGAGCCAGATTAGGAGCGGTCAACAGCAGGGGATATAATGAGTCACAGAGGTTAGGGGCAGGGTACATGTTCGACCGTAAAGTTGTGAGTATATGTGGGTGTTTTATGTGTCTGAACACAAATTTAGAAGACGACGATGACAGGAAACTGTGTGTTTACTTCATACGACTCTATCATTATCATTATTCTCTACGGGAGATCTCTTTGTTAACTATCCTATTGTTGAGCACGCCATAGTCAAAACTGCTCGGCTTCGTTAGCAGCACGAGGTCGACCCTTAAACGAACAAAACAACACGGACCCCTGTCCTCTTGCATTCATAGAGGTAAGCTCTTGAAGCGCATGAAGATTGTGTGTTCTGCAAGCGGCAGCAACATGAGAAAGGCACAGCCAGGGGGGTGGGAGGGTGCGAAAGGGGGAGTTGGTGCTGGAAAAACAAATGATATAACCACCTTTACCTACGTCAGTGTAGTGGTCAGTGGTGGGATTGATGAAGAGAATGAAAAAAGAAAGGAAAAACTAAATCTCTTCTTGACAGGTCTCTTTCCTTCTATTTACAAAAGCTGCTCTTCAGCTTTTCCTAAAATGCACGTACGCACGCACCCTCCCCAATATGAGCGTGCAGAAAAGCACTGCTGTCTGCTCACACAGACTCCTGATCCTGCGACACGGCTCCATGTCGGTGCACAGTCCCAGCAGCTGATCCACCCTCAGCCTTAGCCAATGTATTAGCTAGCTTCAAAAGCTAGCCATTCAAATGGCCTCTCCCATCTCCAAGGAAGACAGGCGCACAGTTTAACCCTTCGTGTTCCGCTCTCCTCCCTCTCAGCCAGTCAGACAGCAGCAGCGATGGGTGGTACTCAACAAATCGACCAGAGAGCCACATAGTAACAGGCTGTAGCGGGAAAAAAAAGGTGCAATGCTCCACTTTTTCTGTTTCCTCACAACCACAAATCAGCTGTGGATCACAAGTTGTTCTCAATGAGTGCCTTAAGTGTTTTAGACGTAATGCATATTAAGGTTTGGTTTGCAGATTTGCCCCGGCAGATTCTGCTTCAGAGAAACCGGGTGCATTCAGTAATAAAAAGGGTTGAAATTCATACTGAGACAATCATGTGATGTTACTGAGGTTGTTGAAATGCTCAAGGCCTCGGGTGATGCATCATGTCTCATCTTGTCCACAACTCATTAGGAGCTTTTACAGACTTCAACAGCACAAGAACAGCTCAGAGTTTCCAATCAGATCCAGATATCAGACAACACTGACACCACCTTTTTTTTTTTTTCAAAGAGAGCGCCTGCTCACAGACTTCAGAGTTCACACTTTTATAAACAGCTGAGGATAGTTTCAGATGATTTTGGTATAAATATTGTCTTATCTTAACTGGTAAACCATTTCAGCGTAAAGGCAGCCTTTTATATACTGAATGTATGGAAGCTGTAAAGACCTGTTTTTACACACTGAACCTAAAATAAATACATGAATGACTCCGAACAATGACATTATTATACGTTTAAATACAAAAAAAAACATTAAAGCTGTGTTAATGCACTGTATTATATTTTATATATTTTATTTGACCACACTGTGATGGTTTAATTGTACTCCTGGTGTGTGTTGGACGACGCTTTCGACCCCCTGATCTTGGCCAGGCCGTCCTGGAAAAAAGGCTCCATCTGATTTCCTGGTAAAAGGTTGTAAAGTTGAAATTTTATAGATTTATTAGCATGGAAAAAATCCAATATACCGCTTGGACAATTTCTTTTATTCTCTTTTTCCTATCATTGAATAAAATATAATAGACTTCTGAAGCACTGTTAACTTTGGAGAGAGTCCAATATTCACACAACATTGGCAAACACCGCTGGGTTAATTATACACCAAACTGACCTCATCTTTTATTCAATTCTTAACGTCATCAATCACTGATTGGTCCAAAAAGAGCAGGATCAATAGAACTTGGCATTCTCTTGCTGGAATAAAAAGCTGCAACAATTCCACTTTCAGCTGGAATTATCTCATAAAGACTGAACTCTTCATTCCGGTGTCCTCTTTCCTCTTCAAACCAAGCCAGACAAAACCAGGTGAGAGTTTCTAATGAACTTTTCACCTCAATTTGTTCCTGTTCATATGTCAAGCTTTGTTTCCTACTTAATCCACTGTTTTATATTTACTTAACTATATATATATATATATATATATATATATTTTTTTTTTGCCTTATTGGTCAAAAAGATAAAGAAATACCTGGACTGGATGTGTTAATAATAGGGGTGTCCTGATACAATATTGATATCAGATATTGGTCCGATATCAGCAAAAAAAAAAATATATATCGGATTATATCGGCCTGCATCTAAAATTTTCGATATAAGAACTCCATTCCAGACTCCGCTCCGGCACCTCTATCTAGCAGCGCCATGATCCAACAAGCTGAACCAACAAAATCGCAACAACAGTGTGTACTAGCGTGCTAACAACGTAGCGTGGAGTAGGGGTGATGTCGGCTGTGTGGCAGTATTTTTTGTTGAAGTCCAAAAAAGAACGTCAAACACAATTTTGCGCTGATATTGGATCAATATCGGTATCGGGGAATATTGAAGGCTACAATATTACTATCGTATTGGAAGTCAAAAAAGTTGTGTCGTTACTAATGTAGGTTTAAGACATTAATTGGGAGCTGCTGTTTGAACAACTCTGGATCTCATGTTAAAATAAGCACACAACTTGTTCAATCACCAATTTAGTCTTTTCAAGAGTTTTCTATTGTTCTATCGCACTTCGTTCAACTTAAAAAAGGAGAGATCATTTTAATTGTCAACTACTTGCATTGAACGTTCAACCTAAATGTTACACCTCTGAAGTAGATCAGTAAGGACAGACTTCTAGGGGAAGGGAAAAAAAAAACAAAGGTTGACATAGATCAGTCAGTTTCGGTGGCTGATGTCGAGCGTCAGACTTGCTGAGCCACCTGAGAAAAAAAAACAAGCGGGCGGCTGCTCTCATGAAGCACCGAAACAAACCACTCACTGTCCGGAAGATTTTTACACTTCACTTTACAGCAGCTGACTCTGCCGTGCGTGCCAAGTTGTTCTCAACTACCTAAATCAGCGGTGTTGTTCACTGTCAGGCGTCACAGAGGCTTTTCTGATAATCAACTGAGAGTGACCACACACTGGAGAGATAAACTTGTTTCTTGTGTGCTTGTCAAAAATGGTTTTAAGGTCGAGACCCTGAGGACCTTCAGAGAGTGGGGCCACCCCAAGCCGGCTTTGATCTCCCGGAGCGAGGGCGACGCTGAGGAGACTGTTTGGACCAGTTTGTCATTCTTCCCCTAAAACATGCAAATCTCTTAATACAGAGCGAGTTCCTTTATTGTCATTGTAAACCCCGCTGCTAGCACTGTTCAAGAGGAGCAGCGGCCTTTTTCTCAGTTTAGTCTGTGTCAATTAGTTACACTCAGCTTGAGTTCAGTCTTGTCAGCATCTCCGCTATTTATCTCCCATTTGGACTGAGTAAATCACTTGACAACAATAAATCAATGGGGTATTTTAGGAGGCAAGCGCTGGGTCGGCACTTGGACTTAGGCCTGTTTGCGACTGTTTTTCTTTATTTTAAGTCTTACTGGCAGTAGGCTTGTATCGGCTCCAGTCTCTTGAACTCCTTATCCTTCTTACTCTGGTTTCTCTGGCACACCGGACAGAGCCTGTCTGATCTCTTGTCAGTGCAGTTTGCGCACAGTGCAGCAGGATCATATGAAGGCCAGGGAGTAATGCTGCAGAAATGCCTGGCTCCTTATCTCATCGGAAGGGTTTTCGCTTGGATCGGGGGTATGGGAGTGGTGAAGACACACAATGAGATGCTCAATCCCTGAAATCATCCACAAACCGACGCAGCCCCAACAATGTCAGGGTGATGCCAACTTCGAAATGGGAGGTGAAGAAACAGATCTGCACAGCTTGCAAGCCAAGAGTGAGTTTCAGCCGCGTGGGGTGCCGGAAAGGCAGAAAGAATCCACATAGCTAGCAAGAAATGACTCATACAGTTTATAAAGGTTCCTTGTCTGCAGTCTGACACCGATGCAAACAAAGTCTATAAAGAGTTTCTATCTTTACTTCTACCAGCATCCAAATGCACACTAAACACCTCACTATGCACCCTCAGCTCTCGGATTTTTGCCTAAAATTAAGAGCCTCTGTACCCGTCATTAACCACAATCGTCGCTAAGATCATTCTGTGGTGAGATTTTCCAAGTTCCTTTTTTGGCAGTGACGAAACAGCAGCTTATTCAGGCCTTTTGAAAAGAACAGGAATGCGGCGGTGTGCTGGTTGGTAATTAAAATTCCAGGTCCATGACGAAGGCAGTGTTTAGTTTCTTATGAAAGCAAGTTTTTACTGAAGGTCCATAACCGAACAACCCAACGACGATAAAGTGTTTCTAAAAATGGTAGTCGTTTTGTTTCCAACACTTCTGACTGTTGAAAACAAAGAGTCATTTGGGTAGTGAATGACCCACAAAAGCTGAAGTAAGTGGACTGATATGGGCTCGAAATGGCTTGAAATGAACCACAAGGCACTTAGTCCACGACAGCTCACTAGGTATTTTGAGAGAATGAGGTCATGCAAACTCGCCAAAAAACACTAAAAGGAAAGAAGAAGAAAATAGATAACTTATAGTGGTGAAACTATTACGTATTTTAATTTTGGATTAACTGTTAAACAAAACAATGATGTGATGCATCATGAGAGGTAGTCAAACGACAACCAAGGAAGTAATCACAGTGTAGATTAGACCACAAAACTCAAAACATCAAACTTTGACTTACAATTTCTCAACTGCTGTGCTCTCCACTCGGTCTCACTGAGTGGTAAAATCCACTCACTCAGTGAGACCGGCAGCTTTCTTGCAATTAAATCTGTAGGGCTGTAATCAAACCTAGAAATTCTTTGTCGACTAAAACCCTGAAATTTTTTTTACCAAAAATCGACTAATTGGGGATTTTGCTAACTCTGACAGCAAACCCTTCTGCGGTGGGGAACGATGCGGCTCGGTGGAACGTGGCTTGGCAGGTCGAAAATATACTGGTATCAGCACAAGAAGGCAATTAAACACAAAAGGCTAAAATATAAATATTCAGCAAACCACCCGACTGAACGTGGACGCTCTTTAATCTTCCTGTCTCCAGCTGGTCTCCAGTGGGTTAGACGAATCCAAAATGGTGAAAACATGGGGGGTGTTCTGAGACAGGCTGTTATCTGTGAAACAGGGGTGCTCTGAAATCACCCCCATTAGCACTTGGTACGTTCCTCCTGAGAAGTTAGCATAGATTGTAAATTGATGCGGAAAAAAATTGGGTTGTCCAATCAGAATTTTGGTCGACTCAGCACATATCGACCAATAAGTAGACCGGTTGACTAGGACTTTACCGCCCTATAAATTTGTGTGTTTCTGGGAGCTTTCCAATCTCACAGAGAAGATCAGTATCAATTTAGAGTGTCCAGATCCAATCTCTCAAAATGAAGGTCATCTGTGAGGTCTGACTCATCAAGTTAAAGAAAGGGGAAAAAAAGCTCGAAATGAAGTCCCAGCTGCTTGAGTAATTGTTTCATCAACTTACAGTCCAACAACCAATGTGACACCCCAAAGACAACACTTAAAAAGTCACCACTGAAGAGCAGCTTTTTTTTTACTATGGTTCATAAACAATCCCCAATTGACTAATTGATTTGTTCCTATTGGCCACACCATCAGGGTTTGTTTCAAACAAGCTGGTAAAAGTTCATCTAACTGTGAATCTGAGCCTGCGCTTCATTTACAGCAGTAACAACTCGGTTTATGAACTCAGTAAACCATCAGAAGTTCTGGCTCTGATTCCTGTTTGTTATGGAGAGCATACTGATGCTACTTTTATCTGTGATAAGCTTTAAAGATACAGTTCAAAGGTGCTCGGTGAAGTTCACTGAAGTTTCTTGATATGCATGGTAACGGCACGCTGATCTTACAGTAATTGCGTGGTATAGAGGAGAAGGCCGAGACAGGCTGACAGTTTGTTTATCCTTCCTTCAAAAGTCTTGTATATGTGGCTGTTTTTATCATCTGGTGTGACAGAAATCCTTTGGAGAAGCTTTTTGTGATCTGTCAGCTCTGACCCACGGGGTCACTGCGAACACAATGGCCTAACTTCATAACGCCAGAAAAAGACAGATTTCAAGATGGCTGCAAATTAAAAGCAGACATCTGAGCCCCTTTTCCTCATTTCTGTCCAATGTGAATATAATAAACATCAGTGTACACCAGCGTTAATGCTTTGATTACTGTAATAGAGTCTTAGCAAATTAAAAGTCTGATTTGTCTTAACCAGCCTTCAGGGCTGATGAATGTTGCTTCTGTCCTGATGTGCACTGCTGTCTGTTATTTATACAGAGCTGCTGGGTTTCCTCTCCACTAGTGAGGTACAGATGTCACAGACGTGTACTCCCAATTTCTATTTCCAAACATTTCTCTGTTGACTGCAGCTCCCTCTGTGCCTTCACTAGAGATGAAATAGTAGTACAAAGATGGATAAGTAGGGGGGCGCATCAAATCAACAAGAATTTATGCACTGAGTGAGTGACATTTGAGAAAGAGGAGAGGAGGATATTGACAGAACACTGGGAAACCTTACAGTGTAAACTATCAGTGAAACGAATCACTGACAACGCCCCGTGACATTTAGGATAAAACTAATTAATCCTTTTGTATCGCCTTGAGCTATCATTACATCCCCGGGCTTTGTTTACTGAGGACACTCCAGGCTGATAACGCACGGTGGAGTTTATTTAAGTTGAAGGCAATGACTTATCCTCAAATATTTATCAGGGAAAGTGAACAAATTGTGTTTTGATGATGGAATAAAGCAGTGTGGTGTTTCAGAGGGCTTTCAAATCTTATTGACAAAAGCACAACAGCGACTATCAGAAGTTCTGAAAACATCACTGGGGCGTTGTACTTACTTAGTGAACTCGCCAATGGTGCAATATTGGTGTCTTAGTTTGTGATTTCAAATGCATTAAGGTATTGTAGAAACTGGAGAGGCACACACAGCAGAAACTCCAGATACACAGACATGGCGCTGTACCGACCTTCCAGCTCAGGTAGGACTGGGCGATATGGCCTCAAATCAATTTAACGATGTATTAAGCAGTTCATCTCGATAACGATAAATGGACGATAACTACTCAACAAACTGCTCACCCCCTCCCACATGAACTTCTTCTACTTCAGCCGCTCCAACTTTTGAACCGTCCTCCATCTCTTTACCTGTCTGTCCCTCTTTGTTACGGACTGGATGGGGTGGAGTCACGTCTCCGATACGGCAAAGCATCTTAAAAGGGACATGAGACCATAGCCTACCTACACACATCCAAAACCAACTTTTATTTATTTATTTATTTGACACTGAATAAACCGATATGGGCAAAATGACGTCGGTTGTTGTCGTAAATTTCGATATCTGTAAATTTTTGGTTTATCGCCCACCTCTAAGCTCAGGTGTTTCTTATTGTCACTGTCTTGCAAACAAGGCAGATAACCTGCCTTTAAATGACAACATGCAAAGGCTTGATGACTTAGGAGGCTCGTTTAAGTTGGGGATAATTTAATTTATACACGTCTCATTCGCCAAAACTCATCCAAATATCAGAAACTTGACAAACAGGTGATTTTATTATGAATATAGGTGTTTGGTGCAGCCAGAAACACAACTGAGATTCACTTCCTCTAAGCTGTGCCTCTCTTTGTTTGATTTTAATTGGTTTTATAAAGCATCAGAAATAAATTAGTCATAGAAGTAAGGGAAAAATATGAAGGTTCATAATGTTTCGTCTTCAATGGGAAGTAGATATAAATGAGAACAGATAATCGTCATTCTGATTTTTGAAGATTTAATCTCTTATCAAAACATGAGAAATAGATGAAGTGAAATAAAATACGTCAAACAGAGACCCCTCAATTCTTTTCAGAGTATGAAAAAAACAAACAGCAAAAGCTGAAGACCTTGGTTTGTCTCTTTTTTTCTCTGTAACCACGTGACAGCTGCTCTGACTCAGCAGCAGCAGCAGCATCAGGGCCGCTTTGAGACGACTCTGGTATCAACAGGAACCGTAAACAATTTCATTAACCGGCCTCAACCTCCGTTAATAGAACAAAAACACACAAACAACATGGAAAAGCACTTTTTGTTTTTAACACCGCCCTGCCGCCACCCCGGTCATCAGAAAGCAGGATATCCAGTTTGTCCCTGACTGGAATAGAAATGATAAACACCGCGCACACATTGATGGGCAAATTACGCTGCCTGCTTGACAGGCAAATGACGCACGCCACGGCCTTGAATCTTCATTTCCTTCCAGGCGTCTGTGTCGGTCTTGAAATAATCACTACATCTGTGTTTGACTTTGACTACCTGTTATGACATCAGGAGAATTAATGTCATACTTATGTCATTAACGCTGCACCGCAAAACACTCTGTCTTTGATAAAGCTGATGCAGTTTATCTCATACACGGTGCAAAGGCCACAGGGTGAAGTAAAAACTGCAATAGGTGCAGAAAAAAGAGCACCGAAGCACAATCAAACTTTTGTGTTTCTTCAATTTAGCTGAAGGTTTAGTGTGCCGGAGGGGCTAGTTCTGCTGTCTTTTTACAGCCTTAGCTTAACTAATGATGATTTACGTGTGTACATAAACTAAAGAACGGCTGGTGCTTTTTGGGTGAAGGAGGCTATAATGTCCCTGATAACAATGGCTGTTTTGTCTTTACGAGTGCTTGTATTTTTTGTTTCCAACGGTAGAAACAGCAGCCCAAGGATTATCTGCGGATGAGCCACAAACACAACGTTATTCTGGGGCTTATTCTGATAACCGATCAATACATCAGTCTGTATTTTGAGGATTATCTATCTTATATCAGAGTTAGCTGATTTTTTATTTCTTTTTTGCAAAGTCAGTCAAATAAAACTTATAATCCAAGGACGTCACCTTGATCTCCAACTATTTTTTTGACCACTTTCTATCATTCAGTTGGCAAAGCCTTTCCAATTGAGAGAAGTATTTTTTAACCAATCCATACAAAAACATGTATTTTTCAAAGGTAGGTTCCACCGCCTTATTCCGTATTGACATTCCCACAAACAATATTTCTATCGAGCTTTCCTTGGCCTGCGAAAAATCACTGACTCACTCAAAACCTTCACTTCATTAAAGGCCAAGAATCAATCTCCATGAATCACCTTGAGCCCTTTAATCAAACTCCCCATCAGGGTGATGCATTTTGAAAGCGCCGTTCAATGATGTTTTTCCATTTCTTTATTCATTTGCAGCCTTGAGAGCAAATAGAGGAAAGTTTCAAAGCCTTGGTTCAGAAAATAAGGTTCAAAAACAACTATTTTATACAGATTTTGCAAATGTGGTGAATCAGACATGCGTTTTGGATAAAGCTCAAACTGTCCTTAAAGATCTGGATTAGGGTTGCATGTATAGTTTGAGAGGAGATAAAGAGAAACCTTTTTTCCTGCAGATCTGATAAACCCAGGAGTAAAACATCAGTGTGACGCTGTAAATCGGACGGCTGTGGTGAGTGTGAGCGTGTACAGCGGTGAAGAAAACGCCTGTCGACCTCGGCTTTAACAGATGCCTGAAATGTCTGGGATTCCATGGGAAAGGCTCCAGTAGCTGAACGCCGGCGAGGGTTCACAGGGTGCAGCTTCACAAGCCTGAGTGCCAGAGCAGTTAAGTCAGCTCAAAGGAAAAGACTCATGGTGTGTGTGTGTGTGTGTGTGTTTAGGATAGTAGAATAGCTCTGTGCATACTGAGCCATGAAAAGAGTAGACCCTTGAGGCAGGGGAAAAAGAGGAGGAGGAGGAGGAGGGGTGGATTTTGAGGACTTTTATACATCTGTCTGTTCTTGTACAATCCTTGCTTTTTTTATTTTTATGACTGATTACAAACCAAAGTTTTGAAAGAAGGTCAGACAGGCAAGAAGTTTTACTGAAAGAATAAGTTTGCCAATTCGGTTATACGGTTCAGAAAGAGGAATTCACTGGATTGCATTCATTGTCTCGTCCACTGTAACCCGCGAAATCCCACGAATAGCTGCAGAAACACAGCTGGGGTTTGCCACATCAAACGAAGAAAAACTCAACAGCCCAACAGCTTTATTTACTTTGAGGATATATTTTTCAAATTTAATTTCAGACTCTTTATAACAATGCTTCCTGGCTCTGATTTGCTTTTGCACGTCTTTGCTTTAACTTTTACCAGCTTTGATAAAGAGGCCTCTCTTTTTTTTTTAGCCCCATTGTCTTTCAGTTCGTCTGTTTTTAGTTTGATTTCAGAAAAAAACAAAAAACACACTACATTTTTATGAAACTTGGAGGAAAAAGATGTGGCAGGAATCGAGGAAGAGCCCATTAAGTTTTTGGATGGGGTGAAAAAAAAACAACTCTCGGGAAGTGGAAATTCCTTCTTTATGAGCATACTTTTAGTCTCATCTGTTTTTAATAAGAAACTGCCATGTTTGTGATTTTATTTCAGTGATTGCACAGATTTTAACCCAAGATAGAAAATAAAATAAGACTTTTAACAATTATGTTTATTAATTAAAGTTAATTGCATATTCCTTAAAGGGACATTTTCCAAGTTTTCAGTTATTATTAGCATGAAAGTAGCTTTTTTAACTGATGTATCTTTGATAAAACTTTGTATCAGTTGTTTTAATGATATATTTTTGGCTCATATGTAGGGAAGTTTAGATTGAAATTTTATGTTTTATATCCTTTTAAAACTTTTTCTTGTTGTGACATTTGAACAAATACATTTATTTATTTTTTGCCTTTCAGTCATTTGACCAAACGGACCTTGAACACATCATAATGTACCCAAAAGTCATTGTGTTTAGTGAGCCAACAAGCCACTGTTTTTCCAATTTTGTTGACATGGATCACTATTTTTTTTATTTTTTTTTAAGGACTTGTTGCAAAGTTTGGGTCTGATACCACAACTGTTTGGAGTAAAGGAGGAGGAGGATGAAAAATCTTGGTCAGAAAACTGATGTATTTTTGTTGGACGTGAAACTGTTTAGATAAAGAAGCAGACGTCAAACACAGTCTCTGGGCTGTCGAGTTTTTTCTGTTATGAACAAACAGGTGATCCATGAGCATTTAAGAAAACCTCTGGCCTTTACTTTGTACACTTGCTGCCCTTACGTGCATTCCCAGTAAATGTTAATTTCGATCGGCATTCGCTCTAACAGTCTGACTTGCGATAAATCCACAGCAGTCTATATTCAGGTGTTAATGTGGAAAATGTATTTTTACGCTTGTTCATAAGAACGTCGGTATAAGCTGGTGATTCACGGATGTTGACATTACTGCTATCGCCCTGAGAGGATGTGATTTTCTGTCACTTCTGCTCTGGAGTAAATGCAGTTTAGTCTTTGTCTGAACACATTAATCACATGTCGCGGCTACAGGTTTAAGCTTAAAGGTTTAATATTGTATAGAGGACGCAGAACGGATGGCGGCTGTGACAAAAATAGAAGCAATGATTCATGTGATAGGAGGAGGAAGAGGGTCTGGCTTGGCTTTCAGATACACTTCATGTTTGTGAGGCGATAAACACATGAGCCCCATCGAGCTTCGAAAATTGACTTACACCAGCCTTCAACCTGACATCAAGACATCACAGAGCTGTCCTCAAACCGCTGACAGGTACAGTCATAGTTTTCAGGGATAAAAGTGCCAAAATAAAATCAATATTAAGACGGTGTAATAAAGTTTTCTGTCTCAGCAGGGGTCACTTCCATCTCAAAATAATAACGCTCAGTAACAATATCCGCCTTTCTCCCTACAGACAGTTTTACTCCCAGCTATGTTTGTCCTCTTTCCTGCCTCGCTGACCTCCAGGGGTCATGCATCAGTATTTTGGTCTCATAAAAGTGTCTACGGCTACTGAGGCTGTATCCTAACCCCCCCGTGTCCATTCATAACCTTAGGGCGGAAGCAGAGCAACAAAGACGGGAAACAATCGAGAAAAACCCTCCGTGATCTTCTACGATCGCCACTGTCGGGGTCGGAAAAGGGTAGTGGCGCCAGCACCGAGCATTGCGTGAGGAAGCGGCAGAGAGGAGAGCTGAGGGTCAATGGTGAGGCGGAAAACACTCCGTCCAATCCAACTCCCCCCCTGCAGTGACCGCTGACCTCACTTTTTCCTTCCGATATGACCTGGCTGAATGACCGATGTGCTTATATCCACGATTACAGCACAGTGTTACTCTTCTGTTTCCTAGCTGCAAGACAAAACAATGGCTGTCCAGTCTGTCTGCACACACACACTTTAACACACAAAGAGGTTATGTCCCTGTGTGATTTATACTGTGTCTGTGTTGCCATTACACACATACTGACCCTGACAAATCTCCGAGTCTGTCTTGTGATTGGTGGACTGGCATCTGTGATGTGAGCCAAGACTAAATTTGGAACATCCATATCGAGAAAGGTCTGACGGCAGGTCCTCACCTGACCTGGCTCAAATGTGATTCACAGCAATACTCTAATAGTGACAGCCTGTGTTAAACCATCAGCCGGTCTCCCTACAGCCGCGGGCTACATGAGACACACAAGCTACAAGTGTGCAGAAGTGACAAACCCAATCAGAGGCTGAGGCGTCTGCTGCAAGCTGTCCGCCTCCTTCTGGGAGCGAATTAAAGATGCAACACATCGTGCAAACCCAAACACTGGCGTAAGCTGCCGCGGTTGCTGAGGAGGAGGACGACGGCCCCCCTGGGTGTCTCATTTTGAGCAGGGGGGGATAATTAAGATCACTCTTCATACAGCGAGTGTAAAATACTAACCAACTGGGAAATATATGCTGGTTTATCTCTAAGGGCTTGTTGGTTGGTCTGCAAGAGACACTCCTTCTTAAAGAGGACAAAGAAAGGCTGCAGTGGATGACAAAAACAGGACTATAGACAACTCTGCAGACCCTACATCGGGGCTTTTTAAGGCTGTTAAGAACCTGCATAAAATAGAGATACATGATATTATCAATACAAGCCAATAAGAGCTAAAGGAGTTCATTTTAGGTATTAGCAGATATTTTTAAATCTGCTGATACAGCCAATAAGTGGATCAATTGTGAGAACAGCTTATGCCTGAGCTTAGAACAAGCTCCAACATGTTCGTATTTGAAGTGTCAGAAACTTTATGCGATGTAAGTTGATCGAGCATCTGAAGAACCGTCAGTTTGAACAACACCAAGAGTTTTTGGAAAGAAGGGATGAAAAACTGCGAGCAAGCAGCGGCCTCAAAATCAGCACAGGACCAACTCCAGGAATGAATCCTTAAATAGAATATATTATATTTTAGAGTAGAATCAAATGTTGTCTTTCATTTTTGCATAATTCAAATATCTTCAGTACAACAGTCAAGATGTTTTTTATCACAGTTTTGATCACAGGAAATTAAAAAAAAATGTAACAGCTGAGTGCAGTTTAAATGGGATTAGTGAATGTGACTGAAGCTGTTTTTTCCCCACATCATCTGAAACTCTTAAATGTGTCCCCAAAATAGGCGGCCAGAGTCTTACAAACAGTCCCACAGTAACAGATGTGGTGTATCCTGATGTTCCCGTACAAATAAAACTAGAAGGAAACTCCTTTTTCCCATCATTTATTCTACAGTGAAATAATCGACGTGCACTGAAATGACTCAGAAAGTTCTTTTTTTTCCTGAATTTGAATAAAAAGGAGATCATTAGATATGCAAGATTAGCAGCACCCTTGAAAGCTTAGGGGATTTTTAGAGCTGGCAATGAACCTAAACATCTACAGTCCCAGTTTGGCAACCACTGTTGCATGTCATTCCCCATCTACCCCTCCCTCTTGCTTCCTTTGAACGCTTCATGAGAAATAAAACGCCCCACAAGAACTCAAATTAAAACCAACAAACACAAAGTTGTTGATAAATTCTTACATGATATATTCTGTATAACTTTTGTGCAACATATATATGAGCTTACACACATATTTGAAGGTTGAAGCGCTCCCTAAATGGGAAGTCCCCGATTTCTTGTTGAAACAAAGCCAATATTTACAGCTGGCAGCCACGCTCAGGGCTCAGGCTAATCTGTTCTAACGGCCAAAAAGCTGTGCCACATAACAGCCATTACCAAAACATAATCAAATGCCCATTATCTTCAAATCAGGCCTGGCAAGACACAGTTATTCATTACAAGTAAACAGACTCAACAGTAGTGTTTCCCTTTAAGCCGGCTCATTATTTCAATTCAATTTTAAGAGGATATAAAGGCCTTCATTGTTGTGCAGGAGGGGACTCGGAATGAATCCGTTTGTACCAGACAACAAAAATATTGAATTTGCTGCAAGTAATTCAGGATCTCAAGATACGCAAAATGAAAAAAATATATATAAAAACCTGTAAGCACATGATTTTGTTCAAGCTACTCAAAGTGTTTAATACTTGGACATGCATGTGCACAATCTGGCAGTCCATCTTTCATAAAACCTGGGCTACAAAGACCCCGACCTACATGCACTGTTAACCAAAGTCATACAATGCTCATAGGATGATTGTAAACCTATATTTTCTTCACTTTTCCATACCCAACTTTCTAGAATTATTTTTGGAAATACCTACTTTTCTATTTTAGAAAACAGTATTTTAGAACTGTGGTCACAGTCTGGAGACATGAATATTTTCCATACTTTTTAAGACCTGGAAATTGATCACGTTTATTCCCATACTTTTCCATACTTGCGTAGGAACCCTGTATCTTAATGTAAATTTGGCAGCACTTCGATGTAACTAAGGAGGCTCTCAAACTTGCCCGTAAAAAAAGAGGGGGAAGTTAGGAGTTATGGATTTCCCTTTTTCAACCGCACTGAAAAACATCATGTGTGAGCTACATCACGCAGTAATGGCATTATCATGAGCCAGGAAATTGGTTTACTTTGGAAAAAATCTGCTTGATTCAGCGTTGAACGTGATGAACTGAGTGAACTTGGAGTGTGTGTGAGTAAAAGTGATTTAATAGCAGAAAAAAACCAACGTTTTCTTCCCTTTCCTCTACGTACTCTACGACATGATTACAGAAAGCAGCTCATATATTAGTTTTCAAGTTTTTGCATAAATATCTGATATGTTTTCTGGTCTGAAACAAGTCATCCATGACCTGACCCTAATTTGAGCAAACTCATAAACATTAAATAGCAGAAATAAGGAAGACGCTCCATGGGATGATGTCTTATATTTACCACAATTACAGCTGCATGCTTGTGCGCGCTTGTTGCCAAATCGAATCAACTTCGCTAATGAGCATCTCCTGCAACCTTGCTTTGCCACTTTGTCTCAAGAACGCATCAAGTTTGGTTTAAAAAGAGGGAAGAAATTAGCCCGGGCTGCTCTGGGGAAAGTTCAAATGACCCCTGTAACAGAGGCTGGGAAAGGGAAATGGGTTGTGACTGCATACATGGGAGCTAAGCCAAGCCTCGTGGTGCTGCAGCTTTGTTTTCTGTTAGTTTAAAGACTATAGAGCGTGTGTATGACCTGCAGTGCCCTTTGACAATTACAGAACTTAACCACAAACTGTGGTTTGAATTACAAACCAGCAACCCTGGTTTCCATGAGGTTTGTGACGCCTTGTGAAATGTAAAACAGTTTGATGGTTTGCAAATCATTTGAAGCCTTTATTCAAATGTAAAGACTGCAAAGACAACCAATCGAAGTTTAAAATGAAACATATTATCATGTAATCATTTTTGTCATGATTAAAAACACCTCAAAAAACAGTTTCAAACTAATTATATTAATTTGCAACATGTAAGTAACAGGATAGACTATAAAATGGGCTTTCAAAGGAGGCCATGTGGCTCTCAGATGTAAAGACTAGAAGAGGTTCACCACTTTGTGAGAGACTGCATGAGTTAATCAGCAGTTCATCTGTTGTTGTTTTTACTATTTCCAATAAAATATAGACTTTGAATGATTTACAAACTCTCAAACTCTAAGTTTACTTGAAAGACGACAGTAGGTCTCTAAAAAGCAGAAACAGAGGAGGTCAGTGAATGCCTCTCACTCTGTCCTGCGGTTCCAGCTCGGGCTTAACGGCTCTTTTCATGCTTTAGTGAAAGTAGGCAATAAACCACAGGTCCCGAACCGCAAGACCGCAGGCCCTGCCCCGGCTGAATGCAGAGCCATGACTCAGGATCAGAGCTTGCCAGGTGACGTCTGGTCTTTATTCATCGTCATTGTGCGCAAATTAGGAAATCATGTGTGCAGCGAGAGTTTTTATACACCACTTTAGTCCTCCTTAACAAACAACACAGTTTGACAAAAGGCCTTCTGTGAGCAACCACGTCAAGCAAAAAGTCATTAGTGGAAAACCTGTGAACAACACAAAGACACCGCAGAGCTTAATAATGGACCTCCCTCAGCCAAACACAAATTGAATGCAGCCACTAAAGCAAACAAATTTTAATAAGCGCCTGAATAAGCTGACATGTGCTGAAAAACTCCTTCAAATGAGCTGCTAAACCCGTGTACGCGGCGTTGCGTAATGGTGCGAGCCAAGGTGTTCAGGCATCACCCATGCGCAAAATTCTTCCCAGCACTCGAACTTGAACTCTTTGGTTGTGTGAAATGGGTGGGCTTGTCATTTTACAGTAAAGGACGGAACACACAGGGAACGGCCCATGTCACGGGAGCTGCTCTTAAAAAGGGGAACAAAGAGAAATGTGCGATGATGTCGTCTTTCTTTTTCCTCCTACCACACAGCATGAGCAGTGACAAAGCTACACCGACTATTCAGGGTAAACATTTCAGAGACTATCTGGCAGAGGTGTTGTGTCACCTCAGAGTGTGGTTCAAGCTGTACTGACACAGAACATGGCCTACTTAACCAAACCTGAGCTAATGACACAGCTCTGACATTTCAACACTACAAAGGGATTCAGCCAGCTTTTGGCAAAACAACCACCGGGCCGCAGATCACCTTTAGTCTAAAAAGAGAGAAAGAAAACAACATGTGGGGCGAAACGAAAATGGCGGTGAGAAGAACTCTGGAGGAACTGTTTTGGTTTTTAATGCACATTTATACAGAAAAAAAAAATGCTAAATTAAGCAGCTGAAGCTATTTCTCGTGTTGTGAAAAAAGCTTTATGTTTTTTCTGCTTTTAGAGTTTTGACAAAAATGTGTCAAAGCAGCAGAGCCTGTTGATTGAGTCAGCGAAATGTGGTTTAAAGCTCTAAAAGAAGCTATTAAGTGGATCTTAATGAAAGATTGACAGGCTACAACAAGGGCTGTCAGCATCACAGTGTCAATCACAATTTAATTAAAGTCCCAAATCAATTATGCGTTATTTAACTTGTGCGATTTTGTCTCTTTCAGATGACAGTAGAAAAGCCATTGTAGCATCTTCCTGCTGCCACTGTGATGGAAAACAAAGGCATGTTTCACTATAAAATCTCCCAGATGGTTCAGTCGATGAGTCTAGAGTAATACAAATGTTGTGTTTAATGAAATGAAATATCAGTGGAGTGCTCAGAATTTGAGATGACACCTATGAATTAAGCATTCAGGTGCAGCCAATCACGCTAATGCCAGAAGAAAGTCACATCATAATAGTTGGCACTGTTCGAATTGTTTGGCACACACCTGTAGGTGAAACTACATCAAAGACGTTAATTACAGTCCTCGCTAAAAGGGTGCGTGCCAGTCAGCATTTTCGAGGACTGGCGTGTTTTCATATGCCGTATTGTTGCAGGGAACGTTAGTTTCATGCACACAAAACCTGTATGACAGAGAAAGCTACAGAGTGGAACTTCTAAATACTGGTGCTGCATTAACCAGGGAGCGATGGATGTCAGTGAGAGATTTTAGTTGTCTTTGGACTTAAAATGAATCACAGTTAACTATTCAAACTTTAGGACTCATCAGGATTAAATCTGTTTTTTTGTTTGATTTTTATAGGAATTGTTTCAAGAAAGTGGTCAAATTCAGGGTATTTGAATTAGGGCTGGGCGATATGGCCTCAAATTAATATCATGATATATTGAGCAGTTCACCTCGATAACGATAAATGGACGATAACTACTCCACAAGCTGCTCACCCCCTCCCACATTAACTTCGTCTACTTCAGCCGCAGCTCCAGCCACTTCAACTTTTGAACCGTCCTCCGACTCCTCACCTGTCTTCCCCTCTTTGTTATGGACTGGATGGGGTGGAGTCACGTCTCTGACGTAGGACAGTGTCTTAAAGAGACATGAGACCACAGCCTACCTACACACATCCAAACCAACTTTTATTTATTTATTTTTTGACACCGAATATATTGACATGGGCAAAATGATGTTGGTCGTAAATTTCTGTATCTGTAAATTTTCGGTTTATCGCCCAGCCCTAATTGAAGTCTTACTTGGTGTTGCAAAGACAACAACTACACTCCTTAAATGACTGGCGAATTTGATGTGTTTCATTTAGAAACTTAGAGAAATTAAAACAAGTAAATAAAACAGCCGCAAACTCAAAAAGGAAATGACGTAAACAAATAAATCTAATTTCAGATATTTTCACCTCTCCTGAGAAACAAATCATTTAGAAATCTGTTAAATGAACGTTTAGGAACAACTGAGGAAAAAAAGGCTACTTCTCTGACAGTGGTCCTGTGTCCAGCAGCGCTCACTGAAGTGCCCGTTGATGGTGGTCGTCTGGCAGGTTGTCTTTCCGATGGCTGCCCCCGGGCACACGTCTCCACACTCTCTGTCGTTCTTGTTTGCCATGATGTAGTTGTCCTCCACCGAGTCCAGGATCTTTGACCAGTCCAGAGTGGAGAGATAGCAGAGATCTGGGTTCTTCTCGATTCTCACGGCTCCTCGGGTGATGTTCATCAAGCTATGGAGGCCGATCTCCCGCAGCTGGAGCATCTCGAACATCACCAGAGCGTAGTTGAAGAACAGGTTGTTGCCTCTGATCACGGTCAGGTTTGGGAAGAGATCGCTGAGGCTCTCCATGCCGTAAACCCTGAAGAGAAGCAGGTAGTCGGTGATCACCATCAGTTTGGGGAAACGGAGACCTCGGAAATCCTCTGGCTTGGTCCTGAACATGAGCAGGATCTTCAGGTGGCCTTCGATCACTGTGCAGTTCTCAAGCGTGCGCAGGTTGGTCACATTGTTCCGGATGTCCTTACTTGGACAAACTGAGGAGAGATAAAAAACAAATCTTATTAGAGACAAGATAGCTTCACAAAAAAACTCTAAAAAGTATTTACATTGAAAGGCTGCGGGGTAAAGCCTTGAGGGTTAGGACAGTGTTGCCTTATGAACAGGGATTTTGTTGATTCCAAAATATGGCAGAAAGGTTACCCAAACACACTAAATCTTGTGAATTTATCTGTGGATTACACCTCATGAAAATGACTGATGCATTAGGCAAGTCGTCTGTCCTGCAAACTTGAAAACCCCGGGGTCTGCAGCAGTCTGTGGCGGTCTAAAGGAGGATAAAAAATAGCTCTCTTGGTAATTAGAGGGGATATTTTACTGAAAAATATGTGGTCATGTCTCCTGCTTTGATGAAGACCAGACCATCTTCGCTGACGTTTTGTTTAGCAACCACATTTCTGGCAGCCGACTGCTGTCAAATATGGAGCGCTGTCATCAGAGTGAGGCCATGCTCATCCTTGGTTACGCTGAGTTGATTTGTGGAGTTGCTTCTGTAATTCAAGTCCATAAAAAACATTAGCTAATGTATTAAAAATATTTGTCTGTGAAGGGGATTGGGGCACTAATAGCCATGTAGTGCACCAGTAGAAGATTTGTGGCTTTGTCATTCCTCACCCAGACATACAGTGTAGGCCTGTTGGATTAAATATTGCTTAGCTACACTACCTCACAGACAGATCTCAGCTTTAAGGTCTCAACTTGTTCAAGTTCAGCTGTGACACAGTGAAGAGGAATGAAAGACTATGATGGGATGTAAAAGTATCTCTGTATTCCTAATCATTTAAATTATTTTGGAAACTTATTACATGATCGATCAGTATTTACACTTTTTATTGCAAACCAACTATATGATATGATACAATACAATTTGATACATACGATATGATATGATACAATATGATATGATACGAGTTACCATATGATATGATAACACGAAACGAAGCGATACGATATGATATGATAAGCTACATGATACGATAATACAATATGATACGATACAATAATACGATATGATACGATAATATGATTCAATTTGATATTATATATGAAAGGATATGATACAACACAATACAATTAGATACGATTTGATATGATATGATACAATAATACAATACGGTACAATACACTATAATACAATGTGATAGGATATGATACGATGCGATATGATAAGACATGATAAAACAATATGATACAATAATACGATATGAGATAATACAATACAACGTTGTGATATGACACAATATGATATAATTTGATATGATACGATACGACAATACGATATGATATGATAACACGGAGCGCTAATATGATATGATATGATACAATACAATATGATATAAGATAAAACGATATGATACAATAATACGATACGATAATACGTTATGATACAATATCATGATACGATATGATACAATACGACAATATGATATGACACGACGCGATATGATATATGATTTGATATGATACGATATGATATGATGCGATACGATATGATATGATAATACGATACGGTAACACGATATGATATGATGCGATACAATATGATAGGATACGATACAGTATCATATGATACTATTTAATAGGATAAGATACAATACATTTGTTGTCCGCCAGGGGAAATCTGTCTTGGGCTCCAGACAAATCACCAGTTTTATTTTTTTTGTTTGAATACATAAATGTGAACTGTACAACCCTAGTTTGATGCCGATGTGATCTCAAAACCTTCTGCAGAATATATCACACATTATCACACTCAGGGGGTTTCTGGATGGAGAGAGCCAGCAGTAATGAGGATTTCCTAAGCTCTCTACTCTGGATATCAGCCAAACTCCAGAGCATATGCTTTTGTGTGACATAACCCCGAGTAATGACGGCCATAAAAACATTTTCCTTTGCAGGTGCTACATAGGACATTCCAGGCCCGATTTTACAGTTCACAAGTCATGGGTGCAGCTGGAGGAGCTCTGCCTGGTGAGAGGACTGTATTTGTTTACCAACTGGCCCACCATAGATCTGGGCACATCAGGCCAACTGGTCAGCCATGTGGGGAAGAGGTATAACAGCTAGGCGTGCACCTCTTTATGGCAGCAGCTCATTTTACACCTTCCGTTACATAAGAGTACAAGACAAGTGACACACACACACACACACACACACATACATACACATACAAACACAGTGTCCAATCACAGAGTGTCCAAACAACAAGCTTTTCACTGCATGACCTTAACCAGCAGGCTCACTATCTAGAGTTCAGACTACAACTTTGTGGCTTGTTTAAAGTACACACAAAATGCCCTAACATGGGTTTCAGCTGCAAGCTATTAAAAGTAACTTGGCGACATGTCCCTTTTCAGACTCCTTTTAGATCTGCAGTCCTCTATGTGGTTTGGGCAGTAAAGTCAATTTGTAAGCATGAGTTGCTTCCCTCCCAAACTTGTAATTTCAACACATCCGAGTCCAAATGAAACATTTCCCGTCAAAGTGACGTGACGGTAACCGCCAGAGGAGTCAGCATTAGGGAACACAACACATTCATGATTACAGAGAGCCTTCCTCTTTCTCGTACCGGATCCCACACACTCTCCAACAAAGCGGTCTAATGGACAATACAAGAGGACAGAGGTTCTGTAGTTGGGGTGTAATCAGCCGTCAGAGTACCGGGTGACCCTGTGGAGAAGGCGAATCATCACAGGGCTGCGAGTCCAGGCTCCTTTCAGTGTACGCTTTCAGCCAGGCCTGTATTTTTAGCAACACATTCCCAATAGAGAATTTAATACACTCCAGCCGTTCCGATAGTGGCTCTCATTGGAAACTGGAACATGGCAGTCCTGGTGTGTAAGTGAGGAATTTTAGAGCTGCAGCAGAGGAAGAAGTCTCCGCGCTGATTTTTCATGTGTGAAGAGTTAGGCTGGAAACAAAACTTGGCAGAAGTAGGAACTTTTTTTTTTTTTCTTCTGAGAACTATTTTTGTTGCCGTCTTACAGTGGAGCGCCGAGGCTCAGCCCATGACAACAAGAGAAAAACTTCAGCAAAACAAATCAGGTTCATACCAGAATTTAAATGCTGCTTGTATTGTAAGGAAAGAAGAAAAAAATGGAGAGAATTTCACAAAGGTTGCTATGGTGACCAGGCCAGCTCCAGCTCTCCATACATTCCCAGCGAACAGCCAGACAGGAGTGAAAACGTCGAAAAAACAGCCCCGGTGCTCTGAATCATCAATTAGAGTCATTAGAGGAACACGGATCTTCACTGATGCTGCCCTCAGAAGTCTGTCAGGGTCTGCACCTCTGAGAATAATGATCCTCCAGGTTACTCGAAGCTGAGCAGGATTACGCTTTTTATGTTAGCAACACAGTGAGCTAAAAGACCTATTGATATTCACAAGGACTGGAGCTCTCTAATGAGAGTTAAAATGAAAGTTTTGAGGTAAACGTTGTGGCCACACTATACACTATTTCACTGTTACTACAATACAAGCATTACTAATAAAATACACCAAAACTTACTGAATGTTTTTTTATTTTATTTGGGAAAGCAACGCCTCAGATTAACTGGTGTTTATTTAGTCTTGAATGAAAAAGTCTCACTGGATTATTCTGGATTCAGGAGAAAAATGTTAAAATCATGTTAATAAAAGCACCAAGAATAAGTCTCATATCTGAGAGCTATAGCTGATACGCACTCTTTTATATTCTTCTTCACTCATACAAAGCTCCAGTTTTAAGCTTCACAAATAAAAACATTTAATTTTAGCTTAATATTTCGTATAATTGACTAGAACCTGAACTGACGGCCACATCTGGCCCATTGAGGCATCTAGAGGAGACCATTTCAGACTCAAGGTCCTTACACACCGCAACCGTTTTTTTCGTGCGATTATTTTGGATGTCTATTTGTTTTTAGAACCCATATCCGGTCAATAGAAGCGTTCCAACAGCGATGCTTTCCCGTCTTGCGATATTGCAGCATTTATTTTTTCGTATCACGGTCGAATTTTCTTAAAGTTCGCATACTGTGTGTCCTCTTCTGACCAATCAGATTTCGTGTTATTGCGATGTCTGATTCACCTGTGTATCCAACATGGCCGACCGGCTGATTGTTTACATGTCGTAGAACAGAGTACTTTTTGATAAAAAACACACAAACATTACAAAGATAACGACCTGAAGGACAACTTGTGGAGAGTCATAGCGTCGGATTTCTCATATGACGATGGTTTGTGTGCTTTAACAGTTTGCTAACTTTCATCTGTGCTAAGTAACTTAGCTAACCTGTTCAGATACAACATACCATATGTATTTTCACCGTCTCAAACTCAATCTTGTTGCTGTCACAGCACCATTAGGTCTCGGTTGTTACCTTACGTTGATGGATTATAGTTTAATGTGCTTATCTGGTACTGGCCCAGACTCAGTACATGCTATCATGACAGACAGACATCTCAACACTAGTGTCTAATCAGAACTGAAAACAGTCAGTCTGCTGTTGCGTCAGTCTTCTCGCTTCCACTCGTGACGTCTTTTTTTCCCCCCCAGAAAGTCGTAAAATCGCATCGCACTTGGTGTGTATCGTCAGGCGCGTCAAAATTCACCTCCAAATATTTCGTAATTTCACATCGTATATTTGTGTCGGTGTGTAAGGACCTTGAGAGTGACCCTTTTAGTTCTGATTATGTAAAAATAGGAATCAGCAGATAAAAAAAATAAAGCAAATACATATTAATGCAAGTTATAAGCACATGCAGTATGTATGCGATCAAAAAGTGCTGAGGGGGAAATTCTGACAGACATCTGAAGGTGTTTTATGCTGCGATAAGAGAGCAGGTATGAAGGGAATCCATACAGCTCCATCTGAGCGAGGAAAAAAACACCCGCAGATACGTCAATATATCGACATCTACCAGGTGACTTCTGCTGAGAAACTGCCTACACAAATCCAGTGACATGATTCTGTGCAATAATGCGGACAAGTTAAAACAAGAGCAGGAAGTTAATACGCCTTTGAGAGCATTGCTGTTGTCTTGTAATATTTCCACAGATACCACTTTGAATGTCTGGCATTCATCATATCTGGGTCACAAGATGCTCCTAAATTTAAATCAACACGCACTGAGCAATAACAGAGATGTGAGAACACAAATACTGAACATATCTTCACACTAAGATATAAGCTTCAAAGCGCAAACTCGCGATCCTTTCACTGCGGCTGCAAGCATCAACAGGCATCTTGAGGAGGAGGTGGACAGAGATGTGAGGGTGTGTGTGTGAGGGAGGGAGGAGGGAGGGGCTGCAGGTTGTTAGACTGATAGTATATATTCTGTCGGGCTCAGAAGAGATCTGAGGCCTCAATAAGCATGCAGAAACTGTGATTGCAACACTTCCCTTTTTAAAGGTTTCACTGCTCGGCTGTTTCCACAAAATGCCGAGGTCACCCAGCTACATGTTCGGCTCGCTGTGTCCAAACTGACATGTGATGTAATCCACTTTGAGGAGAGTTGTAAAATCTAATGATGCATCAGTTTTAAGGTATGCGGTAAGGGAGACAGATTTCCCGTTTGACCGCTGCAATGTGTGCATGTGCAATAGTCACATGACGGGACTTATACTGTCAGTTAGATGACCTGAAACAGGCCAGGCGGTCACCACTTCCTCATTTATCAAGGTTTAATCTCCGGTAAACATCTAATCAATATCACTTTCATGCATCCCCTCATTGAAACATGCAGAGAACAGGCGGGTGTGCATGCAGAATCTATGTTACACAGCGGTAAAATGTTAACAAGCATGCAACACTGCCCCTGACAGAAGGTAGGACAGTGAGAAAGTGGACTGAGGATCAAAATAATAGTATATTTACTGAAAGCTTCAAGTACTCCTAAAATACTGCATTTATGTATTCTTGTATTTTTTTAATATCACAATTAATAGTACATCCCATAATAGAAATATACTGCAATGGTAGTTTTTCCATTAATGTGCAAAAAACACAGAGGTTCTGTATTCGCTTCTGAATTAAAGGAGCAATGACACATTTCAAAACACATTTGAGCTTGCGGATGTGTTACAAAAAAAGTCAGATGTAACGCTTTTTAAAACTAATTTTGGTGTTACGTTTCATTTCGACAACTTATCAAATATTGAAACTAAAAGGTTGAATGCCAGCAACACATTTTAAAAAACAAAGACAGGGACAAATAAACACTGACAAAGTTAAGTCAAAGAATGGTTGAGTCACTCTGTGAGGGACTGCGTGAGCTAACAGTTCAACAATTACAGAGAAATTTACCTCAGTGTAAATTTGGGGATTTCTTCCTCCACACTGTATCAATTATAATTTCATTAATAGTTCAAGAGAACCTGGAAAATCTCTACAAAACCAATGGGACCAAAAGTTATACTGGATGTCCATAATCTTAAGGCATTAGACACAGACGTGACTCTGGAGTGGAAATCACCGCACAGGCTCAAAATCATTATGTCTGTTCACATCATCAAATTTAAAATAAAAAAAAATCTTATTTGACTTTGTCCTTTGATATGCTCTTTTTTTGCACTGTCTAATTACATTGAATGCAAACTACTAAACTCTGTTTTATCAAGATCTGACACTGCATACCAGCTGTTTCGTGTTTCAGGATACTCAGCTGTCTAACTTGGTGAGGCTTTCGGCTGCAGTCACAGTTGGTGAGGGGAGAAACTGCGCTACATTGCTACAACTAGAAAAAATGCAGCCAGGTTGAGAAACTACCAGAAGTCTTCCTCATGAGTTAAAAGTTCTGCTTTAGAGTAAGAGGTAAAGCATGTTATCTAATGTGCCAGCTCTTGGTCAGGGTGACATGGAAGTGCAGCACACTGACGCTACGACACAGCGCAACAGTTTAGAGAAAGAAATGAAACCAAAGCTCTCCTGCCTGCAGTCTTTATATAGAGTGAAATGGAGTAAAAGAGAGCCTACAAAACCACAGAGTTCCCTCTGGCCTTTTTGATGTGAATCCTTGTAGAGAAATCGCTCCGGACCAAAGATCCTTTTGTGTTTCAGTTGCCCACCAGCTGCATCCATTTACCAATTATTCTCTCTGCCAACGTTGGCAATGAGGTTATTATTACCTCTGAAGCGTGAACACACAATAACAAGCGAATTTCCTTTCAGCAGGGTCACGGAGTCAATGGTACAGATCTGACACAACAAGGCTTTCTTGTCAGACGCCTGTGTGGTCCAAGTGAAAGATTACAGGTGTGCCAGTTCTCAAAATGAACCTGTCGACCCGGATTACGCAGCCATTGGTGAGGGTGACAAGTGCAGAAATCACTCTATTGTGCACATGTCAAACACACTCATGCTGCTGATGCTTGAGACAGCAGTGGCAGTTAACCATGCTGTTTTCGTTTGAAGTGTTTTTGTAGAGTCTGAGGTGTCAGGCGGCGGAGGTTTCATCACCTCACGATGGCTATCCATGTGATGAGGTAGAAATCAGAGGTGCCAGGTCGCTGATTGTGGTACCCTCTTACAAGACCTGCCCTGGCCAGATCTGTGCACAACAACAGGCTGCCTGGGGCTTCAAAGCGAACCCCTGCTGTCTGCCACTCTTTCCAAAGTGATTTTTTTATCATGGCACAAGAAGGCTGCAGTCTGATAACATGAGACCTCAAACACATGATCTAACACCGGGCGAGCTGGAAGTTGACAGCAGTTTTTGTTGTTTCTGCAGTGACAACACATTGAAGTCACATGGACAAGAACTTGCATTTCACTGAACAAATAATGACAGACTTCAGGCGAAGTTTACCACCACCCTGACAGAATTTCTAGAAACTTAAAAGCGTGGTAATTGAAAATAAAGTTGTCTAAAAGATGTTAAACCTGCTTCTCATGGTGTAGACCCTCTGCACACCAATGCTTCATATGTGTGTTCAATGACTTCACAAGGTTGACTTAACTCCACACCACCTTTTGGAAAGCAGGCGGTTGCAACACACAATGACAACAAGTGAACTTTCAGACGTGCTGGGCTGCATGCAGCGAGTCTGCACCATCACAAGTATGAACCGGGCCTTGGATCGACTGTACATCATGACATAAGCTGTGTGTGGATTGCTCTGTATGCAGAAGACTGCACACACGGTCTCACATGCATCTCCTCAAACATATAACTACAGGTTGACAAAATGCAGATTGCAAGTCCCACGATTGGATTGCTACGTGGCGAGACCAGAAACTGGCAATGTGAGGAGCACAGACATCACCCTGCTGACTAGCGATATAGCTGAGTGCTGCAGAATTACATGGACGCTCCAACTCAAGTAAGTAATACAAGAAAACAGAGAAGTATAGACCAGGTTTGGGCTGTTATCAGGCTACTATCAAGGTAGTGAGCTTTTGTATGACTGCTTTATTGTTTTACATAGATTCTATACGATGCGATTTATTGTTCCATCTTAAGGCTAAAACATACAGGATGCTAATTCAGAGCATGGCACCATCGCATCGAGCGTGGCTCTGCTAAAGATATGCTAAGAGTCTATTTTTGCTGCTCTACGCTTCCAATACGCATCAATCCACACAGAGAAGATCAGCCTACACAGGAAGTCAAGCACAAAAAACCACTCATGCACCCAGTATTTCAAAATAAAACACCTTATACAAACTCTCGGCTGTGTATCGGTTCATGTAGAGGAGAAATTCTTCCTGTTTATAGATTTATCAGTAACACAGAACAATCTGATGGTCAATCCATGATCCATGTGGACTTTTAACTGCTAACTTTGTCTGAAGGTAACAGCACAGCATAAAGGAACAAAGTTTACCTTATTAAACACGAGTAAACCTCCAAAAACCGAAACTGTAAAATCACGTTGCTTTTTCACTTATAGTAGGAGCTCAACAGTCACTGAATTATATCCAAATTAGCAGGAAATAAGACCACAGAAAGGCAAAACAACCTGTTGTGAGCATGTTGTCTCCTTTATACTGAGCCCAGCTGACCGGGGCAGCACTACGCTGTTGCTACGCTTGAAATACGCATCTTAGACTCAGGTTCTGCACATGCTCGACTACATCAGCAATAAGCACAGGAGTCTGGGTCACAAGCAGGGCAGCACAAGTTGGAAAACTTGTTCGTTTTGATTGGCCATAAGATCTCAGTTTCACCATGGGTTACACAAAAACAACTTTTAACTTCTATACGTTTTCAGATCATTTCTATGTGGATGAAAGTTCATTCTTACAGCAGGAAAAGGGACAGGGTTGATGATGTTTTTATCAGTCACTGGTGCATGACAGCGACAGGTGTGATTGTGGAACTGATAATGAAGCTACCTCCTCCTCTTTTGTGCTGGTTGGTCTGTGATTTCCCTTTTAGTTCTTGATAGTGTGAATCTCTCTAATCACGCTGAGCTTTGATACAGCGGTAAAAACTGTTCAAGGCATCAAACTCTGATTCACCTGCTGCGGGGTGACTATAACAGCATCCTTTTAACGTCCGGACCACCCACCAAGACCATCCAACATTAAAAAAATCCCACTGTGAGAGATGTGGAAAGGCTAACTTTGGAAAAAAAAGATCTGGGGGCGGTCTGTTCTGAAATTTCCAAAAACTTTTCAGGAGTACAGCTGTGCATATTTATGTCTAAAATTCACCTGTGCTGCTGGTTCATGAGGAGGTGGTCTGACTCTCAAACTGAGTGCTGCAGCCGTCCACCAGATTTCACGACAATCTGAGCAGCAGTTTTTTTTCTATTCAGAACATTTCTCTTCAGTTGTCAGGAGTCTGAAGATTTTGCATATACCTTACGAAAAAAACATAAAGTGCTGACAAACCATCTGTTTCTGAAGATTGCTATCTCTCTTTCAGAAAATCTGAGGCTCGGCTGAGTGACTTGCTACATAAGGGGCCCATGCTGGGGCTCACTGACAGGAAGACATATGAAATATAGAACATACTTGCAAAAAAAGGCATAAAAATCTTCAACTGCCAGGCTTATCCAAACAAATCAGTTTAATGTACACGCTTCGACTTAATAAAAGCTTTCATTACTAAGAGATTTTTCCATCAAGCTGAGTTGTACATCTACCAGCAAGTGGTTCAAAAGATTTCCTGACTTGCGCACCGATTTGTCCACTTTATGAAATCGGCCAGTGTGAGGCCCAGGTTCCACTTTTCCCTTCTGTGGTTCACGCTCAAGTCAAGGGGCAATTACACAACTTGCCGCTGATTTATGTCTTCGGATTCTTGCTCAAACTGGTTTGATGACATCGCTCCGTTCGCCCCTCGATACAATCTGATGAAAGCTGAGAAAGTGTGTGCTTTTCTTCTCCTTCAGCGTGCCTCTTTAACTACCAACATCATGGACTGCGGAGCTTTGGTTAGGGGGGGTACAAGCTGTGTTTACATATACTGAACAAAGGACGAGTGTGTGTTATTTAGTGCAGGCTCTTGTCGAGATTAAGTGCTAAACAAGCAACCAATCTCACAAATCAGGAAAGAAAATATGAATGGATTATACATTAGAGTACTTTAGCGGATAATCTACAACTGTAAATAAAACCATCTTTGAAAGGCTGCGGTATTTTGCAACCGAGCACCATATCTGATGCATTGCATTTGGATGTTGGGCTTACGATTGCACGCAAAGATTTACTATAAGTTTATGATTTTATAATTCCATGTTGATGAAGTGACTGTTTCCGCTCGACCATCTATCAACGCTTGCAGCTGCATTAGTGTTTTGATTTCACAACTCAAAGCAAAGTAGACACATGAACTTACACAAGCCAACTCTCCCTCCAACTAAGCAAAGAGTCGAAAGGACTGTCATATTTATTTTGCTGTTTGACCAGGTCTGAAAAGCAGGGAGACCACAGGCACGGTTTTTTAAAGGAGACATTCCTTCTATCTCACCTATAAATCAACTCTAACCTCGAATGAATCACCGACTCAGGTTTAAATCAATCACACATACCATCTGTATGCGGTAAACTATGTCGTGTCACATTTACCAGAGTGCTCTCTGTTGTTGTCATCCTAAAAACTCTCCTGTACAGACATTTGAATCAGCAAGCAGTCCCACAGGTTTGCTTTACATTTCCTCATAACCAATATTTGCTTTAAGTAACAGATTCCGACTGAGAGACACAGTGAGCGTGTGTGCAGCCATTGTGGGCTTTGAGAAATGTGAAAATGTCTCCGGGCGATTGCAAATGTGTTCATTCATTCTTATCACCCGGGCTTGTTGGCTGGTGAATATAAAGGGATTGTCAGGAGCTGTAAAGAGGGCTTATTGTTACATTCCTGCACTGACCACAGCAACAGGCTTTCCTCTCTACAATAACAACAAATTAATTCTTCTGAATTCCCAGACTTCAACAGACAAGCTTTTTGGGGGGTAAAAAAAAAAACCTTTGTTTACAGTTCTTGCAGACTCAAACAGGTGATAAGTGTTAACCTTTGTCCCATCAATGCAGTGGCTGACTTTAAAACAGCTGTTGCTGCCTGAGTGCTTCTATCATATCACTGACAAATTTAGAAAGTCAGGAACAGAGATAGGGCTGCAAAACAACTCAAAATCATATTAAAATCACGTGCTTCTGTAAAATAACAGACAATTACAGGATTTTTGTTATAATTTTTTTGATTTAATTAAGCAAAAATGCATCTGATTTAGTAGTAAAAGTACAAATATTTGTAAGAAAGAAGGTAATATGTATACAAGACAATAATTCTACAGAGTAATTATCTCTCTATTTTGTTCTTATACATGTTTTATTTTAAATACTCTGTAGAATTATTGTCTTGTATATATAGTACCTTCTTTCTTACAACTATTTGTACTTTTATTACCTTATTTTTACTTGTCTATTGCACTGGAAAAGGAGAAGCTCTCCAATCTCGTTGTACTTTCAGTATGATGACAATAAAGGACATTCTGATTCGGATTTGCGACTTGTTTTCAACAAATGCTATGTACCCAAGGTTTCTGCCTGTTAAGGGGAAGTTTTTCCTTACCACTGTCACTCATGTTAGATGAGATGGGCCAAATCCCATCTTAGCTTGGGTCTTGATAATTCATCAAACAATGAGTGTGGTCTAGACCTGCTCTTGTTCTTTGGAAAGCATCTTGGGATGAGGACTGTTGTGAATTGGCACTATATAAATAAAATTTGACTGACTGTTGTATGCACTATATCTTTTTTAAACATTAAAGATGAAAAAAGTCCTGATATTTTTGAGGCATATCAAGAACATCTTGTCTGTGTCTGTCAAAATAAAAGCACTTGGATTCATTTTCTAAATCCTGCAGCAGGTGCTTTTTGTTTTTTTACACAACAATTATCGTATTTTACTTAAATTTACTTGATGCAATTATAGATATTTTTACAGTGTATAATTTGTTTATTAAAACAGATTGAAATCAAAGGGACAATTATGTATGTGCTGGATTTTATACCTATAATCGCTATAAAATGTATAATTAAAAAGCAGATAATTTTAATCTTTCAACATACATTTGATTTAAATATTTATTCATCTGCAGGAGACTAAAATTTGCCAACCTAAAGCCATTATTTTGTTCTGATCTGGCTCTCAGTGTGTTGTTTATGATCTCTGGCTCCCCAGCATGTTGCATAATGTTTTGTTTTCTTATGTTCACCGCAGCCAGCCACGTATTCAGAAACACTGAGAGGCACATTTAATAATAATTCCACTGATAAAACATGATAAATAATGTTACTTACTCTCTCCGTTAGCTCGATGACAGCTCATCTCAAAGACGCCTGCGATCAAAACACAAAAACACAAACACAAAGTCCGGAGCCTCATAACTGAGTCGGGATAAGACCCCATCCAGCTGTATTCCGGGTCAGATATAGACAGAATAATCCTTTAACAGGAGGAGGACAGTTCAGACTGGAGGAGATATGCCTTCAGGAAACGGGTTTTGTTATGCGGCGTGGACCAACAGGTAAACAAAAATAAATAAAAGACATCCCGGAAGATGGGCGGAGGAACGAGTCCAACGTGTTCAGTCAAACATGAGCTAACGATGCTGCTGCTGCTGCGGCTAAAGTTAGCCTCCTCCTCCTCATGGAAAAGCCCCGCTAATAACAAACAACAACTCTTAGCATGAGTGCTTCTTTTGTGTCACGTACAGCGGGGGTTTGTTGAAGTGTTCCAGCTCACTTTGTGAAGAAAAAAGCAGAAAAAAAAGACAAAAACAAAGACTCGTCGGGAGGAACCGTTAGCGTTAGCAAGGCGGCGGTTGAGCTAGCTTAGCATAACTCGGCTCCACCACTAAGAGTCCAGGCCACGGGGGTAGAAGTTTGCGCTGCTGTCCGAGACCCACTCAATTAATGTGAACTTTTAAGAAATGCCACACGCACCCATATCACAGGAGAGCATTCCCACGAGGAAAAAAGACAAGTTGCATGCGTTAGAGGGTCGTAAAGAGCGTCTTTTAACTTAATTTTAAAGGAGTTTGGGATCCGTTCACTGCTGACTCGATGGTTGTGGCATGCGTGGCGTCACGTTAGCGTGTCTTTCTCTACAAAAAAAACACACACAAAGTCCTCCAGAGAGAGAGAAAAAAATCAAAAAATCTTCTAGAAATTTAAGATTTTTCACCGCGCAACTGGTTAGCTCCACAGCTCCCGTGCAGAGATTTGACTGAGACCTCCACTCTCTGCAGACACGCTCACACACACTTCTCTCCGTGGCTCTTCTCTGCCTCCTCTTCTCCTCCTTCTTCCCTTTTTTGTGTTTGTTTAGCTTTTAAAATGCAAATATGCTCCAAGTTACACAGAACGGTGCAGCCGCAACAGTCCGACCAGGAGTAAAGCTGGTGAAGTAAAGTTTTCGATTGATAATTTCTCGTTTTTCTTCTTCTTCTTCTTCCACGCCGCAGAGGTAGATTGTAGAGTCTCTCAGGTCCTGCAGGATCCCCTTCTTCCCAGCCTCTCCGCCAGTAAACAAACCCTGCCAGTGAGCCAGATGGGTTCGAGGGGAAATACGGACTGGAGCTTATTGGATTACACAACAAACCGGTCCTGCTGTCAGGTGGTAACGTGTTAGGAGGAAAAAAAGGAATACAGTTGTTCTGTGTGAGGAAAAGGTGAATGAAGAATAAACACATTTAATGAAGTGAAGGAAGGAAAAAATAGCAACATAGAAATGAAGTGAAATAATGCATTATGAAACAAAATTATTCAAAGACTGCAATTTATTCAAATTCAAATTCAATTTTATTTTTATGGCACTTTTCATACAAAAAAAAATGCAATTCAAAGTGCCTCACAGAGGCTAAAAACAACAATAACGACAATAAAACCAAACCCTCCCATCCACACACACACCCATGAATCCACACGCACACAAAGACACACACCCACCCTCACTCACTCACCCACACATACACACACACACACACACACACACACAACCGCACTAAGTGTAAGAATTTAAGATATATTGCTAGAGAGACATGGCCTGACACAGAGACATTACGTGAGGAAAGAGCCACCTCTGGGAAACAGATCGAGATATAAATGCTGAAAAGAGTAAAACCTGATGGACTAAAACAAGAAAATAATACTAAATGAACAGATAAGTAAAAAGTAAAAGCTCTTTACAATATAAAAAGGGGGTAAACAAAGTAAAAACCTGTAATGGTAATTAAGAAAAAGACTAAGAACAGAGATAATTAATGGAATGACATAAGATTAACATTAAGAACTTTGATTAAAATAAACATTTGCAGTAAGAGAAAAATATAAAATGGCAATTGGTAAAAGGCCTGGTTAAAAAAGTGAGTCTTGAGCCTCTTCTTAAAAACATCAACAGTCTCTGCGGCCCTGAGGCTCTCCGGCAGGCTGTTCCACAACCGGGGTCCATAAAAACATAACTTAACTTAAAATGTTGTAAAATACAGCGTAAGTGTCCAATAAAGTCCATTTCAGATGAGCTTTATTTGATTTGTGTCTTTGTCTTTTTTGTGTGTAATCCTCTTAACAATAATAAAATTTTTGTTGATTAATAATTTATTTTAATGTATTAAACATGCACCTGGAAAGTATTTTTTCACATAAATTAGATCAGATTAGATTCAATTTATTGTCATTGAACACAGAACAAGTACAGGAACAACGAAATGCAGTATAGCGTCTAACCAGAAGTGCAAGATCGTAAAGTGCAAGGTATGAACTGGATATACTATATATAAATATGTGCAATGAATATGATAAAAATATGTACACGGTGTTGGTTACTGCAGGTATGAATAGGTTATACAACAACAGAAATAAATATCTAATTATGTACATCATCTATATATACAGTATACTGATTAGTGCAGGTGTGAAAAAGAGAAAATGCTATTAAACAGTGGGTGCTGTTTAATAGCATTTTCAGTCAAAATTAAATATAAAGTGGTCAAAATTTGAAAACCTTGAACCAGTGCTCAAATCCTAATTTCTGATTTTCTTTCACAAACTCAACAAACATTAAGTACAGGATATCAAAATTTAACAATATGTTTTATATTTCATAATATATCTTAAATTCTCACTCTGGGTGCATGTGTGTGTGGGTGAGTATGGGTGGGTGTGTGGGGGTGGTGGGAGGCTCTGGTTTTATTGTCGATTAATTATTGTTTTTAGCCTCTGTGAAGCACCTTAAACTACTTTTTTTGTCTGAAAAGTGCCATACAAATAAATTAGAATTTGGATTAAAATCCTGAACTATGACTGTGGACCTTTTGCTTCAAATCAACTTCATTGGCTGCTTTAACTGTCTTTGCATTATAGTGTTGCAATTTTATGTGAATTTTTTTTATTTTTTTTAGGAAATCGATGAATTGATTACATAACTGGACTTAAAACCTGCATCTGTTATTTCTTAGTTTATTTTACTGCTTGTCAATTAAATGTCAAGATTCGTGGTGATTATCTTCCCACCGAAACTTCTTCACCCTGGGGCATAAGTCATTGAGGTCATGCAAAACTTAATTAGATAGATTACAGGGTGGTAGCATAATTATTGTAACATTACACCAGGCTAAATGGGAGCAGTAATTATATTTAATAACATGTTTTATAATATTTTCATTAAGTTTCTCTTCCCTATAGAAGCATAGTAAAAACAAGGGAAACAAAAAGTTAAGAACAAATATTAATTAGTGAACGAAAACTCAGAGGCAAAAAATTGCAAAAAGTCATGAATAAAAGAATTTTACAGTAAGACAGATACATAAATCAATTATTGGTGCAAGACTTTTTGCAAATGTGTGCATAGCTCCACAAATAGGAACACAGGTCTACAAATGAAATAATAGATATGCAAATATGTGCACAGATATGCATACATGTATCGGTATTTGCAAATGCATAAAAACTGTTCAAAACTGTTCAGAGGTAAACCTGCAAGTTATTTTCAAGAGCTGACAAAACACACAAGTCACAAGTTTCTACTGAAGTTGGCAGCTGCTTGCATTCATAGATGTGTTTAATGCATTAATAATAGTTTTAAAAATAATAACTCAATTATCACCAATAGAAAAGCCCATAAATGAAGTTTTAATGTCGTTCATGTTGAAGTGGTTAATAACCTGTTGTTATTTTTATGTGTTATTTGATCTACGCAGTCTATTTGCTTATGTTCCTTCCACATTTTATTAGGATCATATGCATTGAGCAAAAATGTGCCCAAGACTGTTTCTTGTTTAGTTTTGGCCTTCTGTACATGTTCGTGATTTAAGTGAATAAGAAGAAGCTGGGAGGAAAGATGAGGAGGGGAAGATCCTTGTGTGATTCATCCATTGTTTAAAAAATACACAGATTTTCCTCTTGATCCTGTTATGTTCTCACATTAACAGACTAATGGGTGGAAAAAAAAAACGAATGGGATGAAAATATCTGAGATGTTTGAGTGGGCCGCAATCGTGCCACAATGCCATCTCCATCAGCGCTGCTAATTCGCTACCTGTTTACATCCTCCATCAAAGCAGCAGCAGCAGATAATCACGTCCTGTTGTTTACAATGCCCTGAAATAGAGCTTACTGGAATACTAGAAAAGCGGCACTTACAGGATTTCTGCGGCAGCTGTGACACCTCTTTTCATCGGCTCATTGTAAAATATTCTGGCAGAGATTTGTACCCAAAGCAGGCAGGTGATGATAACGAACACAGACCATGTTCTGCTGTTGATGCAGGCATTGATTCTTTAGGGAAGGGACCACTTGAGAGGAACGTGAAACAGGAGAATGGCTCATTAGTAAAATCAGCGGTCTGTAATCACAGTTATTTACCACAGGAGAGGAAGACTGAGGACACGTGAGAGTGGGTTCACAACAACACGGGTCGGAAACGGTGGAGGGGAACAGAAGCAATGGGTCAAGAGGTGATGCTCGCCGACGCCTTTCTGAAAACAACTCTAACAGGACGACAAGGGAGAGTGTAAACTTCATCCAGAACAATACACTTATTTGTTTTTGGTATTTGCTGTTTCTACGAAGAGCGGGTTCCACTTTTCATCCCAGTGAAAAATGCTGGAAAATATGTTTCAGATAAAATCAACCATGAAAATTATCCTCAGAGCAACTAAAAGGAAAACTTTAAGCAACACATTTATGCAAAGGTGATGATCTTGCAGGAGTCATTTATCTTGAAATCAGCTGGAGACAGACTTAATGGTCTGAACCTAAAGACTTAAGAGGGGTGTTAAATCTATGAATCATGTGATCTTTGCTGTCCACAAACCTTTGAAGCACTTCTCCCTACAGTCCTGCTGTTACTACATGTCAAATCTGGGCTAACAATAACCCAGTGACTCAAACATCCGCTTGACTCTTCTCCACCAGTCTTGACATTTTGCCCAGAATACCCTGAGCACATGAAATGGTGTTTTTCAAAAGGCCTTAAAAACTTGACAAGAGGTCTTTATAAATCACTATAAAGCCATGATAATGTTACATCCTGCTGACTCAGTTCTAGACTGTATTAATACTTATCAGCATCCTCACATGTGTCAGTGGGATGGGAATCATTTCTTCAACATTTAAGAACAGATTCAGGTAATTCTTAAAGCTATTTTGAGGGAATAGGTTTTAGGGTTTTTGATTTGACAGCTTTAGAGATTGTGTGTTGGGCGTTCTCAGCCTAATGGATCTGCCAGATTCAGACAATTCTGTTTAAACTAATTCAAACTAAAAAGTAAGCATTAAACATGTTTATAATAACATGGTTAAATCTTTGTTGTGGCGTTGTAAGTGGTAAGCAGACACATCTTTCCTCAGTTGATGGAAAGACACTGAATCCACAAGGTCAAGAGGTGAAGTTCACCGGTGTATAAGCTCGTTCAGAGTTGCACACTTCCAACTGCACAAAGGTGATTAGCCACTAGCTGATCGGACCATCATGCACTGCAGGAACTCCATACATTATTCACGAAGCGGAGCTGCTATGCACTGCTGTGAATTTTATATCTTTAAGATGAATCCAGTGATGGGTTTGCAGTCTGCAGGAGCGAGGTGCTCCGTTGAGATAAAATTGATGACGTTTTGCTTCCCGTTCACAAAGTCTCCACTTCTTATGTTTTTATAGAGTGCTATCTTTTACGTGTTAAAATAATATTGAGAAGTTCAGCTCTTCTCTATTTTTCTTCAGTAAATGAACAGTTTCTGTCAGATGTCTGTTTATCAACCGTCTGTCTGCCTCCTTAATTTTGGCACTGAGAGGGAAAACTGGTTAATTCAAAGGATGTTTTGCCAATGAATGAGGTCTTTCTCAGTCATTTTTATCTTAAGCGATGAGTCAAAAGCAGAGCATGTTCCCCGCTGTGCTATTTTGACCAGATTAGGGTCATTATGGCTCAGAACTATTGATGTGTTATTGGAGGCTGAGATGAGCAGAAAAACAAATGAGTCATAAACACACAATGTGAACGCTGCCTGTTGCTGAGGGACTAGGAAAGAGGTTGTTTTTCAGCTGTGACTCCTAATCCTGACGACCTCCTAATCCTGACCTCTGCTGGGCCGGCACAGGGGTCAGGGCGGATTGTGAAGGGAAGAGCGGTCCCACTGTAGCGTGCATGACATGGCCTCCATTAGTCCACTTCAGGTGAAAGGGTTTCAGAGGATTGACTAGAAGAAGAAGACAGGTGGTCTTAGAAATCTACTCCAGCAGTACATGAGGAAATGATTGGATCTGATGCTGAGATGTTTTACTTTATTAATTCTCCTTTTTCTTTTTTTTGTGTGACAGAAAATCAAGTTCATATCACTGGAAACTCTGCTGCTGTACTTTTAAAAATCATATTTTCCACTTTAAAACGTTAAAGCTCCCATGGGGAGTTTTAAGCTGGTTATGAAACACAAAAATCAAATTTGACGGCTCTTTATGACCTACAAAAATGACCACAAGAAACAAGAGAGATGATTTCTATCCGGCTGCTTTTGATGCTTCTAGCCACCGCTGCAGGGTAGGTACGATAAAGATGAAGCAAGCAGCAGTTCACTACAAGAGCAGCCTCTGATAATGTCTTTTTTTTCTGTGCATACAATTCTTGTAAACAGAAATAATGTTTAAAAACTGCATCTCTACATTCAGAAGGTGGCATTTGCAATAAAAGAGGCAAGACGTAATGCTTTCTATAACCTTTTGCCGTTTTCTCAAGCATCCCAAGTATTAAGATACACCTGAAAGGCAGCGTTTTTTATGAATTCTACCTTTTAACAGGTATTATGATCATCTGGGTGAGAGTTGAAACTTGTTGAAAAGTTTCTCACCTTCTAACTTCCTATATCACTGACCAGTCCGCTTGTAAGTATTGTAATAGTATTTGGAGCGGGAACTCTTCCTCTGTGGTGCCTCAGAGGAAGCTTCGGCTCCCATCACTAAAATGTTGGCCGTTGTAGAGCAGTGCATTCTTGGGTTATGTTGTCAGGAAATCAGGCTCGGAAGACAGAACAAGTAAATATGGATGTCCTGGTGAGGATGAGGAATCTGGCACGAGCATCAAAAGAGGTCTGGAAGACGAAAAAAAGAAAACACGACAAAAAATTGATTAAGATCAAAAGAAACACAAAATAAATGATATACATAAATTAAAATAATTAATATAAAAAAGGCAATTATGATGAAACACTTACAACATATCTACAATGTTTTTGTCACGGTTTGGAGTTAAACAAAAAGGAAAGGGCCCAAATGCAGAACAAAAATGATTTCTTAAAAATGAACTAAATAAAAAGCAACAAAAACTCACTTATAATGTTCCACTTGAAAATCCCCAAGGCAAAATCAACAAAAAGGCCCTGGGAAAAAAGCCACATGGAGACTCACTGGGGAGACAAGCGTAAACTAAACTTGACATACAGACACACAACGAACCAGCGAAGAAACAGGGGAAGACAAGGATTATATATACACAGAGAAACGAGCAACGAGAGGCAGGTGAGACACTGAGACACAGGTGAAACTCATGGGTGATTAACAAAGAAGGGGAAACTAGGGAAGTAAAACAGAAATAGAAACACAGGGAATAAACTACTACAGAATAAAACAGGAAACACTGAAAACTGAAATGAAGAATGAAACAATGGGGAACAGAAACACTAGGGAAAAAAATCAGAAAGAAAACAAAGAAAAGGGAAAAAAATTAAATACCAGAACATATAAAAACAGTTTGTGCTGTTATAGAGTTAAAAACATTGCAGGTTGATGGAAAAAATCAGTTCTGTCTACTGACGCAAGACGGGGTATTGTTGAGAACTTTGGAAAAAGTATAGTCGGTGTGACAGAAGTGATTTTTTTAGTTCATTTTGAGCTTTTATTGGATATGGTAAGTGAAGACAGATGGGAAAACCTCTCTGCATGGAGAAGGAGGAATGACATGTATCTGAAGGCTGAAGTTGGGAGTTGAACCAGCAACTGCTGCGCCATTTACTAGTGTCTGTTTGTAGGGGGTGCATTGATTATCTGACACTAAACTAAAGATTTAGTCTTACATTAAAATACATGTTTTTTTAGGAGATGGAAATCCATCAAATACAAAATATTGCAATAATGCTGGCATCATGTTTTAGATCATATGACCTCGTTCTGAGCCAAAAAAGTTTTTTTCTTCTTCTTAAAACAGCCATCTTTCGCTAACAAAAACGAGCAGATATGAGACTTCCTCTGCCAGACTGTTAATGTACCAACAAACTATCCTAAACAAACAGGGCTGTTAATTTGGATCGTCAATCTCAGCGGACTCAAGACAATTAATCACATATTTTAGGACTTACCAAGAGAGGCAGGTTTAAGAAATTGAATTTGTCATAAAGATTAACTCATGAAGATTTTGTGTGACTGTGTGAGACTTTATAAGAGAGGCGACGTGACCCCTGGTTGACTCCTGAAAGCAGCTAAAAGGCTTCGATGTGGTCCAGGGAGCTAAAAGTAATTTAATTTAGCTTTCAGAAAATGTTCATCTGCATTGTGTAGCCGATGTGATTGGTTGTACATCATCTGCCGCTAACAGTGCAGGTGCGTTAGTTTACTTTGAGTCCCTTTCAGTAATGACATAAATCTGCTCCAAATGATCTCTGCAGGGAGGGATTAAAGTGCTCTCACATAAAAGCCTGAAGCTGCACTTTCTGCCTCTCTTTGGGTGTCTGCATCCTGCTGCGGCATTAATAACAACCACACGTCACCATGTAACCTTTACCTTATTCTATCATATGGGTATGTTTGAATTTGACAGCAAAAACAACAGGGTCAGGGTTCAGAGAGATAAAGCTGATTGATTCTGTTATTGTGAACACACTGTGACACTCGGAGGTTATTTTCCTCAGTTTACATTGACTCTAAGAGCTGCAGGAGATATCTGAGAGGTAAATATACAGAGTTTATGGCTTCAGAGGGAGAATACGCATTTTTTTTTCCATGGAGATGTTCAAGCCTTGTGTGTGAAACATGCAGTGCCCGGAGGCCCACACCTTTCCCCGAGTTAATCATCAACTCCAAGTGCTGGGAAGTCATATGAGGAAATTCTGCCAGTCTGCATATAGAATATGGGAAAGCAGCCTCTGTGGCAGAGGTGAGTGACAAACTCAGGTTCACACAGACCCGTTTGACTGGAAGAACAATGAGGTTCACACATGATTCATCCAGGGGCTCTTCCTAGACGCCAGGATCCGCTACATTTCCACACCGCAGGAAGAGATGCTGCCGTGTGTCCGGGCCGCATGGGACATCCACCTCTGGGCCCTGCTTCCTCTTCCCAGTGCGTCTGCGTGGCTCTAAAGAAAGATTTCTTCCTGCTGACGTTTACAATGTTTGCAAAGACAATACTTAAAGTTTTGAGGCAGCGTTTGATGGATGTGGTGTCCTCCTGAGGTTAATGGACACACTCACTCATAGCAACGGTGCTGCGGACTGTGCATGGCCTCAAGCCAAGTCCAGGAGGCCAGGTTTTCAAACGTGTTAGCCCTCTTCCACTCTCATGCACCTAATTGAAGCCTGGAGGGTAAATGTGCAATGACAGCGAGTCTGCATCACAATACATTCCAGCGGCTCCCCCAAATAGTCGCACGGCCCCTTTTCATCCCAAACACAAGCACAAATAAACGACGGGGGGAAACTCTAGAGGGGCTCTGAGGCTCACTATTCCTCGCCTTGGAAGTGATCTGAGCTGCCACCTCTCTAAAGCACTCAGTAAAGTTGCTCTTGTTAAAACATGCCCAATCCTTTCCCTGCCAGAGAGCTGTTAATCCTGACAAGGCTGTGTGCCCCTAATTCCCGGAAAGCTGGAACCTGTCGTTTGTTGGTGTGTTGTGTAGCTACAAGCACTGGAGGCCGCAAGTTAAAGCAAACCCCCCTCCCCTCTTCCACTTTAAAGTACAACAGGCAGAAAAAGTGCAAACATGTGTCTGCAAGCCTTCTTTTGCAGAGGAAACTGAAATAAAAATCTGATCAAACGCAGCAGTATTAGATATCTAGAACCAATTTGCTACAGTGACTACAGCTGGATGTTACGACGGCTGGATCTATCTTAATTTTATCCACATCAAAGCAAAAAAGGACTTATTAGACATGAATTTGTTTCAGTCCCACTCTTATCGTTCTTTTCTTTTACTACTTGAAGTGTTCTCAGTGGTCTTTAAAATGTGATTATGACGTTTTTAGCAAAAAACGCATCATTTTCAAGGGCTTTTCTTCTGCAGAACTCCAGTAGATCATTAGCAATTTCTCGAAGACAGCACTGCTCTGCACATTTGTTAGCTGCATGTTCACGTTAGCTTGCAGCCTAACATTGCTGGTGTAGTAGAAGTGGCAGGTAACATAGGAGCTATTCAGCTCTTGGACACTTAGGTCTTTAGGGACACGATGAAAGTCAATATCATAATTAGCTTTCTTACCAGCATTGCAATCCACAAACGCACGGGCTTGTTCCGCGATTGTCCTCTCTATTTCTCCTCCATATGCAGAGTGTGGCCTGGGGGCGGAGCTTGGATTGGTTACGTATGAAATCTCACTGTTTCTGAACCTGCCGTTTGGGTCTGCCAGAGATTCACAGAGATGTGAACGAAGAAATACTCAGAAAAGCAATTTCGCATTTAGTTTTCTCATGATATGTCCTGTAGCATCAGAAAAATGTCATATGAACATATAAAAAAAACATGATTTTCGTTGGAGTGGGTCTTTAAAGGCTTATCGAAGCATATGGAAAGGGACACTGGAGTAACTCAGGTGGTTGAGCAGGTGCCCCATGTATGCATGCTTTAAGTCCCCATCCCACTTACTGCAGGTTCAACTCCATGATGCTATTTTCAGACGTTCCATATGAGAAGAAGCTTGACTACATGCTAATTCATTTAGCACAGTCAATAAGCAGTATTTATATTTATGAGACGGTTCATCTATAAAGGCCAGAAAGGTTTAAAAAAATAGATGTTTTGTACCTGACAAGTTTCGGCTACTTTGCCTCTGATGAAGGCTGCAGAGGCAAAGTACCTGAGACTTGTCGGGTACAAAACATCTATTTTTTTTTCACCTTCTTGACCTTTATAGATGAACCGTCTTTTGAATTTATCAGGCCGAATGAACCTCTTCAGTATAATAAGCAGTATTCTTCAGTGTTTGGACTCTTTTGAAAAAAAAATTATGAACTGCTAAATGCCAAACTTAACACTGTAAATGCGCCGTGAGACAACGATGATCTATAAAAACTACAGGAAGGATCGAAGAAGTACGGCGCTTTGTGACTCCGTCTTTCTGAAGTGCACATACTGCAGCGTTCACAGTAGTTGATGATTATGAATGTTCAATTGTGCTGATGATGAGTTCATGGTAACTAAATCCACTTCGGTGCCCAGGGCTGCTGGACGGCTCGTCAGGAAACAATGGGCATGGATTACTGTTAAGAGTCTTATTATTATCTCTTCTATCCCAGGTTAAGACCACGTAACAGCTGCTGCTCCACTTGAACACACTTTGCCGGCATCATCACATCCTCCTCGGTATGAACAGCAGTCTGCTCAGGCATGCAGAGGCCGTCCGTGTAAACCTGAAGGGAAATGTTCAATTACAGAGACAGTAGCTGACAAGTCTCTACTCCCGTGAATGTGGCTTCACTAATCTCTCAGGAGCACGAGCGAAAGTGATGTGAAAACGCCATTAATCACGATGACAGAGTGGTAACGTGCAGGGATTTATCAATGTGTTGCTTTTTTTCTTGCATAGCTTTGCTCCTGACGTCAACGATTCAAGCTCTTTCATGTCCATTCAACACTGATATTTCTCGCCTTTAGCTTTTGATAAGAAAATCCTATAATTTTCAAAATATCTGACATGTTTTCGTTGATATCTTCCCAAGTGTAGACCTGCAGAGGGAAGCAAGGCCTCTTTAAGGAGTTGTGCCAGACTTTACTACAGCCTCCATGTGGCTTTAATAAAGAAAGGCTCAGAAAGTAAATGAGATTAGCTCTGTGCATTAATGACAGTGAAGTTTATGCAGTGTGCAGGTGGAGTTTTAAGTATTAGAGGGCAATAAAACTCTGAATTACCGAACAAACGCACAACAAAGTTAGAGAGTTAAACAAACAGTCTCGGCTTGTAAACAGTAGTAAAAGCCAACAATGGAGTAAGTGTTGATGTAATGGGATCAAACTGGATTTAGCAGCCATTACATCCCTGTTTGAAACGCTGAAAGAGTTATAAAGTGGTTACTTGTAAAGGCACAGTTACCTTTTTCTTCAAGAATCCATCAAACGTAAGCTAAACAGCCCCAACCCACAGAGTCAGACTCAAACATTTCATTGTACAATAAACCTTTAATAAATAGTTTGTCATTAGTTTCCCATATTTACATAATAACCACCATTTACTTATGTTGCCATACTCATTTCTTGGCTAATTTTAGGCACACAGAGAGGGGGTCCAGGCCACAAACCACATCGTACTAAAAACAGGAGTGGCTAGCAGGTAAGTCTTGAGAAATATATAATAACTGCACCATACAACCGAATAGACCAAGAGGTGGTCGTCTCCTTGAGCAATAAATATATACATTAGCTGTACGTACAGGTGATTTTTTTTTGTACATTTACAGTCTTGGAAGCTGTACGAGTACACGTGGGGCTGGTGCAGAATCTTTCCAATTTGAACTTTTGGGTTTACCAATGTGTTGGTCCGATAAATGATAATAAAAAAAGTAAGATATTCAGAGAATAAATCAACACAGACGGCCACCTGGTTAGAAACACCCCCTCAGAAATGATTAAAAGAACATGACAGGTTTCGCCACGTGTCGTTGGGTCAACATTTACAGCTCGGCTTGGAACATTCAGTGACTTTTGTTATGATCTGCTGATAAATATGGGACAGATTCGCTTATCAAATGTTAATAACCACTGTGAAATGCTTGTTATAAAATAAAAACTGAGATGAAAAAAAATAAAATAAAGACAGATGGATATTTTGGGGATTTAACCATCCAGCGTCAATGTTGAAAAGACTTCTAAAAGTGACCGGATTCAGTTTAAAACAAAGAAAATAAGCTATAAAAAAAATAGCATTAAAACTTAAATCTTCAGCCAGAGAAATTAAGACAAGAGGAAACAAAAAAAACATAATAACCAAATCACTCAAGTGTGCAAGCACTCATACACACACACACACAAACAAACAGTATGAAAATACAAACCAAAACAAATTTGGCACAAAACGTTTGACGTACATAATTCTTCAGATAGGTGTTAAACAGCGTGAAACCCTCTTTCAGCTACGTTTCCCCATCAGCTCCTGTTTTGGCTAATTAAATGCACTTGAGGCATTTATAAACAAACTGTTAAAAATTACGAGGGCGATTTAATCGAAGCTGACGCAGAATGAGAACAAAAGGGAACACGGTGTCACTGATGCAAAGGACCAACATCTAACTGGTGCGACCAAAATTATCCAGAGATGAAGCCGCCACAGGTTCAAACCCGCAGTTCGTGTCCAACCGGCGCCACCGAGCGTAGACCTGCACACACCTGCAACTGTAGCGCACCACCCACAGGCAAGAGAAATGACAGATACTGCAGCTTGTGGTTCTTTTAGATACTTGATAAAGTGCAAATTAAGTCCCTACATTCCTCAGATTTCTTCTTTTGACTTGATTAGATGTTCAAAAATTCTACTTTTGTTTGATTTGAGCAAATATTCAAGACAGGGAGGTGAAATCTAATTCAAGTTCAGCTCCTCTTAAAGCTTTTTGGTGTATTTTTTCTTTGTTTTGGATTCAAGCATCAGTCGATTTAGGTATTCGGATCGAGTCGGTTCTTTTCCCATTTTTACAAATGAGCAGATTTCATCCTAAACCCTAGATGGCGTTTCACGATGCCATATTCTTACTTACTCACAGTTATGTTTGTAAAGTTTGGAGCAGTTTTCTCTTGTCTTGCCTGAGGGGGGCTGATAGATGGTTTTGGTCTGGACGTTTGCTGCAGCTCTCTTCCGATAGGTGGCGCAAGTTGGCATTCGCGCGGCTCATTTCTGGAGAATCTTAAGACTGAAAACTATGACACTGAATTAGTTAATAACAGAATATCAGTAAGCTAATAAAATGTCAACGATTTTGTGAAATTATTTTTAGTTCATGTGACGTTATCAAATCTTTATCCATCCCATTTATACCACACTTAACCTTTGAATTATCTCCTGCAGCAGCAGCAGCACCATCGATAACCCTCATGATATTAGTTCAAAGACAAGGTTTTAACAGTAATCGCAGACACTGACCTGCTGATAGTGATGCTCTAGCTCCCAAAAATAGACGAGAGGCTTTTTAAAAATAAAACCACGGATCTGTGAGCCTTAACCCTGATGGTGATAAATGTCAGGAAACAAAGCGACAGGAAGGGCATGAAAACAAAAGGGAATAAAAAGTGTGTAACAGCTCCGATGGGAGCAATAGCGTAAGATTACAGAGCCTTCTCAGACCTTGGTCTTCATACAGGTTACGTAATTAATATATATACATTTATATATATTAAGTCACTTGGAGGCAACATTTGTTTCTTGAATAAGAACTTGAAGCACAACTAGCCTTCAGTTTGAACAGAAAAAATATACAACCCCAACTGTACTACTTATCTAGAGAATGGCAAGTAAACATTGAAAAAACAGTTTCTGCTAATAAAGTGGTCTCTCTGCACACTTCTCTTTTTCTGTAAGAAATGTGAGTTTTTCAACAAAACGTGGTCTCATGAAGCTTCTTAAACCTGGCTGACCCCTCCTAACCTTGATCAGACAGCACCTCTTCAACGTTGGTCTGAGAGTCTCCTCCCTCACAGGTCAGTGATCTGTGCTCCCTTGTTCAATGCTTAACAGAGCTGTAGTAGTAGCAGCAACAAACGCCTGGACAGTTGTTAGCTCGTGAAAAAACCAGCAAAGAGGTGTGCAACTGATTGTTTGTCACACTCTTGTCGGACAAACAGGCAAAGTTGCCTCTTCACTGGCTACAGAGGAATATGAAGAATCACACGGGGATTTAGTAATGTTTGAAATAAACCCCACTCACACTCTAAATCAAATCACTTTTTGTTCTTATGAACACCAGTGGGGGGCAACCTGCTGCATACTCCACTCTCTTACTGCTTTATGGACACCGAGGATTAGAGTCCAGCTCAGCTAAGCCACACACACCGTTCCACTGCAGCCTGGAAAACACTCAACACACTCTCCTCATACAGGGTCTTCAGAGAGTCCTCATAATACCCTGCTTCAAAAAAACGAAAAGGGCTGCTAAGGTAGGAGTGGCCACTTTTGTGCTGTGGACACAAACACCTCTTCACGGCACTCAAGTCTGATGTGTGCCCCTAGGCAAGAGTGTGTCCTAATTGTGTGTATCTGTCCACATGTGCAGGAGGTTTTGGGGTTGGAGCAAAAAGGTGTCTGCCCCCCTTAGCTGAGGTTATACGCTGCTGTCCTCCAGCAGCGGTTCTTTGCCCTCAGCCCCGCTGCCTTGAGGGCTGTGGGAGTGACTCTGCGCCCCGTTGCTGTGCTTCTTGTAGGCGCCTGGCCGCATGCCGGGCCCTGTGTGCTCTGGGATAAACAGGGCCACCAGCAGAGACAGCAACACTGAGCATGCTCCGAACAGAAAGGGAGGACCTGGGATGATGGCACTCTGAAGGAAAAAAAACAAAGACACAATGTCCTGTGAGTGCAGCAATAACTTCATAAGATGTATCTACACATTAGCAGGGCTTGACACTAACTTTTTTCACAAGGGGCACATGTGCTCCTAAGTTAAAGAAGTAAGGAGCACACAAAGAACTTTAGGAGCACGATGAAAATTGATCAAATAATGTGCGTTTTATTGGTCGACATCAAGAATATTGAAGAAAATGCTCAAAATTTGCCTTTAAATTTAACAATAGTTTTTAGAGGACAAAATTGAGAAAAAAAAGAGGTGTGTCTTATTGTCCAACCTCAGTACTATTAATTGAAATTAATTTTAGGTCAATTGGTCACATGACATGGGAGGGAAAACGGCCTTTTTGAGAACATCAACCGGTAATTTATTGACAATCCCTTATTCAACACCCGACGTTGACAGCGAAGATGCCGAGTAGATTGAACCGAGTGAGAAGACACTGTTAGATCTGCTGTAAATGTCCATCGAATAGCCAACCTAAAACTAACTTCACTGTCATATTTACATGAAAAAATATTTGTTGCCTCGACTGATTTTTTTAATGCGCACATGTGCCCCTGAATACATTTTACAATTCGCACACATTTATTTTAGGCACAAATGCGAGTGAAACAGTCGCACTGTCAATCCCCGGAACATCGGACTGATTTCCTTTAACTTACCTCGTCAGTGGGGTTGGCCATATTGGGTTTGGCACCTTTCTCAGAGCCGTCAGTGTCAGTCAGCTCCACATGGAACAGGTAAAACACGAAACCGTAAAGAGCAGGACCCAAACCGTTACAGAGGCCCCGGATTCCAGTGATCATCCCCTGGACGACACCTGAGGGCAGACGGATACATACAGGAAACATCAGGAAAATGCCAGTTATGCTCCACATTATAGTGACTGATAATGAAGAGGGGAAACTCTGGGTCTTTGAAGCAGAGGAAGGAAAAGGTACATACAAGTAAGATAAAATACAAGTGAGGGAAGTTATTGGATTCACTCATCTTCCCCTCAACATCAACAAACAAAGGGCTACATTTCTCTGTTTATTGCAGATACCAGTTTAGAAACTTACCTTGTTGGTCGGGGTCTGCGTTACGGGAAACGATGGCGCTAATAGCAGGGAACGTGATGCTGGACATGGCTGCAACTGCCCCAGCTGCCCACATCATCCTACAGACAACAACATTTAGTGATTTAGGGATACAAAACTCATCGATTTACCTCTCAGTTAGGGTGACCGATTGTTGAAAGGTATGTTTTCTTGATCACTCAAGAGTTTTGAATCAAACTACAGCTATAAAAAAAGCAGGAACTGAATTTTTGAGTCCAAAATGTCCAGCCTATTTACAATATATCTCATATTTTTATAAAACACTGACAATGATGATGAGTTTTATGTTCATCTGTAAGTTTTGAGAAGCTCTACAGGTGGAGAAAACTAGATCGTTTTTTTTTTTTTAATGATCACTGTGAAAAGACTTTCACCTTGATGTATAAAGCAGCCAACCTGACCTCTGTCTAACTTAATTTCCTGGGTATTGACCACAGCAGAGAGGAGCAACAGGGAGACATGTGCTGAATGTTTTCCTTTCAAAATCAATAGATATTACTGCGGCTCTGCCTCCGGGCCAAAACAACAGAGAGGCAGGTGGAGATGTTGTGATGCGGCTTTGCAGAGAAATGAAACTGGCGGTGTAGCCTTGTTTGAGTGTGAAGTGTTGGTGTTTAAAGGTTTCATGTAGATGGAACCGCAGAGACACGAGTCACACTGCAGGATTTTGAATTAAAAAGCCGTTTGTTCGATCGGTACAGGGTCTGATATTGAAGTTTTCAGTGCAGTTAAATGTCGGTGCGTGTTTTGTCACTGAGCAGTGAATCGATTCGAGTGTTTACATCAATCAAACTACACCTTTTAGGTTACAAAACGATATTGACGACTTTAATAGACCCACAGTTATCACATGGCAGTGTTACCAACCAGCCTGTGGCAGTAGCATTGATTTAGCCTGTGCTGTGCTGCCATCTGGTGGTTTGACAGGGTATTACGATAACAGAGGACACTAGCGTTAATCTCCAATACCTAAAACGTGTAATAGTTGAGTGATGGATGCATCATTCACTCCAGGATTTGGCCTCAAACACATGAGCTTTGCTACCATTTAGATTTCTTTTAAAATAATCTGATCACTGTTTTCGGTCGTAAACTGTTTGTGCATTACGTTCTTAAAGCAATAATTAAAATCTGAAACTGAGAGGAAGCTATTTTCCGCTAACTGGACCCACTTAGATGTGCCTCTCTTATTTGAGAATTTTGCAAATATTTTGACTTAAAGGTTAAACTTAAAAAAACAGAAATATTCTCTGTCATGTTCATTCGTGTTACAGATTGAATGAGGTGCAATTATCTGATTCCAAACTGTATGACAACAACTGTGGTTTCTGATGATGCAGAAGGAAATGCTTAGTCATGTAGAGCAAACTTCCTTCCTCGCCTGAGTGATATTTGCATAGAGATTACACGACACTGAAGCACTGCTGTCTTCAGAGGAACCTCATCATACTTTCCTACCTGAGCCGTCAAGTAAAAAGTCTAACAGGTGACGCAAATGGACTCAAACTTTCTTTTGAAAAAAGGTCCAAAAATTTACAGATCAATGTTTGATCCTCTCTATGATGAGTCTCTGTTTCTTTAAGTACAGTGGAGGTTTGTGCGTGTGAGAAACAAGCTGCGGATGTTACTTACCAGGGCTGAGAGCCGAAGCCGTACCACGCCAGCTGGAGGATTTGGAAGCCGAGGCCGAGCAGGATTGTGTTTTTGTTCCCTATTGAACGCATCAAGATCCCCAGCACCACCGTCTGTTTAAACACGGAGTACAGGTCACACAAGAAAACAGCAAAGAATGAAGAAATATGAAGTTTGCAGCATGGCTTAATCTATCATCTCTGTTAAAACTGAGTTACTAGCTTAGTTTCCTTTTGGGAAATAAAAAAAAAAAAAAAAAAAAGGTTGATTTTCATGACGTCAGCAATGGATACATAAAATGAGGTTACACTAGGACTGGGCGATTATATGATCGTGATAAATTTCAGTTCGATCACGGTGATCAGGTGTGCGCATATTTACTCGATCAAACAGTGGAAATGTGCGTCACAACAGCCAATCGGAGTCAAGCTTTTCCTGCTCACTTCTGTGAGTTGACAGAGAAGTAAACATGAGAAGTAAACAGAATGACCGAATGTGGAGCTAAACCCGGAGCTGAGGGCAGCAAAATAGATGTCAGCTGTGACTTTGAGTCATCCTCCAAAGATGCTATTGTTGAGAAGTTATTCAATGTTGGTTGTGTGGCGATGGTTCGGGAATCTCCAACGTGACCAATGAAGCCAATGTGTAAGGTATGTTGGCGGTCTGTGCCCTCAAAAATTGGCCACACAAACGAGCTATCTTATCATTTAAAGAAGTACTTCCCGAGAGATTATATTCTTGCATATCTGCAGAAACACTCACGACTGTAAACTAGCTCACTGTATTATTTGATATTTATTGACTTTTGTTGTACTGTTGAGTTTAAATGGTTTTTATATTTTTCTAAGTTTATCTTATTCAGTTTGCTTTGTTATTTACTTTGTATGTTAATAAAATGTTGAACTAATCTCTAGTTTCTTTACTTTTTAGTACAGATGCTTTAAAACTGGCAGTTTAAAAAAAAAATCATGATAATAATCAAGATCGGATGATATGATAAAATATATCGTGATCATTATTTTTAGCTGAATCGCCCAGGCCTAGGTTACACCCATATCCCATTTTCCTGTCCTCACAAGGGGGGCAAACACTAGAACAGTGGTCTCCGTAGAGAGAAATAAACCAAACAAACTCAAAATACAGAAACTTGTAACATGTGAAAACAAAACAAAACACAAATACAAGTTTGATCACAATATTGGGAGAAGCAACAGCAGACAAATAAGAAAGCTATGACATGTTTTTTTATGGCATACATGTTTTTTTTAGTACCTGAGCAAGTATTGAGAGGATCCCCACCACAGCGATAAAGGCTGCCACCGTCTCTGACGAGAAGCCTATGACCTGAGGGTGAAGAAGCATTCAGATAACACAGGTTAGGGCATGAAGAGACGAGCAGAGACCAACATCCTCAAACAACCTTCAACCGTTTTTTACTGAACTCCGTGGGAAAAGTGGGTTTTCCGTTGTTTACCGCAACAGAAAGCGCTCATCTTTGTTTATCTGCTGATCTGCTGTATTTGGGTCAAATGTGCAGCAGCATGAGGAGCAGGGCAGCTGGTGTGAGGTGTGTTTAATTTATGACAATGAACGTGGAGAGATACAGGATAAAGCAGCGTCAGCAGAGAGGGGGACAGAGAGGCGTGTAGTAGAGTAATGTTAGCTCCAACGCTCCTGAAATACTTCCAGGAGGTCGCAGAGGAGCATTCGACTGTGTGCATTAGTGTGACAAACTCGTCAGACTGGTTCTTCTTACACTATTTACACAGTCTTCTCTTCAAGCAGCTTGGATAAAGAGATCACACCTTGTCAGATAATGTAGAAGCTGCCAGCTCCAACATCAACTGAAACGCCCTCTCAGCCCACTGATCGCTCAAAGTGCTTTAATTAAATGTCACTCGCTGCATTCCTGCACTCACACTCGCACATCTCGGGGCTGAGTATTTTTCCAAAGGATATTTCCAGATGGGAACTAAAGGAGCAAGTGATTGAATTGCAGATGTCCCAATGAGAAGACAACTCACTTCGTCTTCTGAGGTGGAGCAACCCTTTACCGATTAATCGTTCATCTCTTCATACTCGTGTTTTTTTACAATACGGTTTCCTGCATTAGCATTTCGCTGAGACTAACTTTCACAGGCTGCTCAGCAAACCTGCTGATCCCATCTCTAAGCCATGTGGATGAAAATGTTTGCCTGGCAAATTTGCACAAGTTTCTTAGGACTGAGATTATCCCCTGAGTCTCCAGTAGAAACCTACACCTGTCCTACAAATGATAACGTAGCGTACAAATGTGTTTTTTCCTTCTCAGTAACCCAAAAAAAGACGCTACATAAGCCACATAACAGGCCACATATCTGTACTAGCAATCCAGAGGAAAGGGGCTGTGGGTGTTGAGTTTACAATTGAATTACTGAACAATTTGTGACCACAATAGTAGTCAATTTTTGTGTTTATGAGTTAGTCATTTCTGTGGCTTTTGTGGAAATAGGGCGACCGAGGGGGCGGAGTGTTGCCTACCTGTCTGAGATAGAGGAAGAAACTGGAGTACTGGCCGGCCTCTGGGAGGTAGGAGAGAAAGACTGTGATACAGATGAGGAGCACCGTGGAGTCCTGGCCCACCTTACGCAGAGACTGATGAAGAGAAAAAACACATGAGGTGACATTTAAAGGGATGGACGGCTAAACAGGCAATTTGGATAAAAACAGATGCGTTTACATGGGCACAAATAATTGGGATAAAAATGGGTCATGTAAACAAGTCGATCTGAAGATTCTGATCCAATTTGGCTCAATTGGAAAGAAATTGTATTCTGAACAAGAGGGGTGGTTTATGCCGATCGTTACTCCAAAACACGTCCATGTAAACATCGTGACTCTCTTACCTGACTCAGTCTTTCATCTTTATTTATTGAGGTCAGTACAGGAGGTTTTGTTATGAACACTGGCATAAAAAAACACAACCACAGGTACCGTGTCTGCTCCTCCGATAACAGAACAAGATGTACATACAGTGTAATGATGTCCCATCTGCATGCACTGAGCAACCTTTAGTCAGAACAGTAATATAAGTAAGCAAGGGCGCCATCTAATGACAACATTTAACAGAGGGAAAACTCCTGAATTGGATGAAGTGAGCCACTACTGTGCTTGTTGGTTTGTTGACAGCACAGGCGTGAATACAACTCTTCTTTTGTGGTTGTTTTGGCGAAATCAGACAACTCTGCGCATGTCCAAATGCTTCTTATCTCAATAAAGCTTGGTACATGTATACATGATCGGATTATTTGATTTTGCGCCCTTATAAAGAGTGGATTCAGATTTTCTGATCCCTCAAATTTTTTAATTGGATCAAGAAATTTTGCCCATGTCAACATGACTACTGACACTTCCTGGCCTTACTGTGATTGTCATCCATGCATGGGAGCAGATTAAGCTGCAACCCTAGACTTTATTTGTTTATCACAGACAGCTGTCAATCATCTAAAATAAATGATTTCTACACACAGTACAGGACTGATCACAACATGATAAACTCTATACACATATCAACGCATTACTTTTGTTTTGCTACTGATTGGACAAGAGCACATGATGCCATGACACCACAGACAGGTGTGGTCACCTGTTGAAGTGTGTGTGAGTGACCGCACCCAACACTGCCTATCAACAGGTCAGCCTTTCGTGTGAGAGGCTGCTGCCTCAAACATACAGAACATCTTTATCTAAACATGCATTTCTGAAGCGGCAGAAACCGGTCCGAGTTCCATGGCTAATGAAGTCTGTTTACAATAACAACATTATCACAATAATCATTTTAAAACTATTAGAAATTGCAACAACAAGTCTTTAAATAAACAGATTTCAAAAAGCACACACAAGAAGCAAACTGTCTGTAAAAACAACGATAACGGCAGATGCAGTCAGACTCCAGGATGTGTTGGAAGAACATGAAGGGAGGCCCAAAATTTATTTTAACAACCGATAAATTCATTGCTGTCATTTTTCAGTCCAAGAGGAAACAGTTGAAGGACCACTATTTGATTCAAAACTGTTTTCTTCTGCTTCCTAGCAACCCGAGGAAAGCATGTGCCTCACTGTGTCTGCGGAACATCCTTGTACTAAACTCACAAACAGGAGAGACTCACTCCCATAAAATACTTGCAGGACTATCTGGAGACCCGGCTGGAAACAGCAGAGACAGATCTGACAGATGCGATGACAAGAAGCAGCTTTGGAATAACATTTAAGGTTTTTATTTCCACTTCTGCAACTAAGTGACCCTCTGCATCAACAGACATTTGGTCAGCTATTATTGAAAATAAGAGATTCTGGTTATACTCACAGCGAAGGGGTCTGCCTGCTCCCAGGAGATGGGTGCTCCCCACGATGCCGGCCTCATCTTCTCTGGCAGTGACTCGGGTACGGCCACCAGGATGAAGCAGATGTCCAGCAAGGCGATGGCTGTGGCCAGGATCACCACCAAGGTGTCACCGTAGGCCACAGAGAGGTACGCTCCGATGGCCGGGCTGGTGACCAGGCTGGCTGCAAAGGTGGCTGATACCTGGAGGAGAAAATAAAGACAGGAAGTGGGTGATCGGTCCATTCATAAAGTTATCTCATCGAACTGTTTAAAAGGTGATTCATAGACACAGTCTTTTATTACATAATCCTTCTGGAGGTGTTTAAAGACACATCACTCTAACAGGACTGACTTTTGGTCAACTCGCTGCTTACCAAACCGTATGCTGTGCTCCTCTCATGCTCCTGAGTGATATCTGCCACATACGCAAAGATCACAGAAAAAGTGACGGCGAAAACACCGGACATGGAAATGACTGCAAAGTACCACCTGAAAGGAGAACGAGAGACAAACGAAAAAGGCTCAAGCTTCTCTGTTTTCACATTTAGAGTTTTAGTGTGAGGAAGCTTCACCTTCACCTGTAAAAAGATTCTTTAAAAAAAACAAAACAAAACAAGAAAACAAAGAGACTAAAAGTTTGCAGCCTGTGTTTCCCCACTCACCATGGGCTGATCTTCATCAGTGGGATGGGCGCACACGTGAAGAAGACCGTTAGCAGCAAGAAGGACTTGCGTCCCCAAACATCTGACAGCGCTCCGATCAGCGGAGCGCTCAGAAATGATAATAGGCCCTGGAAAGGATGGAGAAAGAGACTGATGAGGGTTTGGGACAAGAATGGTGATGGTTCGATCAGGAGAGTACAGTGAAATGAGACCTCGACTGAGTTACCACTTACAAATCTATAGACAGTGTGAACTCAAAGCACAGAGAGAAGGACGTCAAACTCTGCTCTGCTGCTGGCAGATTAAAGTCTCAAAGAATCTTTACAGCTAAATCTTTACAGCTGTCGAACTGGAAAAGCTAATTTTTCCCAACTTTAAATAAAGACAGTCTGGAAACTAAAAAAAAGGAGAACTCAGGGCCTGCTGGTGTGAGATCATGGGGAGACAAGGATGTCAGACATCTTTCTCTACAACACAAATGATAAGAAAACTTCTCAGAGCTGTTAAAGCACAGTTCAACACACTCCACTCTGATTCAAAAGTCACCGTCACTGTGCGCTTGAGACACTTTAACATTAAGGTGACTCAACCAGCAATTCTGCGGCTGGACAGACAGCCAGGACACTGTTTACAGGACAGCTTGCAGGTGTTAACAAGTCAGTGAATAAGCCTCGAGCAGAGACTCACTAACAAGTAAAAGCAAGACAAACATGCGGGGCTGAAGATGAACATTAGGAGCTCAAACAATGTGAGGCTTCATGAGACGGGGGGGACTAAACTAAAAATCAAGAAAAAGAAACTGCAGTTCAATCCACAAAAAAACATAAAAGCCATACGGTCAAAACAAAACTATGAACGTAGTGCTTATAAAAGACTTGAATAACTTTGTTACCAACACGAGGCACCTTTGTTTGCTACTTTGCATGTGTGACTGTTGTATTGTCCCTGTTATAGATAACATGTGTAGCCTCTTTATATCGTGTGTGTGCGTGTTGTCTTACCTTAACACCATGGATAAGCCCATTCATCAGGAATGTGTGTTGGGGGAATGTCTGGTGTAATACCTGAAGAGCAAACAAACACAGGATGAAACTTGATTTAAAAACATCACATCTCATACAATGACCTACAGTATGCTGCCGTTAAAATAAGCTCATTAAGTGTGTTGCTGTCAGGCAAATATGAACCCTACAATAAGAGCTAAATGTGTAAGTATTGAAATGAACAACCTCAACAATGTCGGCCTGCAGGGTCAAAATCATTTGAGCTTTCTTTGCTGACAGACGGTTATTAGCTTGAGCAGAAGTATTTACATTATGAGCTTTAATGATGTTCGTCAGCGCGGTCTAGCCAACATATCTGCAGGCAAGGATAACTGTCAGCCGTATGAAGGCTCAGTTCACTTTGTGCACATCATGCAAGCACACAGTAATGGTGCAACAGAAGGCTGCACAAGAGAACCCAGTCCTCCAGCACAGGGACCATGAAACCATCGTGCAAAATCAGTATCCAGAAGTGAAAACTGAAGGTGTTTATGTTGCTTAAATGCTTTAACAGTGTGTGATAGTGAGGAGTAAACCGAAGCAGCTTTTACAGTCATTGGCAACTTGTCAGTTTCTTTACCTTGTAGGGCTGTAAAGTCCTAGTGGACTGGTCAACTAACTGGTTGTTACGTGCAGGGTCAATCAAAATTATGATTGGTCGACTCGATTTTTTCCGCGTCTATTTACAGTCTATGGTTAATTTCTTAGACACACTATACGTAGATGCCTCAAAGCCTGACGCTGCCTATTGGAGCTCACGTATGAGCGCGGCCGCCATCTTGGATGGGTCCCCATGTGCCTCCAGTGCATTAAGGTAGGTAGGAATGCCCAACCATATGAATAATCTCTCTGAATCTCTGCCCGATTTTCACACTGTTTGGTTTTTTACGACGGCAGGGATGTAGCAATATTGCAGGACAATGTCACTCATTAAAAATAAACCAATTATTTTTCTATCCTATTTGTAATATGTAATCCTACGGGGTCTGGTTTCAATACTGCGTTGGGTTTTTCAACCATAGAGTGCAAAAATACAGGCATAGTTGCTCGTTCTACTTTGACCCCCTTGAGCGAGCCTGGAGTGGAGAGACCCATCCGCTGGATTACGCTCCAGCGATAATGAGGCGTCTACGTATATAATGTCCATGTTTCACAGGTAACAGCCTGTTTTAGAACATCCCCCTTGTTCTCACCATTTTGGATTCGCCCAACCCACTGGAGACCAGCTGGAGACAGAAAGATTGAAGAGCGTCCACGTTAATCAACGTTTGGTTTGCTGAATATTTATTTTTATTTTGAGAGTTTTTGCCTTTCGTGTTTAATTGCCTTCTTGTGCTGATATGAGTATAATTTCACCCCTCACACAGCACAACACACACAGTTAAAATGTTCTTCATCCATGACTAAAATAAGTCATTAAAAAGATAGTCATAAATGTAAAACATTGTGTCACCGCTCACTGTGAGAACTTCTTTTTAGCTCAGTCCTTCAGAGAATCATTAAACTGCTTCATTTCAATGTGTAACTAATATAAACAGTTACACGGACATTCAGGCATTCATACACAAGAGCTTCCTCAAGCTGAGCTAAATGCCAGCATGACTCTTCCTGATAAACCTGACTATCATTCCCCATGTGAGCCCAAAACCCTGTTCAATTTACAAATGCGCTCGGGTCGTAAAAGCGGCAGACAACCTTTTTTGGTGGCAACTTGCAGTCAACTCCGAGTCTGGATTTGAAAGCCTGTTTACAGTCCTTTCACAGGAGTAGATCCACCTCCTGGATGTGTTTTGGTGTTAGCTAGAAGGAGACGACTAGGTTTTCCCAAAACAAGAGAGATTCGTAAGGGGGCAATGACTGTGAAGTCAGTGAGGTTTTGTTTACACTTTGTTTACTTATTCAAGTAGTAACCCAAATATTTTCCAATCTTCAGTTTTGATTCTTGTGGATATGCTGTTTGTTTACAGGTGGATTTGTTGCTCTGGACTGAATGAGAGACTGAGTTTTTGCACTTGTCTTAGAATCGTTTGGTATTGAGTGAAAGAAAAAATGTTTCTGTTAGATGTAGGACAGAGTCCAAGTTTGAATTGAGCCTGAGCTGCGAGAGGAAGGACAAAAGCGTGGTTTACACTTCTGCATTGAATTCACTCTGTAGCATACGCTGTGGCCTGATGCGCACCACCACAAAAATGTATCCGCCCATCCCCAAAAAAAGCCGACCACAAGCCCTGTGATTGGTTCACAGGGTAGGAGCAGATGTCCTACATCTACAGCCTTTCATTGATTCACTGGCAGTACATTCAATCTCTTTTGACGTCTCCAATCTTTTCCTCTTTGTGATTTTTGCAGTATAACCAACTGCAATCAACATTTGTTCCTGCCACTACCAAAAGGTAATACCCTTGGGATTCAGTTGCCATGGTTTCCTGTGCACAAACAAACAGGACCAGGGACTGGTGATGCAACTAGCATTAAAACACGGCGCAGTATTGCAGAACTCACTCATGACAGTGATCGCCACCAAGATGTAGACATATACACCAGGGTTTGGTCTATAAAACTATACAAGCTGAGTGACCAAGAGCATTTCTTAAATTTGAAATATAGTCTGTTGTGTTTTTTAATTTGTTATTTGAAAGTCAGATATTGATTTGCACAGATAAAGGAAAGTCTGCAGTTCATCTTACTTATTTTTGTCTGTACAAAAAGATTTTAAAACCTAAACCCGAGAAAAAAATGAGATTTTTCTGCTTGCTTATTTTATCAGCGTTGTCAGAACACAGGAAAGTATTAAAAAACGTCCACATCCATACCCTAGACTTTCAAATGCTTTATCTTTGCTCCAAATAGGTGAAAGGGGTGTTCACAATGTTCAGATCAATGAGATGTTCAGTTCAAAGTCCAGATAGTCTGTATGCAGCACATACAGAGTGCAAGTGTCATTGACATGAAGCAGCGGCATGAAGCATTGTTCCGTTGAGGGCATGTGGAGCCTGACAGACATTCAACCAGAGGATCTGGTTATTGTTGAATGGTGTTGTTTAGTTCGTGGCATGGCTGAGAAGAATCCCCTCTCCTCCTCGGGGGAGTTGGTTACCCCACACACACACAGACTGTGAATGCTCAGCGAGGACTGTTGCTGCTGGATACTAATGAAGCAGAGCTCTCATTGGGAGCAGTGAAGCAGTCCTCCTCATCTTCAGGCGCCCTCTGATTAGTCCAAAATGCAAATCCTGCCTCCGCCCTGAGATCTCGGCGACAGCACACCCCCAGTAATTAACGCTTAACAGTCTCACACACAACCACCTCTTCAAACAAGACACAGCGGAGAAGCACGCATCGCTCCAGCCTGCCTGGTTTACATCATGTGGCTCACAGATGTTTGCTCATCATTTGTTTTAGATAGCAGTGTCTCCTCAAAGATATTCACGCTGGTAGGAAAATATGTGTAGTTTAAGAGGAATGCAATTTATTTGGATCTTGGCTGAAGACTTAAAAGCTACAGTTAGAAAGAGGAAAACCATTAAGCTACAGTTCCTGCTGTTATGACATACAGCATTTCAGTTTAATGACTCATCTCAGCGCTTTTCTGAAAAAACTATTTTCTGGGAAACGGTTGTTTTTATTTTCAGTATTGACAAACGACTGTCTGATGCCAACATTTTAAAATAAAAACGCTTCAGATAATGTTGGAGTTGCCTGTGGCTGAATTTTGACACCCAACTTTGCTGCTGCGCACCAATGTGAATCGTATTTGCTTGGCAGGCATCTGTGCCGTGGTCTGACAACACAAACCGGTGACCCCCTCATAAGCCTGCTCAACAAAGACCCGCTGCTCCAACAATACAACTGTTTGATGCTCTTTTCATATTTCTCAGTCCATTAGCACTTAGCAAAACATCTGCCAAAGACTGTGCCGCACAAGGTTCTGCTCATTCGATCAGGAATTAAATCAGTCATAGACACTGAAGGGTCTTGTGTGTGGTTCCAGTCAATGGAAAATGACACTCATTGGCTTGGTTTCCAGTGAACAGAGGTGTAGGCGTATGAATATATTACAAACCGTTATGTCAGTTTACATAACAGTGTGTGTTGCAGGGCTTACCGTGAGCATCGGGGTGGTAAGGAGACCCCATGCAAAGAACTCCAGGAAGATGACCACCACAGCATGGTAAACACTGGGCTCACCGATTCCCTGAGGCTGGATGGAGACAGACAAACAAACACACATATATAGAGGGGAGATTAGCTGAGGAGATGCAGAGACTTTTACATGCATCCAAGTGCCTCTTAATGGTAACACATTAACAGATCGAACCTGAAACTGGACTCTATTTCAAGGCAGCATTTGCTTAATGACACAAAGACTCTGCATCACCTGATCCTGTTAGCAGTGGAGTTACAGAAATTACACAACTGGGAAAAACTTTGAGCCGATACAGGCTGAAAGTGGAACAATAAAACCTGTGTGAGCTAGCCAACAATCAAAGTGCACTATAACATAACATAACATTACAAACCAACGCATAAATATGGAAATCTGCTCTCAGGTCACAATCACAAGACATACTTAAACACAGAACAATCAGTATATTTACATGTACACGATTAATTTGATTAATCTTTGAACAAGAATTGATATTACTCTGAGTAACCCTCTAAAGGTGATTTAACAAGATGACGAGTAGTCAAAAGCAGTATCCTTGAGAACACAGATACTGAATGAAAAAAGGACTCTTTTTTTTTTTTACACAGATGTGTAAATAGCGAAGCTTTTCACAGGATATGACAAAAGAGTCGGTGATACAATGGTTGTGTCTAGCCACTACAACCCAATCTCATTGCTTTGTATCCTTTTAAGTAATACACAGCTTATCCTGTATAAGCCTTGTGTTACTTCACAGTAGCCACAAAACGAAATACGACCAAGAGGCCTACATGCCAAGAGTAATTTCAAAGTAAGCAAAGACTGTGGCTCTATTAATCCTGACACATTTACTCGAGCTACAAAATTAAGGAAGGAACACAACAAGGTTAAAGGTGGGGTAGGCAGGAATCCGTTAAAGAATCTTGTAATATCAGTCAATAGCTGTTAGTTATTGATGACATTTGGTAATATAACAGTATCGCTGTGTTTCGTTATGTCTGTGTAGTCAACATTTAAAATTTTTGAGTGGCCCGCTCTTTCTGACTGTAAACAAAGCCGTACCCCGCCTCCCCCAACCTGATTGGTTGTGAGGCAGACGCTGCTCCCCTGTGTCGTTCACAAGCCCAAACAAAGTCAGTATGCTACAATATCCGACAGTATAAACCAACCAGAAAGTACGGAAAAATGTCTGAATCCTCCTTTAGCCACGACCACCAACACCAGCAAGAAAACGAAGTAAATACCGGAGACTCCTGCGGAACAACGGGTGCTAAAAAAGGAGGTAGACCACCCGGACAAGAGCTAAGAAGCCGGGTCAACAATGATGGGGGATGCTTCGGGATCTTACAGACCCTGTAACCTTTCTGCTGGACAGGTAAACCGCTTCAACAAAGTAAGTCAAGTGCAACAGAAGTGTTTCTTGTCAAATGGGACCTGCTGCGTGTTGTAGCGCCGCTAAACTGTTGACCTCGGGTCCTGGACTATGTCACTTTATCCTAGTTGTAGAAGTCCTGCATTATTGTGTTTGCTGGTAGTCTGTTGGCATCTACAGTAGCACCAATGCTTTTTACTTTCACGTTGACTGGGCCCCATTTGTAATTATCTGAAGTATTTATCTGCATTATATCTGAATTTAATTGAAACGATATGAGCGAGCAGGAGCGTTTGTTTGTGGGCGGGGCTTGCTGGAGCAGAGACGAAGGGGAGAGGAGGAGCTGAGGGGTAAACTGGTTGGGAGGGGTAGAGTTTACATTCAAGATTTCTCCCCAAAACTGGCACTTACTCAGATCCTGCCTACTCCACCTTTAAAGAGTTTACATCATATAAAGCACAAGTTACCTTGTACTCCCCTCACTGTTAATCAGTTTTGTTGATGGAAAATAAACACACAGACTCTGACACACAACAGGAAGATTCATTGGGTAACCTTTTTGCGTCTTTATCTTAATTAAACAGGTAATATAACCACAAATTTTGTCTTATGATTTACTGAGTCACCCTAAGTCCAAAGCTTTGAGTAAAATACAGATAACTCTATATTAGATCTCCTATCAGTGAAGCACAGTCAAAATTGGGCTGTAAGGTGAAGAGAAAATGTATTTCAGTGAGTGTACTGAAGGTACCACAGCAAGGTGTGACACTTTTGTGGAATGTAAACTAGGTCAGGGCCACCTTATCGAAGGCACCAAATGCTACGTTTACCATCCAAATGTGGTTTCTCATTACACCATCAAATGCGGTTTGAGAAGGTAAAACGTCACATCACAGAAGGGCGGTTTTTAAGTTTGAGTGTGAAAGCCAAATCTGTGAAATCCCCCTCCCTTCTTCTGTCCAAGATCACGCCACCTGCTTTACAGAGAAAAAGAGGAACTCTCTTCCAACAGTCTCATTATGTGGATGTTGCAACTTCCTCTCCATCAAATCAATGACCTTCTCATATGTTTGTATTTCATATTTCACTATTAACAAGAGCGCGCCCGAGCGTTTCAGATGCTGGGAAGGAAACGGTAATGACTAAGTGGTCAGACCTCACCACAATAGCAAGACAATTATCTGAAATGAGAACCTAATGGACAAGGAGCAGCAACCTATCAACATTAAATATATTTACAGAAAAAATTCACTACTCAAGATAAACAACAATTTCCATCCATCTTCATTATCACTAAAAGTGTGTGTTGTCTTCTTGTGGATATCCAGCATGCTTGGCATAGCTGCCCAATGGATTACATAACCAGCACCGGTGCCTCACTGTATTTTTAACAGTCCTAGCAAACTCGCTATTTGCAAAACAGCCAATTAGGAACCATGACAGCTTCACACATCTTTAGGGGTTCAAAAATGCTCAAATCTATGCTGTTGTTGTTGGATTTTTATATCTGTATCTGGAAAGATTTCAGCACCCAGTCAAGGGCATCTATAGGCGCAGACTAATGAGAAAAAATTGGAGCAAAAACATATGTGTAAGAGTAAAATAGCACTTCATTCTGTTGTAAAATAAGTGGCAAAGTTCGCAGTGAAACGTTGACTCGGTGTTGTGTTTGCTCGCGTTAAAACAGTCTCTGTTTTCATGTTTTTGTCTTCGCCCAGTTACAAAAACCACGTTACCGAGAGAGGATGTGTTACGTGAGCAGACAGGTTACCGTGTATTGTCCCTAAAACGATCATCTAGGTCACACGAGAGTAGCTTAAACCGAAGTAAGTTGACTGTTTATCGTAAGAGAGCTAAAATAACCCCAATTAAACCCATATGCTGGTGAGCTAATGTTAACCTAGCCTCATTTTGACCATCCAAATGCGAATTTCTATATGAATTGAAACGCTATGAATATAAAAAAAGAGGATTTCATACTGAAGATGAAGATTTTCCGAGAGTATAATAAGTATTAAAGGAAAAAAAACATTACAAAAGATGACACTAGCCGCTAAGGTTACCTGAGCTGACGTGTAAACGAGCAGCGTAGGCCGCTAACATTAGCTTAGCTTACACTGGATCCAGTTATCGAGGCGGATCCAGCTAACGGTCAACCATCTAAAACACACACCGAGCCATTTAACTGCTTCGTTTTAACCAAATACAGACAAATACCATCAAAACTCCGAGACACTTTTACCCGGATACATGCTAACTACAAGAAGATAAATAAATATTTAACTCACACTTCCTCCATCTTTTATTATAATTTTCTTTGCCAGAAGAATGCTGCGGTTCAGCCGCTTTTTCTTCTTTTTCTCCCCCGTCATTGTTAACTTATGTCCATTCTTGATGTCAGAGGGTCATCGTTTCGCCTATTGAAAGTAAAATAATCTTCTGATTCTGGACACTTCGCTCATAACAGCCTCGGCTACAGGCGGCGGCTAGCAGCGGGCTAACTGCTGATTTCTCTTCCCCACCTCACTGCAACCCTTCTTCCGGAACCAAAATTTGACCCGCCCTTCCGATGGAACGCTGCTCAGCGATTGGCTTATCAGTGAAAGGCAACTCCGCACGGGTCGTCTGATTGGTTGAGAAAAACGCTGTTCTATTGATTTGCACATGGTGATTTGTGAGCATCATACCGCGGGTTCGATGTACACACAGGAAGGGCCATTTTTGGAGAATGGTTGTGTTTATGAAGAAACTGTACAAGATGTTCAGTCATTTCAACGAAACGAAAATAGTGACGTAAAAGCATGAAATGTAAGTATTAAATTCTATTGGTCATGCTCCTTCATTAGAAGTATCAACCAATCAATAACTTGATTTGTCCCCAATGGGGCAATTGGTTGTGCAACAAAGGGAGCATTAAAAAAAGACCAAAAAAGACAAAAAAAAACAAACAAACAAATAAAAAAGACAAAAGACAAAAAAAAAAAAAAAAAAAAAAAACAGAAAAAAGGCAAAAAAAAAACCCAAAACAAACAAAAATGACAAAAGACAAAAAAACCATACAAAAGACAAAAAACATAAAACAAACAAAAAACACTTCAGCACAATAATCAAAATCAAGGAAAAAAACATGACTTGAAAAATGTAAAATGTAAAATACAATTCATCAAAACACCACAAACCTTTTCTTCCATGAATTGAGAAGGGAGATGGCAGAAGGTATGAAGGAATGTTTATATCTGTTAGTTTTGCATAAGAAAGAAAATGAAACTGATTGAGGATGGGAACAGTTAGACAGGATGGATTTCTGTTCCCTGTACAGCTGTTTGTTATCCAGATCCTGTAAAGTTTCCTAAACAGAGCCGGTTATTTTACTGCAGACATTAACCACCTTGTTGAGAACATTTTTCTGTTTTACCTTAAGTGATGAAAACCAAAAGACCAGGGAAAAGGCTTCACAGATTAAACATAAGAATGATAAAACATGGTCATCAGGGATGAATCAACCTGGAATTTTGAGAGTTTTCTAAAACAGAAAAGACGCTGCTGGCTGGCAATTGAAAATCTCTGCTAAATTTTATATAAACTCAATGAGATTTTCTGTGAGGCCAAAAATCATAAACCCTAAATTAACCCTGAGAATACCAATATACTGCATAAAATACTAAAAGGCACATAAAACAATGGAAAGTGTCATCTGTGAAGACATAATCGATAAAAAGAGTGATGTCAAACAGGTTGAGATGATTTGATTGAAATGAATCCAAGATAAAACTGTTGCTGTGTGCAGTCGTGAAAAAAAGTAGTGAGCATTAAGTACATGGGAAGTACACAACAAAGCATGACCCATAATATTCTGTCAAATCTGCATTGGTAGATGTAATTTGCACACATGCAGGAGGCTTTTGAAAATGGTCAGTTTATTTAAGTATGGGGTGAAAGTCAAACTTGGAGGATGCTCATCTAAATATGCATTATTTCTACCCCTTTTTAAATGTACAGGCATGCATATTTTTCTTAAAAACTACATGTATGGACAGATTTTGTACTTGGTAAAACTGTACTGCCATGCAATACCACAAAAAGTGACAGAGGGAAGTACTTTCAGTCAGTCTTAAAAAGGCAGCATTGTGACCATTCTCTGTACAGGTGTGTGAACTCACAGTCAGTCACAGCAGTAATATGAACCACAAGAGAACAGACGGCACAAAAATGCTCCATGAGAGCACAAAATCCAATGTTGATCTGTACAACTAAAGATCAACCTGGTTATAATTTTATGGTACACTTTTAACTCTTTGTTCCACAAAACAACACACTCCCCCATGAGTATCAAAGTGGTCCAGCTCAGAATAAAGCCTTTTAGTGTAAGAGGTGCTTGTGTCCTTGAATGCTCCTCATCATGCTGGTCTCTTTTATCCACAGGTGAAACTAATTTTCATCAAGCCGGTCCAAAATACCAAACAGTTATAAAACATGTACTGTTCAAATGTTGAGTGTGTTTAAAATCATTTATGGTTAGACAAAAGAGGCAGAGTAGTTCCTGTTGCTGAGTCCAGATCTGCCAGGAAAACCCAGAAGGGACAGCCTGTATGATCTCCCATTAAATACAAATAAATTCTTAATGTTTCCATAGCAGCACTGACAAAAGGAAAAGTTCGTAAAACAAAGTGCACAGTTTCTTTTTTGACAAACACAGGTCTTTTTTAACATGAGCTTAAGAATTTCATGAAGTTCAGCTGTTGGTTTATGTTCAGGATGGATCTTCATCCTCATCGATGAAAGGGATTTCCAGATCGTCAAAGCTTCTGCTGATGGTCTTGTTGGCGTCCAGGGGCTCGTCTGTAGGGGAGGGGTTGTCAGGGCTGGGCAGGAAGCACATGGGTTGGATGACATCTGTTTTCTGTCCTGATGTGAACTCTCTCTGATCAACATCTGCCTGAGCCATCAGACTCCTGACTCTCTGCGCCAGGTCAGGAGGTTTAGGTGGGCAGTCGGGCTTCTGGGTTTTCAATCGCATGGTCACTTTTCCTGAATGGAAACAACAGATTGTTTAGCTTATTGTGCATGAAATTATTACGATACTATTTGTGTCACACAGCCACTGTGTGAGTTTGCAGATAAGCAACTTGTGAAACACCATGGCTATCTTCTCAGACCCTAACATAAAAACAAATGTGATTTCATTTCTACTTTGGTGACTTTTAGGCCGGTTTGAGCCCTTTGTGATGATAGAGATGGGCCTTATGGCATATTAATCTTAAACACAGCAGTGTAAATGAAATCACTGTCACCATGATAACTTTCCTCTTTCGATACGCTGTTGCTTTCTATAATAAACAGTTTTAATGCAGGTCTTTTTTTTTGTGCAGGTTGGCTTACAGCCTGGCTCTTTTGGGCATTTTTACCTCTATATTTGTACAAAACACATCATGGATTGTCAATCTCTGATGACCAAAACCATTGTGTGCAAACCAAGCCCATTAGTGTAACGTCTCTGATGCACTGATCCTCATCTTTACACAGCTATCATGAGAAACTATAATCCAATTTACCACAAACCACCACAGGGAGACATGATAAAAGAGGTGGGGAAAAATCCATGCACAGAAGCATTGCAAATCAAAACCATTCGAAGCTTCAAAACCTTGTTTTTCAAAGCTTTGTTTTGGTCTTAAGTAAAATTTCACCAGCAGCCAGTTTGGGATCAGCAAACCCACTGATGGCGACGTTTATACCATGCACCCTTCACAGCCTTCATAGCGGTAGTATCAAAGAAATAGCAGTATGGTAGTTATTTGCCACAGCCCCTTCTTTAGCATGCAGCTGACTGGAGTAACTCATGAAATAAGCACTCATCTGTAACACATAGGGAGTTGAATGTTAGTCAGAAATGTGTCTGAATTTAGCATTTATTTATTTTCACCAAATATGACCTCAAGGATCCAAAATGAAAATGATAAAGTAGTACAGTAACCTTATCTAAACACTGTCGCCCTAAACCCAGAGGAAGGTGAAAATACCTTACCTCCTTACTGACCTTCCGAGTCCAGGCTGTCTAATCGGTCTTCTAAGCTCTCTGTGCTCATTGACGACGACGAGTCCAAGTTATCGTTGTCAGAGTTGTCCTGCTCCAAGTCAGGTAACCTGCAGGCCAAGTCCACCCTGTAGAAAAAATGAAACAAGATACTACTCAACATCATGCCCATCTGTGCAGTTTCTTTTTTATCCTTATTAATGTCATCTCAGCCTACTTCTCTTGCTTTATGGATTTGATCCTGTCGATGAGGGTCCTCTCTGTTTCGTCGGAGGTTATCGGCGCTGGGGCGTCCAGTTCTGACGGCTTTTCAACAACCTGCTCGGAAATAAAAAAGTGCGTGCTGTCAGCTGCTACATGGAGGCAGAAGTATTTTGATAGTTGTTAAGTTGCTTGTACCAGCCTTCAGAATATACAAATGTTCATTTTTATGTTTATTCTTTTGTTTCCCAGCATATGGTGCCTTGGATTATGTATCTTTGCAACATAATATTGACAAACTTGCAGACTTAAATCACTGAAAGAGGCTGCCTGATAGAGGTTTTATTTTTTTTGTGAAGCCTTATCCAGCTTTTCAGATTTGTCTCACCGTGTTTTGTCTCCTCAGTTTGAGCTGATTGACAGCCAAAGCCTCTGCATATTCCAGCTCCTGAATATTCTGCATCTTCTCATTGTACCGTCTCAACTGCTCAGAGATCAGGATTTCCACACACCTGCACACAACACAACACAACCAGAGATCAATAAAAGGCTTTTTCATAATGGATATACACAACATAAGTGCACTGAATACAATAACTTATAGGAGGCTGCAAAATGACTCACGTTGTAGTCTTTGATACATCCTTCATACCGAGGAAGGGGTCGCCGACATCAGGTGAGCGCAGGATGCACGGGGCAAACACAATTGCGAGAGAGCTTGACGTCATCTTGTTGTGCTCTTCCTCCTTCGCAACTCTAAAAACGCAGACAGATCAACAACTTGCATGACTAATCAACAGAGATAATCACCGTGAGGAGTGTGAGATTATATGCAGCCTTTAGTTTTATAAGGAAGAAAAACGACAGATTCTCCAACCTGACAAGATGAAAGATGAGCCGCTCTAATGTGTTGTAATTTGCGGGAGGAAGCTCATCAACCTTCTGGTAAACAGCTCTTATTCTCTCTGCTCTCTCTGGAAGCTCTGAGGGCAGAAAAACACGGAGATCAAGGGACGTGTCAGGGTTAATATACGGCTCGTGTACTTCATGACAAGCACTTGTTCGACAACTCCTTGACATTTGTTAGTGTATTAAAATGATCAAAACCAAAGTGGTGCTTAATTACATCCAGTAAAACCAGCTGCGCTCAGTTCAGAACCGTGCAGGATGTCATTACTCTGCAGAGTTCAACAGAGTGCGCTCATTAAGTGAGCAGAGATCACAACATCTCTTGGGGTAAAAATATCTGTCAAGCCTCTTGCTTTGCTATAGAAAACAAAATTAAAAACTGGGTCAATAGTTAGTATCTTTGCAGCTCAGTCTTCATCTTTAAAACCTGGTCTGAGCAGGGCTGCTGTGGTGCTTGGTTGCTGTGTGTGAGTTTGTGTGCACTAGTGTAAGTTTTCTATGTGTCAGCCCATCCCTGCGAAGAAGGTGCAGCTACAAAACACAGTAAAAACATGGTTTATTTCCAATTGCATCATAATTTTTGAACAAGTATACACTTTTTGAACCCTGAGCTATTTTGGTTTTGTATAATATTTTTTTTATTACATGAGACAAATTCTTCAAGACCTAATAAGAATAATAAGAACAGCATATAGAGTCAGAATCCACTATTTTAATCTTCAACGTTTAGATATGATCAATAATAACTTACCTGCAGCATGCAGAAAATCAGTGTAGAGGGAAAAGGTCATGAGGGGGTCCGGCAGTTCTCTGAGCCAACGCTTCACCAGACCTGTGATGGTGTGGATCGGGTAGTTCTCTAAAGTCACAGACTCTGGATCTGAAGACAGAGAGATAAACAAAAACAACAGAAGATATTCAGTTACAGTTAATCAGTTTATTTTCATTTGTGAAACTCTTTCAGCTGAGTTCAAAATATTACCAAGACACCAAAATAAGGATCCTGAAAACGGATCATGTTTTAGGCTGAATCGATTCATGATTGCATGGTCACCACTGAATTTCTTACTGGTCTGCAGAATCTGGTGGAGCTCCCTGGCTCGACAGGCTGAACCCGACTTGCGGTAAATCCCTTCTGTGTAGAGGCCGTTCAGCTCCACGTGCATCAGCAAAGACTCAACCACTTTGGGTACAGGGTTTGCTTTACTGGTGAGGACGCACACCTGCACGCCGAAGTGAAGTGAGCCCGGTACACTGTCATCCTAGAAGCAGCAGGATTAGATCAAAAATTCATGAAGAAGTGGTTTTGTGTAGTTTCAATTCTTCAATCGTTTAGTCTTTTATTCAATTATTCAAAAATGTTGGTCCCTACCTGCCTGGCACACCGTGTCGAGCAGTCTGTGATGATTTTGCTGAGGCATTTCTTGTGACATATTAACTTGCACGCTACGATGAAAAACAGAAGAAAGAGACTGAAGTGTGTCCTCCTGGTGTGTTTTTTAGTTGCAGTTTCATTTGTATGCTTGCAGCTCTTTGAACTCACCACTGCACATGTACGCTTTCTCCATTCCCCAGATGTATGAACCGCACAGGTCACATGACTGCATTATGTTCACCTGGTACGTGCTGAACAGGTGATCCAAAGGACTATTAGGCTGTAGAGAGAAGATGAACAATCACAGGGAGGACTCACCCGGACTCTTGACACTGAAATTTATATGTAGGCAAAATAAACTACTCACGCATTTTTCCTTTTTCCTCCTCTTCTTTGCTGTTTTGGTCGTCTGAGTGCAAAGAAAGAGATTTACAAGCGAGTCCAATAACATTTTATTCTAACTGGCTTATCTGCAACTAAACTTTACCTTAGTTGGTTCTGAGTCTGCTCTCTTCAGCTCGCCCCTGATGAAGCCGTCCAGCACAGACTGAAACAAGTTGACCACCAGTGAAACTTCGGACTTCTGCTTGGATCCTGCGAGTGTGTTCACTTTGTTGTGGTAGCCCTTCATCAGATCTTTGTAGCCGATTTTAGGCTTCTGTTAGCCGCAAATGTAAAGTTCAGTTAGAGACCACTTTCTACTTTTAATAATAATATTCAACAATATTATTAGCTTGTGAATACATTTTAACATGAAATCAAATACAGTGAGGATTAATAATACTGATATCATCAAAAAGCATAACTAGAGAAGGTGGCTAAATATTGAAATAATGCAGAGAAGAAAACTGGACTGACCTGGACAGAGTACATGCCTTTGATGGTCTCTCTAAACTGCATGGTGGCTGTAAGGAAGATGCTCTCTGTTGGTGACAGTTCTTTTATTCTCGTTCGCAGCTCGTTGACCTGAAGAAAAAGATGGTGGTGTGATTAAAACGCATGCCTCTATTTGATTTTTCTTTGCTGTGTAGAAAGGTGGAGATGTAAGATATGAAACAAACGCCCCCAGCTGAAAACAAAACCAGAAATATAGGATTCTTTTAAGAAGTTATCCACACAGATTTCCTTGAGCTTGTCACACTTTCTCAAAAAGATTAAATGTAATGAAGATATTTAGACATAAAATTGTTAAAAACAGTATTAAAAACAGTTTTAATTGCCTTATTCATTGTAAAAGGTGACTAAAATATACAAACTTGAATTTTTAACCTATTATTTTATGAATTTCTCTCTCAAGGGCCAATTTAAACTCTTCTATAAATTTTCCCAGTCACACTTTCTTATTATTAAAACACATTTTTTAAAATCCTTGGTAAGTGCCTCAGCAGCTTGCGCAGTTTCATCCATAATAGCTGAATGTATAAATGTTACAATATCCTATTTCTCTCTATTTTTATAGGGGTTCAGAAACAAGCAAACCCATGCCGGAGCCGTATGTGGGTCAGGATCTTGAAGTGCTATAAATAACACCGGAGTTGGTCATTTGCTGTGCTCCACATTCTCTTCATCAGTTACCAGCCTCACCTGGTTGCCAAGAAACTCGTCCAGGTTTCGCAGCTCTTTGGTGTCCGTGATCTCGCGGTCCAGAGACACGTTCCACTGCATCACCCGCGTGGCCCGGCTGATGCGAATGGTGGGGTTTCGCTTCACCCTCTCATTGTCCTGTTTGGGCATGTGGTAGGTGTGTGGAGTGTAGCTGGCCAAGGTAATTGCTGTTCGACGGGGTAAGGGTGACATAAGTGTTATTCAGACACAACAACTATGATCAGTTGTGTATGAAAGAGGATTAGGGCCACAAGAAGAGAAAGAAATAATTACAGGAGGGAGATTTTTTAAAGTTCTATTTCGAGATTAAAGGCGAAATTGAAAAAAGTTGAAATTCCGACTCTATTCATGTCGACTTGAATCTCGAAATTTCAAAATTTTCTAATCTCTAAATTTCAACATTATTCATGACATAATGTAATCTTGAAATTTCAACTTTAATCGTGAATTTTCAAATTTTTTTATCTCGCGATTTCAACATTATTCACGACGTTTTTTAATCTCGAAATTTCAAAATTCTTAAACTCGAAATTTCAACATTATTCACGTTATGTAATCTCGAAATTTCAACATTAATCTCGAAATTTCAATTTTTTATCTCGAAATTTCGACTTTATTGGCATAATTTCGATTTTTTTAATCATGAAATTTCAACTTTGTCAAAATTTCAACTTAAACATCCTTCCTGTAATTACTTTTTTTCTTCATGTGACCCTAATCCTCTTTCCTGGCCTTTTTTGTAAAATTCCTTTTGTATCGTATTTGATACATACTTTTATATACTTCCATCAAATCAATATGATCAACAAATTACTAAAAAAACACCTGAATACAGTCCGATAAATTATAAAAATGTCCTCTTGTGGTTTATTAGTTTTTATCCGAAAACATCTAATGTATCAAACGAGATAAATAAATATATGTGTGAAATTTTAAGGACATTTTGACTTTTTTTGCTTTTCAGTAGTAAGTGAAATAAACATTTCAGCTTAAAAAAAATTGAATGTTACGGCCATAATTTGTGGTGGCAGGCATTAAAGGGCTCGTTTTGACGCCTGTTGCTGATCTACAAAAAACTCTAGATGGCAGTAAAGAGGTGGAGTGTGACGTCTGAGTGACATTAACCCCATGAGAAAAGTGTGTGGACATGTGAAAACCACAGTTATTCATTAACTTAAATCTGTCTTTAATCAAAGTATACTGAGCTGTTTGTACAAACTGATACACTGAGATTGCAGCTGACTCATCACTCTTGGAAGAATATTACTGACCATTTTTTTCTGATGGACTTTCAGAGCTTGGGGAATATTTCGGCCCACGCTTTCTCAGGAATTTACTGAGAAACCAAACCCTGGAGGACAGACAAACAACATCAGTGTCATGCAAGAAACATCAAATTAAAAACTTTTTTTCTTTTCGGATAGGGTGATGGGTTTTACCTCTCGGGAGTTGTGAGCTGTGATTGATTGGATCCCTGCTGTCCTGAGTCGTCGCTGCCGCGTCCAGCTGGGAGACTGAACCTCGAGCCGTCAGGTTCTGCTGCTATCCCCTGAAGCATCAAAAAATAAACACTTTCTGAGTCCAAGTCTAGAGCCAGAATGAGCGACTTTTACGGGAAAATCAAATTGTTCTCATAAAAAGAGTAAAAAGTCAAGTTAGGTGTCCTTCACCACCACGTCCTCCTGCAACGAGCAGCACAGCTCCTCCACCACCGAACAGGAGCACATCAATACAAAAGGTTATTAGTGTGATCATGATTATCCTCCACCACTTTTGATTCCTCATGCAAAGCTTCACTGTCACCTGCCACCAGCTGAGCTTTGACCTTTTTTGAACCGGTTAGTTGTAACACTCAAAGTTAGTTGACATGTCAGGAACTCTCTGTCAGTGTGAGTTATGGACCTCAGGTGGGATTTCATTAACAAATTTTCAACCTCCCATGTTAATATGTATTTTGTTAGACGTGTTTAATCCTTTATACCCCGTTTTTTTCTGCTACAATTTTTTTCCCGTTGTAGATGACATTGATTTTTACAAGAGAACGATAATGATGAATATCTTTACGAACTAAAAACTTAGATTTGATTTCATCATTAGTTGATCAGATGGTGTGATGATAATATAAAAGATTAATTTGATTGAGGGGTGATCGTGACTCTATAAATTAAAAAGCTTTTCACAATAATCAGGTTAATTTTCAATTTTGCACAAAAGTATTTTCTGCTTTTAAACTGTAAACAAAATCAAAGTGAAGATAAAAGATAAAAGAAGCAAAAGTCTGAGACGATTAGAGTCAAACTCTCAGTCTGGGGAAAAACTGACATTAAGAAATTCACCCTTTTAGGACAAACTTGGTAACTGTACTTTCTGACCTGTGGCTTATTTGGATGACCAGACAAAAAAAGATAAAAAAATGAGCTTTAAAAATAGACTCTCATGTTTTTTTTTTTTTTGTATTTTCTCTCTCAAGCAACAGCTCATTTTTTCCTGGGCTGCAAAGCAGAAATGAGAAGTTTCAGAACAATGCAACCGTCAGTCAGTTTGGGTCATACACATGCAAGGCCTGCATGCAGAGGAAGTGCTGCGGTCAGTCGTCATGTTTCTTCTCGCAGTACCTTGACCCGAGATTTGAGGTGCCGGACATCCACGCTACTGGCTGCGCTCTTCATATTTGACACATGGGGGCTGATTGGAGGCAGCGGAAAGCTCCAGTACTCGCTCTCCTTGGAACTCCCAAAGTTAATCATCAAACCACTGCGGGCGTAGGCTAAGCGCCGCTTGCGTTTGGGCTGCTTGCGCAGACGCACCCTGACCTAATTGGGCCAGGAAAACGGATGAGGCACAGATTGGGAGGCCTTCTTTGGTTCACGTATGAGGAGCCTTCTTCTGTATGATAACCAGCTTAAAGCACATTTGACTACTGTACCACAAAAACCCCAAAACCAACATTCACATTTGCACACAACACTAAAAAATACTCTATAAGAAACAAAAATAACTGAGTGTAGTAGATTTGGATGTAAACACGTATCCTTTGGAGACAGATCTGCAAAGGTTACCTCGTTGTTGGAGGGGGAGCTGTCGGATCCTGATGAGCTGATCCTTGATAGTTCGTCAACAGACATGGACTTCCCTTTGCACCTGTGTCACACAAGACAATAAAAGAAGAGCTGTGGATTATTTTGGAAATATCAAACCCTGCGATTTATATGAATATACTCAGAATATCATCGTGAGTCTTACTGCCATGTCATTTTGCTCTAAAATAGGTACCAGAGGCAGACACAGAGACAGTGTTTCGATTGGCAGAGATAATAACTGAGTTGTTTGGAAGTTTAAAAACAAAAATGGTGAGGGACTCTTACTTAAATTCTTCGGTCTGATTGTCTCTGTGTCGCCGCATTTCTGGACTCGAATCGTCACTCTTTCTTTCGCGCCACCTCTCAGCCTTCTCCTTGATACCCCCCTTCTCTGTGTAGCGCTGCAGCGAGCTCGCTTTAGCGGGGCCGACCGAGTCATCGTCGCCGCCGACTTTGGAGTCCAGCGGGAGAGAGAGGGGTCTGTTCAGAGGGGGAGGGGATCCTCGGCCCTCTCGTTTTTCTCTGCTCCTGTCCCTCTGTGCTGACTGGCCGTTAACCGGGTCCGGCTTCTGGGTTCTGCTGGGGCTGAGCTCCACTTTGTGCTGCCTCCTCAGCTCTTTTTTGGCCAAGCTGTTGGAGGAGAATCACTTAATCAGAGTGGCATCACAGCAACTGTCATGGACACTTAAGTTTTATGATCGCATTAGTCTTAAATTTACTTGGGCGGACAAAAAACTAATAACTGTTATGATTCATTCCCAGCTTTTTAATATTTTGTGCAGTTTAATATCTCACCACCAGAGAGCACTGGGATATATAAAAGTATTGTGCAGCATGTGCAGGCAAAGGGAAAAGCAAAACAGAGAAGGGGTGGGATTCAAGAAGTGCTACTTGTTCCTCCTCCTTTCAGACGTGTGAACAAACTCCAGCACAGCGCTGAAACGCTCTGGAGCGTTGCTGGTAAATGGAGCTTCCTTGTTTTCTGTCTGTCGGCTTGTTTGTGACGACACAGAAATGTTTTTAATGCCTCAGTGGCTTTAACTCAGGCTTGGTTTTTCAAACACCAGCGCGCCATTAATTGTGGCTTTTGAACAAACAATCTGTCAGCCTGGGATTATAAACACTAAGACCTGTATTTAGAGAGGTTGGGTGGATGTTATACACGTGTTGCAGGTTAACCCAATGCTTGTGTTTGTCTCCATGAACCTGCTGTGGTTATTAGGAATGTGTTCTCATATAAAACCATCGTCTTCTCCTATCATCTAATAAAAGTGAGTGTTTGGTGGTTTGTTTACTTGTCCCGTCCAGGCCGTGCTTTGGATGTCTCCTCCTCGTCCTCATTCTCATGTGGGTAGTTTGTTCTCTTCACAGAGGTCCTCCATGCTGTCTGGATCACTGTAGCAGCTTTGTTTTGTTTCTCATAAAACTCACGCCAGCTCCTCTGGAAGACACCAAAAGATCTCGTCAGCTACAGCTTTGTGGCATGCTCTCGATCTGTTTTAAGACTTTGGAAAAGTTGTGTTGTTCTTACTGGAACACTGAGCTGTCAGCGTTGTAAAACTTGTGATTGTCTCTTATTTTATAGAACTTCGCTACCTGAATAAGCAACGTGGCGTCTTTCTTTTGCAGGAAGTGCAGCCTCATCAGACAGGTACGGAACCAGCGCTGCAGGATGATGATGCGGCGCATCACTTCTTTGTTCAGCGACTCTTGCAGCAGCTGCCTCTCCTTCTCCTTGAGGAACACCTGAGCGGATAAGAGAGGCTTGCTTATCATAAAAGCACTAAGAATATCATCATTGTGTTCGCTGGTTTTTAACCAATATAACCTCAAGCTAAAGTCAGAACAGATCACTGGTTTAATGAATATGTTTACCTGTGTTTTCCCTATTTGATAGGTGCTCTTGTTCAGCTTCATCCGCTCGAAAAGTTCAGTTATGTGCTCCGGTGAAGCCGTCGCTCCTTTTGGCAGCAACACTCTGAACTTGTCGACAAACTCCTGTCATTCAAAGAAAAACCGAAAGATCAAAAAAATGACTTACCTTCATTATTTCTTATTATACTCCACTGAATATGTAGAAAACAGGACAGCTGCATGTGTTAAGTTTGAAATAAATCATCTTGCCCACCTTAAAAGTGTATTTGGCGCTGTAGCCCGACTTCTGGATGTGAACCATCTGCAGTAAGCCTGTGTACTTGATCTGCTGCAGCACTAGTTCATCATCAAAGAGGAGCTCCTTCTGCAAAAACAAAACATGTCCCTTCAGTGATGAAGTGTTTTATACAGTCGAACCTGTGTGACTTCATTCAACGGCAGGATCTGCACATGATGTTACCTTCTCAGCATTGGAGCGAAGACAGAAGATGAAGAACGGCTCGGCTTTTTCGATCTTCTCCATCAGCTTTCTGAGAGAGGCCTGTTAGATATGTATTAGCAAAGTGAGTGATGCATGATCTGCTTTATTTAAAAGGAACAGTGCTGAGTTTTTGATGTCTTTCCAATGTAACATCACCTCAAGTACAAGACCGCTTAAGCTTTTAATGCACTGAAGGAGATACTTGAGACGACAGCTTAAGCTCGATAACATTTGATGGACTTAATTTGCTGTTTGACAACAATGTGTGAAGTGATTTCAAGACAGGAAAATCAAAATATTTAACTCATAACTACCAATGAGGAAAAGGAAATTCTAAAAAGGAGCCGCCCATTCATGTAAAGATCATAAGAGTATCTTTGAATCTTTCAAAACCAGATTAAATAACTTGATGTGCCACTAGGATCAAGTCTTTTCTAACCTGATACATGTAAGTGATGATATTTTTAAAAGAGCTTCAAGTCTTTAAGAGACAAACCTGAAACTGAGCGCTAACTGTGGGGGGCTTCGTCGTCCTGTGAGGGTGGAAGACGACTTTGCTGGTCCGATCATGCGCAGTCAGACCGATAATATGTTGGAGTGACTTGAAATTCATCAGATTCTATGAAAGGAAACATGAAAAAGTCTGTTAACTTTGGATGGAGTCATCGACAGAAAGTTGATCTGAAGAATATAAAACAATGATGCTCATGAACTGTAGTTATATTATTAAACTCTACCTTTGGAATGAGCTGCTTCTGACGGCCACTTCGACTTTTCCTGTCAAAATAATAATTTTAGATTTCTAATTTTATAAACAGAGTGCGAGAAGTTACATTTAGCATATCAGTTTCTGAAGCCGTAAAGCTGACTTACTTCTTCTTTTCGAAATTGGCAAAAATGTCCTCAAACACGTCAAGAGGGAGCTCATCAGAGCGGTCGAAGGAGAAATCCAAGGTCAGGCTGTTGCTGTAAGAATCAAACGAAACACGTCATCAGCATCATTTTCATGCTTAGCTTTGAGATGTTCAATAAACTCAGAGATAAAAAAATTTTTTTTTGTCAAAAAAGTGGGACTGTCTCATAATCTTGGAATCGTGATTGAATGTTAATATTCATTACAGCTAACACCACCGCTTCTCCTCAAAGCAAGTGTCCCCCTCATGAGCTGTGACTCATTATTATGGTGTCGGGGGGTGAAAGACTGAGTGAACCAATGACTGAGGCAGAGTTTGAAGAAAACAGTTCAGAGTGTAGCTGAAACTTTAATAAAAAATGACGTCTCAGAGGGTGAGTAAAAAATGAGGGGTCGTCTTGTAATCAGTCATCCTGTGTTTGGAAAAGAAACTCAATTTTAAATAAAAGACGGGCTTATTAGTGTCATTAGAATTTAATTTAAACAAACAAGTGATGAAAACGTACCTGGACAGTCTGTCCATGGTGTGGCTGTGCCGTCTCATTTCTCTGAGGGACTTGCGAGGCATTTGTCTGCTAGCCACTGTGATGACAGAACAACAAATCTGTTATATGTAGTCAAGTCCTCGACAAATTATGACACTTGATTGACCAAAAGCCATTAAAGAAGAAGAAATTCAATTGTCTGTCGTCTCATATTTACAGAAGAATTATAAAGTCTGATAGCTGTGGGTACAAAAGATCTTCTGAATCTTTCTGTCCTGCAGCAAAGAGAGAAGAGTAAAGTAACCTGTGATTCAGTAAGAGACACAAAGACTATGGGTGAAAACGCTGGATTAGCATCAAAAGCTACTCACTCAATTCTGCTTTCTTGCGTCCCATCTTCTTAAACACCCCGAGGATGCGAATGGTTGCACGAAGGACTCCCCATCTAAACAGAGCCTCCGGACTCGATGCGACCAAGTGGTGCATAAACGCTCGCTCGCTGCTCCTGAGAAGCGATATGACTTCAGGACGCATGTGCTCCGTGTTTTTCTCCTGGAAATCCTGAAGAACAAGAATCACGACCAACATGCTGTAATGTTTAATCCTCTCCGCAGTTAAAAATAAGGAATCAGTGCAGATTCAGTCAAATCCTCTGCGTGTATTCACAACTATAAACCGAGCAGTGCAACAAATCCAAGTCTGTTCAGGGGAGGGAGCCTCATTAATGATTCACTAAATTCAGAAAGAGTTTCCAGATTTTCCCACGGTGGCTTATCAACTGAACTACTGACAGACGAGCATTATGCTTTTGTGGACTGACTGCATGGCTTCAAATGTAAACTTTGCCGGATTAAAGAAGCGGACATTCTGGGAAATATACTCCACCTTGATGTGATATTTGACCCTGCCAGCAAAATGCCTTATTACGAAAGTTGACTCAGTGTCTGCAGAGGGCACAAAGAAGGGGCTGTCCTGATGCTGCTGCTTCAACTTGTTCAGCAGGGTTTCATCTGTGGCCTGAGGGAGGCTGAGGATACACAGAGAGAGGAACAGGTGGGACAAAACATTATGGAGCAGAAATATGGGACAGGACCAAGACAGACAACTCATGATCAATTTCTGATCAAACACAATAATGACGTGTAACAAGGCACTTCTTAGATAACCGATTTTTAAAGTGTTTCATAATAATCAGAAACAGTCATTTGTTCCTTTTTTTCTGACTCATGTTTGACGCTCTTTTCTGTGTCATCCACGTGTTTCCAGAGCGTCCTTGTTTGTTGTGAAATTCTTGAAAAACCAGCTAGTTAAAATGACTGAAAAAGTATTTTTTTGTTGTTGAAGAAACTCTTGGAAAAATACAAGTACACCACATTTTCCCACAAAAACCTGTTTCTTAATAAAATCCAAATGAATCAGGATTAAGCTGGGTGTTAAGGAGACGATCCTTTTACACGACGCTCAAACGTCTCTGAATTTTCCTGGTTTTGTCGTATATTTAGTACACTTACTTGCTCTCCTCATCCAGCAGGTCAAACAGTCCAGTTGACTTCTCGCTGATCAGCTGAATGCAGCCGCTGTTGTCGGAGTAGTCGATGTTTTGCCAGGTGATGCCCTCTGACACATAACCCTCCTGGGATAGTTTCAAAACACAATCACTCATTGTTATCGGGCAGATTGAAAAAAGCACAAACAGAAATACTGACATGAAAATATCTCAAATAAAAACAAACAAAACACTTAAAATCCCTAAACTTCATCCACTTTCAGTCTTATTGTCGTGCGTGCTGATGAATGCACCTACTTGCTTGAGCTTGAAGACGTGCTGGTTGATGTAATACTGCAGTTTCTCGTTAGTGTAGTTGATGCACAGCTGCTCAAAGCTGTTTACCCGATGGTTCTCAAAACCAAACATGTCCAAGATGCCGATGGACAAACACTGAAAACATCACGGCAGAAAGGCAAATCATAAAAAGAAAGTATTCCCTGTTTATATGCATGTTTATGAGCTAAATTCAAGATTGCAGATTACTGCAACAGCAACAAAAGTTTTAAAATGATCAAGATTTGTGCATGAGGGGTATTTTATTCATCTTTTTCAAGACACTAATACAGAGACATGCAATTTACTATATCTTAAGGTAAAAAAAATCATGCTGAAATGAGAACACCCCTTCAGAGTTGTCAGAAAACCTTTAGTTTCCTTTCAAAATCAACATTTTCTATGTCAGACTATACAACAAAATACTCCCCCAAATGTAGACCACTGATTGCAAACAAGATTTTTTAAGCTGCATATAAAAAAGTGTTTTTTTAATTCAAAATCAGGATGCAAAAATGAGTACACCCCAATCAAAGTTCTGGAAGTAAAGCTACATTTTAGTTACCATATCACCCTTATTTTCATCTCATGGTAAATAAAATGTTGTGTTAAACTCAGCTTTGCTCAAAACTTTGGAAATTGTACTTTAGCTCATATAGATATTGAGTGTACTGACTTATGCTGAGCACTGTATCTGAACTGCATTAATATGACTTACAGAGACGGACTCCTCCATGTCTCGCCTGTTGATCACCGCGTGGTTGATGTGAAGGATGATCCAATCAAACAGAGCGCCGTACAGAGACTTGGCCATGGAGTCCCGCACAGTGTAGGCCTAAATTCACAGACGAATCAAATAAATAAAGGCTTAATGTCGACTCAAATTTAAAAGAATAACGAGAAAACACTTTATGTAAACTTTATACCTCTTGTAGTGTGAACTCTGAAACTACTGTGGCGTTGGCGGTCACTACTTTCCTCTTGGTCAAAGCTTTTACAAGAAGCTCCTTTTTCACCTTTACAAACAAACAAACAGTTACGACAGTTTAACAATTCTCAAAAATATCATTCTGATACTGTTGTATATTACAAGAAGAGCATGTTGCAGCATGTTGGTATGCTAAACAAAACACAGAGGGTTATTTTAGGTGTACTGATGACACACACAGATCATCTCTGAGAGCTGAGTCACAGTGATTTCATCAAAACAGAAACCTTTCACTGATGTAGCTCGATGCTAGAAATTACAAATGTTTATCCAGTGCTTTTAGGGTCTATCATTAATCATCTGTTTCGTTACTCACTTTGAGCAGGTCAGACAGTGTGGATAAAACCTCATCAGGTCCAGCCTCCAGAACTTCACTTTCCCCTGACAGGGAGAAGGTCACGTTGCCCAGGTGCAGGATGGCAGAGAGGATGGCGAATATGCTGCAGTGTGGAGACATGATGATATGAGAGGTTTCTGAGCTCACCAAACTGCAGCTCAGTCTCTCTTATAAAGGTCGGTGAAATAGTGAAACAGATGAAGCTGCAGGAAACTTGAGCCGCTTTCGTTTTTATTTTTGTAAAACTTTCTGTTCACGTTATCCTTCTCAATACTCTGAGCTTGTTTCACACACTAATTTCACAGTGACTGACTGTTCTTCTCACATCTAATTTACTCTACACTTTCCAATATTTACCTTTCTGTTTACTGATGCTGACAGTTATATCTTTTCTATCTCATCCTTTCTTTTTCTCAACCTTGCTTGTGCTTCAACAGAGCAGATGGGAAACTTGCAGCTGATTAACAACAGTGTCATGTAGACTAAACATTGCTGTGTTGACATAAACATATCAGTGTTGCCTTTGTGCAAGCACCCCTAGTGCTGGAGAAGCTAACCGTGGTTGATACTAGTTTTCTGCACTGATATGAAGCTTGTTAGCTGCAAAACACGCTGTGAATGCAGGTCAGGGGTTACTGGGCAAGTTCAAATACTGTAGATAAAAGGATGGATCTGCACAGACATTTATGTGTGTACTGGATATTGTAATCTTTACACAACAATGCATTCACGTTCATTAACGCTGGGTCTTTATTGTGGTCGCCAGGTGACCCAACCTGAACAGGTTACAAACTATGCTGTATGTGCCTTTACGTGCACAGCGTGTCCCGAGGCTGTCAGGCACTCATCGACATGCTTGCTGCATTTTTTTCTCCCCTCCTTAACTTTGACAAGCTCTGACCTGTTCCTGACACCAGTGCAGAAAACAGAAACTACCCGACACATTTCAGTTATTTTAAGGGTTACTTCACATGTGCGCATTGTTTTGGGATTGTGACAACTTACAGAGGTGTGCAGCGTCACTGTAAACACTGAGAATGCTGGAAAAACACGAATCAAGGAAAACACCTCTTTTAAATAGTTTCAAAAGTTTTTTTTCCCACTTCAAGGACTTGGTGAGTGAGCTGTACAGTAAAACTACATGTCCATTAGGCTGACTAAGCTTTCAGAAAACACCTTTAATCTCTTAAAAAACAGCTGACTCTGCAGGAGAGGAGCTTTTCAGCCTTTTCTCCAGACATTAACATCACAGTTTAACACGGGTCCATTTTCTCACTGGCCTGCAGCAATCCGGTCAAAATCACACTCACTATTTCTTGGTGGTGGCCAGGAAGCCGACCATCTCCATGGCCTGATGAAGCCTCTTGTACTCCTGCTTGAGTTTCTCCTCATCATCCAAGTTGAAGTCTTCCTGTATATGTGAGATGAGACATATATATATATAGAGAGAGGGGTGAGCAACAAGCTTGGCAATAGAGGTGAATGAAAGTACCAAAATCAATCAGTCTTATGCTTCTTCATTAGTTCTCCTTCATTTTGTCTGATTGTTAATCACTGTCTCTCTGTTAAGGGGTTTGGTAAATTATTATCTTGCAGAGTGATTTTAATTGGAAATACGCTGTTTTTTTCCTATGTAGTGTTCAGGGCTGTCACGATAACAGGTTTTCACCTCATGGTTACCGTGGCGATAACAACATTATTGCAATATTTATGGAGAACTTAAAACCAAAACAACATCGTCAGCAAAATTTAAGGAAGGTAAGACAAGGGTGGGGCAACATATGAGGTCATAAACTTAACTAATACATGCAGTTACTTTACAGTCATGATCCATTTTTAATGAGGTTCAAATTTATGACTTATCCTTCCTCATTACCAGCTCTGTGACTGAAACTTCTTTGTAGGAGACGCCGCCTCATAAATGATTATTGAGCTTTTATTTTGAAATGTTTCTGTCTTTAGGTCATTTTCTGTCTTTGAATGGTTGAACTTTGCTTGCGTGTTAAGGTGTGGGTTACTTATAGTAGATTTTATTAATGGAACTATAACAGAGCGATGACAAAAGCGGTTAGAAAATATAAATGTTTAATTCATTACTAACCCGTGGATGTACCGGCACTAAGGTTTCTTCTAGATTCATGGTAAATCTTGGAATATGAGTTTGAAAGAGTGTTAAATCAACCCCTAAAGTGGAGGTGGAACTTCTGGAGGGGCTGGGGGGAGCGTCACTCCCCTGGGTCGGAGGAGGGGAAGCGAGCCGCTCCTCTGGCGAGCTCGGGTCGTGGGAGCAGAACGCTCCACAAGTTGATCTGAGTCACTTTCCAATCACCATTGAGGGGGAGCACAGAGGATATGTGTGGGCTTAGATGTGTCATCACATACAGAGTCGGTATCCATGTTGCTGAACTGCTTGAATTTGTGTTGTTTTGTCATAGGGGGTGAAGTCGCCTAATGTTTTTGTTGTTCTCTTGGTTTATTAGACTTCATATCTGTTTGACTGACTTCAAAATGACCCAGCTGTGTGTAAAAAATGTAGTAATGCATGTGTACCTTGTAAAGCGATGTTATCATGAGTTTTATTGGGTTTGAAGGGCCCGCTCATGTGCCCCGCCCCCGGCTTGACATAGATTTGTTCTGCTAATGCAGAAGACTGATACAGCTCGCCTGCTAGCAGTCTGCTACTTCTTCTTTGTTTAGCCTCTGTTTAATGTGGCAACCTGTGCTTATTTTTAGCATGATATCAAGAGTTTGCCATTTTGAAAATAAAGTTTCTGTCAATTTGAGTTTATTGGCACAGCCCAAATTGTGTCCACACATATTATTGAGTTTCAGAAGTTCATGATTGCAACTCTTTCATAGGAAAGTTAGCATTGTCACATAAAACTGTCTTTTATCTTTTATCTCTTTTACCTCTATCTTATTCGGCTTTACTGTCCTATTAGCTTTTGTTATGCTTGTACTCTTTTATTGTTTTATCTCCTGCTCGTTTCTGTTGCTCTATTTTATCATTACTATTATTATCAGTATTTCCTGTTATTATTCTAATAATTAATTAATAATTAATTGTTGATATTGCCTTTTATATTTACTATCCTGTTTCCACTTTCGACCCCCATTTTAATTGCATTTTCTTTTTTCTTAACTATGATGTGTTTTTATTTTGGTCCTCATGGTCTCACTTTATACTGCATGGTTCTTGTCTTGTCTAGGTTCCTTATGAAAAATAAAAATGACCTTAAATTCCTTTTTAACTGAGCTTTTTGTTCTAATCTGTCTTTTTCTATGTGATTATGACTATATGTCAAAGCACTTTGTAAACTTCTGTTTTTAAAAGTGCTATACAAATAAAGTTATTCTTCTTCTTCTTATTATTATTATTATTATTAAACTCCAAAAAAGCTGTAAAAATGTAAACATGTATGATACAACAATATGAAGAGGAGGAGATAAACTGTACGCCATCTAAAAAGGGCATTTATACAGTTTTACATGACTGTTTGTAAATTCACCACTTGGAGGAAACTCTGACATATCTGAGATCTTATGGGTTTGATTCCATCAAACATCTACCTCTGGTTTTCCCCGCTTGATAACATCAAACCGCACTTCACAAACCACATCATGGTAGTCCCTCCCCCTTTTTTAAATTAGCGCAGCAGTAAAGAGAGCGATCAAAGGTACCTGCTTGAGGTAGAGATAATCCTGTGGCTGTAATAGCTGTAACTCCTCCTGCTCTTCTTTGGACGCTCCCATGAGCAGATAGTAAAACACGTGATAGTTCCTGCAGGTCAGAGGTCACAGAGTGCTGATATAGTCAAATACAGTCAGTCCAACTTGTTCACTTCGACATATTTTTCTATCTAGAGCATCTTTGTGCGTTTCCTGCATGCGTCAGGCGTCAGGAATTTATCTCTACAAAATAATAAGTGAATGAGGCATGTTTCCGTGGAGACATCAGATTCCATCATACCTCTCATTCTTGTCTCTGGATACCACTCTGCACTTTTCCAGCAGGTACTTCTCAACAACCGCCCTGCAAGAGGCACACACAAGAGGAGCATGTCAATAAAACCTGAATCAGAAAAAAGTATGAACATTAAAAAATAAAGCATACGAAGAAACCCTCAAACTCGAGTCTTTACCCTCTGATGACGCCGCTCTCCAGATAGCTGAGCTGGATGAACTTCCCGAAGCGGCTGGAGTTGTTATTCTCCGCAGTCCTAGCGTTACCGAAGGCCTGTTTGAAACACGGGGGGACATAAGTTTTCACTCACGTAAACAGAAACATTTGTGGGCATGTTTCTCACAGACGCTGGCACTCAGACCTCCACTCTGTAAACACAGAGCAGCTATCAAATAGATCACTTTGGTTTGTGGATGGCTGGGCACTGTTTCAGTAAACAACCCCATGAAATACTGAAGAGCAGGCAGGTGTGTTAGTTAATACCTCAAACTTGAAGTTTGTCCTGTTATCACTTCATTATTTCCCCTGTCTGCAGTGCAATCTTTGGCCTAAAACTTTGTCACAACTTCCCAGTAGAGTAAAGATGTTTTTTTTTTATAATCAGAGACAAAAGAAATGAGAAAATACTCCCTTAGAAATGTTGAATTATGGTTTCTTGCTTAGTTTTCACTTAGATGCGAACAAGGAAATGAATGTCTCCTTTTTTAAGGCAGATCACATTTTGTCAAATATGTTAATGCTGAGAGAACTAGGGAATTATGCAAAAGGGACTTGAAGCTTGTACCGAATGCTGAATGTCAGATACTTTAGAAAAAACTTTAGAAAATCATTTCTTAGTAAAAGATTTAATATTACAGTTTCTAAAAAAAATGAACCCCGGATCCCTCTCCTCTGTGGTAAGTGTACAGAAGACGTTTGGGAATGGAAAAATGTTGCAAAGAAACAGTTATTCCATGCAATAATAATACAGCTAGAGCCAGCATTATTTCCTCTGAGTAAACCTGCAGAAAAGATTGAAGTGTCAACAGAACTGCTGCTCCACGAGAGGCGGTGTATCGCTGATCCAGGAGGAACCTCCCTCGGTCACACAATGGTACAGAGAAACTTTTCAGGTTCTTCCTATGGAACACCTCAGTACTAAATTAAAGGACAATTACAACCTCTTTTGTATTTGTTGTAAACCATGCATACATTATTGTGACCCGTTTATGCTTTCTTCTCTCCCCTGTGATTTTGCTAGACCTGTGCTGTCTTCAGAGATGGGAAAATGTGGAGTCACCAAGTCATCTCCATGCCGTGTATTTGTTCAGCTCAGTTACTGAACCAGGTGTCTTCACTAATGAGCTCACCCTCCTGGCTGCTCATTGGAAGCAGCTGGTTTAGTGACAGAGCAGAACAAATACATGGCACGGAGATGACTTGGTGACTCCACATTTTCCCATCATCTGTCTTAAACAAATTTTATAAAACGACCCGAATCAAAGAAACTTGTTTATCTTTTGGGGGCAAAATCTTAAAAAAGAAAATTGTTTAAAGACAAAATAGTTGCGAAATTGATATATTATACTTTGGATACAGCAGGTTAACTCTAAACCAATAAAGTGCAAGCAGATTAATCATTAGTGTAGTCTACAAAAATTAAATTTATAATAATTATAATGATAAGAAGAAGAAGAAGAAGAAGAAGAAGAAGAAGAAGAAGAAGAAGAAGAAGAAGAAAATTAATAGTGCCCTCTGCATCGACACAGCAGCACCAGGAGGATCACGTGTCGCCTATTATATAATCGAATCAATGATAATATAATAAAACATTCCAGAATAATTACTGACGTCATTTGCGGAGGAAACTTCTCACAATAGCATTGATTGTTTTGATTTGGAGACTGGAGACAGTTGCCACGGTCACCATTAACAACATATAACGACACCACCCAGTCACTGGATAAAATGACGCTCATGAGCTGCAGCCGATTGAAGGCATCACCCTCCTTCATTCCAGCGCGAGCTCGACTGAGGGTCGTGTCTTAACAGGCCAGAGTGATTCCTGCAGCCACAGTGAGCCAGACCTGAGCGCTGATGATCACTGTATTCATCCAGCACTCGCAGGTAAAACTCTGACTCACTGGTGTGTTTCTACTCTGTGCACCCCTGCGAACACAGTACAGGATGTTTTAAATCTGGATTTGATTCTAGAAAAGATCAGTCAGGTTTTATGCAAAGCAGCTGGGTACAGCATGGCATGGATGAAAGGCATGCAGAGGGAGAAGTGAAGATGGTATGTGGAAGAGGGGGAGAAACAGGTGTTTGCCACGTCCCACTTTAGGGGCTGGACTGTCTGAAGGACGCTGTACAAGAAGAGTTTCCCAACAAAACATTTAAGAGGAACTTTTTTTAGGTTTATAAAGTCAATAAAGTACAGAGTTTATCACCAGGAATTAAGCCAAAAAATGCCAACAATGTGGTAAAGACCAGCACTAACAGAGGAAACCTAAAGTGACAATCCTGAAGCTAACGGAAAGACCTCCCTCTCCAAATCATGACACCCATTATAACCATTACAAAACTTAGCCGACTGTGACTTTGTTTCCATTTGTTTTATTTTATTTAAAATCTGTCTAAAATAAGTGATTTGGAATTAAAAAAGGTTTCTAAACATGGCACCTTTAAGAATTGGTAACTGCAATTCATATTTTACTCTTGACCCTTTGATAATTAAATAAAAAAGTCGATACAACATCTAAAAAGTATGAGGTTTACTGTGTTTACATTCTACTTTGGCTCTTTTACTCAGTAGATTTTTTAGATTCCTAAAAATGTAAGCTTGTAACTCCAAAGCAACTCTCTGATCATGACGTATCATCATTTTCTACAAGTCATTATTGGTGTAAAAGTTCAAAGACAGATTTCACATTTTTAACTTAAATAATTTGAAGTAAAAAGGGAAAATTATCAGAAAAGACATTTCTATAAGTTTCAAAAGATACTTTTTTGGGTTTCTATCCCGTTAGATTCATATAATAAATCTGTTTATGTCATACATTTCCTAATTATGACTGCAACCTCTTGATACTAGATCAACCTAAAGTGTTTGTGTTGTGAATAAATCAGGCCATACTTGTCTTCAAATAGTCAACATGACACTGAACTCCTTCCTGGATGAATAATTGATCCCTTCGTTATTAAACAGCTGACCGAAAAGGGAGAAGAAGAGAAGGGTGTCTGTGCGTGGAGAGAAGGAGGGAGAAAGGAGTAGATTTCTACTTTGTTGTGCAGGTTTACCAGCAGACCTGGCTGAGCCTGTTCTGACACGTTCCTTTTTTCTCTTTTCTCTCTGGTGTTCCCTCTGAGACAACGCCCTGCACATTCCCCCATGTGGAGCGCCGCTCTAATCTTCCTGAAGGCCAGCAACCGAGACACAAACCCGGACTCAGTCAGTAAACCGCTGCACGTAATGAAAGCAAGGTGGCATCACCTCCTGGCTTGAGACTGAACATCTTAGAACAAACTTTGATTTTTATTTTAAAGGAGGCATCGCTAACATCAGACAAAGCCGTTTCTTTGCATCTGGGAGTATAAAATAAAATGCACTTTAAGAGTCAAGCTGGTGTTACGTGGACTAATGCTGAGTCAAAAGTAACAGCGGAAGATGTGACACATTTCTGATTTCAGATAAACAGGAACTGTAACCTCAGGGGGTGACTTGCGTATGTAGAGGAAACCCCTGGGTGTCAAGAGAGCTTTTACAAAATCCTTAAATTACTGAATCATTTACAGATCAACATGAACTGATCCTCTCTTCTACAGCGGGGATGTTGTTAACAGGTCCTAGCTTCGCCTCTATTTATGATCAGATCGGGTGTAAACACTTATGCAGGGCCTCCTCTGCTGTGGTGGTGTGACCTCTGTCTTCAGCTCACTTGTTCCTTATTCCCTTTATTGAAATCACAACCAAACCACATGATACTTTTATAGTCCACACACTAAATCTCAGCCTCTTTTCACCCCCGCAAACAAAGACCACAAAACAACCAAATGCCAGAAAGATCAGTTAACGGAAAAGAAAAGAAAAAACACAGGCTGTTGCACATTTCAAGGAGTAACTTGTTGGACTTGTTCAGAGAAAGGAAGCATCAATGTGAAGCCGCTTTCTACCGACGCGCTGGAGCCCTTGTGGGTGGGGGGTGTGATCGGTTACACTGTGGGCTAGGACTCTTTGTGCAAAAGGATAGTTGGTGGACTGATAAAACACCATCTCCACGTCACATCTTGATATCTTCACCAGATTTCAACACGGATAAATCTTATTTTGCTTCATAAAGCCTCGCTTCCCTCCTGCTGGTTCCCTCTCAGACCTTGAGCTCTAAAACACTAAACTCTCTAATTCTTGTTTTTTTTTCCCCAAACACAAAATGTTCATTAAACTTCAAGAGGTAGGTGGGTAATTTTAGGTAGGAATCCCCCTAAAAAAAAAGACTCTGACCCAGTTTTAAATCAGTAACCATTAAAACACGTTGTGTACTCTATGCGACAAATGAAACAGAAAGCACACATCCGAGGAAACGCAAATGTCTCCTGTTACTCATTGACACGGTTACTGTAGTACAACGCTCAAGTGTTAGCCAACAAAGAGAGCTTTTCACCCACATGTGTGAGACTGAAACTAAAGTTCATGTGGTGCAGAAATTTACTTTCTCCCTTCGGACTCTGGGTCTAATTTTATAGACTGTAAACTGGATGTTGAACAGATCTGTTTTAACACAATAAAGGTCTTCTGCTTCTTATTCAAGCTGCGTGAATGTTTCAGCTCTTCCTGTTACAAATCTATGACCAACAGGCTGTCACATAATTTAGCTCATGAAGCATTTCTGTGGTAATTGTTGATTACACTGGTGTTTTTATTGCAGGAAGTGAAAAACAAATCCAGTTGATACATATTTCCTGTGCAAAGCTGGTAGTTTATGCAACTCTTCTTTTTTTTCTCTTTTGATCAGAAGTCTAAAAAGAGTTATGAAACTAAAAAGGATGAGTTTTTATAAAGCAAAGTTAGATTTATGCAGAGTCTGGGCTGCTGTCAAAACAAAGATTCATCAATGCAGTGATCAGCAGACTGCAGATGAAGACAGACGTAAAGACATAAGATCAGATAGTGAAGATAGTGTGATGATGCTATGGAAGTCAGAGATAGAGGCACTAGAGCTTACAGATGGAAGTATCTGAAGTATAGACAGGATGTGCCATACAGCTCTGTTAAATGCTTGATTCTTATTGGTCAAAATCTCCTCACAAGGGTTGTTAATTCTGGGACACAAAGAACAACCTGATCGCACACATCTAACATTTTAGGTCAAACCGCAGGAAGGAGTTACGCACATCAAATGTATTGTTTGTGATTTCACCTCTTCCTGTCTAATATCTGAAAAGAAAAAGTCATCTCCCTATCGCACTTGTGGAAATACAAGAAAGCTGTGTGTCTAATATCTTTCTCAACTGATTTGGTGAGCGCTGAACAAGATAGATGGTTAATGTTGGATGAGCCAAGAGCAGAGGACAGATGAAGAAAGGAGAAAATAAAGAGATATTAGAGAGAGATTTTAAACGCACAAAAGGCTGAGAGAGACATCAACCAAACTGAAGAAAACAGACCTCTTAAATCTCTTCTTTAAACTCGTTTCTATTGTTTGTTTTTTTCATAACCTTAGGCTCTGTTATTCCTGTTTCTGTGGGCTTAAAAGATCATTAAAAAAATCGGATCTTACTTATTCATTATCTGTTGTAATTCGATATTTAAGTTTTTATTGACTTTGTTTGATGGTAAATCGCTGTTAACAGATTTGTTTTTTAAAATTTTTATTTTATGACCTGTTTTAAAGCTTGTTTCTGAAAAGTGCTGTAGATATAAAATTACAGTTTTTATCAGTACTATGCTTATGCAACCACAAACTTCAACTTAATACGAGTTTTGGCACAAAAGTGTTAAAGAACCAAGGATGACAAAAAAATAATAAGAAAATACATTGTTATTCTCCACTTCAAGAATCAAGTCAGAATTTGGGTTTTACAGTTGAATTACAATTTTGTGAACAAAGACAAAATAATGGAGAAATAAAGTCAAATCTAATGTTGAAAAAAAGTTGATGGTTGCTAAGCAGAGACATTATGTTCAGCACAAGATATCTTACTTTAGAGTGAATTCAAACCGGTATGTTGGCCGATAAGGAAGTACAATCTCACATTGAAACTTGGAGATTATTTTAGCTGGATAAACAAACAAATTATGTTTACATCAATAAAATAATATTTTGTGTCAACCTGTTTGTATCTTTCCATGGCAGCAGGGTTATTAGTTGCTGAGGGTGTTTTTATGAATTTACACCTTGATTATTTGCATTTCTTTATATAGTAGATGCAAAGTCATGCACAGCTGCATGTGTGAACAGCAGATGTGTTTTTCTTATAGCTGCCTGGCTTCCCCTCACAGTGACCTACCTCCAGTACTGGTCCAGCTCCAAGGATGGTCCGTTTCAGCCCACTGGAGTATGTCTTCTGACTGAGTGCAGTCAAGCAGTGGATGAGGTAACTGCTGCTCTCAGTCTTCCCTGAGCCGCTCTCACCAGATATCACAATGCACTGGTTCACCTGCCTGTTCAGCATCGCTCTGAAGGCCTGATCTGCTATGGCGAATATATGAGGACTCAGTTTGCCCAGCGGTTGGTTCTCATACATCTTGACATACTTGGGATTGTAGTAAACAGGAAGGAACTTATTGGGGTTGAGTGCGATGAGGATGTTGCTGGCGTAGGTGTAGATTTTAAGCTTGTAGAAACGCTCCCGTAAAGCATCCAGAATACTCTCCTCAGTCACAGTTTGCAGGTTACAGAGATCATTATAGTCCTCTGCGCTGCTCTCAACTTGTTGGTCTCCATTGTTAGGGAGTTGCCGCTGCAGGATGAAGTAGTACCCCCGGCTCTTGGGATGCCATTTCTGTGTGTCTGGTGGCCACAGCAGGACCCTCTCCAAAAGGGACTCCCCGGTCTCCAATAACCTCTCCTCTCCACCACTCTCCCTCACCTCCAGAAGGCTGTACGTCAAACTGGCATTCAGGCCCAGAGTGATCACAGCATTGTGGATCACCGACCATGTTGTGTCCCCGGCGCTGATCTGTAGGGGACAGTGGGTGGCTGCGTCCTGGGACAGTCTGGGGTAGATCTGCACAACACGGGCCTCCTCATCCTGTTCAGGGGCCCCTGATCCATCTGTAGTGCTCATCCTGATATGCTGATATACAGGCAGGCCTCAGCATAACGCACAGTGCCAACTCTCTGGCAGCCTCAACTGCAGAAACACATTTTGTTAGACACAATTGAGGAAAAGGGAATCAAATAAAGCAGGTTTTACTACACACGCAAAACTCTTAACATTTGAACATATTTTTTTAATGTAAAATGCACTTTTAATGATGTTAAAGGGTAAGAAAAAGACCCAATAGGGTGTACAAGTTTCTTATAACCTAACCTACTTTCCACCCTTCACTTTACATGTGCATTCCTACAAAATTCCCACATATAAACCGCCTCCTTACAAATAACAAACATCAACAAACTCAAAATGTAAAAAATAAGACTTACCTTGTGAGATTACACCATCATTTCATTTTTAAAAAGCCGAAATAATCCTGAAAGCAAAAGGCAACAGGAAGGTGTCTTCTGCACTTACGAACGGTGACGAATTCCAATCACAGAAGTTGTTAGAGGATAAAAAAGTTTCTCACCTGTGCTTCCCGACAAAAAGGTAAACCAAGAACCAAGAGGAAGGCACTTAAAACTGATAGAAAAGTGATTTATAAGCAATTCGGACAAGTTTTAGCTCGTATAAGTCACAAATTTTCGAAGAGTTTGAGGACTGACGTCTCCGCGTCGTCCTGGTCGAGAAGTTAGGCTCACGTTACTTCCTAGATTTCTCCACAGACAAACACGCACAGCCGCCGACAGGGTGAGGAGATACTGGATAACTTTCCCTTCAAGTGACCTGACAAATGTGAAAAATCCAACCAGGAGGAAATAAAACTGCTGATAATTAAACACTAAAAGATTTGGGAAAGGAGCAGAGACGATGACAGTTTGGTCATCGGGGAGGAGAAGTTATTAGAAGCATTATGAGAGCACAGTTTAATTGAGCTCGTCTGTTACCATGGTTTGAACACTGCGGTGATGGCGCCCTCTAGTGGACAGGTTAGTTGTTACAGTAAACTCAGCACAGCAGTGAAAAAGTGAGCAAAGGTAGAAGTATAAATAAAACAGCGTCACTTTTGGTGTAATTCGATTAATGCTTGATTAAGTTTTCACCCATTTAATGTTTCAGTTGAGTACTATCAGTACTATCTTTTAACCCAGAAATACTTAGGACTTGTTTTAACTGCACGTGTTGAATGGATATAAAATAGTATTAAGACACAGGCCTGTTCCTTTGTTTATTCTTCAGTGTTAAAGCTCCTATGGCGAGTTTATACATTATGATGAAATAGACTGAAATCCAAATCCATCCCTTTTATGGTTTATTTAATTTTTATTATTTAAAAACTCACTTTTACAGACTTGCTTTTATGTGATGTCGTCTTTACTTTTTATCTCTTTTACCTCTATTTTATTTCAACTTACTGTCTTTTTAGCCTTTGTTTAACTTATAATCTTTTTCTATTCAACCTTTTAGGCCTCTTATTGATTTTTCCCTGCTCATTTTTGTTATTTCATTTCATCATTACTATTACCATCATTATTATTTTGTTTGTTATCTTTTATTTTTACTATCCTGTTTCCTGCTTTCTACCCCCTTTTTTGCTACATTTCTTTTTCTTACCTATTTTATGTTTTTATTTTCGTCCTCATGGTCTCATGTAAACTTGTGTCTTTTTTTTTAAAGTGCCAAAAAATAAAGTTATTATTATTATGGTATCCAAAAGCAGACAAGACCACCTGCAACATGTCTGACTATCTTGAATCGTTATCTTTGAGTTTGATTATACTGTCAAAAATCAGCAGGATTACATTTTTAGTCAAAGTCTCTTCAATAGGGTGTTGAGGACAAGATAGGAATAGACTGCTCTGTCAACAGGGGGCGCCACATCAAGTACTCTGAATGAAGTTGATGAATTACACAGGTTTTGAGATCAGCAAGTCAGCACTTTTATTATGTCAATACAGGAAGTGCAGGTATTTTAATCCTCATGACGGCTCGGTTTTTGACATGTTCAAACTAGAAACACAAGAAAAATTTCCCTATTGAGATGTATTCTGCAGATTTACTTTAATGAAACAGGTAACGCAAACAGGAATCATTCATTTACAGGTTCAGTTCTTGTATTTTTGCTTCCCCAACAAGAATTAATCTGCCATATTTTTGAGTAAAAATCAATCTGAAAATTTATGTCCATTTAACATTTTTTTTTCTCTCTTAAACAGGTGTTGTTAATTTCTGCACATCTTGCAAATCAGTCCAAAGGAGGATGACCCAAGGTGAAAAATAATTGTTCACGCTGCACCTCAACACCTAAGGGCATCCAAAATCAATAAAACGTCTTCTGATGATCAGTTTTGCTTATGCTAATGCAGCGCCTGTCTGTGCAGGTTTATAATGACTGCAGAGGTGTTGAGCCCGTGTTTCCCAATTTAGAGAGGCAGCTCGCAGACACTCTGACAGCTTATTATAGTGTGAGGAATGAAGAGAGGCAGCGTAAAGCGTTACTCAGCACAAATCAGCTGCTGCTGATAACGCTACCTGCAGAGGCAGTCAGATTCACCCACACTGAGACACAAATAAGGACGCACATACACACACATATTGTATATACATGCAGAAACAGACTCACAAATATTTTGTGTCAGAAAGGCATATGGATCTTTCCTGTTGAAATTCACCACAAACATGTTACTGGTCGTTTCCAATGATTATTTTGGAAAGGGATTTATGACGATGAGGACATGCTTGTTATAATAGGTGTTACTCTTGTTCCTGCTGGACTGAGCCAGTTCTGCAAAGACACACTGAATCCAGTTCAGTAGGCACAAGAGTGCACAACTAGAAAAATTCTGTATTGTATTAATCTATAAAATGGCTGAAAACACAAAAATGAAACAAGTTTGGGTTCAGTTTTGGACTCAACAAGGTAAGTGTGACACATTGTGCAGAATTAAATGTCATCATTGACCAAAAGTGGAAACATGACTCCTAAAATAAACATCACACAGAGGAAATGAGTTGTACTTTTACCTCCAGAAACTTCTGTCATCCAAAGTCCTTCTTCTTTCTTTTCTTCATCATAAATCACACAAGTAAAGCTAAATACTGTACAATGTGTCTGGACATGCACTGACTTTTACAACATTCCCCCATCACTGTATACCCTTATGTTTTCAATCCCTCGCATCCGTCTTCCCTCACCTTTCAGCTTGGGGGTCATCCAGGACTTTCAGACGGAGCTCATTCTTTCATGTCAGACACTGAACTTAGCCACTGTGAACAATTTCCGTTCAGTTTAATGCTCACTAATGAGCTAAGTTCTGCATCTTCAGAAAAGTCATCCTCGAGCGGTGGGAAATCTGAAGGAAACGAAGATCGTTATGTCGGCGGCAGAATGAAACACATATTTAGCCGAGGAGATCATGACTTTAATTGATGCTGCAATCAAGCTCAGCCCTGTGAAAGACATAATATCTGCTGCTCTCATGCTGTGGTTCAATCAAATGAGAAACCCAGGTCCACTGTGGGGAAAGAAGTCATTACATTTGGAAAATAAACACAGCATAATTTCCTCGTAAAAACAATCCGTATTAGTGTAGTGTACTGAACTAGCCGCTAATGTGCGTGTAGAACATGTGGCGACAGAAGATGAGTGGTTGGATTATGTGTTACACCGCAGTTTCAAAAGCAGTAAGAGAAAAGTTGTTTTCATTACATGCGTGGCATTACTCTACATCACTCCTCAAGTCCAGCAGTAATTAATACTCAAGTGTTTGGAAAACGTACAGAATTAAATGAGCACTACATCAGTGTAGGAACCCTAAGCAAACATACATTTATACATCTCCTTTTCCTCCACCTGGACTTAATTTAGACTGCTTTTCCAAGATCTTGACGTTATAAAACAAATATATTTCATGTATAATGCTCTTTATATTTGAAACAGATCTCTACACATTGGGAGAGGTTTGACGTACTTCATTATTGTGGGTGATGGCAGCATGGTATGGCCTGATCTGGTCTGCTACAGTGGTCAACCTTTAGTTTTGCTGATTCCCAGAAAATGACCCCATTACCACAAGAAAGCAAATCCTGCGATCTAAAAACTTCATAGTCCTAAATTAAGAAGAAAAACAATATGAGCTTGTTAGATAGTTATCAAAGTTAACCCATCATCAAAGGAAAACAGGGTAAAAATATTTAGATGTCTTTAAATGACTTCTGTACTCGAGTTCAAATAAACTTTTTATTCACGTTTAAAATTAAAGCTCCAGTGGGAAGTTTTTGGCTGTACACAAAATAATCTAAAAAATGTGATGATGCCTCTACATGACCTACAAAAGCAAATGAGCTTCAGCAAAAAGACTGAATATATACTGTAATTAAAAGCACCATTAGCCATTAATGTCCTTGTCGAAGAGTCGTTAGTCACATGCCACCAGATGTCTTTTTTTATGTTCTGAGCCAAAGAGTCATTGAGAGCTGGATGTTTGACCTTAAAACTAAAAAGGATGAATGTTTTTGTCAGTATGTTTACGTGCACAGTTAAGCCAAACTACGGTTATCGCAGGATTAGGCGATTTAGCTAGACTGCTGTCCCTGTCCCAGAAATTGAATACATTATGCTACCTCTGTTACAGTAGGTGGCGACATGCCCACTTACAGCTCATTTCTAGCAGGAAGCAAGAGGCTAATTGGATGTACGTTAAACAATGAAAACACAGTCACGTTTACAGCTCTGTACTGTTTGTTCCTACTATAGGAAAGTTTTGCCTTTTTTTACATCCCTTCTTCATCTGTTAAGGTTTTGTTTAATGTCTGACTTCCTGATAACACATTCATGTACAAGACAAAGTGAAAAAAAAAAATCAGATTAAGCCCACAGGGGGCGTCAAAATTGAGGCAACCTGAAAGTTACTTACTGGAGTTTTATGAAAGATTTAAAAATGTCAGGACCAAAGAATATGTCAAATTAGAAAAGATAGTGACTCATCATGTTCAGGATTTCTTTTTTTATTCATAACAACTGCTTTTGAAATCCTTAAAATGTGAATTTTTAAAATCTGCTTTAGAGCAATTCTAACTTTCAAATCACCGCGTTGAGAAAATGTTGATAAAAAGAGTCAGAAAATTAAAACACTTGAATAGAGAACCTCAAGAAACACTCAAGCTTTGTGCAGTGACTCGTGCATATTTTGAATGCTACTTTTCTCGACTGTTCACATGTGACTATAAGAGGAGACATCAGTGGTGAGTCGAGGCCTCAGCGTCAGGAGACTACTATTAAAGGTTTACTGTGCTGTAATTTTATGTAATTGTATGCAAATGACACGACCAGTGAGTGTTTTTGCGAGCTCTAAATGCAGATATCAGCTTTCTCTTCTCACACTGTGGTTATATTTCTGTCTCTCTGTGTGTGCGAAGAGTCTCTGCCTTTAATCGCTTGTACTCAGATAGTTTGTCTGAGCCTCAGGACAGGCGGGCTCAGTTTTCAGAATAAACTGTGAGTCTGCCCAAACTAACAGTGGTTTCATGACATCACCGCTTGGTGGAAAACAAGAAGCTCTCATGTTCATGCCGCCTTGATCTGGAGCCTTGCAGGAAAATTTTTGCACACGCAGTTATCGATTGTGTCTTCATATCTTTCAGTTTACCCCTCTTTAGTCACAGAAATGGCTCATCATAAACCACACACGTCATATGATCCTGCTTTGGCTCTGGTTTTCCATGTCTTTCTCTATTCCTTCATCGCATATTCATTATCTATTCTCCAAAAACAGACTCTGTCCTCAGGATGACTTGGATTTCACACTCTTGCTGCAGCCCAAATCTTGTAAACACAACCCAAGAGTTGGATTATAGTTTCAAGGGTATCAGTGTCCGAGGGAAGTTACCTGAGCTTTGCTGCCATTATGTCATTTTTCACCCTGCTTCAGGAGAAGAAAAGGCAGCTGCAGCTTTTGTCATCCTGCCACCCCTTGCTTTACCCTGTGGAGGAGAAGTGTGATTATCCGTTTTAGGGAATAACAAAGCCCCCACTGTCGACTTCTTGCGTGACTTTATTCAACTTCTTAAGATTTGTTCTACCCAAGTCATGGTCTTGTCTTTGAGGGAGATGCGGAATAGCTTTAAGAAAAAGAGGGTTTAATTAGGAGGGAGGAGAAAGGGAGACAAAATGGCACACTCAGTCTGTACGAGCAATAATCTAGCACATATTCATCAAGAATATCCCCAGTTCAAGAAAGATAAATCCACTACAGTACCCAGAAATCAGACACCAATCTTCATGCAACTTGTCTGGAAAGTACCTGAAAATGTTCTGAATTTAAACTTACCTGTTCGTGTTCAAGAAAGGTGGGATAATGAGTCAGATTGAGGCCCTTCAGTGTTGTTAAACCCGGTCACCCTCTGCTGGTTCCTGTAGCATGTTCTTAACAAGACAGCGTTGCTTTCCGCTCCTCAAACCGCTCAGAGTGAGGTGTGGGTGAGTGAGGGTGGTTAGCATGTGTGAAAAGAGAGAAGGCACAAAAGGGAGGAGGGAGCAAGTGAAAGGGGGGAGAGTGGGGCTAAGGAGGGAGAGAGGATGATGGGACAGGTGTGGAATTTACACACCCTGCTGGTAAAGCGCACCACTGGCATATTTGTTTCAGCCTGATGAGTCACCCTCCTGACAGTGGGGGTGAGAGAGAATGTGGGTTTGTGAGTGAGAGGAAGATACAAACAGAAATAGAAAGGAATAAATTATCTGCAGGTTGTTTCATTGTTCGAGTCAGATTTGAGACTAAAGCATATTTTTACTCAACCCTTTGTTGAAGTCACATTAGCTTTTTTTCTGAGCTTAATACGCAAATAAAAGTAAAACAAAGCAAAAGGTGAGGGCAAGACATGAAACCTACCTGTAAGTTAATATGCAGGGGTGTGTCCGGACTTTGTGAATGAGGTGGCCCAGCTCAGGCACCGACTTGCTCAGGTGGGGCAATAAGTATGTCAAATAATGCAATAAAATCCAACTTTTAAGACCACAGATGAAAAACAATTTGGTCATTGAAATTATAGTATCTAGAAGAAAGTTGAACTTCAATTTCGTGCATTATATCAAAAGAGATCACATCACACTTCCGCATAAAACTGTTTCCTGCTAGTTTACAATCTCTGTCTCACTTCTTTGTGTCAGCTTACTAGTAAATAAAAAGCTAAATTGCTATCAAAGCAGATGGTTAGCATGTTGAAAATGTAGCGTATCATCTTATCAGTCTGTCATTCAACACTGTAAAGCTTTAAGCTAGCATAAGATGCTTACTCAGCTAACACTATGAGGGTTGATCACACACAGGTTGAACAAAAGTTACCAATATTTTCTATCTTTTCATATTTTTTTTCTCTCACTGATCTTTAAACTGAGCACACATTTGCCAACTGAGCAGCTGACCTCCTCCTCTATACAACAAAAGTACCTGCATACAAAGTAACACAACAAAAAGACACCCTATATAAATCTTCATAGATTCATTCTCTGAGGACTCAAACGAAGATGGGTGTCCAAAGACAAAATATACGATTCTAACACAAAGACGGCTAGTTTGTTTAGATTCATGGTCCAGGGTTTCTTTTAAAAAAGAGAATAAAAAAAAAGAGAGAATGCAATGCCCTGAATCCAATGTGAGGTCTGTTTTTACAATTTCCATCTTAAATATTTACAATAAATAATAGGTTTGACTGTTGAAAGTCAGCAGGATGAGATTTTTTGTCAAAGATTAAGTCTGTGGCTGACTGCAGTTACTACTTTGTCCACAGGGGGTGCCAAAATCAACACAAAGGAGCTCCTAATATAGTCAGTATTGCCATTTTATAGCTTACTAATATTACTGAACTTCTTATTAGTATGTGCCATGACAGATGTGTAATATGCAGAGTTTATGACCTTCACAAAGAAAAAAACATTAGAGTGGATCATAGCTCCCGGTGGCAGCAGTGTGTGAATGTAATGTGGTAAGTTAATACTGATGGGCACTTTATATAGAATCTTCCACCCTTAATGTTTTAATGTGGTGTTAATGGGTGAATGTGAAATGTAGTGTAAAAGTGCTTTGAGCGACTGAAAGACCAGAAAGAGCTTTATGTAAGTCCATGTACATTATTCCTCCATGACATAGAGCTCTATTGTGTCCCAAAATAATGAAGAATACACATATTACCACACACTGTTAAACTGGGGGACTGTAAACTGGCCCCAGCAGTTTATTTTTGGTTAATCCGTCATGAATCCACAGCAGGAAACAGCCCCTGATATCTGCAGAGAATAACCTCTATACCGTATTTTTGTTTCCTCTTCATC